ACCCCCTAACCCCTAACCCCCTAACCCCCTAACCCCCTAACCCCCTAACCCCCTAACCCCCTAACCCCCTAACCCCCTAACCCCCTAACCCCCTAACCCCTAACCCCCTAACCCCCTAACCCCTAACCCCTAACCCCCTAACCCCCTAACCCCCTAACCCCCTAACCCCTAACCCCCTAACCCCCTAACCCCCTAACCCCTAAGAAACTTTGATCTCTGGTCCCATTGAGCCAAGAAACTGCCATGTCTACTATAGTATCCTCTTCCCATAGTTCTTAGTAGTCAAAACCGATGCAGCCCCCTACCCCTTACACACTGGGGTTGGTTGCTCAGCACTGGCCGGTGAGTGCTTTAGTCAGGGGGGGGGACGACGGCAGTCCTGGACATGGATCAGTCTGCAACCGATACATGCGATGACTAGGCCCTCCGCTCCTTGGCCGCCTTGACAAGGCCGTCCAACCATGCCTGGTGCCCATTGAGCATGGGGTTGGGGCGTTCGCCGGCGAGCTGGGCGGCTGGCTCTCCAATCTGGCTCTCTTGCGTCAAGATCCTGACGCGGCCGCCAGGCAAGTCTTCAACGATCCACGCGTGATAGACGTCGAGCTTTTCTTCCGGCTTGCCGTCTTGCGCAGCTGACCATGCGAGTCTGCCGGGGGTCCCATTTGATGGGGTAACGACCTCGTGAGCAACAGATGCGAGGGGTGGAAAGCCAAAGGTCGAAAAGGAGAACTGGGCGCCTGGGGACAGAATGGGGCCCGAGGTCGGTGGGGTGATGTTGGAGCAGTTGTCGTAATAACTGTCCCACTTCGTCACGTCGGCGAGCAGGGGCCAGACGTCTGCGGCAGAGAGGTTGGCGACGATTACCTCGTTGGAAACATAGTTGTCGGTGAACCCGGGGGTGTACTTGTCTGGCCAGTTGATCTCAGCGAGGGGCATGTTGATGAATGTAGTAGACAAACTCTGTAGGGCATTGTCGACGTTATACAATCGAATGTTGACACACCGAGGGGAAACCGAGATGCTGAGGTAAGGTGCTGCGCGCTGAGGTAAGGTGCTGCGCGCTGAGGTAAGGTGCTGCGTAATGACGTAGGGATTAGTCCCCTATCACGACGGTGACCAAGGCTCTGTGCGCTCTGTGCTGTCGTGGTAGCTATCCCCACTGCAGCAAGGGATCACTGGGACCAAGGGCGACGGTTATCGGGTCATGAACATCATCTATGATGCCGGTTTCTGTCCAGGTCGTCGAAACTCAATGGTGTGGGCCGTTGTTTCGCCCGGTCGGGGTGCCCCGAGAGTCATGAACAGCGCGACTCAAGACTCTCTTAGACCCTCTTCTGGAAGCAACACGTCGCCTGTAGCCTTCCCATACGTTCCTTCCCCAGTTTGAAGCGTTTACGGTGAAGTGGCGAGTACAGCGCACATTGATGGATGTGAGTGATGGTCGCAGGGGATCCGGTGGTGGCCTCGGCCGCATCGCCTGTCCTGATTCGGCGTGGATTTGCGTCGATGAGTTGGGGGCCTGTCAGAGATCAGAGGATCAGAGTACTGAGAGCTGTACTCGTGGTACTGCCGTGCCTGCCAAACTCCCTGATGTTGGGCTTCGGTCGGCGAGTGGGAGGGAAGAGGAGATGGGGGCAAGGTTAGCCAAATGCTGCTGAGTAGCAACCCACATGTGGGGCCTCTGTCTCGTTTCTGAAATCCTGCTAAGGAGTAACCCACATATAACATAAACGGTCCAGGACGGTCCCAGACTGACTGCGAACGTACGTACTGTGCGCCTTCCCACGTCAGTTTCAGAGTTGCCCCGTATCGTCCCAGAATACACATATGAAGTTGTTGTGGAGCCTACTGCCAAGCTCCATTTCACATAGCCCGCGGTACAGATCACGATGGTCCATCGCTGACCAGAGAGTTCCCGTATCGGACATTAAGGACCTGCAACGATGGGGCGCAGCCTGAAGCCTCAAGCCATGAACCAGCTGACCATCCGCGGTCGATCGAACCACAGGCTCCGACACTTATCGTCGGCGTCTCCGCCCGTCGGTGTCATCTCCCGTACAATCAGACCGAGGTTACTGGCCAGGGTGGGGATGCCAATTGCAATTGCTGGCTGTGTTATCGTACACTAGTATCGGGGCCGCCGCTGGACTGAAAGTGACGCGGATCGTCCGACGTGATCACAACAATGTATCCATGTCTGGTGGCCTGGTGGTGTGCGGGGCAGGTGCCTCAGCAGATCAGTGCCCTCTTCAGGTGCAGTGGCCAGTCTTGCCTGTCCCTGCTAAGGAGGCGTGCCGCCGTTGCCGAATCCCCGCAAGTGGGTAGTCTGGTGCTCTTGACCTTTACCTTAGATCTTACGGCACGGTCACGGCCCGCTGACGTCGGGGACGGTGGCATACCAGACGCACTACTGCCACGCCTCTGGGAGGGAGAGATTGGGTCTTGATCGACGTCCCTCTCCAACATCACGTCCAGAGCAGTGTGCTTTTGGGCCACCCCAGTGTTTTATGCGCTTGTGAACGTTATGCTTACAAACACCGCCATTAGGACTGAACGGTGCAGTCTAGCCCTCCACATAGCACGATCCGCGTCGATCCTGTCGATCCGACAACACCCAGCCGTGGCGTTGACACTTCCCTTACGAAGCGGATTCTCGGTAAGGAATGACCGCATGTAGTGTTCTGGGGTGACCGAAACGCTTTCAACGCTTGCAACGCTTCCGACGCGGGGTCAAGATACGTGGGGGCGTTGACGTTTGCGTCAAGAAACGCGCTCGTCGGCCATGCTTGGTGGAAGCAGAAAGAGCAGCGGCGAGCCTATTGACGGCCGGCCAGTCTTAACATTGTCGTACGGGACTGTACTCGCGACCGCCTCGCACCTGGGTGGTGCAGTACAGTAGACCCCGTAAACACACTTGCCTCCTGTAGGCTGCCGCACATATGTAGAGCCTATTGTGCCAAGCATCCTAATGCCACAGAATCAGCGCGCTGCAGTCCCCTTGCAATATGTGTTGTTACGATGTGGCATAAAGTAATCGATATGCATGGCAGAAGTGCGCGCTCACACGTACAGAGCCCAATCGTACTCGGCCGAGAGCGGCACCTACAATAATATGCAAGGACTAGTATGCTGGGCTTTCGGACATCAGCACTTCAGACCAAGCCCTGCACCAAGCATCTTAGAACAACCGCAGAGTACAGACCCGACTGACAAGAGCGTGACAGCAACAGTGATCCTGGCTCGCACAGTCGTTACTTACATAGCCTTCCTACCCCCAATGATGTCTTGTATGCCTGCACCGACGTGTCGGATTCACCGGCCAGGCTGAGTCGATGACCAACCCGTCCAGTGTGCCACACGGAGACAGACGCAGACGTGGTCATGTAATCAGCTTGTCGATGCCCAATGACGGTTTTAAATTGCTCTCCAACAGGAAATTCCTCCAATTTGCTGTATTGCGGAATTCAGCTCCGACTACTGACTCCTGCTACATATGAGGGCAAGTGGACTCAATAAACATGTAGACGCGGGCGGGAAGCCCCTGGCCCGCTTCTCGCCAAATGGCGTCGCAATCTTCCGGGGCCCTTTCGGATCTTCTTCTAGAACGTCGGGAGACCTATTTGCCCCAAGGCTGACAGCACTGAACCATCCCGTAGATCGTAGCGGGGCCTCCGCAGGAATGTGGAGCTCGTCGGGAGTGTGCCCCGGTAACGGCATATGCCATTCCCCATGGAGGATCGTTGACGTAAGGGCAGTGAGCATGTGGTTGGGAAACAGACACCAGAAGCGGTAATTTCCCTCCGTTGTGGCACGGGAACGTGAACCTCAAATACCCCACTAGTACGGATGTGTTCAGTTCACTGCAGGTGACTCACGCTGCCACGGCTGGGTAGGATGAGGCCAAGCGAATCTGTGTGAGACATTGATGCGTAAGGCTCACTCGGAGGGGCCGATGTGTCGCCGGCCTTGCCGACCTTGTGCGGAAGTTAGGTCAGTAGTCCGCCTGGCAGGGAGTGATTGCTGTGGCGGGTAGGCGTAGCCTTGGCTGTGCACTCCGAGGCGGATAATCAGACGGGGTGATCACTCAGCAACGCGGCTCACGCTGTAGATAGTGTGATCGGTCCAACACCCCGTGACGAGCAGCTGGTCGTTCTGCTGGGCCTTTTCCGTCGCATGCACCGGGACGGTGTTGCCATGAGTGATATATAACACATCAATCGCGCCCGTCTCCCACACATCATCCAATATCAAGCTTGACCAACTGCCTCCTGCCTCCCCCCGCCTGATCCATCCCTATCTACACAAGTCCGCCCCAATTTACCCAGCTGCTCTCACCCACACAAGCGTCTCCACCGCGCCAGCAACGCCGCCACGTCCCGCAAACACGATGTCCGCCAACGCTGCCGAACTCGCCACGCCCGCCCTGTCCGAATCCGAGGCGCGCCGCGCAGAAATGCTAACTGATGGCCGCGACCCTGACCTCCCCGCGAACCATCCGATCAATGCACTCAGCAGGACGCGCAAGACGCTCATAATGGCCACACTTGCCTATTGCGGATTCCTGAGCCAATTTGCGTGCGTCTGCCTCTTGGAATTCTTTAGAATCGCTGCTGACCTCTACAGTGTCGCCATCATTCTTGTCGCACTTGTGTGAGTATTTTTCTCAGATGGCACCTCAAGTGTGTTGTCGACCCATTAATTACCCGATTGAGCTGCGGCAACATGTATCTTCAGTGCTGACTTCACAGCCCTCTCGCTGTCGACCTCAAGGTTACTCCTGGCGATATTGCGAGCACTATCGGATACTCCTTGCTCGGTTACGCCGTGGGTCCGCTCTTCTGGAACCCGCTCTGCAGGGTGAGTGTTTGCCAAGGAATTGTTAGGATTTTTCTAACGATTCAGACTGTCGGTCGCCGCCCAGTGTACCTCCTCGGCTCGCTCATCTTCCTCCCGGTCTGCATCTGGCTTGCGCTCTCGCCGAACTATGCCTCGTTTGCGGTGGCTCGTGTCTTCCTCGGCCTCACCCTCGCATTCTCGCAGACGGTTCCACCCGCGACCGTAGCAGACATCTTCGTTCCCGCCGTTCGTGGCCAGAAGATGGCCATGTATGCTGTCGCAGTCGTCACGGCCCCCGCGATCGCGCCTTTCTTCTGCGGTCTTATCATCCACAAGGCGTCGTGGCGCGTCCTCTTCTGGTTCTGTCTGGGTCTCGGCGGCCTGCAGTTCATCATGTTCTTCTTCCTCGTCCCCGAGACACTTTGGGTCGAGGACACTCCCGGCACCGGAGAGGAGCGCATCGAAGAGGAAAAGGACCGCCACGCTGCCAGCACTGAGACGAAGGACACTATTGCACACCTCGAGGCACACCCCCACATTCACGGTGCCATGGGCCACGGATCGACCGGCCACGTCGGCGCCGAATGGATGCCGTGGCATCGCCCGGCTGAGTACCTCCTCCTCTGCGTTAGCCCCGTCGCTATGCTCCGCTACATTGTCATCATCGTCCCGTCGTTCTACTACGGTCTCCTCTTTGCCTGGATGGTCGGAATCACTGTCGTCACACCACAGACCCTTGGTGCTCCCCCCTTCAACTTCCGTGTCATCCCCCTAGGCTGCGCCTTCCTCGCCTACGGCATCGGTGGTGTGCTCGGCCTCTGGTCCGGTGGCCTCGTCGGCGACAAGACCGTTGCGTATTTCGCGCGCCGCAACGGCCGCCGCGAGCCCGAAGATCGCCTGTGGGCTCTCCTTCCCATCCTCCCGCTCAAGTTTCTGGGCCTCCTCATCATGGGTCTCGACCTCAAGTTCCACTGGCACTGGATTGGCCTCCTTGTTGGCGGCGGCATCTACTTCTTCTGTCTCTCGGCGGCTACCGGCGTACTTCAGACATACGTCCTTGAGACCTACCTGCCCAAGTCGATGGACACGATGGCCGTCTTCAACTTCTGGCGTATGATGTGGGGCTTTGCCGTCGCCTTCTTTGCGTACAACTGGGGGCTCAAGAGCGGCTTCCTTGAGGAGTACATCACGCAGGGTGCACTCGCTGCTGGTCTCGGGTTTATCCTCTGTGCCGCCCTGATCTGGAAGGGCCGCGCCATTCGCCAATGGCAGGGCATGCCCATGTTCGAGTAGAAGGGTAGTAGTAACATAGTCGACGCTTGAATAAGCATTGTTTGTAATGGGTATGAAAGGTATGAGGCTCGGCAAGACATGCGACTCGCACAAAGTTGGTTCCCGTGATGGGCAAGACGCTTCTGGATCAGTTACACTACACACGCACAGAGTAGCCAATTGATTCCAGTGGTGCCCGTCCATCGGTCGCCGTGCCCTTCTCATATTGTCATCTTGACATTAGTCGTTGGTACACACTTGAAGCTACATCTCTCTCTCCTTCTGGCCGTGGCAAAAGCAGATCCAAACGCTTAGGCCAGCGAGCGCATCTCGCTCAACTAGTTATAAAGCTATCCAAGCGATGACGGTGGCAATTTGATGTTTGTCCTGAGTAATTTGATGAAGTGAGTTTCAGAACCCGATACCTGTCCTCGCACTTATTTGACTTGCGGCGTCATTGATCTCACTCGTCATTCAAGTGCACTCACACACCTTGCCTCCATCGCCAGCACATGCTCAGTAGCCTCGTGCGAGTCCATCGGCGCCTGCACCCAAGCCGTTTGATTTTTCTCCGTCAACCTTCTCGACCTACTGTGGACCGTATCCGCATGTCGTCAAACGAAACCCACCTCCAGCCAACGGCTTTCTACCAGCCCTTCCTTCTGTCACCCGTTCCGGGTGCCGAGCTACTCGGGGGAGTTCCCGCTGTGGACCAGTCGGATTGGACCAGCCAACTGGACCTGGACACGGCTATCGACTTTTCAAAGCAGGTGTGGGGCGACCATGCACTGAAGGTTATGGTCCTCTACGGAAGCCTTAGGGAAAGGTACGTATATTGCAGCACATGTATTTGTATGGAATAAGCTGACGACAGGTCGTACTCGCGGCTCATGGCTTATGAAGCGGCTCGTATTCTCCATCACATGGGATGCGAAGTGCGAGTCTTTGATCCTAGCGGCCTGCCAGTCAAGGATGAAGCAAATGTCAACCATCCCAAGGTGCAGGAGCTGCGACAGCTGAGCAACTGGAGCGAGGCACAGTTTTGGTCATGTCCTGAACAGCACGGCAACATTACGGCGGTCATGAAGAATCAAAGTGAGTGGTCCGTTGCGTGCTGCCAAAGCAGTCACTAACTGCACATGACAGTCGATTGGATTCCTTTGTCCACAGGTAGCGTGCGCCCAACGCAGGGCCGAACCCTAGCTTTTGCCCAGGTACGGGTCACCTATGATCGGCCTTCAAGCGAGTAGCATGCTCACTCTTCAGGTGAATGGTGGCAGCCAGTCCTTCAACACCGTCAACACCCTTCGCATTCTCGGGCGATGGATGAGGATGTTTGTCATTCCGAACCAGGTACATACCGCATTGTCTGCCTATCGATGGGAAACTGACCAAGACTACTAGTCATCCCTTCCACTTGCATGGAAGTCGTTCACACCGGCAGGGCGACTAATGCCGTCGGCCAATCGCGACCGTCTGGTTGATGTGTGCGAGGAACTTGTCAAGTTTTCAGCAATCGTGCTACCCCACTTCGACCTTTTCAATGATCGGTTCAGCGAGCGCCAAGAGAAACAACTAAAGGGCAGGTTGTTGACCCAAGCGGAGAAGGAGAAGGAGAAGGAAAAGGAGAAGGAGAAAGAGAAGGAGACGAATGGGCAGCCAGCCGGGGACATCCCGTCCTCAACCGCCTCCGTGTCCTCATAGTCCTCATACATTTTAGAATACCCGGCCCGTCCTTTCGACTCTTGATTACAGACTTACATCACCGGCAAAATGTGCTTTCTGCAGTCTATTAAGGCCAGAATCTGGGCAAATTGTAATACAGCTTTAACGAGCGCCAGGAGAAGCAAATCGGCAGGCAACTGTTCACTCTGATTAGGAAGAGGAGGGATGTGGCGAAGGGAAGGATTGATGCGGAGAAGGAGAAGCTAAGGACTGCAGCAGTGGTTGCGCATGGAACCCATGGATGCCAGACCATATGCCTTCCTATAAGTTTAGTTCAATGAATGATTGAGGAGAGCAAACAATCCATCCCGAAAGTCCTGCAGCAAGAAAAGAGCTGTCGCATATGTTTCAGCGGATCACGATACTCCACTAGCGACCTTCGCGCCACGCCCTGATGATACCCCCTGTACTACACGCGCACTGGACGTCTTACAGCCCCTCGCATCTAGGTGGTCCTGGTACCATCCGGCACACTTCGGACCTCGCTCGTTGGAGCTCCCCCAATGCTCCCACAATGGAAGATCACCAAGGGTGAATTCCCTCAAAGTCTGAAATTGATCAAATTCACAGCTCGACGCGCGCTCGCCAACCAAAACGTGTACATGAACAAGCGTGCACACACCAGTGCACGAAAACACAACGTCTGCCCTACACACTACACACCTACGCCTCGCTCGCCTGGAGCACCTCACGTTCACTCCCAAACGACAACGTCAGCGTCGGCCGCGGCGGCTTGACGTCGCCAAACACCTCGTACACGGGCATGTACCGATCAATGAACGACTTGACGTCGTCGTCGCTCATGCCCTTGCCGCCGTTGGCGGCCTTCATCTTGTGCTCCTGCTCGAGGCGCCAGCAATACACATAGTCGTAGCTCAGGGGACGAACCGCGACATGGCAATCAAAGTTGGCGTCCGTTGCCATCTGCACCGAGGCGAGGTTGGCATTGATCTGCAGCAACGACTCCCAAGGGTGCTGCTGCGCCACGCGACCGACGGACCAGCGTTCGCGCGCCGCCGCGTCAGAGAGCGAGCCGTACCCCAAGCTCCAACCCTCCAGGATGAACACGTCCACCGGCCGTGTGAGCTTGACAGCCGCCGCTGCCCGGTCGCCGTAGCCGTTGTGCTGGCTCTTGTCGAACACGGGGAGGAGGATGGGGTTGGACGACGACGGCGGCGGCCCGCTCCGGATGCGCTCGAGCACGCTTGTAAGCAGCGGGAGATCATGCGTTCCAGGTGGCCCGCGCCCGCGCAGCATAGTGTTGGAAGGGTGTGCAGCCGCCAGGGCCTGGAGCCCGTCGTACGTCAGGTAGAAGTCTGTCATCAGCTCTACTCATGCCATGGTCGGCGCTCACCGTCCATGGATGCAACCGCGCACTTGAGACCACGCTCTTCGAGGACCGTGACGAGACTGGATGCGAGTGTGCTCTTGCCTGCACAGGGAGGTCAGCGTTACCGCGCTTTGCGGTACATAACTGCGGCTGAGGGACAAGGAAGGACGTACCGCATCCCTGTGGTCCCTGCATCGATACGAGCAAAGGGCGGTTTGGTGCGCCTCGGCTGCTTGCTGCTGCATGTTGTTGCAAGAGGTAGTTTGCGATTGTCTCTGCTGTGCGGCGGATGGCCTGGGTGGCGGATACGTCTGTCATGGTGTGCGCATTGGTGCATGAGGAGGGATCAGTGTACTTACATAGAGCGACGACACAGCCCCCAACAACGGAGTGGAAGGCTATAACACAAAGTGGAGGCGGAGGCGGAGTCGTTTCTCCCCCGCGGATCCCGGAGGTGTTTCACTCCGTACTCCGTGCGGGGCGGGGGACGGAGGACTCGACGCTCCGCCATCACACCGGACACACCCCCCACATCTCTACAGGCATCGCACACCTTTGCGTGTTTGCTCCACAGCACGGCCGCACGGCGCGCACGGGACATTGGAGACCCCACCTTGGCCACCCTCGATCCCTCGAAGCTATCCGGTCATGGAGTCTGTCTCATACGAACGAGGCCGCTTCTACGTCGGTCCAGTGAGTCCATCGATCCACTCACGCCGTTGCCATGACAGAGCCCCACACGCGTCCCCAAACCATGCACCCGCTGTTTCTCGTCATCGTTTGCGGCTGACCGCTTTAGAACGGCTTTCCCCGCTTCGCCGGCTCAGCGTCTGGCGTCTACCTTGCCGACACTGTGCGCTCACAGGTCTCCCCTTCAGCACAACCACGCTTGCGCTCGCCCGGTATCGAGGAGGCTTTCATTGCCCGCAACAATGAAGCCCCCCGGCACGACGATCTCTTCTACGACCCATTTATTCTCAAGGCCCGAGACCTACGGGATGCACCTGCGATCCGCACTGCGCTGACAAGATACTTTTCGACATGGCACCCGCTGTTCCCGTTTCTGGATGGGGCCTACATCATCGAGTGCTTTGAGAATGCAGTCCAGGGCGCTGGCATAGGGCTGGGGATGGCGGGGGATGTTGGGCCGGGAGTGGATCCCAACGCACCTGCCTTCCCAGGCCTCACGGTCGAGGAAGGCATGGTGCTCACGGCCATCTTCATGGCTTTGCTCGCCATTGCTGACCTCGACGCTCCGCCGACCTCCAACGCAGACTCATACCTCCCCCGCCTCCAGTCCAGCACACAGGCCAATCTGCTCGCCAACCTCGTGTTCACCGCCGTCCAGAACTCGGCAGTGAACGACCTATTTGCCATCCAGGCGCTCATCGCCATCATGCTCTACTTCTACGTGTCACGTACTCTGCGGCCAGCGATGCATCTAAGCGGTACGGTTTCGAGTACGTTGGGTCACACGTCCCCTCCAAGCATATTAGCTCCGGCCCGTATAGAGTGTAGGTAACACCTCAGAACTCGCCTACGAACTTGGTCTCCATCGCTGTCCAGACCGGTACCTTTCAACATTCAAAGACCCCGCCGACCGCGAGATGCGCAAGCGTGTCTTCTGGGCGCTGTATGTCCTCGACCGCCTGCTCACGGCCGAATTCGGCATCCCGATAATGCTACATGACACGGACATCGACACATGCAGACCTGGCGGAACCGAGGCACACGCAGAGTGCCCCGAGTCGCCACCGGGACACCCAGCACGCACGCCGCTCGACAATGGTGGGGAAGGAGATACCGTGGAAGGCAGCGGTAACGGTACCGGCACTGGTGGCAACGGCAGCACCGTGCGCCCACTGAAACGAAGGCGCGAGGGAAGTACCAGTACCCATCTCCTCGGCTCTCCGGCCGCCTCTCTTCAAGGCTCGCCTGTGCTCACACTCTCGCCAGGCGTGATTCAGCCCTCTGTGCAGCAGACAATGGGCATTGGAACGCACCAGCACCACTACTCCCGCCTCCTCCCGGCCTATTCTGTCGTCGGCATTGCGCGCCTCACAGGGCGTGCGATGGAGGTGTTCAACAAATCGCTGCGGTACCGCTCGCTCAACTGTGGGTTAAGAGAAGCATTGCCCTAGTTGACCCCGTAGCACAGGAAACACTACAGCTGCGCACCGAGCTGGAGCGGTGGTGGAACGAGATCAGCTTCGACAGTGGCACGGACGACGATGACGGCGACGAGCATGTGGGTTCCCATTCGCGTATTGCGATACGCTGACACCTTCGCCCAGAATGAACCAGAATCCGACCCACGTACACCGTACCGGACCCTCCTGACATGCATGTACCACCACCAGATCATCAACCTCTGCCGCCCCGCGCTCTCCCTCGCGCCCACAGCCCTCGCACATGCGTACGCACTGCAGACCTGCGTTGCGTCCGCGCGCGTCATCTGTAACACCCTCGCGCACGCCGTGAACACCAACACAGGCAGGCCAAGTAGCAAGCGCAAGGGCACGGGCGATGCCGACCACGACCAGTCCAACCCCCTGATGGTTCTCTGGCCGGGGTACGTCGACATGGTCTTCTTCGCCTCCCTCATCCTCGTGTACGGCAACAAGCGCGACGCGTCAAATGGGGTCGCCAAGTGGGTTTCTTGCGTTTGAATGGCGCTGACCCCCTAAGCCCGCAGCGACTGAGGTCCGAGCTCCGGCGCGCGATCCGCATCCTCGAGGCGTTCCAGGCGCGCTGGAACCTGCGGCCGTTCATAAAGGCGTTGCGCACGCTCCTTGATCCAGCGAGCCCAGCGGGGGGAAACGGGAACGGGAACGGCCGAGATGCGGTGAGTCGTCTCACCCTCGGAAGGCGGGGCTGTGCTGACCAGGATATGCAGGGTATGCCCACCGCACCCAAACCGCTCAGTGCCACTGGAGGCGTGCTGCCAGATGGAAATACAGCGCAGGTGCCGCTGGCGGGCGAGCAGCTGTTTGATGCGTTCTTGTTTGACTTTGACACGTTTGAGCTGCAGCCGCAGACCCAGTGGGCATTCCATATGAGCTTGCCAGGGTCGCCGTCCCAAGTATAGTCGGAGAAGGAGGAAGCCGAAACGGCGTGGAGTCTGTTCTGTATATACCATGCAGTTGCACCCATATATTCTGGAGGATGATCATAACCTGCATGATATTGTTGCGGGAGCAAGATACTTGCTTTGGATGGCATTTGGATAGCTATGTGGCCAAGGGCTTGAAAGTGGCTGGTCCTTCGGCTCGGCTGCCAATTCAAGCGTTGATTCCTATACTCTGCTAACGGTTGGGTGTAATTAACGATAACGAGCATCCGATTATCCCCACGCCACATTTGCCCAATCAAGGGCTCAATTCCGTCCTGAGCCATAGCCCACCCCGTGCTCCTAGGACCCCGCAATGTCCTCAAGGACATGCTCGCCACCGACAGTGTTCGTCCGTGTTCCGACCACCAGGCAGGCCATTGCGTCGCTGGTACGTACGCAACACCATGTGACAATGCAAGTGTTGTAAGGTCCTGAGGTGGGCTTCCGTGAGGACTGGTGTGCGTACTATTGCCGGGAGGACACGTCTTCCTTTCTTTTGGCACCACTCGGTGGGTCCGTGTCTCCATCCCTGCCCATAAGAGCGAGAAGCAGCAGGACACATGTACAGTAGGAAAGCAATCAAGGGCCATATGGCTCGCGAGGTTGGCTGCCGCAATTACCACCACCCAACTGCGGCAATGTGCCAGTGCACGTAGTCAAAACTGACGAGGAAAGGCACACCTATTAACACAAAAGCGATTGAGCGCGGGAGGAAGATTTACAGCGTTCAGAAGGCAAGTGAAACTGCGCGCAAAAAAACAACCATGACATTCACCTGCTATGTAGCTACGTCCCTTCTTTTTCCTATCATGTGTGTCACTCAAACCGAATCATCCACCGTATACCAACCAAGCCAGCCAGGGTGCTCTCGTACAGTACAGTACCTGCCCCCACCTTACAGCACAAACCGGATGCGGTGCACGGCGCCGACCTCGATGCCCGCCTCGCGGTCCTCGGCCTCGCGCGCAGTTGCGGCATCCATGCGAGCGTTCTCGCGCTGCAGGCAGAAGCGGAGGATGATGCAAAACACGACAGCAAGACCAGCCATTACGGCGTTGACGCTGAAGGCGAGCGTGTAGGCGGGTGAGTACCTTGAGTCGTACAGGTAAGGCGACCAGATCTGGGCGACTGCGGTGTCAGTCTTGAGTGCCGTATGACAGGGCATGACCCTATACGTTGTGAAAGGACATGAAACTCACTGTTGCCCAACGAGTTGATGGTAGCGTACGCGGCAGCACGCTTAGCGCGAGGACGGGCAAATGTCGACGAGATCCAGGCAAGGGCGACGTTGTACGAGCCAAACATGCCACCGACCATGAGGAAGAGCGAGAAGTAGCGGGGCGCGGTCTTGGTGGTCGCTGCGGCGATGACGAAGCTGAAAATGTTAGTGTTTGGAACACAGAAGCCGCAAGTACTACTCCAGCACTAGACTCACCCAACCATACCAAACACAATGGGGGTCATGAGGTGGAAGCAGCGCTCAGGCTTGCGGTCCGAGGTGTACGACACGACGAGCGCCACCACACAGGTAAAGAGGTAGGGGGGCGAGGTGAGGAGGAGCGTCTGGACCTTGCTCTTGCCGAAAGTGTTGACGACGGTGGGGATGAACTGTGTGACGGCGCCTGCGGTCGTCTTGGTGACGATGATAACGGCGAGGAGCCAGAGCTTGTAGTCCTTGGCGGCGGCGAGGAAAGACTGGACGAGGGTCATGGTCTCCTCGTCACGCACGCCCGTGTCGCGCTCCAGACGCAGGATCGCAAGTGCCTTCTCTTTCTCACTGAGCCAGCGTGTCGTAGCGGGGTAATCAGGGAGGATGAGCGCGGCGCAGATGGCGGCAAACACGGTGACAACGCCTTCGAGGATGAAGAGCCATCTGGGAGGAGGTCAGTCCTGGATTCAATGGGAACGAGGGCTCATTGAGGATTTTTTATACGGCACCGCTAAATTTTACTCACCGCCAAGAAGCCAGGCCGCGCACACCGTCCAGGCCCTGCTGAACACCAGCGGAAATAAGGCCAGAGAACGCGCCAGAGAGCAGAGAGGCCGTGTAGAGGATTGACGTGCGGAACTGGGCTCTCGTCAGTACAAGTCTTTCACGCCATGCCGATGGCATTCTGAGCTGCACTCACCGCAAGCTCCTTCTTAGTGTACCAGCTCGAGAGCAGGAAAAGGGACCCGGGGAAGTATGGCGACTCGGTGACGCCGAGGAAGAAGCGGATGACGATGAGGTGCTCGTATGTATCGGCAGCGGCAGTGCATGCGCTGACGGCACCCCAGAGAGCGACGAAGCCTGAAAGGTAGAGCGAAGGGCGGCAGCGCGAGAGGATCATGTTGCTCGGGATTTGGCCGAGAATGTAGCCAACAAAGAGAATAGAAATTGCCACGTTGAACTGGTTGCCCACGAGACCGAGGTCCTTCTCGATGCCTTGGACACGCGCCGAACTGGGGTGTCAGCAAATGTGGCGATGGAGTTTGTATGAGCTGGAGGGGGGTGACTTACGCTAGGGCATTGCGGTCAAGGTAGTTGAGCATGAGGAGAACGAAGAGGACAGGCAGGAGACGCATGTCCATCTGTGCCATGTCAGTCGCAGTACCACCACCAACCCCAGTTGAGGCACCACACTGTGGGCCTCACGGGAGTGCGAAGCACCCGACGTACCCTGCGGACAAGCTTGCGCTCTTCGGTGCGATATTCGTCCTCGGAAAGAGAGTTGAGCCACGCAACCTCGGGTGCAAAGCGCTCATCCTTCGCCACTAGCTCGGCATGCGTGACCTCACGCTTCTCGTCGGTCCTGGACTCAAGCTGTGTGATTTGGTTGTTTGGAAGTGTCGTTGGCATGGTGTTGGCAATGGTGCTGTGTAGTAATGTGTCGATGAGTAGTAGTTGTCCTGAAGTGTCTGTGCTGTCGAGAAGAGCCCCATGGGGCTGCAGTTATATAAACATTGTCCGGCGATGTGAGGAGATCTGGAGAAGTGGGGGTTGAATGGTGAACAAAGGAGTTGTGGACGGCCAGAAAACGGGCGGAGAAAGGTGAGTCCGCATGTCGAGGCGTCTTGGCGCCAATGGGCATGTGGTGCTCCATGTGGAGCCCGCCGTGCGGCCTTGCGGGGCTTTGCGGAGGATGCGGAGGATGCGGTCCGCGGAGAGTAGTTTGCTCCGGACGGGGGAGAGACCCACGTCAAGTAGCTGCACACCAGGAGTAACTTTGTGCCGCCACGATGATTCTGCTCGACAACTTGATCCTCGTACTCATCTAAAAAACATACCCCACCGGTCCGCGGCTCAACTCAAGTCCGCGCAGTCATGCGGTCCTTCCCAGGTGCATGGTGCGCTCGCCTGTCACACCTTGCTGGTCCGCAGTCGCCCCGCACCGCGACATCTCCGCTCCCCAAGATATTATAAGAAGAGCACTGGGTCCTCTCCGATATTATCATCACCAACAAACCCACCTTCCAAGCCTCGACACAGCTCGAAGTCACTTGCACACTCACACAACAAACCTACAAACCAACACAACACGTCACAATGGCCCCCATCGCCATCAACAACCAGACCACCACTGTCGCTGCCTACCCCGCTGGCACTGCCCTCCCCGCCGAGCGCAAGGCAGTGTACAAGATTGCCCAGATTGGCGGTGACGGCATCGGTCCCGAGGTCATCAACGCCGGTGTCCGCGTTGTCAACGCCGCGGCCAAGAAGCTCGGGACCTTCAAGGTCGACTTCAATGAGCTGGATTGGTCCAGCGACCGCTACAAGAAGACCGGCAAGTATCTCCCCGAGGACTACATCGAGGTGCTCAAGCAGCACGACGCCATCTTGTAAGTGCCATTTTGAACCGCAAGCGAGACACACATTGGCTGACACTACAGTTTCGGCGCTGTTGGCGCTCCTGACGTGCCCGACCACATCTCGCTCTGGGGTCTCCGACTGGCCATTTGCCAGCCGCACATGTATGCCAACGTGCGCCGCACCCGCATCCTCCCTGGCACCCAGTCCCCTCTTCGCGACTGCGCGGCCGGCGACCTCGACTGGTGCATCATCCGCGAGAACTCGGAGGGCGAGTACGCCGGCCACGGCGGCCGCTCGCACCGTGGCATGCCCTACGAGGTCGGCACTGAAGTGACCATGTTCACGCGCGTCGGCATTGAGCGTATCGCGCGCTTTGCTTTCCAGATTGCGCGCTCGCGTCCCCGCAAGCTCCTCACGTACGTCACCAAGTCGAACGCCATGCGCAACGGCATGGTGCTGTGGGACGAGGCGGTCGAGAACGTCGCCCACGAGTTCCCGGACGTCAAGATGGACCACATGCTCGTCGACGCGATGACGGTCCGCATGACCCTTAACCCCAAGTCGCTTGACACGATTCTGGCCACCAACCTCCACGCCGACATCCTCAGCGACCTCGCCGCCGCGCTCGCCGGTTCGATCGGCATCGCCCCCACCGCCAACATTGACCCCGACCGTGTCATGCCCTCGATGTTCGAGCCCATCCACGGCTCGGCCTTTGACATCACCGGCATGGGCCTCGCCAACCCCGTCGGCACCTTCTGGTCGGCCTGCGAGATGCTTGAGTGGCTCGGCGAGACCGAGGCCGCCGAGATGATCATGAAGGCCACCGAGAAGGCTTGTGTCGACGGCATCAAGACTCGCGACCTCGGTGGCAGCGCCACCACTGAGGAGGTCGCCGACGCGGTCATCGCCCGCCTGCAGTAGTTTGATGGGTTTCGGTAGTGTTGCTTTTCTAGGTTCGTAATGTAACTCTGGTTTGATAACTGCTGCGGAAATGCTCCAACAGTGTTCACTGATCGACTAGACGCCACTGATCCACACTGACATACCTCGCCTTTCATCCATCACCACACCAGCCAGTACACTGCCCCCCCGTGGCACAACCACCATATCACGCCATCGCCTGTTGTACCGGCCGACGAGCCCAATAGCCATGATCAAACATACAGAGGGCAGCGGTGGAGACCCAGGCTTGCTTCCGGGAGGAATGAAGCTACAATGGCCAGTTTCCCGTTTGACGGCGCTGTCACGGCCCACATGCGTTGGGGCATCATAATTTACGTGCGGCATCGACAGTTGCTGGAGTTATGTGCCATCTGTGCCTCGGAGACAGCCCTTTTGTGCAACGCGCGTGCCATATATCGTGAGGACGTCACTTGCAATTCCAACGTGAGGAGGGTATGTATCCTCTCGCTGGTAAATGGGTGCAGCTGCATGCGCTCATTGGCCAGCAAGATGGGATTCACAGCGACCAGTACGATTTGCTCCCAGTGATCGCCTGCCTTCCGGTCCTGAATGTCGTCACACAGTCGTATGTGTGAGATCGTGGTGGTGAATCGGCAAGGCTACAGAGTAGCGACAGAGCAGCGTAATCACCAGAAGATGTCCGCTTTGCGCTTTGCACGCGTGCGTTTTGGGCTTGTTGCACGCTTTTCATGCTGCGCCCCGGCCGGTAACAGAATATCAACCTGCGGCTGTGGTGGAGGTTGGGTGTAGAGGTGTGGTTGCAGTAGCGACTGAGAGGGTTGATGAGGCGGTGGCTGGACGTCGAGGCCAATCGACCAAGTCTCCGCATCTGTATGTCTCCCTTGGCCGTGCGTATCTGGGCTGGTCGCGTGTCCCCCCTGCTCGTGTCCAAGTGTTGCCTGCATATGTGTGTCCCCGTATTTAGTCCCGTCACGGTGTCCGGCAATGGTTCCAGAACTGCCCCGCATCCGCCGCTTCTCGCGGAGAACGGTCGCACTCGTGGTGCCGTGGGAGCTGGGGAGACCGGCCTCTTCATCCGGGATCGCCGTATTGGCGAGGTGCCAGAGTGACGGTGACGGGTCGTGGTTGATTGTGCGCGATTGACAGTCACTTGGCTCGGGCTGCAGCGGGGGGTCGATCGGTGATGAGGGTGCACCAGTGGTACCCGCGCGCTCCCCGTCTGTCGCCAGGTTTGACGGCACGGTCGCTGCTATTGGCGCAAGTTGGCCAGGCGTCACAAACAAGTTGTCGCCCGGCAGCGCATCGGTGACGGGAACGGCCTGAGGTGTCGGGGAAGGGGAGAAGGAGGTGTAGAATACCTCGTCGCGGGCATTGTCAACTGATACGGTCAGCACAGCGGTTGTTTTATCTGATCGCCGCATAGACATGGCGCACCGCGGCGAGCTGACGACGGCCTCGCGGCTGGTGAAATTGTGGATGGTTGGGACGCGTCTCGCGAGCACTGAAACGCACCCGAATGTGATATCCCACTATGGATATCTTGGATCTCCTGGCAGCCGACTAGGAAGCTCGGGACGTCTGCACAAGCTTGGAGCGGGTAAGCGGCCCACCAGTCGCTGCGCTCCTTTCGGTCGAGGGCGACAGTGGGTGCGTCTGGAAGCGGGCGAGTATTCTGGGTCGCGTGAGCTAAGTGTGCTGTCACTTTGAATACGACAGTGGAAGTAAACGTACATCTGCCGCTGCATGGCGCACGGCGTCGGCGACCCCTGGGACGCCAAGAATGAACCAAAGAGCGTTCTCGCACTGTTGCACCCTCTGTGCAGCCTTTTTGGATAGACCGGCGACGGGACCTCTGTGGGCGTGTGTTCAGAGCTGGATTACAGGCGCTGGCTTGATAATAGGCACACGCACCGGCGTTGTTGTGGAGGTGGATACTCGCATACTTGGTCCAGTTTGCTACACGAGCCGCATATTGGGCGGTGGTGGTCACACTGTTTGTTAGATGCGGAGATGGGATAAGCAGCTGTAGGTTACTCACTCTTCTCTTTTTTGATATGCAGCGCAGACACGCTCTTGATAACATTATGAGACGAGGGAGAGACCATGAATGACAGATGTCAAATGACACACACAACGGTGGCCGGCCAGTGATCGGCCAGTGGGCCAGAGTGGAGGGAGCGGAGTCGAGGATACAAAAGTGGGGGGCACGAATAAACAAATGGGTGGCCTGTGCCCCCCACCCTTTTCTGTGATATCTGGCAGCCATGTGTGCCATATATGTACATAGTTTGACGCAGCGGGCAGAGGGGAAGCAAGGAAAGCAAGAGGTCGATAGATCTGGAGGGTATTGCTTGGCACGCGTCAAGCAGGACACGCTGATAAGCCTCGACATTCGGTCCCTGGCGGGCCAGAACCGCCACAACCCGCCACAGCCTGTACTTGTTGTTCGGTACAATACCGTCACCGTCTTGGCACTGGAGCCACTCCCGCCAGTGTGTAGCAAACTGCATCCGACCTTCTGCGTCAACGCAACGGTGTCAAAAGAGGACATCAAAGGAGGACTGGGGCGGACCGCGGTCGAGGATGTTGTTCTTGGTTGGTACAATTGGGGGCGTTCTGCCAAGTTGATCTCGGCCTGCGCCAGCACCGGTCTCGCCGGAGGCTCTAGTGTTTATTTGCAAGGAATGTGAGTGCAATTTCCAGTCAATACGAGTGGTACATGGGGGCAGCCGAGGATCGCTCGTGAGGTTGTGCTTTCAGGGAAAGCGTATCCGCCACAAGTGCTGCAAGACAACACAGCCACAAGCGAACACTGTGATGGTCGTTTAACAATTTGCTTTCCCCAGCGCGAAGCTTCAGGTCTGTTCTCAGTTGGCCCCGAGGGATAAAAGAGGACAACTCATTTATCGCCCACTGTCCTCCTATTTTGTTCCCAGAGCTGTTAGGTGAGCCTGCCTTTGTCTTCTGTTCTTTGCTCTGGTCTACGTTTGGAATTGACACTCACAGTACGCTATCGCCACCCTGTCACTGTTCACTGGGTATACCCGTGGCTTGCACTTTGACTTGGAGCCACACTCTACCAAACGCAACCCAACAATGTTGTTTTTCTGGGTACTTTTTGTCGCCGCAACGCTCTCTTTGGCGTCAGCCTCCGCGACCACGACCACGATCTGGGGGCTCAGCCCCGTAAAGCGACAGGTCTTACCATCGAACTTGCCCAACAATTGTATTTACACGTGTGCCCTGCTTTCTCAGCAGCTGAACGGAATGTGCGCCATCGCAACGTCGCAGTGCGAGTCCGTTCAGGCGGCGTCTGGCAATCCTTCAAGCGCAGATCATGGATGTGACGTTTGGTCCTCGAACTGCAATACTTTGGCGGCACAGCATGTTGCCACCTGTGAGGCTTCAACCAGTGGTTGCGTCAACTGCGCGACCGCTTCAAGCAACGCCTATGACCTCTGCGAAGGTGCTAGGAGGGCATGTGCTATCGACTACACTGTCTCCGCCCCCGCGGACGTAGCCCAGTGCGCCACCGCCAATGTTGTCTGCAACTACGAGTTATCACTACTGTCGCAAGTCACGCAATGTGGTACAGCCTGTAAAGCGCCTTGCTACGCTCTGGTTTCGTTTTCAGTCATTGGGTCTTATCTTGCTGCTATTTGCACCATGCAGAGCACCACAGCCATCAACTGCTACAATGCACTCAGCATTCTCGGCGGTATCCTTTTGGCAGGTGGCAGTGCGTGCTCCGGCGATACCGGCACCGTGTACTGCGCCTCAGTCACTATGTGGAGCCGCCCGTGTAGCTACATCACCAATGTTCTGCAGAGCGGCATGGCGGCTGCTGTGACTGCTTGTCAGGCAGGGACGACTGTCGGTTCTTCCGATTATCAAGTGTGCGCTTCCGTGTACTCTTACATGAGTGATTATATTCAGGACTATGTGGCTTCTTTTGGATGTTGATTACTGGGAACAACAATGCTCCCCTCCCGCCCATGAAACCATATCACCGTTACTCTGGCGCCTGGTACAAAGTCGTGGCAGACTCAATCGTCTCGGACCGAGGGCAAAAGTGGCCGATGACCTCCGCGCCGCTGGAGCTGCTTTTCGGTGTTTTGAATCTTAGACAACATACTCTGGGATCGCATCATGTCGAAGACCTATTAGAGTGCTTGACGACTGGAGGGGAAGAAGATTGCGAATTGGACAACCGAGACGTTACTTTATCTTTTGGTATGGGCAAGGGATGGCCCAGTGTACGGTACCAGTGTGCGAGTGGCCATTGAATATCCCCGCGTCGGGCCGATTTATCCGGGTTGACCGGAGTTTATCCGCGATCCGAGCGGCGAACGTATGTAGAGGACGAACGACTGACTCGACACATCCGACACTCAATGCACATCGCGCTCCAGCTTGGAACCACCCACTCCCGCGCGACCAGGCAGAATATCACGGCCATGGCGACGACAACACCACTCCGCATGGGCATGCTCTTGTTCCCCGGCTTCCAAATCCTCGACGTGTTCGGCCCCCTTGACGTCATCAACGTGCTCTCCCGGAGCGAGCCCATCGACCTGTCGATCATCGCCGAGACCCTTCAACCCGTATCCAACCGCTCCGACAAGATGACTCTGACCCAATGCGAGCAGCGCGTCGTCCCTACCCACACAATTGCTTCGGTACCCGCGCTTGACGTGCTCATTGTGCCCGGAGGGTTCGGTACGAGGGCTCCTGCTCACGATGTGGACGCCCTTGTGGCCTACATCCGGTCCTCTTACCCCACGCTCCAAACAATCATCTCCGTCTGCACAGGTGCTGGACTTTTGGCACGCGCAGGTGTTCTGGATGGTCGACGCGCAACCACCAACAAGAACGCGTTCTACGACATGACAGTGTTGGGCCCCAAGACGTACTGGGTTGCGCGCGCCCGCTGGGTTCAAGATGGCAACGTGTGGACATCCGCAGGCGTCACTGCTGGGACGGACGCTACTCTAGCGTGGGTGGCAGACAAGTACGGCGACAAGGTTGCGGCGGACACTGCCAACTATCTTGAGCACGAGCGTGTTCTCGACCCCAACGACGACCCGTTTGCGGCGCTGCGAGGCATCAAGGACGTTCCCCCACAGGACGAATGACACACTGCACACCTTCATCCACGTTGACGACCTCACCGGTGCAAGAGGCTTGTGGGACGTTCAATAGTTCAACAAAAGGCAGCGCACACTGGGGATCCAACCTGGGGTGGTCCAAGGCAATAGCCTGTGGAGAAGCCGTCCCAGTTTCCGCCTCCGCCTCTACCCTGCGATTAGTCAACCGAACAGGCGCCCGGGGCTAGAAGATTGGTAGCGGTCAAGGGGGTGTAGAGCTGCAGGCGGCTGAGTGACAGATTGGTGCCTCACAAAGAGAGTCACACAAAGTCAGAAAGTTGTTCATGTAGGATTTACAAATGATGAAGTCTGGAACGGCTAATCATACTTGAACGTGTTCACCAACGTGCCCACTCCCTCAAACCAGATAGCCATCTCTTCGCCATCCTTGATGATGCGCTTGGGGTTGCGACCCCATCCGATGCCGCTGGGGGTGCCCATCTGAATGACACTGCCGCGCTCGAGTGTCGTTCCCTGACTGAGATAGGCAAGGGCCTTCCTGCAGCTGAAAATCATGTCACTGCCCCGTCAGTCCACGTACATGCAGTCACTTACTTGGTGTTCGACTCCTGCACGGTCTCTCCTGAGAGCACGCCCCTAAAGTCCAGGTTGTCTGGATCGTACTGGCCGGGACGCACCAGGACGGGACCGATGGGACACGAATCGTTCAAGCCCTTGCCGAAGCACCTGCACGGGAGTCAGAAGCGCAATGGGAATGGGACTCACCATTGACCGTTGGCAAGCTGGAGCTTGCGAGACGAGACGTCGTTGGAGCATGTGAAACTGACATGTTAGCCGAGCAGAAAGGGATGCCTACACTCACCCAAGAACGTAGTCCAGCGCGTCCTCCTCGGAGATGTTCAGTGCATCTTTGCCAATGACAAGCGCCAGCTCAGTCTCAAAGTCGAGTTGGTCATCCTGGGACACCTTGGCCACAGGAAGCTCGCCAGGGCCTGCAAGCGCAGTGCGGGGCTTAATGAAGAGGATGGGCTCATTGGGAATCGCCATGTTCGCCTCCTTGGCATGAGCTGCGCAGTGGTAAGCGACATTGCCGCCAGATTGCAAATGACCAACCCTTGTAGTTGAGACCAAGGCAGCGGATAATGCTGCAATCGTCGCGAGAGACGGGTGAAAGAACCTGTTTAGAGTCAGCCTGTGAACGGTAGCCAAGTGCCTCACCTTCTTAACCACGTCCTTGGTGCTGGTAACGGTGCCAGTGTACACGTCGCCGTCGATAACGTACACTTGGACCTCTTGTCCAGCCGCAACGGCCAGTCCAACGTCGACCGTCGGGTCAACGGGTTGGCCCAGGCGAACCTGGCCGTCCTTCCCCGTGTAGCGAACGAGCCTGGTCCACTCAGTCGAGTTTGTCATGGTTTATGAAGTGCGTTGAAGAGGACGCCGGTGATGATGGGGAGGGTAGACGCTACCCGAGCCAACGCTATTTGAGCGCTTGGGGTCGTCCCGTCAACAGGCCACCACCCCGCGAGATAATCAACAATCAACGGCCTCATGGGGGAAAGATTAGTCATGTGGGACGAGAGAGTGGGACGAACGTGGGACGAGAGTGCGATTTGGAGATGGAGTTTGGAGTTGGAGAGGGTTGACAAGACTTGGGCGACGTAGATGTGCGGGGACTTGTGCTCTCGGCGAATTGCTGATGATGCCCACCCTGGCCACAGCCGGTTGCCCCATTGCGGGGAACATCCTGGAGTCCCCGCAGCTGCCTTGCGATCTGAGGAGACGTTGGGCCACACTGTGCAGGTTGATGTTGACCCCTTAGGACATAAGCAGGCGGCCGAGCCGGTGTAATCCAGACAAATTGGTTTTGAAATGCTCCAGCAGACCATGGAATTAATAAAAGCACATTCTGGCATTTCAAGCTGCTAACTAGTACTGAGTAACTACAACACTCGTCTCTAAGCCTTCTTCTTGTTGTCGATCACCGCATCCATGAATCCCTTCGCTAAAGTAATAATCAGCAGAGCCCCGCGCATTAACGATCTGGCACTGAAACTCACGGACAGCAGGGCCCCAGATGGCAAGGGCCTCGTCGCTCGCGGCCAGGAAACCAGTCTCCTGGTGGCAATTGACGAGGTCACCTGGAAGGGGAATCAGCCGTGGCCCTGTTTACTGAGACTCACCGTCCGAGTAGTGCTCAATCATGAAATCGTCAGGCATAAACCAGTAGTCGAAGACTTGGGAGCCGAGGATGTGACGGCCCACGCCCCAGGCTGGACGGTACCCTTTAGCCTCCAGGAACTTGGGGTATGGTGAGCACGGAGGTTCGAAAACGAGACAGGGCACTTACGTCGTGACCGATAGCCTGCACATCGGGGTCATTGACTTCAAACGAACAGTGGTGGGGACCGACGTGCAGCGAGTTCTGAGAGAAGAAGAACGTGTGGTGGTCAACCCACTCTTCCTCGCGATCAATGTGACAGAAGGCTGCCACCTGGGTTCCGTCCGGGGCAGTGAGAATGTCGGTAGCCTTAACGTTGAAGTACTTGCAGTAAAACTGGTACGTCTTCTTGAAGTCGCTGATAAGACTGGAGGGATGGGTTAGCTGGCAAGGTTCATATGGCTCACGTACAGTCCAAAATGGCCCAACTTGAACACTGGAGAGGGTCCTTGCTGGTACCTCTGAAAGACGCCCTTGCGGGGTTTGAATGTTGGGTAGTTGAAGACTGGGACGGCGTCGCCGACCTGAGTTGACTGCGGCGCGTCAAGCCCCCAGACCAGGTTGCATGGGAGGTTGTCTGGGTCGCGGAACGTGACCATGTATCCGCCTGCTGGGCCAGCCGGGAGGAGCTTGGTGGCGCCGGGGATCAACTGACTGGCGCGCTCAAGGTCGTCCTTGGTTTCGACAAGGAAAGTGCCGCCCAGGAACTCGCTCTTGTCGGCCTGTGTCTCGTCAGTGTTGTCGAACTACTTTGTCTATAGCACTGGCGCGCACCTCTTCCGCAACATAAACGTAAGGGTCCGGCCCCTGTCCCGCAAAGTAGAGCACCTTGCCACCATTCTCCTCGTAGGCGACACGCATACCAAAGTCCTCAAGAAACTGCCGGGTCGTGGCCATGTCTGCATGTTTGTAGCGCATGTGTGCGAGTCGAACGATGCGGATAGGTGGGGTCTCAGTCGTAACCATGGTTGTGGGGTGGTTTGTTGTGATTGTGGGAAAGGGATGCTCGACTTGCACCTCGTCGTCCCGTCGGCCTCTTTATCCTGCAGCACAACCCGTCGCGGGGACCCTCAGATCCGATACACCCTCAGACCCCCGCATATGGAACAGAACGCCTTCCGCCATCTATGAATGTGGGACGGGCACACGCACCGTCCCTCCAGGGGTTCGGCGACATCCGGTTACTGCGCCATCATCATCACGGTCACTGCGGGGAACTGGGTTCTGCCGGTCCGTTCTGCCGTCATTGTTGTCCCACCACCCCCACTCACTCTGAAGCTTCCACTTGGTGGGTGGACAATGCGACCTTTGCGGTCGAATTCCGCATCACGCTGGCAACTTAAAATGCAACTGAGATCTAGTGAACTGCTGCGACTTCACTCATAGACATTCCTACTTTACCCAACGAACACCACAACATGAGCATCGACGACTGTGATGTCCTCATTGTGGGAGCAGGTCCCGTCGGCCTCCTACTGGCCCTTATGCTTCGCCCCAAGGGCGTCAATGTCAAGATCGTTGAGCGGCAGAGAGCCCTCTACCCTCTGCCTCGTGCGGTTGCCTTTGATCACGAGTCTCGCAGGCTCTTTGGCTCCCTTGGTCTCACCGAGGAGCTGAACCCCATTTTGGAGGATATCATGGGCGAGGGTGGTGAAAACGGTACCAACTATGTGTGGCGAGACGCCGATCTGAAACGTGAGCCAAGTCTGGCATACTTCAACCGCTGACGGCACAGTCATTGTCGACCTCTTCTTTGAAGCTCCCACGCGCTCAGGCTTCCCCCTGTCAATGGGATTTAACCAGCCCGAGTTGGAGCAACTGCTGGACAAGACCGCCATTCAGCGCAACATTCCGATCATGAGAGGCTACAGTAAGAAATGGCCACCATACACTGACTGACTTTCTTTTCCAGCCGTATCTGCCCTGGACCAGCACGCGGACAGTGTCGATGTGCTTCTTGAGCCCGTCACCTGCAAGCAGGGGACCACGATTGAAGAAAGAGACTCTCCGATCGCTACCAAGGGTGGTGAAGCTCCCCACACTCGCCGCGTTCGAGCCTCATACGTGGTGGGATGTGATGGAGCCAACTCGACCGTCCGTCGCCTCCAGAACTTTTCAATGACCAACCTGGACTTTGAAAACGACTGGCTAGTTGCGGATATCGTAAGGGTTTGATTCGTACAATGTCACTGACACTTGACAGCTTTTGCGCGATGGCTACGTACCACCCGAGGTTCGAAAGGTTGGCGCGGCCCAGATCTGCGACCCGAAGCGCCCGACCTCATGTGTCTGGGGTGGAATTGGTCGCAAGCGGTTCGAGTTTATGCGACTTCCTGGTGAGAGCAAAGAATCTTTGCTCCAGGACGACACGATGTGGGGCCTGCTTGCGCCGTGGGGATTCACAAAGGTCAGTTCATGTTTATGTGTGAGGCATTGCAAGACATTCTGACGAGTTCCTACAGGACAACTGCGATCTCGAGCGCAAGGTCATTTATACGTTCAGAGCTCGCTGGGTGGACAACTTTGTCAAAGGCCGCGTGACGTTGGCCGGCGATGCTCTCCACCAAATGCCTCCCTTTATGGGCCAAGGTCTCAACTCGGGGTTCCGTGACGCTGCAGCCCTCGCCTGGAGATTGCCTCTGATTCTCTCCGGAGTTGCAAACGCCGACGCCGTGCTCAGGAGCTACCAGGAGGAGCGCCTCGACCACGTTAGCCGGCTAACCGTGAGTCTGCGATGACATGCGCGGTTGCTGACGAGCGAAAGGTGGACTGTGTGCAACTCGGTTCAGTAGTGTGCGAGACAGACCCTATCAAGGCCAGGCAAATGCACGAAGCATTGCGCAAGAATCGTAAGTGCTACAGTCCCTTGCTGTTGCCTTTTGCTAAACTCGGCAGCTCCTCCCGGCTTTTACGACCCCCCACTTGGTCGCCCAGGAATCCTTACCGCTCAGCCGGAAGCGGGACACCTTTCCCTGCAGCGAGAGCTGAAGACCGGGGATGGGCAGCACCTGTTCGACGAGGTCCACGGATACGGCTGGATGCTGTTGAACCTCGGGGACACGTCGGCAATGAGTCAAATGTCAGACGTGTCGTGCCGATTCTTTGGTGACGTTCTTGGAGGCAAGTGCGTGTCCATCTCGCCGAGCGAGGACACCGAGGGCGAGTACCGTGATTGGTTCGACACTCACATGGGGCTCGACCATGTGGTGCTCATCCGTCCAGACTTTTACGTCTTTGGACACGCGGCGGTGACTGAAGTGGACGGCCTGGTGGAGGACCTGCGACGCAAGTTGAGCGGCCTGTAGAGAAATGTTGTATTCAGATGAGAATGAAATGTCGCCTGTCGCAGAATCTATTCCTGGCGGGCAGCTGGCAATGTGCTGCGGATTGATCCGACGGTTCCCCGGGGCGCGGGGGAGACGGGGGGAGATGGAGATTGCTTCCGCTGGATATAGAGGGAGGAATCGGATATAGAGCCTGGGGGACCGGCGTCGTCGGTCGTGTTGCGAACCATCTCTCGTGCGATCGTGCATTTGCCATCCTCCCTCCATCAGTCTCTTCATCTGTCTCTTCCCCCCCACAACACCCGTTTCTTCCCCGTAAGCGAGTCCGGGGCACGCCACCGCACCTACACACACACCCATCGCTATCCCCTATCTGTCCCTTTGTCCATCCACAACTGCCAAACGTTCCCCTCGTCTTCCCCGTGGTGGTGGAGGGGTCCCGCCTGGTCCCCGCACATACCGACCCCCTGTCGGTCGACATGGACCCCGCCTCAGTCGACACCCCAATGGGTGCAAAAACTTGCCCCGAATGTGGACGCGTCTTCACAAAGCCTGCACACTTACTCCGCCATGTGCGAAGCCATGCCCAGCAAAAGCCGTTTGAATGCTCCGTGTGCCGAAAGAGCTTCGGCCGCACCGATGCTCTCCAGCGACACGAACGCACTGTTCACTCTGCGAAGCGGCAGCGCACGGACGAGGAAAATGCAGACCTGTCCGAGGCAGGGTTTTCGAACGACGGCGACCCAGGCCAATCCAGCAGTAACCCCTTTGCCACAACATCCGAGGCGGACCGCTTTGCCGCCAACGCTGTCGCACTCCACGGCTGGTATGGAGAGCAACCCGGGACACTACTATCGCCCTCGACAGCCTTTGCTGGTATTGAAGCGCATGGAGATGGCGACATGTTTCACCCAAAGCAGCCTCCTACACCTAGCACTGGCGTACATGGTCTGTTGTCGAACCAGGCCACCTTCCTCTCCTCCTTGCCCACCGCTATGCCGACTACTGGCGCAGAGATCAACGACATGATCGCCGGGTGGTTGAATCCCATCGGAGGAGCGTTGGCGACAGAGCACGCCCTTGCTGCCGTCTTCGCCGGTCCGACCCACTTGGCGTCCGTTGCAACCGGCGGTGGCTTCGAGTCCTACCCACTTTCTCTTCAGCACTCGTTATCGATGACAGACGACTCCCTGGGTGCTCAGATGTTGGACATGCAGGCAACGCCGCAGTCTCAGTACCCAGACGCCTCGTCACCTGTCGGCTCTATTAGTGCACCTGACCCCCATCGCCGCCCACCATCCATGTTGGCTATCAACGGCGGTAGACCTGCTCGCAGAGCTTCTCGAACGGTTGTAACCGCCGACACGTGGGAATCCGGCAAGTGCGTGTCGCGGTCCGCAAGCCGTCCCGAGTCTCCACAGCCCAGCTTTACATCTCCAGAGCAGGTGGTTGGCCAGCTGGACATTCGAGGACCCGAGGTGAGCCAACGTTTTGATCCCTTTCCCAGAAGACAACGCTCATCATATTAGGCCTCCATGAATGCGCACGACCGTGGAGAGGTTATCCCGTCCATGAAGTTTCTTGACGCATGCCTTCACCTCTACTTCCGCGATTTTCACCCCTCGTTCCCGATCATCCACAAGCCGACCTTCCAACGCGACCGCACATCACCACTGCTGCTGCTCAGCATGTGTAGCATAGGCTGTATGTTTGTTGGGACACAGGCAGCTCGGGACAATGGCCTCTGGATTTATCAACGGTTGCATGTTGCCACCGTGTTGGCACGAGACACTTATATGGCCACAGAGGCAACTCGCCTTGGAACGACTCTCAGTGCACTTTTGGGACAGGCTTTTAGCTTCCTATACGGGCAGCCAAAGCAAATGCTCACTGCAGAGTGTTTCCATGGCACTGTCGCCACGATGAGCAGGCGCAATGGCCTGTTCACAAAAGTCAAGCCGAATCCCATAACATACGACCTTGTTCAGCATTTGGATTCCGACGCCCTCGAGAGGAAATGGCGACAATGGGGACGCGAAGAGACCTTTAGACGGTTCGTTAACTCATGCCCTTTTTCAATTGCAGAACGCAGCTGACGCGCACTGTAGAATCTCTCTGGGTTTGACAATCCACGGCGCCGAATTAACCATCTTCAGCGGGATAGCCCGTCTCATTTCCGCCCAGGTCTCTCGCGAAGACGGCTTCTCCGACGCGCTCTTTGAGGCAGAAGATGCTCAGACCTGGCGTACTCTGCTCCTGAACTGTCATCCGCAACGTACATCAGATCACCTTGGCACGCCCGAGACATTCCTTCCCACCGTCCTCTTGGCCCAAAGCATTGTCCAAATGCACCAACTAAGCGAGTTTGAGAAGACGCCGTTTGGAGATGACTTGCCCCTTCGCAAACTCTCTGGTTTCCTCGGCTACATGATGGATCTCGCCAAGGACGTTGCAATCCTGTCAACGCTGAGGCACCCTATGGCAGTCGACACTCCATCTCACTTGCGTGCCTTCTCTGCCCTCTGGCACTACACGTTCATTGTGCGACTGTCGCCGCTCAGTCTAATCGAAGAAGCCTCCGGCCGGGGAGGCACCCCCCCAAGCGAAACTATTGCTGAGATTCAAGCATGGGTAAACACGCCATCAGCGCGACTCGCCACGCTTCACTGTGGCCACATTCTCCATCAGACCGCAAACCTCACGGACTTGGGCTTCCTTCTTCCCCGGTAAGGCAACTTAGCTCCATGGTACTTGACAATGGTTGACATCTATCCAGGGCCATTTTCCAGGCCAGCCTCGTTCTGTTGTGCTATCTGTCTTTCGTCACAGCCTCATACGACACCAACGACGTCGTCGATGCTCTCCAAGTCGTTGACTGGAAGCGACTGGTGCAACTGTACGATAGAATAACAAACGGCAGTGTCATTCATCACAGCGACTCGAGTACCAGCGAGGAGCGCTACGTCGCGGACGGAACATGTACAGTCCGAGTTAAAGGATTGATCGATGGCAAGGAGAAGCAGATGGACATTTTTAGGCAAGTTTATTGTGTTCTATCATTGTCCCCACCGCTGACCGATCGGCCAGCTTGCGCTCAACCAGCAACCGCCTTCTCAGAAGGTGCACGCCATGGGCCATTGGCGACAGGTTGGGTGACATTCTCTCCAACTTGTCGTTCTGAACAGGCGTGCGGCAGGGCCAGCTCACGCCGCCTTGTATAGTTTGGTGCCATATGAGATATGTATGTACAATCAGCGAATGCTCCCTCCTCGCCCACAGGGGGCTTTGTCAAACGACCTTATCACTGATATCATCGAGGTGGACGACGTCCTGGATGATGACCCATCCCGCTGGGGCTGCTTTGCATGCGCGTACTTGCCCACCTCGTTGTCGGAAGGCATACCCGACGCCACGTCGACAGCTCGATCCACATACCCCAAATGTGTCCGGCGGCACTGGAATAGCAACGGAATGCGCCTGGAAAGCGCCGTCCCACCCCCGGTTCGTCCCTCGTGTAGTGGGACGTTCGCTTATTGACGCATTGACGCCATTGCTTCGACGAGGGGAACCATGGGGCCAACACCAATGTGTCTTGGGCTGCCGCCGGGATGTCAGGGATGGCGGGGATACTCCGGCCAGACTGTCCGCTTGTGGGACACCTACGTCTGTTGGTTGCCTACACTCTCGATATCGATGGCAATGGCAATTGTATAAGTCAAACAGCTGTGCACTGGCGTCTGAACTTCCCCATACTCTCTTCCGTTTGAATCATTTCGCAATGGTGACCAACACACCTTCCGTCGAAAAATCGCTACATGACCTTGACGTCAAAGGCCAAGACATTGAACACCGGGAGGACAATCCCGATGCCACTGGCTCGTCGCCACCTGACAGTGTATCCGTGGATCTCGAGTACAAGGACGAGAACGAAGAGCCTGTCCTCCACCGACGCACCTACTTTGCGCTTCTCGCACTTTTCCTTCTCAACTATACGCAGGTGGTGGCCTTGAACGGACCTCCATCGGTGGTGAGTATGATTGCTTCCCGCAGTGGGCATCCATTAACAAGAAACAGCTCACGTATCTGGGCAAGGATGTCGACGGTGTTGCAGACCAGACTTGGGTTCCTAATGCTTTGTCCCTTGTTCAAGCCGTCGGTGGGCCGGTCATTGTGAGTAGAGTGACATTTGTGCAGTGTTAATCCGCAGTCTTTCGCTTCCGATACTTTTCAAGCGCGCAAGACTCTCTTGGTGGCCACTTGCACGGTCTCCTTTATTGGCGCGGCTATCGCTCCTGGAGCAAAGGACATCTATCGTGTTATTGTAGCCCAAATCCTCATTGGTGTGGGCTTTGCTGCCGTCCCCTTGGCTTACGCCATTCCATCCGAGGTATGTCTATTGTTGACGATCAGATCGAGCGAATTAAAACTGACAATAAAATACAGATCCTGCCACGCAAGTGGAGACCTCGTTAGTGCCACTCTATAGTCGTCGGCCGTGAGAGTCCATGCTTACATCTAAATCAGTGGCGCAGTCCCTCATGAACGTTGCTGCCTCTCTCGGCGCAGCATCGGCACCGCTGTAAGTTACCGACCTTAATCTGTCCGTACCATCCGCTTACATCGCCACAAGTATTGCAGGAGCTCTCACCGAAAAGTCGACTCACAGTGGCTGGCGAAACTTCTATTGGATCCAGATGGCCATGTGGGGATTGACCGTCATTGGCCTGCTCGTCGGATATCGCCCTCCCAAGCGCCACTCGGGACTGGACCACTTGTCGTTGTGGCAGAAGATCGGTCGTCTCGATCTCCCTGGCATGGCACTCGTGAGCACCATTCGCGCCGCTGTCCAATTACCATGTGATCTGACAGATTTTAAAGCTCAGTGGCGGAGTGACCTTGCTTTTGGTCGGGCTCTCGCTCGGTGACAACCCATGGCCATGGACAAGTGCTCGTGTCATGTCTACCCTGGTCATCGGCATTGCATTGTTGATCGCCTTTGGCCTTTACGAATGGAAAGGAACCAAGGTTGGGATTCTGCATCACGACCTGTTCGAAAGGAGAACTTTCCCTCTCTGTGTCGCCCTCATGTTCTGTGAAGGTGTCATGCTGTTCTCCATAATCTTGTTCTATCCTGCCGTGTGAGTGACTGTTCGGTCCGTTTGGGGGCAACCGCTGATACTCCTTCCAGAACAGAGGCTCTTTTCGAAACCGACCCCTTCCTTTCAGCCGCACGCCAGATCACATTTTGGCTGTGCAGCGGTGCAGCGACTGTCGTTTATGGATTCTGGAGCTCCAAGCGCCGTACAATCAGAAGTCCCCTTATTGTCGGCTTTACCATCTTCGCCGCTGGACTCGGTAAGTCTCCTCGTCAATCAGAAACTTCCGAATATCGCTGACAAGTTAGTCGGAATGGCCACAATTCAGCCGGGACAGTCTACGAACGCCATTGTCTTTGATGGACTGGCGGGAATTGGCTTTGCGGCACCTCTCATTCTCCTGATTGCGGGCGTGCAGCTGTCAACACCCCACCACTTGATCGCAACGGCCACCGCAGTCCTCACTTCGAGTCGCGCCGTCGCTGCTTCCGTTTTCACGGCCATTTATAGCGCCACTGTGAACAGCGCGACCAGCGTCAAGCTTCCCAAACACGTTGCTGCAGCCGCCATCGCTGCTGGTCTGCCGCCCCAATACGTAACGGAGTTTGTTGGCGACCTCCTCAGCGAGAATTCTACGGCGCTCGAGTCGATCCCCGGTGTCACACCCGCAATTATCCAAGCTGGTGCGGGCGGTGTTTTGCAAGGTTTGGCAGACAGCTTCCGCCTCGTCTATATCATTGCCGCGCCGTTTGGCGTTCTGGCCTGCGTTCTGGCCTACTTCCTGGACGACCTCACGAAGCTTATGAACTACCGCGTCGATGCTCCAGTCGAGGAGCTTCACGCTAGGCACAAGGCCGAGGAGACCACCGCATGAGTCGTGAATTGGGAGAGGGGTAAATATTCAGCAGTGTTGAAAGGAGGTTAGTTTGGGAAGGGTTACAGGTTGCTATGCAGTAAAGTGCGCATTGTTGAGAGCGACTTGGGGGGCTATTCTCATTATGCATCGACCACCACGTCATCAGTGCCGCCACCTTCTCATACACCTTACAGCGGGCTCATTGTTGGAAGCAATGCGGTTTGTTGTGCTCGTGGCGACTTTCGTGGTGGTGGCCTGGGGCCATAGCCAACTGATGAGGACGGCTGTTTATCATCCATCTCGCCAAACTCGCCTAAGCCCTGAGTTGGCCATGGGCCAGAGGCGTTGCCCCATTGCCTCGGTGGAGAAGATGGCACTGTAGAAGGCATGGAAGCCCGGTCGGCCTGGGTCATAAGGGGACTAGAGTGTGTGGACGATATCGGGCCACCAGGTGGTGGCGCAGGGAAAAGACTGATGAGCGATGCGCTGTTCGTGTCTGCGGTGATTGGTGTCGTAGCATCCAAGCTGGGTGGCACCGAGGACGACGTGGACATGAACGTGTGCCTCGGCGAGCTCAAAGCCATCGGCGAGCTTGGCATGGGCGATTGAGATGACTGGGACTGGGACTGGGACGACCGTGATGGGTTGGTGGGCGATGCTGGCGCGAGGAAAGGCGAGCCCAAAAGTGGCTTGGATACTCGGTCAGCTGCTGGCACACCGGACCAGGAGTCGGAGTGGCGGTGGTGCTCATACTGTGTGGCTCTGCCTGCGGCATTTTCTTCATTCCTGTCCGGTCCTTGATCGAGAGCCTTTTCACGGCCAGCACCCCAGGCGGCCGAGCGGCCGCGCTTTTGACGCCGTCGGTGGAATAGCAGGAGCGCGAGGAGCAGTAGTGCAATGAAGGCGAGACCGCCAACAACACCTCCTGCGATTGCACCCGCATTGGACTTTGACTTTGATGCTGGTGTCGAATCTGCTCCAGAACCGGTACTGTCCGTGGTCGTTGCAGTAGCAGGGCGTGCTGTACCCAATTCCAAAGACGAGTGTGACGTGTCTGTTGCATGAGCGGATGTTGCATGAGCGGAGTCCTGGAGAGGCGATCCAGTTGAGCCCACCCTGACCACCGACGAGGATGTTCCCGTTGGCAATGCGGTGGTGCCCGACGCACCAGACGCACCGATTGTGATCTCGCCTGACGAGGGAACAGCTCTCGAAGTCGATGACCCATCGCTTGGTGCAGACGAGACGTGGGATCCGGAGGACGCCGCAACTGTCGAGGCAACTACTTGAGCTGCTGAGTCGGAGACGGATACCACAGTGCTTGAAGCGTGCGTTACCGTGATATCAGCAGGCGCAAGCCATGATGATTGGCAAGTGGTGTCGCCTTGCCCAACTGTAACAGGACTAGATTGGGCGGTCGCTCCCGTCTGGTCATGCACGACCAGCATGACCTGAGCTCCAGGCGCTATTTGCACAACCATGGGCCACGTGAGCTTGGTGGTTGGTGCGCCGATGAGAGTCCACGATGTTCCGTCAACAGTGTATGTGCTGGCAAACGTCAGCGAACTAACAGTGAACACGTCACACGTACACGGAATATGGCGCTGTTCCTCCGCCCCAGTTGATCTGGGATATCTGACACGCTGACATTGTTGGCGTCTCGATGAATAAAGCCTGTTGGGCTTGTGTGCACTTGACGAACACCAAGCCGAGGACCATGACCAATGGTAGCCTCATTTTGACGAGAACCACCGGAAAGGAGAGGTTTGACGTGCTGTAAGGGGATATTGCCATGTTGGTAACTGGTCGAAGTTGCGGCCGGCGCGGTTCGCCGCCTCCGATGTCGACGAGAAAGGGTGACTGCCGCCGAGAAGAACAGCAGTGTTGGTGGTGATGAGCAGCGACAAAGTGTACATCGTCAAAGTGTGAGTGAGGTATGTATCTATGGCAGCTTGTCAAGGAGCTCGGCTACTGAGCAAGGCCAGGAGAGGGTCACTCGTCACACCACCATGAGAACAGTCGTTTACCGCTCCCGCGCTCACTGCATATGCAGGCACCCGCGGCCGTCGTTTTGGTTTCTGCCCAGTCTGTCATTTCCGCGGCATGTCGACCACAACTGACGACGGTGCCTTGCAAACGGCCATGGCCAGGTTTCGAGTCCCGTAGTTTCGTCCCCCTTGCCAAAGCACATGCTGCATTGGGACGCATGAGGTCGCCGTCACTCCGGTTTCCATTATGGATGTCGCCTGGATTCTATGTTTGAGTGGTGACCGTGGAGGAAGAAAGGCCAGGAATGCGATTCCTGTCAAATTGGGTTAGAGTTTGTGATGACGTCCAAGTCAAAGCGTCGTCCGGGCATTCAGTGTTTTTGTATTTGCGTCGGGATATCCAGCCTATTGTTCCCCAGGATAGCAGACACAGATGTATGTATGCATACATGGGCTCGTCACAACAGGATGTGTTTCCGTTGTACTATGCTCTTACTGTTGATGGCATTGAGACACAGGACTTAGGGGGTTTGAACACAGCGCTGTTCGGGTTTCCAAACCGATGACCCTTCCAAACATTCCACAATCGATACCGACGTTGACGGAACCGGTCCAGGAGATGAGGAGGCGTAGGCTGGTCTTCATGCCCACACCTCAGGCCCCTCGAAGGGTTTGCCATCAACCAGAAGCTGGACATTGCCCGAGTCGAATGCGACCAGCCCAGCGATGGACGAAAGCTGCGGCATGGGCTCGGCATAAGACCAAGCCACAAGGGAGCCGTCACCGCCCTTGAGGCGCCAATAGTCCTCGCAGTGACCCTTGTACGGACAGGACGTGCGACGATGGACGTGCTCGAGGAGGTCCCAGTTGATGTCGGCCCGTGAAAGATAGAACCGCGTTGGCAACGTAGTTTCGAAAAGTGCAACCGAATCCGCAGAGTCAGCAAGGACGGAGCCGCTCATAACAGCCTGGATGTGGCGGTGGGTGGGCACAGTATCAACCCGAATATGCGGGTCGCGTGGGTGGGTGTGCACCTCCTCTTGCTCCTCGTACCAAGCTAATTCGGTGGCCGGATGCCAGCTTAGTGATATCCAGTCTTCAAGCTCGGGACGGTTGTACTTCCACGCGGCACACGGGATTGTTGTATGGAGGAGAACGAGGTCAAACCACGTTACCTCGGCTTTGGGGCGCCAGTACGCCTTGGCAGCCTCGGGATGAGTCGTGGGCACGAGCAAGTCGTTTCGCACATGCGCAAGGGGGAACGCGTACTCTGGAATACCACTGTTGGGCTCCCACACGAGGAGTTGGTGGCGGCTGTCAACAACGCAAGTGCGCTCACCAGGCACAATAGCGCGCACCCAGCGAGACGATGGTTCAAAGGTAAAGTGGTCAAACTTGGTGGGGCGACGGACAACTGACGTCGACGATTCCGGGAGCTTGGGAATTGTGCTGTCCGGGTGGGTGAACTGTGGGAGCGACATTGTGGGCCGTCGTTTCCAGGGTGGTGGTGTGACAGCGCGCAGAGAGGGTGGCAAGTGCGTGAATGTCTCAGCTCGTCTAACGCATGGTTATATATATGAGGTGGAAGGCGACGTGTATGGGTGACAAAGCAACAACAAAAGTATCAGTCAGTTACGGAATGACGTCAGCCAGTGGGGCTGGGCAGAGGGCTGTTCGGATGCGAGACAAGTGCATTCGCAGCTCCTGTCCTTGCCCACTACAATTGAGTCTACTCGACTACTCGCTGTTGGGTCCGCCATATGCTCTCCCTATCGAAGCAGGCCTGTACACTTCAGTGAGCCACGTCTTGAGGTCAATCATGCCCCCAAATTCCCTGCGGCATTCGGTGGGGTTGGCTTCAAATGGATGCACTTGGAGTTGCTGCAAGCAATGTAAGCGACATTCGTTCCACAACGTCCATAACGCTGGACTTACACCAAACATGTGCACCACGAAAGGGTTAACGTCCTCTTCAGGAGCCGGCAGACGGCCAATCTCCTGTTCCAGATTGCTCGGAACTGTTGGCCTGTCACGGCATCACCAGCCAGCATCAACTTCTTGGAAGCGTACTTTTCGGGATTGGCGAAGCAGAGCGCGGCCACTCGCCCAATGTCGTCGGTTGCAATATACTTGTGCACATAGTCCTTGGGCCATGACTGCGTTTGGGCTGGGAAGCCAGGCCAGAAGAGGGTCTCGAGGAACCCGGCTGGGCCCAGGAAGGTAGACTTCAAAGGCAGTGTTTGCAGGTGGGCCCACACGTCACGCTTGACATCGAATGCGTCGATTCCGGTCTTTTCTGTACCGCTCAGATCCACACCAGAGTACACCACGTACTTTACACCATGGACCGCAGCCGCACTTAGGATGGCATTGGACAGCTCGAGTTCACCCTTGACGGAAGAGTGACACATGAAGAACAAGCCGTCAATGGTATCTCCATGCTCTGCCACCGAGGAGAAGAGAGAGGTCGGGTTGTTGAGGTCACCAGTGACCATTTGGATGCGAGGGATGGCCTTGAGACTTGTTGCGGCAGCGGATGAAAGGTCACGCGAGACGGCAAGGATCTTGTTTGTCTTGGTTTGTGAAGAAAGGTACTACCACGGTAGTCAGTGGGTGTATTGAGTACGCTGCGTACCTTGCAGACAGCGCTGCCCTGCTGGCCAGTGGCACCGATGACGAGGATCGTGTTGAGCTCCATGCCTAGCTAGAAGTAGTGGGTGTGTTGCGGGGAGAGTAGTTTGTCAGTTTGCCCGGCCGGAGGAGGTGGGAGGTAGAGTAACGTTTCGCTGTGTTGATTTATATACATGAGACTCGTTTATGAGGTCTCCCATCCCGTTCCGTGCTCCCCAACAAGCTTCATGTCGAATGTGACATGCCAGCCGGCGCCGAGGTGGCCACTCCACTGCCCGAGGTGTCGCCGAGGGTGAGCGATATTAGTTGGTGCCTGGACGGGTTATCATTATGATCTCAGAGCACTCGCGACTAACAGGGACGAGCATTTATCGCGCTTCGATCTGTCCAAGCTATGGTGGCCGACAAGCAGAAGGGTATTGGTTGGCAAGGGCGGTGGGCAGACTGTGGTACTGTGAGCGGAATGTTTCGTCCGGCCGTCAGCTCTACGTGGCTGTTTTGTTGCCTCAGGTGCATTGCGCCACTTTCAGCGATGTGCTCTGCAACAATGCCGGTACATGCTTGGCTGTCCTTGGGTGCTTTTGGTACTACTGTCCCTCCCTAGGGACATTCTGCTCGCCCCTTGTGATACTGCTACTGGCTGAGGCCTTTCCCCTAGGACGCCTGCTTGGCCGCCCAGTCCTCACGGATCTTGTAAAGGCTGCGGCCGTCCTTGACCACCGAGGCCACATCGACCTCGACGACAGAGACACCAACCTGATACGAGTCAAAGCCTCCGATGCGGCCACGGAGGGGAGCCCAGACAGCGGACCCGCCCATGAATCCCTCATACTCGGCGCCTCCGGCGTTGCACATGACCCACACGGTTTCGGTCTCGAATGAGCGCGCAAAGCAGAGGGCGGACAGGACAGAGGTCTCGTAGTTGCTCGAGTGTTCGTGGCGCGAGACATGACTGTAATTATCAGCCGAGAGAGCAGGTAAAACAAACGCGAGACGTACGGTTCGCTGTCAGTGGCCATCCAATACGTCGGGTGGAAGATGATGTCGGCCCCGAGGTCAGCAAGAGTCTGGGCGGGACCTGGGTGCGACACGTCCCAGCCTGTTTGTCAGCCAGGGTTCACCAGGTGTGCAGCTCACAGATCTGGAAGCCTGCCTTGCCCCACTTGGTTTGGAAGACGGCTGGCTTGCCGGTACCAGCCGTCAAGTAGTCACTGCGGATTAGCGCACGGTCCAAATCAGCCTAAACTCACCGCTCGGGGTGCCAGAGGTTCTCCTTGATATACTCTCCCAGCAGGTCGCCATTCTCGTCAATGAAGAACGCTGTGTTGTGTAGGACGGGCTCCGAGTTCTCCTCGGCAGAGCTGGGATGCTGCTGGAGCCATTTGGCCCACTCGAGCTGCGCCGGCGTGATTTTGCCACCGGGCTTGGCTCCGCTCAGGAGGTGCTCGAATGGAGAGCCGGTTGGGAAGGCCGCGTTGCCAGCCGAAGGAGGGTGGGTGCCGTGTACAATGGTGCCGACGATGGAGATGCTGTGCCTCTTTGCAAGAGCTTGCAGGAAGGACGTGAGGTGGACCGAGGGGAAGGTGAGATACTGCATTGGTCAGAGCAAGGTTCCCAGACCCATCGTCTCCCAGACCAATCCGCAGCAACCAGGACTCTCAGGACACTCACCTGGCGGCCCTCGTTGGCAATGCCCTGGAGAAAGTACTCTGGGAACACGACGACGTCGGCCTTGTGAGCGGCAGCATCCTTGACACGGCGCTCGACATCGATGAGGTTCTGCTCAATGGTCGGGAACGGGGTGGTGGTGTGCGCCTTTTCGAGCTTTGCGGGACCCTCGTCGGCGGACACTGGCCAAGTCTGGGCGAGGGCGATACGGATCTTTGTCATTGCTGTAAAGGAGCAGAGAGAGTGATGGTGTAAAAGGACAAAAGGACGGCAGTGAGAGATATCTTGGGGGGGCCTCGTGACGACATTTGGCGGGGGCGATTTCGAGGCCCCGCATTATCGGCGCGTGGGCGCTTCTCGGCAGCGACCCGTCGGCAAACGGGGCCAGTCAATTGACACACATCGTTGCATTGCTCCCAACACCTCCTCCATTGCTCATCCAGCACACCCTTGTGGCCATGCACTCCTCGGCACGGCGTCTGCTCGTGAGGGCCCAGTACCTCCCCTTGGCTCTGGCAGCTGTGTATGCCCTTATCCTGCTCGTGTTTACAGTACCGGCAGTTCAAGACGAGTGAGGATGGAGTTGCCTTCCATGCCCTCCCGACAGTGCTGAGGCTTACCCTGTGTAGATTCGTCTTCCTTCAACGTCTGCGACTGCCTTTGGCCGCAAAGTATGACAATCCAGAGCACTATGGGTTAGCTCGTGCGTTTGATGCGTGTCTGACATACGAATCTAACCCGTCAGCGTACAAGACGCGTAACCTGAGGATCGAGACGCCAGACGGAGAGGTACTGGGGTTATGGCACATCCTGTGAGCTTGCTGTTGGATGAAGATTAGTATCCTGCTGACCGTCAGCCCTCAGAGTGTGTACATTGCTCAAGACCCATTCCCTCCCAGCATGCGTCCTCGCGACAGCTTCTTTGACAAGGCGTTTGGGAGCAGGCCGACCATCCTGTACTTTCACGGCAACGTGCGTTGCTAACACCGGCTTGCCCTTGGGTAACACACACCCCCCCCCCCCCCCCCCCCCCCCCCCTGCCGTGCTGACACCGCTCCTCCAAGGCCGCAACTCGCGCTGCCTCCCACCGTGTGCGCACTTACATTGAAATGTCCTCTCGGCTCGACGTGTAAGCCAGCCTCGCGTCCATTTGAAACTGACATCAGCAACGTCATTGCCGTCGACTACCGTGGCTTTGGAGACTCGACGGGAACCCCGAGTCAGCAAGGGCTGGTAATTGACGCGCGCACAGTCTGGGATTGGGTGCAGGCACGAGTTGAGCGCGCCAGTATCAAGCCCGCAGACCAACAGATTATGCTTGTTGGCCACAGTCTCGGTACCGGTGTCGCATCTGCCCTTGCCGCCGAGCTGGCGGACGGTGGTGTGTAACCAAAAGTCGCTGTCACCCGAGCTAATCCCAGGTCTACACCCGCGCGCCATTGCACTAATTGCACCGTTCACGTCGATTCCTGACCTTCTTTCATCGTGAGTTGAATAAAACCAGTGCAGCAGCGATCTGACAAACGAACGTAGGCTTTGGCTCTTTGGCATCATCCCTCTCCTCACTCCACTCAAAGCCATTCCAGGCGCCATAGGTAAATAAGGGTTCGGGTTTCTGTCAGGAGGGCTAACGCTGCGCAGACTACTTCAAGACCCACGTCGTGCAGCGTTTCAACTCGAGCGAAGCTCTGTCGGTGCGTATCCCTACCTCATCCTGTCGACTGACCCGTCCCTCAGCGGACAACATCTCCCATGCTCCTGTTGCACTCCTTCGACGACCCCATTATCCCTCATTACCACTCCGTCAACCTCTTTCAACAGCTCAACTCCCCCAACGGAACGCAGCTCGAGTCGAGCATCCGTGACTTTTCATACCCTGGGTGGGGTAGAGTCACTTACGCTGAGGTTGCCGACCGTGAGGTGGTCTTCTGGGAGGGCGAGAGTGGAGGGCACAACAGCCTGGGTCACTCGGAGGGGACCATGGACTTGATGGCGTGGATCGGTAAGCTCTAGCCAAATAGACACCATAGAGCGAAAGCCTTCTTCATATCCATGTAACTATTGTGTATATTCTTCGTATATTTGTAAGGAGGGTATGGTTTTACAGTTGTTAGTTACAGATTGCCAGAAACGCGCAGAGACATCCTTGCTCAAGCTTGAGGCGCGATGGGGAACCAGCTCGACATGTCCGTGTTAAACGACCCGTCAACCTGGAGGTGCCCATTGTTGAGGTCTACTAAAAGTCAGCCACAAACATAGATATGGTCTCAGGGAACTCACCATCGGTCGGGAACCACGATGCGAGGTTGAAATCAATCGGCCACGACACACCGACGAGATTGATGTCGGCCGCTGGAGCTTCCTCATTCTGCGTCCATGGAAGGGGGTCGAGACCCAGGGGCAGGGAATCGACCTCTGGCTCGCGAACATTCTCGCCCTTCGATGCGGCCACGCCGGCACGGGCGGCTTCATCGGAGATGGACGTGTACGGGATCACGTTGCGCTCACGAGCGCGCGCAAGAGTGGATGTGAGAAGCGGGGTGAACGGATGCGCGGGATAGTAGGGCATCTTGAGTAGGAGCTTGTCAATGTCAAGGCTGATGGTGTACCGGTCGCACACTTCTGGGAGGAGCTCAACCATGCGGAGCAAGTATCGGGCCACTGCGACGATACCAACATGGAAATTGTGGTTGCCAAACTCCGAGTCCTTCTCCTGCGGCCCGCTGCCAAGCGACGAGATGAGAAAGGCTGCGCTGCGCATCGCTGCACCGAGCCACTGCCTGCGCTCTGGTGAGAGGCGGAGCACATCGCTGCGGTTGTGTACCCCGTACCACGCCACAGAGTTGGTGTATAGGACCGCGTAAGCCTTTTGGCTAGCGATTTCCTTGACGAGAAAGTGGTCTGACGGAAGACCGATGGTGCGGTAGTGCTTGTGCCAGTGTTCCTGCCACTGGTTCGTCTCGCGATTGAACTTTCGCAGCTGCTCGTCCACATGTTCAGCGCTCTGGTTCACCACAGACTGGTAGGGCCAGAAAGCGGTTTCTGCAGTAATGTGTCAGGTTCAAACTCATCTACTCGATTCTGCAGACACCTACCGCGGCACTCGAGGAGCTCGACGGAAACGACCAACCGGCTATCGTGGAGGTTGGCAAGCGGGTGGTCCAGTAGCTCGCGCGCGTATGCTGAACGTTCATTCGGCGGACATGAGAACTGGACAGGGAGCGCATGGTTGAACGACATCTCAAAGGTTTGCTTGACCAGCTAAGCAGATGTCAGCCATCGGACAGACTTCGATGAGTAGACTCACTGCCAGCCACGTCCGCGCGCCGGCCACAAGGGGACGCTGCCTTTCCAGCATGCTGTGTGGCTGCTGAGCTGCAGTGCGGATCTTGTGGAGATAGGGGAGGCACCGGAAAAGGCGCATATCAACGGCCATGGCCATGGCATGACAGCAGATCCGCCACGAGTGCTCGTCCCAGCTGGAGAGGAGGACTGTGGTGTGGTCAGCAATGCGCTCCGAGTGCCCATTTGTTCTTGTCTCACCGAGTGCCTGCACGGTTTCAAGAGTGGCAATGGGCGAGAACAGTGTAAGCTTGCCCATTGCCTCTGCGTGCTCCTTGAGCTTGGTCGTCAACTCGGAGGCTGGGCGACAGCCACTCCGGGCCCTCAGGGCCACCCAGAGAATGACCGTGATGCAGAAGGGACTGCGGCGACGAAGGCTAATGCATAAGCTTTCGGTCCCATGGGCGGCACGTAGCCGACACTCACTCCTCCCAAGTGTCTACGCTAGCGTCCAGGATGGGGAGGAATGGATGTGCGTGCTTGAAGAAGCTTTCCGGTCAGCATATTACGAGCGCATTTTGGACTCCGACAACCGATCAGAGCTCCGATCGCTCCGACCTCCGAATCCCAGCTACTCACGCATCGAACAACTCCCTCCCGTCCGCCTCCGAGCACCATCCCAATGTGACTGGGTCTGCAAACCCAGCGAGTGCGTCGCCCTTTTCGCGGATGGGGCTGCGACCCCAGTCGCCAACCATGTCGCTGTCTATCCTGCGGCGCTTCCCCACGGGCAGGCCCTCGTCGCGCAGCCGCCGCTCCTCCTCTTTTCGGGTAAGGAGCGAGAACGGCTCGTTGCGCATTGCACTTTCGAGTGGGTCATCGTCGTCCTCGTCACCACCACCGATGGCGTTGTCGTGGGGATGTGCAATGGACGAAAGCACGTTGCTTCCTGCCAGTGGCGTGCCCCACGGTATGGTTGTGGACGAGTCCAAAGGGTCGGCATATAGAATATCCGGAGTGAGCATGTGCTTTGGGTCGGCGGGATCTGGGCGGGGCTGGGGTCGCATTGGGCCTTGAAAGGCTGTCAGCTCGTGTGTACGTGTCGCTGGCGAGAGCGGCAAACGCGGCGACGCACTGGTGCCACCTCCTCCAGCTCCCTGCCATGCGCTCGTCGTTGGTGACGGCTCGGATCCCGACGTGGGTGTCTCAAGCTGGACTCCGCCGCTAGCAGCGGCCATACGGCGGAGAAAGGACGAGATTTCGTCCAGTTTAGCTGTGATACCCCCCACCTGGCCCTCGAGGCTGTCGAGACGGCTGGGAACATGTCAGCGCGGTGGACAGAGTAGAGCAGCGCTTGGACCTACGTGCGAGTCGCCTTGACAAACACCTCCGAGTCCTCAAAGCCATTCCGGGCCGCCGGACCCATGTCGAACCGGCACTCAATCTTCATCGTCCTGCAACGCTTGCAAGGCGGGTTCTCCTTGTCTGTGCACTTGATCTTCATACGACGACACGCATCCTGGTCATGAGCATGTATTTGTATGCACACTCCTAGCTCAACTCACGCAAGCACCTGGGGAGAAGCAGTCAGCGTGGTGGCTATCAACCGCATGGCATAAAACTCACGGTCCCGGACAGGGACGTCTGCCCTCGTTTCTGACCCAGAGCTAGGCGACTCGCCATGCTGGCGCTTGTTGCTCGAGGACGACATGGCGGTAACTCCGTCGAGAAGGTAGATGGTGTCAACGTCAAAGGGAGCGATGATCTGTCAAAGAACGCTGGTGGTGTAAGGGATGGGATAGAGACGAAGATGGTGGTGAGGAAAGAGCAATGGTGCAAGGCAAACGGGGTGGACGCGTTTGGACGGGTGGCTTACATGATATGGGAGGGCCACACTTGGATAACCCCCACCCGGGTCAAACCTAACTGCCCTCTCCCCCCCCCAGGGCAAAGACAGACAACCCCTTGCAAATCGGCAGAGCGCTGTCGGCGCTTTTTGAGTCACGAGTCCAGAGGCCACAGGCAAAGGCGTGCGCGGGGCAGCCCTCGGCGCAGGCCAAGAACCCACCGCTGTTGGTGAAGAACAAAGGGGGTCCCCGGCCCTCTTCCCCAGAGCGACAAACTGCGGGTTGGAACAAGATTCCCGTTCGTCGTGCCGGCTCAGGGTTCTGATTGCAAGTCAGACCATGATAGCGAACGGGAATTTTGCGGGGCATCTCCAATCTTTTGGTCGGTCGGGCCGGCATGACCGAGGTGGTCCTCAGGGCCGCAGGCTGCAAACTCTGCCGCTTTGGCAGACTGGGTGAGCATGTGAGCACGCGGGGCAGGACAGAGGGCTCCGCAGTCGTTGCGTTCAGGTTCCACGCGCCGCAGCGGCAGAAGACTGGAAGACACTGGCCCATGGATCCGTGGCAAAAGGTTCTCCCCGCGGCACCGGTTCCCGGCACGGCCCGCGCGCCATATTAAAGGAGTGGCACTGTGGCACTCAGCCCTCCAGGCCATCCGTCCACATATCGTCCATCTCCACAACTCTTCCTGCTGCTGCGCCAAAAGGTACACAAGGAACCGCTATGCAGGCATCCAAAAGTCCGGACGTGCACTCTTTGCCAAGCCTTGTATCAAGCATTTGCTTGTGATAGTGTCGGCTTCTTCAATGTGGTCCATAAAGCCGGACTTTTGGCAACAATGCACATAAACACGTTCGCCAGCCGCCTACTTGTTTGCCGGACACCGGGTAGCTCTGCATTGTGTTGCCAACGTTGATGTAGTAGATGTGGGCATGGTACTGTTCTGACTCGTATAAATGCCGAAGCGGTGGCAAGTGGGGCACCATTCTCACATCCAACCCCACAGCCCTGTATTCCTCCCCACGAACGTCACTATATCTCAGCACACTGCCACACAATGTCATCCGAACAAGACCACGTTCACAATGAGGCCACAGGAATGGATCCCTACCTCGTCGGCCAAGCACAGGAAGCTGCGGCTCGTGAGCTGTCGCTTCCCTTCAAAACGGCCGTCCGCAACTACTACCCGGGCATGTTCTGGAGCTGCATGCTAAGCCTTGCCCTTGTCATGGAGGGATATGACGTCGGAATGGTAAGCACTGTTCTGTGTAAAGCACAGGACTGCCGTGAACAAGAGAAGGGAGTGCTCAAGGTCGGCCAATGATATCCTGGCTGTCCGAGACAATATCAGAGTATGCTGGTGCATCCCATCCTTCTTCTCCCCGGCCTTCTCTCCACATACTCAACCCACAATCCATAAACGAATAATAGGGCTAACCCATCTGGACAGATTAATTCATTTTTTGGCCACACAGCGTTCAAGGGTGAGTTGACTTTGGATTTATTTTTGAATAATTAAACCAGTCGACGTCTCACGAACCTATGGACAGCGATGGTTAACTGGTCACAGAGAAGTTTGGCGTGCTTAACAAGGATGGCGTCAAGGAGGTGCCTGCCAATTGGCAGAGTGCTCTGGGCAATGTTTCCAATGTTGGCGTGGTAATTGGTCTTCTTATCAGTAAGCTGCTTCGCGGAACTAGTGGATTTTCACTAACGGGGGACAGACGGCTACTGCCAGCATCGTTTCGGCTCCAAGAAGGTCTACTTGGGCACCATGGTGGTCATGGTGGGGGCAGTTTTCCTCCCTGTGTTCGCGACAGGCCTTCCGATGCTCACCGCCGGTGTCTTCATCTGCGGGATTCCGTGGGGCGTCTTTCAGACGCTGACCACCGCATACGCGGCCGAAATCTGTCCCCTCCCGCTCCGTGCCCACCTGACGTCTTTTGTCAACATCTGTTGGGTTAGTACCGGGGAGAAGAGTACCTACATTGAAATACTGATATTTGTCTACATAGGCGATGGGTCTGTTCATCAGCTCAGGCGTCGTTCGTGCCACTCTGCAAATCAACTCTGTGTGGGGATGGAGGCTTCCGTGAGTGGAAACGGGCGGGTCTACACGGTGCAACATTAAGCGCCATTCCTTTGGCCGTCGATCGGCCCTCCTTGTCACCTCGAGAATGTAGCTGACCGTCCCAGATATGTGCTTCAGTGGATTTGGCCAGTTCCGTTGTTTATCTGTTGCCTTTTTGCCCCGGAATCGCCGTGGTATCTCACTAGGGAAGGCAAGACCGAAGAGGCCAAGCGGGCCCTTCGCAAGACTGCTCGCAATGGATACTACACCGAAGACGAGCTCGATGCCCAAGTGGCCCTTATGCAGCACACCCACGCTCTTGAAAGGCAGGAGAACGCCAACAGCAGCATCATGAACTGCTTCAGAGGTACCAACCTCCGCCGCACCGAGATTGTAAGTGGGCGGCGTCCCTTGGCAGCTGCATACTACCAATGCCTCCCGACTGACTGTTTTCAGTGCTGCGTCGTCTGGCTCATTCAGCAGTCATGTGGCCAGCCTCTCACATCATACGCCACCGAGTTCCTCCAAGAAGTCGGCATGTCCACCGATCAGGCGTTCGACCTCAACATCTCGTCCAATGGTATGCTTGTCTTCGGCACAATCCTGACCTGGGTCTTCATGGAGAAGGTCGGACGTCGCCCTATCTATCTCTGGGGCCAGGTCATTATGGCCTTTGTTCTCCTGGCCATGGGCATCTTGGGATGTTTTCGTAGTCATAACAGCACCTCCTACGGTGTTGGAGCGCTCCTGGTCCTCATCAACTTCACGTTTGCGTGCACCCTCGGCCCCTCGTGCTACACCATCGTCGGCGAACTGCCCGCCTCGGAGGTTCGTGGCCCGACCGTGGTCCTTGCCCGTGGCGTCTATGTGATCGGCGGCATCATTACCGGCCAGCTCACTCCTCGCATGGTCACTGCCGGAGAGTGGAACTGGGGTGCCAAGGGCGCCTTCCTCTACCTTGGGACCAACCTTCTCGGCCTGGTCTACTGCTACTTCCGTCTGCCCGAGACCAAAGGGCGTAGTTTTGGCCAGCTTGACGTGCTCTTCCACAATCACGTTCCGGCACGCAAGTTTGCCTCTACTGTTGTAGAGCAGTTTGAGGAAGAGGCCCAGGACCCCAAGGAGAAGGCGGACGAGTAAAGGGACAGTGCGTGGGCGGCGCGGGAACGGAATATCTTCCTCGGCAACGGGATGAACCAACGTGTGTTAGTGAACAGGATGATAACAAGTGAATGGCTGCGCTGCATGGGTCTCCGTCGGAATACATGTATTCGAAATCAGTCTGCTCAGCTGCTCGATTGGCAGTGGGGGGCTCACTGCCGGTCAAAGCCGTTGAGCAGACTCGGAAACTGATCTTCCGCGATTCCGAGAGCCGAAGGGAGTGGAACAGGCGATTCCTGATAATTTCCTGAGCCTTCGGCGCCGAGGTGTCGGCTCCGGCCAAGATGTCCTCAAGGTTTGCAACGTTGCCCCGATGGTGTGCTCACTGCCCCCTCGCGAACGTATGGCGGCCTCTGCTTCTCCTTGACCGCCGGGCGTAGGGTATCTTGCTCAGGCGGAGGCGGCCGCGAACAACAATGGGACAGTACATAATAGGGGCATGGTGCCAACAGCTGAAGGCAGTGTTCCCAGACGCAACTGGAAGCAGACTGAACACATAGCTGCAGAACCTGCCTGGTCGCCACGGGCCAAATGCAACTGACTTGTTTTGGTCTGCCCCCAGGGCGGACGTCAAAGGTGCGCCAATGAGTAACCGCAGTGTTGACAATGGAGGGTGCTCACAAGTGGCGCTCGTGCCACAGATCGCCCAACCGACGATCCTGCCACAAGCCGGATCCATACACAGTTATGCCACCAGTGGTCTGCTGTCTACATTACTGTCTACTTCTCCCTAAACCTTACGAATGAACAACACCTGGCTCTGGAAGTCCTCCGACTTCCACTGCAACCTGAGCCCCGAGTTCATGAGGGCGGCGCCAGTGTACTCGACACCCTCAACATTGTACTTTGCGTCAGCATCTAGACCCTCGAGCTTAAGCGCCGCAGGGTAGATGCGGAGGCGGGCCTGCATCTGGAACGCAAGCAGGACAGCCTCCTTTCCGTCCGCAGCAGTGTACATGACCGACGGCCAGTTGGTCTCGGGCGCGGCCAGGCGGTACTGGTCGCCATGGATGACGAAGGGCGCGACGCGGTCGCTGAGCGCAATGAGCTCGGGGATGGCGGCACGGTCGGCAGGATCGATCTTGTCGACATCGAGCTCGAACCCAAAGCTGCCACCCATGAGGGCCACGTGCATGCGGAACATGAGCGGCGTGGTGCGGCCAACCTGGTGATTGGGGCATGCAGAGACGTGGCATCCCATGGCCGAGGGAGGGTAGGCGAGCGTGGTACCCCACTGGATGTACAGACGCTCAATGGCGTCGGTATCGTCCGATGTCCACGACTGGGGCCAGTAGTAGAGGATGCCAGGGTCGAAACGACCGCCGCCCGACGCACAGCCCTCCCAGAGAATATCGGGGAAGCGGGTAGTGAGCTTGTCCAGCACACGGTAGAGGCCGAGCATGTAGGAGTGAGGGGTCGAAGGGGAGGGCATCTCGTGCATTGGGCGGTTGTTGTCCCACTTGACGTACGAGATGTTAGCCGAGGCGAGAATGTCGCCAATGGTCTTGATGATATAGTCCTGGACCTCGCGCTTGCTCAAGTCGAGCACCAGCTGAGAACGACATTCGGTACGCTTTCTCTTTCCAGCGTGGAGGGCCCAGTCAGGGTGAGCCTCGTACAGCTCCGAGGTGGGCGACACCATCTCGGGCTCCACCCAGATACCAAACTGGAGAGCCTGGGCCTTGCCGTCTGCACCTTTGGTCTGCAGGGCAGTGAGCTGTTTGACAAAGGCGTCGAGGCCCTCCGGGAAACGTTTCTGGTTGACAAACCAGTCACCGAGACTGGTCGTGTCGTTCAGGCGCGGGTGCTTGTCGCCAAACCAGCCATCGTCCATGACGAAGAGGCGGATACCGAGCTCGGCACACGACTTGGCACGCTCATACAGTGCCGCTGCGTCAAAGTCAAAGTACATGCCCTCCCACGAGTTGAGAAGAGGTGGGCGAGTGCGCTTGGTCCACACAGAGCGTGAAAGGTGGTTCCTGTACAGGCTGTGAAGAGAGCGGCTCATGCCGCCAATGCCGTTGGACGAATAGACAGCGACGGCCTCGGGGCTCGTAAAGCTCTCACCAGGTGCCAAGTTCCAGCTAAGGTGGAGAGGGTGCAACCCGATATTGGCGCGCACCTTGTCGCTCACAAAGCGCTCGACGTCGACCGAGAACGAGCCGCTGTAAATCAAGCTCAGGCCGTAGGCTTCGCCCTGGTTCTCGGTAGTGGTGGACGAGGTGAGGGCGACAAAGGGGTTGAAGTAGTGCGACGAGTAACCGGTGGAGCTCTGGAATCTGGACCTATTAGCCTGGGCAGCGACGTTTCGTTTCAAGCTCACCCCTGGGTGCCGACGTGAACGGGACGGCGCATCTGGCGGGTCTCACGCGACCAGTCACCCGAGAGCTGGATCATGTCCCAGTCCCCAGGTTCAAGGTTGAGTGTAAAGCTCGCAGCGCGCTGAATTTCCGCGGCCGCAGTACCATTGTTGGTGATCGTGAAGCTCCTCGCGACGGCGTTGTACTTTGGGAAAACGGAGTACCGGAGCACGGCCGAGAGCTGGGCTTCCTCATCCACGAGGTTCACGAGAAGTGTGCTCACGTTGTCGGCTGCTCCCCACGTAGCGGGAAGACCAGGGAGTCCGGGCTTGCCTTCGACAACCTCGTGGCTGGCATACTCAAAGGCAGTGACGGTGTGACCAGCCCCATGGCGGATGTGGATGGCCGGCAAACGCATGTCACCGCGTCCCGAGTCGGGCAGCTCGCGCATCTCGTCCACAAGGCGTGTACCCCAGCCAGGGAGGTCATCGGCGGCGCCTCGTGGTGGGAGGGCAGGAGCTGGCGAGCCAAAGTGGTCGTGCACGAGCTCGCCGTGCTGGTCGACGTGGAAGCGATAGTGCATCCCTTGCGCAATGAGCGCAAAGGTCTGGTCGGTGCCGACCTCAATGTGCTTGGGCGATGTCATGGCTAATGTAAGCTGGGGGATACTCGACGGCGGCTGCTCACTTTTCTAGCAGCGCTGCACAAAGGAATTGCAACAGAGTAGGGATGGCAACGAGTGAACAGCACAACCGCGATATATCCCAACCGCGATATATCCCAGGCCGCCGTTGTGTCCACTTCGGATGTGGGGGAACATGTGGGGGAGCCGAAATGGGCGACCGGATCGGTTGCCCGGCAGCTCCAAAACGGGCCGACCACCCAGGCCTCGGCTTTCATCCCTAGACGGACCGTTCTCATACCCGTTGCTCGGTGATTCGCAATCGAACGCGGCAGGCCACCAAAGTGAGCTGCGCAAAAGGTCCACGGGCCCCCAGTCTGATGGCGTGCGGGGGCGGGGCCATGTTGTGGATTCCCGTTCGTCGACCTGAGGAGGCTTGGATTATTCCCGTTCGCCATCGCCCAATCTTGGCGATCTCGCGGTGGATTGGCGTCGGTCTTTACATGTTGGCGTTTGAGAGCTTCGTAGGTTCTTGAAAGCAACGTGTGTGCGACGCTTGCCAAGACCGCCCATATGTCCGTCTGAATGGAAAGGGCAAGTAACCGTCCACCATTGAGTGATATACGTGTTGTTTGTCGTGGTACAGTGTCGCAGGATATCAAGAACCGGATCCACGGGATCGGAGCCGCCACGCCGACACTGGCTACCAATCTGTTGTTCTGGGTCTCGACGTCGGCACGATCCCTCCGAGGTGGACCGATCGCTGCGAGACAGCCTTGAGACAGGGAACAGAGATGCGGGGGCGGTAGGGCAAGGCCATGAAGCCTCGTTGATGGCGAGAGGCTGCTCTATAGGTGTTCGCGTTGTACCAGTCGGGATACCAGCTAAAGGCCAAGTCTCACTCGCATCTTCGTACAACAGTATGCGACTCCCTGCTGATAGAACGACCCCCCTCCAAATGCAGTAATACACACATGTGCTCCCCCCCACCCTCCCACACCCGAATACCCGCCAACAAAAAAAGCAATCACGCTCACCTGGACGTGGCCTCTGCCACGACCTGGTAAACAAGCTGAAGCTGTTCCGGGGTCTGGACCATGGATTTGCGGTAATCGCGCAGTCCATCGACGAGACGCAGAACCTCGTCATTCTCCTTCACGGGCTTGAGCGGGACGAACGTCCTCACCTCGTCTGAGCCTGGGTAGAGGAGAGACATGAGGGAGATGAAAGTTCCCGTGCGGCCAATACCGGCCGAGCTGGACGTCAGCACAAGTGAATGCAAACTATGTGACGTACCAATGGACCCAGAGCTCACAGTTGTCCTGGCCGCCATTCTCGTCGCGGACGCGAACGACCTCCTTGAGCAACTCGAGAAGCTTGGCGACACTGGCACCTTCGGGCACGCCGTGGTCGGGCCACGCGTCAAAGTAGTAGTGGTTGATGACAAGGTCATCTCCGTCCCTGGACTGGACAAGGAGCTCACTGTGTGTCGAGGAGGCGTTCGAGAGAGCCGTCTGGCGAGTCATGGACAGCCTCAGCGACTCCCCACGCCTGTTGCCAAACACGGCGGCGTGGCGTAGACCGGTGCCACGTCTGCTATGTGTCAGCACCCAGGCGTAAAGCAACAGTTTAGCTCTCTGTCTACGCACGGAACATAAGGGTCTGCCTTGGCCATTCCCCTCTCAGTCCAACCGGTGAGCTGCACAAGGATCGCTGTCCGTGCGTTGCCTGGTGGCGACTGCTTGGTGACTGGTGCTGAACGAGGGATTGCAGGCGAGTTGGTAGCAGCTCGGGTCTGCATCGCACGGAAGAAGGTGTGGAAGGTGTTGGGCAGTGGCGCCTGCGGTGAGAGGCGTGTGAGCAACAATAACGAGTGACGCTGTGGATTCTCGGGAATGGAGTGGCTCTCCAATTACTTCTGGGCCGCAAAAAAGGCCACTGGAGGAGAATCAACTCACCTGAGCGGCAACCCACCACTGGCCCTTGGTATCGGCCACGACGTTGGCGTTGAGGTATCCGTTACCGTCTACACGGACGCTTGTGCGGTCATAGGCCAGGACATCACGGTAGCGGTTCTTGGTCCCCGCGGCACGCGACTCTTCGACCGAGTAGTAGAGGTCCTCTGGTGCGGATGCCCTGTGAGCGCAGGCTGAGAGGGTGGAGCGGGCGAGTTCGCGGTTTTCAAGAGTGTTCCATGCCTGCAGGACTGTGGGCATGGAGTGCGGTGTAGACGACAGCGAGGGCGGCATGGGGTGGATGCTGTTGTTGTGACTGGATATATATGAGGGGGGTTTTGGGATGACGCGAAAGCCAGTCACCACATCTCACTCGTGACCACCGCGAGACCACTTTCCCACGGATGCCCCCCCTCCAGACCTAATCGCTCGACTCACTTTCCCACGGGTGGTCTATTAGGCGGAACTCCGGCCGATCTGTCGCCGGCTGGCGCGGTTTGTTGTATGTCGCCATTTGTCTCGTCCGTTCTCTCACTCCTCCTCTCTTTCTCGTCTCGTGTGCCATATAGATACTCTAGACGGCTTCTTCTTCAACCTTCCGCCTCTCTCTCTCTGTCACCATGTTCACCCGCGCCGCCATTCCCACTTTCCGTGCCGCCCGCACTCAGTTTGTAAGTCTTCACAGGCGCTCCCAACTTTGTCACCAATCGCTGACATGTAACCCCCCGAACAGACCCGCTCCGTCCGTGGCTACGCGTCGGAGGCTCCCAAGGCCGAGAAGAAGCCCTCCAGTGAGTTACACCGCAGCCTCCCTCTTCCACAACAGGCCGTATTCTGACAACCCTCCAGACATCCCCTTCATCTTTGGCGGTGCCGGTGTTGTGAGTAGCCAACCCCCCCCTTTTGCGGTGTCTTGGACCTCGGAACTGACGGAATGAAAAGGCCGGCCTCGGTGTCTGGGCTTACCTCGAGCGCTCGGGTAAGCAGCCCCTTGCCCCCGCCGTCCCCGGTCTCAACGGGTGAGTTGGCTGCTGCCTTGAGAGCCACACGCAAGACACACTTGAAGCTGATCACAATACCCCCACCGTATAGCGACGCCTGGACTCCCCTTGCCCTTTCCGAGGTTGAGCAGATCAGCGACAACACCAAGGTCTACAAGTTCAACTTTGAGGGTGACAACGCCGCCAACAAGACCGCCGGCATCACTGTCGCTGGTGTCGTGCTCGTCCGCTCGCCCACTGGCGAGGGCCAGGTCAACGATGACAAGGGCAAGCCTGTCATCCGCCCCTACACCCCCATCTCGTCTCCCGACCAGCGCGGCTCGGTCGACTTCCTGGTCAAGGAGTACCCCACCGGCAAGCTTACCCCTTGGCTCTCTCAGCTCAAGAAGGGTGACGAGATTCTCGTCAAGGGCCCCATGACCAAGTTTGAGTACGCGCCCGGCCAGTTTGACAAGGCCCTTTTCGTTGCCGGTGGTTCGGGTGTCACCCCTGCCTACCAGCTCATCTCGCACGCCCTCGAGAACAAGGCCGACCAGACCAAGTGGACCTTCCTCTTTGCCAACGTGACCGAAAAGGACATTCTTATGCGCAAGGAGTGGGAGCAGCTCGCTGCCGCCAACCCCGACCGCCTCAAGGTCGTCTACTTCCTTGACAACGCTCCCGAGAACTGGACTGGCGAGTCGGGCTACGTCACTGCCGACCACATCAAGAAGCACTTCCCTCGTGAGGAGGGTGACAAGGTCCGCGCCTTTGTCTGCGGTCCCCCCGGCCAGTACAAGGCCATCTCGGGTGCCAAGAAGGGTCGCGACCAGGGCCCCGTTGGCGGTGCCCTCAAGGAGCTCGGCTACAAGGAGGAGGAGGTGTTCAAGTACTAAGCCAAAGAAAACATAGAGACAACCCTCGGTGTTCAGACCGTGTAGATACACAATGCAATGCAGATGGTATATGGTGGAGGCAAAAGGTGGAGGTATCAGTGCTGGGGGTTATCGGCAAGTGGAGGAGGAGAAGGACGCAGAGGTTCCCTCGCTAGTACTGGATGGTGCTGTCGCCCTCCGAGTCGTCGTAGTGCGCATAACTCGTGTATCCCGACGCGCCCTCTTCTTGGTGGTGGTCGTGGTCGTACGCCTGCTGCGCCGCGTCCTCGCTCGCAAGATTGTGTTCTTGGTTGATGAGGAAGACGGAAGTTTGGAACTGGGGGAGGAGGAGGCCCTGTCAACATTGATTCGTGCAGTTAGGGCTGCACGTACTGTGGTGAACACGAGCTTCATTTTGGTCTCAAGGTCACGGAGGGACGCCAGAAGCGACTCGTTGGGTGTTTCGGCCGTGTCTCGCGCCAGCGTTCCGATCTAGATAAGCGTAAGAGAAGGGGGTTGCGCCAGAGGAAGTGGGGGGCGGGGGACGCTACCTTGCTGATTGTGTCGGAGAGTTTTGCGTATTCCCATAGGACCTCTGCTTCTAGCGCGGACAGTTGAGGGTGGTTTGCACTGTCGGGGGGTCAGGTCAGAAGGAGAAGGGGGTGATGTGCTACCCACTATGGATTTGTTGTTGCCAGTGACATGGTGGTGGTGGATGTGGAGGATGTGTGGATGGATCCCTTGTTGACAACGGGGTCGGGTCGCGTCGTCTTGGTTGGGGGTGTGAAACGCGGAGATGCATCTCCGTGTTCTTGGGTGCGTGCCTGGGATGCTCCGGATGGACCGGCAGTGGGGATCACACACCAAGAGTCGTCCGTCGTAGCCATCTATGGTTTGTCTCTCATCCTCCCACTCTACCACATCACCAGTCCCTCCCTCCTCCCTCTCCTCCACCCCCCGCACCACCTTGGGACACTGGCACGGCCGCACCATTAGGCTGTGTGCCACAGCGTAACCTTGTACCACACCTCTGGACCCACACCCCTCCAGCCAGCCGCCGCGCCAAAGGAGCATTTCCGGTACGACTTTCACCCACATCCGGCCGGTCACCAGTGCCCGCGCGCACCATGCAGTATCTGTCAAAGGCGTACAACTACTGTATGTAACTTCGACCCGCTTACCAACCCGGCTCTCACACATTCAGACTCGGGCATCAACCCCGCAACGCTCTCGGGCGCCATCGACGTGATCGTCGTCCGGAGCACTGACGAAGTGAGTTCTCCCCGCCACCCGGCCAGGACACGCCGTCTGTCACGGTGGTGCGAGGAGCAAAAAGACCACAAAGCAAAAGTGTGCTGACGCACGGTGCGTTACACAGAATGGCGACGATATCTTGCAATGCTCGCCCTTTCACGTGCGCTTTGGCAAGCTGCGTGTACTCCGCGTCGGCGAGAAGAGGGTCACGCTCACCATGCCCAACAACTTGCCCGAGCCACACATCGCCCCCTTTTCCATGAAGGTCAGCGACACGGGAGAGGCATTCTTCGTTCTCGAGACCGACGGCGAGGTCCCCGCCGACCTCCTCACAAGTCCTGTCATTTCGGCCACCGATGTACGTATCCTAATCAATGCGCCATTGTGGTGGCGCTACAGTTGCGCACGTTCATGACTGACACCTCTTGTTCCCAGGCCGATATGGACATTCCCCGACCCTCCCTCGACGAGAGCGTGCCCGACGACGCCGACCCACGTCAATCCCTTACTCTACAGCCCTTCGGCGCTACGGAGCAGCAAGTGAGCCATGAGGGCCACATGCACGAATCCATCCATGACGTGCCCCTCGCCGAAGTGGACCACCTGGACCTTAACGCCCCGCACGATCCCGACGACGTCAAGTCACAAGAGGGCGGCATTGCTGCGCCCACGGCTGTCCTGGCGTCACCGCGCAGGCGCATGTCGGGCCTGGACAAGGAGGAGGTGCCAAACCCTCTCGAAGCTGGACCGGGGGAGGACACATCCCTTCCAATCCGTAATTTCCGACTGAAAGCTCTTCACAGGGACAGCGGGGACGTCGAGCTTCCTAAGGTGAAGCGCGGAGAGCACGACGGACCTACTGTTCAGTACAGTGACGGCATTGTACTCGACGCAGCAGGGTACCACAAAAAGTACGACAATGATGAGCCCACCCGTGAACCGGCATCGCCCATCGCGTCGGCCTTTCCCCCTCGACCCAAGTCGCCTGTGGGCGTCAAGAATGCCGAGGTCCAAGAGTTTATCAACGATCTGATGGGCTCGGAGGACCACGGTCTCGCCTCGCCTCAGGCCGGCCCCAATGACGACGGTCTCCCGTCTTCCATGGCCGCATTGTCGCTCGAAGGCGGAGGATCATCGCGGGCGCGCACCCCTTCGCCGGTGGCGACTTTCCGCCGTGGCGACCGCATGACGTCTGAGCCGCCAGAGTTGAGCCGCCCCGTGTCGCCCAATGGCGGCACAGACGGCAACGTCGACACGTCAATGGACTTGGCGTGGGACTGGGGAAAGATCCAGGAAGAAGGTGACCACAACCCGACAGCCTCATCGCGCCGAGAGCTTGCCCGTTGGCGACCACACTGGCGTGCACGAACATCGCTCCCGCGCCGAGCTCAAAGAGGTCGAGTACGGGCCCTATGAGTTTCTCCTCGAGCTCGACGGTCGCGAGCACGTGTTCGAGCTCTCGTTGTGTGGCGACGACAAGTTTGCCCCCGATGGAGAGGCGACCGACGACGAGCGCGAGGCGTTTGACCGCGAGCGTGTCTCGTTCCAAAAGTTTATGGAGGACGCCAACATTGTCGACGACCCACGTCTGGTTGTCTACTACAACGACATGTACCTGTCCTGGGCGACTGGATACCACTTGCTGTTCGCGCTTGCCATCTACCGCCGCGCCTCGCTCGACGGATCCAAGCCCAACGCCGCTGCGCCCCCCCAGCCCCAGCGTTCGTCGGGTTACTGGTCGCGCTGGTGGCGTGGATCGCGCACCGACTCGCTCGAGCCTCCCTCCATTGAGCGTACCCAGTCGGCCAACGCTGGGCTGTCGGGTGCCAAGGATAAGGACGTCAAGGCATTCAAACTCGACGAAGTGCACCAGCCCTCGGCATCAATGCCCGTGTCGGAAGCTGCTTCCCCCTTGGCGACGCCCGGTACGCCTGTCGAGGCTGGAAGCGACGGAGAGGAGCCCGAGGTCGCCGCTGGCGAGCAAAAGCACTATGCCAAGACGCTTCGCCTGTCGTCCGATCAGCTCAAGGAGCTTCACCTCAAGCCTGGACCCAACACGATCAACTTTTCTGTCATGTCGAGCTACTCTGGGTACGCTGTCGTCTCGGCGCGCATTTTCCTTTGGGACGAGTCGGACCAGGTCATCATCTCGGACATTGATGGGACCATCACCAAGTCTGACGCTTTGGGCCACGTCTTTGCGGCCATTGGCCGCGACTGGACGCACGTCGGCATCGCCAACTTGTACACTGACATTTGCAACAATGGCTACAAGATCCTGTACCTCACTGCGCGTGCGATTGGCCAGGCCGACACGACGCGCGACTATCTCAAGACTGTTGTGCAGGGCGACTACCGCTTGCCCGAGGGACCCGTCATCATGAGCCCCGACCGTCTCATGGCCAGTCTCCACCGGGAGGTTATCCTGCGCAAACCCGAGCTGTTCAAGATGGCCTGTCTGCGTGACATCCAGCGTCTTTTCGGCCAACATGCCAAGACGGCGTTCTTTGCCGGCTTTGGAAACCGTATCACGGACGCCATGTCTTACCGCTCGGTCGGTATTGAGACGGGCAAGATTTACACCATTGACTCGACGGGTGTGATCAAGACCGAGCTGCTCCAGGCTTCCCACAAGGGCAGCTACATTGGTCTCAACGACCTTGTCAACGAAGTGTTCCCACCTGTCAAGACCAAGTTCCAGCCAGAATACACCGACTTCAACTACTGGCGTGACCCCATTATGGACATTGCCATTCCGGACATTGTCGTGCCCGTGTCCCCGGCCCTCTCGGCACGTTCAGACACGTCTGGCGGTTCGCGTCTTTCGTATCTCGGCAAGATTGCCAGTCCTGGGTCGTCGCTCGTCGCGCCCCATCCTGCCCGACTCGGAAGGCGGCGCCGCCTCGCCGGCGTCCCAGACCTCGCGGCCGTCATCTCCCCTCATCGGACCTGCCCTCACGCCTGGCGACCTGAGCGAGGACGAGGAGTGGGCGTCGTCGTCGCAGCGCGCGGGCAACCGCTCCCGTGCGTCGAGCATGCCCGGAAGCTTTGAGGACGGCAACGCGTTCCCCGAGAGCTGGTTCAACCGCGGCGAGTCGATGGACAGCCTGGGTCGGGAACGTCACGAGGGCGAGGTGGACGACGAACAAGGACAGGAAGACGACTCGTTTGCGGACGACGACGCCATCTTTGACGACGACATTCTTGCCACCGGCGAGATGGCGCGTGTCCCCTTCTAGAGAGAGAGAGAGAAAACATAGGGAGAAAGAGAGAGCTAGTAGGTGTCGGTTCACAGGAGAAAAAGGGCTGCCAGCTTGCTTTTGCGGCTGCAGCCGTTGTAGAATAGAAACGTTACGTTAAAGGTCCCACGGTCCGCTTTTGCATTTTGCGAAATAGAGTTTATTGTGACAGAAGGTGGACGTATGCATGTCTATGACTAGTACTGCGAGAGAGAGAGAAGAGACGCGCTCGCTCTCGCTATGACAAGAACTCGAGGGCGCGCTTGAGCGGCGCCTCGATTGGGTCGGGGCCAGCGTTGACGCCACCGACAGAGTACCTGGTGGGTGGGTTAGGAGGAGAGAGAGAGAGCATGGGGATGTGTGACGCACGAGTAGAAGAGAATCTTCATGGCGAGGGCCATGCCTGCGTGTAAAGCGCCGACACCAATGACGAGGAAGCGCAGCATCGGGTGCTCGCTAGCGGCGAGGACGGGGTAGATGTTGGTAACGCTGGAGATGGAGGATTAGTGGGTCAGGTTACGTACCAGACGGTGAGAAACCAGACTTACAGGAAGAAGCCCGACGACAGTGCTCCGAGACCAACGAGGACCCAGCGAACAATGCCCACGGGGATGAGGCAGAGCAAGCTCACGGGCACAAACACGCTCATGGCGTAGCCGTAGATACCGAGAGCCTCGGCGGGTCCCCACTCGCCAACCCCGAGCCATTTTGTGGCTGCCCACAGCAAGGCCGGGACGGCCATGCCGTAAATGTAAATCAAGGTGGTGGCGGTCGAAAGCAGCGGGATGTTGGTGACGACAGTTTCGCCTGCGAGGTACTGGGAGATGGACCGTGTGAGTGTCGAGGTGGTGTACAGGACGAGGATGAGGGATGTGAGGGTCCAGAAGGGGCCTGTGAAGGGAGTTAGCGGTGGCTCTAGACGTTAGATGGTGACGGGCAGCAGCGGCAATGTAGCTTTGCTCTTTGCCCTTTGCCTCTGTGACTCACCATACATGTCCACCTGTCCGTCGCACGCGTCTGCAATGAAGCCTCCACGGGGAATCATCGACATGGCCACACGGCGCAGGACGGTGCTTGTGTCGACGTCAAAGTAGACCTGGTAGTAGGCCAAGTTGAAGAATGAGTGAGGGACAGCGCTTGTATCGCGCGTAAAGGATGCGCCTGTTGCAGCACGACTGCTGCCGCCGCCGCCGCCGGTGAGTGGGGTTGTGGCCGAGTCCTGGGCATCGTTGAGGTAGGTCTTGAACTGGAGACCGCCCGACTGTGAGGGGGGGTGGTGTCAGCTTGAGGGAGCATGGTGTGAGTGTTTGGCTATACCTCGTCTTCGTCCACGTCTACGATGGCGTATCCTTGAGACATTGGTGTGTGCTGTGAGTTGAGAGAAGGGGGGGGGGGGTGTGGTAGGTTGTGAGCTTTGGACAGCAGCAACATTGGCACATGTAGTGGACCTCCACACACGCCGTACGTGCGTGGGGTGGGGTGATTCAGGATGACGCGACGTGCGCCTATGGGGGGGGTAAATAGGACTGCTGGGAAATACGGCGGTGCAAGGCATGCCTAAACGGGACATCAATTACGTAATGGTCACTAAGGAGTTTCAAACAACCGTGGGATACCCTGTTGGTGTGTGTGCCTGTGCTGTCTGGCTGCGGAGGTGTGTGGTCTGGACCTTTTTATTGACCCTTTAACCCCCCTTTTCCTTTTGACGCAGGTACGCAGGCGCGTAGGGCGAGATGTGGGCTGCGGCTGCGGCGAGGATGAGACAGAGAGAGACGGAATGGACGCGTCCGCAGTGAAAACCCACACACACAGGTTTTGTATGTTTGTCGTCGTGCCCGCCGTGTGCTGGCCGTGTGCTGGCGCTTCTGGGTGCGTTTGACGTTTTGGGCCAAACCCCTTTTTCCCATGTGTGTGCAGGACCCACACCCAGGACGGCCAGGACCACCCCCCCTCTCGCTTCAGCATCGTTCAGTCCCATTCTCATCATTACTCTCACATCAGCATCCATCATCATCAGTACATCGGCTGGCCCGATACACACGAGTCTACACACACCATACACGCACAGGCGCACCAGGTCTATTGATTAGACTTGTAACCATCTCAAAGCAGAGGATCAGGAAAGGATCAGAGGTCAGAGGCCCAGAGAGATCCAGGGACCGTACGGCAGCAACAGACGCGCACTGGAATCCACCCCCCCCACCGCACACGGCCAACACCGCCTTGCCGAAAGTCTTCCAGCCGAACAGCAACCCACCCCGGCCACCACGTACCACCACGCGCACGCGACGTGGTTTAAACACACTCAACGGTCCGCCATCAAAGGTTGTCCGGTTCGCGTTTTCACATACATACACGTCCGCCTCTCTACACCACCCCTCCCCGTCCGTACACACTCTCACCGGGTGGCAACATTACCTGTGAGGCTCGTCCATCGCTATCAGCCAGACGACACCCCCCGCGACGCCGGTCCGTTCGCAACAACCCGCAGCCAGTGCAGCTGCTGCACAGACAAAGTCTCAGTGTCGTGACGACAGGGGTCTCATCAAGAGCTGGACCACATCCCGTTGAGCTCGTTCGACAGCCTCTTGTTTCTGCGTCGTCTATTTACAGTTGCCCTACACACCCACCCACCCAAAACCCCGCGCACACGCACAGACCGGTTCCCCCCTCCCCCCCCCCCCCCCCCCCCCCCTCACAACCTATACAATTAGCGCCGTCACACCCCGCTCGCACGCACACATTGTACGCACTCGACTGGCTCGCTATCTCTAGACCATCCAATTGTCTCTTTGTCACACACACACACACTCTCTCTCACTCTCTCTCTTGTTCACACCGAGCTGGTCTCCGTGATCGCCGCACCGCCCTCTCCGCGTTACACTCGTCCATCCGCAGCTGCCCACACAGCATAGACGACGCTGCGACGCGCACACGACAAAACACACTCCTCTCCCTTGACAACACCACCTCTCCCCACCCGCACACAAGTGCACAACAACAGCCATGGCGGAAAACGTCACGGACACGACCATTCAGTCGTTCCTCAACAGTCGTGGAACGGCAAACTCAAAGGGTGTCTTGACACAGGCAGGCCTCAGTATCGGCTTATCAGTATGTGGTGCACACGGTCTTCTTATTGTTACACGTCGCTCATGCTCTCTTGCCCAGGTTGTGACCCTCCTTGCCTTTTCCTTCTTCCGACCCCGCCAGACAAAGGTGTACGCACCCAAGGTCAAGTACGGCGTGACCGGTGCCGACCAAGACTATGATCCACCACCACCGTCCCTGCCGTCTGGCTTCTTTGCGTGGCTCAGCCCCGTTCTTCACCTCAAAGAGCAGCAGATGATCGCCAACATTGGACTGGACGCCACTGCCTTTCTTCGCATGCTTCGTATGCTCCTCAAGATCTTTGCTGTTATCTCAGTCTGGTGTGCAGTGTTGATGATCATGTTCGGCGTGTACAACGCCAAGAGCACCACCTCGACCATGACTGATCTCTCCGTCGTCACCATTCAAAACGTCAAGGCCGACACCACGTTGGGCAGCATCAGCAACTGGTGTGCCGTTGCGGCGTCGTACATTGTCACTTTTACCGTCATGGGCTTTGTGTGGTACAACTGGCGCGTAATGGTCCTCCTCCGTCACAAGTGGTTCTTGTCACCTGCCTACCAGACCAAGGTCTACTCCCGCACCATCATGGTCACCAATGTGCCCAAGGAATACCGCAGCGACGAGGGCCTTGTTCACCTGCTCGGGCAGCTCAAGGTCGACGGCATCAAGATTGCGGCCCAGATCGAGTCGTCGACAGCGGGCCGTCGTATCGGCGACTTTCCCAAACTCGTCGACGACCACAACGACGCTGTCAAGGACCTGGAGCACTGCCTCGTAAAGTACCTGAAGGGTGGCCAGATGGCAAGCAAGCGTCCTACCCTCCGCAAGGGAGGCGTCATGTGCTGCGGTGGCAAGAAAGTCGACGCCATCGACTACTACGCCAAGCAGATCAAGTTTCTGCACGACAACGTTGAAGAGCGTCGCTCCGTCATCAACTCGCTGTTGAAAAAGGAGCGCAAGGCGCGTAAGGGTGGCGCCCGCCCGCCTCGCGTCGAGGGCGAAAACTATGGCTTTGTGACCTTTAGGACCATTGCCGAGGCGCACCGCATTGCACGCACGCATGCAGGCAAGGCCAAGGAGCTTGGCGGCGCACAACTGCAGCTCGCCCCCATGCCCCACGACATTATTTGGGACAATCTCAGAAAGGAGCCCGTGGAGCTTGCCTCGGCCCGCTCGTTTGGTTTCTTCCTTTTGGGTGGCCTCTTCATCGTCAACGTTGTGCCTCTGGCTCTCGTCTCGTTCCTCTCTGCGCTCAGTTCGTTCGCCGCAATCTGGACCTGGCTCGGCGACTGGCTCGCAGCAAGCAAGTGGTCGGTGAGTCCTACAACACGAGTGTCTGTTCTCGTTCTAACACCTTCAGTTTGCCCTCGTGACTGGTGCCCTCGGCCCCATCCTCTCGACTCTGTTTAGTCTGTTTTTGCCGGCTCTTATCCGCCGTATCTGCAAGTACCAAGGTGCAGTCACCCGCAGTCGTCTCGACCGTGCCACCACCGCCCGCTACTTCTTCTTCATGCTTGTGTGGTACCTCATCCTCTTCACACTCATGGGTGCGCTCTACAACATTATCACCGGTATCATCAAGCTGGTCGGCAAAAAGTCTGCCCTCGAAATTCTCAAGTCGTTCGAGGACATCCCAGAGCGTAAGTGGAAGGAAACGGTAACAATGAGACGCCATTCTGACTCCTTTGCTTCAGTGTTCAGCAGTTCTTATATCAACCAGAGCACCTACTGGCTGACCTGGCTGCCTCTTCGTGGTTTCCTCGTCATCTTCGACCTCATCCAGCTGCTCAAGCTCGCCTTGGTGTCGCTTCGTCGAGTCATGTTCTCGTACACCCCGCGCGACATTCGCGACCTGACCAAGCCACCCTACTTTGATTACCACGTCGTCTCTGTCAACATCTTGTTCATCGCAGCCGTTGGACTGGTGTACGCGCCTATCGGTCCCCTTGTCACCATTGGCGCGACGCTGGTGTTCTGGTTCTCGCTTGTGGTCTACAAGTACCAGCTGCTCTACGTCTACGTGTCCCGCGCCGAGAGCGGTGGCCGCATGTGGAACGTCTACTGCAACCGTCTTCTCTGGGGTGTCCTGCTCATGCAGCTCCTCATGGTCCTCACCACTGGTCTTATCCGCGACCACTGGCTCGACGCTGTCGCCGCTGCGCCCCCAGTCCTTATTCTCGCCGTGTTCAAGGTCTACATGGCCAACACGATTGAGAGGAAGTTCACCTACTACCAGCCGACACCGGAGGAGGTGCAGGCCTCCCGCAGCCCCAGCATGGACCTGTTGGACAAGAAGGGCAAGCTCGCCGACATTGAGAAGAGCTTCCTCCACCCGGCTCTTCTGCAGGACAAGCTCTACAAGATCATGGTGCACAAGTCCCAGGAGGCTCTGGCCCGCGAGGTCCTCTCTGCCTACCCTTGGTTCGCCGGCAAGCACCAGCACGACGGTGTGGAGATCAGGGCCGTTCGCGAAGAAAACCTCGAGTACGACCCTGCACGCGACGGCCCCGTCGAGGAACGTGCTGTCGACTGGGACGCGCGCTCGATTGCTACCACGCTCGACCTGGACTCGGCGACGAATGCGGCACCTTCTGTGTATGCCATGTCAAGCCAGCCTTCGTTCAACAAGGGCTTCAACCGGTCCACCGACGAGCTGCTTGCCGACCCAGCTCCGCAGGGCGTCATGGGCTCGTACAACAACAGCGCTGTTCGTCTGAGCGAGGATGGGCCCCTCCTTGACCCATGGGAGCGTCAGAACGCCGGTGTGCCATACCCGCCTAGCGCCAGCCGTGTGGGTCCCAGTGCCTACAGTGGCAGCGCGCCGCAGTACACTGCCGAGCCGCAAGGATACGAGAACCAGCAAATGTACGGCCGTCCGCGGAACGGAAGCCAGGGTAGTCTTCTGGATCAGTACGGCCAGCCCGCTGTTGGAGGTGGTGGAGGTGGTCGGCCCCGTAACAACAGCCAGGGCAGTGTCAACATGCTCGAGCAGTATGGCAGCATGCCCCAGCGGTCGCGCAACAACAGCCAAGGCAGCGTCAACTTGCTGGACCAGCATGCGCCCCGGCCACGAAACGGCAGCCAAGGCAGCATGGACCAGTTCTACTCGCAGCCTGTACGCAGGCAGGAGAGTGGTGGTGGTGGTGGTGGTGGTTACTCGCAGCAGCAGTGGCAAGGCGGTGCTGGTGGCGGTAGGCAGTATTAAACAGTTAGCTAAACACATGCGCTGGCCGCAGAGGGACGACCTCGTATTTATTTTCACTAGACCACTGCATGTATCTATCACAGGCTTGCCGCCATTGTTGCTTTTTGTGTGCCAGTTAGCGTCGTCGGTTGCATGCGACGCGACTGGAATTACATTTGGAGAGCGTGCTGGCAATCTATTGCGAGCGCGCGAGCCACGGTCACGTGCCCATGCGACGGGATCAAACTGTCGACACGCGAGACCGGTTGGCGTGTCTCGCTCGTTGTGGGCGGCCAGCGCCAACGAGTGGGTGGTCCACTGTTCGATCTCTCTCTCTCCATCGCTCTTTCCATTCTCCCCCATCATCACCGTTCCCCTTGCCCCCCTCCTCGTCACTCCCATCACACACACAGACACGACGTGCACCACCTCGCACACACCGCATTCCAACTCCCGTATCCAGCCGTCCTACCCCCCGTCAAACACTCGCCACCCTGCCGCGACACTACAAGGAAGGCGCCGGCACAATGGGGCCAAGTGCGTCGCCCAGTCTCCCTTGTCGTGTTTCTTCGTTTTGCTGACCGTCGTCTCTACCTTTTGTTCGTCTCGCATCCCACTCTCACACTCTTTTGACTCGCCAACCTCCTTTATAACATTTTATGGTGAACCTTCCGCCCCCGTCTCCTCCGCCTTCGTCCGCATCCTTTGCTCTGGTGTGCGCTGTGCTCCACCCTCTGCAGCCTCGCCCCAGGCCTTGGCAACCTCACCCAACCAGTTCAACCACTTTTCCCCCTTGTCACCCGACATGACGAACAGTGCACTGGACGCAGACCCGGAAATGAACGCCATCTTAGGCATCGTGTCCAGTTCAGCAACATATCGAGGCGACGACGACGATGACGAGGACGCAATCGACCACTCGCTCGATGACCCTGCCATCGCCTCTGTCAACCCTACCAAACACGCTACCCCCATCCGTCAACCACGCGGCCCGTTGGTCATGTACTCGCGCGAGGAGCTCCTCACGCTGTCGGGCCGCAGTGTCGTCCCGGCTGGGTTCCCGCCTCTTGAATCGTGGTTTGGTAACCCGGTCAAGCAGCAGGGCAACCAGCAGCACGACGACCCCGCCATCGCTTCGATCGGCGGCCGTCGTGCAGGCCCCGGTTTCGGTGAAGGGTTCGGGTTTGGAGGCGGTATCGGCGGCGGACGTGGTCTGTCGCGTGGTCCTACGCGCAACATTGGGTGAGTTTTGCGCCCATCCAGGCGCGCCGCATGGTCGATGCGCTGGGATCAACCCTTCCACCGTCCCTACGAAGCAGCTAACAGATTACAGGTTACGCCGACAGCCCGAAGACCCGGCGATCGCAGAACAGAGGGGAGCTCCCAACTTTGGTGGCCCTATGGGCAAGTTTGCCGTCCGCCCAGGAGAGCGTGGCATGCGTCTAGGCGGCGATGAGCTCCAGAAGGGCCAGGGCGGCGGACAGGGTCGTGACCGTGACCGTGACCGCGGCGACCGTGGTGATCGTGGTGATCGCGGAGACCGTAACGACCGCAACGACCGTGGCGACAGGAGGCGAGACGACGGCGATTGGCGTCGTGGAGGTGGGTAATGTGTGTCGTTTAGAACTGACTCGATTCTCCAGCGTCTGACCGCCCTCCACACATGCGCAACGGCGAGGCATCGCGCCGCGGACCTGGGTACGGCCGGTTCGAGGACGACTCGTCCGAGCCTGCGTGGATGAACGACACCGCAGACACTGCCCTTGAAGACCCAGCTATTGCGAGCGCGAGCGGTGGCGCAGGCGGCTCGGCTGCCGGCGTGGACAACCTCATCCAGTTCATCCCTGGCGAGGACATGATCGCAGCGCACAAGCGTGCAATGAAGGCTCGCGCAGCCGGTACATCGCCGTCTGACAACTGGCGGGCAGGCGACAAGCCCCTGGTCTCGTTCTTTGGCGGCGCCCAGCCTGCACCAGCAGCTGCTGGGCCGCAGAAGCCTCGCGAGGTTAATGTGGCCAACTACTTCAAACACAAGGCTGTTGATGACGACGAGGACGACGCGATCGCTTCCAGGGAAGTCAAGGTGGAGCGGGAAGAGACGAACGCGTTCCAGAGCCGTTTCCAGCGTTTCTTTGGACAGCCAGCGCCCGGCGCACCTGGACCTGCGGGCGGAGCCCTTCCTCCTCCCCAGCAGCAGCAGCAGCAGCAACAGATGGCTCCTCCTCAGCAGATGCCACAGCAGATGGCGCCTCCCCAGCACCTCCCGGAGCGCTCCATCGCCCGCACACCCGAGCTGCAGCTCCCCGTGTCGCACTCGCAACAGCCATCGCCCGGCGCTGGCGTGCCCCAAGGACACGGCGGACCCCCTCCTGGTATGGCCCGCCAAGCCCAGCAGGACCTGGCCGGCCCTCGCGTCGACGACCACATGGCCAAGCTTATGGGTCTGCTCTCCACCAAAGGTGCTAGCCCCGGTCCTCGTGCCGAGTCGGCAGACATCAACGCCCGCCAGCAGCAGCAACACCAGCAGCAGCAGCAGATTCAGCAGCAGCAGCAGCAATACCACAACTACCCGGGTCCACCCCCTGGCATGGGCCCCGTGTCACCGCAGTACCCATCGCCCAGCGACGCTCATTCCATCCAGAGCCCCGAGTACATGAACGCGCCGATCCACCGTCACGAGCAACAACAGCGCCACGAGCAGAGCCCCGATCACGGCCACCCCATGATGCCTCCCCACTTCGCTTCTCCTCCTCCTGGCGCCGACCCGCGCCAGTTCTACGGCCCCGGCCCACAGTACGCACGTTCCCCCATGAGCGGCGAGCCGCCACGCGGATTCTACGACCGCCCTCCTCAGGTCGAGTCGCGCGGCCAGATGGCCCCTCCCGACCTGCTCCAGCTCCTCAACCAAGGTGGCAGGCCACCCATGGGTCCTGGTGGTCTTATGGGTCCTCCCAACATGGGCATGCTGCCCCCGCACCCCATGCAGATGGGACCTCAAGGTGTGCCCCAGGGCATGTACGGTCGCGGCCCCACGCCCGACGACCTCCTCCGCGGTCTGCAGGCTGGACCGAGTGGCGGTGCGCCGCCCCCAGGCTACCTGCCTATGCCCCGTGGCCCAGCGCCTGGCAGTCTCCCCAGCCCCCAGGCTCTTCAAGGTGGACCTCTGGGCGTGTCCCCCGGTGGCATGAATGGCCAGTCGCCAGCCGGCTACCCGCCCAACATGCAGGGCTTCCTCCCTCCCCAGCAACCTCAGTTTGGTTATGGCCAGCAGCGTCCCATGCCCCCCATGGGCTACCAGGGCGGCGGTGGCGGCGGCGGTGGTTACCCGCAGCAACAGCAGCAGCAGGACATGCTCGCCACTCTGCTTGCGGCCAGGCCTAGCGGTGCCCACTAGTCATCCAGTTTGACCAACTCCAACCAGCCCAGTTTCCACACTCGCCCAGTCAAGTCACTCAGGCTTACCACAGGGAGCCCCTGTGAGCTAGATGGCTGCAGCCCCCCGCCCCGCGCATCTGGCGCTGGCGCCATTCTTTTCTTTTCTTTTTCCCTCGTTCTCATTTCCCACATCGCCTCTGACCCGTCGCTTTCCGTACCCATGCAATGTGACCATGCATTCTGTACCTGTACATATATACCAAACGTGCGTGTGTGTGCGCACGCGCGCGCGTCTATCCCTGTCCTGTGTACCTCTTCCTGCCCCAGGCGCGCCACATGTCGGCCCAGACCTCGTGCTCGGCGTCGCCGGCGTCGCCGAGGCCAAACGGCCTTCCGACACCTTCACCCTCGCGGCCGCGGCCGTCGGCACGGCCGCCCGCAGTGACCACGTCGCAGAGGCTGAACAGTCCCGGCTCGAGCTCACGGCGGACCGAGGGCGACAGGCCACACCACGCGTCCGAGGCGGCGCGGGCGTACGCGACCAGCAGGGCCGGGGCGTGCTTGGCCAGCGGTCCCGCAAGGGCACGCGGGGCGTCGCCGTCGCCGAGCGTGCCAGTGTTGCTGCTGCTACCGACGCGCGCGGTGGCAAGCGAAACAAAGACACGCGCCAGGAGAGCGGCGTGCGCTGATGCCGGGTCGTCGGCGGTGGTCTCGGGCTCGACGCCGAGCCAGAACGGCCTGCGTGCCGCTGCCTTGCTGCGGCCAGCACGGGCGCGGGCGCGCTGCAGGAGCGCAAAGGTGGTCGAGAGCGTGCCGACGATTCCTGGGAGGTGCGCGAGGACGAGGTCGGCGCGGTGGCGGGAGAGCGTGAGCAGAGGGGTGAGGGCCAACACGACGAGTTCGGGGTTGAACGACGCGGGGCGCGAAGAGGCGTCCGGGGTGAGAGTGGCGGTGAGCGTGGTGAGGATCAAGGCCGCGTCCGCGGCGCGAAGGAGGCCCGTACGGTCGTCGACCAAGCTGCCGATGAGGCGGAGCGCCTCGGCAATGATGTCGACGTCGCCGACACGCACGGCACGGTCGAGAGATGAAAGGAGCTCGTGCAGCTGGGTAGCGAGGGCGCGGCCACTGCCCTCCACAGGCGCGGAGACAAGGACGCGGATGGCGTGCAGGGCAGCGACAAGCTTGCGTCCCGAGCACGTAGTGGCGAGAGCGACCACTGCGGAGAGGATGGTGGCGTATTCGTCCGCCGAGAGGGTGCGGACGTACGCACGGAAGGGCGCCTCGGCGGCACCCGCGTAGCGCGCCGAGAGAAGGAGGAACGCGGCGAGGACCGTCTCGGCCGAGCCAGAAACGGCGGCAAGAATGTCCAACGAGACGGCGGCGAGGGGCGCGGCGGCCTGCTTGTCGCTGGCGGAGAGGACGGCAGCGAGCAGCTTTGCGCCAGTCTCGTCGTTGCCCTCGGCAGCTGCACCACTGAGCCAGCGGGAAAAGCGCGTGAGCGAGCGGTAGGCGGCAAACACGTCCGCATCGGCGACCACAGCGTCCGAGGCCAGAGCAGAGGCGACCCGCGGAGCGAGGTATCCCCTGGCGGCCTCGTCGAGAGCCGTGAGCTTGGGCTTGATGTCGTCGGCGTACTTGTCGACCGACTGAGTCGGCAGGGCATCGAGCAAGAGCGCCGCGGCGGCAGAGCGCGTGTCGGCGTGCTTGAACGGCTTGCCCTTGATGGTGTCGTCGAGAACGGAGACCAGGGCCTCACCACGAACGCGTGCGAGGTGGGTGTACGTGGCACCTACAAGAGCAAGAGTCGAGGCCTCAACACCCTCGGCGCTCTTGAGGAGCTTCTTGACCTGCTTGGCATCCGGGTAGACGTCCGCCGCGGCAAGGCGTGTGAGCCACGTACGGATAGCGGCGCGGGTCTCGTTGTCACCCTCGCCGGCAGCAGCGTCGGTTGCATACGCGGCCTCAAGAAGGGCCACACGAGCAGGCTTTGACAGCCATGCGGCGGGACAAGCGGAAAGAACAACAAATGCGCCAGCCTTGGCGGCGGGGAGGGCCTTGAGCAGCGCATTGCGGACGTTGGCGAGCTCCCATGTCTCGGCGTTGGAGAAAACACGCTTAACGGCCGCGGCGACTGAGTAACCCTCGTCGGCGGTAGAGGCACGAGCAATCATGGTTCCTGCAAGAGTATCAAGCTGGGCGCTGGTGGCCGTAGCGTCGAGAACAGCAAGGCCACGCTCGGCAGTCAGAGTCCATGCGGCGGCAGCAAGAGTCTTGTCCGTCACTGTCGCGTCGCGGCCTGACCACGCCTTCTTGGCACTGCCGTCCAACACCGAAAGGATAGCGTCCACAGCAGTGGCACGCTCAGTGGCGTCAGAGTCCTCGGCGTGAGCCGTGAGGGCGAGGTGGGTAGAGACATAGTGGAACGCCTCGAGACGGAGCTCGGCGGTGCCAGCCACAACGGGGACGGCAACACCGTCGTTGCGGAGGATCAAGCGAGCGGAACGGGCGACGCGCAGGCGTGCGGCAGCCACGAGGTCGGCAGAAACGTTGACGGCGTCGGACTTGCGCTTCTTCTTCTTCTTACTGTCGTCTTCGTCCTGCTCTTCATCCTCGTCCTCGAAGGCACGGGCAGCAGCACCGATAGCGCCCTCGACTTCCTCGCCGCCCTCCTTGGCACGAGCACCAGCGTCCAGCACAACCTTGGTCAAGCGGGAGAGCACCGCAACAAGACGAGCAGGGGCATCCTCGCGCTTGCGCTTGCCGGCCAGGGCAGTACGCACGCGAAGAGCAATGTCGTCGAGCAGACCAGCCCACTGAGCACTTCGCCTACCGCCGAGGTTGGTAGAGCGCACGGCGGCAGCAAGTTCGTCGCGGAACTTCTTGTCAGACAGAGGTCCGGCAGCAACGAGCGTGTACACTGCCGCAAGGGCATCGGCGGGCAAGCTGGCGTCAAAGAGGCCCTGGGCAGCATCCGCGAGGGCATCGAAAAAGTTGCCCAGCGAGTGGGTGAGCTGGTGGAAGCGGAGGAGGGACGAGAGGAGAGCACGGGCGGCGGCATGGGTGCGGGCGGGGGAAGCGAGACACCAGCCAACAACGTCGGTGCCGATGGCCGCGTGGTCGTGGTCAAGACGCTCGAGGGCATCGAGGGTGCGGAGGATACGACCGGCGAGGCCCTCGTCTGTGGCGTTGACATCAGAGGCACCGTATGCGGACAGCGCAGACGCCGCACGGCGCGCCTCGGCGGCGAGAAGCGTACCTGCGCGCTCGTCCGTCTCGAGGTAACCGCCCCAAGTGAGGAGGGTGTCCCAGAGACGAAGGTGAGCGCCCCAAATGGCCTCGACCAGAGGGGGAACGCCAGCAGACGATGATGGACGGGCAAGGGCGGCGTCCTCGAGGCTGTTGGCCAGTTCGAGGCATGCAGCAAGAGCCGGAATCACCGCAGCACGGGTCTTGTCGGCCACGACAACGTCGATGGGAGTACGCTCGTTGGCGGAACGGCCGTACAGGGTGTAGCGGTGCTGCTTGGTCGCGGCGACAAACGCGTCAAACAGGTGTGGGACGAGCTCCAGAGCTGGGGCAAAGTCGGCTGTGGGCGAGGCCGGTGTGAGAGGACCCAGGAGGGCCTTGAGGGGCTCGATGGTCTGCAGAGTCTGGATGGGGAAGAAGAGGGGCCCAGTCAATGGCTCGAACGTATCCCGCAAGCTCGGGTGGGAAGCAAGAGTGGCCGCATACGCTGGAAGGGAGGAGTGGAGGGACTGGGCAATCTTCTTTGAGTTTTGCGACGAAGGAAGCGTCTCGGTGAGCGAGTTGCAAACCAGCGTTGCTGCAGGGGACAGGGCGTTTGCCAGCGAGGTCGACGGTGACGCAGCAAGAACAGCAACGAGCTTGCCCCAGACCTCTGCCCAGGCATCGGCCTTGTTCACCTCGCCGCCAAACAGGAGAGGAAACGAGGCGGCCGCTGCGAGACCCAGGCCCTCGTTGAGGGTTGGAGGAGATGCCGCAGTCGAGGTAATGTAAGTTGCAAGGAGGGTGAGAGGAGCGACGGGAGGGGATGCGCACGACGGGGTGACGGCGACGAGGAGGTTGTGGTAGTGTGGGTCGAGGATGGGGTTGTTGGCACCTGCCTTGGCCCTTGTCCACGCTTCGACGATCCAGTCGCGCACCACATCTGCCTTGCGTGGGACGACGAGGTCGACGTCGTTCCAGGCTGCTGTGGCGAGCTCAACCTTGGAGGGCCCACCCTTTGTTGGTGGGTCTGCGGCACCCTTGAGTGCCTTGATGAGCGAGGAGCCCGTGATGGGCGTGCTTGCCATGGCTGCAAGGAGTGTGGTGGTGGTGGGTGGTGGGGGTTGTTTATGGGATTATCCAGGCGGCCTGCCATTCAGCAGAAATTTAGAAACACACTGTGCGTGGGTGGAACGGCGCGGGTGGAGGTCAACGGGAGCAAATACATGAACACGTGGGATGCGCGTGGCCGGCGCGTGGCGGCAATGGGTGCAGTGGCCTCCACCACCGATTCACCACACAGAGTTTATGCATAGCACAAGAGTGGTCATTGTTTGTCTACCGCGGGGATACTACCTCTGTACCACTGCAAGACAGCACGCCTCGTTGTTTCAAGGCCTTGAACACTCATACACGGGCGACATGTGGGGGGAGGGAACGGCTGGAACGGGCCGACAATGCTCCGAGGTACTAACTCTCCCTCCTCGTCCTCTGTACCTCTGTACCTCTGTCTGCTACACACCAAACGGATGTCGCCCTCAACTCCCGAGGGCTCCTGCACCCGGATACGCCATCTTGCCCAGCGCTTGTGATTTTCTGTTCTGTCACCGGGCCGATTACTGTAAGATAGGGTGAGGGAGGGGGCGAGGAAGGCGAAATGGACCGACGAGAGAGAGAGAGAGTCAGTCTCTGTGTTTGACACCAGATGTCTCGACAGTCTCTTCTGTAGACGCTGCCAGATGGCAGTGGAACAAACTGTTTCACCTGCAACTATGGCGGCTGTGTGGTGCGGGTCATCTCGCAGAACATGACATGGCCCAGGAATGCAAAGTGAAACCCGGCCGCTGCCACCATATGCACGCGTGTCAGCAACAGCTGGCAGACTGTGCACGCTGTCGATCCTCCCTTTTTGTCCTGGGTGGTGGCGTTTGGGCGGCTGGCTGCGCGCAACCGGCGCTCCGGTCCCAACGTCCCAACCTTCTTTACACGTGCAGGCAGAGCAATTCGCAGCAACAGCAGCAACAGCAGCACGGCCACTTGCGGGGTTACTCGAGCCATGCCATTGGGTGCTCGCCGTCGTCTTGTGAGCCGGCGGCGCTGTCAGGACTGTTCGGCTCATTGTCCTCCGGCGGTTGGGTGGTGGCGGGAGCATTCCTCCCCTGTGTGGGCCCTGGCGGGTGGGTGCGTGGAGGCGTGGCAAAATGTCATTGTGACAATGACGCGCACAATAAGAACGACGAGCGAGCGAGCGAGCAAACCGAGACAATAACCCACAAGGTCACAAGCATAACCGGCAAAGCAGCAGTGAGCAAAACACCACATTCTGCACATCTGCCACAGCAAACACGCACGCGTTTATAACACGGCCGATCCGCTCCACCGCCAGATCTCTTCTGTCTCTCAATCATTCTCACAACACCACAATCACAACCACATCCAACCACCACACCCACACCACCATGACCATCTCCCGCCCCGTCTTCAAGCTCGCCCCCGGCATCCAGTCCTACGACTGGGGCAAGCCTGGATCCTCGTCGCTCGCTGCCCAGCTCGCCCGCGAGTCGGTCCCAGACTTTGAGGTCGACGAGAACAAAAAGTACGCAGAGCTCTGGATGGGAACGCACTCGACCCTCCCGTCGCGCGTCGACGCGACCACGTTGCTCTCGTCCTACCTCGTCGCCCACCCCAACCTCATCGGCAGCAAGGTCGCCGCAAAGTACCCCGGCTGCAAGGACGGCCAGCTGCCCTTCCTCTTCAAGGTCCTCAGCATCGGCACCGCCCTCTCCATCCAGGCCCACCCGGACAAGTCCCTCGCCGAGCAGCTCTACGCTACCCGTCCCGAGATCTACAAGGACCCCAACCACAAGCCCGAGATGGCCATTGCCCTCACCCCCTTCCGCGCCTTCCTCAACTTCCTCCCTCCCGCGACGCTGCTCCTCCACCTCCTCACCGTTCCCGAGCTCGCCGCTCTGATCCCCGTTGCCGCCGTCCAGGCTCTCGGCGCGTCGCTCAACCTCCCAGTCACCACCCCCGTGGCTGACCCGGCCGCCTACGTCTCGTCGGGCAGTGTCACCGACGCCCAGAAGGCGGCCCTCAAGGCTGTCTTTGGTGCCCTCATGTCTGCCACTGCCGAGCAGTACAAGCCTGCCGTCGCTGCCCTCGTCCAGCGCTACCAGTCCGGCACCAACATTGCCGCCTCGGAGAAGGCCCTTGTCGACCTGGTCCTGCTCCTCGACAGCCAGTACCCGGGCGACATTGGCACCCTGTGCGTGTTCGTCCTCAACGTCATCGACTGCCAGGCCGGCGACGCCGTCTTCCTCGGCGCCAACATTCCGCACGCGTACATTTCCGGCGACGTTATCGAGTGCATGGCCACCTCGGACAATGTCGTCCGCGCCGGCCTCACCCCCAAGCTCCGCGACGTCCCCACCCTCGTCGACATGTTGACCTACGAGGCCGGCCCCGCCGAGCGCCAGTTCCTCGAGCCCACAGAGTTCAACCGTGACCCCACCACCAAGATCTTTGACCCGCCCATTGACGAGTTTAGCGTCCTCCGCACCCACCTCGCCAAGGACGAGGTCACCACCACCCGCGCCATCGACGGCCCCTCGATCGCCGTCGTCACTGCCGGCGAGGCCATCGTCTCGTGGGGCTACGAGCAGGACCTCATCGTCACCCGTGGCGACGTCATCTTCATGGGTGCCGGCTCCGAGTTCAAGTGGGAGGCCAGGAAGGACACCGAGGTGTTCCGCGCCTTTGTCGAGGCTTAAGACACGGCGTCGTCGTTGGGGCTCTCTTTTTTGTTTCTTTCACACAGTAGACAAACAACAAAACGCACAATGTGCAAGGAAAGGACAGTAGAATGATACATCACATGAACTCGGCGTTGAAAATACACAGGCGTAACTGGCCAAGTGGCGGAACCGGGTGGAGAACAGTAGGCAAATTAGGCAAAGGCGGAGGAGGTGTCGCTGGGGAGGGTTGGTCGTCCTTTTTAAGCGTGCATGACCGAGTCGAGTCCGAGGAGGCGGCGAATGACGGGGACCATGTCCTCCTTGGACATGACGGGCAGAGTGTCGGCGTCGGCTTCCAGGTAGTACGCGACCATGCCGCGCAGGACCGCCGTGCCGGCGTTGGAGATGCCGCCAGGGTTGGCAAACTCGCCGGGCACGCCCTGGGGGAGGGGACGGCCAAGGTGACGGGGGACAAGGACCGGGAGGCGGGCGAGGGCACGAGCTGGGTTGGTCGAGCTGCAGCAACGTCAGCCCTTTTCGTTGCACGACACGAGACGAGAAGGATATGCTCACCGAATGCGCTGGGATTCCAGCTCGACAGCAAGGTTGTCCATCCGCTCCGAGAGTCTGGCGAGGCGTTCGTCGACCCTCTCGTCCAAGTCATCGATAGAGATGACAATGTCGTCGATAGCATCCGTCAACCCGCCGCCGAAGGTGTCGATGCGCTGGTAGAGGCGGCCGAAACCGAGGTCACCATCCGTGGCAAGCTGCTGGAGGTTGGCGTCGAGGCCAAAGACTGTGATGGTCAACGGCCATGTTTGCCTTGCTTGGTCAATGGGGCTTACCGGCGACTGCCAGATCGATCCTGTTCTTGAGGCCAATTGCCTCTTGCAGTGGCGCGGGCGATACAGCACTGGTCGTGGTCACCTGCAGCAAAGAAACAAGTTCGGTACAGCCGACGTGGACCACGTCGAAGGGTGGAGGGAGCACGCCGCCGGCGATCGGGACACGCTCGGCGAGGGAGGGGATGGCGCGGAAGACGGGGTGGGATGCGAGGACTGCGGAGACCTGCATCGTGACGGAGGGTGCTTGCGAGGTGGAGAAGAGAGAGAGAGAGACAAAGAGAAAGAGAGAAGATGACGATGGTGGTGGCGAAGGAGGTTGTTTGTTTTGTTTGTTTGTTCGCCGCTTGCAGGCCGTCCAAATGCACAATCGTTCAGTCTTCCCTTTCGCGGGGCCGTCACCCATCCATCCCGTCACTGCTGGCACAGCATCATCAGCTCCTTATACACCACTTTTCGTTGACCGCTCCACACCAAGCCCCCACACATGCAAACGGTCGGTACTATACTGTGTACATGGAGCCCAAGATAACATGTAACGTCTATTCCACAACCACTCCCGACACTCCTCCCGGCGCGGCCCTCAGCCGGTCCATGAGCGCCTGCAACCGGTCCTCTACACTGCGCTCCATACCGCCATGGCCCACACTTGCACTCCCACCTCCCGACAGGTCACTGCCGAAACTCTGTGCCGAGGGCGACTGGACGTCCTGGGCAGTAAAGTTTTGCTCGAGGTCCGGACGCAGGCGGCGTTGCTTGAGTGGGGACAAGGTCGCGGTCGATGTGGACAAGTCTTGGGCGGCGCCAGGTGCGAGGTCGGCGTCGTCAAACTGGCCAGGACCGAAGCCAAGCGCACCGTACTGCGGCACACCCATCTGTGTGGGACGAATGTCGATACGGCCACGCGTGGCGCCGCCCGTTGCATCGCCAGACAGCTGGTCAATGAGGTCGGCCACGTCCGCCGATGAGGTGTAGTAGACCTAATGGTGTCAGATGGGGTTCATGCAACAACTCGATTCGACTCGACTCACCTTTGTCTCCGGGCGGCGCATAAAGGACAGTCCAGCAGTAGGACCCACGCGCCATGGTCCATTCGCAGGTAGTCCACCCTCTGCAACTTCGCTCAGACGCTCAGGCGGCTGGCTCTCGCGCTGTGATCCAGTGTAGTTACTCGTTTGGCTCTGGGTAGACAGCACCGAGCCGCGCTGAAGCTCCTGCTGGTTGTTGGTGTGGTCCTCGGACGTTGATCCGTGGCCGGCATCACTGCGCAGGGCATTCACAATGTTCCACACAACGCGCCCGTCGGCGTACTCGGTAATCTCGAGACCCTGGGATCCACGGTTGAACTGCTGAGAGCCAAACTGCGATCCGCGATCAAACGTCTCAGAGACCGGAGAGTCGCCGTTGTAATAGTCGAGGAAGGAAGAAGTCGAATGTGGGAATCCACTTGATGTGGCGCTCGCAGGCTCACTGTTGCCATAATAGTGCGAACCGTCATAGTGAGGTGAGGGCGAGACCAGCGAGGACATTGCGTCCGACGTGTTGGACTCGGTGCGGATGTGCAGTCCAGGACGCGGGTTGGGCTCCACCGGCTGCTTGTCAATGTTGGCAAGCGGCACGGGCTTGCGACGGATCGAGTTGCCGCGCTGGAACGGCGCCGCCTTGCCGTTGGAGGTGCCGTTGAGAGCTGTAGTGGGCGAAACGGGCGTGGTCGGGACGGCGTCATTGTCGGCGAGCTGAAGGGGTGAGGGAGGGAGCTTGCGGCCGCCACCGCCACCGCCGTTGCCGCCCGTTCGCGACACTTGGGGACTGAGGGGAGCACCAGGAGTAGCAGCTTCGTCGACCATGACGATTGTGCGGCGCAAGATGCTGGGGTCAATGTCGCTGGATGCACGGGGCTCCGAGAGCGCACGCTCCGTGATGCGAGGGCTCTCGTCCACTGTCGACGGGATGCGAGCGGGAGGGTGGAGGCGACCGCTGATCGAACGCTCTGACAGGGGACGGTCTGACAGAGGACGGTCGAACGATGATGCCACCTGGTCCAACTGGCTCTTGTCAAAGAACGGCTGGGTAGGCGGCGGGCTGTCGAACTGGGAAATGACGAACTGGCTCGCGTCAATGTCACCGTGGCCCCAGCCCAGCGTGAGCCTCGGTGCCGCCTTCGGTGAGGAGCGTGCCCCAGTAAACGACAAGGGCGCCGACGACAGGCGAGAAAGCGAGCTGCTCGCGTCCGAGTGGCGGACACCGTTGGACGCCAGGATCTCGTTGAGACGCTCGTCGTCAAAGCCAACCTCGCGACCGGCCTGGATAAACTTGTCGATCGACGCGTCCGAAGGTGTCGTGCCGTGCGTGCGCCGCGAAACAACCTTGTCCAGATTCGGGTTGGTAATCGCCTGCAGCGCCGCGCCAGTGAGGGGCTTGGAGCGCTGGCCTTTGGGCGACGCGGGGCGAACCTCGGCGGTAGGCGCGGTACGGGCATCCCCACCAGGCGAACCACGGGTGAGCGCAACCGGAGGCGACTGCGAGGGGAGCGCTGACAGGTGCTGAGGCGGGGTACGAGACTGGGGTTGCGAGGCAAGCACAGGCGAAGCATGAGTGGGCACGGCACGTCCGTTGGGAGCGTCGTGATGGGGAGTATTCTGGGTCCCCCTTGGAACGACGCCGTTGGGAGCAGGCATGTCGGCGCCGCCATTTTGGGAGCCCGGAACTCCGTCAGGTGCATGGGGGAAACGGAAACCGTGCAGGTCGGTACCCTCGGGCTTGCGCGACAGTGAAGCAGGTGGCGTGGGCTGAGCGGTCTGCTGCTGCTGCTGCCTTGGGGTCGTCGCAAGGGGTCCAGAGAGAGGCGCAGTTGCTGGGGGCATGGGCGGCATGAACGGCGTGACCTCTGCACCCGAAATGCTCGGTCTCTTGAACCCGAGCTTCCGCCAGCGTCCACTGAGCTTGTGGCCCGACGATCCCTTCTCGCCCGCCTTTTTGCCCAGAGAACCCTGGTCCCCAACACCTGGGATCGACGCGATGGGCGTTGTAGGCACCTTTGCGGAATACGACACGAGTGTGGGGGATGAGATTTGCTTTTTGGACAAGCTACGCTTGTGTGCAGAGCGGGATGGCGCGCGGAACAGCGAGCTGTTGGCCAGCTGGATACGTTCCTCAATGTCACGACGCGCGTCGGGGTCATCGTCGAGCCACGTCTTACCTCCAGAAGCCGATCGGTCGTGTCCACTTTGGCCGTTCGTGTTACCAGTGGGTGACGCCGCTGCAGGCGACGCAACACCGGTCGGCGATGCTATACCAGCAGCCCACGGCGGGAGAGACGAAGGCGTCACGACCGTTGGCGACATGGAGGCAGCCGACACGGGCACAGGGGAGATGTTGGCTGGAGGGGGTTGGGGGCGCATAGGAGGAGGGCCTCTTGGGAGCTCGGACCGGGGCACATGCTGTGTGGGGAACTGGGATGGGGAAGTTGGAGGACCTGGGGACGGGGCCGTCACACCGTTATCAAGGCGAGCGGGTGGCGCGGGCTCAGCGGGGCGCACAGCGGGGCGCACAGCAGGACCAGACGTTGGCGGCATGGGCCAAGCTGGACTCTTTGACAGTGTTGCAGGGAGGCTAGCTGCTGAGGCTGCCGCTGACGATTTTTGGACCGGCACATGTGTCTCGGACGCAGACAATGGCGGCTGTGATGGCTGGGGGGACTGTATTGTGTTAGCACAAAACAACCGACTTAAGGTGGTCCAGACAAAAGGCCACTCACAGGAGTGACATCCTCGTCGCGTTCACTGCGTAGCCTGTCACGCTCCGACTTTGCGTTCTCCACCAGACGGCCCTGGATGGCCATGAGCTCGTCCTTGCCCATTCCGCTCATCGAGCGCAGCAGGTCGAGGTCCGCGCGGTCCTGGTCGTCGTTGGGGGTAATGACCGCGGCATGGTCGAACGGGCGGTCGCGGAACATACTGTCCCAGAGGGCGCTGTCGTCCATGCCGGGCATGCTAAACGTCGAGCTCGTCGACTCGTGTGTCCTGACGCGCTGGAGTGGAGCTAGTGGCTGTGCCGATGGATCCTTCATAGGGAACAAGCCAATCGCCTCTGAGGTGCGTCCAATCGACCCGTGGCTGTACAGGTTTGACGTGATCTCGGTGTGTGGTGGACGGGAGCTGTCACTCGACGCCGATCTCTCGGCCTGCTCGTCCTCGATAATAACCGCCTTGGTTGGTGAATGCACGCCGAGCGACGATCCCGAGCGCCAGGAGTTAAACTCGCCAATGCTGTGGCTGGCCTGATGGCGGGCAGCGAGGACGCCAGGGGCTGGAACATGGCCGACCTTGCTGCTCTGCGTCGGCGTGTTGGATCGCGATCCTGCGTTGGAACCCTGAGTCGCAGAATGAGATCGTGCAAGCTGCACACCGCCTTGCAGCGCACTGTATCCACTGCGACGCTGGCCAGTGGGCGCGCTGGGGAAGGGGGCGCGCGTCGGCAGTTGGCCGATGCCGTTCATCGCGCTGGGGGACAATGGCGAGCCAAAGGGTGGTGTTGAGCTCTTGGACGAAAACGAGCCGTGTCCACCGTGACGCGAGCCCACTGGACGGGGCTGGCCGGGCACGTAGCCGCTCGTGACGCCAAACGCTGGTGATGGGGTGTGCCGCACGGGCTGGGGACGGAACGGCTTCAATGCGGGCGCAGGGACTTGGTAGTCGGTCTCGCTGAGGCTGGTGGTCGCCGATGAGACGCGGGTGGAGTCGTCGGCGCGGTACATGTCGGCGCCTTCTGGCGCGGAGGCGGCTGGGGAAGGGGAGGGGGACTGCATGCCTGCGGGCACAGCCGGGAACGACGCCGATGGGAGTGTTGGCGACTGGCCCGCAGACGACTGCATGGCTTGCAAGTTGAGTGTGCGCGGAGAGGAGGGGAGGGATGGGGGTTTGGAGACGGGGGTAGGGGGGGCTGCGGTGGAGGGTGCAACGCTTGCCGAGCCGCCGTGTGCACTTGAAGTTGGCGAGACGGTAAATGGGAAGACGGACGAGGACGCTGATGTTGATGTGATGGATGGAACGCGGTCAAGGACAATAGGGTCCCCTCCATCACCGTCCAGAATCTCTTCCTGGTCATTTAGAACCACGTATGAACCTTGTTCCGCGCCACGCGAGGGTTCTTCCGGCACCTCCACCGCAGACACCAGGTGGCTTTCAAGCTCTAACAATGCCATTGAAATGCGCTGCGCCTGTGCTGGGCTCAGGCCCATCATCAAGGACTGTCGTTGCTGCGGCTGCTGCAGCTGATGCAGCCGCTGTCTGGGATGTGGTCCGCGTGCATCCAGCGGCGTTGTCTTTTGTGGACGCTGGATGAGCACCTCATCCACCAGCGACTGCGGAGTGGAGGTGACTGGCGACGTGACGCTTCTGCCGCCGATGGACGCTGTTGATACATGCGCAGATGGCAACGCCGTACGGTCTGATGAGCTCGATGGGCTGCTCGATGATGCTTCGCGGTCCGTGAGCGTAGGCATCGGTGGGTACATGTCGGGTAAGGGTTTCCGGCGGGGTGGGCTAGGGTGGTGAGGCGTTGGCGTGTCGGCGACACCTTCGGCCGGCTTGCCAGCCGTCTTGGTGACCTTGCGGAGGTAGTTGTTGTCACGGAACCCAGCACTGCTGGAGAAGCCATAGGAGCGGGGACCAATGCGCTCGCCACCAAAAGTAGAGTACGATGGCGACTTGACTGGGGCAAGTGGTGTGAATGATCCAGACGGCGACAGCTGGGTCGCCGACCCGCGGGCAGATGTGGACAATGTAGCCAGGTCTGAACCCGACCGTGAGCGCACAGATGGGGACGACATGGATCCCGCGAGGCTGCCGGTGCGAGGAGCGTTCCCATACCCCCAGTCGCCATCAAGCGGCGGCGGGTTTCCGTCCCATTCTGAGATTCCACTCATGACGCTCGGCGCGTCGCCCCTGAGCTCTGCAATGAGGAGCTCTTCCTCTTCGAGCGTGAGACTGGGACCGTCGTTACGGCCACGCTGCTGTGCTAACAACGAGCGAACAGTCTGGTCCGGCGCTGCTGTGAGGCCAGGGAGGAGCACGGAGAAGCGTTGCGTCAGGCTGCGGTAATGTCAGTCGCGAAGTCCTGAATATCCTGCTAGACGCGCCGCGCGCTCGGACCGCCGTCTGCGACTTTTTGGCAGCAGCAGCAGCAGCGATGATGGCGGTGCAACGACGATGACGCGATGCTTTGCGCGCGACAAGCAGAGCAACTCACCTGGGCAGAATGAGTGAGTTGCGGATGTCAATGTCGAGGCTTGGCGGCAGACGTGGGAGCGGGGCGGCGGCGCGCTTGGGCAGGGCGGCGACCTTGTCCTTGCGGAAACGGTGTTCGCGCGGCTGGCTGCTGCTGTCGCTGCGGGCGTTGGACGTGGTGCGTTTCCTGTACACCATCAGTACTTCTGCTGTGCGGTTGTGGTGGGTGGTAGGTGGTGGTGGTGGCTCACCGGAACAACTTGTCCATCTTGGGCACCTTGCCCTCTCGGGGCTACGCGGGAAGGAGGATGGAAGGAGGGAGTCGTCGTCGTCGTCGGTGTGTTGAAGGAGGAGGGAGGGGGAGGGCGATACGTGTGGATGACGCCGAGACGGGTGGATGTGGGGGGGGGGGGGGAGGACGGTGGGTGTTTTGTGTTTGAGAGAGGGCGAGTGGACGACGAGAAGAGTGGATGGGGTGGATTTGGACGCGCGCGGATGGATTGGTTGATGGATGAGGGACGCGGGAAGGCGAGTGAGAGGGATACCGCCGGGATCACGCTTTTGGCCCGCGTATAACACAGGGTGGGTGTGGCCAGGTTGCCGTGACACGGGTACACTCGACAAGGCTCCAAGCATGTGCACTGCTGCTGCTGCTGTGCATGGCTCTCTAGGTGTATTTTGTACCTCTTCTGTCTGCCTCGCTCACAGATGCATCTGCCGGGTGGCTAAAAGGGCTAAACCGGCCCCCTGCGAAAACAAACAAGACAACATGACTTGAATGGGGACGCGCGCGTGTCACCCCCTCTGGTCGCAAACGCGCGCAAACCCAACCTGGTGGAATGCGTATGCAGCGTGGAAAAAGAGATAAAGGTCAGAGAGTGGTACGTGCTCCCTTCGGCTGCATCCTCTCTCTTGCTGTCTCTGGATCTCTGGGGTCTCTGGCCCGCGACCCACACTCTAGTCACACTGTTGGGGGAGGGAAGACGCGTGCATTTCACTGCAACCCACGCCTGTTTTTAGCGCCGGTCGCTGCTCCACAAGCTACAAGAGGTGCACCGCCATCACGCCACTGCATGCCTTCGTGTGCATGTTTCGTGTCTGCCATTCCATTCAGCCCACAAAAAGAAGATGGCCGATGGGGAGTGGTAATCCATATAAAAAAAGTATCACATGCTGGGTATATACAAACACGCGTGCCTGTCTGTCTCACCGCTCATATCTCGCTCTCTCGCTCTAAAACGCGTCACTCTGCTCTCCGTACCTCCGTACTCTGCGACACACGAACCTGACCTCCTGGCCTCCTGGCTGCAGCTGGCTGGAGTGGCAGTCTCCGGTCCTGGCCGGTCCTGGGTGGCGTGGCGGTCTGGCGGGTCGGTCTGTACCTCTGCCTGTTACACAGACCCCCAAGTCGCCTACAACACCTCCACCACACGCGACTTCTTGTCATTCTCGAGCGCCTCCTCGATCGTCTTGACATTCTCACGCACACGCTCCACGCCAACCCGCACAACGTCCATCACGTCGTCCACGGACAGCGGGCTGCCTCCCGCCTTGGACAGGACACACAGCTCGCGCTGGGCATTGAGCGTGATGGTCATGGTGCCTGCGGCAAGAATCTCCTCAATGTGGGAAGGGTCCAGGATGGGCTGCAGGCCCTCAAAGTAGGCAAACGTCAAGCACAGTGGAGTGTGGTGGATCGCAAGGGGCACGGGGGCACGCTCGTCGGGGGAGTGCTGGGGAGGGAGTTAGTCGACCGACGCTCGTAACGGGAGGGACAAAGGGAGTGTGACTGCACACATGGCAAGAACTACCAGGATGGACACGACGGTTCAAGTGACTGCAGGTGTGCAAATCCCTTTCGTGGTCGTCTCAACGGCTGCGCTTCTGGGAAGGCCCCAGCAGAGAGGCCCCGGAAACAAGAACAACTCACCACAATGGTCTCGTCACCCAGGACCTCGAGCTCAGGCTTGCGGAAGTGACGAAGAGCAGCCATGGCTGCGAGCGATGCACAGTCGAGCAGGTTACCGGCGACCGAAAGGAAGTGGAGCGTCAAGCGCAGGTGCCAGACCTGGAGAGCGTGTGTCAGAGCAGTGTCCCCAGTCATGCAATGTTGAAACCCACCTTCTCACCAGCCACAATACACAACGCCTCGCGGTCGACAGCCTCCGTCCTCCTGATGCTCTTCTCCAGCAACCGGGTGATCATGACCTCGTCCTCGGATGCACTGTGATTCCAGTGTCAGCTTCACTTGGGCCACAGTAGCCAGTCACAACTCACCGTCCGGCCTCGAACACGCTCGACGCCATGGGACTGATTTCGCTGGTGATCTGGAGGAAGCCCTCGTACGGCCTGTCGTCACGGGGCTTGACAATGGTCGCAGTCACCTGGGCAAGCACACTGTTCCATTTGTCAGCGTTTGGCCCTCTCTGAGCGTGGGAGAAGCAGGTACTTACGCTGTCTTCCCCAAGCGACACTCGACGGAACCCAGCTCGGCGCCAAACGTGAGGGTAAACTTGCGCTGTTCCAAGGGGAGACGGCCGTCGAGACGCTTCCCCTCTGCGAGGGCCGACTCGAGAAACTCCTTCTGGACGGATGGCGGCTCAATTTCGCGGGGCATGGTGGGTGGTGGAGCAGCTTTGTATGTTGATGACTGAACAAGGACGTCTGAATTACATCTTTTGAGCCCCCTCTTGGGTGGAGGGAAGAGGGAAGGTGTGGAAATTTGCTTCCGTCGTCTTCCCTTCCGCGTGTGTCCAGGTCACATCCACTCGTCCCAACTCAATGTCAGCCTTGTCTTCAACAACAACAACGATACATCCTCACCATGTCGTCCCAGGACGTCCGCTCCATCCTCAACCTCCCCGCGGCAGGTCCATCCACGGGCTCCCACTCGAGGAAGTCCGCCAACATTGCACGCAAACCAGATGGTATCTCTCGAGAATTGTACGCCCTCATTGGAGACAATGCACCGTCCCTTGCAGAAGCGCAAGCTTCCATCGCCGCCGTAAAGTACCGCGACAGGCCCAAACTCAAGACCAAAAAGGTCAAATGGTGCGTGTGAAGAAAGCGAGGCCCTTTGCTGCGCCCACTCAACAGTTCACTGCATGCGCGCGGAGCTGACTGTATGACAGGGAGTGGACAGACTTTACACCTTTCGCGAGGGAAGGGCAGGTCGGCGCGCCTCGTCTCGGCCACTGGGTGCGCGTGACGGACGATGACCCGCATGCCAGAGGTGGGTAACTGTGGTGTGGCCGTCTGCTCACACCGATCAGTGGACTATTTCGGCAGCTTCAACCTCCACGGCCCCAGCGTCATGGAGTACTCACAGTTTGAGTATGACCAGCACCTCGTGGACCCCAACTGGACCGCGCATGAGACGTCGTACCTCTTTGAGCTGCTGCGCCAGTATGACCTCCGCTTCGTCGTGGCCGCGGATAGGTATGAGTACCCCGGCAGGACGGGAGGTCCCATCAAGAGGCGATCAGTTGAGGAAATGAAGGACCGCTACTACACCATTTGCAGGCGGCTGGTGCGGACACGTACCGCGAGCGACGCGCAGGTCCAGCAGCAGCAGATTGTGCAATACTCGTTTGACAAGGGTGAGTTTGAGTGTATTGTTCTGTTACTGACCACCTCCCAGCGCGCGAGATCAAACGCAAGCAGTATGCGTCCGAACTCTTCCACCTGACCGCCGCCGAGATTGCCGAGGAGGAGGCCCTCTACCTCGAGGTCAAGCGTCTGGAACAGAATGAGAAACGTTACCGTGCCGACCGCGACGACCTCATGCGCAGCATCATTGGTCTCGACAGCGGTCTGGTTAACCTCACTGGTGCCAACAACGAGGGTGTCCACGGTCTGGACAGGAACAAGAAGAAGCGCCGTCCAGAAGACGAGGTTCCAAGCGCAGCGGCGAGCCCAGCGGGTCCTCCGACCAAAAAGCAAAAAGACCAGGCTGCCTTTGGTGCGTCCGAAGACCCGCGATTCTCATTACTGACGCCCAGATACCGCCCACTGCATCTACCGCGTGCCCCAAATCCCCGTTGGCCCCAACGCCTCACACCTGGCTACCAAGCACCCAGTGCACCAGCCCGTCCACCTCCGCTCGTCCAAGATGCCCGTTCCCAAGCCCAACACGGCTATCCGCGTCACGGAGCTCCTCACCGAGATGGCCGTCAGTACTACGCGCCTCGTCATGCCCACGCGCACCAACCTCGAGGCGTTCGAGGGTGTCCTCACAGCGGCCGCCAGCCTGGTGGACATGAAACGCCAGGTCGACCGCGTCGAGCAGGAAGTGCGCACGCTCAGGGCTCAGCGCGAAGGGTTCATCCCGCCCGTCGAGCCGCAGAGCAGGAAGCGGTCCGAATCGGTCCTGTCCACTGATACATCGGGAACAGGCGCGCGCAGGAGTCGTGCGCTCTGAGTGGGCTGTGACGGGCGTGGGTAGTTTTTGTATAGCGATAAAGTAGGGAGTGTACTATGCAAGCGGCGCCGCCGAGATTTAAGAAGAGTGTGGCTCCGAACAGCAAGTTCATAGCCACAGGCAACTTCCAGACTTCTGATTTGGGCCATCCTCCTAATATTCTGGTATGACTGAACTGGCCGAAATAGGATAGCCAAGTCTAATCACTAATAAGAAAATGCTTTAATTCCTTTAGACACACCGTTGACCTTGGAACGATAGGAGAGGGGGAGAGAGGAAGGAAGGCAAGTACTTGTAGAGGGCAGAACTGGATAGCTAGAGAACGGAGAACGAACCCGGAGCAAGCGAGTGTACGAGTGTCCTGCCGCTGCGGAAACTAAGTGCGGATTGAACGAAGTCACGATTGGGATCATGTGGAGGGTTGCCGTATGAGGAAGCCACCCCTCCGGGCCACTGTGGACACGAGAGGCCTTCAGGCAGCGGGCTGGCAGACTGCGCGGAGACTTCGTTATGGGCGAGCTTGCACCTGACGTTTACCGGGATTCCCAAGACATATACCGGATGAACAGGGACGTTGCATTGCGATTGGCACCTCGGACCAGATGGTTAAAAAAAACAACTCACCTTACCTGAGCATGGCCTCGTTCGTGTTCTTTTGGCGCCAAACCTCCACACCAACATTTCCTTGAGACCAGGCCGTTGTCTTACCAACAGACCCACTCGCTCGAGGTCCTCAGGGTGGACAGGTTATTAGCTTTACGGCGATCTACAAGGACCTCTTGGCAGCAGGGCTCGCCAAGCCATGTGGGTGGGGACTGGACGAGCGGAAAGTTTGATGCCAATGTTGCCACTTGATTCTTAGACATTCCAAGCCAAGCCAAGGCCGCGCTTTGCTTCGCCCACAGGCCTGCGCTATCCTTTCAGCACGTACTCTCCTCGTCGGCCGTGTTTCTGGGAATCAACTTGTGGGTCCAGTCTGGACAAAGTCGTGGCCATTTGGCAGGCATGCCACACCAGGGACTGCGCCACACATTGCCGCTCGACCCGGTTGCCCGGTGCAGCGGCGGTCGCCGTCAGCCCCGAAAGGTTGTCAGCCGCCCGTGTGCACACGGGATAACACCATGTCGCGGTCACATGTTGGAGGGGGGGGGCACTCCACTACGCGAAAGCTCTATAAACATTGTCGCCCGAAAGCTTGTTGTAGCGAGTCAGATGCGAGCATAGGGGCCGTTGAGACATGTCTGTTCCTGCTAGAAATAGCGCCCACGTCTTGTTTTAGATCCCAACTCCTGCATCACAAGGTGGGAGAGAGGGGCGCTGCTGGCGCGACGAACTCGACAACATTTACTCTGGCACCGGTCTTTGCTCATCCCGAGGTGTACGTACCACTGCGCAGTTGACTGGCCTGAAAGTCCTCTCGTTTGCTTGCAGTGTGTCCTTTTGAGACAACGTGGCGCAGCAGAGCGAACTGTGGCGTGGAAGGGGGGCGGCCTCGCTACGTGCCCATGTGATGTGCCGTGCATTAGCGCCATGAGCGCTTCGTCGTGTGCGCCACCAGTAACACAGACACGGATTGCTCTGGCCGCTCAACCTTTGTCTGCAAAGTCGCTGTCTGGATAGCAATGGTATAAGAGACACCCTCCGCATGCAACACAGACACAGTGAACCTGCGATTGCTACCTTCCAAAACGTCTCAAACGTGGGCTCTCTAACGCATCTGCCTCCCAACAACCTATGGTCCTATGAGAGGCTCGCCAAAGCCGTTACGCTCGCTAACTTGGATGAAGGCCCCCAAGACCGGCAGCCATGGCGCTCCCACGGCCTTTGCGATGTACTGCACACACCCCACGCCCCATGGCCTCTTTGCCGGTCGTCAGTCTTGGCGTTTGGAGCGTCGTGCGCAGCGTACAAGACCGACGGGTCGAGACATGTGGGCCATACGGGCCATGACCTGCTGCCCCTGTGCAAGTGTGTCAGGACAAGTGCTTTTGCTTTTTTCCATTGCGTCACCACTCTGTCCGTCCTCCATGTTTTCGCCGTGGGTGTCGCCGTCGAGCTGAGAAATATTGCTGAATTGCTGAATGTGGTCACGACTTTTTCGCCAATCGGCCGATATCTGATACGTGGACTGCCGAGCGAGCCGTACATCGGGCAGTCGGCTCCGATGTGTGCATGTGTGTTGTGTCCATTGCCGGTCTGCAGTTGCTCTGCAGTTGCTCTGCAGTTTCTCTGAATAGCTTTTTTTCCCCAGGGGCCAGCGCAAACACCAACGCTGCAGACACAAGAGTTGCAGCAGCTGCTGCAGCAGCAGTTGGACACATGATGCTAACCTGTTTCTGCAACTTGGTCATCCAGGGTTCTATAGGCGCCCAAATAGTCGTCTCCCCTGGCCAGACCCGGCAAGCCTTGTTCGCTGCTCTCCTCAGCCATGTTCCTGTCGACATCTGACAGGCAGTCGGCCGAGGGAGGTACACCAGCCGCATACCTCTCGCACACGCCCGGGGGTGGGGGGTCCTGGGACATCCCTGGCCCGACTCGCTTAGGCCAGGAGGCTTGGCGCCACGAGGAAGGCGACCAGCGGCGACGACGACTGTGGGTTTTTTTTTCGCTGGCGGGGCGGATTTATCTGATAAGAAGGACTGAGAGGAATTCTCTTGCCCAGCTCCACCTGTCCCGACGTCAAACAACCAGTGCCACCAGCTACCATGGCCACCCCGGTGACTGCCACCCAACTCACCCCCGACAATGCCCACACAGTCGTCGACCATGACCCCGAGCAGCTTGGTCGCCGCCTGAGCAAGGCCCCTTCCATGGCCAAGGACACCGTCTTTGAAAAGAGTCCCGGTGTGCTCAAGATCGAGGCCATTTCCAGCGTCTTCACCCACTGGTACCTCTGGGTCTTGTTCCTCTTCGTCTTCCTCATTTCATGTAAGTCGCTTTGAACCGTGCAGCAGAAGGATCATCAATGGCTAATGGACAGACTGCTATGGTCTGGACGGCACCATGCGTTACACGCTCCAAAACTACGCTTTGGCGTCGTTTGACTCGCTTGCGCAGATTTCCACCGTCACCGTCGTGCGCTCCATTGTGGCTGCAGCTGGTCAGCCCGTGTATGCCAAGATTTCCGATTTCTTTGGCCGTGCCTCCATCCTCTTCATCGCCGTCTTCTTCTACGTGATTGGTAAGTCCTGAGCTGTTCATGACCTCTTGGCTCTGGGTTTTTCTCGTGTTATATGGGCAGCATTTTAACATATCCCCCCAGGTACGATTGTGCAGGCAGCATCCAAGAGTGTGGCGACATTCAGCGGCGGAGCTGTACTTTACCAGCTGGGTTACACTGGCCTCCAGCGTAAGTCATTTGCTGCAACACGTATCGTGTCTGACCACCTTCCAGTCCTTGTTGAAGTGATCATCGGAGACAGTACCTCGCTTCGCAACCGTCTGTTCTTCTCGTTCATCCCGGCCGCCCCCTTGTGAGTGTCTCTGTTTAACGATATAGCCAGTTCTCTGGGTACTAACTCGACATTTTAGCCTCATCAACGCATGGGTCTCGGGAAACATCGTCGACGCACTGTACAAGGGCGCTGGCTGGGAATGGGGTATCGGCATGTGGGCGATCATCGTTCCCGTTCTTTCGCTCCCGCTGTTCGCCATTCTCATGATGGCTAAGAGGCGTGCCAAGAAGGATGGTCTCCTGGAGGGCATCCCCAAGCAAAACCTGCTCTCCGTGTCTCTTTGGCTCGATTTTGCCAACAAGGTTGACCTTATCGGCCTCTTCCTCCTCGCCGCCACTCTCTCACTCTGTCTGTTGCCCTTCACCCTGGCCGCGGGAACGGCTTCCAAGTGGCGCACCGCTCCCATCATCGTCACACTGGTGTTTGGGTTTGCTGTCGCCCTGCCACTGTTCATTGTCTGGGAGGTCAAGTTTGCCCACCACCCGATCCTGCCCTTCCGCCTGCTTCGTGACCGCACAATCCTCTGTGGCCTCGGTATCGCCCTCATGCTCAACACTTGTTGGTACACTCAGGGTGACTACCTTTACACTACCTTGATCGTTGCCTTCGACAAGTCTATCATCCAGGCGACCCGTGTCACCAACATCTACTCGTTCGTCTCCGTCGTCATCGGCTTCACCCTTGGTGCCGTCGTGCGCTACGTCCGCCGCCTCAAGTGGTTCATCGTCACTGGTGGCTCGCTCTTCATCCTCGCATTCGGTCTCCTCATCCGTTTCCGCGGTGGTACTTCGCCCTCGGACTTTGCTGGCCTCATCGGAGCCGAGGTCGTGCTTGGTATTGCAGGCGGTATGCTGTCCTACCCAACCCAGGCCCTTGTGCAGGCTGCTGTCAAGCACGAGCGTATGGCCGTCATTACCGCGCTCTATCTCGCCACCTACTCGGTCGGCTCGGCGCTGGGCAACACCATTGCGGCCGCCATCTGGACCAACTCGCTGCCGCACCACTTGATTACAAACTTGAACGCTGCTGGCTTCACGAACGCCACCGAGCTCGCTGCTGCGGCTTACGGCAACCCGTTCGTGTTCGTCGTCGACTACCCCATTGGAACGCCCGAGCGCACGGCGGTCGACAGCGCCTTTTACGAGGTCCAGCGCTACCTGTGTATTGCGGGTATCTGTCTCTCAGTGATCCTGTTCGCTCTGACCTTTGGTCTCCGCGACGTTCGCCTCACCGACGAGCAGAGTTTCGAGGATGCAGAGGAGCACACTCTCACCGAGAAGGACCGTGAGGCCATCAGGGCGGCCGAGAGCAACCTGGTCGTCAAGTAGGGCAACCCCGAATTATATGGCGCCGAGAGCTGGTTTATATTACATATAATACGAGATGACACTTGTTCATGCTCATTCAAGGGATCGTTCGTGCAGTCTCTCCTGCGTAATCTTATCAAAGGCCTCGGTTAGCCTCTTCGGTCACGAAAGCTGCAGCGCAGGGTGAACAGAGAAGGACACCTGAGGGGTAAAATCCGAGAAAATTACGGGCAAATTAACTGTGCACGGCTGCACAACAGAAGTGTCATCCCCAGAACGAAGCCTTTCCAGGCCAGTGACAGACATCACAACCAGCGTCAGTGTAAACGGATTACAATAAGAGCACACAAGGGGTAGTCGGATACTGCGGAGACCTTTTTTGGACGGAAGGCCGGAGACGGTGTGGGCAGAGGGGGTGGTTCCTCAGTTGATGGGCGGTGAGGCTGAGCTGGGGTGTTTTGTTGAGCGGCGAAAGAGCGTTCGGCACTCTACAGGGCCGCGTGCTCCACATCATCCAAGAACGCATCCAGTGTGACGCGGTAGGTATCCTTTTGCGCGAGGGCGTGGGCGAGCCCACAAGCAGTGAACACATCTCCCTCCTCCACGGGCTGCCACGGAGGAGGAACGTCCGGACAGGCGGGGACGACGACCAGGCGGGGCTCAGCACCGGGCACGTCGAGAATCTCAGTGTAAGAGTGCGCCTCGTACTGCGCGGCAAAGCGACCGAGCACGCGCGTGGGGAATGGCATATAGTTCACCGGGCGTGGCGGAGGACAAGCGACGAGGTCCCACTTGTCGGCCCACTGATCAAGGGCGTCACGCACGAACCAGTAGACCTCGTCGAACTCGGGTGGTGGACGCACGCGTCCAGGCGTGTGCGAGAGCCTCGTGCATGCCTGCACGTCAGTACCATTCACGAGTTGGGATGGGGGACAGTGAAACACTCACCGTTTCGTACGTTTGCGAAATCACGTCGTCTGTCCAGGTTGTCCATTGCAGGTATGTCTGGCGGGTGCCTTTCGAATCCAACACCAAGCGCAGACGTGCATACCAGGTGCTTGTTATGGGTCAGCTGTATCCCGCTCGCCGACAGAACTCGTTGCACACGTACATTTCGTGAACCTTGTCAAAGAGCGCAAGCATGAACATTGTGTCGTCGACGACATCGTAATCCGCTGGGGGCGGCGGCGAAGCATCCAAGGGTTGGTACGGCGACCCGTCGAGCTCGACCTCTGCGGGGACGCCGAGCACGCGTGACCACGCCATGCTAGCGTTGCTTGCGGCCCAGCACGCCTCGTACTTGTACTCGCGTGGGAAACCAAACGCGTCGAGACTGAGCCAGCTGTTACGCGGGAAGGTGTCGGGAGTTGGGGGTAGGTCTGCGGCGCACCGGGGATGGAAGGATGTGCCGCCCATGATGGAGGATGATGGAGGATGGAGGATGGATGATGGACGAAACTATGGGGCCGTTGCTCGATGTTTAGCAGACTCGGACTCAGAGATCAGAGATCAGAGCGTCAATACCGAAGTCATACACGGATGCGGCAGTCGGCTTTTCTTGGGAGCTGGGATAAAATACGGCAGTCATTTTCTAGGCTTGATCTTTCCGCTGTCCCAACCATTATCCCCACTGGATGGTCACAGTCAAACATCATTGTAGGAAGTTTCATAAGCATGTTACTAACAGCCTGCTTGGTTCCAGGCGACAGTGTTGTATTCCTTTGCTTTTGGAATATTTGGTAAAACAGGAACCACTTTCTTGTCTGCAGTTATCCTTGAGGGCCACATCTTCATCGTTTTATTATCATCTTGTTGTGAGTCCGACCTCTGCCATGCCAACGGCAGGCCTTTTGAGGCAGAAGTATCCTCACGGACCCACCCAACGTTGTGCCTGTATAGTGCTGAAGGGTTTACTGAAGGAAGGTTGGGGCAAGGTAAACATGAGCACTTTTGCAGACAGGCATCCGCTTTAAATCTCCACACTGTTCCTCGTTCGTCCCTCCTACAGCTCAACCTTGCGAACGACGTAACTCTCTGATACATAGCATGCGATCTAGTCTTCTACATGCAGTGTTCTCTAAGGATCCCAAAACAACCCAATACAATGTGTCCATGTTAGAACGAAAAGATGCCTGCGCCACGGCGCCGACTGCCACCGAGGGGGTGGGTGACGACGGCCGCGCAGAACAGTCCAACAGTGAGGCCGAGAGCCACCGAGATGAGCTGTGATGCAACGCTAAAGCCTGTCGAATATTGCGCAAACGTGCCGTTATCCGTGTTGGCGGCAAAGTTGAAGAGGCCACCTTCCTTGAGACCGCTGGGAAGCTGCATGAGGATCCCAGTGACCATGACGGGGAAGCTGGCGCCGTTGGAGAAGAACCGGCCGTAAAGGTTGCCGAGGATCCCCACGCAGAATGCGCCAATGGCCGATACAATGTCGGATCGGCCGGTGAACGCGTACTGGCCCGAAAAGTGGTTGACAACCCAACCCGCGCAGGCAATGGCAACCATGACAGGCATCTCCTTGGTGAGGATTGGCTGCTGGCAGTTCATGGAGAGCACAAACGCAAACGCTGGCACGCAGAGGTAGTACCAGTACCCGCTCGGTGTCTGTTGAAACCACGGCGCGCCGTCGTAGTGTGTTCGCGAACAAGTATTGTCGGTAGCGTTGGCAACCTCCTCGCCACGGATCTTGATGTATACCCTGCAGCGTCTCAGCGAGAGCCCCTGCATGTCGTGTGTGTGTGTGTGCTATTGGGACAATGGGGCGGGAAGGCTGGGTCTGCGATAGTGTGGCACATGGAAAGAAACCACAGCATCACCCACGCCTCCGCAGCCACATCTCGCACGGCTGGCACCAGCGAATAGCCACGACGTTTGTGAAGAAGACGGCAACTTACTCCGCACCCATACTAATTCCGAAACCGAGTAGCAGCGAGTAAATGACACTGTATCCCATGCGAACTGCACCGGCAGTGATGTTCCGCGATGAAATTTCGAGAGCACCGGTCCTGACACAGTCAGCAGGTAGGCGTAGTGTGGGCCAGTCACTCACAGGACGATATATCCGGGTAGGACGAGGACGATTCCGCCTGAAACCAGGGAAGTGTAGCAGAAACGGTGGGTGGACGCCAACGCTGCGGCGAGGACTGAGATGAGAGTCGAGATGGCAACCTCGAAAACACCCGAGAACAGGTCATTCTTTGCGGCGAACGTTTGCACCACCATGAGGAGCATGCCCAGGGCTGCGCTCATGAGCGCGTCGATGAAAGAGCCATAGTACGATGGGATGACGATGATGGCCGAGCAAAAGCCTGCAACGATGATGTTTTGCCACCAGTTGTAGCATGGCGGCATGGTCATGAGGGTGTCCAGTTGTGTGTTCGCATCGTCGACGGACATTCTGTCGTGCACGACCTCCCAATACAGGTTGTGTGTCAAGAGCAGCTTGCCGAGGTCGAGACCGGTAGATTGCTTGAGGAACTTGGTGTCGGAGGTGTGGGTCGCGTCGTCGGCAAAGGAAATGAGCATGACGCTGGGAAGGTAGACCACTTGGGCGGAAATGTCGAGGACCCTGGCAGTCGCCTGGATCTGCGTCTCCAGCCTGTGCGACGGCGAGCCAAACATCATGAGGGCGCGTGCGAGCTTCATGATAAACTGCTGTCGGGCCAGGATCGCCGCCACATGCTGGATGATGAACACCTCTTGCTTCTTACGAGCCTCCTTGGCCTTCTTCCTCCGGCGCTTCTCAGCCTCCCACTCTTTGCGTTTGCGGTCCTCCTCGTCCTTGCGCCGTCGTTCATCGTCGTTGAGGTGCATGGTGCTCTCACTGCGCGACGTGAGCCAATGCTCTGCGCTCCTGACAGCCTTCAGGGACAGTTGGGGCAGCGGGGCAGGCCTTTTCTTGGGCTTAATCATGAGCAAGTTGTCGCTCGACCTGGTGTGGTCATTTGTCTGTGCAGAATACAGGCTGGGCGGTGTCGAATCGGCTTCGCCCTGGAACGAGCCCAGTCTTGTCGTGCTGGCCGGTCGTCGGTCCATGGCTGACGGGCTCTCGGTACGTTTACCATACCCTAATGGACTAGGGGTGCGTCCTCGTTTTGGGCTGGTCGACCTCCCGCGGTGTGAGACAAGCCCAACCACAGAACTGGGTCTGCTCAGTGGGCCTATCCGTTCTCGAGGTGATGTTGGCTCGCTTGGCAGTTCGTAGCGGTCAATGTGATATCCTGGCCGCTTGGCAGCTGGCATGATGGTAGCAGATGTCGGTGCGGCGGCGGCTGCCATGGCAGCAGAGTTTTGAATCAACGCACCAAACACGCCCGCACTTGAGCGGGCCGACTTGGGACGGTCGTCGTACATGTTCTCGACAGCGCGTGCGACCGAACCAAAGATGCCTGGCCGCTCCTCTGGAGTACGATCGGCAATGGATCCTTGTGACCTGCTGCGATGCTTGTGTTCAAACCCGGGCGAACCAGACTGCGCACCAGAGTTGTGTGGAACAGGGGGGGTCTTGGACCTGCCTCGCTGCCAAAAGTGTCGCCGGTGATGGTGGTCATCATCATCCGAAGATGCGATCGATGGTGGACGAGATGATTGAGGTGTCGTTGCGGCAGATGTTGTCGCCGAGTCTGCTTGGTTTTGCTGCCCATACACTGCCAGCAGCGTCGCCAGCACCGAGGTGCCCCCAGGCATGTGCGGTAGACCAGTGCCAGGTGGCGGGTTGAGAGGAGGATTTGCCCTTGGGGGAGGAGGAGGTGGTATCTCCTTCTCAGCCGCAAGTTGCGCAACAGTGTCCTCACCATTCTCAGGATGATGCAGCGGACCGGTTGTCGATTCATGCCTGTGCTTGCGGCGAACAGTAGCACGCCTTCTCAGTTGGGTCCACTTGACAATGTTCGACGCTTCCCTTAGGTCCTGGGCCTTTTCATCACCGCGTGACGGCAGGCCATCAGTCTCTCCAAGTTGCACGTAACCGGCCACATGGTCGGCAGCCGGGCTCCCAAGGATCTTGTGGAGGGTATCGTCCTCCTGCTCCTTGCGGCCTCCGTCCCTGTCCTCGTTAAGGAGTGCCTCTGCTTGGGCGTCATGGTCGCGTTTCTCGTCCGTATCCAGCCGGTAGTCGTAGTCGTCCGAGGGCAACGTCACCGCCGATGGGACCTCGGCTTCTGTTCTAAACCTTTCAAGCTCATTGTTGACATGGTCCAAGTCTGGGCCGGGCTCGTTTGCTGGCGGCTCGACATTGATAACGTGATCTGCTGTCCACTGAACGCGTCGGGGAGTACGCGCGACTGGGGGTGGTGGATCAATCTGTATACCGGGCGGCGGGGGCAGGTATGGAAAGTTGGCATGAAGTGGAGGTGCAGACGCAGGTCGCTGTGCGTCGTCGGCGCTGTGGGGCGTAGAGATGGACTCTGTGCTGGGCATGTGGAGAATAGGGGATGGGCGACGCTGCTGCTGGGGACCGGCTGGGGCGCTGTGCAGCCTGTCGGGAGGCTCACGTGGGGTTGACGGGTCCATGCTGTGTTATCAAGAATGTTCGGGCCGACGAGTTTTGGCAACTGATCTCGAGGTCGCGCCTGTAGATAAAGGGAGTGTTGTGGTTATCCGGCCGGGTTTGATGCCAACTGTTCGTTGGATGGCACAGAGCTCGATATGCTCTCCGCCCTCTCGACCACCGCGCGCAAGTTGAAAAGGAGTGTGTGTGTGTGGTGTGAGAGAGAGTGGTGGATGAGAGATTGCTGCGACGAGGATGCGGGGCCGTTGGACGCCATTAGGGCCCCCCACGTTGCCCACTTTGAGCGCAATAAGGGCCATTTTTAAACCGATTGTGGAGAGAGCAAAGAGCCGTCCCTGGGTGGTGTCTCCCCGTTGTTATCCGAGATCTGTCTATGGGAGCATGGGAGTCACGTGACCCGTGGCTCTGCCTACACCCAGGTACTGATGCCGTATGCCGTGGTGGTGCCACCCGCCGGCCGGTGCTGCTTTTGTCTGCATATGCTGTGTTGTGCTTCAGTGTACCAGTGTCTGCCACGCCTTTGCTGCTGAATTCCCACATTAGCCACATGTTTACTGTAAACACGTATCTAGCACCGGCACACCACCAAAGCACAGTAACAAGACACGATGATCCAGCCATTAATGCTCCAAACAATACCTCCTTACCTCTTGAAGATCAACAGGCGAACATCGACCTTGTGTCATTTCTCGGACCCAGCCCTAGCCTGTATAGCAGCAGATAATTGACGCAGGGAGCACTGTCATTGAGAAGCTGGTTGCCATGCGGTTGATCAGTAGATCAGTAGAGTACATACCAGAGGCAATCAAAAAGAGTCGTTGTACCACAGTTTGGCCGGACGGAGGTACATTAATCGTCCATCTGTCATCGAGGTTACGGTCCTGGCATCGGTCCACGTCGTTCACACTCGACGGACTCCTGGTACCCGACAATATCGGCTTGCTGCGAAACAATTGTCCTGTCTTGCGTTACTGCGTCAGTTCTTATTGGTTCATGGAACACCGGTCGTATCCTATTTTTTGACATGACCGTTATCGTGAACGCCGCGGTTGGCATGGCACACGACTGCGAGCAGGGCGGGGGTCTCTTGTTCAAGGGTTCGTGATTTTGCCGACAGGTAACAGAGGGGGACACCCATGTGGTACATGTTGTTACATATCTGCGTGGTTGCGGTGGACGACATGCGAAGGTCGCCAGTTCCCATGATAGCTCTCGTTTCCCGTGTAAACTTCCCTTAGATCCGAGTCCGAAATGCCCGCCATTCTCATGTGGTGTTATCTCATGGTCGTCCAACGTGGGCTCTGAGCTTGCTAGCTGTTTCCCACAGATGTTCAGTACCCCTTGAATTCAAAGGTGCAGGTTGCCAGGCCAAAGTGAGGCACAAGTTGACCACTCGCTGTGCACACAAAAGTATTCATTCTGTCTTCCTCCATTCGCTTTCAGCTACGCAACACCACACCTCCCTTGTACATTCTACTCCGGGGTGCCTCCCTCCAGCCACTTCTCAAAGAACGTGGCTGCATTCTCCGGCTGGTCCATGGGCACCATGTGACCGGCATTGTAGATGGTGAGCATGCTCAAATCACCATGGCTCTTGGTCCAGCCCGCCACTTTGCCGTCGGGACCGTGCCAGTCGCGCTTCTTGGCATCGTTGTAACCTTGTTTGCCCGACCACGAGAGCGCCTCCATCCACTTCTCGTTGCCCATGTAGTTGCAAACAAAGTCGAGAGTACCGACATAGTTGAGAACGCGAATGCGACGCTCGAGGAGCTGTGAGACGTACAGCCACGTGGGGTTTGCGTTGTCCAGTTGGGCCGCAAACGCTCCGTTCACTCTCCAAGAGCACGTTTCGTAGCTTCCCTTGTCCTTGTCGACTCCCAGAACCTTGCGCACGTCTGGCAAGTCGAGGTAGGTCTTGACCTTGGCACTTGAGCAGTATCAGCAAACATATCCCAGTAAACGAGCCCCACCTCTAACTCACGTATCCTCATAGCACAGGAACTTGCTCAGTTGCTCCTGCGTGCACTTTTTGCTAACGTCGTACGGGTTGAGCTCGGCTCGCGAGACGCTGCCGCGGAGGATGGTGGAGCAAAAGTTGACGGCGATGGCACACTCGGTGTAGTCCTTGGATTCGATGCATCCCTGCTTGAACATCTTGTGGCACTTGGGCACGACCTCGGCGAGCTCGACGCAGGCGCCGATCGGAAGTACCGTCCGGTTCAGGTCGTGATGGTTGGTACACTGGAAGGGGAAGAACGACTCGGTGGTGGAGTAGAAGTCGGTCTAGGAGGTGGTGTCAGCTTTGGCAGCACGCTGCTTCGAAAGCGGACACACTATGCCGTTTCCAATCAGAACACTCTGGAGGTTGATGGGCTCCTTGCCAGCCGCAATGAGCGCCGCATTGTTGTCATACACAGCGCTGGCAAAGACGGGAAGATAGCGTCCACCGTACGACTCGCCCGACATGTGGAACGCGCGGCCGCTGAATTCCTTGAATGTATCAAAGAACTGGAGTATATGGTCAGTGCATGCTCTAGTACTCCACTCACGATCGAAATGAACGCGGCGACGTCCTCGGCGGCCTTCTCCGTAGTGTCCACAAGTTGCCCATGCTTGGACTGCGAGAAGCCGACGTCGACTGGCTCATCAAGGAAGAACATGTTGGCCTTGTTGGTCCACGAGTGGGGGTTGATCTCTGTATCGGTCGCATTCTTGGGGCCGTCACGGATGGTACAAGGACCCAGCTCCATGAAGAGGCCCATCTCGGACGCGCAGCCAGGACCGCCTGCGGGTCAGAGTCACGTTCGACAACAACGACATCAAGCTCCCTCACCGTTAATCCACATCACGACGGGGTCCTTGGCAGGGTCATTGCGACTTTCAAAGAAGTAGAAGAACAGCTCCTTGCCACCTCCTGTGTCGATGTATCTGGCCGTTAATGAGCTCTAGCTAGCGGTATTCAATGACCAATGGCTCACCCAGAGTAGGATTTGACACCGGGGTCACACCACCCTTTTGTACTCTTGATCCGGACCTTGTGGTTGGGGTGCAAGGGGGAAGTGAGGACAGTAAACTCGTCGGTGCTGAGGGCATGCATGCCAATGTCACTCGCCGGCGTGAGGACGTTCTGCGGTGTGATGCCCGTTGCCCCTGAGGCCAGGTCGTTGAGCTCATCGAGCAGATGGGACGCGGCCGAAAGTGCATCCTGCGCTGTTGGAATATGAAGCGCCGCCGCGTGGCCTCCAAATGCCAGCGATATGAGGAGGGGAACGAGTGCGCGCATGTTTCGTGTTGGTGGTGGATGTGGGTGGGGACACGAGTCGAAGGCAGTTGGATTCATATGGGCCATATGGCTGTGTGTGTGTCGGGCAATGCCGAAAGGCACCATGCGGGTGGGTTTGGGAGGGAATGACGTCATATGCGGTGGATAAATGTCGGCTCAAAACGCAACACCCGAAACACGTCCAGCGAGCGAGAGGTTGAGGACGACGACGACGACGACGACGGTGGCAGTAAGGAAGAGGACACGCTCGACTTGCCGAATATAATATGGACACAATAACATTTGGTGACCTGGGCGACTGCTAACCAACGTACGCTGACCCAACTTGCCCTCCATCACTCACAGCGTAGCCTGTTCGCATTGTCGTTTACCCACACCCGCAACTCGCTCACTGGATCCCTGGATCACTGGGCCGTCGCCGACGGCGGTGGCACCGCCTGGTCAAAGCTCGGTCGGGTCGGGTGTCGTAGCGACCTGCAGCGGGGTCGAGAGCCAGTACTGTCGCCGTCAAGGTGATCCATCAGCGTCGCCGTCGTGGCTACCGGGGACATGCGCATAGGACGTGAGGTCGGACACGCCGGGGTCGACGTCGGCTTCCTCTTCGAGGACGTACGCACCGCGGCGCGGGGCGTATACGAACACTGCCGAAACACCCTCGAGTGGCTCGGCCAGCTGCTCTGCGTGCCGGACCACTGGGTCGAACTGGGCGAGCAGGCGGCCGATGCGGTCGCCCGGGATGGCCGGCGGCGGCGGGATCTCGTCCAGCAAGGCGACGCGGACTGGGCCGTCGTCGACGAGGGGCTCGGCGCATAGGTCGAGCGCTGCACGGCAAAATGTAAGAATACGGCTACGGCGCGGCAGGTGGTCCAGATGCCCCACGTCCCGCAGTGCGCGCGCCGCGTACACAAACGCAATGGACGCGTACGAGTCCGTCTCCTTCCGCCACTCTGCTGGCGTCTGCCACCCGCGGCACCCCCACTGCGCCTGATTCCTGTGGCATCTGTGAGCATACGAATTCGAGGCCACTCCCCGTCGGCCCAACCGGCACTCTCACCATTCGTACGCCTTGTCAAAGACAGCGAGGCTCACAGTTGCCTCGTCAATCGCGTCCCAGTCCTGAGCCGCAAAGATACGCCCCCACTCGGTCGAAGCGTCGCGCGCCGCCCAGAGGATGGGTGCGGTCGGCCGGTTGACGGGGTCAGAGTAGAACTGGAGCAACTTGTACTAGATACGGGGGAACTGGGGGTCCAGGACCGGCTGGTAGTACTTGCCGTCGTCGGTAGGGGCCTGTGCAGCGGCCCTAGTAGAGGAGGCAGTCGTCGATGGGGCCGTGGCGTGAGTTGTAGCGGACATGGGGTTGGGATAGTTGCTGGAGATGAACTGTGAACAATGGATGGACGGGGTCGTGTGGGAACCTCAAACGTCCTGTGGTAAGTGTCTCATACAAACAACCGTACCAAAAGCAGATGCGACCCATGAAGCGTTAGCCGTTAGCCGATGTTCTGATGCAAAGTCATTCACCCACATCACTTCCACCACTGCCGGCCCATCTCACCGCAATGCGTCCATCGCATTCGACCTCGCACACCTTGCCAACCCCACCCATCATACCCTCGCCATGTCACAGCGCTGCCTGGAGCACCAACTGGTCCCACCCCGTGCGCCCCATCGCCTTCCCGCGCAGCAACTGGACCGGCGCATCCTGGGGCCCGCCAAACCTGTTCACCTCCGTTGTTGACTCCACGCTTTTCCAATGGGCAGCCAAGGCGGCGAGCGTTGCCGTGCATCGCGCGCTCAAGGAAGAACTCCCCTGGGAGCAGGTGGGCGCGCATGGTGTTTGTCTCGCACTTGTTGATGTCGCGCTGCAGTCGTGAGTCACTGGAGCGAGTTGCTGATTGGGATTTGCATTGACCCGCCACCAGTCGCGATCACATCCGCTTTACACACTGCGAAGCAGTCATCAACAGCCCCACAGAGTGGTATCCGACCTACGCTGAGTGGCACGCCGAGTGTGAGGCGGAGATTGCAAGGATATATGAGCTGGTATGTTGACAACACACACTCGCGCCTGATGAGACTGCCATCACTCACAATCCAGGCGCGTAGTGTCCTCCCGCCGGCCGTCATGGCAAGCACAACTGTCGCCGACGCCAACCACCTTTGCTTCGCCGCCATCCTGTGCGACTTTATGGTGCCGTACGACGCGGTCAACGGCCCGCCTCCAGCCGATCTGCACCTCATCCCCGCCGTATACCTCCAACAATACCTCCCGACTAGCGACGTGGTCGCCCAGCTCGGCGTGTCAGTTATCCAAGGATCTGTGCCGCTGGGGGAAAAGGGCTCCGAAGACGCGTTGCTGCAGGCTGCAGCTGAGTGGGACGCGCGCTGGCCGCTGCGTGCCGACGCCGCCAACCCCCTACGCTCCATGCCGCCAACCAATCCACCTCCACCGCGCGTCCCCGTCCAACTGCCACACGGCTACCAGTACGTCCCCGTACCGTCGCAGCTCCACGCCCCGCCCCCACCTCCTCCACGCCGCATGGCTCGTGCCGCCAACGGCAGGATGTACGTTGTGCGCTAAGTCCGCGGGCGGGATCGTGTGGCCTCTCGTCTGAGTGCGCCACCGATTATTTGTTTGTTGTTGTTTTGACTGGTTATAGCCTTACGTAACCCATATTTACCGTGATTGCGCTTCCTGTATTCGCTTTCCAAGCACATCCTGTACAACTGTCCAGACTGGGGCATGTTGGCGTGGCAAGGTCCGCCTCCAGATACGTGGCCAACATGGGTTTATCGGCTCGGGACATGTTGACTGTGGCCGAAAAGGCACTCACTGGCCTCTTGGAACTGTGTGATGTGACTTGATCGGTGCCTAGGCCCCATGATGTCAAGTGTGATTCTGTGCTGTTTTTGATTCTCTGTGGGAGCTTGGCAGAGTGGAGCGTTTACGAAAGAGCCGAGCAGCTAGCAGCAGCATGTGCGCAAGGGTTGTTGCCGCCTGCAGGTGGGCAGACGCCGCAGCCTGGAATTCCTTAGTCCATGATCATCAGATCTGCGTAGCCAAAAGCGCTCTCCAATCCAAACTTGATTAATTGTCCAAAAGACCACACCACTCCCTCTAGCCCGGGCCCTGGCCGACAACCGTGTCTCGCAGCAACCCGCTATCTTGCATTGCCCCCCCTATGCAAGGGTGCGTGGGGGGAAGATGTGTAAAGATGTCTACTTAATCGCAACATGATGGATGGCGACGTCGCCTCGCTGCGAGCGAGCGCGTAGCAGCAGTGCCACACATGGTTCTCACCAGCGGTCGGAATAGCACGATAGCGCCCACAACCATGCATGTCAGTCAGATTACGCGAGTATCTCGTGACCAATTCGGGTACCGGCCAGCGGGCCATGCCGACTGTGCCCCTCTCCATGCCTCTCATCGGCCTCGACTGAACTGTAACGAACGACTCGGGCCCAAAGGCGTGGCAAACTGGACGCATGGTGCCAATGTCACGGCGCGGTGCAGCGGTGTTTTGCTCTGAATGTCCCGCTTGCCGCGCTTGCTCTTTTCCGGCAGCTCACCAAGAGGGTCCCCACATGGCCCCACAGATGTTGTGGCATGCGCTGTGCGTACATTGCACCTTGTGCCCGATGCGCTCGGAACTCGCACTCATCCATCCTGAGCGGAGTGGGTCGGGGTCTTGAAGTCAGCGGAGTTCGGTGCTGGTTATGACCGACCGAGCGGGCTCACCGGATAATCTGTGAGACCCTCGGGACGCGGCCGAGTCTCGGCCGCCATACGCTGTCAACCAGTTGCCGTCCCCGTCTCTGCTGCAGCGTCCTGTACGCAGCCGTCAAAGCCCTTTCCGCAGATGTGGAGGAGGCCGTCTCAAGGCCGTTCACAAGGGGAGCCACAGGGTGTGTAAAACCCAAAAATGAAGGAGCACAGATACGCCATGCCAAGTCATTCCGCATATAGCCAAAGATCCAAGATACGGGCAGACACGACCCTCGTGAGGGAAAAAGCAGCAGCAGCAACAGAAGCAGCATGGGTGCATGCACTCACCATTCATATGCGTTTGCGCCAGATAATGGCGTCAGATCCATGCCATCCATGCAGCAGCGCATTGCCAGATAGCCGGGAGTTGTCGGTCGGTGGCTCCGCGCGGTGCCAATGGTGGCTAGTGCAGTGCCTGGGGTTTTCAGGTGCCTCGCCCGAGGTGTGGCCCACCAGCCAGCGGAACGAACGAGTGCCCATGTGGTCACTGCAGGGGAGGACGCACAATTACTCAAACCCTCGCGCTCTATCGACGAGTCGCACAACAGGCTCTCGCTCGCGCAACAGGTCGCATGCGCTTGGCGGGCTATTGTGGCCCAGCCAAGGTGCGCCCACACTCCGCGGTTGGCTCCACGCGGTGCAGCTCCGTCCTCTTTCCTCTCTCTGCTTTGCCACTGGCTTGACGCGCTAGATCACGACGATAAAGCGCCATCACCGGCAAGGGACCACCTGGTGTCTACATGTGGGGACCCATCAGCGCCGGGCCGAGTGGCAGCATGTGGTGCAGACCGGCCGGGATTGGAAGCAATGGACCAACTGGAATGCTCACGGGAGTGACATTAGCCATTGCAGCCAGGTAAGGGCTCCACACCTGACGTGACGATCACCACACCCACCCAGGGGGTACCTGGCGTATCGTTAGCCCGAGTACATATGCAAGCGACGATAGCCGTTCTTTCACGCTCCGTGCCCCATCCCAACTCAATCCACAATGTCCGCCAACGACAAGGCCGCCTACGGCGTCGAAGGCGTCCACGGTGTCGAAACCGTGGGCGACCGCTACGACGAGAAGACTGAGAAGAATGTCGAGGGCATTCCCCACGCCACTGTGACCTCCGCCGCCCTCAACGGCGGCGATGACCCCATTGCTGCTCAGTGAATACTTCAGCTGCTATGACATGCCTTTGGGGCCTTGTATGCTTACACCAACAGCGACCTTGAGGTTACCGGCTATGAACTTGAGGCTATTGAGGGCAAGCTCCCGCAGATGTCCACTGAACGCACCAAGCTCGTGAGTAGATGGTGATGTGGTGTGGCGCGTGTGGCGAAAGTGGCGTTATGCTAAACCGGGTTTTCTTTTCCGTTTTTCAGATCATCGCCCAGCTGTACGAGATCCACAAGTACGACCAGAACTTCCCCCGTCCTACTCTGGACCGCATGCAAGAGTTCCTTCAGCGTCCGGACCACCTCGACCAGGCTACTCCGGCCCACGAGGATGACAAGGTCGGCGATGACGAGCTGCTCAAGGAGATGAAGCTCGAGGCTCTGCTTGCCACCGAGAACTCGCCTTACCTCGAAGTCCGTGCCAACGTCGACCCCACCGACGACCCCGACATGCCGTCGCTCACCTTCCGTGTCCTCGTTCTCGGTACCATTGCCTCTGGTCTTGGCTCGTTTGTCGACACCCTGTTCGCGAACCGTAACCCCGCCATTTACATCGGTGCCAACGTCGCCCAGCTGCTTGCCTACCCCGCCGGAAGGTTCATGGCCACTACCCTTCCCCGCAAGACGTTCCGCACTTTCGGCAAGGAGTGGACCTTGAACCCTGGGCCCTTCTCGCCCAAGGAGCACATGCTCATCACCATCATGGCCAACGTGTCGTTCAGCTCGGGCTACACCAACTCGATCATCCCCACCCAGGCAATGAGCTTCTTCTTCGACATGCAGTTTGCTCGCAAGTTTGGTTACCAGCTCCTGAACACCTTGGGCTTTACCTTTGTCGGTTACGGTCTCGCTGGCCTCACCCGTCGCTTCCTTGTTTATCCATCGGTGGCCGTCTGGCCATCGTCCCTCTCGATCGTCGCGCTTAACAAGTCGTTCCACACGACCGTCAACGAGCCGGTTCGCGGCCCCTTCGGCAAGATTTTCACCATGTCCCGTGAAAAGTTCTTCCTCTACACCTTCGGTGCCATGTTCATGTGCGTAACTTCCGCCGCTGCTTCCAGCATAAGACTGACGTTTACCGTGCAGCTGGTTCTGGTTCCCCGGCATGATCTGGCAGAGCTTGAGGTAACTCGAGAGCTGCATGCGTTCATGACATGATACTAACGTGGTCGCAGCTATTTCTCGTGGATGACCTGGATTGCTCCGAACAACATCCACCTTTCCGCGGTTACTGGTATGGCCGGCGGTATGGGACTGAACCCCTGGCCCACTTTCGACTGGAACATCCTGAACGCCAACGGAACCAACCCTCTCACTCTCCCCTCGTTCACCATTGTCAACCAGATGATCGGTGTCATCGCTGCCGCTCTCATCTCGATTGCCGTGTACTACCGCAACGACTGGAACACTGGTTACATTCCCATCAACTCGAACAAGGTTTGGGCCAACACTGGTGCTCGTTACAACGTCACCAAGATCCTTGACGATGACTCCAACCTCGACCCCGCCAAGTACCAGACCTACTCGGAGCCTTGGATGGGTGCCGGTTACATTGTCTGCTTCATCTTCTACTTTGCCATGTACTCGGCCACCCTTACCTACTGCGTCCTCTACCATCGTCACGACATCGCCCTCGGCTTCAAGAGCTTCACCAAGGTCATTCGTAAGCAGTTCCGCCGCGGCCGCCCCGAGGACGAGGAGGAGGACGTCCTTGCAGAGGATGTCCACAGCCGTCTCATGGCCAGGTACAAGGAGGTCCCCGAGTGGCAGTATCTCATCGTCCTCCTCATCGCCATGGTCATGGGTATGGTCGGTGTTGGTGTTTACCCCACCCACGTCACTCCCGCCGTCCTCATCTTTGGTATCATCATGCCCCTCATCGTCATGATCCCCTGTGGTCTCGTCCAGGCCGTTACCGGTATGCCCATCCCTCTCAACGTTCTTGCCGAGTTCATCGGCGGTGCCATCGTCCCCGGTAACGCCAACTCGCTCATCTACTTCAAGACCTACGGATACATTGCCACATACCAGGCTCTCGCCTTCTCCTCGGACCTCAAGCTCGCGCACTACCTGAAGATCCCGCCTTACCACACCTTCGCCATGCAGATCTGGGCCACCCTCATCTACTGCTTCGTCTGTGCTGGTCTCCAGAACTACATTCTTGCGTTCAAGGGCGTGTGTACCTCGGCTGCCAAGTTCGGCATGAGCTGCCCCGGTGCGAACACCTTCTTCACCTCGGCTGTCTTCTGGGGAACTCTTGGTCCCGCCAGGCTCTTTGGTCCCGGCAAGCGCTACAACCTCATGCTCCTCGGCTTCCCCGCCGGTGTCGTTGTCGTTCTCGGTGAGTTTTGTTTTTATTTTTATTTTGTTTATTTTATATTTTCCTTTTGCTAACTCTCAATAGCTCTTTGGGTTCTCCGTAAGAAGTTCCCCCGCTCCGAGATGCTCCGCCAGGTCCACCCCGTCATGTGGTTCGCCGGTGCCGCCTACTGGGGTCCTCCTTACAACTTCTCGTACTTTGTTGGCAACGTCTACGTCACCCTCCTGTCTTTCGGCTACATCCGCAAGAGGTACGCTGCCTTCTGGGCCAAGTACAACTACGTCCTGGCCGCCTCGTTCCCCGCCGGTATCGCCATTGCCGCCATCATCATCTTCTTCGGCACTGCGATCCCCAAGGATGGCTCGATCTACCTCGACTGGTGGGGCAACAACGTTGTCAGCGCTGGATGCGAGGGTGGTGGCTGCCCCCGTCTCACCCTCGCCGACGGTGAGGTGTTCGGCGCCCCCGTTAACAGCGGCCTGTTCACCTAAGTGCTGTCTGTCGTCTTTGTTTGCAGGGTCTCGCCTGTTGGGAGGGGGTTAAGTGGAATGAAATAGTTAATGAAAGGACTGTTAGCAGGAACCTTTAGTAGTTGTGGATGTGTGGCGCATGTGGATGCAATATGAATTATCGTTTTCCCAATTGTTGCTGGCTAATGACATTTCTAGGTGGTAGCTCAAAGCAGCACTGTCTGCGACTTTGCGTGGAAAGCCCAGTGGCGCTATACTGCCAACAATTGTATAACATCAACCAATATGACACTAAGCTACTGAACATAACTGGCTTTCACTTGAATACCTAGGTCAACCAGGTAGGAGAGCACAAAGGAGTGCCGTTTCGGTAGGAGGCTTGATACAAGCAAAACACTACTTGAGAAATAAACGTGAACACAGACCAGGAATCACGCGCTGACAGAACTGTTTCAGACTTGACTGACGGGACAAGGAGCTGGAGTTGGTGCGCCGCGGCGTATTGACAAGCAGACAACCAAGTTCTCTCTCATTTCGGCTCATTTCGACTAAAGCCTGAGTTTGGCCTTGAGCGTGCCGAGGACTTTACCGATCGAGCGGGCGCCGAATCCGAGCCAGGCGCCGAGGGTGACGATGATGATGCCCAGGTAGAGGTGGCGGCGGTTACGGCTGCGCTGGAGGGCGAGGCGCTCCGACTCGACACTGACCGGGCGGGAGAAGTTGATACCGGTGCCCATGACGCGCTTGAGCATGCGCTCGTTGCGGGGGTTCATGTTGGGCGCGTAACGGTTCTTCTGGGCAAACTCCATCCAGTAAGGGACCTCGAGGAGACCTGCACGCGTCAGCATAGGAGCTTGAGATCCGGGGAGACGTACTCCTCTGGTGCGAGAATGCGAGGAAACCGTCGTAGCCGTGGTAGTTGCCCCAGCCCGACTCGCCAACGCCACCGAAGGGGACGGTACGGCAGATGGGGGTCATCGCAAAGTCGTTCCAGATGGCCGAGCCCGAGAGGGTCTGGCTGACGACCTTTTCAAACGTCGCGCGGCTGGCCGACGAAACGTACAGCGCCAGAGGAGTCGGTCCGGCGTTGATGTACTTGATGGCAGCGTCAATGTCCTGAAGAGTCAGTTGGGATACCAGATGAAAGAAACTAGCTCTACTCACCTCCACGGGGATGATGACAAGGATGGGGCCAAAGATCTCATCGCGGACAAGCCACGACTCCTCGTCCTTTGCGTCACGGGGGAGGCGGACCAGGGACAGACCCATACGGTTGCGATCCTTGTCGGCCTCGCCACGGTAGACCACCTTGCCGCCCTTCTCGGCGTCGTCGAGGACGTTCTCGAGGCGCTGGTAGTCGTTTGTGTTACGAACAAAGGTGGAAGCGCTCTCGTTGAGGAACGAGCGCTCAGAGTTGGGAGGGTGGAAGTGCTCAAGGCTGTGGCGTTAGTTTACGGCACCGAGTCGTCTGCTCACGTCTTGATCAACTCCTCAGTGAAGGCGTCCACGTTCTCCTTGGTGACGAGCACGTAGTCGGGGGACACTGATCGTCAGCGCCGAGTTTCTTTCCAAAGCTGTACTAACCGCACATCTGACCGACGTTCATCTGCTTGATGCTCAGCATGCGACGGGCGGTGATCTTGAGATCGGCGTCGGGAGCCACAATGGTAGGCGACTTGCCGCCGAGCTCCAGAGTCGTCGGGGTAAGCGTCTTGGCCGCAGCGCCGGCGACGATCTTGCCGACAGGGCCACCACCAGTGTAGCAGACTACAGTGGTCAGCATCATTTACGACATACATTTCTGGACGTACTGTGGCCCCAACGCTTCTCGAGGAGGGCGGTCGACGCAGCCACGGCGCCGTTGACAACGGCATAGCCCTCGGGGTCAAGGTAGCGGGGAATCAGTTCAGCGATGAGGGCAGCAGACACGGGTGCATGCTCAGACATCTGTTGGACGCGAGTCAGCGCTCTGCGGCAGGAGGGGGACGATGGCCAAAAGTATGGGGCACGTCTGCAAGCCTTCTGTGACTTCCCATGGTGGCGTATCGCTACACCAAGCAACCGGTGGCGCGAGTTGGATGTGTCCTCAAGCAAGTTTCCGAACCCCGTAACCAAGTGCAGCTACTCACCTTGATGACGGCAGGGCAGCCGGCTGCGATGGCACCGACGAGAGGCGACAGGGTGAGCTGGAACGGGTAGTTCTGCGTTTGTTAGTCCTTAGTTCGTTGGGTCGTTGACATGGTCTCACCCAAGCGCCGATAATCTGTTCAAGTCAGCCAGCTAGCGTGAATGGGGTTAGTTGCGACCTACGAGTGCAACGCCCTTGGGCTGCTTCTTGACACGGGGACCTGGTACCGTCAGATCAGTTCGCAACGAGCAGAAGCTCACGGGCAAGCTTGAACGCATAGGTGGAGTCGCGGGTACGCTTGTCGTCCTTCATCCACTCCGGCAGACGCTTGACGGCGAGGTCAATCTCGTTGAGGGTGGGGATCACCTGAACCTATGAGCTCACTGCACAACCAGCTGTGTTGTACTCACCTCCGCGAGACGGGCCTCAAAGGAGCTCTTTCCCAGGTCAGCCTGGGCAGCAGCAATAATCCTCTCCTCGTTGTCGTTGATGAGGAATGCGAGCTGCTTCAGGTTGTACAGACGGTACGCGGCCTCCTGGGTGCGGTGCGACGCAAACGTCGCCTGCAGGCGGTCATACGTCTGCAATCTAGGTTAGCATCGCGCGATAAGAGATGGGATCGCAGAGGAGGTCGGGTAGGAGGAGCCGCGGTGCTGCAATGCAACACAAAGTTGGGTCCAGCGGCGAATGTTGTCACGCGTAGCAGCGGCGACCACCGCCCTGAACCTGCAACATTTTGGGCCATGACGACAAAAGGCTACGTACCTCATCAATGACATCGAGCGAGGTTTCGGTGTACGGCGGGAGGTCGGCCATGGTGTTGTAGAACGAGTGGTTTGGGATACTCAAATGGGTTGTTGAGAGACGAAGTTGAGTTGCAAGGGATGATATAGCCAAGGAAATGGCGTACGCGTGGCCCCGGAGTGCCATGACCGTGTGCCCCAACCGGGAACAGGTTTATGGTTGCCGTGACGCGGTCATCTGTGCGTGTCTCCGAGGCGCGAGGCGCACCACGCGATGCCAGGAGATGCCGGCCATGCCGGGCCAACTCATCTCGCACCTCCACCGGCGCCGAAGCGGGTTCGACGATTGTGGACGCCTCTGCGCCTTCGTGGGCGTCTTTAGACCCAGATCTCGCCCCAGAACAGTCCCACGCTCACGACGGTCTCACACCCGGTTCGATTCATTGCCGAAAAGTTGATCTTGTGGTGTTTTTCAACATGGAAGCTCGACAACTTTCATCCAATACCCTATGGCTCAGTTGGCTAGCGCGTGGAGCTGTTATCTTCAACACACTCCGAGGTCCACGGTTCGAGCCCGTGTGGGGTAGTATTTTTGCTCCTCGTCGTCGACATGTGCGTCTGGGAGGTGTTGAAGAGGGAGGGCGAACGATTTGGACGAAAAACGGTACCAAAACTCGCGAAGCTCACTTGGGTGACCGGGGCTCCGTGTAGGTGCTTCCTCATGCGTGTTTAGGGGGCCGAGAAGATGCACGGGGTACTTAGCTACATGCACAGTCCAGTTTCAAGCCGCTCGAAGGTCTGTGGAGTGAAATATGGGATTTTTTGTCCGGACGTGTCGAGTTGAGATGAGAGACGGCAAGTGCCACATTTGCTGCCACATGGCCGTCCGCTCATCCTGCGCCGATCCTGCCACACTTAGCGTGACACCCCTTCTCTACGCTCGTCTCTTGGTCTCTTGCACATCTCTTTACATACATCGCTGTGGCTATCAGAAACCGTGGTCCATACGAGCATCCAGTGTCGGCAAGACATGCCGCTCGCGGCGCCAAGGCCGCGCTTAAACGGGCCTTAGCCATGCAGGCGCCCGAGCTGTGTTACACTGTCGACTGTGACGACGCGGTCCGTTGGGCGCAAAGCGATGAGCGTGGGACCCAAGTAGTGGGCGACATGCATCACTCATCATACGACAGAAGCAAGACACATCCGAGACGCCCAAGTGAAACAGGTCTTGTGATTGTTGAATTGAGATGTCTTATCCGTCGGGAGGTGGTCGACCTTTCAGTACGACAGCATTGACCTCAACCTCTTCAACACTTGTCAACGTTTCAAACATTCAACATCTCTCTACCCACTGTTATCATGCGTGGCCGACATCTCAATGTGCTCCTCCTCGTTGCCGCCACCCTGGCGTGCGCAACACACTCGGCGTCCTCGCCCTTGTACCTGTCCCAACTCACACTGCCAGTACAAGAAGACTGTAGGTTGACACTCACGCCTTTTGCTCCACTAACACCCCAGCACTCGATAAGTCCTCATCTCCTCCTCAATCCCACGACGAACCTGCTTCACAAGACACGAACATGCCCCACTACAACCTCCGCCGCACTTCAGCCAACCAAGAACTCGCCGCCGCTCGCCTGACCCGCCGAGACGACTCCACACGCCCCGGCGTCATTACCGGTGCGGTTATCGGCAGTGTCATTGGTGTGTTCGTTATCGCCTTCCCCATCTTCTGGTGGAAGGGCCGTGGGTGCATTGACCGCCGCAAGGAGGCCAAAGACGAAGAACGCGGCGAGCATGACGTGACCCCCTTCCCGTCCAACGTCGGCCACAGCACGGCGTCGGGGTCTCCCACCACGACTGCTTCGCCCACCACTGTCACCACTCCGGTCTTTGTCAGTGAGGTCAACCATCACCGGCTGTCCATCGACTCGACGGCGACTGGAGCTACTGGAGACACGGGCCACACGCGCTACCACACACCGCTTGGCACGAGCCGTCCGCCCACCGCTGCGTCCAACCGTGGCCCGGGCAGCGGCACCGCATCACGCACGCACACACCCATCGGGGCGCCCACAACACCTCTTGGCGGGTCCCGGTCCGCCTCACGCAATGGCACGAACGAGTCGTGGAACGCTGCAAAGATGCAAAACAAGGAAAAGCCCGTCTTGCAGTACACCACCACCTCGGAACGCCTGGCAAACCGCCCCATCACGATCGTTACCGACGACGCTGACAATTACCCTGGAGTGGTCGACGACCAACACAATGTCCAGCCTGTCCTCTACGACGTGCACGTTGTGGAGCCGGCGTTACCTGCCAGCGCCTCGTCGCCCCACTCCCCCGGCGCCCCGCCCAGTCCCATTTTACGTACCCCGCACGACTCGGGCGGGTACCAGGAGTGGGCGTGGGGCGGGTACAACGGCGAGCACCCGGCTCCCGTCCACGACGACAACCACCTGGATGTCATCGCCTCTGGTGGCCTGGGTGCGAGGCGTGGGAGCAGTGGGAGTCAAGGGAGCGCTGGGTCAGGCGCTTCGCGGCGACATGCCGACAGGTCACCCAGAGAGTCGATGCTCGCGCTGTACGAGGCAAGCCACAGCCGTACGCCGAGTAGGACGCCGAGTCCTACCCCTTCAAAGTAAACCGACCCTCCTCGGGAACCGCAAATGTCTGTGTGTGACTTGTCGTGTGTGGCCTAGTAGTATCAGAGACGTAATCACAGCTCGTAGTTGTCAGTACTCGTTAATTTCGCCAGCACACGTTAATTTCCAGCCAGATATCCGTGTCTTGGACCTGTGCATGTCATCCGAATGCCCATCTTACGGCCAGGAGACGGTAGTCTACGCGGACCACCGATTATTGTAAATAGCCCAAATGGTGAGAACACGCTGGTCCTCTTTCCTTTTCTCTCTCTCTCTCTCCTTGCCTTCTCATCTACGGACGATCTATCTTCTTTCGCGGTGTCGCCGTTTAGAAGAGGAAGATCTGGTCCTCGAGCTTGGAGACGGTGCGGGGGGCAGGGTAGCCCATGGTGGCGAGGTGGGCCTTCATGGCGCCCATCATGGGAGGGGGGCCGCAGAGGAGGACCTTGCCGCCGCCCTGGACACCAGCGTCGTGGGCGTGCATCTCGATCATGGCCTGCGAGACAAAGCCGACACCCTGGGTCCAGTTGGCAGGGGGGTTGTTAAGGGCGTGCTGGAGAGGTCAGCGAGTGATGCGTACGGGAGCCAGCTGCAAGCACAGGTTGCAGCTGGCCAACACCTGGCCACAAGGCGGCGGTGCTCATGACACTCACGTAAACGACGAGACGGCCGTTCGAGCCGGCCTCGAGAGCCTTGAGCTCGGGAAGGAGGACTGCCGTCAGCACGTGCCTCACACTGGCGAAATGCCTAGCACTCACGAATGTCGTCCTCGTTGACGTTGGCGTAGATAAGGCGGAGCTGGGTCTTGTCGTCGGGGTTCTTGAGCGAGCTCTTGATAATCTGGAACATGGGGGTGATACCGGTACCACCAGCGATCATGAGGAGGTGGGGGGCAAGGTCCTCGGTGTAGACAAACTTGCCCTTGGGGCCCTTGACCATGATAGACTCACCGACCTTGAGGTCGGCAAGGTGCTTCGAGATGTTGCCCTTCTCGTAGGTCTGCAGTGTCAGCACGTGCGTCGTGTTTTGGGGCATGTCGGACCGCCGGCATGTGAACGATGGCTAGTCTATAGTGGAAGCCTCCAAGCACAAACCTGGTGGGCAGTCCACCTAGTCTGCACCAGTCTTCACATCTAATGCTCGGGACTCCACTCGGGCGGTGTGCTCACCTTGACTACCAGCTCGAAGTGTCCCTTGTCATCGTCGAGCGAGGTGGGGGTGTACGAGCGCATGACATTCTTGCCGTTGATGTTGGCCTGGATCGAAATGTGCTGGCCGATGGGGAGGCCAAGGGCATCAGTCTCCTTGGGGAGGCCGAAGCGGTAGCTGGGTAGTGGTCAGTTTGCGGCCATGACACGAGTGTGCTTGTCAGGGGAACGGGGAGGGGTTCGCATGCAGGCTACGAGCGATGCCGATTGCAACAGGTGGGCTGCCTTGCCTGGACACAGAGGCAGGCAGCAGCTGCACTCGTTGAATGTCGTCAATGCATGCGTGCGTCGGATGACCCGTGCATGTCATGCCGATCGCGGTCCGCACATCATACTGCCGGAGTCCGGCAAAAGCAACGCAATGCAAATGGCCCCCACTTCGCCGCGACGACAGTCGGCCGCGGCGACGGACGCAGGAACACGTTTGGGCCAAAGGTGTCGGCCTGCGGTCTACGCTGCGCTGCACACCACGAGCCCAACCCATCCGGCCTCACCCCGGCAGTGTCCCAAGGACAATGGTTGGGATGCAAGGACTCACCGAGCCGTGTTGTGGGAGAGAGGCGTCTTCTTGACGAGCTTGAAGGGGCGCCACTCGACCTGGTCGAGGACGGGACCCTCCGGAGCCTTCTCTGTACGGTTAGACAGGATCGCGGCATGGTGTTGCAGGCGGTGGACGGCGGCGACAGGCTTGGCCATTGAGGGCCATGGGGGGTGGGGGTCAAGTAGTGGGGAGGGGGGAGAAAGTGTGTAGTGGATCGACGACGACGACGACGACAAGCAAGAAAGATTGCAGGATTGATGATGACGCGACGACGACGGCCCCGTCGCTTGCTCTCCACTCTGCCCCCCACCCACGAGGACGGAGAGAGCGGGCGCCGCGAAAAGGCCCATTACACAATGCAAGCCCCCACTCAGGCATTTTGGCCCCCCCCCATGTCTCAGTGGTGACCCATGACCTGCCGCCAGCTGCCAATCATGTGTTACTCACTGTTGCCGGCCAGGTAGGCGACGATGGCGAGGATGGCAATGATGCCTACGGCGATGGCGATCTCGTTGGTGGACGGCATGCTTTGCGATGAGCTTTGGGGAGGAAGGGGTGGTGATGGACAGAACAACAAAAGACGACAGATAATCCCTCCACGCCACGGGCACCTCGCGACCGGACGGACGGGGCGCGGATGTCTGCGGTGGGGCAAGTCGAGGATTACGTAAATGGTGAGGACATGGGGACCCCACATCCTACCAAATCATAAGCTTACCCAGGATGTACCGATCGGACGGGCCATGTGGTCCGAAAAGGGCCAAGACTGCGCATGTCACAATAATATATAGCAATGGCTGCGCCGTAGCGACCCAGAGCAAACCACATGGTGTCACTCTTCACTCTAGACTCTTGGACATTTGCACAGCTAAGAGAGCAGCCGTCTCTCTCACCCCCACACGCTCTTCCCCTCTATCCCTCTCCCTCCCCACCCATTCACCCAAGCGACACATGCCCGACAGCCCCGACGTAAAGTTCGCGGGCCTGTCGACACCCAAGCTCGACGGTGGTAACTCCGTCACTCCGGCGTCGGCAGGCTCCTCGTCACTGGGCAGGATGGACATGGACGATGTCGAAGCTGCATACGTCACAGTCATGGACGGCGGCAGCAGCGACGACTGCACCCGACCGCGCACGCCCTTGCTTGGGAGGGCGAAACGCAGCGCAAAGAGTGTACCGGGAGTGACGCCTGTGCTACGGATCGTCAACACCATTCTGGGGCCATCGCAGCGGGCTGTCCCACCACCACCACTGCCGCTGGACAAGACGTACTTGGGCAGGATGTTACGCCGTGTCCCGTTTTTCTCGCGGCTCGCCAGACTCGATTCGGCGTGCTCGCACATGTCGCGCCGCTTGGGCCTTCGGCGGCTATGGTTCCCATACCTGTTGTTGTGGATCATGGGCTTCATCCTCCTGATCCGCGCCGCATATTATCCACCGGGAGGCGCCGAGATGGTGGACTGCACGTCGACGTTTTGGCCAGACTACCCGCCCGATACATGTGGACAGGACGGCAACTTGTGTTCTGGCAGCTTGGTGGAGCAGGTGGTGCGCTGCCCCGGTGGCTGCAAGGACACTACGCTCGGCAATCTCCGCTGGATTGGTGGCGAGGTGGTGAACGGTGTCCCTGTGCTCATTGGAGGTGGAGACGACAATGGCACGTATAGGTGAGTGCAACATACCTATGGTGGTCGTGTGACGATCGCCCCGAGATGCCCAATCTCGGTGATTTAGCCTTTGCGCCAACAACCACACTAACGATCCACAGAGCCGACTCGTGGGTCTGCGCTGCTGGCATCCATGCTGGTGCCATCTCACCCACCTTTGGTGGTTGCCTTCGCTTGCAACCTCTTGCCTTCCCCTTGGGCTTTTCCAACTTTGTCGGCACCAAGGAACACGGTCTCGAGTCCGAGTCCTTCTCCCCACACTTTCCCGCCGCATTCACACTCTCACACGCTGGTAGTGGCGCGAGCTGCATCGACTACCACTGGCCCATCACTGCATACAACGTCATCCTGTTGTTCGTCTTCACAGCCCTCTTCGCCCCGCCTCCAGGTGTCCTCGCGACGACCATCTTGTTGTTGGGATACCTCCAGATCAAGCTCGTATCAGACCCACCGTACCGCCCGCCCGACTGGAGCGACGTCTTGCAAGGTGTCCCACCCGTGCTCTTTGCAGGATACTGGGCATGGAACGTGTGTCTGCGCCGCACGCTGCAGGGGTTCGCTGTCGCCGCCCTCCCGCTCGCCACGGCCGTGTGGCAAGGGTTTGGCTTTTGGGTCGGGACCGAGTCGTCGACGCTCTTTGCCAAAGTCCCCATCTCGCGCCTTGGGTATGGCAAACTCGGCGCGGACGGTATCGTCGCACTCATCATCATCATCATTGTCGTCGCCGTCGCCGTGGGCATCCAGGCATTCGAGTTCCGCCGCCTGGGTTATTTCCGCTACTACATTGTCCGCTACCTGCCCCTCGTCCCCATCCTCATCATCTTGGCGTGTATTGGCCACTCGTACTACCTGAGACTACACCACTACCTCCTTGCACTCGCGGGTCTGCCCGTCATGTCCCTCCCGAACCGCGTCAGCTTGTTCGGCCAGTCGTTCTTCCTCGCATTCTTCCTCGACGGAGTCGGGCGGTGGGGGTGGGCGAGTATCCTCCAGAGCGAGGCCGAGGTGAGCAGCTGAGGGGTGACCGCCGCGCATCAGCTGACACATACACAGCTCATTGGCGACGCAGCAGTTGGATCGGCCTTGCCAGCCCTCACGGCCATCTCGTCCTTGGCCCTGTCGTGGCCGGCGCTCAACTCGACATACCTCGACGCGGGCCTCACGTCGTTTGCGTTGGTCCTCGACGATTTGGTGGTCGAGGCCAACTCGACTCGGACCAGTACGTCGCTCACCCAGCTATCTCATCGCCCGTGTAGCTGTATACTGACTCCCGACTCAGACTTTAGCCTCGCGGACGTGTCGGCGGATCTCGCGACTGACCACTACTTCCGCATTGCCGTGAGCCCAGCTGCCGAACTTCTTCCTCAGTAGCTGACAACACAACCAGTACATTGCCAACGGCTCGAGCATGGACTTTTCCGATCCCGCGACGTGGTACTCGAGCAACCAGTCGTGGGTTATCCCCACGGAGGACGAGTAGAGCGTCTCCTAGTTTGTACTCCAGGACAATGTTGTAGCCATAGCATAAGTAGCCCGTTTACATGTTTTTACAAGCATATCACATCCCCTGGCCCGAGGGACCGCCATTGGGCCACCCGAGCCCATACGCCCACATCTGGCCGACGGTGCCGTCGCTCAGGCCCACGCCGCTCGCCACCGAGTCGTTGAACAGCCACTCGAGCGGCGGGGAGACGGCCACTGCCTCGTGTTCGGTGCCCACGATACCCTGCTGGCCCTCCCAGGGGAGGGCAAAGTCAAACCCAGTGTCGAGGCCGAGGAAGAGGTTGATTGGGTCTGAGGGGTGTTGTTGTTGTTGTTGTTGGTCAGTCACACCGCCGCCGAGCTGCGGGAGAGCGATCTGGGTCGACGTCGAGCTCGAAGGCTGTTGCAGGAGAGGAGAGACGAGGGACATTGTGGGGTTGGCGATGGATTCTAGTGGCGTGGCAATGTGTTCGGGAAGAGCGCTGCCGACCGACATGGCAGGGTTGAGGGCCGATTCGGGGCTCGTGCTCGGTCCAACGCCATCCTGGCACAGCCCAAGGAGGAACGAGCCGTAAAAGTGCGCATATGTCAAGTCGAAGCGGCCATCACCGCATGGCGCCATGGAGAGGGCCACATCGCGAATGAGGGCCATGCTTTCTTCTCGGTCAAGCTGGATGGGTCAGCTACATCTTCAAAACGGCCTTCACCCACCCTTAACAAGAGCACCGCTGCCCATGTGATCATGCCGCAGATGGTGCGACAAATGTATCGCGCATTCTTGCCGACCTCCGCGGCGAGGAACTCGAGGGACGACTTGGCCGTGGCGACCAGGATCGGTTGTCTGGCCTCGCTCATGGTCGTGATGAGGAGGTGAACGTGGTGCGCGAGGGTGCGCATCATGGCCGTAGACATGGGTGCTGGGGGTCAGCTATGGTGAAGATCGATCAGCTTACATTCAACCATCATCTGGTCGGTGACCCAAGTGTCGACCCAGCCGTCCAGGAGGACGCCAGCACTGACGCGCACACTGTCGATCATGTACGACTTTGAAAGGCTGGCGATACGCTCGCGTGTTTCGTGCTGTATGGGTCAGACAACTTCCAGCAAGGGGAAACCCACCTCAATGGAGCGAAGTTCCAAGAATCCGACCACCATGCGGTCGCCGAGCGTGCAGTACGGGTGGTCGAGCCAGCGGTTCTTGGAAACGAGGTCCAGGTCACCGGCAATCATGGGGGGTCGGCCCGAGAACGCACTCAAACTGTCTGTGAGCTTAGAGTTCGGGGTCGACAGCTCACCTCCTATCTTGAATCAAGCAGGTGATCCATGTACGTGTCCTGTCACGGTGCCATCTACGCGTCAGCTCGTGGGACCGCCGTCGCAACGAACCTCTGGGCCATCTCGTCACCTTCAATACAGGGCCGTTCGCGGTTCATCCCCAACTCGAAGGCCATGTTGATCGCCAGTGCAAGTAGCCTGTTAGGTGAGCCATGTGGATGCTAGTTATGCTACCTACGTTCGCGACCGGTCATCGACGATACGTTCCGGGCACCTCGGCCAGAGGGACAATGCGAGGAGGGCCTGCTGTGAGCTTGCGCGTCGAGCACTCGGAAACTCACGAGGACAATCTCCGGACTCTTGGTGTTCCTCGAGACAATGGTAACGAGCAGCCCCTCGGCGTGCTTGTAGAGGCTCTCGGCGAGCTCTTTCGCGCCTGGCGCATCCTTGGCCCCGGCAGCGATGGCGAGGATGGCCGTCTCGAGCAGGGCCGAGCGGGCGCGCAAGTTGTCCAACGTGTGGATCTTGGGGTCCATGAATCCGACTTGGGGCTGCATCATGGTCATAAACCTGTAGGAACACGGGTTAGTAAAGAGCCCTGCGAAGCGCCAACCCACTCATCTACAAGCTGCACCGCCTGGTCCTTGCTGAGCATCTTCCTCGAGATTGGATCCAGCACTTTGGCCACATCGCGCTTGACGGTCCCCGGCCGGTGGCGAAAGTAGACACTACGCTTGGCCGCTGCTTGCTGGAGCTGCTTACGCGACCACCCCGGGTGGATCATGTGGGGTTTATGGTGCTCGGCAGGCGAGGTGCTGCGCGTGGGCGTCCCCTCCGATACGACGACTTCTTGCTGCAGCGCCGAGCCGACGTTTGACAGTAACGACAAGGGGTGCGCATGGTCGCCCCTGTCGGGTTCGGGCGACTGGCGGCTCTCGAGGGGCAATTCGGTGAGGACGGACGAGTCGTCCATGTCATACAGGGTGTTGGAGTCACCAGAGATAAGGTGGTCGGAACTGCAATGGTGTCAGTCGTCATTTGGGTAAAAGGCAAGCATCACCCAGACTCACTCATATTCCTCTTCATGCCCAGAGACATACGACTCGCTCCTCACGCGACGTCTCTTTCCGTTCGGAGAGCGCAGGTCGCCAGAGTGCTTGAGACGGTCGAGCTCGGCATGGACCTGGGCGAGGGACTTGGCCACTCCCGTCTGCTTGCTGACAACTGTCAGCTGCGTCCCGTGAAGGTAGAGCTAGCTCACTTTCTGCTGCCCAGCACACGCCCACGGCGACTCTTGACCACTTCACACTCTGTCCTGAGCGACTTGCACCTCTCGCACGGCTTGGATGGGTCTGGGTCACGGCGACATTTGGACTTTAGACGCCGACATCTGATAACCCCTGTTAGCGCGGGTGGGGCGGGGGATTGGACATACTGGAGACAAGCTGCTGACGCTCGCTGGCGGGAAGACTGCGACGCGCTCGCAGACGCCTGTGCGTCTGGGATATTGTTGTGAGTTGGGAGACCCACATGAGTAGCCATGGGCGGCTATGTAAGCTGCTAGCGTACCTTGTTGGAGCAGGGAAGTGGGTGGGTTGACGGAGGACATGCGGTGGTCTGGGCTGTATCAGCTATGCATCGGGGAGTCTTTCGATAGCTTACCGGTATGTTGTGCCGTTCTGTGAGCCGACGAGGACGAGCTCATGGTAATGTAGATGTGGATGTGGAGAACAGAGAGAGTGAGAGTCGGAGTAGTGGGCACATGAGGGGGGGTGTCATTTCGAATGGCAACTAGATACCCGGACGAGCGAGATCGCAGCCACAGGGGCTTTTGGGTGTGCGGAACGGCCGAACTGGCCTCTGCCATCATGACCGAGCTCCCCACAGCTGCACCACATATGCATGCTTGTCTGACCGACGCCCTCTTACTCATCCTCCCCGCTGTCATGCTTCCAGTCCTCGTTGCCCCCAATATACCGATACACGACCCGCGAGTCTCGGTCGACACACCGGGGATCCGCGCTGGCTTTGGTGTACACGTCCAGCCCCGCCAGGCCAAGACACAACGTTGCGTCCACCATCGCCGCCGCCTCCAGAGCGAGGTTGTAGTCTTTGCGCATAAACTGGACCTTGAAGCCTGGCGCATAGTCTTTCGACGCAGGCGCATTGGGGTCCACGCCTGGCACAGGCTGCCACTTATCAGAGAGGACAGACACAGGTGTGCCACTCACGTTACAGTTGCTGTTCACCCAGCTCCCGCCCGTGCTCACACCCAGCACCTTGTGGAACGTGACGGGGTCGAGGCCCAGACGCATGGCGAGGTTGAACCCCTCGGCAGTGGCAATGGCGATCGTGCCCGAGATATAGTTGTTGCACACTTTGGTCACGAGCCCGAGCGTGGGCCCACCACACGCAAAGAGGTTACTCCCCATTGTGGCGAGGAGGGCTCGAATCTCGGCCACGCGCGGGTGCGACTCTGCCAGGCCCATCATAAACGTCAGTGTCCCCCGCTCGGCTCCCGCTGGGCCACCTGACACGGGCGCGTCGACAAACGTCGCGCCCAGCGTCTCGACAGCGGCGGCCGTGGCGCGCGAGGTGGCGACGTCAATGGTCGAGCATTCGAGAAACAGCTTGTCCTTGACTGCCGCCGGGTCGGCGAGCGCGCCGCCGGCTGTGGCGGCAAAGACGGCCGAGACGTGCTTGCCCTCGGGCACGATGGAGATGATTGTGTCCTGTGCCGTCGTCCTCGTGTGAGCGGGAACCGCGCGGGGCAGCCACCAGGCCACCAGGGTGTGCGGTGCTTACAGAGTGGGCGACAACATCCTGGGCCGACGCGCAGACGACGACCGGGCCGAGAGACCCGTACTGGGCGACAAACTTGTCCAGGACGGCAGTGGCCACGTCGTAGATGTACACCGTGCTGGATCGTGGCAGGGATTCACGCAGGTTCTTGGCCATCTGCTCGGTGCATCAGAGAGGCTGCAGTAGTGCCCAACACTTGCCCAGTAGCCCATCGCGCCCAGTCCAACTGGCAGAGAGAGAGAGAGTTGCGTGGTTAGCCGAGTGCATCCTCTCTAGTGTCCTGAGTAGGGCAGGATTCCGGGTAAACGGGGTGCCGGCCGTCCCCCGGCATTCCATGTTGCACAACTCACTGAAGCCGACGTTGCATGGGAGTGCTGGTGCTGGTGCAGAAGAAGTAGAAGAGGTCATGATAGAGGAGAGTGACTGCAGAGGGACAGGTGGCATGGGTGACTGCAACTGGTGTTACAAGAGCAACATGTGTGAGCGACGATGGATGGATGGACGATGGACGATGGAGGAAGCCGAATACCGCGTTCCCCCCGGAGTAGATAACCGTAGCCACCATTTGGCACCAACGACGGCACTACCGACGAAGCGCGCGTTCGGCTTTGTCGAACGAGTTGTTCCGGGAGACAAGCCAGATGGCCAGATGCCCAGATGCGTCGAGACAGCGTTTTAGTATTATAACCTGCATCCTATCTCTCCCATCTATACTCACTCGTCCTCCTCCTACACCCTCCTCCCCCTACACACGCAAATGTCCAACCCCAACCCCACCGCCTCCACCTCTGCCTCTGCCTCTGCCTCGGAAGAGCAGCGCGACGCAGCCTACGATGTCCTGTTCGACCGCGGCATCCAGCAGCGCCGCAAGGTCCTCGGCGACGCCTATGTCGACAACCAGCTCAACAAGGGCCAGAGCGAGTTTATGCGTCCCATCCAGGAATACGTGACCCGCTCGGCGTGGGAGGGTCTCTGGAGCCGTCCGGGCATGGAGCTCAAGCACCGCTCGCTGGTGGTCATCACGTGAGGACGAGATGGGTGTAGCTTGCTGGCCTTGTCGCTGACACTCCCGCCCGCAGCATCCTGGCCATTGGCGGGCACGAAAAGGAGCTCCACGGACACACCAAGGGAGCCCTCAACAATGGCCTGACCGAGACGGAGATCCGCGAGTGCATGATGCACGTCACTGGATACGGCGGCTTCCCCAAGGGTCTCGAGGCGTGAGTTGCGGGAAACAGACAGTGCAGTGACCGTGATCCCTTGCTCTCTGATCTCTGAGAGCTGACTGCGACATACCAGGTTCCGGATCTGCGAGCGTGCCATCATTGAGTGGAACGAGGAGCAGGCGGCCCTCAAGGCCCAGGAGAACAAGTAGAGGCGGCAAGGGGGGAATGCAGTATATGGTTGACACGAGGGATCCCCTCATCTGCTGACGGTACTGACCTCGACTGTTGATTATAGCTTGGGCTGTGGATGGCCTGGCGTGCCTCAGGCCTCAGCCATGCGACAGAGAGTGGGCCATGGGCTACGACCCGAATGCGAGATGGGCGCACGCGAACGTCGTCGACCGCGGTGCTCGAAAGCGAGCAGCACCGTCGGCCGTTGACCGCGGTCAACACTCACCTGCGTTGGTCCCACACCACTGGGCGACTCGAGAGCCAAGTGTTCATATCACGACCAACACCGGGAACCGTGGACGGCGGGACGTTTGGCCATGCTGATGGGCTCCCCACAGCCAATTCTTCGTCGGACACAAGGTCACTGTGTGTTGTCACCGGATCGCTGGAGAGAGCTCCTACACCGCACCTCCCAGGCCATCACTCACGCAGTACACAGTTGGGACGAGCGGTGCATGCTCATCCTGCTGACATGTGACGGTAATGATACAAACATGTGAATCGCACAACACGCTCGCCGCCGCCGAACGGATCCACCGCAACGCAGTCCGCCTGATGGGCCGTCACTCTGATGAACGCGGGTGGTTCTTTGATAAGAAATAGGCCAGATCTCTCATCCCAGATCCCGCAGCGCACATGGTCGAGATAACAACACGGTGTGTTGGCTGCATGGCTTGCTTGCTTCTGCCACCGACGCGGCACTGGCCTTGTACCCACCCACAGCCCCCTTACCACACACCCCCGCCGGCCCCCGCACGCTGGCTCGCAACCCTGGCGAGGGCCGGCACTTATCGCAACAGTGGTACAGTGGGTAGACGGTACGTGCGCCTGGTGTGCTTTATTGTTCTGGAGTCATTGTTTTGGAGTGTACAGAGAAAGGGTGTTGGGTACGTGCCCTCGAGTCATGCCCAACCCGGAGGCCAGATAGATGTGAAGTCCACCCTCAGTCGGCGAGGCGGGGCCGCGGTACGAAACGAGTCGATGTCATCACTCGGAGGGAGAGCTCCGAGGTCGACGTCTGGACACGGCCACGACCTGCGTGGGCACAAGGGCCATGCACGGTCATAACATGGCAGAGCGGTCCACCCAGCGCGGCGGCCAGCACGGCACGTTTCTGCCAGAAGCACATGCATATGGCGTCCGTTGATGCGTCGGGAAATGTTCGGAGGAGATGCGGTGCGTGTACGGTGCTGCCGGCGGCACTGGCGGAGGGAGACGGGTGTGGGTGGGGTCGGGGTCGTCCGTGTGCCTCGACTCGGGGTTTCTTTGTTGTTCCCCCTCCATTTCCCTCTCCTCCAGCCATCTGGGCCAGGCCCATGGTCGAGTCGACGTGGACGCGCGGGTGTTTGCATGCAGCAGAGTGGAAGGGGGAGGGGACATGTCCGCGGCGGATAATGGGCTTTTGCCGGCGGTTGATGCAAGCCCCCCCGCACGCTTCAATGTTGCTCCGAGTCGGACCTTTTGCACAAGTCTGGCTAGGCTTCGGGATCTTGCGGCAGTGGGCAGCAGGCAGCAGGCAGGCAGCAGGCAGGACAATCGGGCCGCGCACCGGGGAACCGAGGCATAGGGACCACGCTGTGGGTGTGTAAGCGTGCATGGGTGCAGGGGTGGTGCGCGTGTAGGCTCTATTGAATGAAAAGACTGCTTGTTGTGGGTGTGCGGTACAGGTTGCGGCATGGCGTGACGTGGGGCAATGACCCGTGGGGTCGACTGGCGGGGTCGCCTGAGCAGGAGTGGCCACAGTGTCTGTGTCTATCCTTTGCGCTGCTTGCAACGCGTCTTGCTCGGCTCGTATGCTGTTGTGCTCCTCTGCAGAGAGGTATACCGTGAATACATCTGGTCTGTCCTGCGTGAACGGACGGGTCAGTTTGGCAGGTCGAACCATGGCTCTGCTGTTCGAACGGTGACGATCATGTCAGGATCGTCCGTCAGTATCCGGGCTTTCCCGCCGGCACGCGCCGAGTAAAACTGTGCGCAGTACTGTGTGCAAGACGACGACGACGAAGCAGACAGGCAGGGGGTGTATAAGGGTACGTGTGGTTCCGAACAACCAACGCTGCAGACATGTCCAACGATGGGGGAGAGGGTGTGGGGGTGATTGTGGAAATCGAAAACACACAATGTTGCCGTGTTATTTTATTTCGATGGAAAAAAGGATGGGTGGGCGCGAGAGAATATTTATCCGTGATCTCCGTGTGCTGGCAGCCAGGAGCGTAGGAGCCAAGCGCGCCGAATGCATGATCCGTCGGCAATGCAGAAAGCATGTGCAGGCCGTGTCGTGGTCGCGTTAACCCGCTTACTGGCAGAGCGCAGAGTGTTCGAAAACGGAAGAGGGATATTCGAAAAACGGGGACCCTCGTCCTCTTCGTTCCCTGGGTGCGGGGCAGAGCTGCTTGGCCGTCATTGCCCGGGTATTCTCCCCCCCAGCCAGGACAGCTCCGGTCCGGCATGGCCGTCCTGTGTTTAATATCTCGTCTTGATCCTCTCCCTCTCTTGCTATCATCCCCCCCCCTCACTCATCCCCCTCACCCCGCCCACCTGCAACCTCCCCACCCACAATGTGTACGTCTACAGCTCCCCCTGCTTTGCATCCACTCCACACGCTCACACCTCACAACAGCCATCACAAGCTTCTGGTCAAAAGTGCCCCAGGGGTGAGTAGTGTCTCTCTTGCGCGCTGCCGCCGGCTGGTCCTACCGCCTGCAACAAGGCCACGCAGGCCGTAGTCCACAACAGCCTGGCACAGCCGTCGTCCCCACCATTGTCCTCCCCACTGACACCCATCCAGCCCCGCCGACCCCATCCTTGGTGAGTCCCAGTGGCAAGAGCCCAAAAAGGCCAGCTCCCAGGGTGTCTCGGCCCACCCAATGTGCCGGCGCGCTTGTGTCAGCGGCAGTCATCTCTCGACGGCTGCCGACACGCTGAGCTGAATACACACACACCCGTGGAGCGGGCCATCCTCCCTCCTCTGAAGCATTCTAGCTGACACCCCCCACAGGTGTGACCGACGCGTTCAAGCGTGATCCCAGCAAGAGCAAGATCAACGTCGGAGTCGGTGAGTTGTTTATCGAGTCAAGAGGGCAGGGAAGGGGCGACTCTTGGTGTCCGGCAGTGTCCAGGCGGGGTGGCCGGCAAACATCGTTTTTTCTTGTTTGCTGTGCTCTCCACCGCCGCCGCCTGCCGCGTCGCCTGCGAGCGCCTTGCCGGGCTGGCGTGTCGCTGGGCCCGACCACACGAGGGCTCTCTGTGCTCGACGCCTCCCGGCTATCGCAATCCCCCCCTCCCCCACGCCTGCGCGTGGCTTCTCGCCTTGCCGCCGGCCCAAAGTTGTGCACGCACTGACCACCAACCTTTTTGCTCCCCCCCTCTGCCACCACCACATCATCCGCTCCCATTCTTGCGATAACAGGCGCCTACGTGAGTTTTGACACTGCCCCCCCCCCCCCCCCTCCCTTGAAACCTCTGGCTGACTCGTCGCTTAGCGTGACGAAAATGGCAAGCCCTACGTGCTCGACTCGGTCCGCAAGGCCGAGGACATTATCCACACCCAGCGTACCGACAAGGAGTACCTCCCCATCACCGTCTCTCAGAGTTCCTGTCGCTCGCGTCCAAGCTTGCGTATGGCGCCGACTCGAAACCCCTCAAGGAGAACCGCGTAAGTACAGTGCTGGAGCTAAACGGCGGCACACGCCGGCCGGCATACGCTGTCGGAGGTAGCCGATGGCCCCCTCCCTCCCCCAACAGATTGATTCAATTTTACTAACACCTCGTCCAGGTCGCCGTCGTCCAGTCCATCTCTGGCACTGGTGCGCTCCGTATCGGTATGGAGTTTTGCTCGCAGTTCTACCCGGGCAACAAGACTCTCTACCTCCCCAACCCCACCTGGGGTGCCCACCCTGCCATTGCCGACAAGGCTGGTCTCGAGGTAAAGCGCTACCGCTACTTCAAGAAGGAGACTCTTGGTCTCGACTTTGACGGCATGAAGGAGGACCTGACCACCGCCCCCGAGGGCTCCATCATCTTGCTTCACGCCTGTGCCCAGAACCCCACGGGTATCGACCTCACCCAGGCCCAGTGGAGGGAACTGTCCGACCTGGTCAAGAGCAAGCGTCACCTCGCGTTCTTTGACATGGCGTACCAGGGCTTTGCCTCGGGCGACGTCGACCGTGATGCGTTTGCTCTCCGCTACTTTGTCGAGCAGGGCCACGAGATTATGCTCTGCCAGTCGTTTGCCAAGAACCTTGGTCTCTACGGCGAGCGTGCGGGCACCTTTTCCATGGTGACCGCGTCGCCCGAGGAGAAGGAGCGTGTCTTGTCCCAGCTCAAGCGTGTGATTCGCCCCCTCTACTCGTCGCCTCCTCTCCACCCGGCCCAGCTGGTCGCCACCATTCTCGGCTCGCCCGCCCTCTACACCGAGTGGCTCGGCGAAGTCAAGAAGATGGCTGACAGGATTATCGCCATGCGCGCGCGTCTGTACGACATTCTCCTCGAGCTCCAGACCCCCGGAAACTGGGACCACATCAAGTCGCAGATTGGCATGTTTTCGTTTACCGGTCTCACCCCCGAGCAGGTCGCGGCTCTGGCCGAGTATGCCCACATTTACATGACGACCGACGGCCGCATCTCGATGGCTGGATTGAATGAGCACAACATTCGCTACTTTGCCGAGAGCATGAGCAAGGCCATCAAGGGCGACCTTGCTGCGGTCCCCCAGGCTTCCATGTAATTATCACCCGAGGAGAGAGAGAGAAGAGTGAGAAGACAGAGACGCGCGTTTAATCCCCCCCCCAACCCACCCCCTCCCCCTTTTGATCCGATCCCTACCCCGTGGTGTGTATGCTGTTTTGTGTGGATGGGGACGGACCGTGTAGAACCATATACAGGCGGATGCGACACAGCATATGCAAAACCGTTGGACATTTGTGTGCAGACGAGGAGCAGCAGCGCGTGTGGGGTTGAACGAGCGCAACAGGATGTGAGTCCCACCGTGGGAGACTCGAATTATGACCACGGGCCCTCGACGCCTCGACGCGCCGACGCGTCTCCTGAACGCGCGGGGCCAATGTGGGAAATGGGATGGCGCGTCCAATCTCTTCGCTCCATCACCCATCCATCCATCTCCATCTCTCTCCATCCCCCTCACCAGCAATGTCCACCCCAACAGGCCGTCGCACAGGCGGCACAAACCCTCGCTCTTCTTCTCCTTTGCACTTCCCCACCTCATCACCCAATGCCACCCCGCGCGCACCGCGCCAGCAGCAGCCTCGTGAGTTTTGTCCAGCCAGCCCCGCGCACAACCAACACCCACACTAACTTGTTCCAGCGCCGACGTCCTCGCCCCTCCACTTCCCCACCTCGTCCCCCGGCCGTGGAGACAACAGTGGCCGCCGTGCTGCCGCCTCGTCGTCTGCAGCGTCCGCCGTGTCCGTGGCGAGCGGCCCGCGCATGCGCGCGCTCCGTTCCGAGACCCCGCTCTTCTTCCCGGCAAGCGGCGGCAGCAGCGGCGCCGGTAGCACTCCTCGTCGCAAGCAGCGTGGTGACATCCACTCTAGCCGTGTGGTCAACTCGCCATCGCTCACCCGCCGCGCAGGCCAGCGCAACGGCAACAATATCAATGGCGAACCCAACCTGTTCGCTGCGAGCTCTCCGGGCGTATACAGCGACGCGGCCACGCCTGTCCCGCACCGTGCCCACCCATCGTCTGCGCTCGGCAACGTGCCCACCATGAGCGCGGTGTCGGCCACGGATGACATGGACGACGACGAGACTGCCAACGTCACGTCTATCTGGGGCACGTCGATTGTGCTGCAGCAGTCGATGAACCTGTTCCGCGACTTTTTGCATGGCTTCAAGCCCAAGTACCGCGCCGTCTACAACCAGACTGTCGCCAAGGCCGCCATTGAGGCTGGCGGTGTCGCGCCTCCCGTCATGCCGCTGTACGACAACTTGTCAGCCGCAAAGGCCGACACGCCCTTGTATGAGGGATACCTTGTCCAAATGCGCCAGACGGGCCAGAACAACCTGAACCTGGACGCGATCAACGTGCTCGCCTACCCGCCGTCCAAGAAGCTGTACCACCAGATTGTCAACTACCCGCAGGAGGTGATCCCCCTGATGGACCAGGTGCTCCAGGACGTCGTGGTCGAGGCGGCCGAGGATGAACTTGACGCTGCCAGGGCGCGCAACGCCGACGGCGACATGTCCGACCTCGAGCTCACGGCGCTCGAGAACGAGCTCAAGGCATTCGGTGGGCGTGTCTTCAAGGTCCGCACGTTTGGCGGCGACCGTACCGTCAACATGCGCGACCTCAACCCGGGCGACACGGACAAGCTCATTACTGTCAAGGGCCTGGTCATCCGCGCCACCCCGGTGATTCCAGACATGCAGACGGCCTTTTTCCGCTGCCTCGTCTGCCAGCACACGGTCGATGTCGGCATTGACCGTGGCCGCATCAACGAGCCCACACGCTGCCCGCGCGATGTCTGTAACTCGATCGGCACCATGGCCCTCATCCACAATCGTTCCGCGTTTATCGACAAGCAAGTGGTTCGTTTGCAGGAAACCCCCGATGCTGTCCCCGATGGACAGACCCCGCACACTGTCTCGCTGTGCATGTACGACGAGCTTGTCGACCTTGTCAAGCCCGGTGACCGTGTAGTGATTACGGGCATCTTCCGCTCGATCCCCGTGCGCGTCAACCCGCGCCAGCGTTCCATCAAGGCCCTGTTCAAGACGTTTGTCGACGTTGTCCACGTCAAGCGCACCAACGCTGCTCGGATGGGTTTCGACCCGTCGACGCGTGGCGGCGAAAGGGCCCCCGGTGTGGGTGTGGGTGGCGAAGACGACGAGGCCGAGGTCATGCAGGGCACGCAGCGTGCCGCAGACGAGATGATGGACGAGGACTCGCCCGACCTGTCGCTCAGCGCGACGGCCGAGATGGAGCAAAAGCTGCTCGAGCTGTCGCACCACCCGGACATTTACGACATGCTCGCGCGCTCCATGGCGCCCAGTATCTACGAGATGGACGACGTCAAGAAGGGTATCCTCCTGCAGCTGTTTGGCGGCACCAACAAGTCGATCTCGCGCGGCGGCGGTGGCGGCGGCCCGCGCTACCGCGGTGACATCAACGTCCTCATGGTCGGTGACCCCGGTACCTCCAAGTCGCAGATCCTGCAGTATGTCCACAAGATTGCCCCGCGTGGTGTCTACACCTCGGGCAAGGGCTCGTCGGCTGTCGGTCTCACTGCATACGTCACTCGCGACCCGGACAGCAAGCAGCTCGTCCTCGAGTCGGGTGCCCTTGTTCTTTCCGACGGCGGTATCTGCTGCATTGACGAGTTTGACAAAATGTCCGACGCGACGCGCTCTGTCCTGCACGAAGTCATGGAGCAGCAGACTGTCTCGATTGCAAAGGCCGGTATCATCACCACGCTCAACGCGCGCACGTCTATTCTCGCGGCCGCCAACCCCGTTGGGTCAAAGTACAACCCCAAGCTGCCGATCCCTGCCAACATTGACCTGCCACCGACGCTCATTTCGCGTTTCGACCTGCTCTACCTCGTCCTCGACAAGGTCGACGAGATGAACGACCGTCGTCTCGCCGCGCACCTCGTCGGCCTGTACCTCGAAGACCGGCCCGAGCGCGCGGCCGGAAACGACATTCTCCCCGTCGACATGCTCACGGCGTACATTACCTATGCGCGCAGCAAGATCAACCCGGAGCTCAGTGGACCCGCCTCGGACGCCCTTGTCGCTGCGTACGTCAAGATGCGTAAAGTCGGCGAGGACGCGCGGTCGTCTGAACGCCGCATCACCGCCACGACGCGTCAGCTCGAGTCGATGATCCGTCTTTCGGAAGCGCACGCGCGCATGCGCTTCTCCGAGTCGGTCGACCTGCAAGACGTGGCCGAGGCGGACCGCCTCATCCGCGCCGCGCTGCGCGAGTCGGCGACCGACCCGCTCACGGGCCAGATTGACCTGGACCTGATCACGACGGGTGCCGGCCAGACGATGCGCCGCGTGCGCGCCGACCTCAAGCGCGAGATCCTCTCCCTCGTGAACGCGGCGGGCACCACGGGCCTGCGCTGGACGGCCGCCATCCGCGCCATTGAGCAGCAGTCGAGCGTGCCCCTCGACCACGCAGAGTTTGCAGAGGTCGTAAAGGGCATGCAAGAGGAGGGGCTCGTAAAGGTCGTCGGCGACAAGGAGCGCAGGACGATTAGGAAGGCGTCGGATTGAGTAGAGGTAGAAGTGGGGCGTGGTGTGTTAGTGTTTATTGTTTATGTATTATGCTGGATTGCAGACGATCAGTGGGAGATGGGGGCCAGGGAGGGGGAGGAGATGTGGGGGAGGAAGGGGTATGGCAGCGGGTGATGAGTGGATCTTGGGGGATACGTGAGGGGTCAATTGGGAGGCACCCTTGCACGCGCCGGGCTCTGTACGACGGACATGCCCCGCCGTGCGCGCGAGCCCAAGACGCAAGGCAGACAGGGCTGTGGCCTGTCGGAAGATGGTGGCCAGAGGGTTCAAACGTACGTTGTCCTGAGCGTAATGAACGGGTGGTCTAGCTATATGTGGCATTTGGTCGATGGACCAGCACACCCCAAAACGCGTCTGCAGAAATAGATGCCAGAGGCCGATGCCAGAGTCCTGGGTGGCCCCACTGAATGCCCTGCACGGTCGTCCTGGTCTATGACGGGCAACGACAAGGCAGGAGAGAGACACAGACACGGGCAGGGGACGGACGAGGGAGAGGATACGTCTAAAAAGGTGTCGAGGTGTCAAGGTACGCCCAAGAAAAGTACATATAAACAACGAGTTACGGTCCTGGTTTTGCATAGGGCCCAAAAAAAAGAGAGTGAAAGCTGGTGGTGGTGGTGGTGGTGTGGTGACAGAGATGCGGGGAGCGAGATGTGGATCGAGAGAGACAGAGTCTGCTCATGTGGTGCGCTTGGTGGCGCTGGGTGCGTGGTCAGCATGGAACATCCGTGAGCGTTACATGCAGTGCTGGGGGGCGGCCATGCTGCCTGCCGCACACTCCCCGTGCACGAGGCTAGAAGCAGTCGAGATGGGTGGACGGTCCGTCCGAGCCCATCACGCAGGCACGCACGCGCACACCACACGGACAGTGCATGGTCGGTGCAGTGGCCCAAGTGATCCAAGTGGCGCGCACAGAAGAGATCCATGCGGCGGCGACATGCACCACGCCATGCTTCTTCGGCCAAACAACAGTCCGGTCCACACTCACTATGGCGCGGACATGGTGTATCCAAAGTTCTCGCAGTACAGCGCGACGTTTGCCAGGTTGGCGTTGTACGTCGACGCGTCAATGTATCCGCCGGCCAGCTGGCACGCGTAGCATTCGGCCGCCTCGTCGAGCACGGTCGTCTGGGTGGGTGGGTCAGCGGCGGGATCGGTGGAGGACGACGACGAGGTTGAAGGTGGAACGGCAGGTCGTTTTCCGTCTTGTGGTGCCTGCAGAACCACATGCCACAAGGCCCACGGCAACCACGGCCCAGGTCCCCTATCTACTTGACGACGACGACGGCAACAACAACCGCAGTCCCATCTCTGTTCTTTGTACTCACAGTGCACAGGTATGTGGCACACTGCTCGAGGTCGCCGTCCGAGCATGCCTGGGTGGTGACTTCCGTGACGGCGTCACACGTGGTGCATTCCGTGTCTCGCCTGACGGAGCCAGACGATGAGGTGGCGGCGGCAAACGCGGCGAGCGAGAGGGTTGTGGCGAGGTAGGTGGCGACGCGCATGGTGGACGAGGGCAGAGGGGAGGGAGAGCGCGAGGTGAAGGCTGTTGGAAGAGGTTCGTTGAGCGAGGAGGTGTGAGATAGAGTAGGCGAGGGAGGAGGGAGGGGTGTAGGTGACGGCGAGCGGTGGGGTGAACGAGTGTGGGGTGGGTCGGTGTGTAACGAACGTCGGGGGAGGCAGCGTCCAGACAAGACGCGTGCACTCGAGAGATCTAGAAAGGTGTGAGACGGGGTATGGGTGAATCGATGAATGAATGAATAGGAAGCAACGAACAAGAGGTGTGTGCGTGCATGGACCGTCGTAGGCTCGTAGGCTCGTGTGTTCAGTGGCCAGTGGCCCAGTGAGCCCTCGACGTCCTCGTCTTGGCCCGCCCCTCGTTCTAATGGCGGCCGGCGGCGGCGTCGCAGTCGCGCGCGCGGGTGGGGGGGCTGCGAGAGAGCAATAACAAACCGCAAAGAAGAGATCCACCGATGAACCAGGAAAATCCACCCGAAATGGTACAAAACAACCTTCCCCACTAGCGCCACGGCTGACCCATTGCAGGGAAAACAACAGACATCGACCGTGACAGCGCGTGCGTACGATCTCAGAGAGCAAAGAGAAAGAGCAGGAGCGCGCAGGAGGAGGGGGAGGGGGAGCATGCCATGCATGGGTGACCCCCGGCAATTCCTTCGTTTGCCCTGGACGACCTTGCTCTTCTGCCCCTTAGCATACGCGCAGTTTGGCCCAGTTTACGCGTCTTTCCAAAGCCAAGATCCTTTTCCCGGTCCTGGCCCGGGGACCCGACAACACAAGCAGACGATACGTACGCGCGTACAGCAGCACTGCATGCTGACACCGCCCGCGCGCGTTTGGTGTTTGGAACAGCATCCCTCTGCATATCTGCATGCTGGCCACAAGCGTGCGCGGGACGCCGGAAACACGCGCACCTGCTGCCTGGAACGCCACAGCTGTCGCGTCGGATGGACCCCATGCCGTCAAACGCGTAAATGCACGGCACCGTCGGCTCTTGCTGCGTCCGATGGGTTGGGTTTCTGGCGTCAGTTTCGGCTCTACACAGAAAAAAGCTTTGTGTTTCGTAACAGCATAAACCCAGCGGCTCCAGCGGAATGTGTCGCGAGAGTATGGCTGCTGGTGCGACGAGGACTCTTTGCCCGCTGACCCCAGACGGGAGCCAGAGCATTGCTAGCTCTGGGTAGGCGGGGGCTTGTTGTCTCTTCAAGCCCAACGTTCACCGGACTGGAAGCTGGCGGCTGTTCTCCAACGTATACGCGGCTGAGGCGGACGCCGACGACGACTGCGTGGGTGGTGGCTGAGGGCATCCAAAGGAAAAACGCAGCTGCACGCCCAGTGGTGGCCAGTGGCCAGTGGGTGTGCTCTGTTCCCCCTCGTTTGCGTCGTACCCATCCACAGGTGTACCCAGCAGCGCATGACCATGTAACCGATGCACGCTGACACTGATCTGCTGTAACTGCACGAAACGAGCATATGGCATGCGAATAACAATCCACTGGCTGGACGCGATGGACCCACCCCGGCCACCCCCCAACCCCCCCACGCGCGTCGCGCCACCACCGACCCAGGGCCCGCCTCCATTAGACCGACGCCACCCCGCGTGGCGCGGACGGGAACGACCGCATGAAACTGCTCTACGAACGCGTTTGAAAGAGAGCCCAAATATCACAGCATCACAGGATCACAGGACAGATCCAGAGAACCAGAGTCAGGCGGGCAGAGATCAGAGACAGCGTGCAGCGAATGGACACATATGTGTAGACCGTGCTCTCACAACGAAGAGCCATACGAATATGAATGTCGTCCTGCATGCCACACAGCTCGTCACGTAGAGTACCCGGCCCGATAGCCAACGTTGCCGGAGACGTGGACCGAAAGAAGAATGGCATGCGTCGTCTTCGCGCAGCCAGCGTCATGTTCAACAACGTAACAGAGATAATAAAAGTGTTGCTGGGCACCCACCATCGCACAGTGCCAGCTGGGCTGCCGGCTATGACGGCTGACACGGAAACCACAGATACGGGGGCGCCAGCTCCAACGGAAAAGTGTGGCAACCACACCAACCGTGCTCATGTCTCGTTGCGTTGAACTTGGGCAATGACGCACACAGGCACTCTGTCTGTTCATGTACCCACGAGTGGGGGGCTCCATGGCCTTCACAGGTGGGCTTGTGCGAGGAAAGAAAAGGCTGGGAAGCTGGTATGGTCAAAGTTGCTGGACGGAGGGGCACCCAGACCATGGCAAACAGAACAATGTTGACCAAGTCGACCGCTTCTTCCAGCCACCACAACCTCCCCTTCCACTTCTCGCCTACCAAACTACACTGCCTGGTTTCATCTTGGCATGCTAAAAAAAAAGTAGGGTACATGTATATCCCTCTAACTGTGCATGTCTTCCCAGAAGACAAAATGGGGACAGGCCTGGCGTACCCAGGTCCTTGGGACCGGGGACGACGGGCGTTTCGGGGGTGTTGGGAGACACCGTGGCGGTGATGAGAATGGTCGAAATGTGGGGGGTCAGAGGCAGAGGTTGAGGTGGGAGGTTGAGGTGACACGGGAGGTGGGAGGGGGTTGTGGAGTTGTGGGGTTGGTTGGTATGTGCGAGTGTAAAGTGCGAGTTGGTATTGGTATACGGGGCTGCAATGTAAAGAATGTCCTGCCCATCCCCAAGTGTCGTTGAATTATCCGCCGGTGGTGTCAGTCTTAAAAGACAAACGCGGCGATCGCAAGCACAGCAGCGGCGATGGGGACGGCGGCCACACGCGCACCAGACGACTTGGCGGCCGTGTTGGCACTCTCGGCACTGGCGGTACCGTTGCTAACACCACTGGGTGTCGACGAGCCCTTTGGTGTCACGGACGTTGGCGAGGCGGCGGCGGCGACGGTGTTGTTCCCCGAAACCTTGTCCGTTGACTGGGGCGCCGTGGTCTGGGTCGTGCCAGCCGTGCCCGCTGCGGCCTCGGTGCCAGCGACCGGCGTGGCCACGGTCTCGTCGCTTTGGGTCGTCGTCTTGGTGGTCTTGGTCTCGGTGGTCGAGTCGGGGCCAGTGGACGCCGATGACTCGTCAGTGCTGCCGGCCGAAACGGGCGTCGTCGCTGCCTGGTTGACCACGGTCGTGGTCGGCGTCGAGTCGGTTGTAGCGGTAGAAGGTGCCACAGTCGAGGCGGCACTGTGCGTTCGGTTAGCTAACGGTAAGGCTCTGTGGATGACCTCCAGTCCAAGCAAAAGGTGCACGCCAGATCGCGACCCGCCGAGCTTCTCGTTCCGGCACGCCGCGTCCCCTGCCAAAACAACGCCACGGGACACACAGGTACAACTCACACATTGGGCGTCGAGGCCAACGGCTGGCCCATGCTGGAGCAGAACGACACCATGCCGGTGAGACCGCCGGTGGCCTCCGACTCGGACACGAGGCCGTTCTCGAGCTCGCAGTTGGTGCACGACTCGCGGTCCTTGACAGAGGTGGACTGGACGTCAGTACGATGGTGTTTCGGGAGCTGTGGTGTCGCGCGACGGGGGGCACGGGGGTTGGCGATCGGTGTGGGCTTGTCGGTGTGCGGTGAGCAGAGTGGATGGCAGACATCGATTTGTCGCCATCAGACGGGACGAGACGAGACACACACGCTCTCGTCCTCATTCTCTGTTCCCGTGACACGAGCCACCACCCATCCCGCGCGGTACCCGCGCGCATTCTCTGCTACTCACCGAGCAGTACGAGGTGACACACTCGCTCGACGCCTGGTCACCCTCGCAGGCCACCGTCTCGTTCCACCAAGTGTTACAGATATCGTCGCATGTCGAGCTGGTTGCGCGGAACGAAAAGAGCGCGAGGGCCGCAGGGAGCTTGGCGTGGACGGCGAGGTTGAGGTTGACAAAGGCGTTGGCCTCGGTGGGGGCGAGGGAGAGGGTGGCGAGGAGGGGGAGGAGGGAGAGGAGCGGGGACGAGGTGGCGCGCATGGTGGAGTGGAGTGGAGTGGGTGGAGTGGGGAGTGGGAAGTGGGAAGTGTTGGATGTCGGTCGCCAAGGGGGGGAACGGATGAGGTATGCGAGAGAGGCGGGGACGCGGAGGGGCAGAGGCCGTGAGATGTCCTTGTGAAGAGAGTCGAGTGGGTTGGATGGATATGTGGACTGTTCTTCCAACGGCGAGTGGAAGGATTTGGCGAGAGTGGATGGGGAATGGACAAAGAGCGTTGGAGTTTGGAAAGAAAGAGCGAGAATGCCAAGGCCCTCAAAACGACACAAGTGGTTAAAGGAGAGAGACGAGAGAGTGTTTGGAGCTTAACTCAAGAAACGAGGCACCAACCCCCCTCCATGTACATACCCCGTCTGACATAGTGCATCAGGCATGTCGTTTTTGGCTCCTGTCGTTTGCCAAAAACAGAGTGCACATGTTCTTGTTTCTCGACGCGCTGTACAAGCTCTATGGATCTATGTACACATATGAGATGACCATAGCCAGAACACGGATCCACTGATCAAGATCCGCAGACACGCCAAAACACCCGTGCACATTGACTGCTTTGTTACTCCCATCCGCAACCCGCGCGCAGCCAAAACGACGCCATTGATGAAAGGGAAAACGAAAAAGGGAAATCGACAGGCCACAGGCCACAGGACGAAACATGCCCTCAGCCTTCGCACACGACTGCGGAGAATGGTGGGTGGTGTTCGCAGGCGCCGCCTGGTCTCTTGTCGACTTTGCATTGCATTGCATTGCAGCAGGAGCAGCAGGAGCAGGAGCAGCAGCAGAAGCTCCATCTATCATTCCAGAATACATGGTCCAGATCGCCAGACTGTTCATGACAAGGCCTTTTTGCCCGCACTGGACGCGTGTGTCTATTTTCCGCGCCGTCGTCCTCGTAGATCTCCCTCCACCCGTTTGCGCGCTCAGCAAAGCGCCACACTCTATACCTAAACCGTTGTTTTTTTCTATTACCATGACACATCCCACAGGCCACACACCACCCTCAACCACCTGAAACGGCTGCGCGCAGCGCGCACCTGCTGCACGTGAACGGCGGCGCGCTCACGCAACCACAGTGCGGCTGCAGTAGATGCACTCGCACTTGGCCGTGAGGTGCTCGCCCCTCTCGATACGCGCCTTGATCTTGTCCAGGCAGTCGGCGACATAGTCAAAGTCGGACAGCTCGACCCAGACCTGCGCCGAGAACCGCGCCCACCAGGTGCCGTTGTGGATCATCTGGGGGAGGTGTGTCAGCATGTCACTCCATGGATGCCACGATGGAAGAACGGCTGGGGCAGGGGCTCAGCCGATCCCGCGAGTACTCACCGGAGCCACAAAGGTGTCGTAGTCGTACAACAGGCAGTTTTCGATAAAATGGGAGACCTTGAACTGCCCGGGGCCGTCCGCAGGGATGGGGAAGTTGGGCAGCTCGATGTTGACCTAGTAGGTGTCAGATAACTTCGGGTGCGTCGTATCTCACCATTGCAGCCGTCAGCTCGCCCTTGTCATTCTCCATAACACGCGTGCCCCAGCGCTCCGAGAGGCGCTTGCCGCCGCTACATGCCGTCAGCTCGAGGCCAGATGATCCAGCTGTTTGTGTCACTCACGCAACGGCCAGCGAGTGGTTGTACGCAATGATACGGTCCTCGCCACCGATACTCTTCCTAAAGTCGATCGCGTCGCCGACGCTGAGGAACTGGGTCCAGTCGTTGGTCCCGTTCCAGCCAAACTGCTCGACAAACTTCCACGGGTGCGGCGCGCCGCCGACGGTAGGGTATCGCTCCGACTCGTAAAAGTGACCAGTGGGGAACGACGAGCGGATGAGGCGCTGGTTGCGGAAGGGGACGTACATCGCGGCACTGGCGCGGTGGGACATGAGCCACTTGTGGCAGTTGGTGACCCAAAAGTCCGGGTCCGACTTTTTGACGTCGACGTGGTGCTGGCCGATCGAGTGGGCAGCGTCCACGAGCGAGAGGGCGCCATACTTGTGGCACAGCGAGACGACGTCTTCCCACGGATAGATGACACCGGGGACAGACGCAATGCCGTCGACGACGACCATGCGCACACGCTCCTTGTCGCTGAGACCTGTGGCCGTGGGCGGCGCATCGCCGCCGCGGACGTTGCCCGTGGGCTTGTTGTACTTTGCCAGCACGGCCTCGGTGGCCTCGACAATCTCCGAGTGGTAGCACGGGAACTTTGTGATGATCACCTCGAGGCGGATACCAGGGTTGCGGTCACAGAGGTGCTTCATCGTCTGCGTCACGGCACCGTAGGTCGTGGCGTACACGACGATAATGTCGCCCTCGACCCAGTCAATGTTGGTCGCGACCGTGTTGACACCGTGTGTCGCGTTGGGGACAAACACAAATTCGTCCACCTCGGCGTTGACGATCGGTGCCGTCTTGGCGCGCACCTCGGCGAGCTGGATCTCAAACTCGCGACGCATGAAAATGTCCGCGCGACTGTCAATCTTGCGCGACAGCTTCTCCCTGGCTTCCATGACCGCGAGGGGAGGCGAACCATACGAGCCGTGGTTTGTGTTGACGTCTGGCTGTCAGCTGAATTCCCATCCGCGATTCCCAACTCACAGTTGGGAGCAAAGCCCCAGTACGACTTCATGTTGTGGCCAAACGTGGGGAAGCCAGCGACCTCTTTGCCGACAAGGCCGTCGGCGTCGGCCGTGCCGAGCGAGCGCGCAGCTTCAACTTGGGCATACATGTCGTTGTTGACGTCGATCCAGGCGGCACCCTTGCTGCGGACAAACTCGTCAAGGCTAAAGTCAAGTCAGCATAGTACGATGCTCAACGAGTCACCTACCTCCAGATAGCGGGCTCGAGAAGGGACACGGACGCGGTCCAGATATATACGTCGGCCTCGGCCGTACCAGTGGTAACTGTAGAGCGTTTCGCAAGCGTCTTGGCGGGAACGTCGCCGAGGGCCTTGGGAGAGCCGAGGGTGAGGACCGTCTTGGGAATACGGCTGTACTCCTTGGCAATGTCAGCTTCTTGTCCAATCTGCAAGCTGAACACGCACGTCGTCCTCAAACACGTCCAGCAGTTCAATGTCCTTGGCGGTCAGGCCGCAGATGAGGGTACCAGCCGTGTTGCGGTCGTCCTCGCTCAGCTGGCTGCGAAAAGAGGTTAGCCGCTGCATCTCGCCCTTGCTCCACGCGCGGTGACCCACCCAACATCTTGGCCAAGGAGCTCGGCGGTTCCCTTCTCATCCACGACACCGGGATACTCGGCACCCTTGATATGGTGGCGGGTGTGGGCCTATCTGTTAGCTGAGTTGAGGAGATACTAGCTCACTGGAAGGATAGCGTCCTGGAACGTGAGCTCCTCGCCCTTGCGTCCGATGACGCGCTGGAGGATGGCTGGGACGGCGAGGACGCCATACACGAACACTGCCGGGGTCAGCTCAAGACACCTTCAGTAGCTCACGGTTAAAGGTCTGGGGCCGGTCGTCGCTTGGCATGTTGCTGGTACGTTTAGCGTACTGTACACGTCGCGGAGGTCGGGCGGCGAGCCGGTGGCCGGTGGGCAAGTGGTGGGCAACTCGGACTCACACAGAAATGTAGATTGATGGCTCTGGGGTTGTAGAGTCTGAAGGAAAGTGCATGTTCAACAGCCGACGTCGGCTGGATTAATAGTGTGTGTGTCGGCGATGAGGTCGACTCGAGGAAATGTGCTTGTGGGCAAGCGCGATAAAGGCAACAGCCCCCCGGCCATTCGCAACACCGACGAGACGAGTCAACAAGCTCCGTCTGTCATTATCGGCAACCACGGCGGGCAGCGCAGCTCGGCACGGGCCGACCGCAAAGGGGTGCCTGGAGTCTCGCCCATGTGGGTGTGGGCGGCGAGCTCCGGCGATATATGCCTGGCGATATGCATTTGCTGTTGCGAACAGTGCCCGCTATTGCGAAGACGACCTCTATAGTGTTGCGAATGTCCCACAGGCCACAGACACTTGAAATTGTAAAGTATTGAAATCAAACCGATTAGCAAAAGACACCGACTGCGCGCCCACGTGTAAAGTGCCACAACGGACAATAGGGAGCGGGGTTATTAATGTTTTGGTATTTCCATCCACGCGACCAACACGTGGCCAGCCAGTTGATGCCCATTTGATTCCGTCGTCCCCCTCGCATGCGCGTTGCCTGCCAGTGACGCTGACCGTCTGGCGAGCGCTGACGGAGGAGGACATGCAACAGGTCGGAGTGGTCATTGCATCAGTCACCAACAACCCCACCATCTCTCTCTCTCAGCACGCACCACCACAACCCACAATGCCCGTGGCCACAGTCACCACGAGCGCAGGTACGTACAGCTGTGTAGTACACTTGTTCCCAGCTGACACGCTCCAGCGGGTTCCCTTGCCCTCCTCAAGGACGAGGACCGTGACGTCCGTGTCTATGCCCTCCAGTACCTTCTCTCGATCGTCCCCCAGTTCTGGGCAGAGATCAGTGAAGAGCTCCCATTCATGTAAGCTCCCTCGGAGACGCAGAACTTGCCAGAGCTAACACCCCGTCCAGTGAATCGCTTGCCGACCCCCAGTTCTCCGAGCTCCCCGTCGAGTCGCGCCCGCTCGCTGCCTTGCTCTGTTCCAAGGTCTTCTTCTACCTTGGCGAGCGCGACGAGGCGGTCGAGTTTGCTCTCCGCGCCGGCGCCGCCTTTGAAAAGGAGCCATATGCCGAGTTCAAGGAGACCATCATTGCGGGCTGCATTGACCGTGCCATTGCCGACACCAACGCTGGGCAGACCGTCGACACGCGTCTCGAGGAGATTGTCGACGGCGTGATCCGTTCGGGATCGACAGACGGCGCCAAGCTCGCGATCGGTCTCGCCCTCTCCCTCCGCCGCCTGTCCCTCATTGAGGGCATCTACAACGCTTCGCGCGCTTCCTCCGAGGCGTCGTCGTCGCGCACATCTGCTACCGGCACCCTGCACGACGAGTCGCTCCTCCGCTACATCCTCGCCGAGACCATTGGCGGCGCTGCTGGCTCGGACGCTTGGCCGGACTCGTTCCGCCGCGACCTGTTGCAGCTCCTCCTCAAGCTCTTCCAGCTCACCACCCCTACCGACTACAACTCGGTCACTCAACTGTGGGTGCAGCTCGATGACGCTGCCGCCTGCGGCGACGGTGTTGTCGACCTGCTCGAGACTGGCGGCGACCACGGCCACCTCGAGGCATACCAAATTGCCTTTGACGTGACCGACATGGCCGCCCAGAGCTTCCTGGAGCGCATGCGTGCGCGCATCGAGGAGCGCGGCTGGGGTCCCACTGGCACCAAGGGCACCGAGGAGGAGCGTACAGACCTCGAGGAGATTCTCAACGGTTCGCGCATCGCCGAGCTCTACATCAACTTCCTCAAGAAGCACAACCAGACCGACATGTCCATCCTCAAGGTCACCAAGGACAGCCTCGAAGACCGCTACTCGATCTACCACTCGGCCATCACCTTCACCAACGCCTACGCTGCCTGCGGTACCACCTCGGACCGCTTCCTCCGTGACAACCTCGACTTCCTCGGCCGCGCTTCCAACTGGGCCAAGTTTTCGGCCACTGCCGCTCTCGGTCTCATCCACCGTGGATCGTACATTAACGGTGTCCGCGACCTCAAACCCTACCTCCCTGGCGGCTCGGCCCCCTCCAAGTTTAGCGAGGGTGGTGCGCTCTTCGCCCTTGGCCTCATCTACACTGGCAGGAAAGAGGGTGCCGAGAAGGAGCTCCGCAAGGGTCTCTCCGAGGTCAACGACCCCATTGTCCAGCACGGTGCTGCCCTTGGTCTTGGTGTCTCGGCCCTCGCCACTGGTGACGAGGACATTTACGACGAGCTCAAGAACATGCTGTTCCAGGACAACGCCACCTCGTCCGAGGCCGCCGGTTACGCCATGGGTCTCGTCAACATTGGCCAGCCCTCGGAGCGCGTCCTTGACGAGATGATCTCGTACGCTGGCGAGACCCAGCACGAGAAGATTGTGCGCGGTGTCGTCATTGGTGTTGCCCTCATCATGTATGGCAAGCGCCACGCTGCCGCCGAGGTCCTGCAAAAGTTCACCACCTCGAACAATGCCATCCTCCGCTACGGTGGTATGTTTGTGTACGCTCTCGCGTACGTCGGTACCGGTGACAACAAGGTCATCAAGCAGCTGCTGCACTTTGCCGTCTCGGACGTCAACGACGACGTCCGCCGCGCCGCCGTCATTGCCCTCGGCTTTGTCCTCTTCCGCAACCACACCCAGGTGCCCCGTGTCGTCCAGCTCCTTGCCGAAAGTTACAACCCTCACGTTCGTCACGGTGCCACCCTGGCCCTCGGTATCTCGTGTGCCGGTACCGGCCTCGAGGCCGCCATCGACCTCCTGGAGCCCATGACCTCGGACCCCGTCGACTTTGTCCGCCAGGGCGCATACATTGCCCTCGCCATGATCCTCATCCAGCAGACCGAGGCCCAGGCGCCCAAGGTGACCCAGATCCGCGAAATGTTCGCCAAGGTCGTCACCGACAAGCACGAGGACCCCATGGCCCGTTTCGGTGCCTCGCTCGCCCAAGGTATCATCGATGCCGGTGGTCGCAACATGACCATTTCGCTCGCTACCCGCGCCGGCACCCCGGACATGAAGGCCATTGTCGGCATGGTCCTGTTTGTGCAGTTCTGGTACTGGTACCCCCTTGCCCATTTCCTTGGTCTCACCTTTTCGCCCACCGCCACCATTGCGCTGGATGGCAAGCTGCGCATCCCCAAGGTCGACTTTGTCTCGTGGGCCAAGCCTACCATCTTCGACTACCCCTCGACCGCCAAGCCCGTCACCGAGGAGAAGAAGAAGAAGGCCAAGGCCGCTGTCCTGTCCACCACTGCAAAGGCCCAGGCTCGTGCCAAGACGAAGAAGGCCGAGCAGGGCGACGCCATGGAGACGGACGACAAGCCCGAGGCCGCCTCGACTGCCACGGCGCCCAAGGAGAAGGCCAAGGCCGAGCCTGCCCAGTCCATTGTCCACAACATGAGCCGCATCACTCCCTCCCAGCTCCCCTTCATCACCGGCCCTTACGACCCCATCACCCCCCCACCATCCACCTCTACCCCGGCCGCCCTCGTCTACCCCAAGAAGGGCCGCTACCTGCCCGTGCGCTCTGTGGGCGACAGCGCCGCGTTCGCCGCCGACAAGCAGGCCGACGGCCGCGCCCGCGTCGCATGGAGCGGCAAGGTCCTCATCCTCGCCGACTCGGCACCCGAGTCCGCCGAGGGCGAGTACATTGAGCTCGACGAGAGCCTCTGGCCTCGCAATGTCCCCACCGAGGTCACTGCCCCTGCCGGCGTCGCTGCTGGTGTCGGCGCGGCTGCCGCTGGTGCCGAGTCTGTGCCAGCAGCAGGCGCCAGTGCGGCTGACTGGAATGGCGAGATCCCCCCGCCGTTCGAGTTCGAGTTTGAGGACTAGGTTAGAAGGACGTACAACAGACGACAAGAGAGAGAGAGAGAGAGACCAGAGAGACCAGAGAATGTAGATTGATTTTTTTGGCAGAGAGAGGATCACAATGCATAGTACGAAAGAAAAGAAAAAGAATAGAAACACGACGACGACGGCAACTGACGGACGGGCATGCACGGCAACACTGCTCTACAGCCATCTAGTACTCTGTCACAGGCGTGAACTGGAGAAGGAAGCCCTGCAGTGCTGTCAGTTAAAGGAATGGGTGGTAGTTAGCACTTACCCTCGCGTCGCGGACGTTGAAGAGCCACAGGTTGGACCCTTGGGTCTTTTGGTGCTCTGCCACCGCCTTGCGCACCAGGTCGGCATACGAGCGTTCGTGGGTGGGCAGGTCGTGCCAAAAGGAGCGACACACGTCGTCGTCGGTCACCCACGCCAGGTCAAAGCTAAGCTTGTGCAGGAGCTCGGGCGCGAGGTCGACACCGAGCACGGGCAGCGTGCTTTGGACCGTGGACGCAAACGCCTGGCACTTGTCATAGTACACCGTCTTGGAGGCGTGCCGGTGTTTGCGGACGGGTTTGCCCTTTTGCCGACTGCTCAGCGGTTCGGGAGGGAGGATGAGCTGGGCACTGACGGTGGGCTTGGTCGCGGCCGTGTCAATGTCCTCGAGCTTGACTGGCGCGCCCGCGGCGATGGCGCCAGACGCGTGCGACGCGTCGATACGCCGCTGGTCCGCAATGACCTGTTGCAGTTCCTCGATGAGGTTCTTGCGTTCCACTGAGGGTTAGAATGAGCTCTCCAGATTCGCTAACCCACCTTCCACGGCCTTGCCTGTGAGCGTCCGCACGACCTTTACGTCGGGCCGCTGGTCGGTGCGGTCACGACCCGTACGGTGCGCGCGAATCATGATGAGGTACAGAATGTTCTGCTCCTTGCATTCTTGCAGCAGCTCGGTTTCGGACCGCGAGTCGTCGTACTGCAGGTCGGCTCGGATACCCGCTCGCCACAGCTCGCCGACAACTTGGAGACGGGTGGAAATGTCGACTTGCGGGAACGTGCCGACGTACACGTCGCAACGGGACGGAGCGAGGAAACCAAACGAACGCTCCTCCTCGCGCGCCTTGTTCATCAGGCGGTTCGAGAGCGTGCTCTCGTGCTTGGCCATGATGCGCGTGAGCTGGTCGCCGTTGAGGGACATGCCCACGCCCGAGACCTTGCGCGACTGCCGCGCCGGTTCCTTGAAGTGTTCCAAAAGACTGTCGTAGCGACCTCCAAAGGCGAGAACCTCATTGTGCTTGCCTCGACGCACACACTCAAACATGAAGCCGCCGCGGAAGAACTCGGCGTTCCTGCTGAGTGTGGGGCGGAAGACAATCTTGCGAGTCACGCCGCTGGAACGGGCAAACGTAATGACGGCGGCAATCTCGTCCATGGCTGTCAGGAGCTTGCGCCGAGACGAAGGGAAGATCTCTTCGAGTTTGGCGCGAACGTGGTGGAAGTCGCCCGGCGTCGAACATTGCTCGAGGTCGTGAAGGACGTTCTTGGGCAAGCCAGCGATGCTGTGCAGTGACGTGCGAGACTCAAACGAGACACCGGCTGCAGGGCCCTTGAATGTCTTGAGGACACGAGCTCGAAGCTGGATCGGAACGGTCGACAGGAGCATGGCCAGGACTGCAGAGTTAGACATACCCTCCGGGGACAGCAAAACTCACCGCTCTCGTGCGAGACGTGGAACTCGTAGTCATGCGTGCTCAGCCCACGGCTGCCTTGACACTCGCAGATGACCTTGTCCATGACGTCGAGGAGCTCAGCCTCGGCCGCTTGCGACCGGATGGGCGAAACAATATCGAAACAGAGCTCACAGTGGGCTGCTGGCTGGCCGCCAGCCGCCAACTCGGAGTACCGTCTGCCGACATTGTAACGCTTGATACGCTCAATTTCACGTCTGCTGGCGGAACGCGCCATTCCCAGGAGGTTAGAAGCAGGCAGTTCGACAAACTTGCCGTTGCAGTCGAGGAGACGGACAGGCTGCAGGTCGGGGAACGCATTGAGCAGGGTGGTCTCTGGGACGAGCAGGGGCAGGTAGTCGTCCACAGCACCGTGGCGCTGGAACAGCTCTGTGATACGCTGGAGAGCGACAGTGAGCCAGATGTGGTGGTTGTCATCGTAGTCATTGTCGTACGTGTAGTCGTCTATACGTGTATCGAGGTTGAGCGCGTTTGTATGCGCCTCGAACAGGGCATCGACGAGGGCTGGGTACTTGTCCGAACGAGGGTTGGTGATTTCTAGAATGGGTCAGCAAAGTCAAGAGGAAGGCGACCCACCTGTTATCAACCCATCGTACATCTTGCGTTCCTTGTCAGGGGACGGCACGAGCGGACCATTGAGCAGTTGCGTCGCCTGTGGACGTGTGGTCGGGTCATGCCGCAGGAGCATGCTGACAATCTCGCGCTGCTTGACCATGTAGCCCGCTGTCCACGTGGCAGGGAAGGTCATGCTCGGCTGTCGAAGCGCAGTGAGTGTTGCAACACGTTCCATTCCCGTCTTGAATGCAAAGCACATTTCAAAGAAGATGACTCCCAGTGAGTACATGTCGGCCTGGAGGTTGTCAGAAATGTGACCTCACCGGCAACCTACCTTTTCGTTGTAAGACTTGGAGACGATGACTTCTGGCGCAATGTAGAGACTGGTACCGATGTTGGACGTCTGATCGGAAAAGTCGGCTGACATGTGCAGAGCACCACTGGCAGGTTCGAGGGCAGTCAAGTCGGTTGTCTATCGTTAGCTCCTGGGGGTGACATGGTGCCTCTTACCGAGAGACCAAAGTCTGCAATCTTGACATTGCCGTTGGCATCGAGAAGGATGTTGGACGGCTTGAGATCTGTAGCAGTTAGATATCACTGTAACACTAGTCTCACCTCGATGCACAATGCCCAGCGACGACATGTGTGCCAGAGCCTGGAGGATCTGCACCAACAGGCGCCAACCCTCTTCTTCCGACAACCCTGCAGTGATGGCTTCACGAAGCGTTTGCTGCAAGTGTCAGCTCTGCGTTTGTCTCGCCACATCACCCGAGCTCACCTTCTCGACAAACTCCATCTGGATGTACAGGATACGTTGCACAGAGCCGTCATCGGTGGTGGTGCCCGTGTAGTCGGTCGAGGGCCTGGACTTGGAAGGAATGGCGACAGCGCGAGACCGCGACCGCCTGTCTGATGGGTCGGCAGTGTTGGTGCTGCTGGTAGTAGTCGTAGTGTCGCTGTCCGAGTCGGAAGCGTCGCTGTCATCTTCGTCTTCATCATCGTCGTCGCTGCCTGCGAAGCGGATACGGGGGAACGACGCGCTGCGGCTGTGATCGCGACGAGACACGGACAAGTCGTCAAAATTGACGGCAAATATGTCCTCGGACTCGGACGAGATTGTCGATGCTGTCATGGTCTCATCCCCGGCACTGATGGGCTCGGGAGGTCCGACTTCTTCCAGCCAGCACGAGTAGTAGCGCACGATGTACTGGTGGCTGACGCGCGAGAGCGAATTGACCTCGCGCAACACGCGGTTGACATTGTCCTCGGGACGAAGCTTGATCTTCTCTGGAAATGGGTCAGCTGCGCACAGCACGAATCACCCACTGATGGCGTATGGACGCGAGTCGAGCTTGTTGCGCGCCTTGACAACCTCACCAAAGCCTCCTTTACCCTGGTTGTCAGCTGCTTGAATCCATCAGCTGGTCAGCTCACCAAGAATTCCACTTCTTCAAAGTCGGAGCGGTAACGCGAATATACCTGGCCGCCAATGTTGGTGGGGAAGTACGAGCCACGGCCAAAGACGGGCGACTTGCCAAACATGTCCGCGTGCATGCTGGAACTGGTTGACATGGGCTGCGAACCCGGATTCGACGAGACGTGTCCTGCATGGGTTAGCAGTGTGCCCGGGCCGTAAAAACCCACCAGGAGTGATTCTTGTTGGGCGGCGTGTGATTTCATCTTCTGGAGCTCGAAGCTTTGACAGAGCCTCTTCAGCTGTCAAGCGCTTCTTGTGGTTGGGGTTGAGTAATCCCGTGAGGACTTCCATGACTGTGGGGGAAAGTCCGCCGGCTGTGGTGTGAGATTCTTGGCCTTGCGAGTCAGAAACGCACCATGCTGCAGCAGCGTATTGAGATCCGGGTACGTCCTGATGCTGTTCCTGCCGAAGAGCAGTTGCACAAAGATCAGACCAGCATGCCACTGGTCGCGTTTCGGAGAGTACGAGTAAGGCGACTCCATCTCGTCGGGGGACAGCCTGCTGGGTTAGATGCGCTAGCGGACGACAACCAACCATGAATCTGGGTACCCATCCTCCTGGGTGCGAAGGAACGGGTTCGAGCGGTGATACTCGATGATGCGCCGCGCGTAGCCAGTACCGCAAAGTTTGAGGGACATGTCGCCATTGGTACCCGGGGAAAGCAGGACGAGGTCAGAGTCCAGTTCTGCTGTCAGCTAACGTCGCAGCCACGTAGCTCACGCTTCTGGTTCACGTGCTGCCTGTGAAGGTCCACAAGTCCGGACAGGAGCTGGGTAATGTAATCCTGGCAGGTCAGCAAAACATTTTCTGTGCATCGTACCCACCTTTGCCGTCTCCTCGCCAAATCCATGGTTGGGCAACCAAGTACGGAGCATGCCTCCATCAGCGACGCGCTCGACGACGATGATCACACGCTCCCATCCCTTGGGGCTCTTTGTCCTCTGGACCGCGTACACCTTGGCGACATGCGGGGAGTGGACCTCCTTGAGGCGGCTGACTTCGCTGACCAGCCCATCGATACGCTTCTTGCCCTGCGCGCCAAGATAGTGGTGACGGGAAAAGTCGATGACTTGCACAGTGACGGTCGGCACGCTGGCCTTGACAAAGCTGTTTCCACCAGCAGGTTCGGCGGTGTAGCTTGTCCACAGCGTCTGGCGATGACCTGCAAACAGCGTCCATTTGGACCAAACGCCCAGGTGGCCGTCGACGCCAATAGGCTCATCGAGGACCAGTTCGCGCATCTCGAGCTCGCCGTCGGCCAGCCCGGAAATCTTCTCCAGTCGCTGTCGCTCTTCTTCATCTGCTTGAGCTCGCCGCGCCTTCTCTTGCTTGCGCGTGGCGTCGAGCATGATCTTCTCGTTGAGCAGTCGAGCACTCTCTACTGACGCCATGCGGCGCTGTTCCCTGTCTGCTTCCAGCGCAGCCGCCTCGGCCTGCTTGTCAGCGGGCACCGTCAAACCAACTCACGGCTCGCTTCTCCTCCTCTCGTTGAGCCATCTCCTCCATGAGAGTGGGCTCCTTCTCGCCTGGCTTGGGTAGTGGAATGTGGTTGACTGTGATCCACTCGCGGACCATGTCGGCAAGCTGATGGGTTAGCTGATGAATGGCATAAGAGGACACCCACGTCAAAGATCATCGGCGCACCGACGGACGCCTTGGCCTTATCTTGCACGAGCTTCGTGAGCGTGCGGACATGAGCTGCAGTGAGCTTGATCGGTTCAATAAGAGAAAGTAATGGTGGTGTTGTTGGATATGTCTGAAAGGGGTGTTATCAGCCTTGTCGATCCCATCACACGACCAAAGGAAGGGTGTGCGGACGTTTCGGTGCCTTCCTTCCCTTCGTGCAGCAACTCACTTTGGTCATTCGCCCCTTGAGCTTTACGCTCACGCGCGGGTCATCGGTGGAGCGCAGCTGCACCTCCCACCACCCGAGCTCCCCATCAGTTCCCCATGCTGTTCTTTTGGGGATAATGTCGTGCCAGTCGTCCTGCACGCGAGATGTCAGAAAGTTGCTACTAGTCGCCACAACGGTGCCTCCCGGTGCGATGCCAGGTGGCGAGGGGAGCCGCGGTGCATTGCCATTCATGCAGCAAGTCAACATAGGGGCCATGGAGCCGCCTCCATCATTTTCCTTGTTACATTGGTGTTGAATGATGGCAATGCCCCCCGGGCCCTTTGGTGCGCTTCTTCTCCGGCGGCGTTGCGGACGAAGGTTTCAGTCAAGCGCAGGGGACTCACCTCGAAGATTGCGTGGAGTGCTTCTAGCTCCTCTTCTTGAACGGCCTTGTGAGGCTCGGACATTACGGCGACATGGCGAATGGTATAGGCGCGGCAGCGAAGAGAGGAGATAGGTGAGGACAAGGAGCAGGGCAGTGCGCTGCTGCAACGACGAAAGGATGTTGTTGTGTCAACGATGAGATGTTCCACCCAAAGAGTTGAAAGCGTCATAACCGCCCTTCTCTCACCATCAGCGACAGGGCGCGAGGGCACGTGACCCAACAGAGCCTGAACGGCCTCCACTTTGCTCGAGATCAATCGTCTCAGTCTCAATGTTGCCGCAGTGACTCGATTCATACACTCGCTCGACTCCTCTGCAGCAGCAGCAGCAATCGACACCTCGTGGTACAGGGACACACCTCTCCCAACAACACGCAATTTCTCAGGACATCCTTGACAGTCCACGCTACGCACAGCTGCTCACCATGCCGTCACTCAAACCGCGTGTTCGACTTGTCCTCTTCGATGTCTTTGGTGTGTGTTGCAACAAGGCCAATACCGCGGCAGCTGCATCTCAGAGTCAGAGGTCAAGCTGACATATAGACACTCTTTGTACTCCCCGCCTTCCGATCCACGAACAGTACGCTGCCGAGGCCCATGCCGCGGGCATCCGATCCGTGACGGCGCTGTCCGTTCGGGCCGCGTTCAAACCAGGTGAGTTGGATGCGACCACTCTCTGTACAACAACAAACGTGCAGGGCAGTCACTTTCCCGGGCATGTTCGGGACGTGGGCGACGAGAACGTATCATCGTGTCCTGATCCATGGATCCTGTGCACGATTGTTCTCGACTCGTCCCACGTTCGTCACGACTCCGGAACACGCTCGAGTCGGGATATCAGGCAGGGGGAGACCCTTAATGGGCCCTTCGCACCAATCTCATCCGCGAGTGCCGCCGCTGACGTCTGCTCTCCAGCGTATAAAGAGATGACGGCCACCCACCCTCTATACGGCAAGCACTCGCGCCCCCCTCTCACGCCCGAAGCGTGGTGGACCGCGCTCATCAATAAGTGCATGGTGCACGCTGGTGCGACCGAGCAAGGTGAGTTGGCTGAATAATAACCATTGGATCAGCTAACGCCTACAGAGCTGGCTGAACACGGCCAACATCTCGCCAAGGCGCTGCTGCGTCGCTTCGAGAGCGACGTTGGGTACAAGAACTTTCCCGAGACTCTCTCAACGCGTACGTGAAGCCATCGCCCACATCGCGACCGGGCGCTAACATAATAAACAGTCAAGGGCCTGCGAGACCTCGGGGTCAAGATCTCTGCCGTATCCAACGCCGATCCCCGGATCCTGCACACTCTCTCCGCCCTCGGCATCGAGCAACTGTTCACCACTGAGCCCACGCTCAGCTGGGATGTCGAGGCCAGCAAGCCTAGCCCCGTCATCTTCCACGCTGCGTGCGAACGCGCTGGAGAGCAGCCCGGTGAGGGAGTGATCATGGTCGGAGACGAGCTCGAAGCGTGAGTACCACTATACACTGTGCTTTGCCTTTCAGTTCTGACTCGCTTCAGCGACTTCAACGGCGCCAGATCCGCCGGCCTCGAAGCCCGCCTCGTCCGCCGACCGGGAGAATGGTCCGACGGCGCGATCCGCGAGGCGGAAGAGGACCTCGGCGGCGTCAACGTCGTTCGCAGCCTCGAGGCGGTCCTCGCCGAAACCCGCCAGCGCAACACCACCACCGCCACATGACAACGACACCGCGACGGCAATGGCATATTCGCCGCGAGTGCTTATTAAATACCACGCTTGAATTGTATCGCCTCTGTTTTTCTACAACATTGCCGGTTTATCAGAAGAAGAAGAAGCAAGAAAGAAGTCAACAGTATAGAAGAAGAAGCAAGGAAGAAGTCAACAATATCAAGATACAAGTATAATCAACATTGTATCGCCTCGGGACGTCACCTGTCCCCCACAGTTCGCCCGTTGTCCACGTCAAACCGGCCCACACACCCCCTCGACACTCGGTTGTCATTGTATCGCCCCTGGGGACTCTTGAGTTTCCCGTAACACTATAATCTGGTTGTGACAAAGTAGTATCAAGAAATTCTAGAACCTAGAAGCCGGCCGAGTCCGGATCGCCGTTGTGATAATAGTAAAATAGAAGTTAGATTTAGACAAGCGGTTGTTAAGAACGCCTCCGCCCCGTTGTTCATAGTCGTAAAGGTAGATCAGAAGCTAGATCAGAAGCTCAAGCACCAAAGAAATGGATATAATGTTGTCAAACTGTTGGAACCGGCCCAGTGTGTTTGTGGTCAGTCGATCTCCGAAGCGAGGTGCTTGATACGACCTCTGGATACCCTATCCTCCCTCACGCAACCGTTTCCTCCCTTTCGCTGCCGCTTTCAACCTCTCATGAGACGTACCCGTATTAGCCTATCGGTCCCAATGCCTAGATCCGGGACGACGTGAAGCCAGCACCAGCAGCCCTCTGCGTCGGCGATCTCGCTTCTATATCATATTTTGCATGTTTACCCATCGGTTTTCCGTCTCTTTCCACTCTACTTGGTGTGGCAGATGCGGAGGGGCCCAGGAACGTATGAGTAGTTCTCAGAGTAGTTCTTGGGGGGGATACGGGCCGTCTTGGGCTCCTGGATAAAGTAGTTCCAGCCCTGGCGGTCGCACTGATGTTGGTTAGCTGTGTCAACAAAGATGAGATTGCAAGGCAGGCGACCAGGACAACGGCGTGGCGGCAAGTCCAGTTCCCCCGTCGTAGTCTATTATCGACTCTTCCAGAGCAAATGTCCAACACAAACAAGGCGTGGACCATGGACATGGGAATGGCCCTCCAACCGGGTGGTTTGTAACGCCCCCAGGTGCTTCCGACCGCTCGATTTCGTCACAAACTCACGAAGCCAACGGCGTCCTCGCGGGTACGGAACGCAAGGGAAGTGCCCTGCATGTAGTCGGCAGACGAGGCCCAGCCCATGAGGGGGTTGGTCCAGCGGCCAGCGCCCTGGAGGACGTCAAAGTCGATGCGCCAGACCTTGGTCTTGCCCTTGGCACTCTGCATGGTGTTCTTGGTGGGCTTGAAGATGCGGACCTGGCGGTGCTGGAGCTCCTGGGGAGCGTCCGAGGTGACCTCGATGGTGATCTCCTTGGCAGTGTCGTGAACGGTGGCGGGGCCGGCGGCCTTGCCAGCAACAACGTCGGCGGGCGCGACGTGGTCGGTGGACCAGCGGGCGGGAGGGGTGTAGGCCTCGGCGCGGGCGACCGAGGTGGAGAAGGCGCGAGCCGGGGCCACCAGCTGGCGGAAGGCTGGGCGGAGGACGGACATGGGTGTGGAGTGGTGTGCTGTCGCTGTCGGAATGGTGTTGCTCGACGTTGAAGCAGCAGCATCCCACCCCCGCCGGCACACACCCACCCAGCGAGCGGCGAACGCTGGCTGGGAGAGCCGCCAGGGCGACTTGGCTGGGCGGACATTTCCGGAGTTAGGCCCGGTGGCACCCCGGTTGGGTGGCGGGCCAGCCAGTGGGAAGCCTCTCAATGCATCAGGCCGTCATCCATGCATAGAACCATACAATTGTTGGGGAACCCCTCATGCACACACATGGCCAGTACAACTATACACCTTTAACACATACACACACATGTCTCCCTTTCTCATCGCAGTTTTGTACGTTTCGCATTCGGCAACGCGCCCGTGGATGGACGGAAGTTTGAGCTACTCGGCAAGCGACCACCCGCAAGGGATGGGGGGAGACTGGTGGCGTCAGCGCGGAGCGTCGCCCGCACCCACGAGCCCATCTTGGCATCGCCATTGTCCTCGTGGGTAACTCGTCGGGATGGGTATGGGATCGTGCTGCCTTCAAACACGGACGCGACGCCGCACCCTCCTTCTTCTTGGAACCAAGGGTGCGACAGCGACTCGCGTGCCGTGACGCGTTTGGCGGGGTCCCATTCAAACAACTTGATGAGCAGGTCATACCCGTTTGAAGAACCAGAACGGTTCGCATACCATGTAGGAAGTGGCGAAGAGGTGGGGTAAGGCCCCTGTGAGAGATACGTCTTCCACTCGGGCATGGACACAACGCCAGACCACTGCTCAGCTTGGTTTCCGTTAGTACACGACACAAGCAACACCACCACATAACGCCTTACGCTTTACTGGTCCGAGGACGTCACAGATCTTGGCCATCTGGTCTCTTTGGAAAGGAAGAGTCTTCTTACTGTCAAGCTTGGCCTCTTCACCCTTGAAGATTGGCCGAAGTGATAAAAGCTCAGCATAGATACAGCCAACGGCCCATAGATCTGGAAGACAAGTGAGCCACGGTGAAGGTCTGGGAGGTTGCGGGTGGACACGCACCGACTGCAGCTGTGTAGTGCTTGGAACCAAGGATGAGCTCGGGGGCACGGTACCAAATAGTCACAACGACCTTGTCGCCACCAAAGAGGCCGCCTTGGGCGAGCGGCTTGTGCCAGAGACGCGCAAGACCCAGGTCACCGATCTTGACCACTCCGCTCGACGTCACAAGAATGTTGGCAGGCTTGAGGTCACGGTGAAGCACAAAGTTGGAGTGCAGAAAGTGCAGGCCACAAAGAAGCTGGTGCAGCAGGCGGCGGAGTGTCGAAGGTGGGATGGGAGTGCGGACCGTTTGGGAGTGGTGATGGATGATTTGCTGCACGTCAGCTTACCCTCAGCAGCCTTAAAGCTCACAAGGAAGTCGTGTTCGGCATACTCGAACACCATGTAAATAGCCTTGTCTTCCAGAATGACTTCTCTCAGAGCCACGAGGTTGCGATGGTGTAGCTCGCGATTGAGCTGGTCGTCAGCATTGCGGACGCAACGTCAACCAACGCACCAGGATTTCACGCGCTCCACTCTGCGAGATGCCGGCATACGTCTGCTGGTCGCCCTCCTTGTCCGGCTTAAACTTTTTGATGGCAAACACATCGCCTTCCTTGGCTGGAAGGTCTCCCGGCCGCATACACAGCTCTGGGTTGTTGAGTGGGTCATCGAGTCCTGCCGATGGCGACTTGGACTTTGTAATGCCGAGCGCCGCTCTAGATGCAGCAGGGAGGGTCGCCTTGCCGTTGGTCTTTGGTGGAGGGAGCAGAACAGCCTTGTACACTCGACCATATGTTCCTGTTGGGGTTAGCAGGCCAAGGATAGCAGGAAGTCAAACTCACCGGAGGAGATGAAGCCCAGGATCTTGTACGCTTTCAACACGCTGGAATCGGGTTAGCTTGACGACGCTAGGTGAGCAACGCACGTTCTGCGTTCGCGGTCGCGTTTAGCACGGTACGCGTGCATGGGGTCAACCATCCCCTGCAGCCTTGGTGCGGCCATGTTGAGTGAGGTAGTGGGTTGTGGGGAGTGTCTGTCTTGGGATGGATGTGGATACTGGGTGACCGTTTGCCGTCATCACCACCATCTGTCATGTCGGGCCCGGACCTGGCGAGGCGGGAACAGATCGGCGTTTTAATAGGCTTTCAACATATTTAGGCGCTGTCACATTTAGGCGTGCTAAAAGCAACCATCGTAAAATCAGTCGCGCGGGATCAAAACACCGGCCAGCACACGCGAACCAAACAAGCACAAACACACACCCTTTGATGTCGAGTCCACAACATCCCCCCCTCCCCCTTCAACCTCTGCTCGTCATCCACAACATCCACTTCATCTAGATCCACATCCACCCGTCGACACAATGTCATTACCATCAGTCTCGCCGCGTGCGCCACGGCGCAAGTCGGTATCCCTGATGGAGCGCAACATGAACAGCTTTGACGACAACATGACCATGCCCGTCACCAACCGCGAGCGTACAAAGGGCAAGCGCGGCGTCTCATTTGGCGGAGAAGCCCTCACTGCAAGCTTTGATGGTGGATTGAGCGAGGCCCAACAGCGTCGTCGCAAAATGGTGAGTGTACATGCCAAGACATATTCGAGCCTGACGGCAGCAACCACGCAAGTCCATCCTCAAGATGGCAATCGATGACAGCCTCGACTCTTCGGGCCCTACAGACAATTCCACAGCCCTTTTTACTGAGACAGTCGACTTTGGCGCCATCTATTCTCACATGGACCCCTCGACTTCCACCTCAGCCCGTGCTCCGCGTCAGAGCATGCCCGCTACCAGTGCCAGTGGCCGGCAGTCGCTGGGACCGCGGAGGAGGGTGAGCTTTGCGCCCTCAGCCCACGTTCGCATGTTTGAGAACAAGGACAAGGAGAAGAAACCTCGTCGCAAGTCATCCATGGGCATGGGTGCCCACTTTGCCCCTTCCGCCGCGATTGTGAACAACACAACATCACCATCCAAGAGCCGCCAGTCGCTCCCCGTTGGCTCCTCCAGCCGCAGGTCATCCATCCAGGCCCAGCCACCTCACTCGTCTGCCCCTGTTAGCCCTGCACGCTACTTTGTGGGTGAAGGTGAAGGTGGTGGCGAAGAGTCAATGGAGCTTGAGAGCGAGAGCGATTTCAGCGACGACAGTGCCGACATGGACGAGATGGTTGACGACTTCCCCGAGCCCCAGCCGCGGCACCTGCCAGACGAAGGCAACGACTCGTACGCAACCGACAGCGACGGTGAGATGGACATGGAAGAGACCGAGGTCGTCGGAAGCATTCCCAACAGTACTCTGAAGCCGACACGGCCGGCGAGGAGGACATGTCGCTCGAGAGCAACTTGAGTGTCGCATCCAATGACGAGGAGAAGACTATGGACTTTACGGTCGCTCTCGGCGGCCCAATGCCTCGTGTTGCTCCTCAAGGCGCCTTACGCTCTCGTGCCTCGATCGGATACTCCCACCCATCTGCTCCTGGCGAATCACCTCTGCTTCCCGGCGACGGCGAGGAGTCGGAGATGGAGGAGACCGTGGCGTACGGCGGTGTCTATGTCGACGAGAGCATGAGCTCTGGCGAAGACACAAACAGCAGCGGCGATCACGAACGTCACACTGCAACTTACAACTTCAATACTGGCCGGTCCGGCATGGAATTTACGACGGCCGTGGGCGGTATCAACCATACTGCAGAGCACGACTACGACGACGACGGGATGGACTTTACCACTGTCGGTGGTGGTATCAACGACCAAACCCAAGGCATGGACTTCACCGTGGCCGGTGGGGGAATTGAAGCCGATGAGAGCGGCATGGCCATGGCCACAGTTGGCGGCGGCATCAACGACCAGACACAGGGCATGGACTTTACGACTGTCGTTGGGGGCGTCAACTTTGCGACCGCCACCTATTCGACCAACACCAACATCTTTGCGCCTACGCCCCGCACAGAGCCAACGCAAACAATGGCCACCAACATCTTTGCCCCCCGGGAGTTGACACGCACCACCAATATCTTCGCCCAAGAGGGTACCGACTACCTTGGTACCTCAGGTTTCTCCTACCCAATCCTCTCGCCAGCAAAGCCTGAGTCAGCAAGTGCTCCTACAGGCATGTTGTCGGACAGTGACGAGACGAGACGCTTGCACACTTCCACTTCGGCGCCGATTCGCACCACCCCCAAGGCGACACCGCGCAAGTCGACTTCCGGCATGTCTGGTGGAACCCCGTCGTTTGCGCGCCCCACTACGTCCTCGGCACAGAAGAACAGGCCCTCACAGCTGCCTGTCCCGTCTACCAAGAAGAAGAACCCGTTCGCGCCGTCACCCGACACTCCTGGCCTGCAACGTTCCAAGAGCCGTACGCCGCGCAAAAGCGATGCGGCCATGGAGACTGCCGCCAGCGTCGCCAAGCGACTCAGTTTTGCCCCGTCTGCGCCCGACAACGCTTTTTCGTCCCCACCGTCCCTGGCTGCTTCCACCTCTGCACCTACCACCTCAACACCTCGCAAGCGTTCTCGTGAGGAAGATGACGACCGTCCGGCCTCTGCCAAGCGTGCACACGTGAAGCACAACATATTTGCGGCTTCAGAGCCGGAGCCTGAAGTGGCACAGCCCGTTGCACCAGCGCCCCTCGAGGAGTTTGGAGCTGACGGTGAGGATGAGGACATGGAGCTCGAGGCCGAAGACAACATGGAACTAGCTCAGGACGAAGTCGAAGACGAAGGCCAGGACGAGGGCCAGGAGGACGACGCAGAAGCTCACTACGAGATCCGCGTCACGGAGCCGACCACCAGCCATGATGAGATTGCCACCAACCCCGAGTTCCACTCTCCCGAACCCGAGCCCGAGCGCCCCCTTCCAGTGTTCACTGGCACCCCGCGCCGTTCCATGGGCCTTGGTCCTGCTCGCCGGTCGATGACCCCAAACAAGGCCGCCCTCAAAAGCCCTGCTCGTCGCATCTCCTACTACCCTCCTCCGCCCGAGGAGGAGGAAGAGGAAGAGCCATCCCAGGAGGAAGAAGAGGAAGACGCACCCATCACGCTTCATCAGTTCCTCTCCATGGCCAACGTCCAGTTCCTCGATGACCTTGCCGCCGCCCCGCGCCGCCGCAGTAGTGTCGGCTATGGGTTGCTCGGCAGTGAGGACCGCGAGTACGCCCCATCCGACTTTGCTGTGGCCAACACCGAGGCCATCTTCGTCAACATGTACAACTGGGCGATTGAGAAGATGAAGTCGGACATTGCCGCGGGTCAGGAGGAGCTTGACACGACCGAAAAGCTTTGCAACGAGGAGAACCCTGTTGTCATTCGCGAGTATCTCGCTGCCAACGCCGAGGACCGTAAGCTCTTTGAGAGCACACTCCTCGAGTTCAAGATCAACACCACGGGCCGGGCCAGGAGCCAGTGGTACGACTGGAAACTGTCGCTCATGGAGAAGATTATGCCCGACGTGCGTGAAATCCGCGACGAGATGGCCGCCGATGCCGCCCGCCACGCCCAAGACGACGCGTCGGCCAGTACACTCTTGCCGGACCTTCGGCGCAGGCACGACGAGCTCAAGTCCGAGCTGGCGCGTCACCGCGCGGCAGTCGTGGAGATTGAAAAGTGCGACCAGGACGAGCTCCGTGAGCTGAAGGCGGCAGTGGTGGAACAAGAGTGAGTACAACCTGTGGGGGACAATTTGTCGGAATACATGTGACTGATGACTGTTTAGTGTGGAGATTGAGCGTTTCACCGCCGAACGCGATGACAAGGCCACCACCGTCACAAACCTGCAAAACAAGGCAGACAAGCTGGAAGACGAGATCGCATCGCACCGCTCGGCAATTGAGCGCGCCCGCGCTGAGTGTGACGAGTCGACGCCGTCGGACGTGCTCCGCCTCCAGTCGGAGCTGGGTGCGTTGCAGGACCTCCATGGTTGGCGCCTGGCACGTGCGACCCCGGTCGAGCTGGTGTTCGCCGACGAGCTCCTCCTCACCGTTCCACTGATCAACAACGAGGCGCATATTCCCAGCTCGCAGCTCTCCCTCACAACCACCTCCACCGATGGACCCAACGAGGGCCTGCTCGCCATCACTCGTGCCGCCCTTGCATCCCGCCCTTTGCCAGTAACGCTTCCGTCCCTCGTCCGCTCCATCGGCCAGATCTGGACAGCCGCCCGCCATGTCCGTGACGAACTCAACCTCGTCAAACTCTACTACCCTATCACGACCCGGAGCACCGACACGGCGCTCCTCGCGACGGCCGCGCTCATGCTTCCAGCCCAGCGCGCACGCGTCCGTCTGAGCTTTGCTGTGGAGGCAAACACCCTCCTCGAGTGGCCTGCAGTCGGTGCTGTGGCCAACCTGGCCATCAAGGTGGAGGCTGTGTATGGTGCTGTCAAGTGAGTCTGCTAGCGAAGTCCTGGTTGCGACTGAAAGCTGACAATATCCCAGCGTCAAGGCCCTCGCCGAGGCTGCGCGCGAGTGTCTCTCCCGTGCTGTGCCAGACGTTCCCGGCATGCTAGTCGAGGCGTGCACCAGTGCGATTGACGCCGCATAAAGGAATTTTGAACTGTTAGAGAGGGGTAGTTGTGTTGTGCTCTGCGAGTAGTCTGTCAATGTAAAAAAAATAGTTGTGTGGTGAGTGTTTGGGCAGGTGTAGCAGGGAAGTCATGGGGAGTTTGGTGAGCTGGAGTTTGTGGCAGCTCCCGCCTCAACACCAGGTACCAGGTAGCTTACCGCCACATGGCGAGTACAGACTGATGTTCGGGAAGTGTGGCAGGCCACGCCCCAGAGATATGGGGTTCAGTATAACCGTGCCCATCCCGTCCATAACCGCTTCCCGAGAGACTTAGACAGGTTGCGGAACGGTCGGTGGAAGCTCTCCCGTGCGGTCCCATTTAGGTACTTACACAAAACACGTCGCAAGTCCACTGATCCGAGAATTCTGGTTGCAGAATGAGACCTAGCTTCATTCACGATGTTTTTTCGGTCTCTATCGCCCATGCCCCAGGGACATGCTTCCCACGACATGCGCACTCTTCAACGACATGCACACTGGGTGTTTCCGAGACCAATTGTTCATTGATTCTGGTGCAGCGGTGCCCTAGAGTGCATCTGTCGTCCAAACGTTTAAGCTTTTACTAAAGGGTGAGAATGAGCACTGATGCGACAACGTCCTTCCAGCGGGTGCATTCTGGATCACCACCAACTGTTGGGCTTCACGGAGTGTGGTGGCTCTGTCAAAGTGCTAGATGAAGAAAAGGGAACATTCCTCATCATGATGGAGACTACTGTTGAAACACATACCGCACAGAGAGAATGTGGACTGGACTGGGTTGGACACAGGATTGTGGGGCGCAATTAGCAGTGGACAACGCTACTCCCATATAGTGAGCTGTTCTGTTGTGCTCTGAACGAGGTGCTCGCCACTTTGATCCCTCCTTGCCATCACCTGTTCTGCGGGCCACTTTGGTCCCCGATTGTTCCATAAGCGAATCAACTCGACATGGCTGCGACTCGGCCGAGATCTACAGCGGTTGCGCACAAAAGCCAAGAGCCAAGAGATATAGCGCTCACATACATAATAAGCCGATATAAAACTTGTGGCCTGTGGCGCCGGCCGGCGCTTGACTGTTGGGTGCACGTACAGACACACGAAGCCGAATAACCTTGTTCTATATTTCTCGTCTTTTCCTGTCTTTTTCGCACGTTAGCCGCGGTACTCTCAGCCGCTATGGTGAGACAGTGGGAAGGAAGTCACAGATCACAGAATTCATTCTTTTACCCTCCCAAAAAAAAGAAGAAAACTCGAGATTGAGAAATCTGAAGTGGGAACAAACTACATATCATGTTGCTTAACGAGGATAGTCGTGCGACTACGCTTCACGGTAAGATCTGGCGGAATGTCATGTTCAGCCATGTCTTTGGAGATCTTTTGACTACCGCCACCTTCAAGCGAGGTGCGGGTCCCTTTGTGGGCTCAATTATAACCGGTGTGCTTGCTCGCTCCTTGGAAGCTGCTGAGAAATTGTAGAAATCCCGCCCTATTATCTTGGCCACAACCCCAAAGTCCCAACGAAGGGCAAGAGGGTTTTTAGGCCGTTTCTATGGCCAAACTTGATCAAGTGCGACCATCCCCTTTATCGTAGTGGCGGCACTCGCCGACGCAGCCAACGGGTCGGAACAACGGGTGTGTATGTAAGGCTGGTGGTGGTGGGGGTAAATCGACTACACCTGGAAGTGGCGCCATCTTGCCTTTCTATGTACTCTGCGTCACTCGCCTAAATGTAGACTTCCGTTGTCTTATTTTGGAGTTGGCTGTTTATCCTTTACTGGCACAAGCAGTCCAGGGAAGCGCATGAACCGGATGCAACCTTCCCATGCCACATGCAGCGCCCGGGGATTGCCGACTGATTTGTGACTGACTTGTTCTTGCAGCGTGACATCATCCCCTCCCCGTCAAACATACTGACGCGGTGTCCATCGCACCCCAAAAGTTGTCAGGCTAAACTGTTCCAGATATCCATCACCGGCTTTCACTGTGATTGACTCCTCAAACGTTCCCCCAAGCAGTGTGCTCCATAGCACTTCCCCCGACCCCGCACGGGGGGTAAACACCCACAGTCTCGGAGAGTTTGAAGAGTTTCCGGAGACAACATGGCAAGAGCCGAAGACTTTGAAGAATCAAATCCAAGACTCTAAGCGAGGTGGTTTGGGGCTGCGAAGCTGATAAAAGAGTGGACCTCAGAAGCAAGAGCCACGAGTTCCAGACCCCTGGTCAAACACTGTTAGAGAGAGAGAGAGAGAAAGAGAGAGATGTGAGCTAAGTTCACTCGTGAGAGACGCATGCGCAAAGCGCCACGCTGAAGAAATACCACTGCCCCGATCGGACGACATGTCCTCCTCCCACACACATCCAGCGTTTCGTCATTATCCGAAACAATTCGGCCGAACGTCATGTCCGACCCGAAAATAAAGCTTTTTCCGTGCACACCCAACCTGGCCTTGCGCATGCCCATGTCAATTCGCCAGCCATTGACTTGTACGCCCTCGTGCATGCCCCTTTTCACACCCCCTTGACACAGCTTCAAGAGCGATCTAGGCCTTTGAGAGGGACGGCGCAGCGATGTGGTGCGTCCTGCGACACCGAGAACCATCCATCCAGATCTTGGGTGTTGGCGTCGTCTACGTGCGAGATGTCATTGCGATCTTCCAAGAGTGGTAAACTTCTCTCCGGGGGGGGGGGCACGGACGTCGTTGCGGTGGCGGAACGCGTCCCGTCGCGCCGTCGCGTTGGACTACCAACGCGGAGTTCTGTGAGCGGGGAGGGATCTGTGGCAGGGCTGCAGTACCTCAAGTACCTTATGAGCGGTGTGCGGTACAGCCCTCGTCGCAGCAGCAGGACGAGGAGGACATCTGTTAGGAACAGAACACAGGACGACCCCACGCCAGCCAAGTGTTGCGGGCAACACACACAGCGCGCCACGTTGCTTCTGGCTTTCCTTGCGGAACGTACGGCCGTTGTCCCTGTATGGTCACCGTGTACAAGCCAGATCTCGCCATCTCCACTGTCGTCAAGGGGGGAGGGGGAGGGGAGGGGGAGGGGAATGAGCAATGAGCAATTGGCCAGAAGCTCACCCAGGGAGGCGGCGCCGAGCTCCTCGGCGCCACTTGTTCCTGAGAGCGGAGAGCCCACAGGCCGTAGTGTCCTTTGAGCATGCGAGATGCAAACAAACATGGGCAGCTGGTAGTGTAAGGGTGTGCATGCAGCCCGGCTCGATCGTTGACGCACATGCCCGCGGCAAGTCGGGTCAGAGGTATTACCGCAGGAGTAGCCTATAGGCTGTACACATACCGAATTCCTCGTACCCATCTCTCTCTCTCTCTCGCCCAAAGGAGCACATGCCACACATTGGTGTGTGGACTGGAACCAAACACCGAATGGAGGTTGGGTCGGTCGTGTTGCTCTCGACCTCGAACACCATGGGAATCGCTCTGCTCTACGGCCAAGTGGCGGGCAAAACGGCCGTTGCAAGGTCCCCGGAGCAGCCAAGGACACAAACGTTCAAGTGGCGGCCGGGGGGGACCTTGGCGTAAAAGGTGGGGGAGGCGCGGGTGGCACTGTCTGGCGTCCGCCTTCAACACATGTTGAGGGCTGTGGCGTCTGGGCACCGGAGGGTATGCATCGTGTGCTGGGAAAGGGGGCTCTGTGGGCGGGGTTGACATGGGTCGTCGCTCGCAACACACGCGCACACACGCACACGCTCACTCTGTGGCTGCGCGCCAGGCCAGACCCACTCCACGCCACCATACCCGCCTCGTTGGCCGCCACTCGGACAAGTCGCCTTCTTGTCGTCGGGCTTGACGCCTTCGGACCTTGACAGTTGACGTGGATTAACTACATTTGTACATTTGGGTCTGCTAGTAGAACGCCTCAACCGTGCAACCGTGTGGTTCACGCCAAGTGGTCCCATTGGGATCTACTACTTGTGGCATTCCGACAGCGACGCACCCACGCACCCACGCACACACGTCACCTGTGTCACCCGCTTGGCATCTCCGAAGCTCCACGGTCCGACGTGGTGGCGCCACCATGCCTGTGCACTCCTTTTCAGCCCGACGTCCGCACGCCCGCACGACAGCCGCCGTCCGTGTGTGCGCTGGCTGTGGCTCGGTGTCTTGTTGGGGTAGTTATTCCACTCTGGCCAACCTTTTTTGTTTTTTTTTTTTGTCTGGCCCGTGCCGCTCCCTGTCGGATGCTGACCTTAACGAGCATCCAATTTGGCAAGTGGAACAGGCTAAACTGCTGCGAGCGTGCAAGGCTATGTATGTAGCCTTGCCAATCAAACCCTAGCCAGGAGTTGTATCGTTGACATGACCGAGGTGAACAGGGCGACAGTCCAATGGAGCCAACCTGACATGTTCAGACCGGCTGACCCGTTCCCTCAACGTTCATTTGGTGTCGGGGTCGCCGAGCGGAGTTGTTTGCGTGGTGGACGAACAGCGGGTTTGCATTGACAAGGGATCAAGGTTCATCGATGTGGACCCTATGCAATCTATACCTGTAGGATGCCGTTCCCTTTGCTTGGTTCACCCTTGTTCACTATGGAGGGGTGACAATGATATGACATGTGATGACGGCAGCGGCCGCCAGGCTCTCTAACGCCCTTGCGTCCTAGACGATACGAGAACAATAACGAGCTGCACGACAGTAATCGGGGACATGTGGTGCACAAATGATCTGCGTCCAAGCAGAAAAAAAAAGACTGAACCCCCCCCCCCCCCCCCCAGTTTTAGCCACAGCAGCTGCGGGGGAGCCAGAAGAGTTGCTGTCTGCAAGCTTCTGTCATGTGCACGGTTGTCGTGTGACTTTCAGCCTCAGACTAAGCCTCCACGAGCGACACGCCTTCAAACATGGCCCGAGACTGGTCAAGATGGGCCGGATGTTGGATGTCCCAAGACACAGTAGTGTTAGACCCCGACTGGCCGTCATAACCCCCCTCTCTGGCCGTCTCACTCTTTGTCTTGGGTGTTGGACGACCGGATCCTTATTATTGTTGGGATGTGCCCTGGTTCCTTTTTTGCACCGCGGAACTTCCGGCCGCCGTGGGTGTGCGTCGTCCACGAAGCAGCGCTAAGAGCAATAGCCAGCGGCCAGAAGGTCTCGCGCCGCGCGCTCGGCGAGCTCGGCACATGCGGCAGGTCCCGCCGTTCCCTGGAGGGTTTTGGTGAGCAACTGTGGAGACCGTTTGGCAAGCACTAACTGGCTCACTCTGCTCTGGGTGTAAGCCGAGGTCGACAGAACTTTGCAGTCGTCCCGGACAACACTTCCATTGGGTGGGGGCCCACTCCCGCCAACAGTGTGGCCCGCGAAGACGGTTTGTTTGCCGGCCTCGTCCGTCCCTCTCTCCCACACATCAGGCCGGATCGTGCCGGGACCCTTGGTTGTCGGCCCCCCTCTGTACCCACCTCCGACATCCGTTGCGATGCCATGCCTTTTTCTCACTGCACATCCAACGTCTCCGGCATTGTTCACCGCTCATCCCCACCGGTACCTCTATCCACAAGTGGTATACAAATAAGAAGGACACACAAAGAGTGACGGGCTAGAAAGAACCCTCCCCACCCCACCCACCCCCCTCCGTCCACCGCCTCTCACCGCCTCTTTGCGCACCCAGGCGCCAGCAAAACACGCCACTTGCGAGCACACTCTCCGTCGCTGCCACGCCATCCCGAGCCCGCATTGACCCGCTCTTCAACGCCTCGTCCGAGCGCTTCTGGGTCACAAGGCTGTCCTAGTGGTACGCCGCAAACGCCTCAGCGTCGACTCCACATTCCTGGACTCACCGCCACGAAGATCACCCGCGTCGTCGAGGCCAGTCCTTTTGCTCTCGCCCGAGGCGGACACCCCCCACCCCACCCTTGAACCGTAGTCCCAATCCCACATCGCTTCCAGTCCGACGGTGCGCCTCACAGTGTCTCACAAGTGACCTGGTCGGCTGCCTACATACATCTCACCGCATCGCACTCTTTCTCGACTCGTCGTCTCTCTTCTCCAACTTTTAAAAAGCAGCCAACCGTTTGGCATCGCATCCACTTTTCTCGGTCACCCTCTCCCCCAACTCGCTCGCGTCAGCAACATGACCGCCGCCTTGACCCCCACGCCCCCGCCACCAGCGGCCCCCACACTCGCCTCCATCGGTAAGTGTCAGTCATCACCCATCAAAGGCCCACTGTCACAACGAGTGATGCACACGAGACAACCATCACACACATTTCACAAAGAGGCAAAAACAGCTCACACGCATTGCAGGTACTGTGCTCATCGACATCTTCGAGCCCCGCTCCCCTTACTCCCCCGACACCCCTCAGTCCCATTCGTCCTCCCTGCCCGAGTCTCGCATCGTCACCCCTCAGATCACACCGGCACGACGACCCACCCGCCTGCCGAGCCTCGAGAGCCTCAACACCCCGCGCACGCCGCAGCTCACTACGTTCAACGAGCCCCTCGGGGGCGGCACACCCGTCATCGGCGGCGGGGCGCTGTACGCTCTTGTCGGGGCACGCGTGTGGCTTCCTGCCCGCGAGATGCGCACCGTCATTGACCGTGCCGAGCCCTCGTCACCGTCCTCGTCCAGCAGCTGGGGTGTCAAGGGCGAAGAAGCCGACATTGACCTGAACGACCATGACGCGATGTTCGCCGCTGCGGCCGCCAAGAGCGCCGCCGCCGCCGCTGACGAGGACGATTTCCCCGTCGAGCTCGAGCACGAGATCCGGCAGTTTGGCGACGAGATGTGGGTGTACAACCGCGGCCCGGGTCTGCGTACTCCGCGCGCAAGGATTGCATACGACGGCGACGTCCGAACGTGAGTGTCGGCTGGGCGATTTTTTTACCGGACCCGAGACGAGGTGGTCTCGCGAACGAGGCGATGACAACGACTCGTGTGTGTGCGCTTTCAGTGCTGACCTTGTGCCTCAGGTACCAACATGTGGTGAAGCCATCGCTCCGCACGGGCACCCAGATCGCTGCGGGCCCCCTCTTTGGCGCAGAGTACCTCCACGTCTCGCCACCATACGGCCCGTCCGATCTCTTGCACCTCCTCGACGAGATTGACGCCGAATGCACGGGCTGGGAACCCAAGATTGCATTTGAGCCCACCCCGTCCTCTTGCCACTCGGGCGAGCGCGCAAACCTCGAGCGGGTCGCTCCGCGCGTCGAGATCCTCTCGCCCAACCACGAGGAGCTGCTGTCGTTTTACGGCGTCGCCCTCCCAGACACTCTGGAGGAGACGTGCGCCGCTGTCGAAGTCGCTATCCGCCACCTGCTGGCCATCGGTGTCGGTGCCAACGGAGAGGGCATCGTCGTCGTCCGCTGTGGCGCTATTGGCGCCTGTGTGGGCACGCGCGCCGGCGGCCTCGTCTGGACTCCCGCATACTGGGCCAACGACTCGGACCGTGTTCGCGACGTCACGGGCGCCGGCAACGCGTTCATCGGCGGGTTTGTCGCCGGCCTCAAGATCACAACCGGTAACCCGTACGAGGCCGTCTTGTACGCCACGGTCTCGTCGTCGTTTGTCGTCGAGCAACTCGGCTTGCCCGCCATCACCCCTGCATACTCGTCGACGCCGTCATCGTCGCCGCTTGGTTTGACAATGAGCGCCGCTCAGGGCTCGCCTCCCGAGGTTATCGAGGGCATGGCCGCACTCAAGCTCCGCGCAGCGGCCCGCATCGAGATGTGGAACGAGGACGCGCCCCAGCGCCGTCTCGAGTTCCTGCGTGCCCGTGCCCGCGTCTTTGCCTAAGGCGAAATGCCAGGCAGCGCAGAGAGCTGTAGAAAAAAGGAAGAGAGAGAGAGTGACGAGGAAACAGGACGGACCATTTGTTTGTTGTAATCACACATACACTAGATTTATAGATCAGCACCATGATGCACCACAGCGCAACGTTGCCTTAACTCACTAGTACTCGTACACATTATACGTATCTATTGATAATTAACCTTTGGCGTGTGCAGAGTCTCGCTAGACGTGGACTGCGGATCCGGCGGCGGGGGCTGGTGCCACAGCAGACTGCTCGACATCGGAACTGGCAACAACGGCTGCCTCCGTCTTGCGCCCGCTCCAGTACAGCCTGCCGGCGACCTCGCCAACGACCCAGTCAAGGCCCTCGTCGAGACCCACACCCGAGATGGCCGAGCATGGCACGATACGCCACTTGTGCGATGCGATAGCCTCGAGTCCCAGTGCCTGTGTGTATGTTAACTGGTGCTGGCTGCTGATCCCACAAACCCCAGCACTCACGTCCCGGATCTGCTCGTGCGACAGCGATCCCGCAAGGTCCTGCTTGTTGGCAAAGACCAAGAGCGTGGCTCCCGCAAGGCGTTCTTCAGAGAGCAGGGCACGCAGCTCGGCGGCCGCGTCGTCGAGACGCAGCGAGTCGGACGAGTCCACCACCCACACGACGGCGTCGGTCGACTCAAAGTAGTTGCGCCAGTATGGGCGCAGAGTGCGCTGGCCTCCGACGTCCCCTGCGGCATGTCAGCGTTGGTGGGGGGGGGAAGGGGCAAAGCGAGGGAGGATGGCAGGGGTAGAGGTGCACGAGTTGCATCCAGCCAAGCCTCCTCGCCTTCCAGTTCAGCAGCGCGTGAAGTTGAACTGGACGGTGGCGAGTCATCCCGCTCAGGACCACGCCCAGAACTGCTCGAGCTGACACTGCTACTCACAAACATTGAGGGTGTGGTCTCCGCGAACGAGAGACATGATATTGAACCCCAGTGTGGGTGACACGGACGAGACATCGCCGCCCGTCACGCGCTTGAGGATGGTGGTCTTGCCGGCATTGTCGAGGCCGCTGTGGGAGAGAGGAAAGGTGACAGAGGAAGTTGGAATAGAAGGAAGGAGTGACGTGTCAGCTCCTGTGCTCTCGTACAGATAGCCCAATGCTCTAGACATCCAGCTGGAGAAGACGAGGCCGACCTACAGGAAGAGTACACGCATCTCCCTCGCGCGCGCCTTGTTCTTGCGGATGATGGTGAGGAGGCCTGTGATATTAGCGACTCACGCTGGGCGGTGGGCGATGAGAAGCATGGTGCCATGGTACGGGACACACGTGCACTGCAGCATCAGCAGGGGACTCACCCATGGAGAGAGAATGAAGGAGCTGAATGGTGAATGATGATTGACTTCCAAAACATCCAAATTCGGCTCTGGCCGCCGCAGCGGCTGCGCGATCGACGCGACGCGACCGGAGTGGAGGCCATCCGACCATGTCGACCGTGTCTCCCCAATCTCGTTCCAGATGCATTCCATTCTCGTTCCACACAGGTATCACTACGGAGATGCATACCACTATCTCGTTCTACGCAAACACACACACAAGAACTCTCTCTCTCTCTTTTTGATCTAAACTATATCCGTGTTCTAACCGGGGCTTACCCGTATCTCCGTAGCTCTCTAGTCGATGAGCGCACCCTTCTTCTTGCCGAGCTCAATCTCGCCGGGGCCACGCGAACGCGAGCGCTTGCCGGGGAGGGGCACGACCGAGCCGATCGACACGCCGCGGCCGCGACGCTTGGTGCGGAAACCGGCACCCTCGTACGAGAGGATCTCGACGGGAGGGTTGAGGCGTGGCCAGGCGACGTAAGAGGTGCCGTTGCCCCAGATGAAGGACAGGGAGAAGAAGGCGAGGGCGAACCAGAGGAAGAGGAACGAGTAGATGGACCATTCTGTATTGTCAGTTTGAGTGCGAATTGTGGAGGAAAACTAACCGCTCGAGCGGGGAAGGGTGAGGGCCGAGAAGATCATCGTGAGCGCAAAGACGAGGACGTAAGGCATGGCGCGGATGAGAAGGGGGCGAGTGTCCGAGAGCGGGGGAATGGCACCGCGCCTGGCGACGTACGATCCAGTGACGAGGTCGTAAGCATCCTGAGAGTTAGTATGCTTCTCAGAGAAGTAGGAAAACTCACCTGGCGGTCACCGTCAAAGAAGTTGTTCTTGACGTAACGCTGGACCGAGTTGTAGCCGTCCTGGAGGAGACCCTGCTTGGTGCGCTTGCCGGTACGGGTGTAGTCGGTCTTGAGCGCGCCCGAGCCCGAGTACGCGTTGGAAATGTTGTCGGCGTGGTCGGCCCAGACGTTGCGGAAGACGACCATAAAGTCCTCGTGGTCGTCGACGCTCTCCTTGACGCTGAGGACACCGACCTTGCGGAGCTGCTGGTTGAGGGCCCACTTGGCGAGCGCACTCTGGGCAACGTTGGTGCGGTCCAGGCAGTCCATGCAGTTGGAGCGGATGACACCGGTCTGCGTCTGGAGAAGGCGGGTGGGACCCAGGTTCGAGTTGAAGCCCGTGGGGGCAGGAGCGACGCCGTGGAACCAACCCATGGACACGAGGCTCTCGTTGAGCTGGTCGAGGAGGACCTGGATCTTGTCAAAGCGCATCTTGCGGCACTCGTGGTGGAAGTCAAAGTACAGGTAACGGGCGCGGTCCGCGAGAGCGGGGTCGGTTTCGGCAACCTTCATGACGCGCTCAAACGCCTCCTTGACGGGCTGCTCGTAGCCCTTTTGGTTGACGAGGTTGACGAGGTAGAGCGAGTTGTACTTGTCGACCATGTCCTCAATGTGACGCTTGAACGACGCGCCAGTCTGGGCAACGTCCATGATCTGAAGGTCGGGCTTGTAGCGCAGGTTGTTGACCTCGGCCCAGTAGACTGGCACCGAGCCACGGATCTGGACAAACGAGAGGCGCTCACGGCCGTCGACACGTCCACGGGTCAACTTGCCGTTCTCGGGAACAGGGTCGAGAAGAATAATCTGCTCCGTCTCGTTAAAGTTGGAGACCGAGCCCGACGTGTCGATACCGCGCGAAAAGTAACGGGTGCCGACACGGTGGCGCGAGCGACGGGCAACCAGGCAGAAGAGGAAGTCGCGGTTGTTGATGGTGGCTGAGCGCAGCTCAAGAACTGTATAGGTCAGCATGGGTTTTTTTCTCGTCACCTGTACCTACATCCAAACATCACCGGGAGGATAAAGCGCGACAGGTCCATGCCACCCTCCGTGAGACCGATAAAGCGGTCCATGAGGAAGCGGTTCCAGAAGAAACGCTCGTCGGCACGCTGCCAGAGCGGCGAGCGACCGGGGCCCTTACCGGCATCCTCGAGCTCCTTCTGGCGCTGGAGGGTGTTGGTGAGGTCCCATCCGTGTGAGAACCAGAGGTTACCGGCCTTGAGACCCTGCTCGACGAGCTCGACGAGCTCCTTCTCGATAGGGTTGCCGAGGATGGCCTGCGACGAGCTCGCAGGGTTGACTGGCAAGAGGCGGAAGTCGGTGGCGAGGAAGATGGGGTGGGAGAGAAGACGGCACGATGGCGTGCGCTGCGTGATAATCACCAAGTAGTCGGCTGAAGACAGGTTAGCACGTGTGTGTGGGTTTGACTTGGCATGCTTCCCATGCGGCGGGCAGCCAATACGCACTGGTAGCAAGAGAGATCACACCGAGGATACCGTAGCAGGGAATGACCTTTTCGCGACCAAGGGGGATAGCAGCGGACACTGATGGGTGGTCAGCAAAGTGTGAGATACAACCAACCCTAGCGCACCATTCAAGCTGAATTGACCAGTCTTGCGGTCGACGTGCAGGCTCTCGCGGACGTCCTTTTCGGTCTGGCCGTCTGCGCCGAAGACGGGAGTGGCCGCCGGTTCAAAGACGTAAGAGGAAGGCGAGACGTAGACGTTGTACGACTCGTGCAGCTGGAGGGGTGCGCGTCAGCAAGAAGAAGTTGAGCTGGATGTGTCATGACGTACTGGCAGGCAGTTGTAGGTGGCCATGGTTGATTAAGGAGGCCTCGAGATTGGGCAGGCGCGTGCTCGTTGTCTGTGTTGTGTAGGGGTATGGAGGAGACCAAGGACCGGGTGCTCTTTGCTTGACGCTGAGAGGTGAACGATGACCGACGAAGCGACGACGACGACGACGAGACGACAAGTGTTATTGAATTGTTGGAGACAGGACGACCTTTTGAAACGCGTCTGCCTGCGTGCCACGGTGCACGGCCCGACATCGTGTGTGGTGCTGTACGCGTGCTCTTATCACGTGACGCATGACGTCGCCCACCATAGAAATGACACGTCATATAACATTACCGGTTGAGTGGACTGGTGTATGAAATTTGATTCCGCGTCGCGTCTACGCGCGGCGCGTTCGTGTTGGTCTCTCCTGTCATTTCCTGAAGTGGGTGGTTCGTGGTCCCTTTCTCTCATTTCCTCTCTCTCTCACCCATCGCGCCTGTCAAAACACTTGCCACCGCCACCTCTCTCTCTCCCTCTTCCAGTCCTCCCTCACACATCCACTCTCACAATGCTCGAGGCTCGTGTCAAGCAGGCCGCTGTTCTCAAGAAGCTCCTTGATGGTGAGTCGTCGCCCCTTGCCATGTCCCCGGCAACGCGCAAACATTCAGCGAGCAATCCACAACTTTGCCCGACAAGGACGCGTCGCTGACTCATGTAAACAGCTATCAAGGAGCTCGTCACCGATGGCAACCTCGACTGCTCCCCCGACGACGGCATCGTGAGTGAACCACTACCCGGAAGGATGCGCGCCAGTATGTATGCTGACGACCATCAGTCTCTCCAGGCCATGGACAACTCGCACGTCGCGCTCGTCTCGCTCAAGCTCTACCCCGACCAGTTTGAGTCGTACCGCTGCGACCGTAGCATCCCCCTTGGTGTCAACGTGGGTTTCACTGCTCGGCACCGCTCGCGAGCGACCATTGGCACTGACCTGCTCTTCAGCTCAGCTCCCTCACCAAGATTCTCAAGTGCGCCAAGGACAATGATGTTGTGACCCTCAAGGCCGCCGACGACGCCGACTCGCTGGGCCTGATCTTCGAGTCGCCCAAGGAGGACCGCGTCGGCGAGTACGAGATGAAGCTCATGGACATTGACCAGGAGCACCTCGGCATTCCCGACACCCAGTACGACGCGACCATCACCATGGGATCGGCCGAGTTTGCCCGCATCTGCCGTGACCTGTCGGCTCTTGGCGAGTCGGTCAAGATTGAAGCTTCCAAGGAGGGCGTGAGGTTCAGCTCGGACGGCGAGGTCGGCTCGGGTTCCATTCTCCTCAAGCAGACTGCTGGCTCTGAGCGCCGTGCCGTTCGCGCCAAGACCGACCCCGACGACGAGGACGACGACGAGGAGGCCGACAAGAAGCCCACTATCGACTCTGAGGGCGAGGAGGAGGTCGAGGAGGAGGAGGAGGCCCCCAAGAAGCGCAAGGCCAACGGTGGCGCCAAGTCGTCCAAGAAGGCCAAGGCCGGTTCCGACGAGGAGGTTGGCGTCTCCATCATCCTCGAGAAGCAGGTCTCGCTCACCTTCTCCCTCAAGTACCTCACCAACTTTGCCAAGAGCGCCCCTCTTGCCCGCGCCGTCTCGCTCAACATGAGCAACGACGTCCCTCTCCTCGTCCAGTTCGACTTCGAGCAGGGCACCCTCCAGTTCTTCCTTGCCCCCAAGATCTCGGACGAGTAGGCGTAAAAGAAAACGGAATGTTTTGTGTGTGAGAGAGGCAGCGCGCGCGCGCGAGTGAGAGAACGAGTCGAAGCGAGTTGAGGTGAGCGAGCACAATAGTATGGAGCCTGCAGGATGCAGTGTGAGCAAGCCCTACGCGTTTGGTGTGCCATTATTGAGACTCAGTAGGGGGGCAGAGTAGCGGCCCCGTAGATCAGTCGTCTGTATACGTCATTGTTAGTTGGTTATGGATCCATCATGCAGCCAGCCGGGGAGGTGCAGAAGCCGCACAGAAGGGAGCTCGCTGTTGCCATTGGGCATGGGGGTTCAGGTGTTCAGTTACAGACATTGGCCTATGGTCCTCCGCCACGGCGATTAGGTGTACAGCTTTGGTCTTGCGACGTTGGGAATGTCACGATCCGTCCTTTCCAGGCATCTTTCTCTGAACGGTCTTTCCAGAGACAGCTCTTGTATGACGGAGTTAATGACCGTGCCAGTTTAAGCCTTCGCGTATAAGAACGAATTGTTCTCTGCTGCGATCTTCACACCTGGGCGTTCAGGTCGTCAAGTAGCGAGACAAAGTCAGAGCCCCACAGGAGTCGGTCGACTAGGTCAGGTCGCTTCAGCAATACGCTCTGGTGTCGTGAAATATGCACCTGTCATACATTGCCCGTCGCGGGCAGGGACTGTTGTGCCGCCCCAAGCTGCTGTGAGGCGGTCACGTCTCTACGGCTGTCCTACTGCTACTCGTCCCACATGTGACTCCTCTTCTCAAAAACACCCCCGTTGTCTCTCTCATGCGCGGTCCTACTTCTTCTTCCTGTTGACCTCGTCGGGCTTGACGGGGTGGAGCATGATTTTGGTCGCGTTGGCCGAGGCTGGAGGCACGCCGCCGTGCCCCTTTGACCAGTCGTACGACATGGCATAGGCGAGAATCTCGTTCGTGTGGTTGAACGACGCCGAGACGATGGGCGTGCCCCAGATGGGGTTGGGGCGGTTGTCGGGGTCGCCGTTGCCGAGCTCCTTGGCCGAGAAGGCCTTCAGCTTGGTACGTGCCATGCCGTCCCAGAAGGTGAGCGAGCCATCGCCACCGCCGGTACAGAAGGTTCCCTGGGTCTTGTGGAAGGTGATGGAGTTGATGGGGAAGACGTTTTGCGAGCCGCTCTGCGCAGGAGGGGCGATCTGGGATGCGGGAATGTCGACACGGTGGCACTTGAAGGAAAAGTTCTTCTTCTCGTCCGCCTGGTGCGCATACTGGATGCCCACCCTTCCCTCAATGGATCCCACAGCGTAACCGTCACCACCGACTGAGGCGGGGAAACACGAGATGACGCGCGTCTGCCACTTGAGTGGGGACTCGACCTGGCGGTACTTGGTGAAAGGGTTGGCAAGGTCGTAAATGTGGATCTGGCGGTCGGCCGTACCGACAACACAAATCTTGTCGGTAGCGTCCATGGCGTATGCACGCTCAGAGAGGTCGACCTGGCCAATGGGCTGGGGGGAACGCAGGTCCCAGTACTGGATATTGTTAGCTGATGCCGATAGGGAACCCAGCCAAGCTCACCTTCATCTTCTTGTCCCAACCGGCAGTGATGAGGACGGGGGTGCCGTTCGTCTCGACGTACTCGACACACTTGATCGGTGCGTCGTGAGCAGCCACCTGCTGCGCCTGGCCCGAGTTCATGTCAAACATGCGCACCGCATTGTCACAACCAGCCGAGAAGACATGCGACCCATTCTTTGGTTGTCAGCTCGTCGTCGCTCCGTCCAAAGCTTACCTTGGTCCATGCCAGGTCGAGCACAGGTCCCTCATGCGAGTACATGGCCTTGGGCTCCGACTGTCCCGTGTTGTTGATGTTGTACAAGCGGACCTAGTGGGTGTGAGTGTGACCAACAGCTGGCGGAAACCAAACATCCAAACACCTACATTGTTGTCCCAGCTGCCAACGGCGAGAATGTCCTGGACGGGGGAAAATGAGATCTTGGAAACCGAGTCGGATGGGGGCTGCACGAGCTCAATGTCCTTCTGGACGGGACGGAAGGCCGAGCCCATCATCTTGGGCGAGGGATTAAGGAAGGGAGGAAGGTGCCTTGCTGGCTAAAGATGCTTGTGGGGGGAGGGACTTGGCCACTACAGGGGCTATTTTGTGCGAGCGAGTGCGAGATGCCCCGTCGTGTGCGCTTCAATAAATGCCGGGTGCGAGGAGGGAGAAGGTTGGTGTGTGAGAGGCAACGAGGGTGGATGTTGATGATCAACTGTGCTGCAAAGATTGAGTGGCCACTACAACTGACGGCGGAAAGGCGCCGTCGCAGGCGAATCGACGACCACCGTGGGAAAGTTTTGGCCAAAAAGTCCCAAATCCTCTTATGTCATGTTCGAGACGCTTCTTCATCTCCCACTTTGTGTTTCTCTCTCACACATCCATCACAAACACAAAATACACACCATGGACCTCACAGAGCTCTTCCAGTTCCTCTCTTCGCCCAACCCCGCGGCCCGCCAGATCGCGCTCCAGAACCTCATCGGCCACACCCCCAAGGCCGCTCCCGAACGCCACATCTTCATCCCCACGTCCTTTGCTCCTCTTCCCGGAGAGACCACCCCGGGCGGCAAGCGCAAGACTGGCTCCGAGGCCGACGAGGTCAAGGTTCAGGCGATCAAGGACCTTGCCTCGCTCTGCCGTGACCAGGCTGTCATTGCCCACGATGCCCTCTCAGCCCTCATCAACCTTTCGGACGACCTTGCCGTCGCTCGCCAGCTTGCTGACAAAGAGTTCCTTGTCTGGCTCGTCTCGTACACTGCCAACACCACCTCGCCTCTGTCGCCCCTCACCTCGATGCTTCTCTCCAACCTGACGTCGCACCCTGCTCTTGTCCCCACCATGGCCGCGCTCACGGTTCCCATCGTGCCCCTCCCGCTCTCGAAGCACTACCCCCCGTACTACCTCCCCGCCTGTGCCTCGGCCTCGAGCACGATCCACCCCGACTTCCGTGACACCAGCATGGGTATCGCTCCCAACGCTGAGGCTGGCCAGGAGGAGGAGCGCGAGATTGAGGCTGTCCGTGCTCTCGTCCAGGCCTTTGAGGACGGCGCCGGTGAGGGTGTTCGCGACTCGAACGGCAAGCGCAAGGGCGAGTGTCACTTCCTTGCGTCCGTCTTTGCCAACCTTTCCATGGTGAGCTCTAACGTTGCGACCGGGTTACGCTGACGTCTAGCTCCCCGCCACCCGCCCCCTTCTCCTCACCCCTCAACCTACCTTCCCCGCCCCCTCCACCGAGCACACCAGCGACGACGAGCCCCTCCTGTCCAAGATCGTTGTCTACACCGAGCACCCCGACACTATCCGTCGCGGTGGTGCCCTCGGCTGTATCAAGAACTGTGCCATGGACCGCGCTTCCCACTCTTGGCTCCTCACCAGCGAGGATGACCGTGTTGTTCTGCCCTCCGACAACACCCGCAAGGTTCGCGGTGTCGACGTTCTGCCCTGGGTTGAGAGCCCATTGATGGGTCCCGAGGAGTACGACATGGACGTAAGTGTTGTGTGCTGAAGCCATCCTCATGGAGCCACCGCTGACTATTCTTTACAGGAGATGGAGACCCTCCCCGCCACCCTCCAGTTCCTGCCCCCGTCCAAGAAGCGCGAGGAGGACTCTGTCCTCCGCATGATGTGCGTCGAGATCCTCCTCCTCCTCTCCACCACCTTCACTGGTCGTGAGACGCTCCGTAACCGCGGTGCCTACTACGTTGTCCGTGAGGCGCACAAGGCCGAGCAGGACCAGCCTATCAAGGACGCCATTGAGCGCCTTGTCTCGCTCCTCCAGGGTGAGGAGGGCCGTGAGTCCAAGTCGGAGCAGCTCGATGGCCTTGTCAAGAAGGGCGAGGAAGAGCTTGACGTTGTGGAGGTCTAAACGCGCTGCACCTTGTGTGAGGCGTTGGTTGCGTGGCTGCTGAGGTATGGCGAGCGTGATTCTCGGTTGGAAGAGCTCCGGCCTGAGTTTTGCGTAAGCCTATGCGTGCAAGCAGCCATGACACACTACATGACTCTGGCGGGGCCACATGCTCGCTTTAGAGACGAGCCGATACCTTGGCACACCGTGCCCCGTCCTGGCTGCGAGTTTTTGTTGTTTTCGCCGAATCTGTCTCCATCATCATCCCACCTCCCCGTCTACGCCACGGGTGAGATCTCTCATAGATTTCTGTCGTTTTTCTTCGTACTTTGCATACCGTTACTGGATTTCTTGTATGCATCACAAGAACCTGAGCGTGCTCTCTCTCTTTGGCTCTCTCCCGCGAGTGACCTTTCACGGGATCCCATCTTGTCGGCAGGGAGCGACAATGTCCTGACATTGCCATGGTGACGCCACTTTGCTCCGATTGTCCAGCTGCGTTTGCGCTGTTCTTGTGGGTGCTCCAAGAGCTGTCAAAGCGAAGAAACTGGTACCAATGTACACCACATGAGAAAATCACATTACCCGCTGTGCATGAATGCACCGTCACGCAACGGGGAGGTCATGGAGGCAGGCAGGTCATCGGCGGTTAATCTCGCTGCAGTTCCTGGCCCGTCGTAGAGAGACGGGGGGTGCAAGGTGTCAACATTCCATTTGACTGCACTGCAAACGTCACTCCCGCTCCCACATCTATCCCTCATCTTCTCGCCATCCACCGTGCCGAGCACATCCATCGCACATCCACGCACATTACCTGTCCCCCTCTTCCCCGCATCCTCCCGTGCGCGCACACACTCGCCACCAACAAGTAAATACATACCAGCCAGCAATGTCCCGCGACCATGGGCATGTGCTTCCCGGTATCGATACCGGCGGCAGCGACCTTGGAATTCCACTCCACTCCCCCGAGCTCGACACTAGCGCAACCGCTGCTTCTGTCAGCACTGGCTCGACTGGTGGCAGGTCGCCACCCGTGCCCGCCGCTGCCTTGGACTTGCCCACGCCCATAACGCCCATGCAACCAAACGTCCCGAAGGTCCGCAAGGCCAGTCCATCGCCGCTCTCCGGTGCTACAGCTACCAGTCCTGCTACCAACGAGAAAGTTGCACCTGTACCTGCAACTGCCGGCAGGAGCCAGAAGTACCCGCCCGCGCCGCCGTTTACACTCCCGGCGATCAACGCAGCGGGAGGAAGCTACACCCTCCCCATGGACGTGAGTGTGCGAGTCCACTATATGGAGTAGACAGAGTGGTGCCTGCCTACCAAGACGTTGCTATACGGTGGGCGCTGACAGCCGTCACGCAGCGCCCGGTCGCCATCTTCTTCGTGAGTACTGCTGTCATTTGCCTTCTTTGTCCCATTCTTTGGTCATGTTCGTGGGGAATTCGGGAATGATTGCTCAAAAACAGCCACTCGTGGCCAAGACAACGGCGGCACAACGACTTGGCTCGTGTTCCAAACATAGAACATGGTTAATTGTGCAACCTGCTGCCTCAGCGCCCCCATTTCAATGGTGGTGGCCATCTCGCTGCCCCATGACCATGTTCGCCCGATTGAATTGCGACCCCAGATATGCACTGGGGCCACTGGTTGCGCGCCGCTATCATCTAGAAGCGCGCCAGTAAAAGCTTAACGACCACTGCAGTGCAGGGCTGTGCAGTACCTGCCACCTCCTTGTCACAGATGGTGTTCCATTGGGTGGACGCTGTCGCGTGCCATTCATTGATTGGCATTGGCTTTGGAGTCGGTATGCCATTACTGGAACTGGAATATGTTCCAACCAAAGCTGAGCTTCAACTATCTCCAACCTCTAACCTTTTCCTCTTTGGGGTCGGAATGGTGCCACACCGGCCATGGCCATACCGCGGGATGGGTATTCGCTGTCTGCCATACTCACGCTAGCATATGCGATGCCGCGGGGTATGCAGTACACAGTGTGAGAATTCTGTTCACTGTCGCGACCACGCTTGGCGTTTGCGTATGCTTGGGTGACGTGTGTTAACGCGCACGAAGAACACCATCTGGGTACCCGCTACGGAATGGATCAAGCGGAGAGTGTTCTGGGGGCTTTGGGTGACGGCATCCCGAGTTGGCGATGACTCCCGAGTCGGGGATGGCAACCGTGTACATGCATTGTCGCTGGACTTGCAACAGCCACGCTGCCACTGTACGCTGGTCGCGGCCCACCCATGGACACATGTGTCTGGCAACTGGACTGGCCAGCGACCGGGTCAATAATGCCTGGGTCCAATCGTCCACGTCAACGTCTCTGTGTCGGGACCAATTCACACTTCATCACCTCTTTTCCTTCCCGGATTTGCATACCGCGCTGGTACTCATATTCCAGAACCTGTTCTCTGGCCGCTAACAGACGCCGCAGTATCCCGAAGCTCTGACTTACGGATGCACCAAGGAAGCCTGTTCATTCCGTGACGCCGAACTCGACGGCGTCGAAATCGTTGGCATGTCTCGAGGTGAGTTGAAATTCAGCGAGAGTTTTAGTTTCGGTTCATGCCTTTTTTCTCTTGGTTTTTGTTTTCTTTTTCGAGTCTTTGAGTCCATGTCGTCCCCAGTTTTTGTGCGTTTGCGTCCATTCGGCATGTTCTTGTCTTCTCTTTCGCACGCTTCAGTCGCTCCAGGTTCCAAGCTACTGTCCCCCGGGTTCTGGTATCTGGATTCCTCTTGAGGATTGAGCCTCTGGTACATTCCTGCGCTGGCAAGTCCTCCACGGCGAGTGGTGGTGACTGCCGCAGAATAAAAATGAAGGAGGTGGGGGTCTGGCTAAGTCACCTTGACTTTGCGGCCCGATCATACCCATCATGTCTTCTCACAAGGGCGAGCGGGGTCGGGTGCTGCTATGCCAGAAACACCACGCACAAGCCAACCCCAATTCCACACAATATGAGGGTGGTGCGGGACGGTGTTTGGTGTAAACAAGAAGTGGGTTGCAGGCTAGTGTAAAGGGGGTACTGCCAATATGCTGCGGAAGCCATTGGTGAGCCGAGGCCTCATCCTTCCTGTGCGTGCTGGGCAGGGTTCGTGGCGGTCCAGCCAGGTTCCAGAAGTTCAACAATCACATCCAGCAGCACTCCTCAGGCTCCATACTCGTTGTGGCGGTAGTGGACAACGTGGCATAAACACTGCATTCTCTAGCTCTAGCATTGTCGTGCACAGATTTCAGGTGAGCTTGTGCACTAAGCTCATTTGACTCTGGAGACCGAAATGCTTCGAGTTTTCGAGTATTTCAGAGCTTGTTTTTCCTTCGGTCCATGATAAATCCGTTGAACCCCCGGGCAAAAGCCAGTGGGGGAGTTAACCCATCGAGCTCCGATCGTCGGTCGATCTGAGCAAACCCTCCTGCAGCAAATGGGCTGGGCCACAAGGGCCAGAAACAAGCTTTGGGAGTGGAAAACTGGTCGACTGCCTCAAGCTTTAGAGGCAGCGTCGTTTCATCCTGCGTCCAATCTTACTTTGATCCTGGCACCCGCCGGCAGTTGCGCGGGATGTTCCTCGCAGGGCCCGCATACGCCGATGTGCGCATATGTTTGCGTGTGCGTCCACCCTCGCCAAATAGAGTTTACTTGTTGGTCCCTCAACACCGCAACATCACCCAATGCCGGTGGCCACAGACGAACCACTTTACCCTTCTACACCACTGCCCTCACCTCGTCGTTCCTGCACATAGGGGAGAGGGGTGATGCAGGCCAGGGTGGGGGTCTGTGAGCGTAATGTGTAAAGTCAATGCCTCACTGATGTGAGATGGAGTGGAGACCGAGCGGCGGAAAACAGTGATGGCACTGGGGAAGGACTCGATGCTGACATGACACCGGTTCATCTCCACGCCAGACCCGCTTCCCAAGTTGCAGAAGTTTGCGGACAAGGAGCATCTCAAGTATACCCTCGCATCGGACGAGGACGGAAAAGTCCACCAGGCGTATGGCATTGGCAAGGCCCTCTTTGGCCTCGTTCCGGAGCGCAAGACGGTATTTATCGCCAAAGGCGTCATTCGAGGCGAGCACGCCGCCAACGTATCGTTGAACTTTGCGTGAGTGGCACCTCGGGTTAGCCTCCGTTGTGGATTATCCTTGTTCTTGTTATCTCACCTGCTCCCCCGTTCTAATTGGCTCATTGCCTGGACTGGACCTCTAAGGAGAGGCTCGCTACCGCAGAAGGAGTCAGCGTGTCTGTCCATGGTTCGGAAGCGAACTACGCAACGGACGGGTGACGTATCTGTGACTGCCATATCCCCTTCACACTCCGTCGCCTCCACAACGACGGTCACATCTCGGCATGCTCTGTAGTCTTGCCGTTGTCGTTGTCGATATCGGTGACAACCTTGACCTGGAGTGAATGTGGAGTGGAGCACACCGTAACGGCTGATTTCGGGATGCGTTGAACATCATGGACATTGCTGTGGCTGACAACGCAGTTCGCACCCCAAGTTTGTCCAGGAGGAGATGAAACGACTGCAGACAGAGACAAAGGCTTAAACGTACTGGATCTGGTCGTACATCGTTAGCAACAGAAAGCAGGCGGCACCTATTCGGAAAGTGTAAAGGCAAGCCAAGGCCGTCATCAGGAGGAGCAAAGATCCTCAGTAGCAATCTATAGCCGTGACCATAACACGATGCAGGAGGACAGTGACGCGATGTCAAGGACCACAGTGTCAGCCATGTGAAAGACACTGCGCCCAGTCGCCGGTCCTCCGCCACAGTCTACAGTACCACAGTACAGTACCAAAGCCAGACTCTGGAGAGGGGACGCACGAGCTTGGGACCTGTATAATGTTACATGTAGCGGCCCAGATGCACATATGGGGACGGGAAACACTGCCACAGATACCGCTTGCACCCATTGTCGCTGGATCCAACTAAACTGGGCTACACCCGAAGCGCAACCGCGGAGCAGGACGCGAGTTACCGTTGCCAGGTCCTAGTCCTGCTGGTCCAATTCCAAGTCTTGATTGCGGCTTCCGATCTTGACAGCTGACTCGCCACTGGAGCCTGTGGCATGTGGCGGCGTGGGCGGCGGAGTGACGGAGAGCGGAGCGACATTTTGTAGCAGGAACACCTCCGAAAGCTCACTTTCACAATCTCACTCCCACTCCACCCGATCTCAAACTTTACATGGACACCGAGATGTGCGACCTCTTTATGCTGGACCCTTAGCTGACTATTAAGAGCCCTCTTATACAGTTCATTACTGTACTGTACTGCAGAGTACTTACTTACGTGATGCTGGTCACGTAGTGGTTTGTGCTAATTGCGGACGCAGCAGTCCAATGTCGCTTGCAATCGCACATCAATGAATACGATGTTCGGCAGGAACGTTCGGAACGCATGTGTAGTTGGGGCCTGGACGACGGCCCAGAGCAAATATTTCTATTATGGTTCAAGCCGAGAGCGACGCCGGGGCAACCATAACGCAGGGTGAAACTGAATAAACTGACCGTGGTTGTTGGGGCGGAACGTTGGCGCCACGTCAAGACGGCAACCTTCTGGATCGGCGAGTAGAACCTCTTTCGGGGGACTTTTGTTGGCCTCGCCCTTGATGTGCACCTCCTCCTCCTCTTGGGTTCACTATCGGGGTCATGCATGCCGCAGCAGTTTGAGGGGGTGTATTCTCGGAGGAATGGATGTTCTTCTTCTTTATTTATTTCGGCAGCTCGGCGCAGACCAGCGCCTATCCGCGCTGTCGTTCGCGCCGCTCCACAAAAGTCTATCCACCCACCCCGGCGTGCCGTGATGATGCCCCATGTCTACCGCCGAACCTGCAAAACTGTGCAAACCTAACCATGATACGACATGCCTTGTGATATGTGAGCTTTTCGATGCCAAGCATGGGGGTCTGCGCGTATGCATGCATCTATCGCAAGAGAAACCGCGTTTGGTACAGGATTCCCAGTTTTCAGGATTTTGGACTGGTCCATCGGACGTGTCACCCACCGTCCGTGCCGTGTTTGTTGCCTGTCACGATTGCTATGCCACACCGTGATCATGAGACGCTAAATTCTGACATGGTACAGTGTATGGGCCATGATCACTGCGATTGGCATGATACCACATGCAACAACCTGCGCCACCTGGCACCAGGACACCTGACCACTGTAATCTCTTCAAACGGTCCCTCGCCCGGTGCCATGGCGCGTCGGATGGCTCGTTGACGGGGAGAGGAGTGGAGCCGGGACGACTAGTACGAGCATTATTGCCAGTAAACTCGGCGACTCGGCTGTGCAGTACAGTTCTTACGTGCCTCGGTTTGACTGGGGGGTTTTTTGGGTCGAGGATGGACCCCATAGGCTTTTAGCAGGTGGACGGCTGTCGCGTCCGATGGGTTACTGCGATCCCGCCCAGCATGTCCTTTCCTCCGACGCGAAGGACGCGTCGTCAGGCATGCTTGCCGTTGACGGCCAAAATGGAGTAATATGGAGTAATAACTGCATTATGAAGACGGAGCCGCATCTGCATGGTGAGTGTCAACAGCGGAGCAAGGATGGGCGCCACAACAACACCGCGCAAGCTGTGGAGGATGTCGGTGTTCTGCACCAGTCGAGCGCCGAGGTCTCACCGAGCCGTTGTACCCTCTGTGCGAGTTCTGAGGGTGCCCGTTCCGTGTTCCGTGTTCCTTCGCGGTTCGGCACGAAACCGGCAGTTGCCCAGCACGACCGCCTGCCAATGTCACTGATCGACCGTTCTCTCGTCATCGACGGTTTTTTGGTCGTGAGGCAGCGGCCACACGTTCCGCTCGTCCTTTCCTTCGGCCGCTAGCCCCCTGGCGTCCTCGCCCTCCAGTGAACTCTGTCCGGTACCGTCCTCTCTCACTCTCTAATAGACCGGGCCGCAGACGGCCGCACCGAGCGCGCTCCGGACCGCCTTCTGGCCACTGCGACCGCTCGACCACCGCTCTGCTCCCTGCGCGCCGATACCTGAGGTCGTCGTGTCGTTGTAAGAGTATGGCCTTTTTCAATCGCGCTTACTTTCCGGTGTTCTGGTCTAGCTCCACCCTGTTTTCTTGTGGTGCACATACAGCGCAGTATCTTGGACTGTGCATGTCTTCAATTGAACCTGCATTCATGACGGTGCCGTACTGTTCTTTTTTCATCTGAGCCTATTGTACAGTACAGTGCATTCCAGCGGATTTGACGTTAAGCGTCCAGTGGAGTCGGGAAAAGGGTGTGAAGATCTTCGTGCTTCCAGTGACATGTCCGCCGCAGCGGCACTCCACAAAGAGGTTGTAGCCTACAGTGCAGAAGCTACGTCTACAGCCGTGGTGGATTTTTCAAAACTGTTTACAGCCGACAGCCGATCAACGAAGCGTAACTAGCCGCATGGTGATTTGCCCCTGCCCCCAGTTACTTGATTGCCAGACGACGAACGACCAAGTCCGAAGGAAGACCCATTGCTCTGCCAAAAGTCCGAAAACAAAGGGAGACGGGGCAGCGTCACCGGCACCGAGCTAATAAACGTTGTTCGTTCTCGGTGTGGGACAGTTCTCGGCGGGTGGGAGTATGTCGCGCCGGCGACGTCTAGTACGACAGCTCAACGGTCTTCGGATCACCACACCATTTTAGCGCTGCTTCCGACGCTCCCGAGCCTGTTACGAGATGTGTGTATGTATGTGTGCATGTCCGTCGCCGCCGTGTGCCAACGGAAGGCCTGGTGGCTGGACGTATTGTATGTACGCGAGGTCCGAAGCGTTTTCTTTCTCTCTCATGAGATCATGGGCATGGGCATGCCACACAGAGTTTCGGACCGAACGTCTTACGTGCGGGCGGCCAAGCACCGTCGGCGATTCCAGGTTGATAGACGGCACGCGCATGTAACGCTCCATACATCGTCATTTGTGGTTGTACATACCGTGCCAACGCAGCTGCATAAACACGCTCGCTCGCTAGGCAGCAACACACGTTAGACGCAAGGAAGACAAGACAACCGAGGCCAAGGCCAGGTCAGGTCAGGTCAGGTCGTAATGTTACCAAACATGTGCGCCGCGCTTTAGAGTCAGAGTTTTTGGTGCATGGCGGCGGGCAGGCAGTAAGGGATGGTGGGTTGTGGGTTGTGGGTGTCACATGTTACATTGTTACATGCTGTCGCACCTCCACACCACCGCACACCACAACAACGGACAGCGCCCAACATCACTACTCTTCGGCTCTGCCACGGGATCTGGGAACTGGTGACGACGTTGCTGTGCTGTTACTGTTGGTGTCATCGCTGCTGCTGACGGCAGGGCCACGGTGGGCGGTGTGGGTGGTGTCATGACGAGATTGTTCAGCATGCACGACGAGTAAGTACAGGTTGCCACCGCCACCACCGCTTCCAGCGTTCCAGTCCAGACGGCATCCGTCCATGCAGTGCAAAATGAGAAGTTGTGGTGTCTCTACAAGGTCTACTCCCCGGCTCCCGCCCGCTTTCCTTTACTTCTCGGCGTCCATTGTCTTTTCAAACTCTCCCTTGAGGGCGTCACCGACGCTAGCCTCGCGGTTGAGCTTCTGGCCCTTGAGCACCTGCTTGACCTCCTCAAGCGACAGGGTCTCATAGTCGCACAGCGCGTTGGCGAGGGTATGCAGGTCGCCCTCGTGCTTCTTGAGCAAGGCGGCGGTACGCGTCATGGACTGGTCGAGGAACGACTTGATCTCGCCCTCGATCTCGTCCTTGCGCTTCGAGGAGAGGTAGGGCTGGGCGTCGTCGCCGTGGGCGACGAGACCGACCTTGTCGCTAAAGCCAAAGTTGCGGACCATGTTGGAGGCGACGTTGGTGGCGTGCTGGAGGTCGCTGGAGCATCCGGAAGTGGTCTCGTCGCGGCCAAAGATGAGCTCTTCGGCAGCACGGCCGCCGAGGGCAACGTCAATCATGGCGTTGTACTCTTTGCGCGAGACAGAGTCCTTGTCGGCCTCGGGGAGCTGGAACGTGAGACCCAGGGCGTGGCCGCGGGGCATGACGGTGACCTTGTGCAGGGGCATGGCGCCGGGGGTGAACATGGCGACGAGGGCGTGGCCGCCTTCGTGGTAGGCGGTGGCCTTCTTGGCCTCCTCGGTGACATAGTGCGAGCGACGCTCGGCGCCCATGAGGATACGGTCCTTTGCCCACTCAAAGTGCTCGAGGCCGACAGACGAACAGTTTTCGCGCGATGCCTTGACGGCAGCCTGGTTGACGAGGTTCTGGAGGTCGGCACCGGACATGCCGGGAGTGCCGCGGGCAATGACCGAGGGGTCGACGGCCGAATCAATGTGGACGTTGGACATGTGGTGCTTCAAGATCTCGACACGGCCGCGGACATCGGGCAGGCCGACGGTCACGTGACGGTCGAAACGGCCGGGACGCGTGAGGGCCTTGTCGAGTGATTGCGGAAAGTTGGTGGCGGCAATAATAATGACACCCTCCGACTCCTCAAAGCCGTCGAGCTCGACGAGGAGCTGGTTGAGCGTCTGCTTCATGTAGTGCTGGTCCTTTGCGGACCGCTTCGAGCCGATGGCGTCGAGCTCGTCGATAAAGACAATAGCCGGGGACTTTTTGCGGGCAGCGGCAAACAGCTCGCGGACACGCTTGGCGCCGACACCGACGAACATTTCGTCAAAGCTGGATCCCGAGGCGAAGAAGAAGGGAACACCAGCCTCGCCAGCGACGGCACGGGCGAGCATGGTCTTACCGGTACCGGGGGGGCCGGTGAGGAGAACACCCTTGGGGAGCTTTCCACCGAGCTTGTTGAACTTGTCCGGGTTGCGCAGAAACTCGACGACCTCTTCGAGCTCCGACTTGGCCTCCTCGACACCGTGGACGTCGGTAAACTTGACAATGGTTCCCTCCTCGGGAAGGAACTCGGAGGGACCGGGACCGGCCTTGATCAAGTTGGTGCTCTCGAGGATCATGGACATGATGGTGAACGCGACGAAGATGCAGAATCCAACCCAGAGAATGTACCGGATCGACTTCATGATGGACGAAGGCGGGGTCTGGGGGGCCATCTGGACGTAGATCGGGTGCAGGGCCGAGCCGGGCTGGCCGGCAATGTGGGCGCCAGCAGCGCCGACGACAGCGGCGGGGAGGGGAGGGGCAGAGGGCGAGGCAGTAGCGGAAGCAGGAGCGGCGGCGGCGGCAGCAGCAGCACGCAGCTCCCGGGTGGATTCGAGGAAGACGTTGGCAGCCGAGGTGGTAGCAGCAGAAGCCGGGACCGAGTATGTAGTGTCTGTAAGGGGAGGGGTGGAAAGGTCGATGCCGAGCTGCTTGAGGCGGTCATCACGTCGCCTGAGGGAAGACGCGAGCTGGCCAAGACGGCCAGTGTGGGCCAGAGACTGCACGTACAGGTTCCACGCGGCGTCACTCTTGACGAGCGACTCGCTGCCCTGTGGCTGGGGCACAAACGCAATGCCCTCATAGTACGCCGCGAGGCCGGTGTACTCGCCCTCGGCCATGAGGGCCTCGAGCAGCGCGACCTGCGGCGCCGCATCAGCCGACGTGCGCGATTCCAACGCAGCCGTCTCGAGCGCAGCGACTTTTTTCTGGTAGTCCGTCAGGTCGGCGTCCAGGTGGCTTCCCTCGGCGTAGACGGGCTCGTAGGGCTGAGCTGGCGGGGGAGGGGTGGCTGGGGCAGCAGCAGCTGGCGTCGCGGGGGATGCGGGTTCGCTCTTCTTGAAGCGATCAAAGATGCCGAGCGGCTTCGGCGAGGCGTGGAGGCCGCGAAGGAGGGTGGGTGCGCATGACGACGTGAGCGGTCGCCTGGCAACGAGGCGGAGCGCGTCTAGCGCCGCCTGTGATGGACGGAGAGCCATGAGAAGGAGGGGGGTGGGGTGAATGGAGAGAGAGAATGCAGCAGAAACGTCCATCCATGACAATGTTGGCCGCCCGGCACAGGAAGCCTCCGGGCCTGTCCGCAAGAACGCGCGTCTGGCGGTGATGGGAGCGGAAGCAAATTGGGCTTTGCCTTCCAGCGGGGCTGGCCGATCAGTGCGACGGCCACTCTGTGCCACTGCAACTGCAACTGAAAATGGTGCTTCTTTAAACGCTTGCATGATACATAAGGTTGGCAAAAAGGTATCTCTATCAGACGCGACGACGCAGAGGACCGGAAGAGGCAGAGAAAACGAGTGTGTGTGGGAATAAAGCCGCAAAACAAAGGGGGAAAAAATGGGATCCGTATGTTGTTCGGCCTTGCACGACACCAAATGCAGACTGGGCGGGCAGGGGGTGGTGTTGTTTGTTATCGGCAGCAACTTGCGGGCGGTAGGTGGGATCGCACGAGAGGGAGGAGAGGAGGATGATGAGGGATGGCGGAGGGCGTTACAGTGAAAGGTAGCACGAGGGTTGACAAGAGTTGATTGAATGCGGGCTGAATCCGGCGCAGGCTTTGGTCGGTCCATGAGGATGCGGGGGGGAGGAAGGTCATTAATGCCGAGGTAGAGACCGCGTCCAGGGCGCCGCTTTTTGGTGGGTTGGTGGGGGCAAGGTCGCTGCGACCTTTGGGGGGGAGGGGGGGGCTTGAGAGCAATGCAAATGAGGTTGACAAAATGAAGAATGCTGAGAGTTGAGGGGTCCATTGTACGATTCGGGTCGGGATGGTGGTGCGCGTGCTCAATTGCTGAGACGGCGGATGCTGCGGTTGGTGGGGACGCCGAGCGATGCGGTCATGTACGATGACGAGTGGATGGTGTGGAGTGCGGGACGCGAAGGGACAGCCGGTGGTGGCATTGACCTCTTGGCAAGGCGCTCCTCGCCGGCTGGTGGCATGTTCTCCTTTGCGGAGACATAGTCAATGGCCGGGACGGCGGCGACCACACCGACGACACCCAGCTGCGATGAGATGGGGGTCATGGGCTCGTCACCGGCATCCGACGACGCGCAGCTGACAGTGCTGCCGGGGCTAACGGCGGCCATGCGCCTCGAGGACCACGACGACGATGTGAGACCCGGGGTCGAGGGCACGGGGGTGAAGGGCGTGAGGGGGAGCTCGGGGTAGACCTTGAACCGACGGCCCGAGAGGTAGAATTCGCGGACAATGGTCGAGGCGCGCTGGTAGTGGGGGATCGAGTACTTGCGGATGATGATCTCGGACACGCGGTCGAGGCGGTCGTGGAACATGTCGTCAAACTGATTTGTGACGTCGGCCGCGAGCTGGAGGTCGGTAGCAGTGAACCACTCGGGTGCGGGGCGACGTCGCTTGCCGCAGATGAAGCGGGCGAGCGAGAGGGCACCCCATGCCACGACCGATGGACGAGCGTCGACAAACTGGCGGTGGAAGAGGGAGAGCTCCATGATGAACCGGGCAGTGTTCTGGACGCGGGCGTCCTCGCTCTGTGTGACGCTGGGCGACTTGACAAAGTAGCGAAGCCAGGCCTCGGTGGTCGGGTGGCCGAGCACCCAGTGGATGGTGTTGAGCATGTGCGACTCCATCTGCACAAACGACGAGGGCTCGTAAGACTCGCAGCAGACGTCGAACAGTTCCCGGATAGGTGGCACGCGGTCCTTCGAGTCTTCAAACTTGGAAGCGATGAGGAGAGCGGCGCAACCAATGAGCTGGTAATGCCGGCGGTAGACGACACGGCGCGAGCAGTAGCGGTCGACAATGTTGACGGCCAGGTAGAGCACCTCGGGGCGGAGACGCCACTGCTCGTGCATCTCGACGATGAAGTCGATGAGGAAGGGGCGCATGTGCCACTCAATCTCGGGCTGCTGGTCGATCAAGTCGGTGGAAGGCTGGGTCTGGGTCTGTAGAACAAAAATGTCAGCAAGGCTGTGCCACAGAACAAGCCGGTGCAACGGCCCACGCACCTCCATCTCGAGCATCCACTTGATGATCTCGTCACGGTACTCGGTCTCGTAGTAGAGGCCATCGTCAGAGCGCTGCGGCACAAAGGGCTGCTCGCACTCGGACTCTGGGCTCAGGGTGAGCGACGAAGTTGCGACCAGTCGCCTTGAAGACGACGAGGAAGCGCGTGCGAGGTTTGCAGGAGAGACGGAGCGCTTGCGAGCGTTCCATCCGTCGTCCTTGGACAAGCGAACAAACTTGTTGGAAGGTGCAGGTGGCATGGTGGCGATGGGAAGGGGATGGGGAGTGGTGGTGATGGGGAGTGGAGGGAGGGGGGGGGGGGGGGGGGGTGCAAGGTGATGGTTGTCGCGTGATGCGATGCGGCGGGTTGTGAGTTGAATGGCGCGTGATGCGTGATGCCAAGTTGGTTTGTGTGATGCGTGACACGGCACCGGTGTGGTGTGGTGGTAGTAGACGCGTCGACGGGGTGGTAGTGCACGTGAGACGATGCGGGGGCGATTCCGAGTTGGCTAAGAAGCGGGGGTCGTGAGCACAAGCAGTTTAGATGCAAGGCAAGCAAGTGTCGTCAAGACGAGAGACGCGTGAGGGCAAGAGAGAGATAGAGAAGAGAGAGAGAGAGGAGATGGGGCTGGGTGGGGGTATGGGTGCCGGGGGTGTGCAGAGTGGTGCAGTGGGTGTGGTGAGACGGGGGGAAAGGGGAGAGAGAGGGCCGACGGGGGTGCAGTGGTGCAGTCGGTCGTCGAGACCTGTTGACCAAGAGACGTGGACCGTGGAACGAGAGACAGGCGACCTAGAACGAGACGGGCATGAAGTAGAGGACGATGGGAGGAGGAAGGGGGATGGGTGGGTGTGGTGGTGTACAGCGAGGGGAGAGGGAGGTGGATGGTGAGGGTGCGAGTGATATTTAAGACGGAGGATGGGATGGTCCTCTGCCCGGTGGGCGGGCGGGACGGTTTCGAACTGGATGCGAGAGGATGCGGCCCAGGGGAGGGCAGCAGCCGCAGACGACGCAGGGGAGCAGCAGCAGCAGCAGGCAGCAGCAGCAACACCCACACCGCGCAGGCCAGCAGGCATTCTCTCAAGCACGCCGTCGAAACCAAGATTGTCACGCCTGAGCTGCTCGCTGCGTCTGCCTGGCCCCCCCGCTGTACCGCTGTCCCTCCCGCCAGTTTACCGGGCCCTTTGGCACCACCTCTGCTCGATTCCCTTCGTGCGCAAGAGACGCACGCACGCGCGCACGTATGGGAGAGAGAGCGAGAGAGCGAGAGAGCCATGGTCCCGACGCCACAGTTTTCACCCACACCCAGGGAACACCCGCTGCCTCCCACACCTCCCCCCAGCACAAGTCACGCACGACGCCAAAAACCCAACCACCACCACCACCACCGCCGACCGCAAACCCTTTGGCTCGTCACGTAAAACGGCCCAGAATTCACAAACGCGCCGCCGCGCCTGAAAAGTGTCGGAGGGAATAATCCTCCGAAAAGTGACAGGGACGCGCGCGGGGTGGGGAATTCTTTGAATTCTCGAATTTCTCTCTCTCTCTAGATCTCTCTCTTGCTCTCTCTTGCTCTCTCGGTCTCTCGGAAAACTCGCAAAGACAATTCGTGCCTAAAAACTCACCAGAATTGACCAAAGGGAGAGACAAGCGCGCGCGACGACGACGCGACGGAACACCCGCGAAACTTGTGACGTGCGACGTATTTACGAGACCGCGATGTGGCCGATGTGGGGTGCCGGGTGTGGTGGTGGTGGTGAATCGGGGCGTCCCTGCCGCGTCCAGGGTTTTTGCAGACGACAGACAGAAAGAAAGAAAAAAGAACGAGAGAAAAAAGGAGACGGAGTGTGTCCTCACGTCTGAATGGGCCTTCGCTGCAAGGTTCGCGTTAGCGTGTGCGGGTGGATGTACCAGGGGGCTAGCAGGACGAAGGGGGGTGGCGTGGATAAGTGTGTGTGGGGTGGGGAAAGCGAACACGAGAGAGAGAGCGAGTCTGGAGTGCTCGCTCGCTCTGTTCGGCTAGGTCTCCGATCCAGGAGATGGTCACCGCCATGGAGCGGCCGGTGAGTGACGAGAGGCTGGAGCTGGGGTAGTGTATCACTTTCTTGGGCCGCTTCCGATGGAGGCAAGAGGAGACAAGCGACGAAGGGGGGCATGTAGATGGTGGTGGTGGCACTACTCATGGTCACACTCATCCTCGACGTCCACGAGCTCGCTGGACAGGCAGGTCACAAGACATAAGGAGAAGCCGACATCGCTTGAGCGAGCCGCACCACCCCACCCATCTCCATCCATAGCCAGGGGCTCAGAGTTGAGGCTAGAACACAAATGGCGGTAAACCCAACCCCGGCCGGGTTACACGCCGCGCGTGTGATCCAGCCTGTGATGGTGTGATATGGGACCCTCTCTCCCTCTTGCTCACGAATCCACAACCGAGAGGGAGAGAGTCTGCCGCTCGCAGCCGCCACGGCACGACACGTTGTGGTACGCGGTGTGTAGTGGGCAATACAGCGCGCGCGCAACCAAGAATGGGACGCCCTTTCCTTCCCTGTCTGCGTGCGACCCAGAACGCCAAGACGCGCGCGTGTCGGGTGAGATATGCTCGCCGACACCCTTATCCTATGCGCTGAACCCTCTCATCTCTCGCTCAAATAGACCAGGTGGAGAGTCTAGTGCGTGCGGCGTTGGGCGGAAGCCATTTCAAGCGCGAGGCGGCGTTTCTTACGTCGTTATTGCGATCGCCGGTCAGAGCCGCGACCACGACAGGTGACGACCGAATAGCAGCGCGCGTGCAATAGACGCAACGCCGCAAAGGCAAAAACGCAACGCACCCGTGGTCCAGAACAGTTCAATGAGACGTCTGGCACCCCCATATCTTGTAGGGTTTGTGTTTATTACACCCCACTAATCAAAGGCCCAACAACACGCACACAACACGACACGGCAGGGAGGGAGGGAGGGAGGTAGGGAGGCGGGGGTCACCGGAGCTAGAGGAATCATCGGGCACTACTCACGTTTGCTATGCACACGCGTGCTTTTGGCAAGAGACGCTCTAACCCTTGCAAGTGTGTGAGGAAGAGTGCGGTCACAGCCGGGGACGATGTGACGGCAAGGCGAGTTGGGAACGGTTTGGCGAGGCGACCAGGTGAGTCTTGCTCCAAGACGCAGAGTGTGTGGCGGAACTATGACCCTGTGGTCAGCGCACGAAGCAAGAACCGACCCTCCATGGCCCATGGCCAGCCATGCTGCCGCTGCCGCTGTGATGGTGCACAACTGACCACTGGTGGCTTGACCCCGCCTGCTGACTACTCACTGGATCACTGGCTGCGATCACGGCTCCACTGGGGTGAAGGGGTGATGGGTGAGGACGACTTGCGTGTGGGAGGGGGCAGGCAGATGTGCGACTGCGTGCGGTGTGAGCGGGTGTGCCGTGAAGGGGTGTGGGTGGTGTAGAAGGAGTACAGGTAATACAAGCGTTAAAGGAGGCGGGAGGAGACTAGGAGGAGGAGGGAGAGGGAGTTCAAGAAGTGGAGTGGAGGAGTAAAGGAGGTGCAGAGCAAAGGCACTGCTCCGACCTTTTGAACCCCACAGGCGACACAACGGTCCACGGACCGTGGAACGGCTCTGGTCTCTCCACACAGCTGCCGCACAGTACACGAGGGGTACGATGGCCTGTTGGCTTCTCGAGCCACTGCAAGGACCTCCTCCCCGGGCAGGGCAAGGTGAGATGCGGAGATGCGGAGGCGGCCGCGGGGGGACACACCGGAGAGGCCAAGGAGGCCCAAGTTGCAGCGGCGGCCAGCCCGGTGATGGTGTGGCTGGCGTGGATGATATGGAAGCGGCGCCAGGCGGGGTCGAGCGCTAGGGTTTTGGGCTGGACGGCAGACGCAGACCAAGATGGAATAGAGGGGCAAGGGGAGCCACAGGCCACAGGACTCACAGTTGGCGGAACGTTTGCGTGGCCTGTGATGTGGGATGGATGGATGGAAGTGAGTGGCGAGTGGGTGTGCGGGGCAAAAGTCGGATGAGTGTGTGGACGTGGGTGTGGGTGCGAGCGCGCTGGTGGTGGTGTATGGCTGATCTATCCGTCTGTTTCCAACGTCGTCGACGGGTGTGTGTGTGCTCTGCTTTTTCCTGTGGGTTGGCCTGACGATGCAGATATGGGATATGCGATGGGGGTGTGTGAGTGGTCTTGTTCTCTAGAGTATTGCCTGGTCTCTTTATTCTTTTGCTCAACCAGTTATCCAGAGACACCACACACACTGATGGGGCCTGAGTGAGACGGCCAACGCCCGTAATCTCTTGACGTCGCGCGGGGCTCGAGCTCGCTCTCTGTATGTCTCTCTGTCTCTGCTTCTCGCTCTCCAGCCCTCTCTCCCGCCCCTCTGGCCGCTGCTCTCTGTGCCCCCCCGCTGGCCCCTCCTACCCCTCGCTCTCTCTCTTTTCTGATATGAACTCGTCTGCATGAGCGTCCAGTGCTCCTGCTCCTGCTGCTGCTGCTCAGGACTTGGGCGTGGCGCAACATGGCGCGGCGTCTGGACGAGGATTGCCGGGCGTTCTTGTCAATTCCCTTGTCGATGGATCTATGCGCTGACTCTCTCCTTACAGACAACCACCACGGACCACGGTCCTCAACACCACCCTCGCCAAGCTCGGCGGTAACACGCACGGTTGGCGGGCGTGGACAGGGGTTGGGGGGGAGGGTGACATGGCCGCCCTCGACGCCATGGAGCTGGTGTAGAGGAGCATATGGAAACGTCCCGGCGTCTCTTTCCGCCCGGCGAGCGGATGCGTGCGGGCCAGAGATCCGGAGAAAGAAGCACCAGCAGCGGCAGCCATTGTGTGCGCACGGGGTAAGCGTAAAGGGTTCACACTTTCAAAAGCTGCTAGCTGCACAGGTCCAGCAAAAGGAGATGTTCCCCCGGCGTGGACGGACGTGTGAGGGGAGGAGGCTGTGGGGTGTAACAGGCCCCGTGGCGGCGGGGGTTGGTGGTGGTTGATCGAGGCTTGTCCCCGGTCCGTCCCAACCAACACGAGCGAGGTGGGTACATGGTAAGTGTGCATGAGGCGTCACTGAACAGCCCATGGTATACCGTGACAGGGCACACAGTGGCCGTACAGTGGCCAGTGCCGCAAAGTGGGCTTGGTCTGTGCAGAGGGGGCCGACAGCAGCGGCCAGCGGAGGGTCGACGAACAGTGCATATCCTGGCTCCACCCAAAAGGGTCCACCCAAAAAACAGCGTTACATGGCCGGGTTTTTCAACGATTCTCAGTCTCTCCCAGCAGCCAGCAGCCAGCAGCCAGCGGGCGTCGCCCACACTCTTGGTCGCATGACTGGCCTTGCAGGAAACCATGGCGCAGCGGCATCCACCGGCACTGCAAAGCATGTACACGCTGGTACGCTGATAAACGGGTAATAGGTGGATGCGGTCCCCCTCCCATCATATTATGCCCTGCGACAACCGAGCGAGCGCCTCATGGCGTTTCTGGCGTGTCTCGACGTCATGCAGGATAGACGGCCCGTCGCCCCCCCTCTCACAGCAGTCCCATCTGTGTCGTCGTCGTCGTCGTCGTCGTCGTCGTCGTTGGCGCCGCCGTCGTGACAGTCAGTGCAAATGCACACTCCATATCACACACATACGCACACCCCGCGCGCGTGGTCTGTCGCCTGTTCGCTAAGCTCGCGCGGAGACAACAAGCGACAGGCCGTAGCTGTGCCACCCCTGTGGCCTGGCGTGTCTGTTCTGTTCTGTACCCCTTCATGTGATGTCTGTGGAGGCATTTGACGTTTGGCGTGCGCTATCAGTGCCATACATGCCCCCCACCAGCCGTGGCGGCCACCGCCACCGGGTACACGGCTAGCAGGTCTATCAGTCGTCTCACTGATCACCGATCAAATCCTGATGGCCCATGCGCTCTCAGCTTTCATGTGTCAGTCTCGCATGCGCTGGGACTCGCCACGCCTTGACGATCTGCACCTGCTAACACAGGTGCTAGCCGGGATCTGCATTCTGCAACTGATGGACGCTCCTCTCTCTCTTTCACTCTTTCTCTCTCGCATCCGTGATCGGCAGCGGTGGTCAGATCGTGGGAGGGGGCAAAACATATGACGCCTCGTTACATGGCTCGTGGCGTCGTTTCCGGTCATTGCCGTGGGTGGCCTGGGTGGGGTGCTTCTCGCTCTGCCTTCCACAATACATTAAACAGCACACATTCCATGGCCCTCTGACCAAGGCTGAAAGGTCCCATACATCGACCTTATTGTGCAGAACCTCCCCCCCCTCACCCTTAGTCTCTCCTGTCCTGTTTGGGTGTTGTTGTGTGTGTGTGTGTGTGTGTGTGTGTGTGTGTGTGTGTGTGTGTGTGTGTGTGTGTGTGTGCGGTGTCAGAGCTGGATGGTGCTTCTTACAGCAGTGCGCTCTGTGCGCTCAGTGCGCTCAGTGCGCTCGGTGCGTTCAGTGCCCTCGCACGCCGGGGCGATCGGAACAGACACCCCCCGTCATGTTCCCCTCCGCTAGTGGCGCCTCACTTGGTCCAACGCCCACGTCTCTGATCTCTGATCTCTGAAACCCCGGGTGCAATGCGCAGAAACATTGCGCGCGCTCTCGGCATGCACTTGCGCACTGGCATGCTCTCGCTCACTCCTGGGGGCCAACAGGCACAGCGCCGCCCACACCTGGGGCTGGCCAGTTTAACAGTTTGGGCCACAGGTTGGCCGGTTGCCGGACCCAAGTCACGCTTGGACCCCCGCAGCAATGATGCCATATGGGGTGGGTGTGGCGCCGGGTGAAAAACAGCGTCATTGGCGTTTTGCTGGACATTTCTGGCCGGGCACATGTACGACGACGACGGTCAGTACAGTCCACACGCACATTACATCTGCGACATTCTGGCCTTCTGGACGTCTCCAACTACGGCGACGCACCGCCGTCAGCTGATGTGCAGGTCAGGATCAGGTATTTCCGGCCATGTTTTGTGGAGAAGAGGTGCTTGTCTGTTAGCCCTCGCGAATCTGCAGCTTTATTCAGACTACTGCTGCGGCGCTGGTTTCGCGCAGTCTAGAAGCGACAGTGAGGAGTGACCCGTCACGTCGCTTATCGCGAGATAGCGCACACCAGGCCAATAGATCGAGCCCAAAACGACGCCTTGACGAACAATTTGCAGATCGCTACCGTGCGCATAGTGACGCCCACCGCCCACAGTATGTAGTCGCACTCGCACGTCTGGTCGCACCGGTGGGCGCGCGCGCGCGCGCTGAGAACGGCCACCACCGCCTGCCACACATGATCTACTCGCGTGACAAGGTATGGGCCGTATGGGCGTTGGGACGCCCGCTTTGGCGACATGTTGCGACAGCTCACGCAGCCCGCTCGGTAACTCGTGTTTCTTTTCGTCACTCGCACCACCCAACCCACATACACCCTCGCCACGGGCACTGGACTCCACCGTTCACCGCCACAGCAGCGCCCACCACAGCCTCCCGTCCACCCAGTGCAACATGCGTGGGGAGCTGCCAAAAAGGAACGAGCACGCGATGGGCGGCGGTGTCCAAGGATGCAAAGGACCGCAGGGTAGGTAGGACAAGGAGCAAGGGGAGGGGGGGGGGGGGGGGTCGAGGTTGAGGACATGGGAAAGGAAGGCTTGTGGCCCCAGCTTCCAGACTCTGAGACCGCCTCGTACACCCACCAACCCCAACCCTTCCACCGAACAGGTAGCGAGCAAAGGGTTCTGCGACCAGTTAGTCACCGACGGGCCGCCAGACAAAAAGAACGAACGTACCCCATGATCTCCATCCATTCCTAGACGCGGGAAATGGCTGTGAGGCAACAACATGGGCGTGCATTCTCGCAGCTGCCTGGCGCATTACACGCGCGTTCGTACTCTCCATGTCGGCGGCGTCCGGTCGACCCTGCAGCCCCAACCGCAACAGCCAGCCAGCCGGCCAGCCAACAGCCAACAGCCCAGCTTCTTTCCGTCAACAACGGCCACTGGGGGCACACCACTGGCGCAGGAACCACAAAAGCGGATAATGCACCGGGATCCGGGGTGCGTCACGTTCGAACAACTGACACAGACACAACACATGTCACCCCCCCGCCGCGCCGCGATAACCTGAGACTGACGGTTTCTGTTTCTGTTTCTGGCGTCGCGTCAGCGTGTGGTTTTCTTTTTTCTGTTCTTTTTTTTTTCGAATGTCTCACAATGTCGCTACGTCGCGACGTCGCCACGTCCGCTGCATGCTCGATAACTCTGGGAGGGTATGTGGCGTTCATTTGGCGAGACCGCGGGGGGAGGGGGGCGATCAGCGGCGCAGCAACATGCTGGTTCAACAGATCACAGTTAGCGAATGCGGCGCCGCCTCGGCACGAGAGTAATCGCCGTCGTTTTTTTTAAAATACCAACGTTTAGCGACTGGCCAGCGGCGACACACGCAGGCCCAAGATTCTGGTACGCTGAGATCCCTATGCCCGCCTTGCTCGGGCGTGCGAGCCTAGGGGCAAGTGGCGGTTTAAGTATATGGGGTGGGCAGCGGGTCGCAACCGATGGTGGATGGGGGCATGGACTCTGGCGGCCAGACCTGGGCGGAGGCTGTCGGCGTCGGCGTCGGCACCGCCGCGTTCTCCTGGCTGGGGCTGGCTGGCTGCCAGATACTGGTGCAGCCGACATGGCATGCATGACACGTACCCAGCGCTCACTCGAGGATGCTGATAGGCATGTCGGCTTGTCGGCTCGTGCCGAATGGACATGGCACGGGCGTCATGGCTTTTTTTTTCTTCGGCGGCGGACAGGGTGACACGGCCATTAGCGCGCCGGCGAGAGATCAGTGCACCCACGGCCACCGCGGCCACCACCACCAGACTTCTCTCCAACGCCATCGCGATGCATCTCCCCGCACGTATCGTCCACCAAAAAAGCCCACGCCCACGCCTCCACTCTTTCCAAGCCTGCAAGCCGGCCAAGCCAACACCCAAAACCGCCCGGCCATGCCCAAAGTGGGACCGTGGCGGCACCCATCCAGCGAAACCCTCCGCGCCACAGCTGGAAACCACCCTCCTTTGCACTGCCCATGTCCGTCGTTCACAACCCCAATCGACAATGTGCGTCGGCGTAGGCGTTGCGGTGTGGGGGGGGGGGGGGGCTGTGGTGCGTGCGCACACACCATTTGCACTAGCACATAAACCCAACCTTGTGCTTCCTTTGACCCCTTGCCATCGAACACCAGACCCTTCAGCAAACGCCTCGGACGGGACCCATCTCGGTTCTCCAGCGACTCAAACCCCTCCCTCCCTCCCTCCCTTTTCTACCAGCTCGGCGGCGCAGAATGCGCCGTCTCCAATGCGCACAACCATGTCAACGGGGAATTTCTCAGCACACCCACGCGTGCATGAGCCATTGGTACCTTGCGTCCACGCAGTGGCCACCCGAGTACCCAAAAGCCGAGTTTTGTGGCGGCGCCATATACGCCGCGAGTTTTGTGCCTCAGAGATCAGATACTGAGAATGATTGTGGACGTTTACGGCGGGCCCTACTGTCATGGTTATGCGGGGTACCGTTCCTGCGGTGGTGTGCCGACGCTGGTCTCAACCGTTACTGACACTACACTGACATTGACATGGTATGTACAGGACAGGACTCTTCCGGCAGAATGCAAAGTGGCATGTATCCCCAATACAATCGGCAACATGTCCAAGACACTGTGCACTTCTAGCTGTCGCTGAACCACCGGGCCTTGAAGGGGGATCAGAGCGGGGTGTTGGCGGGAAGGAACAGATACTTGTCCTTCTGGAGGCCGTACTCTTGGGCGAAGCGGGCCAGGAGGTCCTTGAGGCCAATGTCGACGAGCTTGGGGAGAGCCTCCATGGCCTTGGAGGTGAGCTTGTAGTTGTTCCAGTAGAAAGTGTTGGGGACAAAGAGGCTGGTGATGTCGCGCGCCCACACAAGCTGCTTCCAGTCGTCCGACTTCTTGTCCGGGTTGTCATAGTGCTTGTACAGCCACGCGCGGTGCGCGAGGATGCCGGCAAAGGGCTCGTTGACCATACCACCAATGTTGCCGTACGTGGCCGTGTTGTCGATGCCACGCTCCTTGAGCTTCTGGTTGAGGACGGACAAGTAGCCACCACGGTCAAAGATGGCGTGGCCACATTCGTGAGCCATAAAACCGATTCGAGTGTCGGCGTTCCACTTGGGCCAATCGGCCTCGGAAAACTTGACTTGGCCCTGCTTGTCGCGACCGCCGCCGGCCCAGTACTGACCACCACCAATGCCGCTGGCAGTGCCAAGCTCGACACCCCAGCCAATGATGTTCCTCATCTCAATGGCAGTCGGTGCTGAAAGCCTGGCAAGGTTGGCCATAACTTCCTTGACCTCGTTGCCGTACTTTGCGCCCGTGGTCAGCTTGGGCTGGCCAATAACCTTGAACACGGTGGCGGACGGAATACCCTGGCCAAGGACCATGCGCTTCTTGACGTCCATGTTGGTGTCGAACAGGACATTCTTAACCGAAAATGTCATGGGGCTATTGCCGTTTGAAGGGCTGCACCACCTGGAGCCGGTCGTCTCGGTCCAGCACCCAGTGTATTGACAGGTGCTGCCATCGGCAGCGCAGTTGGAGACACCGCGCTTCTCGAGGACAGGGTTGGCCATGGCCATCGCCGAGAGGACAGCAACGGCGAGGGATGAAAAGAGCATGGCGGTGTGTGGTACGTTGTTGGTGGAGAGAGTATGTAGGTTACGCGTCGTTGGTACGTCGCGTGTTGAGGGGGGACGATGATGCAGCCACATATGGTCTCTACATTGCTGCCTTTTAAGCTCTTTTTCTGACGAGTTTCCTTTGGAGCAACATTGCCTTTCCCCTTTCACCATTGTCCACCTTCCCCTCCTTCCCCTTCAAGGTGAACGGGGCGTTCGGACCAGTTGGAGTGGACAGTTGCTACTGCTTTACGCTATGCAGTCGTCTCGGCCATAGAAAAAACAAAGTCTTGGCACAGCCTTCCGCTCCCGTGCCAAATATTTCCGTTTCATGTACGAGATAACTTGCCCGCCTGGCACTGGTGCCACACTCTGGTCCGCTGGTCCGCTGCTGGGCGCTGTTCCTTGCATTGCGCTCGCTGACGCCGACCGCGACCTAGCCGTCAGCCGCGCACTGCAATCTACGGACGGATACTTTAGACTCTCCTGGGCTTTGGTTGAAACCATTAGGACACCGAGCCTTCCGGAGCGTGAAAATGAAAATGCAACAAGATGGCATCCGCGGTCAGAACACGACCCCGGCAGTTTGGTCCTTCTTCGCGCCTTTGGTGGTCCATCGTGTCTCTCAACCCGCCGTCATCTCGTTGACCATGCTGATCCGACATGCACGCTCCACCGCGTGTCCCCACTCGGGGCCTGGACTGCACATGGATATCACTTGAACACTGGGTGCCCCCTTGGGCCCCGTTTTATGGCGGTGTCCCTCCCCCGTCGTCCCCGCCGAGGTCCAGGTCCGGAGTATTGCTTTCATGAACACTCATTGCAGTTCCGACGGGTACGGCTGATAGACGGCTATGCGGCCCCACAGAACGCATGAGGGCCCATGCTGCCCACCTCTTCACTCCCCACTCTCCCTCCACCCGGAGCGACATGGCCCGATTTTGGTACACCTAGGCCCTTGTCTGGACGCTGTCTTATCGGCAAACGCGCACCACTCTTGTCGCGGGCGAGTGGGATGTCAGATGGGCTTGGGGAGCGGCGCTTGGGCCGGTGCTGCAGTTTACGGTTGGTGGAGGCAGTGTCCGTAGGTGCCTGCGCGTCCTCACTATGCGTGATATCGATACATGTATGGACATATGGGAGGGAGGGCGGCGCACAGCAGACGGTCATGACGTAGTGGTTGGCCGTCATGTGTCCATGGTGATAAGCCAGGCGGTGATGGCGCTGTGCTGGATGAAGGTTACCCGCTGCGACGACGATGTAGACGGAGACGGGGTTTACAACCTGCAACCTGACGACGACGGGGGAAGGCGGTGTCAGACGACCTGCAAATCGCCGGGTTTTCGGAGCTTGACGCGTCCCAAGGTTAGATGGCGTGCAGGTGGTGCGAGCAGCTATGTACGACTGACGGGATGGCCAATGCCAAGCAACCATTCTTTCTACATTCCTCTGCACGGCCATGGACGCGATAGATGGTCCTAAAAACCGTGCCACATGCCACACCCAGAGAATCGGTCTCGCCAAAACGCGTTTAAACTCCTTGTTGCTCCATTCAGCAGAGAGTCTCTTGGCCGTCTGGATTGACGCCGAGCGAGAGGCGTGGCCAACCCCTCCAGGCCCGTCTCAATCCCCGCGCAGTGTTCGAGGCGTCAATGGCGTTCGGCGTATGCCATGTATGTCACGGTCGCTGGAATACAGAGCTGTGGCGTCTCGGAGGGTAAGGGTGCGATCGCCGCCGAGGACGGAGCGGAGCGGTTCTGCATCCGGTCTGCAGAGTGAGCAATCCAGCAGCCAGCGCAGCCAGCGGCTAGCGGTGTTCTCACCACAGCCATTGGCTTTGCCGTGCATCGTGCCGTGCGAGCGACCAGGTGTACAGTATGTACGGGTCGTACCTTTGAGTACCGTGGCGGCGGCGTTGGATGGGCGGGGAGGGGGCGCTTCCCTAATGTCCATGTCCCCTCCGGTGCAACGATTCTGGGGTGTAGGTTGGATCCGGCGGGAAAGGGTGCATTGAGTCTGCCAGTTGGGCGTGTGCTTTGTACCATTGTTGTCTTGTCGCCCAAGCCGTGGCTAACACCAGGAGCAGTGCTGCGAACCCTCATGCCGGCGACGCGCATCTCGTCGCTGAACCCCGGTTCAAGGGAGAGATCAATGAGACAATATTCATCGGCCGCTGCCAACTCACGGCCAGTTGCGGTTTCGCTGGGTGTACCCCATTCATCACGCGCTGGGTACGTTGGGTCGGCGTGGCGTGGCGACACATGGCCGTGCACGCATAGGCAGCCTGTGTAGCCATCCAAGTCATGTGCTGAATAGGTGTCATTGTGCGGAGAATGACCATGCAGTGTGCGCGCCGCCGTATACCGGCGCGCCACTGATGCCATTTTCGGCCCAAGTCGCCGCATGTTGGAAAGTGGTAATCATCTCTGCCATCCGTGCGTTACTCGGGTGGACCGCTTAGCGACCAGTGCCAGCCATGAGGGCATCGGTTAGTTCAATGGGTGGTGCGTGGTTGAGCGCCAACAGACCGAGGCGATTGGGTAAAGGTCCTGGGTCGGGCGACACCTGCGGTAACTCTCACCGCACGGCACGCCGTGTGGTATGTGCCGTGTGTTGCGCCGAACGTCGACTACGCAGTGCGAGTGGAGTCGCTGTAGCGGCCCGGGTGCCGCCCGCAGGCAAGCATGTCCACACTGCCAATGCCGCACCACCTGGCCTCGTTAGCTCGTTAGTTCCTTCCTTGCTCATGGCCAGCGGCCTGGGCCCACATTGACCAAAACGACGCACCCGCACACCTCCCCCCCCTCGCCTTCACACCCCTCACGCCCCCGATCCCCCGACCCACACCCCCACACGGCCCACCGCCGAGTTGCGGCATGCCCGACGTCAACGACGACCCAGGGGTTCGGCGCATGCTTAATTTCCCTGACCAAGCAAAAGGCAAACGCGCTACGCGCTGCCGCCAAAACCTTGTTGTTGTGCGACGCCGTTGGCCGCCGCGTCACTGAGCGCCGCCGCGTCACTGAGTTTTTGGCATTTTGGCCGATTAACCAGTGAATTTTTCGTTTTGGTCCGGTCCTGAGTTTTCGGATTGATAAGTTTCAAGTTGTAACCAGAGCGCCAGGCACCAACTTTTGATACTTTCCAACTGGCGAGACTGCTGATTGTAAAAATGTCGGTTTAGTTACATAATGATTGGTTTTGCGCATTTAGGGCTATTCAACTCATGCCCCTATACTAATTGAACTAATTGCTGACAGCGCTCCACTGGCCACTCGGCCGGCCGGCATTCATGGCATTCATCGTCACGGATCACGGTGCTGCTTACAGAGCGTCGATTTGCCTGTGACAACCCGTCCACATCTGCCTGGCGTGTTTGGTCTGCATTGCCCTCCTTTTTGATATCCCAATCCGACGACTTCGGGTGCCAGTGTGCACTACCACACCACACCCTACGCCGCAACACACCAGGGGGAAGCGAAGAAGTGCTGGGGAGGGCATGTAAGACAAATGGCAGCCGTCCACCGTTCGTCGACAAAGGACCTTGAAACGCCCAGCCACCCACTATCCGAGGTCTTTTTGCCTTTCCTTGCTTTTCAACATCATTCCAAGTTCTAGGCGCGATGTATGTAAAGAACATGCCATGGACACGCCTTGGTCCTACACACAGGGCTACGGAGAATCGTTATTACCATGCACGCCATTGACAGGTGCCAACCTCAAAGGGTAGGACAAGGAGCCCTTGTCGCGCATCGGACTCCGTCCACCGCAACCCTGCAGCCTCGCTGCAACGGCGCGGCCGCTTCTCACACACCCCACGCCATTTCTCGGTACCGCCACGATTTGATGGGACGCGTCCACGGCGACGGCGCAGTGCAGTACCTCGAATCCTTAACCCTCCCCGCAAAAGCATTGCCGCGCCGCCGTGAAGCACGGCGAGGGGTTGGATACTTGCCGTCATCCGAGGCCGTCGGAGGGTATGGGTGGGTGGCAGACGGGAGGACCGAACCTCGACCAGTGTTGCTGTGGTGAACCTTCCGTTCACGATGGCGGTCGGCGTAGGCAGTGTGGTTGGGGGCGTTTGCTGGGCACTTGGCTGGCCATGGCTGGCTTCCTCACTGGCGGCGGAGGCGTGGTGTCCTGTCACCATCGAGCAGCTGCGAGACGGGGCCCGCCACTTCCCAAGGAGCACCGGAGCAAGGCTTCATGGTCTTGCTCCGCATTTTCGCATGTTGCTCTAACTGCATATGGCCATGGCAACCAGCTGCGGCGCACGCAGTGTCCGAGGTCGGCGGACAGTGTGTACTGTCTAAGCCTGCGCCGAGGTCCGCGCAGCAATGACGTTTCCCTGCTCACGCCTGTCGGAGGGGTCCCGCTTCCCCATTTCCTGGGCGCCATGGCACTCTTAGTCCTCGTGTCCTTCAATCGGGGGCCAAGGGTCAACCAAGCTGTACATGTATAGCTGGACGACGAGCTCAACATTATGCCCAATAGCTGGCTCGATAAGCACACCCCAGCGACACTTGTAGCCCTTGTGCAGCCTACTCGGTAGAGTAACGCGCCAGTGGACATCAGAAGCTGACATCCAGGTAACATGGGTGCGGGGGTCCGTGCACGTTCCGGGAACGAGGGGGATTTACGGTTCCCCAGGGCATCGTCATGACGTGAATGTCAGTACGTGCGTCGAGAAGGGTGGGCCAAGTGCTCTGCCCGAGTTAGCCAACCTGATCTTGCGAAATGGTACCTGCACAACCCTCGCCAAAGGACGATCAAAGTTGCTCAAGTTCTGGGGTGGCTCCTTTGGTACATCACATCGGCGAGTTGCATTGGGTGGCTCGATTGGGCCACACCGAACGGCCGCCTCGGTGGCACGCGGTACACCGGTTAAGAGACGGGCGGCAGTTTGTGCAATGTCCGCCAACGTTTTAAGTGGTTCTGTTGGAGGACACCATCATGTCCTCGTGATCAGCTTGGCTCGTTGGCTCGTGGGGACCAACATGGGGCCGGCAACCATGTACATCTTTTTAGCCGTTTGGAAGATTTGGCACGCGGGGCTGGGAAATCTAGGAAGCTAGGACGAGCTACTTTGTCAACGGCAACTCGCGTAGCGGCTCGCACACTGCGGCGTCCTTGTTTCGGCTCATCGAAGGCCCCTCAGTCGGCCAAGCCGGCCCGCTGGGTGTGCGTTCACACCCAACCTCACTGGCTGGCTATCACTTTGCCAGCCTGTCCTAGCACTTCGGGGTGCGGCGTATGTAGCGGTGCTGAGGGTCGGCGAAGTCAAGCATCAAATGCGGAAGGCCGTGTAGGCGTCGAAATCCGGGCGCAAGCCGCCAGCTGAAGACCGCAGCTGCCCGAGCGCTACGAGCGATGAAGCGATGGTGCCCACTGCTGCTTCGTCGTCATCGCCAGACGTCGTGAGCGACAGGTCCTGATATAAGAGATTTGATCCTGACGCGGTCCTGGCTGTGGTCCGTCTACAACTTTTTTGTGCCCAGCATATCCCAACCCGGCCTGCACCGAATGAACCCTTACGTGCGTGCGCACAGGGAGACCATTACGTTCTTGGGCATTTTTCGGCGAATTTGTTGGCTGTTTTTTTTTTAAATGGGTCCTGTTGAAATGCCCTGGATAAAGGTGTGCGATGCGATCGCCGTTGCGCGTTGCAAAGACGATTTTGCCTGGCGAGCACAGGCATCCCAAATGTTCTGCTCCGCTGTCCCCCGTTTCGCATATGACGTGCCGGCCTCCGCGAGTCCAGACTTCGTTCTGTTCTATGCATTCCGCACCCCCCCCCCCTCCCCCCCGTCTGTCTCGGCACCGCCGGCCGGCGGCCAGTTCAGTTCGGCCAGTTCACCCCACCCGCCTAGCTCTCGACAGTCTGTTGCCTAGTGTGTTCGGTGTGGAGCGTGCCCTCACGTGTACTTGAAGCGAGGCTACGTGCCGTCGGGACCAGCCGAAACGAGCTGGAGGAAACGAAACACGCTGGCACTGCGTACCATGTTACAGTTTTGTTCTCGCAAGCACCTGCCTGCCTCACCATGGCAGTGGAGTGAAGAATAATTTTTCATGACATGGCCAGACAGCCTGCAGGTCAATGCAGGACGTGGCACACGGGTAGTCTGTGCAGTGGCACCTGCGGCGTTGCCCCCCCTTTTGAGTGGGCGCCAGTGCGAACGGCTCGCGCCGCTTCACGACAGGATAACTTCTCAGGACAATGCCGGCAAATGATTGAATTGCCATGTCTTCGTCGTAGAACTCGGAGAATCAGATAATGACGAGACCCAGGACATGAGAAACTGGGTCGCGGGTTGCAGGATCCGCTGCAGAGGGCAGAATCGAGTTCTTGGGTAGCGAGCCCGTTTGCTGGCAGGAGATGTAGGGGGGGCAAAGGGTACCACGTACACTGCCGCGATCTGTAGCATCGTACCTGCGCAAATGATCCGCCAACAACGGCAGGATGGGGTGGCTTTCGGTTCCAGATCTCTGCATCGTGAGCGCGGACCACTGAGCACAGGGGGCTGCTGGCGTGTGAAACGTATTTTTCGACAACTGCACCACGCGAACGAGAACGCGGCATGAGGCGCGCCCAAGCATAGATTCCATTGTCAAAAAAGACTTGAATTCTGAGGTCATGCACTAATGCTCCTGCCCCATATGGATTGGTTTTGATCCGTTGCTCCACGGTCCAGAGGTGGGGCGGATGTCGACGTGACGGTGTCTCCGGTGCTCGGCTCCGCTCGTCGCGCACAGTGTTCGGGAATGCCCGGAACGCGATGACGGGTGGTTCACGTTACCACCGTTGCGTTGGCTTGCAGAGCCGACACCACTGGCATCGCTAAACTTCGTTCCGTCCAGTCAATCCATCATCGGTGGCACGTATCCTGGTCTAGAGTGGGACTGGTAATTCGACTGTGGCTGGTCTGTGATGTCGGTGAAACGATCGTCACCTGTCTTACATTTGGACACATGACTGCTTAGTGCCAACTAGAACCAGCTACCAGACGTAAATTGCTTGCCTGATGCATTGTCGCATCCTGAAATGTTTCGATGCTATCTCTTAACACGAAGCTTGTTCACTTTCACGTTTTGTTCGCATGGAACGGGAGGCGGAACGAGCTTCAGAAAACGGGGGTACGGCGGGTGTCGTTATGAGCATGTTCGTGTCACTTTTCCGTTGTATATCCTGTCCACACCTCGATTTTCAGTCCAACGCTTCAAAAGACAGTGTCTAAGGGTTGGGTACAGAGCTCACAAAACGCCAAAGCATGATACCGACATGGAGAAACGCGACGCGTGGCGTGTGCACTCGCTGGGTGCAGGCCGTATTGGATTGAAATGTTCCGCGTGCGGCATGGCTGCTTCCTCCAACCTGACCAGGCGGTTGCGACTTGCCGCGGATGGCTTGGCTATTCAAATTCACGGCCTGAAAAGGAGCAAAGGAGTACGGCCTATTGTAAACCAGGTGTAGTGGGCATCGGTCAGGTCAAATGGGATCCGCATGGGCTTTATGCGGGTCAAATGCACCGCATAGTGGGCAGTCAACGCCGCATACCTTATACTGCGTATGCTCGGCGGGCTCGGCGTTGGACAGGCAGGGGAATGGGTACAATGGGACGGCGCCTTGGGCGTTCTCTCCAGGACTTGACAGCATTGAGCCAAGATGATCTTTTACGGCCACTGTTCAGAACGACACAGGGGACTGGTGTGTGGAACCAGCCGCCCACTTCTCTGTATTACGTAGGCATCGCCAAACCCCAAATGGCCCCAATCTGAACACTGACTTGCAGAGGTATATGGGCGTTGACGCGTCGCTGACGTCTGTCATCTTCCCTTGCCAAAATCTCGGCGTACAGGAATGTGGTGGGGGTCGACCAGGGTTGGACTGTGTGGGGCCAAAAGTGCGAGCTTCTTTTTAAGGCGCAGGCTTCAGGTATCGACGCGCGCGAGCAATGGTGCGGTCAGTCTCCAGTTGGCCGACGTTAGCGACGTGCAGACAACGGCCAATGTCTGTTCACGGCAACTCGGCGGACGGTATGTGGCCTTAATGATCGGAGCTTCACCGCTGAGTGGGGCCGACGGAGTGGCACCGACACAAGATGGATGGAACAAGGTCCACGTTGACCTGCACCCAAGACGGAGCACCCCGAGACGCCTTCCTGACGGGCGAGTGCGAGATGGCAGGATGTGGGGCGAGTCGGTTTCGACCTCTGGCCCTGCCATTTTCGCCCCCGCGTCCACCATACAGGTCCACAGCTTTAATGCAGAACTTCACAGAGGGGTTGAAGAACTTCGCGCGCTCGCAGCCCGTCAAGGTCCGTGTACGCGTGGTTCAGGTGCGGCGGGTGCGGAGATGACATAGGCGCGGTGCGACGCTGCACAGGCCCCTCGACATGTCGCTTACAGGAAGCGTCAGCGCAGACAGGCCGTGGGATGTGACATGGAAGCTCGCACAGGCCTGTGATCCTATGAGGGTGGCAGGTTGTGCACCCAGGAGCAAACGTGGGAATATGGGGTTTGCACCGCCAATGAACTGGGAACGCGGGCCCTGCTGCAGCCAGCGCCGACGACCGGCAACAGCACCTGCAGACGACGCCGGTGTGCATTGCGTACTGCGTACGTTCCCGGAACAGGAATGACCGACCAGAGGCCGGAGGCGTGCAGGAGCTTGCAGGAGATGCAGATGGTTGGAATTTGCAGCAGTACAGGAGTACGAACGACGATAGAGGGTCTACAGGGACTGTCCAAGAAATATCAGAACTCGTGGCTTGGGAACCTCAATGGCGGTGGACACGATGAACGATCAACCAAGCTGCGTACTCTTACTAGTACTCCATTCCCGGCGATTCCAGGAGTCCAAAAGGCTGGCATGAGACATGTACAACGACGCGTACCGGTTTGTGTTAGACAGGACACGGGAACGCGCAGACACGCGAGAACTGCCAGGATCCTGGGCTCGACTGCAGTACGCGACCCACGCGACTCGGCGCGTTTGAACTGACGCGGTGGCGCAGTCCAGTGGGGCAGCCAATTGTCATCGAGACCAGCTTGCATCCGCCTATTCAGTCAAGTGAGTTTCGCCGGGGGCAGATGAGTGGTCCCCACTTGTTACTCTCGTTAGAGGATAACCCTCAAGTTACCTGGTCATGGCGGGTACTAAAGCGGGCCGTCGCTAAGAGTGGCTGGCAGAAGCCGACACGGCAGGGAGGGAATTGGAGGCCAACGTTACGCTACTACTGGCACAAGAAAGAACTGTTGCATTCGCTCAAGGATGAGGCTCCTTTGTAGACGAGCTTTCCAGGCGCCCATCGACTGGTAGGCCACAGCCCATGGCCATTGAGAGTGGTGGAGCTGTCGGCGGTCACTATCTGAATCCCGGAGCTTTGAGCGTCACGACGCCTGAAAAGGGTTTCATAGGGACATTGACGTCGTCGCCTTCTGTATTGATCCAGGTCTCTTGACGTCTTCCGCGCTCTTGTGGCATCGCATTCAGTAAACCCAAAGGGCCCGCGTCCAGGTTTTGTCACAGAATTTCGACCAGACCCACATCTGGGCGGATTTCAGCCTTCAGAACTGCCAGACGATGGTACGAACGGAGGGTTCGTCTCCGCTCAACAACTGGCTGCCGGCAATGCTCCTGAGCAAACCTGAACCCCGCGCTCGCTATTTTCGCTTGGTCCTGTTCAAGCGTGGGGCCTGTTTACAACACCGCGAACTCATTAGCAGTCCGACACAGGGGGTCAAAAGTGGGTAAAAGAGCTAAGCGATTGCGCGATTGTCAAAGATACCGTATTCCGTCCAGCTAAAGGCAGGGGACATGCAGCCAGCCGCAAACGTGGCAGCCGGGAAACATGACATCGTCCTGAGAATGCCCAGGATCCCCACACCCGCTAGCCAAGGCCGCATATGGTGTTCCGCGTGGTGCTGCACGGCTTGGCCCGTCGTGAACCGCGGGCTGCCGTTGATCGCAAACGCAACCTGGGGATGATTGGTATCCCGCTGTCGACAATGGTCAATCTTGACGTTTGGCACGCTCCTAGGACGTCTTAGCAGCATGCCATTCAAGCGGCTGGGCAGTGATCGAGAACGCTACATTGTCCACGATATACAATACCAATACAGCTCATTAGGCGATGTCGAGTAACCGGTAACCAGACGTTTGCCTGTGGCATCCATCAGATTGCGAAATTCCCCCAGGTGATGCCACGCAGCCTACGCGCCATGCCCTTGAATAGTTGCTCGACGCGTTGCAGCACATGGGTCAAAGTAACCTGAACCTCGTCTCGGATGTACAGTACTTGGTTATCTGTGGCGCGTCGTAAAGCATACCCACTGGCCACTGGGGCCAGTGGCCTGCTGGCTGCGTGGACGATAAAGTGGACGGTGACCCCATTTTCCATTCCAACCCACCGCAGCTAGTTTCTTATTGTCTGTATCGGCATTCACGGCACCTACCGCAGCCACGAGGGGGCGCGCAATGCAATATTGGCGGTGTCTCCAGTTACGAAAACTACGGCCCATCGTGCACGAGAATTGAGGCCCCAGGCGTAAAGGCTCCCAGGCGCAGAAGGGATCGACGCCAGTACCAAGTTTCTGACACAGCGCCACCCGTCCGCCTCTCCAATCGCTCGCGCCAGCCATTGCAGACGCAACAGGCTGGTTGCCCACTATCAGGAATCGTGCTGCATGGTAAATGGGAGCTTGCTGGACGGGCGTCAAGGCGCCCACGAGGCTTGGCATGCTTGACGGGCAGTCGCGTGGCGGAACCTGGTCTGCCAACGGCCAGCGGTGACTGGGGGTATAGCAAGCTGCGAGTGGCGCCGCCCCCGCACCCTTGGGACTTGCCCATGTCGCAGAGCACCCCATACGCCATGCACGCGATATGCACGCCGAACTAAACTAACCCAACCTGGGATTGCTGGGCGATCACGAACAGAAGCATCAACGATGTAACGACAGGCGCTGTTGCTGCGCTTGGCGCTGGCTGGCGCTGGCACAGAGGCAACCTTCAGAAGCAAAGTGGTGCCGGAGCGTTACAGTTGTTTATTGCTCGCCGATAGCAGGCTGACGTACAATTGTTTATGCACCTGTACGTGGGAATCTGAGAGTATGTGAGCGTCCGATATGTCTGGAGATTGGGGTGGTTCTTGGACGAGGGATCTGGGTTGGCGGTTGTGGCCGCCGGTTGAGGGAACAGTGGGAAGACTGGGGTTCGTACTCGGCACAGGGTTCCCCGAGATCCATCCAGTGGGCAATCCAGACTCGTCTTGCGTTAGCAAGGCGGCAGTGTGTACACCGCACAGCCTAGAGCTTGGGATGATGGAGACATGTGTTGGCGGTCAATTGAGCAAATTCCGACAACACTCCAAGCCCAGTCTGTGCACACCCCAAATGGCCATGGCGTAGACGTCTGCAATGTCCTTTTCATGTTGTGACGTCGGCGGTCAACTGACACCTGTAGAAAAGCTGTAGAGAATCTCAGATATTATGTTCAACTTGTAGCCATAAATCTCGTGGCTGATGTCCTGTTAGCCGGAAGCACAAGCACCTCTGTTCCTCGCATATGGATTCCTCACACATCAGAAAAACGGCTTGGATTCAGTCATTGAAGCTTGGCCGATTAACAGAGCGTCGCGAACTTCGCCCCCCTGTGCTGCACTCGTGTCTCTGACTGAGCAACGAACAGGAGCACACTCAGCCGCAAGTGCCGCAGGTACGGCAGGTGCAGACTGAATCGTTGTGGCATGGAGCAATTGGAACGAGCATTGCTGGTCTGAGAAAACTGGGCTTCTGAATTGACTCTCTTGATGTCGGACTCACCGCTGAACGAAACGTGCCGACGGACGTGCACGTTCGGGATCAGGAAGCCCATTCCGGGGTATGCAGCGTGCGCTCAAGACAATGTCAGTGGGAGGCAGCCTGAGAGCGGATTGAAATAAAAGCAAGTGAGCCGCATGTCGGATGTTATTCAGTTTGTCAATGGGTGGCGGCGACGGAAACTTCAGCGTGAAGCGTGCGCAGAGGATGAGACATTGAGATTTCGCCCTTTTCGGTCCCTTGCGACGTCGTGCATACCGAAACGCGTGTCGGATGGCCTGTCGACTGAAAGAGAGAGTGTCTTCCAACGCCGCCCCGAGTTGCGGTGGCCGCGGTTAACTGACACCAAAATGGGGGTCACTGCCTGTCAGCAACAAGTGGCATGTGGTATGTAAAATGGGTGACATGGCGGATCTCGTTCATGCCCACGTCGGCACTAACTGGTCGGATCGTGCATCCACCACGCACATCTGTAACGGCTTGCAAGTCCAAGAGGTCCAGATGTACAACGCTATTAGGATCTGGGCAGAGAAAAGGCGAGCCACGAATTTCAGAGGGAAAAGTCGTACTTCACCGCTCAAGACACGAATTGTGCAGCATGGACGAGAAGCATCGCATCACTTCACGGTCTCAGTTACGGGCGTCCTCTGCGTGCTCGCCGTTGAATGTGATGCTGCTGGCTAGCAGTGGGGTGGGAGCGTTACGGAACGGTGGAGCCGCAACTTCCGCCTCGTGGAGCCGAGAAACGATATCGTGTGAACCACAGCCCATTTCCGAAGTGTCGTCCGATGTCTCCGCCCATTTTGTGAAGCAGACTAAAGCTGTTATTGCCAGCAACGATCACTGCGGCCATATCACGTCCTTTTTATGTGCCTCTATACGGCACGACGATAGAGCATGCATGCTCTAGCACGACATGTGCAACAATTACGTCGTAGCTACGCACCGGCGTGCACATGGTCCCTTCCAATTCATTTTCTGTAACACGACAGTCATGCAGTCACCGAGAAACCGCACAATGTATGTTGGCACTGTGGGCAGCCCTCTTGAGACTCCATCCAGACGATAAGTCGCTGATGCCCTCAGTCGTTGATCGCTAATTGTCCCAGTCGCTGATATGCCACAGGATGCGTGTGAGCTTCCATTCTGATTCCATGGACGGCCGCTCCCCGTCCCGCCGTACCCCGTTTCAGCCCACGCCTAGAACCATTTGCCTTGGTGATGGGAAGTCTCCAGTCACTTCTCAGCCTCGGCTGGTAGCTCCCCAAACGAGTCGGCTTTTCAATGGGTTGTCAAAACAGTTACAATACATGGAGCAGCAGTGTCGCGGCCTGCCGTTGAGAGTCACAAACAACCGTACGCAACCGTGCTGCGCAAGGAATGGATGCCCGAACAGCCGTACATCCGCTGTGTTACGCTTTGCTCATAGCAGTTACTGGGCGCGGAACGCTTCAGCATCTCACGGTGCCGACCGCTCTCCGTCTCCCGTCCATGTATCGGCTCCCCGTCGTGGTATGTGCCACAGAAGTGAACATGGTGGTGCAGTTGGTAGGCAACCAGCGAAACCCAGATGACCGGTCTGGCAGAGAGACGCCAGATTACAGAACCCTGCGGATGAGGGTGGTTTAATCTGAAAATTCAGTTTATCTCGTAACAACACGATGGAAATCTCGCGTAACTGTACGTGCTTCCTTGCTCCTCGGGCCTGTTTAAATCTCCCCGGCTTTTCACGACATCTGCGTGCTTCCTCATGGTCAGTATTCTTGAAGAGATCAACACATCCTGACCGTCCCACGGACGCGACAACCTATAGTACGTATACACAGATGTGGGGTCTAACATCCTGAAAAAGTTCCTCAATGACTCACCCACACGGGGCATCCGAATCCCTGGTGCTCTCCGTCGGAATAGGGCAGCCCCCAACGAGCCAACGCGGCGCATCGCCATTTGCGTCCGTTCGAGAGTGTGCAGATGTCGGCGAGGACCCGAACTCGAGCCGTCAGCGGTGGCACCCATCAACCTGACACGATCTGGGCCCACGGATCGGCTCAGGTCCATCCGGGGTGGGTTTGCCGGCGGCGAGAGCAGGAAGGAAGGGGAGGTTGGCGAGAGGCGGGTTTGGCACTGCCCTGCACGAGAACAGCGTCGTGTCCATGGGTTGCACAATCAGACGGCCAGATCGAACGTCAGACACCAGACACCAGACACCCGACAGGCGAAAAAGACGGAAGGAAGGGTTGAGCCCACCGACAGGACGGGCCACAAACTGCGTGCTGGGCAAGAACTGTAGCCCGTCTGCTCGAGAAGACTTCGCGGCGGAGATTCTGCAAACACGATCGGTTGGTATGAGAAATGCATACCGAGGTTACGAAAGACGGGCACATGGAGGTTCATACAGAGTACAGAGTATCCTCTTGTGGCAGGTGGTCACTCCTCCCACGGGCTGACCATGTGCGACACGCGCAACACCATGTGCAACCCAATTCCGCGTCTGTTTTGTTACTCTAGCAGGCGGTGCGATCTCTCCATCCTTTGCTGTTCTCGGGTATACATATGTACTTTAGGGAGCGCAGTATAAGGTTAGGTGTGAAGGAACACGTCTACCATTCTGTCCCGTACACATAATGCTCTAGCAAAAGACAGCAGAAAGGAGCTTATTCGGATCAGGTGTGGGTACTGTTTTTAGCTTTGCTTTCTCCACGTAACACACGCGAACACGAGCGTTCTTTTTGCACGACGACACGACAAACGGCGGCGTTGGCCTGTGTCCGTCAACCAACTCCATGATATCCGGAACTGCGTCGTCGCGTCGTGGTTCATCATCAGCCGCGGCTTTATGGTTGCGGCCGGGACAGTATGTACCTCTGCGGGCCGGACAACCTTGATTTTTACGAGCCGAGAACTGTTTGCGCTCCGCGTGTCGTTTTTAACAATACCTCGGCACACATCACAATATCACAACGTCGCACGTCTGCGTTCGTGCCCGGCGCGCTTGTCTGATTGTATGTCGAGGCTTTATCTCTCCTTGCCGCACAGTGCTGGGAAAGGAAATGGACTCGTAGTTCGGCTGCCTATTAGGTTACACATGTCGCGCGACTCCCGCACGTCCACCCGGTGCCGCCGGCTAACATGAGGGTCATACGACCAATGGTAGTGGCGGCTTGTATGCTATGCTTCTCCGTGATCCGTGCCCGCTTGAGCATAACTAAACACCACGAGGACGCTTCTACCCTACATCCGACTTACTCTGAGGGCACTGAAAGCGACACCCGCACAAAGGGGCCGTCATGCCATCATGCCATCATGCCATCATGCCATCATGGCGTTTTGCACAGCTGGCGACGGGCAGATGCAGGCGAGACGTCGCTTCGGGGACTGAGACGGAGCAAAGCTCGTCGTGCACAGGTCGAAGAGTCTGGCCCAGCCACGGCCGCGCGGGCACACCATCGCCTCCCCTCGTGTTTCCGTCAGTCCCCCGATCCCAGAACCACCGCTCCGGAGAACATAGGAACACTCCATTAGGGGGTTGGTTATTCGTGGTCTGGGGCAGTGAGGGGAGGCAGCGGGGCACATACGTTGCAGGCCAGGCCCAGTTTCTGAGGGCAGCCGTATGCTGTCTGTCATGAGCCCCACCGCTCTCCGCTCCGCTGTATCCGCCACGACAAGGTAATAAGGGTAGGGCGAGACGATCACGTAGACGGCGGACCCGAGAAAACCCGCCCCGCGTAGCATGTACATAAGGCGAGTTTTAGGATGGAGGGAGGGATGGAGGACGCAGAACCCAGGACCAGGGGACCAAAGGGACGTCTCGAGAATATTCAGATTCTGGATCGAGGAAACCCGGGATTCTGGAGACACGATGCCGAGAAGCGAGCAGTGTTCGCATCTCTCGGTAGCGTTGCCCCCCCCCCCCAGGTTCGCAGATCAGCTCAGACCAGAGGCAACGCGTAGGACCGTGTTCATGCCGTTTGCCGGGACCCTCCAAACTGTCTCCTTGAAATTTCGACGGCGTGGTCGTGGTGTGTGAACTGCCTGGTGTGGGCCTCTGAACCTGACTTGTGCACCCTTTCAGTGTACCAGTGTGCTAGCCGTGGTTCTGACGACTCCAAGGAAACGAGGACGCGTACTGTACTGTATGCACGTCTTGAGAGCCAGGGACGTAGATGCCAAGGTAGGACAATTGCAGACTACTCCAAACGGATACTTGAACACCGAACTCTGCTTGGTGTGTCTAGACCTTTAGATCTCGCTGGCCCCGCATTCCGTGGTACGTGGGGTAGCGTGGTGCTCCGTGGCACCTCGGGTGTGTGGGTGCTACTGCATAGTTAGTGCAGGTCGATCCATGCATGGGAACACTGTGGACCGGATGGGTCGGCCCGGTTCGCCGCGGCGGGCTGGTGCTTGCATGTCTCGACCTCCGTTCTGTGGTCGCTCGACTACGCCCTCGACCACGTTCTTCAATGGGCCTGCGCTTGCCATCGTGTCCGGTAGCTCTGGCCACCCGGGTGCGCTCCGCATGGCCTTGCCGCAGCCCTTGCCTCCCTCCCTATTCCACCCTCACAACGGTCCTCCCAATACGTATCCCGCGCACTCTCCCGTCCTCGTGCGGCACGTTCGTTTAGTTGTGGCCTTGTACATACATATTACGGCTGGGACGCAATCGATGAGAAAGGTGGCAGCAACCTCCTCATCCCTCTCGGTTGCGTCGCCACATTCCACTGGAACGCGCGTTCAGACACCACGTCTGTGCTCTCTGCGCTTAGTCGGCTGCAGCATGTATGAATACCCCACCCGCAAACGCACGTATGGGGATGCGGGTGAGCTTCCCCTTGGCAGGTTGACAAAAGGGATTTTATCCAAGAAAGCCAGTAGCCAGTGCTGCAGTGCCCGACAAAATTCACGTTTGGCCTTTCCTTCTTTGCCGTCCCCGTCCAGGGTACACTACGTAGTAGGGAGACGCCGAGACTAATGCCCACGCCGCGTCCCACTAGCATGGAGCGTGGGCGGGCCGCCAAGGCCACTGTGCGCGCCGAGGCATGCCGAAGCGTGCCGAAGCGTGCCGAAGAGGAAGAGAGAGAGAGAAAGAGAGTGAGCTAAAGCAAGTCCCGTGCATAGGGGAGGGGGGGCAGAAGATAAGAGTAGACGATGAAAATTCAGACCTGAGTGTACCAGCCTAATTAAAATCCCGACTGATAGAAAAAAAAGGAGGGTAAAAAGCAAAAAAAAAAAAAGAACAGTGTAGGTAGTGACCCCAGACACCTAGGTCCGTCGACGCCGAATATCGGCGGGACAGGACCCCTCGCAACTCGGTCTCCGAGCCCAAAGTGGGGGTAGAAGCCGCCCGTCGGTCGCCGCGTGTGAACGGGCGACTGTGTAAAGGGGCTGCCGTTGACGCGAGTGCGGCAGTGGTGGCGAGGCACGCAAGCCCAGAGCAAGACATGGGGGAAGGCGTGTATGGACATGTTTGCCTAGGCCAAGCTGCCAGCCAGGGACCTAAGTCGCGTTGGCGACCTTGACCCCAGCGCGAGCGTCGAGGGCGACACCGAGGGCGCGAACCCACTCCGAGGCCTCGACGGTCTCCTTGTGCGACTTGTCGCCCTGGTACGCGACGACGGTGGCGAGGCGCGAGAGCATGGTCTCGATCTCGGGCTTGAGGGCGCGGGCGACACGGGGTCCCCATTCCTCAGCGGGGCCAAAGCCCGAGACCACCTGGCGCTCGTACTCGGCCACGGTCCAGCCCCAGATCTCGCACGGCTCCCGAATGCGGAGAGGGTCCGAGTCCTTCTCGCTGGTTGCCGGGACGTGGGCGAGGGCGGCGTTGGCGCGACGCAGGATGGTGCCAAAGAGGGAGACCGAGGGAAGGTCCTCCAGGGCGTCGTCGAGCTTGTCCTCGGCCGGGTCATCAATGTCGTCACGGAGGCGGCGGACAGAGGCGAGGATGCGTGCAGACGCGTTGTCGCCGTGGACGGCCATTGACGCGATAATGGCAGACTCGAGAGCCTCCATGGCCTCCGCCATGGCCTCACGGGCGATCAGCTCGGCCTGCTGGTCGGCACTGTCCACAGCCGCGGGGGCGGCGGTGGGAGGCTGCACAAGGCCGCCGACGAGGCGCTTGACGAGGCCCTCAAACGACATGAGGGCGTGGGTCGACGGGTCGCAGTTGGTGCCACGCGGCGGCGAGGGAGGGCGCGAGGCGCTTCGGGAAGGAAGGATGCCAAGCGAGGCCATCTTGCCGAGGGAGGGCGAGGTATGAGCTGCGGTGGGCGTAGCGTCCTTGCTGAGACCCGAGAGGGCACGCTGAACGCTGCCCGGGCTGGGAGTGCGGTTGAGGAGGGTGATGTGGTCGTTCTCGGTGATGACGCGCATGCCGCGCCACACGACCGCGACCATCACCTTGGCCACCCATCCCTCGCCGTCGTGCGAGCATGGGCCGGCGACGGCCTCGAAAACCTTGCGCGAGCCGTCGACGCGGCTGGCAAACTGCTGGAGGCAGCTGGGAACAGCAATCTGGCGGGGGTGGCCGCTGCCAGAGTGCTCCTTGGTGACGCGGACCACGGGAGTGGCAGACGCGGGAACCGTGGCAGGGCCAGCGGGAGCCTTGGGGGCCACGCCGTGGGTCTTGCTGATGCTCGCCTCGAGTTCGACCTTGACGGCCAGGAGGATAGGGCGAACGACCTTGCCGACAACGAGGTCAAACTTGTCCATGGTCGGGCGGAGGGTGTCCTCGACAAAGCGAGGGTACTTGCCAGTCTCGAGCATTTGCTCGAGGCACTCGCACGTCTCCCAAGCGCAGTGTGCGACCGAGACGGCAAACGCCTGCGTAGGGTTGAGGGGCGACGACACATTGGCCGGCTGCGTGAGGTTGATCGGCGACGCAAAGAGCGGGTCCGAGAGAGCCGGAAGCAGCAGCGAGTCGAGACGCGAGACGTAGATCGAGAGCGAGCGCACGGTCGTGCGAAGAATGGCACGAACAAGGTAGGCATCGGCGGGGGCAGGCGGGAGTACGCTGGTTTATAGGGTCAACATCCGCCACAAAGTACGCCACAGTGGGAGGGTGGACCCAAAGGCATTTCCACAGTTCATGGACACTCACTTGGCAATGCTCTCGCCGACAGTCCAGCCGGCGCCCTTGCGGAATCCCTTCTTGTTCTTGCCGTCGACGCCGAGGCAAGCCTTGTTAACGGTGTCGTTGAGACGGAGACCGATCGCGTCCATGTGGCCACCCTGAGGGGTCTCGGCGCCACTGGCCGGCAGAGGAGTGGCAGCAGAACGCGGAGTCTGAGCACGGCTTGGCGGCGGGCTCGGGCCCTTGCGTCCTGGGACGGACTGGGAGCGGGCCGGCGTCGGGGTAGGCGCTGCCATGACCTGGGCCAAGGGGTGGCCAGGGCGCGGAACCGGAGGAGGACCCAGCGGCTGAACGGTCGCCGCACCGGTCGCAGTAGCGGCGGCAGCCGGCGTCGACGTGCGCGACGGGCGGTTGATGAGGGGGAGAGAGCGGATAGCGTTCATTGTGGGAAGAAAAAGAACGCAGAGGTAGGTTGGTCGTGTGACGTAGAATAAAAAGTAGGTGGGTTTAAGCGGTACGTAAAGAGTCGGTGTTGGTGGTGGTGGTGTAGTGAGGCAGAGGCGCCAGTGGTTCCCGTTGGCGCGGGAGTCTGGTGGGGTCTCTGGGTGTAATTATCCCATGTAAGAGATGAGGGTTGACGAGGTCGTGCAAGAGGGGGCCGCGAAGAGGGCCTAGCGCGTCAAGAGCGAAGCTCGGTTGTGAGAGTTCAAGTTAAGGGGGCTTCTCGCCGCTGGAGAGGAGCGTGTAGATGAGGGGTGGGAGACGGAGCTGGGACGACACCGAGGAGAGACTGTTGGGTGCACGACGACATGGCCGGGTGGTCAAACGAGTGGCAACAAGTGAGGTTTGGCGGAAAGAAGGAACGTGGGCAAACGGGACGAAAAAAAGGTGGCGGCGCGCGTGTGATGGATCATGGGGGGGGGGGGGGGGGGGGGGTAGAGAAAAAGCACGAGTCAGCGCATGGACTATAGTATTGACTGCGTCTGTCGTGGCGGGGCAGCAGGAAGCACTCACGTCCGGGCGTCCGCTTTCAGGCTGCTTTGGTTACTACAAGGAAGCTTCTTCTTCATTGAATGGGTGGCCGGTGACTGGCGGCGATGTGTGAGGGGTTTTTGTGGGGGTTGCGGAGCGATGAGAAATGCGCTTCGCGAGGAGTGGTGCTGTAGCCGGTTGACAAGCTGTGCTGTGGTTATGAGACGACGAGGGAGAGACAAGGAGGGCTGTGGGACGATGGAACAGTGGTGTGTGAGTGAGAGAGAGAGTGGTGAATGGGAAGAGAGGACGGATGTGGGGGGTGTATGGGTGTTTGACAGGATCCCTGGTTGGAGGAGAGGCCACAGGCCACAGGCCATCGACCGGAACCAGGCAAAGGAGAAGGGAGACACGGTTTTTTGGTTCCGCCGATCCCTCTGGTGTATGGGGTCTGGGCCCTGGGTGTGCGTGGGGGGTGTGCATTCGACCCGCCCGTCTGCAACGGAGTCGTGGGGAGCGTGGGCCGACATCTGGAATGCAACAATAAATCGCGCACTCCTTCCCAACAGCACACACACTGCCGTCCTTCTATACAACGTCACAACATCACACAGCAGCTGTGAGAACGAAAAACAATGTCATGCCACCAGGTATATGGGCCGGGGGAAATGGTATACAAAAGAAAGAAAACCTGCTCCATGCTGCGCGGAGGTCCGCACATAGACACACAAACAAGGCACAGCCCATTCTTCCCGCGTTCACATGGGCACAGCCGGGCCGCCTTTACAAAAGAGCATCCCAAACTCACCATCGAAAACAACGAAGAAAAAAAAAGCTTTCAAAAGAGTTTAATAGCAACCGGGCACTCCGAGCAAGACTTGACTTATCTCGTGGGTGGCGCAGCCTGATCTCCTGTGTCGACTCGTTTTCTAGTTGCTTGGCAAACTTACAAATACACACAAGTGTGGATCGCTCGCTCCCTTATGCGGGCCGTATTAGTGGGCAGGTGACCAACAAGACGACTCACTGTGCCGCGGGGTGGCTGACGGCCCAGCAAGATAAGGTCGTTTTCAGTGGATCAGTGGCGTTGGGCGGGGCTTTGCGCTTTTTTTCTCCACAGCGCCGGCGCGCGCGATAATGGAATTGACGCATTCTAATTGCACCACCATTCTCATGTCCGCCCTACAGACCCATCCGACAGGCTTTTGCATGAGAAGGCGAGAGGCCGCTGTGGAGCGAGAAGAGTGCGCGTGTGTATGGTGACGCCCGCGGACAGACCCGATGCATTCGACGTCATCATATCATCATGCCGCCATGCATATGCATCGACAGAGACAGAGATGGACAGGATGGATATGCCGAGCTGGCAGGTCCACAGCTCCACAGGCCGCCCCCATGTTGCGCCGGCGCGCCGGTCCGGAATTCACCGGCATATGACGTAGTTTGCCCAATACAGCTGAATTTGATCGACACGCTGTCAATTTCCCATTCCATTTTGTCCATTTCGTTCAGGTTGTTTGTTTGTGTCCAACTGCTCATGCTGCATATGCTGTATGTGTCCTCGTGTGGCGGCCGCTGCGTCAGTCATACTGGTACAAGAATTCTCCAAGCAGTCGCATAACATGACCCGTTGGGCACCAAATTTTGAGAATCGTGACACCGCTGTCACGCGCATGTGCCGCGCCTGGACCGCGCGTCGTGGGGATTTTTTCTGGCTGTGCCGCACACACCTCTGTCGCGGCGCCAGCGCACGACCCGTCCTTGTCTCGTCGCCATCCAAAGACAAACCTATACTATAGCCGGCGGCGGGTCAGTCCCCTGTGTATGATCTACAGTCACGCGTGCACGCCGCACACGCCACCATGTGCATGTCCGTCGGCAGCAAGCAACATGTGTGTAGCGACAAGGAGGCGTTGTTTCTCTTACAGGAACCAGTGGTGGCGCAGAACCAAAAGGAGGATCACTCAGGTCGTCGGGGCCAGGTCCCATAAATCCATCGTTTGCCAAAGCCGACGTGGTCCCACATGTTCTCCGATAGCGACGAGTCCCCAGTCCACCTTTGCCCCAGGGCCCGTCTGTAGCCCATGTGGACGCATCCAAACTGGTGGCTGTTACATTGCGCAGATCATTGGGATGGGATTCTTTCTGACTCCGGTGTGAGCGAAATGGCAGGGGACTTTCTGTTGTCTGAGATTGATTCTGAGAAAGAGTGGGACGTTGTGTGGCGACGACCACGTCGAGCACGTCCTCGGTGGTTCAGTAGGAGCTGTGGAAGCGTGCAGCAGTCCGGCGGAACACGGTGAATGGTTTCTCCTGGCAATGGCCCACCCAGCACAGCCTGATGCTCGGCCTCTGTCGACCCCTTCCTCACCAAGGCTGACAATCACGACGTGATTCCGCACTGCCGCCGGCAGTCCAGACTTGCTCACGCTCACGCTCATGCCTCTGCCACTTCCGATGTGTCTCCCAGGGGGGGGGGGGGGGGGGGGGCAAGTTGAGAGTGATGTCTTGGTTCCTTCATGTACCACGCGGATGTACCACGCGGTTCTCATGTTGCGTTTTGGTGCACGAAACACCACACGGACTGTTACCACAGTGGCGGAAGCGGGCCGCAGGAATGGTAACAGGCAAAAGAGCAGTGACTGGTGGCCGGTCAACCTGGGCATGCCGCTCGCTTGGACACACAATCCTGCGACCTTCGTGACTGGTATTGAGGTTGAGGGTGACTGCCACGCCACGTTTTGACAAACACAAGTGTGACTTGCCCCTCTGCAGGTCCATTAAGCGAAAACGCACCGGCCGTACTTTCATCCCTGCCTCTCCGCAGCTTGTGGGTCATCGTCCGGAAACAACCCTTCCACGGAGACCTCGTCTCGTCTCGGCGGGAAGCTCGGATGCGATCTGCAGACGGCCAGACGGAACAGAGTGACTGTAAAAGAACACATCCCATCCGCCGGTCGTAGCAAGTTCGGAGGGAGTGACAAGACCGTTACTCGTGGTGACGGGACGCAGAAAAGTGAGCTGAAAAGTCGGGAATTTCTCCAGTTTTCAGAATTATCAAGGGCGGGCCCACACATTGTCGTCGGACCCGTGTCACACCTCGGTATGGCATGCACTTACCGCGGGTCCCGTCGTCAAACAGAAACTGGACGGCATGGGTTTCGTTTCCCCTCTCACGCTAAGCCACATCTGTGTATCTGAGTGATCCGCGTATTTGCCACCCAAGACACCGCGCAGAGCGGTGCGGTGCATTTGCTTTTTTTGCCACCCGCAGACGTCTTAAACCCGGGACGGGACGTTTGTGAGTGTTGAGAGCCGATATCCCTGTGTCTCGATCCTCAGCTTTCAATGTTGCACCCTGCGGAGACGGGGAGGCTGACGGGCCAGCCCATACCGACCTGCAATGCACACCCGTGGGCCACGATACATACAGATACCGTACACACCGCGTTGCCGCTGGCAACACCACTTTCGTGTCAACATAGACCTGTGACTGTGGTACCAGGTCCGGCCCTATACCCCGTCTGTCGCTCTGACGCGTTTTGGGTCGCCGCCGTCGTACTCTGACATACTCACGCTCGTCCTCATCCCATCACCCCCCTCGCGCTAGCTTCCATTCGCCGACGCCACGCATGTCATGTACGAAGCTTGAGAACGACTGAGAGAGTTCCTCGCCGTCATCCATCCACGCCACGCCACGCCACACTCCAACCATGTGATCTGCACTGTTGACCACCGTTTCTGTAACGCCCCCACCCACAACTTACGCAAGTTGGCACGCCCGCCCTAGTCCATGAGTGATGCCGTCTGCATGTGCTGTACATGTTCTCGTGTTGTCTCTTGTGCGAGCGGCTGTGCGGACGACGTCCTCGTGCGTCAGAGCTCATCGCACCCCTGGCCACTGCGGCACTGCACACCCAGCGACCAGAGTGACAGCAGTCACCATCGTGCCGAGCCGTCACACACGTTTGGAGTGCAACATGACGCCGATCCGCCACTCTGACACACGTCGATTATTAATCCCCATCCACCTCCGCCTCACATCCATTCACCGGCCCTGGGGGTAACTGCTATATGTATAGTGTATGGACTGTAACTGGCGTGGCGTCACCACCTGTTGTACTGTTGTGGTGCCGCCGATACGCTGGCGCGCTGGCAAGGGCGAGGCCAGGTTCCTGGCGGGCCTCCTTCCATGGCAGCCAAGAGTGAGCAGCGCAACTGCATTGCCAAGCGCTCATGTGTTCATGTGGCGCATCCACCACCCCTTTCCCACCCTCCCCACCCTCCCCACCTTTCCCGCCGTAATGTTATCCCTCCTCCCGCACCATTAAAGTCGGTAATGTCGGGGACCGACATTGAGGCTGGGACTGGACCAGTCCGGAATGCATTGTGGCAACCGAGCGGGGGTGGAGATGCGGCAACGGCAACGGCAACGCTGGAGGCGTGGCGGGCTGCCGTCAGAACGGAGCGGCGGGGCGCGCGGGTGATGAATGGTGCAGGCGGACTTGTCTGTCTCGCAGTCAGAGTCAGTCAGTTATGCGCATGACCAGGTTCATCAGCTGGTGCGGTGCACTAACGCAGGTGCTTGGCAACAGGGTGACTGTAACTGTGTAGTGTTGTGAACATGTCGCTAAGCAGCAATGTATGGATGTGCATACGCGGACATTGGCAGGTACTGATGCACATACATACTTACTGTACCGCCACTGACTATGCGTTCCAGGCAGGTGGAGTAGCGGCTGTTAGCCCAAAGGCCAAAGGCCAAAGGACAGGCCCATGTGCCAATGAGATTCCCAGCGTGTCTGGAATCAACCATAGCCCAGAGCTGTGTCATGGTAAGCGGTACCAGGCCCTGCCCAGTGCCATGTCGCCGAGGTGACTGAGAAATATGACGGGTAGCGACGAACCTGATGTATGTATGTACATGTTTGTTCCAGTCAAAGACCACTGCAACGACTACGATGACAACACAGTGCACTGTGTGTGAGTGTGAGGGCGAGGGGTATGCAGGTACAGTACAGTACTGTACAGTTACTTACGTGTCGGGTGCCCTGCGTTGCTCTTTAATAGCGGGTAAGCATGCGACATTCATTTCGCAGGCTCTCAAAAGGTGACAATGAAGCCAGGACCCGGAGAACGCAGTCAAACCTAGCTCCTTCGCGCAGCAGTCACTACGCTCGATAAGCTCCAACGCACAAAAAAACACAAAGGGATGCTTGCCGGCCGTGCATGGAGTGGTCGGAGTGGTGGCAGATTAAGGGCAGCGGACTTGCTTATATTCCCAGCAGAAATTAGAGCAAGGTTGGTCGCTCGCTCCAATGTTGCCGCACACGCAACTGCCGCCCTGCTACTACTACAATTGCAAGAGGTCCTCTGCACTTACACATCGAGGCACGCCCGAGAGGTGCAGGTAGACGCCGCCCAACGCAGTGACACGTCAGCAACGACAAAAGATGCCGACACTTTGACTGCCCGACAGCGATAAAGTCGGAGGCGAACACGAGAAAACTGGCTGGAATATTCGTTCCTCTTGTCAACCGGCCGTTCACGACGGCGAAGCGATTCTGCAAACCCACTTGTAACGCAGCAACGCACGGTCGCTATCAACGTTATCGCCCACCCACCTGCATCAAACCCACCTGTCGACCTGGTGAGACGCATCGTGGCCACAATTGTGGGTAATGGTCCCGTCCTGCAAGCCGGACATGTCATGACTCTCAGGAAGTACAAACGCTCCATAGTAATGCCCACCCCCTTGATAGGGAGCCAGCCCGTGGGAGTAGCAGCAACATGCAAGTGGCCGGCAGACTAGGTCGTGCTAAGTCTAAGTCGCGGCGCGAGTCGTCGCGACGATGAAACAGCGCGTGTCGCGTCTGTCATGGTCATATGATCAATGCCCACTCCACAGTATTCTTAGAATGCACGAAGGCCGGTTCGTGTCTAGATAAAAACTGCGTGGTAACGCTTTTCGCTATCAGTGCCGTGTTCTATGGCTTCTGGTCGTGTTGGAGAATGCCGGACAGGCCGCGTTGGCCGGGTTGTTGCGGTTTGCCCGGACGACAACTCGATCGGAAACCTGGCCTCTTGTAGTCTAGAAACGGCATTGTCCTGCCCGATGTGAACTGTGACACGACTGTGGTAAATGCTGTACACACTGTGGAGCGTCTTGAATCGAGCTGACACGGTGTCAAAGCAAACGCTACTCGGCACCGTCAGAAGATGGATCTGAAGCCATCTCCCGACGGGAGTGGACAGAACAAGCAGCCACGAGTTCCGTAATGGGCACACACGACAGTTGCCCACCCCGCCACATGACAAGCCTGTGATCCTGTGACGAATCCGCCGCACGAAACAGTCGCGCCGAAACTGACCATGAGGTAATCTTGCCGCCGGCGAGCGGCATGTGACTCCTAAAGTGCACCAGAACTGACCAACTGGAGAAGGTTGTATCCCGGCGCGAAGGGCCTCTTCTTCGCGCGGCAGCGAAGAAGTGTCCGAGGGCTGGGAACCAGGTTTCATTTCTGTTGACCATCGATGACTCCCAATCCAATGCCCACCACCTAGTTTGTATGTGAGCACACTGGACCGCTCAAAGCATCAACTGCCGGTTCCGCCCATCATTTCATCATTTGACGGCGGATAGCGTGGGGCCGACTTTCGCAAAGAATCTTCCTTGGCGTGACTTCCTTCCGTGCGCAATGTAGAAAATACACGCCACCAACTGACCCTTTGGCCTCTGGCAACGACGACCGTAAGCCAAGCTGCGACGGCCACAGCAAATAGCACACCTGGAGCAGACAACTCCTACTCCACACACCCTTGGCCCTTGGTAAGGGGTTGCGCGGGTCTCCATTGCAAAAGCATGCCGTATTGTACCGCCGGGACCACACAACCCCCTAGACTTCTGGACCGTTTCGGGGTCCAACTTGATCAATCCACCCACGTCCGACACACACGGTCCCTTTGCCACCACGGACGGAATCACACTTAGCAAAGACGTATTAACACAGACCGAGTCCAGACTGAGTGCGCAGTAACAACCACAAACAGCCGTGCCGCCAGTAACACAAACAGCCGTACCGGGCGTCGCGAAGACATGGACGGTTACCCGGCCGGGTGCCTATGCCAGGCATGTGTTATGTATCCCCCACACTCCAATCGCAAAAACTGGGGTTTCGAGGACCGTCGATGCGGAATACAAAAAGGAAGTGGCTACGTACATGCTACATAACTGCCGACTGCTTACTGGAACTCGCTGCAATCTGGTCTCTGGATCTGTGGGATTCTGGTGGCTGGTTTTACAGACTTTGCATTTGTACGGCATTTGGACCGGAAGAGGACGACAGGCCTAGCCAGTGGCCAGTGACCTGCGTAGCACTGGTAGAAGGAAGTCCAGGCGCCAGCACAGACACCAATCGTGACGTGGGTCTAATTTCTCGAATTCTTACACCTGTGCGCACTTGACGTACATGTCTGCACAATACCCAGTCCTGTTGTGGCGGGATTTCCCCGTCCATGGAACCGAGCGAGTAGCACCGCTACCACCGTGTCTTGGACACCAGAGACGCGGTTTGACCAATTTTTCACCGACCTCTGTACATGCTGTGTGCGGGGGAGATGTGTTCTTGCCCTTCGCGTCGTCACCGCGATCAAGACCGAAACATTCTGCCAATTCTTGGGATGTCTCCCACCTGCCTTCAACTCGATGTCTTTGTTCTGGTCTTTCCATACGCTCCATGGATGCCACCTCACGCAGGCATTCACAGAGGGTGAAGGCTAGTGGGGAAGGTGATCTACCTGACGATACATAGCTCACATCTCACGTTAAAACGTCAGCGATCATGCGATCAGCAACGAGGATCCCCCGACAGTGTAAACATTGCCATCTGAAATCGATTAGGACCCAATACTAATGTAATTAGAAAATTAAGGTTATAATTAGAGTTGACGTGTGTTGTTTTTGTTCCGTTCGAAGTGGAGGTCCATCCAGTCATCTAAACACGGCAACACACACACACACCAACAATCTTGTCTTTCCAACCACCATCTCTCTCTCCATTTGAACAACTATGCCGCTCGCTTGAGTCTTGATATACCCCTCCTCTATAACCATGTCCGACGACGAATTCGACGACTTTGACTCGTTCGCCGTAGACGAGAGCTTTCTCCGCCAGGTGGACGACATTGCAGCTCGCGCCGTCCAGACCAACCCCCCTGGCCGGTCTCCCCCACCGGCACTCCGCCCGCCAGTCTACACTGTCCTCGCTCGTGCGGCTATGGCATCCCCTGCTCCCAATCCCGCCAACCCTCCCTTTCGTGCGCCCACTACATCCACGTCGCGCGCCGCACCACTCGCCCGTGCCGACCCCGATGCTGGTACTTCTCGCCGCGCCGCCGCCTTAGGTGTGCGTTTGCCTCGTCCGCCACCAAGCGACGACGACTTTGGGGACATGTCGTTCACTGTCGAGTCGCTCGAGCAGATCGATGCAGCTGTACAGGCCCCTCAGCGTCCCACGTCGGCCACGGGCTCGCGGTTACCTCGCGGCCGCGCTCTCGGGCGCACGACCAGCGGCGGCTTCCAGACGCACTTAAACTTTCACCGCGAGTTCCAGTACACCAAGGGAAAGCGATGGGACCGTACTGCGTTTGCAGCCAGCGGACGACGCGTCGGTGCCGAGTCGGCCAAGAAGAAGGGCAAGGGAAAAGGACGAGCGTACGAGGATGATGATGACGATGACGAAGAGGACTTGGACGACGAACCCCTGGCGCCTCCTCCCAAGCCGCTCGTTGACATCAGTGAGTCTACGATTACCGTCATCCTGCTGACCTACTAGGCAAGCCCTACGATCCCCAAAAGCACGACTACAACCCCATCTCCATCCGAAACTACATCTACCCCACCAACCACCCCAAACGCGACTACCAATACGACATTATCCGCGCGTGCTTTACGGACAACTGTCTCGTTGCTCTCCCTACAGGTCTGGGAAAGACATTCATTGCGGGAGTTGTTATGCTCAACTGTGAGTAGCTCTAAGTGCAGGATTCTCAGCTGACCTCAGTTTACCGCTGGTTCCCTACGGGCAAGATTGTCTTTCTCGCTCCGACCAAGCCGCTCGTCAACCAGCAGATCGAGGCGTGCCAGCTCGCATGCGGTATTCCCAGCGCAGATGCTGCTGTCATGACTGGGTCAAGTGTCAGCGCCAACCAGCGTGCCAAACTTGTGAGTTGAAGGGAGCGCAGGTTCACAGCTGACATCAGTGGGACGAGCGGCGAGTCTTCTACTGCACACCGCAGACTCTGGACAATGACCTCAAGCGCGGGGCCGTTGACCCTCGAGATATTGTCCTTGCGGTGTTTGGTGGGTGCCGAACACACTGATAGTGTGTGCTAACACCCCGCAGATGAAGCCCACAAGGCGTCGGGGTCGTATGCGTATACCACCATTCTCGCATACATCACAGCCCATCACCCATTCTTCCGCGTGCTGGCCCTAACCGCCACTCCAGGCGGCGACGTGCCCAAGGTCCAGGGTGTCGTCGACGCTCTGCACATCAGTCGTATCGAGATCCGCGAGGCTGAGGCCCCCGAGATCAAAAAGTACATGAACGAGAAGGTGAGCTATGATGTGTTTCACGAGAGCTAACAGAAGAAAACGGAAAAGCACGTCGTGGACGCAGGTCCGGTCATTGGAGAACTCCGTGACCGTTGGGCAGCAGTTATGCGCGTGGGTACGGAATCGAGTACGCAAGCTTACCCCACAGCCGTTCATTCAGAAACTAGTTGACAAGAATGTCCTAACGGAACGCGATTTGGATGCCAAGCGCCTCAAACCGTATCGCCTTACTGCCAAGCGTATGGAGATTGGGCGTGACCGCAACTCTGGTCTTATGTGGACGATGGGCCCTCTGCAAAACATTGAGCGCATGGCTCGGGCGATGGGCAACCTGGTGAGTATATTGGCGCCATTCATCCTGCTGACCCACAAGCTCGAATTCTCCCTAACCATGTTCCACTCGACGCTGCTAGAGCTCGCGGGCAACTCGACAAACGATGGCAAGAAGGGCAACTCGCGTGCCGGAGCAAACTCTATTCGCAACAACATCGAGTTTCAGCGCATCCTCAGCGACGTCGAGGGCGAGCTCAACGACATCGGGAGACGACGCAACGGCAAGACGATGGTGGACAAGCACCCCAAGATGCAGACGACGCTCGAGTTGGTACGTCAGGCATCTCAAGGTCATCATAACCTGACATCCCAGCTTCTCGCCCACTTTGCCCAAGCCGAAGAGGACGAGAAAATCCACGGTATCAAGAACGACACGCGTGCCATGGTGTTCTGCTCGTTCCGAGAGTGTGTCCTGGACATTGTGGTGGGTAGAATGGGTTGCCAGTCTCTTACGCCGCAGGACATGTGCAATGAGCACCCAGACCTTCTCAAGGCGACCAAGTTTGTCGGTCAGTCGCAGGGCAAGCAAGAGCGCGACAAGGGCTTCAACCAGAAAGAGCAGAAGAAAGTGAGTCAAACCCCCAAAAGACAGCGCTGACCTCAGACCATCCAAGAGTTCAAAGAGGGCAAGTTCAACATCCTCGTCGCCACGTCCATTGGCGAGGAGGGTCTGGATATTGGCGAGGTCGACTTTGTGGTCATCTATGACATGCCCAAGCAGTCGATCAAGCTCGTAAGTGGGTTGCGCGTAGCATGTCTAACAACCCTCAGCTCCAGCGCATTGGTCGTACGGGACGCAAGCGTGACGGCAAGGTCCATGTCCTCATGTCTCAGGGCCGCGAGGACTTGAACTGGGACACTGCGCAACAGACCCACCGCGACATCCAGGAAGAGATCCTCCACAGTCGCAACCTCGAGCTCTTTGAGGATGTCGAAAAGCTACTGCCCCGCGGCGCGTTGCCAGAATGCGTCGAGAAGGAGATGGATATCGACCCATGGGATCCTGCCGATCAGAAGAAGAAGCGCAAGCTCGCCTCTGCCCCGGAGAAGACTAAGAAGTCGACCACCAAGAAGCGTGGCTACGATGTTCCCGACGACGCACCACAAGGGTTCCAGAGCGTCGCCGAGCTTCTCAAGAAGGCGGCAAAGCGCAAGCGCCAAACAAGCGACGGCGAGGAAGAGGACGATGAAGAGGTGGAGGAGCGCAGCGAGGATGATGACGAGGATGGCGATGCCGAAGACGCCCTGCTCTACGGATCTGTCAAGTCGGCTCGCAACGGTGCGGTCCCCAAGAAGCAAGTTGCTCGTCCGAAGGTCAAGAAGGCCAAGGCTCCCACAAAGGAGGAGACAGCACAAGAGAAGGCACGCGAGCGCGACGAAAAGCAAAGGCAAGAGCGCGCTGCCGCCGAGGCCCAGCGCAAAGAGAATGAGGCCGCCGAGCGTACGCGCCTCAGCCGCCAGGCCATCGACTTCTTCAACACGCAGGGCCTTGTGCGCAGGCGCAGCCCAACGCCTCCAAGCTCTCCTCCCAAGTCTTCACCTCCGTCATCGCCTGTCGGACAGGCTGCAACTACCGTTCAGAATGGTATCAGGCTGTCTCCTCGCACAGCTGCTGCTGCGGGTTTCTCCCAGATTATCGACTTCAGCTTCGACGACGATGACGAAGACCCCGACGAGCCTGTCATCTTCTCCTCGCCGCCCCGTCGCGCGCCGCCTGCTCGTACCAACCGAGCTTTGGCAAACGACATGCCCCCACCACCCCTACCGAGCTCACCAATCCGCCGTCAGAGCGCAGCCATTGCTTTTGATACGCCCCTTGGCGACACTCCTGTTGCCGTCATGACACCCAGCACCGGACCCACTCCCTTCCCGGTCCGTGGCGGTGCTCGCCGACGAGCCTTTCCGTCCTCTGATCTAGATGACAGCCCTGCCCCGCGCCCACTCCAGCGCCTTCGCCGTCGTCTACCGAGCACGGAACCCGCTGAGCCCGAATCTCCCGCACCACCACCACGACCTCGATCCCGCCCCCGAGACCCAGCCCGTCGCGAACGCCACCGTGCAGCGGCCAACACCCTGATGGAGCTCGACGCCGGCGTGTCTGGCTCCGACGTATCGTCCGATGAGTCCTCGGGCGTCGAAGACGACAGCGACCGCCGTTTCGCAGGCGACTTCCAGGCCACTCAAGCTCCCAGAGGCTACAACCAACGCGCGGTGTATGCTGCAGGTTTGAGCACACAGGGTGGTGCCGGCGTCGGCCTGGGGTTCGCGAATGGAGCCGACCGCAGGGCCGCATTCATGGCCAAGGCGCGCCGCGCCGTCCTCGTCAGCGACGACGAGAGGAGCAGTGACAACGAGTATGAGTTGGGAAGCTTCGTGTGTGATGATGAGGACGAGATGGCGTTCATGTGTAAGTGAACCTCTCAGCTGCGCGCGCCGCTCGGAAGCTGACTCCCCACAGCGCAAAGTGACCCGCTTGGAAGCGGCCTGTGAACGATACGAAGATGTAAACGAAGTTGAGGCGGTCCCTGTACGCATGTAGTGTTGCATTATGCCTATGCCTAGTCATTGTGGGGTCTTAAAAAGTCGCACATTCACCAACCAGGGTTGCGAGGGACCAACTTGGTGGCGGAATGTTCATTGCCCGTTCCATCCCTTTATCATTTCTTCTCAACACCACCCTCATGACCCCGCACCCAACTGCACCTCATAACCTCATGCACCTTATGCATGCGCATCTCCTCGCCACATGCATGGCTAGCAAACATCACTCCTAGGCCGTTCATCGGACATAATCGGCGAGATGGCCGAGCGGTCTAAGGCGCTGTGTTAAGGTGATCCACTCCTCTTCGTGAAGAGTTGTCATCCGCAGTCTTCGGACGTGGGTTCGAATCCCACTCTCGTCAGAAGGGGCTTCATTGCCTCCCAAGCCAAGCTTTTTGGACGTCTGGGAGATGTGGAAGAGTGTCGCAGGGACGGGGGACGGTTGGCAGAAGTTTTGGTGGCGGAGGGGACGACTCGTCCACCAGGAATGCCACGCTCGATCCTCGAACACACTTTGGTCCTGGTGCACCAGTGGGAGGAGCTCGACGTGTATGTACCTCAAGGATCTGGGGGAACAGTCTCCAGCATCTAGCAGCAATGGCAAAGGAGGTGACGTAAGCGGCAAGATGGCCGAGTGGTCTAAGGCGCTGTGTTCAGGTGACTGCCTCCTCATCACTGAGGAAGGTCGTTCGCTTCGCAGTCTTCGGGCGTGGGTTCAAATCCCACTCTTGTCAATACAGGGGCTTAGCTGCCTCCAGAATACCTTTTTGGAGGGGTTGGAGGGAAGGCAGAATGAGAACTAGACAGGCGAGGCTAACTAACTGGCGGCGAGGGAAACCCCCGTCGACGAGATGTGCTCCGGTCCACAGGGAGCGAGGGTTCATTTTGCATGTGATGGTGGGTGATTGAGGAACTGAGGAGAGGATGCCAGCTGTCTGGTTACCGGTCAGTTGTTCTGCTGTCGGAGAGGCTGTGGGACGGGTGTTGAAGGAGGCATGGTGGAAGAATCCGAACGGGCTCAGATGAAATCTAAGACGCGGCTGATTTTGGCTTCCGGTGTACGGTGTGAGACCTGTTTTTTCGCCACACCGCTTTCGATCGGGTGAGTCAACTTCCTTCCTTCTTCTCTCCCATCTCCACCATCGTTTTCACGGCAACCTCCTGCACTTGCATCCTCCCACAGCCATTGCACCACCCATCCACCCTGCATCCTCTTCTTGTTGCTCTTCTGTAAAGCGGCCTCCAGGCCTCGGCCAAGATGCCTACAGCGTGGCCCCAAGTTCCCACAGAGGATAAATACATTCCCTCCCAACCCAGGCCATCAAACGCCCCGGCTACAACCAAGTACGACCCAGTCCTTTTGTACTCTCGTCCAGGTTCAAGAGTCGCTTCTCGCTCCACTTCACCAACACCAGCAGACGGCCTTCGCAGCGGTGGCCTGTCCCCGCAGAACACGGGTGGTTCCACGACCGGTATCCACTTTCCTTCCCCCATGATTCGGAATATGCCTAGCATCTCGTCACTCACCAGTCAACACATCTCAAGCCATGGTACTCGCGACAGTCCTCTTTTGCCAGCTGTACCACCTTTACCGCCTCTGCCAACATTCGCCGCCGCCGCCACCACCAGCGGACGTCCCCAACCACCCCCCAAGCCGTACCAGACATACCCGCCAGCCCATAAAGAGCTGCCATGCGTGGCTAGTGCAGAGATGGAGAGGCTCAGAGAGATGGCCGAGGTAAAGAGCATCGCTTCCTCTCCAGACCCAATCGCATCCTCTCCAGGCCCAATCACATGCCCTGTTGCGGCCGCGGCCCCCCCACTCACTGCGATGACCCCGAACCGAGCATCCCAGTTGCGCCCTTCGGCACCTTCCTTCCGCCCGTCCACCCCAACGGACACGGGTCCAACCTACCCACCGACACGCGTGTTCTCCTCTGGAGCTACCCATCCCGGTCAACAGCCATACTCCCCTCACACTCCCAGCGTTGGCTTCTACCCTGACTGGCTTCCCGCAGCGGATTCGGAGCTGCTCCAGGGTGGTTCTCCACCACAAACATCCGGGTTCCAGTCCTTCACTTCACCTTTCTCCCCGAGCCAGCAAGCCCAGCAGAAGGAGATAAGCAGCCCCAGTCTTGATGCTGCAGCTACCGCTCCTGCCATCTACCATCGACCCGGGGCTGCCAAGGAGGTTCTCTCGTCTACGGTCAACGTACCTGCGACAGCCGACTCCACTCCTCGCCCGTCCAAGATTGTGGCTGTTAGCACAGCTTCCACAGCGACACCTACTCAAACCATTGGGACTCGAGCCTCTGGCCTCCAATCGAGGTTGCATTCCGAAGTGGAAAACGTTAAGGACATCCACCGTGGCGGCGGTGAAATACTCCAAGATTCCCTTCTACCCCAAGCCCAACCGTCCTCTCCCGCTTTCAGCGCCAGGCCCTCACCAGAAGGACCAAGGCTCAGCAGAATCCCTGGTCTGGGCGGCCAGTCCAAAGCAGCTTCCACTGTATCGTTGTCTCCACCAGAGGCGTTTGTGTCTCGACCACCGAGCACACAGCCCCCAGTTCCCCCAAAGCGCCGTTATGGTACTTTTATCCCAGAAGGTATTCCGCTCAAGCGGTCCAACTCGCCATCGCCAAGTATCGCAAGTCTCTCTAGCATATCCAGTATCTCCACCCTCCCAAGCCCACCACGGAGCAAGACTGCAGGTATGACCAACCTCGAGTTCCTCCAGATGATTGCCAACAAGAAGCGCCGCAACGCTGCCATCAAGGAAGCAGATACAGTCTCACCAGTCGCCTCCCCAAGCACGATCATGTCCCAGGACGACGTCGGACATGTCTCTTGTGGACCACCTACTGTCTATCCGATGGCCAACTCGTTCAGCATGGTCACATCCGCGGAAGGGTCCAAGCCTGTTCCTTTAACAAGTCTCCCGCCTCCCACCCCACCAAAGCGCGAGGCTCTGCTGCCGTCCATTCCAACACCGACTTCCTCAACCCCGCTGGCTAGTTCGCGTAGGCAGGTTTCTCCCCGCCCCCCAACGGCTCCAGTTCCGCTTCGAGCCCAGTTGGCCCCAACTCCCTCGGATTATGAAACCCCCTCTCAAGGGGGGGCGGGCTCTAGGAGGGAGCAAGTCACGGAACCACCAGGTATCAGTACGAATGATATGGCCCAGGTCAACCCTCTTGCTACTACACCTTCCACTCAGAATCCTCAAACTGCCGATGACAAGGGGACGGACCACGCTGGGGATGAAAGCGAAGACAGTGACAAGCAAGACTCTGCTTCGCCAGCCTGGATTAGACCACTTGAGCTGGCAAGCAAGGCCACATCGTCCACTCCACGAAAGGCGATATCTTGGTCGCCTCGGGCAACCCCCAAATCGACTGTTCGCGACCGTGGCACCATGTCTGATCACCGCACGAAGCTTCCTTCGATCTCGATCATTTCCAACCCTCTCACCTTTGTCACCACAAACGCGTCTCCTGTGCGTACCCCAAAGACTTCCCGCCCAACCTCCATGATCAGCCTCGACAAGGGAAGCCGTAAGGCTCTCGAGGAGATACAACGTGTGCAAGACTTTCCCATGGGAGTGCCCACGAGCGGCGGGGAGCAGAATCTGGCTTCACTTGTCCCCGCGGGGCTTTCGTCAGCCAACAAGAAGCCTACCACATTGTTGCAACACGTCAAAAAGGACAATATCATCCGCGAGCGAGTTGTCTCGGCTCCAGGCCGGCATCACAAGATCCCCACCCTCAATCCGAACGCCAAACCCTTTGTCGTTCGAGGCCACGCGCTCCAGGCCGCCACTATCCCAACTTTTACCAACCCCAACTTGACCACCAATCTCAAGGCGCCCACTTCACTGGCTCCTCCATACGTTGTGCCTATCCCCGGCAAACTTCCATGCACACCGGTCAACAGTCCCATGGTGACATTGGTCAAGAAGGCTAGTTCCTCCACCAAGGCCGCTGGAGACGTTTTCGAGCCCCCAGGTGGCATCCCTGTTCCTATCTCGTCGAGCGGGTCTGTTGTTTCGGAGGATCATGATCTATCCTCGTTCCAGGTGTTGGGAACTGAGTCCGACCCGTTTGAGTTTGTCGATCAGCTGTCTCACCCGAATCGCTCCATCGGCGCAGACGCTGTGGGTACCAATCTGGAGCCACTCGGAGACCCCCTCGCTTTGGACGGCTTCAGACTGTTGGGTCGCCAAGTGGAGTTCAACGACAAGGGCAATGGAAGCAAGAAGAGAACCAAGCGGTACCATGTCAAGGAGGTGTCCGAGGCAAAAGTGAGCTGTCCAGACTGTTGAAACAACATCTAACATGTACAGAAGGACTCGGCGCAGGGTCAGAAGCACACCTCGCAGAATCCGCCTTCCAACGAATCTCAGCCATTCAACACCCCAGTTCCCCCGACACACGAGAACCAGCTGCGCGCCTCCTTGGACACATACCGCCTCCTCGCCACTGGCGCTTCTGGTATTCTCCAGGGCACTACGCTTCACAATGCGCTCGACGCGTTCCGGGTAACTGCCGAGCTTCAGGCGGGATACAACAGCATGGTCGCCAACCAGTTGAAACTTGTCGACCTGCTCAATAAAGGCGGAGCTGACGATGACCCAATCTATGAGATGTGAGTGGGCAGTATTGCTTTTGACACTGACGGGTAGGCTCACACACGCCCTGGAAGCCAATGGCGAACACCTCAACTCGCTCCACGAAACCCTCTCGCTTATCAACCACCTCCGGAACCAGGATGTCGAGACTGCTTGGGCGCAGCATGGTGGTCGGCCCGAGGAGGTCGAGTCGGATGTTTGATAGTGTCGATGTCGGGTACGCCTCCTCTATGAGGTTCAGTATGCACAGAGTTGCTTGTCTTTCAGTTGGAAATCAGTTTGCTGTCAGGTACAAACGGCCGGGGCGGCAAGTTCAACACATCTCGGGATGACTGGTCCTGGGGCTTCCGTTTCTTAATCACAACACTTTCCTCATCGTTCGCCACTTCCGAGGCCATGTAATCTCCCGAGGGCCATATCTACCTGGGTACTGTAATATCACAGTATACATTACGCATGGCTTCATCAGCATACATGGCGCTTTCAGCAGAATCGATCATGAAGTCGGTTATCACACTCAGTGACCCGATTCTCCTTTGAAGCTGGACGTCTCCTCAATACCACACTTGTCACCCACGAGCTGCTTCTCGGGGTCCTCCTCACTGGCGGTCTTTTCCTCCATCAAAGGCTGCTCCTCAACCACACTCTTCTCCTCATCGATGGCACTCGTTCCCACGTGCTGCTTTGGCGTCTCATCTCCACCTGTTAATCAGCGCTAATATCCCCCAAGTGTAACCCACCAAGGTAGCGTGTTGGGACCTTCCAAAACTCCTCGGAGGGCGGGTGACGTTCCATAAACTCGGTAAAGCGGCGAGTCTGCTCGCTGTCGTTGTTTGCGTCCTCGGCACGAGCCCAGTCGTGGATCTTGGGCAACCAGTTCTTCATGATTTGCGCATGCTTGTCCATGGGCGTGCGTTCAGCCGCGAGCTCGGCAAAAGGCAACAGGTACCGAGCCGGGAGGCAAGCGCCGACATCGTCAAAGTGGGTGCGGAGGATGTGGTCGGCGAGGCCTTCGTGGGTGCGGAAGCTGGTTGTAGGGGGGACAGACAGTGTCAGCGCAAACGTCCCTCTGAGAAAACGACCAACTCACCTCTTACCGCACACCTGCGTTCCGAGGCGCTTAGTGAACTCGTATCCGGGACACACAAACATTGGCGGCTGGACTTTGCCGTTCACCTCGGGCGGGTCATGGCGGAGGGACTCGAGCCAGCGGTGGCCCGTAGCGAGGGGAGAGTGGTAGCTGAGCCTGTGGACGGCCAGATCGCGGCGGGAGTAGTACTTCCACACGAGCTCCCACGGTGTGTAGCTGTCCTCGCGGCAATGGTCGCAGTCGTACTCGGTATCGACAGCAGGGACGGCATCTTCGCCCCACACGGGATCCTCGAGCGCAACTGTGGGGTTAGAAACCGTACTGGGTTTGGAGCGTTGGAGACAGCATGGATTCCGATCGCGGGAACGATCATCATGGATCCGGGGTGGAATGGTGGGAACGAACACACTCTGGGAGGAAACCTCGTCCTACTCACACATTATCTGGCTGCTCAGCCACGACTCGGCCGCGGCAAGGTCGTGCGGAGGTTGGGTAGCTGGGAGTTCAAGAGCCATCATGTCAGCACCAAGCGCCTCAGCAAGGGCCGAACGGACGGCAGGTGGAGCCTGGTTGGGGTGTTTGAGCAGCGAGCGGAAGTTGGCCCTTTCATAAAGCAGAATACCGACGTTGGCTGGCTGTCAGCTGATGGCGGGGTGTTTGTAGTGGACGCACTCTGGTCCACCACCGAGCCTGAGCCTGAGCTTATCGTGTGGGTGTCTTCGGAGTCCTCGCCATTGTCCTTTTTGATGCTGTCCTTTCTGTCACCAATACCTAGGATCTCGAAGCGGTGCACGAGCGCCGTATGCGTGCGGGAATACATCTCGCCAAGCCGCGCCGGAGTGAGGTTGGGGAGGGAGGAGTACTGGCGGTGTTAGTCACTCAGTATACACCACACACGTCCATTACTGATAACTCACAGGTTCCTTGGACGCCCACGGCAGGTTCCAGCCGCGCATGCACAGGGCGAGCATACCCATACCACGAGCGAGGAGCAGCAAGCCCGGGTCAGTTGCGGCGGTGCCGAGGTCGGTGGATGGGGGGAGCAGGAGGCCCCACCGGATGAGATCTGACGGTTTCTGGAGGTCGATATCGCGGACCATGGATGGTGGATGGGTGGTGATAAGTATGATTGAGAGAACGAGGACACGCTTCTGGGGCGTCTTCTTGTGTTTGATTCATGATTCACGGGTGATGGCACGTTTGGGGCGCAGGCGCTGGACCACCCACCAGCCGTATCCACATCGCAATGCCAATTGAGAATGTTGGGTGTTGTTTTGGACTTTGCTCTCCCACAAGCGGCGCATACTGTGGTGGATACATGCAATTAGAGTATTTGGTACAGTAAAAAGTGAGAAAAGGCCCGAAAATCGCCCAAAAATGCCCCCAACACCACATCTAGTGATAAGCAAGCGGATAGTTCATCCGCCAAAAGCGCTCGTCGTCTGAGCGTTCCTTTTCCTCCTCTTCCATCTGCCTTCGCAAGTGTGGAATCACCTGCTTGGCTGTCTCCCCGTGAACATTGTTCTGTGAGGCCATAACCTCAGCCAGCGTGAGGATATGGGCACATGGGAGATTGGGAATACGTCCCTCATGTGCGTGCCTCGAGAGGATGTGGTAGACGAGCTGGGTCCTCGTGTTGTACCAGATGGGGCACTTGAGGACCGGACACTTGTACTTGCTGACGCGCCACATGCTCCCCGACATGTAGCTGTGGTTGAGGGTGTTGATCCAGCGATACGCGTCGGCGATGGGCGAGTGGAAGTTTTGCATGTGCCGTTGCAGGCCTTCCGGGGTGTAGTACCTCCCAAAGTAGCGAAGAGGGACATTGAAGTCTTCACAAGCTTCGCACTGGAGCTCGCGATACCCATCATCGTCGAGGGAGTAGTCCTCCTCGTCCGAGTCGCTGTAGTCCTCGGACGTGACGTCGTTCTCCATGTACCAGCCGGTCACTGAGGTCAGCCAAGGGGACATGCTCGACCACCATGTTATGTACTCACCCCCCTGGGTGCCTGGGTATTTCTTAAGGAGCCCTTCGTCAACGAACAGAAGAAGGGGCTCGTCACTCTTTACAGCAATGCTGAGAATGTCGCGACCCACGGCCCGCCAGAAGGCCACTGGGAGCGGTGAGCGAGTGGTGGCCCCCGGTATGTTAGCGACGCTGGCCAAGAACTGGTCGACGGCGGAGTACATGGGCTGGGCCTCTTCGGTCAAGTATGGGTCCTCGTTCCCTCCCCAAGCACCTATAGAACGCACACGCCACCTGAGTGCCGCAATGGAGCGGCGGTACAGCATCTCGGGAGCGTCACCATCCTCCTGGGACATGATGCGGAACTGCCTGCGTCAGCACTCTGTACCTAAAACTCCACGCAGAATAGGGCCAACACCATTCACTATATACATACTCACAGGGACCATATTTTTCCACTCCACGTCCCAGTGGCTGTGGCACATGCCGAGGAGGCGGATGCACGCAGCAAACGCCCGCACACCCAAGTCGGACGCCAGGTCGACTCCTCGTTCGAGGTCCGGGGGGCTCTGGCCAGCAAGGGCCCAGTGCACCACGGACTCAGCGGGAAGGGCGAGAAGGTCGTCCATGCTGGGATAATTGCGATGGGAGAGGGAACCGAGCTCGAATGTCGTCCTGGCTGTGGGCTGGAATTTGACCTGGAGCTTGGTCCTGGGCACGAGCCTCGGCAGGGTGTGGTCGGTGGGCAAGGGGGTGGGGCGTGCAGCGAGGGTGATCACCTGGGCAGTGGTGGTGGCTACGGAGGCGTCAGGCATGATGGGTGAGGGAATGCAGGTAACGGTCGGATGGTTGGTATATGGAGACCCCGTACGGGCCATGATATTATAACTTGCTGGGTACTGTACATGAGCACATCCATGGGTGCGAGAGGTGGTGAGGATCGATGACGATGGGTGTGTGCATCCCACTCCAACGGGTGTGGTCGGGTTTCTCTTGGAAGCCAATCCTCTTCATCCCATAAGCCATGCTTCCCAGGCTCCCGTCCGAGAACGGAACCGTGTCGGTGACGGCGCTTAGATTCAGTGGATGCATGAAAAAGTGTATGTGTGTGTATGACCTCGGACACTCTCTGACGCACTTCGTGTGGCGACTCGTCGGCTACAACTGTTCACCGTTCCTCTGCTCTGCCCTTCGCAACAGCTGCATCGTGAGGTCTTGCGCAGTGTGCCAAAACGGGTCATAGGCATTCCAGGTCATTTCTTGGCTGGAGGACTGCTGCCTTTGACCTCCGCTCTCAAATGCCCTGTTAAACAAGAAATCGAGGTCAAGTGGGTAGTCGGAGGCTGTGTCTGGGTCCTCCTCGGTCATATCGAAGTCCTCATACCTGTCACCATAGTGGTCGACACCTGCGTCCCCCTCAAGTCGGTAGCGAAAAACACTGCTATCGTACAGTTCCTCGTATTCAAAACTGTGCTGAGCAGTTCCGGGGCCGCGCACTGGATGCTGGGAAAGGTTGTGGGCCATGAGCCCAAGCATGATCTCCAGATGCGAGACGTTACTTGTCCCATCCCTATACTCGGCTCGACCCTCGCGCTTCCATCCACAGGGCGGAGTAACGAAGAGGCGGGCAGTGGGATCAAGAGAAGAATGTCCGGCGACGAATGCAGCGTTTCCGTTGTATAGAGGGACACCAGGGAGAGCCAGTGGGACACTGTAGCCACCACAACCCATGATGTGAACTAGGGCTTCCTCAAGGTAGGGCAAGCCGCTAAAGCGCTCGTCGATGAGAAACGAGACTTTCCCGCTTGTATGGAGATAGGCCATGGCCACACCCTCCTCCTTCGCAAAGCGGGAAACCGACTCCAACATCTGGTCGTGGGCTGTGCGAATGGGTTTGATTTCACTGGCTTGAGCGACATTAAACTGTGTCGAGTAGAGTTGGGTCCGTGGAGGCCGGAAGATGATTGGCAGGTCAGGGATGATGTTCAGGAGGCCTGTTGACGGGTCGCCATTGTCATTGGTATTGTATTTCCCACTCTTGTCTCGTTTGCGGACTGGGAATTGAACGGTAGACTGGGGACGGAGGGCTGGGAGGTCTGATGACATGTCTGACCACGCAAAGAGCTGTCGAATGCCCGGCTGACCAAGGAACACCTGCAGGACCCGGGTATAGTCGTTGTTGATCTGGTGTTGAAGCTCGGCCTGAGTGAGTCAGAGCTTGTACCTCACTGCACGAGGACCCAATTTACCTACCTCGTTGATAAGGTAATGTCCATCCGCCTCAAGCCGTTGCCAGGCCATCAGCCGCTCGGCCACATGGTCTGTGATCTCCTTTGGGCACGGTGCGTCCAGAAACTCTTGAAGACACCCGATTTGATCGTCTACGTCGTCGCCGACCCAACCTTGGATCTTGATTCCCCACTTGAAGGGATCATCCTTGCAAACCAGGGGGTCAAGAGTGAACAGCCATTTAGCGCTAGTCTTGACGTCGTATGTGGAGATGGATTGACTTTTAATGGGACGGTTTCGTGGATATCCAGGTTCATGAGCCCATGGAATCGTCCTGGAGTCAATTTGCCGGAATACGTCGCGCCAGGTGGACATGCCGGCGAAGTAGAGATGTATTGAAGAGGCAAGGGACTCAGAGGTAGCTACAGACTTGCAGCGTGCATATGTACGTTAATAAAAAGGCATCACTGATGCATATTCAAGTCTCAAGCTGGAGCTGGTGGGGCAAAGGGTCACGGACCGTGTAAATGCCACAAAATGTGGCGTCCGCGCCTGTGTGCATGTGTGTGCGCGGTGATGGTGTCTGTGTCGGTGTAAAATGTGTGCATCACTCGCACTCTCGTCACATCATTTTTGCTGTTTACTCACTCTGATATCCGTCTACCGTACCGTTCATCAGTTCTACATCCCCTCTACTACTTCCCATCGATGGACAGCGTCAGAACATCGCCCAATGCCCCGCTGGCTGCCAAGGCCGAAGATGGCGACAACCGTCCCTCTGCGTTTCCCCGTTCAAGCTGGCAAGGCACCTCATTTGGATTTCCTCCCTTCGCTAAGGATCGTGATAATGAGCAGCAAATCCACTGGGCCTGTCGAAAGGCTAGCAAGTTGTGGGCCCACATTGCCTCCAGTGCTCCCCAGACGGACTGGGCACAGCTCGGCAACCCAGGCTTCAAGTTGGCAATTGTAGACAGGGTGCTTGGGATATGAGTTCGTCTACTCGCGAACAACCCACTGACGAGGAGAAACCTATGGCGTCGCCGCAACGACGTTAAGTTACGATGCATCCCCAACACTGTATCGGAGTGGGTCACAATTACCAACGGCTACGTTGAGGAGGTGTACGACGAGGCGGTTTTGGCCTTCGAGCAGGCGCTCAGCGGCGAAGAATCCCCTCTCCAAATGCCGTCCAGGCTCGAGGTGCTCAACTTCGCACGCATTCTCATCAACCACACCTTCAGGCGCACAGTCGATTCGCGGCAGTACTTCACCTTCAGTGAACGCGGTTTCTTCGATCCACTGTCCCTCGGAGACTTCGCGCAGAAGGAGGGCGAGGTCAAGGTCGTCACACGCACCGTCCAGTTCTGCAGTCCAAGGGAGGCACGCGCAATCATCAACACCATGGCAGGGAGACACAACACCGCCACGTATGAGCAGCGTGCTGACCGTGCCAGGAAGGTTTGGGCGGAGCGTTTCAAGGAGGACAATCACGCCACTCAGCCAGTTGCAACGACCACGGGCCCCAAACTCGAACCGACCGCGGTGCTTCCTTCTGCGGCCGTTCTCCTTCCTGTGGTGACAGGACACTCCTCCCAGCAGACCTCTGCCCAAGGTGCCATTACTACATCTATCCCAGAACCACGCGCTCACACCGTGCCGTCGTCGCCACTCGGCACACCCCTTGCACCCCAACCAAGGCACACCACGTCCATGAACAGCCTCCGTACCCACGCTTTGGGCCAGGAGTCCTACTTCCAAGGTCCGATCAGCCACGCTTACGAAGGTGTTGTTCGAAACGGAGCAGTGTCGGCGCCGATAGTTTAAGCCATGTTTGAGGAATGCATGCAAAGTGACTGGGACAAAAGCTGGGATGCGCGCGCTACTGCCTCGACGCGTCATACCACCAACATTGAGCATTGTGAACCGAGTATTCGCCCACGATTTTGGCCCCCGCGGCCGTCAACGAGGGCTGGTGTGTTGCTTGGGTGCTTTGACGGTCACAATCAGAGAACCACGTATCGGCCACCAGGCCACCGGGTTCGACCCATGGACGGGGGCATAGTGTGTTTCTCCAGGGTGAGGTCACGTGATTTTGAAAACAATGAGAACCAAGTATTAGCCCGACTTGGACCCCCGGCCGCACCGACTGGAGGGATAGTGTGTTTCTCCTGGCCCAATCACGTGACTTGAGAGAGGAGAGAACGACCCATTCGGCATACTACTGCGAACCCCAATCGTACAGACGGCGGGACTGCATGGTTTTTTTCTCAACGGTTGGGAGGGGCTTACGCGATCTGAAAACTGAGAGATTAATGTATCAGCCGACATAACTGTGGCGCGAATGAGCTCAATCCGGCAACAGCATCAACCGCCTTATCAGTCAGGATGCCCACAGCCGCGTACAGCCGAGCAATACTGACACACGCACTGGTGATCAGCTGGATCAGGGATCGCCGCCACGTTGTAGTATTTCCAATGTTAGCATGGTGCACCACGTCCAAGCCGCTCCATCTGTACGATCACCATCAGCTGGGTCTTCTGACGCTTCTGGCGTCGGTGGACGGTTGGGTGGACGGTGTGGCAGTGGCAAAGGGGATCTGATCGGCAACCCAGGTTGCCGACTGACGAAACGCCACAGCAACGATATTTTGCCCCAAAGTTTCCAGAGCTGTCGGTGTAGACCGAAAGAGACCAAGGCCGGCAGTTATAGACGTTTCGGGCCGCCAAACGGCTCCGTCTACCGGTGGCCGGCCGGTGGCTTGATCGGCCACCAGTGCGATGCCCTTGCCTCGGTCTAGGACAGTCCAACTGACCACCGTGCTGCGCAACCTACGAGCCAGACCGAAGCCCGCGTAGGGTTCATGGCAGCACTTAACCCAGAGAGTGGGTGGGTGGGTGTCAGTCAGCACGCAGAGTCATACAATAGCCAAGGCCCTGCTGGAGAAGCAGCTCGCGTAAACCGAACGACGACGGCAGAAAGGGATGCATACTGTGCCGTCTCAGCCGGCTTCGTTACCGGCTTCGTTAGGATATACGCAGTGGCCATTCAGGTTGCGGCTGTGGCTTTGTGTAAGGTCCCCCGCCACAACCATTGTAATCCTCGGCTTAGAAACGTACAGTATTGGAGAGTAAGGTCACAGGCCTTCTTGAACGGAATGGTGTAAGATGCAGCGTAGACGGAGTGGCTTGGAACCGCCAGCTGACAGCTTGTCGGCGGGAAAACCCATTCCGTGTCCACCCCGGGTCCGCCACGGAAGAGTTCACTGGCGTCGACTTCCGCGTCCTTGTGTCTGCCATTTGGAACACGGAACGTGGCATGCAAGTTCGAAAGATCAAATGCGTCCGCCTTCCTCCTTAGCATGACAAATTTGAAGGCACAGTTGGGATCAGGAACATCACCTGGAATGATTTGAAGGAGGGTGACGGTCGCAGCAGAGAACACTTCGCAGTACCACTGCCGCCCATGCCGCCTGCCTTCCCCGCACTGCACCCGACCGGTGAACCTGTGTCAATTGCGCTGGGTGTGTGTGCTAGCTGTGTATGCAACGAAGACTCTGTGCGGTACCGAACGGGCCGGGCCGGCATGCCATATAGTACACGACAGAGCAGGTGCCTATATCACAACTGACACCGCAGTCACGGACTGGATCTGTTCAGTGACACTGATGAGGTGAAGATGGCCTTGCCTGAGCGCATGGCGCATGCATGTAGTGGGCAGTGGGCGGTGGGCGGTGGGCATCCCTCTTGTGCCCTTTACGCCTCTCTCGTCCTCCTCAACCCTCAACAGGAATCCAAGGCTGTGTGTGCAACTTGGAACAATGTGCCGAGCAAGAAACAGGCTCCAGGTGCACCAACGGGATACTTTGCAGCTGCGCAGATGGCTGAGCTGTCAGGTAGTCACTTGGGGTCCTCGATCAGTAGTGTGAGAAAGGTCCAGAAGTGGGTGGACGCGACGGCGCCGGTGGGATTTGTGGGTGGTGAGGCGGCAACTGGCGGCATCGTCTTTGTCAACAACAGTAGTAGTGCGTACGTTGCAATCGACCTCCATCAACAGCAGACAACACAGTGAGATCTGGAAGCGAGGTCTGCGATCTCCTGATGCCGCTTCGGCTAGGTAAGCGTTCTCTGGCAGCGTTGCATCGCGCGCAGAATGCGCAGATACGTGGCTTTGGAGGGATCTGGATCGATCTGGGTGACGTCTTCAAGCCTTGAAATGAGCATGCCCTTGCCCGAGGTCGTGGATTAAATATGAACGGAATACACTCGGCCGTACGCAACGGGTTGCCGGCGATCAGCGACGGTGTGTGGTGGAGGTGAGCGTCGCTTTTCGGGTTGCAAGGCCGTTCCAACCGATGTTCGGTACCGGTGCTTGGAAGGTACTGCCTTGGCGCCGCGGCGTCGAGAGAGCAGTCAGTAACACGCTGTCGCAGCTCATCCGAGCCCCGCGCGCGCGCGAGGGCCGGCCACAGCCTTTTCCTTGGGGAAGCGCAGCATGGCCGTGTTGGATGTCCCTGTGACCAATACTTGTGTCAAAGGCGCCCGGGTAGACGGAGGCCGTCTTGCTCTCCTTTTTCTCGTTTGCTCCTGACTGCCCCGGGGTTTATTGGCACTCGTGTGTCAGCTCGAGAGGAGAGGGAGGAGACGCGGTCATGTGGGACCCAAGTCAATCCATATCCGGATAGGCGTTGAAAGCTTGGAAGACTGGAAGGCCGACGGGGTTGAACGGGGCACCTCGGGGGTGGGCGGGCATCTGCACAAGGGGTGGAATAACCCACCGTCCCACCACACGGCGCGGTATGTGACGGGGCCTGCCCGGGGCAACGACGGAGGGAGAGGGGGTTGTGCACTGTAAGGTGAGGGGCTGACGCGGGGGCCGGCGGTCGAAGCGAGGCAAGACATGATGTGTGTGTGGTCGACTGTGTGTAGCACGCGCGCGCGCGTGCCGTGCCGCCTGATAAGCGGTTTGGAGTGAATGTGTGTTGCAGAAAAGGAAGGAACCCCCCCCTCACCCACTCGCCAACCCCCACCTCCCCCCGGTGTCCGTCACCAAAACCACACCACCCACTCCCTCCACCCTCCCTCACCCGCCACCACTCCTCCGGCTTGCCACCCCCTCTCGTCAAACGGTCCCATGTCGATTGGAAACGTGCATGCGCCGCTGCTCGGCCTCGCCCTCGAGTGCGCCGAAAGCCTGCCGCAAGAGCTTTCTGGGTGGATGACGTGGTACCGCGAGACGGAGGCTGCGGAGCAAGCTGCTGTGGCCGCCGCAAGCCCCCCCGGCACGGCGGAAAAGACCCAGTCGGACAATGTGCAGCGCGCCATTGCAATGGTCAAAGTGCTCTCTGCACCAGTGTCCACCATCTTCATCCCCAGACTCGACTTTTGTCCTGCAACCTTGCCGTGGGACTTTGAGTGCGTGCGCGTAGCCCGGGCATACTCGCAAGCCCCTAGCCCAGAGTGTTGCAGCCACCACAACTCGCCCCTGTCCCCGGCTGAATCCTCGTCCTCACCATCCGGCTCATCCCCCGCGTTTTCAGACTCGTCAACCCTCACTCCTCCAACCACCGTCTCCACCCCATCAGAAACAGCGAACACCCCACGACTAGGCGCCCTCGGTCTCTCAGATAACGACGACGAACAAGTAAAACAAGAAGACGAAGAAGAAGCAGACGCCGCCATGCCCCGCGAACCTACACGTAACCAGGTCTCCAACGGCCTCCAGTACGTGGCCCAAAAGCCCGCGTTTCTTCAGCAGTTTGGCTTTGGAGGTGGCCGCCGCGACGACTCGGACGATGAAGACGACGAGGGCCAGGGAAGCAGTAGCCGCCGCGGGCGTGACCTCCCCTCGCGCCCCAAGGATGGCAAGTGGGCCGGCGGCAGCGATGACGAGGGCGCCAACGACGAAAAGGACGGACGCATCCGCGACGAGTGGGACGAGATGTACGGCGGCGATGACGGGCCCCAAGTCGTTGTCCTCAAGGAGGGGCGTCACCTGAGTGCCGACGAGCTCGCGCGCGAGCGACGAAAGGGTGAGTTTTGATGCCCCGCAAGACGGGTCAGGTCACACACGAGGCTGACAAAAGTACCAGCCGCCGGTCTCCCCTCTCCACCACCAGCCGACAGGCCCGAGACCGACGCGTCAAAACCCACACCAACGTCCACAACAGACGCTGCGACCGCGGGCAACAAGAAGCCCCAGCGCCCCACCCCCGCGGGCGCCAAGCGCAAGCTTGTCGGTGACGCTGTTGCCAGTGCAAGCGCCGACGAGGGATCGAAGAAGAAGAAGAAGAAGAAGGCTGTCAAGGGCCTGCTAAGCTTTGACGAGGCCGAGGGCGAGGCCTAGCGGATTGAGGAGTGTTGCTTTGGACACGTTGCGTGGACCGCAGACAATCATGAGCAGAAGAGTATACAATAAGATAAAGAAAGAAGACCACCTGTATGCATGTATCCACCATCTCATCATGACTTCCCGATTGCACAAACCCGCGGCGGCTCGTTGGCTGGCGTCAAAAGTTGGGAATCTGGCACATTCTTGTCTTGTTTTCGTCATCTCCATCGCTCTCTGTCTCTCTCCATCACCTCACCATGCGGCCACCAGCACTCCGCCGAGCACTCGCCCCGGCCCTTCGCCTCACGAGGGGCCACGCAGGCTGCTCCAACCCCCACCACCACCACCCGCCGACACCGTCGTCCAGCTCGGCGTCGTCTGCCGCCCCCGCCCACACCCACCACTCCCACTCTCACTCCCACACCCCCACCCACGCTCACGTCCACTCCTCTGCCGCTGCACAGACCCCAAGTGCCCTCCCCCACCGTACTCCTGGCGCGGCGCTCAATGTCCCCACCACCGCCGGTGGCCCGCACGAGAGCGCGGCGTACTGCGCTTCGCTGGTGCAGAGGCTCGACCCGGATGCCTGGCTTACATCGTACTTCTGGCCCAAGCGCGAGCGAGACTGGTGGTTTGCGATCCGCGCGTTCAACGTAAGTGCCTTCAATGAAGTGTACATGCCCTGCATTTGGCCTTGAAGGCGTTGGAAGAGCGAAACAGGCGGTCCAGCTTGCGTCTCCAGCACATGAACAAGCTGCTGCTTCGCGACACCCTCCTTCCTCGTGCACCTGGAGGGCATACCCGCGCTTCCCTCAAGCTCTACTCACCACTGACTGACAACCTCCAGCTCGAGCTCCACCAGGTGACCACGACCGTCTCCCAGCCAGCCATCGCAGCCATGCGCCTCCAGTTCTGGCGAGACGCGCTCTCGGCAATCTACTCGGACAACAAGCCCGTCCCGCAGCACCCGGTCGCCATCGCTCTGGCGGAGATGCGCAAGGCGCGTCCCGTGATGAAGTATTATCTCTCGCAGATGATTGAGGTTAGGGTGAGTGCAGAGCCCTTCTCGTTGGGAGGTGGACAATGTCAAGGTCACTCCGGTCATGTTAACCGTGACTGGACGGGCGACCATGAAGCGCTAGCTTGCACTGCACGAGAACGGCACAGGCCATGGCCTCACTGCCGGCTGGATCTTCCTTACGTGACCAGCCGCAAGTGAGACCCAGCTAACACTCTCTCCTCCCAGGCCAAGACGCTGTCGCTCCCACCCGCCTCCCCTTCACTCGAAGAGTACATTACGACCTACTCGCCGCTCGCCGGTGCCCTCCTGCAAGGGCCCCTGCCGATCCTCCTCGCGCCCAGCGACGCGGGCACATCGCACATTGCGCACACGCTCTCGCACGTCGCCAACCTCCTGGCCGTCACGACATTGCTTCGCGGCATGCCGCAGCTCGCCGCCAAGCGCCAGCTCGCGATCCCCTCGGACGTGCTGGCGTCGCACGGAGTCGTGGAGGAGCAGGTGTTCCGCGCCGGCGCCGAGGCGAGCGGGCTCAAGGACGCCGTGTTCCAGATTGCCACGCGCGGCATGGACGAGCTCATCACGGCGCGGACAGACCTCAAGAGCGACAATGGTAAAGTCGTGCCCGCGCAAACCATGCCCCTCTTCCTCGCGGCTGTGCCGGCGGAGCGGTACCTCCAGCGCCTGGAGGCCGCCGACTTTGATGTGTTCAGCCAAGAGCTGCAAAAGGCCGATTGGAAGCTCGCACCCAAGATTTGGTGGACTTACCAGACGGGCAAGTTGTAGGCGGGAACGAGACAAGGGGAGGGGAGGAGCTTATAGACATCAATCATCGAGATGGACCACTCATTGCACCATTTAACCACTTGGCCACCGCATTGCAACACCCAAGTAACAGGCACAGGTATCTCTGCATAGACCACACTCCGGGCACTCTGCGGCAGTGTATGAACAACTCATAAACAGGCAAGAACCGAAAACGCATGGAAGCCATCGAAAAAAGGGTGCACAAGGAAACTGAGACTCTCGCTTGCGACTCCGCCATTGAGGGAGGCACTGCAAATGGCTTAGTTCGTGAACGAGAGTGCGGAAAGAAGCCACTCACCTTGCCTGATTCCAGCTATGCCAAGCGTTTGGAACGCGTGCGCGACCTGCCGCGCTCATAGGTTATCGACACACCGGTGGGCGGCGCCTGCCAGAACGCCGGGGCGGTGGACCAGTCGCCTCCAGGCTGGGGCGGTGGGACTGGCGAACGGCGGGTGTTGGTGGCCGCACTTCCATTACCCGTATTGGTGCTGCCTGTGGCAGTGGCAGAGGGGCTGAGTGCAGGCCAAGAAAAGTTGTAGTGGTCGGCATAGCTAAAGAACGGCTGGAAGGGCATGGGCGGGTTGGGAGGACCGAAACCGGGAGGAGGTGGGGGAGGTCCCCATGGGTCCGCGCGCCACGGCATCGTGGGCTCGGGGGCTGCCCATGGCCTGCCTGGCTGATGTCCGAAGCCTGGAGGGGGAGGGGGAGGCTTGGGCCTGGTCGAGGCGGACGGCGCAGGCTTGACTTGGCGAGTCGTCTTTGAGGGAGAGGCAGACTTGGAAGTAGACGACGGGCCGCGGTCGGTGGGACCTGGCGTTGAATACTGCGCGCGAGCCGAACCACCAGGCTGGGACGGCTTGAAAGGTGTAAAAGGTGTCGCGGAGGCGCGGGGTTTCCAGTCAATAGGGGGTGACTCGGCAGCAGACTGGGCCGAGCTGTCTGGCGACGGCTGGCTCGACGACTTGGAGCTTGCCGACTTGGTGACAGACACGGTCGCCTGTGAGAGGGCAAGCAACGATTGCTCAGTCACGGCGGCGTGCCCGTTGCAGACGGTGGAGATCCAGGTGCGGACGGCTCCCAGGCGGGTCTTGGCTTGCGTGCCAATGTGGCGGAGGATGGCAGCGATTTGGGACATGGCCTTTGGGTTCTCGACGCAGCCACTCCAGATGGCATTGACAGGCTGGAGGTCAGCAAAGAGTCATGTCCCTGCTCTTTCAATAACTCACAAACAAACCATCCTCATCCCACATAGCGTACAACGTCCACATGACGCCGCAGGTTCGGAGACCAAAAACAACCCTCGTGCTGTTGTCGCGAGGGAACTGTGACATGGCGGCGAAGTCTGCCTGAGCGTGAAGGCGGTTGTACATGCCAATGCCAAACCGCATTGAGCTGAGGAGACGAACATGGGTTGCAGCATTGTCGGTGTTGAGCCCACCGGCTTCGACAAAGAGCCAGGGGAACCATCCATCCACGAGAGAGCCTGCAAGTCAGCTGAATTTATTCTACAAGAACACAGCTGCCACTCACGCTGAGTTGTCGACCAGACAATGTTATTGTCCACCAGGGAAGGGATCAGAGTCAAGCCGCTAAGCGGACAGGGGGCTTCGGTGGGGCTTGGGGACGTCGTAACCTCCAGAGCGGTGGCGCGCAGGCCGACGGAGAAGCCAGAAAGAGGAACGAAACGTGACAGACCGAGCATGTCCTGCACCATGGGATCCGGGTTGGCAAGGCTGGTGGTTAGCAGGCATTCCTGTTAACCGTAGAAACCTACAGAGAAGCCACAGCGGGCCATTGAGTCACAGCAGCCACGAAGCGGGAGACGAGACCGGCATACGTCGAGTCGGGTGCGAGACGAGCATCGGCGGCGAACAGATCGTACAAAAGGCAGTGCGCATGGGCGAGCGCCATGGCCGAGGGAAGAGACTCTGTCGCACCGTACCGAGCTGGGTTGGCGGCGACGGCACGGGTCGCACTCTCCGGCCGTTCCTAACCATCAGCGACCCACGAAAACCAGGCGGCGAGGTCGAGAACGGTAAGAGGGTGTGTGTGTGTGTATGTGTGTGTGCCGCTGCAGACCCACACCCTCCACCCTCGTTACTCACACACGCTAGCGCCTCCTCACCAACGACACTGTCGCCCGAGCTGAGGATTGACGCAATGTACTCGCGTCCACTGGCGGGCGCGTCGTGCGCGATAATGTGGCGAACGCCGTACCCAGCTAGGACGAGGAGGTAGGCTGGTGGATGCTGGGCCGTGTGAGGTGGCTGGGAAGGGGGGCGGGAGGGAGGCTGTGATGCTGATAGGGATGGTATGAGGGGAAGTGGTGCGAGGAAGGGGTCTCTCCTGCCCAGCAGCTTGGGGCTGTCCATCGAATGGGTCTGAGCTGCTGGCGTGCAGTGTTGCGCAAGGGGGTCGTCAAAGTCTGCGCCTGCGCCGGACATGTCGACTAGACGTTCTGCGATAGAGTCGATGCTTGCAAGAGGGTCGTGAGGAAGTGGGTCGAACATGAGGAAGGATGGGCGAAAGAGGAATTGAGGAAGGGGGGAGGAGAGGTGGAGAGGGAAGACACGTCTCTGGTGCGGGCGATCAGTTGTGTCAAGTACAGTCAACCGACCCGGTCAGTCAAGTCAGTCAAGCCAGTCCCACCGTCCGTCGCCGTCTTCTTTCTTCGTCCTCGCTGGCTCGGATGTCCATTGCATGCAAATATTAGAGACACGGAATATGCAGGGGATGACAGGAGGGGATATGCTCTAAGTGCCCAGTGTCCTTTACGTCGGGGAGGGTGGTGGGTGGGTTGTCAACTCTGCACGGCTTCTAGGACGCCGCACTCTTTTCTAATCGGGGGGCGCGCGTCTCGGCCATGTTGATGGTGTGTGCTGTCGCGGCTACTGTTGCTGACCTCGCTCATCGTTTGTCTAGTGGAGGGTGACGGGCGTGTACTGCTGGGCGCCAAAGCCAGTCGCTGTGCCGGGGGTGGCAAAGCCCGGAGTCGAGTAGCCGCTGTGCTGGGCGTCGTGGTCAAAGGTGTCGCGGAACGGGCTGGTCGCGCCGCCGCGCTGGTAGTCGCCCATCTGGTAGTCGGCGTCGTGGGGCAGCGGGGTGGGGCTCATCATGCGAGGAGTGGCCGAAAGGTCGGCGGTGGCCATGGTGCTCACTGACGCGCCCCCCGAAGAGAACGGACGAGGAGGGCGCTGCATGGGGTAGTTGTTCTGCTCAGTGTACGCCTGGTTTGCGTCCCAAGCTCCCTGGTCACCAGAGTACCACTCCTTTTCGCCGGCACCGGTACCCTTCTTATTCTTGCGCTTGACGCAGAAGAAGATGAGAGCACCGATGAGAGCAATAGCACCAGCACCGATACCCGCACCAATACCAATCTTGGCGCCCATGGACAGCGCCGACGACGACGCAGCGTCCGAGGCAGCCTCCGCGACACTCGAGTCGGTGGCAGTGCCAACGGAGGCAGTGGAAGCTGCGGCCGCCGCGGTGCTAGACGATCCAGCGGGGGCGACATACCAGTGGGCCTCCTTGATAATGTCGGCACCCTTCTCGGCGATACCATAGGTCGAGGCCATGAGATGGGCTGAGATATGCATGGGCATGATCGAAGCGTCGATAACACGCAGGTTGTTGGTGCCGTAGACGATGAGGTTGGTGTCAACAACACCACCGCTGTCCTCGGGAAGCATAGAGCAAGTACCCAATGGGTGGTACTCGGTGCCACAGTTTGCGGTGTAGTAGGAGGAGAGGGTGTCGCCAGTGAGGGAACTGGTCGTGCTCGACTCGTTGGTCATGACAGTGTTCATGGGCGAAGCAGCACCAATCTTGCGAGCCCAGTTCCAGCCGTTGACGCCGATCTCGGCATCAATGCTGACACCAAAGTAGTCGGGGTTGATCGTAGGCTTGTCGAATGCCGAGTCCGAGTTGATAAAGAGGGTACCGCGCGACCAAGGGTGCTGGAGGGCAACCTGGATACCGAGCGAGGTGGTGCTGGCGCCCCAGAGCTGGAGAATGAGCTCAAACTGGCCAATACCCGTGGTGGTGAGCCACTCCTTCATGATGGTGTACTGCGCAGTGAGACCAGTCTGGACAGTGGAAGGGAGGGAGTGGGACGCATTCACGTCGCTGACAATGGTGGCAATGTCGATGGCGCTCGCAAATGTGGCGGCCGCGGTGGCACTGCCCGTAATGTCGATGTTGTCGACATAGCCAACAGCCTCGTTGATGTAGGTCCATTTGCCGGTCGCAGTGTCCCTCCACTCGGTGAGGGCGACAGCCTGGTCGGTGGTGTTGGCCTTGAACGCGGCCCAGTTGTCAAGGGTAGAAACCGTGTTCCAGTACTGAGTGGCAGAAACGTGGTCCTGGAGGTTGTAGCCGACAGGAAGGTCCTTGAGGACGGTGACGCCAACGGCCTCGAGGACCGACGAGGGACCAATACCAGAGAGCTGGAGCATCTGGGGAGAACCAATAGTACCGCCACAGAGAATGACCTCCTTGTTGGCCTGCACAGAGTAGGTTGCGGCCCCGGACGAAGCTGAGAACTGCACCCCCGAAGCGATGGCGTTGCCGCTCGCGTCCGTGGTACCGTTGAAGATGACCTTGGTGACCTGCTGGCCGGTGAGAATGACCAGGTTGGAGCGAGGGGCCAGGGGGTCGATGTAGCCTGCCTTCGAGTCGGAACGCGACTGGTTGCGGGCGTTGAGAGTCGAGGTGGTAAGAGAGACACCGTGGTTGTTACCGTCGGCGAGGTCCTTGGCAGTCATGCCGAGAGTAACCCAGGTTGGGATCCACTCGGCGTTGGCGGGGTAGATCCACTCCGAGTAGCCAGACTGGATGGGACCACCCGAACCGTGAGCGCTCGAGTTGACGATCAAGCCCATGTCCGAGATCGTCTCGGCAGGAGGCGCGGTGTAGTTCTCCGACTTGCGCATGTACTTGTACATCTCGGCCCAGTTCCAAGTCTGGTTGCCGTTGGGGTTGAGAGTGGCCCAAGCATCGTACTCGGTCTCGGAGGCACGGCAGAAGAACATGCCGTTGATGGCACCCGAGCCACCAAGGAGCTTTCCGCGGGGCCAACTCTTGACGACGTTACCAGAGTTGGTCTGGTTGGTGGTCGTGTACTGCCAGTCGTGCGAAGTGCCAGTCAAACCGTTGAGGTACGAGTAACCTGGAGAATCGAGGTCAGCATCTGTGGATCTGTGTGGCACTTGTTCCGAGGCCGTTTGAAAACGTACCAGGAATGTTAACATTGTCCGCCACGTCCGAGCCATCGTCACCGGCCTCGATAACGAGGACAGTCACGTTGGACCACTCGGACAGACGAGCGGCAACGGCCAGACCAGCGAGACCACCTCCGGCAATGACAAAGTCAAATGCCTTGCCGTCGGCGTCCGAGGCAGAGGTGGTGATCGAGCGCTCGAGCAGCCTCTTCTGAGGGTGGTGGTAGTTGCCCGCATCGTTGCTGTGGCCTTGGGCAGCAAGTACAGGGGCCGCCAGCGCCAGAGCGGAGACGATAGTGGAGAGAAGCATGCCGAAGACGAGGGAGTGGCAGGGAGAAAGAGGGCTAGGTGTCTGTCCGTGTCAGAACAAGTACTGATGGAGGTCTGCGCAGTGTTTGGGACATGGTCTCTATTCTCAGCCCATGGTCACTTACAGCTGCAAGGGGGTACACAGCAATGGATCAGACAGGCGCGAGATCCTATTTCTGGAAACTGAGCGGCTGGCTAGCGGAGTGCAGACGAGCGAGCCGAGTACGCTTGCAATGAATGACGAAGAGGGTGTGTTGTGTGGCCGCGGCGAAGGTGTCTCTCTAAATTGGAGAGACAGCGAGCGCAATAAACGTTATCACGGAGTATGCTACAGTTGTCTGGAAAGGTGTTGTGTGTGAGCGTTTGAACCATGAAGAGTGACAGCAATGCGAGGGCCGCCCGCAGCCAAGACCAAGGCGATGCTCGGCGGGGGACTGGGCAGGACAAGACTCGGCGCTTGCAAGCTGACAGATGGGCTGCCAAGACGCACTTACTAGAAAGGATGAGAGCCAACACGTCGTCGTCGAATTGGGTCGTCGTCGATCGGAAAGGCCACCAGCCTGCCAAGCGTGTTCGTTCACAACAGAGGACGTAAAGGTAACGTCGATGTGGTGGAAGTTGGTGTGTGTCAGAACGTAGTGTGTGATGTGTGGCTCTAAGGGAGGTCGTGCTGCGGCTCCTCTAACGGGGTCGCACATGTCGGGGTAGCCGCAAAGTTGACGGGGGCCAGTGATTGAGGGGCTCGTACTTTGGTCGAGCTGCGGCGTCTTGTCAGTGACCACCCTTGAGCGGTCGGCCTCTGGTCATGGCTTCTGGCTGTAGACCTTGGAACACGCAGCTCGTTGTCCATTACTGCCCTTGTTGGCAGCTTCCGGGGCTGTGCCCTCTTCAGGAGCCCGCGGCGCGTCGAGGGTTGCCCGCAGCTTGGCGCTCGGTCAGTGCGAAGAAATGCGTAGGCTGGCGCGTCTTGTCCTCTCGGTATACCAGCACGCGCAGCAGAACGAGTGTCCTGGGATGTAAGGTGAAGTTTAACATTTTTCCTTGGCGCTGCCCTGATTTTAAGGCGGGCTGACCCGCGCGTTGTACGCGACTCCTGCTAAGACATAGCAAAGGGATTTTTCTAAGGACAAAGGACCTCTCACCGCACATTAGGCCATTAGGCATGCCGGCAGCGCTTGATGACCTCAGCCTGCTGCCGTGGAAATGAGCTATCCCGCATTAGCGGCGACGCTGGAGGCACCGGCACCGAGTTCCACAGACGCGAACTGGACGGCCTGGACGGCCTGGACGGCGCGTCGCACGACCGCGTCTGCAATTCTGCAAGCACAGATGCCACATGCTTTCTCCTTGTCACCAGTCTGGAGAACAAACGGTGGCCTCTGTGTGTGCGTGCGGTCCACCGCTCACCCGCAAAGTGCGCCGACCTGAACAATAAACGAATGAACCCCGCTCGATATCTCCCTCTGTGGGTCACCGTCACACGCCAGGAGATGGTGCAATGTCCTCCCCATCCGACATGACTCCCGCACACCCACATCCCTTGGTCCCTGTCCAAGGCGGCTCGGCTCTCCTGTGTACGTGTCTGAGACCTGGCAGACATCTTCTGGCCCACCGAAGCCAGCACTAGTGGTCTGATGGTCGGGGGGTTGGACGTGCACTGCTCACCCTCATAGTGAAGTGCAGGAGATGAGCAAGCTGTCCATTGTCCTCGTCCGGATGCTGACTACGTCACGGGATCACGGGCCGCAAGGCCCAGTAGCACGTTCCTCTAGTCAGTATTGCTGATCTGCACTGCTTGTGGCAATCCGAGCAGTCCCAGTAGTGTTCTTATTTTGGTGCATGGGCACGCGCCACAGCAGAGTGTGGTTACGGGGCAATGCCGGGCTTGTGACAGACCACGGCGGGCTGTGACACGATCCCGCTACAACTCTAGCCCCACGCAACGGGCACTGCGCCGAGACGGCCGAGAGCTCTTGGCTCGACACAACCAAAGCAACAATTCATAGCAACTTGCTGACCTTCGTCGCAATTCCACTTCGTCGGGCTTTGCAAGCAGGGGCATCCCGGTTCTGGTTACGCCAGCATCGCACAGACCCCGACGCCGGACATGCACATGGTCCTGCTGCCGCGACGAGCACTGCTTCAGCCTCCGCCACCTGGCGGCGACATGTCCCTTGGCGTACCATGCTGCCGTTGACCACCACCAAAGACGTCGGCCGTCCATTGTTCCTGGTGCCCGCCTGCAATATCGGCTGTCTGTGCAGCTGCGTCCACTGGCGCTATGAGTGCAGCCGACACAAAGGGACGTCCACTTATAGCAACCATTTAGCCAAACTGTGCCGTGTTTGAGTAAGGGAGTCCGATATCAACCGCAACATCAAGGACAAGAGCGACATGTCGCCACACGATAACGCACAAGCCGACGGATGGCGCCACGCGGAGGGGTGGCGGATCCTGGATCAGTCAAAGGGCACCTGTCCGAAGCGGAGGGAGCGGGCTATTTATTGTCGACAACAATGTGCGTCTCTATCCCGTTGTGGCCTGCACCCAGCTCCCATGGTACTCACGGCACCGGAGTGTCTCTCTCCGTAACTGAGGACGTTATTTGCTGTCCATTGCCTGGGAGGCCGGGGTGTCGGCTCAGTCACCAAAATGTAACCGTCCGAGACGGCTGGACGAAATGCTCAGCAGCGGTGTTTGTGCAGACCTCAGGCGCGAGATCAAGCGTTACCTCGGTCATGGGCACCATGTGTCCACAGGTCGGGGGTTGGTGATTGCCAGTATCGAACTGCGAGCGACGCAGCTATGAAGAAACCCAACGACAAATTCCCCGCACTCCAGCCACATGCGCAGCTCCGCAAAATAAACTTGGAGAGTCCATTGGGCCAGTGTCAACAAATGGTGGGAAAGATATTGCTGGCCATGCTGGCCATCCGTTGGGTGGTGCCATGGGGGTCAGACGTCACCGGGGGTGGCTAGGGTGCACTGCACCACATGTCAGCGGTAAATGAATGGTGTTGGGTTCACTCCCGTAGCAACTGCGGTGGCCCTGACCCTCTAGCTCACGCCCATGCCCAAATGCTCGCTGCATCGCTGCTTCCCAAACATCCCTACTGATTGCTACCCAAATGATTCTCAACTATATACTAACCCATTACTTGACCTCGAGGCGAAGTGCGTCGTACATGACAGAAATGCTGGTAGCCACCACGGCCGACCCAGTGGCGTTGAACGGCAGGCTGAGAATGAGCTCGTTGGTCTTGGAGGTCGACAGGTACGAGGCCGGGAAGGTAAACTTGTTGGCGACCTGGTAGCAAGTGACGCCGCTGCGGGTGGAGCACGAGCCCGACTGATAAAAGGGGATGACAAACGCCTCGAGATCGACGCCGTTGACGTTGACCACGAGCGGGAGGTTGTACCACGGCGCAGCGTCCGAGTACGTGTCGGTGTTGCCAGCGGCAGTGGTGACGCCCGCCAGCTGGACGGTGAACGTCGCCTCGGTCTTGCTCTTGAGCTGCTTTGCAGTGGTGTCAAACGAGATGGTCCAGTTGTTGATGGTGGCGTCGGCGTAGATTCCCGGTCGGGTCATGGAGCTGCCGTATGCCGCCCAGTGGACCCAGTTGAAGTCGGTGGCCTCCTTGCTCTTGCCAACGTGGAAGTTGACACCGTTGGGGAAGTCGTTGATGTAGTCGTACGCGCCCCAGTAGATACGGTACTCGGGGGCGTGGAGGGGGTGCGTGGTGTCCAGAGCGTTTCCGTGGCGGTACTCGCCAGCCGACTTGTCAGGCGTACCGATGCGCCACAGCTCGGTTCCAGCCGACTCGGCCACCCACTTGATGTTGCCGCTGTTGGTCTGCGACCCAGGCTTGACGCTGATAGTCTCCTGGACATAGTCGCCAAAGATGCCGTCGGCATACATGGTCAGGCGGTAGTCGCCGGCCTTGACGCGAGGAATGGTCACTTGGCCGTTGGAGGCAATGTTGGCCCAGTACTGGTATGCAGAAGCATTCTGCGCATTGTCCTGGTAGTCATAGCCCGGAGCAGTGAGGATGGCAATGGCATTGCTCGCTCCCTTGGGCAGATTGACCTTGGCCTTCCAAGATCCGCGCTCCTTCGTAGTCGCATAGCCCGGAACATATGACGCAATGTCGTCGTAGAACTGGGCATGTGTCTGGGTGTTGGCCAGAGTCTCGGCGTCGGCGCGCAGGGTGCTGATGGCCGTGTCGATGGTGCGCTTCTGGCTGAGCGCGTCACCCTTGTTGAAGTGGAAGAGGCTGGGGCCCCAGGTACGCTCAAAACCGTTGGTGATGTTGACCACCTGATCGCCGTGGTGGTTCGACATGATGTAGTTGTACACCTGTTTTTCGTCAGCACACCGTATTCGATACTGAGAACACGTACGTATCCGTCCACTGTCAAGTCGCTGTATGTAGGGCCGCCGTAGAACGTGTCCTTGGTGTTGTAAACCATCCACACGCCGAGAGTCGAGTTGTCGGGCGTTTGCGTACCGTCTGCCACAAGACCGTGTACAGTGTGGTCCCTGTAAACTTCCGACATGGAGTACTTTGTCCAGTAGTCCGCTACCTGTGTGACGTACGGGTCGTTGGTACGGTTCTTGTTGAGGTACCAGGTCGTATCTTGCACGAGCACCTGGTTCGAGCTACTACCGTAGCCGGCAGCAGGGTTGGGGGTAGGCTCGGGAACCCAAAAGCTCGGCGACGAGCTCATGTGCGTCCACAGCGGGCTCTGTGGGCGGAACAGAGTACGCAGCTCAGTGAGAGGCGTGAGGACGTCCTGCGTCTCGTTGTGGTACGTGAGGCGGGTGAACGAGTGGAGACTGGTCTCACCCTCGCGCAAGAACCAGTACTGCGAATAGACCTCGCCTGCTACGTTAGACTTTGTACTTTGCCACAACATTTATCTCCTCACTCACCGTAGGCATTCTCCGGAGCGGTCTCGCTGACAATGAAACCACCATACTTCTTGCCTGCGCTGTCCGTACCGGTGACGACCTTGAACGACGACTTTGGCCCCGGCGAATAATGCGTCTGCTTCGGGGTGACCATGCCGTCGACATACAAGACCGCGGTCGAGGAGGCGATGGGACTGCCAAGGAGCGAAACACCGTCGATGGTGATGGTGGAGATGTATGAAGTGGATTTGTTCATGGCGAAGTACATGCGCTCATTCTCGAGGTACATGAACGTGTCCGTCTCGGTCGCGTTGAGAAAGGCAGTAGCCGTGCTGCCGAGCACGGCGAGGGTGGCCATGGCCCACGCTGGGGACCACATGTCGAGAAGATGGAGGGTGGTGTTGAAGCTGGGATCGCGACGTTCACAAGACACGGGCACCAGCTTATGAAGTTCCAACCTCGGTGAATCGGATCCGGGGCTTCAAGGGGAGCGCGACGTCTTGACGCGACCAGTACACTCTGTTCTCGACGGGCCTGTTGTCTTTACGGCAGAATGTTCTCCGCGCCCTCCTTCCAGGTACAGTGCTTCGGGGCATCGTTCAACCGGGAGAGCTGTTCCTATCCGTGAGGAATATGCATGGAGCAGGGCCCCGGCTGACATGCGTGTGGGGTGGGCATTGCCGGCCCCGCGGGCCTCGCTGGGGGGCCTCATTGACGTTGGGGGACCTCTGTCACGGACGCGTGTTTGGACCTGGTGGCGCGTCCACAACGTCGGCGTCTTCTGACGGCGGCCCACCCGGGACATCAATAAACCGACTCACACAGGCCAACCCTTTAAAGGCCTGCGCATAGGACGCTTGCGCAGAACGCAAGGTTTTCCAAACGTCATAATTACACTCGAGAAGGACGCTAAGTGAGGTGGGCGTGTGTGTTGCACGACGCGACGGAGTGGTGGGCTCGCTCCGGACCGGACGGGCCGGAAAACGCCGGTGCCAAGACTTCGGTGTCTCGCTGGTTACATCTGCCGTGTCAGGTCGCGCGAGGTTTCAGTGTTGCCCCGTGAGTGGATATAGAGACTGACGACCACCTGGCTTGGGTTGGCTATGTGGTGTTCAAAGTTGGGGCAACGATACATCCCTGAGACCATTGACATGTTGGCATGTCAGACTATACTATTACGAGGTCTCAGCTTGGCTATACAGCGAACGTGTCAGTGGGAACGGTGGTTTTGGGTATTTGGGGGTGGGTCAGTATCGTATAAGCAGACGTGTGTGCAGTCAGTGAGGCGTGGGGGTTCCGCGGGTGATTCCTTGGCCGATACAAACAAGAGGTTTCTACAATCTGTGCTGTCAGCGCTTCCAGAGGGCAGTACCACCGCGCGGTGGTATGTGGCGGCCATACGCGGCGGTACACCTCAGCCCAAGAGTTTGAATCGCGTACTCGACCTAGTCGGCCACCGCCAGTAGGCGGGGCTAGCGAGCCGATACACGAGCATGTGGTGTGGGGGGAGGGTCGTGAAGGTGTTCCCTCTCGTCGTGTCCGCTAGGTCCTGCGATTCCACACCTGAGGCACCAAGATGCAAAGGGGCTTTTGCCCCAGCAAACGAGCTATTGCAGCTCTCCACGCCTCCAAGACACGCGCACAGGTCAAAGAAGTGATGAGACACGAGTGAGGATAAAGAACACCGCCTGCGCCTCGTTCGCTCCCGACTCCCTACTCCGCTCCGCCTGCAAGAAGAGATCATTGCATGATGGTGATGGTGGGATCTCGGCCGCGAGAGGCCGCAGGCTCTCCGGCAAGGGACGGAACACACTTGGAAACAGGAAACTTTCAATCACTTCTTCTTTCTCCTTCCTCTTGATCTCTCGCTACCGCTCTCGCTCTTCCTTTCTCCTCTGCTCTACCACTTCGCCACTCGCTCCCAGTTTCTACCTGGGCGCCTTTCCGGGCGTTCTCGTCTCGCGCCACAAACAACACTCGCCAAGCTCGATCGGCGCAAAGCACAGAGATGCGAGACTTACTACGCGGAGTATGGGCTCTGGCTCGGCTTACGCCTTGCGTTCAGCGAGCCACTCCTTGTACAGGCCATCGAGGCTCTTGTGGATCATATGCGTCGGGAGGGACTTGATAATGTCGGCAATCTTTTCGTTGAGGACCTCGGTCTTGACACCAGCCTGTTCGGCGTAGTCGGTCGTCAGGCGGTACATGGCCAGAATCGCCAAGCTGACGTGCGTCTGGTGCGAGGCATACGGCGAGTCGGACCGGATGGCAGTTGCGAGTGGGCCGTTGGCGGACGATGGCCCAGTGCCGACGGATGCGGCCGGGTTGCGGTCACCACGGGTCAGGCGCAGGAGAATCTCGAGCAGGTCGTTGGGCGAGGCAAGGAGCGACGCAGTAAAGTCAGTGCGGTCGGTAGGGGTGCCGCTGGTCGATCCACTCTTCCAAGTCTCGAGAATGGACGCGAGGGTTGGTGGCTGATGTCAGCTGACGCACACAAATACATTAGCTTACCGCATCGGGATCCACAATCTCGAGTTTGCCGCGCCAGCCGGCGTCCGTGCCAGCGCGACGACCAAACTGCTCATAGAGCCATTCGTCGGCCTGGTTGGTGCGGCACCATTTGGGCTCGCTGAGAGGCTTCTTCTTGTTGAGGAAGACAGTGAGGGTGATGGGCTCGCCCGGAGGAGTCGCTGTGAAGACGCGGTGCAGAGGTGGCAAGTTGCTGGTCGTGTCCGAGAGCCACAGCTGATCCAAGCGCTCGCGGGTAACGGCAACGAAACGCTGCTCGGTGGCGTCATACGTTTCCACCAACACACCCTTGGGAAGGTCGAGTTCCGCCTTGCCCTCCTCCTTCTCTTCAGCCTCCTTCTCCTGCTTGGCCGGGGCCGCCTCAGGCAGAATCTCAACCTCAATCCTGCCTTCGCCGCGGAAGATGCGAACCTTGCGAACGACCGACGCGTCGAAGACAAGACGACGGGTGCTGTCCTCGTACAGCACCGAAACGCGGTTGACGGAAGGCTGGGCCACGTCGCTCGCATGAGCGGTGACGAAGCTCTCGGCCAGGCTCTCGGCACTGCTCGAAGACCAGCGGCGGGTACGTTGCTTGCCGCGGTTGCCGTAGGCAGATGCCGCGTTATGCGCAGACGCAGCGAGAGCAGCCTCCAGTTCTGCCGAGGACGCTTCAGCACCAGTGAGGCCAGATGCGTGCTCGGTGACATCGGACTCGTCCAGGACCGAGTTGGTGATCATCGACACGTCGCCAACATCCTCCTCGGCGGTCTCGGGGGCCTTGTCCGCAGGACCTTCAGGAGCGGCCGATTCGGGGGCGGCGGCCTCTGCGGGTTCCGGGGCGGTTTCAGTGACAGGTGCGTGCTCAGCTGCAGGCTCGGCAGCAGGTTCAGCAGCAGACTCGGTAGCAGGTTCGGCAGGAGGTTCTGTGGTAGTCTCCGCCGCACTTTCGGGAACAGCTTCGGCAGAAGGCTCAGTAGTGGCCGGAGCGTCGACCTTCTCCTCATCAGCCTTCTCCTCGACCTGTTCAGGAGCTGGCGCCACCTTGACAGCGGCCTCAGTTTCTGGTGCAGCCTCGTGCTCGTCGTCGTGATCATGGTGGTCGCCCTCGGGGTGCTCCTCGTGGTGTTCCTCGTGCTCGCCCATACGGCTCGGCGCGACAGAGCTAGACTCGCGACGCCAGCGTTTGTTGGGGTTGCGGCGGGAAGCCTTAGGAACACGGTCAAGCTCAGGGGGCGACTCAAAGTAGATGCGGAAGCGGTTCTGGTTGGACTCTGGGGAAGAGGTGGGGGCAGCCTCGCCAGTGTTGGCCTTGCCGTGGGTAATGGCGAATGTGGATCGCTTCTTGGGAGAACCGTTCTCGACGTCTGCGGTGTCAGTTGGGATGAAACTTACATCGGCAACTCACCGCCATCCACACTGGAAGGCTTGGCCTTGCGCTTCTCGCCCCGCTTTTCATCCAAAGCATCGCCAGCTGTAGCCTCGTCCCCCTTGGGCTCCTCGGAGTTCTCCACTTCGGGCTTGGTCTCGGCTGCAGCTTCTTCCTTGACCTCGGCTGACTCGTTCTTGATTTCGGCAACGGCTGCGGCAGAGTCTTCCTCGGTCTCCGTCTTGACTTCGACAGCGGGGTCGTCGGTCTTGGTCTCGATTTGGTCTTCCTCCTTCTTCTCCTCCTGGACCTCGTCGACAACGTGTTCGCCAATCAGGCCCCAGGTCCAGTCAAGCTCCTTGACCTCGATACCAACGATTCGGAAGTCGGTCATGGTCGTCTTGGCCTCCTTCTCGACCTTGTCCTTGCGCTTGCGGTCGCGCTGTTGAGGGAGAGCGTCGACTCGTCGCGCGCCGCTGACGGGAGGACGCATGTCGCCACGGTCACGGTCACGGTCGCGCTCGCGATCACGGTCGTTGCGGTCGTTGCGGTCGCGGCGTAATGGAGGCCCGCGAGAGTCGCGACCCATCATGCCGCCGCGCATCGGTGCGCCACCGCGCCCACCCATACCGCCACGCATCGGACCGCCACCGCGGGGGTTGTTGAAGCCCATGCGAGGAACGCTGGGTTGGCCCATGGGCCCACCACCGCGACCGCCGCCGCCACCGCCCATCGGCCTTGCCATGCCACTTCCATAGCCCTGGGGAGGTCCTCCGCGGGAGGACGGGGGGCGAGGTGGGATGCCTGCTGGGCCTCCCGGGCCAGCCCCTCCTGGGCCATCAAAACGAGGCCTCTTGGCGGGAGGGAAGCCGCCTGGGCCACCGGGACCAGGTCCTCCACCGCCGCTTGGCGCAGGTGGACGGGCGGGTACAGGCGCACCGCGACCGGGCGGTCCAGGTTGAGGAGTGTACGGCCTGTTCTGGGACGCGTTTCCGGGTCCGGACGGGCGGTACGGCTGGTTGGCCTGGGAACCACCGCCTCCGCCAAAGCCTCCTCCTCCTTGGCCCTGCTGCTGTTGCTGCTGGGGAAAGTACGGCTGAGGGGGCTGAGGGGTGTATCCGGCACCTTGTTGGTTGTGGTACGAGTTGGTAGGGGACTGGTGACCACCACCGTTGTAGGCGCCGTAGCCAGGCGCCTGGGCTTGGCCGCCATACGAATGCGCGGGCGAAGGTGTGTATGGGGCGCCCCCGCCGGCGGTGTATCCTGCCTGGGCACCGTATTGAGGCGCGCCATAGCCTTGTGCTGGCGACGCAGGCTGGTTGTATCCTGCTCCAGCGTTGTATCCGGCGCCTTGCTGGTTGTAAGACGGCTGATTAGATTGGGCATGCTGGGCCCCGGCACCATAACCATAGTTGGCGTACGGGTTAGGAGGCGCTGCTGTCGACGCGGCAGGTTGGGCCGCTGCAGCGGTGTAACCGGCACCGGCACCACCAGCTGCCTGCGACTGGTAGTAGGCAGCCCATGCGGCAGCGTGCGCGGCCTGTTGGTCCTGCGGGTAGGCGGGTTGCTGAGCTGGGGGAGGACCAGCAGGCAGAGGCGGCGCGGGGCCAGCTTGGGGAGGCGCGTAAGGCTTGGCCGGCAAGCTGAGGCCTGGGTGAGGCCGCTTGTTCATCTGAAAGAAACGCTGGTGCTGTTTGTTGTGCGATGAGAGACGATGGATCGAGTGATGAAATGGAAGAGGCGGTCAAGGAAGGACCGGCGCGGCAGGGGAGTCGATGAATGGAAGCGGCCGCGTCCCTGTCGTTCTCTCAGTGCGGGCGCTAAGTGCGGGGCAGATAAAAAACACGTCATTTGGAATTTTCGTAATTGAAAGTTATCTATCCTAATTGCGTGGGGGCAATGACATTACGTTTTAATTTGTATTTCCGGTTGGAACATAACGTCAGCCACGAGCACGAGCACACGACTTGCAGAGCTGTGCTGTAGGTATGAGTCAAGGCATGCATCACTAGGGAAAGCCTAGGCAACTAGTGGTACCATCTAGGGTTCTTCTACGAACGCATGTATGGAGTTATAAACGGTGCGCATTTGGCTGATCAAAAGAGCACACCGCGTCTATAGATTCGGTTGCCATTAGAGCTTGGCGGGGGCCTCGCCAGCACCCATGCGGTTGACGGCAGCACGGCCAGCGTGGTAGGGGCAGCCACCCTTGACGAGGGGAGCAACACCCGAGCCATCACGGTCGACACCGAGCTCGAGGAGCTTGGCAAAGGCGGCGGCAAAGTGCTCGAAGAAGAGCTTCTGGTCGGCGGCGTACTTCTCAGCCCAGACGCGGAACTCGGGGTCCTTGATGAGGGCGAGGTCGGTTTCCAACATCATCAACTTCTCACCGACCACGACGGCCTCATACTGAAGGGGTCCGTCCCACTTGCGAGGGACCCACTTGCGGGTAAGGAGGAGCTTGAAGAACTGGTTGCTGAAGCGGGTAGGGTTCACGACCCACTTGCTTTACACAGTCAGCACCGCGTCATACGTCATGTGGCACACTCACCCGTCGAATCCAGAGCGGTCCTCGTGGCAGCGGCCAAGGTTGTGGGCTCCTGAAAGCGCAACAATTTCCTGGTCCGAAAAGCCCATGCGGTAGAAGACGTCGCGGATGTGCTGGGCACCTTGCGAGGCGTCGGGGAGACGTCCGTCGACCTTGCCGTGGTAGGCCTCAGCGGCCTGCTCCGACTTGAAGTCGGTGCGTCCGGGCTTCCAGGGGGTCTTGGGGCCGCCCATGGCCTCGAGGGCGGTGACACCGGCGAGAGCTGCCAGTTAGCAGTTGAACTTGATAGCACTCAGTCAGACAACTCACTCCAGAGATCGGCGTACGAGATCCAAGGGTTGGCCTCGGCAATGGGGTCGAGGAAAGCGCGAGCGTGCTCAAGACCGGCGTTGGCGCCATCGTTCGACTACATACCAGTCAGCATGTACTTTCTCTCAGCAGCTGCAGTTGTTGACATACCTCGGGAGCGAAGCGCATGCCCGCACTGATCGCTATCAGCACGACATTTCTAACAGACATTTGTTTGTAACCGGTTAGCACTCACCCGTTCGAGCCGCCGGTACGCTATGCCTGTCAGCAAGGGTCCAAAAAAGGAAGGCAATGATTGTAGATGTAGACGGGTTGGGGAGAGCACTCACGTCTTTCCTCTCGTAGGTGCCCGAGGCGTGCCAGGCAAGCCTGTCCGGTCAGTCTTGGCCGTCTACGGTGCCGTAGCTGTACCGTGCCACTTACCTGACGAGGACAGGTCCGATGGAGCCATCATCGTAGCCAGGACGCTTCAAGATCTTGGTCACCTGGTTGCGGATGCCTGAAGAACGATGTCAGCAAACGGCGATGAAAACGATCGACGCTGATTGGCGCCGAGAAAACGCACCGTCATAGTCGCCGTTCTTAACGCTTGCCATTGTGTATTGTTTGTTGTTGATGTGTAGATGGAGAGATGAGGTGAAGATGAGATACAGTACAGAAATAAGAGGACAGGAGAGAGAGGGTCGCAGGAGCCCGCACGCCACCCCCCGGTTCAACTTTTATCTCGTTCCCGGTTTCCGCGGCCGGATGGTACCGGGCGATGCATTGCCGGTGGCCGCCAGCCCCGCGCGTTCCCCCGGTGGTGATGAGGGGGGTCGTTCAGGAAGCGTCCAGTGAAACCTACAAGCTACGGGCTACGAGCAACCCTTGGGGGCAAATCAGACGGCCGACAGTGCAATAGCAGCGATGTTGGGGTCTTGGCCACCACCGGCTTGAGGCAAGCGGGCACGTCCGCCACTGTACCAGTGTGATCAGAGAGGGTTGATCGGTGGCCAGCTCGCTGCAACCGGGGGCCGGCGCACAGACTGTGCTGTCATCACCCACCGCTTACTGGCCCAAGCAAAGCTCCTATGCGCGATTCAACATGGGTCCCATATACAATACATAGATGCGGGTGAGATGGCTATGGAAGTTGTCTGATCTCTAATCTCTGAAGTAGAGGTACTGGCAGTGGCTTTTTTAAGGAATCGGTGGTACGGTGGTACGGTGGTGACGCGGTGACACGTGACAGCCACGCTATATCCACGCAACCCACCGGCCACAGGTCCATACTTAGGCGGGCTTCAAAGCCCACAACAACAGCCAGCAACAACAACGTCAAACCATCAACATTTACCCTCATCACCCGTCACCATCCACCACTATGGCTCTAGACCCAGGCGTTACCACAACATACGACTTGTCCGGATGTGTCTCATGGCACGATGACATGGAGAACTCGCACATGACCGAACGCCGCCTGGTTGCCGTCAAACATCACCAAGCCACGGAGCGGGCATGGAACCATGTCCTAACCTCGGTCGTCAACTCCTCTTTCCTGTTTACGCCGCCGCCATCGTTGCCAGAGATTACTGATATCACAGTAGGCGAGGAGACGGATTTGTGGCAGCACTCGCTGGCCGATGGCAGTCGCTTCCGCGAGGTACCACTGCAACGTGAACTGGTGGAGATGGTCCTGCGCAGGACCAAGGGCGACCAGGTATGTTTACTGTGCCTTTTCGTCGATGCTGACCACTCTCTCCAGTGGAACCGAGCTCAGCGGAACGGCATTGGCACGCATATCCCCGACATGTGCACCCTCCTCTCGTCGCAGAAGGTGGACGGGCTACAACCCCCACTCGGCCTCATATCACCCGTGATTGAAATCAAGGTCACAAAGATCGAGTCGCGCAATGGCCACTTCGTTGTTGCCATTGGAGCACGCGACGATCCTGAGGTACAGCACGACGACTCGACCCACTACTCGGTTCCGTCGGCCGCTGGTGACGAGGAGCTCATGCTCAAACTCGACGGCGAGAAGAAGTGGACGGCGGGTCTGGCGAAAGAGGTCGTGTACATTCAGTCCGCGTACGAATACTGTCACGCACGCCTAGGCGCCTTCATCCTGGGGACCCGCCTGTCAAGAATCGTACTTGCTGCCAACGGTTGTGTTATTTTGGAATGCTCGAGCGCGTTCCTCGACCGTGTGCACCAACTCGACATGCCCATGACCGAGTTCCTTCGCAATCCCCACAACGTCAGTCATCTCCGCTGGGACCTGGCGAGCCCCGTCTCCGACACCACCTCGGCGGCCGTCCAATGGGATCGTGAAGCTCTCGACAAGCTCGTCGATATCCACCGTCTCGGCGTCGACATTCTCCAACACCAGACCGCCGACAAGCCGGACAACCCCTTTGTGCCCCTTACCGATCCACTCGAACATCCAGGCGTGAAAGCGATTGTTGACGAGTTGACGGCGGGCGGGTCGGTATCTGCGACATTGGGGACAGGGTCGCAGCACAGGCCGTCCAACGACGATGACGACAAGGAGCCGAATCGCAAGCCTGCCCACGAAAAGAAGCCCAGAACGCAACAAGGCAAGCACGCGGGGCCTCCACACCCATCCACATCCACTCCGCCACGTGAGCGTTTCGGGTCTGGACCGTCTGGGGCAAGAGCTGAAGGGAAAGCCCAAGAAGGTACGCGGCAGCATAACATGACACCTGCTGGGGACGATGTTGCTGAACTGCGTACACAGAGACGTCAAGCCTCACCACCGCTGCCCGATGGCGACTTGATGTGGCACTTGCCAGTCCGGCTGCCGTGCCCGAAACAACTCCCGACTCCTCGTTCGAGGTCAAGACGCCATCCACCCTTCCCACGTCGTCCACGCTTCCCACGCCGCCCACCACAATCTTTGACGAACAACTCATGAACAAGGCAAGCGGTGTCGACGCGTCAGTGTATTCTAGTGATTTGGGCGCAGACTGGGACGAGGTTCTCGAAGCCAATGACCTCTGTCCGTCCGACACATCATGGGTGCGCAACTACGTCGCACCCGACAGCGACTTGGACGAGGAGGAGGAAGGGCGGGAGAACGTCTTGTACGAGGACATGCTCGCCGTCATTGGCAAGTTGGGCATGACGGTGAGGTTGGTTGATTCAGCGGCCATGGACCGCCTCCTGGGAGCGATCGCCGCTGCTGTAGCTTAGAACAAAACTACGTGTATACGTGAGAGTGAGATTGTTGTGAATAGTATGCTCTGTATGAATTACTGCATGTTCTGTGTTCTCCCCGCGCACTCTCCCTTGCTTCTGCTCGTGAAGCGCGAATAATACCCAGCGGGATCCTTGACGCGGAAATCCACCAGCCCCCACTCCTGCCGCTTGATATCGGCATCCAAAGGCCACCCGTTGCTCACCACGTCGTCCCTCATCGCCTGTAGGTCGTCCACCTCGAGCACAATCTCCGTGCCCGTAGGTACCATCCGTGAGTGGCTGTCGACAGTCTCCCACGCGGACGCGGCGCCAATCCGAACGCTGCCGCGACCCATGTATGCGTAACCCTTGGACTCGCGGAGGAGGGTGAAGCCGAGAATCCGGGTGTAGAAGTCGACCAAGGATGGGAGGTCGGTGGGGAAGAGCTCGATGCGGAGGGACATGTGCTGGGAGTCGTCTGGGGCGATATCCATGACGTTGCTGTTGGGCATGGGGATGAGAGAGTTGTTAAGTGACATTGTTGGACGCTGGGGTAGTTTGAACGTAGCATCCATGACATGACGTCACGAGGTTCGCCGATGTCGAGCTGTGCCACTGTGAAACGTGAACTGCTGGTCAGGTGTGCTAGAGATGGACCAAAGACCGCAATACACGCCCTCATGCAGACCATAGAGGAGTACTGATTCATGGGAATGTGTTAAACATTTGAGTATACAGTGCGAACAAGGCCGGACCCCCGGCCACGAACCCCGATTACGAAAACATTAGGCTTAGGTTGGAAGGGACGACACTCCCTTACTACGACACGCTGAGGTCGACCAGGATAGTGATCAGACCGAGGACAATCTCGAGGCCGCTGGAGACAGTTGTTAGCGGGTGCGAGTGAAGGCGCAACTGTCGGGGCCACTTACATGAGGACAATGACAATAGCTTCGAGGTGCTCGCCGTGCGAGCTGTTAACCGACTCCTTGAGCAGCTTGAGCATGTCCTGCAGGACCTGTACTGTTAGTTCAGTAAGGAGCACAACACCTACATCGACACGGGCGTTGAGCAGGTCTATGCGCTGACCAATCTCGAGGTACGAGCGGGCAGCATTGTACAGCGGTTCCAGATCTGGGAATGACCAGAAGAATTCCTGCAGTTGTCAGTTAACCGGTGTGGCGAGCGCAACTCACAGGTGAATCCAAGATGGATCCGACAAGGTTGATGTTGATACGCAGGATAAAGAGGTTGCCAATCTGCTTCATGATCTCACTGCGGGGAAGCTGCCGGGTGAGCAGGTGTTCTATCAAACTACACTTACGCCAACTTTGCCGGTCTGGCTGAGACTCTTGGGGATGTCCTTGGTCTGCTCAATGGTGCTGCTGATGAGCTCCTCAAAGAGCGAGATCTTGACCGATTGAGACAGCGCGTGAGACAGCGCGAGTTTGGTCCTGGAGAGTTAGAATCGTGCGACAGAGATCCCATCAACTCACATGTACGACGATCCCTTGCGGAGCGTAATGACGTCGTTGTAGATACGCGAGTAGTCGGCATAGTAAAAGTTGAGGTCCTCCATCTCGACATCCTCGCCGCTGAGACGCTCGACCTCAAACTTTTTCAAGTGGCGCAAAAACGTCTTCTCCTCCCTTTCGGTCATGCCCCAGATCACGACGGTACCATACTCGAAGAGGAAGACGTCGGGGACCCACTCTTCCTCTTCCCAGTCGTCGTCCGCGTCCGACTCGCCGCCGGCATCGTCGCCGTTCCTGACCCGCCTGTCTTTAGCGCCGGGGGCCTTTGCAAAGCCCGGACGACGTTTGGGGAGATCGCGAGGTTTGGAGGTGGGGGAATATGACAACGGAGCGCTGCCGATGCCGGCGGTGTTGTCGTCGAGGTTGAGGAGGTTGCCCTCGGGCACTGTATTCAACAGTTGGACGGGCTTGAGCATGGGGCTGTTACTGCGGTGATTTGACGAAGTGGCAGGAGGAAGATAGGGAGTGTGGAGACACTCGGTGTCGAAAATACGGGGATGGGTGCGGTACGACGCCGGGCGGTTGCTGAGGTAGGCCTGGAGGCCTGGGAGGTCGTAGGATCTGCTGGGTCAGCTACACGCAATCACTCCTTGAACCCACGCAGCAGTGCAGTACGCCGTGACACGCGGGAGCTTGGCCTTTTCCGATTTTGTGAGCTTGAGGGCATCGCGACGCGCCGAGCCGGCGGGAATCTGGTACAGCGGGGTGTAGAACTGGCGCGGGTCAACATGTGCACCAACACGTTCACGGTACCCACCTCGACGCCCTCGCCATCTGTCTGCGCAAGGTGCTGGTCGTCATTTGACTCGTCCTCCTCTTCGGGAATCGTGGGGTGTTCGGGCTGAGTGGGAAGGACCTTGAGTTCTGCAGTTGTGGAATACGGTAGCAAGATGCAGGGCAAGGCATGGTGGTCAGTAACTCTCTCAGGGGCTTGGCAGCGAGAACGCACTCGTTCCCAGCTTGGACGTGCTGGCAGACGGTCAGCTATGGCTTTTGGAACGGACGGTCAGCTATACTCACCGCATAGGCTGTCGCGGCTCGCGACGTTGCTGTTGCGGGGTGTTATGGGCATAGGCATATGGGAGGGGCAGTGTATTGCTGCCGGGGGCGGGCATGGCGAGAGGTAGGCTCCACGAGCGGGGGTTCAAGGGCACAGGTGAAGAGTGAGGAGCAGGGGTTCTGGCGCTTGCTGTTGTGTGTGGTAGGTGGTGTACAGTGTGGACTCCAAGTCCAAGCGCGACGTGGTAGTGGTGTTTCGACGATAGATTATGGGTATTGTGGTCAAACCACCCCTTGCAACTCAATCTCTCCAAGCCGCCAGGCCAGGTCTTGGCCGATCGTTCACGTCACACCTCGTGCCAATTTTGATCCCGCTATCCCTCCTGGCAATTCTCCCAGTTGTGAAGCAATGTCCCCTCCAGCTCCCATGTCTGCTCTTCACCTATCCGATGCATAAATGACACGATGATACAGACCCAAGAACCCCGTTAACGAGTATCTCTCTAGGAGAAACTCTCCCCTAAATAATGGAATAGCCTTTTGTTGTTGTTGTTGTTGTTGTTGTTGTTAGTTGCAGTCAGTTTGACCACTTAAACAGCGCCGGAAGCACGGGCCTGCTCGCCAATGTAGTTGAGGGCCGAACCAGCACGCAGCCAGTTGAGCTGGTCGGCGGACATGGTGTGGGTGGTCTCGATGAAGGCAACCTCGCCCGAGGGCTTGGTGACCTTGAGACGGATCTGGCCCTCGCCAGCGGCCAGGAGCTCCTTGAGGCCCTCAGTCTGGACCTTGTCGCCAGCCGAAATCTTGGCGTAGTCGGCCTTGTCGGCAAACCACACGGGGAGGATACCCTGCTTCTTGAGGTTGGTCTCGTGGATACGGGCAAACGAGCGGGCAACAATGAGGCCACAGCCGTAGTGGCGGGGCTGGAGAGCGGCGTGCTCACGGGCAGAGCCCTCACCGTAGTTGTCGTCGACAACGAGCATCCAAGGCTCGCTGCGGGCCTTGTACTTCTGCATGACGTGGGGGATGGTGTCCTCGCCCGAGGCGTCACGAGCGACGTTGATCTGGCCGCCCTCGTCGTTGACGGCGGTCATGAGGGTGTTCTCCGAAATGTTCGAAAGGTGACCCTTGTACTTGAGCCAAGCGCCAGCAGCCGAAATGTGGTCGGTGGTGCACTTGCCGCGGACACGGAGCAGGCAGGTCAGCTCGGGGAGCTCGGCGGGGCCGTTGGCAAAGTCGGTGCCGAAGGGCTCGAGGATCTCGAGACGGGTCGAGCTGGGCGAGATGGCAATCTCAGTCTCGGGCACAGGAGCAGGCGAGGGCGAGGGCGAGAATGAAAGGTCACCACCCGTGTAGCCCGAGGGAGGGAGACGGTCACCCGAGGGAGCCTGGAACTTGAAGGGACCGTTGGGAGTCTCGATCGAGTCGGTAGCGGGGTTGAAGTTGAGGTCACCGGCAAAGGCCATGGCGGTAACAATCTCGGGGGAAGCAAGGAAGTTCATGGTCTTGAGGTTACCGTCGTTACGAGCCTTGAAGTTGCGGTTGAACGAGGTGAGGATGGCGTTGTCCTCACCCTGGTGCTCGTCACGCTTCCACTGACCAATGCAGGGGCCACAGGCGTTGGCGAGAACGGTGGCACCCACGTCCTCGAGCTTGCCCTGGAGACCGTCGCGCTCGACAGTAGCGCGGATCATCTCCGAACCAGGAGTAACGAGGAAGGGGACCTTGGAGGTAAGACCAGCAGCCTTGGCCTGCTCGGCGATCGAGGCGACGCGGGACATGTCCTCGTACGACGAGTTGGTGCACGAGCCAATAAGGGCCGACGAGAGAACGGTGGGGAACTTGTTCTCCTTGAGGAACTGGGGGAACTTGGAGATGGGGGTGGCAAGGTCGGGGGTGAAGGGGCCGTTGAGGTGAGGCTCAAGCTCGGAGAGGTTGATCTCGATGACCTCGTCGTACTCGGCACCCTCGTCGGCGGAAAGGAAACCAGCCTGGGCGGCAGCGTCGGCGGCAGCAGCAACGGGGGCACGGCCAGTGGCCGTGAGGTACTGGCGCATGTTGTCCGAGTAAGGGAAGGTCGAGGTGGTGGCGCCAACCTCAGCACCCATGTTGGCAATGGTGGCAAGACCAGTGCACGACTGGGCCTCAACACCAGGGCCAAAGTACTCGAGGATACGGCCAGTGCCGCCCTGTGGCATGTCAGTTTTGGAGGCATGACGAGCACACAGCATGACAAACTTACGCGAACGGTGAGCTTGCCGGCGAGGTGGAGGATGAGGTCCTTGGGAGTAGCCCAGCCGCCAAGCTGGCCCGTGAGCTTGACACCGGTAATCAAAGGCGCCTTGAGCTCCCAGGGGGTGTTGGTGAGAGCGTCAACGGCGTCGGCACCACCGACACCAATGGCCAGCATGCCGAGACCGCCAGCGTTGGGAGTGTGCGAGTCGGTGCCGAGCATGAGGAGACCGGGAGCGGCGTAGTTCTCGAGAACGATCTGGTGGATGATACCCGATCCAGGGGCCCAGAACTCGATACCGTACTTTTTAGCGGCCGACTCGAGGAAGTCGAACACCTCCTTGTTCTGCTCGATCGAGCGGGGGAGGTCAGCCTCGGCACCAGTCTGAGCCTGGATAAGGTGGTCACAGTGGATCGAGGCGGGGACAGCACACGAGGGGAGACGGCAGGTCATGAACTGGAGCAGGGCCATCTGGGCAGAAGCGTCCTGCATGGCGACGCGGTCGGGGCGAAGCTTGAGGTAGCGCTCGCCGCGAATCTTGCCACCACCACCGAGCGACTCCTCCGGGTTGCGGAGGTGGGCGTAGAGAATCTTCTCGGCGAGGGTGAGCTTGTGGTCCTTGCCGAGGACGCCGCGGACCTCATCGAGGGTCTTGAGGAGGCGGGGGTAGGGAGGGGTGATGGAGGTGCAGTCCTTGGTGGGGAGAGCGGCCGGGGTAGCAAAGCCGCGGGTGGCCATGAGACGCCCGAGGGCTGGGCGTGTCCTTTGAACGAGCATTGGTGATGGCGCGCTCTTTTAGGGGGGTGGTGGTTGGAGAGAGGTGTATGTGTGGAGAAGCAAAAGCCCAAAAGATTGTGGAGACGATTGAGTCGATGGAGCCGGATAGACCCTGTGTGTTGGGTGGTGGCATGCCAAAAGTCGGCGCGCTGGTTGGCGGAAATTATCGGGCGCCATATGCCGATGGCCCGAATGAGCGAGGTGGGGTCGGTGGAGGTGGTCCATCGTAGGTGACGGTGGGTGACGGTGTGTGTGTGTGTCTTCCTTGCATGCCTTCCCTCTGGCCGCTCTGGCGATCCCACACAACACACAGACACTTTTCTCTGTTGCCCATTCTCTCACTCTCTCATCTTCTTCTCCTACATCTCGTTCCATCGATCCATCCATCCACCCACCCCGTTCTAAACCACACTCTGACCCTCTCACCCACCCTCCACACCAAGTCACTGCCACCATGTCCGACAACGGCGAAGAGGTGAGTGGAACTGCTGCCTTCCCTCCCGCTGTTTAGTTAGAGGAAAGGGAAACACTCCTCTGCATGACGCTAATTGTCGTTCCAGGAGACTGTCTTTGGCTACGAGGTGAGCTGCGCACTCCATTATTGTTTGGTTCAAGCTCACAAACAGGCCATCGATGAGCTTCAAAACCATGTAAGTGTTCCCCCTCTCCCACCTTCCCTCAACTGTCTTCCCTTCCTTCCACCACCCTCCACCCTCCTTCCTCAGACACATCACCTCGTCCATCCACTTGACTCCCGCCTGCATTGCTGACCTCTACCAAGGGCATCAACGTCTCGGACATCACCAAGCTCAAGTCTTCCGGCATCGTGACCGTCCTCGGCGTCGCCCAGACCCCGCGCAAGAACCTCCTCAAGATTAAGGGCCTCTCCGAGGCCAAGGTCGAGAAGATCAAGGTACATGGGTTGAGAAACGGACCGTCGCTGACCTTTGCAGGAAGTCGCCGCCAAGATGCTTGTGAGCTCGCCTCCAGTGTGCGACAGCTGACGACAGCCCCCAGTGTTTGCGTCTGGAGCCGAAATTTCCGACCGCCGCCAGACCGTTCTTATGATCTCCACCGGTTCCAAGGCCGTGGACGCTATGCTCGGTGGTGGCATTTGCACGCAGAGCATCACAGAGGTTTTTGGTAGGTTGTACCTCAGGCCGTGGCTTCTGAAGCTAACTTGCATGCAGGCGAATTTCGCACTGGAAAGGGGAGCGACTACCCAATCACACCCGAAAACACAAACTGACCTCTCCAGACCCAGCTGTGCCACACCCTCTGCGTCTCCACTCAACTCCCCGAAGACCAAGGTGGCGCAAGTGGCAAGGTCGCCTTCATCGACACGGAAGGCACTTTCCGTCCTGACCGTGTCCGCGCCATTGCCGACCGTTTCGGCGTCGACAGCCAAATGGCCCTCGAGAACATCCTCTGCGCCCGCGCCTGGAGCTCGGAACAGCAGTGCGAACTCCTTGTTGAGCTCGCTGTCCGGTGGGTTTCTCACTTTGAACGGAACCCACTAACCCTGGCAGCTTTGTCGAGGACCGCACTTACAAGCTCCTCATCGTGGACTCTATCATGAACCTCTTCCGTGAGTGGCGGATCAGAACATGTGCTAATGCTTCAGGCCAGGACTACTCGGGACGCGGAGAGCTTTCGGAGCGCCAACAGGTGAGCTGGCGTTAGCTGTATCTAGCTCACACATTAGAAACTCAACCAGTTCCTTGCTCGCCTGCAGAAGATTGCCGAGGAATTCAACGTCGCTGTTATCCTCACCAACCAAGTCCAGGCTGACCCTGGTGCTGCCGCCATGTGAGGTCTAGGAGCTGGCATTCAACTGACATTCCAGGTTTGCCGCTGCCTCCAGTGCTAAGCCGGTTGGAGGTAAGTTGACAGTACTGGTGGTCGCTGACTGGTCCCCAGGACACGTTCTCGCCCACGCGTGAGTTGCGAATTGAGTCAACTTGCACAACTGACACGACAGTTCGGCAACTCGCATCCAGCTCCGCAAGGGCCGCGGAGAAGAGCGCATTGCCAAGCTCCAAGACTCCCCTGACATGCCAGAGGGTGAAGCCACTTACTGCCTGAAGACTGGGTTAGTTAGACAGAGTTGAAAACCATGTGCCCAAGCTGACATCGCAGTGGATGGGAAGGTAGGCGTTTGAATGCCATGGGCTTTGCTCACCTGACAGACACTTAAATACGGTTCTGAACCTCAAGGACACATCTCTCTCATCAATTCATTGGACTTCCTGCATGATTTGTATATAGCTCTGTAGATATGGACGGGTTGTAGGAACCAATTTCATGCATAAAGTACACCCTGGGGGCGACTATTCACGGTCCAGATTTTGACGGCGACGGGGCTCCACTCCATGACAAACTCGGGTCAGCAGATAACTCGAGCAATCTCACTCCACATTGACTTTCCGTCAACACCATGCCCGACCGCATCACCGTCTCGGGCCTCAAGTGCGAGCTCGCCAACGGCGTCGGTCCCTCGGCGTTTGGCCTCGTCCCTCCTCCCCCGTGCCCACTGGTGCTGGACGTCGACATCGACCTCCTCCCCAACATTGTCCCAGCGAGCGTCGACGAAGACGACATGCCGACCCTGGGTGTCAACTACAGCTCTGTCTCAAAGGCAATCCACAAGATCTTTTCCGATACGAGCAGGACATGGACCCGCCCCACTGAGCTCCTCGACGCCGCTGCTGCCGTGCCCCTCGCGCTCCCTGCCGTAGCCGGCGTGCGTGTTCGCGCGACTCTTCCGCGTGCGCTCCTCCACGCCCATGCGGCCGAGTACGCGCGGTCGTATACCAATGCAGCGGGCAATAGCTCCAAGGGTGAGATGGACTGTGTGATCCGGGATCTCCGTGTCGCTACTGTCATCGGCCTGCACCCCCACGAGCGGGCTGAGAAGCAACGGCTCGAGGCCGATGTCGAAGTGTCGAGTGTTCCGGAGGACGGCTGGAGTCATAAGAGCGTTGCGGACGCAGCCTTGAATGTGAGTCTCTCAGCGCTGAGCCACTAGGAGTTGTTTGGACTGACCCTCCAGTTCCTTGAAAAGTCGTCCTTTGGCACCCTCGAGTCGCTCGCCGACACCTTTGCCCGTCATCTCCTCGCGCTCCCCGACGTCTCTGGCAAGTCTGTGGACATTACCATCCGCAAGCCCAGCGCTCTCCCGTATGCCACCCCCCTTATCAACGTCTCTCGCCGTGCGACCGACTACGATGGTCGCGGCGGACTGTCCACTCGCGGCGTGAGGATGTTTGGCACCACTGCCCCGCCCGCAGGCCCCACTCCTCCCGCTCCAACCCCGGCACCCATCCCGCTGGGCTCTCAGCGCGTCTTCATCGCCGTCGGCTCCAACATTGGCGACCGCGTTGGCCACATCCGCAACGCCATTCATCTCCTTGAGGCATCTGGCTGCAAGCTCATCTCGACGTCGCGTCTGTACGAGAGCGAACCGATGTACGTCACGGACCAGGACCTGTTCATGAACGGTGTCATTGAGATGAGCACTGCGCTTGCTCCCCTCGACCTTCTCCGCGTGCTGAAGAAGACCGAGACAGAGGTCGGCCGTGTCAAGACGTTTAGGAATGGCCCGCGCGTTATTGACCTCGACCTGATCCTGTATGGCGACGAGGTGGTCAAGATCGGCACCCGCGGCGACGCGGCCGACGCCGACGGCGTCGCTTGGCTCGAGGTCCCGCATGCGAGCGTCATGGAGCGCGAGTTTGTTCTCCGGCCCCTCGCAGACATTGCCCCCGAGCTCCACCACCCTGCCTTGGGTGGCTCTGTCGCGCAGCTCCTCGCTGGCGTTGCTCCAGGCGGTCTCGCCCCCATCATCCCATTCCCTGCCCCCGCACGCGTCTTGAGGCTTGCCCCCATCGGCGCTGTTGCCACGCCTGCCATCATGGCCATCTTCAACGCCACCCCAGACTCGTTCTCGGACGGCCACGAGTCGCGCATCGAGACCACCTCGGCGCTCGCAGGCGTCCAGGCGCTCATGACTCTCGCCACACCGCCCACCATTGTCGACATTGGCGGCATGAGCACGCGTCCCGGTTCACTCCCTTGCACGGAAGACGAAGAGCTCGCGCGTGTCGTGCCCCTCGTTCAGGCCATTCGCATCTCTGACGAGTCGCCGGCCTCCACCCTCCCCCTCAGCATCGACACGTACCGTGCGTCCGTCGCCGCCGCGGCCATCGACGCCGGCGCGAGCTGCATCAACGACGTGCGCGGCGGCGCCGAGCCGGGCATGCTCGAGGCCATGGCCAAGGCCGACTGTCCCGTCATCCTCATGCATTCCCGCGGCGACAGCGTGAGCATGACCACGGCCGACGAACAGGTCTACCCCGAGGGTGTGGTTGCCGGCGTGCGGTCCGAGCTGGCTAAGCGCGTCCGCGCCGCCCTCGCTGCCGGCGTGAAAAAGTGGGACATTGTGCTCGACCCGGGACTCGGGTTCGCCAAGAACCAGGCGCAAAACCTCCAGCTGCTCAAACACATTGGCGAGCTGGCGACGGGCGAGTTGGCAGGATACCCCGTGCTGGTGGGTGCGAGCCGCAAGGGCTTTGTGGGCAAAATCACGGGCCGCACGGTCGCTGCCGAGCGCGGGTATGGCGATGCGGCCGTGAACGCATTCTGTGTCCAGAGCGGGTGTGTGGATGTGCTGAGGGTCCATGATGCGCAGGCTGCGGCCGACTCGGTGGCCATGGCGACTGCGATCCGGGATGCGGACAGGAGTGTGTGAGCGGCCAAACCTTTCTTTTACGGTTTTGACCGGTCACGACACACAGCTGCGACATTGGTGAACCATGGGAATGCAGCATGTAGATGGTGCGAAACGTTGCGGCCTTAACAGGCAGCTCCCATACACACGGAAGTGAGAGCCACTACACACGCCGTGGCAGTGTGGAAACATGTTCAATCTGCTGATTATTACACAATGTCTTTCAAGCGACTGACACTGCCTCTCGAAATACTCACACCAAGACATTACCGGCAATGCAGAAAAGATATGCGAAGCCTCGCCACCTCATCGCCCCCTCCTTGTCGCAATCCAGACCTTTCATATTGACACCTGGCCCCAGCGCTGCAGGTGGACATTGATCCTTTCTCCCACTCGAGATCTGGAGCCGCTTCACCTGCTCCAGCACAGTGGCCACCCCGCCCGCCACCCCGTCCATCCATGACATCTCCCTTTCGGCCCCATGCCGTGGCGGCTGTCCATGGGTCCGGCCAAGGGCCCATTGCGCGTGCTGAGTCTCGGTCCCAACGCGAGGCGACTGCGTCAAGTCATCCTTGCCGTCCTGGTGCTCTGTTCCCTCCTCTGGGCGTCGCCGCACTTGGACTGGGGATACGAGTGTGACCCAGGTATCGTGGAGGGTCACACAATGGGACTCCAGTGGCCCGAGTCGTGGTTCGGGTACATGACGAGCCACGGTGGCAGTGCTTCACACCACCACCACCACGCACCGCCACCAGCCAAAATACCGCGACCCCATCTGCCCGCGTCACGCGTCAACCCGGCTTCCAAACGTGCATACGCGCATGTCGGTCGCTCACGCGTCGAGATGGACAGTAGCGACAAGTACACTATCTACAGTACAGAACCATACACCACGGCGCCGCTCCCGAGCCTGCACGAGGCGTTTGCCCACCTCGAACCGCGCCTCACGGCCATCAAGAATGCCCACGCCCAAATCCCGCAAGAGCACGTCCTCACCGAACCGATTTTCCCGCCCTTTCTCACTCGGGCTCAGCAAAGCCGCTACGCGCACCTCCAAGAGGCCGTCAAGGGCGGAACAAAGCGGTACCTCGTCGGGACGGTTTGTCGGCAGGTGGCGGGCATGCTCGCCGACTGGTTTGCGGCGTGGACCGTCCTCGCGGATTTCCTGGGTCCCGAGACGCTCGTGTTTTCGCTGCACGAGGGCATTTCAGACGATGGAAGGTATGTGTATACAAATGCCGCTGGTTTCGCTCGCTGACGCCTTAGCGGCGAGATTCTCGCGGGTGCCATGCGCGCACACCTGCTGTACATTGGCGTGCCGCCGGCCAACATCCACATTGTGACCGGCCTGCCCCGCCCCAACTGGGAGGACAACCACCGTATCGCCCTGCTCGCGTCGATGCGGAACGGCGCCATGGCGCACTTTTATAACAACGCGACATCTACACGCACTGCGCCAGACGGCACGCCGTGGACGGCGGTTGTGTTCCACAACGACGTCTACTTCAGCGCGGCGCACGTCCTCGAGCTTGTCCACCAGCACGTCACCCAGGACGCGGACATGACCTGTGGCTGGGACCAGGCGGGCAAGTGGTTCTACGACGGGTGGGTCGGGTGCGACATGGCCGGGGACCTGTTCACGCCGTTCCCCGTCCCCGAGGAGGAGGAAGGGTTGCCGCAGAAGGTGAGTGGCAGGCGCTGGACCTGGGGGGGGGGGGGGGGTATGGGTGCGTGCCACCACTTGACATTCACCCAAATCAATACCCAACCCCGCGTAGCAGTGCTGACGGCAGCTGTTCGTCTCCTCCCCGGCAACGCGTGAGCGCCACCAACGCCGTCTGCCCTACCAAGTCTTCTCGTGCTGGGACGGCATGGCCGTGCTGTCGCCCACCCCGTTTCTGCCGCCGTACAACGTGCGGTTTAGGCGCGGAACCCCCGTGGCAGCGACGCCGTACGGAAACCAACCCGAGTGCCACTCGAGCGAGGCCGCGCTGCTGTGCTGGGATTTCTGGCGGTACGGGTTCGGCAGGATCCAAGTGGTGCCCGGCGCGCGGTTTGTGTATGCCAAGGGGGACGCGCGGCTGAGGGGGTATCTCGAGTTGCCAGATCCCGGTAACCAGGGCGAGGGCTTCGACGAGAAGATTGCGTGGGTCGACGAGCCGCCCGACAAGGTCCGTTGTCATGACTGGCCAGACGCCCCGGGCCTGGGACACTGGGCGTGGGACAGTGTGAGATGGGTAGACTCGCCCAAGCTTGAAACTGTGTCGTAGTTGGAGAGAATAGTGACGAAATGGAAGATCATGGTCGGACATTTTCATACCACTTGTGGCACAGGCTCCATCCACTCGTCTGCAATCCTCCAGCACGTCCAAACTCGTCCAACACGTCTTCCTGACCTTCCACAAGCCCAAAAAGGTTGGCTTGGGAGGCAATGAAGCCCCGGTTGACGAGAGTGGGATTCGAACCCACGTCCGAAGACTGCGGATGACAACTCTTCACGAAGAGGAGTGGATCACCTTAACACAGCGCCTTAGACCGCTCGGCCATCTCGCCGAGGACGAAACTTTGGCGGAGAGCACGCCCGCGAGCTGTTCCTCTTCTGCGGACACCTGTGACATGCATGTGCAGCGACTAGAGTGCGATGGTCTGCTCCAAAGGTTGTGGTGGGTCGAGGGTGTTTGGTGGCTCTGAGGTGGGGACCAGGCTCCAGGGCAAGGCCGCCACATGAGGCCCCCCCTTTCCTGGACGATGCCTCTCTTCGTATATGAGATCGCACGATTGCCACCTACAACATATCGACGTATTCCGCAGTATAAGTGCCCCGTGCACAACCTGTGAGGCAGCTGTTACACATGAGCTCGCTGCCATCACACTTCTACGGTCAGTCGACTGACGGCGGCCGCTCACTGCGGTGTAAGTGGACAGAGTTAGAACCGGTTGGTGCCAGACCGACCGCCGAGCGCCTCCACAGCACTGTGGCGCACGCATAGCACCCCGCAACGCCAGCCTGTCTGAAGAGCTAGCGACGTTGAGCGCGGTGGTGAACCCCTTGTGGCGATTGGGGCCGGGTTGGCCGTCGGGTGTCGGAAATGCAGACCGACGCGTCCACGAACGCGTCGGGATTTCCGCGAGGTTTTGCTTGCTTCTGCCCCGCTTGTCGCTAGTCTTGCACAGTTTGACGCTCGATCTGTCGAGTATGTATGCATGTGCGCATGCTGCATGTAACGGCTCGCAGTCAGCGTGATAGTCCGCTATCCCAAGCTACCGGTGCTATACGTCCACGATGTTGGGGCCTGGGGCCGATGGTGCCAAACCCACTCCGCCGGACGACCGGCGGGTTCAGCTGCACTGGGTGCCGACGTCACCACTTCCATCGTCTGGCCAAGCATCCTGGAACATTGAAAGCATGTCTTCCGCCAGGTCACCATGTGCTACGACGCGAGGACGGACCCGTCGCGATGGTGTAGTTGCACAGCTCTTGGCGACCAGACGCGTCGGGTGACGGTCACCACACGAGCGCTGCTGCACCGGTATGGTATGCAAGGCACCACGACGTCCATCTCGGCATGGTCACTTGGTTGTGTCACCGAGCAAGCTCTCCGCTCGGCGTTGGCCGTCTGCACGTGCACGCGCGGCGGTGCCGCATACCTCGCAAAGCAGCCGAAAGCCATCCAACGCGTCGTCGCCGTCGAGGCGGGCGTATATTATACGTTGATTCCCGCAGTCGCTGGTTGCTTGGACCTGTTGTGTGGCCTGTGGACCAACTCGTTTCAACCTGACCGCGTCCACCACAGAGAAGAACTGGGCAAAGCATCCTGCACATTCCTTGATGCATCATCGTCGCATTCACAGTGTGAGAGCAGCCTTGGCGAGACCTGTTTGTCACCTGCTCTCCCACGGCCCACGTACCCACCTGTCGCAGTATTGCTTTCCTGGATTGAATGGAGGTGGAGCCTGGATTGCACAGCAGCTGCAAAAACAAATTAAGCACAAAAAAAAAGTCGCCGCGGGGGGGCGACCGCAGGCGCCGTGGGCCAAAAACCCGGCGGCCGGCAGTGGGCGCCAGGGGGAGGGCAAACGCGCAGCAGCGGTGGGTTCATTTGATGCGAGTGCCAAGCATTGCTCGCAGCTCCCATGTCCCCTTCTGGCATGCATGCAGCTGCGGACGGGGACGCGGGGGCTGAGGGGACACCATGCATGCATGTGTGCCTCTTTGGACGTCTTTGCCTGCGTCACCGCCAGCAGCGCGAGAGACACCCATTTACCCACCTGAGACCCGATTTATTGCGTATGCCCCGGCTGGCCCTGATCGACCCGCAGGACAAGCCGGTCAGCCAAAAACAAACCCACAATATCTCCTACAGCAGGCTCAGCGCACTCGTATCTTGTCTCTCTCGACTCCTCTCCATCACTCCCACCAACTCACACAGCATGCACATTGCACTCACGCTCGCCGCCGTCGCGGCGGTCGTGCCCGCCCTTGCAGACGTTGCCGCCGACAAGCGCGCCGAGGCCCGTCAAGAGCTCGCATACGAGGTCCATGACGCCCGCGCAGCCTACCTCGCCTCGCCACAGGCCAAGCGCGACGCTCTCGAGTACCGCGAGGCCGTCACCAACAGCGCCGTCGCCAACTCGACCGAGCTCCTTATCGGTGGCGGCTCGAGCTATGCTCCTTACAAGGTCGACTGCCCCAGCGACGTGACCTGGATTCGCTCAGCCCGCGAGGTGAGTGTGGCGTTACGCTCAGAGCGAGCGCAGTCAGTCTGCGCAGCAGCAGCGAGCACACGACTGTGACGACGGGCGCGTACGGAGCGACCCAACATACATGGGCCCCCCCGAACCGCAGCGCGCAGTGTGATCATCAAGATCTACGCCCAGCCCGCAGCTGGATCTGTGCATGATGTCCAGAACCAACGCTGACAAGCTATTCTTAGGGTCTGGGTACCAAGGAGAAGGCCTACCTCGCCCAGCGTGCGTCGACCATTGAGAGCACCGTCGCGACGATGATGGCCGCCAACGGCCTCGCCGCCCCTCCTCGCGCTCCCGTTCTCGGCATGTCGCTCTCTGGTGGTGGCTACCGTGCCATGATCAACGGTCTGGGCATGGCCATGGCCACCATGAACGGTTCCTCCGAGGCTGCCGCTTCAGGTGTGGGTGGTTGGATGGATGCCATGTCGTACATGACTGGTCTTTCGGGTGGCTCGTGGGCCACTGGTTCGTTTGTGGCCAACGACGGCATGCTCCCCACCGACCTCATCAACCAGGTCTGGAACCTCGAATCGAACCTCATCGTCCCGTCGAGCGGCAAGGTTTCGTTCTACTATGACCTGGTTTCCGAAGTCGGTGCCAAGGCGGACGAGGGCTTCCCTACTCAGATCACCGACTACTGGGGTCTCGCTCTCGGCGACCACCTTCTGCCCTCGCAGTACCACCTGGACAACTCACCCAACGTCACCATTGACCTTCTGCCCAACATTTCGTCCAACTTTGCCAACGCCATGCTCCCCTTCCCCATTATCATCGCCGCCGAGCGTGAGACCAACACTACTGTCCTCGCTACCAACGCCACCTTCTGGGAGTTTACTCCATTCGAGTTTGGCGCATGGGCTGTTGGCTTTGACAACCTCACTGCTGGCTACTTTACTCCCATCGAGTACCTGGGCACCGCGTTTGCTGCCGGCAGCCCCAACGGTACCTGCTACAAGGGCTTTGACCAGATGAGCTTCGTCATGGGTACCTCGTCGACTCTGTTCAACTATGCGCTCATCGAGCTTGGAAATGACACCGACTCGTCGGTCCTCGTGTCAGCCATTGATAACATCCTGAGCGGCCTCTCGGCCGCCAACGACGACGTGTCGTCGGTCCCCAACCCCTTCCAGGGCTACACCAATGGCACCGACACCAACCCCCTCGCCGACCTCGAGTACCTCACTCTCTTTGACGCCGGTGAGATCAACCAGAACCTGCCCCTCGACCCTCTCCTCATGCCCGGACGTAACGTCGATGCCATTCTCGCCTTTGACAACTCGGCCGACACGACCTACTCTTGGCCCAACGGCACTGCCATGACCGTTTCGTACGAGCGTGGCCTCGCCTTCCAGCAGCAGTACAACGTCGACAGCATTCGCATGCCTCCGGTTCCTTCCATCAACGGCTTCGTCAACGGCGGTCTCAACACCCGCCCCGTGTTCTTTGGCTGTAACGAGACCGACACCCCCGTCATCATCTACGTTCCCAACTACCCGTGGTCGTACTACGCCAACTCGTCGACGTACAAGATGGCCTACGATAACGACACCGCCCACGCCCAGATGGAGTCCTCGATGCGCTCGCTTACTCTCAACGGCACCGTCGAGTCGTGGCCCAAGTGCCTGGCCTGCGCCTTCACCGACCGCGCGTTCGGCTACACCTCGGAGAACCGCTCGTCCGAGTGTGCCGAGTGCTTCAGCACTTGGTGCTGGGACGGCACTGACAACGACACGACCCCCAGCGGCAACTACACCCCCCTCGCCGGTGTCACCCCTACTTTCCTTGTCGAGAACAACCTCTCGTCCTCGGTCCAGACTAGCGCCATCTCCGTTGCCTCGTCGTCCGCGTCGGGTACCACCGCTGTTTTCAGCGGCAACGGTCTCACCATCGCCGCCATGGTCGCCTGTGCGCTCATCGGTGGCGTTGCCACCCTCAGCTAAACGTCTCGCTTTCTTTTGCATTTCATTCGAGGACAAGCCAGTAGGGAGGCAGCGCTAGATTTCGCTTGGGGGGCCATATTCTTCATCTCTTAGAACTCCATCCTGATGAATAACACCACGACTTAATGCCTATAAGACCTGTGCTCGCTCGTTGTGGTAGATCTTGCCCGTCGTCGTCGTCACCTTTCCCATGCTCCACGCTCGTTCCCAGCACACGTCTTCCATGGCTGGTACACACCACTTGACCGAGACAGGTCTCACTCTTCACTTGGCACTTGGCATTTGAGTGAGACAACGAGCCAAGTCTACGACAAGAGAACAGTCTCACCGACGCATGCAGTATGTATTATAGTTCCGCACTGGGTGAATTCAGCCCATGGATCATGGATTTCATGTTTCATTACGCCGCCAACCTTCTGTGTCTTCTGTTGCTCCACCTGCAATCTCTTGTCTGTTCCTGCCTGGTGTATCCTCTCCCTCACCCGAACAGACGCATCTTGTTTGGATTCCTGGGTGACGGCATGTACGTGGCGTCCCCCCCCCCCCATCCACACCACAAAAAACAAACCAAAAAAGAAAAGCAACCACGTCGCACGTCTTTCTTTGACACTTTAAAGTACACTGTTTTCAACCCCAAAAGCCATGCTTGTCAATGTTCCCGTCCGATAACGGGTGCACGTAGCCGTTTTGGGGACATGTATGCATTGACGAGGACACAGATTGGGTTCCTACTTGGCATCCCTCGCTTCTGGCTCATCTGCTCCTTGGCCACAGGCCCCCTCCTCGTCCCCGCCTGCGTCAATGTGGCTCGCCCCGGGACGAGACGACGAGACTGCCGCGTCCACGAGGCTGCTCATGGTAGCCCCGGGGTACTTGAGCGCGAGGTCTGCCGGCGACGGAAGCTTGTCGTCTCCCTGGTGGAACAATCTGGAGTATATGTAAGCTCGGGGTTACAGACGAGTGGTGATGTTTGGTACTATGTACTCACTCCCAGAGTTCCATCTTCTGCTCCAGAGTTGCAGGCTCGTGCGACTCGGCGTGCGGAGAACGGCGGCCGGTGCGGTTGTGCTCGAAGAACGCCACTACCTTTGGGTAGTACGTGGACGGGTACCCATATCCTCGGCCCGTGTTGCGACGCACTTGCTGCACTGGGGTGTGTCAACAGCTGAGACATGGCAGACATTGCTCTTTCACCCTCACTGATGAGATTCACGAGAACAGCGCCAGGCTGCTCCATTTCCGTCGAAATGTAACGTGTCACGAAATAAGGGGACACGTTGAGCAAGTCCAGTGCCTCCTTTCTCGTGAGTCGGGCCAGTTTGGGATCTGGGTAGCCCGGAAGCGCGGCGAGTACCTGGTCAAACGCGAGGTCGAGAGCCTCGGCATCCATAATGGCTAAGAACGTCGTCAGTGTCACTTGCACCAAACGAGATAACGCCACTTACACTGCTGCTGCGCCATTGGAAACGGGTCCCCGAACAACGGATTCCAAGGAAAAGGTATTTGTCCCTGTGTGGTGTCAAACCAGCTGTGCTCCCAGCGTATGTAGCCCCCTACCTTCTCCAGGCATTTCGACATCAGAGCTTCGAGCATCCAATCTTTCAGCATGACAAACACGTCCCAGTCAGGTAGAGAACCAGCACCTTCCGGGTGGCGCTCTGGACCCGACTGGTCAGCGGTCCGCCTGGTCAGGCCGGCTTCTGGGTTTGCGTTGAGGTACCCCAAGTTGCGAGCTATGTGTATTCTGTTAGTCTCCAGTCCAGCGCAGCCTGATACATACCGCATACCCAGGTGGCCAGACTGCTAAAGCCCTCGAGAACAGATGACCCGAAATTGTGTTGCCTGGCACAAGGCCAAACCGCAAGGACCCCCTCGAAACCCAAAGTGGCAGAAAGGTGCAGGAGTCGGTGGAGCACGATATCAGGAAGGAAATCACGGGTAACGATGATACCCTTGACTGCCATGATATCTTTGACCAACTGGTACATACAGTCAGTCTGTATTCCACAGTCCACAACACATACGGCGCGAATAGTTGTGTAGCTCGCAAATATTATTTTAGCCCCTTGTTGTCGCTCCTCCTTGGTGAAGACGCTCTTGCGATTGCCAGCTGCGTCCTTGAATGGTCGCGTTGTGCTCACAGACGCCGAATACTCCCTAGTGGGTTGTCAGGACACTGCGGGTCACGGGCGCACTCACCTGACAGCCTTCCTCTCCTGGGCCAGTGTCGGCTTTGTGAGCTTTTGCTGGGTGAACATTCCCAACAGCTCCTCAACGCCATATGCCCAGTCCAGCAAAGCACGCAGGTGGGCATTGGGGTGCCACACGACGACGCGGAATAGCATGACAGTTGCACCCATGGATTCCATGATGCGGGTGTGGAGGGGATCCATTCTGTGATTTGTTAGTGGCACCCGATTGTGGCACTTACCGTACGGCGACCTCGGCGGAGTGTTTACGAGGCATGGCGTTGAACGAAGGTGAGGAAACGAGGCAGGCAGTGGTGGGACGAAAATGAGTCTGTGGTGGGATATAAATATAGAGAGTGGGAGCATAGCACGAGAAGGACAACCGGCAGTTACAGCTGTCATACCCGCACAGGCGGTGTGTGTGTGTAGGCCAAGGGCACATACAATATGTCATCCTGAGTAGGTCTGTACGTCATTGGGAACAGTGTAGCGAGCGTGTAGCATAGCTTAGAAGGACAGTAGGCATGGGGGGCTTCTGGGAGGACACATATGGTATGTCATCCGGCTACGTCTATGCGTCATTGGGAACAAATATAGCGACTATAGCATAGCATGAGAAGGAAAATCGCCAGTTACGAGTGTTATACCCGAAGACACATACATACTGGATGTCATTCTTCCATGCAGTATGACATTCACCTACGTCTATACGTCATTGGGAACTCGGGAAGGGGAACTGGGCGTACGACGAGAACTGACCCCAGGATGTGACACGTTGAGCCTAGGGTCTCAGCGTCTTGGGATCCGGGTACCTCCAATGTACACCCAACCCGGTCCCCACATGTACCACTTGTTCTACCTGCCTTCGACTATTCCCTCACTCTCCCCACCAGATACCAGCTCATGAGTAGTCACACTACACCCACCCTGTCCCAGCAAGCTGCTATTGAAGACAAACTTGTTTCCCACGCAATGGCCAGCAACATCACACTGGACGGCAGCGTGGTACTCGGCAGCGTGCTTCAAGAATACTGCGGCGAACGCAACATCAAATTCCACGCCGTCGTTACAAAGCGTCAGGTGTGGGCCAATTTCAGCTATGGGTCGACTAGATGCCAGCACTGGCGTCACTTTACAGTCCGTTTTGCTCGCGAGCTCACGTAGCTGGTCCCGCTGATCAGTTCACAGGCCGAATCTGACCTTGTTCCACTCCTTCAGCAGAATTCGTCATTTTTCGATGTGCTCCCACTGCTTGCGAGTAAGGAGGAAGCGCGTCACCAGCCCACTGGTGTCCTCTTTAGTCTGCGCAAGCTTGTTGGCCACATGGTCACCTGCCAGCGATGGCAAGAAGAGAAAGAACGAGCACAGGCGGCTCACCGCCCAATGGAAGTGAGTTGAAATACGAAAAGGAACAAATAAGAATGAAAATGATGAGAAAAGCCATCTTCAACGCTGAAACTATTCAGGCAATCTGGCTGCTCTCCTCTCTCAACGAATCGGTGTCGACAACAAGCGGCAGTCAGCTCTGTCTTCCTTACTCCATGGTGAGTCCCATCAAAACATTTATATGCCAAGTCTGTGTCTGACTTATCAGGGAGAGTACGTTCTGACAGCGCATGCGCCCACCATTGGTCACATGCCCGAACGACTTCAAGATCTGGAGAAACCTCACACAGCCATCCTAGAGTTCTTGAACGACAAGGCCCCTCTCGTGTACACCAGCGATCACATTGGCCGAACACAAGTCCGCATTTGGTACCAACTCCCAGGAGCCAGCTCCAACGCTCAGCCCCACGTGCAGAGACTGCGTCAGGTGCGTTCCTCCAGTTGACCCAGTTCACTAATGCCAAGAACTATGCACGCGCAAACCCAAGTTGAGCTTTCTCTCTGCGCCACTCTCAATTCCTTACTGGGCCCATCATTGACATGTGGGAACCAAACCGGGTTGTTGGTGTAGGTTCTGCTAGCTGCAAAGGTAACTGACGCCAGCCACTCGAGCCAGACCCAGAGATCTTGGTTCAGTTTAACCTCCGTCTCGCTGCTCTCAGTCCTCCTCCTGAGAGCGGCGTCGTGTCTGACTCTGAGGCCGCCCCTCTCTCCTCAGACCAGTAGGACGTGTAGGGAGTTGGGGAAACTTCGGATAACGGACGTGTCGACGATGAGGCGGGAGAAGAGAAACAAGGTGATGTCCGAGGCACCGTGAGGATGAGCGATTGAGCCTGGCTTATAAGAGAGGTCGTCAACCGATATGTACGTGACACCAGTATTGTATCTATGTGTTGCAAATCGGTGACATGGGAAGCAGAGCCCTTCCGTTCGAGACTCAGTCCCAGTTCATGAAACGAGCCACATGTGACTCCGACCTCATTAATACGAAATGCACTCCGTATTAGAAAATGATGTCGAACCAGTCTTACTCATCAGACAAACTCTGGGTATTCATCCCCAATGGGGTAGGTGTGGTGCTAATTGCTGATCGCAGTGAAAAAGATCTAGTGGCCAGTTGTCAGTGAGGGTGTGGCATGAGCGCCTTACTCATCGCCCAGTTAGCTAGCTAGCTACCTTCTCCCAGGCCCCTCCGCCTTCAGCCTTTGATGCAATCGGGGAATGGGATGAATGGCGCAAACGCAAACTCGAGGGTCCCACTGCCACGCTTTTGAGCCGACGACTCGCGAGCATTTCTGGAGAACGGGTGTACGAGAGGAGATGGAAACGCCAGTGATTTGAAACTCGGAGAACCAAGTATCGGCGGGCAACTTTGACCACCAATCGCATTGTCGGGGGTATAGTGTGTTTCTCGCGGCCAAAAATTAGGTTCCGCCGCACGTTGTTTTACGTAACGCAAGATTTCCGTCATTTCCTCCGTCGCCACCTGGCGCTGAGAAAGTTCAAACTGGCAACGGGACTCACCTACCCAACACATACACCACCATGAGGCTCGACGCTACCGACTTGCGGTACATTACCCCCGATGAGTTCCGTGTGCTTACAGCCGTGCGTACGCCTGAGACTCTTGCACTTTTCTTTTTGGGGGGCGCACCGGCGAGCTCCCAGCTGTGACATGCTCCTGACGCTCTCCACAGACCGAGATGGGCTCGAAGAACCACGAAGTCGTCCCGTCGCCGCTCATCGCCGAGCTGTCCGGTATCCGCGGCGGACAGGTCAACAAGCTCTGTGGTCAGCTCGCCAAGCGCAACTTGATCGCGCGTGTCCAGAACGCCAGCTACGACGGATACCGCCTGACCTACGGTGGACTGGATTACCTCGCGCTGAGGACGTTTGCCAAGCGCAAGCCGTCGAGTGTGGCCCAGGTCGGCAAGAAGGTCGGCGTCGGAAAGGAGAGTGATATCTACCTCGTGAGGGACGATGAGGGCGAGAAGAGGATTTTGAAGCTGCATCGGTGAGTAGCAGGTGTGGGTGGCGTGGGGCGTGGTCGTGTGAGGGCAGCGGCTTTGATTACCGTGGCTTGGTTGCCAGCTGCCCCAGTAACACTGTGACCGGGAACCCCAAGCCTCCAAGCCCCAGCTAGGTAGCTTCTCCTGCAAACCAAGCTGACATGACGCAGTCTCGGTCGTATCTCCTTCCGTGCTATCAAGTCGAAGCGCGACTATCTCGGCAAGCGCTCGTCGGCGTCGTGGATGTACATGTCGCGCCTCTCCGCCCAGAAGGAGTTTGCGTACATGAAGGTCCTGTACGACAACGACTTCCCCGTGCCCACACCCATTGACCAGGCGCGCCACTGCATCGTCATGTCGCTCATTGACGCCGACAATCTGCGCGCCGTCATGTCCGTCCCCGACCCCGCCGAGCTGTACGGCCAGCTCATGGAGCTGATCATGCGTTTCGCCCGTGCCGGTCTCATCCACGGCGACTTTAACGAGTTCAACATCATGATCAAGCGCAAGTCGTACGAGCCCATCGTGCTCGACTTCCCGCAGATGGTGTCGACGCGCCACGAGAATGCTGAGTTGTGAGTACAGCTGGCCTAAGACTCCGATAGCTGACGCCCCAGCTTCTTCAACCGCGACGTCAACTGTATCCGCCGCTTCTTCCTCAAGCGATTCCGCTTTGAGGGCCTGGTCTGGCCCGTGTGGCAGGACGTCCTGGACGAGGAGGCCGAGTACGAGCAGATTGAGCGCGCCGAAAAGGCCAAGAAGGCCGCTGCCAAGCGCGCTGCCGAGAAGGCAGAGAGGCGTGCGGCGGGCGAGGAGGTTTCCGAGGACGAGGCTGAGGCGGAGGCGGAGGCTTCGGAGGTTACCGACGACGTCGACGCCGAGTCTGAGGCGGAGAGCTCATCGGCTCCCGCGAAGCGCTTGAGGCTGGACCTCGAGGTCGAGGCGAGTGGCTTCAACCGCGCGATGGAGAAGCAGCTCATGGACGTGAGTACACACTTGCAGCGTTAGGTGTTCCCTCCCGTACTAACGCACCGCAGTACATGGAGCAGGTCGGTGTTATTCCCGACGGTGACCGTTCGGACAACGACGAGGAGAGCGAAGACGAGGACTCTGAAGAGGACTCTGACGAGGAGGAGGAGGAGGACGAGGAGGCCGAGAAGGAGGCACCAGCACCGCTCGACCCCGAGGCGGAGGCTGCGGCCGCAGCGGCCCGCCTCGCCGCCGTCCGCCTGCACCAGGCTCTGGGCAACGACGGCAACCCCGAGGACCCGCTCCCGACCGTGTCCGACGACGAGGACTATTACTCTTCGTCGTCTGAATCCTCGTCTTCGGCCAACTCTGACGGCCCCGCTCCCTCGGACTACACCCAATACGTGCGCCAGCCCAAGCCCCGTCCCCTGAGGATGCAGGTCGCCAAGCTCGGTGCCGTCGACGAGCGGGCCGAGCTCAAGAATATTGTGGCCGGCGACCTCCAGAGGCAGAGGCGTGGCGCTGCCAAGCACTCGGGCAGCAGGACCAAGCTCGGAAACGCAAAGGGACACAAGTGGAAGAACAGCGCGGACCACATCACGGGACAGAAGGGTAACTCGGGCTGGGACTAGATGTAGGAGACCTGGGGAGGGAGGATAGATGTACTGTATTGCATTGCACTGAGCACAAAGGTCGTGTGTGGCCCACCCACTACTTTGATTCATTTCCTGCAAAAAAAAAAACAGCACTTGGCATCGCTCTGGCCTCTCTGCCCGCGGCGTCTTTCCTCCCACCTCCCACAGGCGACCCGCCAGCAAAAGGAGAGCCATAGCCACATATCGCAGCTTGCTCCATGCCTTCTACCCGAATTGAACGGGTGACCCTTTCATCGTAGTACGAGTCAAGAGACCACGAATACTAGTGAAAAATTCTAACCACTGAACTAAGAAGGCGGCGATGTTGTTGCTCTTCCGTGCTGCAAGAAGACGAGCATGCGGGTGTGTGTTCATTTCTGGCCTTTTAAGGCATGAGGAGGCTGTTGTGGAGACGAGCAGTTAAAAATATGGGAAAAATCCCATCAGCCATACACACGCGCAACAACGGTTCTGATCTGCCACGCGGGTTCAACCACTACAATGGCTCCTACACCTTTACTGGGATACAGCCAATACACACCTACCTCGTGCTATTGAGAACTGGGACTGTGCTTACTGCAAGCCAAGCAAAAAACCAACATGGTCACAAACGCCACACCCTTCACCACGAGAGTCACGGAAGTGGCACCTTCTCTCCCCAATCCTCACGTTTCCCCCCCATTTTCTCCACAGCCACCGCCTCAATCCCCATGATCTCTTCACACGCACCATCCTCTGAACCGCGCGAACAACAACGTGCGATCCCGTGGCGTAATGGTAGCGCGTGAGATTCCAATTTCTGGGATACATCTTCCACCCTCGTTGTTGTTCCGAGAACGATGGTGTTGCTTCCTCAAGGTTGTCCGTTCGATTCGGGCCGGGATCGTCTCTTTTGGTGGTGAGAGGAAGTGGTGGGTATGTGGGTGAGGTGGCGTCCGTCACGAGGAACAACAGGAAGGAGCATCGCGAAGACGAGCAGGGAGGAGTTGTTGCGCAGCAAACGAACCTGGTGGTTCGCGGTGTCGGACCGGGAGCGGTTATCAGGCGGCAAAGTGACGAGTGTACCGGCGTGTCCCCTGCCAAGGCAGTCACCGATCATGCAGTGGAAGGCCATAAGGACACACCGGCTCCTTGTATCACTGGCTACCTTGCATACCGAAATGATGGCAACAAGCGCTGCCTAGTTCGTGGCCGGGTTAACTATTGAAGGCCGGTCCCCTGGTGATTACTCCAGGGTGTTTGTGTTATTCTGACCGTTGTCTGCCAGAACTACTGTGTACACTGTGTTGCTCCAGACATCGCTCATGTGTCTTTACCTCTGAGCATCGTGGCCGTGGCACCAGGCTCACGTGAGACTACTCTGTGTCAGCTGTCAGACGAGGTCGTGTGGCCATGTCGCCTCAGGGGGGGGGACTACAGCGACGTGACGCGATGACGGCCGAGCGTGTCCGAGATCGGATCAGAGATCGGTGATGTAGATGACACCGGCCATCAAGAATTTGGTATTTGTGCTGCTGCGTCATGTTTCATGGGACCATGGTACCATGGACGTCATGAGCACAGTTCGCTGTGCGGTGCGGGTTGGTGGCGAGAGGGGGCGGCGATGTTCAAGGGCAGACAGGCTTGGCAGGCCTCTCGGCCATCTGCGATCTGCGAGCGAGCCCAGGCCATGCAGGCCACAAGCTACAAGCAGCTGTTTGCTTGGCCCCCGCTTTAGCTCGCTTGCGACGGCTACCTGTGGCAAAAGGTCTTTTACTGCGCAAAGCGGAGCAGCCAGGGAGAGAGGGGGGGAGCGATCAGGGAGGGAGACGATTTGTAAATGTTAATTGAAATCAGATTACAGAATGCCTTTGTACCTTCCACGTGATTCTATTGGTGCTGCGGGCTGCCTCGTGCGTGGGGGTTGCTCTTGGCAATTCTATGTTTGGGTTGCCGTCATGGAGGCATGGAGGGTGTGCCAAGAGCGAACAGCAGCGTTTGTACCGTTTTGGTGATCTGGTGACGGCCACGGCCTGCACGGCTCCCGGTAGCGCACACGACTCAAATAAGAGCCACAGCTTGTGCCATTCCTCCGTCTCTTGCTCCTTCTTACTCTCTCTTTTTCTCTCTCTCTTACACCTCCCTCGCCACATCCACAACACTCACATGGCCACCGTCGAAGATACCAGCGATCCCAATCCCCCCGATATACGACCGTTCAGTCGTACACCCCAACCTTCAAATGAACTCCACAACCCCCCCTCGCGGGCCGTAGACGACGCAACCCAACGCGTCCGCGCTACCGGCCCCTCCACGCGCGCCAGAGCAACCCTCCGCTCCACACGCACCACCGCACTGGCTCTCGCCCCACTGCTGGCACTCATCGTATTCGCCACCCTCCCTGTCGCCACCGCGCAGCATGCACGCCTCGACGATCCCTTCACGTCGCCACCCGACACGTACATGCCTGTTTACGGTGGCGGGGCCCGTGCACACGACCGTGATCGCCCCACACCCATCTTCAACCTCGTAAAGGGCGCTGCTGGCTGGCTGTTCGCCACCACTGCTAGCGCGTTTGGCTATGAGCTCGTCCCTGCCACCAGGTCGAGCCACATGGCCAAGCGTGGCGCCAGCACCGAGCATATCGTCGAGGCAGTCATGATCCCCGTCCTCGTCGCTCTCTCGGGCATGTTTGCCGGTCTCACACTGGGGTACGTCGCAGCCACTCCACACAAACCGTACTGACAATCCAGCTACTTCTCGGTCGACCCCACCCAGCTCCATGTGCTCAGTATCTCGGGTACACCCGCCCAGCAGGAGTACGCTCGCAAGATTCTTCCCGTTCGGTGAGTGCAAAAGAGAAGAATCAGACCCATCCACCACCTATAACTAACCCTGTGTGCTTAGTGCCAACTCGCACCTGCTCCTCACGACCCTGGTTCTCGGCAACATGATTGTCAACGAGGCACTCCCCGTCATCACCGATGGCGTTCTCGGTGGCGGTATCGTCGCCGTAGTGATCTCGACTGCTCTTGTTGTCATCTTTGCGTGAGTCTAGTGCACCCACTTCTACTTTGCCAACGACACTGACCATTCTCAGCGAGATTATTCCCCAGTCCGTCTGTTCCAGACACGGTCTCCTTATCGGTGCCAAGATGGCGCCCGTTGTGCGCGTGCTCATCTGGTTCTTCTTCCCTCTCGGATGGCCCATTGCCAAGTTTTTGGAATGGATTCTCGGCGCCCACCATGGTATCATCTACCGCCGTGCGGAGCTTCGTGAGCTCATCAAGATGCACGCCGCTAGCGGTGAGGGTGGTGGTGATCTCGACAATGACACAATCACCATGGCCCAGGGCGCACTCGACCTCGGTACCAAGACTGTCAAGGACGCCATGACGCCCATTGACGACGTGTTCATGCTCCCCATCGACGCCAAGCTCGACTACGAGACTCTTGGCCGTGTCGTCCGCTCCGGTCATTCACGTATCCCTGTCTACCAGATGGTTGAAGTGCCCGACATTGACCTCACCAAGCCTACGGTGGGCCCCAACAAGACCAAGCTGGTCAAGAAGATTATGGGCAGCATGCTCGTCAAGAGCTGTGTCCTTCTCGACCCCGAGGACGCCACGCCCCTGGCAACCATCCCCATCAACGCCATTCCCAGTGTCCCCTGGAACGAGCCTCTGACCAACATGCTCAACGCTTTCCAGGAGGGCCGTTCGCACATGGCCATTGTCTCGCGCCGTGCTCGCCCTCCTCCCGATGTTGAAGACGCCGAGTCCGTCATGACTGCCGCCGCCGGCGGTCTCAAGTCAAAGTTTATGCGCCACGTCCACACCATTGGCCACAAGTCGAGCAGCGGCAGCGACTCGGGTAGCACAGACTCGGACAGCGACAGCGACGTCGAGCTTGGCAAGAAGAAGAACCACCGCCGCGTCTTCCAGCGCCGCAAGTCTGTCAGCACTGCCAACTCGTCGCCCACGGAACCCACTGCTGCTGAAAAGGTCAAGGCTGAGACGGAAGAGAAGAAGAAGTCGACACTCCTCAGTGCCGCCAAGCTCAACGACAACGAACAGAACGTCCCCGCCGATGCCGAGCTCTCCAACAAGCACCTGGAGCAGTTCTTTGATGGTCTCGAGGGCGCTCCATTTGGTATCATCACCCTCGAGGACGTGCTCGAGGAGCTCATCGGCGAAGAGATTTACGACGAGTACGACAAGGAAGGTGGCCCCCCTTCGGCTGCCTCGCAGTTTGTTCCCCGTGAAGCTGCTCTCGCCGCTCGCAAGGCCGCTCTTGAACGCGAAAAGGCCGCGGCGCTCGCTACGGCTGCTGCTACGCCTCTCCCGCCCACGGGCGATGTTGACGTTGAACAGCCAGCTGTTGCCCCGTCGGCCACTAAGCGCGTCATGACTGCGATTCCCAAGATGCCCAGGTTTAACATTACCAAGTCGCGCTCGCAACCTGGCCGTCCCCGCGGCGAGCTCCCTGAAAAGACTCTCCCCATCAAGCGCTCGACCTCGCCTGTCCCTACGCTCAAGAACGAGGAAACTGATGCGGCTATAAGCCCCACACCCATTTCAACTGGGGCCGATAAGTCGGTCACCATCGACACTGTGCCCACGACCATTCCTCCCCGCCTCAACTCGGGTTCCGGCGAGGGCTCCCTCTCGAACCCGGCTTCGTCGACCAACCTCCTTGCCGAGGCGGTCATGATTGAGCGTGGTCGCCGTCGCCTCGCAGCCACGGGTTCTGCCCCGCCTGGTCTGCTCCGCGCCTCGAGCACCACGGGGATTGTTCGCCCCACGCCCCAGCGTACTGGGACCCCGCCGTCTGGAATCAGCCCCGCCGCTGCCGCTGCTGTAGCCGCACCTGCGGCCGCAGCATCCGGCCGCCGCACCCCCATGTTCAAGTCGACGCCACTGTCCATGTCATCGTCGTCGTCGTCCCAGGTTGCCTCTGCGCCACCCACAGCCCAACCTGTGTTTGACCTGGGCGCCGACATTGCTCCGGAGACGGACACCAACGAACCCAAAGAACCCAAGGACGAGCAGCCCATGTAGCCAACTACACACGTTGTATCCTGTAGCGAGCTTTCTGTCTCGCTTCTAGCCGTTTGAACGTGAAAAATGTGAAATGTGAATGCGTGAACCCTTCCCCTTTGTGATCCCCTTGCCGAACAGTATGATGCATAGTTTGATCGTGGGACAATGTTGTTGTGTGGGACTGTGGGTACAGCTTGGGTGTTTCATATCCGAAACAAACTCCGGACGGCCCTCTGCGCCATTTGGTAAATCGCGTCCCATTCATCGTCCTCGTTCCAACCCTCCCCTCCTTCACATCCCAGCACCACGCATTCCCCGCAACCATGTCCGTCCGCGCCTCGCCTAGGGCCGTCGCGCGGGCAGGCACAGACGTCGCCGGGCCCAGTGCCGATGCCAGCTCTGGCGGCCGCGGGACCCACGCACAGGCGACCGATGACGCCGAGTCGTCGAGTGCCGGCGGGAACGCGACTCTCGCGCGGCGCCGGTCTGCGCGCGGCATACCCTCGACATTTGTGGTCGGGGCGGCGTCTCCAAGGCCGACATTGAATCATGGCCCGTCGGCGGCGGCAGCATCACTGGGCCCGTCATCACCCGTCGTCAACACGAGCGGAACAACACCGGCGACAATCACACACCCGGTACCTCTACCTTCCTCCATGGCCGTCCCCGGTCCCTCGGCTCTCTCCATCTCGATCCCCTCCCCAACGACCAGCAGCCCACTTACACTGACGCCGTCTACTTCCGCCGCCCCTTCGCCCGCCCTCACGGCCGGTCCCCCTCGCGAGACGAGGGGAAAGGGCAAAGCGACTCCCAGGACGAGCGCGGGTGGAGGTGGTGAGCGGCGTGTGTTGCCTGCGCGTATTCGTCGCGTTGGCGGTGCAGAGGGGATACGCGAGTTGGAGGAGATGGTCGTCGATTGGCTTGAGCGGTGGGGTGAGTCCTTGCGCGAGGAGACGGAGGGTGGGCGAGTCGGCTGCGCTCGATGCGAGCCTCAGCCGTGCTCGACACCTCGTCCCAACTACACCTTTGTCTTGTCTTGTGCTGACTCTCTCCAGGCGACGTGGACACCAACCCGCCCGACAACCTAGGTCTCGTGCTCACCACTCTCCCCTTATCGCTTGTCACACCCGTACCGTACCTCGTCGACGCGCCGACCAACCTCAAGACGTCCGCTCAGGCGCAAGCCGAGCTCAAGATGGACCTCGAGGTCAAGCTCGAGCCCAAGCTCGAAGGAACGCCGGCTCCTGTGCCCATCGCTGGACCATCGTCGCGCCCACAACCCGCCGCTGTACCGCCGACGCGTATCGAGACGCCCTCGTGGGTCATGGTGCGCCCAGGAGAAGACGACCAGATGGAGGCGCGCGAGGAGATGCGAGCACCTGGACACAGCCCAAGCAAAAGGCTACGTAGGGGTGTTATTGGCGCAGAGGTCCGTTTTTTTCTTTGAGAACGGTAAAACTGACATTGTTCAGCTCGTCGAGGACATGTCGGACAACTACTACGAGCAGCTTCACCGCAAGTTTGAGGCGTTTGAGCGCCGCCAGCGCATCCGTGAACGCGAAAAGCTCCAATTCGAGCGGTACAAGATGCGGGCGCGCATCGAGCTGCTGCGTAACCTGCCCGGCCCGCAGTGGGCCAGCGTCGTGCAAGCTATTCTAGCCCGCGCAGATAATGGCAGGTGGGCTCGAGGACGCCGGAAACTCGAGCTCGAAGGTGGCGCCGACTGGCTGCGTCGTTGGCTCATCCGTGAAGGCCAGGAGGTGCTGGGGAGATATGACCAGCTGCTGCCCAACGAGTCCAAAAAGTGCGTGTTCACCGTGCTCTCCGTCGCAGGCTAACCCGCGCAGACACCAACCCGTCGGTCAGAGCCAGAACCAGAGCCAGAACCAAAGCCGCGCTCCATCGCCTTCTGCCAGCTCCCTGTCTCCTCCACCGCAACGCGAGGACACATACCACCCCAAGCGGACGCGCATGTCGCTTCCCAACCCCGAACCCACAGCGTCCCGCGAACCTGCCTCTCGCCGCCAGTCGCTGAGGGTCCTCTTGCCCAAACGCAAGCGACCACGAGAGTCGACAACCGTTTCCACGACGAGCGAGAGCACGTTAAGCTCGCCTGATCCAATTCCCATTTCTCCACCGCCACAGCCAAAGGCTACACTCAAGGCAGCAGTCGTAGCGCCGCCCAAGCCATTACCAAAGGCCAACGCTGCCGCTCCCCGCGCTCTGCCCACCTCGATCCTCAAGTTTGACCCCAAGCTTGGTAAGCTTATTCGCGTGCCCTCAAACCCGACACCGGGTCCTCAAGCTGCTGCACCTGCCACCCCAGTGGCACCAGTCGTTCCAATCTCACAGCCTGCACCTGCACCGTCCGCACCAGCGGCTCTCCCACCAGCAGCACCCACACCGTCGCCCAAACGGCCGCGCTACGTCGCGCCCTCGACACCGTCTGGCGTGCCGTGCCTCATTGAAGCTGCCCAGAAACGCGAGTCGGCCATCCTCGAAGCGCTCGCTGCCAAGGCCAAAGTGGACGCAGCCGCACCGCGTGCCCCCGGCAGCCGGCGGCCCCGTATCGCGCGCGAGAAGACGCGCGAGTCGTCGCGGTTGAGTAGTGCCACCCCATTTGGAATGCCCATCCCGCCACCGGTGGAGAACAAGACAGAGGTCAGTTGACCATCCTTCAACGTGTCTTCAAAGCTGACAATACAGTTCTCGCTCAGTGACGAGGAAGAGTTCTGGCCGATCATTGCGGCGCGCGAGGCGCATGCCACTGCGTTACGCCTTGCGATGCAGGGCGCCCCGGGTGGAGTCGCCTCGTCGGCCACAAACTCGCGCACAGCACCGATGGCGAATGGCAGCGCGAGTGGGAGTGGGAGTGGGAGTGGCACTGTGGCAGCGGTCAAGGGAGTCAAGGGAGCCAAGGGCTCGGCACAGGCGATTCCAGAGGACGAGGCAATGGACGTGGAAGGCGTCGAGGAGGCGGTGGTCCTCTGAGTGTAGTGGTGTAGCCAAGAGCGCATATAGTTTGCAGAGACACGAGACGATAGTAGCAGTAGCAGTAGCAGTAGCAATACAGAGAGACTAGGAGCAGTTCATACAGACAGACACAATAAAAGTACATGTATTTAGGCGCTGTGGCGCTCACTCGTCCTTGGTCTTGTCCTTGGCCTCTGCCGTGCCCGTGCCCGCGTCCGTGGCCGTGTTCTCGGCCTCTTCGGCGTCGACGCGGCGAATGACGCTCTCAAACCCTTTGATCAAGAACGGCTTGAAGAACCAGACGCTCACGCAGAGAATGAGGATGGCGATAACCGCAGGGATAGCGGTCCGGGGCAGGACCCCAAACATCAGCGGCTCAAGGACGACGGTAAACGTCGTGCTGAACGACGACGGGTCCGCCAGGTGGCCACTGCCCGTCCCCACATCCAGCCCGACAATGCGGCCGAGGTATCCCAGCACCCTCGTGTGGTCTATACGCGGGCTGAGCGGGCTGGCCTTCAAGAACAGCACGGCGGGCGCGCCCGCCGTTCCCGGTTGAATGTCCATTTCGAAGCGCGTGGGCGTGGACGCGGGCCACGACACGCGCGTCGTCCAGCTGCCCCGGGGCTCGGCGAGGAGCGCGATGCGGATGTGGGGGCGGGACGACGAGAGGGTGAGCGTCGTTGGCGTGTTGGGCTTGAGGCTGGAAAGGGTTTGTTGGTCAGGAGAAGAGGCAGAGGGCTCGTGGTCCGCGCTGGCACTCACGTCATGTCTGGCATCTGCTGGATCGTCATTTGGCGCCCGTCGACGAGCGGGAGGGCAAAGTTGCGGATCTCAGTGTCGGCGCACACGACCGACACGAGCGGCGCGACTGCTGCGAGGAGCAGAGCGAGCGGTTGGAGAAGGAGCATGGTGCGTCGGTCGTCGTGGAGGAATGGGCAATGACGACTACGATGGCGATGACGCCCTTGGGTCAACATTTCCGCCGTTTGAACGGCCACGCCCGTGTTAGGTTCGGCTACTTCGCCAAGATCCTCAAAACATCCATCTTCTTGCATCCTCCAATTCATTCTTCCTTACCAAACACCACTCGCGATGGACGCCAAATCGCTCCTCCGCGCCAAAAAGGCCGCAGCGCGTATCGAGCACCCGTACGCTAGCTACAGCGCCGCGGGTGTGCTTCGGTGCAGCGTGTGCGCCGTGTCAGGTGAGTACCAGAGTACACTCCTCCGCTCTCCATCTGGCCAGCACTCCGGCCCTCTGGCTATCTGCTTCTCAGCTGCGCGATGTTCACCTCAGCTGACACTTTGCCCCCTCCCAGTAAAGCAGTGGGACGCCCACCTCCTCACCAAACAACACCGCCAGTCCGTCGCGCGCGAAAAGGAGCAAGCGGCAAAGCTCGACAAGGCCAAGCGCAAGGCCGAGGCCGCCGCCGACACTGCCAGCGCCGCTAAACGGTCCAAGACGTCCGCGGCGCCCGTAGACAGCGACGACGACGACGGGTCAGACGACGGCGGTGCGGCACCGGCGCTCCCTGCTGGCTTCTTTGATGCGGGCAGCCGGCCAGAGTCTGCCGATGCCGGGCCATCAGTCCCCACCCCGCCTCCTGCGCCGCAGCCCACTGGCGATGCCGAGCTGGACGATTTCCTCGCGTCATTGGACGACGGCGACGGCGACAATGCCGCGCCCGCTTCCGCCGCACCAGCTGCTACAGCTGCGGCGCCGACGCGCCGCCGCCAGACGTACAAGGACGTCGGCGACGGCGTGGCGTCGTACTCTGCCGCCCCGCAGCTGGTGTCCGCCGCCCCAGCTGGGGAAAGTGCGGCTGACGAGGAGCCCGAGGCGGAGCCCGAGACAGAGGCGGAGAAGCGCGCGCGTCTGGAGAGGGAGGAGAGGGAGGAGATCATGGCCCGACTGGATGCCGAGGAGCGTGCACAGTGAGTTCTCCGCTAACATGTCTACAGACGCGTATATTAGGTAGCTGACCGAAAACTCCCGCAGGGAGGATGCCGACTCGCGTGTCAGCGCGCTCAAGAAGCGTATGGAGGCGCTCAAGAAGCGGCGTGAGGCCAAGGCTGGGGCTGGAGGCGCAAAGGCCAAGGCCACGACCAAGGGGACCACCGAGGACAAGTAGGGAGGCGAGCGCGCGGAGGTGGTCAGTAGGTCAGGCAGGACGGCACAGGAGTAGAGAGACAATGCATAGTGTAATAACATGGCACCCGCAGGGCAGTGCCCATCCAGGCTCGGTACAGTAGTATTGAGGAGAAAGTCAAGGGTTGTGGCCGGATGGTTGCCGGGTTGTAGGATCGTTGGGTGTGATGGGGGTTGGCACCTTTCGTGGCGCCATCAAAGGTTGTCGCAGTCGGCAGCAGAGGGCTCATCGTCGACGTCTGATCGCTGGGTTGCAACTCGCAGCGCTTAGAATTGCTTTGCACCTGCGTATTTCTTGACAGCCTTGACGGCGGGAACGGGCGTGAGGCGGACGCGACCGTCGACGCGCTTGGACTGGCTGGGACGCGTTGAGGGGATACTCTGGGGCAACTCATCGCCAAAGTTGGCCTTTGCAATCTCCTCGTACCAGTCGCTGACGTCCTCGCCAGTGGCCTGGGCATACTGGCTGACCGCCTCAATGGCGGCCGCACGACGCGCCTCCTGGCGGAGCAAGGGTCCGCGGCCGGCGGCGATATCCTCGTCGCGCTGGCGCTTCGCCTCCACGCGCATCTCCTTGTAATAAGCAGCGCGGATAGCCTTGCGTTCGACAATGTTGGCCTCTTCAACCAGACGGGCCTTATGGTAATGTGCCTCGAGGCGCTCGGCGTAGCTCCATGCGGCGTCGTCACACTTGGCAGCTGCTTCCTCTAGCGTCATAGGCTCGTCCATCGGCGCATAGTTGACGCGGCCCTCTCGCATGTCCTCTTCTGTTGGCGCCGGGCCAAGGGTCCAGACAAAGTCCTTCACGGTCGTTGCGGGGGGAGGGGGGGCAGTGGGACGCGGAAGCTTGGCACGGTCGGCCTCGAGACACATACGACGAAACTTGCGCGCAGCGGCCTTTTCGGCGTCGAGCAGACCCTGCTTGGTGGAGATAGGAACACGGACAACGGCCAGATGGATGAGCTGTTGCGCCTCGAGCGAACGCAAGACGTGCGACTTGAAGAACCTGCCACAAGTCAGACATGTGTTGACTCTTGACCGGAACTTGATCGTTGTTGAACAAGAGTTTTGGAGATTGCTCAACACTCACCTCATTGACTGGAACGGATGCTCGGGAAGAGGCTTGACGGGTGGGGGCACCCACTGGCGCCTGCCCTCACGGATGTTGGACACCTTCTTCATGCGAATACGGCCGTTCAGGTCAAGGGCAGTCTTGGCCTGGAGAATAGGACGCTCACCAAAGGTGGCGGCCTGCCAGATCTGTGGGTTCTTCATGTATCGGTTCTTCGAGAGGATGTCGCGCACAAGCGACGTCGCGCTTACTGTCCAGGGGACCGACATGGCGAGTGGGGTGAAATGGAGGTGGTGGAGACGAGAATGTGCGGGAGTGGAAGTCGTATCCACAACCACTAGATGGGCAAAAGACGACGGCGAACACAAACATTTTGCTCCCGTCCCGATCTCTGCCCGGTGGCAAACGCGGGCCAGAGGCGTGTTGTAATGGGCTCTCGTCACTACTGTCGTTGTCGCCGTCAACTCGACCACCATCGACGACGACTCGCAGCCCGTGTCTTGCCGGCCATGGGTCAGGTTCAGTCGGCATTCGACCCGGACAACACAAACGTGGGTGGCTTCGTCTGCTGTCCATCCATCATCTGTACTCACCACACACGCAACAGAGCAGCAACGCGCCAGTCGGCTACATCGTCCCGGCCTTTCCGTCGCTGTACGTCCCCTCCGTTGCATCCACGATCCAGCAGAGTGGATACTTTCTGCATGATGCCTACGGTATGTCTCTCACTCTCCCCACCCACGCGCACCGCTTTTGGCTGACACGACCTCCATCCTCCAGCCATCTGGCGGTTTACATTCTACTGGACCCTCATCCTCCTCCTCGGCACGTTCTGGGCCGTCGCAGCCCTCGCGTCCTTCAACCTCCTCCTCTCCCGGACGCTGTTCAGCAGGAAGCCCAATGCGGGCATGACAGAAACCGGTACAGCCGGGGGCAGCACGGGCGCGGCAGCAGGGTCGGCACGGGCGACGAGTCTCGGCGACGCGGCGCTCGCGGGTCTGCCGCTGCCTCGGCGGGCGCGGCGCAAGATGAGCAAGTACGCGTCGCGTAAACGCCCGCCCATGTGGCTCATTGCGTTTATCCCGCTCGTGATGGGGTTTATAGCGACGTCTGTCGCGCTCGTGAGCGGCACAGTGGTGGGGTTTGCGCTCGCGGCGGTGTATTCGGCTGCGGGGTTCAGCATGTCGACGTGAGTGGTGGAGCTGTGGCGAGGCGGTGGGGTTGGGCGACGTTGGACTGACAACGACAGTTGGGTGCCGTTCATGTGGGGTATGATCCAGGTCGTGGTCCTCATCATTTCGTGAGCTCTTCGCCTCCTGGTCCTCAGCTGACATCAGATCGTACTCGTCTCTCACTCGCGTCTTGTAACTCTTTCTTTTCCGCCTGTTTCTTCCCGTTGTATCTACCATCTGCATAACTTTTATTCCTATGAACGCACAGCTCTTGCCGCCATCACTTCCAATGCTATGCATACAACCTCCGCAGAAACGTCCACAGAATCCTTGGCGAAGGAATTCCCTGCCCCCTCCCCCTCTCCTCTTTATTACCAGCTTGGCACCACCGGCCTCCCGGCTCTTAGAGCTTGGCCTGCTCTGTCGGGGGCTGGGCTTCGCACACGCGACGCAGGTCACGGAACGCCTGGGCAATGCGGTGCTTGAAACGCTCAGTCGACGTGGTGTCGCACGAGACCTTGCTCTCGAGACCAAACTTGATAAGCTTGGGACCCGCCATGTAGTTGATGCCGTACCCATCAGGCCAGGCAGCGCCAAAGCCAGTCGCATAGAACTGAAGACCCGACGAAAGGCCCGACGTGGACAGCTTCCACTCTTGCGACTTGGCGTACAGGTCGTCCTCGAAGATGGGGTGGGACTCTCCAGGGCGCAGCTGGACCTTGAGGCCCATCAGGTGGCGGTCGAAGCCGTCGCCGTTGGAGCTCGACTTGGTCAACGCGCTGTGCGTGTTGCATGCCTTGGTGAGCAGGTCGTAGCGCGCCTTGTCGTCCAGAGCCGCGTTGTCCATGCTCTTGACAAACTCGCGCGACTCGGGGGACAAGGTGCGGATAACGTCGGTGCGGCCGTGCTTGAACTGGCGGGTGGACGCAGTCTCGTAGGTGGCCGAAGCGTAGCCCTGGTCGCGGAACCATGCGAGCTGCAGGACCTGCTGGATGTACGCGTCGGGTGCCTGCTTGGCGACCTTCTTCATCCAGTCGGTGGCGTACTCGGCCCACCACAGAGTGGCGGCGTCCGAGTCGGCAACAATGGCCTTGTTGCGCTGGGTGCAGGCCGTAATTTCGTCGACGGTCACCTGGTCAATCTCAAAGTCCTCGCGCTTGAATCCGTCACCAAGGGCAGGGGCCGCACCCTTGGTCGAGGGGTAGGCAGAGTTGTCAACGGGGACCTCGAGGGCAGAGTCGACGACAAACGAAGGGATGAGCGCGTCAACGGGAGAGTGCTCGCCCATGACAGCGGCACGACCGTTGTTCTCCACAATGACGGTAAGCGCCTTGTCGAACCAGCGGTTACGGCCGCCAAAGATGCCGGCCTGGGCGTTGCGCATCTGGGCGTCGACGGGCGCCTGGCGCAGGGGGTCCTGGGTCGGAAGCGTGGGCATGGTGTACGTGTCCAGGCAAAGGGCAATGAGGGAGCGGTCAATGGCGTTGAAGGTCTCGCGGTTTTTGGGCGAGTGCAGCAGAACACGCTCGCGGTTGAGCGTCCAGGTGTCACGCTCGTCGGCAGTGAGGATACCGACAAGGGCGGGCTTTTCGCCTCCGTCCTTGCGCGCCTTGGCATCGGCAACAGCAGCCTGGAGAAGACGCTCAATCTCGGCTGGGGGCAGAGGCTCGGCAGGCTCGTCGCCCTTGCGAGGAGCAAACACATCGACCGAGTAGATGAAATCGTCGATCATGACGGTCACGTGGGGCGCATGGTTGTCCTGGACCGAGAACGAGTCCGAGTGGGGCAGAGGGATACGCGAAATGTTGAACAGCAGTTTGTACTGGTGCATGCACGACGGTCCGGCGCGGGTCACGGCCGCGGGTTCCTCCTCACGAGCCACACGAGTGCGGAACTGGGCAAAGCGGTGAACGAGCCATGAGGCACGGCGGACCTGCCAGTCGGTAACCCAGGTGGGCTTGACGACATCGTCAAAGTTGTCCTGGTAGTAGTAGTCCTTGCGGTCGGTGTGCGAGCGGATCCACTCCTCACCACCACCTTGCTGGCCAGCAGCGAGGGTGTTCTTGGGGTCGGCCACGAGAGGGACTGGAGTGTCGTTCGTGGCGCCGGGAGCGCAGGGCGGGTCTGGGTTTCCCGGGTCGTTCTTGAACAAGAGCCACCAGTTCGAGTTGACAATGAGGGGTGCACGCCAGGTGTGGTAAGCCAGAGCGAGCCACAGTGTGTCGTCGAGCCAGCTGTTGGGTGAAACGTGGTCGAGGTCCCTCAAGCGCTCCTGCAGCACGGGCCCGAGTCCTTGCTTGGAGGCAAAGTCCTTGGCGAACAGCTTGCGCTTCTCGAGCTCCTGGGTGACGTGGTCCTTGCCATACTGGTGTTCTGTCAGCCGGACCGCAGCTTTTGGTAATGGGGGAAAGCTTCTGCTGTGCTTGCTCTGTAGCTCACCTTTTGCTCAATGAGGGGGATGAGGCTGCGGACGTAACGGTCGAGTGACTTGTCGAGGTCGGGAATGGGCAGACGCGGGAGCTTGTCCTGGTTTGCGAATGTCTTTTGTGGGCGGGGAGCCGACGAGGAGACCATCCTTGCCGCGCTTGCACTTGCAGAGATGGCGATAGAAGATGTTGATGGGCGGGTAAGACGAGACGCGAGCGATATATTGACAACCGGACGAAGTGAACGGACGGGCATGGCGCCGGAAGATGTGTGTGCCGGTGAGCCGGTGAGGCGGGGACTGAGGGGAAGGTGGGCGGGGGTTGGCGTGGGGTTGAGCGGCTCTGGGTGGGTCGGTGTCTCTGCGGTGACGTTCGGCTGGAACGATGCACACGTTTGCCGAAGACAAAAGCACAAGGGCTGGAGACGAGGGGGCAACAGCAGTCGCGACGACTCTAAACGGGCAGCTGGCGAGCGAGAGAGACGATGGAAAGAGTGAGTTGATGAAGAAGAGAGGGATATGGGCAAGACTGATGTACAATAGCCTCCCCCACTGCAAACAGCGCCGCCGTCATCACCAGTTGGGCGCCGCGGTTTGGTTTGTGGGCCATGTCGCTTTTCTCCCCTTGCGCGCTCCCCCCCCCGCGCCGGAGCTCCAACTCGCCTGTATACGGGTGCCGCGTCGTGTCTCCACGCACTACCAAAACGCACTGCTTGGCGCGCACAAGAGAGGTCTGTCAACCGCCCGGCACTTGCAACGATCAACTCGGCACTCGCCGTCGTCCAACCGTCGGGTATGCTCCGAGCCGGCACGGCCGTCGCCCGCCCGTTGCTCCCAATTAAGAATAATTAGAGGGCCATGGGGAGAAGGTAATGTGAGATTAGTAATAGTGCCATTTAATACAACATTCGTGGGAGAGTGGAGGAAATGAATTACGGTCGCATGGATTTTGCTTCCGTCGCTGGTCGCCGTCCCCATGCCACACCGTGGGAGAATGACGCGCCTGGCGCGGTCGCCTGCCATCATCCAGTCCACTCATCCTGTGTCTGGCAGTGGCATACACACCTAACACTCTGTTCTCATCATCACCTTTCCACAACCAACAACTCTTGTCCGTCAACGCTCTCGAGAATACCGCACACCTCCTACTGTTATAGACAGAGGAAACAGACGCGGCTTCTGTGACGCCACTCTCTTGGGAGCGATCACAATCGCCTCCCAGTCCTCTCAATCAACCTCCCACCAGTCGCGCGACCCCTTCTCTGATCGCCGCGTTGGCTGTCCCCCCTCTCTCCCAGTCCGTCCTCCAACACCTGCTTGGTTCAACATGGCGGACGCTTCTGCTCTAGCTCAGCTGCTTGACATGGTGCGTACACCTCCGCTCCTCCCCCCCTTGTCCTGTTGTTTTGCCACCGGCAGGGCGACACTTGAGGGTTCTTGCGCGCCTTCCTCGCGCGTCGCTTCTCCCTTTCTTCCGTCGGCTGCCAGATATTCGTCAAGTCGAGCTCAACTGACAACGCAGGGCATCCCGCGCGGGCGTGCTCAGGCGGCACTCAAGCGTTCCAAGGGCGACATCATGGCTGCAGCGGTAAGTTGGGTCAGAGCAAGCCCTGAAGTGATGAGGGGGCGCAAGTCGCTGATGGTGTGTATGTGTTTGTTCTCTGCTGGCGCTGTCTCTCAACATCAATCAAAATCTTGCTATCATGTCCCTTCTTGCCGTTGCAGGAACGCGTCTTTGCAGGCGAATTCGACGACATTGACTCTGACAACGAGGGTGACGACGAGCGTCGCGCCCCGGCCGCCACTGGTCTGCAGGTGAGCCAGTCACGGACTGCGCCCGGGTCTTCAACTGACAAACAGACACCAGACGGATCCGCCAGCGAACCTGGTCCCATTAGCCAGCGTGTCCAGGACGTTGTGATTGTCGACAGTGATGACGACGACGAGCCTGAAGACTTTGGGGGTGACTTTGAGATGGATGGTGAGTTGTGGCACCGGTCACGCACTGCGTCCACTGACTGTTCAGACTTTGTTGAGGATGACGACAATCCGCGAATGCAAGACCCGTATGCGGGAATCTTCTTCTCCAAGGACCGCGTTGAGCGTATCGTGGAAGCCCAGCCCGAGGAGGAATACGCCGACGTCGTTACAGGCGGCACGTATGGCAAGAACGTGCACGTCAAGATCCTGTCCCGTGGAGAGTGGATGAGCGGTTGTCCCGAAGGAGGTGCGTTGCTCTGAGACCGCTTCCGCTGACCAGCTCAGGCGAACAGAGCTTCCTGTTCCAGCTGTACAACCTCTTGACTGAAGGCAATATGCCTTGCTCTAACGGCTGCGGCTACGCGTTCCCCCGTTCTCCCGCAGACTTTTTTGCGCTTTTTGTGGGTTCTTACCATTTGTAGACATTCTAACCCGCCAGCCCACGTTCCCAGACTACACTGCCCACCTGGCCAGCATTATCCAGAAACGGTGCCCCCAGTGCAACGGCAAGACCTGCTTCGCCTGCGGTGACGCTATTAGCAGCTCGTCTCCGAACAAGAACAATGGCAAGGGCAAGGCACTGCCCAAGGGCGAGATCGAGTCCCTCTTCCACTGCTCGAATGCTCAGGTATGTGCATGCTGTTTGATGAAGCTGACCCGACAGGGCGTCATCATTGGCGTCGGTCTGCAAATGATCGAACAAGCGTTCCACCCTCAACCCAGTCTCCTTACGGCCGCTTCCCCAAGCTTCCCACCACCAAAGAAGCGCAAGATCAAGGGCATCATGGCCAAGTTCCTTCCCGCGCATGGTGGTAGTGTTGGAGACAGCGAGGCCTCGGACAGCGAATCCGACGTCCCTGTGCCGTACTTTCGCAAGAACTCGGCGGCCAAGGGCACCGGATACAGTGGAGCGATCAATGAAGACGTGAGCTAGTCCTCATCCGACGTGTAAGCTGACGCCAGCGCTCTGGACAACATGCCGCTGAAGCAGCTCAAGCCGCTACTGACGCAAAGACCGCCAAGCTGCTGTCTCAGGTCTGCGTCTACCTCCCAACTCTGCGCCGTGACAAGACGCACACTTCCGATTACATGGTTCATCCCACAGCCCTTGCTCATCTGCGCCGTCGCAGTGGATTTGTCAACGACCTTCTCCGCAACGACTCTCTCATTGACATGAGCAACCGTAACGCCATCTACATCGCTCTCCTGGACTGGCTCGAGGTGGTCTCCAACCATGAGGCGTTGGCGCCCATGCTCGCTATGCCCCAGATGCGTCCCACCAAAGTCGAGGCGGGTCCTGACAACGACACCCTCTACGTCACGTACGATGGCAGCCCAAGCCCACGCGAGATGTTTGAGACAATTGTCATCCAGGCCACAGCCGCACTCAAGGGTCTGTCGTCGACTGCCGTTGTCGATAAGGATACTGTTGTCTCTCCTGAGACAACGGCAACAGCCAACCCTACGTCGCCGTCCCCACCTGCATCGGATACCGAGCAGAACTCTGCCCTTCAGCGCTTCTGGTGAGGGTTTCTTCGACCAGAGAACGAACTGACGCCAGCGAACGTATCCTCACCGCGCAGCAGACCATCGACAGACAGCTTGTCGACACCAAGGGCCGTGACTTTGTGGAGAGGATGCGCGCGTCGCTGCCAAAGATCTACCAAACCGACTCGAGTGAAAAGGTCACGGCCGCGGATTCTGAGGAGGCAACAAAGACCATCTGTGAGTGTCGGGCCCATGGATAGCAGTTGACATTCAGACGAGCAGTGGGCGAACAAGGTCCGCTTCCAGTACTGCGATCTCCACAACCCTGCAGATGCCGACCAGGTCACGTACCGCCATGCGTATGACGCCGAGATTCGTCGACTTGTCGGCATCGATGCCCCTCGCCGTTCTCTCGCCATTGCCAAGGAACTGGGTACTCTCACCACCAATCTTCCCATTGCCTGGAACTCGTCGATTTTCCTCCGCGTCGATGAGGCCCGCGTTGACTGCATCAAGGCCATGATCATTGGTCCCAAGGACACGCCGTACGAGAATGGCTGTTTCATCTTTGACATCTTCCTCCCTTTGGACTACAACCAGCGCTGCCCAAACGTCAAGTCCATGACCACCAATGGAGGCAAGTTCAGGTACAACCCCAACCTGTATGCCGATGGAGTAAGTCCCGTGAGAGATCTGTGTCGTCTCTAACCTGCCAGAAAGTATGCCTTAGTCTCCTGGGTACCTGGTCCGGCCCAGGCTGGATCGCGGGCAAGTCGACGCTCCTCCAGGTCCTCATCTCCATTCAAAGCCTGATCCTCTGCGAGGAGCCATACCTCAACGAGCCAGGGTGGGCCGACCAATCTGGTTCCAAGCAGAGCAAGGCCTACTCGGCCAACGTCCGCCGCATGGTCATCGTTGACGCCATCGGCAACAACCTCAAGGACCCGCCCTTCCCGTGTACGTTTCTACTGCGTTGTTTGTCCAGGTGCTGATTGGAGTAGTCGAGAACGAGATCAAGACCCACTTCAGGCTCAAGGCGAACGCCATCAGGGCTCAGCTCGACCGGTAGGTTGAAATGGTCTGCTAATACTAACTGTCAACAGCTGGAAGGCAATTGACGATTCCCACTCGATCGACACTGGGGGGCACGTGCCGTCGGCCGCCACTGTCCCGGCGGGTAGTACCGCCACCAGCTCGCGTTTTACGTTTGACGGTGCTGCCAACGAAGTCCGCAGGCTCCTTGACGAGCTCGCCCCCGTCTCTGTGGCCCCTGCCGCCGCGCCCGCCGCTGCGCGCCGCAACCCGGCTAGGTTTGGCCGTGCTGCCAAGAATGGCACCAAGTGAGAGACAAGGAGTGAGAGAGGGATTCCGTTATACGTGTATTATTGTGGGGCGACTTGTAGTCTTTAGCATGGCCCCGATGCATAGTCAAGCATGTTCATGTACAAGCGGCGAGAGCCGAGCGGAGCTGAGAAGACGCCGAAAACAGCCGAGAAGGACCGACAGGCCGAGACGACGTAGAGGTCGTCTTTCGAGTCAGTTGCTTGCGTCATTGCATGAATCAGATACAAGCTGACAGGTGGGCCCACATGTATGCAGTCAGTTTGTCTTTATCCACTCTCGCATTGGAGCTCGTCCTCACTGGTCACTGGTCCTCGCCTTCATTCTTCGACATCGACAGCTGTACCAGCCAGCATTTTGGACGGCCTCCACTTGAAACCTCCACCCGTACAAACCCGACTTTGTCATTTCGACTCTTGCTCACCAAACCCCACCGCCATGCTCTCCCTTGTCCGGGCCACCCGGTCCCGGTCTGCGCTTGCCGGACTGGCACGATACTCGACCGCGACGCGGCCCCCGCTCAAGCTAGCCATCATCGGCTCGGGGCCTTCAGGCTTCTACGCCGCCTCTCGCGTGCTCCAGCTGCTGCCGCGCGATACTCCCGAAGGCGCCAATGTCCGTGTCGACATGTACGAGCGACTGCCGACGCCGTATGGTCTTGTGCGGTACGGCGTGGCCCCAGACCACCCAGAGGTGAAAGTAGGTGGAGCTAGATACAAGAAGACCCAACACAGTACTGACGGGTACAGAACTGCCAGCACAAGTTTGACGAGCTGTCTGAAGACCCGCGCTTCACTTTCCTGGGCAACGTCTCGGTCGGCACGACTGTCGACTCGCCTGTCCCCTCCAACCCCTTGCTCCCCCACTACACCTACCCTCACGCGCTGCACATCCCACTCGCAGAGCTGGCGCCATACTACAACGCCGTGCTGTTCACGTACGGCGCGTCCCTCTCGAACCCGCTCGGCAGCGTGCCCGGATCCACAGCGTCGGACAAGCCGCTGCACGGCGTGCTGCCTGCCCTGGCGTTTGTGTCGTGGTACAACGGCCACCCGGCGTATGCGGATCTCAAGGTGGACCTGAGCAAAGTGACCAACGTCGACGTGATCGGACAAGGAAACGTCGCGCTCGACGTGGCGCGCATCCTTCTCCGGCCCGTCGAGACGCTCGCCAACACCGACCTTCCGGACCACATCCTCGACGCCTTGTCCAAGAGCAACGTCAAGAACGTCCGTGCCGTCGGCCGCCGTGGTCCTGCCCAAGTGGCATTCACGACCAAGGAGCTGCGCGAAATGGTGACGCTCGGGTGCGCGTATCCGGGCGTCAACCCCGACTTGATGGCGCAGGCAAAAGAGTTGGCAAAGGGCGACCGCATGCGTACCCGCCAACTGGCCCTGATGGAGAAGACCATCCCAGCATCCGAGGCGACACATGGGCGCCAGTTTGAGCTCGAGTTTCTGCAATCTCCCAAGGCGTTCATCCCGTCTGCGTCGGACCAGTCGCGCGTGGCCGGTGTCGAGTGGGACATTAACGAGTTGGCGTTCAAGGACGACCCCGAGGGCGGCAAGCCCACCGCGTCGGCGCGCAAGACGGGCAAGACCACGACGAGCGAGGCCGACCTCGTGGTCGAGTCGGTCGGATACCGCTCCGAGCCCATTGGCGACGGGTCCAGCCCCGCTGGCTGGGCCGTACCCTTTGACCTGGGGCGCGGTCGCGTACGGAACGAGGACGGCCGCGTGGTGAGCGACGACGGGGTCGTTGCGGGCGCGTACGCTGCCGGGTGGGCGGCGCGCGGTCCCGTCGGCGTCATCGCAAGCACCATGCAGGGCGCATACGGCCTCGTCGAGCACTTGCTCAACGACTGTACCGGCCAGAACTTGGCCAGCGGCGCTCGCGACGCGTGGGTTGACAGGCCAGCCGGCCAGTCCCCGCTCCCGCTCGTTCCCGAGCTTGGCCGGCCTGACGCCATTGAGCGCGGTCTCAAGGACGGCCAGGTAGTGGACATGGGCGCGTGGCTCAAGATTGACGCCGCCGAGCGCGAGAGGGGCAAGCAGAAGGGCAGGGAGGAGCGGGAAAAGTTCCGCACAGTGGACGAGATGCTGGCTGTTTTGTAGTAGAGGCACACAACAGGAGAGGTAAAACACACTGCATTGCATGGGGATCCCAATCACATCTCACAATCTTGTCCGTCTCTGGAACTCTGGAAAGTACACTGCCAACGTCTATCTAACCCAGTAACCCTAATTTTGAACGGCTTCTTTTCTCTCTCTGTCTCTCTCTCTCTAGTCGAGGATGGGCTCGCCGTCCTCGCCGAAGAGAACAGGCTTGCCCTGGCGGAACGAGTGGGTGAGGGCGACGGCAATCTGCGCAGCCTGGAGCGCGTCCACGGCCGTGGTGGGCACGGGCTTGTCGTCGAGGACGACCGAGGCGAAAGTGTTGACCTCGGTGACAAAGGCCTCGCGGAAACGCTCGTAGTAGGTGGGGGTGCTCTCGGCGCGCACACCGTGCTCGTCGCGGATCTCGAGGCGGTTGAGCTGGGGGTTGTTGTTGATGATGAGCTTGGCCTCGGTGCCGAACACCTCGGTGAAGCAGTCGTGGCCGTGCATGGCCGTGCGGCTGAGGTGGATCGAGACGCTGCTGCCGTTCGCAAACTCGATAATGCCCAGCGCGTTGTCGCAGTCGCCGTCGTTGGCAAGCTCGGGGTGGCGCACGTTCAGGCCCGACGCGAAGACGCGGGTCACCTCCTTCTTGGGGTTGGCCAGGTTGGCAGGGTTGGCAGTGTCCAGCAGCCAGCGGGCAATGTCAATGTCGTGGATACCGCAGTCAATGTAGATGCCACCCGAGGCCTGTAAGAGAGTTAGACCATGTGCGCGTTCATGAGCAAAAACAACTCACCTTGGAGTAGGCGACGAAGAAGCCCGAAGAGTCGTACATGTCGTTGGTGGCGCTCTTGATCATGTAGGCCTTGCCGAGCAGTCCCTTGTCGATGCGCTCCTTGGCCTCGTTGTACGACTCGTCGACTGGGAAAAGTCAATACCAGTTGTGTGGTGCATATTCCACTGCAACTCACAACGACGGGAGAAACCAATCATGACCTTGATGTTGGGGTTGGCGGCGGCGGCCTCAACGACAGGACGCGACTTCTCGACATCGATCGAGATGGGCTTCTCGAGGAGGACGTGCTTGCCGGCGGCAATGGCCCTGACGGCGAGGTCGGCGTGGGTGCTGGTCTCCGAGGCGATGAGGACAGCGTCAACGTCGGGAGAGTTGAACACCACGTCGGGGTCGGTGACCAGGAGGGTGGTAGGGGGAAGCTCGGCCTTGGCGGCGTTGAGGGCAGCCTTCTGGGGGTCGACGACGGCGACGAGCTCGGCGCGGGGGGTCTTGTACGCGACCTATGGGGGTTAGCTGTAGCTTTGGAGTGGAGTAACAAGACTCACGTTGCGGGCGTGACGAAGACCCATGCGTCCAACACCAAACACGGCGATGCGGAGCTTGGCGGGCTGGGTAGCGGCGACGGTGGCGACGGTCATTGTAGAGGATGAGAGGGCAGAAGTGGTTGAGGTGGGGATGATGCTCATGTCGAAGTGGCCTGGGGACGAGTAGTTATAGCAAGAAAGAGAACGGTGGGCTCCCACATGCCAAATAACGATACACGGACGCGTTGACGCCGGACAATGTGTTTCGGTGGGATGTCCATCGTCCATTGGCAACTGTCACTGGAAACATTGCCACGGTCGGTCGATATCATGTCATCACGGAGATGGCTCCGGACATCGGATATGCCATACCTGAGCTGCAACAGCACCTATGTGGCTTCTCGAACATCTGCAATGGTGAGATGAGACATTCGTGGAGCGGCATAGATAGCACTGGCAGTCAGTATGCTTGTCTGTGTTGACGAGGGAAGCCGGCAGGACAGTCACCACAAGGGCAGAGACGTGCCGGAAGGTTACTCACATCAACAACATCTCGGCGATCAAATGTTTTTACCGAGGCACACTTTTGGCGGTGGCAGGAACTGGCCAGCAGTGCTCCAGAGTGTAGTAATACAGCCCCAACAGCGCGCAAGTTTGTACCCTCTCCGAGCCATTTAGAGGTTGTAGGTAAGATCACGGTCTCTAACATGCACAGCGTGTGCGGCCAACGTCCTCGTCCCAATGGACAAGACATGGACGCGGGGTGCCTCACTCTCCTTACGGTCAACAATACGCAAATCTCTCTCGGTGTCATTAACACCACTCCACGATGTGCATGTAATCGGCATCTACCCAATACGCTGACACTCGGTCGATACGTGTCATGTATACACGTCGACAACATACATATGGCATTGGGCCCACAGGCCACAGGCCACAGGGAGCCCCCAGGCAACCCCCGCCATCGGTCCGAAGTTCCGTGAGCGGTGGCTCGGGCGATTCTTCCATGAGCGGAAGGTTTCCATTCCCCCCGCATCTCTTCTTTACACCTCTCATCTCACATCCCCCACACACAACCCACCGTCACCGGCCAGACCGGCACCGTAGATTGCAATCTCAGCACGCAAAACGTGGTCGTGGCCATGTTAGGACAGGGGACGACGGCGGCGCCGAGCAACCCCTCCTGCGATCGTTGCAGGACTAGGAAGGTACGTTTCGTTTCTTTACTGCCCCACGGCTTTGGGGTTGGTCCCACACTCGCCCACTGTCACAACAACCATCGACTAATCCACCCACCAGGTCAAGTGCGTCCCCATCCCCGAGGATGAGCTACCAGCAGCGCGAGCCAAGAGCGTTGCAGACCGGTGCAAAGGGTGTTACCGAGCGGGCACAGTGTGCACACACGATTACATCCACAAGAAGCCGGGACGACCGTTAGGGTGAGCTGGAGAATCCCCATCTAGCTAACAAGCAGGAGCAGTGGAGGTTCATCGCGCTCAAAACGGGGCGTTTCGGCGTCGGCGTCGGTGCCAAACGCGGCTGCCAGGTCCACCACGCCGAGAGACTCCGCACAGGCGGTTGGAAACGTGGAAACGGCACTCCTCTCACCGACACTCGGTAGTCAGCTCCTTGGCCTGGACCCCACGGCCCTCGGAGATGGATGTGGACCGACCACTGGATCCATCTTTGGCTCGGCCCGCAATGCCCTGTACCCAACATATGCCTACCAGCCGACACCGTTGTTCGAGCCCGACCTCGCAATGGGGCTCGCCGACGTCCTTGGGCAGGCGTCTGCCTCTGGTACGCAACTCCACCCCGGGGTCCCTCAGCCGGCCACTGGAGCCGACCTCTGGCGTGGTGTCCATACTGTACCTGCGCCGCTGGGGTCGACGCCCACTGATCACCCGTCTGTGCCGAGTCTCGACATGCCGGTCGAATATGACAAAGCGTACGAGCAGGGACTGGACATGGACAAGGTGCTCCCATGGGCGGATGTGTGCTTTTTCCTCTCCCTCTTTCTCAAAGACCAACACTGCCTGGTCCCAGTCGTCCACAAGCCCACGTTTAGCCAAGATGTCCTGAACCGCCGGGACCGCCGGGACGAAGCTTTCCGTGGCCTCCTGTGCAGCATCGTCGCCTACACCATCTGCCAGAACCCAATCTCGACCATGACTCAGGCATACGAGCGGCCGCGGCTGGTCACCATGCTGCACCGGTGCAGCAAGGCTGCAGACACTATCCGACACCGCCAACGCATGACCCCATCGTTGGTGCTGTTGGCGTCCACGATTCTTGACTGGATCACTGCCCAGGCGGTGGGCAACCCGCAAGTATGTGACATACACGCTGCGGAGGCGACTCGACTGGCACATGCCCTCGGCCTGTCCGACGCAAACCCTCGCAACGGCGCTCGCATGAACACTATCGAACAACAAATCTGCCGTCGGCTCTACTGGATTATCTACAGCAAGGACAAGACGGACGCCATGTCTGGGCGCCCGATCATCTTGCACGATTTCGAAGGCGTGGCACCGTTCCCTCTTGAGGTGGACGACGACTATATCACGACCGTCGGCTACCTCCCGCAGCCCGAGCGCAAGACCAGCTACATGTACGGCTTTGTGACCATTATGCGCATCTTCCAGATCATCTCCCAGGCCATCACAAAGCACCGTTCATTTGCCAATGTGGCGGACGCTGGCACCGAGGAGGATGTGGACCTCCTTGTCCGGTGGATCGAGAACGCCCAGCGCAAACTGCACATTATCCTCGACGGTCTTCCTCCATCGCTGTGCACCGACCTCAATGACTTGAGCAACGAGGAAATTGAGCCTGCGGCCGACATCAACCTGTTTGGTATCCAGCAAGCCAACATCACCATTACGGTCCTGTGTGCCGAGTTTGTCCTCCTGGACCTGCGCGCCTCTATCCGCCCACACGAGGACACGCGCGCCGAGCGTGAGGAAATGGCCCGCAAGGCGTATGACGGGCTGTCAAGTATTCCCTACGAGTACCTCGCGTCCAACGGCGAGAGCATGCGCGGCAAAGTGCTGCGTATCATCCTTGCATTGTTGAGCATGACCCCCGAGCCGATCAACTTTAGCCAAAACGTGTGGGACTGGTGGAACATGGTGAGTCGAGTGTGTGGAGTGGGGTGTTGCAAGGGGTCGCGACTGACAAAGACACAGTACTCGCGTGTCCAGTTCCTGCAGGTCATTCCTGACGAGACGATGCTCATCATCGACCAACAGCAGAACAGTGCGCACAAGCCCAGCCCGCACCTCTCGGTGTAAGTTTCTCTCTTTATTGCAGTATATTATGTACCACTATGTTTGTTGCAGCCAAAAAGCAAGCCGTTTTGGGTGTCCGTCCGAGAAACGCGTAATGGCTTCATGATAGGAATACCAGCCAGTGATACTTGGTTCTCGATGTTGCACCACCCACCCTTGTTCATCCACTCACTGCTTGCTGTAACGTCGCAGCCCACCGTTGCTGGTGCTGTTGGACTTGTACATACATGCTCTCACACCACACCATCTCCCCCACAGCAGTCACTCACGCATGCCCACTTTCCCCAATGCGATCTCGTTTTTGTCTCCGCTGATCACCGAAGCCGTCCCAGCAGCAACACCCTCGGTGACGCAAAAGCCTCATGCCCGTGTCAACGCTGTGCGCACCGGCGTGCGACGCTGCGGATGGATACGGAGACCCTCCAGCGCTCGGTCCTTGAACGGCAGCCCTCGGGTGCGATCTGACGAGCTGCATGGCCATTGTTCTGTCGGGGAGAGACTTCTCCATACATACGTGGCCCCATGCCCGCCCTGTTCAACCCCACACCCCAGGCTGCGCTTTGGAACCAAACAAACACAATGTCCCGGGCCCCGTCTGGCACGAGGCACTTGTCGCCGACACGTCCACACGTAGGCAGTCCTTCCCCATCGTGTACGCGATCCGCGACTCCTTTTTTATTTCAAACGACAAGCAACATTTTCCGGTTGGTGGTCGCGACGTCGCCGCAACTCTTGTTGCCCACATTTCCTGGAGGCTGTCGTGGGCCACACTCATATCTCATGCCTTGACGCGACTTGAGCTGACACGGTGAGACATGGCGTGCACGCGTGCACGGATCGCGACCGACGCCTCCTTGTGCTTGGCCGGTATCTTTTCAAGATGCCGCGCGGCATTGCACGGGCATGGCGTACGGCGTTGGCGTTGATGTGGTGGTGGGCTTCGCCGCCAGCGCGCCAGGGCGGGGCTCTGGCTGGCTCTGCGGCGTCTGACCCCGGCGGTGGCTCTCAAAGGCCCCATTATTAGTGGCCCTAGAGCTTTGCAAGCTGGGCCACAAGGTGGGGAAGGAGGAGCCGGCGGCCGCCTCGTAGAGAGAAACTGCCCAGCTGGATGCACAGTCTCTGTGGACGCAACATGTGAGACCCGGCCTAGCAACTGGGCAACTGGGCAGCACGGCAGCCGATGCCGCGTTGGTGTGAACGCTAACGAGCTGGCGCCGGGGACCCCGGCAATGGCAGGAACCGAATTCCTTGCCCCGGGCTCGAACACCGCGCGCGACCATGGGCCCCCGTAAGGTGGTCGGCCACGGCCCATATATCCCTGCCCACGTTCACATCAGCTCTCTCGCTCTCTCTCTCTCCCTCTCACTTGCATACGCAGGCGATACCCATCCCATTCACCATGGCAGCCAAGACGTTCACAGCAGACGAGCTCGAGACCCTCTACTCCATCTTCGACACGGTCATCCCTGGCGTGTCGGTGGAGGACCTCCACAAGCTCAACCCGCACCTCAAGGACGATGTCGACGCCGAGACCGTTGCGGCCTTTGCGGCAGAGGTCCCCAGCCAGAACGCACAGTACAGGGACTGCGTTGAGAACTTTCTCCCCCGACACATCAACGATGGCAAGTTTGCCGAGCTCAAGCAGGTCCTCTCGTTGCTGCGGTACGTACCGTCTGGGTACATCTGTCCCTTGGCTGACAGTTTGCAGCTCGCGCGTCGCCATGCTCGTCCTGACACAGAGCACTGTCCTGTTCCACCAGCGCACAGTGGAACAGCGTGAGGCACTCCTTCTCTCGTGGAAGGCCTCGCGCATCGCCACTCTCCGCCGCATCTACGACTCGATGGCCAAGCTCGGCAACAGCGTCTACATGCGCAGCTCTGATCTCGGCCACAAGGCCATGTGCTACCAGCCCACCCCGACTGAGTCGCTTGCCAGCGGCCACTACCCATTCAAGTTCTCCACTACGAACGACCTCGACAATGTGGTCCTCGACGCCATCATCGTCGGCTCGGGCTCGGGTGGCGGTGTCGTTGCCAAGATGCTCGCCGAAGCTGGCCTCAAGGTCCTCGTCATCGAGAAGGGTCAGCACTTTGACCTTGCGGGCCCTGCGTTCACCGAGGCGCAATCACTTGACAAGATGTACGACGCCGCTGCCGTCGTCACCAACGACTACGGAGACGTGGCTCTCGTCTCGGGCAAGACCTTTGGCGGTGGAAGCGCAGTCAACTGGGCCGCTAGCCTGCAGCCGCCAGCATCTGTGAGGAGGGACTGGGCGACCACGTATGGTCTCCCTTACTTCCAGACGACCGAGTTCCAGAGCGACCTCGACGCCGTCTTTGAGCAGATGGGTGTCTCGCAGCCCACCTCCCAGAACGTGGCCAACTCGCTCCTCCTCGAGGGTGCCCGTCGTCTCGGCTTCCAGCACGCAGCTGTTCCCCAGAACAATGGCAACGGTGTGCACCTCTGCAACCATGACTGCGCCAACGGCTGCCGTTCCGGCGGCAAGAAGGGTGGTGTACACTCATGGCTCGTTGACGCTGCCAAGGCTGGAGCCTACTTTATGGAGGACGCCAGTGTGCGTTCCATCATCTTCGGCCCAAAGCACCAGGCCACGGGTGTCATCCTGCGCTTCTCGGACGGACGCGAGGCCACGCTCATGGCTCCCCGCATCGTCGTTGCTGGTGGCTCGATCGAGTCCCCCGCCCTCCTTCTGCGCTCCAAGGTGCCCAACAACCGTGTCGGCCAGTCAATCTACCTCCACCCCACCAACTACCTCTACGCCGTCATGCCGCAGCGCACATTCCCGACCGACGGCCAGATCCTCACCTCGGTCGTGGGCGAGTATGCCAACCTTACACCGTCGGGCCACGGCGTGCGCATCGAGACGGGCATTATGCAGCCCGGTATCGGCATGTCGCTCCTGCAGTGGATGGGTGGTGCCGAGCACAAGGCCCGTCTCACCAAGCACTCGCACATGGCTGGCCTGATTGCCATCTGCCGTGACCGCAACAGCGGCAAGGTCAGGCTCGACGCCAACGGCGAGGCCATCGTCGACTACACCGTCTCGCCGTTCGACTCGCGCTCCATCGTGACCGGCACCATCGCCGGTGCCGAGTGCATGAAGGAGATGGGCGCCGAGGAGATCATCGTCGCTGCCCGCGGTGTGCCCAGCTGGAAGAAGGGCGAGGACTTTGACGCCTGGAAGCGCATCGTCAACGCAACCCCTCCCGGCGGCTACGGCTCTGCCCACCAGATGGCCTCGAACCGCATGGCCGCGACGGCCAGCCAGGGCGCGTGTGATCCCAACGGCGCGCTGTACGGCGTCCAGGGCGTGTGGGTCGCCGACGCCTCCGTCCTCCCCTCCGCTTCGGGCGTCAACCCCATGATCTCGACCATGGCCGTCGCGCGCAAGGTCGGCCGCAGCATCCTCGAGGATGCCCAGCCCGCCAAGGCCAAGCTTTAGTGAGTGTGTCGGTAGGTTTTGTTGGGTGTGCCTTGGATAGAAGAACAGTAGAAATTGAGAGTTATGAAGGAAGAATATGGCCACAAGGTCACGTGTAAAGTGTGCCACGCACTGACCTCAGCACAGCCCCTAATCTCACGGTCGCCCGCGATGGAAGCTGGCGTAAGGCGAGCTGGCGTTGGATTGCCGTCTTGGTGCCACCTGGTGTGGCGGCGTGGTTTGTGTGGAATTAGGCTATTAAAATGCGGTTTATTTTTTTTCGGTTTCTGTATAGCCCTTTCTTGGTTTCTTGGTTTGTACGGCGACATGGATATGAAGAGAATGCAGTTCACCTCTGATGGTGGACGAAGGTGGCATGCTGTATTGCGCTGGAGGGGTGTGTTCTGATGGTAGATACCACCTTGACGAGACAAACCAATTCCGCCACTCAAGACCGGTTGGCCGGTTGACGTCACCTCCTGTTTCTGAACAGACACGTCAACCACCTCGTCTTGACTTGACGCGTCCACCCGTCCATGCAAACCTGGAATGAGAGGTGGTGTCTGTAGTGTAGGTGTTCACATGACAAGAACAGTACCTGCATTGTGGGCGTGCACTGTACAACGGTATCCACATATCCACACGCTGACTAGTACCAGACGGGTGGCAAGAGCGTAGGGCTGGGCGGGCGCAGGTGTGTATATCAGGTTGACTCACCCGCGCCCAATCTTCCTTTCATTCACTTGTTCTTCATTCCCTCAAACCCACATTCTACTACCACATCCACCGTCATGGATATCGACACAAAGCCCAACATCCACACCCAAGTCAAGACTGAGGTCAAGACCGAGGTCCCTGCTGGTTGCACTTCGTCAGCCTCTAACACGTCCAACGTCGTCAGCTTCAAGACCAAGGAAGGCTACCTGCGCGAAGTTCCTTCTCTCTACGTCCGCATCCACCCGTGAGTACAACCCACACCATCCAAGAAGCGTGAACTGAAGGCCGCAGCGCTGCCCACCCCATCGTGTGTGACGAGACGGCAAAGACCATCGACGACTGGATCAACTATGTTGCCACTCAGCAGGTCCTCCCCCCTGAAGTCAATGACAAGCCCCACGCGGCCAACCTTGGCTACATTACCATGGCCCGCTTCCATGCCGCCTACGGTATTCCAGACCAATCTCTCCAGCTTTGCGAATCCGTTTCCGTTTTCCTCGGCTCTAACCTCGTCTCGCCTTTCGTCGCCTATGGCGTCGGCGCGCACCTGAATGATGTCGATCTCTGCGCTCTGGCGGTGAGCCACCCATCCGAGTTGATCGACAAGGGACACACTTGCGCGTACAGCGCCGTCGGACCTTGCTACTGGTACAACTATCACGGTGACGATGACCACACCCACCCGCAGGCCAAGGATGTCCCCTTCGCCAAGCCCGGCGGCACTCTCGACCCGCAGGCCTTTGGCGCAATCTACTGGTCGCTCCTTCCTACGATGTATATTTGGCTCCTGGTTCGCGCGCGTCAGTGCCCTCCCCAGGGAGCCGAAATCGGCGAGGCTTTCAAGACGATGTGCAACGTCCACCTGGTGCGCTAAGCGAGTCGAACCCCTTCCCCCTCCCAACGCACGACACGAGAGTGTCCTACGGACGTTTCTGCACGCGAAGAGACTCTGTTTGTTTATAGCTATGTGATGCATGATGATGGAACACAGAGATTCCTTCTGGATCGCGATGAGGTCGCGTGCAGCTGCCACTTGGACCATTTGACAGGACGAGCAGAAATCCTGGCGTCAATTGTCTAACCTTGATGAAACATCTGCCGCAACCTGCTGTTTCTAATCATCGTACAAGCCGATAAACACATGCCCAGCCATGTGCCTTCATCCTTCTTTAACAACGGCCTGCATTGAGTGCCTAGATGCAAGAAGGAGCATACCGATACGCCGAGGAATGTAGCTGACGGAAATACCACAAACAATGGTGGAGGCCGTGGTGGGCGCACTCCAGCGTGTTGTGAGCGTCATGGGAAGCGTCGGTGCGTGTGCGTGCACCATCGCTCCCACAGACCGCGCACAGCAGAATGTCCTTTTTGTCCACTCGTTTTCATCATCCCATCTCTCACAAGCCTCTGGACCTCTCTCATAAGCCTCTGGACCTCTCTCATCATGCGCAAGAAGAACGGGAAGAAGCCCAAGGCCGCCAAGGGTGCATCCGGTGTCACGAACGGCACGCCAACCGCGACCACCGCATCGCCCGAGTCGCCCACTCCCGCCGTCGTCAAGTTCAAGACCAACGATGGCCAGGTGCGCGAGGTATACTCGGCCTACGTTCGCATACATGGGTGCGTGAACACCGCCCACGCCCACTGACGCACTCTAGCGCCGCCGAACCTATCGAGTGTGGCGAGACGTCCCAAACCGTCGACAGCTGGATCGACTATGTGGCCAACCATAATCTGCAGGTGGACGACACCAACGACTACCTCCTGCGCGCCAACTGGGCCTTCATCCCCATTGCGCGCTTCCACGCCGCGTACGGCGTCTACGACGAATCGCGCAGCAACCTCCTCGAAGCCGTCTCCCTGCTTCTTGCCGACGACGTCGTGTCGCCTTTTGTAGCGTTCGGCGTCGGTGCGCACCTAGACGATGTCGACCTGTGCGCCCTTGCTGTGAGCCACTCCTCCGAGGTCGTCAGCGATAGCAACACCCCCAACCACAACCACACGCACCCCGCGTCGTCCTCCAACGACCAAGACGCCGGCGTCGGCTTCTGTTTCTGGTTCAACTATCGCAACCAGGAGAAGCCCGACCCCCTCCCGCACGTGCCCCACGCGAGACCGGGCGGCACGCTTGATCCTCGCCAGTTCGCCCTCATCCAGTGGGACCTGCTTCCGAAGAACTACATCTGGCTTCTCGTCCAGGCCCGCCAGTGTCCCAGCCAAGGCGTCGAGATCGGTGAGGCCTTGACGACGATTTGGAACTCGATGATGCCCAATGGCCGCGCACCCAACTTCTCCAGGACGGTGTTTTAGGCCTAGGTTTCGCGGCTGGAGAGTCGCTGGGCATGCTGGGTGGTCTGTGTATGATCTATGTGTATAGTATACACCCTGTTGATGCCCTGCCACACTCGTGTTATGTTGAGCGACACGCCACTCACAAGCCCCCCGTCCGAATTCCGTCGACGTCTCGTAACTGAAAAAATAAATAAATAAACTGTACCCCCTCTCCGCCACACCGTTCTAAACCTATCTCCTCTACCAACTAATTGGAAACACCATTGGCTCAGATCAAGCACATGTGTGCATTCCTAACCACATCCGGGTGTGAGACATGTCACCCAAAGCAAGTGCTGAAACTCTATATCTTTCCTTTGTGGCATTCCGGTGACGGTTGTGGTATGTCGGCGGTGCGCTCCACAGGCAAAGCCCCACTCCGCTCGGGATGTCCTTTGAAAATCCTGGAAAAGCGTGAGATACGCTCCTGGGACCAATTCCGAAGGGGGAGTTTGTGTTTGTTGGGAAAAGTTTTTGGGTGTCCCACTGCCCGCATCACTGCTTTGGTGCACCGCCACACTTGGGTGTCCTCCATTTCCACAGCCACGGTCCCAACACATTGGTATGGTACACACCGGGTTCCTTGCCCAGGCTCCCCGTGTCCGAGAAACGTGGTCACGACGGTGACTGGATATCGCTATACCACGGCGGTGCGGTGCGGGCAGTCCAGAGGGAACGGAACAGGGCTCGTGGTGCCGGTCGCCGGGCATTTCCCAGCCATCTGTTTGTCTCACATACCCGCCGTGCCCGCCATGTGCTGCGCATCGTGTCCGCTGGAGCCGTTCTGCGGCGTCGCAATCGGCTGCCACGCCGCATAACCGGCAGCCGGGTCACCTCGGCCGCTCGGCACGGCGCACGGCAGACGGTGCACGGCAGCAGCGGCTGTTAGCTGGAAATCACGACGGAGGGCTGACTTCGATTTAGAACAGAACCAAGTGTCCAGCTGCCCAAAGATCCAATGACGTGCTTTGTGACGCCTTTCGGCGGAGTGAACGGCCGCTGGAGCTTCTTGGGCAGGAGCAGGAGCATGCCCGATCTTTTGGGATCTTGGGATCCGTTGGATTGGGATCGCACTCCACAGAAATCGGGATAACGTTATGAGGGTCCCACCGAATTGGTCGGAACAAAGGGTGCAGCTTGGGGGGGCTTGTCACCCGTTTCGCTATGTCTGCTGCGGATGCCGTGGTCTGCGCATATGCTTCAAGACACAAGACACATTCAGAGGAATCCGGCGGCATGTCGCCAATGATTGTCGTCTGGAGCGCGTAGCGGTTCGTGGAGCAGTCCGCGTTCGGAATCTCTTGCTCGCTTCCCAGTTCCACCAGAGCCAGAGTCTGGTGTGGTTCCCATTCTGTGCTGGTTTTCTTCGGGGTGCACCATCTCTGTGCCTGTGGTCTTCTGGTCTCGTTTGTTCAAAGGAGAGTTTGCGCAAGCGCAGGGGTTACCAATGCCGTTAAACTCTCCAACCCTTATCCAACTCCCAACGTCGGGTAATGGGCGGAGCACACCAAGAGCCATAAACTGCCCAGCGTGGCATCATGGGAATGGGAATGGGCTCTGCAGCCGTGCTACGACGCTCTTGCTCTCACTGTCGGTGGAGAATCGGAACCTGGGCGTGCTGCCGATATCCACCATGTCTCCTTTCTTGGCCACCCTCACCGGCTGCCATCTACCAATGCGGTGCGTAGGAATCCGGGCGTCGCGGTCACCACGTAGGGAATGGGGTCTTTGCTCAATTGGCAGCTATCTACGCCAAGGGTTGCCAAGTCGGCCATCCACACCACAGCCTAACTCCTCCCGATAGCAACATATAAAAGGGACCAGTCGGCCCCCGCTGCTTTGGGTTTCTTCTTGGGCGTCAGCGGGGAGGCCACTCCACTACAACAGTCAGGTGGGGCCCGCTGTGCGCACCCACCCACCCACCTCCTCCATCTCCCACAAGTGACCCTCGACGTCCGCCACAGCGCTGAAGAAGAAGGGACGCGTCTGCCCGGACATACACGATCGACGGCAGCGCCAATCCCATCACTTTTCTTCTTCCAGGCTGCAGGCTCTCCCTGTGACGTCAATTGTTTCGGCGTCGGTGTGCGGCATACACGATCCAGTACATCGACAGAACCAGTTCTCGGCCGTGCACGATACCACGAAGTCACCCAGACCCAGCGTGAGGTTGGGTGGACATACGAATATCCTCTCGTCGCACTCGTCCTTTACACCCCCCCCCCCCACTCGTGCGTTGCCCCAGACCAAGGCATGGTGTGCAGAGGCTGACCTCTCCGTGCAGTTTAAATATATTTTTCTGGAGACGCCACCGAGTGCGATCCTCCGTCTAGTTACCTGCCACGCAGCACAGGTCGCTGCTTGAGGCTCCCAAATCTCTCCCAAATTGCTCCCTGCGTGTTCTGTAGCCATACCCATGAGGAGGGTGTCGTGTCTTGCAGAATGAATAAAGCAATCCGAAGTTGAACAAACGTTGCCCAGAACCCAGCACACCCAGTTGCCACCCAGTTGCCAAGACGCACATTAGTGATACATCCCCCACGTGCGAACTACCTGCCAAGTCCAACCCGCCCTCTAATAGACGGGAAGCATCTGCTCCAGCGACTCAAAAGGCCGCCGCTCACTCTGCCCCTTGGCACCGCCTACTCGCTCTTGAGCACCTTGATGTCGTCCTTCTCGTCATCACTGTCTGCGGCCCAGTACTCGTCCGTCGAGGCCGAGCCGAGGCGCGCGCCACGGCCGCGGAGGAAGGCGACGACCTCGCGTGCGCCGCGCGCGCCCTGGGGCCACTCGCGAGCGTACTCTGGCACGGCGTCCGACGCGTCGGCGCGCAGCACGTCACCGCCATACCTTTCGGCCAGCCAGAAGCTCGCCTTGAGACGGGTGTCGCTGTCCTCGAGCTCGAGGAGCGTGGCCTCGAGTTCACGCGCGACCTGCACGCGGGTGCGGAGGACGTGGCGGACCAGGACGCGCGACGGCAGCTTGATGGGGCGGACGTACTTCTCCTTGGGCGTTCCGGGGGGCAGGCCGGCGGTTGCTGGCGGGTTGGGCGCAAACTTGGCCACGTCGTCTACAAACTGGTTGATGGACATTTCGGCGTTGGAACCGAGCCACACGCCGACGAGGACGCGCCACGCGGCAGCCAGGCGCTTGGCACTGTGTGGGTTAGCACTGGGGCGTGTACCTCAAACCTACGCGTTGTAGTTTTGGTCGATGAGGGCGGTGTGGTACTTGGCAAGAAGCCAGACGGCACCAGCGGCAAAGACCATACCCATGGGCACGCGGCCAAAGAGCCAAACAAAGATGAAGAAGACGATGGGGTATGTGATGAACGAGATGAAGACCGACATGAACATCTTGTTCTGTGCGCGGGTCTCCACCTCGTCCTCGGCGAGGTGGGCGCCAAAGATACCGATGAGATAGAAGGGAATGTGGAAGATGAAGGGGACAACGAAGAAGGGGAACTGGGCGACGGAGATGATCGTGTCCTTGATCAGGATAGCCAGTGTCCTCAAACGACCGGGCAGGGGCACCTCCTTGGACGGGTCCAGCTGGGTGTCGAGGGGGAGGTCGGTGAGAGCCGAGTTGGACAGACGCGACGCCGAGAGGAGCTGGCCGTAGGTGACGAGGTTGGCCTTGAGCCTGTCGACGCGCTCGTCGTCGGTGCTGAACAGGTCGACAAGGGTCTGCGCAACATCGACATAGTCGGCGAGGGCCAGGCTGTCCTCGTGCAGCCAGAGCAGCTGGCGTGCCATCTCGGCGGCGTGGGCCGAATCCCTTTGAAAGGTCAGAAACCCGCAGTCTGCTTTTTTGCCACTCACCAGTCAGGAGCGTTGACGGTCATCTTGTGCATCTCCAGCTCGGTCGCCTTGGTCAAACGCTTGACGGCGACCTTGTTGGCGCCCTCCACACCGCTGAGGAACTCGCTCGCGTACGTGTCCATCGAGATGGGCGCACCGTACCTGTCCGCGGCATCAGCAAATTATTTCCAAGCGCCTGCCACAAGCGTTCTTTTCCTTCCCTCTGACTCACGTAACAGCAACGCGGCTGCGGTACTTGGACTTGTCCACATAGGCAATGCCCACAGGGACAATGACGGCCGGCTTGCCCTCTTTCTTGCCTGGGCTTGCGTCGGAGCCGTTGAGGTAGATGAGGTACTCGAGAGCGGTCCACGACGTGCCGTCCTTGAGCGGGATGAGATGAGGCTCGGTGTGCGACGTGCCCTCGGGGAAGACACCAATGCATTCGCCCCGATCAAGAGCTGTTCGTTAGTGGGCTGCTAGGTCGAGACCTCTTACCCACCTTCAAAGGTTCCTTTGAAGAGCTTCTGGTTGTCCTTTGTCTTGCGGTCAACGGCTACGCGGGTGGTCAGCGAAATGTCAACGTCCAAAGTACGAACGGATGTTGCCGGCGTTCGTCAGGAGAACCTTCATGGCCGGGTGCTTGAACAGAGAGTCCTTGACCTGCATGTAAGCTTGTCGGGTCGACCTATGTTAAGCTCACCCAGTAGTGGAGGAGGTGGCCATTGGGGATCGTGTTGGACAGCACGGCCGGCTACAGCGGTTAGTGATAGGCACAGTTGATTCACGCTTCCGCCACCCACGTCAATTGCCATGTTCGTGTGCGTGCAAGCGCTGCCGTGGTGTCAGTGGAATGGCAAGGGGGAGTCGCAGACGCGTGTTGTCTCTCTCACAAGATGATGGGGCCCTCCTCAGGCACATTCTCGCTGCCATAGACCTCGATCTTGCGGTAAAACGAGGTGATGGCCGAGCCGGCAAGCGCAACGAGGGGCTTGTGGGTGAAGCCAAACGGCATGGCTGGAGGAGGTTGGTGTATGGGTGGAGTTGTACGTTGAGACCAGGGCTCTTGGCGTGACTGGGGAGTGGGTATCGCGTCTGCCTGAGCGAGCCTGCAAGATGACGATGCGATGACAGCAGAAGAGAGACAGAGCAGAAGCATCCTCCCAAATGACGGAGCCCGTGCTGCGCGTCCTCTCTCCACCCCATGCACACCACCCACCCACTGCGGGCGGCTCCCCACGGCACACCCATCCGGCGACAGCCTTCAGGTCACGTGATCTACCACGTGACCCCTTCCCGCAACAGGCTGTGATAAGCCTCCACTTTTATTTATTATTGCCCCAAAATGACGTGGCCCGAAAAAAGTTGCCGGGTGTCATTGCGCGCGCGGGCGGGTGGAGGTTGGATCCATCTGCGGAAATCCTCCTGGACGGGGGGTGCTCGACGGTGAGTGACAGCCGTCTGTTGATACAACCCTTCACCTCCATCCACCCCTCACACGACCCACACAATGTCTGCTCAGCAGGACACCAAGGGTAAGCTAATGCTCCTGTATCTCGGCGTTAGCTCACACACACAGCGCTCGACGCCGCCATCCTCGCCTACCTCGTCGCCCGCGGCCTCACCCGCTCGACGAAGGCGTTCGAGAAGGAGGCTTCGGCCACCCAGGGCACCAAGGGCTCGCTCGAGGCCGCATGGTCCGCTGGCCAGCCCAAGAAGGAGGCCGACAGCGACTCGGACTCGGACTCGTCGTCCGACTCGGAGAGTGAGAGTGAGGAGGAGAAGAAGGACGTCGAGAAGGCTGGTGAGTAGGGCTACCGCTGCCAGAGTCTGAAGATATGAGCTCTCGGTTAACGACAGAAGTTACTCCCAAGCAGGTCGCTCCCGCCCAGGTCCCCCTTCCTGAGAGCTCTTCCGACTCGTCGTCGTCGGACTCGTCAGACTCGGATTCGGGTTCCGAGTCGGACACTGAGAGCTCGGACAGCGACTGTGACAGCGACTCGGACTCGGACAGCGACTCGGAGGACGTCAAGCCCAAGGTGGAGAAGGCCGCTTCCCCCGTGTCGGCCAGCAGCAGCAGCGGCAGCTCGACTGTCGCTGAGGTGAAGAAGGAGGAGCCCAAGAGCACGAGCGACTCGGACTCGGACTCGAGCTCGGACTCGGACTCGGACTCGGACTCGTCGTCCTCTTCGTCGTCTTCTTCTTCGTCCAGCTCTTCGTCTTCGTCCAGCTCTTCATCGTCTTCGTCGTCTGACTCGGACTCATCGTCGTCCGAGGAGGAGGACGCCAAGCCTGTTATTGGCAAGCGCGCCCGCAGCGCTTCGTCGTCGTCGTCGTCGTCGTCTGAGGACGAGGCTCCCCCCGCCAAGAAGCGCGAGGTTGAGGAGTCGTCGTCGGCGCCCTCGGGCGTCTCGACCCCCTTCGCCCCCTCGGGAACCTCGACCCCCAACGGCGGCGAGAAGCGTGCCCGTGGCGGCGGCAACAACAACGTCCGCTTTGAGCGCATCAAGCAGGACAACGTCACCTTCCACGACCAGCGCCTCATGGACAACTCGTTCGACGCCCACATCCGTAACGGCGCCAACACCAACGACTTTGGTGCCCGTGCTTCGCGCGACCTGATCGTTACCCGCGGTGCTGGCTTCAGGAAGGAGAAGAACAAGAAGAAGCGCGGCTCGTACGCCGGTGGCGAGATTACTCTCCAGACCCACTCCATCAAGTTTGACGACTAATTCATTCCTCCCACCTGGTGTTTGTCGCGACGAGGGTGTGATCGACAATCTAGAGTAGAGAGGGCGAAAAAAGAGAGACCGCTTCACGTGGACCCATTAGAGGGCGAGACGTGCAGGTCGCGGGATCCATCGTGTTGTCCATGCATCCATCTGTACATCAGCAAGGAAAGCCACAGCTGTGGCATGGTTGCAGGAAAACGCACAGCTCACATATACTATGCCACAATACAGTCTATGATACATCTAACTCTAGAAGCTTGAGAATGTAGGCTTCTTGGGAAGCCCCGCCAGCCCTCGCTGGAACGCCTCCTCCCTCGCGGCCGAACGCTCGTTCCGGGGGTTGACCACCTTCGTTGGGACAGGGACCGCAGTGCGAACGGGCAAGTCGGCCGGCAGTGTGTGGGGAACAGTGTTGCCAAACTCTGCCTCGGGTTCAGGCGTGTCTGTGCCGCCGACTGGTGATGTCTGTCCAGACACGGCACCATCCGCAGACTCGGGCTTGGGCTCGTCCGCGGCCTCATTCGCATGTCCTTGTCCTCCTCCTTCCAACTCGCGCTGAATCTCCGCCTCCAGTGCTTCTGCCGCCTCGCGCTCTGGTGTAGGTGTACGGTTAGACCGCTTCTGCATGGACGCGAGCTTGGCCTCCATGGCAGCGATCTGGGCAGCCGCACTGGGGAACGTCAGATGTGTTCTACTGCTGCACCGCAACCACCCACCTCTGAGGTCGTCGCTGTGCTTTCAAAAGGGACAGTGTGGTCGGCTTTCCAGCGTCTCCCACTCTCCTGGCTTTGGGGAGCATCATGCCCTCGTCAATGGGTGCGGCGTTGGCGTACGTGACCACGAGCTTGCGACCACGGAGAAGACGGTCGTGGAGCTTGACCAGAGCCTTGAGAGCGTCCTGAAGAGTGAGCTGGGGAACACATACAAGGGTTACAATAACTCACGTCCTTGCTAGCGTACTCGACAAACGCGTATCCTCTGGGCTTTCCCTTCAAAGGGCCACTCTTGTGGAACATGAGGTCGAGCTTTGTGATTTTGCCGTGTTTGCTGAACACCTGGACAAGCGTGTACTCGTCGACCGTGGGTGCGAGGTTGCCCACGAACAGGCGGTCGGGCTTGCCTGCCGACGACGAGCTTGATGGGGCCGACATTGTCTGTGGAGGATAAGAGAGTGACGTGACGACAAGGACACAAGAGTGTTCAGAAAGGGCAGGGCCAGGATGCCGCATGGAGGATTGTTGCCACCTGGTGGAGGCGACTCTCAATTTGGTTCCGCTCACAGCGGCCGGCGGCGGATGACGAGCCTCAGAAGATGCGAATGCCCGATCCAGCACCACGTTGAGGCTTTCGTTCTCTCCCACAACCACAACACTCGCATCTCTCGCGCCATGGACTGGTAAGCTAGGAGTTTGGGAATTGACCAGCTAACAGCAGTCTCGACGAGCCGCTCCACCTCGAGATTCTAAGCTCGCTGGCGACCAACCTCGCGCAGCATGACACTACCGGTAGCGTCGACGTGAATCACATTGACGTGCTGCTCAACGGCCTCCCTCCCGCCGCACCGCAAGATGAGGATGATGGAGGATGGGTACGTCTAGCTACATATCTCAATTGGTAGCTAACAGTGTCAGACCGAGTACGAGGTCAACCATGGCATCTCGTACGCTCACTACATTACCTCTCTCCCGGCCAACTCGCCATACCTCCCCACATCGTTGCCCCGCCTGCGCAGCCTCCTCAACGGCCTGCTCGCGCAGGGAGGTGGCCAGTCCGGTCCCTCGTCGTCGGGCGGTGACCCTTCCACGACCGTTCAGCACGCCCTCCTCCTCGAGGCCCTTCTCCAGGCTGTCCTCTGGGTTGGCTGGTCATGTGCAGACGTGCGTGGCGAATCGGGTGTCATCATCGCCGAACTCCTCGAGCAGGTGGAGCACCTCATGAGCACGGCACTTGTGTTCTCTGGTGTTGTCCTCACTTCGATCCATGCCGTCCTGTCGCATGTCTCCCTTCCCACTCTTCCGCCCATCGTCGTTACCCGCCTTCTCGCCGCGGTCGTCTCGCTTGGCTCCCCGACCAACCTGATCAAGGCCGTCCGCGAAGCGTACACCGAGGGACATGCCCCCTCCCATTCCCGTTTCAACACGGCCCCGCACCCCACGACGCCCCTCGCTGTTGCCGTTCTTGTGACGGAGGTGGCCAACATTGTCCTTGCGCGTGCCCTCACTTCCGATCCCGAAATCTCCCAGCAGTCGTTCAACCGCGAGAGTATCTCGTGCGATGCCGAGTTTTCCCCCGTGTGGAAGTCCCAAACCAACGCCTTGCTGGCTGAGCCGGTCTTGGCGGCAGGTATCATCGATGTCGCCAATGGCGAGGCCACTGTTGCTGCTGCCGACCAGCTTGCGCTTCTCTGGTGGAACGAGCTCAACGACCCCGAGCCCGTCCAGGCCTTCCCGACCAACCCCATGGATCGCCGTGGTACCCTGGCCGTCTCGGGCGTCCACACAGACGAGGAGATCTACCTCGCCGTTTCTGTGCTTCACATGCTCAACCTGCTGAGTCTTGTGCAGCCCGAAGACGAGGCCACGCAGCTCGCGCGTCTCAAGCAGCTCCTGTCCGAGAACTCAACAGTCTCCGATGCGCGTGTGCTACAGGCTGCGTTTGTGTGCCTTGGAATCTTTGTGCGCAACCACCCGGCACTCGGTACCTCCCTCACACACCATCTCCGTCGCCTGCTCATGAGCCCCATGCCTGCTCTTGAGAGCGAGGTTTCGTCCGCCGGCATGGAGCTGTCACCCACGATTTCCGCTGCCTCAATGTGCCTCGCAATGTGTATTGAAATGTCGGCCAACGACGACGCCATCTCGTCGACCCTCTACTCTCTCCTCGGTGTGCTGAACCATGGCGGGTCTACTGTTGGTCCCGGAGCCATGTCAGTGCGCTCCATGCCTCTCAACCAAATGGCTGCTACGGCTCTCAACCAGTATTCGCAACGCTCGTATGACTCGTCAAAGTCGTTGCTTACGTCCAACAAACGTACCGAGCAACAGCGCAAGCTCGTCAGTACGACTGCTGTCGAGATTGTGTCCCGCTTGGCACTCGACACCGGCCGCGACGACATTATCCACCTCGCCATCTCCATGCTTGTACAGCGACTCCGTGGTGTGGACATTGCGACCGAGTCGGCTATTGTCACCAACCTCGTGCCGCTTGCGCTTGCAGGCACCAATGCCGATCTAATCGAAGTTTATCGCGCCTTCTCGCAAATCTCGCGCTCGTCCCATCCCGAAGACCCGCGTACTTCGTCCAACGCGGTTCTCGCTGCACAGACGACGCTGGCCAAGGGCCTTGGATGCCGTGTCGACACCCTCGAGGGGTACCTCAGCGAGCTCCTGACGCTGTTTACCGACAAGGGTACTCAGACGCAGATTGTCACCATGTCGCCTGCTGGCATGGACATCAAGGACAAGGATAAGAACCGCCAGGCCAACATTCGCGCCGATAGCGATAAACGTGCTGCCGACATGGTCGCTGGCCTCGCTGCGCTTCTGATTCCCATCTCCGAGATTCTCGCCCACCAAGACTACCGCCCGGACCTGGCCCCGACCACCGAGATGGTCGCCCTCTTCCGCAACATGTGGCTCCTGTGTGTGGTGTTTGGCCTCAGCGGCAAGCCCGGCCGCTCGCGTCTTTCCGAGTACGAGACCAGTGCTCTGGCCATTATTGCTGTCAAGACGCCGGCGTTGGTGCTGGAGAACGCGACGGACTTTGTCCACAGCGACCTCGAGTACAACACTGTCCTCCGCAAGGACTTTGCTTCCTCAATCCACACCAAGATGAAGAACTTGCTGGCCGAGGTCCTCCCGTCCCAAAAGTACAATACCGACATTCGCAACATGTCGACGCCGCAGATGACCCTTCTAGTGGCGATTCACGACCTCGAGCAGATGCGCACCTTGCGCTGCCGCCCGTCCGTCATCCTCCAGTATTTCAGCAACGACTCGGTCAACAAGAGTATCGCCGTGGTTGGCGCCCTGACTGGTATTTCACATGGCCTGTCGTCCGTCTTCCTCAAGCAGCTCAGTCGCCAGGCGGTCGACCACAGCATGCCTGTCATTGTCAGCGAAGAAGTGTGCAAGATTCTCGTTGCGTGCACCCACCGTATGCGCAAGGTCCGCGAGATTGCCCTCCAATACGTGCGCCACATCATTGAGACGTTTTCGGCCCTCATGTGCAACCGCAAGGTTGTGTTTACCCTCCTGGAGATTCTCACCCTCATGCGCCGCAGCTGCGAGATGCAGTACACAGACGAGGTGGGTGGTCATTGGTTGATCAAACTAACCCAGCAGTACTCGCCCACGCATTACTTTACGTCAGACAAGCTCGAGCTCACGCTTGAGCTGACAGACGACTACTCTGTGCGCAACGAGATTACCACCCAGCTGCACAGTGTGGCCCAAAAGTGGCTTACGCTGGCCATTTCTCGTGCGCCTATCGAGGTCCAGTCGACGCTCCAGTCGTACCTCAACGAGGCGCGTGACGTGCTGCTCATCGACAGTGTGGAGATGGGTGCCGGTCTTGCTCTCCAGTACTCCAAGGCCATCTCGCGTCTCGACCGCCAGGAGACCATCATGCCCGTTATCGGCGGTTGGCAAAGTGACTGCTCCAACCTCGTTGCGAGCCAGTTTGCCGCCAAAAACTACTATGACGGTGAACTCAAGGGTGCGCGTCACATCATTACCGAGGGTCTGCGCTCGCTGCAAAAGGACTCGCCGGCCGTGTCATCGTTTGAGGAACGTGCTGCGTTCCGCCAGCAGATGAACGAAGCCATGGCCAAGGCCAACACCAAGCAGGCCCTGTCGGTGCCGGACATGCGCCGTCTGCTTCTCCGTGCCACTGCCGTCCTCATCGCCACACCCGGTGTCCACGCGGACATTCTTCACTTTGTTGTCGCGCTGCCCATTACCACGTTCTCGCCTTTGGCCATTGCTGCCGGTGTGGACGCGTGGACGTGGCTCGTGCGCCAAAAGCCCGAGGCCGAGATTGCGCTCATGGGTGAGATCTCTGCGGGCTGGCTCGGCACTATCAAGGCCGGCAAGGGTCTATTCAGCACAAGCATGAACTACCACGACCCCTTCGTCCAGCCCATCGAGTACGCCCCGTCTGACAAGCACGTCATGGACGTCGAGCTCGCGCGTGCGCGCCGCCTGCTCCGCCCTCACCTCTTGCTCGTCCAGATCCTGTCGTCCCAGTTCCAGGCAGTCAAGTACCGCGCTCCTGGCATCATGGTCTCGCTCGCCCGCCTCATGCTCCGCTCCCTGGGCGCATTCGAGAAGATGAGCACACACCCGCTGTCCCGCGAGGTGCGCTTCTCGCTCTTGCTTTTCGGCTTCCAGATCCTTGCGTCGAGCAAGATGGAGTCGCTGCTCGAGATGCGGTTCCGTGACGCCCTCTTCAACTGCGCGTTTGCATGGTTTGCCGTCCGCCCACAGTGGAGCTTTGGCAGCGACCGTATCCAGGTCGGCGCGGAAATCAAGCTCCTGCAGGACTTCATCCAGTGTGTGTCTGAGGACCAGATCCGTGGCGACCACTCCACGAGCTCGATGCACGACCGCCAGCCCGCTTGGCTCGTGCCCGGCTCTACAAGCTTGCAGGACTACATTGGCCAACACCGCGACCGTGTGCGCCTCCTCCAACTGCTGGTCGAGAACGAAATCAACCGCCTCAATGTATGGAGCAACCCGACCAACGACAGGAACCGCGGCAGTGGTGGTGCCCCCGGTCCGCTCGAGAGCAATGTTTCGGCCGAGGAGTGGAGCAACCTCGTCCGCAAGGCGTGGCGGATCAACCCAGCCGTCGCCGTCCACATGGCTGAGCGCTTCAAGAATCCCAACACCACCAACGAGGTCACCAAGATGGTCCGCCTGCACCCCAAGGCGGTCCTGGGTGTTCCCGAGGCCGTGTACCATCTTCTCGGCGACAAGTTTGACCCCTCGGTGCGCGGCGCGCTTCGCTGGCTGCTCATCTGGGACGCTGTGCCGCCCGTTGAAGCCCTCAACTACTTTGAGCGGCGCTACGGCAACCATCCGCTCATCCTGCAGTACGCCATGCGCGTGCTGGAGCAGCACCCCGTCGACCTCACGTTCTTCTTCGTCCCGCAAGTCGTGCAGGGTCTGCGTTCGGACGGCCTCGGCTACGTTGAGCGGTTCATCTATGAGACGTCCAAGATTTCGCAGCTGTTCTGCCACCAGATGATCTGGAACATGAAGGCTAACACGTTCCGCGGCGATGAGGGCGAGGAGCCGGACCCGATGAAGCCCCAGCTTGACCGGATGATTGAGCTCATCGTTGGCTCGCTGTCCGGCAAGGCCAAGGAGTTTTACGACCGCGAGTTTGGTTTCTTTGCCGACGTCACGAGTATCTCTGGCAAGCTCAAGCCGTACATCAAGAAGACAAAGGCGGAGAAGAAGGTCAAGATTGACGAGGAAATGGCAAAGATCAAGCTCGAGGTCGGCGTCTACCTGCCGTCCAACCCAGACGGTATCGTTGTCGACCTGGACCGCAAGTCCGGTCGCCCGCTCCAGTCCCACGCCAAGGCGCCGTTCATGGCCAGCTTCAAGGTGCGCAAGGAGCGCATCGACTTGCCTGCCGACTCGGACCTGGAGATTGGCGAGGAACAGCCCAAGACGTCTTACGATGTGTGGCAGGGCGCCATCTTCAAGGTCGGCGACGACTGTCGTCAGGACGTGCTCGCGCTCCAGCTCATCGCCATGTTCAAGAACGTGTTCACCCAGCTGGGCCTCACTCTCTACCTCTATCCCTACCGCGTGACGGCCACTGCCCCCGGCTGTGGTGTTATTGATGTGGTGCCCAACGCCACGTCGCGTGACGAGATGGGTCGCGCCCAGATCAACGATTTGGTCGAGTACTTTGTCGACAAGTACGGTGGTGTGGACACGGTCGCCTTCCAGCGTGCCCGACTCAACTTTATCCAGTCCATGGCGGCCTATTCCGTCGCGTGCTACATCCTGCAGATCAAGGACCGCCACAACGGTAACATTATGATCACTGGCGAGGGCCACATTGTGCACATTGACTTTGGCTTCCTCTTCGACATTGGTCCCGGAGGCATCAAGTTTGAAGCGGGAAGCTTCAAGCTCAACCGCGAGATGGTCGCCCTCATGGGCGGCACCGACAGCCAGGGCTACCGAATGTTCCAGGACCTCACCGTCAAGGCCTTCCTCGCCATCCGCCCGCACGCCAACCAGCTCGTCGACGCCGTCGCGCTCATGCTCGGCACGGGCCTACCCTCGTTCAAGGGCGAGGGCACGATCCGCCGCCTGCGTGACCGTTTCCAGCTCCAGTTGCCGGAGCGCCAGGCGGCCGAGTACATGGTGTCTGTTGTCCGCAATGCGCACGAGAACATGCGTTCAGACATTTACGACGGTTTCCAGAAACTCCAGAACGGTATCCCTTACTAGACAATCTCCTTATATGCACAGCTCTTGCCTGTTTTTTGCTAGACGTAATGGTACATGCATGCCTGATGAATCTACAGCAGCACCGGTTGCTGCCTCCTCCTTGCCGGGTGACAGGGTTCCTAGGCAAGGCTCTCTCTCTCTCTCTCTCCACCTAATGTATCTCGTTTACTTGCGCATGAGGAGGAAGACGTTCTCGCCGACAATGACGTTGGCGAGGTGACGGTAGCTTCCGCGCAGGGCCATGAGGAGGCCGCCGAACGAGCAGTACGCCGTGGTCATGTTCTCGCCCTTTGCGCTGTCATCAAACTTGTAGACCTTGCCGTGGCAGACATAGTCGTAGTCGTTGGCGAGGCCCTGGTCGTCGGCACGCCACAGCTCGCGCTTGATCTTGCGGGTCTCGCCGGCGTCCTCGTCGGCCTCGGCAGCGTCCTCGTCGGGCTTGAGCGAGCGAGCGAGCGCGAGCGCAAACACGTCGCCCTCGGCCAGGGGGTACAGCTCGGCGTGGATGTCGAGCGTGAGCTCCATGCCGAGGTCGCGCGACGCCGCGACGATGCGCGACACGCGGTCAAACTTCTTCCCGTCCTTGTCGACAGACTGGGGGAGAGCGTCAGCTGCGTTTCGGGGTTGCTTCCAGCTGGCTCGCTGGGGCTGGAAAATGGAAGCGGAGCAGAGAGGCCTAGGTTGGGGCAGGACGAAGACACAACAAGGATGCTGTGTATCTTCGCCGCGTGCTTGCAAGACGCAAGCCTTGGTAATCTTTCCAACCCGTTCCGCTCCATCCTCACCTGCGTGCCATGCATGTACCAGCCAGCCGCAGGTCACGTCTCCGACTCACCGACACGGTGAAGCGGTCCTCGAAGATGATGTTGGAACGCTCGTCCATCGTGGGCTAAATCTCGTGGGCGGGGAGGTAGGGGATGAGGTGGATGGGGATTTGGGTCTAGTCGAGAGCTTGCACGCGGGTAGATGCAGGCCTAGCGAGAGGTGTTTTGTGGGCGCGATGTAGAGTGGATGTTGTTGGAGATGGATTGCACGCTTTACTGTACATGAGCAAACAGATCACAGAGCTGGTCGATTGAAATCTGGCCTGCGGAAATTGATTACGTAAATCGTTCCTGTGCTACAACGACATTTACCACCTGGCTGTTGAGCGTTGAGCCGCTGTCGCCATGTGTGACAGCGAATTCAGCTCCTCTGCTCAAAAGTAACACGTCTCATTTGGTATACAGACGTACAGACACCGCTTGTTAACACACACACACGCCACTACAAAAGCTGAAACGTCACATGCTTTTTAAGACACAGACAGTGTTGACCACGGTCAGTTCGACCTGGTGTCCGTCCTTCTCAAGAGACCTACGCATCCCAGAAGGGCTCGCGGTCCTCACAGTCATCGTACATCGTCTTGCTTGGGGATTGGGACGCGGTGGGGGCGCGTCGTCGAACCGCTTGGGAGTTGCAAGCCCTTGAACTCATCATAGTTGATCTTCTGCGCATCTGCGCTGGCGGCCTCCCTCTCCTCGACCGACATCTTCTCCAGCTCCTTGCGCCTGGCCTTGAAGTCGTAGCCAGCACCCCAAAGGGGCAGCTTTGACGCGCCTGGGTAGAGCTTGAGGTAGCGGTCCACCTCGCACGCCATGACCATTGCGTCCTGCTCTGGTCGTCGAGCTCGCCGCCGTCTTGGGGCAAGTTGAGGGCGGCCCATGTTGATGCCGAGACGTACGCGGACACTTGCACGGACTCGGGTTGCTCATCGAGTGGGCCACCCTGGGCAAACTTGTCCACGGAGGGGTTGCTCTCGTCGGCGGGCTTGGGGCCGTACGCGTGCAGGAGGTCCGAGTTTGAGAGCGGGAGAGGAGGAGGAGGCATGTCCTCTGGCTTGTCCTCGGGCTTGACTGGGAGGGGGTGGGACATGTTGTGGGTGTGGTGATGTTGGAGGTGCGTGAGAGAGGAAGAGTGGGTTGATGGAATGGGAGTTGTGAGAGAAACGACGTGTTGATGTTTGTGGCCGCGCCAGCAAGCTGCAAGGGCGCAGGCCTTTCTGCGCGGTGTGTGTGGCGCCCCCGACTGTCAAACACACGTCAACACGTCAACATGCTTGTCTTCCTTCCATCCATCCATCTTCCTTCCTGCACAGCACTCATCCAATCCACCTCCGGCCTCGGTTACCACACCAGCCCCCACCGCTCCAAGCTGGTTGCGCACCGACTGGTCCGAGACCTCGTTTCCACTGCCCGTGTTCCACGGCTCGTTCTACGCTGGCAGCCAAATGGAGTGGGCGGCCAAGAATGCCACAGTTGCTATCCATGACGGCGCATGGGGCGTCATCGTTGACAAGACCTATGCCGTGTACCTTGCTGTCTGCGATTTGGTGCTGCAACGGTACGTGACAGCTACTTCCGCACTCTAATCCAGTTTGGCCCCAGCTGACCATCACGGGAAAGACAAGGCCCACCTCAAAGACAATGGCGCCTTTGATCTTCCGTATTGGCCTCAGTGGAAGGCGGATCGAGAGCAGGACATTCACGAGGTGTTTGGCTGGGTAAGTCTTGTCGCCGTACCACCGGCTTACAGCAGGCGCGCCGCGACCTTGAGTGCCACTCGGGCACCCTCAACTACGACCACGCACGACGGCTGTGTTGGAGGGCGCTGTACGCCGTATTCTGGGAGGGCTACGATGCCGAGGATGGCCCACCACCGACCGAGCGAGTCGTCCCAGTCCACCTCACCGCCCTCGGCCAGTTCGCAGTCAACCCCGCCAACCTCGAACGCTATGGCCTGCCCATCTACCAAGCAGCCGCATTCGACGAGGTCGACGACCGTGCAGTCAACAGTAGCGTTCGAGACTAGCCCGCTCCGCAAGACTCGCTCAATAAAGCTTTCCGTGGCAAGGGACTGCGCACTTTCGGTCTTCCCGCCTGGCTATCGTGCCCCACGCCTGACTGTGCCCAGCGACGGCTGGAAGGAGGTTGAGCAGCAAGCAACCCTTATGTTGTAAATTCAAGCCTCGAGTTTGAGTGGCCGGAAGGTGTGAGCTTTGCAGCTGACGCTCTGCAGGCAGTTGTTGGCATGTTGCGTACCAATTGTACATATGTATTGTATGACCTGTGCTGTTTGCACTAGAGCTTGCCAGACCCCAAGCTCGCGCTCGTGTGCCCCAGTCGCACCTGCCAGTGCGCCTCAATACTCTCTAACCTCCAACGTGCATTCTCAGATCTCAGACGGGCCGTTGGGCTATCGGACAACCTGGATATCGCTGTTCTACGTATCGACACCATCATGCCAACGTTTCCCTTCGGTGCTGCAGTATGCGGCCGCTAGCTCCACCAAGCCCCCCTCACCGGCTTGAGTGTTCGTGAGCGTGGGTGGGTCAATGCCGTCAATGTCAGGTTGCCGGTCCCGTCGGTCAAGTGCTCGATGTCCCATCTGGGACGCAAGATGGTCGCACATAAATGCGGAGGAGAGGAGGGTATCTAACTCGGACTACTCGTGCTCCGCGCTACTCATACATGTAGCGCTCTTTCAAGCTGGAGTTTGTAGCTACTCGGTACAAACCACAAGCTTGGGCCGAGACGTGGTCCCAGACAGGAAAGGAGTAGCGAATTTTGAAATATAATGAAACAGCGAGAAGCGGATCCCGGCGTGGTGGGTACCATGTTGTTGGAGATGGATTGCACGCTTTACATGAGCAAACAGATCACAGATCACAAAAAACAGATCACAGATCACAGAGCTGCAACTGAAATCTGGCCCGTAAAAATTGATTACGTAAGCTGTTCCTAGCCTCCCAACATCCAACAGCAAAAGCGATTACTGCACCTGGTGACGAGGCCGCCAACAGCAAATTCAGCTCCTCTACTCAACAGTAACATATCTCATTTGGAATACAGACACCGCTTATTAACACACACGCGCCCCACTACAAAGATTGAACGGTTACATGCTTAACGACAGTGTTGACTACGGCCAGCTCAACCTTGAGCCTGGTGTGTCCGTCCCCCTCACCAGACCTATGCATCCCAGAAGGGGAGCTCGTCATCAAAGTCCTCGACAAACTCTTCGGCAGGGGCGAATGGGTCTTCTTCGCGTCCAATTCCGGAGACGTCATACTCACCCGAGAGTGGAGCGTCAACGTCCATGGAGTTGCCTTGGCCAGAGTCCCTGGTACACCGGCAGCGGGAAGGTCTTCGTCCACATCCATATCGTCCTGCTCATGGAGCGCGATGGAGTGAAGGGTGGTCGAGCCGTCTGGCCGCTTCAGTCGCATATACTTGCGATAGTCGATTGTCAAGGTCGAATTGTCTGCCCGGTCCAAGATCGACATCTTCTGCAGCTCCTTGCGCCTGGTCTTCATGTCGTAGCTGGAACCCCAAAGGGGCAGGGTTGATTCACCTGGATGGTCTTTGCGGTGGCGGTCGGCCCCCACCCATGCCACTTTGCTTCCATCCAATTTGAGCCTCGCGGGCCTCACGTACAGTACAAGTCGGGACCGGATTGGGGGAGGTTGAGGGTGGCCCAGGTCGGCGCCTCGATGTGGCCCAACACCTGCACGCTGTCGTGTGTCTCGTCAAGGTCGCGGCCCGCAGACTTCTTGACGTAAGGGTTACGCTCCTCAGCGTAGTCGAGACCGAGGCCGCGTAAGAGGTTCTGACCAGGGTACGGGTCCTCATCGTCAGCGCCCTCCCACACTGAACCACCGACCCGGGGCACAGCGTCAGCATGGGTCCGGCGAGCTTGGAACGCGACAGCGCAGGGTGGGTGTCCCAACCAGTCCTCCTCGCGTGAGAGATGTACCGTGCGATGGGGCAAGAGGCTGGCGCTCTGCATTCTGCGCATCTCGGTCTCGATCGCATTGAGGTCGGGGCGAGTGGTTCTGGAGAGAAGGCCAGCAAAGGGTGGTCGCAGGTGGGTTGGCACGTGTGAAAGTGACAGGAGGTGCTGAGGGAGCTTGTCCTTGGTCTCGGGCTGAGGGCGGGGAGTGGGAGAACGCCAGTCGTCGGCACGCGCCATAGCGGCGGTGTAGGCTGGCGTCGCCATACTCGCTTGACGGTTCTCCTCATAGTCCACTTTTTTGATGAGTCTCCAGCCATTGCCCGTTACTGCCGTGTAATAGGTGACTGCCATTTCGACCTGGCGCGCACCAATCGCGTACACGGCCCTCTAAGGTCTGCATCAGCACTGTTGTCGAACGGGCAGTCTGCCATCACTTACCAAGGCCATGGCACGCCTGCAGTCCTCCATGTCGTGGAAGAACACGGTAACGATCGTTTAAGCGCCGATGTCGCCCAGAAAAACAGCTTCCTGATTTGGTGGTTCAGCAACCTAGTCATGTGGGGTGCTCTAGTGCTCACAATCTGACCACAGGATTCGAGCTCATGGTACATCCATCGCGCCGGGGCTTCGCGATCGGTCGGGTCAAAGCCATTCTTGAGAACGCAAGCGCAGAGGCCGTACTGGCTGTACGCGCGCGCAGATGTAACCCAAGTGCGTGACGCATCAAACCATTCAAACCTCTCCCAGTGGGACCGGAGGAGGCCGGAGAGGTTGTCGATATGGCAGTAGTTAGCGCGCACTGTTGAAGTCAGCCGCCGCTCCCAGGACCAACCGCCACCAACATGACCAGACTTACCGACCATGTTGCTGAGCGGGAGAGGTTGAGGAAGCTTGCCCTCGAGCTTGGCTGGGAGGGGGTGGGACATGTTGTGAGTGTGGTACTGATGGAATGGCGAGTCTGTGATCCGTGAGAAAGCGACGCATGTGTATGGGAATTTGTGTGCCCGCGACGCGGTGATCGCAGGTGAGGGGCGCAGGCCTTTCTGCGCGGTGTGTGTGGCGGACGTGGTGGGCGACGGTCGAAACACACAGACGTCAACTCCACGTCACCTTCTTCCTTCCCTCCATCCTTCCTTCCCTCCATCCTTCCATCCCTCCATCCTCCCACCCTCACTCATCCTACCACATCAAACCTCAGTCATGACGTATGTGCACAGCTCTGGGGCATAGCGACGAACGTCCACTGACTCGCTGTCCAGGACCCAGCGCGACGACTCGACGTTTGCTGTCAAGCTTACCGTGTCGCAATACCTCGAGTTACAAGTGAGACGATGCCTTGACATTGCTGACTCCGCAGAAAGGGCCAGTTAACCACTTTGCAAGTGCAGCGGCCGGCACGGACGTTTACCGGTCCGAGCGGTACACCCAGCTCCTTAACGAACGTTTGTCTCTCCCGGCCTCCCAACGCGAGCCCCTCCAGCACTTTATCAATTCAGTGAGCCATCAGGACAACGTGGTTTCATTTCCACCGCGCTAACAACCAGGTGCATGCCCACACTGCGGTCATTGTGTCCCTTGCCAACTGGTGCTGGCAAAACTACACAGTAAGTTTGGGAACGGATGCTACGTGGCGCACACAGAACTCACGTCGTAGGCTCACCCAGGTGCTAATGTGGATGCTCTGGGTTAACGGCAATGATGGCAAGGTCTGCATCACCAAGCCCTCCCTTCTCGCCGCCGACAGCACTGCCGAGCGACTGGCAGACGAGCTGGATGTCAAGGTGGGCGCAGAGGTCGTCGGCATCATGCGCCCTGGACGCATTATGATGCCCAAGGTCCCGTGCCCGTGCCGGCTTGTCGTCGTTACAGACGGCCTCCTCCTGCGGCTCATCCTCGACCCCAAGTTCATGGAGAGCCTCAAGATCATTGTCCTTGACGAGGTTCACGAGCGCACGGTCAACCTCGACTTGCTGGTGGCACTGCTTCCTTTCGTGAGCCAACCCACCCCACCACTGTCCACCCTGACGTTCAGGTCCTCCGCCGCCGCCCCGATGTCCGTGTGGTCGTCATGTCCGCCACCGCCAACATTGAAGCCTTCCGCAGCTACCTCGCGGACAAGTGCTCGCTCCCAACTGGGATCGTTAAGCTCGATGGCGCCCCCAAGGACATTGTCCGCATCTACATCGACAAGCCGGTCCAGTTCTACGACGTCTGGGTCGTCAAGATGCTGTATAAGCTTCTTGGCGACCCCGGACTCGGCGACGTCCTCGTCTTCTGCCCTGGTGTACCCGAGATCCGCCAAGTTCATGAACGTCTTAGGACCATGGCCCATGACAGGCCTGACCGTTGCCGCTTCCTGGACGTCGTTGAACTTTACCGCGACTCGCCCGACATGCTCGCCAACACCCTCCAGAAGATGAAGCACGTCGACATGGACGGCTACCGCTACTCCGTGCGCAGGGTTATCCTGTGTACCAACATTGCCGAGACGTCGTTGACTTTCGATGACCTCACCCATGTCATCGAATGTGGCTACTACAAGCGTCCACTGTTTTCTGCTGTCACTGGCACCTACATGACCGAGACGCTCAAATGCGATCAGGCTCAGATCTTACAGCGAGTTGGTCGCGTGGGACGCAAGACGAGGGGCATCGTCCTGCATGCCTACACCGAGGATGAGTGCCGCGACAGGCCAGCTCACGCCGAGGTCGACACCATCACCCGTGTAGACTTTGACGCGCCATTGTTCACGGTCCTCACCCACCCCCTCGTGCGCAACGACAACGTTGGCATTGAGCAGCTCCAATGGATCAGTGAGCTCTAGCCGTCCATGTTAATAGCTGACCCGTAGCCTCGCCCTTGCACCGCCAGGTATCCCTTTCACTGGTCAACCTCCGTGCCCTCCGCCTCATTGACTTGGAGTCCCTGCAGCCCACTGAAGAGGGATTTCAGGCATTTGAGCTGAAGCTCGAGCCGGCCGTAGGTCCCTGCCCAACTACCACGGAGCTGATTTTAGATTACACGCATGTTCCTCGACGCCGAGGCTAAGCCCGACCATGCGTGGGAGATACTCCTCCTCGCTGCCATCTTGCAGAACAGCGAGGGTATCAAGGACATGTCGGAAACGCCGTACACGCGTCAGGAGCAGGTTCTCCTGCCTCTGCAGCACAAGCTTGGCGACCACCTGTCACTTCTCAACATTGTTGCAAGGTGGCTGCAGTCCCGCGCCTGCGCGCGCGAATCCGAGTTCACGCGCAAGTACGGCCTGCGCATGAGGGCGATGTTGGCGATTGAGCGACGTTTCACCGATCTCAGGGACCTCTGGAGGGGTGAGTGGTACCTCTATTACGCATGTTGCTGACGGTAAAGCTCGCGGCCATGGCCAACTCGTCACACATGACCTCCTCGACACCAGGCCGCCTAGGGATGTTGTCCTCCTTTCGACCATCGTGCGCGCATTCCCGTTCAATGTTGCGTGGCGCTCAGGGGAGGACAAGTACCGCGACGTCAACTTTGAGCGCGATCACCACTTGGCACATGTGTGTTGTCCCAGTCAGAAACATCAGATTAGAGCTGATGAACCCAGGACTTCGTCAAGGGTCGTGAAACATTCCTGGACCGAGACTCGTACCCCCCGTATATTCTGTACGGACGAGTGAGTCGCGAAGCAGGGGTACATATGTACTGACGTTAGCTCCGCTGCAGGGCCAAGGCAAATGGCGAGCAGGACACGCAGACGAACCAGATGGAGATCATGAGCATCATCCCAAGGGAGGTCCTCGAATACGTGCTTCCCAGCGGCACCGACGTGCGCCACCGCATCCCCTGGGCGGTGCCATTCACCCAGTGAGTCGAGCGAGTGTCACTGAAGGCCAAGGTGTCGACCATTCCCTGTCGCAGCCACAGCGTCCTCCTGGAATCGACATGGACCTCGACCTCAACAGTATTTATTACGTTTCAAAATCCACCATTCCTTTCCTGTCCGGTTCAGTATCCCGGCGCATATGTGTATTGGTTTGAGGGCGTATAGAAAAGGGTGGAGAGGGTGACGGAGAGATATTAGACAACATGAGATGTTACGTACCGACGTGCCAAGTTCTCGCTCCTGTGTTGATGTGTTTCAAGTTTGTACAGAGCACTGTGGGAGACGAACGCACAGATGCGAGACCTCAGCATCTTGATGACAACATCGATCCGTAACCCCACAAGAATTTCGTACTGTCAACGCTGACGAGTTCAGTAAAGAACATGTGCAGGCACCAGTTGGTGGCACGCGGGCGGAGGGAAAGCTTCCTCACAGGTAGGTTGCGTTCTCTCACAGATGACTGCAGAGTGGTGGGCTTTTGCTCAGACTATTGGTGCAAAGCGCTGCTCATATATGTAGCTTTGCTCAAGCTGCTTCATGCAAGGAGATACATCAAATAACAATGATGTGCCGGGGTACTGAACCGGACAGAAAAGGAATGGTGGATTTTGAAACATAAAAAAAAGCAAGAACGAGTCCTTGCGTGGTGCATCATACCTGGGCAGTCAGCTCACAACAAGGGTACTCACGAGTAGACAGCGAGTCGCAAAGCGTTCAAGGGTGGAACTTTGCGATGTGCTTCTGGAGGTCCTGGAGGTTGGCGTAGGACTTGTTGCAGTACTCGCAGTCGTGGCGGACGCCCTCGTGCTTGCTCTTGACGTGGCCTTCAAGGTGTGCCTTGGTCTTGTAGTCCGCGGTACACTGGTCGCACTTGAACGGCCTGCCCGAGTGGACCCCCTTGTTGTGAGCCTTGAGGCGTTCTGCCGTCGCAAATCACTCGTCGCACTGGTTGCACGCAGAGGTCGCCGTCGACCCAACGACGGCCGGTGACGGCGCGACCTTGGACACGCCGCGAGCGCCGTGGAGGCGGGCGTGGGCGAGTGAGCCCGGGACGAGGTTAGGGGCCTTGGGCTTGGCCTTGAGCTTGTCCTTGCGGACGCGCGGGGTGGCGGCGTTGCCACCAGGAGAAGGGGAGCCGAGGTAAGATCCACGGCGAGGAGGGGTGCGCACCGTCCTCAGCACCGCGAACGACGAGGGGACGGAAGGGATGGCAGCGGCGGGCGGCGTGTTGCCCTTGAGGAACTTGGCCGCGCTGACCTTGCGGCCAGCGACGACCCACTTGCCGCTCGCAGCAGCAATGACCTGTATGTGAGCGTCCTTTCTTCCTTTCTTGCGTCCGCCCCCAGCTTCACTCACCTTGTCGGCCTTGCGCTGCGCAGCGCGGGCCTTGGCGGCGCGCTTGCGCGCGCGGCGGTTGGCTTCGGCCTCAGCCTTGGCCTCGGCCTCCTTGAGGTCCTTCTCGAGCTGGATGCGCTCGAGGATGACGGCAGGGATGGGAGTCTTCGTGTCGTCCTCCTTGATGTGGAGCTTGTTCCTGTTCAGCTAGTAACCCGGCAGCTGCTACTCACGACGACGGGCTTGGGGGCGGTCACGGGGACCGGGGTCTTGGCCTTGACAGCCTTGATGTTGATGCCACCACGAGTCGTCTGCCATCAGTGGGATGTTGTTGGAGAGGAGAAGGAAACAGGGAGGGCAACTCACGGCGGCAACGGGGGAGAGGAGGGCAGCAGTGTATGTCTTGGACACTGCGAGTCAGACTCCATCACCAGTCTTGTGCTCACTGTCTTGATTCTGGTTGTTTTAGTTATGTATAAAGCCTAGACAAGCTGTGTTTCCGATATGGATGAGTGAAAGAGTAAGAGAGGGAAGACAAAAGATGCAGATCAATATGGTACTTTAAATATGTAAATAAAAATAAATAAACGATGACGCCCCCAACGCCCCCCTTCCCCGGACCCGCTGGTCTCCTCGTCTCCCCATCCACCCTCGTCTGGCCTACAGCCTGGCCCAGATTACAACAATAGCACCCGCGTCGCCTCACGGTGGTTCGCTTGCTTCACATGCCACACACACAGTGCGAGTGATCGCGATCGATTGGACAGCTGAGGCCTGCCACTGTGCCGTAGCAGCCGGCTAATTTGCTGCTGCTGGCAGCTGGGAAGGTAAGGCAGACATGCACAGCAGGTTGGTAGTGGGTGAAAAATACAGACCGCAAAGTGCAAGTGAGGGGGGCACGTCTCGGAACGGGTTGGGGTCATCAGTATCGGTATATCATTATCGACTCAAGAGGCCACAGATCACAGATATTGTCCTCGGTTGTCTTCGGAATGAGCCCAGTCTTTATCGCTTGGACACCCAGATGCGCCGCCCTCGTACGTGTGTACGGAAAACAGGCCGCATGTTGAAGGCTCTCAGACCAATACATTTCCACTTTGTTGCGCAAGACATAACAACGACCTGAAGCGGGACGAACACGACCATGGTGACGAAGCAACGTATCCCATTAGTCAACACGGACTGTGGTCATTAGCTTGTGGATTAGCATACAGCTGGCCGGGCGGTGACTTGCTTTCCTAATACTTCCGGACATATTACGTAATTCGTTTTTTTCTCCAGAACACCGGGATTGTCGTCTCCATCTCCTTCGACCACTTGACTCAACAACATCTCCATCCCTCCAACACCTTCTCCAACACCTCCTATCCTAGCCAAAATGAGCCACGCCGACCACTCGCGCGACCCCTGGTGCGTAGCGCGAGACCTACAGCCGGTCGGCAAATTCCCGGGCCAACTTGGTGGTCCACCGGCCGGCGTCCTTCTCCAACTCCGACTTGAGTCGCTGACCTCGAACAGTCCCTTCGTTATCCTCAATGACTTCGGCGGTGCCTTTAGTATGGGCGCGATTGGCGGAGGGGTGTGGCACGGCATTAAAGGAGCCAGAAACAGCCCTCGCGTGAGTAGACGAGTGGAAGGGAGGTGGTGGTGATGATGAAGAAGGTGGAGACCGGACATCGGAGATTGTCCGGCGCCTGGAATCCTCCTTTCCTCCCCCATACACGCCCTGAACCTCTTTACAGCTATCCATTGCTGACATAGTACCCTAGGGCGAGCGTCTCGTCGGCTCGATCTCAGCTATCAAGGCGCGTGCCCCCATCCTCGGCGGTAACTTTGGTGTCTGGGGTGGTCTGTTCTCGTCGTTTGACTGCGCCATCAAGGGATACAGGCAGAAGGAGGACCCATGGAACGCCATCATGGCCGGTTTCTGCACTGGCGGCTCCCTCGCTCTGCGATGTAAGTAGACTGGGCGAGGTTGGACGACGGCGGCGGCGACGGTGGCGAGCGGCGGCGGGGGTTGTCAAACTTGTTGTTCCGAGCCGCTCTTTCGCCGTCCTTGTGCGACACAGAACGCCTTTTTAGCTGACCATCCCTCCAGCTGGCCCCAAGTCTGCCCTCACCTCTGCCATCGGCTGTGGTGTCCTTCTCGGTGTGTTCGAGGGTGTCGGTGTCGTGATGTCGCGCATGTTCGCCCAGCCCGTGCCCGCCATGCAATGTGAGTTGGCCCACCCCAGCGGCAAGAGACCTTTCACTGACGACCTTGCTCCAGTGCCCGAGGCCGCCCCCGCGCCTGCTCTCGCCTAGACGTTGTGTGCTCTACCCGTCCTAGTGGTTTGCGTCTTGTATATTCCCCTCCCTCTTTTTTGCATGACGCGCGCCTGTATCTGTTCCATATACACTTCTCTGCATGCATCGTTCGTTCGGTGGACAGGGGGTGGTTGCGGTCGTCGGCCGCGATTGCCGAAAAGACTCGTCATCTTTGGCGCGGGGTCAGGCGTGCGGGGGTGGAGGGCGACGACGACGGAGCCATGTTACTCGCAATATATGTTGGACAGGTGACTGACTCTGAACAACTCTCGTTGTCCACCACCCGCTTGCCACTGCACTCCACCACCAACCATGCTCAGGCCAGCCCTTCTCCTCCGACGCGCCGCCGCACCGGCTGCTACGCGCGTCGCGGCCCCGCTCGCACCAGCAGCTCGATACACCCCCGCCCGCTCCGTCCGCTCCGTCTCGTCCAGCACAACGCCAAAGCGCGCATGTCCCGCTTGCGGCGCCGCAATCCCCATCCCAGCGTCCCCCTGCCCGTCGTGCGCTGCCCTCGTCGCCATCCCACAGGGCCTGTCGCTGCACTCGCTCCTGGACGTGTCCGAGCCCGTGCCGGGCCAACCTGGGGCCGAGGCATGGGACATCCCCGCCGAGCTCGCCACTCTGCCGGCACACGGGTACGACCTGCATGCGCGCGACCTGCGGAACCGCATGCTCAAGCGACAGGCGGCGCTGCATCCCGACCGACACAACGGCGCCGACCTCGCGGCCACGTTGAGTGCGCGCGTCAACAAGGCGTACGAGACGCTCGCCGACCCATTGCGCCGTTCAGAGTATATCGTGAGTGGAGTGTCTCCACCTCTTTGCGGTTGGGGTTTTTAGGTGTGCATTTACCTGACGGCCCCAGCTCAAGCAGTATGGAAAGGACGTCAAGGAGCAGGAGGGCGTGCAGGATCACGACCTCTTGATGGAGATTCTCGAGGCGCGCGAGACGCTCGAGGAGGCGAGCGACGCTGAGGAGATTGAGGAGATCCGGGACGAGAACCACGGTGAGTCGAGCGTCGTGCAGCGTCAACGAGGCCGACGGGGTGTGTGCCCGCACACGGTATAGCTACTTGACGAGTGTAATCAGCTGTCGTGCATGGCAAGCACGTCCACGCTCGTCGGCGACTGTGGCCGCTTCCCGACCTTCCTCACTGCCTCGTCGAATGTCCGCTGACACCCCCCCAGCCAAGGTCGTCGCTCTCGTCAAGCGCATTACGGCCGCATTCTCCCAGGACCCTCCCGACGTCGACGAGGCCAAGGCCCTCACCGTTGAGCTCAAGTACTGGATCGGCCTGGAGAACGCCGCCCGGGAGAAGCTGTAGCCAGGAAGGCGCCCATCTAACATGTATCCCCTCCCTCATAGCAGACCAGACCACTGTGACAACCCAATACAATTCATCATCTGGATCCTACTCTGCAGCGTACAGCGCCCACTCGTCCCGCACCCCGGGCATGTCGAGGCTCTTGTCCCCTTCCTCGGAGAACCACACGCGGCGGAGACGGCAGTTGGCGTAGATCCGCACGTAGGCGGTATACGCGAGGCCGCCCTCTGGCAGTCTGCTCCTGTCTGCCGGCCGCCGTGCTGGACGTGGTGGTGGGCGTCGGCGTCGTTTCCTGCTGCCGTGCTCGTCGTCATTGTCGTCGCTGTCGCTGGCGGCCGGTGGGGCGGCCGGAAGCGAGCGGAAGAGGGCGACGAGGGACGTGAGGTGGAGGCCCGTCTCGGCCCAGTCGGTCACCTTGTGCGTGTCGGCGGGTAACGCCAGTGGGAGGTGTACGAGTGGGGGTTCGCGCTCGGCGTAGAGTGTCGGCTCGGTCTGTCGTCTGTCAGCAAGTGGGTGTAGGTGTACAAGGCCACCCACCTTGTGCGAGCTCAGGCGCACGACACCCACGCGCCCTCGCGCGTCTACTAGTCCAAGCTCGATGGTCACGCGCCGCCGCACACCGAGTGGTTTGAACTGGATCCCAAACCATGGCAGCTCGATACCTAGGGTAGATGCTGAAGGCGGCAGGTCGCCAGCCTGGATCCATGTGTCTGGCCTGGGCGACTGGATGTGGACCACGCGGGAAGCGAGCGAGCCCGTCTGCGCATGCTTTGGGACATGGACGGAGGCGGTACTTGGCTTCACACTGGTTCCAGCCGCTGCAGACCGTGGAGGCCGGCTTGGCCCAGCCTCGGCGGTTGCTGGGTACGCCGTGTCATCTAGAACGTCGACAAAGCTCTCGTCTCGCCGTCCCTCGTGTTTCCGCCAGAGGGCAAGTGGTGGTTCCGACTCGGAGTTGAGGAGCGTGAGGAGTGACGGCTGCATGTTAGGGTAGGTGTATGAAGCTGCTTCGAACCTACCTGGACGGCACCGATGAGGAGGTTCATGGAGGGATGGTGGGTGGATGGCAAGTGCTGAGGGTGGACTTTGGCGGTGGAGGTTGTCACAACAAGGGCGATGAGTGGCACCACTGGGCGGGTGAACGGCAGGTGTCGGCTTTCACTGCGACCATCTCAACAATGCTTATGCACGAGATGGACCAACTGACGATACGCATGGTCCTCGCCGGTCGCTTCTCTGCATGCATGTACCATTCGTCTCGCCTGCACCGTATGCACCACAGCACCTTCCCTCTCCTCTCTGCCCCCACTCACCGTCCGGGGTATTATCCTGGCCGATTTTTTTCCTCGCATTAATCCCATCTGGCCGTTCCGTTCGAGACTTGCTCCTCGCTTTCCCGACTTTGTTTCTGGGAGCACGGCGAAGAGGCCACAACCGACACCACATCCACATACCACTCACACCCACACCCACCATGGCCACCATGGCCGCCCTCCCCCGCCTCATGCGGTCGGTGCACACCAGCGCCGTCCGTCTCGACGCCGCCGCCGCCGCCCTCGCCATCCCCACGACCCTCACCGCCGCGCAGGCCGCCAACGCCGCCGGTCTCCCCGTCACCCGTGCCATGGCCGCGGCCGCCTCGCCGGCCCCAGTGACCTTCACCCCCAAGGGCCGTCCCGTCATCGTGCGCCCACCGCGCACCACGCGCGTCAACCTGCCCTCGGGCTTCCCCGAGCCGCTGGCGTACCCGCCCTCGAAGGAGTACTTGGACGAGGTCCGCAGGATCATGGACGACCTGCCCCCCGAGCAGGCGCACCCCCCGAGGCACCCCCTCTGGTCCTTCTTCCACGTCCCGGCCAGGAGCGCCGCGCCCCTCCGTGAAGGCGACACGATGCAGGACATGGGAAGCGTGGAGCGTTTGGGCGACGAGGGAACCTCAAAGTCGGGTGAGTTGAGAGAAGGAGGGCAGAAGGAGGCGGCGTGAAAGAGGAGGGGTTTGGGGTGGTGGATCTTCCTGGCCTCGTGAAGCAACTTGCAGGGGCTTGAGCTGGAGCCTACGCGATGCGCGGGGCGATGAATGGCGCCAGTTGCTGCTCAGCGTGTGACCGTCAGACGTGGGCGCTCGTGGACAGTAATGTCCGGCTGTACCGAGTACTACCAGGCGCGTCACAAGACGATTCCCGTGGTGCGGCATCTTGCCTCTCTGTCCCTCTCCGACAAGCAAGACTATGTCTCCCCACACACACCCAACTTGTCTCTTTGCGCTCTGTTTTTTTTTTTTCTTCATGACGCTGGACGGCGCTGACATTTCCCAGGTCGCTCGTGGCGTGCCTCCGAGCTGCGTCGAAAGTCGTTTGAGGACCTGCACACCTTGTGGTATGTGCTCCTCCGTGAGCGCAACGTTATGGCGACGCAGAAGGACGAGCGCCGCAGGCTCCAGATCATCTCGAGCTACGGTGGTCCCGTGATCGCGAAGCGTGCTATGCGTGTAAGTACGACGAAGAGAGGCGGCAAATGTTGGGGGCCGTGAGGGAGAGGTGCTTTGGCGTTGCGGCTGTGGCTGTCCAGTTCGCGCCAGCCGCTTGACGCGCACACCTCTTGCCTGCTTTACCCACCCCCTTACGCCAGACAGGCCCACAGCTCTGTACTTTCTGGACACCCGAGCTGACATGTCCCGCAGTGCCGCAAATCCATGGCCCGCATCAAGGCCACGATCAACGAACGCCGCCTGGCCATCGCCGCCGCCGCCGCGCCCACCAAGGCGCCGTACGTGCACGTTCCCGGCCCCGTCCCGGGCTACCTCGACGAGTCGGCGTACATTGACACGTCGATTGTGGGCGTCGACGTCGCGCCGCTGCTGAAGCAGCTGGCCAACCTCCCCAAGGCCCGGGGCCGCACGGCGTCCACGAAGCCCAACACGGCCCGGTCGGAGCGCGACGAGGCGAGGAGGAGGCGCACCGCCAAGATTGTGGCCCACCACCGCGCCATGGTCGAGAAGCGCGCGGCCTACCGCGCCGCCAACCCCGAAAAGGTCGCGGCCCAGCGCGCTGAGCGCCGCGACGCCCGCCAGGCTGTCAAGCTCTCGTTGCTGTCGCCCGAGGACATTAAGCGCAAAGAGGCGCGCAGGGCCGTCATTGGACAGGCCATGAAGGAGGCCCACGCCGTCCAAAAGAAGGTCCAGGACGCGGCCGCCGTCAAGGCTGCCCAGAGCGCTGCGCAGGCCAAGGCGGCCTGGAAGGCCAAGGACGCAAAGAGGAAGGCGCAGAGGGACGCCCACAGGGCCCAGAAGTTTGGGCAGAGCAAGCCTGTCGAGGCTTAGAGATGGGGAGTAGGCGTATGCATTGCACGGTTCACATTCAGCGCGCGCGGGTGGGGGGCTGCAGGTGGTTGGTTGGGACGGGTGAGACGGGTGGGACAGGTGATGGGCCAGGAGGTTGGTCACACGAGCAGGCCACAGCGGGCCCGTCTGTGGATTGGCGTTGCCACACGCCCACCCACTGACACACTAACTAGCACAGAGAGACATGCCACTGTCCCCACTTCTTGTTCACACGTGCATCTGTCACTGTGCGACGCGTTCACTCACGTTCGCTCGCACATGACCTCCCATCTCTGGCATCGTTCACACTCAAATCAGTCACTCTCCGCCGACCACCTCGGCACCACCTGGGTCCTTCGTTTCCTTCGTTTCCTTCGGTTTGGTTGGGGTACTGCTACTCTTGCATGCAGGCTACATATTTTTGCCGGCGCCTCGGCGCGGGTCATGTGGGCTCTGGGCCAATCCTTGCTCAGGCTTTCCTGCGCGCAATTACGGGGTGTTGTCGTCGTCGTCTCTCACGATCGCTCACGCCTCATGTACGTCTCCCGCCTACGCCTACGCCTACGCCTACGCCTGCACGTCTCACGCGTCTCACGTCTCTCACGCCTCGGTCTTGTCCTCTGCGGATGCAGCTGCGGGCTCAGCTGTCGTGGTCGGGACGGGTTCCGCTGCAGTCTCGTCGGTGGGCTCTACCGTCGGCTCAACCGCGGGCTTGGCAGCAGGCTCGGAAGCGTTCGCTGGAGCGGCCTCTGGCGCGGCTGCAGGTTCGGCCGCGTGATCGGCAGCGGGGGGCGTGTCCTTACCATCGGTGCCGTTGGGCTTGGAACCTTCCTCGGTCCTCCTAATCGACCCGTACTGCCTGTCAGCTGATGATGCTTACGGTGCAAACTCACGTCGTTTGCCAGCTTGTCTGCACGCTCCGTGATCTTGAGCTCGTCGTTGCGGGGGATGGCGGTAAGAGCCGCAATCTTCCTCATAACTGCCCCAAGTCAGCTTTACCACCCTGGGGGAGCGTTTTACGGGCCAGAGGGCCTGTCGCGCATCTGTTGTGTCCCGGGCAGCCCCGTCCAGCCCGTATTTACAGGCTGGCCCGTGGTTCTGTATCCCGACTCACCCTTGTCAATCTTCGAGTACTTGAGGAACTCGACGGTCATCTCGGTGTAGGTCTCAATAGCCTTGAAAAGTTCGTCAAAGTTGTCCATTTCGCTAGCTGCCGGCAATCCCTTGCTGAGGAATGCCCTCTGCAGCTTGTGACGCCAGTCCTTGACACGGACAGCCTCCTTGTTGTTCGCCATGGGGTCTGCTGTCAGTTGACCGCAAATGCCACGCAACTCACCATCGTCCACAGGCGCCGCAGGCTCGGCCTCGCTCTCTGGCTTGGGCTTCTCGGCCTTGGCGGCCTTGGGCTGCTTGGGCTTGTCGTCGGCCTGGCGAGTCAGCATCCGGTCCCGCTCAACCGAGATTCGACCCACCTTCTTGGTCGTTTTGGCCTTCTTGGTCTCCTTCTTGGGTGCCGGTGGGGCGCGCTTCCTCTTGCCCTGGGTGGCACCCTCTTCCTCCTCCTCGAGCTCATCCACATCCTCGTCGGCGTCGGCCTCCTCGAGGGCCCTGCGCTTGTCGGCCTGGTGCGCGTCCCACTCTGTGGGGTCCTGGGCGGTCATGTACGCCTCGCGGAGCGCGCCGGCCGACTTGCGGTGGGGTTCGCGGATGTACGCCTCGATCTGGTGCGCCTTCAGAGGGGTAATGTCCTTGTTCGCCAACCACGAGCTGGGGGGTAGTCAGTACGAGGCGCTCAGAGGAAGATTCTGGGGTGGATGGGGGTGGATGGCACGCACAAGTCACCGGCGGGGAAGAACTGGGTGCAGTATGACGCCGAGGACTTGGGCCTCTGGGCGAGGACGTTGGCGGGGAGGTCATCGGGGGCAGTGATCTGGACATTAGCATCGACCTTTGACTATTTCGAGGTAGAACGCACCCTCGCAGCTGTGGATGTCAGCAACCATTTCACCGATTTTCTCCATCACGGGCTCCCACGGAGGGGGGTTGCCTGGTACTCACGCCAAGGAGGGTAGCCTCGGAGACGAGCCAGGACAATGTCGCCGTACTCAAACTTGATGTCCTCGGCGGGGGCCTTCTTGGCACCGACGCTGGTGCGGCCCTTGGCTCCGGCCTTTCCCTTTGGCTTGGTGGTGACCTCGTGGTCGTCGATGCCGGCGTCCTCCACGATGGGCGCCTTGTCGCCGTCCTCGGACATGGCTGCGGCTGCCGCATGCATCAGTAACTGGGTGAGGCTGCAAGGCTGGGCTAGCCAGGAGGTGGGAGAGGGGATGGCGTACCTGAGGTGGGGAGGGTGATGGATGAGATGGGGGGGATGCACGCGCGTGTGGATGTCGCGCGTGTAGAACAGAATGTGTTGTTGACAATTGACGCGGGGGTGGAGTGCGGGGGGAAGGTGTGCGACGCGTCTGTTTAGCTTGCGGGGCGCTGCGGTGTGAGTGTGAGTGAGTGTTAGAGGCTGGTGTGTGGGAGGAGTGTGTAAGCGTACAGAGTGGGAGGTGTTTGTTTTGAGGGGCGAGAGGGGGTACGATGGGTGGATGGAAGTGGGCGGAAGTGGGTGGATGTGGGAGGAGGGAAGGGTGGTGGTTGGGTGGTGTTGTTGAAAGGACATGTCAATGACCCAACCGGGCAGGCCGCTGGGCGCGCAATCGCTCGCTGGCTGGGCCGCCCCGCCCACCGTACGGCCGCCACGGACTCGGCGTTTTAGGGAATTATCCCGGGGAGGGGTTGGCCAGATGATCGCTTATGACGTCAACGCGTCCTGCTTGCGGCCAACTATATGAGCACACGAGAGGCAGAACGCCTCAAGTCTGTGCATATTTGGGACACTGGCGCACATTTGATCCCGCCCCTCTAGGCATTTGATTCCGTGGCCGCTATCAACGGGACATGGCGGGCCTATAATGTTGCCCGCCTTACTTTGGAAATAGGCGCAATGTCTCCTGCTGGCCACCCAACGGCTGCTGTCAGTCACGTCAGTGGGCGGGCCATCGCCGGTTGCTCTCTCCGTCTTGACCACCACCACCACCTCGCTCACTCACCATGGTGCGCCTCTCCCCCATCATCGGCGCCTCCTCCGCCCTCCTCTTTGCGTCCTCGGCAGCCGCTTTCCGTGACACCTCCCCTCTCCTCGCTTGGTCGTCTACTCCGTAAGCACCAGCACCCCCGGGGGAGCACACACATATCTCCCGTCGCGTCATCGACTCACTACTAACCGCGGATGTCATACAGCAACGAGGCCCTCAACGAGGCTTCCTCCGAGGTCACAACCGGTGCCATTGCCGCTGATGCCGTCTTTGGCTCGCTCCCCAGCGTTGGCTGTGACTGGGATGTCGTGATGGTCGTGCACATGGACGAGGTGAGTCTGCTCTGTGTGTAAACGCGCGATCCGCTATCGTTGCAACGAGCGCAGCGCGCTGCAACCTTTGGCAGTCCGTGGCGCGCACCAAGTGCACCATACCATGCCTTTCATCCACTGCTCGCAAACTAGGCCAACACTGACAACGCCCAGCTGCACCAGTCCCACGTCGCCGGCCTCACCCTCCCATACGAGTCGTCCAAGGCCGACCTCCACATCCCCTTCCTCGTCCGCCCCGAGCGCAAGTCGCTCGATACCAGCGTCGAGGACTGGGCCAAGCAGTGTGGCGCCGAGCTTGTCGACGAGTACACCCCGTCCGTTACCGGCGGCCGTACGTTTGTCTACTACAACGCCGAGCACGGTGGTACGTATCTTCCCAATCTCCCAGACACACACGTTCATTTTAAGCTGATAACGCCATCACAGACGTCGCTCTCCCTTCTGGCCTCCCTGAGAAGCACCTTGTTGTGCTCGTCGGCACCCGCGACCTGACCAAGCGCCAGTTTGACGAGGAGATCCCGTTTGAGGCTGAGAACGAGGCTGAGGAGGAGGTTGCCACCGAGGCCCCCGTCAAGGTCGCTGCCCCTGGCAACGGCACCACGGCCCCCGGTAACGGCACCGATGGCTCGTACCCCGACTACTTTGACATCTTCACCACTCCCCTCATCACTGCCTTGCTCGTGTCGTTTGGCCTCCTCCTCCCCATCCTCCTGTTTGGCATCTACTCGCTTGCCGGCATCCAGGTGCCACCTCGCATGATGGAGATTGGCAAGAGCTTGTCGGTGAACAAGGACCGCAAGGACCAGTAGAGACGGACAGAGCGAGGGAGAGGGAGAGGGAGAGGGAGAGAGAGAGAGAGAGAGTGAGATCTGTGGCTTTTTTGTCATAGGTGTGTTTAATGTAGAATCGCAAAACGATGATAGACTGTTCGCGGCCTTTGCATGCCCGCCCCCAATATCCCAAAGGAACGGTGGAACGGTGAACATGACGCTGATGGGCACATGACTGGCAGGTAAATTAATAACAAGAGGGCGGAAGAAAGCGATCCCAGGTAGTACGATGACGAGACGACGAGTGTGCGATCGTAAAGGCGGTGGGCCGCTGTCCATGTGGACCTGGGTCCTTAAACTCTCTTTTTTCTTTCTTTCTTGCAACTTGGCACGTTGATTTCTGACGGCCGAAAGTTGGCAGCAGCGCAGCAGTGCGAGACGGAGCCAAGCCCTCTGATCCTTAGCATTGCTCCCTGCTCCGTCATATGGCGGATTGGGTGTGTGAGGTGGCGAGTTGCCGCCATTCCTCCGTGCCCCCCACGGTTCCATTTTGGAAGCATGCTGTGTGATGGAACTGTAAGCGAGAGAGTAGTAGTGTGTGTGTGAATGCAGAACAGAGAGAGTAGTGTGTGAGTATGACACGAGGCGGGTACCCAGGCATGGAGGCATGCAGACCAGTGTGCGATGACGAGGGTTGACATGTTGCTGCGTGACGGCACACTCCCCTTCGCTGTCAATCTTTGGCCGCCGGGTGGATAATGGTGGTGGTGGTTGTCCCTGAAAGCGTTCTGAGACCACCCCATGCCCCCCCTATTCTCAGTTCGCTTGTCCATATCTTCTCACCCAGCCCCCCCACGTTCGCACATTGTCTCTTCTTTCTCTCTCACTACAGTTCTCCCCATCACCTCTCCTGTCGCGATTCAGCTGGCCAGTGTGTGTGCATCAAACCTCATCAACAAAAACGCACCCCAGTCTGAGACGCCAACCTTGCCCCCCCTTTTCTTCCCTCCCCTCAGGTGTGTCATTGTGCGACACTCCGATCACACCGCCACGTAAAGACACCGATCTTCTTCTCTTGCATTCAGTACGTCCCCCCCGCAAGATCTCGCATTCACCACTCCCACACTCATTGACCAAGGCTCTAGCATCTCCACGCACACACACTCTCTATCTCTCCACCGTTCATCTACACTACACATTTCCTTTCCTCCAGGCGTCAAGCGTGCGCCCACGCCATCACACGCTCCGCCATCACACCTGGTCCAAAAAATCCCCGTCATGGGCCTACGTCGCTGGATGGCGCTAGCCGCCATGTCCGTCCTCGCCACCAGCGTCGCTGCTGCTGCGGCCGAGACGACACTGGCGCCCGGCACCGCGCTCTACACTGACGCAGTGACATACTGTGCAGAGCCAGTGGCCATTATCGTCGAGTCCATGGACATTGGCTATCACCGGTGAGTCATGGTGGAGGTCGGCCACCCCACCGCCCGCAGCCACCACGCACTCCCGACGGAGCAATGTTCCCACAAACTGACATTCCGCGAAGCGACAACAATTCCCTCACGTTTTCGTTTTCGTTTGCGTCCATTGAAGACAACCTCAACGTCACGGCCAACATCTACTTGAACGACTATGGCAACACGCTCGCAAATGTGACTGTTGATCTGTGCGAGTTCCTGTCAGGTGTCCTGTGTCCCCTGCCTCAGGTCAACTTTACGGGTGAGTCGAGCACGCAGCCGGGCCCAGCCACGTCCAGGGTGGGGGGTCGCGCATCGTCGTCATTGTGCACCGCTAACCACTCCACCATTTTATTTAGGCTATGGCACTTACCCTATGCCGTCCGACCTGTCGGCCAAGATCCCCAGCATTGCATGGACAGTCCCCAACCTCGAGGCATACGCGCGCGTCGAGCTCATCAACCAGGCGACCGGCGACGTCGCAGCGTGCGTCCAGGCCACGCTCTCGAATGGCTGGTCGACAAAGTACAAGGGCGTCTCGTGGGGGTCGGGCATGTTCACACTTGCGGCGGTGCTTGTGGCGCTCGGGCACGCCGTGTGGGGCAAGTCGACGTCACCAGCGTTGTATCGGTGGTTTGACGTCCTGTTCCTCTACCAGACGGCGGCCGCGGCGGGGCTCATGCACCTCAACTACCCGTTGGTGTTTAGCAACTTTGCCCAAAACTTTACCTGGGCACTGGGCCTGCTGCACTCGGCCAAGATGCAGACGAGCATCAGCAAGATGCGCGACAAGACGGGCGGACAGCTGTCGGACAGTGCATACACCGAGGTCCAGTACATTAACCGCAAGCTGTCGCCGTACAACGTCCTCACGTACAACATGACCAAGGAGCTGTCCACCACAAGCACAGCAAAGTCGTTCCTCGCCAACGTCATGACTACAAACCACGCCGACGCCGCCCACACACGCCGTGCCGCCATTCCTTCCCTCATCGACCAGCAAAGCGCGTCCGACCTGACAACCGGTATCCCGGTCTACGTCAACTCGGCCAGCATTCCGCTGGCCAACGCGTACGACACCATCTTTTCTGGTTCCTCGCGTTCGTGGCCATTTTCCTCGCCTTCCACGTCCTTCTCGGCGCCGTCGTGTTCATGCTGGCACGACGCAGCAGCAGCAAGCAGGACTCGTGGGCGTCGCGCCTGCGTCGCCAGTGGTGGCCCTTTTGCATCGCCAACGCACTGCGGTGCGCCTTGGGCTTCTTCTTCCCCATCTTCATCTTTGGCTTTTACCAGTGGACGATCGGCCGCAAGGACTCTGGCCTGTCAATCTTCTGGTCTGTCCTCGGCATGTTGCTGGTCTTTGTGCCCCTCGTGTGGGCCTTGACAGTCGAAATCCTCAAGTCCCGCCTCGAGTCGTACAACAGGCCCGACGTCTCGGAGCTGTACACCAACTATGACGTTTTCCCACTCGGCCGGAGCCATGTACCGGCCGTATCGTCAGCGCTGCCACTGGTTTTGGTTTGCGCCGCTGCTCCTGGCGACCATTGCGCGCGCTGGGTTTATCGCGTTTGGCCAGTCGAACCCATGGGCACAGGTCATTGGCTGCCTTGTGGTCGAGTTTATTGTATTCGTGTCCCTCATTGTGTGCAGGCCACACAAGGACCGCAAGGGAGACTGGCTGGCTCCAGTCTTGAGCTTTTTCCGCATGGCTCTGTTTGGCCTCTTGGTGGCGTTTATCGAGAGCGTCAACCTCAAGGCTATCCCGCGTACCGTCATTGGCATCGTCATGATCGCCCTGGTAGGCATCCCCACGGTACTCCTCCTCGCGGGCCTGATCTTCAACCTTGGTAAGTGGGCAGCTACATGGTGTTTGGTTGTCTAGCTGACTCTCCCTCCAGGCTACGGCTTGCTGTGGCGCCGCAACAAGGCCAGGTCAGAGGCCAGGCCCGAGGACGGCACCCTCCTCGACGACCCCTTCTACGAATCGGCACAGGAGATGCGTGCCGAGAACAACACCTTTGTCACCATGGTCGGCAACGATGCCACCAACAGCAAAGACAACAGCACACCCGATTTCAGCACAGACAACAGCGGGTCCAACAGCGACCTCGCACCAGCCACACAGCACGCTCCCCTACCGGCAACAACGTACGATGCGTACACTGCCTCTGCCATGTACTCGGACGCAGCAGCGGGTAGGAGCAACCGCTACTCGTATGGCGACGACCGCTTGGGTAGGGCAGTTTAGAAACCAGCATTTCATCCTTCTCTCCAGCATACACGGATTCATGATCCACCACTTTCCCTTCCGTTATTATTCCCCTTTCCTCTTGTGATAGACTTGCCATAGACTGTACGATGGCCCCCCCAGCTCACGTTTATACGAGTATACGTAACCAGCCAGAGTGTGTTTTGACGATTGTAGCGTAGAAGCATGCATAGAACATGCGATATTGCGTGCTGGTGGGCGAGAGAGTGAATGGTGGTCGCAGCGCGGTCTCCGGGCCCCATTGGTTCCGGCTGTAGAGCCACATTGCCCATCGCCCATCGCCCCCGCCCGAGACGCCTCCTCCACGCCGACGCGCGCGACCAGCCGGTGGGCCCACCCATCGCATCTCTCTCTTGTTCTTTCTCCTCCTCTTTCTCTCCAAGGCTCTAGCCCATTTATCCTACTACTCCCCCTCCCTATCACAGGTACCTGCGTCCTCTTCTGAGCGCACCACCCGGTCCCCGTCGGTCCTTTCGTCTTTGGTATTACCGCTACAACGCTACTCGCAAGGGCACACCCTACCACTCAACATGGCTCTTTCCGCTGCTGAACTCCAGAAGGTAAGCGTGTGCAGCTGTGCACGTGGAAACAGAAGCCATAGCTGACACTCTCTCCAGCGCCACCAGCTCGAGGGTGCTCCTGACCCGTTCCCGTCGCTCGGCGGTGCTCCCTCCCCGGCCCGTCCCAAGGCCGCGGCGGCCTCCGCTGGCGTCCCCTCGAACGGCGCTGGTGCCAGCAACGGTGCTGGCGCCGGCAACGGTAACGGTCTCGATGCCGCCTCAGAGGAGGCGTTCCCCTCGCTCGGCGCTTCGTCTGGCCCTGCCCAGAACATTGCCCGTCCCGCCATCTCGGCGTGGGCGTCCAAGCCCGCTACCGTCAAGGCTGGCAAGAAGACCGCTGCCGGTGCTGGCGGTCTCGGTCGTGCCGGCCAGGCCACTGCCGCGAGCCACCCGTTCACCGAGACCTTTGCCATCCCCGCCAACGAGCTCGCTACCGGCAAGGTTGTCCAGGAGACGATGAAGAAGGTCGCCGACCAGACTGGCGCCGTCGTCGAGTCGTCTACCCAGATGTCCACTGGCCTCAAGCAGTTCCACATCAAGGCCGCCGACGCCAAGCGCCTCGCTCTCGCGCGCCAGATCATCGAGCGCGGTCTCTCCAAGCCCGTCGTCCTCGAGGTCGAGGTCCCCATCACCACTATCGGCACTATCATCGGTCCCAAGGGCGCCACCTTGAAGTCGATCACCGACGCTACCTCGACCAAGATTGACATTCCCCGCCGCGACACCCTCCCTGCCTGGGACCCCCGCGAGCAGGGCAACGCCAACGGCGACGACGGTGACGACTCGGAGGACGACGACGCCGAGGAGCCCCAGGTCACCATCACCATCTCGGGTACCTCTGCCGCCGCTGCCGACGCCCGCACCCGTCTCCTCGGCCTCATCTCGCACAAGGTCTCGCAGGCCTCCACGTCGATCAAGAACATTCCCTCCAAGTACTACCCCTTCATTGCCGGTGCCCACGGTGCCAACGCCCGCAAGCTCGAGGAGGAGGTCGGTGCCGGCGAGGTCAAGGTCCACGTGCCCCCTCCCGCTGTCTGGAAGCAGATCCAGGCCGACGACGACGAGGACGACTCGACCGCCGCCGCTACTGCTGCGTCCGCCAACCTCAAGGACCGCGACCTCACCATCAAGGTCAAGGGTGACAAGGAGAAGGTCAAGCTCGTGGTTGCCGAGATCCAGCGCCAGTTTGAGTCGCTCGTCTCGAGCCTCAAGGAGTTTGGCATTGTCGTCCCCAAGCGCCAGCACCGCTACCTCACCGGTGACGCTGCCAACGACATTCTCGAGAAGACTGGCTGCATCATCGACCTTCCCCCTGCCAACGACTCGAACGAGCAGGTCATGATGCGTGGCCCCCAGTCGGGCCTCCTCAAGGCCATCGAGCTCGCCATGTCCAAGGCCGAGGCCGTTGCCGTCGAGACTGTCGACGCCGTCGCCCTCTCGGGTCTCCACTCGAACCAGCCCCTCCCGCACGCCAAGAAGGTTGCCCGCTTCCTCCAGCGCTCGTCGCGCCTCAAGAACATTGCCGCCGGCTACAAGGGCGTCAAGATCTACGCTCCCCGCCCCGCGGCCGTCGAGGCCACTGGCAAGGTCGTCATTGAGGTTGTTGGCGAGGACAAGGCCGAGGTCGTCAAGGCCCGCGACGAGGTCGTTGCCGCCGTCAAGTCGGTCCCTCCCGCTGCCACCACCACTGTCGAGATTGACCCCGCTGTCCACTCGCTCCTCATCGGCAAGAAGGGTGCCAAGATTGCCCAGTTCGAGTCGGCCAACTCGGTCACCACCGTCTTCCCCCCGGCCGACGAGGAGTCGTCCGAGGTCCACCTCGTCTACACCGGCACCGACCTGCCCGCTGACAAGAAGGCCCGCGACGCCAAGCTCAAGGAGGGTGTCGCCGCCGCTGCCACCGCCCTCACTGCGCTTGCCAAGGACGCTGCCGACGTCAAGACCGAGACCCTCACCGTTGACAAGAAGTGGCACCGCGCCATCATTGGCACTGGCGGCACTGTGCTCAACGCCCTTATTGGCGAGGACGCTCTCGTCCACGTCCGTGTCGGCTCTGGCCAGGGCAAGAAGTCGGACGACGACGAGAACACTGTTGTTGTCCGCGGCCCCTCGGGCGAGGTCGACCGCGTCGTTGCCCAGATCAAGCAGATTGTCGAGGACGCCAAGAACGACGACATTATCAACGGCTACACTGTCGAGTTTGACGTCGACAAGAAGTACGTCCCCCACCTTGTCGGCCAGTCTGGCTCGGCCATCAACAAGCTCCGCGAGACCCTCGGCGTCAAGGTCAACTTTGACGACGAGGCCGAGACCAAGAAGGGCAAGAAGCCCCTTGCCCACTGCAAGATTGTCGGCCGCAAGGAGGCCGTCGACGAGGCCAAGCGCCGCCTCGACGCCCAGATTGAGAAGCTCGAGGACGAGACCACCGAGATTGTCAAGATTAAGCGCGAGATCCAGCCTGCCCTCATTGGTGCCGGCGGCAAGTACGCCATCCGTCTCGAGGAGAAGTACGGTGTCAAGCTGTCGTTCCCCCGCGACGGCAAGGACGGCAAGGACGGCAAGGAGGTCAAGTCGGACGAGGTCACCATCCGCGGTGGCAAGAAGGGCGTGGCCTCCGCCAAGGCCGAGCTCCTCGAGGCCGCTGCCTTTGAGGCCGAGTCCCGCCAGGAGCTCACCTTCTCGGTCCCCTCCAAGGCCATTGCCTTTATTGTCGGCAAGTCGGGTGCCACTATCAACGCCATCAAGGACGACACTGGCGCCCAGATTGACATTGACAAGGCCGCCGAGGGCGCCACTGCCAAGGTCACCGTCCGCGGTGACAAGAAGGCCATTGCCGCCGCCAAGGCCTCTGTCCTTGCTGTTGTCGAGCAGTTTGGCGACGAGGTCACTGTCAACATGACCGTCGACCCCAAGTACCACCGTACCCTCATTGGCCAGGGTGGCCAGAAGCTCCGCGACCTCATTGCCTCGTGCGGCGGTCCCGAGGAGGGCTTCAAGCAGGCCGGTCTCGTCACCTTCCCCCGCCCCGGAGACGACACCAACGACCAGGTCCGCCTCCGTGGTGACGCCAAGGTAGTCAAGAAGATTGAGGCCGAGCTCGAGAAGCTCATTGCCGCTCTCAAGTCGACCCTCACCTGGGGTGTTGTCGTCCCCGCCGCTGGCCACGCGTCCAAGATTGGTCGCGGCGGTTCGGCCCTCCAGGACCTCCAGCGCAAGACCAACACCACCGTCCACTTCCCCGGTTCGCGTCAGTACAACTCGATTGGCGAGGTCGACAACAAGGACGAGCTTGCCGAGGCCGACGCCGCCGACATTGTCAAGGTTATCGGTTCCAAGGAGGCCATTGCCAAGGCCACCGAGCTCCTCCAGGTGCCCGCTCCCGAGCCCCGCGGCGGCAACCGCCAGCGTGGCGGCAACGGCGACCTGCCCACCCGCACCGTCGCTGTCCCGACCAAGTACTACCACGCCGTCGCCGAGCAGCAGAACCTTATCCGCCAGATCCGCTCGGTTGGCGGCTTCCTCGTCATCCCCACCCCGGCCCCGGCCAAGGCCGTCCTCCGCCCCACCCCCGGTGCCGGCGACGACCTCGCTGCCAAGACTGCCCGCATCGACCTCGACGCCTCGGACGACGCCGAGGCGCCCGAGGGCGAGTTTGAGCTCCGCGCAAACTACGAGGGTGCCGACGACTCGACCCTCGACTGGATCGTCCGCGCCAAGGAGGAGGACCTCGACAAGGCCGTTGCCGTGCTCGACAAGGCTGTCCAGACCGCCGCGGCCGCCACCCACGTCGGCCTCCTCACCGGCCTGCCCCGCTCGGCCTTCCCGCGCATCATCGGCTCCAAGGGCGCCACCATCTCGCGCCTCCGTGCCGAGACCGGCGCCGACATCACCGTCGGCAAGGACGACGACCTCATCACCATCACCGGCGACGAGGAGAGCGTCAACCAGGCCAAGGAGGCCATCCTCTCCATCGTCACCCGCCAGGGCAGCCGCTTCTAGAGCGGGTCTGTGGCCTGTGGGTGGTTTGTCTTTGTCCTTCAGGATGGGACCTAGGGGCGGACAGGAAGCAAAGCAAAGCAGTCACGCAACTACGAAAACGAGCGTGACGATAAACAATAGGTAGCACACACATCTAGCCCTCGTAATTCACCAAAATCAATGCATTTCACATGGGAGGTTAGCACGCTGGTGCACTGAGGTGGACATGGCTCTTGCAGTTGACGGACAGGCAGGCACCGACACAAATGAGGCGGCTCGTTTTGCCACTTGCAGTACGACTCCCGATGTGCTCTTTGATGGAGGGAAGGAACGATGATGTACTGTACTTTGGTACCTCGACAGGAACGACATGGAGGTAACGCTGGCGAGAGTCAGCACGTTTGGCTCTTGGGCTACAGCACGACAAAGCCAAGCACGGGAGCTCGGGAGATGGTGTGCACATGCAGTTGTTGCCACTACTGCACACTTCGCCCTCTATCGATCAAATCAACAAAATGGGCTCGTCCCACTCGACGCTGAGCTGCACTCGAGGCGGAGCTCTGGCCGACCTGGCCGACCGCCCAGGCCAGAGGCGCGATAGTGCTGGTACAGTCTCTGCCATGGGGGAGGACAAGGACCGAAAACCGCACGCATGTGCGGATGACGGGCCCACGGTAGACCCCACGAGTCGGCCGAGGACCAGTACCGCCACCCACTCCGACTCTGGCTTCGACGACGAGAAAGACCCAACGGCGCGCCACTCGGACGACGCAAGCGACCGCCCGCGGCCGCCGTCGATCGCGATCTCGGACACGGCGTCGTACTGGGCCGAATCCGAGCGCACGTTGACGAACAAGAGGCGGGACAGCAAGTACAGTATCGCCACCACCACCCCGGCCAAGCCGTTCACCGTGTCGCGCCTCGTCGCGCAGCTGGAAGAGGAAGAGGCCGAGCCCAGCGACCACCCCAAGGGCAAGGACAAGGGCAAGCGGCCGAGCGCCGCGCACACGCGATACCTGGAGAGTGGCCACGGCCGGACCGTCGATGGCGGTGCGCGAGCTGCCGGCGCGGCCGGCGTGGCTGGTGCGGACGTCGCCGCCCTCGCCGACCTCGCGGAGCGGCAGCGTCTCATGCGCGAGGAAAACTATCTGTGGCTCGTGGACTGTGTGGGCGCGCAGTGTGTCCGGCAGTGTACCAGACTGCAGACGAGCGGCGGAGGCCGTGGGAGCTGGCTGGGGATGGGTACTCGAGCAGGTACGGCGTGCCCGTGTGGGTACAGCGGGCGAACGGGGCTTGCTCGGCCTCGAGCGACGTGCCGGCTACCACAGCCACGCCAAGGAACAGCAACAACAACAACAATGACGATAATGACGGCGACGGCGACGGCAACGACGACGACGACCCGGACGCGGTGTTGGCACGCCGCCTGCACGCCGACGAGGTTTTGCAACAGCAACGTCGTGTAGACGAGTGGCGCGACCTCCTAGACCACATGGCCAGCCTGCGCGAAGATGAACGACGGGAGAAGCGCGAGTGGAAATGGGCCCTCGACCGCCTGCGCCTGAACCTGGCCGGCACGATGCGCGACTGCGTGCTGTGCGCCCTGCCCGGAACGTTTGACGAGGACGACATCGTCGTAGCGGTTGCCGACGCTGACGAGACCACTGTCGCGTCGCTGGAGCACATCGAGAACGGAGCGCATTTCATCCAGCACATCAAGGACGCCAGAGCACGCGTGGCGGGACGTCCCGAAGCCGAGTACACGCGAGCTTCGCTGCGGCAATGGCTCGATGTCCATGTCCCACAGGTGAACAAGGACCAAGCAGACCCGACAGTGGCAGTGGACGTTGCAGCCCATCTGGCCACCCAGCCTGCCAAGAAGGCCCCGCAAGCAGAGTGGGGCGCCCTCATGGACACCATCCGTGACAGCCTCGAGCGCCGCTTCGCCGACTGTGTGGTATGCCTGTTCGCGTCTCCGCGCAGCGAAGACGTGGATGACATGCTGCTTGCGGTAGTGTCCGACCCGACGACCGTCAACAAGATGGAGCGCGGGCCCAGTGCTGCCCACTATGCGCGGCACGTCAGTGATGCCCGGCAGCGCGTGGCGCAGCGCGAGGCCGGGGACGGGGACGCACCGCCGGGCGTCGAACGGGCCCGCGTCGTCCGACGCCAGTGGATCTCTGCACGGCTGGCGCACGATAAGAACGGTCAGAAGAAGGGAGAACGACGGCGCACGGGCTTTAGCGAAGAAGCAGAACAACTCGACGCCGCGTGGTGGGACGACTTCATGGGTGGCCCGCTTGACGCAGCGGTGGTCGAGCGTTGGCTCTCCAAGCAGTGATGGTGCTGACAAGTGGGTATCTCTAGTGCGCCGTAACCTTGGTGCCAGTCTTGCAGAGCCTTTATGTATGTGTCTCGACGCGTGGCAGCATGGGGGGACCCGGCGCGTGCGATAAAGGAGAAGTGGCGCAAACAGTACGGTCAGTGGTCGTCGCCCCGCCACTGCAGAGTCATCGAACCGTACATGTGGCCTTCAGTTACTCAAACTTCCCCGACACTATGACGGCCGCTAGTGGTGGGCACCCCCCTTGCGCCAGAGGTAGTCTGTGCGCCCGTCAGCCCAGATCCAACGAGCCAGGAGACCAAGGAGACCACCACGTACGGAACACACAGTAGTACGACCCGTTGCGGAACTCGCGGACGGCGGGGAGCACGCAGCGGTTGTACTCGCACCGAAACTCGAATGGCCAGATGTACATCTGGATCTTGGGCGGGGAGGGGAACCACGGTGGCGATGGCAGGGGAGAGCGAGAGAGAGAGAGCAGGCCGGGTGGAGTGGACGGTCGTAGAGTGGACGCTGGTGGGGCTCAAACAGTCGAAGCGGCGGACGCGAGGTTAAATGAGGCAGAGGGCTTGGGAAGGACAACATGACGGGGTTCTCTTGTCCGTGCAGCCGCGCGCGCGTGCGTGCGTGTGCGCGTGACTCGCAAGTCGCAGAAACTTCTCGTCGCCACTCATGGTCTATTGTGACAATAACTCGGTCGAGGTATGTGAACTGTCGACATCAGATCTCAACACGGACGCACACACAGATCTGGTGACGCCCGAAAAGCACGCCGCCGAAGGGCATATCCCGAAAGTGATGGTTATCTCAGACTGGGAAGACTGGGACGATGGAGAGCTGGTGGGTCCGCCCATGCCGTGTGCACCGAGGTAACCAGTTCTTCCCTTTGCCAAATCAGTTCTGTTGTCAGCACACGATGGGGGAGGGAGTGGGGCATATGTTTGTTAGGATATTTGTTTCTTTTGTCTCTTTGCTGTTCGCACAGACACGCTCAAGTTTCCATTGTCCACGTCTCCGCGGCCACACATCCCAGAACATACTTCTGAAAATAAATCAGTCTTGTTTGGGCCACGACTATAGACGTGAGCGCGGGCCTAACCCTTGCCCCTTGATCCTAACGAAGTCCGATATTATCTCACGACTGACCCACTCCGCCACCAAACTCGCTACCTAGCCAGAATGATGTCTCCGGGCGAAAACACGCATAGAATGTCTGGTATGTAGGAGAAGCTGAAGGTTGCGAGACCATCAGACTCTCCAGGCCCCAGGGATGCTAGACTTGTCAGAAGCTGCGAACAGTGCATACGGCTTCGGGTCGAGGTGGTCCATTCGCCGCCCATGTCGCTTCATTTTCCCAGAGCCGGCAGGGTGCAGATCTCCTTTTCGTGTCCGCCCACGGGCCCACACACGGCGCGCGGGCCGTCGTTGCACGCGTGCGCGTGTGTGTCCTTCTGCAGCGATCAGACTTCTGCGTGGACGAGCGGGTAGCAGCGACCCGCGGCCGCCCCGACGCGCGCCCCTGTGGATGCTTTCGATGACTTGAAAAGTACAACGGAGAGGGTCCTCTACCCCTCGACGATTATCACTAGTGGATTTAGGCTGAGAAGGCGGCAGAGACTTTTACCGCGCGGTGCATGTAGCTGGTACGCAGGTGCTGCACTATTGCCCAGGATGCATACGGCGCGGTGTCACGCGAGCACAAGGTGCTGCAGCGCCAGTAGTGTGAATTGTGTGGTGGGCGTGGCTTGCCGCCAAAGTGCCTCTCTCGCGCGCCAGCTGGATCCCCATCCATCCTCGAGCCGGGCAGCATTCACGTTTGACCTTAGCGCAATGGCACAGCGGGTTTTCGGTGCATGTTTCACGTGTAAAGCACACGCAACAGCAACGACCCGTCGCCGTCACTATACTTGCGGCAGCGTGCCTCGGGGACGAACAACCCAAGGCCTGTCAGAGGGAGTCGCCAACCTCCAGTGCTGTCAAACCCAGTTAATCATTCTCAAGGTTCTGAGAGGCCGCGCAGCTGCAATAATTTTGATATATCTGCATCTATTATACATTGTCGCGTGCGTCTGTCGCGGGTCTACATGCATGAGGAGGAGGATGGCGCGGTTGTGTTGGTTGGGGAACTGCGAGGAATCGATCCATGTCCGTCGACATTGCCCCCAGGCGCTAGGCACAGGGGTAGCGTGCGTGCATATGACGGCAACCCGCGGAAAGAGGCAAAGACACCGACATGGTTGCACGACTGTTGGACGCACGCGTGCCAAGCCTCACCACATCTTATCTAAACGTCTGGGCCGTGCCAAAGGGCATAAAGCCCAGCATGTCGGCGTCCGTCGACCCGGGCGGCATCTCGCCGCGCATCCAGTCTGTCCCGCCACACAGCTCGTCTGTGAGCCCGAGTCCGAGCCCGCCATCCGGGACGTACGGTGCCGTGGTGTCAGTGTTCTGGGCCCACTGGGGGATGTGGTGGTGACCAAGAGTGACACTGGGCGGTCTGCTGTCAGCTCGCTGTTGTCGGCAAAGTGAGCTTACTGAGCAATCGCCGCTGCCTCCTGCTCCGGGGAGCCCGCCACCGTCGACCCGTCAGCATCCTCGCTTGAGTCGTATGAGTCGTCTTCGTCGTCCTCATCTTCAGCTTCGTCTTCGTCGCCGTCATAGTCATCTTCGTTTTCCTCATCCTCCTCATCCTCCTCGTCCTCCTCGTCCTCCTCTTCCCCCTCGTCCTCCTCGTCATCTTCGACAGACACCAGCGGCCGCCACTCCTGCTCGCCAAGCACGCTCTCCAGCCATCGAGCCGCTTCGTCCCGGTTCTCGGGAGGCAGGAGACCCAGCACGACCTTGAGCATGGCCGCCGCGGCGAGAAACGTCCCCGGCGTAGTCTCTGGCCAGCACACGTCGCCGTCAATGCCGTCGGTGAACACGAGGTGGTCCAGGATCTGCGCTGTGCGGCTCTTGAGGATGTACAGCAGCTTGATCATTGCGTGCGGGAGAGTGAGCGGGTCCAGTTTTGGCACTGACTCTGTCCGTTTGGGAGTGGCGGCGGGGAATGTCGATGGAGGCCCGGCTGGGGCTATGGCCGCGACGGCTGCAGTCGTAAAAAGAGCGTGTGGCTGCCAGCCGGGCTGGGTGTGGTGGGATACGACTGGCTGGGTCACGTCGAGGGGCAAGGATACGCTGGGTGCGGCCGGGTCTGCACTACCCACTGCAAGGGGAGCGGGTATCGCCGGCCCAAGTGACGCCTGATGTGGTGTCACGACGGGGAAGGCCAGTTGGTCCTCGAACGCAAACGAGCCAAAGTCCGGCACGAGGGGAACGTCGGGAACGGTCGGTGGTGGAGCAGCCACATGATGGTTGGCGGGGGCAGGCATGCATCCAAACAAGCCACTGGCAAACTGTGGGACTGGAGCCAGAATCTGAGTCTGAGTCTGGGACTGGGTCTGGGCTGGCGGGACGGGTTGCAGCGGCGCAGGCGGAGCTGACGGGGGCGGGACCGGGACGTGCTCGTCCACCACGGCCTGCTTGGCCCAATACGAACTCTCGGGGCCGTGTGTCACCACCCGGCCAGTGGCGGGGCACACCTGCCATTGCGCGGACATGGGGACCATGGCCATTGAGAAGCGCCCAAACCCGGCAGTCATCGAGGACGACATTGGCCCCATTGACATGGCCATGGCGGTGGTCGCCGCCGTGGAGGGTGTCTGCTGTGGCCGCTGGTACGGCGCGAACCGCGACCGCCTTGCCGAGTGCGGTGCAATTGCGAGCGAGGACGGGCGAGGGTGGCTCCGGGAGCAAGAGGAGAAGCCCGTATTGGTGGCGCTGGTGGGTACGTCTGGGACGGTGCGTGGCGGCACGCCGGCGTAGTAGGCAAACGTCATGGTTGGGGGAATGATGGTTGGAGAGCTGCAATTGCCACTGGATCCCTTGTGCTGCCTGCTTCCTTTATGTACGTCTGCGAGCGCGAACAACGCTCGTGATGTGCCATCAACATTCCGCTTTGTGTTAAGAGGTCGCAGATCTGTCGACCTCGCCATCACTGATGGTGTTGGTTGCGACGCGAGGGGAGGAGCCAAGCCCACGATCTGGTCATTAACATTTTCCATCAGCGGAACCTTGCAGTGTCAATTGCGCGATGATTGGTCTCTGATGGTGCGCGCGTGGGTCAGTTTCAGCCAGAGATCAAAGAAACAAGGAATGACCACAGGCGGCCAATTGAGGGCAGGCTACATCATGCGGGACATGTATTATACTTGTGCGCACACACACAAAAGACGGAGGAAGGATCTAGGTGTCATGGAGGGGTGCGGTGGTTGTGGTGGGTTTGTTGGACCAGTCGCATGCAGTGTGTAAGGAAGGAAGGGGTTGCTCGTCGCCACGCTCCACGTCGGTGGTGTTGAGGAGGGGCTTGGCTTGGTCTTGATGAACGGCAGTAGCACGGGGATGGGGTTGGGGTCCTCTACGACGGAGACGGCGGAAGACACCCTTGAGACTGGAGCGGTTGAGGAGCTTGGGCATCTTGGGCGGGCCTGGCATGCGCGGTAACGAGGGCAGGCCGCCGCCGAGGGCCCATCTGATGAGGATGAACTGGGTGGGTGGTGAGCGGCGTGGGTTGGAGGAAAGGAGCAGACGTACGGTGATTCCAAACCCGAGAATGATGAGACTGGTAAACCCAAACCAAGTGAGCGTCGTGAGCAGCACGCGTCCGAGGTTGACGTGTCGAAGACCCACGCGGGAGTAGGGGCCGTGGCGCGCGTGTGGAGCCATGGTGACGGCCGTCTCGCGGATCGAGGTGGATGAAGTGGATGGAGAGGATGGACATGCATGGTGGGCCCGCTAGTGTGTGGGATGAGTCGTGCTCTGCCGTCGTCGTTGCTGCAGTGTGCGCGTAACAGACATGGTCTGGACCGCTTTTGGGTTTTGCCGTCGGAAACCGAGACACACGCACGACGACGGCGACGACGACGACGACGACATCGCGACCTCATTCTAAAACAGGTGGGGCACCGGGATGGGGGGGGCGGATATCCCGTTTGGCCATCCGTCCACAACGCACAACTCTAATGCAATCAAAGATCAGATCGCCGATTCTCTGACTCGTTGGACTGCTCCATGCGCATGCAAGCGCGTCATGCGCGTCACAGGTCACCCAATGGGTAGCTGTCGCCGTTGGACAATGGGAGACACTTGACAGCAGTGAGTGTGGTGGGCAGTCTGTCACCGGCAAAAGCCCAGCTTGCCGGCTCGATAACCATGCTTTGCCACGCCGGTGTCAGTGACATTTCTGCACTCTGCTCCCTGCCTCAGGTCCTCAGATCCTCAGAGCAGCTTGGCTCGGCGATACACAACTGATGCAAATACACATGTACAGATTACTCGCTCCCTCCCACCCTCTCTATTCGGACAGCATGCACGACTGCCTCGTTCTACGCCTTTTCGGCAGCGGCGGCGGCAGTGCACGCGCAGCTCCTGACGTCTGCCGGCACCCTGGATGGTGTCGCAGCGGCCCTGTCGAGACGGTCCCGGCGACAACGCACACGCTGCAGCTCTTGCGTCACAGCAATGGTGGCCTGCGAGAGGAAATCGTGGTCAGCACATGTGGAGCAAAAAAAAAAGACAGGCGAGATCGCCTGGGCCACTCACCAAAACACCAATGGCGACGCCGTACAGCGTCCACAGCAAGTTGGGCTGGCCGCCGCCGCAGCGGACCTCGATGTAGGGCAGGTTGGCAGGTCGCTCGACGCGTCCTGGCGAGGGTGGGCTGCTGGCGTCGTACTCTCCCGCGTTGCCGTGGTGGGGAGCGTGCAAGGACTCATATGTCGGGGCGGGGGCAGCGGCTACCATGGTGGTCGCAAACGTGACGACAAAGGCCAGCATGGTGAGCATGTGGGTGGTTGAGCGGGCCATGATGGAGGTGCGGTTGATGGGGGAGTTGGGCGTGTAGGAGGGTGTGTGGTGTAGAGAGCTTGGGAGCTTTGGAATTTAGGATCTAGGATCTACGAGTTGTTGTGTGACGTCGATGTGTGGGAGAGTGCGAAGATAGAGAAGTTGTGGAAAGTGTGTGAAGATGGGGGATGCGAAAGAAGCATCGACACACTTGTGCATATGTACTGACAGCCGTCTGGCTGTTTCACCCCACGCGTCCCCCGTGGTCTGAACGTTAGAACGTCAGAACTGCAGCACTGCGGCTCCCGCTGCGCGCACGCACTGCCTGCCGGGAACACGAGACAGTGGGCCCGCTCGCCCGCTCCCCTGAGGCCGACGGAACGGTAACATGGTCGGTGGTGGTGGTGGTGGGTGGTGGTGGCGCCTCCCACCCGGCTGCCAAACGTCTCTTCGGGAGCGAGAGGGGAGAACAAACACAACCAGGGAACGATGCAAAAACCTGTTCGGCCCCAGAACGGTGAGGGCGGTGGCCTGGGTGGGTCCCAGGGGTCAAGAACGATGGCTATCCAAAGTTTAATCGCAGCAGCCAAGCATGCAACCAAAAGGGGGGAATGTTGTTCTGCTCTGCAACACCGTCCCCCAACTGCAGTGCTGACACTGTCCCTAGGTATGTCACCGTCGTGGGCTGGCTGGGCTTGCAGCTTGCGTAGCCTGTCGGCTGTCTGGCTACCAACACCTTGTTATGCTTTATCCCGACCCAGGTGTCCACTTCCCAGTTGCTCACCCAGAGTACCCAGAGTTGGATACCACGAAAGCAAACCGCATACGATCGTCGTCGTTCGCTTGAAACTTGATGACAGACGGGTTTGAGGTCTCGGGACAAACGATCACGAGACAACCTTCCCGCTCGGCCGCTCGCGCGCGCTCGTTCACGGCCTGAAACTTTGACTGCGGCCGAGCTGCCCCCCTGGCATGCCCCTCCCCACCCCGGATCCTGTAAACCTGTAGTGCCATGCTGTGGACCCTTTTCGACCGGCAACCACGCGGGCAGACATGAGCAGTGGAGGGTATCGACGAGAGCTGGTGCTGGACCGACGCACGCACAAGAACCACCCCCTGTGCGCTCCTCCCCTGACCCCGGAGCAACGGGACGCCAACAACCGCCACCCGCGGTTTGACCTCATACGCCTCCCGTGCCACAAAAGGCCGGGGCAACGAGTCGCGGCCACAGGTGGCGTGCAGTATGTCTGCGTGTTCTCATGTTCTCGCGTGCACAGCTCCCAGTGTGCGTCGTCCTGGGGCGTGGACAAGCAGGGTGGTGGCACTCTGGCACCTCCGGAACGTGGACAGTACATAGAGTGGCCAACGGGCGCGCAGGTCCTGAACGCGACTAGTGAGGGGGGTTCGATGGTGACACAATTGAGTCCATGGAACGCGGCGCTGGAGAGGACCGAGCGCCATGAGAGCTTGGATCTCACGGCGTCTGTCCTGAAGGGAGAGAGAGAGCGTTGCAGAGTCGTAGCGTGCTAAATCTCCAGTGCTCGTTCTCTTGGGCCCCCGAGAGGGGACGAGAGGGGGCAAGGGGACAAGAAAAAAGACGTAACGGCAGATAAACTGACAGCGAGAGCACTGGAACAGGCACACATGATGGGCTGCCCCCAACACCCGTTGTGGCTGTTTGAAGTATGAGCTACGAGAGATCCTTGTCTAGTCCATACGATCCATACCCCGTCGGCGAGAGCCGTAGTCTTAAGCTAACCGCAGGCCACAGGCCACAGGGTATCACTATATCGCTGGCTGCGTCACGGCCTGGGTTACAAGGCTGTGACACTCGCTGGCTCCACTTAATAAAGGGATGGAAATAGTTGAACGTCAAGCAAGGTCCTGTTCTTACGTCCTGTTTCGTCCTCCTTTCTGCCGACGACGTAATCTACACTACATACATGTATTATTTCCTCTGTCAGCACAAAATCCCCAGAGACACCCACCACTTGTCCCATACAAGACGGCCGTAGCCCTCCCTCCCTCCCGCCTACTGCCCACCCGACGACACGACTATATGCCATGCCACAGACCGTTGGGCTGCCAGCGTCTTCAAGATGACAGTCAGTGGCTGACGTGCTCGCCCTCGTTCGCAAGACACAACCTCCAGAGCCCCGCAATACAAGAAACCAACCCCGTGGCCTGGAGCGTCATGTAAGGACATGACGGGGGAGACGGGATCGGGGTCCCCGGAGGGAGGGAGGGGTGGATACGATCGTTGCTGCGATCAAGGAAATGGAAATGGAAAAAAGGAACAGCCACGCTCCCCGCCCCCACACCCACAACCGGCACCCACCTTTCCCCGCTACGAGACTATCAGCTGCGTGAGCCCCGCATGACCAAGAGAATTCTCAATGCGCGACGGCAGGGGCATGGTCAAGAACATGAACATGGACGAGGCCATGCTTGGGGTCGTGGCTTTGACTGAAGGATGTTTTGAAAAGATGATTATTTGTCGGATTTATTCAGTGAATGGGGACGACGGCGATCACCGTGCCCAGCTGTGCGCCCATGGCCCATGAACCACAGGTAGCCGCCAACACTGATTAGATGGGACCACCACGGATGTGCCTGCTCCCGAACATTGACGTCTTGACATTGCGATCGCCCCCGCAGCACAGTACGATGTGTGTGGTCGCTGTACCGGAATCCAGGATCCACCAAGGGTGTGCGGGTAACGGCCCTGCGGGAGTCGGAAAGGTAAGCCACCGGGTTATCTATTCTCGTCATGGTCCATATCAGCGTCATCAGCATGGATCAGCATATCAGGATATGACGTCGCAGGCATTCAGCACAGTTCCAGCAGAGTAAGTGGTCTGTCTACCACGTCGACCTCATCTGAAAAGAGAATGCCATGCGAAGAGTCCTAAATCTACAATTCCGTCTTGCCGGCACCTGCGCCACTGACGAGTTCGCGCGCTGCGCGGACACACACCTCGACACACCCCCGGCAGCTGCGGCGCACGGCCTCGAGCGCCGAGAACACGGTCGCCACGACGGCCGTCATGGACGGCGACAGGTTCCACTCCTTTGCGCGGCGCTCGGCCTCCTTCCGTGCCAGCTCGCGCTGGCGGTCGCGCTCGAGCTGCGCGGCGGCCTTGGCCTCCTCGATCTGCGTGGCGGCGTATATCCGCCTAAAGTCCTCGACGGAGCTGAGCGACTCGCTCACGCGGTGCAGGGCGTTGAACAGCGCCACCACCTCGGAGCGCTGCAGGAGGTTGGGGTTGAGCTTGGGGCTGGAGGGTGTCAGCTGAGACCAAGGAAATCATTCAGCTAAACACAGAAACACTCACTCCAGGTCCTTGTCGTCGAGCGCAAAGAGAATCTTGAGCGCAGTGCCGATACCCGACACCTGGAGCTTGCCCCAGAGACGGCACTTGTCGCAGCCCACGCAGTCCATGATGCGCGAGACGTTGCGGAAGTGGTCCTTGAACTGCTCCATGAGGACCGGTGCGTCGGCGCGGTTGAAGAACTCGTTCTCGTCAAAACCCGTGAGCCACATCGGTGCGCTCGGCGAGGGCCAGGACTTTTTCAAACGAGTCGCGAGTGGCATTGTCTGCCTCGAGGATGGCGCTCGGGCACGTGCCGGAGTGACGCGGGGCCATGCCAATGTCATACGCGCGGAAGTATGGAGCGGCGCGGGCGACGGCGCGGAGGAGCATGACGGCGTTGAAGTAGACATTCGACAGACGCTCCGGGTGCGTGGCCAGGCGGCTGATGAAGCACTGGAGGTTGGGCTCCCACTCGCCCGTCTCCTTGTTCAGGTAGTCGGCGCAGATGTGGATCGAGATGGAGGCGTGGAGGCCTGGCATGTCAGTTTGGAGTCCGTCGAAATCGCAACTCACCAGAGATGACGCGGTAGTAGAGCTTCTTCTCCTCGCACAAGTCGTCGTTGACAAGACCCGAGCGCACCATCTCGGTGCCCCATCCTTCGGACAGCTGCGAAAAGCCGATGAGCGGCTGGGCGCGGGTGATGCCCTTGCCATCGCGAGCGGCCTCCAGTGCCGCCTCCGACAGGCCAAAGCAGTTTTCTTGATAGATGGCGCGCCACACCTGGTTTGCGCTGTCGCCCGCATAGCCAGTAAACCGCTCAGGGTTGAGGCTGAGATCAACATACTGGCCCTCTGCGGATGGTTGTCAGTTTCCAAAGTGTTCTTTCCAGGCACGGCAACACGATGGCTCCAAAAGAGCCGACGTGCTTTTTTGTGTGGTCCCATTGTCCGACCGTCTGCATCGACGTGGAGGAGCTTTGGCTACTTTGGCTACTCACCTGGCGTCGCGTCGTCCTCGATGAAGCAAAAGTCGTCGTCGCGGAAGTAGCAGCCAGACACGCCGTCCTCGAGGCTAGTCATGCGTACGCGCCCAAGGTTGCTTGCGCGCCACTTCTCCGGGATCTCATCCTGGGGCCAGTCAGCAAAACGGCGTCTTTCATCGGCCAGGTCGAGCTAGATTGCAGCCACAGCAGCCATGCCGAGGTATGGATCTTCTCTGCGGACGACTCCTCCTGGTGCAAAGGGATGAAACGTACCTCGACCGCCTCCTCGACCGCACACGCCCGGTTCATGCAGAAGCCATTGTCCCTCCAGAACGGGCATTCCCGGTACAAGTCGACCTTGTAGTACCGGAAGAAGGGATGGGTGACGAGGCTATGCAGTGCGGGGAACAGGTCGTTGTTGAGCGTCTCGACAGTCTCGTATGCGCAGTTGGTAGACTCGATGGGCCCGCTTGGCTGGACAATGTGTCAGCAAAAGTGGGGGTTTAAAGCCAGGGCGACTCGGCTCAAATGAATGGCGGTGTCGCGTCAAGGTCGGTATAAATGACACGACGACGCGCTCTGGCTCGACTTACGCTGCAGTAGCCTTCCGACTTGCCCTCGAGCACGTTGCGGGCGACCTTGCTGTCGGGGCGGGCAGAGCTGAGGAGAGCGGCGACGGTGCTCGCTGCCAACAAGGCGGGTGCGAGGACGCGGTTCAGGTTCACCATGACGTCGCTTGCGGGTGCGGGATTGCGAGAGGATGTGGGGGGGAGACCCTAGTCGGCGGGTTGGTGAAGATGCAGAGCGGAGATGGGGTAGTGGAAGCAGTGGGATGCCGCTGTGATGCGCGTTCGCGCCTCGTGTCGTGTGCACAGTGTGACAGGTGGGTGGTGTTGATGGATGAGAAAGCAGCGATCTGGTTGAAATGATGGAGTGGACGTGGGCCAAACGCACATGTGGGCCAGCCGGTCTCGGCCGGAAATTAGGCGCGGGGTCTCCAAACCGACACGTCCGCTCTATTGTTGTGCGACGTGGCGAGGGCCTTTGGCCACGACCATATCCAAACGACACGCTCGACGGCCTATGCATGCCCGCACAGCCTTACAGCTGCTGATTCATCGACACATACATGAGACACATACAAGAGTCATATATACAACCTACGCGAGCCCAAGGTCGACCCCGACATCGTGCATCTCCATGGCCGTTTCAATCTCCCACGGGTCACGGCCATCGTCGTCATCGGTGGAGAGCAGTGCCGCAGCAAGACATGCCTCTTTAGTAATGGCCCCCTCGAAATCGATCAGACTGAAATGACCGTCTTTGAGCAGCCAGTTGCGCGGCTCCGAGTCAACATGGACAACGCCAGCATCGTGCAGGGTCCTGTAAGCCGACATGATGGTGGATCTTGGATGTCAGCGTACCGCCGAGTCGTCACTCATTGCTCACCGTGTGGCGTCGTTGATAGCGCGAGTGTCCACGGGTATACCAGCGTCGGCTAGGACCATGGCCCATACGCCCGTTATGGAGCAGTGGAAGAGACCGCACAGTTGTGGAATGAAGTCGAGGTCACCAAGAGCTTGCAGGAGTTGGGCCTCGTGCTGGACGCGACGAGCGACATCGGCTCGGTCAGCAGTCGCAGGTCGCACAATCTTGACAACGACGTCGCCGAGGGATGATGAGGTTGCGCGAACACAGGACCACAGATGGCCATAGCCTGCGACTCCCTGCACCGTGACACGTAGCGGCGTTGCAGGAGCTGGGCCAACGGCGACAAACGCACACTGGTCAAAGGGGACAGGTTCAAACTGATCACACAGGACCACTTCGTCGGCACAGGAAATGATCAGGTGGGACTCCGACTCCATCGTCAGCTGTGAATGGAGGAAAGTAGAAGACGAGCTCACATGAGACCGAGGGGGGCTTTCCGGACTGTGGGAGCGTGATGAGGGAAGTACCGAGGGAGGTTGGATTGTACCGGGATCTGTCGCTGTGGCCTTTGGAAGGGTGTACGGGAGACGGACTTGAACTAGAGCTGGTTGTTGTCCGAGTGTGGTGGCGGTTGTCGCAGTGCGTATCCAGGCAATGGTGAGTCCGACCAGGAGAAGCGCGGCTACTACAGCCAATGTCGCCGCAGCCGTCCCAGTGGACGCCCCCGATGCCGCAATACCGGGGACCGTGGTTGTCATGGAGTGAGGATGGTGGTCATATCTGTTCATTGACGAAATGGCAGGATTGCCTGGTTGTTATTGTTGTTGGTGCCGAATGCGGGTGCCAAAAACGTATTACATAAGCAGTTCATGTACAAGTCCTTATTCGTCTAATACAGGCTACACATCAACAACAGCAAAGTCCTGCACTGGGCAACGTCCGTATAGAGCAAGAGAACTGTGAATGCCATGTACGCGTCCTGGCAACGTTACCTTCCTTACCGTTCTTGAGGACGGGGAACCAAACATGTGGCGGAAGGGTTTGTGCCGAAGAGCAGGACACGGCCAGGCCGTCCACATTGCATTCACTTTGTGTCGTTCGTTCGACGTGTGGATTTTCAACCTCTGGAGATCTGGAATGCGCAAGCCCTAGTGTATGTATATCACCATCTCTGAGGAATGTTACTACAACCGCCAGCTGCGATGGCGTCCCGTTCGGCCCGTATCTCTGCCACATACCTGTAGCAGAGAGACAAGGTTATCGACAGTCACCCGGCCAAGCCGACCGCTGTGAAGACGAAACAGTGACCACCAGGAACGCCCAGATCTGGACTCTACGTGGGCCTCCCGATAGAGCACATGTGCACATGTTCAGAGAACAGTTGCATAATGGTCTCGCACACGAAGACGCCAGAGCCACCCTCACCACCCACGGGCACACTGGCTGCCGGGTTTGCCGCGCTTTTTGCTTCCGCTGGTTGCTTCCCTGGGATTGTGGCGATTTCCATTCCATTGTGCGTTTCGGGCGATCCCACCCAAACAACATTCTGTCACAATCGCTCGCAGCTTCCATCGGGCCCGGTGGTCGTCGTCGTCGTCGGTCCAGTCATGGGGGGCTCACGTTATCCCCGCCTCGCTGAGACACAAGCACCTTCCTCATCTAGAAGACCATGTGCGCGCCTTGGGCCCATAGCTCTCCCGCAGGCAGCGCGCCGAAACGACTGGGTTGTATCGGGTATGGTCGGTAATCGACGTCATCACCCAAGGAACCAAGACAATAGCGTTTTGCAACCAACGCGCAGACGCCTCACCACGCCTCCTTCTGCCCCCAGACGTCCCACACAGTTACCGGCGGGCGGCCTGTTGCGGCTGCGGAGCGACGACACAATGGCAAGCAGAGACAACAATGCACTCTGTGTGCTCTGCGTGCTGGCAGTATAATGGGAGAAATGGGCCGGCGGGCACCCGAGAGCCCGCCATGGCGTTCAAGGATCATATGCTCCAACAAGGCAACAGGCCACTGCCAAGGTGCCAACACAATCCAGTGCGGATCATCGACGCGGCCTGTGAACCCTCTCACGTCAAGACCCATGCCACGGTGTTCATGACGAACGTGGCGCGTATACCGGCGGCTTGCCGATGGCACGCCGTGGTGACCCCAGCTTGCTTCTGGGGACTATATACATGGCAACAACGTTGCGCTCTTCTCATCCTCACCACCCACATCCCCCAACCCCCCCAATCCCCAACCCACACAACCCACACCCCACCATGCCTAGCGTTGCTGAAGCTAACGCTTCGGCCTATGGCCCGACGCGCACCACCGTCACCACTCCCAACACCCTCACCGCCGAGGAGGAGGACAAGACGGACCGCTACATGCGCGCCTGTCTCTACCTCTGTATTGGTATGATCTACCTTCGTGAGAACCCCCTCCTGAGGGAGCCTCTCTCGACCAAGCACCTCAAGGCCCGTCTCCTCGGCCACTGGGGTTCCGACGCCGGCCAGGTCTTCACCTGGATCCACATGAACCGCCTCATCAAGAAGTACGACTTGAACTCGCTGTTCATCTCGGGTCCCGGTGAGTTTTAGTGGTGTGGGAAACACGCCGCCCTGTGGCCTCGGCCGCAGCGTGTGCCCCTATTCAGTCGACCCGTCCACGTATGCTTACACAACTCGTCATTAGGCCACGGTGCCCCCGCTGTGCTCTCCAACTCGTACCTCGAGGGTGTCTACTCTGAGGTCTACCCCGACATCACCGAGGACGTCGGTGGCATGCAGCGCTTCTTCAAGCAGTTCTCTTTCCCTGGTGGAATCGGTTCGCACGCCACGCCCGAGACTCCTGGCTCGCTCCACGAGGGTGGTGAGCTCGGTTACTCGATCTCACACGCTTTCGGCACTGTCTTTGACCACCCGGATCTCATCTCGCTCACCATGGTCGGTGACGGTGAGAGCGAGACTGGCCCGCTTGCTACCTCGTGGCACAGCACCAAGTTCCTCAACCCCGTCACTGACGGCGCCGTCCTTCCTGTCCTGCACCTGAACGGGTGAGTGGCTTGTCCTATCTATGACGTCATTGTGCACCATTCAATACAACTGACACACATCGTCATTCAGTTACAAGATTAACAACCCCACCATCCTTGCGCGTGTCTCCCACGAGGAGATTGAGGCCCTCTTCATCGGCTACGGCTGGAAGCCGTACTTTGTCGAGGGCGAGGACCTGTCGACCATGCACCAGGCCATGGCTGCCACGCTGGAGCAGTGTGTCACCGAGATCAAGGACATTCAGAAGAAGGCACGTGACTCTGGCGTGCCCTTCCGTCCCCGCTGGCCCATGATTGTGCTGCGCTCGCCCAAGGGCTGGACTGCCCCCCGCTCCGTCGACGACCACTACCTCGAGGGCTTCTGGCGTGCCCACCAGGTGCCCATTCCCGATGTTGCCACCAACCCCAAGCACCTCGAGGTGCTCGAGAAGTGGATGCGCTCGTACGAGCCCGAGAAGCTCTTCACCAAGGAGGGCAAGCTTATTCCCGAGCTCAAGGAGCTTGTCCCGCCCAAGCCCCTTCGCTTGTCCGAGAACCCCATCGCCAACGCCGGTACCCGCCGCGCGCTGCACCTCCCCGACTTCCGCAAGTACGCGTTCAAGAACATTACCCCCGGTGTCTCAAACCTCGGTGCCATGGCCAACATGGCCTGCTGGCTGCGTGACGTTGTGGCCAAGAACCAGACCAACTTCCGTCTCTTTGGCCCCGACGAGACCGAGTCCAACAAGCTCGGCGAGGTCTACAAGGCCGGCCAAAAGGTCTGGATGGGCGACTACCTGCCCGAGGACGCCGACGGAGGCAACCTCACGTTCAACGGCCGTGTCATGGAGATGCTCTCCGAGCACACAGTCGAGGGCTGGCTCGAGGGCTACATCCTTTCTGGCCGCTACGGTCTGCTCAACTCGTATGAGCCCTTCATCCACATCATCGACTCGATGGTCGGCCAGCACTGCAAGTGGATTGAAAAGGCCCTCGAGGTCGAGTGGCGTAACAAGATCCCCTCGCTCAACATCCTGCTCACCGCCACCGTCTGGCGCCAGGACCACAACGGTTTCACCCACCAGGACCCCGGCTTCCTGGACGTTGTCGCCAACAAGAGCCCCGAGGTCGTGCGCATCTACCTTCCCCCCGACGGCAACTGTCTCCTGTCGGTCATGAACCACACGCTCGCGTCGTCCAACTACGTCAACGTCATTGTCGCCGACAAGCAGGACCACCTGCAGTTCCTCGAGATGGACGAGGCCATTGCCCACTGCACCAAGGGTCTGGGTATCTGGGAGTGGGCCTCGATCCGCCCCTTCGAGGAGCCCGACGTCGTCATGGCCGGCTGTGGTGACGTTGTCACCGCCGAGGCCCTCGCCGCCACGGCCCTGCTCCACGAGCACCTCCCCGAGCTCAACATCCGCTTCGTCAACGTCGTCGACCTGTTCAAGCTCATCTCGCACGAGGACCACCCCCACGGCCTCAAGGACAAGGAGTGGAAGTCGATCTTCACCGACGACAAGCCCATCATCTTCAACTTCCACTCGTACGCCTGGCTCGTCCACCGCTTCACCTACAAGCGTCCCGGCGCCGCCAAGCACCTCCACGTCCGCGGCTACAAGGAGAAGGGCAACATTGACACGCCGCTCGAGCTCGCCATCCGCAACCAGACGGACAGGTACACGCTCGCCATGGACGCCATCGACCGCCTGCCCAAGCTCGGCAACCGTGGCTCCATGGTCCGCCAGCAGCTCAAGGACCTCCAGATCAAGGCCGAGCAGGAGGCATTCGAGAACGGTATCGACCCAGAGTACATCCGCAAGTGGTCGTGGCCCTACGCAAAGTCCAAGGGCGAGGTCGAGGTCCTCGCCTCGGCCAGTGGCCAGGGCGAGGTGGGCTTCACCGAGTAAAACAGCGAGTTAGAGACAAGAAGTAGTGTCGATTAAAACAGTTAAAAGGAGTGGATTCGGTCCGTTTTTTGTTAATGCATTGGTTGGAGTCAAAACGTGGGCAGGTGCAGAAGAGGACCAGTGGGAGCGAACGATATGCAGTGAGGTGGTGGTAGTGGCAGTGGAGTGGCCGCGGCGCACAACAGCGGCGGCTTGGCCTAAGGATGGCGGAGCAGTCCTAACGGAAGGGGGTGTTCGAGAAACACATACACAATTTCGCGACATTCTCGAGCGGTATTACTGGGAGCGTCGGCCTGAGTGCCAACTAGGAGATCTGAGGGGGAGAGGTACCGCACGACGCTCGCGCCAAAGCAGACAGTCTGCACATTCCGCTGCAAGCATGGAAACTGGCCTGTGGGTTCCCGGGGTCACACGATAGCCAAAGAGTGGCGCGGCGTTCAGTGGACCTCGGGGCTGTGCTGGGCGGGAGGAAACGCACGGCATCTGTGTGCTTGTGGTCCCTGCGCGTCTCTCTGGCTCGAGATTGCATGCCCGGTACAAAAACAAGCGTTCGCGCCCTGTCCGAGGCTCACAGACGAGAGACACACCGTGCAGCGACACCTCCCCCAAGAGACTGGCATTTGGTGAGGCCGTCGGCCAGTGACGTCAAAGGAGAGGGTTGTGCGCGCTCCAAAGCGGGCGCCAACGTGGGATGGAGGGCGATAGGACGTTTGTTTGGGCCCGTGCATGCTGTACATGCCTCCGCCGACGCACAGAGTCGCACTCGGAGCTGGCAGTTGCAGTGGGCGGCACGGTGTAACACAAGTCAGTTGCACCCCGGGGTTTTCGGTCCTTTTTTGACCTTTTCGACTCTTTTTTTCTTGTGTTGTTTTCGAGCTGTCGTCGCTAGGTCGCAAGTGCGCCGGTAGCAATCCTCTTCCACTTCCTTGGTCCATCTCGGTCTCTCAATACCGTGAGGTGCTTTGATCAGCGCTGTTGTGGGTTGCTGTGGAGCGACCGTCGCGGTGGCCATGGCGTGGGGACAGGGCGCAGGTGACACCGATTTTGAGCTGCTTCGCTGCCGTCTCAACCCCTTGACAGTGCACCTTTGAGGTGAAATGGCGCGACCATGGAGAAACGGGGCGCACCGGGGACAACAGTGACCGGGAAGAGGGGGGTAGGTGGCCAGGTGGATTGGTTCTTGAAAGGGGCCGAGGGGTGGTCTTCTTCTTGCTCTTCAACAGCGCCCCCCTTTCCCTCTCCCCTCTTCCACAAGAGCACAAAAGCCCATCCTCACCATGCCCAGCACACTTAGTGTCTCAGCTAAGATATACCGCTACCCCGACAGCTCGTCCTCTGACCCGTCGGACGACGACGTAATTGGCCCCTCTGGCGCGTCCCAGACAGCCCAGGCCATGCCGGTCATGGACGACGGTTCCTCGGACGACAGCGAGGAGGAGGAGGAGGAGGAGGACAATCACGACGTCAAAGCCATCGCCGTCGACTTTGAAGTCGACTCGTCCAACATCAAGAGCCTGAAGATGTTTGACGATACTCTTACTCCTGCACAGGAAATGCAAGCCAAGGTCGACCGCGAGGCGGCTGAGGCTTATTTTAAAGTGTTTGTGGAGGAAAGGTTTGGCATCATCATCTCTCAGCCCAACAACGCCACCCTCGTCGCCATGGTGAGTTCCTTTCCCTGTTTGTGGACAGATCAAAACAGACTCTGACACATCAGGCCCTCCTGGGTGCAAAGCGTACCAAGGAGTTCATGGCAAAGGACAGTCTGGGTCTCCTTGCGGTCGACGACGGCCTACTCGCAAAGACGTTCGCGTTCACCTCCAGTCTCGGAGACGTCGCCCTTGAGGACACGGATGACGAGGTTTTGTCCAAGCTCTCCGACGTCATGGTCGACGACACGGGCATCGGCGACCGCACTCTCCAATACTTTGACAAGGCTCTTGTCATCTCCATCGCCTCGTCGCCAAAGCCTCTCCAAGAGGCCTGGTCCAACTTTGCGGACGGCACGACTGACCGTCTGGTACTCGGCGCCGCCTTTGACACCGTACCTGCGGCAAGCGGCTCCAACGCTGTGGGCTTGTACGCCCGTCGTCCCCGTCTCAGCCAGAGCGCCAGTTTCAAAAAGCTCAAGACGAGCAAGAGTCTTAACAAGCCCTATTTTGGAAACGCCAAGCACGTCGGCCAACGCCAGTACGACCACCGTTTGAAGGGTGTTAACCGGAAGGTCTGCGAGGCCATGGAGGCTGCCGTGACTTTTGACGAGAAGCTGATGGCTTCATTTGGCATCGGCCGGCCTGCAGTAAGTCTGATCTGTCCTCTCTCTGGGAAAAGCTGACATTTGCAAGCTATGTTCCCACACTCTTCCTCTGTGCGCCCGAGGCCGCTCACATTGGCGCTGCGAGCTTGACCCTCGCCGACGGCTGGAATGTCAACTTGCCGGACTATGCCCCGGCTCGCGCGCCACCGGCCCGCCTCGACGACAAGACGTATGTCAACATGCTCGTTAGAATCAGGAAAGCACTTCACCAAGAGCTGGAGATCTCAAAACGCGAGTTTGTTGGTGGCAAGGCGCTCAAGCTCCCGCCTTTCAAGTCGGGAAACTGTAAGTATCTCGTGGTTGCATCGCGCTTGTTGCTGACTGGAACACAGATTACGAGCCCGGCTGGAAGGACGGTCGCGCCTTTATCAAGCGCTTTACAACTTTGGTGAAAGGAGGCAGGGGAGGAAAGGTTGGACCGGGAGAAGTCACTTACCAGATGGTAAGGCGCGACCTCCTAACGCGTGTCCCGGTCGTCGGTAACGACAAGAAGGTCAAGCTGGCGTCTCGCTTCCCGGAACTGCGCAAAGTGCAGCTCGAATTCCCCATCCCCGACTCTGCCTTCTTCCCCCCCAACTGGAACAAGGACTACTCCACGGTCACGTTCCATCTTCCGAGCTGGCAGGTACACGCCGCCCCCAACAATGACACCCCCAACACCACCATTCCAGCCTCTACCGCCTCCTCAACCACCGCGTCCACCACCGCGTCCACCTCCGTGCCCGCTGCGCCCAGCCCTGTTCCGACCAACCTTGCGGGCGTGACCGAGATGATGCGCGCCCTCTCCCTCTCGGTCATCGAGGCCAGGGGTGATTCGAATAATCGTTGACCCAGACCACCACCTCAACCCCCTAGGACATTCACCTGTCCACCCTTCCACTTCCTCGGCTTGCTAAAAAAGAGCATACATGGTGTACATAGCAGAGAGCAATGAATTATCTACCTGCTCTACCTGTTCTCGGTTGTACAATGTCCTCGGGTGCGGCATGAGCATGTCATGTAAATGCTTTTCGTCCTTTGTTGGCGTTGCGTGGGAGCATGTGTGTGGCGGTTCAGACGAACTGAATTCACTGCTTGTAATGCGACAGGTCCATCTTGCCGCCCTTGCTCATGGTCCTAAGGTGCTCGTCAAGGGCGATACGAGACTTGACAACGTCGACCGTTTCCCAGCGGTGTGACAGAGCCTTGATGATTCTCGAGACGGTTGCGGGCGTGGTACCGTTGCCGAGAACGTCGCGGAGGACTGCGCGCTCAAACTCGCCAAACTTGCCGCCACTCTGATCACGAACATGGCATCAAAGGCCATCACGTGCAGGTGGTGGAGGCGCCTTTGCTTGTCAGGATATGAAAAGGTAGGGCGGTGGTGTGAAAAGGGTACTCACCAGTTGTTGTGGGCAGCCTCGCCCCCCTTGTTCCCCCTCTACCAGGCCTTCCACTCGGCATCGGGAAGGCCGTGAACCTCCTTCATGTGGGGACCGCGGTACATCGACTGTGAGCCGAAGCCCTCCACGATGATGTCCTTGCAGCCCCCATATAGCCGCATGGAATGTGCGCCTTCTTGTTGTGTTCCTCGGCAGCAATGGCAACGGTCGAGGTGTATGGGCAACCGTGAACGCAGCCGTTGATGGTCTTTGAGACATTGGCGTGTCCCACCTTGTGCGCGGTGCGCTGGTGCTCGAGCATCGGCTGGACCGCCAAGACCGCGCCATATTGCGCGCACTCGATGTGGACACGGAGAGCGTGCTTGCGGATGGCCTTGCGGTCGTCGGCGAGGGTCTTGCCTTGGAGGTTGGAGATGTCACAGTTGTCCGACACGGGGCACTTGGTAGGCCTCCTGCCGCCGTGGATCTTCTTCTCGTGGTCCTTGTTTTCGTTTCCGTACGTGCGCACGCTGGGGTTGTGCGAGCACGCAGGAAAGACACAGCCGCCGCTGTGGAGGTGCTTGTGGACCTTGACAGCGTCCTGGGCTTGGGGACCGGGGGCCGTGTACCAGTTGCACGACTCATCAACGTCGCACACAACATCTCCACGGTCCAGAGCCAACTGGCGGGTCGTGTTGCGGCCCTTCATTGCTGGATTCGGTATCAGGAGACGATCACAGATCTGAGAGAGCAGGTATTCACTTGTTGGAAGGCTGGAGGACGCGGATCGGGGAAGGCGGTAGAGTCGGGGAAGGCGGAACTCAGAGGGGTACTGAAGTCCAGTGAATGAGGCGAGGGTTGCAAGGAAGATGTTGACGTCGGGGCAGTTGTTTGGGCTTGAGAGGAAGGTGTGGTGGCTGGGAAGGTGTGGTGGTTGGGAAGGTGGGCGGGACACGGGGGGCTGATGGAGAAAATGGAGAGTGGAGAAAGGGTGGGTGGGGGACGCTGTGTTTTGCGAGGCACCTCGGCCGTTGTACTGGAGCAATATGGTGTGAGGGGCCGAAGCAAGGATGAGTGAAAGATGGTTGAGCATGGAGAATGGTGGTAACTGGATGAATGTGAGAAGTGGAATGAGAGCGATAGTGGGGAAAGAAGAAGAGAAGAACAGGTGGGGATATGGCTTTGCCACCCCGTTGCCGTGGGTGGCCGTGGGAACGACGATTCAGAAGCACGCTTGGGTGGGGCGCAGGGGGGGCAACGGACGATCATTTACACAGCAGAAGCAGGACGAGGACCATGCTGTGCTCTGCACCATCCGGACTCCAAGAGAGTCACAACCAACTCCGAATGCATAGTTTTATAACATGCATAACGACATTGCAGTGGGCACCAGGGAGGGTCTTTGCTCTGGGTGTTCTGGCGGGTTGCCCGAAATTGCCCAAAAATGACCTGGAAAAGGGAAATTTGTCATGGCGAAAAGGCGCGCTTGCTCTCCACCACTTCACCATCTAGACACAACCAGAAGCACCATAGCACAATGCATCACGCACCATGCGCACCACAGAGATGCACACATGCCCCACAGGGATCAACCGGGCTATGGCCAGCGCGGTGCGTACGTATGTACGTACGCAGTGGATCGTGGATCCAAAAGGCGGTGTGGCACGCCGATCAGCGGAAGCAAAAAAACGAACGTGGCACACGGCGGCAAAAAGTGCAAACGGGTTACAACACTGTCTTGCCTGTCTCTTTCCTTCTCGTACCAGTCCAATTAATGTTCATCAGACTATGGCTATGCAATTGCCTTGCTCTACATCTACAGAGGAACCCTAAACCAAAGATGCGCGGGGGGATGCGAGGCATTTAGTAGACCTCGAGGACGTAACGCTCCTCCTCCTTGAGGTCCTCGATGTACTTCTCGGCCTTCTCGACGGACCAGCTTGTCTCCTTGACAATGGCGTCCGTGAGGGCCTTGAAGACGTCGGGAACGGGCCATGTGGGGCCACAGAGGTAGAACGATCCGTTCGAAAGAAGCCACTTAGCGAGCTGCTCGGCGTCCTCCTGCATCTTGTGCTGGATGTAGACCTTCTGGGGCTGGTCACGCGAGAAGGCGAGACCAGTACGGACGATGCCAGCCTGAACCCAGGCCTCAATTTCTGATCCATAAAGATACTCCTCTGCCGCGTGCCGGGCACCGAAGTAGTAGAGGGCAGGGCCAACCTCGATGCCCTGCTCCTTCTGCCAGGCGCGGTGCTGGAGGAAGGCGCGGAAGGGGGCGGCACCGGTACCGAGACCGGCCATGATGATGGGCTGCTTGTCGTCGGCAGGCAGCTTCATGACCGAGGGCTTGATGCTGACGGTGACCTTGGCGCCGACGGAGAGCTTGTTGAGGTAGCGCGTGCACTGGCCGTAGCGGGTGCGGCCGGTCGAGTCGACCCAGTCGACGGTGACGATGAGGAGCTCGACCTTGTCGCCGACGGCGGCCTGCGACGAGGCGATCGAGTAGTGGCGGGGCTTGATCTCGGGGATGAGCTCGAGGAGCTGCTCGAACGAGGGACGGGCCGAAGGGTAGAGCTTGAGAATGTCGGCAAAGTTGACGGTCTGGTTCTCGCTAAACTTCTGGAACATCTCGGCACCCTCGGGGACGGAGATGAACTTGAGGATCATGGCCTCCTCGCGCTCGGTGGCGTGCTTGGAGAGGTCGCCGTAGAACGACTTGCCGGGCTGGCCGAACAGGTCGAGGTTCTGCTGGAGGATCTGGAAGATGGTGCGCGAGACGACGGTGCCCTCCTTGAGGGGGTTGGGGCTCGAGACCACGGCCTCGGGGTCAAGACCGTACCACTGGCAGAAGTCGAGAACCTCGTCGGCCTCGTTCCAGCCGTGGATACCGATAGCCTCACCAATGGCGTACTTGAGGCCGGTGCCGGCAGTGTCAAGCTCGAGGTGGAAGACGTTACGGTCGTAGTCGAGGGGCGTAAGACGCTTGTTCTCGGCGACGGTGACGAGGAAGGTCTCCTCAGACTCCTCGGGGCGGAGGGTGGCGACGCCGGGGATGGCGTCGTCGCCGTCAAAGGTCTTGGCCTCGTCGACGGCGTAAGCCTCACGGAAGAGAATGTGGCGGGCGGCAAGCTCCCACGACGAGAGCGAGGGCTTGGCCTCCTTGTCGTGGGCAATGGCCTCGATGGTGTCCCAGACCCAGGTGTCCTTGGTCTTGTGGACGGTCTCGGGGTCAACGGCCCACGAGGCAATGATGTTGGCGGGGATCTCGTCGAGACCGGCCTGGGCGTCCTCGACGGGGTCGCGGCCGAGGTGGCCACCGTGGAAGGCGTCGAGGACCCTCCAGACACCCCTGGGGAGCTTCTGCGAGCCAGTGTAGAGGAGGAGGAAAGCGACCTGCTCGCGGATGGGGTTGAAGGCGCTCTGGGCGTTGACGTCGAGCAGGAAGACACGGAGACCCTTCTGCTGAATGGTCTGGATCTCGGCAGCGGAAAGCTTGGCGGGCACGTCCTCCTCGGACCAAGGGAGCTCGAGAAGGAGAGTGGCACCCTGCTTGGCGGTGGCAAGGACGTCGGTGGCCTTGAGGACGGCAGGGTCCGAAACCCAGATCAGGTCCGAAGCCGAGTTGGGCGAAACCGAGACGGCGGCACCCTGCGAGAGCGAGAGAACCGACTTCTTGCCAGTAACAGCGGTGGTGTTGTAGGTGGCAAAAGTGGTGGCAAGGGTGGGCGACGAGACGAAGAGCTGGGCAAGGAGCTTGGGGAGGGGAGCCGAGTGGGCGGTGAAGAACGAGACGACCTTGGCGTCCGACTCGGTGGCACCGGCAGCCGGGGTGACGGCAGCCTTGACGGTGGGGAAGACGGCCGAGCTCGAGGTGGGGGCCGAGAAGAGGACGGCAAGGACAACGGCCTTGAGGGCCTCGGCGTCGGCGCGGGTGGGGCCGGTGACGGTGACGGTCTTCTTGGTCTGGCCAGTGAGGACAGCGAAGAGGGCCTCGGCGTCGGGCGAGAGGGTGTTGAGGGTGACCTTGGGGGCGGCAATGGTCAGAGCGGCGGCCGAGGCCACGGCGAGGTAGAGCTCGTCAGAGTCGGCCGAGACAACAAACTCGTCAAAGGCACCAGCGTTGGGGAACTTGTACGAGGTGGTCTCGCGGGCAGAGTAGGTCGACTCGATGATGTGAATGACCTTGCCGGCCGAGGTGTAGAGGTGCGCGGCAGTGGCAACAACGTCGGCGCCGGCCGAGAAGATGACGTCCCACTCCTCGGAGAGGGCAGTGAGGGCCTTGACGACACCGGGGGCCGAAAGGGCGTCCTCGAGAGCGAGCGAGGCCGAGGGCTCGGTGGCAGCGACGTGAATCACAACGTCACCCTCAATGGTAGCGAGGTGGGGGGCGAGGAGGGGGAGAGTGGTGGTGGTGGCAAAGACGGAAATCTTGCCGGCGGCGGCCTTCTTGGCGTAACCGGCGAGCTCGAGACCAGCGCCCTCACGGGTCTGGACGGGGTGGACCTTGCCGGCGGCGAGGCCCTCGGCCTGCCAGGCAGCAAGACGCGAGCCAAAGCCAACCTCGGCAGCGTCGTCGTAGACCCAGACGGCCGACGACTTCTGGACAGCGAGGGCCTCGATGACCTCGAGGGCCGAGGCGACGACGGTCTCGCCGGCAACGGAGGTGGGGAGGGCCTGCTGAGCGTTGACGAGCGACTCGATGTAGCCCTCCTGGCCGGGGAGGAGACCCGACTCGGCGAGGACGGTGACGGCGGCCTTGGGGGAGGGGGCCTTGTCACCGGCCTCGGACACGGCGGTGCTGGTCTGCGAGTAAGGGGTCGCGACACCGGTGTCGAGGACGGCAGCCTTAGCGGCAGCAATGGCCGCGGGGGCGGAGGAGATGGCGACGGGAGCCATTTTGGAGGAGGAGATGGAGGGGGGGGGGGGGGAGGGGGGGAGAGATGAAGGAGAAGGAAAGCGATGTGTGGTTGTTGGGTATATGAACGCGGCGGCCTGTCTGCCTGCCCCGGCGGTGTGCTGACTGACCCGTTCTCTGTCGCTGCCTGCTGCCAAGTGCCCGTTCTGCCCCATCGTAAAGACTTTTTCTCCCTCCGAGCTATTGCGTGCGCGCCGGACACTCGACCCAGTTGTTCCGGCGCTTCCAAATGGGCAGATGAGATTGCGTGCTCGGGGGTGACCGCCGAGGCCATGGGTCCCCCCCGTGCCTGGGGAAATCCTTCGGAAGAGGATCGTCACGCCGTCCGGCGCCGCCCACAGCCGCAGGAACCAAACACCACTTTATTAACACATCATTTAATTAATGAAAAAAAGAATTGGAATCCATTATCAATTCGTAGTGTGTGTGTGGACGGCGACAGTGCGGACGCGCGGGGGCCGGGCCGGAAGATCCTCCATGGTAGCGCGGGTGGCGACATTGCGGTCCTCTCTTGTCGTCATTCAACTCTCGCCGTCTGTCTCACTGCTGTCTCACCGAGCAGCTGGGACCCTATAGCGGCACCATTGCAAGCTGTACACAAATTTGTGCATCCGTACACCTGTTGCCCGCTACGTCGTGGCCATGTCTAAACCCAGCTTATAGCCTCTCTGCCACGGACAAATCCATGACACCGTGTCTTGCAAACGACACATCCCAACTCCTAATACCAGGAGGTGCCTGCAAACATCAGCAGACTTGATCCAGTCGTCATCGGCTCCCACAAAAGTGTCCCCTACCCCAATTAGAAACCGGGACCCACGACCAAACACCCGAATCCAAAACCGAAATGAATATCTTATGGCATGTAACGAACACAAAAGCAGGAGTCATTCGCCGCAGCTCCACTTGACATCTCGGTATCTTACCTCTCTCGGCTGATAGCCGTTTTGTGATTCGGAGCATTGGCTCCAACAACGGCCTGGGCCGTAGTTGCGTTTGTCACCATGCTGTTCGGGACCACGGTTGGTTCATCGGCAGCTCCGTCGAGTGTACCTCAATGGCTGCGAACAAGTGACCGTCGCCTGTCAAGATATTCCAGACGGTTAGTAGCAGACGCCGTGACATGCCCGGCTTGCGGTTCTTAATGTGTCATCCTCTCACCACTGTACCACTGTGTTGCAGCAACGCAGGTGTGCTAGAAACCGCGGGTGCCACAAAATGTCCATCACCCGAAAGACAAAGGTGGCGCGACCAGCGTCTGGTTGCTAGACAGGCGAGGCAAACTGTGGCCGACGACAACGGTTATAAGCCCAGATCTGACAAAGTGGATCTGCCATAGGTTCTGTGCGAGGTCGCAGTCTGAAGCCGCCTTTGTCTACATCACTGTCACGTTTGCCGGCTCACTTCATGGCCCCGCCAGAACTCGGCTGACCTCAGCGCCGAGGGCACGGCTCGGCCGTGTGCCACACTGTACCTACGCGACGTTGGCATCAACGAAGCCAGTGGTTATCACCCCCTGTTCAGCTCTTGTGACATGACTGTAGCAGCCATGCCGCGCCCCCAAGAGACGTGTGCACAACCCTCTGCGCTTGTCCACTTGGCTGGGACTTGTCTGGGCCATCTCTTTTTCTCCCTCATCCCGTGACCTCAGCACCACATCTATGCCCATCCACGATCCCACGATTCCCCACATGGCGTCCATGGAAGCCAGAAAAGCCATAAAAGCCACCAGCGGCCTCTGCCGCCCCAGCCACCAGAAAACCCACATTCCGGGCCCCGCGCCGTGCCCAGGTGGCCCCGGATGGAGTGAGCGATGAGATGACCGGGGAAGAGCGCGTGTGGAAGCTGTATATCCATGGCCCATGCATTGTGCGACGGTCCATTCGCTCCCCCTCGCTTTTGACTATATACCGGCTCTGGGCTCACTGGTCTTTTGCCACTGACGCTGCGCTTGCTCTCGACAAGGTCCACTGCGATAAACAGGAAGTGTACGATGGCGACAATCACTGAGGTGCGCGAGCGGACCGCGAATGGTAACCGTGGCGGCGAGGCGACTGGTAATGGAAACGGCAAAGATGGCGAAGCGTCAACGTACAGCGGCAGTGGGTAGCAGCAGTAGAGTACTCTCTCCGCCAGCAGACCCCCACAGATCCACGGAGGCGCTGACAATGGCAGAGGAGCACAAGTGGGCTCGCCCCGCGGCGACCCGCGAGAACAGTGCCATGCTGGTGGGCGCGTACACGCCATACATTGTCCTGCTTGCCTTCACCCTAGTCTTCCACGAGACACCCTTTGCCGAGCGGTTCTACACCCACCTCAACGCGCACTACACGTGCTTCCAGATCTCGTTCTACGGCTCCCTCATCGTCACGACGGGCGTGTACTGGCTGCTGGGGTTTATCTTTATGGCATTCGACCTCGTGGACCCCTTGCACAACTGGATCAAGCGGTGGAAGGTCCAGCCCGACGTGCGGCCCACCTTGGCCATGTACCGCGAGGTGTTTACGCTGGTGGTCCGCAACTTGGTGTGCGTCAACGTGCCCGTCGCGTTCGTCACGTCTGTAGTGAACCCGTTCCGCGTCGACGTGCCCCTCCCGCGCGCCTGGGAGACGCTGTGGACCTTCTTCCTCACGCTGGCGTTTGAGGAGGTCGGGTTTTACTGCGTCCACCGCACGTTCCATAGCAAGCGCTTCTACGCGTCTGTCCACAAGGTGAGCCGGGGGGAGAAACCCCACCACAGTGTCGATTGATTCATTACTTAACGCGTGCTTGCCCAGACGCACCACAAGTTTACTGCCCCCGTCGCCTTTTCCGGAACGTACGCGACTGTGATTGAGCACTTCTTCGTGAGTACCCATATCCCTTCAAGTCCACTGTGCTCACACCACCGCCACAGTCCAACCTGTTCCCCGTCATGCTCCCCTTCTACCTCACCAACGCGCACTTTAGCTGCGCCATGTGCTTTTTCTGCTCGTTGCTAATGGACACGACCATCACGCACTCGGGCTACAACGTGCCGTACCTCATCAACGCGCTCAAGCACGACTGGCACCACTGTGGGTCGTGTTCGGGCAGACGTGGCCGTTGCTGACCCTCACCCGTAGACGCGTTTACGGAAAACTTTGGCCCGATCGGGTTCATGGATAAAATCATGGGTACGAACACGCGCTATAACGCGTGGCTCGGTGAGCTGAAGCGCCGGGACGTGGATGGCTGGCTTGCAACTGGGCGGCTGGAGCTGGCGGAGAAGACGCAGTGAGCGCACCTCGAGGCATATGGGTTCGAGCGTGACGCGAGCTCGTCGAAGGGATTGTAGTAGTTAGTGTAAATTGAGATGGGAGCGTCCTTCTGCAGCACACATTGTTTGCCTGCGCGATCGTTCATAACCCTTCTGATAGCCAGGATCCTTACAAGAGCAGTTTCGTTTTCAGCCAGAACACGACCCCCACCCACGCTCATGCTCTCTCTCGTTTCTCGTAACGCACCCCCTCCTTTCTCTAGCTTTACAAACCCGATCAGACACTTTTTGCTTTAGAGCTTGCCCTTGAGGATGGTGGCAGCGACCTTGGGGTCGAGCAGGGCGTCGGGGTACGGCGCGCCCGAGCCGCGCATGTGCTGCTGGCCGCCGTCGACGACAAACGTCTGGCCGGTGACCCACGACGCGGCGGGCGAGAACAGGAAGATGGCGGCGTTGGCAACGTCCTGCGTCTCGCCCATGGCGCCGAGGGGGATGGCGGCGCGCGCGTCGTAGCCGGGCGTGCCGAGGCGCGACATGCCCTCGGTGTTGCCGATGGGACTGTGGGAAGAGAGTCAGCTACGAGATGTACGAAATAGCTCAGCTCTTCGGCACCCTTGACTTACCCGGGAGCAACGACGTTGGAGCGCACGCCGCGAGGACCCTCCTCGACGGCAATGACCTGCGAGAGCGCGTCGACACCGGCCTTGGCGGCCGAAACGTGCGCCTGGAACGGCACACCCTTGTAGTGGAGGGTGGCCGAGATGTGCAGGTACGCGCCCTTGGTCTCGCGGACATAAGGCAGGGTGGCCTTGAGGGTGTTGTACGTGCCGAGCTGGCCGTGTCAGCTGGTTCCAAGTGCTTGCGAACAGCTCGTGGCTTGCACTCACAGTGTCAATCTCAAGGACGGTGCGGAAGGCGTTCTCCGAGAGCCCGCCAATGGGCGCGAGGAAGTTGCCGGCGGCACCTGGCATTAGCGCTGGACACTTTGCTGCTGTCGTCCGCGTAGCCATCACATGCAGACAGTGCAGCAGCCGGCCGGGTTGCCGCTGAGGCTCCCTTAAAGGACTTCTAGCAGCCTCGGCCGCTGCTGCACCGTTCGACGACTCGGACGCCCCCACTCATACTTACCGCAGACGACAAAGTCGATGCGGCCAAACTTGGCAATGGTAGCGTCGACGGCAGCCTTGAGCTCAGCGGGCTTGCGCACGTCGGCAGCGGCAGCGAGACACTTGCTGCCGGTGGCCTTCTCGAGGTTGGCAGCCGACTCGGCGAGGCCCTTGGCGCTGGAAACGGTGTCAGTGGGCAGTCCCAAAATGACGCAGTGGTGGGCAGGAATGGTGTGTGTGCGTGCGGCAGAAAGAGTTCTGGGTGCGATGGAATGCTCGACGCTTCGTTTTCCACATACACCCCCGCCCGCCCGTGGCAGCGCAGCACTCACTCGCGACCGAGAATGGTAGCGTTCGCGCCGTGGGCCATCATCTGCTCGACGAGCTTGTAGCCGATACCGGTACGGCCGCCGGTTGCGAAGAGCACCTTGCCGTTGAAGAGGTCCTTGCGGAAGACGTCGGTCATGTTGATTGTGGGTTGGGATGTGGTGGGTACGAGAAGGGGTTAAGTGTGGGCGAAGAAGAGACAGAGATGGGCGTGTCTCGTTGATAAATACTGTACAAACCAAACTGTGCTGACAATGCTGACGCCGACGGTCGCATGCAGCATCGTGACCCCCCCACAGCTGTCGGCGTGCCCCGCGGAGACACGGCATCTCGGCAATGACACGGCACACGAGCCGGAGTGTGGATTCCGGGCGGCCGGTGACACATCCCGCCAAACCCCTCCTACGCGCGGTGACGGCCACCATCTCCATCCCACACCCTCACGCAGGCAACAACGCGTTCGAGCTTGCAATGCCGCATACCGAGAGCAACTCTGGCCACACGCGCTGTTGCATACCCATCTCCGTCACAGGGACATTGCATCCTGGGGTACAAGCTACCTATTTCCGTACACTGCAACATGCTCTCTCCGCTCTCTCAATGTGCGCCTGCGCCGCGCAGGGCCCGGACCAGCTCACTAACAGGCTGGTGCTGCGTGGTCGTGGACGTGCTCGTGTTGTTGCTGCTGCTGCGTGCCTCATCGCTGACCACCCGGCCGCGGGGCCCGCCACGGCCGAGAAGCTCAGACCGCAAGCGAGAGTATGGTGGTTCACTGGACACTGACACGGACGCCTGGGAGCGGTGACGCTCCGGACTCTGGGGACGGGCCACAGGCGAGTGGGACATGGCGCGGACATGCGAGTGCCCACCGCCGCCGCCACCGCCGGGTGCCACTGCTCGCCGCAGGTGACTGCCTGAAGCGGCACCTGATGTTGGGGCCCGCCGGGGAACTGGAGCAGCGAGTGGGGAGGGTGTTTGCGCAAGAGCAGCAGCCCTCACACTGGTGGCGGAGAAGGATCGGCGAGGTGTGGCAGCAGAAATGTCGGAAGACGACACCTCTTGACTGAGCCGCCGCTCGCCTGTGAGTCGTCGTCGAGCACGAAGGCTGCGTCCGGTTAGCCAAGTACTTGGTCTCATGCTCATGAGGCAACTCACGCAGGCCGCCTGGCTGTCTTGGCACGGTACGCAGACTTCCACACCGCAAAGCCATCCGCTGTCGTTGCGTCAGTTGTGTGTCCCGCACGCTCACCGGCCGGTCATTGATCTTTTATCTCCGCCGGCCGGACCAGTTGCTCGCTCACCTAGGAGGCGCAAATCGTGCTCTTCAGCAATACGTCTGAGGTACCGCGTACGCTCAAGAGCGTGTCGCCATTTGGGAAACACAGCTCGCTGTTGCCGGCGCTTGTCAAACTGGACGGCACGTAACAAGCTGGACTTGGCGGTCCACTTGTCAAACACGTTGAACATTAAGGTGTCCTCACTTCGCAGGGCGACCTCCTCCGCGACGGCATGCAGCTCGCGCTCGCGCTTCAGGTCGTGCCACGCCGAGAACGTCTCCGACAGCATGCGCTCTGCACGCTCTCGTTCGAAGAAATCAAGGCGTTGCCGCAGGTCGAGGGCACGGCGCGCCTTGTGTGACCACGTGGAGAACGCACGTCGAGCCGATTCTGAGAGTTAGCTCAAGGGAAAGCAGACTAACTCACCCTCTCGCTTCACATCGATGAAGCTCTGCATCAGGGCGACGAGGTCAGCCTTGCGCTTGCTGGCACGTTTCCAGCGCGCAAATGCTTCGCCGACGAGAGCCGTGTCGCGCTGCTCCGCCACATCCAACTCCCGCGCCTTGAGCTCGACGACGCGTTCGGTCCAGTGCCCGAGGACTCGAGACAGGAGCTTGGTGTCTTGGGCCTGGCGGAAACGCTCGACCTGCTGGCGATCGACGAGGCTGTGAATCGTCGCGTCGCGCCATGCTAGTTGTCAGTTGCTGATAGGGGAGCCATAACTCACCATGCAGCACGGTCCTCAGGTCGGCTTTGCGCTTCTTCTCGACAAGCGCAGCTTGACGCTTGTGGGCAAGCGCGATACGCCACACCTTGAACGACATGCGGACGGCGAAGAATGCGTGCGCCTTGTCGGCTGTGACCATGTCGTCGGTGAGCTTGGTGGTTGCACCTTGCCATTTGCCAAACAGGCCTTGCTTAGTCCGCGCTTCAAAGATGAGGTCGGCCTTGAGTGCAGCGTTGCGCTTTTGGCCCAACACATCCCGCCAGCTGGAGAGGGCCGAGTGGAGATGCTTGGTGTCGGACGTGGCCAGGAACTCTGTAGCCTTGGCTGGCGGGTTAGCGGGGATTTGGCCGATCGGAACCCACCTTCCAGATCATCCAGTCGTGCCCGCTTAGAGTGCCACTGGTTGAAGGCGCCGCGAAGTCGACGGGTAGCCAGCACACGCCCGAGCAGGCGTCCGCGATCCTCGCAAGCCCAAGTGTTGAACGTCTTGCGCACAAGGGCGAGGTCACGCACCGCCACGACGTGGTCTGCTAGGTGTTCCCGCGTCGTGGTCTTGCGGATGGACACCTTGATGCGAGACATGGCACTCTTGAGAAGCTGGCGTTCGCGGAAGTTGTCTGCCGCAACAGTCCTGCGCCTGCGAGTTGTCAGCAGCCGGAGACGTAGTTAACTCACGTGGAGACCTGCCACTGGGACCACACGCTCAACATCAGCTGATGCTCTTGTCGCTTGACTGTGGTGTCCTCCAATGGACGGAGCGACGCCTGCTTGAACCACAGGTCAAAAGTCTGGACGAGCGTCTGGGCAGCTTTATGGCGCTCCCAGGCTTCGAGATTGTTACCCAGGAGGCGTGCGTGGTTGGCCTGCTTCCTCCACGATACGAATGCCGCCCGCACTGTGGTGTGCGCGTAGTGCCGATCTGCGGTCTGTTCTCTTGTATGGTCGCGCCATTGCTAATTGTCAGCTAGACTCGGTGTGCTACAGCTCACGTCAAACGTCCTTCTCAGGCTGTTGCGGTTGAGGTGTTGCACGGCCACCGCCTCTCTCTTCTTCAAATCGTCCTCCCAGCGCCGTGTCTGGATCTGAACGTGCTTGGTCCGCCAAGTCCTCCATACACGTCTCTTGGCGTCCGTCTCGCGATCAACACCATACTGCTGCTCCAGTTTCTCCAGACGGCGGTCCCGGAGACGTGCCAGCCAGCGGTCAATGACCTCCTGCTGCTTCTTGTGCGCATAGTGTGCGTCCGCCGTGCCCGGTTGGGTGAGGCGGAACTCGTGGATGGTACGCCACTTGGCTAGCGACTGGCGGAGCAGGATGGTGTCGCGGACACTGTCAATCTGGCTTGTCGTGCGCTGAATCCATGCGGCCGACTGGGACCATGCTCCCCAGCAGCGGCCGAGCAGGCCGAGACGATGGAAGGTGTCTGCTCGACGCTCCATCTCGCGCACGATGGCCGCGTCCAGCTCGTCGTCGATAGAAACCAGCACCTGACGTGCCTTGGGCGTCACCATGCCATCCAGCACTCTGGCCTTGATCGGGGATGAGATGATGGTCGAGTTGGCCTCGGACTCGGAATAGGGTGGCGGCGTCGGAGTCATGGCGCGCGAACGCGACGTGATGCCGTACCAGTCAAAGTCCTGAGCATGCACAGGGGTCGACGTGCGCATGGGAGGTGGGTAGAGCTCGCTGCTCATGCCCGAGTTGTCCGGCGTGTACCCAACTAATGACCGCAAGCTGTCCTCGATCGTCTTGCGCGGAGACTCGCGCGGCGTGGCCTCGCTGCCGGCGTCCGACTCGGAGGCGAACCCTTCGTCGAGGTCCGAGCTTGCGCTGGCGAGAAACGGAACGCGCTCGCGCATCGGGTTCGGCCTTCGCACAGTAACATTCTTCTTGGACTTGTGGGCGGGTTTGGCCACCCGCGGCGCGTTCGTCTCCTGCCAAACGTCCCACCGCTCTCCCCACGTCCGAGCGCGGATCATGCCGAGCTTCAGGAGGAACTGGTAGTATGCCTTGTCGGAGGAGGGACGAATGCCGCTAAGGACGCGTCAGATGAGGCTCTATGCACGCGACTCACTTCTCCTCGAGGACATGGCTGTATGCATCATGCACCTGGGCAAATGAAGTCGCGTCGCGTGCCCGTGCGAGAATGTCGCCGACAATGTCGAGGTCGATGCTCTCGGACAGGGACAGCGACGCCGAGAGTGATGGCGACGCTGAGCGTTGTGAGGGGGCCTCATGGCCATACCGAGCGAGCATTGAGCTCCCTGGCGCGATGCAATGATGATGGGGGGGATGGGTGTTGTTGTTGTTGACGATTGTTGATCCGGCGAACGACCGCTTGGCATCTCGACCACCAAAACACACACGACCAGCGCACGGAATTAACCTCCGTGCCTCGGATGCTGCGCCGTCGCCACCACCAGCGGATCTCACTCGTCTCCACCAAAGTGACACGTTCACAAGCCACCTTTGTACAAACCACCACGCTCTGCCGACCCACAACAGCAGAAGCACACCTACATCGTTACCAGCTTTACCACTAGCCCCAGAGGCACACAGCACGATGGCTGAGGCCAATTTCTCGGCCGCTCTCGCGACATGGAAGGGTCAGTTGCTTGACGACCCCAACTCCCAAGGCCCCGCAGCTGACATCCGGCAGAGATCAACCTCTCCGAGCTCCAAAAGTCGCTCGACAAGACAGCTCTCGAGCTCGTGGAGAACCAAAAGGAGAACATGGTTGGGCGTAAGAAGCTTGCCGAACAGACCAGAGGTATGTGCTGCACCGCCCATCGGCGACCGACCACTCCCCACTTCCATGTCGTCATATCGCCTGCCGGTGCTCACACGCGTCTCCAGAGTTCAAGAAGCAGCCCGACGATGCGGAAAAGTTTGGTGCCATCAAGGTGCTGCTCAAGGCGTACCAGGGCGAGATTGACAGCCTTACGCGTCGCTCCAAGATGAGCGAGACGTCATTCCTCAACGTCTACAAGCTCATGTCGGACGCTCCCGACCCGTACCCGCTCCTGGACGCCGCGGTTGACCAGACCGTCAAGATCGCAGAGGCACGGGTGCTGCAGTCCGAGGTTGCGCGTCTGCGCGAGGAGAACGCCGAGCTCAAGAAACAGGTTGCTGAGGGCTCGGCCGTGGAGGACAAGCGCAAGAAGGCCGAGGGCCGCGTGGAGCAGCTGGAAGCCAAGGTGGGTCCTGGCTCCGTTTCCGTGGTGGACATGACTGACGACACAGATGGACGACCTCATCCAAGACCGTGTGACTCAGAAAGAGAACGAGCTGAATGCCGAGTATGACGAACGGATGCGCAACTACGAGGAGCGGTGGGTACCGGTGCCAGACGGGGTTCTGACCCACCAGCGAAAAGGACCTCCAGCGCCAGGTGCAGACTCTCAAGGACCAGCTCCGCGACTTGCACACCTCGAACGAGAGCACTCAGGCCAAGCTCCTCGACGCCAGCCAGCGCCAGGGTTAGTTATCGGGCTACTGTCGATGAACTATGGCTGACTCTTGCAGAACAGGACGTTTCGGCCAAGCTCTCCGAGCTCGACCTCGTCGTTGCCGACCTCAACCGCGCCAACGAGCGTGTCGCGTCGGTTGAGCGCCGTAACGTGAGTTGGTCTTGGCACCCAAATGCTGACCCTTGCAGGAGTTGCTGCGCGCCGAGATTGAGACTGTGCGCAGTGGTTCGCAGCAGGCTGAGAAGTGAGTGTCAACCGTACACCGCATGTCGCTGACAACCCAGGGTCAAGGCGCTCGAGGACCAGGTGACGGAGCTCGAGCTCGAGGCTTCTCGTCTTCTCCGTGCCCTCGACCAGGTCAAGGAAACCAAGGCCGAGACGGAGCGCGCTGAGAACAAGCGTGCTGAAGATGCCGCTCGCGAGTCCGCCAACCAGGCTGCCGAGATTGATAGCCTCCGCACAAAGGTCAAGCAGTTCTCGGACTACGATGAGATCAAGCGCGAGCTGGAGATTATGAAGGTGGGTGGCGATGGCCGTTTACATCACTGACCCGCCAGTATGTCGAGTTCTCGGGTGCCGACCTCGACAACGAGGACGAGGACATCCAGCTGCCCAACCCCAACGCCGACGTTGCCAACAAGCAGCTTGGCCGCTCGCTCGAGAACCTCCTGGTCTCCAAGAACCGCCGACTCCTCGAGGACCTGACCAAGCTGCGCGTCGCGCACGAGGAGCTTAACACCTTGCACAACAAGACGGAAGAGGGTGGCGAGACAACGCGTGCCGAGGTCGAGCGCCTGCGGACGCTCAATGAGAGGCTGGAGAACGACCTTATGAGCCTGAACAAGGGCGATGGCGACAAGAGCGAGCGTAGCGCCGGCCTCGCTGGACTGGACATTGGCGGGAAGGGGAAGAGTGGCCGCACATCACCTGCTCCCGGCGGCGACGCGTCCATTCTCCCCATTGTCACTTCGCAGCGTGACCGCTTCCGCCAGCGTAATGCCGAGTTGGAAGAGGAGCTGCGGCGACAGTTTGAGACCATCTCGGACCTGCGCACCGAGATCAAGTCGCTGCAAGCCGACAACCTCAAGCTGTACGAAAAGGTCCGCTACATGCAGAGCTACCGCGACGGCGGTGGTTCGACTGTCAACATCTCCACTCCCGGCACGAGCACGCCAGGCGGCTCTGCGTACATGCTCAACGGCGCGTTGAGGAGTCGCGAGGAGGACATGGGCAAGTACAAGGACAAGTACGACGAGAGCCTCAACCCGTTCGAGGCGTTCAAGGGACGCGAGGCGCAGCGTGCAATCCAGGCCCTCAACCCGCTTGAGCGCGCCGTGTTCAGCCTTACGCGCGCTGTCATTGGCAACAAGCGCTCGCGTAGCCTGTTCATCCTCTACGCCGGATCCTTGGTAAGCTCGTTATCCCCGATCCGTGGTACCAGCTAACGTCCGCAGCATTTGCTTGTTCTGTTTGTGCTGTGGAACACGATGGCAGCGAGCGACAGTGCGAAGAGCGTACCTATTCCTCCGCCGCATTAGGAGGAGGATTGTCTTGAGACCTGTCTGTATGCATCAGCTGAGATACTTTTTTCTTTCTTTCTTTTTGGCGACGATGGCGGCCGGTCATGATCTGATGAGAGCGGATGAGACGAGCTGATCGAGCTAACGGTGTTGACGCGGATCACTCAGCGCCCTCGGCCTGCCAGTCGCCTCAGCCATCAGTCCAGTCCAGTCCAGTCCCCCACCCCCCACGGCCATCCCTCGGCGGTCAGCGTCTTTGCGTTTGTTTCTTCCATCACCTCTTCTTCATTCTTAACTCCTCTTCACAGACACCACACTCCCTCCTCACCCCAGCTCTTCCACCATGGACGGCCACTCCCACCCTTGCCACAGCCACGGAGACAGCACGCCTGGCAGTACAACCTATCCCCCCGAGGACTTTGTCTTCACGCACATCTTCGACCCTCTCGCCCACGTGAGTCTTCACACCCTCTTCACTCTGCGTCGTTTCGCCTCCATGTCCGATCACAGTGTCGCTGACCATCCAGCAAGCCCTTCGCCCCGTGCTCACTCGCGCGGTGATTGGCGAGGACCGTGACTGCATGGACATTCTCACTTCGTTTTGCTCGAGGGAGATGCAGGCCGTTATCGTCGAGGGTGGGTTGAAATAACTCGTGTCCTTGTTAACCCTCAGACCACCCTTGCTCGTGCTGTGACAAGTCGGGCAAGGTGTGCATTGCCGCCGCCAAGGTTGTCAAGACCTGGCCCAGAGCCAACTGGGCCTTTGCCACTCGGTGAGTTTGCCACCCTCGGGCCAAAATCGAGGCAGCCCTGTGGCCTGTGGCCTGTGGAGTGTACAGAATGTTGACGCCTCAGCTGCATCGAGTGCGCGCTCAACCACAAGTTCTGCGACCTCCCCCTCCGCACGCGCACCCTCACGTGCACGTGTGGATGGATGATTCCCGACGCTGATCGCTCGTCTCTCGAGCGCCGCTCGGACCTCAACAGGTTCTACGCGAAGCAGCTTGGCCTCCCCTTTGAGAAGCGTGCCAAGGGCAAGGTGTTCGGCTGCCTCATCAAGAAGCTCACCATGTACAACGACTGGTTCCTCCAGGTAGGTTGTCCTTCTCCAACTCACCTAACAAAACAGCACGCCGAGATGGGCTACGAGATGCGTCTCAAAGAGCTCTACCCAGCCATGTTCGCCCTTGGCCGCGCCGACCTCATCCGCGACGACGGCCGCTGGATCCTCCCCTTCCGTACCGACTGGCAGCCCTGCCCTTGCTACCCCGCCTCGCCCTGCTGCGACCATGAGCACAGGGACTGGTACGATGACAACGAAAGCGACATTGAGACCATTCCTCACATGGACCGCCCTTCGACTCCCGTCATTGAGATAACCGACAAGGGTTTGTGGGATGCGCTTGTCTGCACCATGTCCGAGCGTACTACCCGCCGTTACGCCAGTAACAACAAGAACGACGACGGCGAGCCCACTCCTGGCAGCGGTGGCGGTACCGCTCGTATCGTCACCCTCTGAACCAGCAGTCACCCCCAGTCACTCCGCTTCCCGCACGTCCTGTTCACAAGTACCATTCACAAGCCTCCGGTCACCAGTTTCACCAGCCACATTCACAGGTCCTGTTCACAAGTTTACATACGAGTCCAGTTGGTTCATGCAGCATAAGACATTTAGTTCGACAGGGGCGAGGCTGGGACGCTGACCTAAGGCCTGCCCATTGCTGACGTTGTGTGTGTCTGGATGGAAGCTTCCATGGCCATTATCCACACAATCCCATGCCCCCCTCTTCCCATACTCGCCACTTTCCGCTCACTGACTCAATCAATCACTCACTCACTTACCATGTCGCTTGATGACCCCCCAGCCTTCCGCTCCGTGAACGCCTCCCTCGAACACCCCGACTTGGCGCATGAACTCAGAGTGAGCTGTGGTCTTTCGCAAACTCAAAAGCTCATTGGAATACAGGCAGCTGTTGAAGGCACGACACTCTCCACACAGGCAGACACCCCAAGCCTCCTCGCCCTCTTGACCAAACTCACTGACGGCTCGTGCGCTGCCAAGCTTGGCCAGGTCAAAGGTAAGCTACGATCTCTAGGCCATAGCTGACAGAAGCCGACGACGCGTGTGCCTCCTGCCGCCGGACGAGTGTCGACTGCCGTGCTGCCGTCGTTGTCACAGACACGGGCATCACCGTCGTCACCGAGTGAGTTGCCAGCTAGCGTACTCTCCGTATGGTCCTAGCTGACCTCTCCTTCCCAGCTGCATCCAGTGCATCGCCACCAGCCAGCCATGCGACCTACGCCTCATGGACGTACCAGCACAGCCGTCATCCTCGACCGAAGTGGTTCTCGGTACGCCTCGCATCACGCCCGACAGGGACACGACCACGCTCGAGGACGATGATGCGGACATGTCGGAATGTGCAGGCTCTGTCACGAGCGAAACACCGCGCACTGTCACGATCAAGATTGAGACTGTGTCTACACCTCAGGACAAGCATACTGGCAGTGAGGAAGCAAGCCCGAACATCAAGAGCCCAATCGTCAAGAGCCCGAGCAACGAGAGCCTGAGCAACTACAATACGCCTGCAGATACGACGACGGTCACTTGTCGTCCACTTTCACCTGTACGCAACACTCCCGCCGCTCTTACAACTGTGGCTGCTGGAGCCGCTGCGGTCGACACTGGGGCGGCAGGAGCCGGCACCGAGGCGCATCAAGTGAGAACATCGCTCATCACCTCGTGGCGCTTCAACGTGGCATTCTATGGCCGCATGGCCGTCCGCTATCACGACAAGGAGTGGGCCAAGCGCGCCGAGGCGTGGCACTGGGACTTTGTGGTGCCGGCGACAAAGGTGAGGGTCGACGTCAGCTGTGCACGCATCACGAGAGCTGACTCTCGGGCCCAGGGCAAGGAAGTGGGACGTGCAGCGCGCGAGAAGCGGAAGAGGACTCGTAAGCTCGTCGGGCTCAAGTGGCGGGGACTGAAGCAGGGTGGATGCATGTGAGACCGTGTGCGACGCGTCCCCGACAAAGTTATGCATATAGCAGTCAATGTCCAGTGTTCATTGTCCGGTCGCGTTAGTGGCCGACGTCCCGAACCCCTCCGCAACGGGCTTTCCAGTCCGGGGATCAATCATGGCGAGGAAGCCATAGCTCCACAGCTGGACAGCATCGCCCTCGGTGCCCTCGGGGGAGAGTGCGCCGAGGTCGCCGACGGTAAACGTGCCCGTGGCATTGGCGAACACGGGCGACCAGACTTCAGTGTACAGCTCGGAGGCGGAGCCCTCGATCGAGGCCCAGAGACGGGCCTGTGCTTGCTCGAGGGCCGAGGTGAGAGTGGTGTCTGCGCACCACGCGGGGTTGGTGGCGTTGGCTGACGAGTTGGAGGCCACAAGCTGGGTGGAAGGCGAGAGACCGCAGAGACCCAGCTGCTTGCTGATACCCTCGGCCATCAGGCCCTGCTGCCAGCTCCAGGACACGGCGCCATGGTAGGCAAGGTTGCTAAACGTGTCGATGGCGGTCCGGTTGTTGTCGTACGCGGCGTTGGCGACGACCATGCCCACATTGGTGAGCAGACCGCGCGGGTAGGGCTGGAGTGCCTGGACGACAGCCCACATGAGGGAGGGGGACAGGTCCACGCCATACAGGAGAGCAAAGCCCAGGTCTGAGTGCAGGACTTCCACTGCCGATCCGTTGGCGAGGAGCGAGAGCGCGTAAAAGGTCGATGAGTTTGAGCCCAGGCCGATGGTCTGGGACGGGTCGGACCAGCCGAGAGCAGTGGCGTTTGTGGAGCCGTTCAGGCTGCCGCCGCCGTACAGCTGCGAGGTGGAGAGGTTGGCTACGGTGACGTAGTTGTCAAGCGAAGCGGCGGCCACATCGGGTGCGATGGTGACAGCGAACATGTCGCACGCCTTGGCCTCCCAAACCTGTGCGGCGGACGAGGCATTGGCATAAGTCGACGGGATGTGACCATCGGCCGCGAGCTGGCCGATAGCCCTAAGAGCAGCCGGGACAAGCGCGCAGTTAACATCAAACGCGTAATGACCCCATCCCAAACCCGCGTTTGAGTCACGCCAGTCACCGACCGGGTAGGAGCGGAGATCGACGAGGTTGGCGACGGACGGGTTGGCAGTGAATGCGGCCGAGAGGTTGAGGACGTGGTTGATGTTGGCTTCGAGAAGCTCGATGAAGGTGCCCGGAACAAGAGTCGAGTTGCGCTGCAGGAACGAGCTTGCGCGGTCTGGGTGTTGCTGGAAGTAGTCGGCAAGGGTGGGCAGGAGGAGGAAGTCGGTGTCAACCATGCTGTAAGCGTAAGAGGCCTCGTTGCCCGACGCGTAGAGGCCCGCATTGCCGTCTGAGGTGAGGTCAGCCTGTGTGTGCTAGGTCTATGGGCGGCACTTACTGACAAACGACGCATAGTCGCCAATGGTCTCCTCGTGGCACAGCTCGCCACTGGTCGCGTTGGTACGCTGGATCACGGCGGCAAGGATTGCCTCAGAGGCCTCGGGAGAGAAGACGGAGATGAGGAGCCGGAGAGCAAGGAGAGTGTCACGTCCGAAGTCTGTTGTCAGCTCTGAAGAAGAGATCGTGTTCCAGCTCACAGGTAAGGAATCGCCAACCACCGGCAAGCGATTCGGACTCGTAAGAGAGGAAAGCGAGCTGCTCCGTGATGGTACCGGCACTGGTCCGGATAGCGTTCAGGACCAAGTCCAAGTTGGAGCTCGTAGTGGCTGTCCCGCCCGTGCTGTTGGTTGTAGGAAGGAAGAGCGAGTCAGCGCTGAGACCCTCAAGAGGGACATGGGTGGTAGCTGGAGTGGTGCCGGTAAAGTTGAAAATAGAGGTGAACGAAACAGTGGCGTTTTGAGAAGAGTCATTGCGCTTGATTATGATCTCGGGTGGGATGGTGACATTCTCATTGGGGGTGACAGTGATGGCACAGTTGTCGATGGCGGAGAATGAGAAGTACTGCACGGTAGTGCCGTTGATCCAGTGACGGACAAGGGTGACACTGCTGTCATTGTATGGACCAAGGGTGTAGTTGAAGATCGAGTGGAAGACGGTGCCACCCGACTCGACATAGTCGCGGAGAGTACGGACACCCCCGACTGAAGTAAGCTCGTGACCCCGCCACCTCAAACTTACTCAGAGTAACACCAAACGTCGCATCACCGTTAAGCGACAGCTGACCAGTGATACCACTTTGGTTGAATTCTTGGCGGACGCTGGTAACCGTCGCAGCATTAAGTTCTGCCCCCAAGGTTTGGTTATCCGCAGGAACAAAATAGACGAGGGCACCCGTGTTACCGTTCGGGAAAGCTGTGATAAACCGGACGGGCTTTGAGGCAGTTGTGCTGGAGTGACCGTTAGATGGGACACAGCGAGGAAGATGCCTGCACTCACTCTGAGACGACAATCTGTGCCGCAGTAATGTCGTCGCGGTAGACATAGTTGTTGTATCCAGCAAAGTTGATCGGTCCAAAGTTGAGAGCTGAAGAGCTGTTGGCCGCGGTGGATGGGGTGGTTGAGGGACCGGTTGCCGATGGTGAAGACTCGACTGAAGCCGCAACTGCATACCCAGGAGGGTTACCGCCATTTCCAAAGGGAGCGTTGTCGTGTACTTTCCAAGCGGACGCTATGCCCGCATATGTGGCCAGAGCAAGTAGGACTGCAGCGACCATGGCTGGTAGACTTGTCAGATGTCTTGTGAGGTTGGGGCTTTGCTCTTCAGCAACGTCTCGCTTTTGAACCATTGAAGGTGTCGCCGATGACGACAAGGGCCGTGACCGCGTGGTACCGCTACGGGAAACCTCCTTCTTCTCCATGGGAAAACGGAAGCGTCAGCTGCGCACGCTGATGTCGTTAGTGGATGAGATCGAAGGTGGATGACACCAAAGTGTACGTTCGTTTAGGTGCCTGGTGACGTGTGGAGATGCAAGATGGTTTCGGTGACTAGTTCGGTGCGCAGGACCATCGGAGGCCACCGAGATGGCGGGGTGGGCAGCCCACTGAGGACTCCCCACGTCCGCCGAGGACCCTAGGTGACACAGTGCCTTGTGGAGGGTGGGGGGAGAATGTATTTTGAGTGACCCCCCACTAGAAGACAGGTTGGGCGACAAGAAGTCTGCGCAAAAGCTCTCCAGCTCCCCGGTCCTGCCATGTTGTTTTGTGTTTTGTTGCATCCAAACGCAAACTGGCCACACGCCCAACATGGAACGACGAGGGCGATGACGTAACGGGCCGGTGCCTGCCCTCATTTAAAATACTCCCGCTAATCTCTATTAACGGGGTTGGGGAACTTTTGTAATGGCATTCAAACCAGATCCAATTTGAGGGGCCTACGCATCTCCTCTCTCGGCCGTCTCTGCCGTTGTTCCATCACACCCCCCCTCTGTCTCACTCAACTCCACCACCTCAATCAACACTCATCTTTTTACCCACTCCGTTGCTCTTCAATCACCCCTCTCATATGGCCAGGTAGCCCACCACTTGTAACCCCCGCAGCCAAACACATACATGGCGCCGGACGCCAACTACCACGACACTACAGAATCTCACTGCCGCCAGCGGCGCCCGAGTGCAACCATCATGCTAGTGCCGGACCTTGCCTCGCCTGACCCGGCCGACGTCGACGGGGCCACCCCCCTGTCAGACTTCGGCACACCTTCGTCGCCGACAAGCAGCACCAGGTCGTCTCACCACCGACTCCCGCTGCACTACGCACATTCTCACCACCTTGCCAACCAGCCGAAGCCCCGCCAGTATCAACGTCGCTCGTACGCACACTCTCACCACCTACACAACCAGACATCGCCAAGCCTTGGCGCGCACCCGTGTGAGGCATCGCCTCCAAACACCTTTGCTCGTCCCCCTGCCACTTCCATCTCAAATTCATCAGCGTATGCCATGTCGCGTCACGACTCGGACATGTCGTCTGCCGCAGAGGAAGGCGCGGCTGGGCCAGTACCCACCGAGGGCACTGCGCTGATTGCCGAAAACGACAAGGGCAACTGGTACCACGGTCCCCTGTTTATGACGGCTGTGAAGTTGGGCATACTGTTTGTGTGCTTTAGCGGCCTCTTGCTTGGGACACTCTACTTTGGCATGCCCAACGTTGCAGAGTGAGTGGCGTGTTGTGTTTGTCCCACAGATAATGGGGCTGAACTGACAATTCAGTGAGGACCGTCCCGCGCTCAAGATTCCGCACAGCTTTGCAGAACTCCAGGCTCTCAAGTGGGTTGGTCAATCCATTCCTGTGCTAACCTTCACAGTGAACTGCTGCACAAGTACAAGGGCCTGTACCCCTGGCGTCTGTGTTTGTGTGGATTCGTGGCTTACCTCTAGTGAGTGACTCGCGTGACCATCCAGGACGGAGCTCCTCGGCTAACCTTTCCGCAAAAGTGTGCAAGCCTTCACTCTTCCGGGATCAATGTACATTTCGATCCTGTTTGGAGCGGCCTTTGGCATCGTTCCAGGCCTGATCCTCTCCTGCTTGGGCGACTCGTGCGGCTCGATTCTCTGCTACACCCTGTCGGCGATTCTCGCACCGCCACTCCTCGAGTTGCCCTTTTACCGCAGGAAACTCGAGTCGTGGCGCAAGAAGATCATGGGCGACCCAGACAAGGGCGAGGAGGTCGGCTGGGACAGTGTGTTTACGGTCCTCGTCGTCCTGCGCATCATGCCCCTGCCCCCACACTGGATGGCAAACTTTGTCGCTCCCCACCTCGGCATCGGCATGGGAATGTTCTGGCTCACATGTTTCATTGGCATTGCCCCCGTGTCTGTTATCCACGTCACCATCGGTTCGTCGCTCGATCAAATGTCCTCGGCCGAGGACTTTCACATTCTCTCGGTCCGCAACGTTCTTGGACTCGGCGCTGTCATTGTTGCTGTCCTCATTCCTGTCGGACTCAAGCGTGTCTTCCGCAAGGACCTCGGCGAGTTTGCGGACGAGGAAGAGGAGACAGCGCTCGTCGAGGGCCTCGACAACCTGGAGGACATTCCGGCTCCCATTCCTGTCGAATTCGATGAGCATGGCCTTCCGAGGAGGTATCAGGCTGTCGATTCTGGCGTGCTTCTCGCCGGCCCATCGGAGGGAGACCCGGCGTTCGACCTCGAGCCCGAGACACGTCCGCCGAGGAGCCAGGGCAAGAGCCGCGGCGTCCACATTATTGCCAGCATTGAAGAAGCAGACTCGGATGGCCCAGCCTACGAACTCGGCCACACTGCTGGCAACGTTGGCCCGTCAAATGGAAAGACCCGCTCAGGCTTCCGGCCGCTTACCGGTTACGGCGCCATCGAGCCCGTGGCGTCTGGAGAACAGCATGCAGGCCCGTCAACTCGCTGGTGGCGCTTTGCTGGCAACTAGACAGCTGCTGGCAGGAGAGATCCCTATCTACTGTATAATACTCCTATCCCCTCACTATCACTATCTACAATTGCTTGTACAGCAACAAACAGCATGTATGGTTTGCGCTTTGAGAGACACCATGGATCAATTTTCAGGGCTGCGTTGCCTTGCCGCCGGGATGATGGGATGATGGCGCCGTTGCCACCCTCCGAGTGCGCGCGTGCCCAGGGCTGCTGTGACGTTTGGATGCCGTTGGCCGTTGGTAACCGCTCCCCCCATCCCCCCATTCTCCCCATCATATTCCTGGAGACTGGATTGCTGAATTGCTCCTCCAACCTCTCCACAAGCCTACAAACAGCATCCAAACATGGTCTACACCATCGTCGTCCACCTCCAGTCCAAGCCCGTGAGCTACACTCCCCCCAACTGCCCCCCACCCCCTAGCCGTCAACGCCCACTCTCCCACCAGTGGGGGCACGCGACTGACACTCGCAGGACACCGTCGACAAGCTCAAGGCCAAGCTCATCGAGGCCGCGGGCGTTTACCGCAAGGACAAGGAGACGCTCGACTGGCACGTCATGCAGGACCCCAAGGACGCGACCAAGTTTTGCATTGTCGAGCGGTACTTGAATGAGGACTCGCAGCAGTACCACTTGGGCAACCCTGTGAGTGGAGTGGAGTCGAGTCTACTCTCAAGGAACAGTAGCAGGCGTCGCTCTCGCGAGCAAATGGCAGACAATGATAAATGGCTGACGGCACAGTACTGGAAGGTGCGAACGCGTGGGACGGACGTGCGAGCAGGCTGGATAAGATACTGATGTTGCAGACCTTCGACCCGTACGTCATCCCCCTCCTTGCCGGCCCCATGGACCTCACCCGCTGGGAGGAGATGTAAGAAACCCACGTTTACGAGGAAAGCAAAAGTCTATGTGTGATGAATGCCATGCATACTGGCCAACAACAACAGTTCCCGTCCAGATATCTGCTGCTGCCCCCGCTCTCTCTCTCTCTCTCGCGTCCTGTCTCCTCTGTCGACTGTCCGTCGTCGAATGTAGCTGCTGCCTGCCGCCCTCGTCGCTCTCGTTGCTCAGAACTTGAACTTCTCCGCCTTCTCCTTGCCCTTCTTGTCGTCTTTACGCGCGCGCTTTTTGGTCTCGCCGAGAATGACGTCGTCAAACTCGGACCTGTCGGCATGCTGGCCAGGGACGTGGACGCGGGACGTCTTCTCGCTCGCCTCCTTGTACTTTGCCTTGAGCGTGGACGCGTCCTCGTCGCCGTCAAGCGAGACATCGACGTCGCCAGACTTGCGCTTGGTGCCCCTGTCCTCGCCGAGCAAGGGTGCGTGCGCTGCCGAAACGTCGTATCCTGTCGAACTGCCCATGAAGCCCTTGACGGTCGTCTGGCGCTCGGGAATGACAGTGTACAGCTCGCGAGGACCAGAGGGACCTTCGTCCGTGTCGTCGCGCTGCATACGCTTTCGCAGCTCGATAAAGTCGGGTGTCTCCAGGCCGCCGGGGACAGTCGAGGTGACCGAGTTGTAGCCGCTTGGTGTGGCGAGACCCGATGGCGTCTCGAGGCCGTCTGCTGGTGCTCGCACAGGCTCGCCATCCTCGTCCTCGTCCTCTTCCTCTTCCTCGTCCTCTTCCTCCTCTTCCTCCTCCTCGTCGGACTCTTCTGAAGAAAATTGTCAGTTGGGTGTGCCAAGACAACATGCTCAAACTCACCAGCCTCGATAATCTCAATGTCTCCCCAGCGCGAGCGGTCGACGGCGTTCTGGTTGGCAATCTCGGCACCCTGGACCACACCAAACACATCGCCGTACAGGGGACGGTTAAAGTCGTCCATCGGAGGCTTACCCCAGCCTCCTGGGTGGAAGCCCCACTGAGCGCCCGTGGGGATGGGTGCGTTGAGACCGGGAATACGCAGGTTGGGGTAGCTGGGAGGAGGGCCGAAACGCTGCATGGCAATGAGCCATGGGGGAGGAGCCAGTGGGGGGATGGACAGAGCCTCGATGAGGTCCTCTGACAGCTCTCCGGGCTTCTTTGTCCTCAGGTCGGTCTCGGCCTCCTTGCCCTCGTAGTATGCCTCGCCAAACTTGCTCATCTTGGGCTTTTCTTGATACCTAAAGAAGGCGTCGTGGAGCTTTTGGTAGTCGATATCGATCTTGCCCATCTTGGGCTGCACGCGCTCACGCGTCTTTTGCGACAGGCTCTGCGCCTGCTCCTTGGCCTTGACCGCATCACGCTGCTCTCCGATACCAGTGTCCGCAATCCAGGCTGTAGGAAGTTAGCACAGATACAGTCTCCATACGCAAGGTGGCACGGCACTCACGAGGAAGGTTATACGCCATCTTCTCCATACCACGACGGCCAGAGAGGTAGTCGCGCTTTGCGTTCCAGTGGCCTGGAACAGGGACGGTGCTGGATATTGGTCAGTTGCAAGCTTGGACGTCGGAACCAGAACAACTCACTTGCGATACGCCTTGAGCGTCACCAACAACCTGGGGTCACGCGCGTCGGCGTCAAACCACTCCACAACCTCTGGCCGGTCGACATGCTGCTTGAGCTCCGACACGCTGAGCTTGGCAGCTTGTCTCCTCTCGCGACGGGTCATGCCTGCGTCTGCCATGGCACGCTGCTGAGCGCGCTGGACCGTCTCCTCGTCCTCGTCCTCGTCGTCCGAGTAGTACACCTGGCCCTTGGCGGGTCCGTCATCGACTGTCGGCAACCCATCTGCCGACTCGTTGAAGTGCTTGAACACGTCCGAGAAGGCCGCGAATGCCGGGTTGGACGCATCGGGTGTCGCAGGTGCGTCGGCGAGGAACGACTCGACAGTCATGGTCGACACTGCGGATGCCGAGGACGCGACCGACTCTGCCTCGCTCTCGGCGCCAGACTCTGACGGAGTCTCGGGAGCGGCGCGCTTGGCCTTGGCCTTGAGACGCTTGAGGGCGCCGCGCGACTTGGCTGCCGATGACTTGACGCCGCCAGAGTGACCATTGGCTTCTGTGTGGCCGTTTGCTGCCACTGGAGCCGGCATGGTTGGTTGTTGTTTGTGTGGTGTGGTTGTCTAGGGGTTGGTTGTTATTTGTGTGATGGTGGCCGCAAGCAGTAGCATAATGAGCCTCGAGCCAACCATCCAGCGGCATTTGCGGGATTATTTTTGGGTGGCGGATAATAAGCCGCATGCGGGCGCCTGGCCCCCTGTTTGCCACCCAACGTTGGGTTTAATATGGCCGTGTGTGGTCTTCTCGCTCTTGTTCGCACCCACCCCTTTGTCTCATCCACCTTTCCATCAACCCCCTTCATCGACTGCTCCAGCAACCCCCTCTCCATCAACCCACCTACACCGTCCTCTGCCTTGCCCAGGAGCCAGGCTGGGACTGCCCCCTCCTCGCACACCCCCTTCCTCACATCTCGCCGCATCACACACTCCCCTCTCCCTCAACTCTCCTTCATCCAACCATGGCCACCTACCAGCAGTCCGGCGGTGGCTCGGGCTCTGGCTCGACTATCGGTCGCGGAGCCTCGCGAGCCTTGAGCTCGGCACTCCGCAGCGCTGCCCGGAGCACCGACAGCGGCGAGTCGATGGACCTGGATGGTGGACTCGGGAGGGCAGGCAGGGGCGGCCACAGGCGCACCGGTGCCCGGTCAGCCGGCCCCCTTGACCAGGTAAGTTGATCTCTCTTTACATCTGAGTGGATTCTAGGTATAATCCGCGGTGCTCGCCTGAAGGAGGACAACTTTTGCTGTTCTCTCGGCGGCAGCAGCGGCGGCGGCGGCGGCGGCGGTGCGAGTCGACCCCAACGTCGAATATTCCAGAGGGTGCAATACCCCTCTCGGCCACCCTTTTACCTGCGCGTGGTAGTAACCCTTGCACGCACCTCTCCGAGGAGAGTCGACCATGGTGACCCCCGCCATGGCGGGGCCCATGAAAATGCGGGAAGAGGCGGCGAACGGTGAACGCGCCGAGTGGCTTGGCTTGGCTGCTCGGAATGAGCGCGTTTTGCTCGTCAATGAATGTTCGCTCCCGACGTCATCCGAGAACAACCACCACCCTCAATCCGGAGTGTGCGCCACCCACTCATCCCGCTTCGCCGCATACCACCACCACTACTCTTGTACTCGCAGCATCCATCAAGCTGACGCTGAATCTCCCTCGTCACGTCGTTCCCCTCACTCTCTCAACATGGATGCCGAATCACCATTCCTCTTCCTCCCTCACCCCTCTCCTCCTTCTTTGCGACACCAGACTGGCCGTCATCGCCCGCCTAAGGAATCCCCTTACACCAAGCCTACGGCGGCGGGCAGGTCGTTGTCGAGCCGCATCAGCGGCCCACCTGGCTCGTCTGGGTCGTCCACTCGGCCCAAGCGAGGGGCCACCAACATCAACCCCAGGCGCAACCCCGAGGGCACGCCGGACGTGCTCAATGACCGCAACCCCAGGCGCCAACAGGTCCAGCAGCAGCAACACAGCAAGTTTAACGAGGTCTTGAAGACCGATGGCTTCAAGGCATGGCTGCAGAGCCGTCTCATCGCTCCCGGTGTTCTCGACATGTCGGTGAGTTGTGACAAGAGCGTAATTGAATGGACAAAGTGAAACTAAATCTCTTCCAGAACCTCAACGAGGACCTCTACCTCAAAGAGCAGGGTATCCTCCCTCCTGGCGACAAGGACGCACCTACCAACGTTGGCCATGTCCTCTGGAAGATGGCCTCCAACGTCCTTGAAACCCCTACCGACCGAATCCACACCCTTTCTCTTGCCCGGAACGGCTTCAGGAGCCTGCACCAGCTCCAGCGCCTGCCTATATGCCTGCCGTATATCCGCGCTCTCGACCTCAGCGACAACCCGGTCCCCAAGAGTGACGAGCTCAAGCACCTCCAGTCTGCCGGCGAGCAAAGGGGCAAGGCGTCCACTGGCATCGGCAGTCTCAAGAGTCTCGTGGAGCTCAAGCTTAACGGCGTCAAGTTCCGTGAAGAGTACCTCACCCAGCCCAAGGGCGCTGAGGCTTACCAACACGACGTCCTCCGCCGCTTCCCGGGTCTGTTGATCCTTGATGGCGTACAGCTCAACCGCATCGTCTTCCCCGTGACGCGCAAGCCTGTCGTCAGGCGTATCGAGGCGGAGCGCAAGCAGTTGCTTGCCCGCCCTTTCTCGTTCCCCTTCGACGTCGCCGGGAGCTTTGAGGAGAACGAAGGCTGCCGCGCCACGGCCATGAACTTTTGCCAAATGTTCTTCCTCCTCTGGGACACGGACCGCAACGAGATTGTGCACGCATACCACCCCGAAGCGACCGTCTCGATTGCAGCCAACACGCTCCCCAGCCGCTCGTTCCAGGCTACCGAGGTCTCGCGCTCGCGATCGACTCGCCCTCAGCCTGTCTCGTTCGAGTCTTGGGTCAACCTTCCCGGCCGCAACTTTTTGCGTAGCTGCACCACCATCGAGCAGCGCACCAACACCCTCAAGTCACCCATGGACATGCCCGAGTTTGTCCGATGGCTCACCAAGAGCGTCCCCAAGACCAAGCACCCTCTCGAGGATGCCTCCAAGTGGTGCATCGATGCCTGGTACTTTGACGAGACTCAAGAGCGCATCTCGGTCGTCATTCAGGCAGAGTTCCAGGAGCTGCCGTCTGGCACCTACCGCTCCTTCACCCGCACATTCATCCTCGGCGCAGCTCCCCACGGCTCCCTTGCTGCGGCCAAGAGCTGGCCATGCATCGTCCTCTCGGACGTCATGGTCGTCCACTCGTACCTCGGCACCGGCTCCTGGGACTCCAAGTCGTCTCTGGCCTCGGGCGATACCACGATCGTGCCCCCAGCCGAACCCAACACTGCCGCTCCCGCCAGTGATGCCCAGCAGGCTGTGCTGATCGAGCAGTGCCGACTGCGGACGGGAATGAACGCGACGTACTCTGCCATGTGCCTCGCACAGAACGGGTGGGACCTCGAGCGCGCCGTCGTCAACTTTGGCGAGATCCGCTCGTCCATCCCGGCCGAGGCCTTTACACAGTAGACTGTCTCTGTCTCTCAAAGGACAATACCACCATATCCTCTATCAACATCCCAAGAATCCCGAGCCCACAATCCCCAAGAACAACAGCAACAACAACAACACCTCCCCCCCGGTTCCTACACCCGAGTCACTACCACACCATTAGTGGCACCCTGGGCCACCCCCCTTTTTTTCGTGCATGTGAGAGGAAAAAAATAGCATGTCTCCAAACCAACAAACAACCAACAATCAAACTATCCTATGTATTACCCATGCCAAAAGCAACAACAGCGCGCAAGTGCGCAGACTCTCAAACACTCCCTGTGATCGTGCATCTGAGCAGTTCCAACGTTGCCGAGAGAGGTCGAGAGGTCTTCCGGGGGAGTTGCGACTAGGAGAGGCCCAGGATGGCCATTACTCATGGCCATCGCCCCCCAGGTGGACGGGCAGACTGATGACCGCTGACCGAATATACTTATCACCACTCATGAGCGCAGACAATGACCAGCGGTCCCAGAATGTGATCGAGGATGGGGACGAGGTGAGATCGAGGACGGAGAGTGAGGATCAGCCCAAGGCGTCATGGTTGGGATTTGTGGATCTGACCGATCAGAGGATCAGGTTCGCCGAGGAACGGTGCATGCTCGTTGCCAGTCGTGATCATCCTCTCTCGGGCCTGGGGCATCTGGCCTCTGGCCTAGCCTGCAAGGGTATTCGCGGGGGCAAGGGCACAGCACACAGCGGCCCAGAGGCCCAGAGGACAGTGGAGGAACGGAGTCACAAACGATTCCGACACCGTGCGCCTCCACATATGTATGCCGCTTGTTGAGTGTGCACAGTTTTTTTTTTCGCTGTAGGCGTACGACAACCCGACGACGATGGGCCAGCCTCTGGCGCAACGGGGATAAAACAGCTGGGGGTACTGGAGAGCTGCATACTGTCGTCGACCAAGGCAAACAGCTTTTGGGACGAGGAAAAGAAGGAAAAAAAGAAAAGAAAAGTAAAGTAAAGTAACCGCGGCTCGTATCACAGCGATATCACAGGTCGTGCCACAGTCAATATGGACCATGGGAACCTATGAAGGTTCTATCTGGGTTCTACCCGTATACATGAGCTAGGGAACGGCATACATAGGCACAGTGAATGTATTCTTCTCCCGCACCTACATCGTCTCCTATCCTCGACAACATGTTCTCTCATCTAGTACCACAGCCGTGTACCCTCGACTACTACTGATAGGTGTCCCGCTCTACCCGCCAGGTCGACCTGTATCGTGCCCTCTGGCAACCGACGTGGACGGATCCGCCACGCCGCCGCCGTAACGACGGCGGGCACTGGGACGGCAATGGCCAGCTGACTGTCTGCCCACTGCCGACGCCGCTGACGGACTGGGTGAGATTGCTGCTTTTACATAGTCAGCGGCAGAGGGGGGAAGAACGCCGTTCAGCGTACCCGTGGTTTGGGTAGAGTAACTAACTAACCGGCTCGTCACGGACACGGACACGGGTGCGGCCGGTGCGGGTGGGTGTGGCGCGTGAATGCCGAACGTGCGCCATTTGTATCATGGTACAGTACTTACAGTCCGTACAGTATGTACTCGGCCCACCTATCGAGCCACAAGCCACAAGCCACTAGCCAGTAGACATAACACCCCACTCGTCGTGGCAGCAGGACCATGGCATGCGCTCTTGTGGTCTGCACGCTCCCACGAGAGCAATGCTCTGCCGAAACGCAAAACCCCACGGATCCACGGATCCACGGACACTGGGGGCTACGGGGGCTACGGGACCCAGTGACCACGGCGCGCGGCCCATATGGTATGGGCCGCGCGCGATCTCGTATTGCCGTCCACAATGCCGGAAACGAGGGGGCCAGCGCGTGGGTTGCATACAGTAATGCCCGGCTCGGCTCGGCTCGGCTGAGCTGCAGAGCGGCGCGCAGCGCGTGTCGCGGCTGGGAGTCTGGCTCCGAAATTGAGGTCATGAGAGCCCCGCGGCCGCGCCGGGACACATGCCGGCGGGGTGCGGGGAGACGACGCGGCCTGGGGGTTGTGGGGGTGGGTCTGGTCCCGACTAGCTTGGCTTGCTGCGTCCCGCGTTACGTTTATTTCTTGTGGTTTATGTTAGAACGGAAAATGCAAAGGTGGTTCAGCATGCAGCAGTGGCACAGTGGGGATCACACAGGCGTGCAAGTATCTCCACTGCGGGGGAGTGTGTGGCGGAGAAAGTGGGTGGGTACGGCGTGTTGTCGCTTGGGCCAAGGGTAATTGTTGGATAAATTACGTTTCTTGGGAACGGATGGGATGCGGGCTTGTTCTCGAGACATGGTGTGGGTGGGATCGCGAGTGGCATGGACGAGAAGGGGGAAGGGGGGCAGAAGGAGGGCCCATGGTGCGGGACGGAGTGAGGGGACGGGAGCCACGTCTATCGCGTGAGCCACTGACGCGCTGACGAGTGGCAGAATGCACCATGAACACTGTGGACCGCCACAACACCACGTATGTACCTAGCACGAGACAGTCCCAAAATGCTGTTTGTACTCCGCCTCGACTCATGTTCTCCACGGGCACTGCGGGCCACCGTCTGCCCCTATTCCCAGCAGGAACGCCTACGAGGGTGCCCAAGAACGGTCCATGAGCGCAGCAGCACATGGCCGTCGTATCTCGGCATTTGAAACGCGCCAGCGCCAGCCAACGCCGGTGGCGGGCAGCAAGTAGTGACTAACCCCCCTCCCCCACCCACCCACCATGCACGGATCTGTGCGCAGGACGCCTTGATTCGTCCTGGAACCGAGGGGGAGGTGCGTGCGTGGTATGGCGAGCACTGTTTGTGCGGGATGCATGATAAGGACGATAGGCGACGAGGGGGATGGTACGAGAGTGTAGCGTTGAGCGCATCAGGTTTGTGAATTTGTGGCAGGAGCGCGGGGGGTCGCATTCCGCGCGAGTTATGGTTGTGAACGCACATCGCCTCGTTCGCTACCCCGAGCATTCATGGACGTACGACATGGCCGCTCTTTGCAGCACAGAAGGCAGACGAGGCAGGAGGCACACGCCAATCCAGCCAAACAGCCCCCGCGCCCACATCCCACGCCACGGCGCCGAACACTCGGACTCGGACTCGGACTCGTCCCGCTGCAACCCACCGAAATGGGCCCCCACCGGCCCCTTTGACGACCTGAGATCTCGACGACGCTCCTGTTCTCCATATCGCGGCATGCTCTTGCCCCTCCACTCGTGACTGCGTGTACTGCCTACTTCCCCCGTCCTGGTTGTTTGCACCAGCTGCCACATTCCCCCCACTCCCACTCTCACTCCCACTCCCCCCTCGACGCCCCCGACGCACCCACCTGATGGCGGCGTCGGGGCTTGGAGGCATCGGAATTGCGCTCGGACAAGAGTGCACGATGTGTGGCGCTGGCGCTGGCGGCCGTGGCCTTGTTCCCGTCGCCGAACCCCCAACGCCCACCTAGGCCACCATGCCGCTGGGGGGGGGGGGGGGGGGGGGCACGACTGCGCTGGTGGTGTATACGCTGCTGTAGCGAACAGGGTCGTGGCTCGTGGCTCGTGGTATGCGGCCATGGCTTGTGGGCGGCGGGGTTTGTGGGGGTGGGGGCTGGCTCATACTAGCACGAGCCTCATGGCCTCTGCAGGTGGCAGGCAGGTGGCCTAACGTTCCCGTCCACATGAGCATGCCCCACATGAGCAAGCCGCACGCCTACACGCACGCCGTGGCGCTGCCGCTGGCCGCTATACAGTACATGGGCTGTGTGGTTTCCATACGGCCTTGTGTTGGCTGCTACTAGTGTCCACCGCTGTATGGAGGTGGGGGCCTGGGGAGAGGGGGTTGACACATTTGATCAACGTCGAGGCCAGAGGCCAGAGGCAAGAGAAACCTTGGGGAGCCTTCGCACAAACCTTGTACCGCTGTGTGGGTACCCACCCATACTGAGATGGACATGTGAGATTTCCCCTCCATACCACGGGGCCACGGGCGTGCCACACGGGTGTTGGTTAGTCCACCGACGACGACGGTGGGGACTACTCCCACTAACCACTACTGCTATCCCGCAGGGCACGGTGTGCGATGATGGATGCTTCTTTGCAGGCCGGCGTGCCAAAGGGCGCGTTTGAGGGTGGTGCAGCATGGAAGGAGCGTGTCGGTCGGCCACGGTGGGCAGTGTGCTGACGAGAGAAGAAGGTTAAGCGTTATTGCAAAGTGGGGCTGTTTCGACGGTTAGGTTGGGGGTGACTAGGGTTGGGGCGGCAGTGACACAAAGGCTGGGGTCAGCTGGAGGACGGCTCGTGGCACAGGAAAGAAGTGTGCAGGAAAGGAGAGTGCACAGGGGGGAAAGAGCGAGTGCAGGGCATGCTGGAGCAACGTTTTTCGTAGATCAGAATGGTTGTGTCCTGTCTGTCCTCTATGTCCTGGAACACGTCATAGGCCATGGGCCATGGGGTTGCATGTGGCAGAGTTGGACAACCGTGCGCGCGCGCGGTGTGTGCAGGAGCTCGATGGATGGGTGGGTGTGTGGGGCAGGGCAGAGCCCCGTGCAGCAGCCTCCTCCCCTCAGACCGTACGATGATAACGACAGACAAAACAAAAACAAAAACAAAAGCAGACACAAAGGTCTGCCTGCGGCCGCCTGGCGCTAGTGGCACAAAACGCAGGGAAAAATGGTGGGCAATGGGTGAGAGACAGAGAGAGTGGTGTGCCCATTGTATGCTGCCAAGAGGCCAAGTTTTGCTGCGCACGACGCAGTGATGGGTGCTGCGAGTGACTGTCGTGTCCTAGGCATGTGGTGTGAGGGGCCAGAGGTAAGTTATTCTAGAGCAAGGCTCGTCCTGTTTATAGCGCACAGCCACCGTTTGTCATATGGGTCCTATGGTGTTCCCGACAGCCCCTGCGCGTGCCGCGGAGGCGTTCTTGAGACGGTAGATGGGGCATATGGGATGGGTTTGCCATGGGACATGCATGTGAGACTTGTGATGTGGGATGTTGTCTGTGCTGGGATGACGCAGAGAGAGAGAGGAAGAGAGAGAGAGAGAGATAGCGAGACGGGGACGCGTGCACAAACGGTGGGTGTGCGTGCAGGGAAGACGGAGGGGGGTTGTTGGGTGGACGCGTCGCGCACAGGGCATATCGTCCACCCAAACCCGTGTACCCAGTGTCCCTGCGCCGACTCGGTTCCATGGCGTCGCCCCCACCCCCCGGGGTGCTGTGTCGTTTTTCGTCTTCTTCTGCAGCACATGCATGTATGCATATGGCATGGGCGGGGGGTCTTGCATCTTATACAGCTGTCAACAACATGTTGTTGCTGTGCCGCCCCGAGCAGTTTGTGTGCTGTCCACCGAAAAATGAGCGCGTCGTCGTGTGAGACGTCGAGATGAGACATTGGCGAGGCACGACGCACTGTCCAGGAGCGGGGGCAGCACTCCTGGCGCGTCCAGGGCCATGCCACCTCGACGGCGACGACGACAGCTGCGACGACGACGGCCTCGTGTCTCCTCTGCGCGTGTGCCCCCGGGGGCATGTCCGTCGGCTGTCGGTCGTCGTCCCGGAAGCAAGGGCCACTTTGGGTTTTGGGCTCTGTCGACGACCACCACGACGGACGTTGGTGACAGTCGGTCAGCGACCACCTTTTTCTTTCGTCCATTCTGTGGTTTCCGTTCTTTGCCTCGAGTATACCACCCAACCACCCAACGTTCTACGCTCTAAACGCTCTCTGCAACGAGCTCTCTACCCAAAAGCATCCGCCAGCACTACGGCACTGCGCGTGCTGCTGCCCCCCGCCCGTCTCGACGCGTCGCCCTCTCCCTCTCCCCAACGGTTCCCAGATCTACCCCCGCCCCGCCGGCTGTCCCTTTGCCTCCCCCCCTCTCTCCCGGGCCATCACACACCTCTTTGTCCAACCCACCCATCACCACCACCACCACACGCACCGTCGTCGTCGCCGTCGCCAACTGTGCACATTCCCCCATCTCACACACCCCTCCCCCAGGCATCTCTCATCACCCGTCGCCCTCCCATCACTCCTCCCCCCATCACTCCCCGCCCCCTCGCGCCCACGCATCCGCGCAAGACGTGGATGGATGGCTGCGCCATCACCGCTCGCTGCCATCGACCCCCGCCGCACAAACCACCCTATAGCCGTCGTCCCTAACGTCCACTTCTTGTGCGCTCGTTAGACCATCGACAAACGTCTCCCCCCCCCCCACTCCCCCTCCCCCTTGCTGTCAACCACACCATGACCGCAGTCGACACGAACACGCCGCTCGCGCTCCCGGCCGACTCGGCACCGTCACACCGCCAGTCCCTCAGCAATGGTAACAACACTTTGGCTACACCACGCGGCGACCCCGAGGCCTTGTCGACCATCTCGTCGCTGACCGACCTCGAGGCCCGCTGTGGTGGTTGCCGCAACGTTATTGACCAGGACAACGGCGGTATTGTCGTCGCGTTTGGGTACGTGGCGGGCGGGTGGGGGGGGACCACCCACCAAAACACACACACACACACATTGGAGGACCGAGCGCTGACCACATTCTACGTACAGGTCTTCGCTCTGGCACGTCGACTGCTTTCGCTGTGCAAAATGCCAGGAAAAGGTCTCGGCCGATACCAACCTGTTGTTACTCAGCGACGGCAGCCCAGTGTGCGGAAACTGCTCGTACCAGGTGAGTCTGTCCATACCCCCGCCGCCGCGTCGTTTTCCTGGTGTCGGACCGCGGCTGACACACCCGACACAGTGCTTTGTATGCAAGCAGGCCATCACAGAGGAAGCCATCATGACAGGAGACGAGTCGTACCACGCCCACTGCTTCACTTGCCGCACGTGTAAGCGTCGGATAGAGGAACTGGTCTTTGCAAAGACCACACAGGGCATTTACTGCATGGTACGTTCCAGGGAGGGTTTCAACCTCACCGTTCGTCACATCTGACGCGCACACCCAGTCCTGTCACAACGACCGCGTGGCTCGCAGCAGGCGGCATGCCGAAGCAAAGCGGCAGCGCGCAGCTCGCAAGGAGCGCGAGGCGCGTGAAAAGGCCGACGGAGAGCTCCGCAGGGCAGAGGAGCAAGGTGGCCGCATGACCAGCAGCTCGACGTCGACGTCCCTCAACGTCTTGGCCAACACCGTCAGCAGGAGCTCTACCGAAGCCACAGTGGCCGCGCCGTCGCCCATGGGTTCAACGACAGCCAGCCCACGAGACTTGCCAGACAGGAAAGGCTCGTTGCCGCCTGTCTCGCCTCAGCACAACAGCACCCTCCCGGCAGCCCAGCGTGCGCTCAGTGTAGACCGGGCGGGCGGGCCAGCGAGCCCAAATGCGCGCTCGCCTTCACCTTCGCCTGGCGGCCGCAAGGGTGCTGGCGACCCCAACATGCCGACCTCGCCCACGATCGATGCTCCGCTCATGTCGCGTGGACAGTCGCTGGATCAGCCACCCCCGCGCTCCTCGTCTGCCAGCCCGGCACCGCCGGCGGCGGCGGCTGGTTCCAGCAACCCGTTGAGCCCCGCGAGCCCGATCAACACCATCTCCCAGTCCCTCTCGGGTTCCCCATCCACTCCCAACCAGCCTCACAGCCCGACCTCGCGTCAAGCAGGAAACCCTGGTCTGGGCGTTGGCCTCAGTGTGCCCACACCAAAGGCGTCCAAGCGCCGGTCAATCAACCCGGGCATGACGTTCAACATGGACGCGCACAACGCCACGTTCGCGGCCGAGCCCAGAGCCTCGTCGCCGTTGCGGGCCGCCAACGACGATGCCCAGCAGCAGCGCATCGTGTCTGGCTCGCCTGCGCCCGGCACGCCTTCCCAGGACCCCAAGGACCGCGCCGCCTCGCCAGTCCCGCCGCTCATTGGCACGCCGAACGCCCAGTCGACCCCTGTGGTCGAGGCGGCTACTGTGCCCAACGGCAGTGGTGCCGACGAAAAGGAGAACAAGGACCCGCAGAGCAAGCTGGATGTGAAGGGCAAGAAGGGCGAGCTCGACGGATCGGCGAGCGACCACGAGGACAGGGCTGCTGCTGCTGCTGCTGCCGACGGCGACGCGACCAAGCAAGGTCCCCGGATTGACGCGCCAGCATTACCCACCATGTCCTTTTCTCTCTCTGACCCCGACTTTGCCGTCCTCCTCAAGGAGATGGAGTCGTCGCCAAAGAAGAAGGGCTCGGTCGTCCCCGAGGTCGTTACCAGTTCTGGATCGCCCAACCCCCAGGCGCCATCCGACTTGGAGGACGCAAACTCGGCACCCATGTCCAGGAGCCCCAACATGAACCTGTCTGCCGCGGCGAACGGCGAGGACAAGTCCCTGTTGTCACCTTCGAATGTATCGGGTCTCCCCGGCGGCTCGACGCATCGCCGCCGCCTGTCAATGGAGTCGGCCGTGTCTGTGCGCCTGGGTGCCGAATCGGCACTGTCGAGCCTCAAGGAGCTCATGTCCGAGGCCAAGGGCGACACGGTCACGGTCGACCGCGACATTCTCAACGAGGTTATTCGTGAACATGACGCGCTGAGGGACATTACCATGACACTCAAGAACAAGTACACTGGCGCAAAGGTGTGTAATACACTCTACTCTCTCTCACTTTCCAATTTCACAAACTGACACGTTTCTTTACAGCGCTCGAGCCAGCAGTACAGCGAAGGCCTCACTGTCGCCGGCGAAGAGTACGACAAGGAAGTCGCCATGCGCCAAGAGCTCGAGGCCGAGGTGACGCGTCTGCGCGCCCAAGTCCACGGCCAGACTGCCCGTCTTTCTGTCATTTCGAGCGAGGAGCGCCGTGCCGAGAACATGCGCCGTCGGTCCCACGACCTTGCCAGCAACCTCACCGGTCTGGAACGTGACATTTCGCGCTTGCGAGCGCAGCGCGACATTTCGCTGGCCGAAGTCGAGGAGCTGCACGCCAAAAAGGTCGAGTCTGCAGTGGGCGGCAGCACCGATGAGGCTACCTCCAAGCTTGGACGTTCGCTCACCCGCCGCCTCGACACGATCAAGGAGCAGTACCGCGACGAGCTCGGCCCCCTTTCCGCACAGCGCGAGGCGCTGCAGCGTGAGATCAACGACCTGCGCGACACGCGCGAGCAGTTCCTGGAAGAATCGACAGCCCTGGCGGCCAAGAACGAGGAGCTTGCCGAGCTCAACGCCCAGTTGAGCCGCAACACAGAGTCGATGCAGGACTCGATGACGCGCCGCGCACCTGCGTTCCCGCACACTACGGTCAAGGCCCCTCGTGGCCACCCATCGGGCAGCCCGTCCATGTCCTCGTTGGCCAATGCCCTGCAGGATGTCCCCGAGGAGACGGCCCGTGTGATCAAAGTGTCAAAACCCGTCGAGGTCGAGGCTGCGCCGGTTCGCCGCTTCAAGTGGATCGGCGGCGGCAAGTCGCCAAAGGCCGAGCTGGCCAAGCCGGCTGTGGGCGACGCGGGCGGCGGCAACCGCAAGTACAGGCCGTCGACGGAGATGGGCGTGCGCGACCACCAGTTCCAGCAGCACAGCACCATGCGTCTGGGCCGCTGCGAGTTGTGCCAGGACAAGATGTGGGGCCTGCAAGAGGTCAAGTGTGCCTGTAAGTGTATGCGGGGGTGGGGGAATGTGACGAGATGAGACAGACGCTGACAAACAAACACAGCGTGCGGCGTGGTGTGCCATTCCAAGTGTGCCGAGAAGCTGCCCAGGTCGTGCCCGGGCAAGGCCGAAGCAGAGGACGGTCCTCCTCGTGAGTTACCTGCACACACGTTACCCCTTTTCCTGTGCTAACACGTTCACGCAGCCGTCAGCATGTTTGGCCGCGACCTGTCCGAGCAGGCCGAGTCGGACGGCACGGCCGTGCCGACCATTGTCACCAAGTGTATCCGCGCAGTCGAGGCCAACGGCATGGAATACGAGGGTATCTACCGTAAGACTGGCGGTTCGTCCCAGTCCAAGCAGATTACGCAGCTGTTTGAGCGTGCGCGCTACGACACGTTTGACCTCACCAACGTCGAGTCGTTCAACGACATTAGCTCCATCACGTCGGTGCTCAAGACCTACTTCCGCCAGCTGCCCGACCCGCTCATGACGCACACGCTGCACGAGAGCTTTGTGGCCGCGGCCAACATCCGCGACCACGCCAACAAGCACGCTGCGCTGTGCGTCTTGCTCAAGGAGCTGCCCAAGCACCACTACAACACGCTCAAGGTCCTGATGCTCCACCTCAACCGCGTGACGGCCAAGTCGGGCGTCAACCTCATGACGAGCCAGAACCTCGGTGTGGTCTTTGGCCCCACGCTCCTGCGCTCAAAGGACCCCGGACGCGAGTTTGGTGACATGGCAGGAAAGGCACTCAGCGTGCAGTGGATGGTGGACAATGCGCCCACCGTGTTTGTGGACGAGGACGACGAGTAGGGGTGAGAGAGACGCCTCGACGAGTAGAGTAGAGAGACTGCTCGACTCGCACATACATTTTTTTTTTTTATCTGTTAACATAGTGGGGCCCGAGACGCTGGTCGCCAGCATGCCCCGACACCACCCAACCCCACCCCAACCACCTTAGTACATGTCTGTCGCTCTGCCTGTTGCTAGTGTTAGTCATGTGTCAACATATGCATCATGTGCACGGATACGAGCAATGTGGCAAATGTCAATGTTGGTTGTTTTTTTGCTACAGCTGCTCAATGCATAATGCTACCTGCCCACCCCTTCCCTCTCCCTCTACCTCCTGCCCTTGCCCTTGTCGGTCGTGACGCTGCCCTTGTTACCCACCGAGAGGACCATGTGCGCCTCGCCCGTCTTCTGCTGGCGGCGCGCAAACGCGTCCGTCATGCCCGTGGGCGTGTCGCCTGCGGCCATGTACGCTGCCTTGCGCTCCTCTTCAATCTTGCGCATGCGCTTTTCAGTCTTCATGCGGCCCGACGTCTTGCCGTGGAACTTGTGCGAGAGCGACTTCCACGCCTCCTTGGGGGTCATCTTGCGCCCAAACTCGTCGTGGTAGACAATCTCCACGTCGGGCTGGTAATTCTTGAAGCTCTCCAGGGCGTCGCGCGCGTCCGTCTGCTCGCGCACGCGGTTCTCGTACTCGCGCTGCGCCTGGTCCTTGTTCCCGCCGCGCGCGGCGATGCGGTCCAGCTCGCGCTGCGCCGCGCGCCGCTTGTGGTCGGCGAGCCACAGGTCGTGCTGTTTCTGGCTGCGCTCGCGCGCGTCGTCTGCCGCAGTGCGCTTTTGCAACGAGCCCTGGTTGCGCAGCATGGCCAGCACGCCGGCCATGCCCTGCGTGTTTGTCGGTTCGGGGTCTGGGTTGGCGGCCGCGTCGACGTCCTCGGCCTTGAGGCTGTCGAGTTCGGTCATTTGCGCGTCGATGCGCAGGCGGTATTCGGCCAGCGAGAGACCCTCGCGCGCGGCCAGGTTGGCCAGCTCGTCGTCCTCGTCCTCAGAGTCCGAGTCCATCTCGGCGTCGCCGTCGTCCACGCGCTCAACCTTGACCACGACGGCCTCGTCGGTGCTGCCACTGGCAGCGGCAGGTGCCGGGGTGCCGGTGCCACTGCGCTCGCGCTTGATGGGCACGGCGATGCGCGATTCGGCAGTGACGTTGCGGACAAACTCGCTCGTCTCGTCAAACGTGATGCGCCCGTCGTCGTCGCCGCCGGCCTCGTCCTCGTCCTTGACCTGCGCCGCGTCGTCCTCCTGGCGTTGCTGCTGGATACGTGCTGCCAGGTCCTCGGGCTTGACCCTGGGCTTTTTCTTCGCATGCTCTCTCCTGCTCCTGGCCAAGGCGGCTTGCAGGTCGTCGTCGTCCACGAGGTTGTCGGGGTCCTCGCCCACCACACGCCGCGTAAATGTCGGGCTGGGGTCCACGTCCATGGCGGCGGTGTCGTCGGCGTCGTCTGCCTCGGCGCGGCGCGTCGACTTTTTGGCTCGCCTCTTCTTGGGCTTTTTGAACCCCACGTCGCCCTCCTTCATGTAGTCGGACACTTCAAAGTCCTTTGCAAAGTCGAGGTTGAGCTTGACCTTGGTCGCGGGGCCGACACCGACCATCAAGTCGTCCTCGTCCGCCACGACCTTTGCCTTCTTCTTGGGCGCCGGCGCGCCCAGTCGGAAGCCCTCCACCTCGACTTTACCGCCCGAAAACTCGTCGTCATACTTGGCGAGCACCTCGGCCTTTTGGCCTATCCGCTTCTCGTCAAACTCGTCGTCGTCGTAGCCCGTGTACGCCTCGTTGGCCTTGCGTTTCCGGTCCTTGGCAGCCTGGACAGCCTCGTCGTCGGCAATGTTGACGTTTTGCAGCTCGTCCTCGTCGCCTTCCAGGATACGGCTGTCCTTGAGCGTGAGGATGACGTCCTCGCCCTCCTCAAACTGGTCCGTGTCGTGCGCCACCTTGAGGCCCGCCAGGTCGTTTTCGCCATACACCACGTTGTCGGCCTCCTCCATCTCGCGCGCACGGCGGGCGGCGAGCTCGCGCTCGCGCTTGACGGAACGCTTCTTCTGCGTCTTGATCCAGTTCTTGGCCGAGAGCGAGTCGTCCTTGCCGCCGTCGCCCAGTGTCGAGCCCTTGAGCTGTTCCTTGAGCGCGCGCTGGTTCTTGACACTGCGAGCTTGTCAGCACCTCAACAGTTTGGGTTTCGAGCCAACGAGCCAACTTACCGCTCCATACGCTCTTTGATCTCGCGCTCGGCCTTGTCGCGCTTCATCTCGTCCCGTCGGCGCGCAAAGTTGGCCTCGGCAACCTCATCCTGGTCGAGGATGGGCTGGCCATCGGCGTCGACGGCGGGCTCAGCCCCGATCGGCGCGAGACCGAGGCTGATGCGGACCTTGTTGGTCTCCTCGAGCGTGAGCGAGTCCTGGTTCACCGACGCGTCAGCCATGTTGGGCGGCGATGGTTCGTGATGAGGGTGAGGGTGAGGATGAGAGGGAGGTTGGACGAGGTTGTCATCGAGAGGTTGATTCAAGATCGGTTGGGTGGCGACAAAAGGCGCACGTAAATAAAGGCCCGCCGTTCCAGTGGGATGCCTTTCCGTCCGCGATCGGCGACATCCACTGCAACTTCGAGACCACAACTCAATCTCCCAACCCTACCTTCCCCCAGCACCCGTCACAAACATGCCTCCCAAAGTGGGCGCCCGCCAGCCCCAGCTCCGCGCCTGCTTGGTCTGCTCCATTCTCCAGCCTCTCAAGGACTTTGTCGAGACCGGCTGCCCCAACTGCGAGGATGTCGTCGAGGTGAGCTGGCGCGATCAGTTGAATGAGCTCTCACTAAACCCTTGTCCAGATGCGTGGATCCCCCGAACGCGTCGCCGAGTGCACCAGCACCATCTACGACGGCATGATCGCCATGATGGAGCCCGAGGAGAGCTGGGTCGCGCGCTGGCAGCGTATAGGTGCGTTGTTTGCTTCCGTCTCTCCACTGGCCACTAACGCTCGCTACAGACAAGAAGAAGCGCGGCCTGTACGCCGTGCGCGTCACCGGTCGCCCGCCCCAGGACGTCATTGACGCTATCGAGTCGCGCGGTGGCGTGTACCGTCCCCGTGACGCTGTGGAGGAGCTCTAAAAGGCGGCACAAGAGACACAAGCGGGTCGGTTGTGCCGCTTTCGATACCACCTCGAAACCATCACTTGTTGCCTCCCCGGCCGCTGGCAGCGTCGACACACAGCTCTGGGGACGGGCATGTACACCTGAGCTGGGCACGATGGGTAGAATACATTATGGCATGTTGTACATTTCTGCGCGTCGCAAAAGGCTGTTGCTCGGCCGTTCACCGCTCACCGCCCACGGGCAACCACCGCTACTGAATATGGTATATCCTGACGCCCCACCTCCCATGGCCCATGGCCTCCTCGCTCACATGTACATGCCGCCGAGGTCGCCGCCGGCCGGAGTGGCAGTCTCTGGGATCTTGCGCTTGCCCATCCCAGGCGCCTGGAACGGCTCGTCGTCGGCATCCGTCCACAGCGCGTGGCGGGCAAAGGCCTGTCCCAGCTCGGCGGGGAGGGTGGTGAGGGCCTCGGTGAGGCCAGTGGGTGCGAATTGCGAGAGGGGCAGGGGGAGGAGGTAGAGCGCGACCGAGGCCGCGTGCAGAGGGAAGGCAGGGTGAGCAGCCTGTGGACTGTCAGTATGGAGGGCAAGGCGAGTTGGGGGTGGGCTCAACTCACCGCCGAGAGGAACGCTCCAGCAATGCCCGTGACGTAGTTTGGCGCATCATACGTCCTGATCAGCTTGCCTGCCTCGCGGCCCAGGACGCGCACAGGCGAGTCGCCCGAGATGAGACCCTCGGCAGCGTCGGGAATGTACATGGAAGGAACGTAGGACGAGAACACGGTCCTGGACGCGGGTCAGCAGGTGCGGTATCACCATCTCCACCCACCAGTTCTTGGCCTTGACCAGCGTCGTAAGCTCCTGCACGACAGAGAACGCCGCGTCGCCCTTGTCCGCATCGTGCAGGCCAATAAACAGGCCGCCGGGAACCACAAACGCCGCGCCGAGACGGTGGCCATCGAGCTCGACCTCGAGGACGGCCTGGCGCGCACCCGCCCGCCGGAGGAGGTACTTGCCTGCCTGTCCGACGCCAACTACCACGCTGTCCACGGCCGGCAGCGGGTCGTCGCCCAGTGGCAGAACCTGGACGCGCGGCCCGGGAGCGGGCGAGGTGCGCGAAGCGTGGTGGCCGCCGTACACGCCCTGGCCCTCTTCGTCCGAGCTGTCGGATTCGAGGAGGTAGCGAGGAGGAGGGGCGGTGAGGGGAGAGAGGGGGTCGATCATGGCTGTGAGTTGGCAGAGGACGACGCTGTTGGCCTGTGAAAGAGGGAGAGAATGTTGAGAATGTTGGGCCGTATGTTGGCTGTTGCATCATCGCGCGTGTAGAGACGCGAATGCGTTGAAGTGGAGGTTGTTTGAGCTTACGTAATGGCGTTTTTGTTTAGCACCTGGGGGCTTTGTAGCTGCCTTTTTTGGCCACGTCCACAGCCATGTTGTGCTCGGACGGCCATCCTGTGTTTCTGTGTTGTGCTTTGCGGGACATCTCCCTTGGTATTTTTTATTTCATCTTTTTACCCCACGTCAACCCAGTGAGAATCGATCCCAGGTCAAGGCAAAACAATAAGTAGAGTACTCTAGATGGTCGGGTTCGATCTCGATCTCAAGATTCGAACCCTCGTATTAGGCGCCTACTCCCCCGCTCCACTCCACCCCTTGCTCGCCCCCAGCACCCCCCTCCTGTTGTCGGTGGTAATCCTGGTGGATTCTTCAGAGGTGCTCTCTTGCGGTAGGTGCTCTCTTGCGGTCGGGTGCACCCCTGGACGCCCCGGACGGGGAATGGCTCGGGCCAGGAGCCATCCATCCGCGTACGCGCACGGAATCTAGGTATTAAGGCGGGCCCACCCAATTAACCGGTCCGGCAACGCAGCTTCATACTGGCGAGAGGGACCGACTCCATATGAGGCGTGTGGGCGGGTGACGCTGTATCAACATTAGAATAAGGACCATTAGTGTCGTTTCTATTGCCTTCCTAGCGTATTAGAGTAGAACTCTCATATGAATGATATCCAGACTTGTTCTCGTTGCTCTATCCTCTATCGACCTCTCCAACCTGCTACACTTTACGTTTACAGCGTTCGGAGAGTGCTACGAGTGTGCAACCCGACTGTTTGTAGCTGTCAGGCCAGCCGTTTAGCTGTGAATCCAAGTGGACCTACAACACAGTGAGACGCTCAGTTGTAGGAAAAGGTGCGAAAAGTGATGGAAATCGTCATGAACTGCCCGGGCCGGTCTCACTACATACCTACGTGAGTACACAACCATTTATTTATCTGTGGGGCCGCATGCCGACTTAAAAGAGGCTGTTATCCAGGACGATGCCACTGACGTCCTCAGACATGAACACTGAGACAGTCTCCACCATGGAAGCGGATCTGCCCAATCACCTGGGATCGTCTCGTCACACTCACGCGCTGAGCTCATGCTCTTCAAACTCCATTCCCACATGCCCCATTTCCGCCCTCCATACCGCGCTGTTCGTTTCAGTCGCTTGCCCACCCGCTAACAACACCGGCTTGGGAATGCCTCATTGAGATCAACGACGCCAGTTGCCGATCTTGCCGAGGAAATGGCCATCCATGTTATCGGGTTGCGGATTCACGGATTTCCTTCCAGGCGGTAACAATCGTCATTACTTCCATCTCTGGTCAGCGCTCTCAGCTTTCATGTCCTCGAGCCATGTGACTGCAGTGTCTTGCATTCCCGCGCCCCCGTCCGCGTCTCACCATCGTGCTCCCCATGCCTCGCTTACTGCATTTCTTTCACCTCACTGTCGTGTCCGTCTCGGTCATCGCCGAACTGGCGTCACCTGATGACCTAATGTCTTAGCATCGTTGGCAAAAGTCCATAAATAAAACCCAGGCCAAGACGTTTGTCCTGTCCATGCCGCGCCCACCATGAAGGCCTTCTTCATCCTGCCCTTCCTGACCACCCTCCTCGCCTCCCCGTCGCAGCGGACGTCAAGTTCCACTTCCAGTGCGCTCAACGGCTCCGAGGGCGGCAACGTGACCGCCAACGCTGTCAACTCGACGGGCGTCTCGTACGTGGGCACGCTCTTCCCCCTGGGCGCGAGCATGAACTCGTCGACACACAGCTGCACGGCCAACGTGATAAAGTCGACGCACGGCAACCTCATCCTGACCGCGGCGCACTGTACGCGCGGGGACATGACAAACCACACGTTTGTGCCCGGCTGGTCCGAGGGCAAGACGCCGTATGGCGTGTGGGTCATTGAGGCGGGTACGTTGGGCGTTGTGGACGTTTGGCGCCCGGTGGACCGACCGGTGGGGGTTGGCTGATTGCGGGTTGCTATTGCTATTAGCTATTAGCTATTGCTGACACTACGGGCAGCGTTCGTCACGTCTGCATGGCAGAAGACGCAGGATCCTCAACACGACTTTGCCATCCTGCGCGTCGCCCCCAACGACAAGCACATGTCCCTCCAGTCCGTCACTGGCGGCGTGAGGGTGTATCCCGCGCCCAAGTCGGGCACACGCATCACCGACGTGGCGTACAACGACGACACTGCCCAGCCCGTCACCTGCACGGCCCCGCTGTACTATTACACGGGCTACGTCGCGTTTGACTGTGGCGGGTTTGTGGGCGGGAGCAGTGGCAGCGGGTTCATCGACCACAAGAACCGCAGGCTGTATGGCGTCATTGGCGGGCTGCACCAGGGCGGATGCCTGCCGTCGACGAGCTACTCGTCGACGTTTGGGAAGGCCGTACAGGCGCTGATTGCCCGGGCGGAACGCAAGGGGGCCAAGGGGGACATTGTGGTCAAGGCTGGGTCTGATGGGTGTGAGTAGGGGTATGTAGGACGTGGTTGAATGTGGCGGCTCAGTGGTGTGATATTGTCGTCGGAGATGCTATAATTGCAGGAGTTGGGCCCATGGCTGCATCATTGGCAGTGAATGTGGTTCCGGGGAGGTCGGGGTTTCATGAGAGTGAGACTTGGGGGGTCGCACCCTATCTGCGTCAACCACAGCCACAGACATCATCAGCGATCAGCGACGGCACCACCACATCTCTCATCTCGTGGCAAACGCAACCGCCAACAGCCCTAGCTGAACTGCATCCAGAATCCCCAACGCTCTCCAAACCTGACGGTTCCTCCATGTTACAAATTACATGCCACAAACACAATACATACGCGAGCATAAGAAAAGAGGCCAGTGCCAGGCAAGAACGAAGCTGTCGTGTGAGAGTGAGACTGGATACCTTGCCGAAATGCCACAAGAGTGAAAAACAAAGCGGCGCTCGCTCACTTGTCCTCGGCTGCCTCTCCACATGCGGCGCCGGGGAACATTTTATCCACCGTGTCAAAGTAGTTGCCCCATCCGGACCAGTCAAAGTTGGACTCTGGGATCGAGTCGAGGAACGAAATGTCAAACTCGCCCTGCTCGTCAAAGACCGCCACGCTGGCGTTGGTGTCTGGTGCGTGCGAGTACTCTGCGTTTTGGGTGCCGTCGCCCTCCATGGGGATGTTGTTGAGGAGGACGCGGCGGAGGGCCGGGTTGTCCGTCTTGGAGCCCGTGGATCCCGCAGCCGAGACGGGGGTGCCCTCTGAGCGCTCGGTGCGGTCGTCCGCGTCCGGGTTGGTCTTGAGCGCCGCCTCGTAAAGGAGGATCATGGTCTCGCACGTCTTGCGGCGGATACTCATCTGGTCGGGCTTGAGCGCGGCCTCCCACCGCTGGACAACGTCGCGGACGAGCTTGAGCGTCTCGAGGGCGCTGGGGTCGCGCTTGCGCGACCACGTGTGGTACTGCACAAGCGCGGCCGAGGTGGCCGAGTATGGGAAGATGAAGAATGTGTCGAGCAACGTGTCGTGGGCGTTGAGCCAGACAATAGCCTCGCGCGACCACTGGACGAGGTTGTGCCAGGACGCCGGATCGATTGTAAACTTGATATGCGCCGGAGGAGGGTGGGTGACGCGCATGAATCCGCGGTAGAAGAGGAACAAGCTGGCGCAGTACTGCAGGTGGACCATGCCACCAAACAGGTTTGTGTCGGGCCCATGGAACTTGAAGTCGTCCCGCAGGTCCTTGTGGAACGCATTCAGCTCCTTGTTGAGGGTCTCAATCTGCTCATCGGTCGTATGCGAGAGGCCACTGGGGGCGTAAATCATCTTGAGAATACGTCCGGTCAGGAGCGACAGCTGCAGGTTGACGTTTAGGCAGGCGTAGCTGGGGTTCTCTGTCCATTCCTTGGGGTCTACGCCGGGCACAATGTTGCGAGTGGAGGGCAAGAGCACGTCGCAATCCAGCACATCGATCATTTGTGGGATACCAAGCGCACAGCTGTACCAGCGGTCGGTGAAGACACATGCAGCCCAGGTCCTCCGCTTGGCCTCGATGAGCATGAGCTCGGCCGGGGTCTGTGGTTTGGTCTTGGGTTCACGGTGGAGGCCGAGGTCCTGGGCCATGCGGATGGCGGCAGTGGTTCGCATGAGGGCAGCGCTGGCTGTCGGTGCGGCAGGCTGGGCGTGCAGTTCGCCAGTCTCTGAGATGAGAAGCAGCGCCTGTACATGCTCCAGTCGCGCGTGGCTGAGAATTTCGTTTGAGCGAAGGAGACCGTTGATGAGACCACGCAGGCGGTTGAAAACATGTCGTGGGACATCGCGGCTGGTGGAGGCGACCGCGCAAATGGCGTACAGGACGAGCGGGTGTGGGGTTGAGGACGCAAGGAATTCGGCACGCGAGATAATGGGCAGCCACTTGAGTTGTGTGTCAAAGTACTTGTTGACCAGTTGGGACATGACGTTGCCCGGGAGCACATACTTGTCGAGACGAGCCGCGCGTGTTCCGTCGCTGTCCCCGCTGTCATGGTTTGCCTCGACGCGAATCTGCCCGGTTTCGTCCTCGGACACCTCCCAGTGGGCGTGGTTGGCAATGTCGTATTGTTCAAACGAGCGAGTCGGGATGGCGTTGTGGAGGAGGAATGGAATTGAGGTTGGTCCGGCGCCCGGAGGTCGGGCATCACCATTGGCCACCTGGGCGCTGCCATTCTCAGTTTTGGCCGTCGCCGGCGATGCAGCTTCCTCGGCGGCCTGTCGTCGCTTCCTGAAGCGCGTCTCGGTGATGGGCAGGAAGAAGGTGCACTCGATGTTGTACTGCTTGCAGTGGGCGCAGATCTGCTGGGCCGAGCCACCTGCGGCCTCGGCAGCGAGAATGTCGCAACGAATCTTCTTGGAGCGCTGCGCCTCTGATCAGCTTTGTTTGTCCTTTGCCCCCCTCCGTCGTCATTCACCACGACCACCATCACCACCACTCACACAGGCGTCACACGCTCGTCCGGTCTTGGTGCGCTTCTCTTCGACGGTCGGGCTCTCGCCATCGGCCCTGCGCTTCTTCTTCTTGCTCCCTGAGGCCTCTGCGTTGCTGCTGCTGCTGCCGTTGTTGTTGTTGTTGTTGCCCACGACGGCGGAGAAGATCTGCGGCGGATCGCTAGCGGCGGACATTCCCATCGGCGCCATTGGCTGTCTCGCCGCACCGCCGTCTTGTGAGGGGAACCATGGCGGGAAGCCAGCAAAGTCTGCACTGCCTGCGGGGCCGGATGCACCAGCTGTGGCTGCACCAGCTCGAAGCATCATGTCGATGGCATCCTGTGGGCGGCCTGGAGGTTGAGGTTGTTGCTGCTGCTGCTGTGATGGGCCTGCCTGGAGTTGTTGTTGCATGTCGGACTGGCCCATCTGGTAGGGCATGTCCCCGTATGGCTGCCCATGTCCGTTGATGTTGAACATGGCTGCCTGGGGGAACTGTGTGGGGGAATGGATGGCGAGGGAGAGGGGGAAGGGGGTTGTGGGGGAGAGAGAGAGAGCGATGTGTCAAATCACGGCCGGATGAGGAAGAGAGACACACGACGAAATACCGGGCTGTTGGCTGTTGGGTGGGTGTCGTCCGTCGTCCGGATGAATGCACGGCTTGAACGGTGGGCGGCCCGGCTTTCTCTAGTGTCTCCTTGCACACTCCTGCTGGGTGGGTTTGGGTGGCGTTCGGCTCGGTTGGAACAGTGCTAGCAGCAAATGCGGAGGGAGGGAGAGGGGTGAGGGGTGCGAGAGAGATAGCAGTGCGCGCGCACGTGAAGGGGAAGGCAGCGTATGACAGGAGGACAAGAGATAGGGAGAGAGACACGAGAGTATCGTTGTCGCTGTCGTGGTCGCCGTGGTGGTCGTTGTTGTCACCTGCCAAGCCCCGCGCAGAGAGCCAAAAGTGGAGCAGTGAGAGAGAGCGTGTCCTCCGCGTGGTGTGGTGTCGATTCCCAACAAATGAATATGAATATCCAGAACTCCAGCCAGCCAGCCGCTGTGCCGAGCAAGCCGGGAGGCAACGACGAACGCACACCGGCGCCGGCAGCGGAAGATCCGCGGACGCAAGGAGAGACATTGACGTCACCCACCGTATTCACACGCCTATTATTCTGGATTAACATAAACTACTTTGGGTATGAAACCCCGCACGCCTACAGAATCCACGCCTATGCAAAATAGATCCCGCGCTCGGGTCCGGTCAGCTCCTGGGCGACCCACCACACACTGTGACACCGGTCAGCCCGCGCGCGCGTCTCCAAGTCACACCTTCCCCTCGCCATCATCCATCGTTCATCAATCACTCCGTCTCACTCTCTCTCCCGCCAGTTCCATCAGCGGTACCCTCCCCCCACACCCACCACCACCTTATAAACACACGGGAATTCGCCTCTCGCAGCGTATCCCCAACCCCCAGCCTTCCCCCCTCTCTCTCCCGCTTTCACACGAGCTCCAACCTCACACACACACAAAGCACATACCCACGATGGCTTCCGAGAAGAAGGACCAGGTCGTTCTCGTCACCTCGGACGAGGAGACCTACACCGTCGAGCGCAAGGTCGCCGAGCGCTCCAACCTCATCAAGTCGATGATTGAGGGTGCGTCCTTTGAGCCGTGGGCGCACAGCAACGTTCGCGCGTTGTCCGTAGCGACTTGACTCGCCACCCCCACGCCGCCGCCATGGCTTGGCATTCACGCTGACCCCCGCTTTACAGACCTCCCCGGCCAGTCCGACGAGCCCATTCCCCTCCCCAACGTGTCGTCGTCGGTCCTCACCAAGGTCCTCGAGTACTGCGACCACCACAAGAACGAGCCTCTCCCCGCCGCCGACTCGAACGACGCCGACGACGCGCGCCGCAAGGCCTCGGAGATTGGCGAGTGGGACGCAAAGTTCATCCAGGTGCGCACAGCAGTCACGCCCCTCGCTTCCCTTTTGCTCACACTGACGCGTCCTAGGTCGACCAGGAGATGCTCTTTGAGATCATTCTCGCCGCCAACTACCTCGACATCAAGCCCCTTCTGTACGTTTTCTCACACCAAACCGACTTGGTCACGTCACCGTCGCCTGCCCGCCTTTTACTGACACTGCGCCCAGTGACGTTGGCTGCAAGACCGTCGCCAACATGATCAAGGGCAAGACCCCCGAGGAGATTCGCAAGCTCTTCAACATTGTCAACGAGTAGGTTGCCCGGCCCCGCCGCCTTTGGCTTCTTGTGTATCGTGGACAGCGCACTGACCCTTGCTTCCAGCTTCACCCCCGAGGAGGAGGAGCAGATCCGCAAGGAGAACGAGTGGGCCGAGGAGTAAGTCGTTTGGGCTGACCTCGAAGTGTACGCAGCCAACATACTGACCACCCCCAGCCGCTAGACACTTCACGGTGTACCCGTGTATAGTAGCAGTCCATTCAAAGTTTCCCCCAAATACCAGTTCCTTCGAGGCGAGAGAGCAGTGGGCGCACAAGGCGCCCAATGTAAAATATTGATTGGCGATGCTGTGCGCTGCGTGTGTGCTGCACGGGCCCGTGCTGCTGTGTGTGTGTGTCGGTGCAAAGCCAGACGATCCCGGGAAAATAAACTGATCCGTCTCAAACCCGTTTTTTTGGCTTCTCATCAAACCATCCATGCTGCTACATAACCTGCCCGCGTACTCTCTAAGCTGTCATCCCCTCGGCCTCGTACTCTCCAATCGCCTTGACCTTGGCCGCGCTCGCGCTCTTCTCGTCGAACACGTACCCGAGCCACTCCTTGGCCAGACGCCGGGCAAGCTCAATCCCCACCACGCGCTGGCCCATGCACAGGATCTGCGCGTTGTTGGACAGCACGCCGCGCTCGACGCTGAACGAGTCGTGGGCCGTCACGGCGCGGATCCCGGGCACCTTGTTGGCAGCGATGGCGACGCCGAGGCCTGTGGAGGTGTCAGCAGGGGGGGACACCATTGCTGGCAAGTGGTTTGGGAGAGATGGCGAATGTGGGACGACTGCGCCGGATGGCGTTGGATGGCGGCGGGGCACCACCCAGCACCACCCAGCCGCCACCCATGCCATCGTCCATTCGCGCCATTCGCGCACTGTTCCACACTCCCAAGCACACCGCTATGCCATTGATTTGCGTTACGCACCCGTTCCACAGATCAAGATCCCCCGGTCCGCCTCGCCCGACGCAATCTTGCGCGCGGCGTCGACCGCGACGTGCGGGTACGCCGTCTTGTCCTCGCCGGCCAGGACGCCGACGTCGATGACGCGCGCAACGCGCGGGTCGGCCTCGAGGTCCTTCTTGATCGTGTTCTTGTACTCGACGCCGGCGTCGTCGCAGCCCATCACTATGGTGTGCTTTTGTGTGCTGGCCATGGTTGATACGTGGTGGTGTGGGCGGGAGGGCGGGGAGGGGTGCGTCGTGTGGGGTGCAGGTGTAGGTGTGGTGGGTTTGGTATGTGTGGCTGGGTGGTGTGTGGTGGTGGTGTTTCTCTCTCGTTGGTGCTCTTGCTCCTACTCTCTCTCTCTCTCTCTCGTGTACTCGGTGCTGATCAAAGTTGGAAGATGACAAACAACCCTTCTCTACCTCCAGAAACCCCGTATACATACATACAGCGCACACCTCTCGTCATGCACGCGCAACCCACAAGTGGCCGACCCACCCACCCACCCACCCGCGCGCAACAGTGTGCCGTCCCGGCCAAATCCCCCGGCACGATGGCAACCCACTAAGCCCGGCTCGGACATGTCCCCCAGGTGCAAACTCCCGTAACGTCCGGAACGGTGTGGGTGCATTGCAGCTCGGCTGAGCAGAGCTCCCTCCCTGCCCACCAAGGATGCACTGCTGGCCGCTGGTACGTAACAGCACGTGGTGGTGCTGGGACGGTTCGACGGTACTTTGCATCGAAGAGGACGGGAGCTGTCAACTTCCGGTGGGCAGTGGTGTGGATGTGGGTGGAGTGGCAACGGCAATTGACGGCCAACCAGCGACAGGTGTTCTCCTCCTACCTTGCCACCTTGCGTCGCTCCGAGTCCATGCACCCGGACCGATACGGTGATGCATATATCCATATGCTGGTGTATCTTTCCGCATGACTGGAGGGGCTCCCTCTATATCAGGAGAGTGGCAGTACTGGCACTTGCCGTGAGTTGGCCATTCCTCACGACTGAGTGATCTGACTGTTGACCCACCCACCTCATGATACGTATCTGCCAGGTGCCAAATTATCTTACCTGCTCACACGTCGATGCGATAATTGTTCATTGGCCATGGAGATTGTTCAACACGGTCTACGATACACAAACGACACGGCAATGTCTGATGTTTACTGACAAGCAAATTGTTCCACTAAACACAACTGTTCCACCTGGCCACCGACACTCGGTCCACCACCAAGACCGGAGCACGTTCACACCTCCTCCTTGGGTGCGGCCTCGGGGTCAAACTCGTCCTTCTCCCGGATGACGGGCAACGGGCGAGTCTCCTCGTGTCGGCGCTCGGCCACGGCCGCAGCGACGAACCCTTTGCTCTTGTAGTATGTGTACACGAGCGTACCGACGACGATGAGGGCGATGGAGGTGGCGCGGGACGTGTTGATGATGTCGCCGAACAGGTGCACGCCGAGGATGGTCTGCAGGACCGAGCGGGCGGCCGAGGAGAACATGTGCGTCACGGGCGACGTGATCTTGATGCTTAGCAGTCCGCCGATGCAGATGAGGAAGCCGACCAGGCCCTGGGGAGCAACGTCAGGACTTGTCTTGGGCCACCTGCCCCGCCCGTTACCTCCACGAGACACGACAACTCACGGTAACGAGGCTGCCGACTGCAAACGCGCGCAAGTCGCCCTCTTCGCCATTCACCAGCCTGTACAAGCCCGGGAGCTCGTTGGCGACAATGATGACGGGGACGACGGCGATGCCGCTGAGCACGTTGGTCCAGTATGCCAGGTCGAGCGCCGAGCCGTCCACGTGCCGCAGGGCCGACTTGATGAGCACGGCGTGGACGGCGATCATGGCCGCACTGAGCACGCCGAGGACCATACCAAACGTCGGCGCCTCGGGGAGCGGGTTGGACCCCGCCCCGAACGGGTAGGGCAAAAACCCATAGATGAACCCGTACGTGACGAGCCCGCACGCCACGAGGGTCGGCACACCGGGCCGCTCGCGCGACGCGCCGGCCTGCAGTGCAATCGTCATGGGCAGGACGAGGCCGCGCGCGACCTGGAAGTAGGATGCGTCGACGAGTTTGAGGCAGTACAGGTTGAAGATGAGGCCCACAATGTTGACCGAGGCCACGGGCACCATCTTGAGCACCATGCTTCGCGACCACCGGGGCGCCGTCCATGCCGTCCGCGACGTGGCCGACCACGCTTCCAGGCATCCGACAGCGATGGCCAATTGGAGGAACAGGAAGATGAGGGGCAGGTCCGAGGTGATGAGGACCCATTTGTTACTGGCGAGACGAACGGAACGACCTGGTCAGCGCTGGGGACGAGAGCAAAACACACGCTTGCGATCGAAACGTGCCACTGTTCCGCTGGGAACAACGCTTGGCGGTGGCAATAAGGTTGGGACTCACACGATAACCATGGTCAGCGCCACTGCCATGTAAAACCCTACCACCAGGGCCACCTTCCAAACGGCCGGCTTCTCCTCGTTGGTCGTAGGCATCATGAGCGGGTTGGGTAGAGGGGAGTGGCGAGTCGAAGAAGAAGAGCGGCAAGTCGCTCGTCGAGGGGTGGTTTATACGATTTTATTAATAGCTTTGTTGAGTGGGAGAGAGCAATCGATGAGGGCAGAGCACACGGGGGGCTGGGAACATGCAATATATCCTTCTTGTTGTTTGTTCTGTTCTGTGGTGTCGTTGTCGTCGTTGACGTCTGCTCGTCGTCGTGTTTCCGTTGGGGCCGGAGGGTCGTTGCCTGAACAACCACCGTGTGGTCGACGCGTGTGGCGTGGGGAAAGTGGAAAGGCGTGGGGTGGGGGGGTGGGTTCGTGGGTGTGGTGAACAGTGCCAAGTGCACGTCCGAGGAGCCGCGCAGGTATATGAGATGAGACCTGTGATGGGGGGGTGGGCGGGCCTTGCAATGTGAAGAACAAATGAGACGGCGGGTTGCCGCTGCTGGGTGCTTGGGCCTGTCCTCGGTGCTGGTGGCTAAATGATGGGGCCTGTACATGTCATGCACAACCTGTGAAGCGTGCGGCCGTGTGTACATACGTGGGTTGCCACTGGTGTTGACGCACGCAGGCAAAGTCTGCCGCTGTGGTAACATGGGTGGATGTTGTGGACCTTTGTGTCTGTTCCCTGCCCGTGGAGCGCGCGTTACATTGCGCCGGCTGGTAGGTTTGGCAGTAAACCACTGCTCCGTGGCATCTGTTTGTCTGCCCCTCCGTTTCCGCTCCTTTTCATTGGAGCTCGATGCCGTTTGCCTGCGACTCCTGGCGATGCAGAGGTTGCGCGAGGACTATTTGCTTCCCGCTTGACTGGGTCCTCTAACTCGCGGGAAGCAATCCCGCCCGTGTCATCGAGGGGCAAGTGGTCAAAGATCGTCAAGAGGGCACAACCGCCACACTCCTGTATGCCCATGCGGTTCTATCCGCTGCTTGCTTTGGGTGGCCCATTCCCTCTTTCCTGGGTTCTCGTATGCTGGTCGGTTGCCAACCAAGGCAGTGTCAAAACGTACGTACCCCTCACATGGGCTTGTTGTATCCCTCCTCGTCCAGAGGCACTCGTGGCCACAGTGTGGACTGTCGGTTCGCCAACGTCGGCTTGGCAACAACCTTATGTCCTCCCGCGCATTCCTCTCGTACTCCGCCCGGGGTAAATGAAAAGCATAGATTTCGTCGCTGTTTCTGACCTGTTTGACACAGCTGAGAGACTATTAGAAACATGCATTTGGGCGAGGCCAGGAGACCCAAGCCGGCCAGCCCGAAACCCAAACAACTTCCGCGGCCCGAATAGGTCTGTCGATCGTGGCCCGGCCGGCACGCCGTGGAGTGCGCCAGTAAATGTGTCCTCTTGCAGAATCGCAGACGGAGATGTTGCAGGATCGTTGAAGCACTTGCTGTGCTGTTGATGGGAACGTGCCACGGTTTGCCCATTGCAACGGTTTTGGAGAGCGTGGTCAGCCGGACCTGATACCATGGAGCATGCCTCCCAATGACAGCAACTCTTAAAAAACGATCTCCGCGTATCGGCTGCGGCCCGCGAGCAACACCAACGTCGATAGCGTCGGGCAGCACAGGTTCCGCCCAAAAGCAGTTGGTGGCCTTGGCAGGCGGGCCCAGACGACCAGCAACGAGATCGAGAGGTGACGAGAGAGCGTACGAAACGTCTACCCCGCACATGACGCACGTCGTATATCGTTTCCTTGCTGGTGCATCTCCACAGCCGAGGTGCCGAGCGAGGGAACGAGGCGAGCGACGGGGATGCACGTCAATCGGTTACTGGGAATACGACAGCAACGTGCATGCGCGCTGTTACCGAGTTGTCGGCCACAGCAGACAAGAGCGGTGGAAACATTATCTGGGGTACAATCTCGGTCACGTCTCAGCACAACGACAACAACAATCACGGCCGCGATGCTCCCGACACCACCATTGACGCCCAGTATGGGCACGACGGGCCTCCCAGAAGCGACAGGCGCGGCGGGGTCGAGCGGGCGCCGTCTCAGCGACAATGAGCTGAGCTACTATCTCCCTGCTCGGGCTGACGGTGCCAACGACATGTGAGTGAGCCGTGGCATGAGAGGCCGGAAGCCTTCGACTGCAACATCCGACTTCCATGGTCAAGGTTGGCCGGTGGCTTTGGCTGACGGCAGGTATGTCCACCATGGCCTGCGCGCCTCGGCGTTGGCGATGAGTCTCGAACGAGTTGACCTCGCATGGGCCCTCCAGCTTGCACGACATCCACTGCTCGCCTCGCGCGTGGCTGTGGGCAAGCGCGGATACAGCGATGTGTGGTTTGCGTACACGCCCCCGACAGACGTGGCCATGGCGCTGGAGGCTGCTGCCGGGCGCCTGCAATACCTCGATCCCAAGAAGGGCGCGGCCGACGTTGACCTCGTCGATGCGTACCTCAACAAGGGACGCACGCTGTCGGACGACATGCTCGCGTGTCTCATTGTGCGGCGGGGTACGCGGCAGGTGGTTGCTGTGGGCCCCAACGGTCCAACTGCGAGCGATGGGGACGACCAGATGGTCGACTACGAGGTCATGCTGTGCACGACGCACTATGTCGGTGACGGCATGGCGCTGCATACGTTCATGAACCAGCTGTACGGCCTGTTAGGTGGCGACCTGTCCGACGGCGAACTGCAGACCATGCTCGAGGCGGAGCTGCTCAAGCACAACGAGATACCGCCCCCGCTCGAGGACAGGCTGGGCCTGAGCCACTTCCAGACAGCGGTGGGCCACGTTGCACAGCGCACGGCAGACGCAAACTTGCTCGGCGGCCAGGTGCTCCCTGCCGTCAAGGGGAGGGAGAGGGAGACCATCGTGCCCACCAAGGCGTATACTCCCGAACAGACAAAGGCCGCGCTTGCGCGGTGTAAAGCGCACGGCGTGACCATTGCCCATGTGGTATTTGCGCTCTGTGCTGTGGCGTGGTCTCGTCGACAGGGTGTGGATGCCACTCAGCCAACGTGAGTTCAAAAGGCCCACCTCAACTGACGCGCGCAGGATGATGTACTCGGCGCTCAACATGCGTCCGCACATGAACGCCACACCGACGCCGCCATCCTTCTTCCACCTCGCAGTGGGATACTTCAACATTGTGCTGCCGACACTCACGCTCGCCTCGGAGCGCTCCCCAGCGGAGATGGTGTGGTATCGCGCCGCGAGCACAAAGGCCCAGACGGCCGCAGCGGCCAAGTCGCCCCTCGCGGCAGCCATGTTCCGTGCCACGGCCAGCATGCGTGCCGCGCGTGCACGACACTGGGCATGTATCGACGACGCAGCAGCGGCCACCGCGGCCACTCCTGCCACCCCTGCTGCCACTGCCACCCTTCACCCGCCAACGCCCGAAAAGTCGGATGACAGCCACACAGACACCGACGACGAGGTCCTGCCCCCCGCCCCGGCTGGACGCGCGTTCATGGGCCTGTCGATGCTTGGCAACCTCGACGCCATGTACAAGCACGCGTCGTTCCCCCGTATCCGGATGTACGCGCTCACGACCGGCAGCAGACAGCGTCCTGGTGGCCTGCTGCTGTTTGCGTACACGCTTGCAGGCAAGCTGTGGCTGTCGCTCGGGTATGACCACCACGGGTTTGATACGGGCGTCATTGAGAGTTTCTGGGCCGACGTCCTGGCCCTCGCCGACGATGTGTTCCTTGGCCCCGAACAGCAGGTGTAAGAAGAAAATCAGTTCCGTTTAAAATGAGCGCGTTTGTTTCGTTTAGCTGCTCGCTCCTTGTCTGCTCTCATGCAAGCTACTGCATCTATAGCCGCGACCATACGGGCGGTGTTTTTGTGGGTTAAAAAAAGTAGAGACAAGCACTTAGGCAAACTCGGAGGTGGGGGTCGCGTAGCCGCTCCTGCGCTGGTGGAGCCACGCCTTGACGAAACCGTTGCGGGCAGCGACACCGCCGTCGTCCTCGGGTGCGGGCGGCAGGTCGAGGCCCTTCTCGCCCATTGCGACCTTTGAGGCATCGCGGAACCCGTCAAAGGCGGCGCGGGCGCCGCCGCTCTCGAGCGACTCGCGGGCGAGGGCCACACCTTCCTTCCAGTCCTTGGCGCGGCCCGAGATGTGAAGCAGGGCAGCGGCGTTGATGAGCACGTAGTCGCGGATGGCCTCGAGGGAGGGGGCGTCAGCGTCGTTGGGGGAGGCAAGGTGGGCGGGGGCAGTGGTGTTGTCCAGCAGTGCGTTGAAGGTCAGAGCGTTCTCCTCGGGGGTCGAGCCCTTGACTGTGCTGAGGGGGTGAAGGGGGAGGCCAAAGTCCTCGGTGGGGTGGATCGACGAGTGGGTGATCTTGCCGTTCTCAAGGCGCCAGATCTGAACAAGTGGTCAGTCCAAAAGGTCTTGTTGTTTTCGGTGGCTTACCCAAGTGGGACCAGCGATCGAGATCTCATCCAGACCCTCCTGGCCACACACGACGAGCGCACGGTCGACACCAAGGAGGCGGAGGACCTCGGCAAACGTGTCACCGAGCTCGCGCTTGGCCACACCGAGAACCATACGCTGGGGGCGCGCAGGGTTGATGAGAGGACCGAGGACGTTGAACACGGTGCGGAAGTTGAGCTGGCGACGGACAGGCGCAATGTGGGCGAGCGCCGGGTGGTAGTGGGGCGCGAACAGGAAGAGGAATGGGGAGGCCGGGAGGAACGAAGGGAGCTTCTCGACGGGGAAGGACAGGCGGCAGTCGAGGCTGATGAGCAGGTCGGCCGAGCCCGACGTCGAAGTGGCCGCCTTGGAGCCATGCTGGAAACTCTGTCAGCTGTGTGCATTCACAAAAGGCGTTGTATTGTCGAGCGGAAAGTGCTGGTCCGTCGCGCACGCCCGCTCGACTTTTCATGGTCCAATGTCTCACCTTGGCCACGCGCACACCGCTGCCAGCAACAACAACAGCGGCAGTGGTCGAGACATTGTAAGTGTCCCAGCCATCACCACCGGTGCCGACAATGTCGACGAGGCCGCGGTAGCCGTCGCCCTCGGGGTCCGAGTCGGTGTAGTCCCAGCGTCCGAGGTGGAGGTGGCCAGCGGGTCCGTCGGGAACGAGGTCGGTCACGGGGACGGCGTGCTTGCGGAGCACATCGGCGCAAGCGGCCACGAGGGCGGGCTGCGAGTCGAGACCCGAGAGAGTGAGGGCCGTGAGGAAGGCGCCGGCCTGGGCGGGAGCGGCGGCGTCGACGGCGAGGTGCTCAAAGGCGGCACCACAGTCCTCCGGGGTAAAGTCGATGGGGCTCTGGACGAGCTTTTTCAAGAGGGCCTTGAACGTGTCGGGCGAGTACTCTGCCATGGTGAGATGTGTGGGAAAGGGGTAGATGAGCGAGGGAGAGATGGAACGTTGTTGTTGTTGTCGTCGTCGCTGCCGTCGTCTGTGTCGTTTATTCCGAGCACGTCTTGTTTCTCGGCCCCATCTGGCATCTCTCTGGCGCTCGACTCGGATCGTCACCCGCAGTTCCAGATAACGGGGTGGGTGGGTCACGTGATTCAAGTATGGGCGAGTGAATTGATCCCGCCGCCTTCCCCCGCACGCGCAAGTGGAGGTGAGTCATGAAACGCTCTCTTGGGCTTTTGTTGTTCTCTTCCTTCTTCCACTCAACGCTTCTCGGATCCGGCACCGTCATGAGTAAACGTCCGTCCACAGCAGCCCTTCCGCCAGCTAAAAGGCGTGAGTTAGACGACGAGAAGATATGAGAACTATTAACCCACATCCAGTGGCACCCATCTTCGCAATGGGCAAGGCAAGCACCTCGGCGCCACCACCCACAACGGGCACGTTTGACCACACCGCGCCTCCCACCATGATCCACTACCACCACCTCGACCCGCTTGCGTCGACCTCTGAGCCCTCCAAGGACCCTGTCACGATTATTATGTACGACCTCGACGGCACACTCATTCGTCCCAAGGACGGCCGTCGCTTCCCAAAGGACGCAGAGGACTGGCAGTGGTGGCACGGCGGGGTGCCCAGTCACCTCAAGAAGATGGCCAAGGCTGGCAACCACATTGTCGTGTTCAGCAACCAGCTCATGGAGACTGAAAAGAAGAAAAGGACGTGGAAGGGCAAACTGCCTCTCATCGCTGCCAGAGTGGGTACCAGATGCCTCTCCGAAACGACCCATTGAAGAACGCGCTGACGTGCAGATCGACGACGTGCCCATCCGCGTCTTGGCGGCCACTCAGCGCGATGCTTTCCGCAAGCCACACACGGGCATGTTTGACTACCTGGTCCAGCTTTACGAAGAGAAAGGGTGGAAGATTGGTGAGTAGGGATGATACATTGCTCGTTGCTGATGGCAGACCGCGAGAAATCGCTCTACGTAGGCGACGCCGCTGGCCGCAAGGGAGACCACAGCAACACCGACTTTACAATGGCCCTCAACGCTGGCCTGAATTTTGAGACTCCCGAGGTGCGTCATACAAGCCGGGAAGCTGGAGCTTACCCCGCAGGAGCACTTTCTTGGCATGGGACCCAAATACCCCAACCCGCCCGCAGCCTTTCGCCCAACCGCCATGAAGGACTATGGTAACCGTGGGTGTTTGTGATTGCGGTTCTTTCACCCATTTCTGACTGTCCAGTACCACCAATTGTTCCCTCAAACACCCCAATCGCGCGCGAGCAGGCCGAGATTGTCCTGTTCATTGGACCACCGTGGGTTGAGGAGTCCGTCATGACGTCTGACCCACCAGTGCCGCAGGCAAAACCTCCTTCTACCGTCGCCACTTTGACACCTACGAGCACATCAACCAGGACACTCTGAGGACGCGTGATGCGTGTATCCGTGCTGCACGCCGTGCGGCTGACGAGGGTCGTGCTATTGTCGTCGACAACCAGAACCGGGACAAGGGGACTCGTGCGCTTTGGGTAAACCTGGCCAAGGAGCTTAAGCTGCCCATCCGGTGAGTTCGAGCTGTCCTCGCTCTTACTGTCCGTAGCTTTCCCCTCGCTCATACCCCCAGCGCATTCCATTTCAAGGTGCCCGTCGACCTGGCCGAGCACAACAGTCTCTACCGTGGCATGTACGCACCCATCGGCGAGCCCAGTCGTGAGGTCCTCCCCAAACAGGCGTTCATCAGCTTTTCCAACGCGTACGACGCGCCACTTAAGAATGAGGGCTTTGAGGAGGTGCGCACGGTAAACTTTGTGTGGGAGGGAACGGCCGAGCAGTTCAAGCTCTGGGACAGGTACCTCCTGTCCAAGTAGGTGGTTTGTGTAGACGAAAGTAGACTTGTGTATGTATTCACGTCATGTGTACATTGGCTTGGTGCCGCCTGGAGGCAGCCGCCACCCAAAGTCGAATCAGCAAGAGGTGTCAAAATGCAGTCAACCCAACGCACTGACTGAATCGTCGTCATGGGTGCATGAAAAGAAAGTCGCGACCTGCCCACCAGGAGCAATGCATCCTCATCGCGCCGGGCTTAAGCGTTGGGCCGGAACGGTCGCCATACCGGGCTGATGTCAGAGAAGATGCCGAGACGGAAGTGGGCGGCGGGCCAAAAGGCAAAGTCCGGGGCGGGCATTAGATGCGCAACGCTTTCCTCGCCACTTGCTCCCCGCGAGCGCTGTTTGCCGTACTAATCTCCCTTCCGGGCCCACGGTACGGTAACGAAGGAACAGCGGGTGACGGTACATGTGTGGTCATGACGGGTGGGGGGTGGGGGTGCGGTGGAGTGGGTGGGTGGAGTGAGTGGGCAGATACATAGGCTTCCTGTTTGCTTGTGGGTCTTCCTCTCAAGCCTCTCTCTCTCCCTCTCACAGACTGTACAGAGTGACGCGCCAAGATGTCTGACCGCCACATCTTCAACGACCACACAACCCTCGTCGCGCGCTCCCTGCGCGGCCTGGTGGCCATGTCCCCACGGCTCAACCTCATCCCCTCGCTCAAGGTCGTGTACCGCGCCGACGCCGACCGGTCCAAGGTCTCCCTGCTCTGCGGCGGCGGCAGCGGCCACGAGCCGGGCACAGTGGGGTTTGTCGGCGAGGGCCTGTTGACGGCCGCGGTGGCCGGCGACGTGTTTGCCAGCCCCAGTGCCAGGCAGGTGCTGGGTGGCATCAAGGCCGTGCCCAGCGACAAGGGAACTATTCTGATCATTACCAACTGTGAGTGGCAGCGACGGGCGAAGGTGGCAGACGACAGCTCGCTCTGCCATGTCGATTTGGGTCATCATTTGTACCACCGTGACCCAAAACGGCCACCTGTTGCATCTCCCATCCCACTGTGGGCGGCTCGCTGACACCCTACAGACACCGGCGACAACCTCCATTTCGGCCTGGCACGTCTCATGGCCCAGAGCCAGGGAATCCCAAACGTCGAGCTCGTGGTCGTCGGTGACGACGTGAGCGTCCCGCACTCGAGGGGCAAGATGGTCGGCAGGCGTTGTCTTGCCGGCGTGATTCTCGGTGAGTGGCACATAGTCCAACAAGCAAATGAGCTTGTTCCAAGCCCATGCTTCAGCTGGTGCCCTCGTTTCGCGCAGCTGCAACCAGGCTAACCGCCAGTGTCCAAGATCATGGGTGCCGCCTCTGAGGACGACATGGATTTCCAGCCGCTCGTCAAGCTCGGCCGCTCGCTCGCCTCCAACATGGCCTCGGTGTGCATGGCCCTCGACCACTGCCACGTCCCCGGCCGCAGTGGCGAGTTTGCCCAGATCCCCGCCGGCCGAATCGAGATTGGCCTCGGGCTGCACAACGAGACGGGCGTGTTCAACGTGGCCCAGCCGGGGCCCGAGGAGCTGATCAAGACCATGCTCGACTTGATGCTCGACCAGGACGACCCGGAGCGCGCATTCGTCAAGTTTAAGAAGGGGGACACGCTGGCGTTGATGGTCAACAACCAGGGCGGCATGAGTCCCCTTGAGATGGGCGCGGTGGTGGACGAGACCCTCGTGCAGCTTGGTAAGTGTGCAGCTGCGGCCTTGACTTGGATCTGAGCTGACTCGCTGGAACAGAGGGCCGCGGCATTGTCCCCGTCCGCATCTTCCAGGGCATCTTCATGGGCTCGATGAACATGCCCGGCGTATCCCTCTCGCTCCTCAACCTCAACAACGTCAGCGCCGACACGGGCCTCTCCATCGCCACACTCATGGAATACATGGACGCCGAACACATGTCCCCTTGCTGGCCTGTAAACCAGAAAAACGTCTACCCTCTCCCGGCCAACCTGCGTGACCGTAAACGCACCGACGCGTTCATCGACGTCGAGGCCGAGCACAAGGCGCCGGCACCCACCGGCCCGCCGCTCAAGGTCGACCCGGCCACGATCCAGCGCGCGCTGACGCTCGCGGCGCAGGACGTCGTTGCGCTCGAACCCGACCTGACGAAATGGGACACGATCGTGGGCGACGGCGACTGCGGCGAAACGTGCGAGATGGGCGGGCGCGCCGTGCTTGCGGCCGTGAAGAACGGGCTGGGCGCTGACGGCGACCTCGTCCACCTGTTCCGCGAGTTGACCGAGATCATCGACGAGGCATGCGGCGGCACCCTCGGCGCCATCTTCTCCATCTTCCTCGCGGGCATGACCACGGCGCTTATGGAGGCCGCCGCCCAGTCGCCCCAGCCCGTGGTGGACGCGGCCCTCTTTGGCAAGTGTGCGCGCGACGCACTGGATACATTGGGCCAGCGCACGGCCGCGCGCGAGGGCCACAGGACAGTCATGGACGCCCTCATCCCCTTTGCCAATGCGCTGGCGGCCACCGGCGACGTCAACCAGGCAGCAGCAAAGTGCCGCGCTGGCGGAGAGGGGACCGCGACGCTCACGGCTAAACTCGGCCGCGCGGCGTATGTCGGTGACAGGACGGACACGACCATGCCGCCCGACCCGGGAGCGATGGCCTTTGTGGCTGTTGCAGAGGGCATTGCAAAGGCTGTGGATGAGAAGACGGTCAATGGGGTCTGAAAAGGAGGTCGTTGTTTGTACAGTAGAATTCAGTATATCCATGCAGGTGTTCAAGGCAACAGGCAGTTAGCGCGGTATTGTGGCGTCGTGGTTAGTGGATCAGTGGATCCGTGTAGTGGTACAGCGCAACCGATTGGGTCCTCTGGTCGGCACTCGTAGACCCTCCCGGTCGTTGCCGCCATCGCCCCCGTGCTTGCAAGAATCTCTTCTCGTTCTCTACACTGTATATGCCTATATGCCGTATGCCGGGAGGTTGGGGGGATTGGGTGCTATGAAAGATTGCGCATGATCAGCTCATACGTGAGCATGGTGACGGCGCTGCTCGGCACGGTGCGGACGAGGTTGATGCTCAGGCCGCGGTAAAACCCGCGCCATCCGTCCTGGTGGTAGATTTTGCGGAACACATCAATGATACCTCCTGGGCGCGGGGTGAAGACTGGCTTGTTACCCGACCGGCCGGCTGAGGCTGGCAGCTCGCCAGCGACGGGCGGGTTGGAGCCCGTGACCAATGGCGAGTAGAGCTCGGAGCTCGGTGGCCGAGCAGCAGCAGCAGCAGCGACGGCGGCGGCGGGTTTGGGCGTCTGCGCCTTGGAGACCTGGATGCGCGTACGCAGCACCTCGTGTGGGTATGTCGCGAGTGAGGCGACCATCTTGGAGAAGGCCGAGCAGGCGAGGATCGCCGTCGGCGTCAGGGGCTGGCCGTCACGACCTGTCTTGTCAGTTATTGGGCCAAACGACTGGAGTTGGCTGGCGGAGCGTTACGGTAGCCACCACTCGCTCTGCCCGTGTACTCACAAGCCCAGGCCTTGGTCTTTTCGTACAGACCAAACTGTACCGCCACGTGCGAGACACCCATCAAACTCGGGAGGAGACCCTTGTAGAAGGCGCGAAAGCCCTCCGTTGTGTAGATGGTGCGTACTGCGTCAAACGTCGTCTTGTACCGGGGGGCCGAGGGAGGCAGGATAGCCTGCGCCATGAACCGCGTCTTGACGACCCACAGCGGGTTGGTCAGAATGGTGCCCGTTGCGCCGGCCGTCATCGCTGCTGTGACGTGTGCAATGTCTGGGTGCGCTGTGGTGCCATGTCAGCACTGGGTTCCTTCCGCGATAAGAGAACGGGAATGGGGCGATAACCGTCGTTTCCCATCAGGTCACGAGACAGCACATACCATTCGCAATTGGGATCTGCCGCAAGCGATCCTTGATAAAGTCATAGACAGTAAAGTAGATTCCCCATGTCGGGAGGTATCCAGCCACGGTTGGTCCCAGGCCGCGGTAAAAGCCCCGCACGCCCGACTGGCGATAGATGCGGATACACGTCTTGGTCACACCCTCGTATCCTGGTGCTCCGCGCGGGACGCTCTGGGCCTGTAGTGTGGTCTTGACCACGTCGAGCGGGCATGTCGCAATGGACGAGACGAGACCCGCGCCGGCGCCGGCGACCATGGAATGTAGTGCGGCCGGGACGCGGATTCGCTTTCGCCGCACATCGCCACCTTCCATCACGGACGACAACACGGGGTTGTACAGCGTGCTGGTGAATGCGAGAGGGGTGATGCCGGTGCTGGCAGGTGTATACGGAGGTCCGTCCGAACGGCGGCTGCCGGAACTGCCGTCGTGGGCCGCGTCTGGCGGGATGCCCGGGTGCAGCGGCGCATGGCCGAGTCCGTGGGGGCCGACAGTTCGGCGTGCGATGGGGGAACAAGTGTACCGCATCGCCATCAAGCTTCCAGCTGGGCGGTGGTCGAAGGCCGGCACCTGGTCGAGACTGCTATCAGCCGACGACGACGAGTTGTCGGGGCAGTCCCGGAAGGAGCGCGCCGCACGGGACGTGGTCGCCTCTGCGCTCCCATCGCGGGCGAGCGGCGCCATCGCCTGCTGTGCGGAGCGGCCGGCGGAAGGAGTGGAGGGGGTATGGAGAGGTAGAAAGTGTTTGGCGTGCGCGCAAACGTCCGCGAGTTCTTGGTGGTGAGTAATGAGGTGCTTGCTTAGCTTAGCCGGGTGTGACCGTGCCCGGGGAAGATGGCGTCGGGCGGAGAAGGGGTCGCGTGCCGGACAGCGCAAGCGGGGTATGCAGCGAGCGTGTAGGTGATGAGAACGAGGTACGATGAGGTGCTATCCCGAGTGACGAAGAGATGTGTGTTGTGAGCCCAAATTGCCGAGCGAGCGAGAGAGAGACAGGTGTGCGTGCGCGCGCGTGGTCCGAGTGGGCAGGATCCGGGTCCAAAGGGGTTTGGGGTCGTCTGCCGATTTGCTCTGGATGCTGCGCACTGAGCTGGGAGGGAAAGGAAGAGGTCGTTTGCGTGTCCCAGACGGAGGTGTGCGTGGGCTTTGCTGTGAGCTCGCTGTTGTACGAGCCGCTGGGAACGACGGAGGGATGAGAGTGTGTGGATTGAAGAGATGTAATCCAGAGTCACCACTGGCCGTCCGACCGTCACCTCGTCTCGCCGGCGCCAGCGGAACCATTTTTGAACGACCCATCTGTGCACGGCCAACCAAGCGTGGCGTGCGGGGGGGTGGCAGTCACCGCTGATAACAACAACCCACACCTGCGGCCACAAGCAGCGTATATATACCCAGTGGGGTCCCTAACATGCATGCAAAACGAAACACAGACATCTCTAATCGAACGTAACCTTGGTTCCCGCACTCTCCACAATGCCCACCTTCTCGCGCTGCGCCATCGCAAGCGCAGCTCCAGGCCTGGGTCGGCCAGTCGACTCCCACTTCTTGCCGCGCTTGTCCACCTTTTCAGGCTTGCCACCGTAGCCGCCGCGCGAGTCGTCGCCACCGCCACCGCCGCCAGACACCATCGCGGCAATACGCGCCGCAGCAGCAGCCTCAGACTTGTAGTCGGTCGGGCCCGTGGGACCACGCGAGTGCGCCTCGTAGCCGCCCTCGTCGTCACCGCCGTGAGCTTGGCCGTGGCCCTCGCCCTCGCCATCCTCACCGCCGGCAGACTCAAAGTAGCGAGCCGGCCTGGGACGGGGAGCACCGCGGGCTCCACCAGGTCCACCAGGTCCACGGGGCTTGTCGCCGTCACCCTTGCGGCCGCCAGCACGCTTGGTGGCCGACTCGGAGGCGAACTGCAGCACGAGGCGGCGACCGCGCAGGTAGTGGTTCTTGCGGTTCAGGAGCGCAGCCTTGGCATGTGCGGGGTCCTTGAAGTCCCAGAAAGCGAAACTAAAGCACTTGTTAGCTCTGGACCACACAGTGTCCCGGACAACACTCACCCCTTGCAGCGTCCAGTGTCCTCAAACTGGCCAACACGAGTCTTGAGCAGACCAGACTTGATGCCCGCACGCGAGCTAGTAGCCTGGGCAGGCTTCTCCTCTCCGTCCTCGCCCTCGCCGTCCTTGCCCTCGCCCTCGTCATCCTCGTCGTCCTCCTTGGGGGGAACGAACACCTCCTGGGTGTTGGTCTCGACCAGGTCACGCAGCTCCTCCTCGGTACAGTCGAAGGGGAGGTTACCGATGAACAGCGTCGAGGACTCGCCGTGCTTCTGCTTGGCAAGCACACCGGGAACGGTACCAGGGCCCGAGGGGAGGGGCTTGGGGGTACGAGCTTCGGGGTTGGCCTTGTGGTCGTCACCGGCCTTGATGAGCAGACGACGGCCCTCGAGGGGACGCTCGCTCAGGCCAAGAGCCAGGAGGCGGACAGCGTCGGTCTGGAAGTCGACATAGGCGAATCTGTAGAAGTCAGCTACTAGTCACTGGGAACCAACTCACCCCTTGTTCTCCGAGAAACCACCGCGGCCGGCCTTCTTGGGCAGGTACACACGCGTGATGGCGCCGGCGGGACCTCCACTGTCGACAATACCACGCTCCATAAACTGCTTGAGGCTGTCCTCGGTCGTGCGGAAGGACATGTTACCAACCCAGACGGAGAACTCGCCCTTGGGCTGCACCTTCTCCTTGGCCTCGGCACCTTCCGTTGCCTTGCTCTTCTTGGTCTCGCCGTTGTCGGTCTGCTTGGGCGGGAGGGGCTCGTCGCCACGCTTGGCACGCTTGCGGGCGGCACGAAGCTCGGCCTTGGACAGGGGGGCGTTGGCACCCATGTCGATCTCGAGGAGGTCGCCGGCCTCGGCGTCGTCCTCGGCGGCGCGCTTGCGCGAGGAGGAAGCGCCCTCGGTCTCGGTCTCGCCGGTCGCCTCGGCGGCAGCAGCCTTCTCAGCCTCGGCGGCCTTCTTGGCGGCCTTGCGGGCGTCACGGGCAGCCTGCTGCTCGGGGGTACGGCCGGATTTTGTCTTGGGAGCGTCCTCGGCCATGGTGGTTTTGTGTGGGTGTTGTTGAGAAGCAAGGTTATGGCTATGAACGCATATTTTGAACTTCTTGGGATCCGAAGTTTTGGTCCCGGGGGGGATTAGCATTGGCGCAGGTAATTGCTATTAGGAACCCGGTAACTGGCGGCTAATGAGACTTTGTATTGACATGGCGGCTCCGCGAAATGCCACGCGTCGAACCGAGAGCTGGCGACGACGAGGACACGCTCGTCGACGTCGATGCGTCACCGTTGTTTCCTCTCTTTCGTCAACGCTCACGCACACCCACACACAGCGCCCACCACGCCATGGACACTCCCTACATGAACTCGCGCTCCCCGCCGCCTCTCCAGCACCCAAAGCCCACACATCCGGCATACCCCCCGCCAGAGCCTCCCCACACCCCGGGTCGCAGCTCGGCGTCCTCGCCCTACTCCCAGACAGGCCGTCTCTCAATGGAGGCAGACGGCTACACGCGCTACTCGTCGCCGCCCGTCGGCGTCGAGCAGCACCACCACCAGCAACCCTTCCATGGTACCCCCCAGCAGCAGCAGCAGCAGCAGCAGCAAGCTTCCACCTCCGGTTACGCGCCGCAGGGCGTGTCTGGCCAGATGGGAGGCTCGGCGCACGCGCGCGGCTTTGGCGCCGCCGGTCCCAACGCACCTATGGGGTACGACACAAGCGGATTTGGGGCGTGGCCGGGCATGAACGACGCGACGGCGCAGATGGGTGTGCAGTTTGGCCGCAGCGCCGTGGCTGCCGGTCACGACTATGTCGAGAAGAATGTGAGTTGCAAACCGAGTGACATTAGCTCATAGAACTAGCTCTCGCGCTACCTTCCCCTCCCCCTGGTCAAGACGTGCTTCTCTGTCACGAACAGCTACGTCTTGCGCAAGCTGCGACTTGTCCTCTTCCCATGGCGGCACAAGCCGTGGTCGCGCCAGGTGCGTCGCGGGGCTGAGCACGGCGGCGTCGACGGCTGGATGGCCCCACGGGACGACATTAACGCGCCCGACCTCTACATTCCCAGTAAGTTGAAGGCTACGTGCGCAGTCTGTAGCTATGCTGACTCTCTCAGCCATGGCACTCGTGACGTACACTTTGCTCGCTGCGCTCGCGCGTGGCCTGCAGTCGCGCTTCAAGCCCGAGGTGCTCGGCGAGTCCATTTCGAGCGCCATCCTCGTCGTCATCCTCGAGTTCCTCCTCGTCAAGCTCGGCTGCTACTTTCTCGATGTGCGGGGTGGTGGTGGTGCGAGTGGCGTCGAGCTCCTCGCGTACGGCGGCTACAAGTTTGTCGGCATTGTCGCGACCGTTATCGCCTCGCTCTTGCAGCTTGGCTCCGCCGTTCAGTTTGCCGTCTTCTTCTACACCTTCTGCGCCAACGCCTTCTTCCTCGTGAGTAGCTGGAATAGTCCAGTCCAGAAGCCAGCTAACATCCCAGCTCCGCTCGCTCAAGTATGTGCTTCTCCCTGACAGGAGCAGCGCCATGTCGGATGTAGCCAGCGCGCCGAGCCTGTCACACGGCCAGCGTGCCCGCCGTGTGCAGTTCCTGTTTGGCGTTGCAGTGTCACAGGCGTTGTGGATGTGGTGGCTGAGCCGGGTGTAGATAGAGATGGCTGTGCATGCATGGAGAATGTGAGAGCAAAAGAACAGATGGGTGGCACCTGGGTGACGATAGGCCACCCCCATCCCCCGCGCCACAGTGCGAATTCCGCCCACGTGGCGCTATATCGCCGGTTCGCCCGACTTTTGCCTTTGGCCCATCCCTTCACCGCGTCGCTCGCCCTCTTAAGCTGTCTCTTTGCGCTCTTTCACCATGGCTCTTGCCAACATCTTCTCGGGCCCCCTCCGCATCGCGCGTGCAGACAGTGAGTGAACGCAGCTACACACCGACACCCACCCGTTTGCCCCAAGCTCACACACCCCAGTCTGCGCCGTCTCGGTTGCCTCTTCGTCTCGTGCCTTTTCGGCAACTGCCATCGTCGCAGAGTCGCGCGCAAAGGTCAATGCTCGCAGGAAACGCCAAAAGGTGATGGCCGGTCGCTCGGCCGCCGCCGCTGCGCGTGTGGCCGAGCTCGCGGACCCCATCCTCGGCTCCCCCCTCGCCGTCGCCGGCCCCTCGTCGGGCTCGGCCGCCACTCCCGCCGTGGACCTGTACGAGGGCTGCAGGCTGCAACGCACAGTCCTCAAGGCCAACGACATCTGGTACGCTGCCCCGCCCAACTACGCCGCTGGCGGCCACCCCCCGCACTACCTCCCTGGCCTGTCCGAGGCCGACCGGGAACTGCTCTTCGGCGCTCTGCCTCAGGTGACGGCCGAGCTCCTGTTCGACCCCGAGCGCCTCGCTACCAGCGAGGAGGTCGTCGGTGACCAGGTCAGGCAGGTCGAGACCCTTCAGCGCATCACCGACCTGAGGAACGCCAGCAAGAAGGGCATTGAGGTTGTGAACCGTGCGCGTATCATCAAGGAGTTTGGCGTCGACGAGAAGGACACCGGCAACACTGCTGTTCAGGTCGCTCTCCTCACCCACCAGGTCCGTACCCTGGCAGAGCACCTCCAGACCAACAACCGCGACAAGCAGAACCGCCGCGCCCTCCGTCTCCTCATCCACCGCCGCGCTACTCTCCTCAAGTACTTTAAGCGTACTAAGCAGGACGACTACGACGCGCTCCTCGCCGACCTCGGCCTCGCGCGCTCTGCCGTCGAGGGTGAGCTCATGGTCGGCATGTAAACACGAGGGTAAGTCTTGGTCTTCTGAATCTTCCTCGTCTCTCCTCCTCTCCTCCACGTTCCCTCGAATGATTACTGTTTTTCCAAACCTGATTTAATGAGTCTGAACCGCTTGACCGCGGTCTAGAAGTTAACCTTTTGCGTATGACACCCACACCCACACATCCACTTGTTCTCTTGCCTGAGGAAACCAAACGCTGACAGCGATACAGCATACCAAGCCTCAAAAAACGTACATCTCCCCTCTTCACCCTCATCCGTTGTGTTTCATATGTTTGCATTAGCCCCATCTTCTGCATAAAATCAATAGCTGCTGTCAAATCCTCGCTGCCGCGACTGGTTTTTGACCTTTGCTGGTGCCTTGAAATCTCGCGGAGTGAACATTTGTCGGGAGATTCCTTCTCAATGAACACGCAACCGTGGTCGTGTGCCGGTAGTCAGCCGCCACGACGAGGCTGCGCGGCAGCAACTGCGAACCTCAGCGTCAACCCACGGAATCACTATTGGTGCAACAATCTCCACCTGCTGATGGGTGGCAATCAGGTCGGTCAGTACGTCGCGAGCTCCAAAAGAAAGGGACGGTAGAGTAAACCCATACATTAGCTTCAACATGACGCCCTTGAGGATGCATAAATAACTGCAACTCTCGCGGTGGTCGTGTATGCGCCTCGCACACGTTCTGTATGCTGCAGATGCGGCCTTGCTCTGCTGTGATTACCTCACAGTGGGCACATGCTGGCTGCAGAATGTCGCACCTCGTCGCGCCTTCCTAAGCTAAACGCCGCAGCAAGAAAACATAAGTGTTACATACGACAAACACGGCGGGGCACCAGCCCGGACAATGTCCCTCTGCGGAAGGTAGGTCGGCGGCAGAACCCGAAGCAAGTGAAATCAAAAAATAAAATCAAAAAATAATTGACACAGTTTCTAAGGGGTGGAACGACGTGCCTACTTCACGAGGATCGCACCGGGGTTGATGTCGCCACATACTATGGGATAGCCGCAGGAAAGTGCCTTAGAACACACACGTCCGCATGACACCTTAGCCATAGTAAGTAGCCTTGCTAAGGTTATTGACTATCGACTATAAGTGGCGTTGGACACTGAAAGTGACATTCTACCAGGAGCCCATTAGGTCATTAGGGTTTGATCTCTAATGCAAAGTGGACGTGATGACCCATGGTCACGGCCTTGCGTTCGCTTGCGTTCGCTTGCGTTCGCTTGCGTTCGCTTGCGTTCGCTTGCGTTCTTGACAAGGTCCATCGTGCATCTCTGAACCCATTGGAAGTAACTCAAACTCACACCTCGCTCCTTGCACAAAGACCAGCCGTAAACCGTTCAAGGGGATATGCCTCAGCGAACCGCGTGAGGCGAAATTTGGCGTCCGCTTGCACAGGTCCAGGCCGTCGCTGAGTTTGAGCGCGCCAGCCCCGTACGCCCCGTCGTCACCAGGACCACACAAGCCAACTGACATTCATGCGTGGCTGCACGACATCCCTAGGCCGCAGAGTTCCAGCCCGACCATGCTAAATGGAGGTCTATTGACCCCGGCATTCACGACGCTGTGTGCAAGGGGAGCACCATTTGAGCACCCACCGTTCGAGGTGTTAGTGACGAAGATCTGATAAACACAACGATGATGATCTCGGACATTGTACGTATAGCTTAAGAGTCGTTCATGTTCAAGCATGCTTGCTGCTGTGCGGAAACCGCGGCCCATAGTGTTCATCTTCACACCTTCTGTACAGGATTATTTGGACGAGACTAGAGTACTGAATGAGGGATAGCGAAGGGGCACTGTGACATCACTGGTAGCACTCTGGGGGGAAGGGGATGTAGTCGGCCTCGACCCACTCCTCCTTGGCTGCACCGTCGACCTCAGGCCAGGGGACGCAGGGAGTGGGCTTGGTGGTAGTCTCGTAGTAACGTGACTTTGTGACCTTTCCCTTGTACCGCATCTTGGCGCTGGTGGAACGCTTCTTGGGGACAGCAGTAGCAAATCGAGTCTTCTTCTTCCAGCGCACCCCTTCGCCGATGGCCTTGCTGAATTGCTGGCCCGCTTGGGGTTACGGCTAGTTGTCGCCTTTGACTTGGTCTTTATGTCCTTGGTGGCCGCAACGGCGGACGTGACCGTGGTGGGCTGGAAATGATCAGCGTGACGTCAATCTGGAGGAGGAATGGTGGATGTATGTACCTTGGTGACAACAGCCTGCGCTTGCTTGCGGGTGGTGCGCAGGACCTCGTCCGTCTTGGGCGCGGGAGGAGCGGACAGTTGAGACTGGAGGTCAGCTGTCTGGTCACACTACACAGTAAATGTGCTCACCATGGGTGCGGGGTACTGTGATATGGCATGGATGCAAGAAGAAGTGGAAGGAAGAATACGGGTGTGTGTGGTTGGGCGTGCCGGTTGTTTGGTTCGGATGACTGGATCCTGCGGATGCATTTTCAACCATCGTTTTCATCTCCTTCCTTTGCCCCGCCAACATGCACCCAGTGCCGAAAACGTACGCGTGGAACTGTTGCATTAACAACCATGCAGCCACAAGACATCGCACGTCTCAGTAGTAGCCAAAGAAGGCCGTGCACGGAATGTGCGCCTCTCTTCCCCCCCTCTAATTCGGCTCTTCCTCAGAGGATCTGCTGTGCCAAGCTTCTTCTGCCTCGGCGCTGTGGCCGAATATGAGGAACCAAAGGCGTTCGAGATTTACACTTGAGACTGTACATACAACGAGGGCATGTTTGCTCTTTAATGGGTGGGGGACCCAGTGAAATTGAGGTCTCGGTACCGAACTGAACTCATCCCCAGTTTGGGTCGACAACGCGCAGCGCCGCTGTTCGTCTCGTGCGAGCGGCCACATTGAAATCGCTCGTACAATGTTCCGGACAACCTTCCAGAACACTACTGACCTGCTATAGAATGTCCAGCAACTTGACACCGGTAGCGTTGTTGGACGAGGTGGACATTGTCGTATCTTGGACAGCACTCCGTTCTACATATCAGTCGTGTGGCATCAGTCGTGTGGCGGCAAGACAACTCTGTTGCGCGTATACGGCCTCGGCGGGACCCTCAAACAGTCCCATGTCCCAGCTAGGGTCGGGTTGTTGCGCACATGTCACTTGCTCTGCCTACTGTACCAGGAGAAGCTGGCATGGTACGTGTTGAAACGAGTTGCATAGAAGAGAGAAGAGAGATGCGTGCTCGGAGACTATGTAAGGAGACTATGAGACCCTGAGCCCGAGCCCGAGCACAGTGCCCTTCCAACAGTACGTTGATATTTGCAGTCCCCCCTCTCAGCCGGCTGTACGAGTCAGCGCATCCCCTTCCCGTTGCAGTGGGACGGCAGGTATATGGGGTACAAGACGTAGACTTGAAGTGCCGGTAATGAAGAAGTTACCGCAGTGGTCACATCACCGAAGCCTATGTAAAGCGACATGGCTACATAACGTGAGAGCAATTCTGGGGGTTTTGGGAGTTTTAATACTTTTCTTCGTTTGCTTTGTTGTTGCGGGTTTTATCCCTTTTTGTGGTGTTTTTAGAGTTTTGTTGATGTTTTTGTGACGGGTTTTATTTGTTTCGAGAGAATAACGCATGTACGAGTCCTCGGGCTTCTGTAACAGGCGCTCAATTGCCGATGTTACAGTATGCCCGGCAAACTTACCCTACTTCTTCTGCTGCGCCGCCTCCTGCGCGAGCTTCTTCGCCTCAGCGTCTAATCAGTCAGTTGGGTTGGATATGGGGACGAGATTAGAAGAGCTGTACTCACAGGGTCCACAAATGTTAGAATCCTGCTTCCTAGAGTTGGCCACAGGCCCTCCGCACTTGGCGCACACCGACGGGTGGTTCCCGTACAAAAGGGGTTCGTCGTTCGAGCGAGGGGTGTAGCAGGAGCATGAAGCGTTGTATGCCGTCATATTGAAGGGTGCGTGTTTGTGTGCGCGGCGTGTGAGGGAGTCTGTAACCGCTGGAGGTATGGATGGTTCCCGTGAAGGCGAAGTTTCGTCCGTCTAACTTGTTATCCGTCACGGCATCTCCTCGAACCCCAATCGCGCCGTCGGGGTAAACACCCGTTGCCCCCATGCTGTGAATTTGGTCACCTCAACGCCGAGAGACCACGAGCCTCTGTTCGAAGATGCTGCTCTGCTGAGACCGGAGGAAATACCGCAACGGATAACAAGTCGATGTTGCGGTGGTGGGTAGGGGAGAGCCCGTGAGAGCGTGCGAGGGGGACGAGCGTGCAGACGAATGAGAGAGCTTATTCAACTACTCAACTATTTAACATGCACGCCCCCGTTGTGCTGATGGATGAGGCTCGGACTAGAACAATGAAGAGTATGGTCATCAAGTGAAACAGGGGGTAAGTCAAAGCGCGATACCAAGCTTCGCGTCACAGGTGGTGGTACCCTCATGTTCCGCTCGAACCGGAGACGGGCATCAACGAGTCCGTCGCTGCCACACGGCCTCCTTCCCTCGGGCGGGAGAATCCGAGAAGCGAGAGCCATTCAAACGGCTGGTCGAAGGTGGCCCTCACTACCCACCTGCTTCCTTCTAGCTCAGAGGGCGGGGTCCCTTCCCAAAGCTGCGCCCCTGGACAAGGGTTCAGACTCTGCATAGGCTCCCAGCGCCGCATTCATGGAACGTATCTTTGAAGTGGTCACATCACTCAACCTATATATACAAAGTCGAGGTCTACCGAACAAAGGCGACTACGTTTTCGGGGGTTTACCACATTTTATACTTTTTTTTGGACGTTTTTGGATTGTTTTATCTATATATTTTTTTGGTGATTTGGGGGTTTTTATCGATGTTTTTTTGGGTTTTAAATTATTCACAGAACGGGAAAACACGAACCACAAACTAGCGAGGGGCCTGGTTTTTACCTGCACAATCAGTGGACCGGGATACTGGGGCTAACAAGTTGACTCACACGGCTTGCACATGGTGTTCACCCCCGTCGGGCCGGTGACCGCAGCCTTACCGCACCTGCTGCAGATTGAGGGGTTACCCAGGACGATAATGTTCTCCGAGTTGGCAATGGTCATCTTTTAAATGGGGGAGTCGTGTTGTGTATGGAGACGAAGGAAGGAATTGAGGGATGGACAGACGGGAATGTTTGAGTTGGGTTGATAAAGAAAACGAAGACAGTGTCGGCTTTTATGTTCCTCTGTAATGCTAGAGGCGAGGTATCTACCAGCAGGAAAGGAAAGGCAACGACCGTCATACCGAGCGGGGCACGACAGCATGCTGTGCCTCATCAGTATCATCAGTAGCATCAGTGCCATCAGTAGCATCAGTGCCATCAGTGGCATCGGTGGATTCAGTCACATTCATGGAATGGGTTCGAAAGGTCGGTTCACTTTGTCATCAGTGTCATGGCAGCTGCTACGAAGCTTCATGATTAGCTGTAGCGCCACACTGATACATTCTCACGTCCTGGACACTGAAGCATTTACACAGCTGATTTCAGGCGCCACAGCGAGGAACATGAAACAATCACGTTCCAATGCGCCGAATGCAGGGCTCTCGGCACCCCAGATCCCTATGGAACCCGTCTGTCCAAGCAGTTACTCATTCTTGACTGTTTCTGATAATGGGATGATGCGGATGGGATGACCACGCTGACCATTCCCAACGTTCTTTGATTGAGCGTTTATCCGGACGCCGCGCAATCGTTTTGACGGGAACGGCCATTGTTTGGGCGTGAGACAACGCCAAAGTGATGGCTGCACGGGCCACCTATGATGAGAAGCATTCCCTCTTCAACATAAAGGCCACCCATCAGTAACCTCCATTGCACACCTCCATTGCACTTGCACTTGCATTTCCACAACACTCCACAATGACTCCGACGCTAGGCCTTTGCGGCTACCCTGGCTGCTCCAACATCCGCAACTACAGCAACGGGACCTGTGTGGTCTGCCACCGGGTGCTCTGCAATGGCCACAACATCTCGGAATACCATGCCTGTAAAGCCCTCTCAGTACGTCGTCTCAAACTCAAAACCCTCTCTGACACTGCAGGAGAGGGACTTTGGCATAGCCGATACGGCAGCGTTTCGTGGCGAACAGTACGCAGCCTTGGTCCAAGTGGCGACGGCCAACATGCCTGCTGTTGCACTTGCCCTCCGCCCTGGAGCCAAGTCATGCAGCATGCCGCTTCCATCCATCGCCCAGCTGCCCGTGGATGACGACCCAGGTCGCACCTATGAGAGCATTCAGTGGATTTTCAATGGTATCATGAACCTCCACACTATGGCAACCTTTGATGACGGCGTCAAATGGCTTGCGCGCATCCGTGCTACCGACGCATACTCTATCTGTCCAGAACGCGAGATGCGGCGTCGTGTTCTCCGCTCCGAAGTCATCACCACCAGGCTGCTCCACCAAATCGACCCCAAGCTCATCCCCAACGCCTACGGCCCGCCCACAGTTTTCATGCAGGAGGCTCCGCTGCCCGACTACCTGTTTGTTGACTTTATGGAAGGGGAGGTGATCGATGGGGAGAACCGTTACGACCCGGCGTACTGTGAGCAACCGTTGCGGGATCTCGCCGCGCTGTTTGTCAAGCTGGCCTGCAAGCCCTTCGAGGGAATCGGTAGCCTCCAAGCCAAATCAGCAGAGGGCGAGCCAGCTGTTGGGCCTTTGTTTTCAGTGTGGGCCACGACATACCCGTCAACCTACCCGCATGGCCCGTTCCGCACCAACGCCGAGCGCTATCTCACCGAGATCGACCACAAGCTCTTGCTTGTGGAAGCAGGTCTGGATGGCACCCACCATCCCGTTGCTGAGATGCTCTGGTATCTCGAAGCTCGTGCCCTTGTGGAGGGAGACTCTGAGATGGCTACTGTGGGGCCTACTTTTCTTCACCATGGGGACGAGAAGCACGACATCCTGCTCGCCAAGGACGGCCGTCTTTCGGGCGTCATTGACTGGGAGATGGCCTACACTGCGCCATTCGCCGAGGCATTCTGTGGCGATTTCGTGGTGCACGCCGACTTTTGGAAAGGATCCAACAAGCTCTTGTCCTCGCAACTGGTCCTCATCGACGAGTTTCGTCGCCTCGGTCGGCACGACCTTGCCCAGGCGGTGATTGGTGGACCCAAATACCATCGTATCAAGTATGCGCTGTGGGGTCTGGGACAAACTTTGGGACACGAGGATGTCGTCAATGTCTGGGCTTTGCGTTCCGCTTTCCTCGGTGAGGAAGGTGCCGGCCCAATGCCCAGAAGTGTGGCCGAGTGGATGGACGATGCCAAGCGCCGCTTCGCCGACCACGAGGGTCTGCAGCGTGTCATCGCCATGCATCCCGTAGAGGAGGAGATGGCCTGTCATGTCCAGGAGATTGATAGCCCAAGCCCTCAGGCTGCCACCGATGAGGCCGGGTATGTGGTCGACAATGAAGACCACGACAAGATCGGCATCGTGGACGAGAAAATCGCTCAGCTTGATCTCTTTTCCAGCAGTCTTAATGACCACAATAGGTCCGCTGGTGGTGTCGAGGTCACTGCGAGGAGCGACAGCGATATCACTGCCCACATGGCCGCCTGAGACTGCATTCTAGACCGTGAATAGGTGTGCCCATATGCATGTGACTGCTTGAACGCACCAGAATCGATTCTCAGAGCAGATATCCAGTCATTTCTTCTTGTCCCAGCCAGAACAACACACCCACCACGAACATTACCATGTCGTGGGCGTGGTGGGCAGTATTTGCTGAGGGAGGGAGCGCTGCATTGAGCAATGGAGGAGCACAAAGCTTGGGAGGTGAGTGTGAGCGCCTGACCGCCTGACCATCAGTCAACAGTCCCCCGTCAGGGCGAGCAAAACGCGTCCTTGTACAAGGCTACTTGTCGGCCTGTTGGGACCATGGAAGCGCAGTACAGGTCCCCATTTAATGGGTTAATTTCTTGATTGTTTGGCAGCAAGGAACGCGGCTAAATCGTACGAGACGGGGCAAACATGGTAACTGATCTCGCAGGAGAGTGGCTAAAGTGGCCGAAACGGGTGATGGTTTGTTGTGAGCTTGGGAGCTGTTTTGTACATGAAACCAGCAGTGCCTCGTTTGGCGTTGCACCATGACGTCGGTGGTGAGAGACCAGACCATACTGTGAAGCGAAGCGACGCGGTCAAAGCGGCCCGGTCGCCAATGTCCCTCATCTTTCGCGAAACCTTACGTCCCACCAAACCCAAAACAGCAGCCAAGAGTTTGAATGGGTGAAACACAGCTGGGCTGCGGGGAAAGGACAAGAGGGGAAAAGCGCAACATGACGACCAAAGCGGCCGCCGTTCTTCTGCGTTGACACATCAGATGGGAATGCAAGAAACGGCACGCAGCACAGTTCTGACAGAAAAGCACGGTTCGAGAGGGGGCAGGAAGGGGTGCCAGCATCGAGAGTGAAGGGCCAAGGTTCAGAACGTCATGTCATGTCATGGATCATGGAGATGCGTACGACGCAGATTGCAAAACCCAGTTCTGTGGCGTGGGTCATGTCGCGGGTATTTTAGTGCCTCCCATACATTCTCCTGCTCTCTGTCTCTCTCGTTTGTCCTCTGTCTCTCGTTGTCCTGGAATCGTTCCTCGAGCCTGGCCTGCTCCGAGTTACGAGCCACCGGTCTCATCTCCGCTCACAGAAGGCGACGACCGACTGCGGAGACGCGGACACGACGGCGCGACGGTTGAACCGCAACGGCGACTGGACAACTGGAAAACGAGCGACACACCGACCCGGTCAAAACAGCTGGGCTGTAGACAAGGCGACATCTTCTTCAGCACTTCAAAACATCCACCCATCCCCAGACACGTAGCTGTTCGCAAAAGCGAGGGTGCACTGGCTGTACACAACGCCATACTCGCTGGTCGAAACCTAAACACCCGTTTTGGGCCTCCATCTCCGGGCGATCTCGAGTGGTCCCCATAACCTCCCCAGCGTCAAGTCAACGCCATGCGCTTTACATTTCTCCTCCTTGCAGTGGGCGCCGCTGCTGCCGTGATACCCCCCATTGTTGGGACTCATGTCAAGGACGTGGCCCTGGGCTCGCGCAACGCATCTCCCCAACCCGTCGCTGGCGACTCTGCACCACCACCACCACCACCACCACCACCTCGAAGCGTCGAGTCACCCGAACCTGTGGTAGAGCTGGAACGTATAGACTCGGACTCCAAGTGTTCCGTCATGTGTACTCAGATCCTGGCCGCTCTCGACACATACTGCAACAGCACGGGGTCGACATCGCGCAAGTGCGCAGCCAGCGTGTGTCCAGTGAGTACGACGGGCTCCCACGCTCGCTTCTCTTCAGTCACTGACCCGCAGACCGTTGACTGGGCCCTCGTCACGGCGTGTGTGACGTGCTACAAGTCGTGCAGCGACACGACGGCGAAAAACACCCAAATCCTGGCCGCGCAGTCCGCCATGCTGCCCGTGTGCGAGGCGTACAACGGAGGCACGATGCGGGCCGCGGCAAGCACACTCAACGCCGGTGGCGCCGCAACGGGTTTCAGCGCGGCCGTGACGGGCACTGGCGACGAGGATGACAATGGTGGTGCGGCGTCCGCAGCGTCTGCAGCGTCCACAGCCTCTGCAGTGTCTGGAGGCGCAGAGTCGAGTAACGGTACCACGGCAGCGGCAGTGTTTGGCGGGGCCAAGTCGGGCAGTTGGACGAAGAGCGAGCCGGTGGGGCTCGTGGTGGTGATGCTGGGCGTCTCGGTGTCGCTGCTGTCGGCGACGGTGTAAACCATGTACAAGATCTTGTAGGTAACCTGTAATCAGTTGTAGACAAAAGTGTCCATGTATAGAGCGACTGCCCACCCCAGAATCGAGCCTCGTCGAGACCACTTTTCATTATCGCGAGCCACATGGGTTGGTGTCATGGGGCCAAGATTGCCGACATCCTTGTTCGCCGGCACACGGTGGGTGGACAGATATCCCGACCACATGTACTTACCCTTTGGCGTAGGTGCGATCTGAGGCATGATAAGCATCACTGTCAACTCCAATGGAGGTCCATGCTTCCCTCAACGCCAGCCGCGCCGCTTGATATGCATCGTACGCACCATCTGGCCGCGTCTGGCAGATGTGAAGCGGGGCAGTGCAGCCATTCCGCGCCTGATTCACGTCCCGCCGGCTCACCCGCGCTTGGCCCACCAACAGATGTGGTCGAGGCTGTTCCATCGGGGATTCGTTTGCTGCAGCGCATCTCCGTCTCCTGTGCATGCGCTGAAATCTGCCAGGAGTCGACTGGTGCGGGTCCAATGTCGCAGAATCGATAGCTGCCGCAACGTCCATAATAGCAACAGATCAGGAAGGCGGTGCCCTTTGTGTGTCGTGTGGGAGCGTGCAGCGTACATACGGCCGGCGCGTCGTGGGTTTTTAAAGACGCGACCTGCATTCTTCCCATCTTTCCCAAAGCCCGTATTCCCATCTCACCAACTATGCGTTCTGTTCTCTGGCTCTCTCTTGCAGGTGAGCAGGCCCTCCACGCGCTCGGAAGGTAGGGGTGAAGCTGACGTGCAGCCACCGCGTCGCTCGCATGGGCCCAGCCTGGTCGCATGAACGCTCCCCGCCAGGCCACGGGCGACACTGGTGCCGCGACTGGCGCTGTCGCAACCGCGGCCGGCACTTCGGTGTCTCAGAAGTCGGTAGTGGTGTCCAACTCGGCGTCCAACACAGGATCCAACACGCAGTCGACTGCCTCTGTCTCCTTCTCCACGTCGCAGTCGTCTACGAGCCAGAGCCAGAGCCAGAACCAGAGCGAGTCGTCGACGGAATCGACTACCAGCGTCATTCCCACCTACACACCCTCCGAGACGCCCGCCCGTACCTCTGTCAACCCGTCTGCGGCGACCCCGACGAAAAACGCTGCTGTCGGCGGCGCCAACATTGCGAGCGGCGCCGGCGTCCTCGTCGTGGCGGCCGTCTTCGCCGCCGTGTTGTAAGGAGACGGCGGGACGTGACGTGACGTGCAGTTTCTCCCCTTGTGTCTTGTTTCCTCGACCCCCACATGCATGTATCCGTTTGTTGTCTTGGCGCTGGCAAGGTGTCAATGTCTGATGGGCGGGTGGAGAGCGAGGCGGTGCGCGGTGCTCAATCAACTTGGATCTGGGATCTATTCCCGGACGCGTTTCGCGCCTGTCAACGACAGCTTTGCATATCAATGCGTCGCTGTTCTCGGACCGCACCAGACAGCTTGTCCGCAGCAAACGGCCCATACACCCTGAAGAGTCCGCTCGCTCTACTGCACCAGTCCTCAACAACCACTAACCACTCCACGGTGTTGTTGCTGTCCGGAAGATTCGGACCAGCACTGACATTCTGAAACGCCCGTTGGCCTGTGGCACAGCCTTGCGGTGCGGGTTTGTCGGAGGCCCATTTCGACCCGACTGCAGGTGCCGATTCCCTCCCAGGTTCTGCCTCGTGCAGTGGTCCCATATTGGAAGCGGTGGATGTGTTGGGCGCAGGCTGACAAACACTGGCGGGGGGAACGGGGAACAGTGTTGGACTCGTCGGCGTCACTTGGGGGCCTCAGAAGTCACTTTTCACTGCGTTTGATTTCTCCGCCGCGTGTGATTTCTCCGCCACACTGGGCCATGAGAGCCTTGGACGTCCTGTGCCCACCAGCCCAGCTCCCCATACTGGGCCACGAGTATCCCTTCTGTACCTGTTCATGAACACTGCAGACTACAAGTCTTGTCTCTCCCCCATATATACACTTCCTTCCTTGTCCTTGCGCGATGCCTTCTACTTGGCCTCCTCGACAGGCTCAAGCGCCACGAGCACGGCACCTTCCTCGACCGCCTGCCCCTTACCGACGTTGACAGCGGCAATCTTGCCGTCGCGCCCGGCGCGGATGTTGATCTCCATCTTCATCGACTCGAGGACCGCGCACACCTGGCCCTCGGTGACGGTGTCGCCGGGCTTGACGCGCACGTCAATGACCGTCGCGGGCATGGGGCTCGTGAGCGCGTCCGAGCCCGCGCCGGCGCCCGTCTCCTCGCCCTCGACCTCGGCGCCGCGCCGGCGCAGGACATACTGCGCCTCGGGGGTGAAGATGTGCAGCTTGGGGCCGTGCGGGATGACCGTGGCGGTGCCGTGCGAGCCGGCAAACTGCGTCACGAGCTCGTGCTCGCCCGTGCGCTTGACGGTCGCGTGCAGCTCCGTCGCGGGCGAAGCGGGCGTTCCCTCGGCGGCGGCAGCACCGCTGACGGTGATGTCGTAGGAAAAGTCGGGACGCTGGCGGACGACCACCTCGCCCTCGTCAAAGTGGTAGTTGTGCGCGCTCGAGTCGGTGAACCGGCGCCCGGGGAGGCTGCCCCATGCTCCCTCTCCCTGCGACGGCTCATGGTGCGCGATCGACAGCGCGGCCTGGGCGAGGACCTCGGCAGGGACGACCTTGGGCGGGAACAGCTCGTCGTGGTGCTCGGGGATAAAGTTGGTCTCGACGGGGCCGGCGGCAAACTTGGGGTGGGCGGCGACGACGCGCAAAAAGTCGACGTTGGTGCTGGGGCCAACGACCTGGTACTGGTCCAGGGCGGAGCGCAGCATCGCGAGCGCCTCGGCGCGGTCACGGCCGTGCACAATGAGCTTTGCGATCTGGAGGGGTTAGGCAAAAGCAAAGGTAAAGGCAGCAAGCACAACACTCACCATGGGATCGTAGTACGACGAGACGTCGTCGCCCTCACGGAAACCAGTGTCGAGGCGGTGGGGCGCGTCGCGCGGGGCAGCAGTGTGGATCAGGCGTCCGGCGTCGGGGAGGAAGTTGGACTCGGGACGTTCGGCGTAGATACGGGCCTCAAAGGCGTGGCCGATGCATGGGATCTCGGCCTGGGTCATGGGCAAGGGGTTACCCGCGGCAACGGCAAACTGCCACGCGACGAGGTCGACACCAGTGACCTCCTCGGTGACCGGGTGTTCGACCTGCAGACGAGTGTTCATCTCCATGAAGAAGAACTCGCCCGACTCTGCGTCCATGATAAACTCGACAGTGCCCGCGCCGACATAGTTGACAGCCTTGGCTGCCGCGACGGCCTTCTCAGCGAGGTCCTGCTTGATGGCCGCACTGAGACCGGGGGCAGGGGCCTCCTCGATGATCTCTGTAGAAGAGTTAGCACAGCTGGACGGATTGGTCAGGATTAGCTGCCTTACTCACTCTGGTGACGACGCTGGACCGAGCAATCGCGCTCCCACAGGCTCACGCAGTTGCCCTGCGTGTCGGCAAACACCTGCACCTCGATGTGTCGCGGCCGCTCGAGCCAGCGCTCAAGCAGGACCTCGTCGTTACCAAACGACTTGGCGGCCTCACGCTGTGCCGAGCGAAGCTCCTCGACAAAGTCGTCCATCTTGCGCACAACGCGCATGCCCTTTCCGCCACCACCGTGCGTGGGCTTGATGAGCAAGGGGAAGCCAACGTCCGCGGCAGCCTTGCACAGAACGTCCTCGGCCTGCTCGGCGCCGTGGTATCCCGGAACGCAGGGGACGCCGGCCGCGACCATGATCTCCTTGCTCTCGCGCTTGCTGCCCATTGCGCGGATGGCCTCGGCAGGTGGGCCGATAAACTTCATGCCCGCAGCGCTGACGGCGGCGGCGAAGGGGGGTGACTCGGACAGGAAGCCGTAGCCAGGGTGAATTGCCTGGACAGGTCAGTTGAGGTACACCGGAGTGACTTGCAACTCACGTCTGCTCCAGAGGCGGCCGCGACGGCCAGGAGCTTGTCCTTGACGAGGTACGACTCGGCGGCGGGGGCAGGGCCAATGTGGTATGCCTCATCGGCCTGGGGTCAGCTTGCACTGCAATCAGCGACCAAGCTTACCATCTCAACGTGGAGGCAGTCCTTGTCGGCGTCCGAGTAGACGGCGACGGTACGAATGCCGAGCTTGCGAGCCGTGCGGATCACGCGGCATGCAATCTCTCCACTGTCGGGGTCAGTCCCCAGCCTTTGAGTAAAAGACCCACCGGTTAGCAATGAGGACCTTTTTGAGGTGCTTTGCCTCCTTGGCAGGCTCATAGTTGACCACGGGAGCAGCGGTCGTCGATGCCGACGCCGCTGCCGGGGTCGCATACTGCCGGCGGCTGACGACTGTGGGGACGAGGGGACGGGCGCGGCGAGCGGTAGCTGCAGCGACGAGAGGGGTGCGTGCGCGCACGCGTGAGAGCGAGCGGAGCATGGCGGACATTTGTGTGTGTATAGGTGCGAAAGAGGGATGGAGAAAGTGTCAGAGAAAGGAGATGCCAGGTCGTACACGCTGGACAGCAGCCAACATGGTTGTACGGGATGGGATGTGGGGGTCCGGATTCCGGCTCGGACCTTGTGGGCCACTTAGCCGACCTCGCCGGCCATCAAAACGCGGCACAACCACGCCATACGCGCATACGGCCGGTTGGCAGCGCGCACGACGCGGGGTCCCATGGCTTTCCATCTGATGCATCTGAGGGGCTCCCAGATCCCAGAAGCAACACTGGTGGGCCAGATACAGGCCACCACTCTACCGCTCATGTCTCAGGAACTGCCTCATTTAAGAACTGCCCGATCTCTCTTTTACACCCATCGCTTTGCCTTGGTTTAGGATGAAAGGCTCTTTCTCACCCAACACGGTGTTCGCTTTCCTCGCCTCCATCAGCCCGAGAAGCCCCCAGCACCAGCCCATGAAACGTAATGCCAGTTCAAATTTTGAATTACCCTTTTAAACCATTTGGAAGGAGACCTGAGCCGAGCGGAAGAGAACGAAATAGAGGAGATGATGGGAGATTGGGAGTAGCAAAATACACGGGTCATTGTTGATCCCAGCTCCAGCAGTAGGACAAGCAGGACTTCTTTGAAAGCTCCACCGACCAGATGCGCCGCCAGAGGGGCAGCGTTGTCAACGCTGGCAGTGTGTGCTCGACCCGCAGTGTGGCCAACATGGGTGCCTACGTGGCGTCCAAGCATGCCATCGCCCGTCTGAGCAAGGTCGGCGCCATCGACTATGGCAAGCGCGCTATCCGCGTCAACAACCTCGCTCCCGGCTTCGTCGACACGACCGTAAGTTACTCATCAGACCAGCGTGGCATCCGCTGACGACCCACAGATGGTCACCGCTGGCGTTTCGGCTGAGCAGGCCGAGCACGTCTCCACGTCCTGCCTGAACCGTATGGGCCGCCCAGAGGAGATTGCCGATGTCGCCGTGTTCCTCTCGAGCGAGGGTGCGTCGTTTGTCACCGGCACGACTTGGCAGGTCGACGGTGGCTACACCGCCATGTAGTCGTGTAGTCATGTAGGACCAAAGCCGCATAGTGACATGCAGTAGGACATGCTTGACGCTGACGGGTGTGCACATGGCACACCGGGGTCGATGACGGGTCGCGGGTAATGGGTGTGTCGTGTTGGCGTGTTGGCGTGACGTCACTGGGCCAAGCAGAACGATGACGGGCCGTGGCAAGTGGGTATGTATACAAGACGCACCTCTTGCGTTCTCTCTGTATCTCCATCGTTCTCGCATTCTTCCCATCTCTCTCTCACACACCTGCTCAGCAGCATATTTTCAAACATGGCGATGCCTCAGCCAGCAGACGCCAAGATCCCCATCCACATGCGCGTCGTCCACAGTGCCCAACGTCAGGTCATGACTGCGGGAGAGATGACCCGCGATGCAGTCTGGAGCGGCGCGTGGGCGTACCCCTTCTGGGTAAGCTGCGTAAACCATGACGAAGCTGACAACAGGGTGCTATGTACATTTGCACGCGTACGTGTTCCAAGAATCGCTGTACCGTCTTCCACGCAATCGCTCACACTCGCTGCAGATCCTAGCCTCCTCACGCCCGCGGCGCCTCTCCTCGTTCGCGCAGTCCTCATCTCGCTCGCCGTCGTCGCGGCGTGCTTCTTCTTCCTGTACCTCCCGCAAGTCGCGTGGCTCTCCCTCTTCTCCGGACCTCTAGGTATGTGACGCGCGTGTAGGGGTGACAGAGCTCCTTCAAACCCACGACGAGCATAAACGGGCACGGCCGGCTCGTCCAAGCCCGGTCGTACCCGGAGTGTCTAGTGTCATTGTCGTCTTTCATCACCCGCGAGCCTACATGCTGAAAGCACATGACTTGATAAGACCTGCTCGCCTTTGCTCGTCGGTTTGGCGACACTGGAGTCAAAATCTACGGCATACTAACCGACTATGCAGCGTTCGCAGCTGCCGTCCCGCTCGTCCTGGCCGAGGCGTCCGTCATCCTTGGCTTCCTGGGCAAGAACTTTCTCATGGGCCAGCTCGGGATGGACCTGTTCGATGCTGTGAGTGGGGAAGGAGGTCATGTGAACCCAGAGGGCAGTGCAGAGGGGGTACATTGTTCCTTCGTCATCATCTCACGCCCTTTCCGTTTCGTCGGCTGCGAGATCCCAGTGCCCGACAACCCACGCCCCACCTGCCCCATACTGACGTACCACGCAGGTCCTTGTCCAGAAGGGCCACATTGCGCTTGTCGAAAAGAGCCGCCCAGTGGTGAAGAAGGCCAACAACGCGCGCCAACTCGGCCGCGTCCTCTCGCGGCCCCTGGCCAAACTGAGCGTGGACAACATGGTCCGCTACTTGCTCACTCTGCCACTGAACCTGATCCCCGTGGTCGGCACCGTCTTCTTCTTGGGCTACAACGGTGCGTATGCTGGTGTGCTGAAACAGGCCTATTACACGCAGCACAAGATCCTCAAAGCAGGCAAGTGAACCGGACTCGCGAGACTGACGCCTTGTTCTGCAGGCTACAAGGCCGGACCGAGCTACCACGCCCGATACTTTATGCTCAAGGGCTGGGACAAGTCGCGCAGCAACGCCTATGTGGACCGCCACCGTGGATCGTACACCGCGTGAGTTGGGACTCCAGTTGAGTGTTGCCGTGCCGTTCAACTGACAGTGGACTCTTAGCTTTGGCGTCACCGCCGCCGCGTTCAACCTCATCCCCGTGGTCTCGATCATCCTCGGCCTCGCGTGCAACGTCGGCGCGGGCCTCTGGGCTGCCGACATTGAGAACACACACAAGAGCGTCCACGAGTCCGTGGCACCCCCGCACTACGAAGAGTACGGCGTCTCCATCCCGCCCCCAGAGTAGGTGGCCGTCGAGCTTCACATGTTGCAATGAATATGCACCCACGGAGCCACCAGTGGCACCCTCGGAAATCAGCAAAACCAACTGTCCATACACCGCGCCGTAGCCCTGTTGTGAGATGAATGTAGCAAGATGAAGGTGCTGGCACATAGTGATACAAGTTTCATTGCGGTTCTGCTTAATGCTCTACTCTTACTCTGCCTTGCTCTACTCTATCGCTTGTCCCTCCTGTCATCGCGATCGCGGCGGTCCCGATCGTCTCGGCTGTACCTATCGCGGTCGTCTCGACGGTCGCCGCCACCACTACCGTTACGCTCCCCGCGGTCCCGCTCCCTGTCGCTCTCGCGGGCCTTGCGACGAGCACGCTCCTCTTCGGTTTCGTAGTCTCTCTCCCTCTCGCGGGCCTTGCGACGCGCGCGCTCCTCCTCGGTCTCGTACCGCCCACCACGGTCGTCCCTCTCCCTCTCGCGGGCTTTCCGGCGTGCACGCTCGTCTTCAGTCTCGTACCGACCACGGTTACGGTCGCGATCACGGTCACGGTCACGGTCCCGGTCGTCGCGGCGCTTGGTATCGCGGCCACTGTCATAGTCGTCGTCATCGCGACGGCGGCGGCGCGAGTCGTTCGAGTCGGCGCCGGGGCTCGTCCGCCTCGAGACGTCGCGAGACTCGACACGCGAGTCCGGGGCAGGCGAGTTGGTGATTGATCGGTCATCGCCACGGCGGACGAGCAGGTTGGCCGCGTTGTATCCGCGTCCGCCGCGCTGGGCGTAGGCGTCGCGGCGTTTCTTGGGATCCTTTTCCTTGCGCGACGGCGGGAGCTCGGACTGGAGGGCAGTTGCGCCGAGACCGAGGAGGGCGGGACGGGGCTTGGGGACGTGCAGTTCGGTATTGTTCTTGGGGTTGTAGCCCATGCCGCGGAGCATGGCCTCGCCAAACGCGGCGACGGGGATAGCGGCGTAGTCGTCCAGTGTCGACTCTTGTGGGAGGGCGCCGAGGTCGCGCGCCAAAGCGTCGTCTTCGGTGTGGAAGTTGCGGCGGTCGGCAGCAGACTGAATGACCATGTCACTCTCGACCTTGACGCTGGCTGCAGTATCGCTGCTGCCCGCAAGCACGGCCTGGAGAGCCTGCTCTTCGAGGGAGAGCGGCTTGGGAGGGTCGGCGGCTGCGACAGCGGGCTTGTCGAGCTCCTCGACGGTAGGCTTGATGTCCTCGTCCTCCTGCTTGACCTCCTTCTTCAAGAAACGGAGACCAGACTTTTGGGGCTCGTCGTTGATCCGCTCGTGCGTGACTGTGTCGTCCGCCTCGCGCTTGACGGTCTCGGGGCGGTAGGATGGCTGAGAGCGACGAGCAGAATCGCGCCAGTCCCTGTTGGGCAAGGACGGGATGACGAGCGGGGGAGGCGACTTGCGTCCACCGGTTGCGCGGCCGTTGGCGCCGATACCGTCAATGGACTCGGGCCGCCCCTTGTCGCGGCGGTCACGGTCACGGCGGTGGTGCTGGCCAAAGGCGTCCTCATCGTCGTCCTCGCCCTGGAACTTGTTCTGGCTCGGGGCATTCCAGTTTCCCGGGCGAGAAGACCTGCCGCCACCGCCGCCTGGGGGACGGATTGTGAAGGACACGGGCGCCGACATTGTGAGAGTGCCCGTGGTTTTGGATTAGAGAAGAAGAGCAGAGTTGAATGGTGGTCGCACAATTGGGTGGCAAGAGCCCGAATGAACATCCAGATGAGGGTTGGGTTTACACAACTTAAATATTCCTTCCGATAATACTCAACCTAATTGTATATTACAATCTCATTCCTAATGATACCCGATGACCGTATTTTGCTCCCGCCCCCTCCCCTGCCCCTCCCAGCCGTTGTGTCATTGCCCCGAGCGATACACCCACTGCTACAGCATCTACACCGTCCATCTCGTATCAGCAGTCAGTCACCATGACCGCGGTCGTAGCTATCCCCCCGCCATTCTTCTCGCCTTACCTCGACGACCAGCTCTCAAAGCTCGCCGCCAAGCAGATCCCATGGGAGGTCCGTATCAACAGTCCCACCAATCTATCCCACCAGCCACCCGCGCGACGTCACTGACCTTTATCCACAGGGATACCAACGTGCCAAGCTGCTCTCGCAGGAGGAATGCACCCTCCTCCGCTCGCTTGAGAAGCTCGTGAGTGGCCATGATGTCCGCGATAAGCGGGAAAGAAGCCATGTACTTACCACTGTATCCCCAGCCCGCTGGCCAGCGCAGCACGTTGTTCTCGACCCAGGGCGCACAGTACGCCAAGTTGTACATTGACCTGCTCCGCAAGCTCCAGCGCGTGGACACTGTCCAGGCAGTGCTCGTGTCCATCTCCAACATGCTCTCCGACTTTAGCACGATCCAGTACTACCACGACCTCTCCAAGACCGACCCGCTCGACCCGTACCAGCCCATCGTCAAGTGCCTCACCATGGACACGGACGAGGAGTTTGTCCACCTCGAGAGCTTGAGGATACTTGCCCTCCTCATTGCGTGAGCTTCATCATTCTTGCTCATTTGCAAAGCTGACATGTTGCAGTACGGACGACAACGACTTCCCCGAGCAGCTCCTCCCGGCTCTGCTGGCCGCCATCTCCAAGCTGCTCAACGGGTCGCGCCAGCAGCCCCGCGACATTGCCGCCCAGGTTCTCAACGCCGTCCTCGGCAAGAAGCAGATGCGCAGCGCCGTCTGGGCTGAGGGCACCTGCATCTCTGGGTGAGCTCCGGTCCGCGGAATTCTGAGCTCCGCTAACGTGCCCAGGCTCGTCAAGTGGCTCAAGGAGACCCCTACTCCTCAGCAGCAGTACAGCGCCATCTGCTGTATCTGGCAGCTCTCGTACGAGGAGGACGCCGCCAATGGCCTTGACAAGAAGTATGACATTGTCAGCCTGTTTATCGAGATTGCCAAGAGCGCCGTCAAGGAAAAGGTCATCCGCGTGGTCGTCGCCACCTTCCGGGTGAGTTAGGAATCGTTGGTCGTAACTCATCATACCGCAGAATCTCCTCTTGATCGCCCCCGCGGCCAACCTGCCGTCCATGTTTGTCGTGCGCCTGCTCCCCTTTGTTCAGTCGCTCAACGAGCGTAACTGGTCGGACGAGGACATTGTCGAGGACCTCGACTACCTCAAGGAAGAGCTCAAGACGCGTCTCGACGGACTCACGTGGGTAGCGCCCTATTACTCTGGCTGACCCATCCTCTCAGCACGTACGACGAGTACGTTTCCGAGCTCGAGTCGGGCCACCTGGTGTGGTCGCCAGCACACGAGTCGGACGACTTCTGGCGCCTCAACACGTCGCGCATCCTGAACGAGGGAGACGGCAAGCTCGTCAAGCGCCTCGTCGAGCTCATCACGACGTCCAAGGAGCCCGTGGTCCTCGCAGTGGCGTGCAGCGATGTGGCCAAGTTTGCCAAGTATGGTGGTGACCGCGCCAAGCAGCTCATGACAAAGCTGGGCGGCAAGACGCGCGTCATGGAACTCATGACCCACGCCAACCCCGATGTCCGCTACCATTCCCTCATCGCCGTCCAGCAGCTGCTTAGCCAGCACTGGCTTGACTAGGCCCCCGACACAGAGGGCAGTGTAAAGTGTTCCTTCTTAACCCTTTTCTTTTCTAGAGAGTATGCAATAGTTGTGTTTTGTGAGCGGCAGCGCAAAAGGAAAGGGGATAGATGAATGTTATAACTACATTTTCCGCTACCGCTCGGCTAGGCCTACATGATGTGGATGGATGGAGAGTGGGGCTGTGTCTCGACTATTTCTTTCTAGCGGTTGAGGTGGTGCTGCATGCTCTTGTAGTGTGCAATGTGTCCCTCGCTCGCGGCACGCATCTCCTTGGCCATCTCCCACACCTGGCTTCCGCGCGCATTGTAGACTGTAGCGTTGGCAAACATGAGGCGAATGTCGCGCTCAAACTCGTCAATCGTCGTGATGGTGCCGTCCTTGATACGGTTGCGGATAGTCTTGAGGTCCATGGGCCGCTTGATAATGTCGTAATAGTCTGGCGCCTCGGATTTCTTGACCGGGTTCTGGAACACGGGGCCATACTTGTGCTGCTGGATCGTGTCGAGGAGGGAGAGGATGAGTTTCTGGTTGTTCCGCTGGCCGCGGGATGGAGGCGGCGCGGCAGATCCGGATGTCGCGGCGGGCGTGCCAACGCTTGGCGCTGGGGTACCCCATGGCCCTACTGTCGGTGCAGGACTGGCGCCAGTGTCTTCATCACCGCCGGACTCGAGTGCGGCTGGCCGGGGGGCTACCTGTCAGCAGGGGGTCGCGTGAGTGATATATTCTTTTCTTGCGGGGTTGTTCAAAACCGGAGGCTACTCACTGCGTGCAGTACGCTTGCTGCCTCGCTTCTCGGTCGGTGTGGCCACCTCCTTCTCCACCTTTCGGCGCGACGTGCGCGTGCTCCGCTTCTCCTCCTCGGGCTCAGGTGCCTCCTCCTCAATGTCCGACGACTCGACGTGGTGCTCCTTGTCCGCATGCTCTTCCTTGACCGACGTGGCTTCGGAAGCGGCACGGACAGATTTGGAGACGACGTCGTCACGCATACCCCGGGACGCACGTCCACTGCGACGTGTGCGGCTCTCGGGTACGGTAGGTGTACCGGACGCCGTTGACGACACAGACACACCACGCTTGGGCGGTGGTGAAGTGTGCTTCTGTGGCGATTCGGCCTTCTTGCCACGGCGAGTTGACCGCCGGCCACGGGTCGTGTCCTCCTCCTCAGGCTCTTCCTTGACAGTCTCCTCTTCCTCTTCAGCCTCAGCCTCGGCCTCAGCCTCAGCCTCCGACTCTTCGGGTTCGTGACTGGCAGCGGGCGACGCTCCACGAAGACCACGACGCTTGGCAGCGGGACCACCACGCGCCTGGCTCGTGGCCTTGCGCTTCTTGTCGCGGGTGCTGGCTGGTGTCGGAGAAGAAGGAGGGGCCTCGGCGGGCTGGTTGTCCTCTGGCGGAAGGGGCGAGAGGTCCGACGCAGGAGAAAGATCGGATCCTGGCGAGGAGCCACGCGAGGTGGGCTTGGGTGTAGTCGGTTTGGGAGAGGCGGCGGCGGGAGTCGGCGCTGAAGACTCCTCCTCAGGAGTGGGCGTCTTGTCGTCGTCGGCCTCCTTGTCCATGTCCACATCCTCGCCCTCGGCAGGAGTCTCCTCGGGTTCGGCGGTCGTCTCGGCTTCCGCCTCAGCCTCAGCCATGGGCTCGTCCTCATTCTCGGGCTCGGCAGCGGGTTCCTCTTCAGCAGCAGCAGCTTCTTCGGGGGATGCCTCGGCTGTCACTGGCTCGTCCTCCTCCTTCTCAGGTTCCGCTTGTTCCTCGTCGGGGACAGCCTCTTCGAGCTCGGCAGTAGCTTCCTCCTGTGGAGACTGTTCGGGAGTCTCCTCTGCAGGAGTGTCCTCGACAGGCTCGACCACTTCTTCCTCTTGCTTCTCCTCCTCCTCTTCAGGTGCAGCGACTTCTACTGGTGTCTCGTCCGGCTTCTCTTCCTCTTCGACCTTGGCGGTAACGACCTCCGCTGGGGGTGGCACAGGCTCGGGCGTCTTGGCCGATTCGGGACCGGCAACAAGCACCTCCTTGATCTCGGAGGGAAGTGGGGACCAAGTGTCGACCATTTTCTTGCCGTACTTCTTAGCCAGAGCCGCCCGAATCTCGCCGTGGATAGCACTGTCCATCTCGCCGGCCTTGATGGCATTGACCTCGTTCATGAGTTCGCTGGCGTCAGGTTCACTATCAGGTTGTTCATCTTACGTGAAGCGTTGCTCGTAGGTCGCAATTTGGTCCTTGAGCTCCTGCATACGGGCAAAGTAGAACGTCCGCGCAAGCTGGAGGTGGACCTTGGCCTGAGGTTTGGCCGCATCAGGCGCGGGGCTGGGACATGAGCAACCAAACAACCACCTCGCAGCCGAAAAAAAGACACAACTCACACGTTGATGTCAATACCCTTCATGAGCGTCACGTATGTAGTCTCGCACGCGTCGGGGGTGTAGTACTCCGCCGGGCGGCCGCGGGTGCACGGGTGCTCGGCGAGGAGTTTGGAGACCTGAACCCACGCCGCTGCGCCGACCTTGTACACGGCCTGCGCAAAGAGGAGCTTTTCCTGCACCGTGAGGTGCTGGACGGGGGCGTCCATGGCCGGATGGGTGTTGTGTTGGGTCGATGTCGCGTCGAAAGGATGGAGAGGATGATTGAGGTGGGTTGCGCGAGTCGTCAGCAAAACGGGAGCACAACATGCAAGTGGATTGTTAGCGGGAGTATATTTTCTAATGCGTCCTGTTTTGTAATGGCGACCATTTGGGTCCGCTCGATGACGCCCAGTTGACTGTGCTCATCACCATCACCGCGAGACAGCTGCTCCTCAACAGCACAACACTCTCACCACCACCACCACCACCAGAATGGCCGAGCACCACAACCGCCTCGAGCCATTCCTCCTTCTCGCCCGCGCCACAAAGGGCGCGGCCGCGGCCAAGGTGGTCATGGACGCGACCGCTGCCGTACGTCCACTGCCTTCCTCATGAACACCCGCACACACGCTGACTGTGAGACAGAACGGCGTCTATACCTTCTCTGAGCTCATGGACCTCCCCAACATCAAGGAGGTAGGTGCTTAATATACCTTCTTAATCTGACCTGCCAGCTTGAGAGCGACCCAGCGCTCAAGAAGCACCACACGCTGCTGACCCTCTTTGCCTACGGCACCCTCGCCGACTATGCTGCTGGTACGTGCTCCCTATCGGTACATCTCTGACCGCTCCAGCCCCCGACAACTACCCTCCCCTCACACCCACGCAACAAGAGAAGCTCAAGCACCTGACACTCGTCTCACTTGCCCTCAAGCACCGCGTGCGTTGTAGTTGTTCATTTCCGTTGCTGACAACGCGCAGCGTCTTCCCTACGCCCAGCTGTCCGCGGCGCTACAGGTCGGGTCTACGCGCGAGCTCGAGGGCCTGATCATCGATGTCATCTACGCCGACCTCCTGGGCGGCAAGATGCACCACCACGAGCAGGTCTTCCACGTCGACTGGGTCAACGGCCGCGACCTGTCCAAGTCGGACCTCGTCGAGGTCAAGACCGGCCTGGAGACGTGGTGCAAGAACACTGAGACGCTCCTCGCCGCGCTGGACCAGCAGATCGCGGATGTCCGTGCCAAGACCATGCGCGAGGCCGAGGACCAGGCGGTCTACCAGAAGAAGCAGGACGAGGCCTTCCTCTTTGCGCGTGAACAGGTGGCGAACCGTTCAAAGGGCAAGGACAAGGCCGCCGAATCGCTCGAGAGGTTCCTCGGCAGCCACGCCGACTACGAGGACGAGGGAACCGACGTGCCAATGTACGAGCCGCGTGGCATGTAAGTGTGGACTTCTGCGATTTCTTGTTCGTGAGGAGAAGGTGACAAGGGTCGTTTGCTGACGACAGGCCCAGGCCCAGCCGCAGCATGGAGTCGATAGATGAGCTCTCGAACCAGAGGGCCAAGAAGCGCGCCAAGGACTAGAGGGGGCCACCGCAGGCATGTGTAATAATTGTGTATAGATAGTGTACCATGCTACAAGCAGTTCATGAGCACGTTGACCGTGGTCGGATCTCGCAGTCGTTGTTGTGCACCGCCGCTGTCAGGTGTCAAGCGGAAGTAAATGTTGGCTGAGCACTCATTTCCGTGCATCCCGTTGCGAACACGACGTGGTTTATTCTGAGAGCATTCAACAAGCACAACAACCACCAACACACCCAACCTCTCACAATGGCCTCGTACCAGCGCGTGCCCTCGCGTCCCGAGGACGTCAACGAAGTCGACGAGCACGACCTGCTCACCCTCGACAATCCCCACACCGCCTCAACAATGGCAGAGTTCAACCGCCCAGCTCCCGCTTGGTGGAAGCGCGGGCTGCTCATCTTCGCCGTCTTCTTCTTGGGCTGGATGGCCGTCAAGCTCGGCGGTCTCACCGGAGACCGCAAGCCCAAGGTCATCTACGCAACGCGGTAGGTGCGAACACAAGCCGTGGATCCCCTACCATCGTGTCCCCCCTCCCCCATGGCCTTGCTCCCCTCCTCCTCCCCTCCCTCAACCCTCACCCAACGCGCTGGCTGACACACCACATCCAGATACTCGGACGAGTTCAAGTACCGCCCCGCCGCGTCGCCCGTCATCACCGAATACCTCAAGGACGGGCGGATACGTCTTCGCGGCGCGACACCTGGCGGCGTGGGCATTCGTCCGGGCGACCTGCCCCTGACACCGGCTGAGAAGGCCCTGCAGCAGAAGAAGATGGCAGAGGAGGCCAAGAAGGTTGCGCAGGAGAAGCTCAAGGAGGACAGGCAGAAGAGGAGGGAGGCGGCACGGAAGAAGAAGCAGAGCAGGGAGAAGAGGAAGAGCAGCAAGGCCAAGGACGAGATGTAACATAGAGTGCCGCCACCACCTCAAAACGAGCAGGCAGGACACGAGCCCGACTTGTGACACCGGTGACGCGTGTACTGAAACACATACTCTGGCTGCTGACGCTTCAACTCTCGAATACTGCCATTCCCGTTACCGCGTCCATTGCCAAGCAAAGGCACTGCGAGGAATCCTGGGCAGTGACCGCAACGAGGCAACTATTAGCAATGAGCGCAGATTCTGATCTGAGTAATTATTCAGATGGCGAGGTGATTGAAGGCTGCATACACTTACCCCAGCCAGTGGACTGTCTGCAGGGAGCTTGGGTTCTGTGAGCTACTCCTTCTCCTTCGCTGACCCGCCGTGGACCTCCCGGGCCGTCGTCGTCGTCGTCCGTCATCATGTCCCCATTCGTCGTTATGGTCATCACAGCGATAGTCTCCTCTCCCGTATCCAGCATTCCCAGCACATGTGCTGGTTGATGCAGCAAGACCAGAGGGCACCACAAGAACTTGTTCAGCCCGTGTTGTCAGTGGAGGGGTGGGGCGGCACAACACTAGTTAAGACTCTCGCTCTCCCATGTCGCTCACCAACACATATGGGAGGCGACGCCACCGCGCGTCAGCACCCGCCAGTATCTCGCCAGGCTCTGTGGTCGTTGGGACACCGCCGCTTGCACGCTTGACGTCGTCCTCGGCGGCGCTCCTCGTACGTCGCGGTGGTTTGCGTCTGAGTTTCGACTTGATATACTCACCTTCGCTGTTCGCTCTCCTGGGCTTCATGAATATGCTTATTAACTGGACGTATTCGTTGGCGTAGCGGTTGGGTGGTGCTTGGGTGTGTTGAGACACAGGGAGGTGCGCGGGTGGATTCTGCTCCCATGAAATGTGTGGCGACTGCCCGGATAGACTCAAATTACCAGACAACGCAGACGATCCCGTTGCTCTTCGCCAGGTTGGCCGATCCACTGTCGTCGCCATGGAGCCTTGGAGAGTCGCTAAGCCCACGCGAACACACCACCGACACCGGGTTGGTGGATTTGGAATGCACCTACTGTAGCTGATCGTTGAGGTTGCTCAACAGTACCGACGGACCGACCAACCAGTACCCCGTTCAGACCCGAACGTCGCGGACACAGAAGTACCGGCGTATGTGCATGAGCAGATGTGGTGGGGCCGAGCTGTAGGCGTCTCAGAACTCGAGTCGGCACTTTGACGCAATGGTTTGACCACCGGCCTTGCGTGACGATGAGCAGGACCGATGCTTCTCGACCCCTCACATTCTACAGCCACCCCTCGCTTATCCTTCGACTGATAGCCTCGCTCGGCTAGATGCTAGCCCACGCTCAGTAGTTTGCACGAGCTGACGTGGTGGTGCTCCAGACACCATCAGTGGCGCTCAGCACGGAAGGTTCCAACGCGCCACGGCCCGACCATGTTCGGAGCGCAGTCTGTCCGCCGCCGACGATACACCCACCCCTCCTGCGTCCCCTTGCTCTCTCCGTCGCCATTCACCAAAGCATAGGGGTACAGAGTCTCTAGCGCCATGGCCACCCACAGCCTCACCCACATCCCACAGCCCTCGCTCGTTCCCTGTGTGCGAGATCTTGCTGCTGCGGCGCCAACCGCCGGGCCATACTCGCCTCCGGAACCGATTGGACAGTGGCACTTTCTGGTCGCCGTGGCCATGGCGTTGCTCCGTCCGCTAACCCCGTACGCCGTCGCCGAATTTCGAATATCGCGGGCTCGCTCTCGCATCTCTAGCATCTCTCGTTGTCGACAAAGTTCACCGCAGCTGCGGCATTGAATCCGTGGCGTGGCGTTTCGCGGGGCCGCGAGATCCTCCGATATATTCTGAGCGAGCTGTGGGGGAGTTGGGGAGCAGCGAAGCAGAGGTACAGGTGGGAAATTGGTGGGAGAAACGGGGTGACGCCCAGAGGGGGCGGAGAGAGATGAGCCTTTTGCGGCAATGGCAGATTTCATTCTGTGAGAGAGAGGCACGAGTGAGAAGCGCATACAGAGACAGAGACGGAGTGAGGCAGACAGAGCACGTCAGCGTCGAGTGAATAGTGAGGTCCAATGAGAGCTGGTTTGGAGAGGTGCGGAATGCGGCCCCATCGCCAAGAGAATAGAGGACAAGGGCAGGGGTGAGGCGTGTCGACGTCACCGGAATGCAAGCTGTCACTCTCCGCCCCCCGGCGGCCCCCCACGAGATGGTGGCTTCCGTACTGCATTACGATCCGTAACGTAGTGATCGTAGTGATGCGACGGGCGCAGCGATGCAGCGATGTAGTGGAGCGCAAGGTGAAGAGGAGCTGTCGTTTTGCTAGTGATTATTCGAATATAAAAAGTCGCGCGGACGGGACGGGTCCGCGGTCGATCCACGGAACCACCCTCCTCTCCCAGAATGAACAATGTTCCGCATCGGCAAACTGGCTAGTATTTGGCTTTGGCTTACGATGACGAGGCGACGCAGAGAGAACGCAGAGGAACGGCCGTATGAACGCCAGTTCCTGCACAGTTCCTGCATTCCTGGCGACCCAAAACCTCTGGGGCCAGCACAACGGGGGGGGGGGGATGTTGGGTGTGGCGTCCTCGTCGGGTCGACCGGGTCCCGGGTGTGCTGGGAGGAAGGAAGCTGGTCATGATTCCGGCAGTGTTAACCGGCCCGGGGGCGGGGCAATGTTCGTCCACCCCGTGTCGTAAAGCGTCTCGCAGTATCCACAACGACTCGACACAGCCAATTGTCGTTTATAACCCCCCCTCGTCGTCCCCTCCCTGTCGCACAGCTCATGCTCATCCCCACCCATCGCTGCAATTGCCACCCAGTACTCACAGCTTGCACTTTCCCACCATGACCGTCATCGTCTCGTCCCCCAACACCGCTACCCAGAACGGAGCCGTCAAGGTCCCCACCGTCAACGCCTTTGACGCCGACCTGCCCGCCGAGCCCGCCGTCGAGTTCATCAAGCCCATCAGCTCGGCATCGTACACCGCTACTCACCCAGAGCAGTTTGAGGTCGTGTTCAGCGAGTCGGCCGAGCCGGGCGTCGAGGCCTTCTCGAGCAAGCTGGTGGCCAAGCACGTAAGTACCCGAGTGCGATGGCCATGGCCAGGGGGCGCCCAGTGCTGTCCTGTGACCTGTGGGACACCATGGCAGCACGCATATGAGCAGGATTTCAGTACACACGCTGACCTCGCAGGACTATGCGCCCGGCGAGCTCCTCGCCACCCTCTCCAACGCGTCCCAGGCTCCCGTCAAGGCCTACTCGTCGGTGCAGTACGGCCCGGGCCCCGACCACCACCTCGAGCTCAACTCAGACCTGCTCTTCAGTGCGCTAGGCTTCGCGGTCCCCCCTCCAGAGCGCTTTTTGCTGACAGCTTTAGTGAACCACTCATGTGCGCCCACCGCCCAGCTCCAGCTTCCCGCCGGCACCCCAGCACGGTGGGAGGTGCACGTCGGCCCCGCTGGCTTGGCCAAGGGCGAGGACATTACCTTCTTCTACCCCTCGACCGAGTGGGACATGGCCCAGGGATTCGACTGCAACTGTGGTGCCAAGGTGAGTAGCGAAAGCGATGAGGGTGGACTTGGGCTGACCTTTTCAACAGACCTGCCTCGGCAACGTGCAAGGCGCCAAGTACTTGACGCTCGAGCAGCTCGAGGCGCGCGGAGTGGTGAACGACCACATCCGGGCACTGAAGGCTCAGCAGTGAGGGATTGAAAAGACCTCTCGAGTCGGACAGGATGGGGCGTTTTGGAGGTGAAGCAAGAAGCAAGAAATAGAGATGGCATTCGACCATGCGCAAGGGCTGTGCATATTACGCATACACGGTAAAGATGTGCGGGGCGAAGAGATATCTTAAAACAGCCCAAAAGGAAGCAGAACGTACAGTTACAGAGGTGTAGCGGCCCCCAATGCATGCTGCTGTGAGTATCCATATGCAGAGCGCAGAGAGAGATGGCCGGTCAAACCAGGGCCGTCTCGACGGAATGGAAGCGACGCGATTGCTTTCTGTATTTCTCATCCTCCTCTGTTTCCCTCTGTTGCCCACATCTCCATCAAGATCGCCAGAAGCACACTCGTCCTATAACCTCCCCCTCGACTTTCCGGGCGACCACCGTACCACAGTACAGCTCATGTGGCCACGTTCTCAGCGAAGACGCGGGTACGCGGGGCTTGAGAGCGCCGCGGAGCTGCGGCCGCTCGGGCTGAAACCCGTCAACGGGGTGGAAACGTGCAAGTCGCCTGGGAACGTCAAACCAAGGAGGAGACGCACCATTGATGGTAAGAGACTACGGACCGCTACATGTGGGCATTGTGGAAGTCAGACGCGCTTCTTACAGACAATGAAGGCTGGGGTGGTAGGCAGTATCGACGAGCTAGCTCGGGAGAACCATGAATGACATCATTTCACAATGATAATGATTAGCGAGACTCGCACACACCCATGTTTTGTTCTTGACAACTCTCTCTCCTCCACTCGACTTTACCATGCCGATGCTTCTTGAAGGGTGAGTACATTGTCCAGTGAGAGTGGTGCTGATACAAGCAGTTCCTGTCATTGCCGTGCTATCAAGTACACTGTTGAGGTAGGTGCCGGACCTCGTCTTCGTGACGTATGTTGTGCTGCGTCTCTGACTATGCCAGTCGAACACGCCCGTCCCTTACCAGGTATGTCGTTGTGGCATGCTCTCATACCGTCGACCAGCTAAGTGTCTGTTCAGTTCAAGACAGCTGACTCCCCAGCTCTGTCAATGCAGCATTTGCCGCAAGACGGGCGGATACACCGGCAGCGTCAACATTATGGGTAACAACCCCACGCTCAAGGTTATCCGCGGCAAGGACAAGATGAAGTGAGTCCCTTGTTCAGGTTACGTTGTTGGGGGCTTCCACACTGCCTGTAGCGGGCCTCATCCATTCGGGAGCTAGAGGTGAACCAGGAGTGAGGATGCCGCTGTCACCTCGCGTGGTCCCAAACACTAAGGCTGACGCTTCAAAGGGAGTACACCCCGGCCATGGCCTTTGACAAGAACGACCACCCGACCAGGAAGACCACCTCCATTCGCACGTTCTGCGGGGACTGCAGTGCTATGCTCTGGAACTGGCACCCCGAATGGCCTGACGTGAGTGGCGCAGCTAGCTCGACCACGAGGACCCAGCTGCGTAGCCCAACGCGGGTTTGCCTGTAGAACCCAGCGTTCAAGGTGGTAAGCTGACGCACACCAGTGGATCTATCCCTTGGCCTCGTCCATCGACAGCGACCTCCCGACCTTTCCCAAGGGTGTCGACGGTATTGCCATCAAGCGCGACTCGTGTCCTGCGTATGTCCCTATTCCAGCTGGGTTCAAGTCGTATGAGGGCTATGGACCCGGTGCGGGTATTGAGGTGAGTTGTGGTAGGAGGAGGGGGGTGAGCTGTACAATTCTTGCAGCTCGCAGACCAAGTAGCGCATGCGTCGGGGGGCAAGTCATGCAAGGCAGCTGCAACACAACCACGGCAACTGCAACTGTCGCCCCCAAGTGTTACATATGCCCGTTTAGCTGGGCAGTATCCAACGCAGAGTATCCAGCTGACATGCAGGACTGGCACAAGAAGAATGGCTGCTGGGTCGACTAGACACCCCTTATATCTATGTACACCTTTAAAACAGTAGCAGCTTGTCTTTAAAATGCAGAATCATAATCGTTGTGCAGACGCGATGACGGAGCCGCCCGGCAACTCCCGCAATGAACAGTCGGACACGCCCTGACAACATTTCCTTTCGTCTGGTCTCGTCTCGTCCACATCCTCACTGCACACCACACCACAACAAATGTCCCTCCCAACCCTCCTCAGGCAACCGCCCACTCTCCGCCCCGCGCTGGCCAGGACACTGGCCTCGCACGCATACAACCCGCCCAGGCCCGCGTTCACCCCGGGCCCACCTGGTCCTCCTCCCGCCGCAAAGGCCGGTCCCTCCACTCCTCGCGCTCCTCCCAACCCAGCCACGACTACTTCGCCCACTCTGCCGCCCGACCACCGTCGGCTGTTGGAAGAGATCGTTCGGGTCGACCATGCGGGCGAGCTGGGCGCCAACTGGATTTACAGGGGCCAGAAGTGGGGCAGCCAGATGAGGGGTGACAAGCGGACCGCGGAACAGGTTGAGGTGAGTCTTTGGCGTGGTGTGAGGTGGCTTGGGCAAGGAAGGCGACCGGCCAACAACGACGCACGCCTGTCCACCGCCATGCGGTGGGCTGTGGGATGTGTGATGTTCCTAGCCCGACCTTGATCTGGAGGTAAACGAAATAGTGTGCTGCACAACTCCCCGTTGCAGCACTAAACACCCGTTCGCCCAGCGTCACCCACCTCCTCCTCCATGATCACACCCAGCACAGAAGCTCACATACGCACAGGACATGTGGGAGAACGAGCGCCACCACCTCAACGTCCTCACCCGCATGGCCCACCAGCACCGTGTGCGTCCCACGGCGCTCTATCCCGTCTGGCAGGTCCTCGCGTGGGGCATGGGCGCGACGACTGCTCTGATGGGCAAAGAGGCCGCGATGGCGTGTACCGAGGCGGTGGAGACTGTCATTGGGGAGCATTATGACGAGTGAGTGTGCCGGGTACAGTGGTACAGCTTTCTCCTGCTTCCAGACGTGACTGACACCCGCAGCCAACTGCGCGCGCTCAAGCCCGTGCTCGCCGACAACGCTGCGTCCGAGACCCCGCACCCATCTCTTCCGCTCATGGCGGAGGTCCTTGAGGAATTCCGCGATGACGAGCTGGGCCATCTCGACATTGCCGTCGAGGAAGGCGCGCTCAAGGCGCCTGGCCATTCGTTGCTCTCTGCGGCCATTGGCGCGGCTTGCAGGATTGGTATTATGGTTGGCAGCAAAGTGTAGATAGGACAGAACAGCATCAGGCGGTTCTGGCGGTAGATGGCTGGCCATGCACAACGTATGTACATGGTACGGTTAGGACTACATTCCGACTACATGACTCGAGTATGGGTTAGTCAACCCGTCTTCCTCCCTCCTTCCTCCGAGGTTAATGAGTGCTCGCTCACACTGTTTCCTTTATCAATACACATTTAACACACAGCACCAATGTCGTACTGACCGCGCCCTCGACTCCAACGCACCACACGCGCAGAAGCGCTCACCAGGAACGGCATCACCATGAAGTCTCTCGTCGATGAAGGATCCACCCAGGAAACCACACGTAGGCCAGTGTCGGCAGACACCATCAAGCACCGCCAACGCACCCGCGAACACACGAACGCGTCAAGGTCACAAGCACTGTGCACGGCCACACAGTCTCGACGTACGAAGAGCTTGCGGCGTGCCGTCCGGTCACCTTCCCCGGTGACAACTTCCTGCAGCCTTTCTTGACCTTCCTCGGGGCCACTCTCACCAGCCGCAGTGGAGGAGACATCACGTACGACACGATTAAAGGCTACGCCATTACGCTCATGTCCTTGTGGCGCCAGGACATGGATTACAAACTAAGTTGTGGTAGCACAGTGGCGAAAGCTGACACGCAGCCCTCCCTCACACTGGAACGCACCTTTGACACCATCGTCGATGTGGCGAAACAGCTCGACCTTCACCCTGCCTACCCATTCACAGCGGGTCTGGACTCTAAAGCCATTCTCGACATGCTTCAGGCGATAAACGCTTACCCCTCTCAGCTCGATCAACGTTGTTGACGTTGTTACTGAGCGAGCGCGACCCCAACCGCCAAACCCGCACCGAACAGTTTGCCAACACCCGTCGTACCAGCGCGCCCACGGAGTTGGACGACGTACCAGCGAAATAGGGCGTAACGTGGGATACGCGACCTGCCATGTGCCATCCATAGCAGCACGCAGCATGTGGCCATGTGGCCATTCTCGTCCAGCTCGCCCGTTCGGAGCTGTCTGGTCGGGCTAGCTGCAGGCTGCCACCAGGGTTTCGGGTCGGACGTGTGGCAGACCGACCCGTAGCGCCGTAGCTCCCGTAGACACAAGAGCGTGATGCACGGGCCCTCTCTGCCAGCCTCACCCGGTAGGTACCGGTGTACCCGCTGCACGGGACTACCCAGCTGTTCTGCTTCTCGCCGTGTTCCTGGTGCCACCGTCAGCGGGCCCGAGTATGCGGGGGGCATGGCGTAAGTGTGCGCTTGGCACGAGTCATTGGGAATGAGAGGGCGTGCATTGCTTCACGAATTGCGCAGAAAAATCTTGGTTTTCGTTAGTTGGGAGGTATATCGCTCGCACTACTCGTTACGCTGCTCTGCCCCTGCTCTGGTCTGCTGTTGTAATACGGATTCGCTGCCAACCTCATATGCATCGGTACAAGAAATACACACGGTTTCTCTAAGCCATTGTTTTTAGGCCTCGGCGTCGGTGCGCTGCCTCTTGGCGGGAGTCCTCGAGGGCGAGGTGTCGCGCGAGGCGTGGTGCTCGTCGAGCAAGCGGTCAAAGACCTCGGGCTGGCCGACCTTGAGCTTGCCCTGCTGGATGGCGGTGTGGTAGACACGGAGGATGGTGTCGACGTCCTCCATGGTCTGGGTGCGGACGTCGGCGAGAGCCTTGATCTTGGCGGTAGCGTCCTTGATCTGCTCGTCGGTGAGCTCGAGGTTGAGCTGCTCGACACGCGACTTGATGGCGTTCCAGCCGGTCAAGCGGTGACCGATCGAGACGTAACGGGTCATGCCAAAGTCGGCGGGGTTGAGGATCTCGTAGGTCGAGGGGTTGGCGAGGATGGCCTTGGCGTGGATACCGGCCTTGTGGGTGAAGGCACAGAAGCCAGTGATGTAGTTGTTGAAGGGGACCTGGATCTCGACGGCCTCGGCAACGAGGTTCTCGACCTCGCGGAGCATGTGGAGGTTGTACTTGTTCTTGACGTACTCGGGGTCGGCGACCATCATGCGGGCGATAAGACCACCGAGGGGGGTGATACCGTTACGCTCACCAATGCCGAGGACCGAAGTGTCGACGTGGGTGGCACCGGCCTCGAGGGCGGCGTAGGCGTTGGCAATGGCACAGCCAGTGTCGTTGTGGAAGTGGGTCTCAATGTCACAGCCGACAACACCACGGAGGGTGCGGACAAGCTCGTAGACCTGGCGGGGGTCGGCACAGCCGACAGTGTCGGCAACACCAACACGGTTGACACCGATCTTGTCGACGGTCTGGTAGATCGAGAGGAGGTCGACAAGGTCCGAACGGAACGAGTCCTCGGACGAGAAGCGGATCTCAATGCCCTTCGACTTGACAAACTCGATAACCTCAATGGCGGTCTTGGTGATCCAGGTCATGTCCTTGCCGTGCGAGTGCTCGCGGAGGAACGACGAGGTGCCGATAACGACGTCGACACCGTCAACACCAGTCTCGACGGCGATACGGGCGTCGTCCATGTGGCAACGGATGTGGGTAAGAATCTTCGAGCGCTTGAGGCCGAGCTTGCAGATGGCCTCACAGTGGGCACGCGACTCGGGCGAGGCGGCGGGCGAGGTGAGCTCAATGTAGTCGACACCAAAGTCGTCAAGACTGAGATAAAGCGTCAGCGGTGAGTCACCAAACCCCACAACCATTATAAAACTCACGCCCTTGCGATCTTGATCTTGGTCTCAAGGTCTGGAAACAGAGGTCAGCTTGTTGTTGAGGAGATGGGTGCGATAGGGTGTCTGCGCAGCACAGCGAGGGTTTTGCGATGGGCACAGAGTGTTTTGGGCTCTAGCTGGGGTTTCTACCCATCCAGCTCCCGGGTGACAGTGAAGTTGAAGCACCCGGGTACTAGGATGAGGACAGAGCAGCCCGTCCGTGAAGCTGCAAAGGCAATGATAGGTGGCAGGGTGACCGAAGCGTCATTTTTCGGCAACAACCCATGCCACCCTTCAGAGGCCGCCTCCCAGCCCATCGTCTGCAACTCTGGACACGCATGCGCGAAAATGAGAACTCACCAAACCATGCGGTAGCGAACTGCTCTCCCTCGCGAAGAGTCGACTCGATGATCTGTTTGTTGCGTTAGATGACGTCCACAAATGGTCGGGAGTTCAAGAAGGCTGGGAAGGCAAAGGTGGGAGAGAAAAACGGCCGAGAGGGACGTGTGGTGCCACAGACGCCCACGAGGGTGCCACAGTCTCGCTGCAAGCATAGCTGCCACCGTGGGCGTCATATGCGCCTGGCCAGAGTCCTCAGACAGGGCGCAAAACATGCACAAAACGTCGACTCGAAGCGAGTGACGGGTCGGAATGTCGGTCGGAATGTCGCACCGCGGGGGGGGGCACTGCCACGAAAATTGCTCACCTTCCAGTTCGAGGTGTTGCTGAGGAAGTCCGAGGGGCGGGCGTAGAAGCCCTTCTTGTCGCCGTGGCGGTCAGTGCCGTTCGACTTGACGGCGGTGGAGAGGTCGACGGGGACCATGTCCTCCTTGTTGGTCTCAATCTGGTCCGGGGTGGGGCACATGATGGGCTCTGCGATAGAGGGGGGTGTAAGGGGGTGTGTTGTAAGGGGGGCCTAGTGTGGCTATGCGTGGGCGAGCGTAGAGGAAGAGCAAAAGTCTAGCCTGTTTTTTTGTGCGCAAGTGAAAGATGCGATGTGGGGCGGGGGTGGGTGGTTGGGTGTGTAAAGAAAGAGATTGTGAGAGGGGGGGAGATGCTGGCGGCAGGGACTAGTTATGTGAGTTTTCCTGGCCCGAGGGCGTGCGCGCGGATGTAATCAAATCTTACGCCGACATTAGACAGGCATTTCTAATGGCCGGTTAATCTCACGGCATTCAAATATTTGAGCCACTCGTAAATCGACTTAAAAGTCACCGCGAGAGAGACAGAGACGGTGTTGCTGCGGTTCTTTTGACTCGCTCCCTCTGGCCGTCTGGCATGTGGGCCTGTTTATGACTCAATCGAGTCAAAACTGGCTCCCCTTCCCATGCCTGGTCCCCGCACTCGTGCGTTGTCCCTGGGGGGTAGTAGTCGTCTGACGCCTCCCCGACCTAAGCCGCTGACACATTCAATCCAACGATCCAATGGCAGCACAAAAAAGGCTGCGCCGTGGGTGAGGCGTCGGACATGCTGGGTCCGGTGCAAATGGTGGTGTGTGTAAAAACGGTACACGATTATGTGTTTTGCGCGCCTGTCAAATACACACTAGGCGTGCTGACTGCCACCGTACGGGCCCCCTACGTCACCGCCCATGGTGCGAAATAAAATAAAAAAAAGCGGCGGGGGCGCGGCAACGACGGAAGCAAATTCCTCCACCCAAAGCTTTGGCCAAATTGCCTCCGTCCAATCCAGGCCCCCACCACCCCACGCGCGTGTGCTGGCGGCAAGAGACCCAACCACACCCACGGCGCGCGCTCATCGGGCGAGAGACGCACACACACACCCTGCTGGCCCGCGGCACGACGATTCTATCAATCCTCCCTCACACCAACCTCTTCGCCAAAAGAATCATATCATCGCCCCATCTACCTCTTCTCTTTGTAGTCCCTCTCCCCCTCTCCTCGCTCGGTCGACAGCGATACTCCCCATTCACCGCATCGCCAGCGACCAACCTCCCCCTCCGCTGTCCCCATCCTTATAATCCCACTCACCTCCCTCTCCCTCCCCCTCTCCCCCAAACACCATGAACGCCGCCACCCTCCTCACCAACGCTCTCTCGGAAGGTACGTCTTCGCTCACACCCCAAGCACACACCCGCTGACATGCCCTTGCAGACGCCGCGACGCGTCAGTCGGCCGAGCAGCAGCTCGAGGCCGCCCAGAGGGACAACTTTGTGAGTTTGACTTTCTCTCCCTCCCTGTCCAACGAGGCGTTCGGGCTTGCTAGCCAACCAACCAGAAACTAATCGCCCTTTGCACAGCCCGCATACCTCCAAACCCTCGCTACTGAACTTGCCAACGAGCAGGCACTTCCTCACATTCGCAACTCTGCAGGCCTTGCGTTCAAGAACGCCCTCTCGGCACGTGTAAGTTGTCCAGCGCGGTGCTCGCTCGCACTGTTGTTGTTCTCCGAAAGGGTCCAACTGGTGGCTCACACCCTGTCCAGGATGCCGTCAACCAGCCCGCGCTCTCGGAGCGCTGGATGGCCCTCCCCGAAGACGTCCGCGCGCCCCTCAAGCACTTGCTGCTCCAGACTCTCGCGTCGCCCGTAAAGGTCGCCGCGTCCGTCGCCGCCCAGTGTGTCGCCGCCGGCGCCGCTATCGAGCTCCCCCACGGCGGGTGGCCCGAGCTCATTGGCCAGCTCCTCGAGTTTGTCCAGAACCAGGAGAACACTGGTGCCCGTATCGCCACTCTCCAGACCATTGGTTACGTCTGCGAGGTTGTTGTAAGTGTGGAACGCTGCAATCGCGTTTGGTGTGATGCCATCACTGACATTATCCTAGCAACCCCAGTACCTCTCGGCGCGCTCGAACGAGATTCTGACTGCCGTCGTCCAGGGCGCCCGCAAGGAGGAGCCCAGCGCCGAGGTCCAGGCCGCCGCTATCAACGCTCTCTACAACTCGCTCGAGTTCATCCGCGACAACTTTGAGCGCGAGGTGAGCTTCTTGTCCGATGGGGCCAACCCTCCCGACAGGATAGGATCGCACAGTTAACACACATCTCTCAGGGCGAGCGCAACTACATCATGCAGGTCGTGTGCGAGGCTACCCAGAGCTCGTCCGTCGCCGTCCAGGTCGTTGCGTTCGAGTGTCTTGTCCGCATCATGAGCTTGTACTACGAGAACATGGAGTTCTACATGGAGCGTGCTCTCTTTGGCGTAAGTTGACCATCATCATATCCTGTTTTTATTTGCTTCCTTGGTTGCTAACGTTCCAGCTTACCATCATGGGTATGAGGCACGCCGAGGAGCCTGTCGCTCTCCAGGCCATCGAGTTCTGGGCGACTGTCTGCGACGAGGAGACCAACATCGAGATCGAGGCTCAGGAGGTGGGTCCGTGCACTCGAAAATTATTCTAACCATCCCAGGCCATCTCGTACGGTGAGGAGCCCGCCATCGAGTCCAAGCACTTTGCCAAGCTCGCCCTCAACGAGATCCTCCCTGTCCTGCTCGAGCTTCTCTCGCAGCAGGAGGAGGACGCTGACGAGGACGACTGGACCAAGTCCATGGCCGCCGCCTCGTGTCTCGAGCTCCTTGCTCAGAACCTCGGTGACGCCATTGTCCAGCCCGTTGTCCCCTTCGTCGAGGCCGGCATCCGTCGTCCCGAGTGGCAGCACCGTGAGGCCGCCGTCATGGCCTTTGGCTGTATCCTCGAGGGCCCCGACTCGGCCACCCTTTCGCCGCTTGTCACCCAGGCCCTCAGCGCCCTTATCGGCATGCTCCAGAGCGACCCCGACCTTCACGTCCGTGACTCGGTTGCTTGGACTCTGTCCAAGATCACCGAGCTCATGCTCGATGTTGTGGACCCCAGCATGCACCTCCAGAACCTCGTGACCGCCCTCGTCATGGGTCTCGGCAGCTCGGGGCGCATCGTCAACTCGTGCTGCTCGGCCCTCAACAACCTCGTCTCGCAGCTTCTTCCCCAGGACGGCCTCGGCGACGACCCCCAGTCGTCGCCCATGTCGGTCTACTACGAAGGTATCTTCAAGGCCCTCATCCCCGTCTCGGAGAAGTCCAACAACGAGAACAACTGCCGTTCCGCTGCCTACCAGACCATGGCCACCTTTGTGCAGTTCTCGGCTCTCGACACTCTCCCCATTGTCGAGCAGGTCGCCGCCGCCATGCTCGCTCGCCAGGAGACCCTCATCGGCCTCCAGAACCAGCTCCTTGGCATGGACGACCGCAACAACTGGAACGACCTGCAGATCAACATTTGCGTCGTCATCCAGTCGTTCATCCACAAGTCGCCCGCCCTCGTCTCCGCCTACGCCGACCGCATCATGACCAACCTCCTCACCGTCATCTCGACCTCGGCCAAGCACGGCGGTGTGCTCGAGGACACCTTCGCTACCGTCGGCGCTCTCGCCTCGGCCCAGGAGGGTAGCTTTATCAAGTACATGGAGGCCTTTGCCCCCTTCCTCTTCCAGGCCCTCGCCGCCTTTGAGGACTACCAGGTCGTCCAGGCCGCCGTTTACTGTGTGTCGGACATTTCGCGTGCCGTCGGCGAGGCTCTTGCCCCTTACGCGGAGCGCATCATGGTCGCTCTCATCGACATTCTCCGCAGCCCCCAGATTCACCGCCAGGTCAAGCCCACTGCCATCACCGCTATCGGTGAGGTTGCCCTCGCTGTTGGCGGCGCCTTTGTCCCTTACCTCGAGACCACCATGAACATTCTCAGCCAGGCTGGCTCGACCTCGGCCTCCGCCAACGACCTCGCCCTCAACGAGTTTGTTTGGACCATGCGCGAGGCCATTGTCGACGCTTTCATTGGCATCATGAACGGTCTCAAGGCCGCGGACCCCACTCCCTTCCTCCAGTTTGTTCCTGGAATCCTCGGCTTCCTCCGCACCTGCCTCGCCGAGGAGGACCGCACCGAGGAGTTTGTCACCTCGTCGCTTGGTCTTATTGGCGACTTTGGCGACACCTACAAGGCTGCCGTCCGGGACGAGCTCAACGCCGAGTGGATCCAGACTGCCATCCAGATCGGCCGCCAGCGTGGTGCCTCCAAGCACTCGCGCACCAACGCCGCCTACGCGCAGAAGACCATCAGGGACCTGTCCAAGTAAATGACCGTCGCTCCGGTGATACCCCCACGATACCCGTTTTCTCTGCATCTCACGACTCGAATGACATGCCCCCCCCCCACCACCACCACACCACCACCAACCCACCCCAACTTTTCTCGTATTTTTTTTATCCTCAAGCATTTCGTCACGCATGTCATGGCCGCGCCCTGTTTGTCCAAGGACCTTCATCGCCGCCCCCCCAACACACACACCCGCCCCCCGCATCAAGTGTCCGAAACTAGCATTGCAACGCAACCCGCGACCGAGGTCGCAAACTTACTGTACTGGTCCGGGGGGAGAAAGGCTCCCCCCCATATGGCCAACGGAGAAGGATAGAGGCAGCAGAAGGGGAGAATATCTCGTGCATGTTAGTGTGTTCTTTTTAACATGGTCGTGGTTGCAGGTTGCAGGTGCAGGGGTACAGGTGCAGAACAGGCTTGGTTGAACGAAAGGTAATGTCCCGGGTTGTAGTGAGTAGGACCTGGGGAGGTACCGTTCAGGAGAAACACATACACTTAACGTCCAGGGCGTGCTGGATGGTCTGAAAAGTCGATGTGCGGTGGCACCAGCAACCATCATACTCATTTCCGCAGGCGTGTGTGATTGACGGCCTGACTTGGTGCATACGATACTTCGACGCCTATCTCACAAGCACGCCTGTCTCACAAGCCATGTACTGCACAGACAGTAAACATGTACTGTCGCTTAATCAGAGTCACTAATCATTATGGGGCGGGTCTGCTTCCCCCCGCCCCTATCCCTCCCGACCGATCCACCGCCATGCCTGCCACGCTTACGACGACGCTCCTCACGCATACGCTTGAGACCTCGCTTTAGAGACTTGAGGAGGGTACTATCGGTGCAGCTTGACTCGTCGTCGTCACTGCCACTGGAGATGTCGAGTTGGCGCTTGGACAACTTGGACTTGGACCTGCCCTTGGCCTTGGCCTTGTACTTGTTGAAGACGACCTCGATGTCGGATCCCCATGGGTCGGATTCGCTTGCGTCGTCCTCGTTGGCACGTTTCGGGGCCGACGCGGGGCCCATGCTGAAGTGCGGTTTGCGCTCGCTGGGACCGGCGGGCTCATCCTCGTCGTCGTGAGGGTCGTAGCGGACGACCGCTAGCGGGTTGGTTGCAGCGTCCGGGGCCTCGACGGGTTCGGCCTTGACCTGCACCCCGGGCGCCTCTTTGGGCTCCTCCTTGACGGCCAAGGCCTTTTGGAGCTTCTTGCTCGACTCGGCAAACTCGCTCCACGCCAGCACCGACACCATTCCCAGTAGCCCTTGACCTTCAAAGTTCTGGCGCAGTTTAAGGTTCCGCGTGAGGTCCTGGGTCACCGTCTCGTGTGTCTTGGACCGCACCCCGCCAAACATGTCAGCTACGCGCGTAATATCGCAGAGTGTCTGCTGGAGTTCGGCCTGGCGGTCGGGAGGCACTGCAAGGTCTTCGAGGAACGTGTACGCCCGCTGCTGGCATTGCTGGGCCAGCTCGAGGTGCGAGTGGGCCTGCAGGTAGTGCGAGCACGGCTTGCGGTAGCACATGATACACTTGGCAGGAGGCAGGTAGTTGCGGTTTGCGCAGTGGTCAGGTAAATCTGGGTCGTTTGGTGCGTCCGCTTCCGAGTAGCATGGAATCCCACTCCGGCGGCACTGAAAGCAGGCCGCGAGACCGACGTTCTCCTTGTAGGTACCACTGCTGCTCGTCAAAGCCGCCTGTTCAAGATGAGTGGACGTTGCAATCGCAGCCTTGTTTTAACAACTCACCAACAGAATCTCAAACTGGTTCTCACCAATGGAGTGGCGCTCGGAAATGTTCAAGACCAGGTTGTGGCGCTTGGCCTTGTGGAACGTTTTCTTGCGGAAAGGTTTCGCGGCCGAGGAGCCGGGACGATACCGAACCATCTTGCTTGAACAGGAGAGTGGGTGTAGTCAGTGCAAGTAAGATGGTGTAGGCGTCAGATATGGGTATAAGAGAGTCAAGAGAGCGCTGAGAGAGACAGAAGAGAAAGGGCGTGGGAGCAAGTTGAAGTGCGTCGGGCGTGCGATTGTTCTCGGGGAAGGGCAAAGGAAGGAGGAATGACATCCACAGGTCGTCGGATCAGAGGCGGGCGTCTAAGAGAAGAATCAGGTACATAACTGCGATGCATACATATCTTACTGGCTCTAACACCATACGTCACTTGTCGGCTGGACCGTGAGCTATGGCGGGATACTGTTCGTTCATTGGAGCTCGTGGCTGCTCTTTAGTGGCGGAGGTTTTGCTGTTGGCCTTGTTTTGGGACGTTGTCATCGGAATGCGGACATGCCTGAAGGTTTGTCTTGTGGTAGTGCAGTGACGCCTACTCTGGCACCCGACAGGTTCAGAAGGGAGCCGGGATATCACTACCAATCCTCCCAGTGATCAGCCCTGCCCGTTTCTGTCTTGATGTTCGAGCGGGCCTGCGGGTATACGACGATTGGGTTCTCCTCGTCGTTCTCTTCAATCTCGACGCCGCGGTAGCCGCCGCCGATGACACGTCCACGTGGGAAGATCTCTTCAATGTCGCTGTCGTAGCCGTTGCGCGACTTGGCCTTGCGCCACGCCTCGTCCTGGAGGGCGTTCTTGTACGTGTTGCTCGTACGCGTAAACTTTCTGAACGCGGGAACGTGCTTGAGGCCCTCGAGTCCCCTGCCCTCAAACTGCGTGCGCACGGCGAGGTTTTCAGTCAGGTCCTGGCGCACAGCGTCGTCGGTGCTCGCGTGGACGCCGCCAAACATGTCCGCACCTTTGCCAATAGCGTTGAGGGCGTGGTCGCGGCCCGTCTCGAGGTTGGGAGCGAGGACGAGCGTCTCGAGAAAGGTGTACGCGGCCTGGAGGTGGGCGCGGACTGCGCGCCTGTCGCGGCCGTTGTGCGTCTCGTGCGAGTGGGAGCAGACGGCCCTGCCGCAGGTGATGCACTTGCTCTAGCCCTCGTACTTGTAGCATGGGAGACCCTTGCGGCGGCACTCGTAGCACGCCGAGACGCCCGTCTTCTCCACGCAGTCGCCGTCGATGAGAGCGTCCTGGGAGATGGTCAGGCAAGGGAGGAAGGGTGGCCAACGGTGGCAAGGACCGGCTCACCAGCACCGCGTCAAAGCTGGGTTCTCCAGGCTTGCGCCGAGCATTGGTAGATGTGGGTCGAGGCATGTGCGGTGAGTGTGTGTGACGTCGATGTGGAGTTGAGGAAGGTGAGGAAGGAGGAAGGCCTGATCAAGGAAGGTGACGACGTGGGGTGGGGCGCACATCGCGTCTTCTCTGTGGTTTCGCAAGTCATCAGCTGATGCATGGTGAGGAGCCCAAAGCTCGCCTCACTGCGTTACTGTCAGTCACATTGCTGGACGATGGGCTCGAGGCCCGCCGAACCAAGTTCACCGATGAGGATAACGTTATGCGGGGTATGCCATATCACTCAGGTCAATATCTACACCACCACCACCTCCTCCCTCTCTGGATCTCTGGCCTATGCCTCTGTCTCGCTCTACTTGGCCTCCTTCTCGCCCATCAGACTCTTCTCCTCGCCGCCCTTGGCGCTGCGACGACGCTTGACGTCCCAGTTGTGCACGCGGGCAAAGTTGACCTCCATGACGGTGACCTGCTCGCGGATCCACTCGAGGTCCTCGACAACCTCGGTGAGGTTTTTGCGTGCGCCCGCAAGCTTGGAGCTGAGCAGCTCGGCCGCCTCGGCGAGCGGGTACATGAGCATGGTGTTGGCCTGGGATGTCAGTGGACCAGTGGACGGTACGCGGTCGGCTAGTGGGAACACCTCTCAGCCGGTGTGCACTCACGCCGAGCCAGAGTCCGACCTGCCCGTTCTCCTTGACAGTCGCCTCGGCGTACAGGGTGTCGTTGAGCTCGAACAAGGTGGTGAGGGGCTTGGCGGCGGCCTCCTCGTCCTCCTCGCCGTCCAGGAGGGCGTCAATGTCGTCGGAACCAGCGTCGGAACCGGCGTCCTCCTCCTCGGGCTCGGGCTCGCCCAGAGCCTTGGCGCGCCGTGCCGCCATGAACGTCACCACGCCGAGCGTCTGCTCAATGTCGGGAATCTTGGCGAGCAGAGCCTTGCGGCGCTGCTGGAGGTTGAGCTCCATGTAGCGGTACTTGCTGGGAGGTGTCAGTGGGTGCGGGTGTTGGTGCGGCGCGGAGAGGTATGACGAGGGAGCGGGGGTTATGTGCGTGTGTAGCTGCGCTTGGTGGTGTACGGCGTAGCTAGCACCATAGCCCCCCACAAGTAACCCATGGTACCCTCAGAGAAGACGGTGTCATTCTCCACCGTCGCGGGTCCTCCTCACTCACGCGCTCGTCTCCTGGAACTTCTTGATCACGCCCTCGACGTCGCCGTCCTTGGTGCCGATGTAGTCGTCGACATTGTCCTGCGCGCGTGAGCATGTTGCGCTGCGACCAGGTCCATGTGTGCGGTGTATGGCTACTAGCCATAAAGAAGGCCCCCAAGCCAGGTCGCAAGCACACGGCAGGTCATGTCCTGCCCAGCAACTCGCGACACGACCTCCAGCTGCTGGCAGCCGCCAGCAGCTCCCGTTCCCCCCGTGAGTCGCTCGGCACGCTACTCACCACAAAGGGCGCCTTGGGGATACCTCTAGGGTTGAGCTCGAGCTCGATTTTGGGCTTGTCGGCCATGGTCGTGTGGAATGTTGTTGTTAATGGGACAAGACCGGAGGACGCTCTCATGGAGGCTTCGAGACGTGACCGATCCGATGGTCATCTCGTGGATGACGGAAGCAAATACACCCAAAACTCAGGCGAGGTATCCTGTGTCCATGACGGTCGCGCCGACGGGCTCTCTCGCCTTTGTAGCGCGGTCAGCAGAACGTACAGCATGCATGGTCATCTATCCTGATAGGTGTCGCGCAGGAAGACATGTAGGAGGAATTACCACATTGGGCGGCCACTGCATGAAAGCGACATTATGTGGTATCCACACCGACACCCACTCACCAGCGGTCAACCACAGTGGCACCTGCCGATCCCACCGGCCCCCCTCCCGCCCCCTACTACCTTTCTCAACAACCACAGCCCCAATCCAGCCCATCTCTTCACCCACACCATCTTCTACACCGCGCGCACAACATCGTGCGATCCCGTGGCGTAATGGTAGCGCGTGAGATTCCAATTACGGGATGCAAATCAACAACCCCCTCGCTCTCTCTTCGGAGCGACCGAGGCGTTGCTTCCTCAAGGTTGTCCGTTCGATTCGGGCCGGGATCGTCTCTTTTGGCCCAGGGGGCGAGACGGGTGTTGGTTTGGCGAGGCAGGTGGAGCGCGGGAAGAGTAGATGTGTTGTAGAGAGGCGTCCTGGGGCGCGAAGACGAATGCAAGGGCGTACGGCCGAGGGGGGAGGGAACACGTCCACCGGCAGCGATGCTGGGCCACGGCAAGAATACCAGGTGTTGGCATCTGTGGGGGCATACAAGCAGGCATCAACTCAGAGTAGCTTGTAAAGCCATGCGCGAAGTAGATACAGTCGAGATACCCACCTGCCAAACACCTACCTACCAGCGTCGCGCGAAAATGCCACGGCGATCCGAAAACCCACACAGATCGGCATCTTCCTCTTCCGCCGCCACACGCGCCACTTCCGACACCAACCCCCATGCCCCCCACCATCTTCATCCATCCATAACTCGCCATCCACAGCTCCAATCGATGCGAGGAAAGCACTGTAGGCATCCTTGCATGCAGGAGAACACAGCATGGGCGGCAATGTGGCGGAGTGGTTAACGCGATTGACTCGAAATCAATTTCCTTCGGGAGCACATGTTCGAATCATGTCATTGTCGGATCGGGAGGAGCGCGCGAGCGCAGCCTTGTCTTTTGGCTGCGGGAGGAGGAAGAGGGGGGGGAGGAGCAGGAGGAGCAGGCTGTGGTGGTCTGTAAAGGGTACTGGACGCCGGTGGGCATACTCGACGACAGGCAGTTGGATGCCTCGCGGCCAGCTCTCGAGGCACGCCGAGCTCTCGAGTGATGGGAGGAGAACGCTGCCAATGGCCCTGCTGCCAGCGTCAACGTCAGCTGACGTTGCGCTGGCAGCTGCCTGGATAGCGCCGCCATTGCATTGCCATGACCCAAAGGCCAAAGGGGAGAACAAGGGGCCGCAGACTCCTACCCGCGGCTGCCGTCACCGATACCGCCCCTCTGGCCGCTGGACGGGCGCCGCCGATCCATAACACTAGTGTCCGCGGTCTCCGTTGTACCGGTGTCCAGTACATATACCAGTGTCCACGCCCACATGCCATGGCGTTTGAAAAACGCACAGCTCTGTCTGGCACCGCGGCAGCCTCTGATGGCTGGACATGTTCGTTTTAGAGTTGTTTGGTGTATGTCTGGGACCAAACAACCTCACCACTTGCCAGCGGCCTGCGGCCTGCGGCCTGCGGGGACGGCTGCAGCGCGGAGTCGGTCGGTCGGTCGGTCCTGATCGAAAGCTTGTTTGGTGCAGCGAATCCGACCAGCACACGGGAACGAGTGTGTGTGTGTGTGCGTATCTGCTCCCCCTCGTTCCCAGTGGACTGCTGCTGCTGCCGCTGCTGCTACCGCTGCACGCGTGCGCGTGGCCACCACTTTCACTCGTGCTCGTTCGTGCTCGCTCGTGCTCGCTCCAGAGACCTTGTATTGTGCGCATGAAGGCCGTATTGACATGTCACACACCTATGGTTTACGTCGCGCCGATCGCGACTCGAGCAGGGTGTTGTTTGTCTACAAAATGGCTGTATAGAAAGCGTCCGTGACCCTGGAACCAAAGAAAACGAGAAATAAAGAAGAAAAAAAAATGTAAAGGGAAGAAAACGAGGTAGGAGGCTATAAGGGGGAGGGGAGGGGGAGGGGAGGGGAGGTGGGTTGGTATATAAAGGGGAAGAAGAAGAAAAAAAGTCCACGAGTCAAGTGGGTAGTCGGGGGGCATCTAGTCTACACCGGTACAAGCCTGTCCGCCGCGAGTGGTGGGCGGGTGGGCGGTGGGTTGGGGGTTTGGGGTTTGGGAGGATGGAACGCGGGGGCTGTGACTGCGCTCGTCTCCTGTTTACACGTTTGAGACGGTCAGGTCCCGGCGCACAGAGGCCTGCACAGATCCGTTGCTGTCCAGACGGCTGAGGGGGTTGTGCTGCTGCGGGGGCTGGTGGTCGTTCTCGTACCCGCCGTACGGGTCGTCGGCGTAGCTGAACCCTGGCTGCTGGGACGGGTGAGGGGCGGGCGCCATGCCAAACGCAGCGGCGGCCTGCTGGCCGTAGTAGTGCGCCGTGTCCGAGTGGCCCTCGGCGCTCATTTCGGGCACGGTCGAGAGACCCATGTCGGGCGAAGCGTAGACATGGGCAACGTCGTACTGGGGGTCACCGTACGAGTGGGAAAAGTCCGGGGCGGGGGCACCGTACTCGGGCATATGCTGCTGCTGCTGCTGCTGGTGCTGCTGCTGGTCAGGATAGGCGCCGGTGTATTGGCCATTGCTGTAGCCGTTGGTCGCAGCCTGGGCACCAAAGCCGGCCATCCCAGCCTGGGTGAAGGTTGACGAGCGGTCGCCACCGTCTTGGCCGTGAGGAGGCGCGTCCACGAGGTTGGCGGCGTATGTGTCGTATCCACCCGTGGGGTCCTCGTAGTCGTAGTGGCGGCCACCCATGCCCTCGGGTTCCTGGCCCTCGATGTCGTGGCTCGACTGCGACTGGTAGTAACCACCGTACTGCACCATGTGGTTGGGCTCGTCGTCGTCCTCGAAGCGCGGCTGGTGCTGCGCGGCGGCGGCGGCAGCGGCAGCGGCAACGTCGCGGTCAAGACGCTGGCGACGGCGACGGCGAAGCATGAAGAAGATGAACGCAGCGATACCCGCAGTCGCGACAAGACCGACCGCCACAAAAGTACCAGCCACCGCGCCAGTGTTCTCAAAGAATCCAGACGAGCCGCTCGACGACGACGAGCCAGAAACACCGGCCGTGCCAGTGCTGCCGACGACGCGGGTCACAGTGTACACCTTGCCATCAGTGCCGGTGGTAACAACGGTTTCCGAGCTGGCGCTCGTGCTGGCGGAGACCTGCGAGGGCACAACATTCGATGTGAGGGCCGACTCGGTGGTCGCGGCGGAAGTGACGCCAGCGGCCGATGTCGTGGCTGCGGCAGGGGTTGAAGAAGTGGAAGAGGGGAGAACGGCGGTTGAAGAAGAAGAAGAAGAGGCAGGCAAAGAAGACACGACAGACGAGGGGTTATCGGTCGAACTCGGGGCCACGCTGGTGCTTGCGGGCTCCGAGGTCCCCTGAGAAGTGGTCTGCTGCTGCTCTGAAGTGGTCGAAGGGGTCTCGGAAGTGGTCTGCTGCTGCTCTTGCGAGGTGGTCTGCTGCTGCTCTTGCGAGGTGGTCTGCTGCTGCTCCTGCGACGTCGTCACAGGCTGCTGGGACGTGGTGTCGGCCACAGAGGTGACCTCGGCAGCGCTGGTCGAAGGGTCGACGGCTGCAGACGTAGCAACAGCGGCAGCGGTAGACGCAGCGGCCGAATTAGCGTCGGACGACATGGCGATGGTGAGCGGGAGAGGGGGAGATGGTGATGGGGAGGATGAAGGAGGAGGAGGAGGGCAACGACGGATGTGATGGCCGTTGGGAGCAGGTCGGTGCGTGCGGCGTCACGAGGGGGGGAGGGCAAAACGGGGGACGCGCCAGGCGACCAAGCGGGGGGAGGGGTGAAGGAGCGATAAGGTGGGGGGTTGAACGAGTGTCGGGTTTTGTGTATGTGTGTGTGTTGAGAATCCAGTGTCAGCAAGCTGGTCACCAGGTAGAGGAGGGGAGGAGGACGAGCGAGAGACAGAGAAAGGAGAGAAACAAAGCACAAGAGCGAGCGTGGTGTGAGGATCTGTTGGGATGGACGAGGGAGAATGGGGGCGGTTGGGTGTTAGGGACGGAGACGACGGGACGTTTGGCCCTTTGGGTCGTCCCGTCCTTTACAACCTGCACTAAGGGGTACTTTGGCCCCCTCTCTCTCGACCAGCAGCCCACACCATATACGACGGCAAACGCTGTGCGCGCCTGCCATGCATGATGCGTGCTCGCCATCGATGCACACGTTCATTTCCTGTCTCCACCCCATGCAAGAAAGGACGTTTATACACGACCCGCCCGGCATCAAGGAACGCGCGACCATGGATCCCCCAAACAACCATGCTTGGTCGTTTCCCTCCTGGCCCAATGACTATTTCACGGCGGTAGAGTAGGCCAGCCATGGCCAGCCACAAGCAAAAGGCAATTATGTCCTACACCCAAGAGACTGCGCAGACTTGGGGTCTGTGTTTTTTTGGCTGCTGCGTTGTAGGGGGGGAGGGAGGGGGATGGGAGGGATGGGAGGTCTACGGCGCGTGCGTTTCCCTGGGTGGGAGTGTCTTGGACGAGGGACGCGTCGGTGTAGCAAAAGCTTATGTGTCGTTTGGGACTAGGACTCACAGGACATGTTTGGTTCCTACCGAGGACCGAGGAGGGGAGAAGGGGGGAGGGGGGGAGGGGGAGGAGGAGGGAGGGGAGGATTGTTGTTAAAAGAGTGACAAAGGGTGAGAGAATGAGTGAACGGATGGATGCGAGTGGATGCATGTGTGCACGGTGTGGGTCGCCTGACAGCAACGGACGACGAGAGCAGCGTCTGCTCTTGGCTCCCGGCTCCTCTGTCTCTGTACGGCGTGGGGTGGGCGGTGTGGGCTGGCTGGCTGGGGCTTGGGATGGTTTGAGGCGCACAGGCGCTGAGCGGGCCGCAGAAGCAAGGGGCCAAAGGCACGGTGGGTGGTGGGGGTAGGGTGGACAGATCCAGGCTTTTGAACGCAGACCAAGCTTTTGGACACGAGATCTGTCTCTCCAGTTGTAGAGTTATGGTTGGGGCATTAACACACACCCACACACACACACATGCAGACACGACGCGCCCAACATTATGCACAACTGCAACATATGAATTGGACAAAACCGGAAGGGATCTCATGTATAGATCTCTCTGTGGGGGTGTCTGTGTCCTATGGTTCATGCAAGTGGCTCTCTCTCTCTCTCAGTCATAACAGTGTTTCTGGGTCCTGGTCTGGGTCTTGCCAAGTAGCCCATATGGCCATATGTTACGAGCTGTGCATGTCGTGCCCGTCCACTGGCCACTGCATGGTTGTGGGAGTGGTTTGGTCTAGAACGGGCGAGAGGGCGCGCGGCCTATACAGCGCTGCTGTGGCTACAGGCGAGAGCACAGGGCGAGCACAGGGCGAGCACAGGCGCACAGGGTGCAGGCAGGACAAAGCTTTTCTCTTTTTTTTTTCGCGCGGCTGGGGTCTAAAGCTTTGTCGTCGTTTTGGCGCCTGAAATGGTCCGGGAGCCACCAAAAGGGACGGCCCAGGGCGATGCAAGCTGCAAGCGATGGGCCGCCGCCCTTGCCGGACCGTGCCGGGGGGGGTAACACACCCACACAACCACACTGAAGGTTGGCCTGTTGGCGGCATTTCCGGAAAATACGTGTGGCAACGCACGGGCAGTGGGACGCATCTCCGTGTTTCTGCATTCTGCTCGTATGACACGACTTTCTTTTTGTATCTTGCCCCGTACAGTACCGCTTCCCAGGAACCGGCATGGTAAAGAGACTTATGTACTTTACACTGAATCTCGCTGCGCAGGACAGGAGAGAGGGTAATGAGGATCTCTTGCGCGAGTTCCGGCAGTATCGATTCCTGGTTACGTGACTGGTCGTTGGTGTGGTTGACCTCTCTAGCAGCTGTTGGGAACAGCAGCGCTTTTCTGAAACTCGAAAACATCCCACGACGCGACGCGACAAAGCGTGAACATGGCGGCCTGGCGGCTCTCACACATTTACTGGCCACTGGGGCCACTGGATTACTGTATCAATTTTATGTAGCTTCACTCGGCATCGATGGTCCATTCACAAGAGTATCGCACACAAACACTGAACAGGTGCGCAGTTTGTATGGCGTCTAATGGCCACGATCAGTTTGGGTTCACAGCTTCAATTGATGTTTTGAATGTCCTTTGTCAAATGTAACTGGGGACCAGTCTTCTTATCCAGGACCAAGCGTTCGTTTCGGTCTTGGTAACGCAAGTGACCATGCAGCTCACTCCCGGAAGCACAAAGGTGGTGCGTTGACGGAGGACCGTTTGCCACCTCCATTAGCGATTGGACCCATTGGGCCATTCCATTGACCCAATTACTGGTCCGCCCACAGCCGACGTCACCGCAATTTGATTTCGGCGGACGGATTAATTACAGTTCCTTAATGCGATTAGTACGGAAAGGGCCATCCATCAGTGATCAGTTTCCATGGCCCTCGTTTTTACACGACCGTTTACGCACCGCATTTTCCATGCATGCCATACGGTACTCTTGCACGCAGGTACACAGACGCGTACGCAACACGGGCGCCGAGAGACGCTGGACGCTTTCGCGGTCTGCCAAGCCCCCGGCGACGACCTTGTAGCGGTTTTGAGTGCTGCCGACGAGGCCGAGGCTGTCGCGTCGATCGGGCCCCGACGACCCATTTCGTCATCTCCGCCCGCCAACCGTCGTCCCGCTCTGGCGCGTGTATCGTACGTAACCAGCCAACCCGAACAAATCCACCGTTAACCGTTCTTTCCACTTGGCAACTTCGCAACTTGTCTCTCCCTTTTTTCGCTTTCGTTCTTTTGTTCTATACCACACCCCGCACGCAACGCACCATGGCCAACACTGTCACCGAGACGATTGAGAAGGGCACCCAGGAGGTCAAGCACGCCGGCCAGGCCGTGACCAACGAGGTCAAGGCCGAGGTCCAGACCGCCGTGAACAAGGACGGTACGTGTTGAGTGGGGCCAAGGAGGTGTTCCAGCGTCCAGCGTCAACGAGGAGATGCTCGCCGGTTGCTGCAATCAGTGGGATGCACGCAGGCAGCAGCTGCAGCGGACGTTGTGTGGAACCACATACACGACGCGACGAGACGCGACGCCACCCCCCCACACACACAATGTTCCACTCCTGTCCTCCAGGCGACTAACCACCGTCCACAGTCGATTCGACCGACACCAACCTCCGTTACGCCGCCTACCTCCGTCGTATCCGTGACGTGAGTACTGCACAGAGGCCAATTCCAAAGCCTGGTGGCATGAGTGGAGCGCTGACCAGGCGATAGATTGCGCGCGCCGGTAGCCGTTACACTGCGTACAGTGAGTCTTGAGGCGCTGACCTGAAGAAGAAGAGGGAGCGGGAGACGAGATGACGGTGCTGACGGTGTAGCTTCGGATATTGGCGAGGCATTCCGTCCTGTTGTTCCCCCTTACCTTGGTGAGTTTACGAGCGGGATGGCTTGCTGGGTGCGCCGAGCGTAGATGAAGAGCTCGTTGAGTCTGGCCTTATGGGTATCTGCCATCTCGTCAGGTGGAGCTACAATATTGGTACATCATCGCGAAGCTCATTGCCTGGCGGGAGGTCTCTTTATTGGGCAGGCTGTCTTCGATGAGGGAGCCCGCCTCATCGTTGAGACGACTTTCGTCCCAGCTGCGTCTCAACCGGCGCAGCTGGCAACCCCTCCACCACTCTCTACTCCCACACGAGCACCCGCTAACCGCGTCAGTCACCGCCGCATACGGTGTCTCGTGGGCCTACCTCATCGGCGACGTCGCCTTCACGACCTACAAGGCCAAGGAGGCGGGCCCCACGCCCATCGAGGCGGCCAACTTCTCCGAGCCCACCCGACTGACCATGGTGGCCGTCAAGCGTTCCGTCTTCCAGTCGGTCGCGTCCATGGCCCTGCCCGCATTCACGATCCACACGGCCGTCCGCCAGGCGTCCAAGATGGTGGCAAAGTCGAGCAACATCACCCTCAAGCGGTGGGGTCCCACCGCTGTCGGCATCTCCATCGTGCCGGCGCTTCCGTTCCTCTTCGACCACCCGGTGAGTACGCGTGCATGTGGGAACTGGGAGGGGGGGGGGGGAGGGGAAAGCTGGAAGCTTGTGGCTAGGCGTGCAGGTGACCAAAACGAAGGGACCACCTGCGTGCAACGAGCGGTCCGCATGTTCCCGCGCATCCCTCCCTTCATCTCCCCCGTCGCAAGGGCAACGCGCTGACTCCCTTCCCAGGTCGAGATTGCCGTCGACTCGATCTTCGACAAGATCGAGGAGGCGCTCGAGAAGAAGCCTGCGGGAGGCGCGGCAGCACCTCCCGCAGGAAAGACCGAGCTCTAAGGCTGTATACCAGGCCTAGGTTTGATCAATATATGCAAAAACACAATATAGAACAGATATCATGCCGGGGATGGCAGCACAACGCAACGGCATCGGCAGTACCAACAACAACAGCAGCAATAACAACAACGGGCGGGGGTGTACGGCCAGTGGGCGTGGTGGTTACGGCATGGTCTTGCTCCTCTTCATGGTCTGGCGCTTGGAGAAGAATGCCGGACGGGGCACGCGGATTGCAGAGACGGTGATCTGTGGCGGCCTGGCAAAAGGAAGTCAGCCCCTCGTGCCGTGTCGTGTCCCTCGCAACCCGCAACGAGCCAACATACGGTGCGAGCAGCCTACTAGGCGTCCAAGGTGACGCCGAGGGTGTACCGCCGGTACTGGGGTCGGTACGGCGCTGCTTATTTGGCGACGAGGTCTTGTTCCAGGCCTTGGGCTTTACGTTCGCGCAGGTACATTGCGCACTGCACGCCTCGGACGACGCCGGCAGCGCGAGCGGGGAGGGCACGGCAAACGTGCTGCGCTTGTAGGTGGTGCGCGGGGGTGTGACGGGCGTGCCGAGGGCTGTCAGGAAGGGAGGTGTCAGCGCTACGGTAAAGAGAGTGGACGAGGGTACGGCTCACTCTTCTTGGACGCCATTGTGGCAGGTTGCAGGTTGGGTGAGGACGTACAAAATCGAGCGACGCGGCATCCCCTTTTTCAACCTGCGTTGTCGCGCACGCCGTTGCTGGGGTGGAGCATAGCAAGTGGTCAGTGTGTCTGGCCGGAACAGCCTGGTCCATCTCTCCTCTGGCTCGTGCAGTGTGCGCAGTGTGCATGTATCATGCATATAGATGGGCCACTCCCTTCAACGACCGCATGTGCCACACGCGCCAATCCCCGAGAGACGCATGGCCAAAAAATACTTCCGCCCACCGCTCGCGCCTGCCCTCGCCGTCGCCCCCCCGCTGCGTGCGCCCAAATACTTCCCAACAAAACGATCCCTCCTTCTTCTTCCTCACCAAGCACCACGAACCGCTATCGCAGCACACGTACGGCACCCTCGCAAGAGCGGCGCTCCCTTACGCTGTGGGTAAAGTCCCCGGAGCCTCCCTCCCGTCGTCCTCAACACTCGCTCCGGCCCAGACACACACTCTCTCTCTTGCGGGTGTGTGTCTGGTGGAAAGCACTGTTCAGCCGGCAAGCGGCAAGTCTGCGCTGGGCGCAGTGAGCCATCGCTTTTTGGTGGACCATTTTTCTTATTTGGGCCTCGGCGATGGCGGGACGACGGACCACCCCGCGACACCTGTGACCGGAACCGGCGAAGATACGAGCCGCGGTCGGGCTAGCTGGCTGGTTTTATGGGGACGAAGCGCGCTCATAGAAGGTCATGTTCACCAAAGTTATGCGGTTGCCCCGGTCCTCCACAGCACTTCGCAAGAAGGCGTTGTGGGTTCTTTTGGCGGGGTTACTCGATGGGGCTTACTCTGGCGCTTGGCACCCCCCTTTCTTTTCCTCTCCCTCCTGGTCGACCTTGAGCGCCAGGAGGTGCACGAGAAAGGGCCATTCTTTCCCTCTCTCCCTCCATCCCACTCTCTCCTCCCTTCACCCTCCCCTCCCCTCCCCACCCCACCCCACCCCCATCACACACACCACAACCCACCTGTCCTAGCGGACTTGGTCGAGAAAACCACCCTATGATGCTTGAATTTCTTCAACGCTAACCGAATGTGCACCAGGCGCGGGTGACACCGTCGCTGTTTATCGCCGTCGGTAAAGACGATAAAAACACCTGAGGGTTTCTCTCTTCTCCCCTTTCCTCACACTCTACCCCAACTCTCTCTCTCTCTCTCTGTCTCTCTCTCCCTCTCTCCCCCCCTCGCTCTCCTCTCCTTCCCCTATCTACTCACTCTCACCACCACCATCCTGTTCATTCCTATGCACTGCATTGATGGCTACCAAAATATAAAATGAGAATCGGGAAACACGAAAGAAAACGTAGTTGGTCTAAACTAATGTGGCGTGTGGCAGAAGGGAGGAAGAGCTATGCGCCAGCTCTCGTCGTACTCAGCACGCGGGGTTGGGAATGTGGCTGCGACGATGGTTCTGCGTTCAGGCAGCGACAGCTGCCTCCAATATCGATCTCGACGTCTAGAACAGCTTGTGGCCGATCCGCGCGCCGGGCGTGGTTCCCGGCGGGCCCTGTGAGATGACCAGGTCACGGACGGTACCCTGCGGCTCGTCAGCGAACAGAACAGGATCCCATGGAGGACAGACATGCACAGACAAGAGCTGCTAGCGTCCTCTGCTTTCGACTCGCAGCTCTCTCCCTCATTCTACTCACATTCTCAAGCTGGTACACCCACCCGTGCACCGTCACGCCGTTCTTGCCCCTCCGCTTCCAGTCGTCCTGGACCACCTGCGAATGGAGCAAGTTGCGGACCTGCTGCGCGACGTTCTCCTCCACCAGCAGGTCGAGGGAGGGCGGGCCGTCCTCGGTCGCCATGGCGCGGGCCAGGGCCGTCAGCGGCTTGAGGTAGCGCTGGATCGCCTGGGTCTCGGGTACGGGCGGCAAAGCAGACGCGCGCAGTGCTGTCTGGCAGCCAACGCAGTTGGAGTGGCCCTGGAGAATGGTGGTCAGCAGCGGGAAATGGCAAACAGTGGCAGTGGCAGTGGCAGTGGCTAGCTGGAGCGGGTTCAAGTACCTCGTAGCTATTCGTGCGCTTCTGCCACAGAGTTACTCACACAGACGATAATGTGCTTGACTTTGAAGTTGATGAGCGCAATCATCATGGCGGCATTCAGGCTGTCGTCCTGGGGCGAGTACAGGCTGGCTCGTCAGTTCGAGAGTTCGCGTCTGGTGTCCATCGCAACATCCCCTCGTCCTCGTCACACCATCTCGGCCACAAGGCCGGTCGAGCCCTGGGGTCTCGGAGAGTCAAGAGAGAGTTCTCAACTCTCACCACCGTGCCAAGACCTCCCAAGTGACGCCGCGCCGCCCGGCGGGCGCGTGCAGACCACAGACCACGCAGACGAGAAACGGGGGTACTGCCGCGGACTGAACGTTGCTCGCCACGCTGGCCTGTGCGCGCCACTGTAGTCCAGATCGTAGAACCTGCCTGGTTCCAGCAGAGGGCAGTCACGTTCCCACCGGCGCTCACATGACTGGCGCGCATCGCCGACATCCGAGACAGCCGGTAGACGATTTCGACGTTGCAAAGTTCGGTGACGGCGGGCCGACGAGGCCACAACCACCACCACCGCTGTACTGTTTCTCCTTGCACACTCACTTTGCGATGCCGCGGTGCACGAAGATGTCTCCGGGCTGCGATCCGAGGATGGTCGTCTCTGGGACGCGCGCGTCCGAGCATCCGATCCAGAGGATTTCGGGGCGCTGGCCCGGGTAGTGGCGCGGGAAGAAGCTGGGATCGAGTCAGTATATGTGGCTTTGCTGTCCGTCTCGTCTCGCCTCGTCTCGTCTGTTCTCATCTCGTCGTGTCTGACGTTCGTTCCCATGATGTAATGCCCGACGCCCGACGCCGTGTACCAGTGTACCAGGTTACCAGTGTACCGAGTACGCTCTCGACTCGTCGTCGTCCGCGACGCCGTCACCGGCACGTCGTCTCATCTCATCGCGACGGTACGAGCTCGGAGCTCGGAGCGCAGGCACCCACAACCGTGCAGGCTCGGTGTGTCCTGGCCAGCTGGCTGTCTGCCTGGACGGGGTCTGAAGAGGGTATGCGGCCGCCCGACGCCGCACGTCGACTCCCAGGCAACCCCGCAGTCGACGTCCATTGTCCGTCATCGACCAAGGACGGCGGCGGGAGTCATGGAAGCCTGCGTAACAGAGACTCGGCCCAGCGGGCTCTGCGGTAGCAGGACATGGCAGCTGAACTGCAGATTGTACTCACCCAGGGTCTGCACTGGCGACACGCTTTGCCCAGCGGTCGTTACGGACCATGAGCTCATTGAGCTCGGGATACAAGGACGACTGGTGACGCTCGGACGGCTCGGCGTCGCTGGTCTGGGCATGGTCCTTGCCGCGGATGGCTTTGAGAAGGCCCATGGTTGGAAGGGGGGTTGGGAGGCGGTGGTGTACGTGGAGAGGGACAGCTAGGACGTGGGTGATCAGATAATCACGGTCGTGGTGTCGTAATCTCGAAAAGTTCGACGCGGTGTGTGTTCGGGAGAGTCGGTCAGGTTTCTGGGTGTGGGGGGGGGCAGAGTGTTAGGTGCTAGGTACTGGGTGTGGTGTGCTAGGACCTGCTCGCTCGGCAGGTCTCGGCTGCTATATACAGGCATCGCTGTATGCAGCACGCTGCACCGAAACCCAGGTCCACAGTAGAGGGCCCGGTGAACCGGAGATCGAGAGACAGTTCAGGTAAATGGGCTCTGGGGCCATAAGCCGCACCCACAACCGCCGTGCATCCGAGCCCGGAAAAAAATACGCCACACCCGCCGGGGCCACGAACAGGGTGAGAGGGACGACACATCTCCTTGGATCCTTGGGTCGTTGGGCCACCCGGGCTTGCCTTGGCAGGTTGGACCGCAGCCCGAGTTGGGCATGCAATGGCAGGGGAGATCATGCGCGTCTTGGAACTGCTCGCCGTGGGCGAGTCAGCGTCGTTCCCAACTGAGCTGGAACGATGGCTTTTTGTGGCGATCGAAACCGGCACCCGTCCCAGTTCAGAAACACATTCCAGTCAGCCCTCCACGCAGGTTCATTGGGCGTCGCTCACGACCGTCGTCGTCTCCCCTACAAGAAACACCGCAAATCCAACTGGCACCCGCGGCATGTCTTGAATGTCTGCGGTGGCAAGATCCTGTGTCTGAAGTTTCTGTTCTCCTTCACCTCCTTCTCCTGGTAACAACGCCAGGACCCAGCAACCGTGTCAACGACGACCCTGCATTTCAGCCCTGCGTTTGTGGCGCGACGGCGTCCAGGCTGTATCGGTATCTGATCTTGCGCACTTTCCTGGTTAGGCCGGGCATGGGACGTCCCAAAGGTCCAAAGGCTGGTTAGTATTGGTGTTGCGATATGTGCCAACAAGCAAGGGACGCAGGATGGGGCTTTGAGGGGGGTTCGGGTGTGCCACGTTTGAGCGTGCGCTGTTGGCCGTTGGGAAGTGGCCTTTGTCGTACCGTGTGCATACAAGAGTGAGCATCCAGGATACTCCGACTGCGTTGCAGATCAGGAATATTTCGTGAACGGTTGCAGGAGATCAGCCTGATGAGGGAGGCAAGGAGGCACCGGAGGCACATTGGACAGACGTTCATATCCTCGCTTCTGTGAACATACGGTGAGGCTCTCTTGGAAAACAGCGATGCGCCCTTGGCGCGGCGAGTGGACGGGCACGGTAAAAGACCTTATGGACGTGTTCTACGACGTCACTTGGCTATGTTGGAGAGGAGACAAGGACCAGACACACAAACTTATTGTGAATCGATAGAGGAGACAATAGAGTCGTTTGAGGACCCGGAGCACAGAGTGCAGGGCCAGCATCGGGGGTTGCCGGAATGCTGTACCTTTTCATTTAGACGCAGTCTGTTCCAGGAGCTTGACATGGCCCTGCTCCGCGCAATTGCATGTGCAACGTGGTTGTGTAGCGCCTGGCACAGGTGAAGCTACGTTTGCGTGCGAGGCGAAGAAAAAAAGTCCAACGCCTGTCTCACAAAATGGTGGTTTGTGGTGGACGGAGGTACCGGATCGCCGGTGCGCAGTGGTTCGGGTCCGTGGCGCCACAGGGTGCTCGATCGGCCTTGGGACCTTACTCAGCCGCGTCGACGTGCACGCCGAACGCGTTAGTGGCCAGAGGAGTGATGGTTCTCTAACGGGGCAGGTCTGCAGGTCTGCTACCACCCGCCAATCTATCAGGTGTCGGCTGTGAAACATATCTTGGAGTTGTCACCAGCAAAGTGGCACGCCGCCGGCCGCCGGCGGTGGTCAAGTCACGCGGAGGCTCCTCGCAGCTGATATCTGTCCCATCTCTACCGGCTGTAGTGCCATCCCCTCCTGGCCGCCGTTGAGATGTGGTAATCACCGGTGAGCGCTGAGAGTAAGGATGTGTGCCCGCCGTTTAGAAGGGAGCTGCGGTTCAGTCCCTGTTTGTCCGTGAGGCCACGGATGAGGGCGAGGGCGGACGACAGTAGACGTTCACGGGTATGGTCACAATAGCAACGATAATGTGTAGGCGTCATTCAGCAACGCTTTCTAGCAGCCGGACTGCGATACAGATCAGCAGGGTGCAGACTACGACCGAAATGAAAGTGCCACACCCACTCAAATCCTTTTTGAATACCAATTCCCCGCCCACCCTCATCACGTTTACACCCATTCCTCGACATCTGCAAGCATAACATGGCCCTGGTTTTGCATGGGGTATATAGAAGAAGCAGCCCTGCAGTATTGTGTGTATTGCTCTCCCGCTGGCGTGATTGTTCCAATGCAACCCCACTGAGTATGCCGGTTGTCTATGTAACGGGGTAGTGTCAGCAACACGGCCCTTGTTCTTGTCCTATTCCCCCTATTCCACTTCTAAGCCATCTTTGCGCAGCCCGGACAGTTGTTCCCTGGGATAATCCTTGGGATAAGCTCAATTTCCAATGTGTTTTCCACTATTTACACCTACCACTTTGTCAGATGTCATCATGGGGATATAGCGAAGTGGTATCGCGTTTCATTTGCAATGTCGCTTCGACAAAAGCACCTTGAAAAGATCCTGGGTTCAATCCCCAGTGTCTCCATGCTTTTAAGCAGCTCACGAAGCTGTGTCTGACCTTTTTGCATGTGGTTTGGTGCAAGAAGCTCTCAAAAATCAGTTGTGGATGTGTAGGAGGCAGGAAAAATGGCCCGGAGGTTTATTGTCCGGTGGCTCTGTGGCAATTCATCTTGCAAGAAATTTTCCAGTGTCGCCAGAAGCAGCTGGAGCACATGAGGTGCGCCTTTTATGCATGGCAGGTCCAAGAAGGGAGCCATGGGGTGAGGTAGATCGTCAAATGTTGAAGATGTGGACATGAAGTATATTTCCCCGTGACGGTTACGTTGCAAGAGAACGTCTCTCTATGAAGATGTCTTTAGCCGCTTCGTGGACAGCTATAGCAATTTTAACACATTCTGGGATGGGTACTTGAGGACCGTTTGCGAGGAATTGTGCCATGCACTTGACACTGAAGGTCCGACAGTTGATGCTCCATAAAGATTAAATTTGCCACAATGGATCTGCCTTTTGGGGTACTGTGGCGGCGCGAAAGGCTTTAAAGCATCTATTGAACACAGGCCAGAGCAACGCTAGGCAACCTCAAAGCATAGGTGCGCTTTAACAATCTGACCAGTTGCGCTGCATGCGTTTGTGGCATCGTCTGACAAGAAAGGAGGCATTAGGATTATATCATATCATCGGTGTTTTGTAATCACCGGTGTCACCCCACGGGTTGACCTCCACTTTTGCGTCGGATATCAACATTCGCAAACCCGACTTTGATTCACCATCGCACCAACCATGTCCGCTTCGCCCGAGTTCAGTGTCAAGGTCTCAACGACTGCCGAGGACAAGGCCGAGTGCCAGAGGGTCCGCATCGAGGGTAAGTGTGTTGCTACCGAGCAGTTGTGGTATCCCGCCTTTGACTGTTGCTGACCACTGCAGTCTTTGTGGACGAGCAGGTGGGACGACTTGGCATCATTCCACAACGCTAACAACAGGGGTTCTCAAAAGAGGATGAGCTCGACGAGTGTGTACAGCTGCTGGGGATCGTATTTCACGTCAGCTGACCTCCAGGATCGACGCGACTGGGGCACACGTCTCTTTCCTTGTGTGCAACGCCGAGGGCAAGGCCGTCGGCACGGTCCGCCTCGTCGCCCTCCCTACCAAGGTCAAGCTTACACGCTTGGCAATCGAGAAGGACTATCGCAAGTACGGTCTTGGACGGGTTCTCGTGCGCGCCTTGGAAGAGTTTGTGGCCAACAACTCGACGAGGGAGGACTTTGCTCCTCACGTCAAGGAGGTGGACGGCAAGAAGGTCATTACAGTCAAGATCCACAGCCAGGTGAGTACCCTTGGTGGCCGTGGAGCTCACTGTAGATTCCCGTAATCAAGTTCTACGGAAAGCTCGGCTACGTCGAGGTTGGGGAGCGCTTTGACGAGGATGGCGAGCCGCACCAGGCCATGGTCCAGGACATTGAGGTCGTCGCTTAGATGTATATACATGACATGCTGCTTTCACCGACTGTTATGCGCAAAGTACGCTACAGATCAGTCCAGTCCATCGGTGCAGCAAGAAACGTTTAGACAAGAAATAACATGTGGACAACAATGAATCAGATATAATAATAAAGTAGTCTCAAAGCACCCCTCTTTGGAGGAACTATTCGAAGTGAGCTGAGTAGTTTATCTTCATTTAGATGTTGTCCACAACTGCCATTATCGACCAGACATCTATTCAGGATTCCAACGTTGACACACAAACAGCTGAGTTCAAGTCAGCACGACATTCTCTCATAACAAGGAGTGAATGTGGGTTGTTGAGATCAGAAAACGATGAATCACCTACTCCTCCTCCCCGCCTACTTTTGTACACGAGGCGTTTAGGGGTTTCCCCCAAGGGACTTGGATGCTGTCCGCCCATCGAAAGTTTCATCCCGGTGATGGAGAAAAGTGGAAATGGAGGGAAAGGCTCACCTTTACAATGGCAGATACACGCACGGTTCTTGCTAATACATGGTTGTCAAGTTCTGTTTACTATTTCCGTCAGCGTCTGTTCAAAAACGACATTTGAGGGGAAAGTGTGCGCTCAGCCAAGGCTGAAATTGTCTCGTCAATCGCCCCGAAGGGGTTACGAATGAGGTAAAGTATGGTAATTTCTTTGATCGTCATAGCGCGAGGGAAAGATGGTTGGGAAGTTTCGGGTACTCACTCAGTGATACAAAGAAGGAAAGACGCCAAAAGTGCCAGAAGCATTGACGCGTCAGAAGCTAAGAATTCTGTCAGCATGCACGTTTCCACATGGAAAAGGATCGCGATGGACTCGAGCGGTGTCAGGTCATGTGTAAAGATAGTCCTCAAGCGATTCCGGTCCTACCCGGCGCTTGCATGTTGCCCGCCAAACCTAGCTAAGAGGTTCGACGTGCGCGACGCTTAGGAGTTGGATTGTAATGCTCATCAAGCATGCGCTAAGAGGGAGACGACGGGGGGCAGGGATGACTTACCTGTTAGTGTGGTCTATCGAACCATCTGTGGATGTACTGTGGAGGCACAGACAAAGAGAGATGCCTCGTAACTGGTGTGATAGAGAAGAGTGGGGAAGAAGCAAGGACGCTGTGCCAGAAGCAAGATAAAGTAGACACCAAAGTTGGGTGCGAGCAAAAAGTCAACGGTGCGAGCGTTTGGCGGGTGATAAGGCTGCAATAACAATGACGTGTATCTGCATTCTGTGATTTTGATTCCGCGCCGCGGTTGAGTTCTGTCGACGTCACGGAGCGGGGCGGGGCCAGTGATGTGTGGGTGCGCGCACGCTGACGGTGTTCTCAAAGAAGTCTGAGCCGGTTCTCTCTCTCGTTTTGCCCAGTAATCCACTCCAGACGGCCCCTTGCATCGACAATGCCGTCCTTTACTCAGAAGAACATGTTCGACCTCCTCGACGTCGAGGAGGCTGAGGACTATGACGAGGTCGACGTCGAAGAGTAAGTCCCCCACGGTCTTTGACCAAATATAAGACGCCAGCGAGATTTCGGACCTTCGTGGTGGCCACTCGTAGTCTTCGGCACATCCGGCTCGGAGGCCATCCGGCTTGTTGGCCACCTACACACACACATCCTATCTGTATCACTAACACCTTTAGGCCCGTTGAGGAGACCACCGATGCCTCGCCGGCCCCTTTGTCCAAGGGAGCCAAGAAGCGTGCCGCAAAGGCTGCGCGTGCTGCCGCGGCCGCCGAGGAAACAAAGGCGGCCCCCGACGTTCCCAAGGTCGTCGAGCAACCCACCTCCAACGGCAAGAAGGCCAACGGCTCGTCGGCTTCGGAGGAGCCTGCATCTGCTCCTTCGGTGCCCAAGCCTGCGGCTCCTGCCGTCGCCGCCGCCAAGCCCGAGACGAAGCTTGATGTTCCCGAGGCCGCGCCGGTCTCTCCCCCTTCCCCCTCGCCGACCCTCCCGTCGTCAGCCTTCAAGCCTGTGCTTCCCGACGACCTCCCCCATCCTTCGAGCCATGAGCTTCCTGCCAACCGCAAGCGCAAGACGCCTCAGGACTTTGCGCCTAACGGCCCCAACTCGCTGACGCCCACGAGCCCAAACAAGAACTCGGTCAAGTTTGAGGACGGCGTCGTTCCCGGTGAGGGCCGTGAGGGCGAGAAGACCATCACAAAGACCAAGGCCGACGCAGCCCCCAAGGTGGAGCCCAAGCACGGCAACGCCGCTACCCGCACGATCTGGACGTTCATCATGATCTTCGGGTTCATCAGTACGTACGAGGAAACAGATGGTGCGGATCCCTCAACATGAACTGACGGCATCCACAGCCTTGCTTTGCATGGGCCACCCTTACATGATTGTCCTTGTCCTGTTGTGTCAGTCGCTCGTCTACAAGGAGATCACCGCCCTCTTTGACCTGCGCGACAATGGCTCCAACCCCATCAACCGCGACGACCAGTGGAACAAGACGCTCAACTGGTACTTCTTTGTCGTCACCAACTACTTCCTTTACGGCGAGTCGATTATCTACTACTTCAAGCACATTGTGTTTGTCGACGCCTACTTTATCCCCTTCGCCAAGAACCACCGCTTCATCTCCTTTATGCTCTACGTCGTCGGCTTTGTTGGCTTCGTCTCCAACCTCAAGCGCGAGTACCTTCGCCAGCAGTTTGCCCTCTTCTGCTGGGTCCACATCACACTCCTTCTTGTGGTCGTTTCGTCCCACTTCATTGTCAACAACATTCTCGAGGGCCTCATCTGGTTCTTCATCCCCGCCTCGCTCGTCATCAACAACGACGTCATGGCTTACGTTTGCGGCAAGCTCTTTGGCCGTACTCCTCTTCTCAAGCTTAGCCCCAAGAAGACCGTCGAGGGCTTTGTCGGCGCTTTCATCCTTACCCTCATTTTCTCGGTCGCTTGGGGTACTTTCTGGCAGCAGTTCAACTACATGATCTGCCCCGCCCACGATCTTGGCGTCAACGCCTTCTCCGACATTCAGTGCCGCAAGAACCCCGTGTTCGTCTGGACCGAGTTCTTCTTCAGCGGCGCCGTTGGCGAGCTTATCAAGACTGTCACCGGCAGGGAGTCGATCTGGTACACTCCCTTCCAGCTCCACTGCCTCGTCATGGCCACTTTTGCCTCGCTCGTTGCGCCCTTCGGCGGCTTCTTCGCCTCGGGATTCAAGCGCGCCTTCAACATCAAGGACTTTGGAGACTCGATCCCCGGCCACGGTGGCATGACCGACCGCATGGACTGCCAGTTCATGATGGGTCTCTTCGCCTACGTCTACTACTCGTCCCAGATCCGCGTGCAATACGTCACCGTCGGCTCCATTCTCCAGACCGCCGTCGTGTCCCTTACGCTTGACGACCAGGTCGAGCTCGCCCGCGACCTCATCACGTTCCTCAAGGGCCAGGGCGTGAAGGTGTAGGTGGCAGGAGCTATGGTTGTTTAAAAGTACAACGAGAGAGAGAGTGAAGGTCCTCTCGCCAAGCTCGAATCTCGCGTTCACCCGCGATAAAAAGAGAGAAAGTGGGTTGGAACACCACCCGCTTTCGGGGGGAGGGGGATCTGATTATGTCTGGGCCTCTACTGCCCAGCAGCGCTTAGAGTGCACGAAAACTCGTGGATAATCGCCCACTGCACGGGGCTAATATAGCGCGAATATGCATACATGATGGCATTGCCTCAAGAGAGCAAACGTTCAACGCGTGAAGCAGAGCAACGAACCGCGTACGTCGACTGATATCTCGGGTGTAGACACGGTGAGACAAGCCAAGCGGAATATTGCAGCCAGCATGAGAGATACACGGGTTGCACCTCAGCGGGAAATCCCTTCCAGTGGCCAACGGGTGGCAGTCGCCGCCTTAGACATATCCACAGCCGGCGGCCGACGGAGATGGACGCGGAGATGGACACGGAGATGGACGCGGAGTGACGAAAGGGTGTGGACATGTGTCGTGCCGCGTATGCAGTAGATGCAAAACATGCGTCAGCCTCAAGAGACCACCCAAGAATCACCACGCACCAGCCTCTGCAGGGCGTAAGTTGGTTTGAGCTCTGACCGGTACAGCACGGCCGGCTGCACACCGCATGCCAAACTGGCTGTCGATCCCCAAGAGAGAGGCCGTGATCTGCATCGTTTACTCCAAGGCAGCAATTGTGCTAGCTTTCACCATGCCCAGCAGGGGCAGCTTGCACCGTGCCACCACCACCACTCACTGGTGGTCTCTGACGCGGCATGCATTTGAACTCCAAGCCGTTGCATGACCACGGCCGAACATGTGTTTTGGGACCCGGGTGTCGCCGACGGCCGGTGCATGGCTGGGGGAACGTCGCCCCCGTATAACAAGATGCCGGATGCCGAACGACTCGGAGTTGCCCGGTTGCCGGTTACTTCGAGAGCGCTCGTCATGGGGGTCCCACGAAAACGCGCGCTTGGAAGGACGAGCCCACATTGCACGCTCTCGCTTCTTCTTAATTAGTTCAACTTGTATCCACACTCTCCATCTCCAATCCTTCTCCCCTTTCCTGCCATCTACGCCGACATGCCTCTCGACTTCAAGGACCTCGTGGTTATCATTACTGGTGGTGGCGGTGGCCTCGGCCGCTCGTGAGTGGTCTGAACAGGTCTCGGATCGCATAGAGCTCCCCCCATCGCTGACATGTACACAGCTACGCACACATGTACGGCCGTGGTGGTGCCAAGGTTGTCGTCAACGATGTCTCAGCTGAGAATGCCCAAAAGGTCGTCAACGAGGTCACCTCTGCCGGCGGCAAGGCCATTGCCGCCGTCGGCTCGGTCCTCGAGGGCCAGAAGATTGTCGACCAGGCCGTCAAGGCGTTTGGCACTGTCCACGTCCTGATCAACAATGCCGGTATCCTGCGTGACAAGTCGTTCCGCAACATGACCCAGGCCGAGTTTGACGCCGTCTACGACATTCACGTCCAGGGCGCCTACGCCATGACCCGTGCCGTCTGGCCCATCTTCCGTGCCCAGAAGTTTGGCCGTATCGTCAACACGTCGTCCCCCGCTGGTGTCTATGGAAACGGCGGTCAGACCAACTACTCGGGTGCCAAGCACGCTCTCATCATCTTCTCGCAGGTCCTTGACAAGGAGGGTGTCAAGTACAACATCAAGGCCAACACTATTGCCCCCGTAGGTAGAGCCGTGTCTCCTACAAGTAGCCTTTTATTGACAGCTCTCAGATTGCCGCATCTGCCATGACCGAGACCGTCATGACCAAGGAGGTTCTCTCCCACTTTGACGCCGACCACGTCGCGCCCCTCATCGGCGTGCTTACTGCTCGCAACGGCCCTGACGTTGGCGGTCGTCTCTTTGAGGTGGGAGCCGGTTTCTACGCCGAGACCCGCTGGCAGCAGTCCGAGGGCTATGTGTGGAAGGCCGACGACTCGTTCACACCTTCGGCCGTGGACCTCATGTGGCCCAAGGTCAAGGACTTCTCCAAGAACGTCACCCTTCCCTCCCAGAGCGATGGCGCCCGCATGATGGAGATTGTCGGTCTCCAGCCCAAGCTCCCGCCCAACCCCCAGGGACCTCCTCCCGCCAGCTCGTTCAAGGGCTACACCGTCATCATCACCGGTGCAGGCGCCGGTCTTGGCGCGTCGTACGCCCGCTACTTTGCCCGCTTCGGTGGTAACGTCGTCGTCAACGACATCAACGCCAAGGCGGCCAACGCCATCGTCGACGAGGTCAACAAGCTCGGCGGTGTCGGTCTTGCCGCTGTCGGTTCGGTCGAGGAGGACGCCGACGCCATTGTCGCGGCCACTGTGGCCAAGTTTGGTACTGTTCACGCCCTCATCAACAACGCCGGTATCCTGCGCGACAAGGCTTTTGTCAACATGACCCCCGAGCTCTTCACCCCTCTCTTCAACATTCACGTTCGTGGAAGCTGGAAGATGGCCAAGGCCGTCTGGCCTATCATGCACAAGCAAAACTACGGCCGTATCGTCAACACGTCGTCGCCCAACGGTGTCGTCGGCGCCCACGGCCAGTCCAACTATGGTACTGCCAAGGCGGCCATCATCGGCTTCACCAAGGCTCTGGCCATCGAGGGCAAGAAGAACAACATTCTCGTCAACGCCCTCGCCCCCTCTGCCGGTACCGCCATGACCGCCACCATCTGGACCCAGGAGCTCCTCGACACGTTCAAGGCCGACTTTGTGGCCCCCATCACCGCCTACCTCGCCTCGGAGCGCTGCCACGACACCTCCATGGTCGTCAAGTCGTTTGGCGGTCTCGCCGCCACCTACCGCTGGCAGCGCTCGTACGGTATCGTCTTCCCCAACGACAAGCCCGCTACCCCAGACCAGCTTGCTAGCCGCTGGGAGGAGGCCGTCAAGTTTGACGCCCGCGCCACGTACCCGGCCAGCACGGCTGACTCGCGTGGCCAGCTCGCGGCCAACTTCACCAACCTGTCCACCGGCAAGGCCAAGCTCTAAGGCGGCTGTTTATTGTATGTTCGTGGCTGTTGAATGGGTCAGACGTTTGGTTCAAGATGCATTTTGTTGGTATAAAGTCGTCAGTTTATGTTTCGCTTTTTACTCATGCTACAGCCCTAGGATATGAGTAAGGCGTATTTAAGAGTCGCCTTCGGTCTTTATTGGAGCGGTCCATCACTCTCTGCGAAGGGAGTCTAGAAGCTGGGACTCAGATGGCAGTTGCGGTGCACGAGAGTAGTCACTCTCGGCGCACGTAGGCAATTGGTCGCAACTCAGGCCACCCCGTTGTTATGAACTGATGTTCCGTGCTGTCTCCTGAGCAGGCGTACAGGACCGGTCTCACAGGCTCACATGTGTGTACCTCGTGCTGGGAGGTTATATTGCTCAAGAAAGGGAAGCGGGGTGAGCTCAATTGCCCGGGGCCAGCGTCGGTTGAAGGTCTGGCTTGAAAATGAATCGAAAATCACGTAAAACAAAGTCGAGGGCCACAACCGACTACCGAATACTGCACTTACATACATTATGTGGCATCGTTAAAAACTGTCACGCTGGCAATTTACTACATGACTCCTCACCCCTCCATAACCTCTCATACAGATGTCGCGGCATCAAAGCACAGCGTATGTACTCACTACGTCCACGCAGCGCTCTGAGTGCGTGCGAGACCTCTATTGTCCCACTTCAACCACCAGTCTTGCGCTTGGGATTGATTTTCAGACCGGTGGAAGCATAAACCGCCGCATCCTTAGCTTGTTGCTCGGGGGAGAGGATAGGCTCTTGCGCAGCGTGGTTGGTCTTTTGCCGGGAGCCCAGGGAGCTTGGCCCTCCCAGTCGTTCTTTTGGAAGTTGGCCCTGGTGGAGGGCTAAACGAGACGCCTGGCGGCGGGACTTTCCACGGAGGATGCTCGAGAGAGTTTCAGCTACGACGGGTTGTTGGACGATGCCCTCTGCAAAGCTGAGCCAGGTGGCGCGGATCTGCTCCTTCTTGACATTGGCATGTCCCTGCCAAGGGTGGACAGGGATCCGGTTGCCGGCGTCGACCCATTGACGCACGCGCCTGACGACTTGAACAATCTCACCGTCTGGATGGAGGGTGTGAGAAGGATGCCAACAAAATACTGCCGGTACTTACGTGTGATCTTGTTGACTGAGCCGTAAAACGACCCTTCCCACATTGCCGAGTTGAGCAGGTTATCCCCACTAGAAATGGAGCAGATGATAAAGATGGTTTCGATGGAGTGCATCACGCAGCGGAGGATGTTCTTGGGAAGCGACACGATTGTAAACTTCCTCCAGTTGGCAACGGCGCCCGACTTTTGGCCCTCTCCAGCTTGGAAAGGTTGGGCTTGCAGGTATTGACCGGTGCCGCATGCTGGGTCATGCGGTCTGCAGGACATCCTGACATATCCCAGTAGAACCGTCCTTTGGGGTCGAGCAGGAGGTAGATGGCGGGGAGCACACGTTCCATTGGTTCAGTGTCATCGGCGTCCTCGGCAGTGGCGGAGATGTCTAGACAGCGATTGGTCATCGCGGCCCTTGAGGGGTCAGTAACGGGCATAAGCCATGACCATGGCAAAACTCACTGCTGGAAGTGTTTACTCAGGCTCGGGGCGGTGTGGAACAGATAGGCCAGGGTCATTTGAAGGTAAGTGACACCATGAACTGGGCTCTGCTTGAGAAGGATGTCTTGCTCCCGACTCGGACTGGTGCCTGTACCAATTGCGACGAGGTTACCGTCGTCGTCTACTCTCCAGGTGCCCAAGGCGGCTTCAAACTTGATGGACAGGAGCTTCATGTGGATGGGAGAGGCCTCGCGGCTTGCTGGCTATAAGTGTCCGCTCTGTTCGCATGCCTGACCAAGGGGGGCACTCACCTGCGCGATAGTCCGAGTATCCGTCTTCAAGGTTCTTCAGGAGTGACGCCTCAGTCTCTCTGGGCTTCTCGCCCTCCTTTTGTTTCTTCTTTCTCTCCTTGCTTGTCGCATCGTCGTGGCTCAACTGCTCCTCGTCCGAGAGGGCGGAGTTGTTGTCGTCCTCAGTGATGTAGCTGTTGTCGTCAAGCTCGCCGTCGGTGGCGTCCGACCAGTCGTCAGCCTGGACCTCAGCCTGGACTGCAGCCTCGAGCGCTGAATCGGAGACGCTTTCGGAATCAACCTGTGCAGGTTAGTGTGAGTAATGAGCTGTGGTACATACATCACTGCTCTTGCAGCAGAACGAAGATGATGACGCTGGAGAACGAGCACGCGTCTTTCCCTACCGTAGGTCAGCCGAAACCCGAGCAATATGTAGCCGCATGTTTGGGACGTAGCTTGTCCTTTCCCTTCTCCCTTCCTTTTCCCTTCGCCTTCCCCTTTGCGTTGTTTTTCTGTTTGGTCATAGTGGTGTGGGTGTGGGAGAATGATAAGAAGTCAGGTCGACGACACATGAAGCTCTTCCCATGTGGGAGCCGAGCGACCCAGCTGACAGTGCGTCACACACACCCCTTGCTGGTGAACGAGGCGCAGGCCTTGTTACCCAGGCGCCGCAAATCATCTTCACGCGCCTGTGCGGGTCTTTTCAGCGACCGCGTGACCGCATGACAGGCGACGACTAGCCCATAGGTGCTGAAGAGCTGCAGGTTCATCACGGCTTTTACAGTGTTTTCTCGAGCTTAAATTCTATCCAGCAAACACTGTTGAACCACTACGACTCGACGGTGTGGTTAAGTAGAAACTCTTCAGTGCGCGCTCGTCGGGTCCGATTTCAATAACCGAAGCACGCTCTCCTCCTTGCCATCCATGGACTTATCTACACATTAAAGACGCTGCGTAACAGGCTCACGCTTGAGGCCCAGAGCAGCGACTCAAAGCAGCATAGACTCAAAGCAGCATAACGGTCGGCTGCGGGGCGTTCTTCCTCAGCTGAAGCCTCGGGGTTGGGATGATGAGTCGTGTACCTCCTGCAAGGCGAATACAGGAAGCACGAGTGGGCGCCTGCACATGAAGGCCCGCTCCAACATTTGTCACGTATGCGGACGCGACTCACTCCCCGGTTATGGCAGGTAGCCTGTGCCCAGTTTCGCTTTGATGATTCCGGCAGTCTCCATGTTTTTCCACTGCAGTGCACCATCCTCGTTTTCCGAGTCGGAGTCTGTCCCGCAACTCTTAGACGTTGATGCACAGGTACCTGACTCGAGTGAGGAAGCGGTGTCGTCAGAGTTGGACATGTAGCTCTTCTCGTGCCCGCTTGAATCCGATCAGTCGTCTACCGGAGTTGGTGGGGCCTGTTGCAGAGTTCGACATCCGCCACATGTATGTATCGAAACCTATACTGTGGGCGAGGCCCTCCCCTTGCCCTTTTGGCCTTTCCTTTCCTCCCACCTTTCGTTTGTTGTTTTTGTGCTTAGTCATGGTCACCTGTGATGAACAGAGGATGAACGATGGAGAGCGGATGTGGAATCTGTGTGCTTAGTCGTGTAATCCAAGCTGGACCGCGCACTGCATTCTGCGTGAAAGGCGCTGCTTGCTGCGTGTGGGCTATAGCTTAAGCCTGAGAAAAGGCGGGAAAAAGTCGGAGCAAGCAGCATACCATTCCAATCTCAATTCGGTTGTACCACTCTGCCTTCGCGTGTCCCCACCCATCCCTGGAGACTGCGTCTGCTTCAAGCTAGAGGCTTACTTATTTAAACCCCAATACATGCCCAGCGCATAGGTGCAGGAGACGGTCAATTCAAGTCTGAAGTGGGATTGATTTGCTTCTGGGTGTGGCACTCTCCTTCCCATATCCACTTCCTCTTACTTCCTGATCTCGACTTGTCTTTCACACACTTTTTCTCAACCGTGCGCTCTCCAAACTTCCCTAAACTTCGCACAAACGGTTGATGTGGATAGCTAGCTATATGTAGGTCTCGGTGTGAGCAGGTGAAAAGGTTAGTAGTGCAATAACCTTGGGGAGCTCGTGCACATGAAGAGTTGAACTATATACATTCATCCATGCCAAGCATATCAGCAGATCAGCAGAGACGTACTGTAGTTTGTGTGTACATGTCCAAGGTGTCCCTTTGTGTGGCTGCAAGCGTGGTTTGATCTTGAACAGAGAAGAACAGCGAATTCGTTTCGCGTTGCTTAACTTCAACACCGTTCCAGTCTCGATCTGATTCTGCCGCTTTTGCTTCACATGTCCTCACCCAGCTGCGTGCGTCCAGCGACCCCTTGGACTCGATCCTTACTCCTTTAAAGCCCCAATACGTGAGCGAAGGAGAGGAATGATACAACTCCTCAAAAAGATTGGAAACTATTTGCTTCCGTGGGTGGCACGTCGTTTTCACTTCCTGGTACTTTCTGAACTGGACTCTGCTTCAACTGGCTCGTACTCAATCGTCCCACCTCAGAACGTCCTGAACGTTCACGAGCAGCTGCTCGTCTGTCCTGGTCATATAGCAATACTAACAGCTGCATCTACATTCCTACATTGCGTGTCGCACCGATCTCTTAAAGAGCAGTGTCGAGGGGGGAGAAGGTGGGCGATCCACGCTTCTTGTAGAACGCAACAACCTTCTCGACGTTGGCCGCGATCTTGGGGCCAGTAAGGCCGAACTTGTCGTAAACCTTTCGTTCGCGTCAGCAGCTGCTCGTAGAGCGTGGAGAGGGTGAAAAAAACGAGTAAAAGGATAGAGACATGGTGGAAAAAACTTACCTGGAGGTAGGGAGCCGACGCGCCCCAGGCCTTGAGACCGATGTGCTCGTGAGCGTACTTGGCCCATCCGAGGGTACCATATGCCTCCACACTCGTTTGTCAGCGGCTGTTGCGAGTAGAAAGACTTACGAGACGATGGGAGCGCCCGAGGGGAGGACGGCGAGCTGGTACTCGCGGGGCTGAGCGTCGAAGATCTCCCAGCAGGGGAGCGAGACGACACGGACCTTGAGGCCCTGCTCACGGAGGATCTTGGCCGACTCGACGACAATGGAAACCTCGGAACCGGTGGAAGCGATGGTGACGTCGGCACCCTCGGCCTCCTCGAGCACGTAACCACCCTTGGCGGCCTTCTCGATCGACGAACCCTCAAGCTGGGGGAGGTTCTGGCGCGAGAGAGCGAAGACGGAGGGGGTGTGGAGCGACGAGAGGGCGACCTGGTACGAGGCCGAGGTCTCGTTGCCGTCGGCGGGGCGCCAGAACTGGAGGTTGGGGAGGGCGCGGAGCCAGGCAGCGGTCTCAACCGGCTGGTGGGTGGGGCCGTCCTCACCGAGACCAATCGAGTCGTGGGTGGCAATGTTAAGGACGCGGAAGTGCGAGAGGGCCGAGAGACGGACGGCACCGGCGGCGTACGAAACGAAGTTGAGGAAGGTGGCGCCGAAGGGGATAAGACCACCGTAGGCAGCGATACCGTTGCAGATGGCGGTCATGCCGTGCTCACGGACACCGAAGCGGAAGTAGCGGCCAGAGTAGTCGCCGAGACCAGTCGAGGGGGGCTGGAAGTCGACGGCGCCCTTCCAGCGGGTAAGGTTCGAGCCGGTAAGGTCGGCCGAGCCACCAACGAGCTCGGGAATGTGGGGGGCAATAGCGTTGAGGATGTTCTCCGAAAGCTTGCGCGAGGCAACGGCGGGCTCTCCGGGCTTGAAGGTGGGGAGGTGCTTCTCCCAGCCCTCGGGAAGGCGGCCCTCAACACGACGGGTGAGCTCGGCAGCCTCGGCGGGGTAAGCCTGCTGGTACTTGGCGAAGAGGGCGTTCCACTCGGCCTGGGCCTTCTCGCCCTTGGCGGCCTTGTCGGCGTACGAGGCGTCGACGTCGGCGGGGATCACGAACGACTCGTCGGGGTTGAAGCCGAACTTGGTCTTGAGCTGACGGATGTCGTCGGCCTTGAGGGGAGCACCGTGGACGTCGTGGCCACCCTGCTTGAGCGAACCGAAACCAATGGTGGTCTTGAGGTTGATGATGGTGGGCTTGGTGTTGTTGTCACGGGCCTCGGCGATGGCGCCGTAAATGGCGTCGAGGTCGCTGTCACCACCCTGGACGTGGAGAACCTCCCAGCCGTACGAGCGGAAGCGGGCCTCGACGTCCTCGGTGAACGAGACAGCGGTGTCACCGTCAATGGTGATCGAGTTGTCGTCGTAGATGGCGACAAGGTTGCCGAGCTGGAGGTGGCTATCGATGGCGTCAGCAAATCACACTCGACTACGTCACCGGGGCCTTTTTATCAATTCGACTCACCCAGCGAGCGAAGCGGCCTCCGAGGCAACACCCTCCTGGAGACAGCCGTCACCGAGGAAGACTGGTTCGGTCAGCTGTTGTCCATTTTCTTTGCTCTCATTGTTCACAGGCGCCACAGAGTCAAGCCAGGCGCCACTTGTGGGCACTGGCCATACTGGACGCCACATGACGTTTTTGCTATCAAAAACGTACCGTAGGTCTTGTTGTCGAAGAGAGTGTAGCCCTCCTTGTTGAAGGTAGCGGCCATGTGGGCCTCAGCAATGGCAAGACCAACAGCGTTGGCGATACCTGTATCACGTCAGCCACTAGAACCTCTGAACAACCCATTCAACTCACCCTGGCCGAGAGGGCCGGTGGTGACCTCGATACCGTCGGTCACGCCAACCTCGGGGTGGCCAGGGGTGATCGAGTCAAGCTGGCGGAAGTTCTTGAGGTCGTCAAGCGAGAGCTTGAAGCCAGCGAGGTGGAGGAGGATGTACTGGAGGGCACAACTGTCCCGGGGGTCAACAACTCGTCGTCGTTCGTCATCGATAATGCTACTCACGCGTGGCCGTTCGAGAGAACGAAGCGGTCGCGGGCGATCCACTTGGAGTCCTTGGGGTTGTAGTTAAGGATCTTGTTCCAGAGAACGTGGGCGACGGGAGCCATGCCCTACAGAGGTTGTCAGTGCTTTATTCGCATTGCAGCAGAGATTCAAGCCACTACGCACCATGGGAGCACCGGGGTGACCCGAGTTGGACTACAAACGTGGGTCAGCATAAAAGTCCATCGCTCTTTCTAGCCCACGGCGACTTGCCTTGGCGACAACATCCGCCGCAAGGGTACGGATGGTGCTGCGACTGTCAGCAATGGTTCCAGAGGCGCTGAGCTGTGTGTCCACCAGGAACACACGCTGATCCCAAGACTCTCCCCCAACTTTCATGAGGGGGACTGTTGGCGAGCGAAAGATACGTACGCGATGGCCTGGGTGTCAACGGAGGTAAAGCCCGACATTATGCTGTTGACTGTCAGAATCTAGTATGTAGAGCTATGAAGAAGGGGGTGTCTGACCTGGAGGGGTTTTGAGAAGATATGGAGAAGAGAGAAAAGACGAAAGAATGGCTTGGAAAGAGGAGGACGGCGGGTGTGGGTGTGTGGGTGGGGGGGGTCTCCTCTCGCCTCGTTGTGGGGGGGCCGGTCGGGAGCGCAGGGTGAGAACGCACTGGGGGCCAGGCGGGACCAGATCGCCAATGGAACAGCAACGAGAGCCCATGAGCGGACGTGGCGAGTCCGGCCCCCAACCTGAGCCCGCAAAGCCCGCAAGTGCTGGCGCCATTCCGGCTTCCGGCCCGGCTCTCCGCGCACCCACATCGTGTCGCCCCTCCTACAACCGAGTCGTCGGAACTGTCCTCCCCTCGCTGCTGACTCTATGCATCCCAAGGCGCAATTGAAAAATGACCAACTATTACCACTACCTCTGATGCCCCGGTGCGGACACCTAGCGCCAGGTGAGGGGAGGGTATACCGTAGTTAACTCCGTCCCGTCCAGACACGATTGATATCTCTTTGCTTTGTGCCTCGTGTCTCCGCGGCGGACACACCCGCCCGACGACCCCACAATCTCACACAACCCTCTCGGTGGGCCCTCGACACGTCCATGACGGCCATGACGCCGAGCACGTAAGCTCTCCGTCAGAGTCTATCGAATGTTACGCATGAGGCGGTCCCAGGTCTAATTCATGCCCTCCACGACCTCGTCCAGCCTCCACGTCCGTCTGACTCGTGCGCTCTACACTCTTGGACCCTCTCTTGTTATCCCCGTTGCCGGCGGCACATGCTCACTCCTTTGCCTTCTATCCGACCGAAAATCAACCGAGTGTTGTTAGGTCTTTGTTTCTCTTCATCCCACTGGCTGAAAAGACAGGGGAGAGGGTGGAGCAAGGCAAAGCACGTTTCCCTGTCCTCTCGCCCTATGCCTCGCGCCTGCGGTCGTAGCCAGTAGAGTGTGGAGCATGGTGACAGCCAAGGCCCGAGTATCCACCATCCTGGGCTGCGGTCTCTGCCTGAACCCCGCCGTGTGCCCCATTTGCCCGAGGCAGAACACAGCCGCACAGCCGACTGAACGTCAATCTGGACGGCTCTGTTCAGCCATGAAATCTGTGCTGGCAGGAACCCGCCGGCCGGAGGACAACGGGCCGACAAGCGCGACAGGGAGAACAGACATCCGGCCGCTCATCCGGCGCGTGGCAGTGCCGAGGAACAGGCTAGGCAAGCAGCTGATGTGTCATGTCTGCGGCAGTTGTTATCGATTGTTCTGTACCTCTGTACATGTTCTTCGCCGTTGCCACTGCCACCACGACCGACAGCCATAGTTACTGTGCAAGCACTTGTCCATCCGTCGCTCGCGCCATCGGATCGGGTCGGCCACATTGTCCGCTGCCATTGTCAAGCGCTGGGAAGCGTGCCGTCATCGGGTGAGTAGTCTCGGTCAGTCATGATGTTAGCCTCTTGCTGCAGCTGTACCGCATGGCTGGTGACGTCGGCGTCATGCCATCCGAGGAGCCTTCGTGGGCCAGGGTGCCATCCACCCGTTTACCTTACTATGGCCAAGTGGAGGTGGCCAAGTGAGGTAGCATTTACATATCAGTGGGATCGACTACCCTTTTGTATAGCGGTTCAGAAGAATGGCCGCAGACTCCGTTTTGAGTACAGGTTCCATTGAACTCCTTGCAACGTCGCTCGCACTGTCTGTAGATCTGCAGTGCATAATAGCATTAGTCCCGTTGGTCAAATGTCGGCTGACGTTAGTCACTTCGTTCGCACATTGATCGCACACTGATCAGCGGCCAGTGTACAAACCAAGTTACCGATTTTCAACTGATCCAGCTCCAAGCTGAGTTGCAGCTGCTGGAATGCACGAGCTACCTCATTGATGCTCATAGCGAGGCTTCATTGTACATGTCGTATACGTCCATATGTATACATGTACCGGCCTTGTGAGCACTAGTTCGTTACAGACTGACTCAACATGTTGCACCATGGGTAGCGCGTCGATAGGGGGAAGGGCCGTCGTTTTCGCTGATGGCCGATCGTCCCCAGGCACGCACACTCGTGGACGCGCAGGTCGAACCACCACTCCACCTTGTACGAGTCAATTTCCTGTTTCTCTCCCTCTCCTTTCCACCCGCCAATGTCTGTATCCAAGATCATCCTCGACTGCGACCCGGGACACGACGATGCCGTCGCCCTGCTCCTCGCATGGGGCAGCCCCGCCATCGACCTCGTGGCCGTGACCACTGTCGCCGGCAACCAGACCTTGGCCAAGGTGACGCGCAACGCGCTCGCCGTCGCGCGCGTCGCTGGTATCCCGCCCAACACGATCCCCTTTGCGGCCGGCGCGGACCGGCCGCTCGTGCGCGTCCAGGAGGTCGCGGCGGAGATCCACGGCGCGAGCGGCATGGACGGGCCGGCGCTCCCCGAGCCCAACATTGAGCTGGACAAGCGGCACGCCATCGACGTGATCATTGACACGGTCATGAGCCACCCTCCAGGCGAGATCACGCTCGTGCCCACCGGCACGCTCACGAACATTGCGCTCGCAGTGCGCAAGGAGCCGCGTATTGCCGAGCGCGTCAAGGAGGTCGTCCTCATGGGCGGCGCGATCGTGGGCGGCAACTGGTCGCCCTGCGCAGAATTCAACATTGTCGTCGACCCCGAGGCGGCCGAGATTGTCTTCTCGGCTGGGTGGAAGGTCGTCATGGTCGGGCTGGACGTCACGCACAAGGCCCTGGCCACAGCGGCTGTGCGCGAGCGTATCCTCAGCCTCGGCACCAAGCCTGCCAAGTTTGCCGACGAGCTCTTCGAGTTCTTCAAGGAGGCCTACCGCATCTCGCAGGGCTTTGACGCTCCGCCCGTCCACGACCCGTGTGCGGTCGCGTACGTTATCGACCCCACAGTCTTCACCCTCCTCCAGGCGCCCATCACTGTCGAGACGCAAGGAAAACACACGGTCGGCATGACCGTTGTCGACACGCGGTACGGCAAGGACGGCGGCGCCGACTGCAAGACGTTTGCCGCGACAGGCATCAATGTGGAGAAGTTTTGGGACCTCGTGGTCGATGCGCTCCAGCGTATCGGCGATCCCGAGCAGTAGGTAGCTGATGGTATCTGCGATATCTGAGTTAGATCTAGTTTTTACTGCGTGCCATTAGAGTATTTTCATGCATAGAGTTGTCCGTCTGCAAAAGACAATGTGTGGGGTCGACGTTTGTCAGTAGGCCGCACGCGCCGAGAGCTCCCAGCGTCAAGATTGAATGCCATGGCTGATGCATAGTTCACCTCTTCCCATTCCTCTTGCCACTCGTACAGTCTCGTACGACCGCCGTTCCCAGCTCCACATCCAACCCTCGTCACAGTCCGCTTGCTCCTGCTCTTCGCCTCGCTTGGTGATGCGTGCGGGGCACCTCGGGGTGTCGATCCCCAGTCACTCCACTGTGCGCTTTCCGACACTGGTTGATCGTGGGTGGCCATTGCTCCAGAAAACGCGCTCCTTGCTCGTGCGCGTGCTCGTGCTCGCTCGTGCACCCCATCCGTCTTGACGTTTGTCGCCCACGTGCGCTCGATGGGGCGGTCCCGCGGCCCCTATCCCAAATGACGGTGCTGCTCCAGGACCTCGACGACGAGCTTACGGTTACCGGCGTACATCGCGTTGGTGAGTCCCGATCGCTCGAGGGTATGCAGCTGCTCGCTTGCGTCTGCGACAAACGCGTCGAGTCCCACGGCGTCTAGCTTGGTGCCGCTAGCAGCTGCATCCAAGGTTGCGGCGGGGATGGTCGTGGTGTCGCCCAGCGCAGCGAGGGCCGGCGCGAACCGCTCGTTGGTGCGGCGGATAAAGTACGCGTGGAAGTTGTACGACTGGAAGCGTAAAGCGGCGGTGCGCGTCGCGCCATACAGGGCCTGCACTTGGGCCAGTGTTGGGGGCATAGTGGCTGAGGAGGTGCGGTTGGACAAGGATGGGTAAGGTAGAGGTGGTGTGTTCAGTGTCGGACGGAACGCTGTAACAATGGCCCATGTGATTACCGAAATGCCTCCGCAGAACGTCATCAGTCGGCAAGCTGCTAGCTGCCATGCTGCTCCATGTCGCCATCAGCAGAGTGAATGTGGTTATTTGCCCAACCTGCAGACATGGAACTCATGCATGCTCTCCTAGATATAGTGATTTTTTACTTGTGTACAGCTACTCTCGCCAAATCCTGGCGAGCTGGTTCTCGTCCAGGACGGCACCGACGATGTCTCCTGCCTCTGGTTCGGTCATCCACTGGTTGTCGCTCTTGTACTGCGTCGTACGCTGCTGGCCCTTGTGCTCGCCGCCAATAACAATGACGACCTGGCCCTCACGGTCGGGCGCGACGGGAAGGAGGTACTCGGCAGGAATGTCGACCTGGTGCTGGTCCTCCATCGAGCGGCACTGCACCATCTCGCCCGCGAGCGCCTCGATACCGAGCTGCTTGCCGTCGTAGAATCCACGCTGGAAGTGACGCGGGTTACGCGAGTTGGCGCGCTGGGACGGGCCAACCGTGACGATGACGTTGCGGAAGTCGAGCGCCCAGTCCCACTGGAGATGACCCTGCGAGCCACCGTGGGACATGCTGGCGGCCGCGTGCCCGCCGTATGGTGTCGGCGCGCCGAAGGGAGTGGGAGCGCCAAAGGGGGTTGGGCCAACACCTGGTGTAGGCGCAGACAGCGCTCCACCGGGAGTAGGTGCCGACAGGGCGATACCGGGAGTAGGGGCAGACAGAGCCATACCGGGAGTAGGAGCCGAGTAGGGTGTGGGGGCACTGAAGCCGCCAGCAGGTGCAGGTGTTGGCGCCGACAGGGCAGCACCAGGCGTGGGTGCGCTGTATGCACTGGGACCGCCGTACGGCGTAGGCGCAGACATGGGACCCTGTTCTGTTAGCTTATGGGACGCGTAATATCCATGGATAGCTTACCCTCGAGGTTCCCGGATCGTTGTAGCCAGGCGTCGGTGCGCTGTTGGCGTACGGGTTGGGCGTCTTGCCGCCGTCGGGACGAGCACCACCCCAGCCGGGGGTACGGCCGCCGTCGCCGCCGTAGCCCGCCATAGGCGTCTTGCCACCACTCGCTCCGGCCCATCCAGGTGTCTTGCCACCACTGCCAGCCCAGCCGGGAGTCTTGCCACCGGCGTTGGCACCCGCACCAGCCCATCCTGGAGTCTTGCCGCCAGCGTTTGCGCCCCAACCAGGCGTCTTGCCACCAGCACCGCCGCCGGCGTACGGGTTCGGCGTCTTGCCGTATCCGCCCATAGCGTAGGGGTTGGGAGTCTGGCCAAAGCGTCCACCAGCAGGCGTGCGGCCTCCACCGTTGGCGGGGGGACCCATGTTGCCGTACGGGTTGACGTCGTAGCCACCGCCTCCTCCAGCACCACCACGAGGTCCGCCGCCGTAGCCTCCGCCACCGCCAGCTCCTGCTCCCATGCCACCCGTGTCGAGTGGGTATGTCGCGCCAGTCTTTGTGTCCTTGCGCTTCAGCGAGGCAGTGGCGATGGTGATCGTCTTGTTGTTGGTCGCAAGCTCGACACGAGCCTCGTTGGCGCCGACAACATCCTTGATCACACCCTGGAGACCCTTGTAGGTGCCCTTGGTCACAACGACATATGTGTTGATGATCTTCCTGTTGCCGGCGGCTTGGGGAGGGGGCATCAAGCTGGCACCGCCGTAGGGGAGTTGCTGGTTGAGGGCTGGGTTCATCTTTGTCAGGTCGGCAGTGGCCGACTTGGGAGTGACGGAGACGAGGGCTGAGGCGCGAGCCACAAAGACACCATAGTTTTCGCCGTGGTCGCGGTTGTGCAACCAGACGAACAGCGAGCGCGAAATGTTGATAACCTCGCCGCGACGGCTCTCTCCTTCGACCTCCTTCATGGCGTCTCCGACCTTCATGTCGTTGCCAGCCGAATCAGTGGCGACGGCGTAACGGGCATTGTCGCGACGCAGTGTGACCTCGGTAGGCTTGACCACACGCGAGATGCCGTTCTGGTCCAGGACACGGAGCTGGTTGCCTTCGACCTTGACAATGACCGCAGCTGTCGTCGGGTCGAGCATGACGAGCTCGTGAACGTCGTAGAGACCAAGGGTCTGGCTTCCACCAGCAATGTCGGCGGCCTTGCGCACGTCCTTGGAGAACACCTTGATCTCCTGCTGGCCCTGGTCGGACATGAGGGTAACGACGTCGCCCTTGACATCGACAATCATACCGGAAACGTCCGTGTTCTTGCCTGTAATGATCTTGACGTGTTCACCAATGTCAAACTTCTTTCGCACACTGCGGGCGGGGACCTCGACCATCTGGCCGTGAATCTCGCCACCAATCGCCTTGATTGAGATCGTGTCGCTCGCAATGGTCTCGACCGTACCGTACATGCCGGCCAGCTCGCCCTCGTACACCTCGACCTGGTCGCCGACGGTGAGGAAGGCAGACGAGACGTGACGGTTGGCGTCGGCGATGGTGGACAGGTCAAACTTGCCGGCACCGTCATCACCGGCAAAGCGCGAAACCTCCTCGAGGGTCGGCTGAACGTCCTCGGTGGTGAGCAAGTTGATCTTGAGGTCCTTGACACAGAAACCGTCGAGGTACTCGTCGCCATCAAACACGTAGGCGCCCTGGGCACCAGGACGAACCTGGCCACGACCGTAGATTTTGCGCACGTCCTCATAGTTGAACAGGCGCTGGGTGGGGCGGAAGGTACCGCCAAGGCTGCCCTTGCCGTTGGCGAGGCGCTCCTGCTTCTTCTCGCGAGGAGTGAGGTCGATACGAGGGATAAACTTGACGCCAACGACACCGCTGGTGAGCTGGTCGACGTCGATAACCTGTGCCAGGTCGCCGGTGTACTTTCCACGCTTGAGGCGCACCCACATGCCCGGGGTGAGGTTGATCTCCTTCTTCTTGATGCGGAGAAGGGGAGCCATCTCCTCGATGGGAACAAGCTGGACACCGCGCGAGAGGTAGACACCGACGATACCAGCCACAGCGGCGTGGACGGCGGCAGACTGGCGTGCTTCAAGGTAGATGAGACCAGGGAGCGAGTCACGGTAGAACACCGACATGACCTCGATGGGGTTGCCAGAGTACGTGCTGTGGAACACCTTGCGGAAAATGGAGGCGGTGATGGCACGCTCACGCCCGGTCTTGACGCGCACCTGCCACAGGCTGGGGTCGTCGACACCGGGCATGAGGAGACGCTGGGGAACCTGGTCGCTGTCCGCATTGTACTTGGCCTGGCGGGCGTGACGCTCCTTGATGCCGGCAAGAATCTCCTCAATGTTTGGCTCCTCCTCACGACGCATTTCGCGGTGGAGCCTGCGGTGGTGGCCCTGCTCGCCCTCACCGGCCTCGGGAGCGCCCTCCTCAATGAACTCGCGGACTGGGGGTCGTCAGCTAAGCCACGAATAAAAGCTAGTCGACATACCGTCCTCATAGTTGTCGTCCTCGTCCTCCTCTTCCTCGTCATCGTCGACTACAGCCTCCACATCGAGGAAGCGGTTGGCGGGCCTCTTCTTCTTGTGGTGCTTTGAACGCTGTTGTGGGTCAGCGGCGTTTGTCTCTTGTGCCAGTGGGGATGCAGCGCACCTTTCGCCTGCGGTCTGGAGAGTCAGCTTCAGAACACGAACCGCCAGCTACACTCACCACCATCGTCATCATCGTCGTCGTCGTCCTCATCCTCATCGTCGTCGTCCTCATCATCCTCATCGTCGTCGTCCTGGTTGCCCCCCTGGTCCTGCTGCTCCTCATCCTGTGCAGTGGTCAGCCCCCCCATTACAGGTGGTTGGTCCCGCATCGGGCGCAATGGCAACTCACGTCTTCCTCTGCAGATCACAAGCGGACACAAAGCGCCGTGGTCAGCTCTACAGTTCTTCTCACGCTCTCTCCCCCTCTGCATCCAGCTCCAAATTCTCACCATCGGGATCAGCGATCCTAGGCTGGAGGTAGTCAGTACGACGAACGCCCCAGTCTGTCCTGTCCTGTCCCGTCCTGGACATGTTGTTGCTCCAACTCACGCGCTTCTTGCCGCGGACGGCGGTGTGGGACGGCGCCTCGTCATCCGACTTGATGTCGGGGGAAGAGGACCTCTCGTCGTCGGACATCTGGTGCGTGTGTCGCTGACGGGAGGGGGTGGCGAAGAGGGTGGGAGGGTAGGGGAGAAAGTGGGTGAACTGCAATAGCAAAGTTAAGGACCGCTTCAGACCAAGAGACGAGACACACCGTTCCAATGGCGCATCCAAGTCAAATGGGATCGCCGCTAACGCGGGCCTATTTTTGTGTGGGGCGCCTACCAAAACCGTGCACAGTGGCACTTCCGCAATTTATATCATTAGTCGTTTCCTCAAGCTACAACGGCAATGCATGCGAGATCACGACAAAATAAAGGCATACAACTGTAAGAACATCGCCTCCGCACCACTACGGGCGCCAGACCTGGAAATAACCCGGCGTGGTGACCTGCGACCACCGCGCCAAGTCGACATAGTGCTCCGCGCCATCGTACCGCCTGTGCACCTCGTACACGCGGTTGAGCGAGCCAATCTGTTCCAGCTTGGGCAGGATCGAGGCCACAAACGCAAGGTCTGCTCGTGACGGTCCCGTCTGCTCTGGCGCGTTGGCGTGGAGGATACGCAGTGGCACACCATCGAGCGCCGGCGTCGTCAGTGTCGTTTTTGTCGCAATGGCAATGTACAGTTCTTGCAGGGCTGGCGTGGATGCCAGAATGGCCGCGAGTGTGTCCTGGTCAATCACGAGGTTGAGCAGCGCCAGACGCGTCAGGCGCGTAAAGTCGATTTGCTCCTGCAGAGTGGCGAGGGCCGGTATGGGCAGGATACGCTGTCGCTGTCCGCCACCGGGACCCGTGGACGAGAGGTTGAGCTCCAAGGCCCGGAGTGTGTCTGTTGGGCGAATCACGGGCATGTCACCGGGTTGGAGCACCGCACGGCCGTTGGGTGCTGGGAAGGATAGCGAAAAGGTGTGGAGCGAGTCCAGTGGCGGTGCGTCCGAGAGGTCGACCAGTTCCTGGACATGTCAGCTATGGTGATCGGCGCCGCAGCTAACGGGCACTCACCGAGTGGGGTGGAGCATCCAAGACCAGCTCTTCCAGCCCGTCTGCTGCTCGCAGAAGCTCATACACTCCAACTCTCGACACCCTGGTGGCTCCGATAAGCATCAGGCGTTTCAGCTGGGAGAGAAACGGCGCTAGCTCAGCCAACATCTGGTCGTTGATGAGGTTGAAGCTCTTGCACACCAGTGCCAGGCCGTGGAGTCCGCCGCCGGGCCGGGCACACAGGTCCTTGATCACGGACGGCAGCGCGGCGCGAAACGTCGTGTCGGGCATCATGACACGCAGGTCGCGCAGAGCGTGCATGTCGCGCAACATGTGAGGGTCAAAGTAGTGTGTCGAGTGGCCCGACAGCTCGAGGTATGTCAGATGCTTGAGCGATGTAATGACCTGGAAGAGTTCTGAAGAGATAGAACGGTCACGCTGGCTGAATGTCAGGAGCTGTCGTTCACCGTGTCTCGATGGCGGCTTACCGTCCACACCAGCTTCTCGATGTTGGTCATGTTGCTCAGCGCATTGAGGATTGCGTCCTCGAGCTCCACTCGCAGGTCACCTTGCATGTCGAGGGGGAAGAATCGCACGTCTGAGGGAGGTGTCAGCCGGGCACGTGTGGATGGCCTTCAGGCCTGTCCTCACCCAGGCTCCGGACCATCTTGCAGAGCGCGGGGCTCTCGTTCAAAGTTGTGAAGAGGCCAAGCAGCTGGAAGGGTTAGCTTGGGACAATGCGCGAAACCCCACCTTTCTCTTGGGTGCGTCCTCCCCTACAACCGTCAGCACCACCCCCAAAACGCAACACCTACATGGCCGAACCCATACGTTCGCATACAGCCTCCGGCGCGCAATCATGTTCCACTGGGAACACACCCGTGCGGCCGTAGCCAGCTCGCCGGGCCGCTTCAGTTCTTCCAGCACGAGCGGCACGAGTTCGGGATACTGGAACAGCCCCGCGAGCGGGGACACCATGTCCCCCTCGTGCAGCGGCGCGGGCAGGGCCAGGTGTACCTCGCCTGGCGGTGGCGACGGCGGGCGGATGGGTGCGCTAGGCGTGCCGTGTTTCCAGTTGCGAGCGCGGAGGAACATCTTGTCCAGGCCCAAGGGGCGGCGCTGGGGCTCTACCTGGATCGTGCCGAGGCCGTGGAACTCGTCTTCCATGGCGTTGAGAAAGGGGGTTGAGGGTGGAGATATGCCGGATCGCTACATTGCTCATCTCATGAACCCAACGGCCCAACCTCCACCAGGCCGATCCCTGCTTGGTGCCACGCGAGAATGCTCCCGCGGTCTCCGTCAGATACATTTACTCCCGTCCTCGTCCGTTCTTTGCCTCGATGGTCTCGCTGCCTTGTTCTGAAATTGCGGGTTTCGACAGACCCAAACCACATCTACACCACCAGCATGCTCGGCGGCCAGCTCCTCTCGCGCTCCAAGGCGCTCGCATCGACCTCGCTCGCGGCCGACATCCGCAGCGAGCTTTTCGGCGGTCCTTCCGGTACGTCGCACGCCGGTCGCGCGCGCAGTCATGTCCGCGGTGTTGTCCGAGCTGTCCTGTCCGACCTTTGTTATGTGTACTGACGGGCGGGGGTTAGGCCTCAAGACCCAGATCCGTACGGCCACCAAGCGTGGTGGTGGTTCGTCCAAGAACGGCCGTGACTCTGCGGGAAAGCGTCTCGGTGCCAAGAAGTTCACCAGTGAGTGGTCGTGGTGGTCGTGGTGGTGGCATTTGGCGTAAACTATATCCCTAACGCTCTCTCCTCTCTCTTCAGACGAGTACGTCCTCCCCGGCCAGATCCTCATCCGCCAGCGCGGCACCGAGTTCTACCCGGGCCAGCACGTCGGCATCGGCCGCGACCACACCCTCTTCGCCCTCGAGCCCGGATACCTCAAGTTCTACACCTCGTCGTTGCCCTACCCGCACCGCGCCGTCGACGTCGAGAGCCACGCAGCCAAGGACGCCGCGCGCCCCGCCGTCAACCGCCCGCGCGGCATGAGGCAGTTTGTCGGCATCGTGCGTAACAAGGAGGACACGCTCCCGCGCGACGAGCGCGCGCTCGGCCGCGAGCGCCGGTTCTGGGGCTGGCCCAAGGCCGAGAACGAGGCTGGCGTCGAGACCCCGTCGTCGTCGGCATAGGTCAACTGTAGAGAGAGAGAGAGATAGCACCCCACAACCAAAAAACACCCTCATACGCATCAGGATCATCAGATGCATCTATTCATACCGACCAGTTGTTGGGAGGAAGAGGGGGTGGGGTGGGGAAAGGGTGGAGGAAAGGGTATACAGTCCGACGGCCACCGCTAAACAACGCGGGCGGGCGAACACCTGGGGAGAGACGAACGTACCACCCGCACTGACAAGGTCCGAGGCGCGGCGACCGGGTTGCAAGAGGCTTTTTGTGGGTTGAAATAGACAAGGGCCAGAAAAGAGATAAAAAGAACCGGCCATGGAGAACAAAGTCACACGCCCTACTGCTGCCCGGGAAGGTTGCGGAAGTGCTTGACCTCGACAGCCTCCTTCGAGTACGCGCGAGTGGTCTGCTTCTCCCAGATGGGGTCGACGTCGGGGCCGTCAAGGTCACCGGCACCGTCCCAGCCCCAGCACCAAACTGGAGTATCTGTCAGCTACTGATACACTACAGTCCTCGCGCAGCAGACAACTCACCATACTCTGGTCCGGCGATAAAGTTGACAGCCTCATCCTCTTCGGGAGTGAACAGACGGTCGTGGGGGCCGTACCAAGCGCGGTCCTGGGGGTCCGTCCTGGGGTCGTCTGGCAGGCCGCCGATACGCTTGTAACCACGGATGGCGGTGAGGTTCTTGCGCTCCGGGTGGATAATGTCGTAGACCTTCTTGTCATAGGCAAGCTTGACACGGGGCACCATCTGGATACGGCCGTAGCCCTTGGCAAAGTAGTCGTTGCAGATGAGCGAACATTCCGAAGCGGAGCACTCGCCGTGGGCGAGGTCGGCCATGCGGAACTTGACGGGGGGGACCTCGTAGAAGGGGGCGGGGTCCAGGACGGCCACACCGTTCCAGCACGACTGGACCTGGACGGGGAGGTGACGCTGGAAGCGGTTGCTCGACTCGATGTGGTGGAAGACCTGCTCAAAGGGAGCGTTCTCCAGTGCGGTACCGTTAATGTCACGGGCGACCCAGTTGTCGTAGAAGACGGGCGAGCCAATGTCGTCGTGGTACATGTAGTCGGCGGCACAGGTAATACCGGCGTTCTGGCGACGCGACTGCCAGATGAGCTCGAGAATGTCGTCGACACAGGGCAGAATGTCGTTCATGAAGACGATAGAGTCAAAGACCTCGCCCTCGTTGTCACGCAGTTCGTGCAGGGGAAGCATGGCCGAGGTACGGACCTCGGCGAGGTACTCGATACGGTGGTTGAAGGCTCCACGGGTACGCATGGACGAACGAATGACGACACGGAGACCGACGGTGCGCGCGAGCGCGTCCATGATCTTGAGCAGGGCCTTGGTCTGGTCGGTCGAACCGTTCTCGTAAATGGACACAAACACGTTGTGGTAGCCAAGAACGGCAGCAGTGCGGAAGAGGGTAGCGAACAAGTCGGGGATAACGTCAAACGAGTTGTACAGGTTGATGGCAAAGAAGTACTTGTGCTGCTGGCCATTGGTCGCCGGGGTGAGGTCGCGACGGATCTGGTCACGACGCGAGAAGGGGTGCTCGTTGTTGTTGTTGCCGCCAATGTTGAGCTTGTCCTTGTCAGACGAGCCGCCCAGGAGACGACCGAGCCAGCTCCTGCTCTTGCTGGGCTTGTAGCCGATAAGGGGCGCGTAACGGTCCTTGACCTGGTCGACGTACAGCGACTGGGGGCTGCGCGTGCACTCGCGCGTGTGGTGCTGTGAGAGATCTCCCACAAGCTCCAGAATACGCAGGCGCTGCTCTATCGATGGCAGCTGGATCTGCGAGCGGGCTAGGCGGTTGCCGCCAACCGCGTTTGGGCGGAGCTGCTTGGAACCGGTACCGCGCCATTCAGTCGAGTTCTGTATTTATTGACCAAACGTGTACAGTCGCGTTATGAGGAGGAGAGAAAGGACACCGTCAGCACGTGTCTCTTTTCTCAGCGCCAACACTGGTACACTCACGTCGCTGCTTCCTCGCAAGAACTGCAATTCGCAAAGACGATTTGAGGAAAGAGGGGTCACGCGTCAGTATAAATGCTCCGAGATATTGACCTCGAAGGTGTCCCACACGCTGCACGTACCGAAGCCACGAGGAGACCGACGAGGATGCCGACGAGCAGCGAGCCCGCTGAAGGAGCTCTCCTCCAGATTGGCAGGCTCGAGAGGGCCTTCATTGGGACGAAATGGAGGAGGTGGTTGCGGTAGGAGGACGCGAGGGAGACACGGTGTGCCGAAGGGAGCTCGACGATGGATCTCTCAACAACGCCGGTGTTGAAGAGACGGCGTGGTGAACGTGTGCGGCGCGCTATTGAGCTCGCGACAGACACCAAGGGATAGACGAAAGGGGGTAGTAGAGATGAAGATTGTGTAGGATTGTGTGGTGTTGCGTGGCAGCGCAAGGAGAGGGAGGGAGATGGGTCGCGCAAGGAACCGAGTAGTACTGAAAGCCCAGGGACAGCGAGGGAGACACCGAGAGGGGACGGAAGCAAAATATCGTGCACCCATTCAATAGGGGGCTCTCTGCGCGCGCACGCGCGCCGAGCGTTGGGCAAGTGTGGGTGCCTGGAAATGGTATCCCGTTTTTCTAGTGCTCGTAAGGTCTCCCGGCCATCGAGTAATGGTCAAAATGGCCGCGCATTGCACCACTGTCGTCAAAGAAGCACCTGGCCCACATGCGCGGTCCATACCCAAGCTACAATATCCTTCTCGTATACTCTACACACACATGTCGCTCCCCATGATAGCCACGGCTCACAGACCGTGGCCGCCGGTCGCGTCGGTCCAAGACAAGGATTGGATTCGATCAGTCCTTGAGCTCCTCTGGGTCACCGATGCCGTTGGCACTGCGCTTGTCAGTTATAAACGTCCAACTCAACTCACTTGATGGCAAAGATACCCTCTGCCTCGGGAAGACATGGGCTGTCGACAATCTTGCACACTCGCGACGCACCGCGTCCCTTGCGCAGCGAAAGACGCGTCGTCGACGCGTGCGCCCTGCACGATCAGTTCCATTCTGCCAACGAAATCTTGCAACTAACATGATGTTACCACCACTGCGAGGGAGAGTCAGCACATTTCTTTGTGGGATATTTCTTCAGTGGTGACTCACATTGGCTTCTTGGCATCTGCCTGGGCAAACTGACCGCCGTCCACCTGTGCCACGACCTGGTTGGTGACGACAACTGCCACGCCAAACTGCCTTGTCAGTCTTTTTGAAATGTCGCACCGTTTTACATACCTCGTCGGCGAGACGCATCAGCGTGCGGAGGAACTTTGCGAGGTGCATCTGACGGGACGAGAGTTCACCGCGGCCGGAAAAGTCTGTGCGATACAGGGACGTCACAGAGTCGACAATGAGGAGGGAGAATCTAGAGTTGGGTGAGTGAGCGAACGCGACACGGGAGTGACAGGGGAGTATGTGCTTGGGTTACGCACCTTGACTCGGCCATCATGGCACTGGCCTGGACCAGAAGCTGCATCTGGTGGTCCACATTGTAGGCGCGGGCGTAGGCAATGTTGTCGAGCACTTCCTCGCCGTTCAGGCCGTAACGCTCGGCGACGGCGAGCATGCGCACAGGGCGGAATGTGCCCTCTGTGTCAATGTAGAGACACTTGCCCTCACCACCGCCCATGGACACGGGGAGCTGGGTAGAGTCAGCGGTCAGCTCGGGGTTCGTCACATACCTGGCAGGTGACAGCGAGCGTGTGACAGATCTGCGATTTACCGGTTCGGAACTCGCCTGTGATACAAGTCAGTCGCTAGGTGAGAGATTGCTGAAAGCCCTACCGAACAGCTCTGTGATGGCTCCAGTTTCAATACCGCCTGTTGTTGTCAGCCCCCTACCGTCTCCAGTTACAAGTGCTACACCTACCTCCGAGAATGGTGTCGAGACCGACCGAGCCCGTGGTGATGTGGACGAGCTCGGACCGACGAGCGTGAATCTCCGTCGCCGTCGTGAATCCCATGGGCACGAGCTTGCATGCTGAAACCAATGAGCCCTCCTGTCCATCCACAATCTGATTGTGACGTTTCCGCACATACCCTCGGAAAGGATCTTGTCTGCCTTGGCCTCGGAGATTCCCTTGATCACGCACAGCTGCTTCTTTGGGGTGAACGCAACAGCCTCGACCGTGTGCAGACCTGCCTCGGCGAGCTTCTGGCAGTCCTGTGCTGAGATGCCATACTCCTGCACGGTGTGTCAGCCGGTGGTGGGGAGGGAAGGGGGGAGGGAGGGAGGGAAGGAAGGAGGGAAGAAGGACGTACCGTGAGTTTTGCCACCACCATGGGAGCGAGGAGCATGTCCTCTTCTCCCTCGTCGCCCTGGAAGGGGTCGTTCTCTGGGTTGTCCATTGTGTGTGTGATAGTGTGTGTTGGGGGTGGAGGGAAATGTTGTGGTAGATGGAGCGATGAGAATGGGAGAAAAGACGCACGGGGGGGTGTTGTTGTTTTCGGAAGGGCAGGCGCGTCCTTTGGCCTCTGGCCGTGTGGGCGCGCGCGCGCACGCGTCATGAGAGCGAAAGCTGACTGGACTTTTGTGGAGGCTGGGCCTATTTTGGTTCCGCGGGAGATTAGTGTTCGTGCCCCCCCGGGAGTTACCCACGACACACACAGGAAATGTTCCCAATTGGTATATGCAGTAGCGAGACGAGAGTGCCAGGCACACCCATTACACTTGCCTGGAGAGTGACACTCTGCACACCACCACCGCTCCCACACTTCCGCAAGCAGACAGCAGACAGACAGCACAACAGCCGTACAGCCAGCGTCCCCCCCGTCTACGGCGTCTACCAGCTACCCAGGCTCCATCCATCGCCATCCACCCGTGCAGCCAACACATACACACACACACGCACACCACACTGTAACACACGGCCCCCCCCCCCCCCCCCCCCTTCGTGCACACTCCCTTGTCACTCTCCCCCGCCCCTCTCATCTCTCAACAACCACCCACGCTGCACAGTCACACAGTCCCCTCTCACAGTCCCTCTCCACAACCCTTCCTCGCTTCTGTGTCACTACTGTGCGAACACACCTTTACAGCCATCGCACATTCAACCAACCCACACCCTGCCCCATACCCCCCACCCACAGTACTCTCGGCAAAGCCCCTTCTGCGCCTCCATCCATTTCAGTCTCCACTTTAGCTCCCCCCCTTCCTCTCCCTCATCCCTCCGCGCGGCGCACAGGCGCATTGCTGGACATCCGATCCATCCGATCTCTCCGCACACCCACCGCGACCGGCCCTCAGGCCTTGGCGCCTCGTAGCTTCCCCCCCAACCCCTCCATCATCGGTCCCCGTCGCTCCAAAGGAGCCTCTTTAGGTGAGTCACATCAACCAGTCGCTCTCAGCTTCGTCCATCATTCAACACGCGCACACGCTCACACTCCTCCCCATCTCTCTTCTATCACCTCTCTCTCTCTCTCTCTCTCGCCATCGCCAACATCCAGCTTGCCGGACCACCCCCTCCGAACCTTGAACATTTCCCTGGCCGCGCCCACCCACCACCAAAATGCGGCCCAAAGTCCTCGAAATCGCGTGAGTACTGGGGGCCTTCCCTCCACCATCAGCACCACCTTGCCCCCCATCTGCCAGCTGTCGCTCAGCGAAACACATCCGTCTGGATACCATTTGCTTACCCATACCTCCAATAGCTGGCACGAGACGCAGGCCATTTACTCTTGCGACTTTCAGCCACTGCCTACATCCCAACTGAAACGCCTCCTCCCCACTTCCGATGACGATGACAAGACCGACAAGGCGTCGGCCAGTGCTGTTGGACGGCAATACCGTCTGGCCACCTGCGGCGGTGACTTCAAGGTCCGCGTGAGTAACATGCCTGCGCAACCGCACCGATACGGAGATACTGACGTCGTACTAGCTGTGGATGGTTCACCCCAATATCCCGACCGTCTCCTCGTCGGCTCATGCCGCTCTCACAGGCCAGGAGATTGCCCCTCACCCCCCTCGCGTCGAGTACCTCGCGACCCTCGTAAAACATACCGCGGCCGTCAACGTTGTCCGCTTCTCGCCAAACGGCCAAACTCTGGCGTCGGCTAGTGACGGTGAGTACCCTGCCCAGGGGATGTCCAAGAACTGACAAGCCAGACGGTAACGTCATCCTTTGGGTTCCGTCAGACCGCCCCATTGCTACCTTTGGAGAGCCCACCGAGGACCTCCCCGACAAGGAGCACTGGCGTCCTCAGAAGATGCTCCAGTATGTACCAGAGCAGCTGACTAGGTTACTCACACTTGTCACAGAGTCACGAACAAGCATGTCTACGACCTTGCGTGGTCACCCGACGGCGAGTTCTTTATTGCCGGTTCCACGGACAACACGGCTACTATCTGGAAGGCGTCTACTGGTATGTTATCCCCCGTATCGTCAAACCCACTGCTAAACCGATATAGGTGAATGTGTCTTTGCCCTTCGTGAACACACGCACAACGTCCAGGGAGTCGCCTGGGACCCGCTCAACGAGTACATTGCTACTCAGAGCAGTGATCGGTGAGTTGTCGGCCACATGATCGGTACTAACTCTCAGTGCTGTTCATGTCAACACCTTTGCGTTCCGTAACGGTGTCCCAGAAGTCCACCCCGTCACGCGTGCAAGTCGCATGGAGATCCGCCACTCTCGCACACCTTCGTTCCCCTCTGCGTCCATCGGTCGGCCACCATTCGTCCGCCGAGGCTCTACGGCGTCGGAAACTGGATCAGTTATCACCACTGCGTCTGAGATGACAGAGCACCCTGCCCTCCTTTCGGCCGCTGCTCTTTCCACTCAGCCACCCCCAACACCTAACAGCATTTCTGTGCCGTCGACACCGAACATGAGCACAATGAACCCACCACCACCTGGCTCGGCGCACAAGCCAAGCTCACGCCGTTCGTCATTCTCCTCGCAACACGGAGCTGCTTCCCCTGCATTGAGTGTCGCCCCTGGGCGTGGACGTTCGCCTTCCCCCATTCCTCCCCTGCCAGCTATGCGTGCACCCGCACCAACAACTGCCATCATGCAGCGCCTCTATGCCGAGGAGAGCGCAACACGCTTCTTCCGCCGCTTGAACTTTTCCCCCGATGGAAGCCTTCTTCTCACACCCGCTGGGCAGATTGAGGACCAGGTCTTCAAGGGCTCCCCCTTGATGTCTTCGCGCAGTCTCTCGACTGATGGCGCGGACCGTTGTGGCCCTGGGACCAACGGTGGTACCTCTACAAACCCATCGACGGCGGCGGCGGCGGCGGCGCCCCCAACCACGCGTCAACGGGCTGCCAACGTTGATGCCGGCAAACCCACAGTCTACATCTACTCGCGTGCCAACCTGGCTCGCGCTCCAATCGCCAACCTGCCTGGCCACAAAACCCCAAGTGTTGCCATCAGGTTCTCGCCCATATTTTACGACCTCCGCACCGGTTCGAGCTCGCAGGTCCAGGCCGAGCCTAAACAGATTACTCTTGACGCCTCGGACCCGACCCCAGTCCACGTCTCGCTGTCAATGCCCCCACCACCTCCACCCCAGAAGGAGGGGTCAGAAAAGGACAAGGACAAGGAGAAGCCTCTCGGAAGCGTGTTTGCCCTTCCTTATCGTCTACTGTACGCTGTCGCTTGCCAGGACGCGGTCTTGCTGTACGACACGCAGCAGGCTGGACCCGTCGCCATCTTCCGCGGTCTCCACTACGCCGGCTTCACCGACATTGCCTGGTCACCCGATGGACAGGCCATGATGCTTTCAAGTGCCGACGGCTACTGCTCGATCGTCGTGTTCGACCTCGGAGAGCTCGGCACCGTGCACCCGACTCAGCAACACCATCGTCAGCTGGCTGCCATTGCCCACTCGCACGGCGGCAGCTCGGCTACCGCCACCCCCATGCCCCACTCGCCCTCAGTGTCGACCATGCGCGCGAGCCCTGCGCCTCCACGTAGCGAGCGCGAAGAGTCCGTGGCGTCTAGCGCGGCGCAAGCCCCGCTCGCTCGCTCATTATTCCCTGGGACCGGCCGTCCATCCAGCTCGTCGGTCAGCTCGGTCGACCAGCCCCTGCCAACGCCCAGTGACGAGACCGAGTCGTTTGTTGGCGGTGGATTGCGCCGCCCCTCTGGCGAGTCGGACTCGACGGTGGGCCTCGGCCTCAGTGACGACACGGGCAAGCGCGAGCGTCCCGACGAGGGAGCTGCGCCCAAGAAGAAGCGCCGTGTTGTGCTTACCCACCTCGGAGACGATTGATATGAGTGCGAGTATATACATTATATACCGAGGAGACAGACGATTGAGTGTGTGTTTGTGTGTGTAGATGACGTCCACCATTCACCAGCATGTAGGGAGCCCACCCACTTTATCGCGCGCGCGCGCGCATGGCACATTCGTAGCAGTATTCACTTGTGACCTATGCACTTCGTTCATAACATGTATCAAAAACGGAGCACTGCTGGGTGGAGCCACCTGCCTGGAATTTGATCCCGTCCTTCCTACGTGACTGACTTTGGCGGCTCCCACCCACTTGTCGATTCCCAGTTGTCAACATGTCTGCCATCCGCGACGAAAACGCACCGCTGCGCGTCCGCGGCCAGCTAAAGCCCAAGACATCCACTCTGGGCGCTGGCCTCCGCAAGCCCGGGGCCACCACCGCGCGCACCCCTCTCGGCAAGACCCCCACCAGCTCCAGCAGCACGAAACGCCCTCTGGGCAACAGCGGCAGCGAGAACCAGCCACCGAGCACCCGGCCCAAACCCAAGACACCCGGCGACAAGCTCAAGACCCCCGCGACCTCGGACACGGGCAAGAGCAGCGACAAGACCGCCAGCGCCAGTGGCGGCGACAAGTTCAAGACCCCGCGCCGCGCCCTGTCGGCTGTGACGCCTGCGCCGGCGTTCTCGGCGTCGCAGTTCGTGACGCCCGCGCCGCGCCAGCCCCAGTCCCAGCACCGCAGCACCGACACGGGGGACATGTTCAAGACCCCGCGTCCGCGCGCCCCTCCGCTCGGCACCAAGTCGTCCGCCCAGACGCGTACGCAGACACGCACGCCGGGGACCGGCAGCACGGGCATGAGCACGGGCTCGAGCTCGAGCTCGCGGACGGCCCGTGGCCCGCCCCCGCCGCGCGGCGCTGTGCGCCGTCCCACGCCCAAGCGCGCCATCAGCGTGCGTGCCGACGAGAGCATCGAGTATGCCGCTCCCACAGCCCTCGGTACGTCCTCGTTCTCTTGCTCCTTTACCGTGCCGTGCATCCTGCATCCTGTCATAGCAAAACAAGCCTCTAAACGTGACGCTGACATGATCGCCTTTCCTCAGACCGCGCTTACGAAATGTCCATGCAGCCCAGCCGCAAGGCCGCGGCGCTCGAGGCGGCCATGTTTGCGCACGACGCCGATCTCCCCGTCCCGACACTCGACGAGGACGAGTTTGCGCTCGACCTCCCGCCCATGACCGACCTGGGCGACGACTTTACCTTTGACCTGTGAGGCTCGGCCCAGCCCACCCCACCCCACCAACCTTTCCTCGCCTCGAGCTCGGGGACCCATGTACCCTGTTGTGCAACTCCAACGTCTTTACGCCAACCCAACCAAGCACCAATATTGTATACTCTCTCTACTCCTCTGTCTGCCATGTCATTCTCTCATGTCCCCCAAACAATGCCCGCAAAACTGTTCCCCCCGTCTGCAACTGACGTTCCATTTGTTTACTGCACAGCGGCCATGCCGCGCTAGATGCATACACTACTCTACCTCAATCCTGCTCCATTGCCTCGTCGTTGGCGTCCTCGCCGTTCGCTGCCTCGCCCTCACCCTCGCCCTCGCCCTTGTCTGCCCGCTCCTCCTCCTCGTCGTCGCTGTCGCTGTCGTCCGAGTCCGAGTCGGGCATGTCGTACGAGAGACCGCCACCCGCAGCCGCTTCCCCACCCGCGCGCTGGGCCGCCCACTGCTGGGCCGCCTGGAAGAACTTGAATGTGGTGGGGTTGGCCTCGCGCTCGTCGTCTGGGAACGTGAGGTCCCAGTACTCTTCGAGCTCGTCGGACCCGTCCTCTGCCTTGCGCCACTTTTTCCTCGTCTGGGGCTTGAGCTCTGCGACAGTGGCGCGGTCGGCGTCGTCGCCGTGCTCGTCCTCGAACGCCTCCCAGGCCTCGAGCAGTGCTGCGCGGTCCTCCTTTTCGCCGCGGGCGCGGAGGTCCTTGTATCCGCGCTCAAAGATGGCGCGCGCACGTTCGGGGTCGCCCGCCTCGCCCTCGATCTCGTTGCCGTCCTCGTCCTCGCCGCCGCCGAGAACCGACGCTTCCAAGAGCGCGTACGAGATGAACACCTGGAAGGAGGGTGGGTTAGCAAACACGTATGCGTACTGGTTCAACAGACTTACCTTGTAGTGTCCTGTCCGCTCCAGGAGACGCTCGTACAGGTGACGTGCGCGCTCGCGCTCTCCCTCGCCGGCCTCAAAGTCGATGTACGCCTTCCAGACAATTTCGGGCATGTCGAGCTCCTGCTGCACGGCAAGCTCAAAGATGGCGCGCACACGCTCAAAGTCTTCCACGGCACTCTCGACCTGGGTCCACTGGATCCACGCCGAGGACAAGGACGGGTCGTAGGTGAGGAACTTTTCGTACAAGGTGCGCACGCGGTCAAACTCGCGCAGACGCATCTCGAGCTCAATGTAGCCCGTAAACAGCTTGGGCTTGGGGCACATGCCGATACTTGCTCCCAGGACTTTACGGGCGGCGTTGACGTCGAGCCGGCGAATCTCGAAATACGCATAGGCGATCCACAGCTTGGCAAACGTAAAGAGCTTGTGTGGGACGAGCTTGATGGCGGCCTTGTAGACGTCGCGCGCACGGTCATAGTCTTGCGAGTCAATCTCCTCAAAGGCCGCGTACTGCAGCCAGAGGTAGATGTATCGCCTCCAGAAACGCTTCTCGGTCGAAGGGGGTACGTTGGCGACTGCGCGCTCATATGTCTCGCGCACGCGCGTCGGGTCGGCGTCCTCGCCATCCTCCCTTTCTGCGCGGAAGGCATCCTCCTCGAGACGGGCGAGCGAAAACCAGGCGTCATAGTTGGTTCCATCGTACGCCAGCTCTTCCTCGTACTGGATACGTCGCTTGCCGAGGACGGTCAGCTCGACGCCGGCACGGTCGCCGTGCTGCTTTTCAAACTTTGTGTATGCCGCATACAGGTTGGCCGACTTGGAGCGGGGCAGGCGCGCAAGGGCAAACTTGTAGATGACGCGGGCGCGGTCAAACTCCTTGAGACGCGTCTCCATGCGCGCAAACGCGCCAAACACCTGTTGGGCCTTTTCAATCTGCTCCTCCTCGTCGCCAAAGAACTCGAGCGCAGTCTGGAACACTTCGCGCGCCTTGTCGGGCTTGCCGCGCTCCTCCTCAAACTTGGACCACTGGACCCAGTTTTTGGGGATTGGCCGCACACCAATCCACCGCTCGTAAATGTCGCTTGCCCTGTCGAGCTCGTTGTAGCGTTCCTCGAGCTTGATGTACGACTGCCACGCCTTGTCATCGGGCTCCCACTGCATCCACCTCTCAAAGATCTGCCGTGCGCCGGGGACGTTGAGCAGCAGCTCCTCCAGGTAGACGTATTTGTACCAGATGGTGTCGACGCGGGGGAGCAGTGTCACAGCACGGTCAAACAGGTTGCGCGAGTGGTTGATGTTGCGCGCCTTGAGCTCCATGTCGGTGTACTTGATCCACAGCTGCAGCGACCGCGGGTCCACATCGAGGGCACGCTCAAACACCGAGCGCGAACGCTCAAACTCGTTCTGGCTAGCCTCCCATTGTGCGTACTTGATCCAAGCTGGCGAATGTTAGTTGGCCTCATGAATGCTTGGGACAACTTACCACCGATGCTGTCGCGCGAGTAGCGGATACGCCCCTCAAACTCGGTACGCTTGCGGCCCTGGTACTCGTGCAGCTCCTCGAGATCCTGGATACGCTGCTTGGGCGCCTCGATGGCGACTTCTTGACGGTCATGGGCTTCACGCAGGATCTGCTCGGCTGTGATCTGTACGGAAGATGTTAGCTGGGCACTGCAAAACAGCATAATGTGGTATCAGCTTACCTGCACGTTGGCCGCGGCGCGGTTCTTGACGCGCGGAGCGCGGTCGCGGGCGTCTCTGCCCGACATGTTGCGCGAAGATGGCCGGGGGTGGTGGTGGTGGTGGTGGTTGCGGTTGGATGTGGCTCGTTCAGACTCTGTCAACAGTTCCTAACTTCAGGTGGCAAGCGAGAGCGACTGATCGAGATGGCGGCGTTTGCGGAGCTAATTGGCGTGTGGCACAGACCCTTTAGGGCTATAGGACGCTGTCTATTAACCCTTGTCCTAATCAACCCCCACCCCATATGCATAGCTCTACAGCGACAGGTCAGTGGAATGCAGCAAGCAACGTGACGTCCCGATGTATGGTGATATGCATGGCACATGCAATAATACAACAAGAAGACCCCAGCCGCCAGCCTGAGGCCCTGCCACTCTCGGTGGTGGTCTCTACTCTTACGTCCCTCTAATCGATGCCGCTCGGGTCGACACGGCAGCCATTGACGTTTGTGGTCGTCGTCGCAAGTGGGTAAAAAACGGGCAAGGAAATGGGAGCAGCGACCGCTTAGTCGAGGTTCATGCCCATCGACGCACCCTCGGCGGGGATGAGGCGCGACTCGCGCTTCTTCTTGCCGGCCGAGGCAATCTGCTGCTCGGCCATGACCTTGCGCTTGGCGGCGCGGACCATGATCTTCTCGCGGGCGGCAGTCTTCTCGGTGAGGCCAGGAGCAGAGACCTTGCGGGGCTGGACGAGCTCGATGTGCTTCTCGACGTCGACGGCGGCGGCACGGAGGTTGCGCATGGGGTTGCCCGACATGCGGTTCTTCCAGAACGCCTTCTCGCGCTTGGCGCGGATCTCCGACACACGCTCCATCGCCTTGAGGGTGGTGGCGACAAGCTCGCGGTCGTAGCGGACGGGGACGTTGCGGCGCTTCTCAAACTCAAAGGTCGAGTCCTGGGTCGTGTGAGCGAGCGTCATAACAAACTGGGCGAGTTGCTGCAGCCCGTGGGTCCACAACGGCAAACACGAGCTCACGGCCAGGCAAGCAGTGGCAGAGAGGTAACCGCCTGGCACACATCCCACACTGTTGATGCACTGGATGGTTGGTGTACTCACGATAACCATGTCCTTGCCGTTGGCACGACGGAAGGCCTTGGTCCAGCGGACCTTGCGGGGGTTACGCTTCATCTTGAAGTTCTTGTGGCACTTGGGCGAGCAGAAACGGAAGCACTTGGCGTCGTTACGGACGAACATGGTGCCGTGACCGGGGTACACGTTCACCGAGCAGCTACACAGTCAGCACACGATTCCAACACCAAAAGTTGCCGCCCGTCGACGTCTCGACGTCTCCCGATGTCTTTCGAGCTCTCGGGTACGCGCAAAGGCCGCTTGAAAGTCGATTTGAACGCACAAGTAACAGGGGACGATCCTCATGCTTATGTAATCGCGATGTCGTGTTGTTTAAGAAAGGTTTGCCGAAGCTGTTGGTGATGGAGAAGGGAGTGACAACGAGTAAGCAAGGTGGTACAGCACACAGAACTTCTCTGGCGGGGGGAAAAATATCCGTGCAGCATTATAGTTCCGTTTTCAGGCACGCACCAAATACCCAAACCTATTTCGTTTTCTAATCTGATCACGAACAGGTTTCTCTGGCCGAATTACATGCATTTGGTAGACTCTTCCACTTGGGTGGTGTTTATACATACAATCTGTTTCAGCGGCCTGGACAGATATCTGTACATGTATGAGACTGTTCTGACAAGTTCGGACTGTTTGCCAGCGCCAGAAGACGACGATCGTGGTGGCGGAGCAGGTGCTCACGCCGCAGCTGACTGTTGACATTACGCTGTTTGCAGCGTGTGGCCTTCTTGGGGAGGTGACGGAGATGCCACATGCTGTGCAGCGCGCTCAAAGGGCTCTTGCTCTTCGGCATCTTGCGATCTGTTGCCGGGTTCTTGTCGATGAATGCCGGGAAGGTGGCGGCAAAGTTGGGGGCGAACTCCTCCATGGCCTTGGTTTTGGCGCATTGGTTTTCACATGCTTTGCGATTTCGAGCAAGAACATGTGCTTGTTGTATTTTTTATTGCGCCCTTGACCTCGGCGACAATGTCGTGGCCGCACGTCTGGCAGCAGCCATCGAGCGGGGCATGTCGCTGGCGATACGAGATGGCCAGCCCTCGTTGGTTGGGAAGGCTATCATCAGCTTCCTCAGCCGCTCGTGGAGGGGGACACTGGGGTGCTGGTCCGTCCACAGCTGCTGGAGCAGCTTGACGTTTGCGTACGGCCGGGCAGAAGCGTCCAAGGAGGGCTCGTCGTCTTCCGAATCGGGATCACCTGACTGGGGGACGACAACAGCAAGGGGGTCTTGAGTCTGCGGGGCAGACACACCCTCGTCTGCGATGACGTCCTCGGAGTCATCGGCCTCTTGTGCCCTTTGGAAGGCTTTCGCGTACGACAGGTATTCCGTTGCCGAGATGATGCCAGTGTCGAACATCATCGTGCGCATCGTGTCCACGTTCTCGTACGGGAAGGTGGACACAAACTGTGGTACAGTCAGCAGACGCTCGGGAGTCAAGTAATGATGCTCACGTCCAAAGCGCTGAGGGCGCAATACTTGCTGTCTTCGCCCGACGGAAAGAGGAGAGCGGGGTGATCGATATCGGGGAAGTCGTCCAGGACATGCTTGTCGACGAGCTCTTTGTAACGCTCCTCGACTTGCTCGTACCTGGTCTCGACTTCTCGCAAAGCACATTGGTAGAGGTCGTCTACCCCGCAAGAACGGCCCGTACGGTTCTCGCACCACGCGATATTGCTGTCAAGGTAAAGCTAGCAATCTTGGGCGAGCTCGAGAACTGTAGCGTCAGTCAGTCATTCTTATGAAGAGGGTCTGTCGTGACCAGCGTGTGGCGAACCGGTGGCGTGTGTGGATGTGGCAGGAGATGGTTACTTACGTTGCTCGTCGGCGCAGACAATGTTGCGAACGAGGTCAGACACCGCCACGTAGTTGTCGTGAGCGGTATTGCCCCGAGTGACAATGAGCGTCGGGTGGACACGCAGCAGGTGTGACGAGAGGCGGATGAGGTTGTTGCGGATGGCGGTGGCCACCCATGGCGCCTTGTCCTCGCCGTCTGGGCCAAAACCGATGCTGCCGAGGACCAGGGGGTCGCCGTCCTTGTCGGCCTTGAACTCCACGTGGAAGTCTGTGCCAGCTTTAAGGACGTCGAGGAAGTCATCGGGGAGGGCGCCAGAGTGGTACGCCAACATGATGCAACTTGTGACGGGGTCCAACGCCGGGTTTGCGGTCTGGACTGGCGAAATTGGCACGTCCTCGCTGTTGGCCGTCTTGCCGTTTGCGACAGTGAAGTCGACAGACACCTGGAGTGCCACTCTGACGATCTCCAGATCCTCCCACACCTGCTCGCGCTGGGTGACGTTGCCCGTACCAGACCTCATCGTCGAGCTGACGCGCAAGAGGGTCTGGTACGCCATAGCCAGCCAGAAGACGAGCTGGAACCTCGACTTGGAGTCGGGCATCGGGAAGTGAGAGTCGAGGGCTCCATCGATCAGCAAGATCACGTTGGCATCGCACCAGGCCTTGGGACGGTGATCGTCGGTGAGGTGGGGAGTGACCTGCAACGATCAGCAATGAGGCGGTGGCAAAACGCGGGACAGGATCACTCACGGCGAGCTCTTCTCGCAGCCATCGCAGGACCTTCTTCGTGATTCCCTCTTCAAGGGCGTTGCCTGTCGACTGGCAAAAGTGCGCAGACAACGACGCCAGCAACTGCGCCAAGGACGACACGGCGGGCCGGCCGTCGGAACCGACAATGTTGCCGCGCGAGCCTGCCGCGACAAGCTCTAGCCACGCCATTAGCGGCTTCGGTCCAAGGCTCTCGGCGCCCAGCATGAAGACGTCGGCCGCGGTCTTGGGTTGTCCTGGGAAGTCGTCCAGGCCATCAGGGAGAGTGACAACGTGATTGAAGAACTCGTCGAAGGCCTGACGAGCCTGGCGGTAGTCAACTTTGGTGTTGTGGGCACCGCCAGTGGGGGAGGGGCTAGTGTTGAAGCCCGACAGCTTGATCCGGTCGTCGTTCGCTGCGTCCGCTGCTGCGTTGAGAGCGCCGAGATATTCGTTGTTGTTGCTCATAATGTGAGAGATAACACTTGGTGTGTTGAGTGAAAGAGAGTTGAGTAGAGCGACGTTGACGTGGAGGGGGGGGGGGGTTATAAACGTGACGGAGGGGAAGGAGGAAGGCCAGGAAGGTGCATGACGACGGGCGCAACAGAAGCTACTCGTGGGGCGCTGGTTGCATCGCAATCCCCAGATCGCCAGTGGCAGGCCAGTGGCCAGTGGGCAGCATGGGCAGTGCGCTCAGTGCTGCACTGTCCCCTGTAGGACATACTTCCACCTTTCCATTATCAGACAGTGACAATGGAAGCGGTGCATGAGTCCGTCCCGTCGAGGTCTTCCTAGTCAGCAGCGCTGTCACGCTAAATCTCGCGGTCGTCGACATCGACGTCATCGTTGCGCTCGCCGTCGTTATTACTTGAGCTGTCGCTGTTACTGACACAGTCATCCATCTCAGCCATGAAGAGAAGAACAACAACACGCCGCGAGTCCTCCATGGCAGCCAGGTTAGACGCGGAAAACGGCTTTGAGTATCTGGATACATCGAGGAACTGTAGAATGACTGAAAAGTGTCTGAATGAGCGTTGGAGTCAGTGTGGGCTGTGGCCTGGCGACCATGGTGGTCAGACGGACATGTTGGTTAGACGGACATGCTGAGCGAGTGGTTGCTCGTGTCGTGCTCATAATAGTCCAAGCGGCCAAGCGACTGGCAGCCTGATTCTAATCGTTTGGCAATCGGCGGGCTCGAACCCGAGACCGGGATCGAAATGGGGAGACTAATCGGGGGGCTAATGACGCTTGTGCACCAGGGTCTCCAGAGATCCCACAGTCGAATGCCACGTCATGCACCACGGCTATCACCATTACACCACACCTAAAGTGCGCAGCGTCAGCGGCGTTGGGGCTCTCGGCAAGAGTGGAACAGGTTCGAACAGCATGGACAGGGCCCACAGGGGTGGTGTGTGAGTTGCATAACAGGGGACAGATTGAGGCATTCTCTGATCTCTATCTCTGAAAAAGACCGGCCATGCGCGCGAGAAAATGAACAGAGGCGAGGGGGGGGGGCGGGGGAGAGATATTGCCCTGGACACGCACTGGTTTCCAAAATGGGTCTGCGGGACGCCGATGCACGAGCACTCTCTCATCTCGGGGGCCAGGCGCTGCTAGGCGCTGGCAAGGTGCTGCTAACCTGACTGCGCGTCAGAGAGTGACCCAGAGGCCAGAGTCCCCCCAGGATCGCTAGGATAAAGAGGCCATTTGCGGTACTTGCGGCAACAGGTTGAACAGGGAGCGCAAGAGCCATCGAGCCCAGCCTAGCCAGCCAGCCTGGGCTGGGCTGCATGGGCTGGGAGGCCAGAAACGTGCCCTTTTGGCGTTCGGTACCGCGACAGCGCGACGGCCGGCTGGGCGGTGGGGGGCGCGCGGTAGAGGCGGAAAGTCACACCCAACAATCCTCTCGCGCGCGCTGGCGGGGCTCTTGGGCTCTCTCTTCGCGCTGGCTGGCGCGCGCGCACGCACAGCGTGCAGTGCTCCCAAACCTTATGAGCATCTTTCCAACTCTTTGCCAACTCCACTCTCCCTCTCTCTTCCATCTCTTCACCTTCTATCTCTTTTAATTTTCACCTTGCACGGCTCACCCCCTGCCCCGTGCTCGACCCAACCCACTAAAGCATCGCCCCATACGCGCGACAGCAACCACACCCTCCTTCGACCCCACTCCACCCCCATCCACACCCCACTTCCACAATGAAGATGAGTGCTCCACGTCGACCCCAGCCGAGCCAATCCGTCTAACCCCAGTGCACGCTTTAATTCTCGTCGGCGGCTTCGGCACTCGTCTTAGGCCGCTCACTGTACGTTTCCCCAATGTCCCCCTCCTGCGCGATGCCGTATGCGTGCGCGTCGTACACGTTTACTGACAGCTGTGCTAGCTCTCGTGGCCCAAGCCTCTCGTTGAGTTTTGCAACAAGGTGAGTTCCGACTGCGGCCCGAGCCATCCCTTAAGATAACAGTACTGACACGTTCACTAGGCTATGATGTGAGTTTCAACCCCCCACTGCTCCGGCGTCGTCTGCACGACGACAGCGCAGTCACAACCCCCGGCTCGCCTTGCGCAGCTGGTACTGCGTCCTCCCTCAACCATGCTGGGATCCTTTCCCTCCCCCGGGCGCACCTTGACGCGTCCGTCGCGCGAACCTAGACTAACACGTGTATAGCCTGCACCAGATCGAGGCTCTTGTCAAGGTGAGTTGGAACACCACCCTTTAGGAACGTGTGCTGACGATGCAAGGCTGGTGTCAAGGACATTGTTCTTGCCGTCAATTACCGCCCAGAGGTCATGGTCTCGGTGCTCAAGAAGACCGAGGAGGAGTACGGCATCACCATCAACTTCTCGGTTGAGACTGAGCCCTTGGGAACTGGTATGTGACACGCTCTCACAAGCTACCTGCTGGAATGCGGCAAGCTGACACGCTCCCAGCTGGTCCCCTCGCCCTTGCCCGCGACATTCTCGGCAAGGACGACTCGCCCTTCTTCGTCCTCAACTCGGACGTCACCTGCACCTACCCCTTCGAGGAGTTCCGGTGTGTGCTACTACCGTTGCGCTCTGCAACGTGTCCGTTTTGCTGCCCGTTGCTGACCCGTGTCCCAGCGACTTCCACCTCAAGCACGGAGGCGAGGGTTCGATCATGGTGCGTTTCAGCTTCCTGGAGAGCCAGGACGCACGAGCGCCGCAGTTGGGGGGCCCGAGATCGAGACTAACGCTGTTTTCAGGTCACCAAGGTCGCCGAGCCCTCTGCGTACGGTGTCGTCGTGACCAAGCCCGGCTCGACCGTCATTGACCGCTTCGTCGAGAAGCCCGTCGAGTTTGTCGGCAACCGCATCAACGCCGGTATCTACATGTTCAACCCCTCGGTCCTCGACCGCATCGAGGTGAGTAGAGTCACGTTGGGTGTTGGGTGTGTGGAGGAGCGCTGGGTTAAGCCGAGCACTGGAGCCAGGCTCTGGTCAACCACGTGGATACCATAGTCTCTGCTGCCTTGGGAGCCGCCTGCGACCACATCCTTCCTGCTGTGTGATACATATACCCAGCGCGCTGTGGGAAGGTGTAGGTCGAGGTGTGCAGGATCCGGGCCGACGTGGGTCACCATATTTGGTCCCAGTGTCTCTCCTGCACCTGCGAAAGAGACCGATTCTGCTCCTCCTCATCCACGATCCCATCCCCCCCACGCCGACGCACCACTGACAACCAGCTCCGCCCAACCTCCATTGAGAACGAGATCTTCCCTGCCATTGCTGCCGACCAGCAGCTGCACTCGTTCGACCTTGCTGGCTTCTGGATGGACGTTGGCCAGCCCAAGGACTTCCTTTCGGGTGAGTGTGTTATCTTGACGGCCAAAGCGGCTCGCGCGCGGCCCACAGGACCGGGAATTCCGGCTAACGAAATCCCACAGGCACCTGCCTCTACCTTTCGCACCTCACTTCCCAGCACTCGCCTCTCCTGACCGACCCCGCTCAGAACAAGTGGGTGTACGGCGGCAACGTCATGGTCGACCCCACGGCCGAGATCGACCCTTCGGCGGTCATTGGCCCCAACGTCGTTATCGGCCCCGGCGTCAAGATTGGCAAGGGTGTCCGTCTCCAGCGCTGTGTGATCATGTCCAACTCGACCATCCGTGACCACGCCTGGATTGCCAGCTCGATTGTCGGCTGGAACAGCACCGTCGGTCGCTGGTGCCGTGTGGAGAACATTACCGTCCTCGGTGACGACGTCACCATCAAGGACGAGCTGTACGTCAACGGCGCCTCGGTTCTCCCCCACAAGAGCGTAAGTCTTGTCCTTTATATTCGTCCCGGCCCGCGTCCCGCGACACGGCTTGATTGTTTCCTTGTTTCCTTTTTTTCCCTTTTGCTGACAGGCTGCCTACAGATTTCGACCAACATCACCGAGCCCCGCATTGTTATGTAAACAAAGGTCGCAGCGCCAAACAGTAGTGAGGAGAGTGAGGGGGCTAGGGCACCCCGTCAGAGTCCTCTCGCCATCCATCGCATCTTGAGTAAGGACTCGGCTATGCATTGGATATTCTATTAGCGTTTTGCTCTGGGTTGCGGTCATTCATGTGTGGAACGTGCGACTGGCTGGGGTACAGTAGACGTCAAGATTTGAGGCGCGACAGCGTCCAATGTTAACCTTGTAATCAAGCTTCCTTGTGACACCACCACCACCGTCTCGTGCTTCGTGCTTGTGTGCGTCACGGCAGCCTACCTATGTCCCATACATTGCTTGGCGGCTTTAGACCTCACTTGGCTGCAACCCCCAATTCCATGATTGCAAGGGGTTGGATACGGGTACGGCCGAGAGGCATGTTTGTTCCCCCTTCGTTCCCGAATGTGCGCAATGTGCACCGGGGAGCCCACGTTTGTGGTTACCGACCAGCGATCCGGTGACGAGGACCAGCCCTGTGGCCTGACTCATACCGCCACTTCCCTCTCCAGCGCGCCAGCGCATGTGGCGCGCGCGGCGTCTCACGTCTCGCGTCTCACGTCTCTGCCACAGAACCCCACACACATACTTTGCAGTGGACGGCGAGCGCTTACGTACGGGATGTGTACACAAGAGGCAAACCAGGGCAGGGTCGGCCAAGCATATCCTCTGCTCCCGGGGCAATGTTGTTGTCCTGAGGACCCGAGGCCATGAGGCCTGTGATCCTCTGAAGTCTGGCATCTGGCCTCCTGCCGTCATGCCTTTCACCACCGGGAAGAAAGAAAGAAAAACCTCCTGTTCGGCAGTGTCCAAAGTGGCTGTAGCTGTTCCATCGTAACCAACCCGTAACACCCGTGTGTCGTCCCGTGTTCCTCGCCTGGTAGCCGCTTCGACCGCTTCCCTCCCCTGGATCCAATGAACGCCGTTTTTTCTGGCGCAGAACTGCCAGAGAGGGAGAGCCGTAATAAAGGGCAAATACCGCGGGCGGAGGTTTTTAGCAGCAAGCAAGAGCAATGGGGCTGGTGGTGCTAGACGAGAACACCGTGGTCGCCACACTCGAACCGGGTTGAAACATGCAACCTGCCCAGCCTTTTGCCCAGTTAGCTCCGAGGTTGCGAGGCGAGGTATGTGTTTGGTCGCGCCAACGTATACCAGGTGCAGGCTCGCAGCCTGGCACGCGCTTTGACACAGAGAGACGGTGGACAGGGAGGCAGCGGCGGCGTTCTTCAAGGATCAAGGATCAAAGGAGCTAGGAGCGCGACTTCCCGTGCAGGGTGGGTGGCAGATCGCAGCGCCTGATCGTCCAGGATTGCAAAAAACAGAAAAAAAAAACCCGCCGGATTGCAGCAGACCGAGATCGAGAGAGGGACAGCTGGCCTCGAGCTGGCAGGCAAAGCTGGAACCGAGAGCCTCGATCGAAGGAGCTCTCCCTTGCAGACGCCGCGTGCAGCCCTCCTTCTGACGGCCGCATGCCGTCCCATCACGGCCTGTGTGAGCGGCGTAGGAGACGGGAGCGACAGTGTGGCAGCCACCGGACCGCGAACGGCCCCCCCGTCCCTTTGCGGGTCGACCGGGAATGCTGTGCGACAGTCTGAGCAGAGGCCATCCCAACAGTGTGCACCAGGCCAAAGACATTGCCCGCACGAGACAATGTCCCCATCGCATGCCGGCGCATGCCTTGAGCTTTACGTGTTGCACGAGGGTCCGAAAGCACCGACCCAGGACCGCAGCAGCAGCCCTCCATACCGAGATCCCTCCTAGCGGTCCAGATCCGAACGAAGGCTGAGAGGGCTGAAGGGAACCATCAACCGTTAAGCGTCTGTGTTGTTGTGGTGGTGGTGGCGGGCAGCCTGCTTGGTCACTGTGCAACCGAGCACCGGGACCCGTCCTGCGATCCCTCTTGTCGATCCCACATATGCCAGGTCTGTGTTTCCAGACACGCATTCCTCCCCACACTCTCTCTTCTTCTCCAATCTATCCCCACCACCCCCCCCCCACCACCACCGCGGCTGCCGCCGCCCCTGCGTCACTCGTTCAGCCCAGTCCGCTCGCCACCACCCACATTCGCTAGACAAGCTCTGAGCTGCGCCTCGCCCAGTCACAAGCCCCCGTACAAGCCAACCCACAACCCCCACCACCGTACCACCGTCCTTTACCTTCGTTCTTCCCCGCAAACCTCTCGGCAGCGAGTCCGCCTGCCGTCCGTCCACCGACTGCTTTCATACGCCTGTCTGTTCCTGGCACCATCCCATCCCATCTCCAATCTGGCTGGCTGTACCATACCCGCCAAGTCAAATCTCGTTGCCGTAGCAGGCCCAGCTGCTCGCCCGCGCTTGCACGCTTGGACGGCCCGATTTCAGCCCCGCCAACAGTCAATATAACCCCCCGGCCCCCTTCATAGTTGCGCACACACCACCCTCTCGCATCGCCATCCGTCGTCTTTGTTTTTCCTTTTGCTGGAACTCGGGGCTTGACTGTTCGCGGCTCTGCTCGCACTTGTTCGGCGGCCACCTCGCTGTTACTGCGACGCCACCACCACCACCATCACGCATCCACCCACGCCCACGCCTCGACCACTGCGCGCGCCCCCCGCGATAAACACTCGCGACGCCAACGGCCGCCTCCATCTCCCACCACCTGGCGGAACGCAGACACCCACGTTCAAAAGTAACCGGGGGATCCCTGGGCAGCACTGTGCGCACCAGAGGGCAAGCATACCCTGGCTCGCGCTCGGCCATTGTCCTGGCTCGTCTCCCTTTTCGTTGTGCATTCGCTCCCTTTTAACCTTTCAAACCTACTCTACGACCCTCCCGGCCGTTCCCCCCAACGCAGAGTTGGGTTTGTCTGGAGAGAGGCACGCCCCGGACAGTGCAAAGTGGACCACCACACACACCCTTCCCGTGCCGTGCGTCTCATATCACCACCACACACCATCTCCCTCCTTTGCAAAGCCATTATAGCATTCACTTGCTCTTCTCTTATCACCACCCCCCCCACCACTGTCGCCGTCTCAATTGTCCTCTGCGCGCACGCCCTTGAGCGCGCCAGTGTCGACGCGTCCAACGCCACCCCGCGATAGCGGCCCTTCCGGTCCAAATTGCTCGGCAGGGCTCTCATTCAATTCCCTGTTGTCGCTCACGTTGCGCCATTCCACACCTGGAATAACTTTGACTGGCGTCCAGTTCCCACCTGTCGTTCATCGTTGTCCTTTCATCCATTCTCCTTTCTTGTGAGTGCCAGACACAACCCCCCTGTTGTGGTCGTGCTTCGCGACGCCATTGTACCCCTCCCATGGTCCATCACTTGTCACCAACATGCTACGTGCCCTCCTTGGCGTGTTCCAGCCCAGCGGACGGCGCTGCTGCACGGGCCGTGTGCAACCACAACGCACGGCCCAGCGAACATGGATGGATAACAGGGCCGCGCGCTCTTTATCGCGCAGTGGATGAGCACTGCCTCCCCCCCCCCTCCATCCTTCCATCCTCTAGTGACTTGCAACTGACGCGCAAACCCAGTCATCATGGCTCCCGAAGCTCAGCCAAACGGCGGTCCCACGCCAGTGGTCGCCGGGCGTGATACCATTGTCACCGTCATTTCCACCATGGAGTCCACGCCCACTGCGGCCACGTCCAGCGCGGCGGTCAAGTCAAAGTCCAACATCGGCCCCATTGTCGGTGGTCTTGTCGGCGGCATCGCTGCTGGTCTCGTGCTTATTGGCCTCATCATCTGGCTCTTCCGCTGGCGCAAGAACAAGAAGGAGTCTGAGAAGCAGATCCTCGAGAAGCGCCGCAAACGTCTGGAGCAAAAGTATCGCGTCACCCAGCACTCGACCACGTCGTCCTTGAGCAGCAACGCGCGCCTCAACTCGGTGGCCGTGTCCGAGAAGAGCTTCGACCCCAGCGTGCCCGTCACTCCCCCGGTCCGTCTCCTCACGACGCACGAGTCGCCCAAGGCAATCGACCCCTTCCAGAACGAGCACGGCTACGGCCAGGCCATGCAGTACGTCGTTCCCGCGGCTGGCAACAACATGGTGCAGCAGCCCTACGACCAGCAGCCGACTGTTGTGTACGTGCCCATCGTCCTCAACAATGAGCAACCCCCAGCCGCCGTGTCTTATACTCCCCCGTCGCCTCCGGCGTCCGATTCCGACTCTGGTTCCTCGTCTTCAGGATCGTCTGGAGGCCCCCAATCTCAGCCTTCTTCTAGCGGATCCTCGCGCCGCAGTTCCACTCGAGGCGCCGCTCGCGCAGCTGCCTCCGAGCTCGCCGTCGCGTCAGCGTCTGCCCCGCTCTCGTCACGCCACCGCCCACTGCGCCCGTCTCCTCTCGCCAACTCTTCAGAGCACATGCGCAACTCTGCGTTCAACGGCGGCTCCCCGGACCCGTCGCTCAGCGTGTCGCCGGCGTCGTCGTCGTCGGATGGATGTTCCCCATTTTCTTCATCACCAGGCACAATGTCCCCGCCTTCTTCGGATTCGCACGCCGCCGCATATGCGGCTGCCGCCGGAGGAGCCTGGGCGATGCCTCACGGCCAGGACAAGATGGAGGCGCACATGGACTTTACCAAGCCCAAGGGGGTTGACGCGTCGCCTGAACTCGACGGCGACGATGTCCGCACTCTGTCTGGCGTGTACTCTTACGACCCGTTCGCCGAGTACCACAGTTACGAGGCCATGATCGATGGCCGTGAGGACCTCGCGCCTGAGACTACCTACGCCGTCGAGCCTGGACACGCCGTCTAGAGCTCCCTCCCCCCGTGTCACCTTCCCCGACCCTTCATACAAACCATACGCGAACCCTCCGTGGACTTTCAATACGAGGACGCTTTTCTATTTGCCCTGCCCGGCACCCCTCTGGACTATGTACTGTCGGCATTGTAACATACGCAAAATATGCACGGCCTGCGCGCCCACTCTCTTTTTCTACTGCACTGTGCGCGTCGGACGCGTCGCGCGTCTTAGACATGCACTGCACGAGGCGCACTGAATGGTATAGCCTGCCTGTCGGGTTGTTTAAGGGCGGGAGGTGCATTTTGTCGGCAAGCGCAGAGTATGCGCCACCCAGCCAATGTTGAAATCTGGCACAGCTGCTGGCGCGTTTCTGTTCCCGCTTTGGTCGTACATGTCGTTACGTTTCAGCGGCACCGACTGTTGCTTTCTTGCCACCCCCACCTGCACCATGTCGACTATAGTCGAATCACGCCCGCGGGGCAACTACATCCCCGTCGACTGTCCCGAGTACGTGACCTTTATTCTCGGCTCGGGTGTGTCTGAAAAGCAGACCGCCAGAAAGACAGGCTCGTCCGAGCAGCTCAGGAAGGCCGGCAGTTACTGACCACGAAACCCACAGGTGCAAGTCGCAGCAAGAGTACCTCGTCCCGCCGACGTTCATCGGCGGCCTTCGCGTGCGCTGCAGCGGCTGCCGGACTATCTTCACCCACCCGCAACCCAGGCCTGGCACGGCGACGAGCTCGAACGGCGCGTCCTCGGGCTCTGGCACAGCGGCGTCGGGCTGGCCGTCGTCCAACTCCGGCCCGTCCCGCCGTATCGGCACCGACGCCAACCCCATCGACATGGCATACTATGACGTCCTCGGGCTGCCAGCGAGCGCGACCACCGAGGAGATCAAGAAGGCATACCGCCGCCTGGCTATCAAGCTGCACCCGGACAAGGTAGGCTGACGCGAACGAACGACACTGGCGACGGCGAGGTCCCCGAAAGCGAGAGCGGTGGTCCAAGCCCCCCCTGGGAAGCCCCGCAGGGGGCGCGTGTGTCGCGTGTGACGAGATACCATACCCCCCGACCGACGGGCAGGGCGCTCGTAGTGCCGGTGTGTGGAGGAAGAGCAAGACGCTGACAGAGCAGAACCGCGACGACCCCGACGCCGAGGAGAAGGTGAGCTACCCCCCCTCCCTCCCTGGCGCTGTAGCTGACAACCCCGCGCAGTTCAAGCAAATAGCCGTTGCGTACCAGGTGCTCTCTGACGTCGACCTGCGGAAGAAGTATAACGAGTTTGGGCAGAAGAATGGCGGCGGCGGCGCCGACGAGGGCCTGCAGGACCCCGAGGAGGTGTTTGGCAAGATGTTCGGTGGCGACAGGTTTGACGACCTGATCGGCACGATCAGCATTGGTGCGTGTTTCGCGTACAGCCCAGCTGGAGCTCTGCTATGCCGGAAAACTGGGGTGTAGCTGGGGCCTCGCGGGGCCTCGCGCCTCGCACCTGCTGACTCGCCACAGGAAAGGACATGAAGGACGTGTTCCAGCAGCAGCACGAGGAGACGCGCGAGGGCGATGTCATCATCGGTCCCAACGGCAAGCCGACGCTCTCGCCCGAGGCCCAGGCGCGCAAGACAGAGCGCGAGCGTCGGATCCACGACGAAAAGGACCAGGCGCGCCGTGAGCGTGTGGAAAAGCTCACGACCAACCTCGTCCGCAAGCTCAGCATCTTTACAGAGGCCGCAAAGGGTCCAGACGACCCGCAGGTCGGGCCCTCGTTCAAGGTGGGTAACGAGCGTTATCGCGTTTGGCTGACCCACCAGGAAATCTGCCGTCTCGAGGCCGAGTACGTCCATGTGTGCGCATCTTTTGAACACTGTGCTAACCTGGCAGGGACCTCAAGGAGGAAAACTACGGTGTCGAGCTCCTGCAGGCCATTGGCAGCACGTACAAGTCACGCTCGGCCCAACACCTGGCCACTGCCCAGTTCGCTCCCCTTGGCTGGTTCCACGGCGCCAAGAACACGTTCAACACTGTCTCTGACACGTGAGTGTGATCTGGCACAGCGTCTCCCTCTTTCTTCCCCAACATCATGTCTGCTGTGTATGATCGCGAAGGGTTCCAGCTGACCGCAGTGTGTCGACCCTCCGGTCCGCTCTCGAGCTCAAGGCCGTGTTTGAGAAGCTGCAGGCCGCCGAGCAGTCGGGTGTCTCTCCAGAGGAGCTCCGCAAGCTCGAAGAGCAGGCCGCCGAGCAAGGTCTGCGGACCCTGTGGAAGGGCGCCAAGCTCGAGGTCGAGTCGGTCATTCGCGAGACATGCGACAACGTCCTGTCCGACCTGAACGTTTCCCGCGAGAAGCGTGACCTGCGCGCCGCCGCCCTCGGACTCATGGGAGAGGTAGGTTACGGGAATGTGCACACGCTGACCTATCCAGGCCTACTCGTCTGTCCAGAAGGGCGTTGACGGCTCGTCTGAAGAGTTTGTCAGGATTGAGACTGCCGCGTCCAAGCAGCGTGATGCCGCCCGCGCCTCGACTGACAAGCCGCGCGCCTCGCCGCCTGCCGCGCCCTCGAGCCAGACCAAAGTCGACGACAACGCGTACCCGAAGGAGAAAGGAGGTGCGAGCCGCCCCGAGCAACCACGGCAACCACCGGTGCCCGATGATGACCGGCCCTCGTCGGGCTGTTAGTCGGCGAGAGACTGTCAGAGCTGACACTAGACTTTGTTCCAGAGCACAAGACCTACGCACCCTGTTAGTGTGGCCAGGATACCACGCACAACAGTTCGCTGCTGACACCAGCAGATGAACCGAGACGAAAGCAGTGATTCCCATCTTATATCCATCTAGACTGCGCCCCATCCAGCTTATTTTCCTTTTCTTCATCTGTGATATAATGCATACATGTCGCCTTGCTGCTCCGTGCCTACTACTACGCCCGGGGTCTATCGTCTCGCTTCTAGTCGTCGCGGTTCTCCTCGTTTGGCGGCGGATCGAGGAGGTCGAGGGACAGGTAGAACCCATCCCAGGTATCGTCGTCTGGGCCCTGCGCGGCCCACTCGGCCGCAGCACGCACCATGCGCGCCATGCGCGCGTCGTCGCTGTCGTCGTCGTCGCCATCCTCGTGGATGTCGTACAGCGGCTGCGGGCGCTGCGGGTAGTCGTCCTGCGGGGAGAGCACGTCAATGACCTCGTCCTCGGCCACATTCTTCTTGCGCGCTTGCTCGTCTTCGTCTTCCTTGGCATTTGTCAGCTTGTGCGGGGACAGACCATATGCAAGTTGTTACTCACAATGTCAAACTCGTCCTCCCGCTCGTCATACTCGACGTTCTCCTCCAGCTCCTCAAAGCCAGCAGCGAACGCTGCCCACTTGTCGGGATTCCGTGTCTGCCAGATATGAATGTCGCCCGAGTCAGCCGCAGACGCGACGATCGGCCGTGTCGGGTGCCACTGGTGGTCAGCTTCAAGGGCAGTCAGTCACGTTAAGCTAAAACGCACATCACAGTCCACCAGAGGCTCCTTGGGTCCCTCGAGCACCTTGACCAGCGCACCGGTCTCGCGGTCCCACACAAAGACGTTGTGCGCCATCTTGTGGCCGGCGCCGCCCATGACGTACTCGCCATCGCCCGAGAAGCCCACCGCGTGCCAGGGCGTGCGGTTGATAATGTCCTGGAAGCGGTGGATGGGCAAGAGCTCGCCAGTGCGCGGGTTGACCACGAGGACACGCAGGGCGCGGTCGGACGACGAGAGGATGAGGTTCCTAAGGGAGGTGGGTCAGCTTCTACGACGAATACTAGGCTGGTGCCAGCTCGATGGGTCGGGGGTCACCCCTGAGCTGACATGGCCGCTACCTCCCACCAATCCACACGCCACGACTCACTGTCCCGAGGCGTCGAATGCCAGCTGCCTGATACCGCTGGTACCAACACGGATGCGGCTGAGCACCAGTCGCGACACGGGGTCGATGATGAGGACGACGCCAGAGCTCGTGCCGGCGTATATCCTGCTACCGCATGGGCTCCATGCCGCACAAGCAAGAGAGGACCTGTTGAGTCAGCTGGAGGGCATCGGATAGAGAGTCCCCAGCTACACGCACTTCTTTCTTGGAGCGGCTGCTTCCTCGCCATTTGCTCCTTCGTCGTTCTGTCCCTCGCCGTCCTGCTCGCCCTCCATGACGTCCTCGAGAACATCCCGCCTCCCCTCCCCTCTCAAGTCGGCCAGCACGACCTCGTTGCATGTGAGCGTCGCGAGGATGATGTTGGAGTTGCGCGGGTGGAACTGGGCCGTCGCGAGCGGCGCGTCGAAGCGGATCGTCCTTGACCGCGAGACGGTTGCGCTGCCTGCCGGGTTATGGGGTCGCAGAAGAGGCGAGGCAACGGCAAGGTCCCAGATAATGGCTGTACCATCGAGTGATGCACTGAGGAGATAGCGGTTGTTGCGTGACCAGCTGCAAGAGTCAGACACCAACCAGCACGTTAAGAGCTCGAATGTCCGGCAAACCAAGATGCCTATAGCTCCATGTGCCGCGATGTACGCACCTCAGGCCTCCCACCGCCTTGACGTGTCCCTCCAGCACACGCACGACCCCACGGCTTTCGACATCCCACACCTCGACGAGGCCGTCAGACCCGCCAGCAGCGAGGTAGTGTCCGGCAAACGGTCCCGACTGGTTGAAGCGCACGCTCGCGGCTTGTGAGCTGAGCGTGCTGTCGACCGCCTCGGGGTACTTTTGCGCAAACGGGTCTGAATGGTAAGCGTTAGATACAGATCAGAGACGACCTATCTCACTGAGAAGCTGCTGCATTGCAGCGGGTGTTGTGATGGACAAAGTGGCCGCAATGTTCGGTCAGTTGTTTTCGTTTGCGTCGGTGATCGTCTGTCTGGAGGCGCTATTAGGATGACGGTGCTAATAGACCAATTAGTAAATGGGCTCGCCATTACAACGCCACCTGATCACACGGTCACCTCCGTCTTCGACTGTCTCCTCCTTTCGCCATTAACCACTTCACTTTGTCTCATCCCTCGCACATCTGTCGCGATGCAGGTCCGACCACCCACCACGGAGCGGTACATCCCGCCTACAGCACCCCATGTACCGATCCATGCGGTCCAGAGCCTCATCCCGCGTCTCGCCACGGCAATCAACGACATTGACGGCCTCAAGGCGCAGCTCGCAGCGGGCAATGCGGACGGCAGCATGCCAAGCTGGTGAGCTTACACATGCATCCCAGTCCCAGCTGACATGAACCAGGGATACTCTTCTCCAGCGCTACGCCATGCTCCTCGGTCGTGTGCACGCTCTGAGCTCGTACGTCGCTCAACCGCCAAGCAAGGGGCCGGGTCTCCCCTCTGTGCGGTCTGCTGCAGTTCCCCCCGGACCACCAGGAGCAGCAGCAGCAGCCGCAGCAGCCGGTGCCGGCGGCGCGGCCTCGGTCCCCGGCGCACCAGGCGCCGACGCTGCCCAGCCGCCCGCGCTCGCACACTACCTCGTGCACCCTCTCCGCCCGCTGCCACCAGATGCCAACCCTATCGCGCCCGACGTCCTCTTCCAGGCGATCAACACGCTCCCACTGCCCGCGCTCGCTGGCGCCCAGGCCGAGCTGCTGGGCGGCGGCGGCGCGGCGTCCGACTCTGCTGCATCAACCTCGGCGGCGGCTGCCGGCCTCTCGTCAAGCAAGGGGTTCATGGGCGCCGAGGCGCTGGCCAAACTCGACGAAACGGCGCTCACGACCTTTACGACCGACCTGCGAGCACGCCTCGACCGCGAGTCGCACCGCGCCACCGCGATGGTGCGCGAGATCCAGCGGCGAGAGGAGGAGTTTGACTGGACGATGCGTGTGGGCGAGGAAGAAGAGGAGAAGGACGACCTGTTTGACGATGACGAGGAGGATGTGGACATGAAGCCTGCACCCGTGCCCAACCCGCGCGAGGGCTGGTCTGTGGCCGATTATCTCAGGCTGTTGGATACGGGCAGGCCACCAGAGCAAGCGCCTGCACCGGCGGCGCAGGCGGCCACGGGTGCTGCTGGTGCTGCTGCGCCGGCATCGACGTCACCTGCTGTAGCTGCTGGATTGGTGCCGGGCCCATCAGCATGAGCACAAGCATGAGATGGATGTAACATTATTTAGCACCTGTGCACTGATCGCACTGAACGCCCCTCTCTTTGCAGCTCATCTCATTCGCAGACCAACGTTTGCATCGTCAGGAAATACGTTACTCTCTACCACCAGCACATTCGTGTATCAAGAAAGAAAGAAAGAAAGAAAGAAAGAAAAAGCGTCTCAGAAATTAAGGCGTCTCGTGGCCCGCCCGCGGCGCGCCGCGCTGCGCCCGCCGCCGTCATCCTCTTTTTTACTGCTGTCCCTTCTGCGGCGTCATGGTGAACTTGGACGAACGCGGGGTGTCGGTCGAGACGCCGTTTTTGGAGCTCACGCTGGGCGTGCGGCTACGGGTGCGCGCGAGGCCCTTGGACATGAGGCCCGTCTGCCAGTCGAGGCGGAGCTTGAGGAGACCGGTGCCGTCGTTGAGCTCGACAAAGACGTCGGCGGTCGGGACGGCAGGCTGGATGTGGCGCCAGATGTCAATGGTGGCCTCGCCAATCTCGCTGTCCTTGCCAAACGAGTGCTTGTCGTAGACGGTGATGACAAACTGGGTGGTGCCGGGCAGAAGGTTGAAGTTGAACGTGTCGTTCCATTCGCACTCGACGCCCTTCTGGTAGTCGGTCTTCATCGTCTTGGCGCCGAGCTTGACGACCGCGTAGGGCTTGAGGTCCTTGGCGCCGTGCGAGCCAGAGGGCTTGAGGTCCTTGGCGCCAATGACGGCGACGGTAAGAGTACCAGGCTCAGAGGTGGCCGCACCGGCACCCTCAGGGAGGGTCTCGCCAGCGGCAATGGCGCCGACGGCGGCGGCGGGAACGAGCTCCTCAACGAGGTCGGCCGGGCCCGAGACCTGGGTGTTGGGAGCGAGCTGGACCTGAGGAGCAACGTTGTAGCCCTGGCCGGCCACGGGGGGAGTTTCCACAATGGTGGGAGGCTCGTTGACGCTGCTCGAACGGTCCTTCTTCCTGAAGAGACGCGTGGGAGCGGTGATGACGTGGCCGACACCAGAGACGACGGCACCACCACCGGCAACCACACCCTTGCCGACAGCGACGGGGGCACCAATGGCAGCGCCACCAATGTTGGTAACAGTGCGGCCGGCAGCCGAGAAGGTAGAGGTCTTTTGGCGGGTACGGGCAATGATCTGGGGGCGGAACAGAACGTTGCACTGCAAGGTACCGAACTGCTTGCCCTCGAGAACGACCGGGACGTCAAGGTTCTGGAGCTCCATGGGCTCGAGGGCGGCGAGGTTGAGGAGGCCGCCACCGAGCTCGTCGGCAGAGCCGACTGTGTTCCAGTCATCGACCTCGTACGCGAGCTGGGCCTTGACACGCGAAGGGACGGCGACCTCAAAGGTCTCGTTCCAGACGGGGTTGACCGTCTTCTTCTTGGTCTCGGACTTGAAGACCTTGTCGCCGTTCAGGAGGAAGGTGACGTTGGGGTCAGACTTGCCACCACGGTCGGCGGCCTTGAGGTTCTTGGCACTGATGACAGTCACGCGGAGCATACCCTGGTCGTTGATCGACTCGCGGGCGGTGAGCTTGATGCCGACGGGGACGAAGCGCGACGACATCTTGATGGTGCTGCGACTGCCGTCCTCGCCAGTGAGGACAAAGGTGGCCTCCTTGTTGAGCGACTGCTCGAGGAACTCCTTGGTGTCCAGGTGCAGCTCGGCCACAATCTCGTCCTTGTCCGCAGTAGGGTCATCGGCAGCGTTGATACGCAGCCAGGTCGTGCCAACGTCGAGCTCACGGACAAAGCCCTCGCCGACCTGGTCCCAGCGAGCGTGCTGGCTGCGAGCACGCTCCGAAGTGTAGGCGGGCCAGTAGCCCTCGTCGAAGAGGACCTCGAGGCAGCCCTTCTTGGGGAGGTGGCCTTCGATGCACTGGAAAACGAGCACACCGCTCTGGGAACCGAGGATCTCGGCATCGGACAGGACGACACCAGGAGTGGGCTTCTCGGGCTCGGCCTCGGCCTCACCCTCCTTGGGCGTGCCACCGTTGACAGCGTCCTTGGCGACTTCCTTGGCAGCTTCCTTAACGGGGACTGCCGGGACGGGGGCGGCAACAGGGGTGGCTGTACCACTCGCGATAGGAGTGGGGGCACCGTTGGTGCTGGCGGCAGTCCTGGCAGCGGCAGCCTCCTCGAGGTCGTTGGCCTTGGCCTCAAACGAGACACCGTCCTTGAAGGCAACAGCGGGGCAGAAGTCGACCTCGTAGTTGAGAGTACCCTTGAACTGGCCGGCCGACGCCTGCTTGATGCGGTCGGAGCGGGTCTGGGGACCAGCCTTGGAAGCGTAGGGGTACGTGAGGTCAGACTCGTTGGCGACAATAAAGTCGGAAGCGTCAATAGAAACAGTGCCGAGGGTGCGGTCCTTGCCAACGTTCTCGTAGTCCATGACCTCGAGGACAACGCGTTCGCGGAGGCTGTGGACGGGAACGTAGACAAACTGGTCCCAAACGGGGTTGAGGTTGTTGTTCTCGACCTCGGTACGGGCGAGAGTCTTGTTGTTGACGGAGACACGGACGTATGGGTCAGACTTGCCGGCGAGCTCGAGGTTCTTGATATCGGTGGCGTTCTTGATCAAGACGCGAAGGATACCGATAGGAGGCTGGTACGAGGAAGCAGCGTCGATGACGCCAGCCATGGCAACGGGACGGAAGTCGGCAGAGATACGGACCTTGGCATCGCGGGTGCCGGCGAGGGGGAACCAGTCGTTGCCAGAGGCCTTGGCAGCCATAATCTCGGCAAGCTTCATGCTAAGACGACCAAGGGAGCCACCGGCCTTGTCCTTGCAGACAACGGTAATAACAGATGCGTTCTTGTCGGCAACCAGGAACTCGGTGTGGGACTCGTAGGCAGGGGTCTTGGACTTCTTGACAACATCGGTAACGTGGCAGGGAGTCTTGCTGGCACCGAGGAAGATCTCAGCAAACGAGTTGAGGTCGTTGCCGGCACGGTCAAAGTCCTTGGCCTGGTGGACGGTAAGACGAACAATACCAGTGGGAATGTCGGGAACGGGCTCCAGGACACCGTCGGCGTTCTTGACGGGCTGAATGGTCGGGTAGTAGGTCAGGTCGAAACGAAGGTCACCGCGGTCCTTGCCGCCGTCGAGAACCTTGCCGACAACACCCTCGCGTTCGGCATCGTCGGCAAGCTCCTTGAGCTCCTGCATGACCGTGCCGATGAGGTCGTCGGGGCGGTGCTCGTTGTAGTCGAAAACGTTGAGGTTGAGAACGTCGGAAAGCGAGTTGATAAGAACAAACTGGGTCTCACCCCAGGCAGGAGTAGCGGTGGCCTCGATGGTCTTGGTGCGGGCGACGGCGGGGTTGGTACCGAGAGACATGGAAACGTACGGGTCGGGAGCACCGCCACCAATCTTGGTCGACTTGAGGCCGTGGGCGTCGAGGATGTGGATCTTGAGAACGCCAACAGCGGCGTCGAGAGGGGTGCCCGACATGAGCTGCTCAAGGTCGATGGTGAACACGTTGGGGTCGTACATCATGGGACCGAGGGCGGCGTGAACCTGGTTGTGGATGAAGGGCTCGAGGCCGGGAATCATGTTAATGTCAAAGCCAAGAGTCTCTCCACCGATGGGCTTGAGGACAAAGTCAAACTGGGGCTTCTCGAGGAAGGACATCTCGACCTTTTGGACGTGGGGCATGGCGCTCATGAGCTTGAGCTTGATGCGCATCTTGCCGGAGAAGTTGAGGTCCTCGAGGAGGATAGGCATGCCAGTGGAAATGAAGCCCTTGCCGAGGCGGATCTCGAGAACAATCTTGGGGTTGACGCGGTCCTTGAGCTGACGCGGGGTAATGTCCTGAATGTCGTTGGGAGTGAACGAGAGGGCCCAGTCCATGACGACCTCGTCATTGGGGCTACGCCGTCAGCTATCTACATTCGTCACGAGTAGGTACACACGTCTTGGGGAAGGTGCGGACATAGTCGATGCGGGGAGCCTTGTTGCCGACTGGTTCTGTTAGCTCAAAATACAAGCAGGCGTTTTTCTAGCCAACTCACGGGTAAAAGTAGGCATGGCAAGACCCTCCAAGAAGCTGGGGCAGTTGGCATCCAGAGCAGGGGCGACGGCGGCAATAATAGTGGCGGAAAGAACGGGCTCGTACCTACACACAGTGTTAGCTTGGCATTGCGTCGGAGTAAACATGAGGCAGCAGTCTGTGTGGGCACACACTGTCTACGCCATCAGTGAATGACGTACATGAGCCAAAAGCGGTCCAGGAAGCCGTTGAGCCAGTCAGCCGACTCGGTCTCGGTAATGAGACGGGTCTTGACGAGCTCGCGCTGAATGTCATCGCGAGCGTAGCGGCGGGTGCGCTCGATCGAAAGAGAGTACATGGTCGCGCAGAAGGCGAGGATGACGAAAATCCAGCCCCAGCCAAGGCCGATGGCGGTGATGAAGCGAGTGGACACGACTGCGAAGATGATCTGTGGAGCGAGGGGTCAGGGGGGGGCGGTTCTTCTCATCACTGCTGTTCTCGCCACTCACCACACCACCATTGTGGTACCACTGGCCGTAGTACTGGTCCTTGCTGAGACGATGTCAGAATTCGCCCTCCCCAGTCTGTCGGATACGTACAGGTAGGTCGAGAGGATGCTGAGCTCCTCCTGGGTCTTGGTGTCACGAACACCGCGGCCCTCGATGCCGCCAACCTCCTTCCAGCCCCTAGGCATCTATACAAATGTCAGCCAAGTGCGCCTTGATTGCCGTGCTGGATACATACCCAGTCGGGGACGCCGGGGAGAACAGTCTTGGGGATGGTGCCGGGGATGTCGTCCTCCTGAGAATCGCGGGGGTCAGCCGACATGCTTTAAGAGTGAAGCGAGAGTGTGTAATGATGAGAAACTAACGGTGATGGGCTTTGAGGCCACAACAGCGTCCGCGAGGGACGCCGTGGTCTTGGGGGCGTTCGAAGTGGACGTGTCGATGGCAAGGGCTGTGCGAAGTTAGCCGCGAGTTTGAGGAATCTCACACATTGCGGCCCCGCCGGATCAAATTGACTGGTGGGGGGAAGACAGAATAACAACTCACCACGGGCCGAATTCTTGGGATCGTCCTTGAGATGGCCCATGCCGGGCATGCTGCCAATGGCATTCTTGGCACCGCCTGCAACTGCACCGACACCGCTAATGGCAGTGCCAGCAACAGCACCAATGCCCGCGACGGTTCCGCCGGCAACAGCGCCTGTAATGCCGACAGCCCCGCGGCCGACGGTGCCAACACCGTCAACAGCAGCACCGCCGACCATGGTCACTCCCTTTGTGACACCAGTGCCGACGCTCATGACACCCTTTCCGACTCCCTTTCCGAGAGCCTTGGGAGCGCCAAACACGCTCTTGAGGGCGCCCTTCTTCTCGGGGCCAGCGCCGTTGGTCCCGTTGGGAGCATCCTGGCTAGCCATGGTTTAAAGGATCACCGCTGGGTGGATGGATGAAAGAAAGCGGCGATCGTCCGTCTCGATATTTGGCACCGAGGGAAGAGGTTGTGAAGAGACCCGAACTGCGACGGGGGTTTGTTGTCTTGACGGGTCGTCACAGTTGCCGGCGCGCGGGGGGGCGGGGCGAGAGAAGGGGAGGGAAGAAGATGGGAGAAGGGGGAAAGGGGGGGGGGGGGGGATGGGGCGGCTGTGGATGGGTAAGTTAGTGAGAGATGGAAGGGGGTTGGAAAGAAGGAGAGGCGGTGGTGGATGGATGAGATTGAGATGTGCGGCCCAGCGTGGGTGGTGGATGGTGGTGGGTGTGCGGGGGGATGTGCGGGTCTCTCGGGGCAGAGCATAGGCAGAGAGGACAAGAGAGCAGCAGCCGTTTGAACCGCGCGTGCCGGGCGATCGAGCCAAGCCGTGCGTTGCAATGGGATGGGCACTCATCCTAACCCCCGCTCATCGCAGCAGCGTCTCATCGTCATCGGTCCCTCAGTGTCGCTCGTGCAGTTCGCGTGCAGTGCCTCCGCACCGTGGCGTGCCTCACTCGCCTCTGTCAATCCTCACGCACGCAGCACCAGCAGCAGCAGCCAGAGAGCCCTGTAGGTCTTTTGGCGCCGCCTCACTCTGCCGGGTGGTCCTCCCACGTACGCCGCCGCCGTCGCTGGCGCTGGGCTGGGAGAGAGGGCGAGGAATGACCGCAAGAAACCTCTCTCTCCCACCTACATGCCCCCCTGGCAACGGAGTCAATCGTTCATCTCTTGCTCTGGTCTTTGCCCTAGGGTACCTAGTTCAAGCGCAGCCCGAAACAAAGCCATTTACGGCCATTACACAACAAACTCTCGCTTTCGGGTCCACGCTAGCACGCTGTAAACGAGAGCCGTGTCGCTCACTGGCCGCTTGATTTAGCCCCCCACGCCAGAATAGCAAACTGCCCTGCCCTTCCCCTCTCTCCCGTTCTCCCTCTCACCGCGCACGCCCAGGCGCAGCACCACCCAGGATGACCACCCCGCAGCACGCGGCAACTCCCTAAGGCTCGAAGGGGGTCCCCTGGCTGGCGAGAGAGATCGGTGGGTCGGGGAATTGTAATTAGGCCACAATTAGAAGAAGATTCGGTTAAGACCCCCATGTGTCCTGCTTTGGGTGAGGGACAATCTGGGTAGCGCATTTATTACGTGGATTAGATGTCTGACTCGTCATCCAAAATCCATATTCGTCGCTCGCACCCAAATCGCTCCCGCTCACGCTCGCACCGGTCCAGGCCACAGGACCTTTATCAACTGACCGCGACTTTTTATTCTGTCTCTCCTCCACCATCTCTCATCGACAACAACAGGACGGACGTACCAGCTACAGCTCCACGCGCAAGCAGCATGCCCTATGCTCACTCACCGCCTCTCACCGCAAGCACTCACACCTTCCTCCCCACCCCACATCCATTTTCCTCCATCCTCTACTCCTCTCTACCCAACACATCCACATACACATCATACAAGCCCCTTTTATTCACGATCAGCACCCAATTCCACTGGTGACTGGACGGGGAAAGGGGGGCAAGAGCAACACCGGTTCGTCCAGGAGCGACGCGGGCTTTAGTCGGCCTGCGCGTTACCACCTGTGGCAGCCTTGGTCACTTGTACCAAGGTCGCCCGCGGACGGGCTGGGATATTTTATACACTTTTTTTAATAGCCTTCTTCTTGGCTTCCACCAGCATATGCATTTGCCTGACACATACTATTACTACAACTTTGCAGCAGCAGTAATTTACTACGGAGTCCACTCGGTCGCGTTCTGGTAAAACTCGCGCGCAATGTGGGCTTGAGCGTCACGCGTCGTCTGGCCCTGGGATGGTTGTCGTGGTCAGCCCGCAGCCAGCAAGCCACGGTGCACGCCCATGCAATGCGGCGTCCACCGCACACAGGAACTTACGACGGGAGCGGCAATGTTGCGCACAAACAGGTACTTGCGCCCAGCTGCGCCTGGTTAGCAAGTTGATTCTTCCCTATGCCCTAGGCGTAGGTGGGCTACGTAGGTGGTGGCACCAGCAAAGCCTCGACGCACCCATAATCTTCGCAGTGGGCTGGCCGTTAAACGCCGTATCGTCCGCCTTGCCGCCGTAGCTCGCACCGCCTGCTTCGGCCAGGATGGACATGCCCGCCTGTGAAAAGTTCAGCACTCGAGATTCAACAACCGGGCCGGATGCCACTTACGCAAACATCCCAGGGCCAGCACTGGAGGGGTCAATAATTTGGTTTGCTAAAGATACACCTACGCCAATCTCCCAGTAGCTGTCAGGGTTTCAGCGACACGCTCGTTTCAAGTTGTTAGGATAGCAACTCACAGGTCAACACCACCCGTGGCTACCTGGCAGAGGTTGAGGGCAGCACTGCCCAGGCTACGAAGCGAGTGGACCATCTGGCCGCCGTCGCTCTTGTCAGCGGTGAGGTTCTTGAAGGTGTTGAGCTTGGCAGGCAGGGCGGGAGCCTTGCGCGACGAGCCATACTCGACAGCGATGCTGTAGACCGGTCAGTGCCACACACAGGATTACGGAGTAACTCACAGAGCCTGGTCGAGCGAGTAGAGAGGCTTGACCTTGCCCATCAAAGGCAAGCGCGTCTTCTCATTCAGGAACGCGCCCTTGCCCTTCGCAGCAGAGTACTGTAATGTCAGAAGGTGTACAATGACGCAGGTTGCAGATGCCCAGAACTCACAAGCTGGTCCAGGAAGGGGTTGTACACAACACCAACAACGGGCTCGCCGCCAACAGCGAGGCCGATAGAGGTAGCCACCATGGGGAATCCGTGGATCTAGAGTCATTAGACCGTCAGGCAGCACCCGTGCTCACAAAGTTGGTGGTACCATCGATGGGGCTGAGTGTGAGCGTCGAAGTGAATGAGTATACAACCTACTCGACTGAGACGTCAGCATATACATGTTCAAATCAACCCACCAATCCAGGTCGGAGCGTCAGTGATCTCCTGGCCTTCGTAAGTCTCCTCGCCAATGCTGCAGTTGTCAGCCAAGGAAGTCGGTCGTGGTGACGCACAACTTGTGCTCCGGGTACTTCTCGGCAATCTTGGCAACAAGGAAGTCCTCGACAGCCTTGTCGACCTCGGTCACAAGCTAATCATCAGTGCCTTGGTGTGAGGTTCCACCCACGTCGACCGAGTTGGCCTTCTCGTCCTCGCCGGCTCCCGTGTCGAAGCGCTTGGCCTGGCCATCACGGATCATCTGGCCCGCCTGAAGTCAGCTACGAACTGCGACGTTTAGCTTACCTCGCGAGCAATCGAGATTGCAAACGCAAGGATCTCGTCAAGGTTGAGGCTGTCTGCCATTGTGAGGAGCGATAGCGATAGTGTTGGTAGGGAAGGTGTGAGAACGGTGGTTGTTGGTTGTTGGTCATGGACTATGCAACCGATGTGTGCGTGGATGTGGGGTACACGGGTGGAGGTCACTTCATTTTACGTAATGACAGTGACGTCAATTCCCCGTGGGGAAACAATGCTCTGGAATGCTTCCGTCTCGTGTCACGTGTTGCAAGATCCAAAGTCGTTTCTGTCGGACATAAAAACTTAAATCCCGAAACGCCGTCTGAGCATCGTGGCTGTGGGTGTGCAGGGCTCTGGGGGCCGCTGGCCGTGCTGGTAGACCTTGTGAATCTGCGAGAGTCTATTCCATCCATCAAGCATTCAAAATGGTGAGCAGCCAGCACGACCCCAAGCAATGGCGACAACGACGGCGGCGACGACAAGGAAGAGCACGCGGAGCGCACACGACAATTGCGAGTGCGCTGGAGTCGATGGACAGCAGCTGGGCCAGCTGGAAGACGTGATGTCTTTGGTCGTTTGAGCGGGCACCTGGAAGACACCTTTGCAGAGATGGAGAGGAGAATCGTCTACTCGGTGCCCGTCTCTTCGACAACAGCGATCCGGTTGCGAGATATCGATGCCGTCGCGCTCCGCAACTCTTGTACTCTTCTTTGTCTCGACAGGTCTAAACCAAAACTTGCTTGGGAGAAATTTGCCATGTAAACTGGCAGCTAACATGAACAGGGTCGCGGTCCTAAGAAGCACCTCAAGCGCCTTGCAGCTCCCTCGTCGTGGCTCCTCGACAAGCTCGGCGGCACCTACGCTCCCCGCCCCTCGCCCGGTCCCCACAAGCTCCGCGAGTCGCTTCCCCTGACCGTCTTCCTCCGTAACCGTCTCAAGTACGCTCTTACCGGCAAGGAGGTTACTGCTATCCTCAAGCAGCGCCTCGTCAAGGTCGACGGCAAGGTCCGCACCGACGAGACCTACCCCGCTGGCTTCATGGGTGAGTGTTTGCAGCCTGGCCACTATTTTTTTTTTCATGACACCGGACTAACGTTTTCTTCAGATGTCATCACCATTGAGCGTTCGGGCGAGCACTTCCGTCTCCTTTACGACATCAAGGGCCGCTTCACCATCCACCGCATCACCCCCGAGGAGGCTACCTTCAAGCTCTGCAAGGTCCGCCGCGCTCAGTTCGGTGCCAAGGGTGTCCCCTACGTCGTCACCCACGACGGCCGCACCATCCGTTACCCCGACCCCTCGATCAAGGTCAACGACACCATCAAGTTCGACTTCGTCCAGAACAAGATCGTCGACCACCTCAAGTTCGAGCCCGGAAACGTTGTCATGATCACCGGCGGCCGTAACATGGGCCGCTCGGGTGTCATTGTCCACACCGAGCGCCACCTCGGTGGCTTCGACATCGTCCACGTCCGTGACGTCCTTGACCGCACCTTCGCTACCCGCTCGGGCAACGTCTTCGTCATCGGTGAGGGCGCCAAGGCTCACGTCTCGCTCCCCAAGGGCAAGGGTGTGAAGCTTTCGATCGCTGAGGAGCGCGACCAGCGCCGCCGCCAGGCCCAGGCTTAAATGTCTCAATGAGGGCATTGAGATGTGGGCTGCGCGTTCTGTGTAAAATGTACACTGAGGGATGCACACTTCGATCACGCTACAGCGACGAAGTTGAAGACCCAAATTTTGGGTCTTTGTAAAACTACCAGAAGGACAGATGTCCTGGTCACCCGCAACGCGTTGTGGGTGACAGTTGCAGTTGCAATCCAGCCAGTCCTTATGTGACAACGGCGGAAGATGGAAGATGGGGTTATAGACAGACACTGACGAAAAAAGAGCTGCCACACATACCCTTGCCACTGACTGCAGAGTTGTAGCCACCTCACACAACCTCTCCCTCCTACCAGTGTATCGTACATGGGTTGGGTAGTTTTGTGCACTGTGTACTGCCCTGTACACGTTTGCCATAGTATGCCCTTGCTGCAAGCTCTTGATTGAACCGTGGGCTGTAGGGACGTAGAACGCTGGTGCTCCTCCTCCACGTCTCTTGTCTCTAGCGGCCAGCTGGCGATAGTCCTACACACAATACCGATGTTACATGATTGCACCACCTACCTTGTCGAGCAGAAACTTACGACTTGGTTTGACTGTGTCGACGGACGCTAAGGCGCCAACCGCCGACTTGGCCAAGTGAAGCTGCAGATGCCGCCACATCGGTCATCTGGTTGCCAGCGCCCCTGTCTGTGGGGTGAAGAGATGTGCGACTGTGCCAAGCGCACGAAGCGTGCTGCACGTCCTATGCGCAGTCATGTCTGCCTTTGTCCGCGGGCAGCTGTGCTGTATTCTGCAGCTGGCAGGAGCTGTCGGTGTCGGAGCAGAACGGCCGAAATGGGTGGCAGCGTCATGGTCGCCGCATGGACAACCTCCACCCTCTCTGCGAAAAGGGTGTGCCAGAGTTTCAATCCCGCCAGTCCTTTAAGCTCGTCAATCGCATTCATCACAACAACTAACCACCACATCCTACACACATCATGCCTCCTAACAAGGGTGGAAACTCGAAGAAGGAGGCGGGCCGCGCACGCAAGGCCGACAACGAGGTGAGCTGCCCCCCCACCCCCCCACCCCCCCCTCGGCGCATGCGGTTGTGCTGACGCGTTGCAAGGCCAAGAAGCAGGAGGTCGTCAGCAAGCAGAAGGAGGCCAAGGAGGCCGAGAACTGGAAGGCTGGCGGTACGCATCTCTCCTCCTTTTTTTTGCACCACCACTCTCCCCACCCCTCCCTACTGACTTTTCCCAGCCAAGAGCTCGTCCAAGGCCGACGCTGAGGGGGCCAAAAAGGCCGAGGCAGCGGCCAAGAAGGCCGAGCGCGCCGCCCTCCTCGCCGCCGAGGAGGCCTCGGCCCCAGCAAAGGTCAAGGCTGCGCCCAAGGCCGGTGCCAAGAAGGGCGGCGCCAGCGCGCTCAAGCCCACTGCTGGCGCTGGCATTGCCTCGTTCCGCACCGACGACCCCCAGGGCGTGCGTCGCGACGAGGACCGTACCGTCACCGAGCTGTCGGCTGTGGGCATTGACCAGATGCTCGAGGCGCTGGAACTTGCGAACGACAAGACGGACGCTAGCACTATGGGTACCAAGGTGAGTGTGTGCGGGGGGTGTGGCGGTGTGGGTGATGTAGACGGTTTCCTCGTGGTGGTTGAAATGAAGGTGTTTCTTCTGCTCGACACATGCGTTCTCGCCGGGAAGGCTTGGTGTGCCCAAGCGAGATGCCCATGTTTTGAGGCTGCATCTCATGCCTTGGGCCACCCAACAGACAGCAGCGTGATATATCTACCTGCTTTGCGTTTTTCCTCGAGACCGTCAACCCGCACCACCCCACTCGCATTCCCGAAGCTAACGTCCAGGCCGCCGGTATCGAGCGTCACCCCGAGCGCCGCTTCAAGGCCGCTTTCGAGGCCTACCTCGACCGTGAGATGCCAAAGCTCAAGGAGGACGTGAGTGATATAACAGTTTGCCCGCAATGGAGCCGTTGCTGACGTGCACTTTTCTCCCAACTGTTTCCTCGTCGCGTCGTAATCTCAACCATCACCCCCCCACTCCGCTCGCTCGACTGCGCCTCTTCCACAGCACCCCGGCCTGAGGCAGAACCAGATGCGCGACATCATCTTCAAGCAGTTCCAGAAGGCCCCCGAGAACCCCTTCAACCAGGTCTCGCTCGCGTACAACGCTTCCAAGGAGGAGCGTCTCGACGCGCTCAAGCAGAACCGCGAGGCCCGCGAGGCCAAGTACCGCGTCGAGAACTGAGGAGGACCGCACAGCTGGCATATCGGGTGAGGGGGGCCGGGCGGGGGGGGGGGGGGGGGCAGACCTGCGGCTGATTTGAATCTGACATGACCGCGTTTTGCGCCTACAGCGTATATAACCTGTCGTGTGCAGATGGCGGCAGGGGCATATGAGTGTAGCACAATTTAGATGTCATTTCGCATTTTAGCAGTACATGCGCACGCGCGCGAGGTGGATGGTTCGTCGTAGGACAATGACATGGCGTTGCGAACGGCGCCGTTGTGGTCATGTTTGTGTGCAGAGGAGGGTGAACTCGGTGTAGTAGTGGCGTGTTGCAGGCCCGTGAGGGTGCGTCATGTTGTCTGAGGGGCACAGGAGAATGGCATTTCGTAACGGTGATGTCCAAACTGGAACAATCATTGTGGACCACGTTGAAGCGACTAACATCCTGGAGCAAGAGCATGGTCGTGGCAGGTCGCCGCTGCTAGAGAAGGCCTGTCTGATAAGCTTCGACTGACAAAGGTCCTTGTCTAATTGTGTCTCCCAGTGTTCGCGCAAGTTGGCTCGGTGGGAAAACGACTTGCAACATGTCTTGTGTTTGGCTGGGTATCAGTACAAGGCGCCCAGGGCTGCTCACGTTGAGGAGCAAGTGACTGTTCGTCGGGGTTCATCTTGGCAACGATACTGAGGATGTAAGCTGGCCGATGAAGGGCAATGAGGTCCTCGAGGCGGTTGAGTGTGCGTATGTATGTACGTACAGCAGGTGAAAACGAACAGCTAGCAGCAGCGCAGAGCGTGCAACGCTTTTGCAATTTGCCACCATACCCGGCCCACGGCAAAGCACACCAGTGTTGACTGAACCAATCAAACCGCACCCATCATCGTTAACGTCGTACATCGTGCTAGAGAGGTTGTACAAAATGTGTGTCGAGGAAAAAAAAAAAAAGAAAACAGGACATGGACGTGTGTGTCTCTCTCAAAAAAATGCCGTTTTAAATGTTGCGTTTATGTTTATGTTTTGTTGTTGCTGCTGTGCTGCTTGGTCTCCGATTTCTGATACTCTGTCGCCAACACCTTCTGCCGCTCCTCCCACTTACGCCGTTCGTCTTCCTCCTCGTCCAGCAGACCCAGGACCAGGTCGTCGGGCCCGTCGTCCTCGACGGCTTTGCGGTACTCGTCCTCCCACTTGTCGCCCCACTCGTCGTCGTCGTCGGCGTTCGAGCTGTCCGTGTTCGTGGGCAGGAGCGAGCTGGGGGACGACTCGAGCTCGTCGCTCTCGTCCGTCGCTGGACGTGGGGCGAACACCGTGTCGTCCTCAAAGCTCAGCCCGCCGTCCCCCGCCGTGTTGCTCTTCCGGCGACGCAGACGCGAGTGCTGTGCGCGCGCCACTTCACGTCGTACCCTGTCCACGCCCTCGCCGAGGTTGGCAGCCACGTTCCAGATGGGCACCGTCGGCCAGCGGGACGGGTTCAGCGGCGACCCGTTCGGCAGCTGGGGGATCTGGGTCGCAAAGCCCGACTGGATGACCGAGTGCAGAGCCGAGTTGAGGGGTTCGTCAAACGACCGGGCGTCGGCAGTGGGGCGTACCTCGACCTCGGGGCGGAACACGAGGCGGCCAGTACGAGCGAGCTTGTCGAGGACAGAGAGGGGCGAAAAGTCGTCTGTCGGCGTGGCCGCAAAGAACTCGATCTGCCTCGACAGGTAGATTGAGGCAGGCAGGATACGTGGATTCGAGCTGTGTGTCCTAATCTCGGCGTGGTAGAGGCTGCGAACGGGCTGGGACTGGGCGGGTGCTGGCTTGGGTGCCACGGGCTTGGCCGTGACGCCGTGCTGGGGTTCCAGAGGCAATGCCCAGCGAGCCTTGAGGGCCTGCTCGACTGCAAGGTCGCTGTCAGGGCGGAGGCCGGCCTTTTCGCGCATCATCTCGGTCAAGTTGCTCGCGCGGCGACGACCGGACGGGGTAGTCTGCGAGGCGGGCGTAGCAGTAGTAGGCGGGGTAGCAGCGTGAACCGTGAGGCGAGCGAGCTCCATCTGACCAGTGCCAGGGCGGTAGATGACCACGTCTTGGCAAAGGGTGCCCTTGACGGTCGGGTGCCGGCGAGACGCACCAAAGGACGCAACAGCATATGCGGGGAGGGCTTCTTCGGCCTTGCCAGCCAAGTCATCCGATGACGGGTTTCGTTGAGGGCGGAGACGGGCGAACGGGGCAACGTCAACCGAGAGAGGCGTCATCTGCTCCGGGTTGGGGAACTTGACAGGGACGTGGCTCGTTGCCGAGGGCTTTCCACCGGCGGGTGAGATGGGAAAAACGTCTGAGAAAGAGCCATGTTAGCACCAGAGATCCCAGGTGGGCGTTTTGTTATCTATACTCACGAACAGTGCCCTTGCCAGTTCCGACCGAGATCCAGCGTTCATCCTGCGACCACTCCACAGCACACACGTCGGCTGTGGTGTTACCGCGACGAAGCACATAGGCATCCCACACGTCGCCCTTGACTGGGCCGCGTTTGCTGAACATGACGCCATCGGGTCGGACGTCGAGGATGTGAAAGTCGCGGCCGTCAGCGGCAGCGGCGAACAGCCGTGAACCCTCGGGCGAGAATGAGATGAAGGTGATGGGGTGCTCGCGAGGGACGGCCGCTGCGCGTGGGTGCTGGCCGTTGGGGAGTGGCGAGACCAAAGTACGTGAGGGTGGCAGTCGGAAGTGGGCGATAAGCACTGGCTGCTCCTCTGAGCGGGCGAACAGGTCGATGATCTTGACCCAGATACCGCCGGGAGGAGGAATGCTCTCAACAGTAAGAGGCTCCTCAACTGACCGGCTCTCGGGACCTCCTTCCTCTGCCTCAAACTCGTTACGCGGAAGCGAGTCGGCGCTCTCACTAGGAGCGCTCTGCGCGAGGCGATCGCCTGCTGCTCGAGCACCCATCTTGAGCCCTGCCCACACACCACGAGCGACACCGCCGCCAATCTCGACGGCCGATGTCAGCAGCGCGTTCTGAGCAGACTGCGGTGGGGGAGAGTGAGCGGACCCGGCGCTTGAGGCACGAAACCTGGTGGATGAGGCAGCAAAGATGGAGCCGAGACCGTCTGCGCCCGGTGTGGCGGCCGCCTCGCGCGTCGTGAATGCCAGGAGGCGTCCAGAGACGCTCGCCACGGGGAGATGGGTACGTGGGTTAGCAGGAATGTCGGTGATGGGGTTAGAAATGAGGTTGAGGTTACGGTCGAACACGTGAATGGATGGGGACGGGTGTGAGGTGGTCTGACTGTTAGGTGTGCTTGGACGGTCCGATGGCAGCACTCACGACAATGATAGCTCGTGATGAGGACGAGACCTGCGCAGCGGCGCCGGAGCCAAGCTCGAGACGGCGGAACACCTTGCCAGTGTCCAGGCTGACGAGGACGAGTGCGAGTTGCCCGTTTGGTGTGCGGCCACTTGAGCCAGAACCAGCGACGACACTGTGAGGGGGCAGAGCGTCAGCGGCGTTCTTCTGTCGCCACTTGGGGATGGGGGATGGCCAACTCACGTCAGGGCCACAACTGGGCCGTGCTGCCCCCACAACGCCTTATCGAGTAGACGAGCCGATAACGTGCGTTCGTCCTTGATGGCCTTCCTGCTCACCGAGGTGGACGGGAGCGCAGACCGCTCGACGGCGTCGTCGTACCGGAGCTCGGGGATGGAGGCGACCTCCACCGGCGGCGGGAACGTCTCGGGGACGTGCGGGTCGTCCGGGATGGTGCCGGGCGTGAATGCAAAGACCTGCAGTGCATGGCTAGGGGACGTGAGGAGCAGAAGACTGGAGTCACGAGTCAGAACGAGCGGTGGGTACGGTGGACGAGTCGAGTGTGGGACTCACCGTCGGCGGCCGGAACCGAGGTCGCCATCCTGCCACACGGCGCACGGGTCATCAAGGGCCAGTGGCCGCGGCTTGCGCCTTGGTGACGAGATCGGGAGGAACCCCTTGAGACTCGAGATGCCGCCCATGCTCATGTTCAAGAGCGGGGTGAGGATGGACGATGGTGTGTCGCTGTGGGGTTTAGGTCAGTGGGAAGTCGTGGGGCAGATAGGGAGGGAAGACTCTCACTCGACGGGGAAGGCTGAGATAGCGTCAGCGATAGTCACCTCAGCGACGCGTCGGCACACCCGGCCATATGACTCACCCATACCGGTCCTTCGGATGGCCGCCGCCTTGGTCGTGGTCGATGCATGTTCCGCATTGTCGGACGAGGACATGTGGGAGCTGCAGTGTGCGTTCGCCGCGGGGTCACGGCTGGACCAATGGTCGGCGTCGGAGTGGGTACGTGTACCGGGGAGCCGGGGGGTTGGAAGTGGAGGGAGGGGGGGGGGTGTGGGTGTGTTATTGATTGCGAGTTTGATGAAGAATGCAGGTGTGTTTTGTAGGGGGACGATGTGTCGCTAAACGGTGTGAATCAGAGGGTATGTGGATGATGTTGTGTGTATGTGAAGAGAGAGAGAGCGTTGACGAGTGGGTCGCGGACGACGATCGTGGGGGATGGGGGGGAATGGACAGAGCCGAGGCGTGCCGCGCCCTGATAACGATTCGGCAGGGAGCGGGTGGCAACAGGTGTCAGGAAGCGGGTAGGATGCGATGACGATGCAAGAAGGGTGGGTGTGCGATGTATATGGATTGTCGAGAAGGGGGGAGGAGCAGTGTGTAGTGGTAAGTGCTGGAGGAAGAGAGGTGGTGCATGTGGACGGCGAGATGAGGGTGTGGGTTGTGCCCCCCAACGAGCCCAACGGCGAAGCAACGAGCATCCACGGCCCGCTCGGCTGAACCGCCCGGCGGCTTGCACGGCTTGGCTGGGTGGCAACACTGCAGGCTGCAGGCATGCTGCTGGCCGCTGGCGCTACCGGGAGACGCGTCTCGACGTCTCGGCTGCGGCATCCATCCCCCACCCTGGCCCCGCTCGCTGCCCCGCTCCGGTCGGAACACGGCGGTGGCAAACAGCATCATCCACAAGCACCACTGCACCCATGCACCCCCATGACCCCCCCGTCGCCGACGTGCACAGCCCGGGGATGCACAGCGCACTATACGACACCCCCCTCCCAGCCTTTTTGTTCCGTCCCTTCGGTCTCGTAGTGGCCGTCGTGATCGAGTCAACCGTGCCAGAGAGAGATCCAGAGGCCAGAGGCGGCACAGATTCATGACGCAAGCGGGGCACACCACAGGCCACAATCACTACTTGCGTGAGTCGTAGGAGGAGCCGGCATTGTCTCGGCCCCCATCCCCTATCGCCCATCCTGCATCCCGCCGTCGGCTCCTGGCCGCACGCAATGATCGCAACGATAGGTCATCAGTCATCTGCACTGGAGCATGCCGGTCTGGCTGTTCCTACCGTCGTCACAGGATCACAGGATACCACAGCCCACAGATCCACACAGAGACTTTCACGGCAGCTGTGTCATGTTTGCAGGGGGGGGGGGCAGGAGGGTGCCAGTCTCTGTTGGGTTTGCCACCGATTCATGAAGCCGTGAGGGTGCCCAAATGAGAGTGCCTGGATATGGAGAGAGCTGCTCCGCGTTGGGCACCTCGCTGTCGCCTGTGGCCTGTGGGAAACTGCATCCAGGCCGAACCGATAATGAGCCTGGGATTGGGGACTGAGGAATGGGGTGGGCAATCATCTGGCTCCAGGCTCCTGGCTCCCAGCGTGGTGCTCATTGATACAGCCCCGTCACTCGTCATCACACAAGCTGCGGGTCGATAAGGCGAGCATTTCATTCCCTCCCCACAACTCTGTCCGCGTTCCTCGAGGGCTATCCGGCTATACAGTAGGTTTCCCCCACCGTTCACATGACAGGTGGGTAAGAAACCCCCCACAACTGGGCGGCAGGCAATATGCTGCGCACCATTGACAAGATGCACCGTGTCGTGATGGAGAAGAGCGACGTGTAGAGCGGCGTTGGCGAGCATGGTGTGGGATGTGCTGTGGAACGCTGAGACTGCTGGCTCGTGGGCGGCACAAGCCCCCGCTGGCCGCAGCATTGCCTGGGTGGCCTGTGTGGACGGGCAGTTGACGGTATTCCGGAGCCCGGAGAGAACCAAGTGCGCCCATTCCCATTCAGCGGCATTGTCGCGTTGTGTGTTTCTCCCCAGCCTCGATAACGCACTATCCAGTAGGCGCATCCGGGGGTTTTGGTGCACGGTGTGTTTCTCTCGAAAAGCGAAATTCCGGCCATGTCGTTCTCAGATCTTGCTGCTTGGGCCGGCCACCTGGTGAGTGTCAGTGTCAGCATCAGCATAGGGTGGCACAGAGCGCAGGGCAAGCAGCTCCTTGGGCCAGAGGGGCAATCCCGGCTCCCTCCTGTCCTTGTCGGTCAGACCTTTCCGGAATGAAATGGTTGTCAGCCAGAAGCGCACATTTCCAGCCTTGCCCGCCCATGTGTCGTCATCGCGTCAGTGTCGTGCGCTGCTCTCCGCTCTCCCGGTCAGTTCCGCATGTGCGCGTAGGTTGAGGGTATGCATTACAACAGCCGGTGCACGTCTAGTTGTTGGTCGAGAACTGGTATGCGCAATTAAGACACTGGGGAGGGGGTCAGCAGGTGTGGTGACGGACAGGGAGCTGGGGGGAGGTATGCCGGCTTCCTCGACCGTGTATAAGACATGGCAGCCGTGGTCCTCCTCCTCCTCCTCCTTTCGCCCTCTTGCTCACCTTGTAGAAGATGGTCGAGCCTTCGTCTGCCGAGCGCAGTTGCATCTCCTTGTACGAGAGACCGATGTGACCACACTTGTCACACTTCTCCTGCGCCTGCGGGACAGTGTCAGTACGAGGCTCTCTCTCGGGTATATGTGTAGCCCAGCCGTGCTTCTCGCGCATGCCTCAGGTGTTCTTGCAGGTCGGCGGTCACCTCGCGCAAAGTCACGGCAAGACTGGGCTGGGCAAGGTATACGCACAATAGGGTCACGGCCCTTGGCCGCCTCATCGGCCTTCATCGTGTTCTGCACCAGCGCACGCTTGGCCTTGAGCGCCGAGGGGAACGCGTTGGGCGACGAGTACGTTTTAGTCGGGAGGTTCTCGTACGCTGTGGTATATTCTGTCAGCTTCCTTGTTCCAGCAGACTTGGGCCGTGGCTTGCGCCTCGACCCGTGCAACGACATACAGCTGGCAGGCTCCTTGCGACCACACTGGTGGCAGTCAATCTCGTCCTGGTCGTCGCGTGGCAAGTCGAGAAGCGTGCCGCATGCGGGACAGAAGAGGAGCGCGCCTATGCGCTTGGCTTTTGAGGTGGTGGCGACGGCGGAGGGCATGGTGGCTAGGGTGGTGGATGCGACAAACAAGCGACAAGAGCTTGGACTGTGTGTGGTTCACCAAACAAAATCTTGAAAGTGGAGGTCGTAAATGCAAAGTGGATTTGGTTACGTAAGCGGGTTTGTTGGGTCCCTGGGTGCCGTGGGTCTGTTAGGCTGGTGGTGGCAATTGCTGCCTTGTCACCGTGACGCGAGCATGCATTGCGGTCGACAGGTGTCCGTTCTGTTCTTTGTGCTTGGCAGAGGGGTAGGGACGATTACCATGGAATTTCTGGCCCATGTTGCGACTCGTTATGTCTCGACTTGTACAGAAAAAAATAACTGTTGTACACGACTTTTTAAAAACGGTGCTTCTTAACCCATGGCAATTCGTCATCATACATTTCACCAGCAGTGTTTCTGGACGGACTGTCTGCAAGGCGTACCTTTCCCAGGTGTGCGATACCGAGCACTGCATCTGCTATCCATGTCCGCGGTGTACGCATGTGACACAGGTCGATCTGTGAGATGTGAAGTAGTGAAACTGTGGACCTCCTCCCCAGTGACACAGTAGGTGCTGTGACTCCGACCTCAGCCTCTAGAAGGCTTCGTCCGCTGGTCTGAATGGTCCTCGCGCTCTAGAGGCTTCGGGGCACAGCAGAAGGCGGACCTGTAGTCTCCAGCAGTTTCAGTGTGGCACGAGAACCATCGGTATTCCATTAACGACATGAAACGCCTGCACGGGGGGCGTGGCGAGCGTGGCGAGCGTGGCAACGTGCAACGTGACGACGAGTCTGTACGTGGAGTATCTTTCTGTGAAATGGCTACCAACAATGTCCACCAGAGGGTCTACAGACAGTGGGACAGACCTTGACGCGGACGGCGGGAGGCACGGCGGGCCAGGTGCGGGCCTGCACGACTGTGGCTCCACGCAGAAGCAGAGTCGACAGATCCACGCAACGCAACGGCCCAAAGGCCGCCGCGTACCATGAGCCGATCAGCAAGACCCGTTCTGCCGCTTGCGTCCCTCTTCCATCCACAGGCAAAGGCTCAATGCAGCTGTTACGAGACGGGCTCGTGACCGACCTTGCGGCGACTGCATACCTGCCACTTTGGTGCAGGCTCCACTGCGGGATGTAACCGGGGCACGCATTTAAGAGATTTTCTGGCCCCAGAGGCCCTTTCATCTGTGCGATGGGGCCGTCTGCTCCATTGCCCACTCTCTCTCTCCCGCTCCTCTCCACCCCGGTCGCTCTTATCCAAGTCACATACTCATGCATCGAGGGGGGGCTATTACCGCCGACTCAGTCGACATCGCCAACAAAAAACGTAACGTCGTAGTGGGTCAAGGGGGGTTGGGTGAGGGAAAACGTATACGACGGGGGCGCTGCTATGGTGCGGCGCATTAATGGGGCTTTAGGGGAAGGTTGCGGGGAGGGTGACAAATGGGTCATACACAAGGTCGTCCAAACTCGAGCTCACTCTCTAGGCCGCGGCGGCGACGGGAGTAGCGGCGGGTGGTGCGGCGGCCTTGGGCTCCTCAATCTCGATAGGCTCGGTCTTGGCGGGCTCGTCCAGCTTGGGGGCCTCCTCGGCAACGGCGGCCTCGGCCTCGGCCTCGACGGGGGCGGCGACGGCCTCAGTCTCGGCAACGACGGGGGCCTCGGTGGCGGCCTCGGTAACGGGCTCCGACTTGGGCGAGGTGGTCTCCTTCTTGCCGTCCTTGGGCTTGAAGAAGCCGGTGAAGCGAGCCGAGAGACGACGGCCGGCCTTGAGGGCCTTGGCGGCCTCCTTCTCAACAGCCTCCTCGGCCTTGTGGACAGGAGACTCCTTGGCGGGGACGACGGGGGCGTCAGCCTCGGCGGCAGGGGCCTCAGCGACGGGCTCACTGATGTGGCATTAGCACACTGATTCAACTCTGACACAGTCTCATCATCACACTCACACAGCCTTGACCTCCTCAGCAGTGGGCTCGGTGCCGACGGTGGTGGTGGTGGGCTCGGCAACAACGGGGGTCTCCTCGGCAACGACAGGGGAGGCCTCGGCCTCAACGGGAGCGGCCTCGACGGGGGCCTCAACGGCGGGGGTGGCCTCGGGGGTCTTCTCCTTGGGGGCAGCCTTGGGCTTCTTGTCCTTCTTGGCGAAGAACTTGGAGAAGAAGCCGTGCTTCTCAGCCTTCTTCTCCTCCTGGAAACAGCGTCAGCAAGCAGACCCTCGTGTGAGCGTCTAGCGCTACTCACCTTGACGGCCTTGGGGGCCTCAGCGACAGCGGCGGCCTCCTCAGTGGCGGCCTCAACGGGGGCCTCGGTGGCCTCGGCGACGGGAGCGGCAACGGCCTCCTCGACGGGGGCAGCGACGGCCTCGGGGGCAGCCTCGACGACGGGCTCAGCGGCGGCCTCGACGACAGGAGCGGCCTCCTCGACGGGGGCAGCGGCGACGGGGGCAGCCTGGGGGTATGGCGTCAGATCCGGATCAAATGGCGGGTGGCCACATGACCACATTATTGCCACTCTGTGCGACGTACCTCGGCGGCAACCTCCTCAACGACAGCGGGGGCCTCGGCGACAACAGGGGTCTCAACGGCAACGGGGGCCTCGACGGCGACGGGCTGTTCAGTAGCGGACATGGTGGTTGGTGTGATGGTGACGGTGATGGGTGGTGTGGTGGGTGGGTTGGTTGGTGGTGGGAAAGAGACGAATGGTGTGGGAATAAGAAGTGGCAAGAGTGGAGGACGACTGGGTCAGCGGTTGTTTCAGTGGAGCGGGGGGGGGGGGGGGGGGGGGGTTGATCAGGGAAGGAAGACTGGGCCTGTGCGCGGCGTTGGGAACGGGTGGGGGGACGTGAATGCGCTGGCTGGTGCGGCGCGGGGCTGGTCGCATTTTGTGACGAGACACAACCGGTGTGCTTTGACGCGTCCGACTCGAATGGCGATGCAAATGCGCAAATGCAAAGAGGCAAAAACGCTAGGCAAATGCACAAATGCACAACCCCCCGCGCGAGAGAGTGAACCTGAGGCGAGAGACAATAGAGCAGCTCTAAAGCCACCACCAAAGGGACTATGATAACGCCCTCCCCGCAGCCCTTGCAGCCATAACGCGACCGGAGGGCGGAGCGAGGGCGGGTGGCAAAAAAACAATCAGGCGAGGGGGGTGCGAGAGAGTGGACGGTGCGACAACCAGCCGGGGGACGCATATGGTGGGACACGACAAGGACGGCGAGGCCACGGGGGCACGCGAGTGATGGGGTGTATTGTGTGCTCACCTTGGTCTCCTCAACGGCGGACATTATGATGGATGGTGGTGGGGGGGTGGGTGGCAAAGAGTGTTTGTTGTGGGAGTGTTAAGTTATTGGGTGCCTGTGACGGAGGACGTTATAAGGTGTCGCGGGTTTGGTGTGTGTGTATGTACGGAAGGTTTAAAGAACCGGGAATGTAGAGAGTAGAGAGATGATTGATGGATGAGAGAGTGAAAGACAAGTGTGAGAGATGGTGTAGAAAAGGAGGACGAGGCGAGAGCGAGGGGGCGGGCGGGCGGGCGGGCGGGCACGCACGGCACAGTGCTCGAGGTCGTCTCTGTGTACCTCTCTGTGCATTGGGCCTCTCTCTGTCTGGCGCTGGCACACACCACAGACTCGACACTCCTCTTTCTCTCTCTCTGTACCTCTGTCTCTCTGCACAGAGAGAGCCATCAGGGGAGAGGGAACCGTGTGCGGCGCGCGCGGGTGGCGGACGACCCGCCGGCCGCCCACAGGCCACAACACAGGAGCGCACACTCTTCGGGGGTTCCTTTTCCCCTTGCAGCAGCAGCAGAGCAGTCGGGTCAGTTCAGTGTAGCTGCTTTGGATGCATGCGTCCGTCCTCTGCTGCTGCGTTATGGCGCGCTGCTGATTTGGCTGCCTGCCCCTGGCGCCTCCCTCGCTCGGACCCAGGCCCACAGCCCGTACAGCCCACAGCCCCGCCCCGCGCGCGCACAGGTTCTGTCACAAGGTGGCAACACTGGGTTCGTGCTTTTTTGACACACACCCCCAACTGTCCCAAAGCGGGCAGAAACAGTTGCTGCTATGTGATGATACGCACGGTGTCAATCACGCACTACATACCCACCCATTCCATATGCATTGCACGCGCCTCCGCCCCCCTCTTCTTTGGTGTGCAGTGTGCCAAGTGGTTGCGCAGCGAATGTGTCTGACAAAAGGCGCGATTCAAAGGCTTCGTTGCGTGAGAACGGAATGCAGTTGCTGGGTGTGCCCAGGGGAGCGGTCTAGAACCACACACGGTACGCGGGAATGCCGGAACCTGGGGGTATCCTGGGCGGCGTGGGTGGCAAAAAACAAAAACCCAGTAAATCAACAGCAACTTTTTTTTTTTTTTTTTGTCTTTCTGTTCCTCTGTCGCGCCGTATGCCGGCAACCTTTTGGGCGCGGCATTGGCGTCTGCCTGTCCCTATGGTTACCTGTCCTCGAGCTCGCGCTATCGACCTGTATTCCCTCTCATCTAACGGTCGCACCTGTGCACCACACCTGTACTATATACCTGTGCGTCAGCTGCCTGCCTGCTGCATGTAGCACATTCTCTATCGCACCCAGCCGACTCCCCGCCCGCAGCAGCAGCAGCCAGCCCATTTGAAGCGTAACACGAGGCTGCCTCTGGCTGCACCCGATGTAATGACGACGAACCCTGGGCTTCCAGCGGCGCGTGACATCTAGGCACTGGCTCAGGACAAGACAGCGGCGCGTGTTCGCCCGTGAGCGCCAGCGTAGAGCTCTTGTGCTCTTTGCTTCCTCTGCTCATGCCCAGTGCACTTGCTCTCGCGCTCTCTCGCACCACCCGTTCCCGCACCCTCTCTCCCCTACCTTCTCTCTCTCTCTCTCCCGCCAAGCCCCTGCCTCCACTTTTTTTCTGTTACAGCGTTCCACGACGTCGGTGGCTGACGGCATGTCTCAACTGCTTTCGCTGCCTGTTCAAAATATTACTGCAACTGCTCTCGTCACAGATCACAGACCATTCTTTTGACGCAGCTGGCCGTCGACTGCTTGAGACATCTGGCGCAGACAAAGCGCGTCATGTCATAATGTCCAACAGAGTCTCCACAGCCCCTCATGTGCCTCCGCTAATCTGTTCACATATGAACGTTCCTCTTTTCATTTTAAAAGTACACTTTCGCCACCATATTCCGCATTCAAGTGACGCGCCAAAAGACACAATCCCCCCCCCCACCTGAAAAGCGTCACACCCACAACCCTTATGAATGGGCCCGCCCCAAACGCCAAAGTTCTAGTCAAACTAGTCATCGCGATCATTGCGCCACGCCCACAGTCTCCGTCAGTGACCGTTCGTACAGAAGTCAGTCCCTCAGTCCCTCAGCCTGTCGCCCGGGTTTGACCGTTCGCACCCACCCGCACGAGCACCGGGCCATGGCCCGTCGGTGCTGCGCCAGCGCAAGCCGCTGCAGTCGGACCAGACGCCACTGAACCCGACACGACACCTCTCGGATAACCCGCCAGCGACTCAGGCAGGTGGGTCATGGGTGGACTTCCTCCTCCGCCGGCCTTGCTGCGGACAAGAGACCAAAAACACGCCAGACGCACCGACGCCTCCCCTCTCTGACACTTTTTTTTTTCTCCTTGCCTTTCCGGCATTCTTTGAGCGGGGGGAGCCGATGGAGCGCCGTCGGATCGCGTCCGATAGGCGGTGCACGGCGTCGTCCATGGCGCTTTTGGCGGCGTACGGCGCCTGTACGCGTGCGTGTCCGGTACACGGGAGACTGTACCACTCTTGCGTCGCGTCGCGCGCGCGGCGCCGCGTCGCACGGGCCAGGTTCCGCGTTTGACGTGTCAGGCAAAACATTCGCTGGGCGTGATGCTGCATCTCGTTCTTTGCTGCCTCTTTCGAACTACCAAAGGGACTGACTGCCACCTCCATTGCTCGATAAGCTCGATCACGTCCCGAACGCTGTCCGTGCCGTGTGGTTGTTACACGTAACAACATGTAACAGGTGCACCACGTTGAAGACCGTCCGTCACCGGTCACCCACATCCCTCCGTTGCCTCGTCACACATTTTCTCCATAGCGTACCAAACTCTCCTGTCCCGATCCTTATCCTGAACGCAATGGCTGTCCATACCTGGCGTCCGTGCGTGCTTGGCGGCCAGGACTCGACGAGACGCTCAAACATCATACGCAAAAAGGCACAGTAAGATCCATAAGACCAGGTCCCGAGAGACAACCCCCCACAAGTGGTATCTCTTGTTCCTTCACACCACATCACTGCATTGGGTGCTGCGCATTGCTGCCACCGAGGCCCCCGTCCACAGGCTCACCCCGATCACCTCGCGAAGTGCGAAACCGCAATACTCAAAGCAGCCAGCAGGGCATGCAACAGCACTTACAGCACTAACACACATTCGCCGTCTTTTGGTGGCCTGTCTCGCTTCATCGCTTCATCCATTCCCGACCGGGTACGAGCGGGGGGAGCCGGGACGAGTACGAGACGAGCCAGCCGCGCGACAAACCAAGGTAAACTAGCGAGAGCCGGCGGCGCCATGGGCGTGTGCCAGTGTGCGGCACGGCGTCGCGTCGACGTGAGCCGGTCGTACAGTCATACGTGATCAAACGCGGTCCGTGTACCCTCCTTCCCCGACATGACACGACACCGAAGCTCGCTGTGTGTCAGATCCGAAACGACACCACATCGCATGTACTTGCATCAGGACATGCTGCACATGTCCACTAGTCTGGCACATGTGAACTGTGCGTGCAGGAGGGGGGTACGCGACCGTCGCACCGTCGACTGTCGCGCACGGTTAGTCCGAGCCAGTCGCGAGGGTGGTGTGTCGTCGTCGGGGGGACACCTCGGCGCTTGTCGGACTGTAATTTTGGGCGTTTTCTTTCGTTTGCATCGAGTCTCAATCGGGCATGTGCCGCGGAAAGCGAGGGGAAGGAAAACTTACATGCATAGAGACGCCCGCCTGCCCCGCGCGACGAGATATGCATGTGTCTGTGCGGAGACAGAGCAGGGCGACGGGCGTGAGCTCGGCATGCTCGGTATCGTGCGCACAGGACACTGGTGTGTCGGCCCGCCAGGAAACGGTAGTTTGGGTGTGGCACTACACTGTACGTAGGCGCGTTTCGCTTTCATCGCGATATGGGATCTAGCTGGCTTAAAACTGTCTTGGCGTCGTGGGTGGGGTGTATGGCTGGGTGTGTTTCAAGCTTGGGCGGTGCTGCATGTAAGCGATCGATGACGCCAAGACGAAAGTAAGTATTTCAAGATAGCGGCCGTCAACACTCTGCTGTAATCTGCATCCCACTTGCCCGTCCAGCGTGGGCTTCTGCACGACCGAGGCGCTGTCAGCAATTCCGTTGCGGTTTAGGCTCATCGATTGAGTGGAAAGCTGCGTGCAGCAGCACGAACGGTTACCACGACCGCGTTCAGAGCCCGACGTTCGTTTTCGTCGTGCCCGCTGACCCGCTGTTATCAAAGTACCCGGCCACTGAAGATACGACAGACAGGTGGGGTCCCAGACTTCAACGAGTCTTGGCATGTGGGGCTCGCGCGTGTGCTGGTAATACGAGTGTCATTACTGGCCAGTGTGGTATGGTGGAGTCGACATGTGGCACCATTGGCCGAGACGTGTCGTGTGAGCAGACAGGGCCCCGCGGCCTACTGTACATGCCCCTGTTGCGTATAGGTTACCGAGGTCGGGACACCTTGCACTGTGTGCACAACCGCTTGGCCCACCTGACGATGACCGAGAGCAGAAAGGCGTTCGTTGACCGAGAGGGTGACTGCGCAGACCGAGCAAGTAGATAAGACTGATGTCATCCACCGTTGCGCGCATAGACGCCGTTCTGTGGCGGCCGAGGGTCAACGTTCTTCCCAGTTTAACAACCGACCGTGATGAATGTTTCAGCACTGCGCGAGTTAGTTCGTCCCATAGCATGTACTGTCTGGGAGTATGTCTCACGTACAGCTTTGGAAGGACTCCCACGTACCGTCTTGGAACGACACTCACCTATTATCTTGGAACGACACTCCCCTATTTATTACCTTGAACGACACTCACGTACTGTGTTTGACGCATCTCGGCTTAAACCACACGTTAATGGGACCCGGGCCGAACGTGACTGAGATGTGGGCGCGCGCACACAAAACGCTTCTGCACTTCCGCAGCACCTTTGGTAGTCGCAATGACCACTACCTTGCTCCCTTGCCTCTCATGGCCCGACACTTCTACCGAAAACATGTGCATATACAAAAAAAGGTGCGACGAGATAAAAAAACCAAACTCCGCTCTACTTCTTCTGCTCGGCGACCTGGGTGAGGAGGCCGTCACCCTTGACAAACGACGCAATGTTGTCCAGGACAAGGAGCTCCATCTTGCGCTGGGTGTCGCGGGTCTCGGTACCCATGTGGGGGAGGAGGGTGACGTTGTCCATGGCGACGAGCTTGGGGTTGACGTTGGGCTCGTCGGGGAAGACGTCGAGGCCGGCCGAGAAGAGGTGGCCCGACTCGAGGGCGGCAATGAGGTCGTCCTCGACGACGACACCGCCACGGGCAGTGTTGACGAGGATCGAGCCCTTCTTCATCTGGGCAAACTGCTCCTTGCCAAACGAGTTCTTGGTCTTGTCGTTGAGCGGCAGGTTGAGCGAGACGACGTCCGACTGGCGGAGCAGCTCCTCGACGCTGGAAACGTACGTGCAAGGGAAGTCGGGCTTGGGCGAGACCTCGTTGCGGTTGTAGTAGATGACCTTCATGTCAAAGGCGAGCAGGCGGCGGGCGAGCGCCGAGCCAATGCCGCCCATGCCGATGATGCCGACAGTCTTTCCATCGGGGTCCAGGGCGGGGATGAGACCCGACTTCCACTGGCCAGTGCGCACGTTGACCTCGGCACGGTGGAACTGGCGGAGGGCAGAGATGGCGAGGTACGCGCCGACAGTGGCGGTGGCCGAGTCAACAGCGAGAGGGGTGTGGGTCACGGCGATGCCGCGGGCAGTGCAGGCAGCAACGTCAATCTGGTCGTAGCCGGCACCGTTGTGGGCGACGAGCTTGACCGACTCGGGGAAGTGGTCAATGAGCTCCTTGTCAAAGAAACCAATAGCGCCTGAGAGACATTGTCAGAACAAAGGTCCACGCACACACACAAACACCACCCTCGGTAGGTTTCCCAGGTGGGGGGCGGGCTGCGAGAATTACTCACTGGCACTGTCGTTGTGGCGGTAGACGGCGGTCACGCCGGCGTACTTGGTCTTGCAGTCCTCGAAGAAGGCAGCGCGGTTGGCCGACTGGAGCTCCTACACCTGTCAGTTTCCCCGTCACCAGCATGGATAACTCACGACAATCTCAGCAACGCCAGCGAGCTTCTCGGCGGCATCCTGCTTGGTCCAGATGAGGCCCTTCTCGGGGTTGGCTAGAACGAGGTCAGCGTTGGAGGTCGCCGGTAGCTAGCTAGGCAGGAGGGACTTACCGCAGATGAGGACACGGGGGGCAGCCATTTTGGTTGTGGGGGGGAGGCGAGGGGAGGGGAGTGGAAAGAGGTAAGGAGGAGTGAAGAGTGTGATGGATTCCGAGCTCGGGAGGAGCTCATAAAGCCCAGTCGATGCCGCGGTTCGGAGCGCGAGCCGGCCACTGCCGTTGCTGTCCGTCAGGGACACCTGCAGCGACCGGTCCGGTGGTCCGAAAAAGTCACGTGATCAGTGTGGCCAACTAAATCTGACTTGAAGTACACGTTAATTTTGACGGTTGATTGCCTCCATCTTGGAATCTGGCAGACGAGTGTTTGTGGCGAATACCTTCTGGATTCTCAAGTGCCTTTCTTTGACTCACATCGCCGCCGCAGTCCAGGGGTTCTGTTCACGAGAGGGGGGCGAGGGGACGCAGTGCGGCAGTGTGCCAGCACGACAGACAACATCTCAGTGTTGTGGGGAGGGGAACCACAGGGTTTGTAATCAAATTCGACAAACGTGAACGTAAAAGACCACAAGGACATGGCCGTGAGTCGGAACCCGGAACAACGGAAACGCAACCCGAGTGAAAGCTCAGCAGCGCCGTTCGCCGAGCGCCGAGGGAGGCTTGGCCACGTGGCCCCGGTTTGAAGTTCCAAGTGGCCAAGTGGCGGCAGACTCCGGCGGCATGCGCATCTCGGAAGCTCGTAAGCTCGGCACGCTGTGTGCTCTTGGTTGAGGTCGGGACCCAAAAGTCAAGTCGGCGGACATCCACAAGGACACCTTTCAGCACAAGTGGCATGGCAGGCAATAAAGCGGGGGACAGAAGCCGCATGCTGGGGTGCAAGGTGTGGCGTTGTGTATGTCCTGTTGTCGACCTGCTGCACCTGTTTTGCTTTATAACGTCGACCCAGGGTCGTAGCCCCCTCTGGCCCTCTGGTTGCTGCTGCCTTCGGGGTCGGGCTGCCGACGACAGCGGCCTTGCCGGTGGCCGGTGGGGCAGTTTACCCTTTTCCTGGAGCACCACACGGTGGCCAGAGGCCTGGGCTTGTGGGAACAATGAAGGCAGACTGGACGGTGGGTTGCGTTCGAGAGTAAGCGCGATGTTGCGCACAAAGGAAGCGTCTTGTCACCACCCCCAAAAAAGAGCGAGAGAGAGATTGTGTTGTGGACGGACTGCAGTACGTGCCAATGATGGCCGATTGGGACAGATACTATTGTACACATGGGCAATGCCTGCCGAAACCACGCATAGGCTTACGCACCTGCTTGGCAGCCAGGGTGTGCAGGGGAGGGGACGGAAGCTGGGCGGGCGGAGCGAGACGAGGATGGGGTTGTTGCCTGGGGGGTGTGGGGACGGGGGCCGATCTGTGGCCACCCAGCGGCCGCTACCCAGCCGAGCTGGCCGATAATCGCACTCACACACCCATTCCTCGTTGCCCGTCAAACGTCGAACCTTTGCCTTTGCACTCCCCACATCCTCTCACGCCTCTGGCAGCCATCCAAAGCCATCCCCCAACACCATGGCCCCCGCCGCCGACACACTGCAGTGGCCCGTCGACCCGTCGCAAGACCAGTCGGCTCCCACAACATCCTCGGCTGGCACCGTTGGGCCTGGAGCAGCCCGCCCACCACGGAAACTGAACCGTTCTGCAAACCAGCTGCACCGTAACCAGGCGTGCCTCCCGTGTCGCCGCCGACGCATCAAGTGCGATGCTTCACGCCCACACTGCTCAAGCTGCGTGAGGTCGTTCCGCTTCCTTGCGCGGACGCAGCCCGATGCCGAACGCGATGCCAAGGGCATCCAGTGCGTCTACGAGGACGGCACAGAGAATGAGACTGAAGAGGAAGAACCCACGTCGATGGCCGACGGCGAGGACCCGCGCGACGCCGTTCGCAAGCTTGAAGCTCGTATTGGTGAGTCTGCTTCGGCGCATAGAATGCACGACACTTGTGTGTGCAGTTAGATGCTAACTAGGTCAAGCCGAATTGCAGAACGCGCTGGCACACATGTCCACCACTCCGCAGGCCTCGACGACCGCAGTCGCCGCCGACGTCCAACAGAACTGGATGGGTGGTAGCGGCAGCACCATGAATTGGCAGATGGAGACGACGGGCCTGGAACACGGCGCCGACCTGCACCCTTCTGGGTCAAACGTTCCCCACGAGACCACCCCGCCTGTTATGCTCCACTCGGAGCAGATGGCGGGCCACCCCGGCGGTACGCCTTTGAGCGACGCGTTCCTCAACGGTCCTCTGGGCCTCGACAGCTCCCACATTGGCATGCAGAGTATGCCTGTGGGGTTGAGCATGCACGCCGGGATCCCCGGTACGACTGCTGCCCCGGAAGGCATTCTCCCAAATGCGTTCGTCGAGTCCATCGAGGAGGACGTAGCCCATGCCAGCGGACCGTTCTTGGAGATATTCTGGCCTGGATGGCCACCCCGCCTGCCTACGCCGTCAATGTTGGATCATCTGTGAGTGGCCTCTTGACGTGATCCGGCTAACAAGCCACCGCAGCGTAACCACCTTTTTCAACGTTGTCCCATCCATTTCGCGCATTATCCATCGTCAGGCGTTTATGCAGCATCTCGCCCTACCCCCGACCCACGCCAACTTCCCCCACCCGGCCCTCCTCCACGCCATCTGCGCTGTGACTGCCCGCTACAGCGCAGCAGTGAAGATGGAGTCTGTCGAAGAGTCACTGAGGCGCACCAACTCGGCTATTGAGGGCCAAAAGCCCCGACCTGTTAACATGTCTGCGGACGAGGAGGCCGCGAGCCAGACCTGCTTTGGCGAACGTCATGCGCACTTTGCGCAGCTCGAGATCCGTGTTGGCAACAGCACAGGCCGCAGACTGTTTGAAATCTGCCAGGCTCAAACCATTCTCACCGTCTACTACCAGCAGCACGCCAAGTGGATGGAGGGTTGGATGGTGACTGGAGCTGCGAGCCGCCTTGCTGTCCCGCTCGGCCTCATGTCCGACACCAAGGGTAACGCGCGTACACGCAACGCCATTCTCGATGCCCCAGAGGAGGACTGGCACCGGGAGGAGCGTCGTCTCCTGATGGCCTACATCACGATCATGGACTTTTCTGCCGCTGCGACGTCTGGCTGGCCCAACGCCGTCGCCCTCGACGAGCTCATGTGTCGTCTGCCTGCCGCCCGCGCAGACTTTGACCAAGGAGGCAAGATTACTGAAAATCCCCAAACGTGGTACTCACTTGACCTCTACACCTTGTGCGTGATCAAATCAATTTCGCGGCTCTCTTTGCTGACAACATATAGCCACCCTGTGGTAGACAACTTTGTCCTCTTCGCAAAGGGCCTGCACCTTCTGGGCCAGATCATCAAGTTTAGACGCAAATGCCAGGCGCTCGACGACCCCTTCTCGGCGCGCGCGACGAGCCTGTTCCGCAAACTCGATGGCGACATTACAGCCTACCACTACTCGTTCCCTCCCGAGCTGCGCGACCCGCTCCGCCCCAGCGACGGTCAGCGCAAGGGTGTCGATGCCGACCTCGTCGCTGCCCACCTCATCCCGCACGTTGCCGCCATCAAGCTCCACGAGTCGTTTGCCGACATGACCAACATGAACGACCCGAGCAGTATCCGCATCCTCGCAGAGTCCAGGGCCATTCTGTCCGTAGTGTACCTCCTCACCAGCACGACCCTGGACTTTTCCTACGTTCTCACTCCTGTTGCCTCTTGTAAGCTAATCGGCACGGAGATCTGAGCTGACATTGCAGTCTACTTCTTCGCAGCCGCGCGCACGTTTGTTCTCTTCTACCAGCGCGCACTCGAGGCCAAGGATTTCGCCCTCGCCAAACTTTTGCTGTCGGAAATCGACGTCTTTAGGATGACGTTCAAGGCCATGGCCCGTCGCTTCTGCCTTGGCGCGCGGCACGGCGGCATGATTGACCAGATGCTCCAGTCATGCTACGATGAGCTCGGGATTCCCGCCGAGGCGATCCGGTCCGACGGCCTTACGCTCGGCCACATGCCTCCCCCCGGCTCAGACTGGCGTCGCATGCCGCACCCTTACAATGCGCGCAACGCCAACTGGAACTTGGGAGGGTCGCGCCAGGTCAACGTCGACTACGAGACGCGCTTCCCGCGCGAATTCGCCAACGACCCACACCACCCGCTGCACGTCCTGTTCCTAACGTCGCGCTCGACGCTCAAGGACAAGATGGACGTGTCGCGCGGCTTCCACTCGCCCGCCGCCAGCCCACAGCACACGCCCGAGCCAGGCCCCGCCGGGAGCGTCAGCAACAGCACCGGCACCAGCACCACCGTGCCCACCCCGCCCATCACGATCAACGACGGCGGCGCCGCGTGGCTCCAATATCTCACGCCCAACGGGGACACGTCGTCGTTGAGCTCCGACGAGACCTTCCACATGGGACCGAGCATGCACCCGCACGTAGGGCTTCACGGGCAGACGCAGGGGCCCGGCTGAACCCAGCGCGTAGACATGACATGACGAACACCGCGCGTGTTGATTGTTCTGGATGTTTCGCCGACTCTTGGCCACGGCCGCCCATTCCTAAGGCAACCTTCCTGGTTGTATGTGTCGGCCCGCGGCCGCCGGGTATCATACACGCCTAGATCCCAGCGCACTCGACTACAGGCCTCGTCTGGTCTTATTGACTGCAGCGGCGCAACGCGGTTGGGCCGACAGTCTGGCGTGGGCGTTGGCGTCGGACGGGGTATGCCCTTGACGTGCCCTTCTACCACACGCTTGGTCGTGATCATTGCAAGAGATCCGTACCCGGAGGGTCTACCCGGCGCAAAACGTAGCTAGAAGTAACCCAGTGCTCTCCTCTCGTATGCGAGTGGATATGAATGGCGGACGAGCCGTCGCTTACAATACCTGACCCTCTGGGCAATGTCTGTCCGTATGTCACATCACTACGCCGCCACGCATTGTCCGCCATTTACCATTCCGCATCTGCCATCACGCATCTCTCATCCACTATCGCCCATCACCACCCATCACCCATCTCCCATCTCCCATACACCCTCCCACTCTCTACATACCCTTTTCCCTGGTACACAGCCTCACTGTCAAAGTGTATCTCTGCATGGGCGCGCGAGGCGCGCTACTCGGGGTGTGAAAAACGCTATATACAACTCGGAGGGATCTTTACACGCCTGTAGTCTTGGTCTATGTACACGGCAGCCTGGTCCTTGCCTTGACCTTGCCTTCTTTTCTCTCTTCTGCGCCCAACCAAACTGTCCCTGTCATTAGGTCTAGCGGTTCACGGGGGAGATCCAAACAAGATGCCGCGGCGAATGTGGCGGAGATGGATTGCGCCTGGCCCTCTCCATCATGGCCCCTTTTGGCCGCTTACTCGTCATCCATGCCGGCTCTGCCGTCGTAGCGGTAAGGCCCGTACTCCTGCTGTCGAGAGTGCATGGCGTCACGGTCGAGGTAGGCGGCCTGGGGTGACTGGTTGGTGCCAGACGTGCCGGACGAGCCCTCGCTCGTGTTGTTGCGCTTGCGGCGTTTGGGAGCGGCCTGGTGCCCTGGGTGCGCCGTGTCTTGGCCGTCTCGGCCTCCGTTCGAGGGTGTAGAGGAGGTAGACGCGGTTGCGCGAGTGGTAGCGTCTGGCGGGGTGGTGGAGACCAGGACAGTGGCAGTTGCGGGTGTTGGCGAGGCGGTCGGGACAGCTCGAGGGCGCTTCTGCGGCCACCCATGCTGTTGCGGCGACTCGGGTGACACGACCTCGTCCTTGATTTTGGGGCGCGGCGGCATGGGGTGTGCATGGCGACTGCCCGTGCTTGGGAGCTGGGGAGTCTGGGTCTGGATCTGGGCCTGGGTCTGGGGCATGGTCTGCGTCTGGGTGTGTGGCGGACCACCCATGCCCATACCCACGCCCACGCCCGGCGCGGTGGGGCGGACGAGGCTCACGCCGCGCAGGTCCATCGCCGGATCGGCGTTGTTCATGCCTGGCTTCCACTCGACCATGCCCTGCTCGATGGGTGCCCAGCGTCCTTTTCCTAGCTGCCTGTGGGTGTCAGTCATAACCACGGGGCCCTGGACGTACTTGTCGAGGATATCGCGCCTGGTGTACTTGTAATTCTCGCAACGCTCGACAATCTTTCGGCGCACCTCGCGAATCGCCACGCGCATGGCACGGTCGATGGGCGGCCAGGCGCGCGTGCCAAACTGGTCAATGTGGACTTCACAGCGGGCGGTAAACGCGTCCAGCTGGGCGAGCATGCGGCGGCCGCGGTGGAAGAAGGCACGCAGCGCGTCGGATTTTTCCAGTTGGCTGTACGTCTGCGGGATGGTGCCGATCATGGGCGCCGCGTCCGGGTTGAGCTTGAGGTCGTTCAGGAGCGTGTAGTAGAACAAAGGGTAGAGCCTTGGAATGTCCGGGTACACCTGCAGCAGGGCAAAGAGGGACACGGGTGGTGGTTGAGCTGCAGAGGCAGGCACTGGCCCCGTAAAAGTAGACATTGTGGCAACCGCCGCTGCGGGCGTGGCGGACACGGAAACGTTCCGTGAGACGACGGGTCGACCCGGTGAGGTGGTGGTGGATCCCCTGCGTGTGCGCTTCCTCGACCTCGACTTGGTGGAGACCATACCAGGAACAAACTCGCTGTCATCCTTATCCTCGGGGGCCTCGGAATCGGAATCGGACAGGTCAGAGAGCTCGGGTTCACCCTCGCTCTCGTATTGCGTACGGTGCTGGGAGGGGCGACGGTTACGCCTCACCCACTCCGGCTTCTGGACCCCCCTAAACTCTGTGGGGAGAGGCGAGGACCTGTGGCTCGGAAGTGAAGAGAGGGCAGGGCTGTTGGAGACAAAGTCGGGCTCCTGACGACCTAGGAGCTCGGGGGTGGGCGAGTGAGACTTGTCGTGGATGTCAGGCTTGACGTCTTCCTCGTCACTTCCTTCCGAGCCGGCATCTGAAAGCATATCGGCGTTGTTTTCTGTAGGACTCCAGTTGACGTGGACGTTGCCGAGAAAGACCCCATCAGTGGGAGAAGGACGTGGAGAGGGGGCGATGCTGGTGCCACTCTGGCAAGTGGACACGGGACGGGCAAAGTCCGCGTCAGGGAAGGCTGGTCGGACTGGATGACTGATGGCAGTCCTTGCCATTCCTCCTGGTCCGCCCACAAAGTCGTACATTGCGAAACGGGGTGGCGAAGTACGAGCCTTGTCAGGCTCCAACTTGACTGCACTCGAGCCACCATCATAAGAAATTGACCTCTCAAAGGGACGGTTGTTAAAGAGTGACGGGTTCACGTACTCCTTGGCCGTCTGGACGTCGACCTCGACAGCGTCGAGCGAGGGTGCACTGTGAGGAACCGGATACGCTTGTGTGGGGACTGTTATCTGATGCCTCAAGTTGGAGTGCGGGCTCGCGTTTGTGGACATGGGTGAATGGGGAAATCCAGTCGAGCTGGCAGGCGAGTGAGAGTAGCCCGGAGACAGTCCAGGTGGAGAAGGGTTGAATACTGGGCAGCCGAGGAAGGCACCACCACCACCCCCACCCCCGCAGCCGACGCCGCCATTGTGCTGGAACTGTTGAGCGGGCAGGTAGTCCGCCTGTCCTGGAGGTCTTTGAATGGAGGACGAGTATCCGTACGAGTAACGAGGTACGGTGGGGACTTGGAGAGAAAATGCAGGCAGAAGACCGGTTGGCTGGCCTGGCTGGGAATGAGGCGCGACCACTGTGTGTGTGGGCGGAGTGGCGGCGGCATAGGCATAGGGTGGGGTGCTGCCGTTCATGGTGGCGGAAAGTGGACGGCTGACAGGCGAGACAGAGTATGGGGTCATGTGGTGGACCACGTGCTGTTGCTGCGAAGACGACGGATACGAAGCAGGAGGTGGTTGCTGGAATGTTGCTTGGTGGTTCGCGACCTGGCTGAAGTGGTGATGGTATGCAGCAGGCGAAGGCTGCAAGCCCAGCGGTGCGTCGGGGACCGCCCGAGATCCCATGGTGGCAGCAGGCACGACGGGGATTGGGGTCGATTTTAGAGGATTTATATGCAGCAGCAAATAAACAGGAGGGTGTGGTGATACGAGTGTTGTTCTCGGTGGAGTGAGGAAGTGATGGGGAGAAAGAAAAAGCTTTTGACTCGTTCAAGAGTTGTGTGCGCGTTGATGGTTGGACCAACCACCGATGGAAGATGGGGAGGTTCGATCGACACGATCCACGAGCGCGTGCCGTGCGAGAGGCGCCACGCGGCTGAAGAGGCGGCTATGGGCGGTGGTGAGAGTTCCGCCTGCAAGCACAACGTTCTGGAGCACTGGAGAATAAAAGGGTTGCAGGATGGGGTGTGATATGGACGGTGGAGAGAGGATGTGTGAAGATCAAAGGAAGAGGGGCTGTGAACGGTGCGGGGGGGGGGGGGGGGGGGATTCTCTGGATGGCGACAGATGGAGCAGTGACAAACGTCGTCCTGCGCAGCTCTGAGCGAGTATCAGCCTAAGCAGATAGAAGCCCAGAAGGCGACAATAAGGAGCACAAGTGGGCAGTGTGGAGCTTTGCTCGTTGTGTTGTTTGGAGCGCCGTGTGCAGGGATGTTGTGGTCCCCACACGCACGCGCGGAACCCTCATATGTCCGTCCATACGTCCATCATCGGGCAAAAGGCCAGACGCAGGGGCCAAGCGCAACTCTCCGACGACCTACTTACGAGGTTGTACTGTGTTGGGTACGAAGTTGGAGTCCAAGGAGACCAGAATGAGGAGGAGGAGGAAGAGGAGGAGGAAGAGGAGGAGGAAGAGGGAGAGGATGTTAATGACAAGGATGGAGAGACAGAGTGGGTGTGTTGCGCCCTTGTGTGTCTGTCTGTCTCGTCCAGTGTCTCCGGCGGGCAGCAGCAACGATGGGTCCCTCTGTCTCTCTCTCTCTGTCTCTCTCTGTGTGCGCCCACCAAACAGCCTGCACCAGAGTGCAAGGTTTCGAGCCGACTGTCCGGCAAAGACGGGCCCTCCCCCCCCCCAGCCAGCGCCTAGGGTGCGACACGGATTGTGTGCACAGACCAGACTCTGTGCCCACGCACGCATAGACCACACACCCCCACGCAAATGGGCTCTGCAGTCGCGGCCCTTCTGCTGCGTCCATCACCGCCGCCCACAGAAAAAGAAAAAAACAAGCTCGGGAGGCAGAAAGGGTCCTACAAGCCGCCGGCACAGTCTCTCTTCCATGGCGTGAGGAATGTGTACTGGCCAACTGGTTGCAACTGGGCCACTTGAATGCTGGATCTGGGGAAACCAGTGCGCCAGTACATCCTCGTGTCTCTCTATGTCTCTCTGTGTTGCTCGTGCTTGTGGCTGGATGGGTGCAAGCATTGACTGTCGTCGTCGTCGTCGTGGGCCTCGTCGTCTGTCGGTAGTGGCTAAACGATCTGCGGGAGAGGAAGAATCCTTCTTCTGCCCCCTCCATGTACCCATGCGGAAACGTCGGGAACCCATGGATCTCATCTGCGTTTCTCCATTACCACCCAGGAAATTAGAACGTTCACGCTCACCCAACCCAGCCCAGCTGGCCAGCAGTTCAGCCTGCAGCGGGCTACACCTCGCTCTCGCATTTGGGGCGGCAATGTCCGGCATGTCTGCATGTGCTGTGGATCTGGGGAGCTGGCGGAGAAACAGAGAGAGAGAGAGAGAGAGAGTATGGCGCCCCGGGTGCCTTGGCACGGCACACCCACCCACACACAACTCCCAGCCCACAGGCCTCCTTGGCGCACGCTCTCGAATGCGACGGGGCCACCGTCCCCCGTCCAGCGCGCACAACGGGATGTTAAAAGATGGGCAGTAGTGGGACAGGCGGAGTAGTGGGTGACGAGGGACACTGCTAGACTGTTCCATGCGCCGGGTACGGTGACATCGAAGAATACCGGCGAGCAGGGCACCCAGCGCAGGGAGCAACGAAAGGGCACAAAGGGCAGAGCGAACGCGGCCCAAACGGCCGGGCGCTGTACCGCTGTTCTACGTCCCCTTGCACATGTGCGCGCGCGCTGAGTCATAGCGGATACGGCGCAGTGTATAGGATCGACTGTGCAGTGACCTCTCTCTCTGGCGGTGGCTGCAGGGGGTGGGGGGAGGAGTGAAAGAGTGGGCGCGCAAGCACGCATGAGCCGGGTTTGTGGCGCTTCCAACAGGCGTGTGGCGCAGTGGCCGTTTCGTTTGCTGGGTGTGAAGGCACGCTGGAACTCTAAAGCCTCCCTCGTCCCTGCGTCTCGCCCTCGCACACACCCAACGGCAATGGCCCAATGGCCAATGGGTTCTAATAGTCAACGAGAATCTGGGGGGCAGCAGACGTATGTATAAGTGCACACGCAGCACAGTCACCTTTGCACATGCGCTGGCCCTGATGCCCTGCGCCGGCTGTTGAGCTCTGACCGCCTGTGTGAACCTGAACCGTCCTCGTCAGTTTGTCAACGGCTTCCCTCGTCTCTACCACCTTGACCTTTTTCTATCATCCGCCGTCTAAACAATCCCGCGCAATCACAATCTTGTCATCTCACTCGCTGAAAAAAAAAAATGTGCGCGGTACACTCAGTCGAAAAACGGCGCGGGGGCAGCCCCCATCGAGCTGTCATTTTGCGTTTTACGTTCGATTGTCCGACTTTTATTCTCAGGCAACAGCGGTACAGCGACGAGCACAGATACCTGACCCCCGGACCATCTCTACACCGCGAGACAGCGTTCTGGTCACGCTATGATGTCTTTGGCTTTGAACCGGATCATGGCTGCTCGCCGGGGCTGGCTCACGACCCCTCCCCAGGAATGCTTGTCGTGAAATCGGACAGACGACTCCGCCCCAGACGTGGCATCTCTAGATCCGACCGGCCTGTCTGTTGGAGTTGCGATGAGCGGCTCGCACCTCTGAGCGAGAGTAAAAAATGGACAAGAAAGAGAGGCAGCTAACTGAACTCTTCACGATACAGATCCCCTCTTCTGCTACCGTCGGCTCGACGACCGCATGAGAACAACACCACTAGACCAGCAACGGACAAAAGTGCTGCCTGCTGCGTCTTTTGCCGTCGACATCGCCCTTCGGTTTGCACCCACGTTTGGGCAGACATTGGAGCAGTGATAAGGACATGTAGCTATGCTGCACTCACGACTGACCGCCGCAAAGCAGAACGCAGAACAGGGGCACTCTGGCCCGGGCGTTGACTACTCCCAACTCCCAAACCCCACGAACAAGTTGCTCCACGACAGTTCACTTCAAGGGCACGGGCTGGCCTCCAGGGATATACATGGCAGAGCGCGGAATGTAGCTCACTGCCGGAACTTGGCGCGGCACATGGTAAAGTGAGGGCAGCAGAAGTGGCACATTGCGAGAGGGAGAGGATCGACGACCTTACCAAGTGGAGCTGTGCCGTCCGTCACACACTTTATATCCTCTGACGCCGCAGACCCAACGAATGGCCATACGAGGTCTCCTTGCCCTCGCCCAAAAACCTGCCCATCAAGGTCGATGCTCGTGGTCCCTTGGCAGTGTGCGGGGTCCCACTTCTCAGCACGACCCTGTCACACGCGCAAGAGGCTATCCTTGACTAGACTGCTGTTCGCTTTCACTCGCAGGAATCGCAGGAAACTATTAGAAGCTTGCTAAACTCCACCACTGACTGGGCCCGCCGACACGGGAACTTGACAGTGACGGCTATCGGACGACTCACACCCAGGTGAAGCAGGGACATGTGGCTCGGGGTTTGAATGTGACCAGAACAGTATGACAATGGTGGACGGCTGACGGGGACCCTTCATGTGCGGCGACGACCCTCGCTGCAGTCGGCCCTCGAGACAGACGACGTGGAGCTGTGACGGGTACGGGTACCCATCCAGTGCAAGATGTCACGATCAACTATGATCCGGTGAGCAGCGAGTCAGGAAGGTATCACAGTAGTCCATAGGCCATAGGCGATGCAGCAGTCGTGACAGCATGCAACATTTATTTTTGTGACGATACCAAAACCCTGAAGTGCCGAGAAACACACTATGGTGTCAAAATCTCTTGTCCTGACCCGCTGCCTGGGCGGATAGTGCGATTTCCGAAGGGACGAGAAACACACTGGGATCAAAATCTGGAGTGCTAACGGAACGCATAGTGCGTTTTACGATCCATGAGCAAGCGCACGCATGACATGGACGCTGCCGTGGACAGTCACTGGAACCCCAGTACCCCAGCCTGTCCTGAGAATAAGCGACGCGAACGCGACTACCCTCTGTGTACCCTCTGCCCTCCTGAATCCTTCCTTACACGGCCCCGATACAATACCAGTATCCACGACACGTCCGTGCCGCACGCCGCGTCCACGTCCCCATCCACGACACCACGTCCGCACGCGTCCGTGTCCGTGGACATGAGCTCGAGGATCACTGGATCACTGGATCAGGAGGGCAGCACACGTCCACATTGATCGTGACGCGACGCGCCGTCCACGTCAGCTCATCTCCAGATCGTCAGACGATGATCTGTTGGACGCCGACGGCCGAAAAATGTGCGGCAACCAAACGCTCGCTGCTCACTTGCTCAATCCCTCGGCTTCGTTCAGCCGCGAGCGCAGACGCTAGTAGTAGTGGTAGCATAGTCCGAACCGATCTGCTGCTGTCCGCGGTCCGTCGTGTGAACCCCGAAAAGGCATGACATCGTGCCAAGCGTCATCAGAAGACAGAAAACGCTGCGGCCCGTCCCTCCCTTGACCAGAAGCAACGGCGGGGTGTGGAGCTTGAAGCAGGTGACGCGACCCTCCTGACGAAGCATATCCCCCGCGGGCCCGCCCGCGCCTCCGTCACGCCGCGGCGTCGTCGCTTACGAGCACGCCGAAGGACACCTCTGACTCCGCCTGCGCCGCTGTGCCGCTGTGCTGCCCAGTGCCGACACCGGCGCCGCGGTGGAGTACACGGTACACGCTGTATGGTGGTGCTCCAGTCGTGGCGGCGTTCCAGGCCCCGGACACTTGCCACTCATCGGTTCGGCGGTCAATTCCGGGGGTCTTGGCGAGCGGGGGGTTATTGTCCGAGTTGAGCTCCGACGTCGGTAGGTGGGACAATGGGAAGCTGTGGATCTGGGGCGATGTGTCGTTTCGTTCCTTGAGTGGCACGAGCACAGGAGCAAGGAGCGTGCGCTCGCCTGGAACACCGCAGCGGAGGCCGCTCACGGCGTCGCGGCCTCGTTGACGTGAGGTGACCGGACTCTTTGGTGGACGGACTGTCCACCCCGACCAGATGCCCGGCATGTTTGGGCGTGCACCGCAGGGCCTGCGGCGTCGGCACATGAGCTTTCAGCACGCACTAACGGACCTGCCAAGGCTCGTCTACAGCTGGTGTGTGCAGTGCGCCGCAGTCCTGCTAAACTGGTGTCTCGGTCGTCGCAGCAGCAGCGAAAGTAATGGGAAGTGGCTTCTTATTTGCTTTGCATCATCGGTACACGTTCTAGGTATTTGGGTAGAAGGAATATATACAACAGAGAAAGATAAAACCCCGACATCCCCAGGCACTGTGGGGGGGAGGGGGAGAAAGGAAGGGGAGCATGTTGGGTCTCTGTATTGTGGCGTTTTGTTGGCTTATGACAAGGACAATAAAAGAAGAATGTCGAGAGAGATCAGAGACACACGGGTCTGCACGGGAATCGCGCTGATGGGCGCCTGATGGGCTGATGGGCTTGGGGGTGATGGGCTTGTGTGATGGAAAGTCCGCATGGATCGGATGACCAACGCCGCCCGTTTGGTGCGGGACCTATTCGGGTGGACGTAAAGTCGGGTGAGCAAGGGGCGGAGGTGGACGGGATGCGAGAGTAGTAGGCGATCGCGTAATGCTGTAGTAGTCGCGAGCGAGGGATCAACGTGCACCACATGAACGATCGGTGTGACGAGGGGGAGGGGGGGGGTCTACTGCCTCGAATTGGTCAATGCCTTGAAGACCTCGGACTGTGACGTGGGGCTCGACGACAGTGACGATCCGCTCGACGATGGGGGGCTAGTGGCAAGACCCGGCGAGGGGGAACGGTCACTGCGCGTGGGCACGCCGCGGACGGCGTTGTACACCGAGTAGAAGAGGTCGGCGACGTGTGGGCATGGGTGGGTGGGCAGGGCGCTGGTGCGGCCGCGCTGGGGTGGCAAGGCAATGGGCATGGGTGCCGAGGGGCCAGCGGTGGAGACGACAGTGGAGGTGGAGTTCATGGTGGTGGTGGTGGTGGTGCTGTGAGCTTGGTGGGGTAGGTGAGTGCAAGTCGAGTGGAAGTCGGCGACTTCTACGACGTCGAGGTCTGCGAGGTAGTCCGTGTTGACTGAGTTGACGAGCAGGTGGAGCTGCCCGATGTTGTTATGTGGGCCGGGGATGAGGCGGAACACGGGATAGACCTGTGGTGTGTGGGTGGCAACTGAGGTGTTGCAGAGACGCTGGGCTCTGTACTGCAAGCAGCTGAGAGGGGAGAGTGTGATGAATGAAGTGTGCTGTGTGTATGAGATGGGGGATGAAAAGGTGCGATCTGGGAGAGTCAGTGTTGATATATCTACCGAGGGTGGGACCACACACACCGACTGGAGCGGCACATTGATATTGTGGGATCCTGTGGCCGGGCTGTGGGCTGTGGGCTCGGGCCGTGGGCCTTGGATGGGCAGAGACCCCGCCAGGCCGCTGGCTCCAGGGCTCTCTTGACGAGAAGCGGCCCTCGCGCACTCCACGGAACCACGGAAGCGGCGGAACAACCGCCCGACCACCCCGCTCTCAGTGGTGGCGCCAGTGCTCTCTCGGTGGGATTCCGCCCCCCTTCGTCTCCCCTCGTGCCATGGCTCTCGCCCCCCCTTCTTTTGTCCTTTGTGGGGTGTCCACTCTGTCCGCTCACACCTCTCTCACTACACACTGTGATCTATAGTGATCTAACTGATCTCCCATCGTCCCACGCGTCCTCCCGACCGTACACGCGTGTAACATGTCCCTTAGCGCGCAGTTGGGACACAGCTATGCAGCCGTACGCGCACCTTTGTTCTGTTGTCAGTGCTGCCCAAAGGATCACGCGACCAGACAATGTCTGCACCATGGCACCGCGGCAAAACCGTTGCACGTGATGTCAAAGACACCGCTGACAGGCCTGACAGGGGTGGTGATTGCGCTTGCTTCCCACGTCTTGGGAGTGATTGTAGCGTTTTTGTAAATTTATAGCCATTTGTGCATTTGTAGACATGGAAGAGTCGCCCGACGCGTTCGGGCCGAAAGTTCGAAATCAATGAACCCTTGTGCGACGTCAGCAAAGGGAAAGATTGCGTCTTGCGTCTTGCACGCGGGGGCTGATGGTGACTGCGCATTCTGTTCTCGCTGGATCTATGAGGGAGGGGGTTCATGGCGGAACATCCGGTCTGAGCAGGAAATACCGAGTAACGTACACACCTGCACACGGTGTAGCCTCGGAAGGTTTCCGCGCGATCTACTAACTAATGGCCATGGTCCCCAGCCGCGCCGCGGTGTCGGCGAGGTCGCCGCAGCAGTTGACTTGCATGACTTGAACGCCCGGACCGTTCGGCGCTGTCATTTAGAAAATGTCTTGGCAGACTACGTAAAGCGATTACGAATCTGGAATACAACCTTTGCACGCCTTGGGTGGTTTTAATAGGCGTGCATAGGGGCAGACCTTGCTTTTGTGTTACTTTTTGCTTGCGCTGCCTGCGCTGGGCGAGAGAGGTGGCCGTGGGCGGCAAAACCCACAGTGCGCAGATGGGATCTGCAGAGCCTGGCGCATTAGTCACGCATCCATCCATCTCTCCTCTTTCGACCCAGTCTCACATCCCACACAAATCTTTCAGCTCCTCCTCTCTCATTCTTCACACCTCTCTTCCCACCACACGCAGCCACATCTCAACAAAACATGACCGTCCTCGGCCAGCCCGCACAGGTCGTGCTCGGCTCCCTTGCCCGTGCCAACGACTACCAGCGCATCCTTACTGAGCTCAAGGCCGGTGGAGCTCCAGTCTCTGGCGAGATGGTCGACCGTATCCTTGACAATGGTGAGCACAGAGCTGGCTGCATCACGGTCGTCAGCTAAAGCCCATCAGCTACCGGCTTCCCCGCCGGCCCGCTCACCATCCACCTCGTCCTTCCGCTTCCCCTCCCCTCGTCCCTCCTTCCCATCATCCCGGCCTCGACCACTGTCCTCATCTACCCCGCCGAGTCGCCCGAGTCTGCCACCGTCTCCGAGCTCCAGTCCCAGCTCGCCCAGCGCGGCTTCACCGCGTCGGCTGCTGCCGCCGTCCCCGGTGCGTTCGCCTACACCGCTCCCGAGGCCGTGGCGTCCACCTCGTCGAGCTCGACCGCCTCGACTCCCGTCTTTGCCGCCCCCGTCGCGCTCTCGGCTCGCCCCCTCACGCTCAAGCGCTCAGCGAACAAGGCCCAAAAGTCGGCCATCTGGGCCATCGAGTCGCCCCTGCTCGCTGACAACGGCCGCTCCCTCCTGACCCCCGAGGACCGCGCTCGCCCCGAGTGTGTGTTTCCCGACGCATCGACCGGCAAGCCCGTCAAGCGCAGGCGCGCGTGCAAGGACTGCACGTGTGGCCTGGCGGATCTGGAGAAGGAGGAAGAGGACCGCGCCGCCGCCGCCGTCAAGGAGGCCCAGGCCGCCTTCTTTCTCGAGGGCGACGACGACATCCCGGCCCACGTCAAGACCGCCACCGCTGGCGTCGAGGGCGTGTGGCCCGTCGACCGCCGTGCCGAGGCCAAGAAGACGAGCTCGTGCGGCTCGTGCTACCTCGGCGACGCTTTCCGCTGCGGCTCGTGCCCCTACCTCGGTGAGTCACCTTGCAATATTTCCCCCCCCAGTGGCTTTTTTGACTGACTCGTGTTCCTTCAGGCCTCCCTCCATTCAAGCCCGGAGAGAAGGTCCAGCTCTCGATTGGCGACGACCTCTAAGGCGGCCCCCACATTGTTGTAACCTTTCCCACCAGAGCGCCCGCGGCGTGTATCATCGGCGTGTGTACCACCAGCCAGGCGCTAGATTAGACGAGCTTCATTTGTTTATGCAGAGGACAACCTTGGAGCGCGACACCAGAGCACACAGCGTCGAGCATCTGGCCAGTGGCACTGATTTCTTTCACGCTGACAAAGTCTTGTGCGTGGCCACAGGTGACGCCATTCACGATCTCCGAATCGGGTCCCCCCCTCATGCCCTCACCTATCCCTCTCCCTCGCTCGCACGAGCACGGTGAAATGGCCCCATCCTGGTTCGTGGGCTGACAGCTTAGCAAGATACCCAGCCGCCCGTGCTCGCTGGACCCCCGACCGATGCCTAAGCGTGCCGCCAAATATCTGCGCTGTGGTTCGCTGGCACTGCATGTTGCTGTTGTTGGTGGACACGGCGGCGTTCGGTGGCGACGGGGTGGGTGTGCGGCGCTGACTGATAAACCCAGGGCTGGGAGAACCGGTCGGCCGAAGGGCTCAGACCAGTCTGGTTGGGTGTGCGTCCAACCGACTCGATGCCTAACGCATCTCGACCCTTTTTTTTAATCGGTCCAACACGAGACTCGATAGCAACGCTTGCCTGCTTGCTTGCTTCTCTCAGAAATACACGACGCAGCGACAGTGACCTTTTGGTCTGATGCGTACATTTAGAACCCCGGAACACAACTCATTCCCTCTCTACCCTGTCTGTCCCTTTGTCTACTTTGCCAGCTCGAGGTTGTCGAGCGCCTTGGCGGCCGCGTCCACGGCCTTGTCGTCCGCAGGAGCAGGTGCCTCTGCCTCGTCCTCGTCCTCGTTCTCGTCCTCTGCCTCGAGCTTGGTGATCTCCTCGAGCAGGAGGCGGGTGCCCTCGACGATGATCTCGTGCTCGATGGAGTGTATCCTGGCCTCGAGGTCCTCGAGCGTGTCCTCCTTCTTGATCTCGACCTCACGGACCACGAGGGGCTCTCCGCGGTCCACCTCCTTGATGACGCGGTGGACCATGGCGCCCGTGTTGGCCACCTCGCCCTTCTGGAACGCCTCGAACGCGCGCGGGATCGCAGCGGCGCCGTCAAACGCGCCGGGTAATGCCGGGTGCAGGTTGATGCACGGGATGGGGTACCTTTGCTTGGCGGGCGGGGCAGGCAGCTCCTTGGAGGCCTGGATGAGCTCGGCAGCCGGGGCGTGGTGCGGCTGTGTCGCAGCGTCAATGTCGCCCTTTGTAGGTGGCGGCAGCGCCGGGGCGGCGGGGGGAGCAGTGGTGCCGTTCAAAATGTCGAGGAACGAGTCGGAGAGAATGTGCATCCAGCCGGCGAGGACGACGACGTCTGGCCTCGAGTCGAGGACACGGCGCGCGACCTCGGCGTCATAGTCGACGCGCGACGAGCCCGGGTTGCGGTTCAGGAAGGTCTTGAGCGCGCACACAGAGGTGGGGATCGCGGGGTTGGCCTTGCGCGCGCGCTCGAGGCCGTACGCGTTGGAACGAGACGACAGGACATATGTCACCTGCGCGTTGGGGAGCTTGGCAGTCAACGACGCGTCGAGGATGGCCTGCAGGTTGGAACCTGGTCGCAGAAAATGTCAGTTTCAAAAGTTAATAGGAAACCCGTTGATGATGATCCCCCCTCGTTGTGATGTGCGATCTGCTACACGGACAAGGTGATGGGCTGGGGTTACGCACCAGATCCGGAGATGAGGACGGTGATGCGCTTGATGCGAGGCTCGATTGTCTCGTGCAGGGCGGGCATTGTGAGACGAGGGTGAGGTGAGAGAAGGGAAATGTGTGGGATGTCTTGTAAGTGATCGCATCTTCGCTCCAGACTGGAATCTGTCTCCTAATTATTGCCCCAGGGGGTGCGCGCGCCCGTCATATTATGGACGCCGAACTTTGCAAAAAGGACTGATGGCGGTCTGCGATCAAATGACGTGTGTAATCGACCGTGGGCAGACCATCTCCGTCGCCATTATCCCCTCAGCTGGCACTCCACATGTGCACACCGCCATATCTCATATACAGCACCATATCCTACATCCTGTCCCCCGTCGGTTCTTGCTCAACAAACAATCCCCCATCGACACACCCTCGCCGCCTACCGCTCCCGCGACCCCACACGTGCGCTCCATCGGCGCCGTGTGCGACTGTGTCCAGCACACCTTCAAAGGCCGCGAGAGCGACAGCCGGTCCTTTGGCCTGCCGCCGACGTATTCCATCACATTATTAAACGGACGCTCCGCACGCCGTCAGCCGTCGGCCTCGTGCTCCCTCCCCTCCCACCCTCCCACCTGCCGACCTCCTTGCCATGGGCCGCTCCAAGCCGCGCACCAACAAGCGCCCGCCACCCAAGCTCAACCGCAAGGCCGGCGCACCTCCGCAGGGCATCCCGCTCGCGACGCTGCCTTCCCTCCCGACGCCTTCCTCGACCCCACCAGCCCAAGGCACACCGTTCTTTGACCCAGCGACCGCGTCCCTCTTCCCGCCAGCATCAGCACTGGACCCAACACACCCTTCGTTTCCGACCGCGTTCCAGAACTGGTCGACGTCTGCGCTGTCCCAGCTTGGCCAGCTGCCGCGCCTCACGCCGTCCCAGCTGTCGGCCATTGCCGGCGCCGCAGCTGGCGTGGGCGACGCTGGGCTCTTTAGCGCGGCCGCAGCGGCCGGTGGAGTCGGCGTGGGCATGGGTATGGGCGTCGGCGTCGGCGTCGGCGTGGGTGCCGGAGCGGGCCAGGGACTGCCCATCGACCTCCCAGCAAGCTTGGCCGCGCTGTTCGAGGCCAAACTCACTCTGGACCGCGAAAAGGCCAAATTGATGCGCATGCAAAAGGAGCTCAAGGGATACCGCGAGGGTGTCGCCGCCGCCGTCGGCGCTGGCAAGGGCAAGGAGGTGGCCGTCGACGACGAGCTGGGCGAGTGCACCTGTGGCCGCAATGGGTGAGTAGAGCAGTGGTGCGCGTGGCCCGGTTACGCCGGTTGCCAAGGTTCAAAAGTAGAAGAGGAGCGGCGTGTTAACCGCTGACACCTTTAGCCATACGCACGCGCACGAGTACCCTGGGTCTGCCCACTCGGGCTCGGACGACTATTACTATTACGATACAGAGGACGAGTGCTGCGACTGTTGCTCCCATGACCACAGCTATGTCGAGTGCGATCACGAAAATGGCGACTGCGATTGTGAAGAGGAATTACCAGGCGAGCATGAACATCACCATCACCATCACCACCATCATCATCACGGAGAGGTCGATTCAGAGGCGGAAGAGTACGAATCGCACCCGAGCGAAGCCACGCACGCGCGACTGCCGCCAGACGAAGAGGCCATGTTTGCGTCGTCCATGGCCCACGGGCACGGGCACGGGCATGGGCATGGGCACGGGAACGGAACAGGAGGCGCGCACCCACAACCCCCACAGTTGCCCCAGCCTCCGAGGCTGAGCTCGTTGCCTGGGTCGCGGAATCGGCTGTCGGATGATCCCGAGCGAATGGTGAGAGACGGAGGCCTAGAGCTGCTCGTGGTGATAAACCAGCTGACCCAACATTTCCAGGACGAGGCAGTCCGCGAGCTCTTCAACTGGATCAAGGCGGTCGTGTGGACCATTGAGCAAGCAGCGATCGTTGCCGGCCGGCGGGGGTGGGCTGCAACCGAGGCCCGCTGAGCTGCCGAGCACGCAGAGTGACCCTCGCTTCGCTGCTAGGTAGGCCACTCGCCGTCGCACCCGCCTGCGCCGCTTGGGCCCACGCGCAACCCACCCCACCTCACCTTCCCCATCTCCCTCTCCCTATCTCGTCACCAGCACAATCCCCCAACCCAAATCCTGTACCACCACTGCATGGCCGTTCGGACCCTGTCATCTGTGCTGCTCTACACATGCATTACCATACACACATTTAAGAAGCTGACCGAAAGACGACGCAAGCGGCTTTGCCAAACTCTGGATCTAAGCTGACAAAGCTCCTGCCTTGGCAGTCTATGTTTGATGGAGGCCAGCTGGTCAAGCTGCCCAACCTGCCCGGTGTGAGGTCAGACCAGGCAGGACCACCAAAGGCTCACAGCGCCGCACTGTTTGCGTTCAAGTGTCTGGAGTGGCTAGGCCTGCTGCGAAACATGGCCCCACCAGGCATCACTTGCGTGCCATCTCTGTCAGTGATCAGTGCTCAGTGGATCGGTTGGGAGTTTTGTCTCAGACCATGCGGCCTGGACCGTGTTAGCCCACCTGCAGAGTGGACGAGATCTCGCCAAACCCGCGCGCCACGCCGAGATGACGGCCCGAAATGGGTGCACGGTGGAGGTGGTCCCACAACCACAATCGATGACACAATCGCCTGCGTGTCGCGTTTCCGCCTCTTTCTGTTCCAACCATTCTCTGATCTCTGCAACAACCATCAGACCATCCATCACACCCATTCCATCACTCCACCCCCTCAGCCCCCCACCCCCCCACTCCCCATGAGCGCACAGGATCCAGACCCGTACGCGGCGCGCCCGGCGCCCGCGTCATTCGACGAGTTCATGGCGCACATTGACGCCGCGCAAGCCCAGCAAGGCGGCGGCGGCCTGCTCGTCGACGCAGACCTGTACGAAGAGCTCTTTGGCGAGCTTCCAACGGGGTAAGTCCGCCGTGATATCCCCTTTTATTTTGTCCTTGTCTAGACGACCCTCTCCACTGACGCTCTCCGCTTCGCTCCTCCAGGCGCGGCGCCCGGCCCGAATTCATCGCTGCCCTCGCGCGCCCCAAGACGGCCTCGAAGCACGACGACGCCTGTCCCGTCTGCCTGCAGTCGCTGGGCGCCATCGAGACCGAGGAAGAGTACGCGCTCGCGTCGGAGAGTTTCTTCGGGGACGAGACCGCGCTGGGCGTGCGCGAGCTGCCGTGCGCGGCGCGCCACATTGTGTGTGCGCGATGCGCAAAGTCGTGGCTGTCGATGGTGAGTAGCTGTTTTGGTGTTGTATTGGAGCTGGAGCAGGTCCGAGACTGGAACAGCTCGCGCAGACATGTGGTCGGTCCCTTTGCTCACACTTCCTCTCAGAACAACTCGTGCCCCCTCTGCCGTGCCGTCGTGGATGACAAGGCGCCCACGCCGCCGTCGGGCGACGGCGCCGCCAACGTCATTGAGCAGCAGCGCGAGACGGAACGCATGCTCGCCCTCTTCCATGCCGTGTTTGGACAGCGGACTGCGCCGCCCACGGCCGCCCACACACAGTCGGCGAGCCGCGACGACCGCGACTCGTATGCGGGCATGTACTCGTAGAACATATGGCCACAAGGACAAAAAAGTGTAATATATAGTGTATGTCATAAAGCCGCTACATCAGATACCGCGGCGCCTATACCCCCCCCCCCCCCCCCCCCCCCCCCAGCCCCCCCCCCCCCCCCCCCCCCCTCTGTTGTGGCCCTCAGCATCGTTTTGACTACCCACCAGCGACGAGGACGGCTCCTATGCACCCTGTGCAATCGCCTTGAGACCCGCCAAGACCTGTTCCTCCGTCTGACCCTCAGCCCACCAGTGACGCGTGAGATCGCCGGCGAGCTCGTCCTCTCCTGCCGCTTCTTCCTTCTCTTCCTTGGCCTCCTCCTCCTTGGGACTGCGGAACCGCTTGCCCGGTCGCGCGTCGGCTTTGCTGGACCCGTTCTTCCGCTTCGCCACATACGTCAAGTACTCGAGCGAGTGGGGCTGAGGGGTTGGGATCTTGATGGCTCCCTGGGCCACTGGTGGGCCCGAGAACCAGAGGACCTGGTGACGCTGGTCTTGCTCGAACAGGCGGGCAGTGTCTGGAAGGAGATATTCACGGACGGCGACCTGCTCCAGCACCTGCGCACCACCCATGACTGATGCAAACGTGCGCACGGGTTGCTGGGGGTGGTGTGCCTGTGCGGGGACGGGCTGTCCTGACCTCCAGCCTTGCTGCTGGTGCTGCGGGTGTTGCTGGTGCTGTTGCTGGTGCTGAACAGGCGTACGGACCTGCTGTTGGCCGTAAGCGACCTGCTGGCCGTGAGATGGCGTGCGTGATGGGCCGGCGGGAGACTTGGCGTGGCCTTGCACTGGGTACGGGTGACGAGGGGCCATGACTGGAGCCTGGGGAGTCACGGGCATTGAGGGGATCGAGCCGCGACTCGATGGGTGGCCCGGCTGGGGACCGCTCGGTCGTCGGGGCGGGGCGATCAGAGAGTAGACGATGGCAGCCTCCTCCTCTTCATCATCGGTCGGCATCGGCTGACGACGGGGACGGCCGATGCCACCGGGACCCTTGACGCCGCTGGCGAACGGTGAGCGGGTCGAGGGCAGATTAATCAGACGCTCATAAGGCACAACAGCCGTGACGTCGATGTGACGCTGCGACTCGGGCACAATGTTGGACCACTTCTTGATCCGCATGAAGAGGGCAGCCTTGTCAATGTAGCGCGTGTTGCAGACGTACAGCTGCCAGCCGGGGAAGAATGCTGGGGGGGCTGGACGGCCACGCATAGCGCTGTCGGTAGGCTGGACCGCCACACGCTCAAGAATGTCCTCGACCGGGTGGTCGCAGAAGTGCGCCGTCTTGAACACCTCGCTCTCGGCAAAGCCAAGCTCGGCGGGGTGCACAGTCTGTTCGGGGCGGAAGTACCAGCAGACAGTGACGTGGTGTGTAGCGTAGCCCTTGGTGGGGACAAACGTCTTGAAGATCTGACCGACAATGGGCCGTGACGCATCGTTGGGGTTGATCAGGTGCACATAGTCGCCGACGCGGTACGCAACACCCTTGTGACGCGCCTCGTCGGTGAACAAACGGTCCCTGACCTCAATGTGGGACGTGGTGATACCAAGGGCGACCTGCTCTGGGTTCGCGCCAGCGCGGATTGCCTCGTTCCTGTCCTGTACCGAGCACGCGACACCAGGACCGGCGGGCAACGAAGCAAACTTGGTCGGGCTGGGACCAATGACACCGTTTGGAGGAACCTGCAGAGGGTACGGCGCCGTGAGAGCGTTGTACAGGCGCTGCAAAGTGACCACACGGCCAAAGTCATCGGGTGTGGCGCGGAACCACCGACGAGCCCTCTCAAACAGGCGCGTCATGTCGCCGTCAAAGTCATGCAGCGTCGAGTACTGCCCTTGCAATGCGCGCTGCTGAATCGCAGACCACGGCAAGGCGCTCTTCTGTCTTTGTCAGCTGCTGACCGGTCCGTTTCTGGCCTAGCTTACCTGAGCGTTGGTGGACAAGAAGGGAATTTCGGCATTGGGAGGCAGGCTGTTGAAGACCTCGGCGAGACGCTGGCCCTGGGGATTCTTGTACGCCTCGACAGCACCAGCAACGGCGTGGATGCGCTTCTTCCAACTGGCATGGCCGCCGACGTTGCGCTCAAACTCGGGCGCACCCTCGCCCCACCAGCCGCTGCCGAGCACGCCTCCAGGAGCAGGGTCGCCAGGAAGGACTCGTTGCGGGCCATCCCAACGAGGGAGCTTGCTGTCACAGGCAGCCACAATGCGCTGCTCGGCCTCGGGGAGGTGCGTTGCGGAACGGAGCACAGGAGCCTCTTGCTTGACCTCCTTGGCGCCACGGGGAGGCATGACCTTGACAGGTGTAGGCGGGACGGACGGCTTGGTGCTGCCGCGAGTCTCGCGGTGCGGCCTGCCAGAGGAGGTCGGAGCAGGTGCCGGTGCCGGTGCCGGTGCCCGTGCCGGGGTTAGAGCAGGAGCTGCGGCAGGCGCTGGGGCAGCTGGAGTAGCGGCAGGGACGGCCGGCACGCGCAAGTGGATCGTGACGGGCGGGGTGGCGGCCTCGGCCGGGGTGTCTTGCAACTCAGGAGCCTTGGGCACCTTGGGACGCCTGGCCTTGCCAGCCTTGTGGTACGGGTCGTCAAACGCAAAGATGCCAGCGGCATGGTTGGTCTTCCACGCCTCGTGAATCTGAGCCTCATACTTTTTGGCGTCGTTCCAGATCTGCGAGAACTCTTCGTTGTCTGAATGGGTCAGCATCAACGATCAAAAGTCATCACCCACAGTGCATGGCATTGAGGAAGACCTGGTGCAGCTGCTTGAACACCTCTTCGGGCGCGTTGAAGTCTTGGTTGCCGAGATGAGTCTGCGAGGTTAGCTACCGCCCGAGAACCCTGCGTGGTGATCATGGCTGGGGGGTGGTGCCCACGCCGCCGCGCGCGCGCGCGCCATACACGAACGCCGCGCAGAGGCTGCGCCAATCGACAAGCATGTCAACAACTCACCGTAATGTTGTCCAAGCACTCTGGATCGGGGATGGCCTCGTAGTAGTCGGCCCACTCGTCCTTGTCGGGAAGCTCGCGGAAGATATCACTCATCCGACGGCTAATGCGGGGGAACGAGCACGGTCAGCATCCACATTTCAGGCCCACATTGCGAGCCCCCGTTTTTTTGTTTTGGGACGGGGTTGAAAAAGCACAATGTGTCGAAAAACGCACCTTCCTTCCTTGGACTTGTAGACCGCGTCGAGCATGTCACGGCACGCGGTCCAGGGGCCCTCGTCCATCCCGCCGCCGCCATCCTTCTTTGCGGGATAGGACGTGGGGACGGGGTTTGGCGGTGCAGCGGCACGGGCGCGTCTATCTTTGCGCGGCATGCCCTGTGCGTTGTTGTGGGTGGGGTGTGGGGGTCGATGGATGCGTGTGTTGTTGTTGATGGATGTGTAAAGAGGGGGAAGCCAGAAGCTCGCAGCCGGCGACCAGGTGAGAAGGGGGTGGTTGACGGAAGCAAAATCGTCCGTCAGCCAAAAACGCGTCAACACAGCGCGCGCGCGCCGCCACCAAACCACTGCTGCCGCCGGCTCTTTATCTCTCGTAAAGAGACGCCGGCATGCACAAGACGCCAACATTTGAGTTGAGGGACACCGAGACATGGCGGGGCCAACTTGCTGTTACCAACAGGCTCCTGATGCTTCCATCTTCTTGGGCTCCTTGCTCCTGCAACCAACAGTCGCCGTGTTCGGCGCCCATTTCTTCCCTGCAAACTCTATGTTGCACAGACGGCGGCGTCCCGTCTGGCAGATTCATCATCGATATATGTACCAGTAGCTTTAGTAATTCCTATTCCTGAACAACCCCTCCGTACCTCCGTCGTCTTCTTCTCAAGCATCGACGGCCAGAGGGGTATTCGAGACCCTGGCGCACAACCTTACGCTGTAGCTGCCTGGGCAAACCTTGCCTTGCTGACGCAAACAGCCGTAATTTACTCGGCGGGGCGGTCAATGTAGGCAATCTCAAGGTCGGCGGGGTCCGAGGGGACCGAGAGAATACGGAGGGTGTTGGTGTGGCCGAGACCACCCTTCCAGCCCTGGACGGCCATGACGGTAGCCTCGGGCTTGACAATCTTGAGCTCGAGGGCCATCTTGAGGCCGAAGCGGATGCGGTTGTCGACGTCAACCTGCCACTTGTCGCCGGGGACACCGCGGGGCTCGGGGTACCAGACGGGGTAGACACCACGCGAAAGGTGGAGCTGGCGGGCGGTCTGCTCCTTGCGGGTGACACAGATGATGGGGCACGAAGGGCGGTACTTCGAGATGAGGCGGGCCGAGACACCCGAGGTCGAGAGGACGATGATGGCACCGGCGTCCTGCTCGATGGCGGCGGCGACGGCCGAGAGGGCAAGGGTCTCGGCGGTCTCGGTGGGGCGGGGGGTGAGCTGGCGGAGCTGGTCAAAGAGGGCCGAGTTGGAGAGGGCCGACTCGGCGAGGTAGGCAGTCTCAGCCATCATCTTGACGGCCTCGATGGGGTAGTTGCCCTTGGCGGTCTCGCCCGAAAGCATGACACAGTCGGCACCGTCGAGGACGGCGTTGGCAACGTCGGAAACCTCGGCACGGGTAGGGCGGGGGTTGAACTATCGCAAAGCGTCAGTGCCTGATATACGACCGCCACCTGATAAGGGGTGTGGGAACTGCTGCTGTGGAAACTCACGGTCATCGACTCGAGCATCTGGGTAGCACAGATGACGGGCTTGCCGGCAATGTTGCACTTGGCGATCATCATCTTCTGGGCAAGGAAGACCTGCGAGGCGGGGATCTCGATACCGAGGTCACCACGGGCGACCATGACACCGTCGGCCTCGCGGAGGATCTCGTCAAAGTTGGTGACACCCTGCTCGTTCTCAATCTTGACAATGATCTTGATACCGGCACCGTCGGCGCCGAGAGCCTTCTTGATCTCACGGACGTCGTCGGCGCGGCGGATGAACGAGGCAAAGATCATGTCGACGTTGTTGCGGACACCAAAGGCAAGGTCGGCCTTGTCCTTCTCCGAGAGGGCGGGGAGGTCGACGGGGGTCTTGGGGAGGTTGACACCCTTGCGCGAGCAGAGCGAGCCGGCGTTGAGCGACTTGACGCGGAGGCGGTCACCCTCAATGGCGAGGACCTGGAGCGAGAGGATACCGTCGTCGACGTAGATGAGCTTGCCGGGCTGGGTGACCTTGGGGAGGTTGGAGTAGTCCATGAAGATCTGGTCGGCGTTGCCCGACTCGGCGAAAGCCTTGTCGGTGGTGACCCAGAACTCGTGACCGGCAGGGATGGGGACCTACAAAAGACGTCAGTATGGGGAGGGGCGCATAGATGTAAACAAAAAGACCCAGAGATCTCGTCGGAAAAGGGGCGACGACGAGATCTCTGCGCGTGTATAACTTACGTCCTGGTCGTTGGCCATGAGACCGGTACGGATCTCGGGGCCCTTGGTGTCGAGGGCAATGGCGAGGGGACGGCCGCTGGGGCTCTTCTTGTCGGCCTCACGGGCGTGGTCGATGACCGACTGGTGGTACTCGTACGAACCGTGCGAGAAGTTCATGCGGACTAGGAAGAGAACCAGTTAGGACCGGAAGATACGAAAAAAAGGAGCCAGTCGAGTGGAGCTGGCCGAGGAAAAATACTCACCAATGTTCATACCAGCGTCGGCAAGCTTGAGCATCATGTCGACGCTGTTGGACTTGGGGCCGATGGTAGCAATGATCGAGGTCTACATAGAGCGTTAGAAACGTGTGCTCGATGGGGGAGGGCGATGGTGAAGACACCAAAGTCAGCGGACTCACCTTGCGGAGGAACTTCTGCTCCTCAGTGGGGGCCTCGAAGCTGGTCGAGAGGCCAGCGAGCCAAGCGGTCTGGGAGCCAGCGGACATGGTGTTTCTACCGACGGAGCCGTAAGTAAGGTCCAGACGCGAGACATAGGCCGACATCGAGGACGATGTGGAAGCGGGGGAGAGGGGCTGGGGGGTGGGGATGAACATGATAGGGGGGTGGAGTAGAGAGTGGAGTGGGAGAATGGAAGAGTGAAAGAGATAGAGAGAAGAGAGAAAAAGTAAAAGAGCAAGGGGGGGCTAGGAATGAAGAAGGAGAGGAAACTTGCGCCAGCGCGTTTAAGCCCACGCTGGCCCAATCCTGGGGTTGGGGATGGGGATGTCTAACACGTTGTCTATACCTGACGTCGACACTCACGGAGATCGGGAAAGGCTGGAGGCTGGAGAGTGATGTCAGCGGACGTGTGGTGAGAGCTGCAACCAAAGCGGCCAGGTGTGACGCGGGGGCAGTGTGTGTGCTGGTACTCACGAGAGAGGAGGGGGGGGATGGATGTGGATGATGGAATGGGAAGAGATGGTGGTGGAAAACTGGAACGACGTCGCAAAAGGAGGTGTGACCCCCCCCATCCAGGGGATAAGGGAGGCAAGGGCCCACAGCGGTAAAGAGCCGCATGGGGCGCGACCAACCGCAGCTCCCAGCTGGCCTGCAGCTGGGCGGTGGCTCTGTCGCTGTTGCGGCTGTGGTTGGTCTGTTGCCCCACGCCCCAGAGTGGCCGATACGTGGCTCGACGCCGTTGCCGCCGGCCTGCAGCGGGCACGTCGTCACGCCCTGAGCAGGTCGGTCGCTTGCAGCTTGCAGGAGCCCGCAGGCCCCACTGGAGAGACACAGAGACCGCATCGGAGAACGGCCCGGTTCTGTCGCGCGCTCGCACGGCAACGGCATGGTACACGCGCGCTGATTTGCTGCAAGCTCAGGTGCGTCTGCCACAGCCAAGCAGCCACCAACCAGAAGGGCGGGGGGCAACAAACATTTCACAGGATATCACAGGTCCCACTGGTCCCACATCTCTCTCCCTGGGGCCCGTCCTGTTGCACCGTTTGCTTCTCAGGTGTGTCGCTTTCGCCCGAGGTTCAAGCGCGCTGCTTCAATTGACGTGTTAAAACTTCTTCTTCGCATTCCGCAAACATGGAGCGAACTGTTTAGCCTGCTGAACGGCTGTTTTGGTTCTTATTTAGGACCAGCGTCTAATAATTTGAGAATATTGGCAATAAATATATAGAAAGGAGACAACTGCCCTTATTTTGAATTAACGTGGTTTATAAAAAAAGTACATTTAAAAGCAATCGAAAAATAGGTACCGCCTAGTAGCTGCAGGTATTTGGTGAGAGTAAACAGCCGCCGCTGCTGACGCGCTCTCATGGGATCTTTAGGAATATGGGTACAGCCTGGGTTCCACCGACATTTTCAGAGGACATCAGATGAACTCCGCTTCTCACATCACGTGACATTTGTTCAGAAAGCGACACATGCTATTACGTAAACAGAGGAAACATTACATAAGCAGTCATTCACCCGACTTTGCGGTTTCCGACCACAAGTTGCGACTTTAGACGTCCATCGCGAGCTCATACAACCATATACCCAACCACAACACCCACCCCGGCACCACTCAGCCCGCCTGCAGGTCGCCAGTGCAGCATAAAGCAGGCATATCTTGTCATACGTACCTTCTTCCGCCTCTAGCTTGAGCTAGCTCCTCGTCGGACACTTTCGCGAGCACAGAAAACCCGACTTTCTGTCCTTCCTCCACACTCCGACTACTTTCCTCCCTCCTCTCTTCCCACCCTCCTTCACCATGTCTCTCCCCACTCTCCGCTCCGCTGTCGCACGCGCCACTGCAGGCCCCTCGACCGCGGCCCGCACCTTTGCTACCTCGGCGTCGGTGGCTGCCAAGGGCAGCGGCAAGGGCAAGGACAAGTCCAACGTTACCAAGGGCCAGCTCAAGCACAAGAACGCACCACCCGATCCCGAGGCCATGAAGCTGGCCGACGCTATCCGTGTTCTCCGCGCTCTGGAGATTGCCAACACTGGGTCGGCGTTTTCTGTTCAGGTCAAGACGTTTACGAACAAGCACACCATCCCCCTCCGTGGCCGTGTACACCTCCCGACCGACGCTCGTCGCAAGCCCGACGTGGTGGTTGTCTTTGCCGACCCGGACTCTCCTTCCTCCGAGGCTGCCATTGCGGCCGGCGCCACCCACGTCGGCAGCGACGACCTCATCCCCAAGATCCTGGACGGCACCATTGAGCCCAACATTGTCATCTCCACCCCGACCTTGCTGCCCCAGGTCACCAAGAGCCTGGCCCGTTTCCTCGGTCCCAAGGGTCTCATGCCCAACGCCAAGCGTGGTACCGTCGGCGAGGGCCAGGCCCTTGCCCAGCTGGTCCGCAACGCTGCCGGCTCGGTCGAGTTCAAGGCCAACAAGATTGGCTACATCCGTAACGGTGAGTAGAGCTGTGTGCGGCTGTCGTCAACTCGTCCACTCCACTGACCATTCTCTTTAGCCGTCGCTCGCATGCACTTCCACCCCGACGCCATTGAGGAAAACGTCCGCGCCTTTGTCAAGTCGGTCCGTGACGCTTCGGCCGCCCAGGCCACTGCCGCCGAGGACCCGATCAAGAAGAACAAGAACGCACTGAGTGGGTTGCCGTCGTAGCTGGTCACAAGCGCCACAACTGACACCATCGCAGCCTCGACCGTCCTGCACGTTCGCATCGGTACCACCCAGGGACCGTCCATCGAGATCAGCAACGTCTAAACTTTGGGTATAACCACATCTCACCATATGCATCGCTGTTCATTCACTTTCACCGTGGCTGTGGCTGGGTCGGGTCCACGGGCCCCGACTGTACTTGACTGCGACCGCTCTCCGCACATTCTGCCGCATCTTAGGCCTGCGGACCTCCACTTACTCGTCCTAGATCGTCAGAGCGTGGTCATGGGTGTACTATGCGACCTGGGTGCCAAGCAGGCTACATGCTGACTGGTAACCCTTCATCGCTCCGGCTGGGCCACACCTGATGCTCCTTTTCGTGACGATGGGGGATACACACGCCTTGAGGAGTAACGCCGAGGAAATGCCCTCGGGAGAGGCCTCGAGGTATGCCTCGGCAACCTCCTTTACCTTCAGCTTCACCTTGAAAAGTACCATCGCGGACATGACATCTCTTCCGGAGAAGGCGCACACACCGCACATGTCTGGTAGCGTCCCGGGCGTAGCGCGACGCTGGCCTAGACGAACAGTATGAGACGGCCGGGGGCACGAGAACGGGGAGGCGGGGGTACAAGACGTCTTGTAATTCAGACCAAGCCACCGTACCACCGTCATGGTCGTGCGACCCCAAACCAGGGCGGCAAAGCGCCAATTAACAATCCAAAAACAAAACCAAAACCAAAAAACCCCTTTTCCCGGCATGCATAGAAGCGATGGTGGTACAGATACACGTTCCTTTGTGGTATGAGAAAGATATTACGAGCTGAGGAGGGCCTGGACAATGTGGTTGACGCGCAAGTGGCGGAGGTCGGTGTACGTCTGGCCACAGCCGACAAAGAGGATCGGCTGGCCAGTGACGTATGTCATGGAGAGGGCGGCGCCGACCTTGTCGTCCTGCGGAGGGGAAGGAGAGTTAGCACCAGTTGCGATGGCCGTGAAGATGACTCACGATTGTGTCAAACTTGGTCAGGATGATGCCGTCGATACCGCGACGACGGCCGCCGCCGGCGGCGCCTGCCGACGAAAAGTCCTTGAGCGCACGGTCAAACTTTGTGAGCTGGTCGACGGCCTCGTTGCCGACGAGGGCCTCGCCGACAAAGACAATCTTGTCGGGGTTGTTGACCGTCACGAGCTTGGCGAGGGCGCGCATGAGCGGCTCGTTGTCCTGCATACGGCCCGCAGTGTCGACGAGGACGACGTCGAAGCGGTTCTCCTTGGCATACGCGATCGCCTCTTTGGCGATACCCGCCGCGTCTTTGCCGTAGCCGCGCTCGTACAGCTCGATGCGGCGCTTGCCCGGCCCACCCTCGCCGTCCATGGCCATGCCGAGCTCGTCGCCCAGTGCGCCGAGGTTGCGCACGTGCACGCGCAGCTGCTCGACGGCGCCGGAACGGAAAGTGTCGCACGCGGCGATGAGGACGCGGAGGTTGTTCTGCAGCAGCCAGAAACACACCTTGGAGAGGTTGGTCGACTTGCCGACGCCGTTGACGCCCACAAAGGTGAGAGTGTACGGGTCGGGAGGGGCGTCGGGGGCCGAGAGGGAGCCCGGCTGGGCGCGCTTGCGCTGGATATCGACGAGGAGGTCGGTCGAGGTCTTGGGCGTGAGGATACGCGTCATGGATCCAGAAAGCGACTTTTCCACTTCAGACTTTACGCTCGAGAGACCCCCGAGCTTCTTGCCCACGAGCGCAGACCCGACGGCATCGCACAGCTTCTCAGCAATGTCCTTGGCCACGTTCTTGGACATGAGGTGCTTCTCCATGTCGGCGAGGACGGGGCGCAGGTCCTCGCGAGAAAGAACCTTCTTGCCCGTGAGGCGCGAGAACATGTTGGTCCACGACGACTCGTCTTCAGCAGGCTCGCCGGCGTCGTCTAGTGTGAGGCGGGCAGTGCGGCGGGACAGAATCTCCTCCTCGGAAGGCAGGTCGTCGGCCTTGCCGCCGCGACGAAAGTCCCAGTCGGCAACCTCGTAGGCGCCATTGGAGGTGCGCGTGCCCATGGCGTCGTTGGACACGAGCGCGTCCACGTCGACCTGGATGTTCTCGGGGGCTGGCGCCGAGTAGTCGAGAGCCGCCATGTCCTCCTTGGTCACGGGCGAGTCGCCCCACTTGCGCATGAGCTTGGACGTGGCTCCAGACGCCTTGCGCGGCGACGGAACAGGCGACGGCGAGCCGCTGGAGAGTTAGTGAGGTCCGCTAGAACCGTAACCCACCCTTCACGTCCGCGGCCCTTGCCACGACCCTTCATGCGGGTCTTGAGTGCCGCGACGTTCTTTGCAATCTCCTCGGCAGTGACAGCGTTGGAGGCATCATCCGACAATCCAGGAGCTGTGTGTGTGTTAGTTGCTGGAGCAAGCGTGTCAACTCACATGACGCGCCCGTCGCCGCAGCGGCAGCGGCAGCAGCAGTGACGGAGCGCGTGACGGCCCTATTCGACCGCCCCGAGCTGTTCTCCTGGGTCTTGAGACAACGCTCAAAGATCCTGTCCCAGCGCTCCTCGGCAATCTTGTCGGCGAGGATACGCAGTGCCGACCGGCCGCTGTCGGCCACGAGCACGCCGGCGCGGTCAGACAGGGCGTCGATGAGCGACTCGAGGTACGGCTGGAAGAGCGAGAGGAAGAGCTGCTTGGTGCGCTGGAGAAGGGCGGGAATGTACGTCAAGGGAAGGAGAGCAGGGAAGACGACCTGTGGTGTGAGTTATCAACGGTTGGCGTTCAACTCACGACGAACACGAGCCCCAGGCCGTTCTCCATGGTCCACCGCACGCTGTACCCGTCCTTTTCAAACCCATCGTCCTCATTCCTGGCCTTTCCCTCGATGAGCGCCTCGCGAATGAGCGCGTTGACTGGGGAAGCCTGGGTTTGGGCGAGAGCGGTGAATGTCGGCGTGAAGGAGCGCGACCAGAGGATGAGGCCGCCTGTGTTGTGTGAGCTAAAGGACAGAGTGATGATCAGCGTGACAGCTCACTCTGATGGGAGATGGAGACGTGGTCCAGCATGTTCGAGTGCTGTGCTGTGTGTATTAGGTAGTGTTGTTGGCGAAGAGAATGAGACGGAAGACGGTCGATGGCCCATCCGACGCCGCCGGCTCCCTCTCTCCATCGCTCCCCTCTCATGTCCACGACTCGGCCCATATGCGCGCATCGCCAGTGGGTGCAATGTCCTGAATCGATGGTGGATCACGTGACTGTGTCATTTGCCTCCGCACCCACCCACTATCGCGCAGTCCGGCGCGGGACTCCACAGGGCACCCACCGCACACACATGCGGATCATTGTGTGTTGGCGCATGGGTCCGTCATAGTCTCTCCGATCTCCGGTCTCGCGTTGGCATCGCTGCAATTTCGACTCGTGCAGAAAAACACATCGTCCTTTCAACAATAAACAGCTGTGCCTCCATCGCTTCTCTCTATACACCACCACCACCGTCTCCACCCCTACTCCACCATGTCTCAGTCTGCCTGGTCCCCCTCATCGTGGCGCGAAAAGCCCATTGCGCAGGACGTCGTCTACGAGGACAAGGACGAGCTCAACCGCGTACTCGGCAGGCTCCGCAAGCTGCCCCCTCTCGTCTCTGCCAAAGAGGTCAGTTGGCGCAATGACTTGGCTGGTAACTGATATATCCCAGATTGACGCGCTCAAGGAGCAGCTCGCCGACGTCGCGACGGGCAAGGCCTTCCTCCTCCAGGGCGGCGACTGTGCCGAGCTCTTTGACGACTGCTCGACCCAGCCCATTGAGCACAAGCTTTCTCTGTGAGCTGGGGGTCTCTGTGTTGTCCAACGTAAAGCTAACCACCAGTGTCCTTCTCATGTCCCTCATCATCCTGCACGGCTCGCGTCTTCCCGTCGTGCGCATCATGCGTATCGCCGGCCAGTACGCCAAGCCCCGTTCCAAGCCTACGGAGATTGTCGACGTCGAGGAGACGGAGGTCGTCGATGGCGAGGCGCTCACCCGCGTGGTGAAGAAGGAGGTGCTCTCGTTCCGCGGCGACAATGTCAACGGCTACGAAGTGGCCGACCGTCGTCCAGACCCGGAACGCTTGCTCGGCGCCTACTTTCACTCGACCGCGACCTTGAACTACATCCGTACGCTCCTGGCCTCGGGGTTCGCCAACTTGCACAAGCCCCTTGACTGGTCGTTCTCGCACGTGCGCTCGCCCGAGCTCCAGGCGGCGTTCAGCGCCGTCATCGAGAGCCTCCAGGACAGCCTCGACTTTATGAAGGTGTCCACTGGCGGTGACGGCGGGCGCGAGCGTGGCGGTACCGAGACGGTCAACATTTTCACCTCGTAGGTACGAAGTCTCAATTCTCCACTAACCTGCGCAGCCACGAGGCCCTGCTTCTCGAGTACGAAGAGGCCTTTACGCGCGCCTCGACCGCGCACGCCACCTTCTCCGCCCCGTCAACGCGCCCCGGCACCCCGTCGCAGTCCCGCTCGGCGTCGCGTACCCGTGCCGGCGTCGAGTCGCAGGCCCAGGCCCCGGCGCAGCCGAACCAGAGCCAGGTCCTCGCCGCGCCCAAGTACTACAACCTGTCGTCGCACTTTATCTGGATCGGAGACAGGACGAGGCAGATTGACGGCGCGCACATCGAGTACTTCCGCGGCATCGCCAACCCCATGTGAGTTGCACACCCATCCTGAAAGGCGTTTAGCTGATAAACCCCCCAGCGGTATCAAGGTCGGTCCTACCATGGCTCCTGAGGAGCTCGTCCGCGTTCTTGACAGTAGGTATATTCCACTCGCTCTGTCCTGACCTACCCAGTCATCAACCCGGACCGCGTCGCGGGCAAGGTCACGGTCATCGGCCGCTACGGCGCCGACAAGGTGGACCAGTACCTCCCTGCGCACATTGACGCCGTCAAGCAGACCGACCACGTCGTCGTCTGGCAGTGTGACGCCATGGTAAGCTGAGCCACTCCCCGTTGAATGCCAACCCACAGCTGACATGTCCATTTTTTTCCCAAACAGCACGGCAACACCAAGACGTCGCAAAACGACCCGACGCTCAAGACGCGCCACTTTTCGGACGTGATCCACGAAATCTCGCGCTCGCTCGAGATCCACCGCACCAAGGGCACGATCCTCGGCGGCGTGCACCTCGAGCTCACGGGCGAGGTCAACGACGAGGGATACTCGGTCACAGAGTGTATTGGCGGCTCGATGGAGCTCGAGGACAAGGACCTGAGCCTCAACTACCGCACGCACTGCGACCCGCGCCTCAACTACGAGCAGTCGCTTGGTGAGTGGATGGGGGGATGTGGGGGTGTGGGGATGGGGTTGGGGAATAGTGGGATTGTATGCTGACAGCAAACCTCTTTCTCCAGACGTCGCGTTCCTCATTGCGGACAATCTCAAGGCGAAGAGGAGGGGCGAGGTGCCCAGGAACCTCTTTGCGAGGAGTAAGTAGAACCAGCACCCCGATCGCAGCGTGGGCGGGAGAAGGAAAACAACAACAACACTATGGATGGACGCGGAGTCGACATTGGCGGCAAGACCCATGCGCTTGCTTGGCCTACACAATATAACATGCACAAGCGGACCTATGTGGATGCAATCTATACTACAGGTTTGGGGACATGGGGCGGGCATGGTCATGGGCATGGGGTTGGTTGAGTTCCGAGTGTGTTGCGGGGTTTGTACATATTAATCAGGTAGTGACGGTTGTGGTGTTGGTGTTGATGTTGGCATGTGGCATGTGGTGTTGTGCGGTGGTGTCGAGGGCTGTCTGGCAGCCTACCACACCTCGACAAGGGCGCGCATGGCGCTAATCGTCGACTTCATAGCCATGTTCTCCTCCATCCCTTCCTCGACGCTGGCCATCACTCCCTCCCAGCGTAACGTGTCGCGCTGCGCCTCGGCCTCTTCGGCAATGACCATGGCGTGCTCCCGGTCCCGCATCGCCGTGTCCACGATACCCTTCAGCCGTTCTTCTTCCTGGATCAACGACGCGACGCGCGCCTCGAGCGCTTTACGCTCGGCCTGGACGGTGGACAGCTCGGCACGGAGGAGCGTGTGCGCCTGGTGCGACGACGCGGCGTGAGCCCCGTTGTCCGTCGTCCCGTTGCGGTTGCTGCTGCGGGACGCGACGGACGAGTCGGGGTCCAAGACGTGGTAGCTGCGGTCCCTGGACGTGTTTCCGCCCATGCTCGAGCGTCCGGCGCGGTGCGAGGGCGGGGTGAGCTGGCTAAAGGACGTCGAGGACGCGAGGCTAATGTCCGCCTCGGTCAGGCTGGAGAGGAGGCTTTGGTCGAGGCGCGCGTCGTCGTCGCCTCCGACGCTGGGCAGCCTGGGGCGGTTACGTTCGCGGTTGAGCAGAGTGCGCAGCGCCGGTGTCTCGGGGAGGATACGGCGGAGCGCGCGCGCGGGCCGAGCTGGGGTCATGCCAGCCTTGACCTTGAGTTTGGACGAGATGGTCGAGCCGGGTGTGGCGGTGGCAGTGGCCGGGGCTGGGGCTGGAGACGGGATTGGCTTGGGTTGGCCGAGGACAAGAGCCGGTGGTGGGCTGACGCTCTTGGTACGGTTCTTGGACGCGGCGAGCGAGCCAGGCAGAGGAGTGGGGCTCTCGACATTGCGCACGGCGTCGTCGGTGAGCTGGATACGGGCTACGAGGTCAGCTTTTTGTCACACACTGGGGGGGCTTACGGAGTGGAACGCGCAGGCCCGAGGCGGCGAGAGGCGGCGTGGCCTTTGTACCTCCCGCACCGGGGACGGGGCTCTTCTCGATCATGCTCACGGGGCGAGGCTTGGTAATGCCATGGAGGGCCGACTTGGCCGACTGTGCGTCAGATTAGCCAGCTCAAGTGGAGCATCTGAACACTCACGTCGTCTTTGACTGCAGGTGTGGGTCCAGGCAAGGGGACGCGCTTGGCACCGACGAGGGGCTTGTCCTTCTCCTTGTCGGCGACCTTGTGCTTGTGCTTGTGCTTGTCCTTCTCGAGCTTGAGAGGGATAGACGCCTTATCGGGTGCCTTGAGTCCAAGGTTGTGCTGGCTGGCAGACCTGGGCAGGCCAGAGGTCGATGGCATGACGGCAATGGAGGCTGGGCGCGACAGCGTCCTGTTGCGCAGGACGCGCGTGCTCGCACCGCCAGCTGCAGTGCCGGTGAGTGCCGCGAGGGTGGCCGCGTTGACGCCAGTCGAGATCGTGGACGGCTGCGACGCGGGCTTGGTCGCAGTAGTGGCCGCAGTCGTGCTAGCAGCAGCAGCAGCCGCGACGAGGTTGGTCATGGTGGGAGGGCGCGGGATGGCTGAGCGGGGGATCTGCGACACAGAAGCAGCACTGGCCGAGGGATTGACGCATGTTTGTGTCTGTGTCGGTGGGGCGGCAGCCGTGGTGACCTCTGGCGCAGTCGGGCCCACCACACCTGTTGACGCGCCGGTGAACGACTTGCGTTTGGACTGGGCAGCGCGCGCGAGCTTGGTGGTGCCGACCGGGAGGGCAGTCTTGCGCTGTGGTCCCAAGACACTGGTACGCTGCGCGATCTTGGTGGTGGCCACTTCTGGCGAGGTGACAACATTGTTGATACTGCGGAGGGAAGCTGAGGAGTTGGAGCGAGGAAGGCGGCTTTCTGTTGGGTGCGACATGGCGTGTGTGGGTGCGTGTGTGTTGACGGATGCAGGTGACGGTGTGGTAACGGGGACAGGGTGTATACGTGCCAAGGATGGCGTGCCCGTGAGGTGCCTTTTGTGCAAGGCTCGACGATAACGAACGTAGCGGTGGCGACGACTGGGTATGAGGATATGAGGATGTGGATGGAGGAGAGGAGGCGGAAGATTGCCGGGAGGCCTAAATGACGGTGTGTTGTTGGGCCCAATTTCTGGCTGTCGTCCGACGTTGGGGTCCGAGTGGCGCTGGCGGGTCAATGCGATCAATGCCCCGCGTCTCCAGCCACACCTTGCATGCATCCTCTACCTCCACCCACTGGCCACTGGGGGGGCTCACTGTACATGGGTGGTGGCTGAGGGACCGTGCCGGTGATATATGGTGTGCAAAAGGAAGCAGAGACTCCAGAGGAATATAAAAGGGCAGAGGGGACATGGGAAGCGAGAGGGAAAGCAAGCGCGTGAGAGCCACCACAGCGACAGAGAGACATTGGGGTGAGGGACAGAGAGAGCCCCCCATTCAGTGCCTGAGCCAGACCACCCAGGCAGTTTGGTTTGTTCTGCATGGTTGGCCCCTGGGTATGGCCAGACACTTCAGCCGACTGTACAGCATTTTTGGCCTGCGCGCCGTCGCCATGTGTGATGTGTGTGAGAGAGATGCGTGGTAAAGCTTTTTCGTCGCCAGGTTTGACAAGAGCTCTTTGCCGTCGTCGCCCCTCTGCGCAGTGGGGGGGAGAGGGGGGGGGACTGTGCCACCTCGAAACGGTCTTGTTCTTGTTCTGTACATGGACGCATTCCCGCTCCCTATGCGCGCGGGACGGGGCCGTTGGCACACATGCTGTTCTGTTCGACGGTGACGGCATGGGCCATGGGTAATGGGTTGTGGGGACCACCAGCATCAGACGACCCTGGACACAACAGGTGGCACACGGCAGCGCAGCAGCACGAGCAGCAGCAGCAGCAGTGGATCGACCACACCTTCACACATTTCTACCGCCGTCGCCGCCGCCGCCGCCGCCGGGGTCTGTGCGTGTATGCGCGCGCGACCCCCGCCAACGCGCGGCACGCGGAGGAAACACACTACCCGAGAATGCTCTGCATTATCCTGTGTCTCGCTTCGGATCTCTTTCTTTCTGTCTCTCCTTCATCCACTTTTGCCTCTTCTCACACACACCCACACATCCTTGTCCTTCGTTCTCGCATCTCTCTCTCGGCACGGCAGGCGGCATCCCCATTCATCACCACCCCCCCGCCCGAATACACAGCCCGCTCTCGCAGCTCGGCTCAACCCCCCCGCTTCCCCGCAAAGCGCAGGCCGCTCTCGCTCTTCGTTCGTTCAACACTCCCCCCTCCCCCCCATTCCCCGGCTTCCTTGATCTTCATCGCATACGTGTCTTGCCCGCCTCCTGTAATAGCTACTAGACACGGCGTGCGCACAGCTTTCACTCCTACCCTCTCACCCTACGGCAGCCCCGCACCAAGGGCAACGCGCAACCCATGACACCTGTCCTCCCCCGCGAGCTGCTACAGGCGCTTGCCAATGCTGGCAACGACATTGACCGCGCGTCCGACGTCATTGAAGAGTACATTATCCACCGTCGCCAGAAGGGCGACACCCTCTTTGATGTGTCCAACTCGCTGCTGTTGCTAGAGAACCGAGTGAGTAGAGCACGGAGGCGTCGGGCGTCGTCGTCGTCGTCGTCGTCGTCGCACCGCACCCGCACTCGTCAAGCTTGATCCCGGCCCACCATGGAAGTGAACACACGCTAATCGCAATCAACATTAGGGACCTGCTCGCACAGCATCGGCGATCCACAAGGCTCAATATGTGACAAACGTCCCACCAGCGTCCGATCTGACGTCTGCGTCTGGGCCAGCTCACAGCTCGTCGGCGTCCCCATCAACCCTTTTATCCTACATGCTCTCCGAACCTCCGCCCCCTGTGGCGCAAGCCCGCCAAGTCATCCTGGAATACGTGCTCGCCCGCGAGCACAGGCACCGCGACAAGAAACCCGGCCGTGGTGGCAAGCATACGATGGGTCGCGATGCGTTCGAGGAGATCGCCGCCCGCCTCGCAGAGGTAGAGGACGGTCTGCGTGGTACTGGCATCCTCAGCCGCAGGGGCGCGTCAGAGCCCATTCCTGATGAAGAGCTCTCACCTGTACGCCAGTTGGGACTGGCCCTCGTCCTCTCCCTGCGCATGCTCCTGTCCTACTTTTCCCTCCCCGACCTCGCTCGCCAGCTGCTGTGCCAGACTGCTCAAGACGCAGAGCGCACACTGGTTCAACATGTGCGCCGTCGCGCTCCCGGAGAGGGAAGGTACGGCGTCGGTCGTGAACTCGAGTACATCGAGAGCCTGGTATGTCTCACCTGCAGCCATTCATTCCAAGCTACAACAAATGTTCTAACACTTGCATAGACTCTCAACCGGCGGCCAGCGTTGCGACCAGCGTTCCGCTCGGCTCGCGCGCGCACGCACCTCCCACCGCGGGCTCTGTACCCCATCCCACTCCCTGCCCCCTCTAAATCGGCGTGTATCAAACTTCTCAGCGCATTTCTGCACGACGTGGAACAGGCTGGACCTGTGGCTGCTCAGTCATACACTCAGCAAGGACCAAGCTCCTACTCTAGCCACTCCGGCTCTCTGCGTGGACCAGGTAAGAAGGCCAGCCCAAAGGTGCCCAGTGTTGCCTTTGGCAGCCCAGGTTCCCCCGCCAGCCCCCTGTACAGTACCTCGTCGCCTTCAAACTCGCCCAGCAGACGCCAATCCAACCTTCCCTTGGCCGCGGATCCCACGCCAGTCGAGAGCTACTCGCTTGAGCTCTTGTCCGAGTACCTCACACGAGAGAAGCGCGAGTACATTCTCAAGAACAAGTGGGTCAAGAGTGGCCGTGACCAACTGGGCCGCGACCTTGGCGACATTGAGACGGCCCTGTGCATCAGCAGAGGCATTGCATCCAACCACGCCGCAAGCCTGCTGCCCGTCTTTCTTCTTCTCCGTCGCACCTATTCGCTCCCTCCAACGGCCTTGCCACCCAAGATTGTCGGTGCAGCCTACGAAATGCTCCCCACACCTCCTGAACCCGACACGGTTCCCCTCCGCGAGCCGACCGTCAGCAGCACCACTGCCGCGCTGTACGTCAACCCGCGCCTTGATGACTCGGCTGCCCTCGACATGGTCGAGGAGCTGCTCGAGAACGAGCGCGAAAAGGGCATCAATGCCGCGGTTAGCGAGGAGAAGACCGTCTCGTGGCTTCTCGGTCTCGTAAGCCAGATCGAGAAGCGCTTCCCAGATGGTTCGTACGAGACAGTCTTTGAGCAGGCCCGTCTCCTCTCTGAGCGGCCTCGCGTGTGGCCCGACGCTGCCAACTCGAGCGCGTTCCCATCGCACCCTTTGGTGGCCGTTCACGACGGCTCGCAGGGCCACCGCCGTTCCAAGTCGTACGCGCCAACATCGCCGTCAAACGACACCCACCCAGACATCAGGATGCCGTCATCGCCAAAGTCACACATGCGCTCAGCGTCCATGCCCATGCGTTCAAGCACGTACAGCTCTGAACACGAAGTGCCAGAAGTACCCCGTGTCCCGACGTCGTACAACCAGTTTACCGACGTTGATGCCATGGCTCAGCCGGAGATGCCGCCGCAGCCGCAGGACGACGACTCGGGATCCGACTATGGCGCGGAGCCCGACAATGGTGACGACGTGAACCCGGATTATAACGACTCGGCATTCACCCGCCGCGTCGAGCCTGGTGCTGGTCTCGGCCTGACCAACAACTCGCGTCCCAAGCCTCCCCCCAAGCTGAGCCTCAACGTTCCCGGCCCGGCCTTTGGTACCATGTTCGAGCCCTTGGGCAGTGCCAAGAGCTTTGCTTCTTCGGCGCAGACGCCCAACTCGGCCACCTCGTGTGATGGGTGGTGGGACATTGTGTCTGCTGGGGACAATTCGCCACAAGCGCGCAAGACACCGTGGATCGACAGCAGTTCGGAAGCACCCAGTCCGTCACCTAGCAACTCGCACTTGACCCGCGTGGCCGAGGAGTTTGACGACGACGACGACGACGGGACGGTCGAGGCGTCTCCTCTGGACACCTTGAATGTCGCTCACATGAACGTCCCCGGTCTGCCCCCAGGAGCCGACGCGCCGAGGATCGGTGGGCGTCTCGAGCAGCTCGCGACGCCGGGTCCCGCGTCCCCAAACAATGCTGCAGTTTCCAGCCCAAGCACCATTACTGGCGGCAGTCCCGTGGCTGTTGGAGGAGGCGGCAGCCCAAACACGACGGCCTCGAGCGCCTCCCCTCAGACCTACGGGACGGGTCCCAGCCCACTGCGCACCTTGCCTTCGGCTACTTCTGCCAACCTGTCGGCCGCGGCAGCAGCCGCGATCGCCGCGACCGAGGCCAAGCTCGGCGGCGTGGCAGCCCCGCCTGCACCCAACCCTCAAACCAACGGATCACCGTCGCCAGGCTCGTCGAACCACACCACCCCAACGACGACCCCGACCGTGCCGCACCGCTCCATGTTTGCCGACGCACCACCGGTTCCTTCGATGCCAAACGAGTACGAGCACGACTACAACAGCAACGCCCCCCTCAGGAGCGCTCCTGGCGTCCAGGCGCCGTCCGCTTGGCCCAGTCGCAGCCCCGAGCAACAGTCGCAGCCGATGCCCCAGACCCGCCCTCAGCGGTCGCGTACGTATGGCTCGTTGGCCCACATGAATAGCAGCGGCGTGAGGCCGCCGCCAGTCCCGGTCAACATGGATCGCCCCGGCTTCCCTGGTGGGTCGCAGACACCCTCCACGCGCCGCCGGAACAACTCGAGCGCGACCGCGCAGTCAGCCAAGTCGGCGACCTCCCAGACGGGCACCTCGTCTGCTCCCCCCACGGCCGTGCCACCCATCGCGCCTGCAAACGACCCCAACGCCGCGACGTTTGACATGTCCGACTCTGCACTCGACTTTTACCCGTCCGAGGACCCCGGCGGGTCGCAGTACAAGCCATACACGCCCATGATCGGCAACATGACCATCGCCGCGCCGCCGGCCCAGCCAGCGCCCAAGTCCAAGCTCGGCGGTTTTGGTCGGTCGATGAGTTTGAGCGCCAAGAACGCCCTGGGCAGAAAGGACAAGGATGCCGTGCCCGCCGTCCCGTCCCGCGCGACCGGTACGGGCGTGCAGCGCGCCAACACGCGCGCGCGTGTGGCCAATAACCCCGAGAGGTGGAACAAGAACATGGTGGCGGCCTTGATGGGCCCGCCGGTCGAGAAGAAGTAGAAGTAAACCCAAGACAAGGAAAGAGAGAGAGAGAGAGATTGTTAGAAGAGGATCACACAGTGTCCAGGTAGCAGCAATATGTTTTGCATGGTGTAGATACAGGACGGAGGTTGTGTTTGGTGTTCATCATGCATTGGTTGTAGCCAAGACTGTCATGTCCATCGAGCTGCCAGCTGGGCCATTGCACAACGAACGCGCACGAACAGACCGATGTTTCGGTGCCTCGCCGGCCTTTGCCGAAGATTCCAACCGAACCCCTGGGCGCGCAGCCGAGCGCGCACTCACGGATCGACTCGCCGCAATCTATCCACACTGGCTTTTGAATTCATGCCTACCCACCACCATCTCCACATCCTCCTTCACTCACCACCACCACCACTGCTCACTGCCTTCCTTTCGCGACTCCCTGTTCGTCGTCGTCGACTTTTACCCACCCCTTGCACCCGGAGTTTACACGTGACCCTGCCCGCCCCAACTCCCCCGCCGCCTGCAATGAACCTCACCTCGGGCGCGAGCGTCGAGCGCCTGCTGTCGCTCGATAACATCCGCGGACAGCTGATCCGGTTGGAGGACACTATCATTTTCCGTGAGTCGTGCAGAGCATGGGGTGCAGGTGTGGGAGTGGGAGACGACGGCGAGGTCGCAATGGCTGCGCGCAGTCTTAGTCCTGTTGGACAAGCGAGGTTACGGCCAGCTGCTGCGCATCTGCTATTTCGGCCGGCGTGCCCAGTGCCCATGCCCACTCCAGCCACACCCACACCCACACACCCTAGTCCTTATCCGTCTCCCGGTGCATCCCACCATTCTCAGCTTTACAAACACGTCCCTTGAGCCTCAAGCTGACACATCCGCCCCCGCAGTCCTCATCGAGCGCGGCCAGTTTGCCTACAACAAGCGCATCTACGAGACGGGCGCGTTCAAGTCCCAGATCGGATGGGAGGGCAGCTGGCTCGAGTGGTTCCTGTTCGAGATTGAGAGCTTCCACGGTGAGTCTGCGAGAGAGGGGCAAGAGAGGCAAGGGCCATGGGCAGTTCTACTCGTCAGTCACGGTGGGCTGGCGACGCGACGCACGACGGCAGGCAGTCGAGATACAGGTCGCGCGAGCTCGACGTCGAGTCACTCGCCGCGGCACCCCCGCGGCGAGGCCGGCGGCGTGCTAATCTTGGCTGCTGGCTTGCAGAGTGGCTCAGCGAGGCGGCTACATTACAAGCCTCTTGATCTGAGGGCAGTACCAGACCGCTCCGCTTGCCCGCTCTGATGATGTTCCTGCTCTTGCTCTAACACCGTGTTGAATGGGGCTGACTATCCAAGCCAAGGCGCGCCGTTACACCAGGTGAGCCAAGCTCTCAGCGTTGCTGTGGAGAGTCGCTGGTGGGACACCATGCCAGCGACGTCCCGCAGCACCGCCCACATCCCCAACCGTCGCCGTCACTAATCCCCATCGCAGCCCGGACGAGTACCCCTTCACGCCCATTGACAAGCTCCCCAAGCCGATCATCGATGTGCAGGACTACCCGGTCCTCTTGCACCCCCAGTCGGCGTCGCACCCGTCTGTCAATGCCAACTCGCGCATTCTCGACTTTTACGTCAACCACATCGTGCCCGGCATCACCGAGGTGACCCCCGGCTCGCCCCGCCGCGGCCCGTCCGCCATTGCCGAGGGCACCGTCCCGGCCCTGGACGATGGCAACTATGGCAGTGCGGCGACGAGGGATGTCGAGGTGCTGCAGGCGCTGAGCCGTCGTATCCACTTTGGTGAGTTTGGCGTGGGCGAGCAGCACAGCAAGCTCTTGTGGGCCTGTTCGAGCCTCCTGCTCGAACGAGCGAGAGGGGAAGGTGGCGACCAACGCAGAGACTGGAGATGGCGGCAACGATGACAACACACGTATCGAAACTGTCGGACGGTCCGCAGCGTACGCGCTGTGGATGGAGGACGCGCAATCTTCTCACTGAGCCGCCATCGCCTGTCTCTGGGTTTCGCCTCTCGCGGGACCTAGCGCGTGTATTGGGGAGTCTGGGCAGGTGCTTGCTGCGTCAGTAGGGTCCACCTGCTCCAGCTGGCATTTTCGTGGATCGCAGCTGGGACCACACTGCTAACCCTTCCTACAGGCATGTTCGTCTCGGAGTCAAAGTTCCAGGAAGCCCCATGGGATTTCATCCCCCACATTCTCTCCAACCCACCCAACACGGCCGCGCTCGAGGCTCTCATCACCAAGCCCGAGGTCGAGGCGCGCCTCCTCGTGCGCCTGGCCAACAAGGCCCGCGTGTACGGCTGCGAGATGGACGCCGACGGCCGCGTCGTCACCGCTGCCCACTCGCAGCAGACTGGCGGCAAGATTGACATTGAGCAGGTCGTGAGGCTTTACCGCGACTGGGTCATCCCCCTTACCAAGGACGTGGAGGTGAGTGGAAGCGGTGTCATTGGGGGACAAGGGCGGCGACTTGGAGCTGTAAACCGCTTTGCCTTCAGCTGATGGGCGCTGTGACCTTGGACGTTGCTGACATTCACCCCCAGGTCGACTACCTCGTCCACCGCCTGGACGGCGTGTCGCAGGAGCAGATTGACACATGGCTGGCCGCCGGCAAGAAGAACTAAAAAACAACTGGAGAACGGGTATATGCATCTATTTGCTTTTGCAAGTGGGAGCGCGCTTCCTCGGCGTGAGGTGTGTGGACTGGTTGGTTGCTCATCGTGGTTTCCTTACTCTTTGTCAGGGTACGAGAGACCCGCAGGCGGGGCAATGTACTTCTCGTACGGCTCCCAGCCGCCCTCGCCGTTCCACATGGCCTTGAGCTGTGTCTTGTCAGCTGAATCCAAAGCGGCCAGCCACAAGGAAAGTGTGCCGGGTGGGGTCCCCACCCTGCCACCACGGGCAACTCACCTTGCCCAAATCGATAAACTGGTGCTGCTCAGGATTCCATCCGGGAACCACCACCTCGGAGATGAGGCAGCCCACATTCTCGCCGTCGCCCAGTGCCAGGTCGGCCTCGGGGATCTCGCTAGCCTTCCACCACCCGCCGGGCACGAAGAGCTGCGTGACTTCTCCGGCAGCGACGTCGGATCCGACCGTGACGCGGCGCACCTCGGGGCCGGTGCGGGAACCGGGGATGGGGCGAATGAGGGTGTACACTGCGCGGCCGGCGTGGTGGACGTGGAAGGTCTGGGAAGGAGGGGTTCGTCAGCAAGTGTTCTTTGAGGCGATGGTGTGGACGGATACGCGGTCGAAACCACACGGATGGCTGAGTAACAGGCAGATAAGGGGCCAGCCCACCGTGTGCCAACATCCCCATGGCAAGCAGAGACAGACGAGTTGCGCAGAACGGGCAAACCTTCACTCACAGCATGTAGGTTCATGTGCATCCTGCCCCTGTACGACCCGGGAGTGAGGAGATAGTAGATTTGCGTCGCGTCCGCGTACATCGGCGCAGGCTCTTTGGCCGCCGCGGGCACGAGGAGGGCAGCAGCAGGGCCCGAGGGGACGAGTGCGCGGTTATCGAGCGTCGCAGTCGAGGACGAGGCGGCGGTCATCGCAGTGCCAGTGGGGGACGACGTGCGTGAGGGCTCTGCAGACGACGCAGCGGTCGAGAGCGCGGGCGTGGAAGAGGGGCTCGGCGACGACGGGGTGGGGACGGACGAGACGGCGACCGTCTGCGCAAAGTACCCGCCCTCAAAGTGGGCTTGGAGGGCGTGCGCGGCGATGAGCTGGGAGTTGGGGACCGGGTAGACGTATGGAGCGGCCATGGTTGGGGAGATGTGTTGATGGAAAAGAGGTAGACTTGCGAAAAAGTGTTGATTTGTCAACAAATCCCTTATCGGTCACTACTGCGTGGTGCCTCGGCGAACCCCCGCCCGCAAAGAGACCGATCTCCCTTTTAGCCAAAGGCTTAATTTCACAGCGCACTTGGTCATGAAGGTCCTTGAGTCACCAACGCAAGCGCTAGATGAGAGGAGGATCAACCCTAAGGGCTCTAGTTACTTGTCATCACAGGCATGCACCGGTGCTCGTCCGTAACCAGTCGCAAGTGACCGTCGCTTGGGGGCTCCATTCGCGGCAGCCCGCCACTTGGCCACTTCCTGCTCGCTCTGCAATTCAAACAACTGTTAACATACTTCAGACGCCCGTACTACTAGCCAGTTATTGCTACTAATAACTACAGCGACAAATCCGCATCGTAAACAAGGGACGGAACACCCTCTTGCTCAATTAAGGACAACTGTTTTAGAAGACCGTGGAGAGAATCTTCTTCCACATCGTGTCGGGCTTGTAGCGCACGTTGTCGAGCTCCTCCATCTCGTCGAGCTCACGACGGCCAGACGTAAAGTCAATCTCTTTGAGGGGGATGAACCTCGTGCGCTTGACGACCTTCCAGATGATCCATGCGCCGAAGAAGATGGGGACGGTGATGTACGCCGCAATGAAACTCGACACGTCCCAGTTGCCCTTGACAAAGACGGTAAAGCCGTTGAAAAACACGATCAGGCTGAACCAGATGATTCCATACCATGCTGGTATTTTGGTTAGCATCGGAAAGGTGGAGAGGAAGGAAGACAAGGGAGGCGAAAGTGGCTAAACGCGGACACATTGTCCGGCCATTTTTTCTTCCTCCCATCTCGGCATTCACTCACAAAGCCATGGCTGCCAGGGAGCCCTGAAGGGGAAGGAGTCGCGCGAGATGCCTTGCGCCTTCAGACCGTAGTAGAAGCGGAGGTAACTAGTACAAGTCAGCAAACCGTACGCACAGAGGGATCAGTTGGCGGAGTCGCCGCCTTCCTCAAGGCCGGGTGTACTCTCCAACCAGATACACTGACCTGAGCAAAATGGTCCACCACGTGAGCAAGCCGGTGATGGCACTGAGGTTCTGAGACGGTCAGCACATACCGACTCCCGCTACCGCATTCATGAACTTACGTAGAGCCAGTCGAAGGCCGTCTGGGCATTGCCGTTGCCGCAGGACAAGTATGCCAGCACACCAAAGATACCGGTGACACAAACGCAGTAGATGGGGAGACCGCCCTTGGTGCAGCGACGGAAGATCTTGGGCATCTTGCCCTCGAGCGCAAGCGCGTACATGGTACGCGACGCGGCATAGAGGTCAGAGTTACCAGCCGACCAGGCCGAGATGAGAATGACGGCGTTGACGATGGACGGGAGGACTTTGATCTGGGCGTTCTCAATGGCGATAACCCAGGGCGAGGCGGCAGCGGTACCCGACTTGGCGTTGAGGAGGCGGGGGTCGTTGTAAGGAACGAGGACGGAGATGAAGAAGATACCGAGCACGTAGAAGACCACGAGACGGAAGAAGACGCGCTTGATGGCCTTGGGGACAGTCTTGCGGGGGTTGGAGGCCTCGCCGACAGTCACACCTGTATTTGATGTCAGCGATGGCTGGGCACAATGGTCGTGCCACATGCGGGTGCCAAGCAAACTCACCAATGATTTCAGTACCGATGAACGAAAACGCAGCCTGGACAAAGACAGACCAGAAGGCAAGGAACTCGCCCCAGGCACCTGGTATGTAACCGTCGCCAGCAGCAAGGTGGTTGAAGGGACCGGGGTTGCGCCAGTAGCGGAAACCGATAGCGTCGTGGGTGGGACCACCGCCACACATGAGGACAAGCGACAAGATGATCAAGCCAATGATGGTGACGACCTTGATGGTGGAGAACCAGAACTCGGCCTCACCGTAAGCGCGAGCGCCGAACAGGTTGATGACCCAGACCATGACCAGGCAGACGGTAATGTAGGCGGCGGTGTGGGAGGTGTTGTCGTCCCAGTACGAGATGACAATGGCCGCAGCAGACAGCTCGGCTATGTGGGGTCAGCGATCACGTTGCGAAGAGGGCGGGGATGGGGGGGGGGGGGGGGGGGGTGTAGGGTGATGGCATGGGGTCAGGACCAAGAGAATGCAACCCAGGAGCTGCAGCCCTGATGGATGCCATACCCGCATATCCCCCATCGATATCCAACTTACTGGGCAGAGTGATAGCCCACGAGTACCAGTAGTTGAAGCCCATGGCCTGTTTGCTTGTCAGCGCTGGTCACACAACATGACCATCGTATCCGCCACATCCCCATCACAGGCCCGACTGCCACTGCCATTGGCAGCAAAGACATTCCGTTGTGTGCACGCGACCTTTGTCACGTGTGTGCACGCGCTTTCTTGCGGCAAGGCAGCATCCGACAAGCGCCGTCGGATGCTGATATGCTGATGAAAGTGCTGCGGAAGCTACCGTGGGCGCCTACACAGGGAAAACCTTGTTGTTGCCGGTGCCCACCCACACCGAACGTTGCCGGGGGGGGTAGAGCACATGCATGCAAAAAAGTGAAAAGGGGTCGTGCAGATGGCCAGATGGGCTGCGGGCCAAGCAACAACCCAGATCCCACGCCCGCGCTCCATGTTTCAAATGAATGTGTACTCACAAAACCGAGGGACTCGTCGACGAAGCGCGAGGCATAGTGGGTGAACGCGCCAGCGACGGGGAAGAGGGTGGCCATCTCACCGAGGGCGACCATCATGGCATACACCATGGTCGCCATCAGGCAGTAGCCGATCCACAGCGCGACGGGGCCACCACTCGCCAACGCAGAGCCGGAACCGACAAAAAGACCTAAAGGGTATACGTCAGCCAAGCCCCACGGCGGGTAAATATCAGACACAAAGGTATGAAAATAGCGCGCGTTATCCACCCCACGGCCACCACCGAGACATTGCTCCATGTGCAACCAAGTCTATCGGTGACGAAGGCTGTGGCGGCAATGGATGGCAGTAGAAGGCAGTTTACTTCAGTTTTCTACTCACCAGTACCGATAGCACCACCGATAGCGATCATTGCCATGTGACGCTGATGGTCTGTCAGCTGCGCGCAGCACCGACATGTCCCGCGTCGCATTGTGCCAACTCACCTGCTTGAGCAGACGCTGGGTACCTCCCTCGATTTCACCATGCTCTAGAAGGTTGTGTCAGCAACGTCACGAGGTTGGCGGGGAAGGTCGGATCCGATCTAATATCCGCCGGGACGCACCGTTGTAGACAGGTTCCAAGGTGCCGGTGCCGTGTGCATGCTCCACATAGTGACCGTGTTTCTCGGGGTCGGCTCCGGGGTCGTTCGAGTAGGCAGGAGCTACGTTGATGGCACCATTGTCATAGGCGCCCTTCTTGTCTGTCGTGTACTCTGTGGCGCTCTCCACACCGTTGGCATTGTGGTTTACGCCGTTGGAATTGTCGGCCATGACGGGAGATCAGAACGCTGGAGACTGTGGCGCTCTGAGTGTTGTTTTGAGTGTTGTCAAGGGAGATGGAGTTTGAACTGTGGTGTTGAGGAGTAGCGGAGAACACCGGGCGTGGAAGGGTGATGGGCGTTAATATACTGTCGGCGTGGAGCATGTGGGTGCAGAGACGCGAGGCATCCGAGTGGTCGTTGCATATCGTAGGAGCTGGCCGTATCGACAGCATCGCGAGTGCGCGCGGGCGAGACCCGGGGCCCTCCGCGACCTGGGAGGAAAGGGTAGCATATGGCGGGGCTCAACCTGGGCAAAGAATAAGCGTGTGCTGGTGGGGCCAGTGTGGTTGGCCGTAGTTGGCCGCCTGGACGGCCTGTGAACGCAGCATCTCCTCGGGATTGTGTGCCGCTGGCTAAGGGACATGTTGCACATGTTGTGGCCGCCCACTTGCCGCTGGTATTCTGCCGACAGAGGCGCGTCCCTTGCAACTCTGCTGCGGTCAAAGGGTTCCTGCGTCGCTAGGGGCAAGGAGCATGTGCTAACCGAGTGAAGGTGGTGTATGGTTGGCAACACCCAGTTGCAAGAGGGCCGGATGTCTCTGATTTCATGCGTCATCGTGGCCGACGCCACTGGCGAAAATGGGAATGCTGAGAGCAACAGCTGATGAGACCGCATTCTTCTCTCTAACGTTCCGGCCTATGCCTCACTGCCTTGGTCAGTCCCAGAGCTGTGGCCCTGCCATTTGCACGTTCTTCCCAAATTCCATGGGTTATCCCCTACACCCCGGCCCCTAACCGATTCATGGATATCCTCTACCATGTCAACGTGGGGCATGAAGTTGCCCCGCGGGGAAGACTCAGTAACACGACAGGGCGACCCATGACCCATGTCTCCAGGTTTGACAACACAAACTGATGAACGGCCTCAGCACCATCCAAAAACACACCACAATGGTCGACTGTGGATGTTGCTCCCGACTTTGAGTAGCTATCTCGCTTCGCTCGGGGAGGGCTTTAGCTACAGAGAACCGGACTGTTTTCATGTTCCTGTTGGCCGCGTGGGGGACAGATAACACATGACCACGTCATACATCTATCTGCCACCACTTGGCGTATTAAAAATAACAATTCGATCGTCCGATTCTGCTCGTCCAGCCTTTCGCTTTTCTCGGATGTCTCAGAGAAAGCAGTCCTCTGGCGCTTACATGACCAGAGCCCTGCACTGCAGGTGGGGCGGTGGGCTGGACTGCTGGACCTGACGAAGGCTTGAGGAATGGCGCAAGCCAAACGCGGCCGGCAACCAAAAACCACAGCCACGTCGATCAGTTCTCAGACACCGCGGCCAACTGCGGGGTCCATCCGGCAGCGGCCTGGTCGGTGTGTCGGTGGTGCCAATCCTCGTCAGATCCGAATCTGGAAGCGAGACGCGACACGGGTTTTCTTGCTGAAAAGGTCGTCCCAACCCTGCTCTTGCGATCTCAGTCCGTGTGTTTTTCACATCGTTGCAGCCATGTCACTCAGTAAATGGTCACAGTTTGACTCAAAGCCGGCGGTCACATGGCTCGTTACGTAGGGACGCGTCGTCCGCCGCTGTGATTCCTGGCCTGCCGTGAAAGCCGCTGTATACCTCGTTGTCTTGCTGCTAGTGGAAGGTCGCGAGACACCAATTGCTTTCATTTCTGCGGGTTCCGGTCCTGGCTCCACAAGGACGACATGCAGTTTGCTGTTCGCAACCCGTGCCGTTGCCGACAGCTATGTCTGTGGATCTGTGGCCTGTGGCCTGTGGGCCGGCGCCTAGCACTCAGACTCTGACCGCAAGCTTCTTCATTTTCGAACGCAGGAGCCATCATTTCGTGATATGCATCGCAACTGACCTAAAAAGATCTCCCACCGGAATATCTCAGCACCTCTCTTTACCTGCAGCCGAGACAACAGCGGTGGGCATCTTGGAGCTCGACACAGGAACCTGTGGGCGGCGCATGTCAACCTCTGCCACGGTGCCGCGAGCTGTCCGACATGGAATGTGTTGAACTGTGGGGACGACAAAGCCAGGTCCGCCGTCAGAGCTGGTCAATAGCCCACCGTCGCGTCCCTCAGCACGCTTCCCCCACGAGCTCGAAACGAGGCAGAGTGGTCCGTAAAGAGACCGAAGCGGCATGTTGGCTCCCCCACGGCGCTCTCGCTGATCGACACTCGCCTTGGCAACAACGGAATAACGTTGGAATCATGAACAGCATGGGAGGAATCCTCAAAGATCACTATGTACAGTAGCGCTACCCTAATTAATTCCAGTCAATCCCTGTGTCTGAGCATCAGTCTGCCAAGAAGTGGGTTGGAAGTGGATTGCCAGGTTGCATTGTATAACCCTCGTGTCGGATAAAAACGAGCGCCTCAAGAGCCTTCAAGACGGCCGGCGCCTGAGAGCGGCTATCAAAGCGCGCGCTAGTTCTATGACAGTAAGCGCGTTCGACGCGTCCCCAGAGTCGCAGAACACAGGACACGCGTATGCCGGAGGATGGGACGTGACGAATGCACAACATAGTCGCGTGGACGAGCCCGACGGGGAAGCACACCAGGGACCAAAGGAACAGAGAGAAACACACTGCGCGGCTGGTCAACTACTGGCGTCGGTTCATTAGGCGTTTCCGGCGGCGGGGGGCTGTCTCATGGCGCAGAGCGCTTGTAATGACAAGAGGAAGGCAAGGCCCATGCCAGTAGAGGCCACACGACACCCGTAGCAGTGTGACAGCGTGTCTCTAGCTCAGTGCGATCAGTGCGCGTCCTGGTGGGCGGGCTAAGTTAGTCCAGCGGATACATGTCCCAGATCCACCGAGCAAGTCTCGCTTCCGGCCATCCGCACTTGTCTCGGTGTCGTGTGCTGTGCGGCTGGGACTGGTTCGTGCAGACTCGTAACGAAACGGTATGCAAGTTGTATATGCATCTATTCCGCCAGGTACACATCGGACCATGCGCCTCGTCCTAACACCATAAGAACGAAGCGCACAGCGTACCAGCTGTGCACCACGGCGGTTATCCGGTTTTGAGTTGTGCTGTGCCCAATGTGGGGGACAGCAAAAACGGATGGGTGTGTCGTTGGGACAGAGGGAGTGGGATATCCGCAGATTAATCGGAGTGTAATCCCTTCCTCACTGTCGCCAGCTCTCCATGCTCTCACTCTCCTTCCTCCTCTCCTTTCATGTCTACTCCCCCTCACTCCATGCCTTCCCCTGCTCATGCGAGCCACTCCTTGGGGAAACCGCGGACGCCGCCAACAACCTCGGGACGCCTCTTCATTGCCTCGGAGCGAGCCCACGAGGTCTGGCCGTTACGGCCCTTCTTCTTGCTTTGGCGGGCAAAGAGGTGGCGCATGTCGACGGGAGCGTCGGCGGGGAGGGCCGACTTGGGGTCGTTGGCGGCCTCGACGAGACGCTCGAGCATGTCCGAAGCAGACTTGCGGTTCATGCGCGCGGCGGGGAAACGCTCCTCGGCAATCTTGACGTAGCCCTCCTTGCCGTTCTTGTCGGCGGCGTGAGCCTCGCCGTGGACGCCGGCGGCGTCGGGGCCAAGCTCGCGGCGGCCGGGGAAGCCGGGAGACCAGCGGGGACCGGCGAGGAGCTTGAGACGCTGAATAGCCTCGGGGGTCTTGAGGGGAAGGGACGAAACGGGGGCCACAACAACCGACTTGACGTGGTAGGGCGAGTTGGCTTTGGAGAGGTCCACGGTCGTGGTCACGCGGATCTGACCCTTAGGGACGACGAAGCGCGTCGAGGCAGCTGTAAGGGTCAGCAGGTGTGCAGAAAACGTGAAGCAGGCGTGGAGGAAAGGTAAGGCGTGAAGGAAAGACGACCTGCTGGTGCAGAGTGAGACAGAGGAGGAGCTGCAGTAGGACTCATCCAACGACAGGAGAGTACTGCGCAGCGAATGTCACTCTGTGTCCACCTTCTCCCACTGCCGTCACATGACAGGCAGGCAAGTCATCGGCAGCACTGCTGAGGAGCTCAAGAGACAGCAGGCTACTGTTCCAAGACGCCCAAGAGACATGAGTGACACCAATCATGACCTCTCTGCATATCAAGCCTTCATGGCCCGGCAGAGAGACATGTTGGGAGCTGGGCCCGTGAAGCGGAACAGGACTACCACATTGCTGCAATGTGATTGACACAGATCCGCCCTGCTGTTGTCAGAGCGTTGGACGCAGCAGTCCGGCGCCCAGCACAGGCAAGACGGACACCGGCTGCAACTACCTCATATGCAAGGATATGAGGAGCACGCAGCGGGCACGTCCGCCTGGCCATCCAGCGGCTTGCTCGTCCTCCACTTCGCTGTCTCTCTCGTGTCCCCATCGGCTCCTCCTTTCCCTTTCTCCACGCCCAAACGAGCGATGCGCACACTTAAGAGCCGCCTTGTCCGTGGTGACCTTGGCAATGAGCGAACGGACGCCGTCGATCTCCTTCAAGCGGCGCCAAGTGTCCGAGGTGTAGTCGTCAAACTGGTACTCGAGGTCTTTTGGCGACTGGTTCCTGACGTCCTCGCTGGTGAGACCGCAGCGGGCCGCGGTGGTGGAGAAGGCACGCGAGGTGGAGACAGCGGACGAGGCCGAGGCCGAGGTGCACGCGCGCAACGTGCGCGGGAGGAGCGACATGGAGGGTGGTGGTGGGGAGGGTGGTTGTGGTCACGACAAGATGTCGTCCTTCGTTGAGCAAAGACGGAAATGATGGAGGTCGCGAGCCCGACATTTTCCAGCGCGCCTATAGACCACGCGATAGGTGATGAAGGCACGCCACAATAAAACCCACCTATTTCAAATTAGGCACCCAAGTTTTAAATTGGAAACTGTTAGTAATCAATTCCTAAATGTATCAAGCCCCCAATTACCCAAGGAGCTGAACCGGTCGGCCCGTCAACCACGTATTGTGCATGATGATGCATACTTTGTTGTTACGTGTACGTTCGCACTATCCTCTTGCGACGCCTGGATCCGCCCGTTGTTTCGCGCTTGCTCCCAACGGGTGCGGACGGGAAGGACAGGATGAATTGTGGCATTCCTTGCGATCGACGACCAAACGCTCCGGACCGCAACGATTGTTGTGTGCATGTGGGAGCACGCTCGCTAGTCGGGTCCCACTACGGGCACGTTAGTGCACAGTTAGCACCGGGGTGCGACAAGTGAATACGTACAGTACACTGTAAGTGCACACCACACTATCAACGCACGACGCGTCGAGTGGTTAAAGGGCGGATTCGGAAATTGCTTGCGGCTGGGCGGCCGTGGGTTCTTTGCAGTGGTGGGTCTGATACCAGCAGGCTTGCACGGATCTTTCGGAGGCCTGAAGAGAAGACGCAGGAAGTGTCCGACGTCGAGCGTCATGCACAGCTTGGACCTTTGGGAAGCAGTCTGGACGAGTGCCGAGACGCAACTGTCGCGACTTGTTCATTCCCGTGACATGCCACGGAACGGACCACTTTGCCGCTACAGTAACGACAAGGAAGACGAATGGCCGTTCATGACCCGCGATCGCGTCGTCCATTGTGCCATCCGCGTCGAACCCACATGCATATGCAGCGGAGGGTGGAATTTGGCCCACACGTGGGAGTTGGTGAGGTAACGAGGAGGTGTTACTAATCAGGTTGGGCTACAGGTAGACTATGGGGAGAAGGGAGAGGGAAGTGTAAGTACTGTACACAAAATAAGAAACCCGCTGGTGTTTATATAAACCCAGTCTACAAACTGGACAGATTGTTGTTCCAAATGTCCTTCTAATCTGAATATGCCAAGAGGGCGCGCAATGTGCATGAGGGACGAAGAGACCCGACCTGCGGAATTGTCCAGCCGTGCTGATTGGCGCCAGGGTAATGGCAACGAGGGCTCCGGAATGAGAGTGTGGCCGCCGTGGACGCGGGTACAGCTACAGCGACTGGCTGTAATGGGCGCGGAGAACCAGTGCGTTGAGCTTGAGCATGAGGATGGTGACCGAGCCCAGGCGTGGGGCGTAGACGCCAGCACGGTCGCGGACGTCGGGCTCATAGTTGCCGCGTTCAGACAGATCGACGCACACTGCATCTGTGCGGAGGGCACGCGTGGGGATTTTGAACGATTGACCAGGGACAGCGGAAACGACAATGTCGCTCTCGGCCAGGAGAGATGACAGTGTCGGGTTTTGCGAGCAAGGGAAGGGAGTGACGGTGTAGCAGTCTTCAGAGGAGGCGCGCTCGTAAATGTGGGTGGAGTCAATGTCGACTGAGAACACGCGGGCGCCGTCGTTGGCGAGCATGCCGGCCAAAGGACGACCGACGGTCTCCGAGCTATGTACGAAGCGGCAGTCAGCACGAGGCGCGTGAATAGAAGACAAGAAGCACAAAAGGCAGGCCCCGGCGCGCTCATCGGGGCCAAAAAAAAGACGAGCCAGAGGACAATGCGCTCATTTTTGGGCCGGCTCATGCACTCACCGGTTGATAACGGTCACCGTCTTGCCGCGGAAACGCTCACCGACAGGGAGTTCGGGCGAGTAGACTCCGGCCTCGGGAGCCTGGAGGGCACGCACAACGGCCAGCGCCGTGCATGGGTAGACCGTTCCCGTCGCGGGGTCGGCAGTGAGCTCCTCGACGGTTTGTGGTGCCTGCGAATACGAGCGCTCAAGGGAGGTGGGGTGGACACCTTCGACGTCGATGCGGGGGTGGATGAGTTCACGAAGAGTGGCGTCGCGCTCGGGAGTGAAGAGGGGGAAGTAGACGATGAGGCCGTCCACAGAGAGGTCATTGTTGAGCTCCTCGATAGCTGAGCGGACCTTGTCGAATGCCTCGTCGTCTTCGAGCTCGCGACATGCCGAGATGTCAACCTTGTCAAACACAACTTCGGCGGCCTTGCACGCTCGAGCAGTCATGTCGGCGTACATGTGGCACCCCGAGTCGGCGGTGGCGAGCAGACCGACAATGCGGAGAGGGCGGTCGAGCGTCGCCAGGGCCCTCGAGAGCTGAGCCTTGATGGGTCTGGCCACCTTGATAGCCGCCAAGTCGAGACATGCGTGCGGAGGTGGCGTAATGGGAGACTCGAGGAACAAGTGGTCCTTGGCCGCAGGTGGGGTGGACGGGACGAGGGTGATGGTTGAGGATGATGATGAACGCGACATTGGGGGAGGTAGGAGGGCGAACAGCATATTAGTCGCGACGGACATGATGACGCTGTTTGAAGAGAGTGACAGGGTGATTGGTTACAGTTGTTGGTCGCGGAGCGAGATGGTTGATGAGTGGATTTGGACACCCCCGGGGCGATAAGGGCCGCTTCCTGGAGGGTAGAAGAGAGGGGTCACGAGCGTGTATGTAAAGGAGTGGGGTAATCGCGAGTGTCGTCGAGGTCGGCGACAACTGGGTGGGCTGGTGAGAGTAAGGACGATGTACGGAGCTGGTCGGTAAGTGAGAGAGAGTGTGTGTGGGTGTATGTAAAGGAAGGTGGACGAAACCGGGTCGTGTTGGGAGGAACAAGAGTTGGGCGACCCATCAAATACGGCACGCCTGGCCCTCAACCTTTCGGGCAGTCAACGGATACCTGAGAAAGCTTTCGGGGCGGCAGGTGGAATGCATGGGCGGGGGCAGCGCTCTGACCTACCTCTGGCCTCTGGTCTCTGGGCGCTCTGAGCACAGTCGCGACACGGGAGTCCCAGCGCGGGACGGACGATCGACGGTTCATGCGCGATTCCCGCATCTCCTCTAACCCACCCGCCACTGCCCGTCGCGCAGACATCATTGTGGGCGTGTTGCCATTGCGCCTCCTCTCAGCCTGCGCAAGACAAGGTTTTGGATGCATTTGTTACCATGGGGCCTACAATGAGACCATCCAGGCAGGAAGCGCTGCCGGCACAACCGCGCTCCTCCAAATGTAGTTCCCCTCAATTAGCAAACATAGACCGGCATGCCGTTGAGGCTGTAATTATACGTTCGTGTGTAGGACCTTCTAGAGGTCCACAGACACGGCGTTACAGTGACCTTACCAACCCCATACGTGTAGTACATGTTGCAATGCATAGAGCACGTATCATAGACTTCACATAGACGCACAGACAGTCGCAGGGGAGCAACGGCTGACGGTTGACGGTTGCGCGTGGTGTTTATCGTCACTTCCCGTCTCCCGTGCTGGGTGTACGTTTGAACATCTCGGGATCAGGTATAGTGGTATGTAGTAGGCTCCACTGGCCACTGGGGCCACCGAGGGTCCAAACAGTGTGACCCGTGATAGCATGCAGCCGAGACGACGTGTACACGGGTGGTGGAGACGCCAATGGTTCGGATACGCGTCCCGTCCCGGCGCCACAGTTTTCCTCACTCTGTGGATCTGTGGGTGTCTGCCGTGTACATACATCTACTGGCCGTTCCATTATCGGCCACGGAAACGCTCCGGGTAAGGGAACCACAGCCGCGGACAAACCTGTGGCCTGTGGCTAGCTTTGCTGAGACACCCGGCAGGCTCGGCAGCGGTTCTTGCTGCACGGGCAAATCCAGCATCCCTGGGCTCTTAACCGCAAACTAAGTAAACGGAAGGGGGATGACAGTACACCATAGGGGTTGCCGAATGCTGGCAAGACCCATTCTGTATGTAGATCTTTACGGGAGAGAGTGGGAACCATTGCGATCCAGCGTCATGGCGTTTCAGGACATTGCTACGTGGTTGCATACCTCTGCGACTACATAGCAGTACGGAGGCGAACAAGGAGGAGCTACCCATAGTGGCGAAGCCCACCGTGCCCGCGGTCCGCGGTTGTGCTGATGCTGATGATGGTGTCCCCGCATTGCCGTCACAGCCACTGGAGTGGGATCTGGGGTGGGCAATCCAGCCAGCCTGTGGGATGTTATGCACATGTATTTGTATTATCGGGTGGTGGCAGACAGCCATACAAGCTGCTGTCACCGTCCCGCACATGCGTTCTGAAGATGGGCAGGCGCCAGGCGCCGCCGTTGTCACTGCCCTGCAGAGACTTGCACACAGAGCCACAATACCTAGTCGACCATTCTTCTGATACTGCTGTTGGAGTGGATATACTTCATCTCCCCTCACATCCAGGCCCTGGTCTGACGTTGTTCACATTCCGGCAGACGTCGAGGTCATGGCCGTTAACGTTAAATCCGGACATTGTATTCGTTCCCATATTTCTTGCGATAACCTTATTGCAAAAGCCAGAAAGTCTTCCCGGTTGCGCACCCAGACCTTAGTTATCTGGTATCTACGTAAACATGGTCGTGACCGGCGGTTGAGCTGACGGCATTGGGGGTTGAGGCACTCAGACACGTGCAGTACAAAGTGGACCTGTCAGTTTCGTGTGTTGCTCGGTGGCCGACGACTGTGCTGCTAAACAAACACGGTGCACGTTCTGGACTCAGACCCACTGTCCTGTATACAATCTCATAATGTGCAGTACTGCTGCGGCCAGAGGCCAGAAACAGGGGCCTGGCGATAATTATCCAATCCTAACCATTCCCTCTCCCTCCCCCCGTGTGTAATGGCGGTCTACAATGAGACCTTGAACCTGCATATGCAAGTTACTATCTCTAGGTCCTTCTAAGTGTGAGATTATATGATCGATCTGTCCACGTCCAAGTGACCAAGTGATAGGCAACGGGTGCATGGCTAGAGTCACCAAACCGGACCTCCTCCTGAGGGCGCCACTGTACCGCTGTGCCGTGTGTGGGCAGGTCAATATCACACAAGGCCCTCGGCCCCTCGCGAGCCCTGCAGCTTGCAGTGTGCACATCATGCGTCTGCCGCAGTGACCAGGAAATGGTAGCACAGCTGCCCCCTCTGTGTGCTGGGAATTGTGGCCAGGCGACCCGAATGTTGTCTGGTCACTCGTAACTGCCAGTTGCTCTGGGAATGGACAACGGATCCGAGGTTGACATTGGGAAAAGGTCAGGAGATCAAGTTCTGGATTCCCACGAACCCCAACAAGCTGTCTTCCACAGATCACAGTCCCCAATCCCCTCACCATGCTCACCAGCGCGCTGGCCGCAAACTATGGACACCGTCTGTACGCGAACGTCAACGTCGCCGAGCTGATCTTACCCCGCCCGGCTGCCTGGCGCCCCCGTGTCACCTCGTGCGGCCTCTGACATTGCCAGGACCCTCGAGTCCCTCGGCCCGTCCCAAGCTGGTTAGACCCACATTGCGCAACGTTCGCTACCCACTGGTCACTGCCGCAGTCGGCACGTTTTAAGGTCAAGGACACCGACTGGGGGAATGTGGACCGGGGCCGCACCTCCGATTGCAGCCCTCGACGGCGCGTCGGGTCCAGCTGTCCACTGGCCACTGGTTCCTTTGGCTCCGACAACAGTACAGTCGCTTTGGCACGACTGACGCCGACGTCTACTCCCCCATAGGCTACAGGCCACGAGATGATTCCCCTGGCTGTGTTCTGCCTCGCTTCGCGAATGTAAAAGAGTCCTGGAACGCGTCGTCGCGCGGGCAGGGCGACCTGCGGTCTGCACGTTGACCCTCTCCGTCGCTGCTTCCATCATGTTGAACTCGATACCCTAAAGCCCCATGCCCACTTTCCCCACGGTCTGTCAGCACTGCTTTCGAGCTAGGCACCACACACTCACTTTGCTTTTCTCTACCACGCTCGCTTGTCTTGTTGACGCGGCGTAGAGTTGCGGCTCTCTGGACCGCGTCTGAAAATGGGGGGAGTCCAGGCACCGGCCAGCAGCCGGCATATGCTTTTGGTGTTTCAGACTGACACACACGCTACGAAGTGTGATGGCAGAGATGTACATTGGTTGAGAACCCGTCGTTATCCCATCTGTCAACAGGGTGTCCATATAGAGGCCGTGCATAGCAGAGTATGTACGTGCATGAGCGGGCCGTAGATCCTCTAACGCAAGTCATATGTGTGGTACCCTGCTGCCAGTGGCCAGTGACCAGTGGACGCACGTCACCACTGGGAGTGCGAGACGCCAGCGATGAAACACAGGTGCCCAGAGTGTGAGCCGAACAAACATTGAGCCGTCGTCGTCATCGAGTCACCACTTGTGCTCTCTGTGATGCATACAGTTGACGATTGTTCCACGACGCCTCCAAACACCCGCCCTTCAAACATCTGCGATGGGGTTGTTTATACGCAAAGCTTGTCTCGTGGTCGTTTAGAGCGCAGAGCCTTGTCGTGGGCCCGAGACAGTGCGTTCGTCGGTTGCGTCTTGTTTTAGCCCATCCGTCGAGTAATGTCTGTCTTGCGGGTGTGGTAAACAACAGAATTCCCCTTGTACCTGTGTGAGTGGAAGCAAGCTTGCTTCACAAATTGGAAGGCTTTTACTTTTTTTCCCTGCCCAGCTTACCGAGCCTGGCGTTGCTCGTCGCAGCGGCAGACAGCAAAGCAATAGTGTGCGCCGTGCAGCGCGCGCATGCGGCGGTGCCCAGACAAGGGTCTGCGTCCACCGCGGCGCAACCGCTGCTGCGTGGACAGGTGAGCGGTCACCCATCTGGGTCTGGACAGTAGTGTCCCTTCTCCTGTATCAACCCCGATTCGACACCGTTGCCCAGTAACCCTGGGATGCCGCAGAACCGCAGCGTGTACGCAACCGAACGCCGAGATACGCGGCACAAACAGTTGGGTGGGTGGGTGTCGTGCAGGCAGGCAGGCAGGCAGGCAGGCGGCAGGCTATGCAATGCACAGTCGGACTCTCAGAGACACGATATCACGACAGAACAAGAGTTTGGACAGCAACACACACACACACACTTTCCTTCTCTCCGTCCATATCGTCCCAATGCTCTCACACCACACAGCACCGCAACCACCACACACAATGTCAATGGCGCTGCGGCCAACAAGCCAACGGCAAGACTGGCTCGACCCAAACCTGTACACGGGTCCGTCGTCAGCATCATCACCGTCGTCGGCGTCGTCATCGGAGCTGCCATACACCTCCGAATGTCAGTATGGCGGCTACAACGGGTTCGCTGGCCGCGCACTGTCGCCATGTGCCGAGACGACACCCAGGTCATGCTTGAGTCCTGCACCTCGCGACAGCATGTCCCCACCACCAGCGACGACGCGGCCAACAACGCCACGCCCACCGCGCTTTGACAGCTTCTACCACAGCGGCTCGTCGTCGGGCCACGGGCACATTCTGAGGCCGACAAGCCAAGAAGACAGTCGCAACGGCTCCGTTACGCCGCTGGGCCAACCACTGCTCTCCCCCTCGCCTTTCCTCACTCCGTCCCCGCTGGCCTCGCCGTCTGCATCGTCGGACGGCTCCCCCCCGTCGCTGCATACCCCTCACACGCGATCGCCCGTGGTGCACGGGTACAGCAGGAGCACCGAGTATCACCCCACGTACCACACGTCCGGTAGCCTCAGCCCCGGCTTGCCCTCCCACCATTCTCATGCCGACCGCCATGCCCAGCGCACCGCTGCTCCATCGCCATCGCCGTCACCGTACGCGCCAGGAAGGTTCCAACCCCTCCGCCCAGCTCCATCTCCCCCTGCCCAGACAGCCGCGTACAGCGACGAAATCAAGGTCCGACACAGCAGCCACAATTCAGCGCGGCTGCCGAACAGCCACAACAACAACAAGCATTTCTCCTCGACGCCAGTGCCATCTGCCACTGCCGGCCTGGGACCCCCAAGTGGCGAGCGCGTCATCCGCCGCTGTAGCTCTGCGGTTGGATTTTTCGGCACCAAGCACTCGATCGCAAGCTCGAGCTCGCCCAACGTCAGTGATGGTGTGACTGCTCTAGGCGCTGCAGCACACGAGGCAGCGTACAACCATGGGTTTGGGAGTGCACCACCACGCCCTGTTCGTCGTGGTGAGCCGCCATCCCGCACTCCCGCACCACCACCTGCGACGCCATCCGTTCCGGCGGCACTGCAGAGTGGCCATGCCGCTGCGTCAGGTGGCCACCCTGGTACCCCTGGTGGTGGTGCGCAAGGACAAGGTCTCCGCGCTCCGTCTTTTGCGGGTCCGGCGTCCTCGTCCTCGTCCTCGTTCATCGTCGACAGCAGCAGCGTCGGCGTGGCCGTCTCGCCCATGACCTCGTGTTTCCCCAGCTCGCCAATGCCCGCGCCGTGCATGAACAAGGGCGCGTCGGCCGTACACGCGCACCGCAGGCAAAAGTCGTCCTCGACAGCACGTACCGCGCTCACCACATCCACCACTGCGTCGTCGTCTGCGTCCGCGGGCGTGCTCACGGCATCCACCCACTCGACCACGAGCGAAAGCACCCCGCCACCATCGACCGCGCCGTCCACTGCGAGCTGGACAGACCGCCCAAAACTGCCCTTCACGACCCTGCCGTGCCCGTACGGCGCCCAGTGCGACCCGTGCATCCACCGCACGCGCGTGCCCGCGTCCCTCGTGTCGGGCTCGGGCGTCATCGGCGTCCATGGCGGCGGGTACGGCCGGTTCGGGGCCACCCCCGTCCCCGGTTCGGGCAGCCTCGCCGGCGTGCCCGGGCGCGAGTACGCCGTGGTCGTCGAGGGCATCATGTACGGCGTGGTGCGGGGCAGTCCGCGCTGGGGCATCGTCCACGAGCTCATTGTGGCCGCGCGGAACGAGGGCGAGGTCGCGCAGGCCATCATGGCGAACTGGGACACGATGGACAGTGGGTACGGCGGCTGGCCTTGAAGTGAGTGGGTGGGTGGTGCGTTCACCTGTTGTGGCGAGAATGGGACACTTGTTTGGTGTGGGTGGGGAGGCTGTAGAATAGAGAAGAAAGAGAGCACACGCTCAGAAGGAAGATATACTGTATCATACTATTTAGTTGTCACGAGTGTATGCCAATCATCAGCAACGTTGTTATGTGTGGTATGTGGCACACGCGGCCGCCACTGAAGGCGATTCGCGACGGACGGCTTGGATCCACGGCCGCGTCATTTTCTGTGTCGTCACGACTACAAACAAACCTTGAGCCTGACGGGCCGCTTCTCTCACGGTCGCGTCACTTTCCAGAGGCCAGGCTCCCGCGGAGAGTGCGCGTCACTAGTGCTGTGGCAGCCGGACGAGTTAGTCTGATTTCGTTTCACTGCAACCAACAAGCAAGCGAAGAGGGCATCGAAAAAAAACAGGGTTACATGGGTCGATGCCATATACATGAGGGATAGTATGATGCTGATAAAATGAGAGAGAGAGAGGCCCAAAACGATGTGATTGCAGGTAGAGAGAGATAAAATTGTGATGGCGAAGTTTGATTGTTGAAATGAGGTGGTCGCACTGTTGCAACTGTAAAACGAGAAATGAAAAGGTGGAAGTGAGTAACCTAGAACACGACCTTGACGTCACCGACGCTCGTCTCGATCGTCAGGCCGGGGCCCTGGTTCATCCAAGGCGGCGGCGGCGGACGACGGCCCTCGGGGTCCGTGTTGCCATGGTCGTCGCCGGGGAAGGCGGGGTGTGGACGCTTGTTGGACTCGCGGCGGTCGCCCTCGGCAAACTCGTCGTCATAGTCTACGCGGTCGAGGTGCTCGTCGGCGTCGTACTCGTAGTCGTCGGTGTGGCGCTCGACATCGCGCTCGCGGCCCTGAACGTCGGCCCACTCAATGGTGCCCCGGTACTCCTTTGCGCCGTTGTGCTCTGCGCGATTGAGGTCCAGGACGCGACGGCGACCTGCGCCCGTCGGGTCCGCAGTCTCGTCGGTGACGTCCACCTCGATCTCACCCTTCGAGGTCGAGAAGCGGACGTCACCTTCAAAGTTCGGGTGGGCGTAGATTTCAATGTCGCCGACCATCGAGTGCACACGCTGGCTCAGCTGGCGACAGGGGACCTCCCATGTGCCGTGGCGCACGATGGTGCGGTCATTGTTGCCGTTGACGTTGGCGGTGATGGGCTGGAGGGCGCACTCGGGGTCGGAAGAGTTGTGCCTGTTGTTCGAAGGACGTTGTGTGTGAGGGCGGTCGGGACTCTGCTCGCTCTCCCAAAGGAAGAAGCGATGGGCAGGTGACTTGGCGAGGGACAGGTCCAGGTCTATGGCACCAGCCGGCGTGACGAGCTCGACACTGTGCGAGACGGAAACGTTGGCGCGGATGTTGCCCAGCGTCTTGATGTTGACGACCTCGGCGCGGACGTGCTCGACGACGACGTCGCCAACAACGGCCCTAACCTCGAACCCAGCCATGTTGACGCCCGAGAGGTCGCCGACATGAACGTTTCCCTCCTCGCTCCGAATGGTAATGGGGGGCACGAGGTCGACAGGCAATGAAGAAGGCGCGTGGGAACCAAAGGCGCCCAGGAGGGTGTCGATGAAGCCCGCCTCGCGACCGGGCTTTTGAGTCTGAGAATGCCTCCTTGACCGACGAGCGTCGGCGTTGAGGCTCTTGGCGACCTCCTCCGTGTCGACCTTGCCATCCTTGGACCGCGGGAGGGAAACGTGAATGCGGAAAGTGAGGCTTGAGCTGGGCACATCTGCCACTTCCTTGCTCCTAACAGCGACACCGAAGCGGGGACCGTTGCGATGGCCGCCATCGGGACCCTCGCCATGTCCGTGGCGTGCAGCAGCAGGCGGAGGCTGATGCGGCGAATGCAGAGGCATAGAACCGTTCTGGAGCATCAAGCATACCTTGGACGCAGAGAGCATTGCCCACCCAGGCGAGTTGCCCGTGTCCGCAGCACCAGTCTCAGGAGCCGAAAACTCGCCGCGCACAGTGACAATGACCGGTGGTCCGCGCCTGGCGTCGGCCACCGCCTCGTCGCCAAACGTGATCGCGCTGTCGGGGACCGAGCTGGAATCGACATAGTCGTACGCATCGACCTCGATGATGCCGACATCGGCCGGACCGCGTAAAGAGAAGAAGAGCTGGTCGGCAGCCAGGGGCAAGGCAAAGACGGCCTCGGCAGCACGGTTCGCTCCCACCTGGCTGTCGGTGAAGACGGCGCACTCGACCGCCTGGCCGCCAAACTGGCTGTAGTCGTCGTCGCCAGGATGGCCAGGTCGTGGCCGTCCTCCATTTCCCTGGTCGCCGCCAAACCCACCGGCACCACCACCGCCAGGGAAGCTACCCATCCCAGGAGGCGGGTGCCGCCAGTGTCGCCGTCCAGGATGTGCGACAATGTAGAGAAAGAACAAGACGGCAAAGCCAATAGCCAACCGCGGCGCATCGCGCAGGCGGTCTCGCAAGTTGCGCCGTGCTGATTTGGGAGGAGGGAGAGAAGTGGAGCTGCCGGCTCGTGGGGTGTATGGTGGAGGATAAATGGCAAGTTCGACGTCGCCACCGGCGCCAAGGAACGGCTGGGCCTCGAGCTGGTTGTTGCCTGCCAAGTTGGAGGCCGTGAGTGGGTGGCCATAGCCTATTGATGGGTGCGGCACAAACGGGACGCCAACATCTTCGTCGATGCCAAAGTCGGCAGAGTCCAGTTCGTCATACTCGTCGTCTGATAGTGGTGCCTTTGTGTCTTCAGGCAGGATCATGGTGGAGCGTGTATGATGGGAGGAGGCGAGGCCGGGGGAACGGGGAGGGGGAGAAGGAAGAGGAAGAGGACGAGGTGAGAAGGGCGGGTGAGGTCGAAAGGGGTGTGTGTGTGAGCGCTCACAGCGTCGAGAGAATGAGAGTCGGGGTAATAGGTTGGGTGGTGGTGGGTAGTGTTGTTGAGAGGGAGAGAAGGCAAGTTGAACAAGAATGGATGGAGCCCGTCGCTGGGGAGAGAGGAGGAGGGGAGGGGGAGGTTTGCGCGGTTGGGCGGCACCTTGGCTAGCCTTGGGGGAACATGCGGCGTAGTAGAGTAGGGTTGTGGTTGTATTGGAGAAAGCATGAAGCTTGAGCGCAGTAATTGGCGCAGTCCGAAGCAGGACGGCAGGACGCACCACCCACTGCCGCCGACACTGAGCGAGACACTGCCCCGCAGCGACGAGGAGCAGAGACACACACCACAGGCCACAGGCCAGGCTGCGCGCGCAGTCGCCTCCTTCCGACCGACCACAGGGTGGGGGAGCCGAGCGGAGGCATATATTTTGGGTGAGCCACCAGCCCCGCCAAGCACACGGCGAGCACCCATTTTTTGCTGGCTGCGCACAAACCGGTCTTGGTGGCCCCGCAGCACCGCCAAGACTCGCAGTCACCAAGCCATGACCGAGCAAAGGCGCAGACAGTGCGGCACAGCGCAGACGAGCAGCCAGGGGCTCATGGATCCAAAAGGAACGAAACCAGCACCGAATCTCGCAGCGCGCGTTTGATACACAAGTGTGGGGGGGTTGTGTTGTGTCATGGTGCCTGCGTCTCGTGTCTCTCCTACATGATACAGAAAAACAAATCACGCGTCCTCGTCGCGTCTCCGTAGCACAGGATATAGGGGTGGTGTGCGCCTGTCCGTTCTCTGCTCTGTCTGCTCTGTCCATCTCAAACGTTCAGGTTCTGGAGCTTGTCAGACCACACGGCAACCTTGCGGTGAGCCATGACCTTTTCAGCGCGGAAGCCGGCAACTTCCAGTCCCTCAAGCGATGTCGCACGCGAAAGGGCAACGTACGCTGGAATCATCCGTCAGCTCTGGTTCCCTGTTGTATGGAGGGAGGTTTACGGCACAAAAACTCACCCTGGCCCTTTTCAAACACCTTGCCGAGGTCAACCTTGACACGCTCGAGCGCTGGGGGTGGTTGTCAGTTACTGAGCAGCTCTAGTCCTCGCAACTCACTCTGGCCTTGAGCCTTGTGGATCGACATGGCCCACGCGAGGATGAGAGGAAGCTGGTGGCGCGACACCTGGATCTCGCCGTTGGGCAGCTCGTTCTTGAACGTGTCGTGCTCGACAAGCATGTCGCGCATGCCTCCTCCGGGGACGTTGAAGCGGACGACGGGGAGAGGCTTTGAGCCTGGAGCAATCTTCATGCGGAGCAGGTCGCGCATCTTTTGCTTCTTCTCGTCCATGTCTTCACCCTCCTCGCCGTCAAAGCCACTTTCACGCCAGCGGCCTTGGGCGTCGGCCAAGTACTCCATCTTGTGGCAAAATCCAATCACCCTGCCCATACTGCCGTTGACAAGCGTTTCGTCGACATTCTTGATAAGCATGACCTGGGCGTCCGTCTTGAGGAAGATTGTGTGTGGGGCCATAAAGTTGGCAAGCATCTTGTCGCGCTGAACACGGTCCTGAATCTGGCCACCGTCCGTGGCGATATACGACCAGCAGTCCGACGTGAGCCCACTGAGACGGGCATTGTTGGCTTTGTCAACGTCCTCGCGACGAGGGAACAGGTGGGTGGGCTCAATGCCGTCCGTGTAGCGGATGGGACGCGAAAGAGCCTGGAACGCCTGGATCGAGGCGGGGGACATACGGCCGAAGCGCATCTCGTTGAGCATGTCGACAAAGCCTGAGAGTTTAGCCCAAGGGTGCATGGAACAGTCAACTCACGTTGGTCTTTCTGACGGAACACCTTGGTGAGGTTGACGGACATTTCAATAGTCTCGTCCCAAGTCGTCGCCTCAAAGCAGAACTTGGGCTCGCCGTTCTTGGTGACGGGGGGCAGCTGGAAGAAGTCTCCAGTCACAATAATCTGGATACCGCCAAAGGGCTTTTGGTTCTTGCGCAGCAACTGGCCAACCTGGTTGTACTTGTCAAAGAGCGTGGCGTCGACCATGGAGACTGAATGTCAGTTGACGCCGTGGGGTTTTCTGAACTCACTCTCATCAATGATGAGCACCTTGGTGCGCATCCAGCGCTGCACCGTCTTCCTGTTACGCTTGATCTTGCTCACGAGCTCGGTGGCGGGCTCCAGGGCAAGACCTGCACCGCCAAACGAGTGCAGTGTGATGCCGCCAATGTTGCATGCAGCGATACCAGTCGAAGCAGTGACCGCGACGGCGTCCTGAGACTTGGCGTGCTTGCGCTGCAGGTTCTTGATAATCTCGCGAAGGAGAACCGACTTGCCCGCACCTGCATGGGTAAGCAGCGTAATGACGAGTTCTTTGACCCACCGGCAGAACCCGTAAAGAAGATGTTCTTGCCCTCCTGGACGACCAGTTGCAGGACTTTTTGCTGTTCACCGCTGAGCACGAGCTTCTGCCTGATGTTGATGGAGGGACCGGCGACGCTCTTCTGCTTGTCTGCGGACACAGTCGAGGTCGAACTGGAGCGACTGCTGCCAGTGTCTGCAACCTTCTTGGCCGAACTGAAGTGTCAGCATACAGGCAACGTGCTGGGTGCTGGGTGGCGCCCGAGACGCGGTGAGCTGGCTGGGGCGAAGCTGCCAGCTCGAGTAAATAGGAATCTTGACAGAGCAAGGTACCTGGAGGGGAGGCATGGAGGGAAGGCACCGAGAGAAGACACAGAGGGAAGACCACACACTCACCTAAACTCGCTCTCCCAAGGAAGGGCACGCTTCTTGGCCGGGTTACCAGCGGGGAGGGAAGGCAGTTCGGTCTTGGGGGCAGGACGGAGGGGGACAGAGCTCGACGAAGTAGTTACGCGCGACGACGACGAGCCGTTGTTGTAAATGCTCATAGAAGCGGCTCTCGACGAGGACATGGGCCTCGACGTCGACGTCGACGTAGAAGCAGACGTAGATGCGGTGGGGGTTGAGTTCTCGGACATGGCCGCGAGAATGGCACGGCGGCGGCGGTCGGCGGGAGTCTCGCCGGGAATGGGGGCTGGGCTGGGATAGCTGGGGGCGGTATCGACCTTGACTGGAAGCTTCCTCTTCACGCTGGTGGGTTGTCAGCATGCGTCCCACTTTCATCACTCATGACTGTCCCGTGGCGTTGCCTTCCTCCGCCGGCGCCGCCAAGGCAAACAAACTCACCGTTCGGGGCTGGGCGACCACTCGAGCGCCGAGCTGGAGGGCGCGTCGTCGTCCCACTGACGCTGGAACGAGTTGATGCGCGACATACCGCGAACCTGAGAGTCGCGATTTGAAGAGCTGCCGGTGACGAGAGAGGGCATGGTGTGTCGATCCGGGATGCGAGTGGAGGTTGTTGGGTGGGTTGTTGGGTTGGAGGAAGAGGACAATCTTCGAGAGCGCGAAACGCGGTTGACGGGACTGTCTTTGCCCTGCGCGCACCCAGCAGCCGGATTCAGGGAATCGATTGTTTGTGCGTCACGTGGATACAATGGCGTGTCATTTTTGAGCCCCGCAAGTGATACCAAGCGATTGCTGCTCAGATTTCTGAACGAGACACCCTCCCACTACGTATCGTTGTTGCTGTCCAAGTGCCGCAAACAACCCTTACAACAACAGTCCACCAACAGCAAACATGGGTCGCGACAAGAAGATTGGAAACGCCATGAAGCGCGGCGAGCAGCACCGCAAGTCCAAGCGGGACAAGGAGCAGGTCAAGCTCCAGCGTCGTATGGACATCAAGAAGGCCGAGAAGGGCGTCAACGGCGAGGAGCTGAGGAAGGTGGGTAGCTACTGGAACTGCGCTGGATGTCTACTGACAGCTGTTGTAGGAGCGTCTGGCCAAGAACATTCCCCGCACCATCGACAACTCGCGTGTTTACGACAGCTCGTCGTACCTCACTGCCGACCCGGCAACCTTGCGTGCTGCCGAGGCTCGCGCCGCCGAGGCCTCGAGGCTGGTGAACGCACCTGCCGAGGATGAGGCGATGGACGAGGACGAGGCCAGCGACGACGACGAGGATGAGGATGAGGATGACGAGGATGAGCCCCAGGCTGGCCCGTCGCGTGCCCGCGGCAAGGGCAAGGCCGCCGAGGCCATTGAGGAGGACGAGGAGGACGACGATGACGACGACGAGGAGGAGGGTGAGGAGGACGAGGAGACTGAAGAGGCTACCGAGACCGCCCAGCCCCTTCCCCCCTCTGCTCCTCCCCGTGTTCTCCTCACCACTTCGCCTGGCCCGACCAAGAGCACCTACCAGTTCTGTGACGACCTCAAGTCCATCTTCCCCGGTGGCGAGTTCTTCAAGCGTCCCAAGGGCCGCGGCTTCGAGCTTGGCCGCGTCGCCCGCTGGGGCGCCAAGCGTGGCTTCAACGCTGTTATTGTCGTGAACGAGGACCACAAGGCACCTAGTGAGTAGCTGCACGCAGCGTGGAAGCCGGGACACAGCTAACTCGACAGACGCCGTCACTATCATCAACCTCCCCGCTGGACCAACGGCCTATTTCAAGCTCTCAAGCGTGCAGCTTGGCTCGCAGATCTACGTGAGTTGGCTCATGTCTGAGGAAAATTCAACTCTGACGCTTTGCAGGGACATGCTAGGCCCACTGCCCACTCGCGTACGTCTTGGTAGCCACAGCCCATGAACACCTACTGACCCCTTTAGCCGAGCTCATCCTCAACGGCTTCACTACCCTTCTGGGTAACACTGTCGGTCGCATGTTTGGCCAGCTCTTCCCCTCTCTCCCCCAGTTCCGTGGTCGCCAGGTCGTGACGCTGCACAACCAGCGCGACTTCCTCTTCTTCAGGCGACACCGGTGAGTTGATTGGGCGTCGACCCTGTTCTAACTTTCCAGTTACGCCTTCACCTCGCCCACGTCTGCCAAGTTGCAAGAGATTGGCCCCCGCTTCACCCTCAAGCTGAGATGGATGCGCAAGGGTCTCCCATCGGTCCGCACGGCCGACGGCCGCATGCCCACTGGCGGCGACAAGGGCGCCGACGACGAGGAGTTTGCCATTGACGACGACGAGGAGACCGAGGCCCAGGAGAAGATGGACGAGGAGGAGGCGGCTGCCGAGATGAGCAAGCCCCAAAAAGCGCAGGCGCAGACCACGCCCAGTGGCCAGGCTATCCCGGCTCTCGACGAGGAGCAGGAGTACGAGTGGAAGTGGAAGGTGGGTTTGAAGCCTTTGGATAAAGCTAACCCGCAACAGCCCAAGATGGAAGTTTCGCGCCGTACGTTCTTCCTCTAGAGAGAGAGAGAGTTGGGTGTGCATTGTCTCTTGTGTTATTTTGCATCTGTTTTCAGTCGGTTCTGTATGCATTGAGTGTGATAGAGAGATGTGGAGGTCTGTCATGTCCCGCCAAAAAAAAAGTGCCACATGTGGAGGTGGACCCCTGGGTGGGCCGCCGGCGAATTCGGGATTAAGAGTTCTGTGCGTCCAGGATTCTGAGCCAGGATTGCAAGTGCACTGCCAGCAGCAGGTGCAAAGTGAGACCACCATAGCCAGCAGCGACCTCGGCATCACTCGCGTCAATACCCAGACCGAGACCTCCTCGTCTATCACCACCTAAAAGCAGGGGACGTTCAGCACCTCCGCATCCCCCCACGACTTCCTCCCCCCCCCTTCCCGCTGCCCCCCCCGAAATCTTTGCCCATCATGGCCGAGTACGACCTCACCCAAGCGAGTGTTACACGCCGCCGCCCAAATGTTCCATCCGCGTGATCTTTCCGCGATCCCAAAGGTCCTTACTTGAACCTCTGGACCTCTGGGGCAACATGGACTGGGCTGGCTGGCGGCATACCTATACCGCAGTGCATCGTAGCTAACACTTCCTGCAGAAGCTTATCCCCCAGCTGGACCGCCACCTGGCCATCCCTCTGCTCAACTACCTCGCCGACTCGGACATCTTCCCTGCTCCCCAGGTGACCAAGGCCCAGTGCGTGGCAAATTGGAGTGATGGGAACTGCACAATGGCACACATGTACTGACACTGTATTAGGTATGACCTTGTCAAGCAGGGCACCAACATGGTCGACTACATCGAGGGACTGTACGAGCAGGCCAAGAGCGAGGGCGTGAGCGTTGAGCCGATGAACTTTCAGAAGCTGCGCGACGACGCGACCACAAAGTACAAGGAGCTGCAGGAGGCCGCTCAGCCGATCATGAAGGTCATCGAGGACCCCGAGGCGGTGGCAAAGCTCAAGGGCGGTGTGGACAAGGAGAAGAACCTCGACCTCTTGCGGTCAGAGTACAACATTTCGCTCGAGCAGATCAACGCGCTGTACCACTTTGGTCAGCTCCAGTACTCGCTCGGTTCGTACGCCGACGCTGCCAACTTCCTCTACCACTTCCTCATCTTCTCCCCCTCGTCCGAGCTCAACATGTCGGCTCACTGGGGTAAGCTCGCCGCCAACATTCTCTCGGGAGAGTGGGAGGCTGCCCTTGTCGAGGTCAAGGACCTGCGCGACCTGATCGACAACCCGCACACCGCCGCCCAGGCCAAGCCCCTCACCCAGCTCCAGGCCCGCACCTGGCTCCTCCACTGGTCGCTCTTTGTCTTCTTCAACCTCGGCGAGGGCCAGGGCTGCCAGGGTCTCCTCGAGATGTTCCTCTCGCCCGCCTACCTCAACACGATCCAGACCTCGTGCCCTCACCTCCTCCGCTACCTGGTCGCTGCTGCCATCATCAGCCGCCGCGCCCCCAAGCCCGCCGGCTCCCGCTCCAACCGCGACCACGTCAAGGACCTGACGCGCATTGTCCAGATGGAGGAGTACCAGTACTCGGACCCCGTCACTGCCTTCCTCAAGGACCTCTTCTGCGACTTTGACTTTGACAAGGCGCAGCAGCGCCTGGCCGTTGCCGAGAACGTTGTCCGCTCCGACTTCTTCCTGTCGGGCTTTGCCGACGACTTTGTCGAGAACGCCCGCTGGCTCATCTCGGAGATCTTCTGCCGTATCCACCAGCGTATCGACATTAGCGATCTGTCCAAGACGCTCAACCTCTCCAACGAGGAGGGCGAGAAGTGGATCGTCAACCTCATCCGTGACTCGCGCATGGGCGTGGATGCCAAGATCGACCTCAAGTCTGTGAGTAGCGGCACCCAAGCGTTCCTTTCCTTCTATTGTGTTCCTCCCTTGCTGACACCTTGCTCCCCAGAATATGCTCCACATCTCGAGGCCGCACACCACCCCCACCGCGACCCTCATCGAGACCACCCGTGGCCTCGCCTTCCGCTCCCAGGCGATCCAGTACGCGATGCAGAACACCTCGGAGCAGCGCCAGGGTGCCGGCGAGCGGGGTAACCGTCGCGAGAACGCCGGCGAGCGCCGTGGTGGCCGTGGCGGCAGGACCGGCGGCAATCAGTCCAGGCCAGCTGCCGAGTCGGCGGCCGCGGCACCTGCCGCTGCCCCCGAGGCTGAGGTGGCTGCGTAGAGTTCTGGTACATTGCGGTTGATAGTGGCATGTATTGCATACATTAGGAACCAGACGGGACGTGATATAGAGTGAGGATGGTCGTGTGGCAGGTGTGGCATGGTATGGCGAAGCGTGGCGAGCGTGGCAGCTCTGAGCTGGTTTGCAGTCTTCCCACGCACAAGAAAAGGTCGCTTCATGTCGGATCTATCTGGGCGGATTGTCTTGCTGTTGCCTGTTGCCGGTGACCTGTGGCCTGTGGCATGTTGGCCTCTCCTCTTGCTGAATGAAGGCGCCACTCCACCCAAGATCCCCCCCCAAGTTTCCGACACGGTCTCGATTTCGGTCTCAGCCTTTGTTTCGGTCCAGTTGAGCGATTTATTCCCACGATAGTGGGTGCTCCATGACCCATGGCCCAGTACATTCTCCGTGCTCCCCATGAATAGGCCATCTCTCGTCATCAGCTCTGTGCGCTCGATCGCAGGACGCAACGAGCTAAACCGCGTCGCGTCCAGCGTACCCAGCGTACCCAGCGTAGCGTCATTTTTTTGCACTCTGCCCCTTTTTTTTTCTTCCCCCAGCATCGCCTTGCGGGATGGACGGGCGGAAAATAGTCGTTCATCAGAAAAAAAGAGCGAGAAAATGCTTCCGTTCGTGACTGTTCTTTTCCTTTTGCTGCCCCTGTGACGTCGGTGCTGGCCGTGCTGGCCGTGGCTGGGCGGGTGGGCGGTGGGTGTGTTTGCCACCCAAAAGCGCGCACTGGGGGCTCTGGGCGTGACGCGGGCTGGTGACGCAACAGACACACACAACGGGCGGGCGGGGCGTGGGGCTTGGAGTGACACACATAAAGTCGGGACTCTTTGCATTTGTGTCGCATCTTTCTCCACCCCAGCTCCCATCACCACATCACGCACCACTCTCTCCGTACTCCACTCGCACACCCACGCAAACCACTGCCAGGCAGCCAGTCGCCACCATGAGTGCCATTGCTATGAGCGCCGCAAAGGTAAGGTGACAAGCACCAGCAACTCCGTTGTTCGCCTCGACAGCAACAACGGATAGAGCAAAGGATACGGCTGACACCCACTTGCAGAAGTACGCCGGCACCCAGGCGAAGAAGTACGAGCCGACAGACCCGTACTACGAGTTTATTGTCGATGCAAAGGGCAAGCGCAAGCGCGTCAAGGTGAGTGGCCCTCGGCTTGTACCATGGTGATGGCGGTGCTGTTTCCGGCCCTTGCCCATCAGCACACCTGCTGGCCACCAGCACAATGGAGTCTGGTTCTCGGAAGACAATGGGCTGACCCCACCTCGCAGCGCGATGTCCCTCCGGGCCTCACCAAGCGGGACGAAAAGGCCCTCCGCAAGATCCGCAAGCGCGCGCACTACCTCGACAAGGGCATGAACCTGTGCGGATTCCGTGTGGGATGGACGTTCTGGATCGGTACGTGTTTTTGTGCTGTGCCCAAAGCCTCCAGCAGTCACTGACACACTGGCAGGCATTGTCCCCGGTCTCGGCGATGTCACGGACGTCATCCTCAACTACACGCTCGTGGTGCGGCCCGCCACCAAGCTCGACCTGCCCGGTTCCGTCACCGCGCAGATGTTCTTCAACAATGCCGTGTCGGCCGGCGTGGGCCTCGTCCCGCTCGTGGGCGACGTTGCGCTGGCGGCATGGAAGGCCAACTGGCGCAACGCCCACATCCTCGAAGAGTACCTCCGCCACCGCGGGGCGGAGAACCTGGCAAAGGGCGAGCAGAGCGGCTTGACCGAGCTGTCCGACCCGGAACAGGCCCAGCTGGCTGCTGACCTCATTGGCGCGGCTGGCGAGGAGGTGCCCATGCACGAGGCGGCGGCAGGGCTCCAGCAGCCGCTGCAGGCGCCGGCGCCCGAGGCGAAGAAGAAGGGCAAGTTCTGGAGCAAGAAGAACTAGCACGGAGACACGAACACGACACACAAAAACACATACACGCACTTGTCCGTGGTCTTGGCAAGGGCGCCGAATTTAGATGCGGGCAGGCGCACACACGAATACGACCAGAGTCTCGAGCCCCCCCAGAACCCAGACAGACGAGCACGCGATACCACGAAACGACCCACAACCCATACCCCCCGGCACCACCACCGTCATTCCATTCTGTAGTATACTTCATAGGGGCACCACCATCGTACTTAATGCAAAGATCTTGTTAGAACTCGCCCGGGGTGAAATCGAGCACCGTGACACCCGCAAAGCCCAGGCCGCCGAGCGTGTTCTTGAAGGCAATGTGTGCCGGGTCGTGGTCGGTGTAGTAGTCTGCGTCGGCTTGGTTCTGGGGAGCTACGTTAGCTGTGGGTGCGATACAGTGAGGTGGGTGTAATGCAGGTGGGTGAGGCTGGTCGGCTGCGCGGTTCGTGATCCAACCCAGCTGTGGGTCTGCGGGATGGACAGGCGGCCAGCTGGGCCCCAGAAGGCTGCGGCAGGCATACGAGGCTCACAGCCCATGGGCCCGAATACCAAACCCGCCCACACCCACCCAGCTCAACCACCCGGCCTCGACTCACCTCAAACTCGACGAGGTACACGACCTGCATGCCGCCGTCGTGTCCCTCCTTGTTCGTCTGCTTGCCGCCGACGGCCGAGCGGATGTACGGCTTGCCGTCGCGCACGCACTGGTGCTTGAGGGCCAGCATGCCCTCCGACAAGGCCGGGAGGTTGGCCGTGTCGGTGAGCTTGAAAGCGACTGGAAAGCGGTGGACATCGAGGTCCCACAATACCGGGAAGGGTCGTGTGTGCGATGGTAGGCGAGGCGAGGACGGGACGCAGTGGGGTTGTGGTACGGGGAGAGTGCGTCGACATAAAAGAAAACACGATGTGAGCTGACTGACTAATCGCGTACAGCACACCACGCTCGCTCGGCCAATGACTTACCAATGTGCAAGACGGTCATGCTGTACTCCCAACCTGGTGGATATGTCTGTGGGGGGTCCGAATGGAAGATGCCGATGGAGAAGAATAGACAGGAAAGGACAAGCAAGCTCCCAAGAGTGACGAGGACAATGTGGCGCTGCCGGCTTGTAATAGCTTTGGAGTTGGGGTTGAACACGTCGCCAATGGTGGGCATGGCGACTTGATAACCGTGGGTTGAGATGGTAGACGCAGTTGAGGCCCTCCACCCGCGCGCGCCGGTGGTGCCTACAATCGGCCGCAGGAAGGCTAAAGAGGCATTAGACATGCATCCTAATAAATAATTAGGTTTTGTATTTCTAATCGCTGGCAAGGACGGCATCAAATGGTGCGCGATGACGATCCACCCAAAGTTGGTGGACGACGTCGACCAAGCTAAGCTCCCTTGACGTCCTTCTCCACGGTCCCACTTTTGTCTCTCTCCTTTGTCGTTTGGTCCACCGTCACCCCCCTCCTTCCCCCCCCTTCGCTCTTTTTTCTTCCATCCGTCGCCCGCCCCTATTTCCCTCCTTTGACAATGGTCACGACCCGCGCGCAAACCGCGGCCGCCCCACCGCCCTCCCTGCCGCTCAAGGACTACTTTGCGTCGCTCTCGTACCTCTCCCTGTTGCTCCTCTCGACGCCCGTCGTGCTTCCGTCGTCCACGTCATGGTTCTACGGTAGCGGCGACAGCATCGTGCAGGCTACATCGGCGGACAGGCCGCAGTGGGAGTTTTTGAATCCCATCACGCACGACCCGGCCGCGACGGCGGCGTGGGTCAGTGGAGGCGTGGCGATCGTCATGGTGTGGTGGGGCAACAAGCTGCGCAAGTGGTGGGGGCTCAAGGCCGATGGCAAGGTGGGTGGTGGTTTGGCGCAGCTGCTGGAACATGTACCTGTAGCTGCGTCAAGACGGGAGGACGGAGATGAGCTGCTGGCCTGCTGTCATCCCCGACGCCAAACAACAGCAGCCTCTCCGTCCCCATCTCCGTCTACCACAACCCGACACGCAACTGACGTTTACCCCGCAGACCAAGGAAGCCGTCCTCTCCACGCTCGGCACGACCGTCCTCCTCGCCCTGGCGATGCACACCCTCGGCGCCCCCGTGGCCATGTACCTGCGCACCTTGCTGTTCGCGTTCCACCTCGCCCTCCTGACCGCGTACCCGATCATTGCGACGCTGGGCTTTCCGGACCTGTACGACGCCGGCATCGCCGCGCGGTTCCGCCTCACGCGCCTCGTGTGCGAGTGGCGCGCAGAGGACGCGCGCGAGCGCGCCCTCGCGTTCCCGCTCGCGGGCGCGCTGGTCGGCGCGTGGGTCGGCGCCATCCCCCTCGCGCTCGACTGGGACAGGCCGTGGCAGGTGAGTAGAGTTGGAGTGTCCTGTTTACCGTGGGCAGAGTCAGCCGAGATGAGAACGCCCCGCTGCAGGCAGGCTGTCATCTCGTCGACTCGTGCCCGTCTCGGTCGCAGCTATGATAGTCCCAAAAATCGAGCTGACACACCGCACCCAAAGGCCTGGCCGCTCATCCCGCTCGTCACCTCCATCCTGGGCTTCGTGGCCGGCTCGTGGGCCAGCTTTGCCACGTCGGCCCTCGAGTCCCTCCGCAAGGAGATTGCAGACGACCAGGCCGCCAACGCGCCCAAGCCCGTCGCCAAGAAGCGCAAGGGCAAAAAGTCGGCCTAAACAAGACCCAAGCCTGCGGGCGTGTTGCGACACAGCTTCATGTCGACGGACAAGACCACCACCACAATAGACGACCACGGCAGCTGACGGCAGCGGCTGTGAGCCCTGCTCCTGCTCCTGCTCCTGCTCCTGCTACCACTGCCACTGCCACACGACCCGGGAGGGAGAACGGAGGGTCGGCGCGGCGTTTTGTGTTCATATAGGGCACTGTAGGACAGCCAATGCATGCAGATGTCGTGGGGAAAGACGGGGTCATCCAATGTTCGAAGGGGTTTCTATGTGGGGGGGGATGGGGGTTCGTATCTCGTGTATTTCGTCGGAGGCGTGCAGACAGAGCTTTGCTACGCGGCGAGGAATGCGGGTATGTGGGTGTTGGTGGAGTGGGATGGGATGGGATGGGGCAGGGAATGGAGTTTGGCTACACTGAGAGACAACGGTGGCAGAAGGAGACAGACAGTAGGGCGTGGCCGACGACAGCGGGCGCAACTCGCTCGCTCGCTCCGCTCGCTGCCCGCTCACTTGCGGTCCTCCTTGACGAGGCGCAGCCACAGGCTTCCCATCATGGAGCGCTCCCTCACGACCTCCCATGGACCCATGACGGCGCGCGCCGGGTCGCCGTTTCCGAACCGCGCCTGCATCTCCTTGAGGCCCTCGGCGGTGCCCTCGCTCTCGAGGGAGAGCATGCCGTGCCACTCGGGCGCGACGCGGTCGCCTTGCTGGATCTCGACACCGGCGACGTGCAGGTACCGTTTGGCGCTGAGGCGCGCGCCCGACGCGACAATGACGTCGCGTCGGTCATACGCCAGCCGGAGGGACGACATGCCCTGCTGCGCGTACGGCGCAAAGTCGAGATAGACAATCTGCGGGGTGGGCAGGAACGGGTCGTAGTATGTCGGCGACAGGGCGAACGCGTCGAGATAGTGCGGGAGGTGGCCCGTCGAGCAGTGAACATACTCGAGAGGGACGAGCTTGTGCGCCACAAAGGGCACGTAGACAAGCACGTGTTCCGTGTTGGACGGGCGGTGCAGGGCCGTGTTGACGACCAGGTCGCCGAGACGCATGCGCTTGTTGGCGCCGCACTTTTCCAGCTCGCGCCACGCGGCCGCGGCGCCTTCGGACGACGGCCAGCGGGGCACGCGGTCCGAGACGGGGACAAACACGCGCAGGATCGGCGCACGGCCGACCATGTATGGCGGCGGGCGGTCAAACGCCGGCTCGTACCGGCTGTTGTTGGTCGGCGAGTCCCAGCGCCTCTGGACGGGGGACGAGTGGCCGTCTGAGCGGCGCGACGAGCGGCCGCCCTCGCTGCTGTTGACGCTGGAACGTTCCCGGCGTCCACCGCCGATGGGGGGCGGGATGGGCAAGTTGTCGCCGTGACCAGCAAGTGATGCGAGGCCATGGGCGACCGAGCCGGACTGGGCGGACATGATCGAACCAGGACGCGAGCCCATGCCGCCGCCGCCGCCACCACCGCCGCCGCCGTTGGGACTGCCACCAGACCCGTCGCCGTACCGGAGGAACTCGTACCGCTTGGCGGTTGGGTACGAGACGGGCGGGAACGCAGCCTTGCCCTGCGGGATGGGTGCAGTGGTGTGTGTCTGCGGCGCGTTGAGCGCCTCCGTCGTGGCCGACGAGCTGTTGGAGCGCTTGCGGAAGCCGAGAGAGCCTGTAGCGTTGGAACCAATGGAGCCAATCGAGCCACGACGACGATGCAACTTACCGCCATTTTTACCACTGGGATGGCCATTGGCGAGGGACGGGCCGTTGCCAGTCGCGCTGGCCGGTGTGGCCGACAGAGGCTCCGGCATGATGACCTCGGTGACGCGCTCGCGGCGCGGCATCTTGCCCGTGAGGTTGGTCGTGCTGCCGCCAGCGTCCGAGCCGGCGTGGCTGTTGGCGCGCGACCCGGGGCGGCGCGGTGCCTGCAGGCTGCCTGCCGAGCTCGACTTGTGCAGAGTCGGGAGCGTAATGTCGTCCTCGAAGGGGAGGGGAGGCGAGTAGGGGAACGCCGAAGCAGGCAGGGTGCGCAGGAAGAGGACAATGAGTGTGTGCGAAAGACTCAAGTGGCGGAGCAGGTTGTGGTACTGGGCCGGGTAGGTGCTGTACACTGCAGGATCGTGCAGGAGGGACTCGACTGTGAAAACACGGGGCGTCAGTTTGTTTACGTCGTCACAATCGCCTTTTTTTCACTCACGGAATCCTTCCCACACAGTGAGGCCTGGCCATGAGCGTCCACGCTCGCGCTCCACGGTCACACCCCACTCGGACATGACCCAGCGGCCGACCATCTCGCCAGAGACGTATCGGCGCAGCATCTCATCGGATCCAAGGAGGTTGAGGAACGTGTTGATGTTGAGGAACGGGAGGAGCGAGACGCTGATACGCGGGTGCGACAGCAGGAACGTGAGCGTCTTGATGTCCTTTTTCTTGGGACGCGGGCGGTGCAGCACCGACGCACGCTTGCTGTCTCCGGATCCACGGCCCATCGTGTCGTCACCAGACTCGATCGATCGAACTGTGTGTGGGGTCTTGACGCTGGAGCGGGGGCTCTCGCCCGTGGTGTTTGATGTAGTGGACGCGGCCGAGAGGACGGTTGCACGGCGCGTTTGTCCCGAGACACTGCGGGCCTGCTGGGGGCTGCGGCTGATGCTGTTGTTGTCGATGGATGGACGCTGTGGGGAGCTGTCGCTGGCGATGGATGGAGCAGTGTTGATGGTGGGACTCGCAAGAGGCGACGATACGATGCGGCGGGCTGCAGCGGCAGCAACCGCTCCCGTTGCCGCCGCCGCCGCCACCGCCGTAGCTGCAGCTGCTGGGGTGTTTGCTCCGAGGCTGGCGGGGCGAACGCTGGCCGCGTCGACAGGCTGGGTGGTGGCGGCGTTGGCGCTCGGGCCTCGTGCCCTAATACCCGTGACTTGTTGATCCTCAGGCACTTTGGCTTTTGCGTGAGCCGCGGCCGGCGCCGTCGAGGTCAGCGGCGCAGGGCCGCGAGCCATCGGACCGGCCCCAACAGGATGCATGGGGGTCGACTGGGACGGCGGCGGCGCGATCGCAGAGCTAATCGCCGGCGACGAGTAAGGGAGCGCCTGGGGTGGAGGCGTCGGGGTCGTCTGTGGGATGTGAATGCGGGGACGCGTCGGCGCGGCAATGCTGCCCACGCTGGCGTTCGAATTGCCGTCCATGCTGCCGGTCGACGCGCTCGGCGGAATGGAAGAAGTCTTGGTGGACGGCGAAGGAACAGCAGGAGCCGTACCAGGGAGCGGGGCAGTTGCTTTGCTACTGGCGATAACCTGATAGGTGCCTCCACTGTTCGTAGGGCCAAGCTGTGCAGGGGCGGCGGTAGACGGGGCAACGTTTCCAAGGCGCCCAGTGTTGGACAAGGGTGCAGCTCGCGACGCAGGCGGGGCAACCGAGTGGGAAGGAGGGGCAGGAGCAGGTGGTTCACTCGACTCAGCTGTGGGAGACAGAATGGTCTCGGTGGTGGGAATAGCCCTGCTACCAACAGGACCCGAGGGCATGGCCAGAGGAGCACCGGCAGACAGCGGAGTCGTCAGTCCTTGCGCTTGGCGAGGGCCAAGAGGCGGCGCAGGACGAGGGCCTGTCGGGGACGAGAGTCCGTGTCCCGAAGTGGGATGAGGATACGAGGGCGCCGGAGGCATTGAGGGCGCCATTGCACCTGGAGGCATCATTTGCGGGGCACGGTCATCGGGTGTCCTGTTTGCGGTAGGCATGGCGAGGGGTGGGGACATGGGCTGGGGCATTGGTTGTGTCCTAGCAGGCGGGGACATGGGCTGGGGCGCTGGCTGCGTCCTAGCAGGCGGGGACATGGGCTGGGGCGCTGGCTGTGTCTGTGTCCTGGCAGGAGGAGACATGGGCTGGGGCACAGGCCGCGCCTGGGGAGGAGACATTGGCTGGGGCATTGTTTGTCCTCTTGTAGGTGGCGACATGGGCTGGGGCATGGACTGGACCATGGGCTGGGGCATCTGCTGGGGGGCCATCTGCTGATTCCTCGCGGGAGGGGACATGGCCTGGTTCTGCGGTGGCGGCGACATGTTGTTCTGCGGCGGCTGCGTTGGCCCACGACCGTTCGGCGGAGGGGTGTTCCTGTACTGCACCGACGTGGACCGCGCAGGCGGGGTCACCTGGGGCATGACGGATCCCGGGGCGAACGCACCCGGGGCATAGCCGCCGTTGGCCGACGGCGGTGCTGGGCGTTGGCCAAAGGACGGAGGAGGGGGAGCGCCACGAGTGTGGTTGTACCCGTGGCCTTGAGACGATGTGGGAGGAGTAGGGATCTCGCGCTGGTGCGGTTGCTGTTGAGGAGGGGCCGCGCCGTTAGGAAGGGATGCCTGGCGGGAGGGGCTCGCGAAGCGGCTCGCAATGGGCGCGCCCGATGACGACGAGGGAGGGGGAGGTGCGGCGTGCCCGTTGGAGCTTGGGGCGCGGTTTGACGACGCAATGATCTCGTATGCACTGCCGTTGGCACGATTCGGCTGGGCGTCTACACAACCAGTCAGCACAATTGATAAAGATGGGAGGGCGTGCTGCGCATGTGTGTATTGTTATCCAGATCCGCAGCAGATAACCATAACTTACTAGGAGGCGGCCTATTAAACTGTTGTTGTTGCTGCTGCTGCTGCTGCTGCTGCTGCGGCTGCGGACTCTGGCGCGGGGGACCATCGAGCAGTGGTGGGCGCGAATAGTGCTGAACGGGGTGCGAGATCTGGGGCATGCCGCCATCAAAGTACGCGCCCGTCGGCGAGAGGGGAGGCGACGCCATGGTTGGTACTGGAGCACTCCGTGGGGGACCAGCGAGCGCTGCGCTCACCGGCCCCTTGGTCGGAGGTTGGGGTGCGTACTGCTGCTGCTGCTGCTGTTGCGGCCGCATGGGTTGGTACTGCTGCGGCATGCCCATGCCCGGATGAGGCACACCGTTGGGCTGAACCTGTGGGCGACCGTATTGCGCTTGGGGCGCGCCGTTCGGAGGACCACCGCCGTTCGCCATCCCGTTCGGGTACTGAGGCTTGTTCTGGACTCGGAACGAGCTAGAGTGTGTCATGTTGCCGTTGGGCGAGGTGGGGCTCATCTGGCGCGGAGGCGCTGCTCCAGGAGGAAGCTGGTGAGGAGGAGGGGTAGGGGTCGAGGGCTTTGGTGGAGTTACGAGCGCGTTCTGAGCAGCAGAGGAAAAGTGGGTACCGGCAAGGAGACTGCTTCGCGAGCTGCTGGTCCCGGGCAGGCTCATGGTGTCGTTCATGAGCAACGTCGACATCCGGGGCAGCTGCGGGGCAGAGTCTGGGACAGTGGGTTGCGGGACAGGGGGTTGCTCCTTGTTGGACTGGGTGAGGCGACGGAAGAAGCCAGATGGCTTCTTTGTCACGGGCGCGCCGGTGCGTGGTGGTTCAGCCGTCGACATCATGGCGGAGAGCTTGTTACGGGCGCTCTTTGACCTCGAGAGTTTGCCGCTAAAGCTGTTGCTACGCGAAGGGATACGGGTTGCGGCGGGTGCACCGGCGTCTCCAACGTCGACGAGCTCCCACTCGGCGTCTTCCTTGGAAAGGCGAAGCTGTGTAAGGAGCGACAGCCGCGTGTCCTCGCCGTCAAAGAGCTTGGTGGGTGCGGGGACGCTGTTACGCTTGAACGCCGACGGCGGGCTTCGCGGGGACGATGGGTGGTGTGCGCTGTGTGCGTGTGCGGCAGCGATACGCAAGGGGTTGTTGGGGGAAGATGGGCCGGATTGAGTGGGAGTGTCAAGAAACGACGACAGAGATTGCGCCGAAGTGGTGGTGGAGGATGTAGTGCGGTCGGACAGCAGGGGTGGACGGTCGAGGACGGACACGGGAGGCGAGGCAGGGCGTCGAACAGGCGCCAAGACGTCGAAAACCATGTGCAGAGACGCGGGGGGCCAAGTCGCGAGGATGGGCAGGGGGACGGCGTCGAGCGGCGGCGGCGAGGGTGATAATATGAGAGAGAAGCAAGAGAGCGAGACGCGAGGGCGGTGGGCGGGCACGTGTAGGAGGAGGGGTCGTGCAGGTCGTGACGCGAGTGCGGAGATGGATGTGTATGTGTATGTGCGTGTGTGGAGAATGGTATACACCAAGAGATGCTGTGTGAGCTGTGTGGCCTTTGGGATGCAGATCCAGGACGAGGGGACAAGACGTCTGACACGGGGGGTGGGACGCGAGCGACAAACGTACCAGGACACACAAAAAGGTGGGGCTTGCGGCTAGGCGGGTGCGGCGTCAAGGTCGGGACAGAGAGAGAGAGAGAGCGGCCTGTGCGCACGGCTGCTGCTCGATGCTGCTGGGGGGAGAGGGAGGAGCGCTGGAGCCTAAGGGGCCAAGAAAAAAAAGAGACGCAGATGGCGGCGGCGGCGGCCAAAAGGTGCACAAGAGAGGGGACGATGGCGCACAGGGCTGGGCGTTTGAAGTGTGCGTGTGGGTGGCCTGGGTGGGTGGATGGGATGGGCTTTCTCCCGGGGTACGGCCGCCGTGTGAGGACCCCCCTTTGTCGCAGCTTTACTGATGAGACTGGCGCGCTCAAAAGCTCAAACTCCACTCAAATGCGGGACACTGGTACACTGGCCGGACACACGGGGGGTAACACACGGGGAGAGAGGCAGAGGGTGTGTGGGTGGGTGTGGGTGCTGGCTGTGGATGGGTGGGTGGGGTGACAGAGGGACAATGTTGGCGGAACGGGGGAATCGAGGGGGGAGAGGGGAGGATGGAGGGAAAGGGTGTAGGTGATCGGGGTGAGTAAGAGCAAAGAGAGTGTGTGGTGTGTGGTGAGTGTTGTGGAGAGGATGGTTTGTCGTTGTACGCATGCGCGCGCCAGCAACACGAGAGAGAGCCCTCGTTTCCTCGTTTCCTCGTTTCCATCGTGTCCCCCTTTCACCGCGCGCACGGCATCCAGGGCACCCAAAACCCAAGGAACATTGCTGCTGCTGCTCTGTCTGCAGGCTGCACTCCTTTGTGCACCCACGTACGTCCACCTGCCTGTCTTTGTTTCCCCGTTTTGCAGTCTCCTTGTTCTTCTGCCTGTTCATCGTCTCCCATCCACCCATCACATGTTGACACTGTTGTTGTTGACAAAGTTTGGACACGACACAACGCTGCTGCTGCTGCTGCTGCCAATGTGCGCACATTTGGCAACACACATGCCTGGCCGCCGGGTCTCCTCGACGGCGCGGCCAGGCTTTCATGTCTTTTTTTCCCTGCGGGTGCCCAGGGCGTGTGCCGTGCGTCTCGTGTGGGTTTTTCCGGGGCCAGAGTGGGTGGGTGTAAAACGGGGGCTCATATCTCGGGTGGCACTCTGCCTCACCCTCGGCCGTCAAGGATCAAGGATGGATGTGGGACTGGGACCTCGTTGCTGCAACCAGGTCTCGTCCCTGCAATTCCTGCAATTCCTGCATCTGCTTCTCCATGCGTTGCAGATGCTTAGAGAATTAGAGGACTGGAGAGGGAAAACGCTCAAACGAGGGGGAAACGGGGCAACTCGCCCTTTTCCCCTCCCAGCACACGCCAGCCAGAGCTTAAAATGCGTGTTTGGCTCCAGATCGTCAGTGCCTCTCGGTGGCTCTCTGCCCTGCACCCGCGCTCAATCACACACGCCACACTGCACGCACATGTCTCGCATCATGCCCAGCTGTACGCGCTGTCGTCGTGGCTCTTCCTTGGTACACGAAAACGCAGCTGCAGCATGGCCTGCTCCTGTCAACTCGTTCGGACCCAAATGACCCCGCCGGAGAGCCCTAGTGACGCGCCGCCGTAAACAATGACGAGGCAAACTCGATGGAGCACGCACGCCAACACATTGGCCCCGGGGAGCGATTGCGGTGCACGGCACGGCAACGGCATCGGCACGCAGCGACAGACGAAATGGTGGACGCTATAGGGCTCCTCGCGACGTTTGTGTACCCATCTCCCAATGGCCAATGGCCAAATATAGACAGACTCCTGCAGTCTGGATTCTGCTACCTCGTCACTGGCGCGTCACTATAATCGTCATTGGAGCCATACAGGCAGAGCCCTTGACTGAGTGTCAGTGTCTGTTCCATACCTCTACGGCCGTAGACCGCAGAGGCGCAGAGGCGGCAGCTGGCCAGCTGGCAGGGACGCGCAGGAGAATCGTCAGTAGCGGCACCCAAAACGCTAACCGTTTGTGATGATTGTTATTACCATGTTTGTGTTTCGCTACGATGACAGCCCTGCTGGCCCGAGTCCACCACTCCGGCCACTCCACCACTCCACCACTCCACCACCCCCGCCTATCCAAAACTCTTACTCTCCCTCAGCCCACTCGCCGCATGCACGCGCCTCAGCGCGGGGTTGTGCGCATTCTCTCTGCGGGGCCGCAACGTCTCCATGCGACGCTCAAACGCCTCGACCGTGCGGGCCATTACCTGGGTCGACAGGCCGACCACCTGGCCCGCGGCCGTGAGGACCAGCTCAAAGTCCTGCGGCAGCGTGCCGGTCACGTCGGCGGCGGCGTAGCTCCGGTAGCTCTCGCCCGGCATGAGTGGGAGGGCCTTGTTGCGCGTCGACGACGGGACGGGCGCGGCGAGCGTGATGGGCTGCACGGACGCGTGGAACGCCGTCCATGAGTTGAGCGGCGGGTCGCGCGCTGGAATGTCCGGCGCGGGCGGGAGGGGGAACAAGTTGCCGCCTGGGTGGCAGTTAGCGCGCACGTTTTGCTGGCAACTGCTTACCTGATCCGTGGTGTCTGTTCTTGAGCAAGACGTCCTCGCACCGGTCCAAGAAACGGTCAATGTCGGCGGGTTCCATGAGGTCGAACCGCTGCGGTCCCAACTCTTGTTGAGACCCGGTCAACTCGCCAGACTTGACACGCCTCTCAAGCTCGTCCAGCCACGGGGTAGGCTGCGGCAGGCCAATGAGCGGGTCCGTCCGGAGCAGCGCGAGCCGGTCGACGCCGTCCAGCCCATACGCGAGTTTCATGACAATGACAAAGGCCGCAGCGACGCTCTGTTCAGGCATAAAGTTGTCGTACATCCGCGCAGGCTTGACACCCAGCTCGTCGGTCGTCTCGCCCATAGAGGAGCGTCGTTTCTGCATCACGAGCTGGGTCTCGGGGTTGAGGAACATGTTGGCGTCGATGAGCTCGAGGAAGGCGACCACTTGGGAATACGTGATGGCTGAATGGGTCAGCCAGATGTCGGAGGAGTGCGGAACCCACCATTACCGCCCAGCTGGGACACGACGTGCCACGCCACTGGCGGCAGGTTGATCTCTGGGATCACCTGGCCAAACGTCGTGAGGAAACGCCCAAACCTGCGTGTTGATTCAAACAGGTACTCGGAAACGGGGGACCGTTGGGGACGCAACGAGGAATTAACGGCGCGGTTCATGCGCTTGGCCATTTCGGCTGGGACGAGCGTGGTCTGGGAAAAGTCGATGTAAGGAATCTGGTTTGTGTTGACCAGTCTGATTGGGTTCAGCAGCGTCGTGGTACCTGTACCCACCGTTCAATGAGCGCATATGTAAACGGTACGCGCAGCACCCAGAGCGCAGTGATGAGCGTCACGAGCGTGTCTGACGCTTTCAACTGCCGTTTACGTGGTTTCCATGAATCAGACGCCTCTCCTTGTCCAGACTCTTCCTCGTCGTCCGTGACCTCGGATAACTCAGCCTCGAGGTCAGCGTCCTCGCCACTCTTGTCGCCGTCGTCGCCGTGGTTGGACGTCTCCGTGTCGGATCCAGACCCCGACCGCGACCCCGACCGCGACCCCGACCGCGACCCCGGCCGCGACTTGGAGCCGTCCTTGCGTGTTTTTGCCTTGTACTGTTGCTCAATAAACGCTCCCGAAGGTCCAGACGGCCCGGCTTCTGGGACAGGCGTGCCCGGCCGACTTTCCTCGTCGGGCGTTGGGACGGGGGTGATGAGGAGCTGGTATGTCCACAGATCACGCACCACGAGCTGCGTTGGTCAGTATCCCTCAGGCTACACTACCAACCTCAAGAGCATCTGGCAGAGACCACAGCTTCTTCAGCGCAGCCACCTGGTGACGAAGCATGAGCTGCAGCCCTTGCAGGCGTAGATATTCGGCCGCTTCTCCATGTATATCTGAGAGTCAGACCAGTTGTCATGCAACACGACCACTCACAGTCTTTATTCGCCTGTCCTTCAGTCTTCCTCTTATTCACGCGGTCACCCTTGAGCATGCGACGTTTCTGCATCGCATGGCCCGTGGGTTCCATGACGAGGTTCTCGGACCGAACTCCCTAAGTGCAGTGGTCAGCGGTCTGGAGCGTGTACCTTCAACTGGACGCACGGCAAGGACGTGGCCCTCCTCGCAGATGACGCTTCCTGTGACACCATCCTTGCGCCACTTGCGTGACCCACAGGTGGGACACTTTTTGGCCATGGACGCGCGCGACGATGGAGAGGGATATGGATATGAAGGTGAGCAAGGCAGTTATGAAGCTTGATTGCAGCATGAACCTCCACTTTCTGAATTCTGGCGCTCCGTCTCCAAACCACGTGGTCGGCGGCCAGGCGGCCAGGCGGTCGCGACGGGATCAAAAAGTTTGCCGCTCAGAGGTGTTCAGATTTGGGATTATGGACGAAAGGATGCCAGTACGACCATCCGTTGTTGCTTCTCCTCGACAGCGACACCAACCCCCACCACCACACCCACACCAAAACCCAAAATGGCCAAGATTAAGAGGCGCGGAGAGTCCGGCGCGGCCAAGAACTACACCACGCGTAACCAGGCGCTCAAGAAGCTCCAGGTCTCGCTCTCCGACTTCCGTCGTCTGTGTATCCTCAAGGGTGAGTCTTGGTCTTGAGAGCTGTGTGTTACAGGAGAAACAGTCAACTGACATTGCGTGAAAGGCATCTACCCCCGTGAGCCTCTTCACAAGAAGCGTGCCAACAAGGGCTCGTCCGCCCCGGCCTCGTTCTACTACCACAAGGACATCCAGTACCTCCTCCACGAGCCTCTTCTGCAAAAGTTCCGTGAGCACAAGGCCTTTGCCAAGAAGCTCGCGCGCGCCGTCGGCCGTCAGGAGTGGGGTCTGGCCAAGAACCTCGAGGACAGCAAGCCCGTCACCCGCCTCGACCACATTGTCAAGGAGCGCTACCCGACCTTTACCCTCGCTCTCCAGGACCTTGCCGACCCCCTCAACCTCGTCCACCTCTTCTCGACTCTTCCCACCAACCCCATCCCAGGCAAGACCCTCGTCCCCACCGAGGTCATTGCCGAGTGTGGTCGCCTGATCAACGAGTGGAAGGTCTGGGCCATCCGTACCCACTCGCTCCGCAAGGTGTTCCTCGGCATCAAGGGTGTCTACTACGAGGCCGAGGTTCCCGGCCACGGCGGCGACCTCATTAAGGTCCGCTGGCTCGAGGGCTACGAGTTCCAGCAGCACGTCCCCACCGACGTCGACTTCCGTATCCTGCTCACCTTCCTCGAGCTTTACCGCACCATGATCTCGTTTGTCCTCTACAAGCTCTACACCGAGGAGAACCTCGTCTACCCCCCTCCCCTCGACGTAGAGCAGGATGGCCGTGGTGAGACTGTCGGTGCCTTCCGTCTCGTCGAGAACAAGGCCACCGGTGCCTCTGCCGAGACTGGTGTCTCGAAGAAGGCCGTCAAGCGCGCCATTGCCGGTATCGCCGCTTCGGGCGCCGCTACCGTCGAGGACGAGGAGGACGTCGACATGGAGGACAGCGCCGACGCCGACGAGGACTTTGTCGAGCGCCCATCCAAGGCTGCCGACGAGGACGTTGCCGGCTCGGCCCCCTTGCCGACGTACACCTCGCTCCTCGCTTCGGGCCCCTCGTCGTCCAAGCAGGCCCTTCTCTTCTCCCCTTACACCTTTTACCTGTCGCGCGAGACCTCGTCGCGCACCTGGGAGTTTGTCATCCGTGCGCTTGGCGGCAAGGTCGTCACCTCGCTCGCTGCGCCCACTCCCGGCAGCGGCCCTCACGCCGACACCATCACCCACGTCCTCATCGACCGTCCCATGACCGACGAGAGGAGGCGCGAGATGGAGGCCGGCAGGAAATGGACCTGGGTCCAGCCCCAGTGGGTCGCCGACTGTGTCAACCAGCGCAAGGTCCTCGGTACCGGCGAGTACGCCCCCGGCCAGCTCCTGCCCCCGCACCTGAGCCCCTGGGACGGCGAGGGTGAGGTCGAGCGCCCGTGGCTCGGCATCGACGGCGAACCCGCCGTCGTCGAGGAGGAAGAGGACGAGGACGTCGAGGTCGACGCCGAGGTTGCGTCCGAGGACGAGGACGAGGAGGACGAGGACGAGGACAAGGAGAACGCCCCCGAGCCCGCCGCGTTCCCGCCCGCCCTCCTCGCCGCCGCCCAGAAGCCCGCCGACAAGGCGTTGCTGCACGCCGCCGAGCTCGAGGCCGAGGCCAACGGCACGTCGCACACGGCCTTCCGCGCCCAGCTCAAGGAGGCCACCAAGGCCCACGGCAAGGCCGCCACCAAGGCCAAGGCCACTGCCAAGGCCACCGGCAAGGCCGACGAGGACCTGCGCAAGATCATGATGTCCAACAAGAAGGCCAAGCTGTACGAGAAGATGAAGTACGGAAACGCCGAGCGCCAGGCCGAAAAAGAAAAGCTCGAGTCGCGCAGGAAGGAGATTGAGAAGATGGCCCGCAAGGCTGCTCGTTCCGGCAAGAAGTGATCGCGCGCGACCGCGCTGTGCGTTGACGGAACGGCTCTCGATTCTTTTTGTGCTTTGTTAGAGATAGATAGGACGGCCATGGAGGGGGACTCTTACGTTTTCCATATGTGCAAGGTGTTTGGCTGTACACCGGTTCATGCATTCTGTATACCATCTTCACAGCAAGATCATACATTCGCACCTATTAACAAACCAACTACACTACTGCGCAACCCTCGTCCTCTCCTCGTCTTCGTCCTCGTCCTCGCCCCGCCTAGTCGTCCTGGCTGTACTCGATCGGCTTGCCCTCCATGTCATGCTGGAACGCATTGAGCCGGTCGAGCATCGGCCACAGGCTCTGGGGCACGCCGGCCTTGAACCCCGGGTCGGCGGTATACCCCAGCCCGTGCTGGAGCAAGTTGCGCGCGCGCGACGTGTCGCCGGCAGGCGGCGACCCGTAGCACCCATGCAAGGTACGCCGCTTGACTGCCAAGTTGTATTTCCCCACATGGAGAATGTTGTTGTTGTAAAAGACGCCCTGGCCCTTCTTGAGCGACAGCGTCTGCATGCCGGGCATGTCGCCCCACCCGCCCTCGAGGTTTGCCTTGCGCTCCTCGGACGTGCGCACGCGGTTGTGCGAGCGGGGCACGGCCGTCAGGCACTCGTCATCGTACAGCGCAACGTTCCACTGGATCGTGTGGTGCTTGATCTTGAGCGCCTCGGTCTCCTCCTCGGCCGTGGCTGTGGCCTTGACGTCGTCGCGGTGCCACGAGAGCGCATAGTCGCGCTCGGTGGGGTTGACGAGGAGGTTGAAGAGCTCTGCAAAGGGGGGAGCGGTCAGCGGGAACAATTCCGAGTAGGTAGGAAGAAGGGGTGAGAGCTCACCAAACTGCATGTCGTTGCGAGTGACACCCATGAGCGCGGCGGAAACGTCGAGCAGGTCGTCCGAGCCGTACCACTCGGCAAACACCGACTCGTCGAGCTCGGGGTTCATCAGGCTTTGGACACCCCAAACACCCGCCTTACGGTCTTCTTGCGACCTGGAGAGTTAGCGCAAGAAGATGTAGATGGAGACGCTACGATGAAGCGAGTGGAGAGCAGCTCGACGTTCCAAGCGCATAGCTAGCCCACTATCGCTCACCACCAGCCGCTTTGCAGCTCCACGTCTCGACCCAGCTCAAAACTTACCATGGGGGGAACTGCTTGCCGACGATACGGATGTCGTCCCACTCGCCCTGCTGGGCCTTGGCCGTGACGTTGTCGGCAGCGACACAGAGAGGCTCATAGAGGTTGTCGGGAATGAGGCCGTCGATAATGACGTATCCGTCCGTCTTGTACTTGTTGACAATCTCGTCAAGCTGGGAGGGAGTGAAGGGCATGGTGCGCAAAGTCGTTTACAGAGTCGCAGTTGAGAACGTGGGTGAGGTGTGTGGGGTGGTGTGAGCCAGCAACCCGACGCGTTGGAGGTGGGTATAATATACGCATCGAGATGACGGGAAAGCCAAGCTTCCGACGATACCGATCGGCGTTCTTGCCGGAAAACGCATCAGGACGTGTGGGTCTCCGCGCTTTTGCTGACATTCCCCCGCACACCCGCACGCCAGAAACCTCCCATTAGCGTGTCCACGGCGTCTCTCGCTGCTCGCTGCCCACTGCGCTTAGCGCGCACGGGGGTGGAGACCGCGCTTGCGCCGTCGGTGGTGCATGGACGCTTCGGATGATAGCGCAGAGACGATGACACTGTCCAAAGCTACGGCCAACCCCGAAGCTACTGGAGTAGTTTGCTTCCTAATGGAATTCCCGGAATGCTGTTGGCCTGAAGGCACAAGACCTGTTGCACTGTTGGACGCGTTTTTCGCCGTCTATGCCGAGGCCGCCGCAGTTGTCGTCGCCAAAACCGCCCGTGTGACCACATGAACCGTTGTGCGGGCGATTATTGAAGGGCAGAGCGCCGCTACGGACGGTTTCATGGAGGTTTGATGGGGCGGTTCGGGAGGTTTATGGTGGTGTGACAGGGGATGGGGGTTGTGTTGGTGATCATGCCTTTGTTCTCTGTGGTATATCGCGATATCGATTAGATGGTTGGAGACACCTTGCTTGGGTCCATGGCCACATCATGACAGGCTTGCCACCTCAAGAGTCCCCACGTCCCCACATCGATAATCACGCGGCTGTCCACCCGGCACAATGTATTGATCCGGGCGGAAGCGCGGACCTTTGGCAAGCCGAGCTCCTTCCTCCATGCCAGTACACACGTTCACCAACTCACTTCATCATCGCCGTGCACTAACCATGCCCTCCAACTCGCTCGAGCTGCTCCGCTCTCGCCTCGATGTGGACATCGACCAGCTTGACCCGGTCCTGGCGGCCAAGCTCGGCCCGTTTGTCAACATGAGTGGGTCATATCATACTGTGTAGGCTGACAAACCTCAGCAAGCAACCAGGCGCTCGTGCTGGGTGTTGCTACTCAGCCAGGCAATGAACAGTTTGTGCGGGATGTGGTCGCGCGGGCCAAGAAGGAGAGCAAGAACGAGGCCGAGGGCGTCGACCTGGCACTGGACCTCATCGTAAGCTGCCCGTAACCCAGTAGCAGCTGACACCCACCCAGGCTGTCCTCCTCGCCAAACCCGTCCTCCAGCACATCACCTCCTTCCTCCATTTCCAGGTCTCGCCGCGCTACTCGTCTTCGGCCAGCAAAACTGCCGCGCACGCCCGGCGCATCGTCGCCCTGGCAGAGGCAGAGGGCATCCCCCGTTCCCGCGTCTGCATCAAGATCCCAACCACCGGCCCGGGCATCCTCGCCGCTGCTCAACTCGAGTCTGAGGGCATCGCGACTCTCGCCACTGTGCTGTTCACTGTTGACCAGGCCGTGGCCGCACACCAGGCCAAGTGCCACTTCGTCGCGCCCTACTTCAACCCCCTCCACGTCCACTTTGACGGCGGGTGGGTGGAGTACGCCAACCCGGCCGTGGAACACCAGATGGGTCCCGTTGTCGGCGCCATTGTCGCAACGTTCAAGCAGCTGGGTGCCACGACGCATGTCATGCCCGCGAGCGTCGTCACCCCCGAAGAGGCCATTGCGCTGTCGACGCTGGGCGTCGACGACCTCACCCTCCCTCCCAAGGTACTCGAGGGCCTGGCGGCACGGCCCGTCACGCAGGCCGACCTCGATGCCGGTGTCAATGTCCCAAAGTCGGCTTCAACGACCGACTTTCCCGACTTTCTCGCCAACGACGGCGTGACACTCGATGCTTCCATCAAGTCTGACATTTCCGTCCAGGAGCGATTGGATTATGCTGTCAAGTGAGTTTCGGATGCGGCCTGGGCTGACGGGAACTAGCAAGTTTGGAGAGTGTGAGGCAAAGCTGCTCAAGATCGTCAAGACGATTTGGACCGAGGTGTAGATGGGTGGAGATGTCACTGTTATGTAGTTGTTCAGTCGTACCACGAGGCTGCGAGATGTAACAGGTGTTGCAGCAAAGAGAGGTCGAGCGAGGACATGGGTGAACATGGGTGTCAACCCCAAGTCTCACCGACGAACGCCAATAATTCCATGACGTAAGCAGTCTCGGCATCCTATCGGCGACCTGCCCAAGGATCCAAATGTCCACTCTGCCCACTCCTCCTCCTCCTCCTCTCTCCAACCGTTGGCATCGATGCACGGCCCAGCGTGATGGCTACCGATCCACCACATCACGGCTCGAGCCAGGACAGCGACGCAGGATCGTCTCCTCGGACTCCCTCCGCCGGACATCACCGCTCAAGCCGGGGCCATGAGGACACTCGATTGCAGCTGGTGTCGAACAAGCGTCGTCGGCGTGATGGCGACAACAGTACCAAGCCAAAGAGAGAACGATGTGCGAATGCCTGCAATCGCTGCAAGACAAAGAAGCTCAAGTGCTTGGTAGCAGAGGACGACAGCGCGTGAGTCGGGGACGCAGTGCCTGCATCTCTCTGGTCTAACGGTCAGATCTTGCTCCGCGTGTGCCAAGGCCAAGGCCCACTGCGTGTTCGACGAGGTGAACCAGAAGCAGGCAAAGTTACACAAGTGAGTTAGCCCCTCCAGCTGGTTCAACAGCTCACGCCTCAGTTACGTGCTTGCACTCGAGACCCGTGTGGCCACGTTGGAGAGGTCTCTTCATGATCTCGAGCCCTCACACCCAGCCCTCGCGGACCGCTTCAGCGAACCGACCACCGAGGCTGAGACGTCAACGCGCAAGCCCACACCCAACGCCCCGTGTATGCCTCTTCCTACCGCTGGCTCCAGCCGAGACACCGATACAGGCATGCGACGGATTGTGATGGGGTGAGTTGGAGTTCTCAACAATGTAGTCTAGTCACTGATCACTGTGCCAGAGCAATCCACCACGACCGTCCCCACTTTCGGCCTACAGATCTTGCAGCAATTATACAGCCTGGGTCCCCCACCACCCATACAGGAACTGTCAACGTAAACCCAAAGCTTCCGCCAGCGCCAGTTGCGAATGAGGTTCTGTCGGTGGTATACCGCCATGTGCAGTCCCGCTATCCGTTCTTGGAACGTGGTCGCCTTTTTGCGTGGCATGATAGGCGGGACGAAGTCTGCTTTACCTGGACAGAGCCGACAGGCTCGTCCTCGCGTACCGATGACCAGATTGGAGCCTTCTTCTTGTGGATGATATACGCCGTCGGTGTCGAGCTCGCGCCAGACCCGGCACTTGAGAGCGGAAAGACGTACCTCACTCGGGCGATGCGGTATCTCGAGCCGGTCCTCCGAGCAAACGACATTACGACTGTACGTGCAATGCTGCTTCTCCTCTTCTTCAGCTTTCGCTCCAGCGACGGTCCTCCTCTGTGGTCCCTCAGCGGGTTCGTCATGCGCCTCTGCCTTGAACTCTACCTGCACCGTGAAAACCATGCGCAGACTCCATTCGAAGCAGAGGACCGCAAACGGGTGTTCTGGTCGTCGTACAACTTTGATCGGCTCATTGCTCTGGCCAGCGGTCGACCATTCAGTATTGCCGACATTGACATTGAAATTGCAATCCCTGTCGACATTGACGTCGAGGACCGGGACCCGACGCGCATCGCTGTCCTACAAGTTGCCCAGCCAACAATGCCACCGCCGTACGCCGTCACGGGCGAGATGACCAACATGTCATCTGCGGTTCACACGATATGGCACTACCGCTTGCGCTCGCGAGTGTATGCGCTATACGCAGTCCGAGCCGAGCCACCATCTCCAGAACTGATCCGCACCCTTCTCAATGATCTTCAAGAATGGCGTACCGCTATCCCACACGCTACGTCACCCGACATGCCGGTGCAGCCAGAGGACAAGTTTGACATGATCTACTTTCAAACGGTGCTGTTCACCTTGCGGCAGCAGGTAATTCAGTGCGACGCGTCAGACCCACTGCTGGCGTTATGTGCCATGACGGCGGCCGAATCATGCGAGCGTGGAAGAAAGGTCCATCAAGATCCGAAGACAAAACGTACAATCTGTTCACTGTGTCACATCTTCGTTTCGGGCATGACGCTCCTGCATTGCCTGTCAGCCAACCCCAACGCCATTCCTACTCGCACCTCATCACGCGCACTTCGGGCATGCTCAGCGACGCTGGCCATATATGCCCATCTCTTTCCCGATGCCGGCCCGTTCGCTCAACTGTTTGAATACTTCTCCGACGAGGTCATGGACGGTGACGTGGGGTCGTTGGGAGGCGTGTGTGGTGATGGGAAAGGCACTGGAACCCTCACCGCAGAGATCATCAAGCAGGCCATGTTGGGAGAGTTTAGCCAGCTGGGCACGTAAGTTGGCCGGGAACTTCAACTACCGTCACGGCGCGTGCTAACGCACTCCCAGTGTGTACGAATCGCTCAACCGTCCAAGCCAGCAGGACGACCATGCCAGATCGCCATCTGTGCGTAAGCCTGCTGCCCCACTGTTCAACCTTCTCGCGCCGCTCCCACCGTCCGATGGCACACCGGCGCTGCCAGCTATTACACCCACACTGGACTTGTCCACTGCACTGCCCTCGACAACTACAGCCCTGCCGCAGCTCAACTACGACCTTGGCAACCTGAACAGATACGGCGGCGATCTGGTATCATTCCTCGACATTTCGCTTGACACGCCCATTGACGGCTGGCTGGGCAGCTGGGACCAGGCTGGCAACGTATAGCGATAAATGGCCATAAATTGGGAAGAATTATTCGTATCCGATGCTAATGACATGCTATGTATGTATCTGTATATTCCTCGGCTCATTGTCCATGTTGTGATGCTGGCACCTCCCCTTCTCTCTGCAGTCTTGATGCTGTTGGCTTGAGCGCAAGCCCGTCGGGACCTATGGCCGGAGGAGCGACGACCAGCGTGGCGTCATGTTCAGTCGCGGAATGAACAGAGTCAGTGTCCGCGATCTCCTGCACCCTCCCCTCGCCCTCTTCGTTGTCTTCTTTCTCGCTGCCACGCTCGACGTCCCCCTTTGTAGCCCTCTTCTCAGCCTCCAGCGCCGCCGAGTCTTTGCGAAACGGAATCTCCTTGATACCAAAGCTGGTAACGAAATAGAAACCGCTGACAGCCGTGAAGAATGCAAAGACGTAGCGCAGGGCATGGGCGTATGCGTCCCGGACTTGGATAATGAGTTCCGGGGACAGGGCGTCCAGACCCAGAGACGAGTTGACCAGTTCCGTCCGCTGGGTGGGTGTGAGAGCGCCAATTGTGGCCAGTTCTTGGATCACGCGCGATTGGTAGACCGCATTCGCGACTGTGTGTGTCAGCTACGGGACATGTGGTCCAGACGAGTAGATCTCGACTCTCACCAGCAAGGCCAAACGCGCCCCCGAGCGTACGGAAGAAGTTACGGCCTGCGGTGACAACCGCGCGGTCCTTGTCGGCGGTAGCAGCCAGTGCGGCAACGAGAGCTGCGAGGTCAGCTGGACAATGTAGAATACTACAACTCACTCGTTTGCAGGCTCCATCCAATACCAATGGCCTGAATCTCAAGCATACCCAGCACTTCGCCGATGCTCGTGGTACGCGTCCAGAGGAGCTGAAGCCCCAAGGCAAGGGTCCAGAGCGCAGCGCCTGCTATCTGCGTGGTACATTAGCAACGGCCCCAGCGAGAGATGTGTGTAGATGACACTCACCACGACTCTTTTGTAGTGGTTTGTTTTGGCAATGTAGAACCCTCCGCCGATACCCCAGAGCGCCTGAGGGAAGGTGTACACGAGGACAAATGCGCCTGCCACAAGCGCGTTGTACGACTTGACGTATTGCAGGAAGATGGGAATATAGAAGATGGTCTGAGGGGTCAGTATGCAGTGATACCCAAGGCCCGGCGTACCCCATAGTAATTGACGCCAATGGCAAACGATTGAGCCATGACAAAGGCACTCGTCCGAATGGTGAAGATTCGCACTGGTGCGTCAGCCCGCATTCCAGGCCAACGGCAAATCGCAGCTCACTTGGAAGGATCGGTAAACGGGTAAACTTGATCTCGTGCACCACGAACACGATGCCACACACAGCTCCAACTACCAATAGGGCAATGACAAGTGCGCTGTTCCATGCAAATGTCGATCCGCCGCCGGAGATGGGCACAAGGAGCAAAACGGTGGCGGCGGCGCTGAGGAAAATGCCGATGTAATCCACGCGTCGAATCTTCTCCTTGATGTCACCCGTCACGGGCTTGAGGGGCAGGATAAAGTGGTCCATGACGATAACGACAAGCCCGAGAATTGATACCAGCCTGGTCATGTTAGATACAGCTTTGCGGAGGGAGGGGACGTACCGGAACAGCCAGCGCCACTGGCCGATTGAAGCGAGACCTCCACCAACAAACGGTCCGATAGCGTTGCCTGTGGACGTCGCAGCCGAGATGAACCCTTGGTACTTGCCGCGATCCTTCAGTGGCACAAGGTCAGACACCTAGGTGTTTGTCAGCTACTGGAGGCCGTAATGAGACCCACGATGATCATTGCGAGGTTGTTGATGCCTCCGCCACCAATACCACTTATTGAACGGAAAGCATACAGCTGCACGGGTGTCTTGGCGAACGAGCAGAGGAGGTTTCCAAGACAGAGAAGTCCAACAGCTATCTGTAGCATGTTCTTGCGTCCAAATATGTCGGACATACGGCCATAGACAAGCTGGAAGGCGCAGCTGAGGCATGATGTTAGGTACGGATTCCGTTCAATCTCCTGCGCTGTACTTACTTTCCAACAAGGAACGATGTGCCGACCCAGGAGATGGTGGCGGAACCATTAAGTGATGTCCCTATCTCTGGTGCAGCCGTCGACACGGCAGTCTGGTCGATAAAACTGACAATGAGGGCAAGGCCTGAGTGTGTGAGCCTAATTGTTGAACAGGAGACGATAGATGTGAGGACTCACCGATGCCAAAGTAGATGACAAGCAGCCTCCGGAAAGGTAAGCGTGCTGCTTGATCTCGTAGCTCGATCTCCTTTTTGGCTGTCCTATCCTCAACCCTCGTGGTACTGGACGATGAGGATGGAAGATGGTCGCTTGACATCGTCGAAGAATTGACCGTGCAGCCGATGGCGCTTTTCTCGGCCTCTTTTCCGGCGACAACAGTAACGAGTGGGTGAGAAAGGGTTTGTATAAGAGCCAAGACATGTAATGTCAGTCCAATAGATGCCGGAAGTGGACGTGATTCAGCCACCACCCTGCTGGGTACTCACCCCTTGGTATCGCGATTCTGGTTGTGGAATGAGCAAAGCATAACGATGATGCACCCAACAGGGTTAAGAGTAAATCACCGACTGCCGGAAGGCTTTCCGGCGCACCCACCGCTCGGATGCTGCATCCGAGACGGAACACTCCCGGCGCCGGGACATGAATCCGAAGCCGGTCATCTCCGCGATGCGCCGCATGTGGGTACAAAATGTAAATAACCAAACCCGGCCCGGCGTCCTCCATCAGACTCGCCATGCTCGCTAGTCTGAAGTTGATGGACGTCTACATGGTCTGTATCATACGTCTTGTTCCAAACAGCGCCTGGCGCTTTCAACACTCAACACAACTCGCACGATGCCGACACCAGAGGAGGTGCTGAACACAGCGTCGCGCATCAACTTGAACATACCGGAGGCCCATGTGGACGACTATCTGCAGCTCCTCACCAAGACGGAAGAAGCTTGCGCGTTGGTGCTCGCTCAAGAAGGTATGTCTGTGCTGATAAAGCGGCAGACCCTTGCTTACAGCACTGCAGACTACAAGCCCAAGCCCGATGTCGCCCGCTTCCCTCGTACAAACATCCACCGACCCACTGGCAAGGACAACCCCCTCAATGGCTGGGCGTGGCGCGCCGATGCTGGCGATCCGGTGGACAGCTCTGGCAAGTTGCTGAGCGGCAAGAGGGTCGTGTTCAAAGACACCATCTGCATGGCTGAGGTGCCGTTGCTCTTTGGCACAGACGCGTTTGAGGGTTTCGTCCGTGAGTTCGACGGTTCTGCGACGCAGCGAGCTGAACTCCCCAGCCGACGTCGATGCCACGGTCGTTTCGCGAGTCCTCGAGAGCGGAGGTCACGTCCTTGGCAAGGCTGCCTGCGAGGTGGGCCAGATGAGCGACGACCGGAGTACTGGCTAATCTGTCCAGAACTTCTCCCATGGCGCTACTTCCTCTTCGTCACCTTATGGTCCTGTCGAGAACCCATACACCCAGGGATTCTCTACCGGTGGCTCCTCCTCCGGCTGCGGTGCACTGATTGCCTCTGGTGCCGCCGACATGGGCATGGGAGGTGACCAAGGTGGCTCTGTTCGAATTGTAAGGGATTCTGGAGGTTACCACGTCTGCTTACATCGTCAGCCAGCCAGCCACTGCGGTATCGTTGGACTCAAGCCGACCTTTGGTCTTGTGCCGTACACTGGTATTCTCTCCTCCGAGTCCATGATCGACCATGTCGGCCCAATGGCAACTACTGTCCTCGACACTGCACGCCTGCTCCAGGCTGTGGCCGGAGACGACGACATTGATGACCGCAGTGCGGGCGCACCCAAGCCTGCCGACGTGCCCGACTATGTCAGCGCTGTGCTTGCTGGTCGTGAGAAGGGTGTCAAGGGCATGAAGATCGGGATCCTCAAAGAGCCGTTTGACTCGCCTCACATTGTCCCTGGTGTCACCATGGCCGTCAAGGACGCAGCAGAGCGTCTGCGCGCGTTGGGCGCGGAGGTGGAGGAGGTGTCTCTTCCTATGTCAGTGGTGAAAATCCAGCCGTGCTCACACCACCCAGTATGTCTGTAGTGCCCGCTATCTCTCATGTTCTGAACAAGCTCGGATCTGCCGGTACTCGCCAAGGACGCCAGGTCGGCCGCCGTGGCCTCTATCTCAACGACTACTGGGACCAGCTCTTGCCCTGGACACAGGCCAAGTACGACAAGGCAAAGTACTTTGTGACTGGAACTGCCATGTCTAGCGAGTATGCGTGGGGCAAGTATCCCGTGGCGTATGGACGGGCCATGAACCTCGCTCGCAAACTACGCGACGACTTGAACACTACCCTCGCCCAGTTCGACGTCCTGATCATGCCCACTGTACCCCACCCTGCCAGGCGTCACATTGTGTGGGAGTCGGGCCCAGCGCAGTGGAATGCCAACGCCGGTAGGTTCCTCGCTTCGCCTCTTACCTCTGTACTGATATCCAGGTCCCGTGGCCGCCTTCACCTCGGCTTTTAACCTCAGTGGACACCCATCGCTTACTGTGCCCGTGGGCTTTGTTGAGCCAATGGCTATTGACTGCAAGTGTCCCACCGTCTCTGAGATTCGCCTGCCTGTTGGACTCATGGTCGTGGGCAAGTGGTGGGATGAGAGTACTGTTCTATGCGTCGGTGACGCTGTTGAACGCAGTGCCGACTGGAAGGAACTTCACTTTTAATGCGACTGGGTGAATTGGTGAACGATGCATAGTACACTTAGCCAGCCTCTGGGTCTGGTGAGGCCGCTGTGTTACAACAAGACGTACATCTACTGAGCAGGACAGTTCCTCACCTCTGCCCAGTCCAAGAACAGCTCCCTCTCAGCAAAGTACCACAGTCCATCAGCCTCCTTGACGAAGACGTCATGGTAGCGGAGACTAGCGACCATTATCTTCCTGGCGTCGTTTTCGGTGTATAGGTGGTGTGCGAGGGTATACGACTCGCCTGTGGCCTTCTTGTGTGTGGCGTCCGTGAAGGCCACAGTCGACTGGCCGTTAAAGTGCGTCGTGGCCGAGTATTTGTTCAGGTCTGCAAAGACGGGAGCGAGCGCCTCACGCGAAGTCAGGACGTAAGAGGCCGCGCTGCCCTCGCCGGACATGTAGACGGAAAACTTGGTGTCCGAGGTGAAGAGAGATTGTTGTCCAGCGGCATCACGGCGGTCTGCACAGCGCGCGTACTCGTCAAAGAGCTCGCGGATGGCGAGGCGGTCGGCTGCCTCCTCGGTGGAGACGGCGGTGTGGGCAACGCGAGGCATGGCAAAGGGGAGGTGTTGGGTGGGGTGTTACAGTGTTGTACGCGAAATGCTTGGAGTTGGTCGTTTCGTGAGGTGTGTTGTCGCTTCTGTGAGAAGAACGGTCAAGAGCAAGTACGTGTTGTCGTTTAACTAGCCGTTGCTGCCCGGCGGGCACCACAACCAAGCAGCAGTCACTTTACCGACCTGACGTCATTGTCCATCTCCAAGTCATTTGGTCACGGAATATCTCCTCACTGCCGACGGCCACGCAGTCGAGACGTTGGGTTGGCGAGCAAGGCCGGAGGCCAACACTGAAATGAGGCAAGTGGTAGAGGTGATGGCCGAGGGCCACTTGTTGATGGCCATCTGCATCAAACAGCACTCATGGACCAATTCTCGGCCGTCAAGTCTGTTGGGGAACGCTGCATTTTACGAGGCTGTTCATTTAGATTTCAATTTAGCTACCACGCTTTCGCACTGTCACCCAACCTTGTCGGCAACTTCTCGGTCATTTGAACTGAAATGGACTGTTTCACACTGATCACTCCCCACTGGCCACTGGGCGCTGTCCACCACTGCAGGCCTTACTGATTAGCCTTGACTCCTGGGTAAGGCTTTTCCCAGGACTCCAGGTTACGCAGATAATGCTCAGAAGTCGGGGCCGGAAGAGTCTTAGGAGGAAAGATGCCTTAGGTTGACAAGTTCAGCAGGGCACTGTCTCCAGGATCTGAGGGCCCGGAGGGGAGGGGGTAAGGACTCACCAACATTCATGAACATGAAGTCGGCCATCCTGCTCATCACGGCATACAACGGCCTTCCCGAATAAGTCAGATGTACCAGTACAGTCTATTATGCACTCACGAGCCGCAAGTGTCGCAGAAGTACCTCGTTACCTCATGGCCCGAGTCGGCCTTGTTGGTGTAAGCCTTGGGCGACCCCTTGATTTGGACGTCCTTCTTGGGTGACGACAGTTCCATACCGGCGCTGTTGGTCAGTCTTGATGGCGGCATGGATTGGTCCTTACACTGCGCCAGTGCTTGCCCGACAGTCTGTACAGTCTGCATACCTGTCAGTCTCAACAGTCCCGTAGATACTCACGACAGACGCCCACTCCACGGGCTAGCATGGCCGTGGCGTCCGGGATTGTCAGAGTGACCGCTTTGCAGCGGCAGTGGCCGGTCATGGAAGTCATGGTGGTAGGTTGAGTTCAAGAGGCAAGGCGCGAGTTGGTTGAGCGTCCCGAGCAGGTCAGTCCATCAGTCTCTACTCTGTTTAAATGTTGCGCAACGAGTTGACTCAACCTCGCTCAGCCTGTAACTCTAATCCGCACTTCCTGTCGCATCACGTGTTACATCGGCACCGCCCGCTTCCGACAAAACATTATGCCGTCACCGATCCATTGTACATCCTTGCCTTTTGCTTTCCCCTACGACGGCTACTACTGCTGCTTTTCATAGAGCTCAACTCCGGGGAACGGCCTCTCCCAGCTCTCAGCACTGCGCATCCACAACTCCATGGTCGGTTGTGGGAGAGACTTGGGTGGGAAAATACCTGATATCCGTTAGTAATCAGCTCCCGGACCAGGCACGACACACTCACCACCGTGGATAAAGTACTTGCCCTTGGTCGCTCCCTCGTCGAACAAGGACCTGAATCGTCAATATGGAGAGCAGGTGGGAAGTCATGTAACGCACGAGCCGCAGTTGGCGCAGAAGTTGCGCACGACCGTGTTGCCAGACTCGGCCGTTACCGAGAACTGCTTGGGGGTTCCCGAGATTTCGGCGTCGGCGTGCGGGACCTGGACCAAATATCCCGCCCTGGTGGGGGTCAGCGTTGTGGATCTCCACGTCAGCCTCGAGACTCACGGAGCGCCCGTGAACTGGCGGCAGTCGGTGCAGTCTGAGGTTTGTCAACGGGGGTTCGAGGTTGAGCTGAGGGGTTTTGGGACTCACGGCAAATCTCGACCCCGGCTTTGTCGGCTGCCGAGCGATCCTTGACCGTAATCGTAATCTGCTTGCAGAGACAGCTGCCTTGAATCTGGGGCATGATGACGGTGCCTTTGGTGAGAGATGTATGCTAGAGGGCCTGTGGGCAACAGGAGGAAGAGCATCTCTTAAGTCTGCATAAGCTTCAAAAGCAGTTGGTGCGCGGGATGGATGGCTGACTCAACCATGATTAAGCAAGTCAGGGAGTCGATGCCACCAATGTTATCCGGGCCGTTGAGCACCTGACACTTGGCTGTACCATGGGACGCGCCTACAGCGGCCAACGGGGAGCACTGGCTCGCGACTGGTTTGGATCGCGGCACGTTGTTCGAGTAAAGTCACTTGACAACCATTGTATTCATCCGCAATCAGCCGGCGATCCATGCGGTCTGTCAACTCTTTAGTGCGATTGCGGCTGATCGCGCGGCTGACACGCCGCTACGCACACCAGCAAGCTCAGCTCACGTACATGTGGCATACATCAATTCTGAGATTCTGATAGCCTGGCATTCTAGCCGCTGGCCGTATACAACAACTTGAGGGAAACAGTTCCTGTAAACCAGCTTAGGTTCCCATCGATATACCTGTCGGCAGACGTTCGTGGTTGCGCTTGTCCTCCAGCTCTTTGGCATCGGAACCAAAGGAGTACGCCTGGTGAGTCCAGGGAGGGCTCCAAAGCGGGACAGTGGTTTCCGCAAGACGTTCCGATGCGGGGGGTCGTGGCAGGTCAAAGATGGGTTTGACGGTGTGTTCAGCGACATAGTTGACACGAGTCTCGGCAAGGTTATGACAGCTGGAAGAACGGCGCGAGTGCACGATCTCTTCGATTCCATCGAACGTTGGTGGCTTGAGCTCGCGTGCTTTCTCTTCCAGAAGGAACAGGTGGCCGTCCCCCAGAGGCCGGACGTATGGCTCACCCACGAGCCCTCGCCAGATCGCCCACCACGTCGTGTCGGCGTCATCACCCAGGAGACCGACGACAAGGAGCGAGGGGACCAAGCGAGCGAGACGATTGGCTATGATACGTTGTTCGTACAAGCCAAAAGTGTAGCTGCCGACTTGCAACAGCTGGAGTTTTGGCAGCTGCTTGAGGGGTTGTACGAGGGTGATGAAGTCGTCCGGATGCAGGTCGGCATATATCCTCCCGTCCAAGGGACGGTCGATAAAGAGTTCCTTGAGGTCGTTGCCGGGCTCGAGCATGGGGTCGAACATTCGTTCCCACTGCTTGATTGGGCCACAAATCATTAGGCTGAGTGGGGCAATCGTCCTGCCACGCAGAGGCTGGCGCATGGCCAATTGTTGCATGGCCTCAACCACGTCGATGGATTCCATCGTATCTTGGTCGGCATCTAGCACTAGAAGCGACAGGTTGGGAGCGTTTTGGAGGAACTTGTACGTCGAGACAAATGGTGAGGCGCAGTTGTATTCCCTCATGCCGCGTGGTGGTGGCGCACGCTGTCGCCACCCGAATGACTTGATCTGGTACGACCATGGTGGATGGAGGGCATTGAGGGGGCCATCTCGGTCGATGAGTTGTTGGAATAGGAGAGCCAGGGTCCCATCGTCACTTGCATCGGCAAAGAACGAAACGTGCTCGAGCATCGGCAGTGACTGGAAGAGGTGTAGCAATTGTTGTGCTTCGTCCCAGAAGTTGCGTCTATGCTTGTCATAGTCACCGCCGTCGCTGTCGAACATTGTGAGGTCAATGATCACGCTCCTGTACGCTGTCAGCTGGGAACATTTGGTGGCACCTCCGTCTCCAGGTGGTGCAGAACGAAAGGTAGGTGGTTCAGATACACCGGCGCCGGCTGGTGCCGGTCGGTGTTGCCACCCGGTCCGGTGGCCACAGCATGAACTGTGCGCCATCCCGCCAACCCAAGACATGCCCATAGACCACATTTACTCTGCTGAGTGTAGTGGGTGGCTCACAGCAGAGGAGCTTTTGCTATCTTGCGCAGCCTGGCCCACACACATCGCACTTACTTGACAAAGCCCGTCCAGTCGTATTCTGGCAGTTCATTGAGGACCTTGACCGAGTCGATTCGAATGCAATGGTACATGATTCTTCGCACTTCTTGCCTGATCTTCTTACACGTAAGACCCAGATTGACAAGACTGTTCAGATCCTCTTGGCGCTCCGCGTGCATATCCACAGTGGAGAAGATACCCCATGCTTCCTGTCAGCTCGGAGCGGGCTTGGGTTGGTTGGATGGACCTGTGGCGTGCGGAAGGGACTCACTCAGGCGGTCTTGCTGTGTGAGCTCTAGGGGATTGTAGATGCTGAGCGCAATAGAGCGCAGCACCTCTCCTGGGAGGTCGTGTATCGTCGCCATTGCGTTCCGTTTGCTTGAGGAGTGGGCAACACCAAACCACTGTTGGACAGCAACAATGCGATTGTGGCGTCTGTTCTCCGCGTACCCGAAGAGATCTCGTGACCCGCGCGGGCCGCGCAGCCTGTCACAATCCCCAGGCACGGGATAAATACATTACCATGACGTGTATTTCACTACATCACCACGCACACCTAATGCGTTATCACTCACCCACCGCGGCTTCGCTGAGTCTGCCAAGTGGCCCAACAACACCAGCATCAAGCAACACAACCTAATACACCTAAACCAACACAATGTCCGACTGGTGGACACAGCCCTCTACACCGGCCCGTGGGAGCGCCTTCACCCCCGCGAGGTCTGCGTCTTCCTCTCGCGCCCGCTTCATCAACGATGACGCCGACCCCTCCGCTGCCGACGCTCCAAAGTTTCTCCCAGCCTTCGCCGCCAGCCCAGCAGGCAAGCTCGTGATGGTACGTGCGCAAAGGTCGTGCAGGGTGCGGACAGACAGTTGCCTTCAGCTAGCCACCCTGCTGATGTAGTTGACTTCACATTTGCTGACGTTATTGCAGGGCACCTCCCCCGTCGCCGCCTCGTCTCCTCCCGCTCCCAAGCGTTCCCCGACTGCCCGGTTCTCCATCTCGGTGGCCGACAGCGCGTCCTCACCACGCAACTCTCTGGCCCGCTCGCGCCCCGCCGCCCCCCAGGTTGAAGAGGACATTATCCCCACTGCGAGCTTACTCGATGACGTGCCCATGCGCGCTTCCCCCGCCGGCGGCGACGCCGTGTCGAGCGAGCTCCTGTCCACGCCTCCGGCACTTGACGCCGGGCCCGACACCACGACACTGCACGTCTTTGGCCCGCCAGTCGAGCACCTCCCTGCCCTCCGCCCATACCTCGAGAACATTGGGCCCGTCGTCTCGTACAGCCCCGGACCGGACGGCAGCAACTGGTGGACCGTGCAGTACGCCAACCCCCTGGCGGCGAGCTATGCCCTCCGCCGCCACGGCGAGATTGTGAGCGGGAGGTGGATGCTGGGCTTCAAGGTCGCTGGACCCGGAAGCACCCAAGGTCTCACTCTTGTCAACGGTGTTGGATCCGCCGCGACTTCGTCGACAGCGGCCAACGGCGGCGGCGCGGGAACCCCCGTCCAGCTCATGAACGCCAACATTATCCGCTCAAAACCCAAGCCAGCAGTGGCCAAGGACGAGTACGCTTGGGAGGAGCCCGAGCAGCCCAACGGCATTATTGGCCGTGCCGCCGAGTTTATCGTGAGTTGGAGGATCCTGGTACACAGCTGACAACGTTCCAGTTCGGCCGCTAGGTTTCAATGGCATGTACGATAGACGACACACGATGCATATGGCTCTGCAGTCAAAGTGCAGGGCGAGAGGAAGAGGCACATGGTTGGGGGGATACACAGTCTTCATAGAGGGAGAAGGAGACGCGATAAGGGGGCGGGAGAGAGGGAGAAGGTAGTAGGTTTTCACTAGGTCAAGGTGTGTTTCATGGCATGGAGAGAGTGTTTGTTTGAGAACGTGAGCGTGGTCTTTAAGCTTCCGCAGAATCTTGAGTCGTTGCAGTTCTAGGCAGGTGTCAGCTGGTATCACTGCTGGGTGTTGAAACCCACAGGATCGTGTTAGAGCTTGTTAGAGCCATCGTCGGCCGTGACGGCCTCGCTGGTGGCGTGCGAGCGGTCAGAGAGCCTGCTCATGGACATGCTGTCCATCTTGCTACGGAGCTGCTCGTTGGGCGAGGGAGACTTGGGCGGCGTGCTCATTTTGAAGTTGGCAAGCGCCTTGGACTCGACACTCGACTTGCTGAAGTTTGGAACAAAGGGCTGCGACTGCGCGTTGAGACGCGTAACTCCAAACGATGACTGCGGGGTGATGGGCAGCTGCTGGTGCTTCTTGTGGATGTCGTCCATCCAGCTGGCTGAACCGTCGAGGAAAGGGTCAAAGGTGGAGACAGCAGGGCCGGAGCCACAGAGGGGACGAGCAGCTAAGACGCGGTTACCGAGCTTGAGACCATTGGCGGCAACAATGGACATGGCCGAGATGACGTTCTCAAACTGGATGAGGACCGACGAGTCGGCGAGCTTGACGACGCGGTGGATAGGGCCGAACATCTGGAAGATGGCACTGATAGACTCGGTGTCGGGGAAGAGGAACGGGTCCTGAAGGTCAGCTGAGGGGTCAGGGCGACGCAGCTACTTACCAAGTCCTCAACGAGTACGGAACACTCGGGGGTAGGTTCGGCGCGGCGAGAGACAGCAGGCGGGTGGACGACACGGTTGGGAAGGGTGCCTAGAGTCAGTTGCGGTGTGTGGCCTTCAAACTCACTGGTCGCCGAGGTCTTGGCCTCGCGCTGAACGAGCGCCCACGTGAGGTCGAGTTTGAAGCCACTGAGGGTCAGCTGGGCGTCATAGGACAATGTGTAGCTTACTCGATCCACTTGCCGTGCATCTGGTGCATGACCTCGATCGCCTCGCGGTGGCTCGCCATGAGGACGAAGCCGCGGCGGCGGCCCATACCGTCCAGCTGCGAAAGGAGGATGGAGTGCTCGACCTCACCGAAAGGGGTGAACAGCGCCTTGAACTCGACTCTAGATTGTCAGCAGGTCAGAGAGCTTGAGTTTGACATACTGAGCGAGGTCGAGAGGAAGGTTGAGAATGTAGAGGTTGCGGGGGAGTGACGCGGCAGGGTCAGTCTTGCCGTAGAGGGAAGGCGAGCCAAAGGCGGGCGAGGCGACCGCGGCGGTCCTCGAGAGCTGCGACATGATGTCCCACGTCGTGTGAGGAGGCGTCATGATGTTCTTGGGAACCACGGGCGCGGGAGTCACACGTGAAATGGTGCTTGGGATCAGTTATCTACCTGGGTGCGGCACTTACATTCCATTGGCAGCAAGCGCATCGCGGAGCGCGAGAAGGCTGGCCATTTCGGGCTCGCTGGCGACATAGACTTGAGCCCACTGGAAGAAGCCCTTGACCTGTGGGTGCATGGTGATGCCGCGAACGTTCACTCCTAATAAGTTAGTAAGGAAGGAGGACGGCGAGGGAAGTGAGGGTGCTCACCGCCCGTGCCGAGGAAGTCGCCCAGCGCCTCAGATGTGACTGCGGGGGTTAGCTGAGAATTGTCAGGCCGCCCCAGCTGTTAACTCACTGCTCTTGTTCAGACCATAGATGCGCACCTCCAAGAGGTTGGTTAGAGCGGGATCCATGGTGTACTTTGTATAGTGAGCAGAGATAGCTGTAGGTTGCACTGGCGAAGAAAGGCAGGCAGAGATGAGGAGTGGAGAGATCGGAGAGTTGGGGACTGGGTGATGGAAGGAGGGGGGCGATGACGAGGGATGTAAGTGGTTGAGTGGGAGAGAATGAGAGAAAGAGATGGGATGGGAGGAATGATATATGCGAAGTAGGTGAGAGGGAAGGGAAGAGAAGAGAAGGAAGATGGACGGCACGGGGAAGGTTGAGTGTATGAGCGTGTACCCAGCAGCTCGGGGTCCAAGCAGTGCCGCCGGTTCAGCTTGTTGTCGCACAGCGTACGCCAACAAGAGCACTTTCAGCCCCACTATGAGCCGCTGCTATACCCTTCGTTGAGGTAACACGATGTGACAGAGTGATGGAGAGATTGAAACAGAGTGTCTGGTCTGTGCTGGTCGTCAGCGCGTGGACAGCCTCCACCACTGCCGCCCTGGGTCGAAGATTGCCCACCACAGTTCCGTCTCATGCCAAAACGAGTCTAAGAACTTGCATTCGCTGTCACTTGGTCACTGTCAGTCGTCTCTGCTCATGCATGGTGCACCTCGTAGCTCCACGACGCTGTCTTCGCGTCCCCAGAGATCAATTACAAAGTCTCATTAGAAACTGGATGCTCGCTAATTACACCATTTACTTCCGCGTCCAATTCACTCCTCCCACTCCACCTCGCGTCACGTGAAATGGGATACGCCCTCGATCCATGACGCTGTCGCGTCGGGGCAGTTAGAATGATCCTTTGTGTTCCACTCCTCCACTCGACTTTGCTCATCCTCACTCACTACCCGTCAACATGAACCACGGGTACGACGACGACGACGGTACGTTTATCATCCCGACTCTGCGCCCCCATCACCTTTCTTGGCGAGCTTGCTTCATGACAAACAACCCCTCCTCGCAACAACAATGAAAGGGAAGGCGCTGACAACATTGACAGATATCGGGTACCCCGCTCCCATGGGCGGCGCTGGCCCCGGCGGCCTACTCGCCCAGTTGATGGGAGGCGGTCGTGGTGCTTGGGGTCGTCCTCCTCCCGCTTCGTACGTTTCTGTGTCTGTGTAAAGCTCACCCAAAGCTCCTATGACGACTACTTCAAGGCGTTCTCGGTGGCAACCATGGCCCATGGACACGAGCGCCCCCAGCTTATGTACGGTGGAAAGAGTAAGTCTGGGCCATCTCACCAAGAGGTTACAGTGGCTAATGCGCAGTTATCATGCCCCCATCGGCTCTGGCCAAGCTCAGTAGGTCCAAGTTACTCAGCATTCCGCGCCCTTGCTTACCTGTCAGCCAGTCTCGACATTGACGGCCCCTGGACCTTCCACCTTCGCAACCCCCGAAACCCCACTGTGAACCAGACGCATGCCGGTGTCCTCGAGTTCATCGCCGAGGAGGGCATTGTTCACCTTCCTGCCTGGGTATGTCTTCCTGCTGACATGAAGAAACGGGAGCAGGGTTGCTGACAACATCAGATGATGAAGACTCTCAACCTCAACGAGGGCGACCCCATTCGTCTCACTGGCGCGGTTCTTCCCAAGGGCAAGATGGTCAAGATCCAGGCCCAGTCTGTCGACTTTCTCCAAGTCACCGACCCCAAGGCAGTGTGGGTGCACATTTTGCTGTCCTCTCGCTGACCTCTTTCAGTCTCGAGTCTGCTCTCCGCGCGTACTCTGTCCTGAGCAAGGGCGACATTATCGAGATTACCTACAACTCTCTCACGTTCGAGTTCCTTATCGTCGAGACCAAACCCGAGGGTCCCGGCATCTCCATTATCGACACTGACCTCGAGGTCGACTTTGACACGCCAGTTGGCTACGTCGAGCCTGCTCGTCCGGCCCCTGCTCCCATCCCCACCATGGCTGACAAGCTCAAGATTGACCTCGGCGGTACCACTCTCGCGTCGGCCGACACCTCGCGCCCCGTCTCATCAATGTCCGTCAACACGCAGGGCTCGGGTGACCAGGCGCTGGAGAGCTTTACTGGTGTTGGCCAGAGCTTGAGTGGACGTCGCGTCAAGGGCAAGGGCTTGGCAAAGAAGATCGAAGAAGTGGACCCCACCAGCAAGATCAACCGCTTTACGTGAGTTTTGAAGAAGCGAGGAGTAAACTGACAGCCAGCGGTCCTCGCGTCATCACCAACGATGCCCTCCAGGGAGACCGCCAAGTGCCCTCGGCGCTCGTGCTGCCCGCCGGCAAGTTCTTCTTTGGCTACAAGTACATCCCCTTTGACGCTGGTGCCGACGCCGAGAAGAAGAAGGCCAAGGAGCCCACGGAGGCTGAGCCAGCTGCTTCGTTCCAAGGCCAGGGCAACTCACTCCGTCGTACGGGCCAGGCGTCTAGCTCTACCTCATCTCCAGCTCCCGCCGCGGCCGCCCCTGCTGCGTCCGAGGAGAAGCCCGACCCATGGGCCAACCTCGGCGGCGGACAGACGCTCTCGGGTCGTAAGCGTGCGGCCGCCACCCCTCCTGAACCTGCGCGCCAGCCTTCTCCTCCACAGCCCAGCCGCCAGGAGGTGATTGACGCGACCATGCTGGACGAGGACGACTTCTTCCAGAGCTACGACGACGATGAGGACTACGACGATATCATCGAGATTGACTCGGACTAGATTACCGAGTTACCTCGCTCACATGCATGTAACTACACTCTACATTTGGTTGTCTGTGTGCTCTGTTGAATTTTAAGATTGGGTTGTGATGGGCCGCGTAGCATGGCACAGTTTGCTGGCAATGTCCGTATGCAAGGTGGGTTTGATGTTCTAAGCCTGGATAAGGCGGTCCTCGTACGCCTTCCAGCCCTCGGCGCGGTACTTTTCGGCCTCGGCGAGGACGGCGGCGGCGTCGCCCTCGATACCGTAGATGCCGCGGCCGACGATGATGACGTCGCAGCCCGAGTCGTAGACGACCTGGCGAGGGGTGCGGTACTGCTGGCCCAGTGCGTCGCCCTTGGCGACGAGGCCGACACCGGGGGTGAGGACGAGGAAGTCGTCGTCGCCGTCAGAGTCCACGCGGCCCATGGCGATGAAGCCCACGACCCAGTCACGGCCGGCGTCGCGGGCCATCTGCACTGCCTGGCGGGTGTAGTCGCCCACGGCCAGGTTGCCGGCGCTGCTCATCTCGGCGAGGAGGAGGAGAGCGCGGTCAAGAGGCTTGCCGACCTTGCCCAGGCCAGTGACAATGCCGGGTCCGGGCAGGGGGTGGGCGTTGGTGATGTGGCTCCACTCGGCGATACGGTGCACGCCCGACGAGTACTGGAGAGCGACAGTGTTGCCTGCAGACGATCAGCGTTGCTTCCAGGGTGAGCGGTGTGGCGACAGCCCAGCGGCGGTCGGGCCTTTCGGGGCCACGGGGGGAGATGGTGGCGGCGCAGGCATGACGTGACGTCTATAGATGGCAGTCATAACTCACCAATGTCGGCAAACTTGCGGTCCTCGAAGATGAGGAAGTCGTGCTCGTCCGCGAGACGGGCCAGCTCGGCAGTGAAGGCCGGGGTAAAGTCCTCCATGATGTCGATGTGGGTCTGCGCATGGAGTCAGCACCGTGAGAGTCGGACGGGCACACGCCCACGCCGGCCTTTGATGGTCGTGTGCGTTTCGCACACCAAAATCCACCACGCGGAATGCAGTGATTGCGTGCGTCTTGGGCAAGAACCAGAAACGCTCCCAGGTCAAACTCACCTTGACCATGCAGACGGCGGGGGCGACGCGGCGGACAATCTCAAGGGCGTCCTCGCACTTGGTCACGTCGATCGACACACAGAGGTTGGACTTTTTGCGGTCCATGAGCTTGAGGAGGCGCTTAGCCGTGGGGTTGGGGTGAGCATCGGCGCGGACGGCGTACGGCTTGGTGGTAGGGGGGTGGGGAGCGATGGTGCGCGACATGGTGAAAAAGCGGGTGAGAGATGGACGAGTGAAGCGGCGAGATGGGTGGTGGTGGTGATGGTGGGACAAAAAAGCCAACTGAGGGAGAGGTTAGGATCTAGGTGTGTGAGATGAGGACCGTCTGAGCCGTAGCTTGCGAGGTGGTGAGAAAAGGATGGTACATTGGAAAAGGAGAGAGAGAGAGAGAAAGAGAGAGAAAGCAAGAGAGATGCGATAGATTTGACGGGGGCAGCCTTTGTTGCTTCCTTTCGGGCGATCAGTCAAACTGGCAGCGTCCTCTCTCCCCCGTACTCGCACGCCGCCTCCGCCGCCGCCGCCGCCGCCTCTGCCTGTCGGGCTTCTTTTTTCACTCCCGGGGCCGCAACGAGCAATAAGGTATTCCTGTAGGCACACCTATATCCTGGCCATCCTGGCACGCCCGCAGTTTATAGTTTGCAGTGGCCGCCCCCCTTGCCGCCGCTAAAAAAACGCCCAGCCCAACAAGATCCTATCTCGAAAAGCCTCGTTTTGCAGCCACATACACCTCGCTTGTCCCCCACGCGTGGTATAGATGGGCGTTCAGTTGAAGCGCTGACATGCAACATGGACACTAGAGCAAGCACAGTCAAGTCCACTCTGCTCTTGCAGTCGCCCCCTCCGATGTCCGTTGACTGGGGGAGATGCGGATAGTTTTTTTTTCCTTGTCCCCAACATGTTTAACCGGGGCCGGAGGGGTGATGCAGAGCCCAGGGTCCGCAAATGGCGAGTGGCGCATCATACCTTGCCTGCATCGGATCTCATGGCTCACACTCACCATGCCACGAGGCTTTTGCCAAAGTCACATCACATCATAGATAACTGGACACCCCAAGCCTCCCCCTCTCAAGTTACCGAGCCGTATTTCTTGTCTGGGGGGTTGAGGAGGCATTAAAAGGTACCAGGTCTTGGCTGACGAGGCGCGCAAAGGTCACTTGACGAAGGCGGTTCGTCGTGTGGACTGTTCTGCTGGCCTGATCGGGCACGTTGGCGAACAGGTGGTTGAGGGACGTGCTCAACTTTGTGCGTGTGCTCCTGGTGGTAGTCGTAGTGAGACACATGAGACACACGGCTGCAGGTGTGGGATACGGCCTTTGTACGAGCATATTCAGTGTCTCACATTGCGTCCACTCCCCCCCAACTGGCCACTGGGCCAGACGCGCCGCTTTTCACCAACTGTCACCCCCTGTACCCGCCCCGCTGCATGCACTGCACTGGCCCTCTTGCACTGCAGCAGCACTGCGGGAGGAACAACCCCCCCGCCCTCTCGTGAGCGTGGCGATGGCGGACCGCCGCCTCGTCCTGTGCTACGCAGGGCAGGCAAATAAGGCACCGGCTTCGTGAACATGCCCGTTGTTTGCAAAGTCCGGAGTGTGTGGGCCGCGGAGACCACACGCTCGCCCCCGGATTTCGCAAAGGCCAAGACGTGTACCCACATTGTTCAATGTGGTGTCCTTGCGGTGACTCCAGCCACGATACACGTACGGGTCTTGCCCTCTCTAACGATCATATGCTCAGCACCTCTGTAATTTGGCCACGCTCGATCAAACAAACCACACGCGTGGATAATCCACTTCATGACGGCGCCCCCATGCTGCGCAGAGTGGCGCTGCTTCTGGACCGCTAGAGGCATATGGCGGGCGCTCATGGCTAATCGCCCCTTTGTCATCATCAACAGGCAAGCAAGCATCAAAGCAAGCTGCAAACTGCCACTCTGGTCGCACTGTTCACGTTTGCCACTGCTGGTCATCGTCCATGTTTGTTTGTTTTGGCCACCCGCATATTGCTGGAGCAACAGCCATTACAACATCCGCATCACGCCGACCCGTTTGATCGTCCCATGTTGTTTATGCTTACGTAACGACATGATTACTCTACTGACCGATATTGTTTTGACCGAACGACATCATCGCACCACCACTTCCCAATCCATCCACGCATTCAACATGCAGCGCAAGAGGACACCCCCGCCGTCCACATCTCCTACTCGCAACCTCCCACCTCGGCTGACAGTCCCTCCCCTTCCTCCGCGCATTCACCGCAAGCTTGCCGTCGCCGCCACCGATGATGGCCTCGTTATCCGCCCGCTCGTGGGTTCCGGTGAAGCCGTCCTCGTTCGCTGGGGTCTGAGGGGCAAGGTCGAGGCTGTGGATCGCAGCGATCTGGAAGGAGAAGTTGAGCTTGGTGGTATTATCGGCATTGTTCGCCTATGGGACGGTGAGCAACTACCCGATACGTGAACCGGGAGCTGACAGGTTAGCCGCCTACCTTGTTGTCTTCCTCCCTCCATCAAAGGCACCCACAGCCTTGTTCCCCAGCGACGACCCATTCTCCACAGATAAAGAGAACGAGTACACTGCCAATGAGGTCTACACCCTCAAGGACGTACATGCCATCCCCCTCGTCCCCGAGCGTGCAAAGACTCATCTCACCCACCTTGCGGGCATCAACGTGTGTTTTAGCTCAATCTCCACCGTCAGGACTGACGTCACCAGGCCAAACGTGCACCCAAACCACCAAAGACTAAGCCGACACCGGGCGATGGAACCAGGACACCGTCCAAGACTGGAGGCCTGAACTTGAAGTGGTCTCTTCCATGGACGCCTGCGTCGGGTGCTGCGACACCGGAAGCCGAATCGTCCTCTGAGGAGGAGGATGACGACGCCGACGATGACGGTGATGACACTTCTTTTGACGGCGACTTTGAGACGACTCGTTCTCGCCGCGTTTCTTCTATCGCTCCCGAGGCCGACGAATCTCCTTGTGACCTCCCTCCGCCGTTTGAGACCCCCGAAGCCCGCGTCAAGAAACGCTTCAGCCTTGGCTGGGGTCGGTTTACTCCTCGTCTTGGCAAGCCCCTTACAGCCATCAAGGTCATCACCGCTCTCAAGGTCGGCGCTGCAGCCAAGAGGGCTGCCAACGCTGAGGAAACCGAAGCTACCGAGGAGGACACACCCAATGAAGCGCAAGAGCCGGTCGACGAGGCTGAAGCCGCCCAGCAACGCGGCCCATTGTTCCCCGAGGAGGATGAGACACCCGCCCCAGTGGAAAGTACTGTGGACCCATCCGCCATCCCGGAAGCACCTCCCGCTGCCAAGGAAGCACCTGCACCTCCCCCTCCAATGGAAGCCTCTCACCGCCGTGAGCTTGAGACCAAGATCCTCAAGCAGATCACACGTGAGCTCGGCTCTGGCGAGTTCTACTACTCCTTTGACTACGACCTCTCCCACACTCTGCAGTACAAGTGGCACCGCATGGCGTCCAAGAATGTGTCTGCTGGCCTGCTCGACCAGCTCCTCAAGGAATCGTCGCCATCCGAGACCAAACCATTCTTCCCTCCCTCCCCGGAGAACAGCAAGCCTCCGACCATCAAGCCCGGCGAGGAGGCGTCCACACCGCCAAAGGGATGGAAATCTGATGGCGAGATCATCGAGCCCGACGTCCATGTCCCCTTGTGGCGGAGGTTTGACCGCCGCTTCTTCTGGAACGAGTGGCTCGCTCGCGACTTTATGAACCAGGGACTGCACGCCTATGTCCTGCCTATCTCGCAGGGCTACGTCCAGGCGTCGCGTTTTACTGTCCCCGTCACACCGAGCGTGACGGACGAGGCGCCTCAACCAGACATTCCCGTTGACCTTGTCCTCATTTCGAGACGCAGCCGCGAGCGCGCAGGATTGCGCTACCAGCGCCGCGGTATTGACGACGACGGCAACGTCGCCAACTTTGTTGAAACGGAGATGTTGTTGCGTGTGAAGACCTTCGGTCAGAGCAGCCTCTTCAGCTTTGTTACCATTCGCGGAAGCATCCCTTTGCGATGGCATCAGACACCATGGTCGATGAAGCCCCCACCAGAGCTTGACCTGCCCGTCAACAAGACGTACTCGGTCGCCAGCCTGCACTTTGATGACCTGCGAGGACGCTACGGCCCAGTCGTGAGTTGCCCTTCCGCTTGGCTGCCAACTGACGCCAGACAATTATCAACCTCTCGGAACAAACTGGCAAGGAAGCTGCCGTTACCAACGGCTATGGCGAACTTGTCGAGAGTCTCGACCGCCCGGACCTCAAGTATGTCCCCTTCGACTTCCATGCCAAGTGCCACGGCATGGCCTGGGAGAACATCGGCGAGCTCGTAAAGGGCCTCGACTTTGACAAGATGGGATACGTGTGGTCGCTTCAAGGCGAACTTCTGCGCGAGCAGCACGGCGTCTTCCGCACCAAGTGAGCTGACTAATACATGACTGTAGCTGACGAACAGCTGTATCGATTGCTTGGACCGTACCAATGTGGTCCAGTCTGCACTGGCGCGCCACGTCCTCAACCAGATGCTCACACAGGTGGGCGTCGTCCTCGACCCAAGCACATGCAATGTGGAGTCCGTCTTCAACGACATGTGGGCCAACAATGGCGACATGATCAGCCTGTGCTACGCGCACACGTCGGCACTCAAGGGCGACTTTGTGCGTACCGGCAAGCGCGACCTCCAGGGCATGCTGCATGATGGTGTCTCGTCCCTAAGCCGCATGTTCTACGGAGCCGTGTCCGATTTCTTCGCCCAGGCAGTCATCTCGTTCATGCTTGGCCACCGCAACTTGGGCGTGTTCAACGAGTTTATCGAGAACCTCGAGAGCACCGAGGCCAGCGCGCTCATCAAGCAGAGCCGTATCCGTGCCGCTGCCATCGTGACGAGCTCTGCTCGTGTGCTGAGTGAAGGCGAGACGCGTATTGCCGGTTGGACGCTGCTCTCTCCCGAAGAGCGCAACACCAAGATCAGCACCAAGCTCGAGGAGAAGGTGCTCCTCCTTACCAAGGTCGCCGTCTACGTTGTCTCGTTCAACTACTCGCTGGAAAAGGTCAACGAGTTTACGCGTATCCCCCTCAAATCCATCACATCTATTGAGAAGGGTGCATACATTCTCTCCGCTCTGCAAGAGGCAAGCCGCGATCCTGCAGAGAACTCCGGCTTTGTTATCAACTTCTCTCCCGCGGACGAGGACCGGCGCTTCAGCACCTACTCTCTCCGCAACCGCGCGCCAACGTCCCCCAACGTCACGACAGCCGACCTCCCGGAACGGTCTCCTTCACTCAGGCGCTTGTCCTTTTCGTCACCAAGGTCGATCAAGTCCCCTCTCTCACGCTCTCGCTCCCGAGCCAGCTCGCGGGCCTCGTCCAAGCTCCGCAACGATACGCCGATGGCCCATGTTGAGCATTCCCCCATCGACCCCGATGCGGCCCAGTTCTTCGCGTTCAAGGCGCTTCCACGTGAATTTGCGCCGCCACCGACGACCTCGGACGACGACGAAGAGTACGAAGACGTGGTGCTCGAGGCCAACGAGACGTGCCGGGCCACTGTCGACCGCGTCACCCGCCGCATCAAGGACGCATGCGTGCGTCTTGGGGGCGATGAGGAGGACTTTGTCGTCGAGAAAGATGTTGTGAGCGTGTCCGACGCCGAGTACAACACGACGCTACTGGCTAGGATGGACTATGCCGTCAGAAGGTTCTTGTGGCTGTAGTCGGGGCCCGCGAAGAGTGTCAGAAGGGAAGGACAAATACAAATCGGCAGTCATCTCATACCCCGCATCAATACATACCATTTGCCACACAATAAACACGACGGTAATGCAAATCTTGGCGCAAACACATGTTCGGCGGCGTCTCTCGCTCCGACTGTTCCTGAGGGGGTCGCCGCCACCCACTCACCCGCCGTCTTCACGCAAGCCAAGCCACTCACTTCGCTCGGAACTTGCATCACCTGTGACCCGCCGGCCGAGTCACAAATTCACTCATGTTGATCAATGACGAGCTCTTCCACCACAAGCGATAGAACCGGGGGGTGTTGCCGGCGGAAGCGAGCGCCAAGCCCCCGACTAAAGCACGGCCATTTGAGATAATCTGGTGGATTGGCCGACAGAGTCGGGGCTGGCGGTAGCCGGTCAGCCAGGAACGGCGCCAGGTCGGGGAGGTGGATGTGCCTGTAAATCGTCCTCGTGATAACCATAAGTCGCGCAATCCGCTTGTTGCCTGGGACAGATGCCATTGTACGAGCGATGCAGGAGAGAGGACATGAAAGGAGGGGACGATGAACAATTCTCGTATCTCGAGATGGCATAGCCCCGCATCGCCCCGGTGCATGGTTTTGACTCGTCCGGCCGGTTGACTCGTTCTCGGTTGGCAGCTGCCGAGCACGTTTGTGCAGGTGTGGCGGTGCCGATGAGGTGAGGGTGATGGAGTAGCTTCTCCTTGCAGTGTCGCTGGCGTCTATGCGGTGTTTCCCCTTGATGCATATAACGCATTCAGATACCAACTACTTGTCCTGCATCTCCATCTCCATCGACATCCCGACTTCCCTACTGCTGCCAGTCAAACACCACACCTCACCACCAACCAATTATGCCCGTCGTCAACCGTAACAGCGATGTCGCCAGTGTGGCGGACGCACAGCAGCTCGACTCGTCCTACTCGGACGACACGACGCTGTGCTACAACCCGTCTACAAAGGTCCCTCGTTACATTGGCTTCCACTCGTCGGACGGCTTTGACATGATCTACCGCACGGGCTGGACCCTCACGCACCCAAAGATTGCGCGGGCGGCCCTCGCCGACGCCGGGTTCACCCTCGGCCTCGCCAACGACCGCGCCTGCGGGTTCCTCTACCAGCAGGACGTCGGCGCGGGCTTCTACTACTCTGGCAACCTGTACGGCCGCCTCAGCATCCCCGGCGACAACGCCACGGCCCCGGCGTGGAACATGACGGCGTTCAACGAGGCCACCGCCGCCATCCGCCAGCACCCGGCGGTCCTGGAGATCACGCTCTGCTTCATCCCGCTCATGGTGATTGTGCTCGGCGTCTTTGGGTGCTACCTTGGGCCGTGCATCTCCGAGTACAGGCGCATCCGCCAGGTGGACAAGCGTGCGGCCCGCGAGCGCAAGCGCGCCGCCCAGGAGGCGGCTGCTCGTGCGGCCGCGGCCTCGACTTACACGACCTCCAGCTCGTCCGATATTTCAGAGAAGAGCCTTTCCAAGTTCTGAAGAAAGAACCCCTCAGTTGAGCCTAGCTTTTTCGTATTGTACAAATTAACCGCCGAGAAAACGTATTTAAGAAGCTGAAGTGGAATGCACACCATACTGTACACGTATCGTCGCGAGCTGCATGAAGGGTTTAATGGCCCACGTTAAATTTATCTACAATATTCTACAGGATGTACATATAGGGAGAACGAGAACGAGCGGCGACGTCGCGCTCAGACAACAGCCCTGCGCTTCGACCGGCCCTTGCGAGACGAGACCGACCTGTCATCGTCGGCGCCCTTGAGCATCTCGTCCATGTCCTCGAGGACAGCTTCGAGCACCTGCTCCACCTGGTCGTTTGGTGCAAACGCCTTGCCGAGAAGAGCCGCATGCATGGCAGCACCGCTCATGAACTTGTCTGGGCGGCGGTAGACCTCCTGGTCGAGGAGGAGCGCCTGGGCGAGGATTTCGCTGTTCGCCAGTGCGCCCGAGACGACGGCCACGAGGTGCGAGTTGCGCGCCGTGAGCTTTGGGTAGAGGTCGGCGTCATCGTCTTCAAAGTCGACAGTCTCCCAGGCGGCAAAGGTGGCGAGGGCAGCGTGGACGACGGCCTGGACCTCGTCGCGCGACCAGCGCCACCGGCCAGTGGGCTCTTCGGCGGTAGAGGAAATAGCGAGACGCATGGCCACGGCCAGCGGTTGGAAGTCTTCCTCGAGCGACCTGATGGCGACCGTGTCAGAGTTGAGAATGTAGAGGTAGAATGAAAGGCGCTCAGTCACCGAGAGTGCCGGCGAGGCTTTGGCCGTGGGCAACGGCTGCGTGTGCCCCTCAAAGACATCGCCGGCAGCCTGACGACGGTACTCGGTGACAGTGCCAACTGGGCTGGGGTTGCGCAAGCCACCAAGGGCACCGGCGACGATTGCGTACGCTGCGAAGCGAGCAGATACGCTGTCGGTGGCTGCATGGACAGCTGGAGCCTCGGGATCCTCCATCAGGCGAGCCAGGTTGACAAAGTTGGGCTGCAGGTAGACGTTTGTGAGGAAATGGAGGTGACCGTTGCGCTGCGCCTCGGCGTAGTCCACCTGGGGCGAGGTCGGCGCGCGAGGGCAAATGCCCCCACAAAACGGGTAGGCGGCACAGCACTGCTTCTTGGGCCTGATGGAAGCCTGAAGTGTAGCGCTCATGAGGCCGTTGACGAGAAGCGCCGACTTGTTGGTGGTGAGCATGCCGACGACCCTGCGGACAACGACACGCAGCTCAGCCTCGGTTTGAGGAGCGGTGGCGAACTCGTTACCAATGGCGTCGGCAGCGCGTTTGATCCGCCAACGGGAGAAAGATCCTGGCGCTGGGTCAAAGGGTCCGCCACGGCGAGCGTGTGATGGAAACATGGCCTTGTCGGCCTCGGGAGGCGTGTAGTTGTTGCCAACGACTGCTGAGAAGAGGGGCAGGGCTGCACTGGGAATCGCAAGTTGGCGAGCCAGCGCATGGGCGGTATAGACGGTGAGCTGGAGAGTTGGAGAAGCCATGTCGGCGGGTGGGACAAGGCTGTTGGCTGTCTCTGTGCCCTTGATCCACGTAAACTGGTCTGCCGGTGCGAATCCAAGGCAATTCGGCGCGTTCGAGGACTGGATAATGAGGTCGGTGTCTAGGCCAAAGATGTATCCCCGTTTCTTGTCTGCAATAGCGGCGCAAGTCGGCTCAGCTTCACCGTCGGCAACACAGTTGACGACAACGTCCAGTGACTGAAGGGCGGAGAGGGTGGTGTGCCAAATGAATGGGGGCAGGATAGCTCTACCTCCCCAACTGGGCGTGCGGCCGTTCTGAGGCTGCGAGCGCTTGGTCTCGGGTGTGTCATAGAATTCACGAATACACTCGAGCTGTTCGTTCTTGCGGTCGGTCGACTCGGTCTTCTTCGCTGGGGGTTTGGCGCCTAACGTCAGTGCCCGTCAGAACTTTCGAGGAGCTTACCGTCGAAGACCCAGATGGGCTCGAGACCGACATTGCGCCACGACTCAATCAGACGGCGGAGAAGCTTGTAGAATGCGAGATATTCACCACCGCTTGCCCATGGAAGGGATGTGAGGTACAGCTCGTACACCATACTGCCATCAGCTTCTGCGGAGTGAGGGGTTGCGACCTACCCCCATCCATCAACAGCAAGGGGCACGGCCTTGTGTTTGGTGTCGCGCGAGAACTGGACGTGCGTCGACAGCGAGTCTGAGTGATGCTTGAGGTATGAAGTGAGTCCACGGACCATGGTGAATGTGTAGGGATGGGTGACTGGGTGTAAGAGAGACAGGTGATGAGATGGACTGTGTGGACTGTGGACTGTGTGTTGAGACGCTGCCCGGTTGACGTGTGTGAGAACCGGGAGGGAAGGCAGAGAAGGCCCCTGCAGACCGGGGCGCAATGTCAACCTCCACCTTCCTTCGTCCGTGTGGCTAGGTCGCTGATCGTCTGTCACGGATGCATCAGTGCATCAGAGAACCGAGTACAGGCATCTTGGAGACCACACAAGTGGTCAGTGTACCAGTGTCTCGATATTGACGAGTTACCATCCCAAGCCATCATGCAGTATTTCCCTCTTTTTCCGATTTTTCCAGGGTGGTATGGGTTTGCGCACGGTAAACGTCCTAGACACCGCAAGCGCTCATGGGTATGTATGTACAGCTCTGTTGGGGAGAAATTCTGAGGCCACCCGCATGTTCACCAGGGACTGAAGGCTCGTGTGTGGTTAGTCGACAACTGAAGTCAGACCCCGCTTTGAGCCGGAGACGAAGGTCGAGCCTGTCATGTTGCCAGAGGTTCTCAGTGTCGGGAACGAGTGTGACCCACGCACGAGTCCATTGCGCATTACCACGCCAATACGTTGCACCACTCAACAGTGTCAGAAATGCAACACCTGGGTTTAGCGTGTGCATCGTAAACCCAATGTCGCGGAACAGCTGCATCCCGCCTTCAGGGCGACGGCTGTCATGGGCAATATGGCACACTCTTGCACTTTGCCGCAGTTAACGGAGCGCGTCATCTCCTTCCCACAGACGGTCTGTTGTGCTGGACCAACCACCGATGCGGGAGGATGGATTCCAACATGCAAGCGCATCTTCGTATGGTACAACATGGTGATACAGTCCCTGCTCATCGTGATCCTGGGGGTGTGAGCACGGACATGAACGGGGAAGACATGTGCTGGTCTCATGGTCTCACTGGCTATGATGTGGGTGAGAAACCTTTACGCTGTGCTGGCGGTCCCTGTAACAGTGGGATTCTGACAGCTACCATTCACTGGGTGTCGCCAGCTACACAGGGGGTAACAGCTCTTTCTGGATGGTCAGCCAGCTCTCCTTCTGGCCACACTCACAGTGTCCACAGTGCCCTGCGCCGGGGGCGTCTGTTCCAGTCTCCGATGCTCCTCGTTTGCGTCGCGGAGGTCGATGGTGAACAGGACCGCTGTTGTGGTTTGGAGCACCAGTGCAATGTTGCCGAGGGTGCCCTGGGGATGGTAGTGGAAAGCCCCGAGGAGAACGAAGAGAGCTGCCCAGGCGAGCCACACTGCGATGTGGCTGCAGGCCAAGTCGATTCTAGACATCACGGACATTGTGGAGAGAGCAAGAGATGAAGGAATGTCGTTTCTGCGCGACCGTCGTTCGTCGTTAAGAAGCCATACATACATATACAGCACCTCCGTTTGCTCATTCCCATCCCAACGCTCTGGTAAATGACGGGCCGCGGGAAGGAAAGGAGGGGCTAAGGTTTCAACCGTTGGTCCGGCGGCTCGCTGAAACGCTTCGTCTCTGCACCCAGTAATGCCGTGTCGAGCGCCTGGGGGCGGTACAAGCGTGAACGCGTGAAATCCGCGAATCGGAAGAATCATCCATAGCAGCAGGGGTTACCGACGGAAAGACACCAAAGCCCAAGACTTCCGTTGGCGTTCGTCACGGGTCTCACTTCCTCGCCCAGCGCATTAGAAACAGACAAACGGGTTGTGGCAGTAAGGTAGGACTCCAAACTGCTTTAGCTGCTTTGCTGCCGGACAGGTTTCTGAGACCACATTTGGAAGTCGACCGTGGTCATCACAGCGATGTGTTTCCAGAGCATCACAGCGATGTTTTGGGTTCCGAGTTCGCAGCTCTGTCTATTCCTGGGCAATGACGTCAGGCTTCTGAAGAACATGGGGTGCACATTGAGCCTCAAGTGTGCCCATTACGGCCATTAATGTGCTGCGCATATTGGACGTCACAGCTCACAGAACGGGTTTCGGAATGTTTCTGAGCTGCGGACCACGTCTGTTCCAACATTCCTCCACACTTGGCCTCTTTCATGTGACGTGCAACAGTGGAGGGCCGTGGAGGTGCGGTGGAGGTTGCAGTGGAGGTGCTCAAGATAAAAAGGTCGAGCGAAGATACCGCAAAGGCTGCTCATACCCCTTGTTTATCACAATGTCCTCCAAAGCTCTAGAGTCTACGACGTTTCGTCTCGGCAACGGCAAAGACGTCCGCATCCCAATCGGCCAGTTCATCAACAATGAGTTTGTGGACAGCGTCTCTGGCGCACGCATGGATGTCTACAATCCCGCTACCGGCAAGGTTATCGGACAAGTCAGCGAGGGCGATGGCGCCGACGTCGACGTAGCGGTCAAGGCTGCCCGGGCGGCGTATGAGAAGGACAACCGCGCGTGGGGCTTTATGAAGCACTATGAGCGCGGTGTCCTGCTGAACAAGCTTGCCGATCTCATCGAGGCCAACCGTGAGGAGCTGGCTGCCATCGAGGCGACCGATACGGGCAAGCTCTACACGCAGGCCCTGAACCGCGATATCATGGGTGTTATCAAGACCATTCGCTATTACGCTGGCTATGCCGACAAGATTATGGGACACACCTACAACGCTATTCCAGGCGTGAACGCGTACACCAAGCTCGAGCCGATGGGTGTATGCGGCCAGGTCATCCCGTGGAACTTTCCCGCGTCGATGTGGGCCTGGAAGATTGCGCCTGCGCTGGCAACAGGCAACGCGGTGGTCATCAAAAGTGCCGAGAACACGCCTCTCAGCGCACTCAAGATGTGCGAGTACGTCCGTGAGGCGGGCTTTCCTCCTGGCGTCTTCAACCTGATCACTGGCCGTGGGCCAACGGCCGGTCAGGCGATCGTGAGTCATGTTAGTTATTGGCGACTAACAGCAGGCGGATCACATGGATATCGACAAGGTAGCCTTCACCGGGTCCGGTCCGGTGGGCCGTAAGATCTTGGAGGCATCGGCCAAGTCAAACCTCAAGCGCGTGACACTCGAGCTTGGAGGTAAGAGCCCGAACATCATCTGTAAGTTGGCCGCTTCACCTCCCCGGCTGATCCGCTAGTCGATGATGTCAAGTCGGTCAAGGAAGCGGCCGAGTGGGCGCTGTACGGTATCGAGATGAACGTCGGCCAAGTGTGCGTTGCTGGTACTCGAATCCTCGTCCAGGACACCATTGCCGAGGAGTTTACCGCAGAGTTCACAAAACTCATGAGCGCCGTCAAGGTTGGCGATCCTTTCGACCCGTCGACGACCCAGGGACCGCTTGTTTCAGCTCCCCACTGGGACCGTGTCAACGGCTGGGTCAAGATTGCGTGTGAGGACGGAGCCACTCTTGCCCTCGGCGGCAAAGACCTCCGCGAGGAGCTTGGCGGCGGTTACTATATCTCACCGACCATCTTCACCGGTGTCAAAAAGGAGAACCGCGTGCTCGCAAACGAGGTGTTTGGCCCAGTCGTCTCGATCCAGACATTCAGCACTGAGGAGGAGGCCATCGAAGAGGCCAACCGCACGTCCTACGGGCTGGCCTCTGCCGTATTTTCAAACAACTACGAGCGCATCCAAAGGATGAACGATGCGATTCGCGCAGGCACCGTCTGGAACAACATTTACAACTTTACGAGCTTTGCGATTCCGTTTGGCGGTTACAAGGAGTCCGGTATTGGTCGCGAGGTGAGTCACGGGGTTTGCTTCGGTCCGACACTGATGCTCGTCAGTCTGGCGAGGCCGTGTTGTACAACTACCTCGAGACCAAGGCGGTGATCAGCAACATGGGGAACATCCGCTCACCCATGGCTCCCGCGTGACAGAGTGGGGGGAGTCATTGCAAGGGCTAGAACAAACCCGCCGGGATTCACGGGATGTCAACAAACAACGGGTCGGAAGAGGAGCGGGGCCTGTGCCGTAAAGGTGAAGAAATGCAACTTGAAGTCTGATGCGGAGCATCTATGATTGTGCCGAGACGTTGTCTGCTGTGAATGTCACTCGTAGTGACAGCCCACACGTCGGTAGCTTGAAAAGTTGCCCCATGGACCATGCTCGCATGCTATGGCCATGGAACGTTGTGTGTACGAGCCATGGGCACGGCACCCGAACAGTGTAACTGTGGTGCCGACAAGAGGTACATGGAGCAGCCCTTGCCCCGGATTCGAGATGTGACCCAACCCCGCACCGGCCATCGCCGCTGCCGACAGTCGGCATTAGATCTCTTTGATTGCGATCGAAGCATCTTGTCATCGAGATTGACATGCACACGCTTGCGTGTTGGGAGGAGAACTGCGTACGTGTCTGGCTCCACCATTCACGTGCCTTCATCCCCACGCAGAAAAGTTGATCCGACTTGTTCACTTTTAGCCCGTGAGTGGCCCACTTAGGCGAATTCACCGACTGCCCGGCTTTAGAATGGCTTGGCCGTTTTGTCTGATACGTCGAGCCACAGCCACCAGCGTGCGGCGACGTGTCCAGCAGCACACATGTCCGGGCCGGTAGGCCCATTCTGTCACTGACGTGTGCAGTAGCCACCCACCAGAGAGAACACAACCGTACACTGCAGGTTTCCGAGTGACACCGCGGCCGAGTGGTGTCGACAGAGGGAACAAGGGCGAGCTCGCACCCAACGATGCCAGTTTAAGACCAGCGCTGCACCCATGTTCATCTCCTGCTCATCCATTCACACTTTATCTACGCCGTTCAACCCATCTAGACCATCACTGCTTCTGCTGCTGCTGTTTGAGCCGCAACGCTGAAACGACTACATTCCGGCTACACCATACCCCTCGCCTCTATTTTCTCACTGCCAAGGACTCTCACATCGGAGAGCAGAAAGCCAGACCCGGCGGCCCCCGTTGTCCCACCTTGGCAAACCTTTTGCCAGCAACCACTTTTGCCCCAATGCATTCCCAAGACGCCTCCACCTGACAACAAACAACTTCTGAACCATTGACCCCTCCTGCCTTACCCGCTCGATCGTACAATCGCAAGCCTCTCCCCCCCACCTCCACTCGGAACGCATAAAGGTGCCCCGGCCAGCCCTTGGCGCGCTAAAAGCGGTTCCCCGCAGGGTCTTGCATCGTTCACCTCGGCAACACCCGGCCCACAGCGCCAGCAAAGGACGTGTTCGCGTGTATGTTCGCTTTGTCCTGCGGTTCCGCCGCGGCGTGTGAAGTTTTAAAGTGCCTCCCATTTGCCAACATGCCACAAAAAGGCTGCGTGCGGGTGCCGGACTTTAAGCGGGCCATGCGGGGCCACATGCTTTCTCCCCGGCGACCAACTCGCTCCGGTGGCACTCCGGCGCGGGAGGCACCCACACTCTCCGATGCGAGCCTGCCATCGTACTAGCCGAGGTGTTACAGCGGGGTTTGTGCCGATTGCCCGGGCCCCACATACGCACAACACAAGCTCGCTCCGGAGGCTCCACCGCCACAGTACCAGCCCCCCACACGGGGATCGCGGGGAGGTAGATCGCATTGAGCATGATTGTGTGGAGTAACGATCCCCCATCGGGAGGATATACGCACGTCCCAGTGCTTGTTTTGTATAAGAGCGCGACCTAAAACATGTCCTTCGTCTCAGAAACCCAACTCGCTCCAACGCAAAAACCACCTCCTTCACCTAACCTCTTCCTTACATTCAACAACACAACAAAAAACAATGTCGTCTCACGAGGACCTCAAGACCAACGCTGGCCCCGAGGCTGGCGAGACTGGTGCCGGCTACCAGGGCTCTGGCGGTGTCATCTCGCGCTTCGTCACCCCCGGCGGTCACCCCCAGGACAACACTCAGCCGGCCTTCCCCGTCTTCCACCGCAAGTTTGCCAACCCGGCCCCTCTCGGCCTGATGTCTTTCGGTGGTACCACTATCCTTCTTTCGCTTTTCAACCTCGGTACCCGTGACATTACCCACCCCAACGTTCTCGTCGGTGTTGCTCTTTTCGTGAGTGCCCCCCCCCCCCCCCCCCCCCCACCATCTACACCCCTTTTCCTTTATCGCGGCACGAGGCTAACAGTACCCAGTACGGTGGCTTCTGTCAGATCCTTGCCGGCTGCATGGAATGGGCCTGCGGTAACTCGTTCGGTACTTGTGCTTTCACCGGCTACGGCGCGTTCTGGATGTCGTTCGGTGTCATCTACATTCCCTGGTTCGGTATCCTCGAGGCCTACACGGACAAGCAGGAGCTCGCCAACGCTCTCGGTCTCTACCTCGTCATGTGGGGTATCGTCACGTTCCTCCTCACATTGTGTCTCCTCCGCTCCTCGGTCATGCTCCTCTTCGTCTTCGCCGACATTACCCTCACCTTCTTCCTCCTGGCCGCCAGCGAGTTCACCGGCAACCACACCGTCCACATGGCTGGCGGCGGCTTTGGCGTCATCGGTGGCTTTGCTGCCATGTACACCGCCGTCGCTGGCCTTATGACGGCCGACACTGCCTTCTGGCTGCTCCCTGTCGGAGACCTTTCTCCCAAGTAAGGAGAGAGAGCGACAGAGTTACGTGACCGGCGCCACAAAAGGTTCGCTGTGCGGTGGGGGAGTGGTGAGGCGGCAGTTCTCGTTGTGCAACGTGCATACATGGATATGCATCATAATTCATGGTTCCTCACGCCCTTCCATTCTTCCCAGACTAACGGCTACCCACGGGTTACTGATCACTGACCACAGGTGGGGTGACGAGGGCCTGTAGCATGTGGGTGTGTGCCCCGATTTACTGATGAATTATTGGATATTCTATTCTCAAGGATCGGTAGATTGCCCAAACGCCCGCCTCAAGCCACCGGCCACTGGACCTGTCTACGAAACTAATATAGCTACTGCTGGACTGCCTGACGCGCAGGTCGACAAGGCGAGCATGGGCCAACCGCTCTAGCTCGCTCGGAGACCGTGCACCGTCGTCGCTCGGATACCGACCAAAGGCCAGCACGATGCGGACGACGCCACACGAACCGCGCACGACATTCCGGACTCCGCCAGGTGATCAGGTGAGAGTGTTATTCAACCTTGGTTTAACCGTCCCCACATGCCCCGCAACGTCCCACCGCTGTTTGCGACCGGCATTCCCTTGTCCAAGCTCCTGGTAGCGGCTAGCCCGGCGGCCATCCTGGCCAACGTCGCTTTCCGCGGGATGCAAAGGTCCCTCCCTCCCTCAGGTCCCTGGTAACTGTTCGTTTACCGGTTGCCCAAAGGTTGACGACATGGTAATCGCCGACGGGCAACGATAGCTCACCACTTCTGCACTTTTCAACTACAGCAATTGGACACCCTGCATCGATTTCGATTTGACTGTTTTTACAACTCTAGGGGGAGATATTGATCAACTGAAAAGGGACATCTTGAAATTGTCGGCGAGACGAGGCAAGGCCCTGTCGGAAGTGAGACGACGCATCATCGGAGGTGTGGTCAAACGCTTCCAGCTGTCAAACGTCGACAAGTCGTTGACAGAGGCGTCGCAGATGCCGTCGGTGTCCGGTCCCTTCTCCTGGGCGACCATGCGGAGGAGACCCTCGGGGTCGATGACGTAGACGACATACCCAGCAGCGCGCAGGCGCTTGACGGACTCGCGTGTAATCCTGCGGGCAACGTTGTCGACGGAGTAGACCTGGCGAAGGTCAAGCACAACACCGTCCGCAGAAGTGGCGTTCAGTGCGCTGCCCGCCGACAGGGCGCGGATAACACGCTCGGCCGAGGTGAACGTGATCGTTCCTTGCAGGGACAGGACACTGACGGTGCGGCTCCCATCTGGGGCCTGCAGGCGGTAGTGGCGACGGACAACGGAACGAGCAGGCTCGGGTGCGTGCATGATGTGGAGGCCCATGTCATCACTGAGGCGCTTGCAGATACGAACGCCGCGGACACTGGTACCGTGCTTGTCCAGTCGAGTGGAAAAGGTCGCGATGCCGAGCCTGGAAAGCAAGTCAGCTATGCTCGAAATGGACGTAGCTGTGTACCCACTGTCCTGGCAACGCCGCCATGATACCGCCTGATACGGCGCTCTTTGCTGGGATTCCCACAGACGAAACCCAGTCTCCGGCACCGTTGTACATGCCGCACGTCATCATCACGCTCAAGACTTGCCGCACAACCTCGGGGCGCACGACACGTTCCTCGGTGAGGGGCTGGACACCGCCGTTTGCGAGAGTGGTGGCCATGAGTGCCAGATCGCGCGCCGTGACTGAAATGGCGCACTGACGGGTGTAGGCCTTCACAACATCCTCTGGCTCGACGTCGATGAGGTCATAGTTGCGAAGCATGCACGCGATAGCGGTATTACGATAGGCCGTGTTCATCTCGGATTCAAAGGCTGCCTCGTCGACGCCAAGATCGCGCCCAGCAAATGCCGAGAGTCCCTTGCGGATGAGCTCGAACCGCTCGTCGGCACTGATGCCTGCTGGACCAATGAGGGTGTGAGCCGTGATGGCGCCAGCATTGATCATGGGGTTGAGTGGTCGACGGGTGTCCTACTCGTGTCAGCTTATGCGTCCTCGACATTGGTTTCGACGGTTCACAGAGGTTCACTGTTTCCAGAGGTCCACTGTTCCCAGAGCGTCTGCGGATCCACAGACCGGTGGAGGTGTATCCATCTGCTATCTCCTTGGTACCCACCTGCTCCAGACTCAATTCATTGAATGCCTCTCCTGAGGGCTCCACTCCAACGCGCTCAAGGACTGCCTCGAGGCCGTTCTGCTCGAGGGCAAGGGCATAGACAAAGGCCTTGGAAATAGACTGGATCGTAAACTCCACATCGGTGTCGCCCGCAGCATAGACGACGCCGTCGACTGTCGAAAGACAAGCGCCGACCCGGTTAGGGTCGGCGTCCCTCAGTTCCGAGATGTAGGACGCGTTATGGCCTGGATTGTCGTAGCTGCTGTGGTCGACAACCACTTGCAGGTAGTCTGGGATCGGCGACTTGACCTTGGCACCGTCGAGCTCGGCGCATCCACGGGCGAGCATGACGTTGAGCGCTTGTTGGGCAAAGAGGGATCTGCGACGGACGTGATCAGCGCGGCACGTACACGGAGAGGGTGGCCAAGGTCGACGAGGAGCAAGCAGCAAAGACATCGTTGCCGAGACAACATGCCGCCAGGCCCAGCCCAACCAGCCAGACCACGGGCACTGCAGCTTACCTAGCAGAGTTTGAAAATGGGCGATGCCGGATTGCTGTTGTTGCAGCTCGGAATACGAGGGTTGTACGCATGGACAAGAGGAGGTGACGGATGCAGGCACGTGTGTTGGAATGGCCTGAATGGGTCGGCCAACGTCTGTCTTGAAAAAAGCAATGACAGACCTGGTGACTGCTCGGATTGGGCGCATGACGTCAAAAAAACCCCGATCTCGTTAGTTATCGGCCCGGAGCCTACGCTGGAGATGAGAACCCCCCAGGATGCCCCAGTGATATGTATATGATTGAATACTCTTTGCCCCTAAGTTGTAAGTACTCTTGTCTTGCCCCAGCCACGACATGAATATCAACTGAATTGGCGAATAAAGCCAGCAATGATGCCGTAACCGACAAAGCGGGTAAGGCCGACAGAAAAAGTAGAGTCTGCAACACGGCTCCACCTGAACCGAACTGGTCCTGCGACATCTGTTCCACCTAAACAGTCCTGCTTTCGGCTGCCTAGCGAGCAGACCGACGGGGTCATCACACCGACAGGAACCACAAGCTACCCCCTTCCATACCCCATGTCCCCACAAGGTTCCCCAAGACCGATTACAAGGGCCCCCAAGACCGACTAGTGAAACGGTGTACGGCGTCTAGTCCACGCCGCCACCGCCACGGCCGCCGCCGCCCATACCGCAGCAAACAGGTGGAGGATGACGCAGGATGATTCTGGGGGCAAATTGCTCATCCGGGTTGGTCTCGTTAAGTGACCGCTAACATGAAGGGACAGTTGCCGGCTTCGCGGCCCCCGGTTTTGCTTGTATATTAGAGCAACATCTTCTGAACCTCGTCTGATGCTTCTGCAGCTTCCCCCACACCATCTTGACAATGAGGGCAGTCACAACGCTTCTCGCCTGTCTTGTCGCCCTGCCTTTGGCCTTCGCCGGCCCGCTCCCTCGGGCCTCCAACACCACCACTTCCGTGCCTACTGCGATCATCAAACCCAAGACCGCCAGTGGCACTCCCATTACGGTCACTGGAGTCAATGAGTACGGCCTTGATGTCTATCTTGGTATCCCTTTTGCTGAGCCTCGTGAGTCAACTTGTCAAAGCGTGTCGCTGACAGGCAGCTGTTGGAGACCTCCGGTTTGCGCACCCCCAGCCCAAAGTCTACAGCGGAAACGTCACTGCGACTACCCCGCCGCCGGCATGTCTTCAGGACGCCGGTGACCTTCAGGGGTCATACGGCATCAGCGAAGACTGTCTTACGCTCAACATTTTGGGTCCACAAGGTGTGGCGGGGACCAACGCCAAACTTCCAGTCATGGTCTGGATCTACGGAGGTGGCTTCACCTCGGGTACTGGCACCACCTACAACGGCCCATACCTCAACACATATGCTGCGTCCACCGACCGTCCTTTCATTCTTGTGACGTTCAACTATCGCCTTGGCATATTTGGATGGGGCAATGGTGCCGAGATGGCGGCCAACGGTGCTGCCAACCTTGCTCTTCGTGACCAGATCCTCGCCCTCCAGTGGGTCAAGGAGAACATCAAGGCCTTTGGTGGTAACCCCAACAAGGTGACCGTGTTCGGCGAGTCGGCTGGCGCCATTTCTATTTCGTGCCTCATGCTCAACCAGTCGACCGACCTGTTCCATGGCGCTATCATGATGTCGGGTGCTCAGTCGACCTCGCCCCTCGGCCCCACCGCGGACGTGTGGCAGGGCCCTTACGACATGGTCGCCCAGCTTACGGGTTGCAAGAATGCGAGCACCCCGATCACTGCCGCCGGTAACCAGAGCACGTTTGATTGCCTCAAGAAGGTTCCAGCAGAGACTCTGCTCAACGCCACCATCACCACCAAGAACAACCTGCTCTATGCCTTGGGCTTTGTCTGGGGTCCCAGCGTGGACGGAGACATCATTCCCGGCGCACCTTGGAAGCTTCTTGAGGAGGGAAAGTTTGCTCGTATTCCATTCATTTCCGGCAACAACGTCGACGAGGGTACCCTGTTTGTGCCGACCTACCTCAACACCACGCAGATTCCCGTCTCCACTCTGCTCGACTTCTTGTACCCGAGCCCGCTCAACGCCAGTATCGCCGACGAAGTCACTGAGGCCTACCCCAATGTCCCTGCCCTGGGTGCTCCGTTTGGCACGGGTAATGAGACTTTTGGTCTCGACCCAGGATGGAAGCAGCTCACGGCCATCATTACCGATGGGGCCTTCATGTCTCGTCGCCGTTGGTTCCTCCGCCAGGCCAACAAGCACGGCTTCAAGAAGACTTGGAGCTACCAGTGGGATGGCAAGACCCCTGGCGACCCGGCATACTACGGAGGTGAGTATCCCTGCTGAAGAAGACGTGGTTTAGATACTGACCATGGCCCAGCCACACACGGTCGTGACGTTTACTACTCGTTCGGCGCCATCTCGACCGCTACCAACTACACGGTCGCCGACGTGTCCCTGTCGAACGCAATGATGAACTACTGGATCAACTTTGCATACTACCAGGACCCCAACGGCAAGAACATCAAGAAGAACAAGAACTGCAAGTCCAGTAACAGCACTACCGCCATGACCGTCCTCAACCAGACGTCGTGGGCACCCCACTCGTACCCCAAGAACAAAAACTCAATGTACCTGAGCGAGACCAACGTTAGCACTATTCAGGACGATTTCCGTGAGGAGCAGATGTCCGTCTTCTTCCAGAGCAACATGTCCCAGGCTCTTTTCTATAAGAGAGACGGAGAGAAGTAGTTAACCCGGATACCATAGCCGCGGACAATGAAACAACGATTTATCAAAAGTGCAACTAGTGCCACAGATGGAGCGTCCTGTGCGCGCTGCAGCACTGACCACTGATTCACTGACCACCGACCCAACGCATGGGTGCCAAGGAGTCTGTGCATAAGGTGAGTTTGCTGCTGACGGGCCGCAAACGGTGCGCAGTGGCGTCCCCTTGGCCCGTGCAGTCGGTGGTCTTGTCCTGTAACAATGCATGTCGAGTGCTGCATCGCACTTGAATCCCATCTTCTACGCATGTTCTAATGACCACCTTCTTCCCCTACGGCGGCTACCACCACAAACGCGGCTCACCGCCCTCATCTTACCACACTGCGCGTTCATCGCCTTCAGACACCTCAGACACCTCGGACAGCACCCTTGAGCCACCCATGGAGGACAACGAAGCCAAAAGCGAGGAGCGTATCGACGAGGAGGAGGAGGAGGACCCCCAGCGTACGGTTCGCGCTAGCGCCAGCAGTGCATCGCTCCAAACTGCCTGGAAGGGCGTCCCGCGTCAACGTTCACGCGTCTCACTGGCAGCCTGCGACGTTGCGTCACCACGTCTCCGCGAAGACTCGTTCCTACGTGACCCCATCCTCCTGGCCCCCGCAACCGAAGACGACAGCGATAGCAGCAGTGACAGCGAGCGGGAGGGAGGTGCGACCCCGCCCTTGCAGCGGTCCCCGGAGCACGAAGCCGGCGTGGTTCCTTCCCCGTCGCCACTCAACGAAGTGGCCATCTCGTTTCCACCGCACGAGGAAGCCGATCCGACCCCTCACACCAGCTCATCGCCGGCCCATCCGTCTACCCCTTTCCCAGCCCACACACCCCTCCCGCCCACGTCGACGCCTGCGGCCGCGCCCTCGCCCTCGCAGTCGCAGTCGCAGTCGCTGTCCCAGCCGCCCTCGCCGGCGGCCGCACTTGCAGCTCTCGGAGCGCTTCTCCCAGCCGACCGCATCGCCGACGTGCCCACCATCCCTGGCGGTGACGTCTCCTCGCTCCTGCTCAAGGCCTTGTCCGCGCACCTAGTGTTCGTGGCCGAAACAGAAAAGACGCGTGCGGTGGCCGCAGCGTCGCAGGGCGCAGCCGAGGCGGTTGCCGAGCTCGCACTGGCCAAGAGCGCCGCGGCAGAGGCACGCATGGTCGAGCTCGAGCGCGAAAAGCAAGACGAAGCCGACCGCGCGTCACGGCTCGCGGAACGCGTCCACCAGCTCGAGACCGAGGCTCTGGCGCTGAGCACGCAGTACCAGCAGCTGGACGACCAGGGCGCGACGATCCGCCGGCTCGAGGCCGAGCAGGACATGCATGCCGACGAGCTGCGTGCGGCACTGGAGCATGTGGCGGAGCTGGAACAGGACTTGGGGACGCGCACGCACAAGGTCGCCAGCCTGGAGCGTGACCTCGCCTCGGCGCGCGAGGTGGCCGATACCGTCGAGGGTGCGCGGGAGGCGTCGGTGCGCCAGCACACCAACCTCAAGAGCCAGTACGACTTGCTCAAGACGCATTACGAGCAGCTGTCGGCGCTCCTCGAGGCGGACGTCAAGGAGAAGACTATCAGCGCGGAGAAGACGAGGCAGCTCCTGGAGCAGAGGCGGTGGAGGGCGAGTCAGGAGATCAAGGTCGAGAGGTTTGTGTGAGCGTGGTGTATGTTTGTGTTTAATCTTGGGTTCGGTTCATCAAGTATAGTGTCACTAGACGTCATGGCCGCACAGTCTCGGCTTGTCTGAGTGTAGTAGGACGTCTGGAGAGTAGGAGGTTTGTGGAATGGGCCGTGAGATATGAAGTGCAACGCCCTCCTTCCATGTCCGTTGTCCCGCTTCAGACATTGCTTCGACTCGACAGCCTTGCCCTCGGTATGCGCAGACCCCATAACGCCATAGCGTTGCACCGTGCCAACTGGATTCATTGACAGACTTCCATCGTGTATCGCTACGCTCGCCTATAGTGTGCCATTGCTATCCTCAATCCTCGGTCTGTTTGATTAACGCGATAGCTCGATCGGCCAGCTGACCATTGTCTTGGCGTCCGTTGCGATTGACATCCAGCTGCCATATGAACAACGTATGCGCTTCGGCAGAGCCCCAACTCACTCGTTTATCTTACAACGGTCTCCTGCACTGCACTGGCACATCATTTCTCTCCTCATGACAAACGAGACCGCTCAGCCGCAATCGCGATCCAAGACCCCCTACGTCGTTGGCGGGGTGGTGGCCCTCTTGGCCGTTGGAGGGTGCACCACCGCACTCTACGTCCGCCGCGTGCATCGACTGTACCCGGTCCACCCGCCGCAGCCATACCACCTCACGCCAGTGGCGCAACAGCTCAACCTCAAGCTACCAACCACACTCGACGCGCCTGGATACCTGTCCGCCACCGTCCCCCTCCCTCGCACGGGGGACCCCTTGGGGACGTTCACAAAGGCGTTCTATGCCCACCCATACTTTTGCGTCGAGGGGTGGGTGATGCGCCGGCTCGGATATGCGGGCATGCCACGACCACCGGGTGTCGGTGTGACAGAGGTCGCTCCAGACACCCAGACCCAGGCGTCTCGCGAGAGCCATGTCGGCGGTTTGTTTGACGTGGTGGCAAAAACGCCCCAGTCGGTCCTGCTCTACTGGACCACACCGGCCAAATGGCTCAAGGGACGTCTAAACGCCGTCGCAGGCGGTACGCAGGAGCTGTCAGCTGTCCCCAAACCTGGACCCGAAGGTCTCCTCGAGGTGAGCTATGGGACAGCTCATTTCACACTGGGGGGAACGATCAAGCCTCGTTCACTGGACGCGCTGGATGTGGACCGAGCCATTCTGTTCCACGCTGCGGTGAAGCGGATGCGGAAATGGGCCAAGGTTCAGAATAAATTGTAGAAGGATGCGTAAAGTAGATGACATACAGAGGTTATGCGACCGTCGTTCACCGCTCAAAGGTTTATGGAGGCCTTCGACGTGTTGCTACATTGGTTTCGACATATGTGGATGTACCTGTGGCCCGGGTCTACCTCCTAGGCGCAGGACTCGGGGTCCAGCTCCTGGCCGCCGAGCTCGACCGTGCCCAACCGGCGCCCTTCTCCATCGCCGCGCTCCTCGCTTTGCCACTCGACCCCAGTGCGGCACCCAGTCCTCCTCCACCGCTCCGCTGTGGTGTGCGCCCCAGCGAGCGGTCCAGGAGACTCCTGGCTGCGGGAGTAAGCCCGCCCTCGCCTCGCGGGGTGGACGGCGGCTGCATCGAACCGCGGACGGAGCGGTCTCCCGTCCGCGTCTTGTTGGCTGCAGCGCGGAGGGCGTCGGTCAATGACGGGGTCGACGGCGACGGGCGCGGGGTGTACGCCTTGGCCCTGTCGGCGATGGACCTGCTGGCCTTGGCACCGAGCTTGCGTCCAATCTCGTCACGGCGCTTGGTCTCGGGCAGACGGAAGGACGGGCTGTCCAGATCCAGTGGGTCATCGGAGCCGTCGAGGCGCTTGGGAGTGGCGAGGAGCGTGCCCCACGTCATGAGCGGAGGCAAGTCCTCGGGTATGAGGTCGGCTTCTGTCGGCACCAAAGGGTGTGCTTCTTCCTCGCCACGCAGTTGGCGGGGTACATACGGCCTGCCCTCGATAGCTGCGTCGACGTAGGACCGCGCAGGGCTGCTTCCGCGAACGCTACCGGCCCTACTGCTGCTTGGCTCTTCGTCTTCTTCTTCCTGCAGTCGCGTGTTCTTGTGAGAGATGCTGGGTGGGGCGGCAAGAGGCTTGGCTTTGGGTTTCGTCAAGTTTTGAAACGGCTTGGTGTTGGCGTCGGGCGGGAACATGAGTCCATTCATGGCCTGGTCGTCAGCTCAAGGCGATTTCGGACAACTAACCTTGTAAGGCCACTGCTGCACAGTGCCGCCGTCGTCTTGCCCCTCGCCTCCCATGACACCCTTCTCAATTTGTCGGCGGCGGTCGCGCTCCTCGTCTCCACGGCCACGTCCTTCGCCGGAACCGGCGACCGCCTCGCGCTGGGGTACGATAGCGCCGTCCTCGGTCGACACGAGGGCCGTCGGCGGTAGGCCTGCCGAGACAAGGGCTCGGGACAATGGGTGGTCTTCGGGGAGTGTCTTCTCCTCGACCTTGGATGGTGGGAGAACGGATGCCGCCGCTGCGTCTGTTGCCTTGACGAGGGCACCGCCGCCTTGAGACTTGACGAGGGCCCGGGATGGGTCTGATGGAGTGGCTGTAGTCGTCCCCACTGGTCCAGCGGTGATCATCTTGCGCTCTCGCCATGCCTCGCCTTCGGCCTGTTCCGCTCCGCCTTCACTCAGCCCACCTATCAACCTCCGGCCGTTGGCGTCCACCCTCCACCCTCCACTGGTCGCCGCGTCGAGAATGAGCTTTCTCCGCTCGTCACCGGCAATGCGCTTGTCCTCGCTCACACGCTCGGCCTCAAACGCCCACGCCTTGTCCTCTCGCCGGCGCTGGTTCTCAGCCTCGACGATCTGGACAAAGCTCGCATTGTCCTCGCTTGTGTAGTTGCGCTGGAAGGCGTCGAGACTCAGGTCGTCGCGGACGAGCCGCTGCTTCTTGGTCCGCGACGGCCCTGCCTCGTCAAAGTCGTACACGTCCTCGGCCTCGTGTGACCGGCGCATAGTCGCGAATCCGGGCGTCTCGCTGCCACGCATACCCAGGGGCGTTTCTCCGAACCGCGAGTAGGGTGTGTCGGCCACCTCGGCACGGCGCTTTGCGTCGGGGTCAAGACGCGCGTTACGGCGAGCCTCGCGCGCGTCGTCCTTGGCGCCGGCGATACGTGTCAGGCGGCGGATACTCGAGCTGAGGAGCTCGGGGTCGTTGTCTGCCAGAGCGGACAGGTAGTCGTTTGTGGCGTGCAGATGTGGGAGGTTGGGGAAGAAGTCGCGCTGGATAATGTGGGACAGTGCGTCCGTGTATTCGTCTTCCTACAACTAGTCAGCTCCTGGGCATATGGAGGTGTGGGATAAAGAGATGACTCACATCGAGGACATGCTGTTGGTACAGGCTTCTCTGGCCGGTTTTCGGGCCTTCTATGAGCCTGGGTGCTGGGCCGGGGCGAGGCCGCAGGCCGTCACCGCCCGACATTGTTGTACAGCAGGTCTACTGCAGCGGGAGGCGGTGGGAGATCGAGAAAGATGAGATGGGAAGATGTGGACGACGGAGAGGATGTGGACGACGACTGATTAGATCTGGACAGAGTGATTTAGGTGGCAACAATAAGATAAGTGGGGGGCAGAAACACATAACGTGTTCGAAACCGACGTCGAAGGCTCGGGATAGTGCGTTTGCCACCGCACGGGCCATGGGGCTATTTTCAGGCCGTTTGTTGTTGGCCGTTGGGGCCGCAGTCGTGATGCATATGTGCCAGTGCAAACTGCAGTGCTCCTACAACTGTAGCTATGAATTTCCCCAAGACAATCTACTGGATGCAACGAACGCTGCTGCCTGCCCATGACGTCGGGGGTGTCTCTGGGCCAAGCAAGAGCCAAGAGATCGAGAAATGTAGATGGCCGGACGCTTGGCATGAGTGTGTGTGGCTGCAAGACCCCCTCGCATATACGATTTGGAATGCGGTGTTGCTTTTGCTGGTGGCGAAACGAAAACCATGGGGGGGGGTCACCGTACTGCTGCTGTCCGAGTTCCAAGCCGAGTGCATGCATTCATGTGCACCAGTGTTGGACAGGATGAGGTCGTGTGCTGCGGGCATGCATGGGCACACATTGGCTGCAGTGCGCTGGCCGCTGGCCGCTGGTTATAGGATGTGGGTGGAGCTGCTGATCGGGTTCCAAATGGTGGGTCACCACTGGCTGCTGCGGGGCGGGAATTGCTGTGACTCCAGAGATCTCTTAACGACGCGCTACCGACCCGCTACTTTTCTCTCATCATTCTCCATTCGTCCTCAACCCAGTATCTCTCGTCCGCGCACCACCTTGCTTCAACCCTAGTGCATCGGACAGGCGCACACGCCCTCGCTGCGACCGTCAACGACGCGTGCATACACTCTCCTGCCCCACCCAGGGCCAGTCGCCGCTCCCCTCCCCCTGGTCACTTTCCTCGCCGCCCTGCCCCTTACTTCCTTCCCTTCCACAACAACAACACCGGGAGACACATCCTCGTCATGTCCGACGACGACGGGGCAGGAGTCAGCGATCTCTTCCCCACGGGAACGTCGGCGACGGCGGTGTCGTCCAACTCTACGTCAACAAGCTCGGCCACCACCACCACCGAGTTGCCCCTGTTCAGCGCGACCAACACTGCAGCGGCCAAGGGTCCCAACACGCACACTGATGTCTACTACTATGTCGTGAGTGCTTTCCGAGTATAGCTATTCAAGACGCCGATAGCTAACGTGCAGCTCCTGGGCGTGTTAATCGTCCTCATCGCGCTCGCCGCGCTGCTCACCTACCGTGGCCAGCGCATGCGAAGACGGTACCGGACGGCGCACCAGCTGGCCCTCGAGCGCGGCGACCCACCTCCGTGGTGGAACACGTCTGACAGCCCCAACATCTGGGTCGCAGGGTTTGGCCGCAACCCGCCAGGCCCAATGGACCAGTGGGCGACGATGGGCGGCCGCCGGAGGGAGCGTCGCTGGGTGCGTATCCCCGTGCTGTGGGATTTGGTTGCCGAGCGCGAGCCCAAGGACCACCGTACGGGCAGCGTCACCCCTTCAAGCGGGAAACGCGTCGCGGCGAGCTACGCTTCTTCCGAGTCTTTGACAAACACGCATGTGGGCGACGACGGTGACGACATGATCCTCACGGGGAAGAGCCAAGTGAGTGTAGGCTATGCCGTGTGTTCGCGCGCCCCGTCCCCGTCCCCGTCCCCGTCCCTCCACACTTGCTAACATTTCGTTTTTTTCTAGCCCCTCACGCTCCACTCGCTCCTCCCAGAACCTGTGCCAGACTACTCCCAGGCCGCGGGGGCGGCCACCGCCCCGGACATGCGGAGCAGCTCGGGTGCGCGCACCGGCTTTGGCTTCTTCCGTAACGGCCTCCCACGCCCAGAACCTGAAGAAGGCGCCGGCGCGCCCGCAACGACGACTACAGCCGGCACAGCAGCAGCGCGCGAGCGCGAGATTGACCGCGCAGCCGCGACGGGCGTGCCCGGCGAGCCGGTGCGGATGGCCGTCCTGATCCAGATGCCCACGGACGGACACCAGGTGCCCTACGAGGACGGTGAAGGGTGGGCGCCCGGTATGGAGCTGGGTGTGTGGGAGGGACACGTCGCTGCTGCGACGGGAACAGGGACGCCGTTGAGCATGAGTGACAGTAGGAGGTGAGGCGTCCCGATATCGTGTTGTCATTTGTACCCTTCTAGACTGTCTGCATCCAGTGCTGGCTTTCGATTGACCGCGGGGATACTGATCGTACTGATACACCACCTGACTCCCCAACAGGATGACAACAACTGCCTGGCGCCGGGAGCTTCCGTGACTCTTCAACGAGGGCCATGCCCACCGCATCCTTGTCTCAGTGAGGTCATGACAATGGTTATAACTGAACAGCAAGACGTCACAATGAGCTAATGAACTACAACGTTGTTGATTGGTATACAACTCTCCCTCATTTCTAGGTATCCTATGCTCCATCCTTCTCCAAATGTTCTCACTAAGTACTCGGGCCCCAGGCATACCCCTCCAACTGGGTCAAGAACGGCTGCACGCTAATCTCAAAGCGCCCGCTGGCCTCCAGCCCCGCATAGTCGATCAGGACACTGGCCGCGTCGGGCCACAATGGAATCGTCGGGCCAGCGTCGACACGCGGGACCGCCGAGGGCGACAGGTCCAGGTCGTTGTGGTGGCTGCCGCCGTTTGCGAGCACCTGTGCGTGGTGGCCATGCGGGCGGACGGGGGCGAGCGGGTTGGGGATGGGCGGGGCCATGTGCGACAGGCGTTTGGGCAGGTCGCGGATATCTCTCGCGCCGCCAGGCGTGCCGTTGCCGTTCCCGATGGGGCTGGATGTTTGGTGGGGTTTCGGACGCTCGTCCCGCCTGCGTTCGGCCAGGAGGAGACGGTGCAGCTCGTCGTCTTTGCCCTCCGTCTTTGCGGGAGCTGGGGCCGAGCTCGCGGCGTGGCGCGCACTCCGTGCCGCGTCTAGGCGCTCGCGGGCTCGCTTGCGCAGGCCGAGGAGCGTGCTCAGTCCGTCCTTGACTCGACAGCCGTCACGCGCGGCGCCGGACAGGTCGCACACGATGGACAGGCCCGAGAAGGCCGGCTGGGCGAAGCCGCATGTCGGCGCCTCGATGGCGATGGCGGCGAGGCAGACGGCCGCGCTGAACGCGTGGAACCAGAAGAACCACCAGCGCTCGGCGAGGGCGGGCGAGTACAGGACCAGTTGCTTGAGGACCTGTACAATCTCCTGGGCCGACTCGTACAGTGCCACAAAGGCCGCAGCGAACGTGCCGTGGCTCGGGGCCGTGGGGGAGGCCTTGAGAGCCTGGACAAAGGCCGCGCGGTTGAGGTGCAGGCGTGCTTCGGCGATAAAGAGCCGGATACCGAACCGCTGGAGGACGAGGTGCGGGTGGAGCGACGTGTCGAGTGGGAGGTCCTGGATCGCGACCGAACACATGAGGGATTCAGGCAAGGATTTGCGGACTGGAGTCAGCTAGGTCAGGTGGATTGAGCAGCTCACATTCTTGGAGCTCGAGGTCAAGGTCCACCACAGCCGAGTATGGCACAGGTGTCGGCTGAACTTGCTGCCACTGTCAGTGCCACATCCCTGTCCATTCAAACCCACAATATCCACGACCCTCTCCATCATCTTGACCAAACAGTGCTTGGCGTGGTGGTACCCCGAGTCATCCGAAAACAGAACCCCGTCGGCCGAGGGGAACTTGGTATCGGCGTGGCGGTTACTGAGGCCACATGGCCGTCCAAAACTGAGCGCCTGCGTACGGTCGTATTCCTGTACACAGTTAGCGCCCGATAACTTACTTCATGGGCTAGTGGGGAGTGGCGCCCTGTGAGTGGCTGTTCCCCGGCCGGAGCATGGGCGCCACAATCGTTCCACGAGATACACGCACCATGAGCTCCCAAAACACCTTTCGACGCTCCTCGACGTCGCGCCCGTCGAGGCCAAAGGCTTCACCGTCACGGTGCAGCCCGACGCTGAGGGCGATTTTGACTGCCTGGCCCAGGGTGGGCCAGTATGATTCGGCACCGTTGGAATCTGCACAACGTCAGCGACAAGATCAAACATGGGTGTGTCGTTAGGACCCGATGCACCCACCATTGTCGTTTACAATAAACGTCCCGACCATCACGAGAGCCTGTACCGTGGCCACGGAAGCCTTTTCGTGCGAGCGCTCGAGCGCCTGCCTGCCGAGGTTGAACAGTTCCTTGCCGCGGGGGTGGACTGACGTGTCAGCCGAGTTACCTTTCCGACTTGCGCCGCACAACTCTACACTTACATGGCGGCCTCGACAGGTCGAACATGACACCGATCGCCATGGCGAGGAACACACAGGCCAGCTGGTGGGGGTTCCCGCCATCGCCATACGCGCTGGGGAGGTACTCTGCTTCAAATGTGGGGCGGGGAACGACCTGGTGGCTGAGAAAGAAAAGAAAGAAAAAAAATGTCAGCATGTGCGCCGATGCGACGAGCGCCACGCCAAACCACCACACGTCCTCGACTCACATCCAGTTGACGTGGTCCCAGTACGCCTCGGCCATGGACCTGCCCTCGTCCCATGGCGGAAGGCGCGAGCGCAAGTCGGCGAGCGGGTCCCCTCCTCCGCCGTGTACATCCCTTCGCTGCCTCCCGGCCCCACTGTTGGCGCTACCACTGCTCCCCGGCGGCCCTCCGCCAAGTGCCATCCCGGCACTGCCGGCATCGTATGCCGAGCCCGCAGATGGCGGAGACCGGCGGTCACGCAAGTATGCGCTGCCGGCGAGGGAGCCGACGTAGCGCGTCTCGCCACCCGTTCCGATGGACAGGGAGCCAGCAGTGGCGGATACAGAGACGGACGAGTGGGCGCGCGCGTCGTGGTGCTCGCCGTGCCCGTGTCCGTGTCCGTGTCCGTGTCCGTTTTCCCGGTCACGTTCGCGTTCGTGGTCGCGGTGTGATGGGCCTGGACCGTCGGGGCCAGTGCCGTTTGGCCGGTGGGGCGGGTGGCTGTCGTCCTTGATGGCTGCTTCCAGGACCGCTATCCGCGCGTGGAGCTGGACGTCAGCTACAGAAACTGTGGTCGCGCCACGAGACATACTTGATCCGTCACAGGTTCAACACTGTTCGTCAGCTTGACATCGAAAAACTATTTGGCAGCTGATACCCACCGCTTCTTCCTCTCACGCTCCATCACGCCCTCGGGGCAGATACTAGCACACCCTCTCCTCTCGCCTGCAAAGGTCAGCGCAAGGCCAAGCCAACGTCGAGCCGGGCAGCGTTCCAGACATACACATTGTACATGGCCATGCCTTTGAGCATTTCAACTTGAGCCTAGTTGGTTCGTCAGCTACGGCCACAGCACAGGCACGCCGACGCCATTCCCAAGAACATGTCAATACCCACCGTCGACACTCTGCACAGCTGAACCGCTTGCGTCCGCGCTTCCTCCTCTCGATGAGTACGGGTGCGCTCCCGACCCCGGCACGCTGTTCACGCTGTTCCCTCGCCTCGCGTTCTCGCTGTTCGCGCGCCTCGTCGTGCGGCGCCGGCGGACGCGGCGCGATGGGAACGGGGCCGGAGCCGGGCATCGAGGAGGACGATGGTGGATGGGGATGAGGGTGAGGATGCGGTTGGGGTTGTGGTTGGGATTGGGGTTGGGATTGGGATTGAGGTTGAGGTTGGGGGTGAGGATGCGGGGGATGCTGTTGGGGGTTATTCATTTGTGGATGTAATTGATAGGATAGTGGTCGGGGCAAGCAAGGAAAGGAAGATCGCCTCAGCGTGGCGGGGGGTTGGTGGTTATCGCCCTGCGCAGCCGGTGTTGGACGGGGGCGGTAGATCGGGTGCAAGGACACGGTGTCGGGAGGAGGACGACGACGACGAAGGGGGGGGGGGGGGGGGGGGGGCATACACGGGGGGGCCTGAGAACGATGGATGGGGAGTGTTTGTAAAGGGGACGTGGTATGCGACCGACGCAGAGAGAAGGCGGCGGCGGCGGGCGGGCGGTTGTACCACTCCACCACTCACCCAAGCTGAAAGATAAGCAGCACCCACCGGGGCAGCGGGGCTGGCCGGGCTGGCAGCTGACAACGGCGGCTGATTGGCGCAAGATAACCACTGCAGCCCCGCGCTGCCTGCTACCGGACGCTCCGCCTCGACCGGGCAACCATCGCTGCAACCCATATGCACATAGTGCACACATTACCCGGTACACAATCTCATCTCATCGTGCATCGGGCCTGTCCATGCGTCCGTTTGACATGGACAAAGGGGGTGACGGAGCCCAATCAACCGTGGCCCCGGTGCCCACATGGGGCCGGTATATTTGGCTACTTTGGTTCTCGCAGATTGCAGCGGCTCAGCCATGGAGCCATGGTGTCCGTGTTTTTCCGCCTTGTCCAACAGCACACAGTTGTGCACAGCCAGCCAGGTAGAGACAGTTTAAAGTTTCCTGCAGTATCTGATCTCCAAAAGGTCTGTGCCACCGGCGAGCAGCAGCTCCGTTCTCCGTGGTTGCCCAGAGCACTCGTCGTCGACGCCGCCCGCAGCTCCAAGCCCCGGACTCGGACGGCCGCCGCGATTGGACAGAGATAGGAATCACTACTTTATGCAACCGCTCCGTGTGCCTCACTACCCACCCCCCCCCCGCCATTTCTCTCCGCCTCCCTGTCTCACACCCACCAGATTCCAGGCGCGTCATCAAATGCATGTATGTTATGCTACAAATGGTCTCTTTGTCATACGCGGGGTGGGGTGAGGCTCGCCACTCACAGCACTCTACTACGCAGGGGCACGTCCTCGCCTTGCTGCTGCTCCTCGTCGTCGTCCTCAGCGTCCCCGTCCGACGGCAGCGCCCGCTGGCCGTGTTCTATAGAGTCATGGTAGCCGCGGGCCGCCTCCAGATCGCGATCGCCTTGCATAGAGTGCCGCCGCTGCGTGTCGAGCCCTGTGAAAAACACCGGGTTAGAACTGCGCTCACAGTCGTGGCCCAACATGTGTCCAAAAGTTCAAACCCGGAAAGCCGGGGACGTCCACTCACTCGCGAGTTCCTATTGGTTATCGTCCGCCGCAATCGCGTTGTACCGTCCTCGGCTGACCGAGTCGCGGCGGGGCGGCCGACGACCCATAAGGCCGTCGAACGCATCGTGCATCCGGCCAAAGAGGGAATTGTCCGCGCGCGCAGGCATCGGAGACCCGCGTCGGGACAGCGGGAGCGTGGACGAGACCGAGCCACCGGGCCTCAGGCTACCGACGAGCGAGGACGTCTCAGTCTCGGACTGCGCCTCGGGGTCGGACATGATGTCGTCGTCGTCATCGTCGTCGTCGTCGTCGGTGGACTCGTCGCCGAAGAGCTTGTCCATCTCCTCGAGTGGCACGCCACGGGTCTCGGGGTACAGGAAGTAGACTGGACGTCAGCTGCGGTCCTTCTAACGGGCTTCTTAGCTTACCCAAGATAAACGAGACCACGCAGAAGAACGCGTGCATGGGATACAGGCGCCAGCCGATAAGCTCCTGGAAGAGCGGGGTGGTGACGCCGACCCAGTAGTTTGCGAGCCAGTTGGTCGCCGTCGACAGGGACACACCCTTTGCGCGGAACGGCAGGGGCATGATCTCGGGAGGGTAGAGCCATGGGATCGGTCCCCAACTCATGCCGAATGCAAAGTTGTAGACCACGACACAGACGACGACTGGAATGTCAGTTTAGGCGTCTAGGAGCACGGCATAAAACTCACCGGCGTTGGGCGTGATCGCTTGGTCAATGTAGATCCAGTAGCCCGTGGCAGTGAGGGCGAGCGCCATTGCGATCGAGCCACAGAGCAGGATCGGACGGCGTCCGGCCAGGTCGGTAAGCCACCATGGCGGGATGGACGAGGTAACGTAGAAGAGCGAGTTGATGCCTGTCATGAGAATAGCATCGCGTCCAATCCAGCCGGCCTCTGCAGATGTCAGTTTCAGCAACATTGGTCAAACTCACGCTCAAAAACCTGCAGAACGCGGTGGTTAGCATTCCCTCGACACAATCACAATCAGCAGTACGGGCGTACCAGTGCTGGCGGGTTAGCATCGGACAAAACCGACGAATACCCACGAGCATAGTAAGATATCACGTTGATGCCATTAAGCTGGGCAAACAGCTGTGAGCTCATGGCGATCAGAACACGGCCGCGGTACCGGGTCCACAGGGCCTTGTACGAGCGGTCGCCGACGGCACGCTACGAGTTGTCAGCAGAGCACTTCAAAGCCGCAACTCACGTCTGCAAGGACTCCGTCGCGAATCTCGTTGTACTCTTCCTGGACCTTTTCATCGTCCAGGTCCCGACCCTGGAAGTCGGCGATGACCTGGAGACCCTCGGTGTCCTGATCCGTGTCGATGAGGTAGCGGGGCGACTCGGGGCAGACGAAGCTGCCCATGCACAGGACGATGCCGCCAATGACCTGGATCGACAGGGGCAGCCGCCACGACCAGTCCGACTCGATGTAGCTGCACGCGTAATCGATCCAGACAGAGGAACTGTAGCCGACAATGTTGCCCGTAAACTCGAGTGCGCCGAGGAAGCCGCGGTGGTCGGCCGGAGAGACTTTGTGATGTTAGCACACACAGTTCTCAGAGCTCTTCTTGGACAGCTTCTCGCTGTGCTTGGGTCTCCCGTAATCCGGCGAGATCTCGGGTCAGAGACACCAGGACATGGTACGCGGCCACGAGCTCCGGCGCGGTACCGGTCGCATCGTCCGCACCGGGACGGCCGGCAACTCACTCTCAGCCTGGTAGATCGGGACGATCATGCTACGAACGCGTCAGCGCCACCCAGTCTTGTCGCTCTTCTTCTCCTTCTCCCTTCAACGCCGCTCCACCGTCACACTCACCTCAGCATGCCGACGCCGCAGCCCGAGACGAACCGCCCAAACACCATGACGGCGTATCCGTTACAGAATGTCTGGAAACAGCCGCCAATGGAGAAGAAGACGGCACCGAGACGCATCGTCATGCGGCGGCCCAGCTTGTCTGCGAGGGTTGCGGCTGCTAGGGACGTGACTGTGGGGCATGTTAGAGAGGCTGTACACTTGGTTGCGCCACCTGGCCGGGAAGGACTCACTGAACGCTCCGATCTCGAGCACGGCGACCATGCTGCGCCCGTCAGCGCTGAACAGTAAGCACACGGCGCCAGACGTACTTTCCTATCTGTGTCGACGACGGTTGGTTGACTGTCATGTGTTAGTGGTCGCAGCGGACGTGGGTTCGGTCGAGAGGTGGGGACGCACAGTATGCCCTGGGAGAGTCAGCACCACGCTCCTCGCTGGCCACCGAGCGCCGAGCACCTGAGCTATACTCACTTGAAGTATGGTCCAGTAATGACGCCTGGTCGTCAGCACCATCTCGGAGGGGGGTCACTGCATGCAAACTGCTTACCAGACATGACTCTGTATACGCGCGCCCAGTGTCAGCATTCCGTCTCGTGTCGCAGCGGCGGGTGGTGGACGCACCCTTGATCGTATCTGTGACGGGGGTCAGCGCCATCGCACAGGGAGTGTGGGCCGGGGAGAGAGAGGGGGGGGGGGGGGGACGCACCCAAAGAGCCATACGCCGATGGAGATGAACACCGAGACGGTGTAGAGCAAGCTGTTGCCCCGTAGGCCGCGTTGCTTGGGCGGCATGGCTGGCAATGAATGTCCTGCGCGGTGGGTGGTGGGTGTACACAAGATAGTGACGGATAGAGTGTGGAGTTGAGACACGACGAGGGCACCGGAAACGCGAGGTGACGCCGAGAGAGAGAGGGTGTGCGGGGATGCGGGGTGTGGGGAGCACAATCGCGCGCACAACGAGGGTGACTCGCTAAGGGAAAAAAAGGCGGCGCGACGCCGAGGAAAGGGGGGGGGTGGGGGATGGGGAAGCCGCGAGAGCGTGGTAGGAGGGCGGGGGCGGTGTGGACCTATGCTGCACGCATGAGAAGTGGGTGGGGAGCGACGAGAAGACGAGTGGAGACAACAAAGAAGGAAGAAGGAAAAGAGAGAGAAGTGAACACAAGAGCAACAAACCCCCAATGGAGCGCGTCATCCGTCTCGTTGGCGGCGGCGGCGTGTCGCGCGCCGACAAGGGGAGGGGATATCTTCTCACACTCGTTTCAGCGGCAGCGGCACCGTTGCCACGTCTGGTGTTGCAACGGGGCCGAAAAGAGTCCTACGAGTCTGCCAGTGGCCTGCACATTGTACAGTGTAGGTATCCTCCCTCACATGCATGTATGGCGGCCATAATACAGCATCCAACGGTCTCGCGGTCTTCTCGGTAAGCATGTGCTCGGGAGGAGGCCGCGGAGGTGCAGTCAGTGTCCTTGCGTTCGCCAGCTGAAACACAGCATGTGGGGCCGGCGGCAGACAGCTACTGCCGGCACGGCTCACTAATTCACTAACAAAACGCAGAGCTGGAGCATACCCTAGGCTTGGCTCGCTCGTCGCCGTCTCGAAATGGCACATTAGAGATCAAAGAAGCATAGCGAAGCAGACACTGTGTCGCTACAAGTGCAGCAGCTAGCAAAGTGTCTCGCCGCGATGCTTCCGAGATGGACACCATGCCCTGTTGCCCTCGACGACCGCGGAGCTGCTTGGCATTAGGGTGGCACCGCGTTGAACACCACAAGCGCCCGCACAGGCCCATAAGCCCAAGCGTACAAGCGTCATAGGATCATAGGCTCATACAGCTGCGCTAACTGCGACCAAGCATTGAATAGAGACAGCCACTTGCGTTGGTCTCGCAGCCCGGCTGTCCTCATGCTCCTCGGGCTCCTCCATGTCAGTCCGCGCCGTGTCCGTGTGGCCTCGTACAGATCCCATGCCCCCACCACGGACTCTCAACACACGCACAACAGCGCACAACGACCGCTCTGCTCAGCTCTCACAAAGTACATCACCTAGGAAGTAGAACCCGTCGGGCCAGCCTCCGCCTCAGTCTCCGTGTGCAAAGGTATTCCCATTTCGTGTCCTGGTATCTATAGTCGTAGCGAAACGGACTCTTTAGCATGCGCACCCCGATGCCGACGCCGCCTCCTCGGGAGCGGCCGACACGTCAATCTCTGCAAAAAGCCGAGGTCAGAAGTCTGTACACGCCAACTTGGAACTGGACTGGACTCACTCTGATTTGCCGCGGCGGCAGCACCCTCGGTCGTGGCTCCGCCTGGCAGGGCCATGGCAATCTTCTTGAACAGGGCCTTGACGTTGTGTCCGGCCTTGGCGCTGGTCTCAATGCTCATGACGCCGAGCTCCTTTGCGCGCTTGTCGAGGTCCTCGGGTGTGACCTGGCGCTTGTCGTTCAAGTCCGTCTTGTTGCCCACCAGCACGATGATGACGTCCTCGCCGCGCTCGTTGCGCACGTCGTCGACCCACTTGGTCGTGTTGAGGAAGGAGGTGCGGTCTGGGAGCGTCGTCAGTACAGAGTACAGGCGCGCGTTCTCGTCGAGGAGGTACAGTGACGAGTTCAACTGTGCACCTCCCAAACGAGCTGTCCATCAAGCGGGACAGCCATCAGTGACACCCACTCGTGATGTCATACACGATCACCGCCACCGATGAATCTCGGATGTATGAGGGGATGAGGGAGCGGAAACGTTCCTGTGCTGTCAGCTAGAACATCCTAGGCAAGACGTGTTAAGCTCACCTGGCTGCAAGTGAAAGAAGGCGGCCGTGGTCAGCGATTCCTCAATGAGATGGCGTCCATAACCCTTGCCGCAGCTCACCCAGCTAGTTTGGTCAGCGCCATGACTTGTATCAAACCAAACGAGTAAACAGCCACTCACCAGTGTCCCAAAGTTGCAACCTCACAGTGCGGTCCTCGAGGTACATGGTCTTGGAGAGGAAGTCGATACCTGGGAAACAGAGTCAGTCGTCGACGTCATAACTGGACGCCGGGCATCCGCCCCGCTGCAGCGCACCGATAGTGGCCTGGTACGTGTTGTCAAAGGTGTCGTACATCTGTGCCACTTGTCAGCTCAGGCCCAATGTGCAAGCAGCTGGCGGCAACGTGTGCGCCTGGGCATTCGTTCAACAGCGAACAATCGAGGTTTTGGGTCGGGACATGCCGCACAGGCCGACGTGGGCTCGTGTTCACGGAGAAGCAGTCTCAGGCGCGAAAGGAGCGTGAGCACAAACTCACGAAACGGGTGATGAGGGAGGTCTTGCCCACGCTCTGCTCGCCGAGGAAGACGAGCTTGAACTTTTTGAGCGGGGACGAGGCGACATACTCGCCGCCGGGCGTCGGGGTCGCGGCCGAGGACATTGCGCGGTGGAGGAGGGTGGGGGGACGGCGGCGCGGGACGGTCGATAGGGAGACGGGCAGGCGTGCGAGGGGAAGGAAATGGACAGTCGCGGAGTGAGCTTGACACAGGAGTGCTGCTACTGCCTGTTTGTGTGGAGAGTCGGGGACTGTGGAGAATGGAGATTGTTGTCGGGTGCAACGAGCGAGGATGTGGTCGAGGCCAACGACGGGCGACACGCGAGGCGTGCGTGACACGGTGGCAACAAGGCCCCACACGAATTGCCGTTTTGGGCAATTACTCCCACCATGCCATGTGAGAGTGGCGTGGCAGCGTCTGTCGGACGAGGCTCTGGCAAAGTCACTGCTAGACAGGCCATATGCATATGCATTTAGAAACCATTGCAATTAACACAAGCCCAAGTGGTACTGTACTTACCATGATTGCCAGGTCCAAACCTTTATTCCAGAACCAAAGTGCCGGAGACGAACATTGTCCTGCGCCCGGCTACATCGCGCAGTGCGTAGCGGGCTCAACGGCGCCCTGTGCGCCTGTGCAGAGCGCACTGGAACGCCGAGCTGCCTGAATCAACTTACGCGCCGCCAGTGAACCCTTGGACGCGCCGGAGGTGAGGCATGAAAGACAAAACGCCAACTGAGGCAGCCCGCAGCGCCACAGCGGCGTCCCGAGGATGCCTGCACATATGTATTACGCAACTTTGCGAAAGAGTTGGTAGCCTACAACAAGTTGTTGCAGAACACGGGCCGGACGTCTGTCCTTTCCCGGCATAGACTGTGGGATCGACCGTGAGTGGCATGAAGGGGTGTGCGAAACCCACCCTCACCTGCACCATCTCTGCGTTATGTCCGCCAGAGTAGGCAGGGGATGTGAGATTGTCACACCGGGTACGAGCCTCGAGGACAAGAGACCACGTCGACAAGGTAAAGGACGATGGTGTGCCCACCTAGCCTTACAGATACTTTATACAATACAACAATCTCTCGATTAGATATCAACCAGGCCAAGTTCCCTGTACCTACTCGTACACCTTGTCCTCCCACTCCCCTACTCGCGCACGGAGATGGGGCGGTGCGTCGACGGCGGCGCCGGTTCAATCTCAAGGTACAGTTCGTTGGGCGGCAGGGTCGCCTCGTACTCCTGACTGGTCATAAACTGGATATTGTCCACGGCACTCTTGAGCATCTGGGTGGTCCAGTCGGCATGGTGTACGTGGCCCCAGACATCACGGTACACTGCGGCCTTGGCCTTGAGCTTGTCGACGATACGGTCCTGCAACTGCTCCGGGGTTACCGGGGTGCGGAACCCAAGAAGCAGTGGGTCCAGGGCGGTAATGTCCACCAAGACCATTTTCTCGATCACGGGCAGCTGGTCGACGAGCGCGTCGGCGATGACTTCGAAAATACCCAGACGTGAAGGTCGCCGTTTCGACCACACGGGATGCGCACCGACAGTTGGTTCGGGAAGCGCAAATCGGATAACCAGTTCGTTGATGTTTTGGTTCCAAGGCATCTCCGGGTACGCGGTCGCGGCGAGCGGGAGGTCGTCGATGCTGTTCTCCACGTCGACGTTGACAATCACCTTGCCCGACTTGTACCCGACCTGGGCAATCTCCAAGTATGGTACGTCCTCGGACGTGTCAAAGCTGCAAAACATGATCGTCTTGCGTGCTGGCAGCTGAGCGAGGACCTTGTCTTGCGCCTGTTCGCCCACGTTGGGCTGGTTGATAAAGTACCGAGCGACGTCCAGCTCCGCGGGGATGTGCTGTAGCAGAGGCACGCACCACTCGGGAAGCTTGCCAATAACGTCGACGACTTTGACGCCGGCGACTGCGGCCATGACTCGCTTTTTTGCCAATTTGCCTTGTGGGCTTTGGCGACGCGAAGTGACAAACATGCCCTCGTGGTCCACCCAGAACAGCAACGGAGCCCTGCCCAGGTGCGTCTCTACCGATTTGTCCTTTTGGAATGTGGGGTGGCCATGGATGACCAGCGAGTTCATAAAGATGCCATCGATGCGGTTGCACAGGTCTTTGCATGTGCCGCGGAGTCGAATCAGACTCTTGACTGGGGCATGGTCGACAATGAGGTCAAACAGGTGTGGGTAGAAGTTGTGGTCCAGGACTGGGAGGGTGGTAGGGTCCACCTGACCGGCGTTGGGTGCTGCAGAGGGGTCTCTGGGGCGGACCATCTTCCTACGGGTGCTGGCTGTTTTGGCAGGAGGCACGTTGTCGAGAGAGGGTGGTGAATGAAACGAGTTGCATCCCAGAAATGTTTGTTGTTTATATGACAGCGGTGGCGCGCCGATCTCTCCTTGCGGGACATGAGGGTCCGGTTCCTGGATGGGACCCCCGGTCCCGGCAACGGGGGGTCTCAATTGGGTCACGTGACTAAGCTTAATAATGTAGTAATGACGTGTAATAGTCTATCACTTGTTTGGTTCCGAGAGCTTTCGAGCATGTGGCGCACATGTGCGGCGTGATGCTTTTGGCCTGTGGCAAGCGGCCAACCGGCCCACATGCAACCGTCCAACCGTGCAACCCGCCTGGATGCTGATTACGCTGGTACGTTTTTCTCAGCAGGTGCGGGTAGACAGCCACGTCCGGAACGTGCAGATAGGTGTGAAAATTGTAAGGGTTTGGGCGTGCGCTAGGACACTGCACAGACCTACACCGGGGCCCTTGCCAAAAGAAAGATAAGGAGCGCCCAGCAGTCGCTAGTCGGATAAGTAGGCTGTCGGTATTGGTCTCTGTTCCGACAGTTATGCAGCGTTACATCGGTCTTTCAACATGCACTAACATCTAGGCTTGTCCTTGCCCGTCATGCTTAACGTAGCAGATTTGACTTGAGCAAAGACTGGGATGGCGAGCGGTTGCTGCGCTGTATCTGGCCTTGCCGACGGCAAGTAGCTCCAAGAGGCCCCCAAGATAAGGACAAACGCCACAGTCAAGATCCGGGTCTGGCATTCTTCCAATATGCCATCACCATGGGCCGCGAGGGGGGACAAACCACGCAAGGAGCGCCGCATGGTTCAACCACCGAGGCTGCTGCCCTTCAATGGCATGCACGGCCCACCTACCTGTAGGTCGTTGCCCGTGTGGCCGTGTGGCTAAACAGACACCGCGTTATTCCGGGGTCCTCCGACTCTATCGTGTTCCCCCCGGATCACGGAGTTCTTATCTGCCCACGTACGCGTCTAGTACGCGACCATGTGTTTGCGCCACCGCCCAAAGGCTGAGGGCTAGACCGTGTGCACGCAGCGCAGGAGCCTATCACGTATGCAGACGAGTGGACGGACCCGTTGGGTAAATCCCGCTCTCAACCCTCTGGCCGTCACGCGACAACATGATTAATGTGTGGACTCCAGTGACAAGAGAGGCTAGAGTCCCGTTTCTGGGAACCCGATCACATCCTCCATCTACCCCACCACACCATGTCGCTAGTGAGTACTGTGCGCAACGCCCAGCATCTGTGCATGGACGGCCATCGCCGTGGACCAGCCGTTTCTAACGTTACACAGTTCAGCGGCTCCACTGGCAAGGCATCGTCCGCCAGCAGCGTCTACAGCGACGACACCCCACACTACACACGAACTCTTGCTGTCACCACATCAGCCCCCTCTGGCAGCTACAAGGCGAACGTGCGACCTGGAGGCGGCCGTGGTGGCGCTGGGTACTACAACAAGGCCAAGTCGCCCAAGGCTCCAAAAGCGTCGCTGGCCAACGAGGAGTGGGACGACTCGGTGAGTTGAAAAGCGCTTTGGAACCCGACTTTACTCGGGTACCACAGGCTGTGCTCCACAAAGACCAGCTGCTTACTCCACAGCTTACTACTTCGTTCCGCAAACTTGGCAAGAAGAAAATGCAAGGCTCCATCCACAGCAACGAAACTGCGCGCGAGCAAGGACGCCCCTCTACACCACTGCCAGAAGGCATGTACCCCATCGGCGTGAGCTTTTTGGACATGGGGGGCTAGGCGATGGCCATGAGGTCTGGGGGCAGCAGCGGGCATGGGATAGATAGGATGGGAGCGTCGCTCGGTCGACAGGTTTTTGTACATAGCTAAAAAGAGAACGTTTGTAGAGTTACGGGCCTCCACATTAGAGAGCGAATAGTAGAGACACCCCGCCAGACGGGGGGTCCAAAGATGTGTACATATCACAAACCCCTCCTCGCCAGCTGTCTTAGCGCTTTTCAGCCCACGGTGGATGTTCGTCCTCGACGGGGGACAGTTTGTAGTCGTCACCGCCCGACTGCGACAACATGTAGTCGTCGGGGCCAGATACCACTGACAAAGTGCGTGGGTGGGCGGTGTTGACCTGAAGCCTCTGGCCCGCAGCCCTAGCGTGGCCGTGGCTTCTGGCCTCTGAATGCGAGGCTTGTTGGCGAATGACTGAGGAGGCGGTTAGTAGCCACCCTCTCCCTGCTCCTGCAAGCCACTTACGAGGCTGTATGGATCCGTTCTCGGACGCCGCCATCGGCCGAGGTGCGCTGACACGGTGATCAGTCCCAACGATGCCAGTGGCGCTGGCAGAGGTCGTCGACCCCTTTCTCCTACGTGCCAAGAAGACCACGAGGGCAATGGCAGCGGCCACAACCACGAGGACTCCAATCTGTGACCTGTCAGCAAACCCGACGTCAACTTCTAACTGCACACTTACAACAATACCGGCAATGGCACCTGATGACAGGCCTTTGGAGTGTGCTCCACTTGTGGCCACAGGCTCTGGGGAACCCGGGGTTGAACCGCCGCCACCGCTCTCTTTGCTCGGCCGCCCCGATGCGGCCGCGGTGCCGTTTGTCCCCGTGTAAAAGACCACGCTGTGCAGGAAGAAGAACGTGTCCACCTCCAGTTCAGGATTGGACCACATGTTGATGGTCATGTTGTACTGCACGGTAGGGTCCAGAGGTGTCATGAACTGTGTCACGGGGTCGAAGAAGGGTCGGTACGAGTGTAGTATCTGAGAGTTGTTGTGGAAGCTGCTTGGGGGCTCGAAGACAATGCTGTAGTCGGACCCGTTGAGCCTTGAAGCCCCGAAGATCTCCACAAAGCTCGTGTTCGCCGGTAGCGAGGCCAACAGCGACGCTTCCCCAGCGGGCTTTCTGAGGACCGGGCTTACGAGGACCGGGTACGGTGCTGTGCCGGTCAGCAGCTGCCTTTGGGAACGGACTCGGACTCACTCATCCCCACAGCCGAACGGAAAGTCCACTGGCTGCCTCCTTCAGCGGTGGGAGTAAAGAACGGGTTCGCTTGCAGCTTCGGGATGCCATCGGAGCCTGTCGATGCAGCTTGGATGGATGTTTGTGTGAGAGAGGGAAGGCTTGAAATGTGAGCTGTCTGGCAGTTTGCACTAGATGCCTACCCTTGGCGGTCCATTCCCGACATCACCATACAGCCAGTGATGTTGACTTTGCCTTTGATTATTGTCAACACGGCCGTGTGCTCGGAAAAGCCGAGTAGTTTCGTGCATGGAAGGTCCCCAGTCCTCGCTCCATTCTCGATACCGTCCACTGACAAGGACCATTCCGCTCCGTCTGAGGCGCCTTGGAAGCACACCATGGTGCCGGCGAAAGTGAGAGAGACAGTGGCGTTCTCAACGGTGTTGACGTGCACATGGGTGCCCACGCCCGAGTCAGCCCGCGGCACCCCGTTGAATGTCGTGCTCCAGGTGGTGTTCTCGCTGGCACCAGCACTGTTGCTATACTGGAGCATCGTGTCCATGTCTGTGAGGTTGAACGCCTCAGATGTGATTTCGGCGCTTGCCACAGCAGCCAGAATGGCCAGGGACAGCCACGACACTACAAAGGCAACCGGAAAAGCCATCGTGTCGGCCACGTCGTTGTGGTGAGGTCTTGTGAGAGATGAGATGTGGGTGGATACAAGATGACCAGACGCGCTCTCGCTTTCCTGGCAGACACGAGCCTTCCCGCACCACCTACATTCATAACAGTACGTGCTCCTCTAGGCAACGCGGGCCACACCGATCTCACTCACGAGGCATGAGCCCACAACACACGCCAGTGGGACAGTGTACCTCTGACCAGTCAGGAAAACATTGCCTGCACCGCATGGTTATATCTGGCAGCAATCCTTGCTCGGCGTTGTACGGCAGACACAAGCATGCTCCGAGAAATGAGCCGCTTCAAGGCCCCCAGGCGGCTCGAGTTCATCTCCTGGGCCCAGCAACGGCCGGCCCAAATCGCCAAAACCACAACGCGTCGAGGCACAGCCTTTTGGGGGCGGGACGACCACCGTTGTTGTGCCCGCCTGTACCGCTGTGTATGTTTCACAGCTTCATTCCGAGGTATTCGTCCCCGGTTTGTACGGCAGTGTGTTTTTTTGCATCCCCTCGCGGGGTGAGCCAAACTCGCGGGATGGCAGGGTACCGACGTACCGAAGGGGGGCTGCCACAGAGAGTGACCAGATCGTTTGCCTCCGGCGGAGAGGTATTTGGATCTTGATTGCCGACGGAGGCTGTGGACAGTGGGCCAGACCAATTGAGTTGCGGGTGGACTTCATTACGTGTGTGTCACCAAATGCAAGAGACAAGACAGATTTAGGCTGACTCCACTCATATACGCACAGCTTGTGATCAAGAATTCTCCGCCAGAGGAGGAACCAGGCGAAGGGAGAAGCTGGAGGGCGTGGAGAAGCTCACGGAGAACCAAGGGTTGACCCCTTGACATCACGTTATCGTTTGGTGTCCTGCCAAGGCTTGTATGCCTCCAAAAGTGATTGGCCGATGTGCCTCAATGTATTGCCAAGCACTGTCTCTGTTTCTCGTAGGAGTGACGCGATAGTCAGCTTTACACTTATGAACCAGTGTTTTCTTGTCGTCCTCATGTTGCATCTAGGCCTTGGATGACTCTATGGGCGCTCCGCATAACCGGGTGTTGAAATTATAAATGAACATCATCATCGTTTCAAATACGTATTGTAATCCGGACGATGTCATTAGGCAGTTCTTGTATTCACGGTGCAAAGCACATTTACTCTATCCGTCTATCGACCGCTACAACTGGTATACGCCTACGCAGAGAGTACTGCCAGTCTCCTCTTCATAGTTTTGGTAGTAGTGGTCCTAGACCCTAAGAACTGGTATCACGCCCGCCCTCCCTTGTTTCATTACGTAACCCGCCTTTGCTCCCCATGACTCACACCCCCCATTAAGCAAACGTTGCTCTTTGATGCATATGTAGCTTGATGTATTTGGTTCGCCAAATCTCGTCGGGTTGTAAGCAGGCATTTAACGCAATTATTGGCGATTATGAGATCTGAGATGTGATCGACAGAGCTTGGGGGCATCCCCCCGTCGCTCGGCAATGTCCGCCACCAGGGCCACGTCTCGCATGCGTCATAGAATTATCCGTCTCGGCCTCGCATCTCACTTTCTCATCCACTACCTCCAACATCGTCCATGACAACACGCTAAACCATGAGCGGGTACGTCTTCGACGGCCTCATCCGCATTCCAGCTCGCAAGCTCTCGCAAGCTGACGCAACAGCCTTACCCGCGTCAACCGCAACACGGGGTTCACGCCAGCCCCATCCCCAGCTCCAATCCTCTACCCACCATCCGGCCCGACATCAGGACGGGTGACGCCGTCGACGGCCGGTCAGCGCGGCCGCGCGTCCCCGGGCCCGGCGGCGAACCAGTACTCTGAGAGCCCGTTTGGCGGGGGCATGAGTTCTGGTGGTGCCTTTGGAAACCAGAGGTCTGCCCACGAGCTTGAGCAGCACAATGACGATCTCCTCTCTGGCTTGCTGGGGAAGGTGGACACCTTGAAGAATGTGTGTAAACGATAACACGTTAGAGGAAGCGCTAATGTCAGCTCACTATTGGTATCGGTAACGAGGTTCGGGAAGGCAACCTTGAGTTGGGCGGCATGGTGAGCTAAGACTTGCGTACGGGCTTCAGTTGACTTTGAGAACGACACATTTGGCTCCACGTCCAACCTCCTCAGCGGCACGTTTACGCGCATGAATGCGATGGCCCGTCGACAGGGCTCGAGCTGGTGCTACTTTATGCTTTTCCTCCTTTTCGTTGTCTGGCTCTTCGTTGTCCTTTGGTGGTGGCGCCGATAGTCATGGTCCCCCCGGCACGCTCCACATCTCCGCGCCTGTACTCCGGCAGCGACCCTATACCCCACATCGTGGCCCCCAATCTCACTAATGGACTGCTACTACACATCACATCTGTACGCCTACACAATGCACACCCCTAATCACACCCCCTAATCCTGGATGCGTGAGTTTGTTGACTGGACAATAACGCCATTGTCCACCATCCCACACGTTCGTCACGGGTGACATGTCGGAGATGGTGGGAGATGTGCCGGACGGCACTTGCTTCGAGTCTGCGTGATTTCACGTAGTCTACACATCGACTGCTTTAGAGACCTGGAGGGCATGTTCCGGGTGGTTCTGGGGTGGCTCTGCCTGTGAGAGCCTGGGACTGGGTCCGACGCGATGAGGCAGAGCTTGCGGCTACATAAACCACTGCACCCCCACCCCCTCTGACCTCAACAAACCAACTCCGAGTTCTCGACCAGCGGACTACTACCCTTTCAACGACCGAACCACTCCTCCAAACAAACCAACACAGCATGCCCTCCAAAGGTGGCAACGGTGGCAACAAGGGCGCGAGCGGTGGCGCTGGCGGCAAGGGCGGTGGCGGCGGTGCTCAAACGAAGACCCCGGCTGCTGGCAAGGTGAGTCCTTGGCCTCCTGCCTCTTGTCCTTTGCTTTGGACAATCGCTGACAGACAACAAAGCCCCAGGCGGCCCCGGTGAATAACGCCAAACCCAAGCCCGCTGCTGGCGGCGATGCCGGTGACGCCCCCAAGGCTCCCCCCGCCCACAAGGCCTAGGGTGGCTGATCTCGCGCTCAATGAGGCGCCTGTCGAGTGAGGTTTGCTGTGTTCGCGCCATGAACACGTGTACTCAATCCCCCCACCGTCCTCGACACTGCATCTCGCTGAGGAGAAACAAGCCAGACTCTCTGCGTCCGTAAAATGACTCCAAATTGGCCCGCGTACACGGTAGCCGAAATGCAATCTGCGACTGTTTCCTGTGTACCGTCCCTTCGCACGCCTTTCTGCACTCGCACTCACCCGACGTCATTGTGTGCTGTCAGTACGGAGCCCCCGGTGACATGCACGTCAGTGGCCGCCGGTAGACAGTGTGGACCGGTGGCCGCGGCCCGGCGGCGACGACCGTAGCGGTGCATTGTCTCAGGATCGTCAGGCGTCCGGTGGCGGCACGCGATGTGTTCCTGCAGCGCGCAGCGCGCAGCGTCTTGGCATCCGCATCGGATTATCGTTGACATCATGGTGCGAGGTGTGCAACAACAACAACAACAACAACAACTACCGATCTACATAGGCCAGAGGACAGAGGTACAGAGGCGAGATATCGTAGGCCATGCAGGTGACGCCTCGTGTTTATGCGTGCCCACAGCCAGAAGAGCCCAACTGGAAACGTTGGAAAGTGGTTCAGATTCAGATCGTGTGCTCGCGTGCGTGCGCTCGTTATGGGGTCGTCGTTTCTGATCACGCGCTACAACCACTGCTGACAGTAGAAGCAGTACCTCTTGCCCGTGATCATCGAGATGGTGGGGTAGCAGCGCTCTGGTGGTGGTCAGCACCGGTCATCCTTCCTGGGCTCGACTCACTGCCCTTGTTCTTGCCGTCGTTGTCACCAGAACAAGCCATCGTGTATGTTGATCTCGTCAAGTGGGAGGAGGGGCGGAGAGGTGAAAGGTAACGTGTACGGGAAAGAGGTGATGATGGGGGAGACGCTCGTCTTGCATCAGTTAGATATATGATGGCTCGCACCGGGGTGGACGCCACCAATGTCGGCACAGCTTAGTCGAGTTGACGGATGGGTGATGGGACCATGGCGTAACCCCGCACCATATGGGACCTATCTCCAGATCTCCCAGCGGGCTAGCCGGCGGTACCGACCGTGTACATGTCTATCGCGACCATCCGACGTCGATCATTGGGTCCGCAGCGCCATCTGACCGTGCCGTCCACACTTTGATGACGTCGAGAGGCTCGTATCTCAACTTTCTGATGGCAGAAGGAGAAGGCGCCTCCGGAGCACCGCCTCGATCCTGACGCCGCCCAGCAACGCTTTTCCTGCCGTCCACAGTCCACTGCCTCCGCCACGGTCCAGGCGTTCATCTGTGCAGATACACGTCAGACTCGCGTCTACCGACAACCTGCAGGAACACAGGTAGTCGCATCGCTTTGTCTCGGCCGAGAGCGACCATTACCGCCGGCCCGGCAGCAGGTGAGGACAGCCAGCCCAATGACGTTGCAGTCAGTGTCGGTGTCAACCACAACAGGTGTGTGGCATGATGTAATGCATGGTCATCGGGATTTACAGGATTGAGATATCGAGGGAGGGGCACATACCTGCTCTAGACATACCGTTGAGAACCGAGAGTGTCTGTAAGAGCGGAGGTGCGATTCAGCGTGAAATACAATGGAGGAAAGGAGACGACAGAGAACGCGCGGACGCCTCAAAGCTTGCCTTGCTCGTGCGAAGAAGCGAAGAAAAGACGCGTTCACGCAATGTCTTGGGGTTTTGGGGAAAATGGGGGAGAGGAAACGAGATGCACAAGTGGGGGCCAGCTGTGAGGGTGAACGAGTGATCGACAAGGGGAACGGAAAAAGGAGGCATGCGCGCGGGTTTTATTCGTCACGCGACTGGTCGAACTTGTGCTTGCCCATGCGCTCGTAATCGGTCATGCCCTTTCCAGAGCCAACGACACCGACTGTGAGATGTTAGTGCTAGCTCCAGTCGGACGACGCCGGACAGCTCACCTCGTCCTGCGGGGTTGTTGTTTGTCCGGAACACACTCTTGCCCTCGAGACCCGCAATGTGGATACCCTTCTTGGCGGCCTTTTTGCCAAACTTCTGCCAATCGTTTTGCTTGCCGCGCGCGTCCTCGGCCTTGGCCTGCTGGCTCGCCATCCACTTCTCGCCCTTCTTCTTCTTCTTCTCCTTCTCCTTGTCCGTCAAGTCGTCGTGGGTGCGCTTCACGACTGGCTTGGGAATCGGAGCCGTAGGGTCGTGTGGTCGGAGCGAGGAGAGGGGAACGTTGGTCGAGGTGGTGTAGCCCTTGAACGTGATGGTGTACAGCGGTGAGTCCTGCGAGCCAACGACCGCGTTGATCTTGGCGGGGTACCTGTAAAGGTCAGCTAACGACGAAGACCTTCAAAGCTCACCATTTGCCATCCTTGTGGTACTTTGCCATGCAGTCCATTCCAGCACGGTACTCGCCTTGCTCCTGCCACAGGTTGTTGGCCGGGGTAGCAGTGGGCTCCTTGGCCTTTGCCTTGCCCTTGTCGGGCTTTGCAGCCGACTGAACGGCGGCAGCAGCCTCGGTGAGCTCGATGAGCTCCAGGAACTCGGCCTTGAGGGTGAGAAGGTCCTCATTTTCGGGGTCAGCCTCGAGCTGGAGGTTGACGAGTGCGAGCTGGTCCTTGAAAGTCTGGAGCTCCTCCATGATGGGCGAGATGGAGTGGAATGTTGTTGTTGGCACCACATGGATGACCGTGTCTTCCATTCATGGCGCCTGGGTGGCGAGGAATCAGCGACGGAAGTATTTTGATCCATATTGCCGCCGTGTGGCGACGGGGGAGTTGTCTGTTGACGACAGGTGCGATGTCGATATCTCGAGATCTGATCCTTCGTCTTTACCTGTCCGCCTGAGCATATCCTCCTCCCACTACTTCGTCACCGCTCCAAAAAGCACTCGTTGGATATCTGAATGCCTGACAGCTCACGCGATACCGATGACACCATCGGTCAATACTGCGCGTCAGTCATCAAGAACGTGCCGCCCACGGCGCCTACCTTCATGATGGCCCGGTGCTGTATAGAACTCCCCACACCCCTCATGTCCAAGACACTTCAAAACGCCTTTGCTATAAGCTGTGGCGCAGTTGCTCCCGAGTCTAGTGTCCTCGACACACATCTTCTCCAGTCGACATCGAGCGCATACACGCACGTTTGTTAACCTCGTCACGGTTCAGCAGCCACTAAAGGTCCATAACCCTGACACACGACTGCTTTGGGTTATCGAGCGGATGGCGATGTAGGGACGTTGATCTGTTCCTGGTCTCTGTACCTCTGTCGCGTTGACTTTGCGGGTTAGGAACGCGCGACAAGTGTTGTGCTCATTGCTTTCCCGACACCCTTGTGGTCCGCAGTTGCCTCTCACGAACGTTGCTGCTACGTTCTCTTATAAAAGAGGACTGGACCGCATGGCTACAGCTTCATTCTTGCAAACTAATGCTTTCTCTTCTTCTGTTACTGCCCGCGCTCGTTGCCGCGGCGCCTGCACCGCGACTCCATGCGGCTCGCACCCTTCTGTCTGGTCGCTCGATCCAGGAGAACGAGCTTGTCTCGCGTGCCGATGCTTCCATCCCGCCCGAGTACCTCCTCAAGGCAGCTCTTGGGAGCCTAAGCGGCAACGAGCTTTTGACCTCGGTCACATTCGCGACTGTAAGTTGTAAAGTACGGCTTCGAAACTGACAAAGCAGTCGTCCAATTCCAAGACGGCCGGCACCCTTGTCGCTGGTACGGCGGGCCAGAAGCTCGGCCTCACCGATTCCGACTCGTTTTCTCTCCTGAACGGTACCAGCTTTGCCAACTACAGTCTCCCCCATGTCGACGGCGCGACTGAGGTGTGCACCTACTTCTTCCTTCAGAACGGCGAGGTCGAGGTCCATGTTCCCGTCCTGGAGCGCGAGAGTTTTGAGCTCACGACTTTCCTCGCGACCGTCAAAATCTCGTTCTCGGATATGCTGGCTAGTGGGTATTGCGCCACGGTGGCTGCTGACCCGTCAGTGACCTGCTTCTTCATTCATGATCTAGACATCCAGACGTCAGGCTCCCCCGTCGTCACCGGTGGTTCGGACCTCACTTCCTCTGCGGCTGCTCCTCAATCCTCAAGTAACTCGCACTGGTCGGCCAGTGCTGCATCTTCGACTTCGCGTGCCTCCCTTTCTCATTCGTCTGCCCAGGGGTCCCCTTCGACCACCGCCTCGTCCTCGAGCCGCGGCCACAGCACCTCATATTCTTCGACAACCACCGGCGGTCACGCGATCTCCACTGTTCCTAGCACCTCGGTACCACTCCCGTCGACCTCTGCTGACCTTTCGCCGGCGTCGTCGTCGTCAGACGCTCCGGGGTCGGTTACGGCCTCATCGTGGGAGTCCGTCACCTCCGCTTCCACTTCAGAGGCGCCGAACTATTCAACAGCCTCTGGGTCTGTCTCTCTCACCTCTGCTTCCGCCTCCCCCTCGGAGACCATCTCTTCCTCAGCTTCTACTTTCACCGATGCGCCCACGTCCAATGATTCCACTGCTCCGTCGTCGTCAACCACATCGACGGGTCCCACGGAGTCCGGCACGGCCAACGATTCTGCTACCTCGTCGTCCAGAAGCACGTCCACCGAGTCCACCGAGTCCACCACACCCACTGGTCCTGTTACTCCGTCGTCTTCGAGCACTGCGACGGAGCCCACAGAGTCCACCACACCCACTGGTTCTGTTGCTCCCACATCTTCAACCACTCCGGCAGAGTCCACAGAGTCCACCACACCCACTGGTTCTGTTGCCCCCACATCTTCAACCACTCCGACGGAGTCCACAGAGTCCGCCACACCCACTGAATCTGCTACGTCCACGATATCCAGCAGTGCTCCTAACAGCACAATTCCGACGCTCACGGAGCCCCTCGCAGCTTACCAGACGAACACCACTTTCAACGGCCAGACCTTTATCAGCAAGGGTCTTGTTGGCTTTGGTGCCATTGCTGGAGATGCCGTTGACTCGCAGGGTGAGACCATTGGTGGTATCGGCTCTGCCATCCGCCTCGAGTCGCTCACCCGCGTCAACTCCACCACATACACTGGCCGCATGATTGTGCAGCCCGATCGTGGATGGAACAGGGTCTCCACTGTCAACTACATTGCTCGCCAGCATGCCATCGACTTCACCCTCACGCCTTACTACAACTCGACCAACCTCGAGTATCAGGCAGCCAAGTCGTCATTCGACCTCACGTACGCCTCCACCGTGCTGTACAAGGAATCGGATGGTACCGACACAACGGGCCTCGACTCCCTTACCTACCGCAATGGCTCAGTGCCAATCCCCATTCCATCGGTCGACTTTGACCGGATTTCCACAGATGCCGAGGGTCTCGTTATCAACCCAGACGGCAGCTTCTGGATGTCGGACGAGTACGGGCCTTACATTTACAAGTATTCGGCCGACGGTGTCCTCGTTACTGTAATTGAACCTCCCGCGGCGTTCCTTCCACGCCTCAACGGCTCGCTCTACTTCTCCGCCAACTCGGACACTGCACCCACCGAGGGTCGTTCTCAGAACCAGGGCTTTGAGGGTCTCACCTCCAATGCCGCTGGCACCAAGCTCTATGCGCTCCTCCAGAGCAGTCTGCTACAGGACGCTCCCGCCAGCGACGATGGCCGGTACACCCGTCTGCTTGCCTACGATGTTTCGGGAGACCAGCCCGTTCTGGAGCATGCCTACGTCGTTGAGCTGCCTGTTACCAACGGCAAATCTAAGACCCTCGGCCAGAGCGAGTTCCACTACATCTCAGATGACACCTTTGTTGTCCTCGCTCGTGACGGCAAGGGCGGTGGCAGTGACACTGCCGAGGCCAAGAACAAGCGCTTCTACCTCTTCACCACATCTGAAGCCACGGACATTGCCGGCACAACGTATACCGACGACTACACCCCCGTTGCTCCCGACAACGTGCTCTCCTCGAACCTCACTGCCGCGAGCGTCACCCCCTGGGTCGACATCCTCGACGACACTCAACTGGCCCGTTTTGGCCTGTACAACGGCGACACCAACTCGACCTTTAGCGTCTCGATGATCAACACCAAATGGGAGTCGATTGCGTTTGCCTCGTGCCAGGACCCAGACTATCCCGACGACTACTTCCTCTTCTCGTTTAGCGACAATGATTTCATCACCCTCAGCGGCGAGATGGCAGGTAGTGCCTACAGCGACGACGAGGCGGGTTACACGCTCGACAACCAAGCGCTCGTCTGGCGTGTTACCGTGCCATACTCTCTCCAGGACGCTTAGATCGGACATTCTACACCCACGGTTCTTTACAGTTATACCCCAAAGACAGTTAATCACAATGGATATTGGTGTGCTCGATACGATCGCGTCCATTGGCGCAGAATACAGCCCACCTCCCAGGCCACCTCCAGGCCACCTCGCACCCAGAGCACAGACGCGACGACGCGTTTGCCAGACGGCCGCGGCTAACATATGAACGTCACCTGAGCCTGGACCTCAGCTGACACCACGAGGTTTGCGCACAGGGCCTTGTCCGGCCCGGAAGGCTTCAATTCGAATGCCAAGACGCGTCCAAAACGCGTGTTGCAGGCGACCGGAGAAAGATTCGAACATTATGCTTACGTACCGGCCGGCCCGTGCCACCACCACCGCCGGGCCGGCAACCTCAAACGTTCCTTGGCACTGTGGATTCCTGCTCAGTAGGCTAAATGCGGCCCGCACCCACTCATGGTTTCAACACACTCACCTTACTGACGAGACTGTGGCCTAGGGTTTGGCGTCCCGCTCTGTCGACGGCCCGGGGCCAGAACGGCGCACCATCCTCCAGGCCAGCAGTTTGTGGAACCTGATATCAATCGATTCTCGCTCTTACTCTCGGTCGACAAGGTCTGAACACCGGTCACGATTGCCGTTTCGAGCGATGTTCCACTCTGCTCGATGTTCGATGCTCGTGTCCCAGCTCGTCGCGTTCTCTTGGCAGTGGGCTGGGGCGTTTGTGGAGTGCTGCGGCCCCGGGCCGGGGTTCAATGTGGTCCTCCGCCGCGTGTTTGCGGGGTCTGGAGGAAATAGCTGTCGACTTTGACCCACAGTTTGGCCCGTCCTCGATATCTATAAAGCTTCGGGTACGAGTTGGCGGTAAGAGGACAGTTCAACACGAAAGCAAGGAGCCAACGACTTCACGATGCGTGTCCTCGCCCTTATCTCCATCCTCGCAACTCTCGCTGTGGCGGCTGACGAGTCGCCGCGCAGCCGTTCGCGCTCCCGCCGCCACGAGGTCCGGGGTAACGACAACGACCAAGGCAACAACAACAACAACCAGGGCAACAACAACAACAACAACCAGGGCAACAACAACAACAACCAGGGCGGCCACGCTCCCTCCACCACTGCCAAGGTCTCGTCGACTTCGGCCGCCCATGTCTCCAGCACCTCGGTGCCAGTGTCGGTCAGCGAGACCTCGGCCGTGAGCGTCCCCACCTCCGAGGCCGCCTCCACGACCGAGGAACCGACTTCGACGTCTAGCGTCCCAGCTACTACCACGTCGGCTGCCGGTGCCGCCACCACCACCTGTGTCGTGGCCTCGTCCGGCTTTGTCGACGATGTTGCTAACGCTCAGGCGGCAGCTGCTGCCTGCGCGTCCAACGCTGTCATCGAGTTTTCTACTGGCGTTGACTAGTGAGTTGTGCATCATATTTCAAACGCGAAACTGACATTGTGTAGCGTCTTCCAGACCCCCGTCACCATGTCGGGTCTGACCAACGTCGAGATCCGCATGAACGGCAACCTGCACCTCCCGAGCAACATGACCCACGTCCTTGAGGTCATTGCGACCAACACCAACCTGCGTTGGTTCAACTTCAAGGGCACCAACGTCCAGTACATTGGTTCCAAGGACCTTGACAATGGCTGGATTTACGGCTATGGCCAGCAGTACTGGGATGCCAACCCGGCCAACGGCACCGGCATTGCCAACCGCCCTCACCTGGCCACCTGGGAGCTGTACGACAGCTCTATCACCACCCTCAAGATCCGCAAGCCGCCCGCATGGTGCAACTCGATCAAGGGTAAAGGCATTACCATCTCGGACGTCTTCCTTGACGCCACGACCCACGACCTCGGCGGTTTCCCGTTCAACACTGACGGCTTTGACGTTGCCGCGACCGACGTCGTGATCCAGGACATTGTCGTTCTCAACGGCGACGACGCGGTGGCCATCAACAACGACGCCCACAACGTCCTCGTGCAGAGGGCTCTGATGGGCGGTCCCGGCTCCCACGGCATGTCCATTGGCTCGCTGGGCAAGGACGCGACCGTGTACCAGAACGTGTCCAACATCCACTTCAAGGACATTACTGCCGTCAACAGCCTTTACGCCGCCCGCTTCAAGTCGTACGACGGCGGCTGGGGCGACGTCAAGAACGTTACGTGGGAGAACTTCCACCTCGTCAACGTCTCGTTCCCCATCTACATCACCCAGAAATACTACAACCAGGCCCTCACCACCAACAGCACTACGTCGTCCAACTCGACCAGCGCCGTCAACATGGACTCGTTCACCTGGAAGAACTGGCGCGGCACTATCAACTCGTACCAGCCCGGCGACGCCACCTGTGTCTCGGACCCCTGCTGGTACGACGTCGACGGCGCGGACCGCACCCAGGCGGCGATTATCAGCTGTGCCACCGACAGCAGCTGCACAAACTATGTCATGGACGACGTGCAGCTCATCCCGCAGGCGATGGACGCCACCACCTCTGTCATCTGCGAAAACGTTCCCGCTGCCAACAACCCCAACTTTGGCATTGTTTGCGAGAACGGAGCCTTCACCTACGCCTAGTGGTCTATACTTTTGTAATGACATGAAATAGGAAGTCTTTAATCGTGGCCGCAACGCGCCGTCTTCAATGTCGCCATCTGTGCTAATCTCGTCGGAATTCCCCGATTGTCCTGGTGCGTGCCTGGTCGCGTTTATCCATTTCGGTATCTCACGCGCGACACGCGAGTGGAGTCGGTCGACGTTGGGGGGGCCGAAAAGCCGCGCCCGCAGCAATCGCAACGTTTGTCGTTGCTCCCATCCTCATCCTACCGCCCGCACGTCTCTGCATGTTGGCGGCTATCGACAGTCCCTCACGCCCATTATGACCCACGCTCCGGCGGCAGAGCCGCCGACTGCGGCGTCCAACGATGCCAACGATGCCAACGACCCACCGAACCCGACCTCACGTGCTGGGCGGGTCGCCTCCGCGTTCCTCCATTTCCTCCTCGGCCAATGGGTTCTGCTCACCATGGGACTCTTCATCCTCCTCGCCTACTTTTTCCCGCACGTAGGGACCACTGGCGGCTCCATTCGCGCAGAATACACCGTTGCGTGGGGGGCGGTGGGGCTCATTTTCCTCATTGCCGGTCTGTCGCTCGACATTGCGACCCTGCTGGCCGGCCTGCCCCACTGGCGCGCGCACGCCGTTGCCAATGTGTTTTCATTCCTCGTCGCCCCGGCCATCATGTTCGGGTTTGCCACGGCAGGCAGGAAAGCCGGGCTGGACACATACGTCCTCGCCGGCATGGTCGTGACGGGCTGTATGCCCACGACGATTGCGAGTAATGTCACCTGCACGATGAACGCCGGCGGTTCGACCGAGCTGGCGTCCATCGAGGTCATTCTTGGTAACGTGTTGGGCACGTTTATCACGCCGCTCCTCGCTCGCATGTTCATGGACAGTCCGCAGTGGGCGACCATTGCGCCGGGATCCGGCACGGGCGTGACCCCCATCTACATCCGCATGGCCAAGCAGCTCTCCGCCACGCTCATCGCACCCCTGGTTAGTATACTGAGCTCGCGAGATCAAGGCAGGGACCCTAACGGACAGATTGTTGGCCTGGCGCTCCAGTATTGCTTCCCCGGCCCCGTGTCGCGTATCCGTCGCGTACTGCGCCTTGCCAAGGTGGCGTCCCTTATGGTCATCCTCTGCGTTTGGGAGAACTTTTGCAAAGCGTTCGCCTCGGGCGCCTTCAAGACCACGTCGCACGCGACCATTATTTACCTGTGCTTCATCTGTCTGACACTGTACTTTGTCTTTTCGGTGATCATCTTTGTGATCATGCGCCTGCCAGGCATCCACACACGGGCAGCGGACTACTGGCGATTCTCGAAACGCGACGCTATTGCGCTGTGTTTCTGTGGTCCGGCCAAAGGTGAGCTACTGTTCCCCATAGAAATTGACAGACTAGCTAACGGACCATTCAGGCGTTGCAGTTGGTGCGCCACTCATTGCCATCCTGTACCACTCGGCCACTCTCGAAGTGCAGGCCAAGCTCGCGCTGGCGATCATCATTTACAATGGCGAGCAGGTGGCGTGCGCCCAGCTCGTCGTGCCGCTCCTCCGGCGCTGGGCACGCAGCGAGGTTGAGGAAGGCAAGGAAACAAACGACGACGAGACAATAGCAGGGTCACCAGAAGAGCCTGGAGTCGTACAGGACCAGGAAAAGTGTCTTGGCAACAAGTAACATATGTGGTCACCTAGTGCTGCCACCACTTGTGGTGAAGCTGATAACACTGGACCCCGGAGACACCCTTTAGAACCAATAATCAGGTGCTGTTTAGTCTTTTTTTTTCTGTTCCAGAATCACATTCACCTGTCGCCTGTCCTCCTGCCATATACTGGTCCTGGCTAGTAGCTAGTATCATGGCCTCTGATATCTAAATGCCACGGCTGTCACTGTCCTCGCACTGCTCGGATATCTGTGAAATTCCCTCTTCAGCCCCATCTCTTTTTGAACATGGCGCGGACCTAGAGGCCCAAACACAGGCGTACAGGTTAAGCAGGTGACTGGTGTGCCCGCTGCATGGCATGGTATCGAACCGACACCAGCTCGCAGCCCCGGTCTCGGATCTTTATGCCTAAGCGGACTAATTCTTCCGAGGCGCTGTACCGCTGTCAAGGCTGCCGTTAGTTGGCCGTCATGGACGACCAACCTCTACAGCGCTGCATTGTAGAGTTTGGCTGTGCCAGGAGACGCCTAGCTTGACACATGAAGGATGGCACACTGGACATTCACTGCTGTCTACGTAGCTGGGCGAGAAGATACACAGCAATGTCAGCAGGTACTGTACTTGCATGGACTGAAGGTGACTGTAGACGTGGACGTAAGCTTCATGACGTCTGGCATTAGGTATACTGGAACCCAATACGAATATGCCACCCACCTGCGACCAGAGAGGGATGGGTAAGGAGCTTTCCTGGGCAGTCACAAGCACACACCTACCACATCGACCACTGAGAACCGCCACATCGTCGCCAAGCTCGCTTGAGATCAAGACGCAAGCTTCTAATCGGCACTACACTGCCCAACCCATTCTGTCCTGGCCAGCACCAGCATGGCGTGCGAGTGCCCCCCCGAGAGACCCACTGCATCCGTCCATCTGCCTGCATGCATATTGCTGTAGACGCCTTTGCTTGCCCGTAAAGCCAATCGGCTAGATCGGCAAACTGTTCGGAGCGCTTTGGTGCCAGGCTCAGAAGCGCGGCCATGTTATGGTTCCTCGACCCTCGATGGATACGTGCTTGCGTGAGCTTCCTTGCACCGCCACGGCTGAGATGACCGATGAATCAACGACACGACACACCATGTGATCCAGAGATCCAGAGAGCATGGGAGCCATGGGAGCCATGGGAGCCATGGGACCTCTGTTGCGTCGTCGCTCTCTCTCTCTGTCGAACGCCTCCCGATGCTGTGGAAGCATATGCATGCACCGCCCAGCGCGGAGAGCCGAGCGAGTGGCGTGTGGGGCCGCCAAACACAGTGCCGGGCGCGGGGGTGGGGGATGCAAGGGCAGCAAAAGGGTACTGTGCATGGCTGCCAAACAAACGTTGCTCTCCCTTACATGCCTCTGTTGGAGAGCGCTCGAGTGGACCCCCCAGCCGGATGCGTAGACCACTTGTGCGGCCAGGACAGCGTACGGCGTATACCGCAGATCGAGGCAACGTCGGGTCCCTACGTCCTCTGCATCCTGCGCTGTCGACGCCACGGCCCAAACGCCCACGGCCACTGCCAAGAGGACAAAGCAGAGCAAGGACAAGGCAGACGCATGCAGTTGCAGGCAGGCCAGGCTTCCTGCGTGTATTGCATCTCAGCGATCAGCGATCAGGACGTGAGTTGGGTGGGGGTGGTTGGCCATGTTTGCGTTGCATCCTGTGTCTGGCACTTTGCGCTACCCTGTGGATGGGGTGCTGCTCGGGACGCACCCAGGGAGGAGTACTGTTTGGTGGTGAGGTCATTGTTTGCGTGTGGTATTGCAGAGGTCAATTGCCTGGCCCTATGTAGACGAAGCAGAGGAACGGAGCGGAACGCTTGTGTTAGGGGACCATGGACACAGGGTGCACAGAGCAAGAAAAGCAACACAAACAAAACAACCCGCGCCGCCCGCGCGGATGCAGGTGCTGGCGCGCGCGGGGCCAGCCAAAATGCAGCGAGAGCCCTGTGCAGATGCAGACCACGCCCTGCATGCAACGAGAACTGGCAAGCACTGGCCAGCACCAGACGAGCGACGCCCTGTTCCCCCCCCCCCCCCGCCAAGGCAGGCACACCGTGGGTGGTATGCGCGGCAGGCAGCGAGCGAAGCAGTGAGCGAAGCAGCGGGCGGAGAGAAGCCACCCCCCCCCCCATGCCGCCCACCACCACCACCCAGAGCACCAACACACACACACCGCCTTGGAGAATGTATAACTCTCTCCCCATCACCCATCTCTCTCCGCTTTTCTCTTTCAGTCTCCTTCTCAAACCCTTTCCCGTACAGTCGTGTCCCCCATAATCACACACACACCACCATCATAATGCTCCTCACTTCCGTCAAGTTTGCCATCCTCGCGTCCCTCGCGTCCGCCACCACCTGGTGCAGCGCAGGCACCCCCGCGACCACAACCACCCCTCCCACTACCACCACCAGCACCACCCCCGTTGGCACCACCGTCCACCTCAACTGGAACGGCAACGCCAACTGGTGTGTCGACGTCCAGGGCGCCACCTTTGCCAACGGCACGCCTGTCCAGGTGTGAGTACAGCCCAGTGCGCAAGGCCATCCCCCCCCCCCCCCCGGCCCCCCACAGCGGCCATCAGGGTGTACGAGGGCCTCCGACCACCTCCGAGCCTTCCCCCCTCCTTCTCCCCATCTCCGACACTGACTGACATCCGCAGCTACGCCTGCAACGGCTCCGCCGCGCAGAAGTGGACCATCTCCCGCGGCAGCGGCCTCGTCAAGGTCGCTGGCCAGAACCTTTGTCTCGACGCCGGAACCAGTGAGTACCAGTCATACACCTCGACGAGGTGGATGTCAACTGACACTTTGTGCGTCAGACCCCGGAAACGGCTCAAAGGTCAAGATCTGGCAGTGCTACTCTGGCCTTGCGCAGCAGACTTGGTACTACACCAACGACAACAGGATTGCCCTCACCGGCCAGGGACTCTGTCTCGACCTCACCAACGGCAACGCCGCCAACGGCAACCAGCTCCAGGTCTGGGCCTGCGGCACAGGCAACAACAACCAGGTCTGGACCTCGTCCTCGACCTCTGCTCGCCGCAAGCGCGACCGCCTCGGCCCCAACGCCCGTGCCAACGCCGTCGACCTCTAAAGCAGCGCGCCAAGCAGCAGCTCCAGTCTCGAACCGCGCACACGCACCCAACGCAAATCGCATCTCCGGGCCAGCAGCAGCAGCAGCAGTACAATCTGCGTCCTGCGGCCCGCATGGACACTTTCAGCATGATCAGCTCCCCCTCTCTCTCCCCTCTCTACCTCTCCCCCCTATAACGTGCTTCAATTATCGTGGTAGTACTCTCTCCCTCCCCCCTCCCCCCCTATTCGATGAAAGGACAATTGGGACGTGAAAGGCCCGTAGGCCGTATATAAAAAGTTGTTTTAGCACGATGAACCGCTTGTCGTGACCAGGCCTGGAGGTGCCAGTGGCCAGTGGGCTGTGGGCTCGAGCTCGCTGTATGCTGTGCACTGCGGTCCCCGTGCGCGCTGTTGCGCTGATCAGAACCACAGAGCGGCAGCGCAATGGTCGGATGGCCCCGCCAGAGCTTCTTTCGGCCCAATAGCGCCCGTGGGCCCAGTGGCCAGTGGGGCGGCTGGGGCGGTGTTGGTGGCGTCCAACGCCGTACTGTATGGCGAGGCGTTTATGGATGGCGCTCGCCAGGATCACGAGTGCCCGCTCGCTCGGTAGCCCCGCACATGTACTGCACATGCCACACCTGTATACTGTACAACAAAGCGTTAAAGCGAGTGAGAGCGCGGGTTGCTCATCGCGTCGGCGGAAACGCATCCCGTGTGCCGTCCGCCGCGCGGTGTGTGTCGGCAGTTGTGTTCTGTGTTCTCGCGATGTTTGCGCGTTTTCGGCGGGGACGAGGGAACGCCGTGCCCCGCTAAGGATGATCCAGTTAAGCATCTCCCCCCGCACATGCACACACCTTGGGCCTTGCGTGTGCCTGCAGGCCTGCGCAGCAATGGAAAATATCCTGTACTGTACCTCCCGACGGAAGCGCTGAGCGTGTAAGTAAGACAACACGGCGCCCTATTAGGCTGATTGGCAGTTCTCTATTGCTGATTTGATTCCGTCCACCCTAGCATGTCGTTACTTTGTTCTACCACTGCATGCATCTCATCTCAAGCTCCAGTCTTCTCCACATGGGCGACGCATCTCCAACGGTCTCCCAAACCCCTACCCTGCTTGGTAGAAGTAGGCGCGGAGGACAAGGAAGGTGGGAGGTACTGAGGAAGACAGTCCCTGGCGACGGACAGCGTAGGAGAGACAGTGACAGCAAACGAGAGATAGTGACGCTGCAAGACCTTACACTTCTAGCGGCCGTGGGCGGGCGACGGAGCTACATGATGGAGCTGCATGGTGCCGTTCAAACGCTGTGTTTGCGTGTGGGAGGACGCGCTGGACCAGCGGATGAGTGGTAACAGCAATAGTCGCGTCCCTTGTTCGGGACGGGACGCGTCGCGTCGACGTGTTGACGTCCAGCGTATTCCGTTGCCATTAGGAGCTTGTGGGCACCGCGGGAAGACTGCTGGCCACTCCGCACAACGATATGCGACGAGGAGATTCCGGGACGACGAAGACAAAGGAGGGGACAGCACCGCTTTATGCTTAATACAGTATCCGTAGCTGGCATCCTCATCGGGGCGGCGTTGTGTGTTTTTCAGGAACTTAACCCGCAGGGAGCTGTACAGAACTAACTCTCGCCGACTCCACTGTGCTGATAGCGATGACATGACCGGCCAAGTCACTCCCCAAGACCCATGTATGCCATCCCCTCATAGCTCGTTGGGCACTCGGGCCCCGGCGAAGATACTGTACTAATCAGGGCCCTCCGGGCGACACCGATATCAAACAACGTCCACCACGTCGTCGCCCTCGATTTTCTAAATTCCCTATCTTGTGCTGCTACCGGCGTCCAACCGCTTCGACATGTCACCGCGGCCCGTAGATCCGCAGATAGGTCGCGCCCGATACCACTGATAACCAGCATCCGACGCGATCGGGTCATCGGCCATGCGCGTACTTGGTCGCGTGCTCGACGTGTTCGACGAGCAGCGTGCCTGCTGCCGCCGCCAGCGCCAGCGCTGGCGGCGGGGCCAGCACACGCCAGGCAGCGCCCCGTCTTGCCCATGTGACAGTCGTTGGGCAGGGCGGGGCGTGGGGTGTATTCACAGCAGTTGTCTTCAGACTGGGGAAGTGTGGCAAGCATACGTTAGTGGGTTTGGATGGGATTTTTGGACTGCCTCGAGTGAAGTCAACTCGTGGGATGCAGATTGTGATTTTGGACACGAATACGAAAAGAAATCAGGAACGAATACATCGTCGGTCAATTCCGTCGTGTCGTCACACCTGTCGTCCTTTCCGTTTGCCAGTCTCTGAGAGACCACCATCGTCTACTCGGCACGGCACCGAGGTTCAACTTCCTTCTGATGGGTGCTATACCTTTCATCCCATTGGGTCGGGTGGCCCGCCGACCTCGCAAAGGCGACGTCTGCAATGTCGTAGCCGCCAGCTTCATGACGGCCCGGCAAACACCCTTTGGCGTAAACCTTGCGCTAACGCAAGGGACGAGACACACGCGGTGCCATGTCCTGTGGCCGTCATGTCCGTGACCTGGTGACCATGATAGCAGTTTGGGCCGGGATTTGGGTTGATTGATATGATAGACGCTGCAGGATACAGGGTTGAGGACAGGTGCAGGAAAGGGAAGAGCAACTAGTGTGGCAAGAAGGGCGATAGCAAACGACATCCCGTCCAAGGCTTTCTACGCTTTCTACCTATCCACCCTCTCGCAGTCCTGATCACCGAGGGTGCCGGACAAGACAGAAGGTGGCTTGCCAAGACTGTTCGACTATATCGGGCCAGGGAGTCACACGAGCAGAGGAGACGAGGGACAGGTACATACCGCCGTCTTGGTGTCGATTACGGGGAGGATACTGTGGCACAAGGCGGCAGTACATATACCAGCACTGCGATACGCCAGTACCCACCATCCACCTACCAGTCCTCCCCACACCACCATCATGCACGCGTGGACGACCGCGCTGCTTGCGCTCCTCCCGCTCATCGCGGCCGCCCCGGCCCCCGTCGCCCCCATTGCTCCTCGTACTGTCGACACGGCGTACAAGTACACGGGTCCCGACGTGCCCATAGGAGATGCGGTGGACAAGACCATTGCCGGGGACGGGACGGGGTACATCCGTGTCCGCATGCCTCCTGCGGTAACCCCGGCGCTTGGGAGCACGGTGACCAACAACATCAACGTCATTTCGTCGGCGTACTATGGCAGCAAGGGCATTAATATTCACTTCCAGACTCCGTGAGTGGCACTGTGTGCGTGTGTCTGTGTGTGGCATCTTTGCGTGGCGCTGACGACCGAGAACAGGTTCGGGATCGGCAGCACTCCGACCATCTACTACGGTACTGAGAAGAGCAAGCTGAAGAAGAAGGCCACGGGTCGTACACACACGTGAGTGCTGAATAAATGCCCAAATAACCACTGCCGTGTGTCACCGGGTTGGGCGCCACATTGTGCCACTCCCCCGCTGATGTCCCGAAGGTACGACCGCACCCCTCCCTGCTCAATGCTGGACCCCACCCAGTGTTCGCAGTTCTTCCACGAGGTGCCCATCACGGGCCTCAAGCCCGGTACCCAGTACTACTACCAGATTCCCGGGGGGAATGGCACGACCCCGTCCGACATCCTGTCCTTCACCACGGCGCTGGAGAAGGGCGCCACGGACGAGTTCACCGTCGCGGTCCTCGCCGACATGGGCTACGAGAATGCAAAGGGCACGCACGAGCGACTCGTCGAGACTATCCAGGACGGGGCCGCGTTCGTGTGGCACGGCGGCGACATTTCGTACGCCGACGCATGGACGTACGGTATCGTTCCCTGCGTGCTCGAGGGCGAAGATAAGTGGGATGTATGCTACAACGGGTCCAGCTCGACGCTCCCGCACGGCCTGATCGACAATGACGACTATTACATCCCTCTGCCCGCTGGCGAGATCCCCAGTCAGGGATCTCCTCACGGCGGCGACATTGCCACCATCTACGAGTCCAACTGGGACCTGTGGCAGCAGTGGATGAACTCGGTGACCAAGCATGTGCCATACATGGTGGCGGTGGGCAACCACGATGTTACGTGTGCGGAGTTCGACGGGCCCAATGACGAGATTGCGCACCTCCTCCAGGCCAACGGCACGCTCAACTACTACTCTTGTCCGCCCAGCCAGCGCAACTTTACTGCATACTCGCACCGCTTCGGCATGCCTGGCGAGCCGTCGGGCGGAAACTCCAACTTCTGGTACTCGTTCGACTACGGCCAGGCGCACTTTATCACCTTTGACGCCGAGAGCGACTTTTACAAGTCGCCCTCGTGGTCGTTCCTCGCCGAGATGGGCAACACGACGCACCCGACCGCCGAGGACACATACGTGACCGACGCGGGCCCCATGGGCTTTATCGACAACAACAACTACACCAACAACAAGGCGTACGAGCAGTACCAGTGGCTCGTCGAGGACCTCAAGAGCGTCGACCGCACCAAGACACCGTGGGTGTTCGCCATGGCCCACCGGCCCATGTACGCGTCGTACGTGTCGAGCTACCAGGCCAACCTGCGCAACGCCTTCCAGGACCTGTTCATCGAGTACGGCGTCGACGCGTACATTGCCGGCCACATCCACCTGTATGAGCGTCTGTGGCCGCTCACCAAGAACGGGACCGTCGACACTGCTGCTGTCCTCGGCAACAACTCGTACAAGGTCAACAACGGCCAGTCGATCACCCACCTCATCAGCGGGTGTGCGGGCACCGTCGAGTCGCACGACCAGTTTGCCGAGGAGGGATCCACGCTCTTCAACATCACCGCCGTCATGGACGCCATGAACTTTGGCTTTGGCAAGCTCACAGTGTACAATGCCACCACGGCGCTGTGGGAGTTTGTCCATGGCGCGGACGGACAGGTGGGCGACTGGGTATACCTCAACAAGGACGCGGGTAAGAAGGGCAAGCATTAGGGGTGCGGTGGCAGACAAGGTGTCGTCAGTAGGAGTTGAAAATGGGCTTCTCAGTTTGTCAGAGAAGTGAGGGATGATCAACCTTGATGTGGCAGCTGGGCAAGACTGACAGGATTGGCGTGTTCTGGAGCCAAACAACAAGTCAAACCCTATATCACTCACGGAGTTCGAGTTAACCAGGTCAGAGATTACTTGTCCAAAGGGCCATTTTGCCTTATGACGTTAATTGGAGAGTGCGCCATAGCTACATACTCGCTTCCTACCAAGCTTACTGGTAATCTGGTGAGATACGGTGACTCCCCTCTGCCACACATTCTGAAGAGATATGCAGCAAGACACACGCCACATGTTAAGTGCACTTAACGCGATGGTCGGCACAACCAACTCGATCCACGTCGGATCAAGCAAGTGTGCGATGAATCAAGTGTCCGAACTCCGCCAGTCCACTATTAGCACCCTCTTCGGCGGTCAAGGACTGCGCCCATCCACACACGAAGCTAGCCAGACAGCGGCGGGCTATGCCGTTACTTCCTCTTTCAAACGGGTCCGGCGGCTCCAGCGGCCCCGCGCAATGAATGGCGTCACCCCGCGCTCCTACGGACCACGTTGTTGGTTTGAGAGAGGGGTTTCGGCTTCCGGCGTTGGTGTCGTCAGCCCACTCACGCACTCGTGCACACACGCCCCCATCAGCTGCTCAGCATCCATGGAATGTAGACCCCCTCCCCCAGCGGCCGGCCAAGACAATGTGACTTGAGGGGGTGGCCCAAAAAAGACCACAGCACAGATCCCAGCAGAACCCAGAGTCACTTTCGATCTGTGCCCCAAAGGTGGGGTCTTACATGATGGAGCGACCGGCATACGACAGCCGGACTGTCTCGGCTCGGCCTTGTCCGCCAGGCTACGTCGCGATATCAGCACCCTCATACCCTCGACTGGGTCATTACTGGTCAGGGGATTCACACGCTGGCGGTCAGCAGCATGACTCCAACACCGGTGCGGCTTGGTGGCGCACGTCTGCGGCGCGCTCGGGGCAATGCCGGGGCAACAACAACGCGAGTCGGGGCCACTGTGGGGCAGTCCGGAGTCGTCCGCCCGGGGGGGGGGGGGGGGTCTGTGCAAAGCAGGACGAGCATCGTCGGCGATGGGATGGGATGGGATTTCCTATGTCAACCTGTTGGCCAGAGGCCTGTGGGCGTGGCCTGAACGCTTGGCAACAGTGCACAAAGGGTGTGCTGATGCACTTCGCCCTGGCTGAGCCTGGCTTCCTGACGAAGGCGGGGCACACACCCTCACCAAATTCGCTGCCCCCCTGGTGGTGGGCTGAAAGGCCACACACAGGCCGTACACATGACACTCTGAGCAAATGTTGGCAGGGTGATGACATGGCAGCGGTGGTTGCCGCCCTCCACCATGACACTGGTGGTCGTTTTATTTCGGTCGCCCGACAATGCCGGCAGACAAGGTGGGATTGATTACGGAGGGCGATGACGCCAGTCTGACAATGCACCCCGCAGCGGAATATCTGAGCGCTTCGGCAGCTGCGACGGGGGGCTGTGGGCGCAGAACACGCGCTCACAATGAGTGGGTTGGGTTTTTTTGTGCAACGGCCCAACACGATCCAGCGCGGGTGGTCGCGCACATGGCCAGGCAAACATGGACTGCGAGGATCCCGAGGTGGCGCGCGTTTGGCCGCAACGAAGCGGACGCCTCCCGCGCCAGATATCGGACGTCTACGTCGGCGCCACGGTTGATACCGGCAGAGTTGCCGGCCATGGCGAGCGAAAAGTCTTGGGGCGGCGATGTGCGGTTCTCGTCAAGCGCTTGCGAGCCAGCGTTTGGCAGCGGCGTCCCATACAATTAAGTGGAACACTGGAGGCCAGGAGGGCGAGCTTGGCGGCTATTCTGAGCGAGGCCTAAGCGATTGGCTGTGGTGCACGCAAAAGGCTCATGCCTCACGTGGTCCCTGGAAACAGCAGCAGAGGCCTGCTGCCAAGCCCACCACCACCATGCACAGAACAGGGAGAGAGCGAGAGAGTGGCCAGAGTGGAGAAGGTGGATCTGCCCATGGTCCATTGTTGTTCCTCGACCCTTTGCTGCTCCCTCGATCCCTCTTCGGCCATGCGAGCCCCCACGGGGAGGCCGAATAGCTTTGCTGCGGCGGCTGGATCTGGCCCTCCCACCCCCCCGCGGCCACTCTGCAGACGCGCATGAACGCGGCACAAGGTAGCAATTTGGGTCGATCCAGCCCTTAACTCCACGGCTTTCGGTAAAGGGAACATGTCAGCGCCACGGCTGTAGTCGGCATGGTTCAGACGCTGACCGGCGCCGCTCAACTGACGCACTGCGTTGTCACACACGATGCACGACAATGGCTGGCCCGCGCAATTTCCTGGCATATCATGCTCGGGGCTGACGGGCGTCCGCCTCGAAGTCGTACACACTGGATTTACCATAGGTTCCGGGCCCCGGGCCTCGGGCCAGCTTGATGCGCAGCAGCGAGAACACACATACCCCACACTCCCTCTCAGGTTGTGCAACACATGCGAGAGCGCATGCCCGCACAACCATGCTCGCTTGTTTTCATCACCGGCCATCGGTGCCTCGGTATTGCCTCCCCTGTGAGAAGGAAGGGAAAGTGTTTACCGGGTGAATCGTATTGTGGGGAGGATGCCAGCGGGTGTGTGGTGCCCCCCTCGGCCATGAGCGCTTCTGCAAGCGCTCACCAGCTGCACGCCCCGGCCTGGTCTTGTGGTATAAAGAGGCTCTCCCCGTGGTCCTCCTCTGGACCCCCACACCTAGACCCTTTTGACTCCTTCACTCACCCCGACACCCTCTCTTTCACCCTTTCACACAGCCCTACACCGTTTCTTCGTTTTTGTCAAACATGGCTCACCAGCGCGGTCACCGCAACCCGGGCGACATGGAGGGTATGTCTCATTGACTCCATTAAACCTTGGAGCTCATCGCTGACTTTTCCCCAGTCGGTATCAACGATGTCTTCATCCACGTCAACGACACCCCACACCTTGCCGAGCGTCCTGCTGCCCCCCAGTGGCTCACAACCTGGGAGTCCCGTCGCCCTACATGGCTCATGGAGATGATCTGTGAGGCATTGTGAGTTTTCGAGAGCTACGCAATCTATGGAACGCATCAGCTGACCACGGCCAACAGCGGTGTGGCACTCTATTGCTGGTCCGGCCTGAACGCTACGGCGACATTCTTTGTTTCGTCCGCCGCCAAGGAGACTGGCTTTGGCAGTCTGCAGACCATTGCCTTTTGTTACGCCCTGGGTATCATGATGGCCGTCATTTTCTGTGGCCCCACCTCGGGTGCCCACCTGTCCCCCGGTGTGACCATTTCATTCGCCATCTTCAAGGGCTTCCCTTGGCGCAAGGTTCCTCGTGAGTTTGTTTGGCTATGGTGCCACATACCAGCGCGTTTCATTGACACTGCCCCCCAGAGTACATTTTCGCTCAGCTTGTCGGTGGCTTTGTCGGCTGCATCTTCGTCTACCTCCAGTTCAAGACCCAGCTCGACGAAATCACCGCACTCATGGAGGCGGCCGGCGAGCACGCGGCCATCTTCACGCCTTCGGGCCCCGCCGGTGTTCTTGCTCTCTTCATGAACCCGGGCTACAAGATCGGCTTTGTGTTCCTCAACGAGTTTGTCGCCTGCCTCGTCTTTGGCACCGTTGTCTTCTCGGTCCTCGACCCTTCCAACCACTTTGTCACCCCCTCGTCGGCTCCCCCCGTCATCGGCTTCACTTTCTTCGTCCTTGTTTCCAGCCTGGGCATGAACGGCATTGCCCTTAACTCTGCTCGTGACCTCGGCGGCCGTTTCGCAGCCGGTGTCGTCTGGGGCAGCGAATGCTTCCCCCCCGCATACACCGCCCTCGCGGCCCTCACCAACATCCTCGCCTTCCAGATCGGTGCTCTCTTCCAGATCCTCTTCCTCTCGGACACTATCCGCCAGCCCACCGCTGCCGCCATGGTGATCCACCACGCCCAGACCGCCGAAAAGGAGGCACACCTCCAGCGTGTCCTCACCTCGCGCACCGACGGTAACGGTGGCCTCAGCCGCGTCCTGACTGGTGGCCTCAAGCGCACCGTCACCCCCAAGCCCGAGGTTGCCCACTACGAGACCAAGAATGACTCGGACCTCTCGACCGTGTCTGCGGTTTAAGGCTCATAAACGATATTTGTACATAGTCACGCATGAAGAGAAGGAAGTCGGCGGGGAGAGATCAACATAGCAGTGTTTTCTATTTTGTAAAACGGGGGGGAGGGGGGGATGAAGTCATGGACGATCAAAGCAGTTGCAGATCACGACGAGCTGCAGACAGGCAGACAGCATATCGTTGATCAGATCACCGTCGCTCTCTCCACATTCTTATCTTTCCGGTCTTTTCGGGGCCACCACTCCAACGGACAAGGCGAAGAACATCAGCAAAAAAAACGTGTACACTTTCGCATGTGCATGCTCAGGTCGTCGGGAGGCCCGACCTACCACACACAAGTGTCGGGTTCACCGACGGGGCTTGCTTCTACTCCTGGGAAGGACGGCGCCCAGCGCCCTACGGCCTCGCTATGTGGGCGGTGACGCCACAATCGTATCGACTCTGCCCCGTGTCCCCATATAACCCGTTGCCAAGCGTACTGCGCCCCGCTGTGCACAGTGCATAGCACAGCCCGGTACACAGTTGATTTGGTCGTAGCCACAATATATGGGTTTACGCAAAAGAGTCTCCACAAGTCTCCGTTCGGCTTGGAAGGTGGGTGTGTTGCGTTTGGTTCTGCCATACCGGTGTTGAGGATGTAGCCGATGAACAACAGGTCGTTCAGGCACTGTGGGTAAAGGGCCATTATCTCACTCCCCTAAACGAGGTCAAATGTCAGTGGCGGGGAGACCAAGCCGCGTCTGCACGTTGAGGCCGAATCCCCTCAGCGTCATGGTTTCTTTTCAAACAGGATGGAGGAGCATGTGACCATAGATTCACAAACAAAACTGCAAACAAGGTACTCGATCCTCCCCGGGGATCGACCGGACAGCTGACCTCGGGCATGGGGGGTTGGAGGACGAGCCGTCGTTTACATGCCGCGGCACAGCGCTCGGCATGTTCGGCATGGCCGCCACACTGCCACACCGGGCACACGGGGGCTCCCACGGGGCACCGGCTTTAAACGTCAACTCTACCGGTATTCGGGAATCTCCGTCCCGCTCTCTTGCATCCTCTCCATCGTCCTTGCTCCAGCGCATCCCATACCGAATACCGTCTCATCCAACTGTCGCAATAACTCGGTGTCTCGGTATACTCGCTCGCCCCCCCCGCAATGGTCGCTGGTCGCAAGCGAGGCCCCACCTCGGCGGCGTCGGAGGACACTCCAACGAGATACAAGAAACGGGCCTATGGTCACTCATGTCTCGTGAGTTGTTGCGGAATCCGGGCGTGGTGCATCGTCCATTCCCAGACCCCGCAGGATGCTAGACGTTTCTATTATCGGGAGAACCAACGTTGACCATCTCGACTCCAGGCATGTCGTGAACGCAAGATCAAGTGTGAAGAGGTGGATTCTCCACCGTGCAAAGGATGCCGCGAGAGCAACACCGTCTGCGAGCCCGTCGAGCGCGCTCGCGTTAGCAAGCGGTCCAAGGACACGGAGACGACGTTGGCCAGCTTTGAGAAGCGGCTACGCCGGCTCGAATCACTAGCCGACCTGCCGCATTCACCGTCCGACTCGCCCCTCCACACCCATGGTACGCTTGGCGCGGTCGAAGGCCCGCTAAGCTCCCACCACCACTCTGGTGGGCCTGGCAGTGTGCCCCACACGGGGCGCAGGTATGACGATGACATGGATGACGACCTCGGCCATGACCAGGACGACCGCGACCGCGACCATGATCACGACCACCATGACGACCACGAGCCCCACGAGCCCGAAGGTCTGGGCCGGCCCCGGTATGACCTTGGTTCGGCGGCGCGGCCAGTCTACCATGGCGAGCTGAGCATGTTCGACGAGGTGGGAAAGAGCGCGGCGGCGTCGCCTCGCGGCTTTGAGAGCGAGTCCCCACAGTCGTGGACTGAAGAGCGTCTGCGTGCTGCCGCCCGTCTTCGTCACCGCTACGCTACTGCTGAAGAAGGCGAGGCGTGGATGGATGCGTACTTTTCGTGGGCTTCACCCGTATACGCTGTCGTGCACCGGCCCATCTTCATCCGTGAGTGGTCGCATGTGGACTGTTTGCTGACATATGCAAGGTGACATGGCGCTGGACGGCCCTTACTTTTCCGATTTCCTCCTCATCATGATTTACATCTCGGGTATCCGGTTTTCTGCTGGGATGAGCGACCGGGAGCGCGAACAACGCGGCGAACAGTACGTTGGCCTCATGCTGAGCATGCTTGCCGACGAGACGATGGGTCCCGGCAAGATCACCACCATCCAGGCTCTGCTTGGTCTTGGCGGTCGCCAGAGCGCTGTGGGCAAGACCACCCAGGCTTGGATGCTCACCGGCATGGCCATCCGCATGATGCAAGACATGGGCCTGCACCTGCCCGTCGACGAGAACAAGTTTTCCGCCGAGGACCGCGATATGCGCAACAGGTTGTTCTGGAGCGCATACTGCTGGGACAAGACCATGTCCCTTACCCTCGGACGTGAGCCAAGTCTCGCCTCGCGCCCGGGGCTGTCTCCCGACTCCCTGCCAGACGACCCCGACGACGACATCTACTGGCACCCCGTGCTTCCTGGACAGCCGCTCCCCCTGGGCCAGCCGTACCCCAAATGCAAGCTGCTCAAGACGTTTACACTGCGTCACCTGTCAAAGCTCAACCTTATCCTCGAGTCCATCCTTACCAACATGTACTCGCCCATGCGCCCCAACGCGAGGTCTCTGTCGTTTATCCGCTCGGCGTCTGACAAACTCGAGTCTTGGCGCCGCGACCTGCCCACCGAGCTCAAGATTGAGGCCCCAATGGTTCCAACAGCAAGCCCGCCGTCAAACATTGTCATTCTCAACCTCCTCTACCACACCATTCGAATTCTCATCTACCGCCCGCTGCTGACCGCAAACAGCCAGTCGGCGCTCGCTTCGTCGGCTCTCAACGAATGCCGCAATGCGGCGTCGGGCACACACGATGTTCTGTCACTGTGGGGTCGTACCTTTGGTCCCACCAACCAGCACTTCCTCTTTGTCTACTGTTGCTTCATTGCGGCCGGCGTGGACATTCTGCTCATCCGCACGGGCAACCCGTTCGTGCGCGACGAAGCCTTCCAGCGCGTGCACCTGTCTCTCGACATTTTAGAGCAGGCCAGCACGCAGGGCCCCGGTATCCGCCGTGGCATTGTCAACATCCGCAGCCAGCTCGACCGCGTCACAAAGGGCGAGCTCACATACGCCAAGGAACCCGCACCCGTCGGACTGGTCGACGGGCCCGCCGCGCCAGTGGATCAGTCGCTTACGGGCGGCGCGGCCGGACCCGCCGCCGACGCACCGGCGCAAGACCTCAGCTGGTTTGCAGAGGGTGACCTCTGGGACCACCAGACGCTCATCGACATTCTCGGAGCAGCGCCAATCAGTACGCAGGATCCATTCGCGTTCAACACCGACGGCCTGCCGTTCTGATGTGAGGAATGGAAAACTCGTTGTTTCCATGTTGTTTGTATATATGTAGCAGCAAAAGATGCCAAGTGTTCCAGTGGTCTTATCCCTTGTACAACTTGCTGCATCACGCGACTCTACGACTACCGGGACATTACGACGAGAGAGTAAGGGCCGCGAGCTTGACGACGGTAAACTCCTCGACACCGTAACCCAAACCGCCCTCCTTGCCCATACCCGACTGCTTGATGCCGCCGAAGGGAGCCTCGGCAGTCGACGCGTTGGCAGTGTTGAGCGCGACCGTTCCGCTCTCGAGCTTCTCGTAGCAGCGCCACGCACGCGAAATGTTCTCGGTCCAGACATAGTTGGTGAGGCCCATGTCGGTGTCGTTGGCGAGGCCGATGACCTCTGCCTCGTTGTCAAACTTGTACAGCGAGACGATGGGCGCAAACATCTCCTCGGTGTACACGGTCGCGGTGCGCGGCGTGTTGACGAGCAAGGTAGGCTCGACGAGGAATCCGGTACCGAAGCGCTTACCGCCCGTGACGAGGGTGGCACCCTGCTTGACGGCGTCGTCGATGATGGTGATGGCGCGCGCGGCGCCGCGCTCGGTCGTCACCGCGCCGTTGGTCACGCCCTCGTCGAGTCCGTGGCCAAACTTGAGCTTGGCCATGCGCTCCTCCATCTTCTTGGCAAAGGCGTCGTAGATGCCGGCCTGGATGAAGACGCGGTTGGCACACACGCACACCTGGCCGGCGTGGCGGAGCTTGTTGGCGATGAGCGCGTCGGCGGCCTTGTCGAGGTCGGCGTCGTCAAACACGATCCACGCGCCGTTGCCGCCCAGCTCGAGCGTCAACTTCTTGAGCGTGGACGCGGCCTGCGACATGAGGAGCTTGCCGACAGCAGTGCTGCCCGTAAACGAAATCTTCTTGAGACGCTTGTCCTCGCACATCTTCTTGCCCACTGCGGGCGTGGTGTGGTTGGACGCAGTGACGACGTTGACGACGCCGGGGGGCACACCGGCGCGCTGGCACAAAATGGCCAGCGCCAGGGTGGTGCATGGAGTCTCGGGCGAGGGCTTGATCACAACAGTGCATCCTGCGGCAAGGGCAGACACGAGCTTGCGCAGAGCGATGACGAGAGGGAAGTTCCAGCTGGAGAGAGTCAGGAATGTCGGGAGTTGATTGGCAACAAAGCAACTCACGGGCAGAGGAGACCAACGGGGCCGACGGGGACACGCTGGGTGAAGAAGCGCACGTTGGGGTTGTCGTTGGCCTTGAGTGTGTCGCCGTGGATGCGCTCGGCCTCGCCAGCAATGAGCCACGAGTAGGTCGCTGGTTGCATTAGCGTCGAAAGGTCAAGGTGGGTAAACATTTGCTACGCGTACTCACTGGCATAGTCGACCTCTCCGAGCGCCTCGACAAGGGCCTTGCCGGTCTCCATGACGATGAGCTTGGCAAAGTCGTCCCTGTTCTCGCGGACGAGACGGTCAATCTCGAGAATCATCCTTGCGCGCTGGCGCGCAGACACCTGCGACCACGAAGGGAACGCCTCGGTGGCAGCAGCGATAGCGGCGTCGGTGTCGAGCTCGTCCATGTTCTCGACAGTCGCCCAGACCTCGCCGGTCGCGGGGTCCTGCACCTCAAACGGCTTGCGGCCAGACACGGCCTTGACTTGCTTGTCGTTGATCCATCCGGTCGAGATGAGGAGCGATGGGTCGTTGAGCTTGAAGTTTGCGTGGACCATTCTGATGAGCTGTTTGTGTGGGTGGGTTCGAGAAACCAGAACGCGTGAACGGTTAAGAGGGTGTCGAAGGATCATGAGAAAGGGTAGGATGGTTCTTGGCTGGCGGCGGTCGGTCACTCCGGGATTGTAACCAGTCAGCAGATCAAGTGGGCTGGGAGATCGGCGCAGGCCGACAGAGCCGCCCTGGTTGCCGACGGCGGAGTAACCGGACTTCGGATTGCACCATCAACACACTGCCAGGAAGCGACGTGGTCTCGTTCGTATGCCCCAATTGCTGTCAGACATCACCCTTGTGGAGGTCCGTACAAGTGCTGGCCATCGGTGGGGTCCTCGCGCGGAATCGTGTTCGTTTGGTGGATACTCAGCCGGAATTCCGCGCAGGGGGGGGGGGGGGGGGGGTAATGTCGGCATCCCGTGATTTCGGCAACATAACCAAAACAAAACCCTGGTTGGTAGACCGACGGCCGTCACGATCAACGAGGATTGTCTAAATCATCCATGCTATCTGCCACTCCGGGCTCTACTGGTTAATCTGTTGCTTCTAGTTATCTAATCCCTATCGGCTTCCCGCGACTCGCCATGTACGCCTAAGCCGTTTAGTCCAGAGTGGCCGTCTTGAGGTCGGGCGACACCTCGAACGACGCGCCAGTCTTGGCGCGCACCTCATCAAGGGTGGCACCAGGCATGAGCTCGGTGAGCGTCATCTTGCCCTCCTTGCGGTCAATCTCAAATACGGCAAGCTCGGTGACAATCATGGAGACGCAGCGCGCGCCGGTGAGTGGGAGCGAGCAAGTGTCGACAATCTTGGGCTCGCCGTGCTTGTTGCAGTGGTCCGTGACGATGATCACGCGAGTTGCATCAGGCGATGAGACAAGGTCCATGGCGCCACCCATTCCTGAGACGAGTCAGCTCAGAACGATACAGAAAGGACGTGAGAAGATCTTCCGCTCCGCCCTACTCACCCTTGACAAGCTTCTTGGGAATGATCCAGTTCGCAAGGTCGCCCTTGGCGCTAACCTCCATAGCACCCAGAACGGCAACGTCAATGTGCCCACCACGGATCATGGCAAAGGACTCCGCCGAGTCAAAGGCCGCCGCCCCAGTGGCCATGGTGATGGTCTCCTTTCCGGCGTTGATGATATCCGAGTCGACCTGCTCGCGGGTGGGAGGAGGGCCAATGCCGAGAAGACCGTTCTCCGACTGGAGCCAGACGGCGCGTCCCTCGGGAAGGTGGGCCGGGAGAAGGGTGGGCATGCCGATGCCGAGGTTGACATAGTACCCATCCTTGAGCTCCTGGGCGGCCCGCTTGACAATGTTGGTGCGGGCAGCAGCGGCGGCACCCTTGCCGAGCGCGGCCTCGTCGGCGTGCCCGTCCGGCTGGGCGAGGACGAGCGACTCAATGTCGGTGTTGCGCGGCGCCTTGACGATGCGATCGACGTAGATACCTGGAAGGTGGATCTGCGACGGGTCGATGCTACCAGTGGGCACAATCTCTTCGGCCTCCACAATGGTCAGCTTGGCGCCCTTGGCCATGGGGACGTTGAAGTTGGTAGCAGTGTATCGGAACACTGTGTTACCAGCCTCGTCGACCTTTAGGGCATGAATGAGGGCGATATCACCGGGAAGAGCCTCCTCAACAAGGTACTTTCGGCCGTTCATCTCGACGACCTTGCGGGGCTCGGCAAACTTGGCAGGCTGGCCATCGGCGGTCTCGTTGCGGATCGGGACGGTGGGGTTCTCGATCGACGTGGCCACGCCAGTAGGGGTGAGGAAGGCGGGGATACCAGCACCAGCGGCACGGATACGCTCGGCGATCGTGCCTTGGGGAGTGAGCTCGACCTCGATCTCGCCGCGGAGGTACATGTTCTCAAGAAGCTTGGTACTGCACAAGCGTCAGCGAGACGGCTCGTCCTTTGGTGACTCACGCGCCAATGTGGCTGACAATCATCTTCTTGACCTGGCCCTCCTTGATAATCGCACCGAGGCCCTTCTCCTCGACACCGGCATTGTTGCCAGCGATGGTAAGGTTGTTTACCTCGTCCCTGCCGCGGGCGGCAATGGCCTTGATGAGGGTGTTGGGAATACTGTTGCCTGTCAGCCCCTGTTCATCATATGTAGAGTTCTCAACCAGACTAACCCGCAGAGTCCAAAGCCACCAGACAGAATCGTGTCGCCAGACTTGACAACCTTGACAGCCTCGGCCGCACTGGGGTAGATTTTGTTGACACGCTGGCGGGCCACATAGGTCGCAAAGCCGCGCACGAGCACGCCGGCGGAGAACTTGGTCAGACGCCTAGAAGCCGAAATCATAGTGGCGATGCTTTGAGACGTTGGTGGTGCGCCAAGAGGGCGACATTTCTTTCCTCGTCTCAGCTGATATTTACATTTCCTTGAGCTCGTCTAAATGTTTCAATGGCCCGGCCCAAGTACCGGCTGGCCTTGCCAAGCAAGCCCCTCTGTCGCCAGCGCAGCAAGCGTGTGGGGCTGGGAAGCGGGGACAGAGCGGTCCAGCGGCGTGGGGAAGTGGGTGTGGTGGATACATCAATGGTGCTCCGCATCACTCCAAGTGGACCACGGCGTGTGGAGCGGCCAGTTAAAAAGCCAGTCGCCGCTCGGCCGGGGCGGACCGCGGAGGTTACACGCGCGTAGTTGTATTTTCCTCGGTTTCAACGTTACTTTTCTTATTGCCCTGCAGGCTGGCAGACCGACGATGGCCACGATCGCGATGAAGATCCGGCAATGGTGTCGCCCGTCTCGCTTGAATACAGGTGCAGCGTTGGACAGGAGCAGGGGAGCACGATGGTCTGACGTTCGCCGGTCCGAAACACAGCCGTGATGGCGACGTGGGCGCCGAGGCCAGCGCGGGGCCTCATCTGCAGGCCGTAGGTGGAGGCGGGGTTGAAATAGGTCTTTTGCACTAACGGTGCCGCGGCGAGCTGAGCTGAGCTGTTGTGTGTAGGCATTCTGGTGAATCCATCTGCAGACAGTTGCCCAGACGGGAGACCGAGAGGCAGATGCCAATTGACCGATAACGACTCGGGATCCCGAAGGCCTTTTGAGGGGACTGAACGTACCGTCCCCCTTGTACCCTTGTGTGGGATCCCAGAAACAAAGCCCGTTTACAACCCCATCATTACCGAGGTTTGCTAGGAGTTGGGCATCACTGGTGCCAATCGCAGGTTCGAAGGTCGGCCTCCACCCGACTCGCGGCGCCGGCTCTTGTTGCGGCAACAGACGGCCAAGGCAGACTCCTCGTCCCTCCCCATATTGATCCCCTCGTCACCATTGTGCTACTCACCTTCAGACTCATCTCACGATGGCCACAGCGTCGGGGAACCCCGGATGGATCAACGGTAGCTGCAACTGCGGCAAGATCACGGTGTCCCTCAAGCCACCCTCAGATGGGTTGCATGTCTGCCGTGAGTCTCGTGGTCAAGCACTGTGATGCTGTGCCCATACATCGGAGACTGACGTTAGACTGTATCGACTGCAGGAAGTTCACGGGGGCCATGTAGGCTGAATCCCTTTCGACTGGTTGCTGACGGCCACAGCGCTGCCTTCCTTCTCCAGCTCCCTGCCGCTGATTTCAAGATCGAAGGCGAGTACCGCACGTGGAACACGATTGGCAACACTGGACTCAAGGTAGGGCGGTACTTCTGCGGCGAGTGCGGATCGTGAGTTGTCTGGCAGCCTTTTGGGTACCAGTTGAGGAAGCTAAACGGGGCCAGATCGCTGTACGATACCGGCGAATGCGATCCAGGAAACGTGTCTGTGCACGGAGGTGAGTGACGACTTGGACACGAAGTCCAGTCTGAACCCGTATAGGCCTTTTTCCACCCGGGTCACTTCCGGCACCTTGTCGTGAGATCTTCTTGGCCGACACTGAGAAGTGGGAGCAAAGGTACCCAAACGCGAAGACCTGGGAAAGCCAGTAAAACACTCTATGAGGTCCATGACACGGGCCCCGCAGATCCCAGGCTGTTGTGCATGGGAACATCAGCTCATGGGATGCCAAATGACCTACTCTGCGGTAGACAGGGGCGGGACTGGCGGACAAAACACACTTTGGGCGCGACTGTTCGGAGCAGGTAGTTGCTTCAATGCACCGGCAAACGTCGAATAAAGTGCGACTTGGTTTGTTTTCGGCCCGAATAATATGTTTCATAAGCACGATGTCGCGATGTCATGGAGTGGAGTGCAGTCCACAGCGCCACAGCACATTCTTGCTGGCCGCTGGAGACTGGTTGACAGCTGCGGACCGGCTGATCTTCTTCCACCCACTGCCGGTTGGAATGGTGCGGGCCGACAATGGCCGACAATGACGGGCATCACGGTCATTTCGAGGCATGTGTGGCTCAAGGAGACCGCGACGCAGCGATGCCGACGGGGAGGTGGCGATTCCCCTTCCGAGCCGAACAGTTATGCAGTGGACTCGAGCTGCTACATGTCACCCGTTTAGTGTGCAGAACGCGGAAATGGGAGACGACGACCAAGGAGGCCAACACACCATCATATGAAGGCTGAGAGAGCTAGACCACCAACCATCATAACCCAGACTCGGAGCTGCTCCGAGATGCGGAGAATGCCTGTAATCGAGCGCACGGAGACTTGTACGGACATTGTCGCCTTCACAGCGCGGGTCAAGCGGCGGGATATCCCATAGCAACACCAGATGTCTTGCACCTGACCGTCGCGAAGCCTTCGCGTTCTGCCTCATCTGGCCACCCAAGTCGGTCGATTTCACCTCGGGCCCCGCAACAGCTTCGGAAAAATCAGCAACCTCCGAAGCACAAGCACCAAGCCCCACCGACATCTGTACATCCTGTGCTGGCCGGTAAATGTGCTTTTGAGCTTAGAGTGCCGCGAAACATAGGCGTATCGTATTGGTGTATGCCCTCCCGTACCCATGTCCTCCAGGAGTTCGCGTCACGCGCCAGTTTTAACGGATAATCAGTAATCAGCGTGTCGGGAACCAACCGTCGCGCCACCGCACCATTGCCCCGCAAGCGACTAGTTTTCGCATAAAGACCTTCGGATCGAAGAAGAGCTCCAGACCACGTCTTCATCACCACATTCTTCGCCACTGCATCCTACTCAGAACCACACCAAGACAATACCATCACACCGCGTGCAGCATGGGGTCTCCAGAGGTCTTGGAGCTTGAGAAAGTGGCTCACACACCACCTTCGGCGGTCGCCGATAACCGCGACACTGTTGCTGAGGAGAACATTGCCATTCCACCGACCGGTCAACCGGCGACAGGTTCCCACTCGCAAGTGTACATTTTTAAGCGTCTGCGGAGGCCTATGGCTCCTCCAACCAAATGGAGGCGCGTGTACATTGTCGTTGGACTCTGCCTCTCAATGATTCTGTGTGGCTGGACGGAAGGCTCGGTCGGCCCCCTCATTCCCTCCCTCCAGAAGCACTACAACGTGAGCTAGAAGGAATTGGGTCAGGAAACTAACTGGCAGATCAACTATCTTAAGAGTGAGATCCGCAGTGACAAGTGACAAGGTGACGTTTGGCTGGCGAGACTGACAATGTTCTAGTGTCTCTTATTTACCTCACCGGGTTTGTGGGTTCCATGTTTTCCGGTTTCCTCAACGTCTGGATCACGGACCGCCTCGGCTTTGGCTTGGTGAGTTGTTACAGCATGGCATGCTTATGTACTGACCTCAGTCTACCACATTTGGGGCAATCTGCTCGGCGATCGGCTACATTTTCATGGCCACGGGAGCCAATTACGCCGTGTGGCTCGTGGCGTTCATCTTCACCGGCTTCGGTCTAGGACTTCAGGATGCGCAGGTCAACAACCTCACATCTCGTCTTCCTAACGCCAGCAACACAATGCAGCTGGTCCAGGCTTGTTTCTCACTTGGCGGCACGATCGCTCCACTCGCTTCGACAGCTTTCGCCGAGCACGTGGAGGAAAAGTCGTACCTCTACTTCTGGGTCGCGACCGGCGTGGCTGTTTTCTCGGCGGTCGTCATGTTCGTGTGTTTCGACATGCGCACAGAAGAACAAATCGATGGTACCAACAACCACCTCACCCAAACTATCATTGAGCCTGCAGGAGCGGTCGTCCCCAATGTTACCAAGGCGGAACAGGTTACCAACGACGAAGCCAGCGCTCCCACGGCACAGGCTTCGAGCGGTGCCAAGATGAAGCTCATCTTTTCCACTCCTGCTGTCTATGCGCTTCTCGGCTTCAGCTTCATCTACGTGAGTGTGTTGTGCCGGTGGCGTGCCCGGTGACGTGCCCGGTGACGTGCCCGGTGACGTGCCCGGTGGCAGGATGGCTGACGGACTCGCAGATTGGTGTGGAAGTCGCCATTAGTTCGTGGGCGCCAACCTTTTTGGTGCGCGAACGCGGCGGTAGCGCCAAGGTGGGCTACGTCACGACTGGTTTCTGGGGTGGCATGACTGTCGGCCGCATCGTGTTGATCCCGGTCACCAACAAGCTCGGCTATCAAAGGTCAATCTACCTTTACTCGCTGCTTTCTCTGGTCTTCGAGCTCATCATCTGGTTCACGCACAATGTTGTCGGGAACGCAATCTGTTACGCCCTTATTGGAGCGTTCCTGGGTCCGGTCTACCCTATCGGACTGATGGTGGTGTCCGAAGTGCTCGACGACAGCATTCGCGCCGGCGTCATGGGCCTGATGGGTGCCATGGGCGGCGCTGGTGCAGCGGCAGTGCCCTTTATCGCTGGCGCGATCGCCGACGCCAAGGGCATTTGGGTTGTGCACCCTATCGCTGTCGCCATGATTGCTGGCTACACTGCGTTGTGGGCCCTCGTGCCAACGAAGAAAAAGGTTGCCAAGGCTGTCGAGCCCGGGACTACACCTGCAGAGACGGTTGAGGGGAGCGAGGCTTCGTCGTAGAACCCTGTCACTTGGGATAGATTACTTTACATAAAGACATGGAATGTTTCCTGCGGCTCGTGTTCAAGCATAGGCAATCTTCGACAGCGGACAGCGAGATCATTAGAGTGTTGGCACCCGAGTTAACGCGGGCGCCACACTCGGCGCCCTGTGCTGGGAAATCAAATACACCTTGGCATTGAGTGCGTTATGCACTGGCGAACTGTAAGCACGCCATGTAATGTCTCTGTAAAGGATCCATATTCAGGACGGATGGGTCCCGGACAGGTCTTACTGGGGATTAGTGCAGTTTGAACACGGCTGGCATAACACTTCTGTTCCTGTACAATCGTCCACCCCTGTACTCCGTGCGGACTTTACCCTGCTGGAAACGACGGGAACAGGGAGACCCGCCCTGTAGTTCATCTCCACACACAGAGGATGGCCTCCATGGATTACTGGACGACTCCCTTCACGCCCGGTCATTCGACTTGGTGATAACTTGGGTGACGGCGCAGTCTCTTGGCTGGGATGAGGGAAGGGGCGGCGTCGTACGGAGAAGACGAGAAGAGGCACAAGAGACAAGGGGAGCAGTTCCATGATACTCTTCTTGTCCTCTGCCGGCACGGGCCCTCGATAGGTTGGGGCATCGGGCACTTTACCGAGCTGTGCCGCTCCGCCGAGGCTCCCCTTGTCTGACTCGAACTTTGTCCTCGGTAGCAGAGTTCAAGTGGCAATAGCATCCCATCGCCAATCGGACACCTGTGACGCAACGAACTCTGTGGATTATAAGGCACCGATGCCGTTGTTAGCACCAGCCTGGAGGGCATCCCGCGAACTTTAGTGGGTCATCAATCAGCAGATTCCACAGCTAATTCCAGAGCTGCCCAGCTGGCCAGCTGTTCAATCGACACCGGTGGCCGGTGCGATGCGGCCGGTATATTCCAACAACATGGATCGAAGACCGTCAATTACCGAAGTGGGGGACCTAGGTGAGGAACGGGCCGCCCGGACCGCCCGTCCAACAGCAACCTTCGCAACAGGGCAGATACCACCAGTGGCAACGCAACGAGGCTTCGGTGTCGCCGTTGGTGGGTTTGCGGGGCATCGTACCTCCCGCGTTGCCCCGGTATGGAGTTCTGTGGCCCCCTCTCTACCGGCCAGCTGCGATTCAGGTCAAATGCGTTGCCAAGATTCATAGGAAATAGAGGTACATACCCTACTGGAGGTATGCCGTGAACGTAGAACACCGAGTGCCGGCCGGCCCTACTTTTCTCCAGGCTTGGATCCTCCTACATATAAGTACCTGTTGTTCTCAAGCGAAGGTTTCCTCCGTAATCCCACAGATCACCAGCAACCTCTCCCCCACCTGCAATCAAAGGCAGACATGGCGACCATGGACGACAGGAAGTCATTCGACAAAGGACTTGACGAGGAGCGCATGGAGGAGGCTGTCGCTGTCAACACGTCAGCCGCTTCGAAAATCGCTCAACAGCACGCCGACCTCTATGCTGAAGCACTTGCCAAGTACGGAGTGGACGGCGACATCGACCCTGCGGCAGAAAAGCGCGTGAAGCGTAAGCTTGACCGTCGCATTCTCCCCGCTCTTGGAATCTGCTATTTCTTCTACGTGAGTTCTGGATATGCCTGTGTGCGACACGACAACGGGAGCTCCACTACTGCTGGAGGACTTCCGCCTCTTCTGCACGCCTGTTTGCAATGTTCGCAGAGGCGTCGCGCTGTTGGTGGTCACACTCCAACGCTAGCCCCCACTCGGGTGACCAAATGTCGGCATTTCGGCATTCGGCCCGGTGCATCACGTGGCTCAGCCGGCATTTGCCGGCTGATCCGTGGCGCCGTGGGACATTCCACGCGGATTCTCCACCTCTCGTTACTTCCTTCGACTTCCGTCAACACTTGGGCACTGGGAAACGGTCTTGCATCAATAACAAGCTGACAGACAGTATGTAGACAAGACCACGTTGTCGTACGCGGCAATTTTCGGCATCAAGGATGATTTGAAGCTCGTCGGCACCGACTACTCGTGGCTCTCGTCCATCTTCTACTTCGGTTGGCTCGCCTGGGCGATCCCTTCCAACCTCATCATGCAGCGTTGCCCGCCCGCCTACTATCTGGCCTTCAACATCTTCATGTGGGGAGCTCTTCTCATGTGCCAGACAGCTGTCAAGAACTTTGCTTCGCTCGCTGCGCTTCGTGTTCTGAGCGGCGCATTCGAGGCAATCGCCGACCCCGCATTCGTGAGTTGGAGGACCCCTGTTTCGGGCTGACCCCGCAGATGCTCATCACGAGTATGTACTACACAAGGGCCGAGCAGCCATCGCGTATCTCGGCCTGGTATGTCTGGAACGGCGTCGGTGTTGCCGGCGGCGGTTTAATTGGTTACGGTATTGGCAACATCAAGGGCTCCATGGCAAGCTGGGTGAGTGTCCCTCCCCATCTCCCGTGATGGTACATGCTGACGGTCGTCCCAGAGGTACGAATTCCTCATTGTCGGCGCATTCTGTTCCGCCTGGGCACTTGTTCTCGGCTATGTTCTTCCCAACTCGCCAGCCACTTTCCGCGGATTCACTCATGAGGAGAAACTCATCATGATTGCTCGCATGGCCAAGAACCAGACGGGTATTGAGCAGCGCAAGATCCGTTGGGACCAGATCAGGGAGGCGTTCACCGACTACAAGACGTGAGTGTGGCACTTGCGGAGATGACCGAGTGGCACTGATCGGCGTTTGTGGCACTGCGCCCGAGAGTCTATAACGTGGTTCCTCCATGCTGACACCCTCAGCTACCTGTTCACCCTCCTCGGATTCATCGCCAACATTCCCAACGGTGGACTGAGCAACTTCAGTACCCTCGTCATCAAGGGACTCGGATTCGACACCCTCAAGACCGCGCTTCTCGGTATCCCGCAGGGTGCCTTCGTCGTCATTTGGATCACTGCTGGCGCTCTTCTGAACGACAGGCTCCCGAAGAACAGTCGTACCCTCGTCTGCGCGCTCTTTATGCTCCCTACCATCGCCGGCGCCCTTGGATTCCTCCTGGCCCCGAAGGACGCTTACGTGGGGCGCCTCATCTGCTTCTACTTGACCGGCTCCTATCAGTCGAGCTTCGTTATCTCTCTCTCGCTCATTACGTCCAACACAGGAGGTCAATCAAAGAAGATGATAGTGAGTACCTTAAGAGAATAGAGAGATTGGACGCGCGGCGTTTGTCACCGAAAACAGGGGGAAGGGGAAAAAAAAGAAAGAGAAAAGGGGTTTTATTTTATTTTATTTTTTCCTTCCTTTCTTCTCTCGGAGTCCCAACACTTGCTTGTCCACATTCCTTTCGTTGCTAACGCGTCCCAGGTTAGCGGAATGATTTGGTTTGGAGCCTGCTTAGGTAAGCCAGGATTTTCGTGACGCGGCCATAGGCAAGCTGTCGAGGTGAAAGACGACGTTAAAATACCTAGAAAGTGGTGAAGAGAGACCGGGCAATTTAAATTTGCCGAGAGTCGGTTCCGCCACCGACGCCCCTCTCCCCGCCCGTCTATCCTCTGTTTGATCCTCCGAATTAAGCACTGACCTCCACAGGAAACATCGCTGGCCCGTTCTTCTACAAGACCAACCAGGCGCCCAAGTACCAGCTGGGTATCGGCTCTCTCCTCGTCGCGAACTGCCTGGAGTTTATCCTGTTCTTCGTCCTCCGCTACGCGTTCATCTATGAGAACCGCAAGAAGCGTCTTGCTCGTGAGCGCGGTGAGGTCACGACTATCGATGCCTCGGAGACTGCCTTCTCCAACATGACCGACAAGCAGAACCCCAAGTGAGTCCGAGCTGCACGGTGGCAGCAGACGTGACAGGCGCCGACAACTGACGACACAGCTTCGAGTACGTGTACTAAGCAGCGAACTGGCGTGAGAAGTGTTTGGGAGCGGGTGGAACTTGCAGTACTGGTACAGCTGAGGTATAGCCTTTATGAACGCATTATACATCGAAGCCGATCAACGGTTGGAGAAGAGCGCACAGCTGCCACTGTCAAGGATTACCATCATCATCCATGGGTACAGACACCTCACACCGTGCACCTTGACACCAGAATTTACAATCGCTTCACAGCCTCACACACTCTCACTCTGCCTGCTGCACTGGCCGGACCAGGAGGGGCATCTGCAGTCCAGCCGACTCCTCACCCTCAACGTATGGGCGGAGCACCACACTGTGACGTGTCAGCAACAGTCAACCGCTGGGCATGATACGTACCCGATCTTGTACAAGAACACCGGCTTGCTCGGCAGCTCCTCAAACTCAAAGTTGCGAATGAGCACGAACAGAATCGACTTGATCATGGCAAGGGCGAACCGGTAGCCCAGGCAGTTGTGCGGGCCACCCATAAAGGTCATGACGTTGCCCCAGACACCGGGCACCTTGAGCGTGGTGGGGTGCTCCTTGTCGTAGCGCTCGGGCTTGAACTCGTCGGCGTCCTCGCCCCACAGCTCCTTGGAGCGGTTGACCTCGATCATGGACGCGACGAGCTGGTCGCCCTTGCGGAGCTTGACGTGGTCCATCATCTTGCCGTTACGGCCGCGGATCGGGGTCGCGAGCGGGACGACTACGTCGGCGGCCGCCATGCGCGGTGCGCCGGGGACGGGTGGGTCAAGGCGGAGAATCTCGCGTGTGACCTTGTCAAGGTATGGCAGGGCCATGAGCTCGTCGCTGGAAAGGGGTAAGTATGGCCCGCGGCGACGCACTCACTAGTCAAGATGGTCCTCGGTGACGGCCATCAACTCTTCACGGAGCTTGTGCTGAACACGAAGGTTTTGGGCCAGTCGCATCAGACCCCAAGCCAGCGCAGTGGCAGAGGTTTCGTTGCCGGCGAGAATCTAAGAGGTCAGCTCTTGGCCAAACGCTGTTGCCTTACAAAGTTGGTGATTTGGTCACGGACCTCCTCGTCTGACAGCTTCTGGGAGGCCGGCAGGTCGGGGACCATGTTGGCGCGGAGCAACAGAGTGACGAGGTCGTCGCCCATCTTGGTCTTGCGGTCCATCTTTTCAGTAAACTCTGCCTGGAGGTCACGCTTCTTGCGCTGGACAATGTCGTCCGCAATGGCCCTCGTCTTGCCGCGGTAGTGCTCGATGAGCCGGATCTCTCTGAGGGGGAGTTTCTCGGCATAGCAGTCGATGAGGATGGCGACGATGGTGACCTTCATCTCTGTCCAGATGCTGTTGAACGACTCGGCAAGGGCGTTGGGTCGCTCCTCGAGGCTCCCACTGACAGGTTAACTGGCAGCGACGTCGAACCTGCTCACAATTCATAGTCAAAGCCCGCACGGCCATTGATGTCCAGCGTCGCCTGGCCAAGATACTTGAGGACATCAATCTTGCGTGCACCGGGCACGCGGTCAACAGGGACCGGTGGCGATGGACAAGTGACCACATCGTTACTGCTGTCTAGGAAACCATCGAGCTTTTGAGACAGCGCGTACGCACACTCCCAGAAAATGGGCATCATCCCGCGGACAGCCTTGGCGCCAAACGCGGGGTTCAGAACACGCCGCTGACGCTTGTGCGCTTCGCCCTCGACGGTCAGAATGCCGTGCCCGAAAGCCCAGCCGAGGACCCTTGAGAGCTGCGGCGGACGCACGAATAGATCCGTGTGCTGCGCGATGAACTCTACCGCACGGGCATCCGTGGTCGTGAACCGGTGCGCTCCGAGAAAGTACGAGTACCGGATGGTGGTGCCGTATTGCCTGAACCATTGCATCGGCGCCGGGACGGTCTGGTCGTGCACAATGTCTGGCAGATTGCCAAACAGGACACTGCTGGACGGGGGGCCGGGGACATTGCGGTATGCGAGGGTGTACTCGGTGTACGGGTAGCAGTAGATGTACAGGAGGAGAAGGATGGCGACGACGGAGGTGATGATCGGGTGCGCCGTGACAAACGTGGTCACGAATGGCACCTGCGGAATGGCGGGGGCATCGAGTGGTATGATTGCCATGTTGGCGTGGTGAGTGTGGGTTCCGTCAGAGGTCGTGAGCGATAGATAAGAGGGTATATGTACGCGCGTGGAGTGGTCCGACCGAGACAGTGATCCAGTGAGAGGGTATGCACAATAAGTGTCAGTTGGTGAGCATTCCGGATGCCGACGACAACCACACCACATGACCGTTGGTAGCGCCAATGGCGTTGACTCAATAGCCAACTTGGCATGCAGCGAGGTGCACGGTGACAACAGAAAACGCGTAGACGCTACATGGCATTCCTCGCGCTCCAAGACCCCGCGCGGGGACCGGTACCGTGGAACCGGGCCGTTGTTTAGGTGGCGGCTCTCAGGCCGCCCAGCAGCCAGCAGAAGCCTCTGAGATCAGACATTTTACATCGGCCCATGCACGAAAATGGAAGCTCTCTCGCTCGCCTGGTATTCGAATGCCTGATACCGAGGGTATCACACAGCCGGAACCACAGTCGTCCCACCCATCGTCCTCGTACACACTTGCCAGGCGTGAGCGCGAATAAAACGCGTTTTGTTAGAAACTCACCACACGGGACATCCTGTTCCTCCCAGGCAAACGCTGGGAGGGAGAACTGTGAGAAGGGCCGTGGAACGTCTGTAAAGCTTGCGGTCAAGTTGGCAGTGGAGCAGTCTTTGGTGAGAGCCTCAACGTCGCGCATCTCTTGGGAGTACCGCCTCTCCCAGGCAGATCCTGGAGACAGCAGAGGGTCGGGGTTGAGTGGCGAGAGGGACTGGGGGATGGTGACGGAGGACATGTCGTCGAGGTTGGCCGGCAAGATGATGTCCGGAGCCTCTTGAACGACCACCTGGACGTCGCTCACTGCTACATACTCGTCCTTGGCGAACAGACCGGGTAGAGAAGCGGTAGTGGGTGTGTTGGTCTTGGCCTTTGCACCCCATGCGAACACGGGTGATGGAAGTGGCTTCGGGGTGCCTGGCGAGTTGACGACAGACGCCTCGTGAGAGACAACGTCGGGGACTTCACTCATCTCAACCAGGAGGCGTTTGGCAACCAGACCTGGCAGCTCCTTGAGATACTTGTCCAGTGCAGAGGCAACCTGGGTCTCAATTGGAGGGGGCCGACAGTGAGTGAGTCGAGACAGCACTGATGTAGGGGACTGCTGAAGGGTGTGAACCGGCGTGATAGTTGGTGAAGGTGTGATAGTGTGAGGTGTGATGGTCTGAGGTGGCGTGGGAGGCGCTCCCACTTTTCCCTTGTCCTCCATCATCTCCTCCCTCTTCCTCTGCATCTTGGCCTCTAGCTTGTTACGAAGCGCATGAACTTCGAACTCTTCCTCCAGGTCCTTGTCGGTAGGCATCTCGGCGCCCCGAGCCATAACACGTTTAGTGAGCGCCTTGACAGTCTGGTGCGCCATCCTGTTGGCCGCCTCGGCGCACACCCCATATTGCTGGAACTGGGGGCGTCAGCTGCAACCGGGGAGGATCCAACCCACAACGTCCGCAAGCGCGTGCCCCAGGTCCTCTTGCATGGTCTTCTTCCTCTCCATTGTAAGCTCCATCTGCCTGTCCAGCTGGCGATGAGCGAGTTCTACGCTATCAGCTGTCACCTTGACGCTCGTCGTGGTGTTCATGGTCGTTTAGTTTGATCAATGTGTTGGGGGATCCAGTGAGTCTTGGTGGCGCGGCGCAAAATGAATGATGGGGTAAGGGCCCGTCAGTGCTCGCACCAGTGTCCCATCATCAATCATACGTTTCACAGATGAAGCAACTGCATACACTTCAGTGATGGGCACGAGGCACCTTGCGAAGCATGGATCTGGTGATGGCACTCAAACACTGTTGCTTCGCCTCCGAGTTGCCCTCGGGAACCATACACCAGTAAACCGTGACTGCAGGGGCATCAGTGTCAAGAATCTGCCTCTATCTCGACGTACAAAAGCGCAGTGCTCCTCGTTGTCCGGGGTCGGCTTCTCCTCTTTCTCGGGCCTTGCGTAAGAAGTGCAATTCAGTGACAGCACCCTACTGTTCATTGTTTCCACCCTTTTCGCCAATGTCCGCCCCGGTGACACCACCCTCCACGAGGCGAAACCGGCTCAAGAGCGCTTCCTTTTGCTGCCGGTTCACGTAGAGTACGACTTGGCGACGCTCGGGTTCGTGCTCGAGGTCCTGCGCACATGAACGGAGAAAGTGTCGCACATGGATCGTGCTCATGTCAGCTAGCTCCTCGAAGATTCGGCCTTGGGCGTGCCACAGGTGCCGCTCCAGCGTGGCTGCGGTAGTGAGTGGAAATGGAAAGCGCAAAGTATCTCACTCTTCGGCGGAGGAGTCAACCACAGTCGCCTGGCACGACGGTGGATAGCCGACACTGTGCGGTGGTACATCTCGACGAGATGGAGTCGGTTTCCGACTTCCAGTGGGCGGCTGTACCACTCAAACTTGGAAAGTCAGCTGTTAAACTCCACGCCCGGCTCACTGGCTCGACGTCTGTCCATTTCACGGCTTCACCAGCCAATGCGAGCGACAGGACTTGCAGTGCACGCCCGAAAACACGCAGTCGAGGGTCGAGCCTGACCATGTAGTCGAGGGCCGGGGGCCATCCCACCCCGTGGCCATTGAGAAGCGCGCCGACGATCGGTTCTGGATCGAGATCGAGGAAGTCGCGCGAGGGCGATTTGTACCAGTGGTCCATTGGTATGAAGATGGCAGAGACAGGGGGGGGGGCTGGGAAAAACGGTATTTGGATGCCTAGCAGGTGTCATGCAGTATCGCATGTGTACACACGTCAATGAGGCGAGATGCGGCTGTGACGCCCCACAGCGTCATTCCTGCACTGTTTTGCTGTGGGCGTCCCCAGAGGCCGATTTCCCCTCCAAAGTGGGGTGTTCACGTACTGTGCAGTACTGACATGCCTGGAATTTAGTGATCAGGACCACCTTGTCCAAGTGCTGCGAGGGCATACGCTTTCATATACCATACTTACCTTGGTGGAGAGATGGTCTCGGAAAACGGACAAAAAAATCCAAAATTAATCACACGCGTCCCGACTGCACCACCGCGCAGACTGGTTTTCATCAAAACGCAATGCCGCTCCCTGTTGTTGACCTCAATACGTGCCACAGTGGGAATTTGCAGACGCATGCCAAGGTGGGACGCGAAGTGAATCCCACCTCGTCACAATCTCGCTCGCACTAAAAAAAATGCACCCTTATCGGTCACAAAAGGGTTGATGTGTGGCTGCACTCCATCTCACATCACATAGACGGTGCGAGTTCCAGACTCCAGAGGAGACGAGAACGAGTACAAAACCTCGTTCGTTGCTTCACTCGCTCTCTCTCTTACTCATCACTCATACTTATCATCACCATGTTCCGCATCATACGGGCCCTCGTGCTCGTCGTCGCGCTCGTGGCCATCCTCGTCGCGTCTTCGCCTACCCCCGTACTCACCAACGCCCGCGCCATCCAGGAGGGCAAGCCTCTCCTCCGCCCCCGCGCCGTTCCCCAGTGTAAGTGGCAGCACCGTCACCACGCCGCTACGCAGCTCCTTGGATCCTATCCGTGACGTTGAACTGACACTATACAGGTTTCCCGGGCGCCAACGGCTGCGCTGCCGCGCGCGACATGCGCGCCCAGCGTGCTGCTCGTCTCGCTGCTGACCCCTTCATTCTCCACCGCCTCCGTGGCGAGGTCCTCCCTCGTGGTGGAGGGAGCGACGGCGGGGGCGAGTTTGGGGGAGGGAGCGGTGGGGGAGGGGACGGAGGAGGGAGCGGAGGGGGTTGGGGCGGAGGGGGTGGGAATGGTGGGGGAGGGAGCGGAGGGGTTGGGAACGGTGGCGGAGGTGGCCCAGGCGGTGGGGGTGGTGGTGGTGGAGGAGGAGGAGGAGGAGGAGGAGGAGGAGGAGGAGAAGGCCCGCCTCCCCCAACCCATTCGCCGTGGCACAAGTTCGTCCAGTCCCTCGCCTCGCTGTTCGGCAAGCGCGACGTCTCTGGCTTTTCCAACACGTGTGCTGAGGTGGACCTCGAGCACAGTACTGGCACGGGTCCGGTGCTGGTTGCTATGTGCCAGACGGATGCTGGAGAGAGCACGCAGACTTCCCTGGGTCTGTCGTCTATCCTGTGAGTGGAACAGTTTTGGGGTGAGACAGGTTGTGGCACCCCTGTGGCGGCGCGTTCGCGACATGGGAACCGGGGTGATTAGTTTTCTCATCAGTGACGTTATCTCACGTCAACCGCACCTAAACTGACACTCTGCAGCATGGCCCACGACGACGGCAAGCTCCTCTGCGTCCCTGAAGACAAGATCTACCAGCACATGTCCATCGCCAAGAAGTGCGCCGACTGCGCCATGTCGGGCTCGGTCATCTCGTGCCTCTGCCTTGGGTCAACTGGTTTTGTAGTCGACACGTACGTCGACCTCAGTAAGTCGCATTTCCACCTTGACGCACCTCGCTTCCCAGTGACGCGCGAGCTGACCGACCACTCCTCTTTCAGACACGTGTGTTGGGAACAGTAACGGCCAGCTCAAGTAGTCTCCCCGCGGAAAACAAAGCTGGACGCCAGCAGTTCCAGGTCAGGTATAATTGCAGTTGTGTCAGTTGCTTGGGGTCGGCCGGAAAGCATGGAAACTTCTCGTTGTGAATAGATTAGACATAGCCCCAAGCCGCGACGAACATGCATGTGATTAACGTTGCAGAGTTGGGTAAACGAGTGTGAGCGTGGGAGTACGATTGTCCTGGATTACGGGAAGCAAGGCCTTGGTGCTCATTGAGACGTGCTGTCCGAGGAGGCTTCGACGTCCATGGGGGGTTCGTCGGCGTCGTCGGAGGAGGCTTCGCCATTTGAGGAGGCTTCGTGGTCCCAGGAGGCTTCGTCGTTCGAGGAGGCTTCATGATCTGAAGGCGCTTTGTCGTCCCACGAGGCTCCATCGCTGTCTGGGGTTCCATACGGCTTGCAGTCCGGTTTACGTGACGATGCGCTCGACGTCGGCCGCGGTGTATCCCCGCTCACGCTCCCACTCGATCCGTCCTCGTCAGAGACCTCGTTGGGCAAGTAAAAGTCGGAACTGCTGTACCCTAACGACCAGCGGCGAGGGTGAGGCGATAAGACGTCACCAGCGCTTCCAGTCCCACGTTCAGCCGCGACCCCGTACACCCCTGTCTAAAAGCCCAAAACCTCTGTGTGCTCACCCGTCCGCAAATGTGATAAACCGGACCGGCACCGACAGCTCAATGACCACTTTTGGCCGCTGCCAGAACTGCTCTTCCAGCACGCCACGCTGGCCGGGGTTAATGAGCAGGTCGCAGAAGGCTGGCCGCTCAAGCGGGAACGTCAACAAGACATTGTCCATCGCCGAGGCGCACGAGTTGAGAAAGTTGTTGACGTGACGGTTCTCGAGGGAGGAAAGCTCGGCGAGAAAGTCGGCCTGGGCGTTCCAGAGGCGGATCTCGAGGCGGGCTGTAGTGATGAGCAAGGTGGATACAGCTAAAAGCAAATGCGTAAGACAGCTCACTGCTCTTTGCGTGCAGTCCGCTGACGCCTTGTACGAGGCATGCGCGCCGCTGGAGGAAGCTCGCGCGCTCCTGGATTACAAGCTGGACGCGATGGTGCATCTCCACGACCTGGTGGTCGAGCAGGGAACGCTTCCACACATTGATCTGGGCGTTTAGTCGATCGTCATACCCCGCAAACATGACGTCTACGTCTCGAGGCAGAGCGAGACACAAGAGTCCCTTCTTACCGGCTCGACGTCCCTCCACTTGACCTTGCCTGACCGCACCAGCGCAAGGGAGAGTACTTGCAGTGCGCGGGAAAAGATCCTCAGCCGCGGGTCGTTTTGAAAGATCTGTGGCACACGCGTGTCGTCGTATGTTCCCCAGACGCGGTTGACCACCCATTCTGGGTCGAGGTCGAGGAAGGCGCGCGGTGGCGCAGACATGGGTTTGAAGGGAAAGGGGTAAGTACAACGGTAAGAACTCGACCACAGTCCTGTCCCGGTTCAAATATGCATTGCGTCTACGCTTAGTGGGCGTGGCCCTCGGCCACGGCGATGGCGTGGTGGCCCTCCTTCGAGTTGAAGTACTCGTACCTGGGCGTCAGCTTGACTTCTTCATGACGGTACAGCTGGTCTCGCCAGGACGAGCGCGCCGCGCGCTTATGCGACGACCCGCTCATTTCCACTCACTTGGTCTTGCCCCACGAGTAGACGGCGTAGCCGGTAACGAAGGGGACGATGAAGTAGGGGACCTGGACGGCGAGGCGGCGGAAGCCCCAGAAGACGTAGCCGTCAAGAGCACCCTTCAAGGGCTTCTGGGCGAAGGGGGAGACGGCTGTTGGGCAAACGCAAGCATGAGCAGAGGTGCACAGCAACGCAGTTCAAGTGGGGAGGATGTAAATGTCGAGGAAAGGGGAGTGGAGGTCCAGAGGAGTGACGAGCAAGGCGAGGTGTTGAAGATGCGGGGGATATCGGAGTAGAGAAGTCAAGAGGGAGGGAAGGGGATATCGCAACGAGCGACAACGAAGACGGCAAGTGGGTAGCGTCCAGAGGGAGACGGAGCGAGTGCGATGGAAGAGGTAGGTCGAGCACGAGGTAGACAAAGAAATGGCCGTCAGCAACAACGACCTTGAACAGACATCTGCCCGCCAAGAGGTTTACGCACAGTACGAGACGATACCCTTCTGCTTGGGGCCGCCCATGTCACCCCACCAACCCGACTATCACGAGTTAGCACACTCTCCCAGTTGTTGCCTCGTAGCACGCGCGTCCTCGTCTCCGTCCTCTCCATACATCCTCCATGCACGCCAACGTGCACATTGAATATGTCGTTCGGAGTGTGGACGTTTTGGCGAATTGGCTGCGTCCCGAGTCCACGCGCGTAACCTTCAACTCACCCAGGTCTTGCCTGCAACTGTCAGCGCTAGCTGGGATATGTGTACGTACCGGTGGGCATGCCGCTGCTGAGCTGGGAAGTAGGCCTCATGGTGTGCTGGTGTTTTGGAGTGGTGTGGATGTGCAGAGATGGCAGTTGGATGCAGCCTCCTCCGTCCCCTGTGCCCAGAGCCTCCGCCGCCCAGCCGACGACCCGCGCCAGACCCGCTTCCCAGCCAGCGTCCTCTCGGGCCCAATCGCACAGTGACCATTCCGGAGCCTCACCACGGCGTTTCCGCAAAACGCCGTCTTGTGGTTCCTGCGCTGGCCCCCGCCTGGGCGGCTCTGGGCTCTGCAGCGTGCAGTCGGTGTGCGCATCCACCTCGTGCACAAGGCTACACGGGAGAGACATACCTCTGCTAACCACCATCCCTATACCCACCACCACCACCATGACCCTCCTCAGCACCGTCGCCGGCTTCTCCGCCTTTGGCTTTGGCGTCCGCTGCTTCCAGCTCGGCCTCCAGAAGCGCAACATCTTCTCCCGTGCGTCCACACCACACCACACACATCCACAACCACCACCACATCTTCCCTACACATCTCGGCAATCGACACTTGGGCGCTTGGTAGAGCATGGCTGACCTCACTGCAGGCCCCTTCGGACACGTCGCCTCGGTCGTCGGCTTTGGCTCTCTCGGTTACTACCTCTACCACGTCGAGCAGAGGCAGTGAGTGTCGCGACACGAGCACTGGCACGAGCAGGGACAGGACAGGGGACAAGACCGGCAAGGTCTATTGCGAGCTGGAAGCAGCAATGTGGCAGGCAGGCCGCTGCTTCTCCAGAGCTGGGACCATGGACTGTCCTGTGTGAGGTAATGACAGAGTATTTGCTCCATCACCTCGCCGATCCGACGCGCCATGTCCCAGCTGTCAACGTACGCCTTGGTCCCGTCCTCGCGTCCTTGCTCCCGCCAACTCTGCCTCCTTCCCTCTTCTACGCCGCCTCCACTGACACTCCTCGCAGAACCGAGCTTATTGCCCAGAAGAAGAAGCAGCTCCTGGCCCACCGGGAAGCCGAGCAGTCGATCTAAACCAACCCCTCTCCTTAAAACACGACGACGACAACACCCACAACAACCAAGGTTTAGAGACGACGAAAGAGACGGGCCGGCCCACGGACATGGGCAGGGCCGCACGCACCACGGCGGCAGCGGTGCAGTAGACACGGAGTGGACGGCAGCGGGCAGTTACGCGAGAGCAGTTGTAGGCGTTCAAACCAAGGACACCACGCGCGTGTTCTGGGGGACGCAGGCCCGCTGCGAACATGCAGCATATTCTCGGCAAAAAAGGTCATGGATGGCAGCCGCACTCGCGGGAGGGAGATGGGGGCGGTGGGGTCGGGAAGCGAGGACGGTTAGGAGCGGCGTGTGCGACTCGACGAGCTGGCGGTCTGCCCCCTCGACCTGTTGAAGGGGGTGAGATGGGGATGGCTAGGCGATACTACCAGGTCGAAGTTGGTGCAGGCTGGTGGAGGGCAGTCAGGAGTGGCACCAGGCACTCAATGTCTCCATCCAGACAAAGGACCAGAAGAAGGACATTGTGAATGTCCGCAAGCGAGACAGACCTCCGCATAACGACTGGCAGCTCTGCACCTGAGAGGTGTACGATTGGGATATTGGCCTCGGTGCGGTGTGCAAGTTGTCAGAGTCAGGGCTAGACCAAGTGCCAGGACACCGAAGCAGAGCCCCCGCTGCAACTGGACCAGACGACCGTTCTAGGTTCCTCCCCCCCCCCCTCGCAACACCATTGCTCCCCAGTTTGACTATCTCGGCACCCATGTAATGCATGACACAGCTACAGTAACGCTTACACCTCAACCTCGGGCTCGAGGTCACCGAATGGCCTGCTGCGGAAGTACGACTCGTCAAACCAGTGGACGCGCACAAAGCCGTCCTCTGCGCCCGAGGCATATGCCCGTCCCTGGGGGTGGCAGGCCAGAGTGTTAATGGGGCCAAAGTGGCCCTTGACACGGCCGACCTCCTCCTCAAAGAGCTTGTGCCAGAAGCGGCTCTCAAACTTGCCGGCACGCGACGAGGTGGTGGTGACGTTCATGGCGTCCTGGCCACCGCCGAGGATGATGTACGGGCGGAGCGGGGTGATGCACGCCGAGTTGAGCGGGGTCTCGGTCGCAAAGACCTTCATCTCCTCGAGGGTGTCCGAGTCAAAGATACGCGCAGTCTTGTCCTTTGACGAGGTGATAAAGTAGGTGCCGTCGGGCGAGAGCTGAATGTCGGTAATGTTGGCGCGGTGCGACTCGTGGACGGCGTTGACCTCCTCGCCCGTCTTGGCGTCGTACTTGGCAATCTTGCCCGACTCGTGACCGGTGAGGATGTGCTCGGACAGGGGGGCCCAGAGCGCGCAGGTGGCCTTGGAGCCCGAGAGGATAATCTCCTTGAGAGGAGTCGACGACGACGCAGCGGGGTCGGCGAGGTTGATGGCAAATGTCCTGATGACACTGGGCTGGCCAGTTCGTTGCTCGGTAATGCACAGCGCCATCTCGTCGTCCTCGCTCCACGCCACACGCGTCACAGCCGTCAAGAACTCCCAGGTCTTGAGGCACTTGCCGGTCGACACCTCCCACAGCTTCATGGTGCTGTCAGCCGCACCAGTCAGGAGGTAGCGGGTTTGTGCTAGAGGCCAGTGTCAGCGATTCCATGTCACAGCCGCCATCACTTGATCACACACACACACACACACACACTCTCGCGCAATGTGTGCGCGCGTGTGTGTGATCATTCCATCAACGTACAGTCACAAGCGACGGTCCAGACCGAACCGTTGTGGCCGTTGTACGTGCCGAGACGCTCGCCGTTCGAGGTGTACCAAGCATTGACAATCTTGTCCTTGGACGCAGTGAAGAGGAGGTCACCCTCGGCGTTGAAGACAATCTGCGTGAGCGAACGCTCGTGACCTGTCAAACGCGTCAGCACAACCGGTCGTCCTGTACGTTGTTTTCAACCGCTTTGCGCCGCGGAAAGCGGCAGAAACGAACCTTGAAGGATAATGGGCTTCTGCACGGGGTGTCAGCTGTGCGCTATGCATGCACGGATGTGCTGCTTACCATGGTCGAGGGCGGTTTTGGGGTGGATATGGTGCTGGCTGCTGTACAATGGCCCGGTCTGAAGGGTGGCGGCTCTCAACTTCTCGTCGACCCGGAGTTACGGCGTTATTTCCCCGTGGCACAACCATTCCTATTAACCGAGTTGTAATGGTTGCGTCGTGCTGATTACTATTGTGTCATGTCCATGCACTCGTGCACTCGACCGGCCATGCTGCGGCCTCACCGCACTCTGTCTGCTGTATACACACTCCAGCATACACCCCGCAGTTATCCGAATGGGTATCCATGCACAACAAAATGTATAACGCCCCGCAAGACTTGTAGCTCTAAGACGATCATCCCCCTCGCTCAGAAACGCTGCTTCATACGCGCGCCGACGGTCTTCAGGTGCGCGTACACCTTGCCTAGAGAGTGTGTCAGCTGGGGCTCGTCAGGCAGGAGTGGGTAGCTGCTCACCAGGAGGAGAACCGAGAATGAGTGACACAATGGCGTCACGCGCAATCTTGATGTTCTGCACCGAGCCGAGAATGTGGATCTGGCTGAGATTATTGTCAGCATTCTGTCTTTTTGTCTTGACCTTTGCCCATGACTTACGTCTCGGCAAGAACAATACGTGTCCTGCTCGCGTTCTCAATGGTGAACTTGACCTTGCCGCCCTCACCGGCAATACGACCTGGGTAGAGTTAGCTGGTGTTGGCTGGCGAAGCAGCCTCTTGCCAGCAAGCTGTTGCCAGGATGGCGTGTAGGGTACGACGGACTGCTGTCTGAGAAACACACAGCAGCCTTGGTATTACGCCTCTACCATCCTAGACGGCCAGCTGCGCGACCCGTGCGTCATTGACACTCACCGATGGCACGCGACATGTGGTCGCCGTGAAGAGTCTTGACGTCCTTGACCTCGAACGAGTCGAGGTACAGGTCGTCGAGACGGAGGAGAGCAATGGCGTCCTGAACCAGTCAGCTGAACGTCTACACATGGTAGCTGGCCACTCACGTTGACGTCAAAGCCAAGAGCGAAGGCCTTGACAAAGTCGGCACCCTTCTGGACGGCGCCCGAGTCGACAGTGTGGCCCGACGACTGATGGGTTAGCGATGCACCTGCACACGCGACCCACCTTGATCTCAACGGCCCTGCGCTTGACGTTCATGCGGACCTGGAGACCGAGCATCTCGACCATGGGGGTGTAGAGGTTGACCCACTCGCGCTTGAGCGGGGTCATGCGGTGTGGGGGGATGGGGACGCGACGGAACTCGTTCTTGAGCACCGAGCTCTGCTCAGCAGCAGACAGGGGAGCAAAGCCCGAAGACGAGGCCGAGGCCTCAGCGGATGCCGAACCAGACTGAGCGATGACGACCCCCTCGTCGTCGTCGATGTCCATCGAGGCGGCCGCGACGGGGAGGGCCTTGACCTTTTTGGGCTTGACGACCGAGATCTCGCGGGGACCCTCGAGCTGGGCCTGGAGGGCCTTTTGGCGATGGGACTTGTGGGCCATGGTGGGGAGTGGTGTGTTTTTGGTTGTGGATGTGAATGCGCACAAGACGGGGGTGTGGTTGATACAACAGATGGTGGTGGATGCAGCAGCAGCGGAGGGCCCAGAGTGGGAGCGGGCGGTGGTGAAGCAACTTTTGACGGCGACCACGCGAGCAGACCCTGAGAACCGCCCGTGCTGAGAAGGATTTTTGCCACCCAGCCGGTGTCGAACCGGTAAACTTGTATATGGTCCCCCCGTTTAGACCCCGGTTGGGCGCGTCGCCCATGTCTTGTGCGTGTGTGTGTGCCTGGATGCGCTGATTGCCACTCGACTTGTCCCTCTCCTCCATCCCACAACTTTTGCATCCTCACCATTCACCTCGTCTCTCTCATCTCACCCTCCCACACACAATGCCCAAGCACAAGGCCAAGAACGGGGCAGCGCGCGTGGGCGGAAAGCAGAGCCACCCTCAACACCCTTACCATGTGGACGACAAGCCCCGCCCGGCCTCCGCGACCGCTTCACCCACTGCTGACGCGCCCTCAACGAGCACGGACATGTCCAACGGCAACGGCAACGAGGGAGGAAGCGGCAAGAGGAAGAGGAAGAACCGTCCCAGCAGCAAGCCCAAGCAGACTGGTGACGCGGCTCCTGCCTCTGCCGCCTCCGCGCAGCCCCCAGCGTCCTCCGACGACACCGCTGTGGACGCCAACTCGCAGTCGCACCACCCCAACGGCCAGGACGACGTGACGGACGAGATCGCCGCCCCCATGACCAACGGGGCGTCGTCAAGCTCCCGAGACTCTTCTATCGCCGCCTCAGACTCCAAATCCGGGAAGCCCTTCCTCAAAGACGAGGTCGCCGAGCTCAAAGCCTTGCTGCAGGCTGCTCGGGACCAGGTGTCTTCTATCAACGAGGCCATGCACATGTTCAAGACCGCTTCGCAACTTCAATCCCAGAACCAGGTTCAAGCTGTGAGGGCAGAGATGGCCCTGATGAAGACTGAAATGGAGACCGCCATGTCCACCACGACCAAGGTGCGTCACCTCAACTTATAGTTCTCGTGCTGACAGTTGCAGCTCCTTGCCGACCAGACCGCGCACCTCGACAAGGTCAAGGAGACAGTGTCGTGTGGCGTTTGTTTTGAGCCTCTTGACGATCCCCATGCGTGAGTTGTGTACCGCAAACCGGTCGCTGACGATCCAGCCTTACGTGCGGTCACACCGCCTGCCGCAAGTGTCTTGTCCAGTGGTTCCGCTCGGCAAACGCGTACCGTTCCGAAAACATTCACGAGGTTTTCCCCAACCAAGACCTTACGTACCGCACAAAAGTGTGCCACATGTGTCGCGAGCCAATCTACCGTCGTCCTGTGCGCATGTTTGCCCTCCAGTCCGTCATCGATACGCTTGGCATTGCGCACCCAACTCCCGAGCGCGACGAGGACCCCTGGAGGCTCACGTTCCCTCGCGACGTCACCGGCTATGTCCTCGACGATCCCAGCGACAACATTGACCGCTGCCCATGCTGTCTCGGCGAGGTTGCGTTTGGCCAGTGTAACTCGTGCGGAGCAGAGTTCTCGTCCGACGACGACGACGACAGCGACGGGGAGGACCTTGACGCAGAGTCTGAGGACACGGACAGCGAGGCCGGGAGCATTATCGAGTTTCTCGACTCGGACGATGACGATGACCTCGTTCTCAATGCTGCACGCAACGCTCTGGGGCTTCCTCCTCGCCGCGGTGCCACCCCGCCCGAGCGTGCGCGTGACGTCCGTCGTACCTTTTCTCCATCGCAGCCACCTGCCATGCCTTCATTCCTCGACGACATTGCCGACGAGTCTGGCGATGACGGATCTGGAGACGAGTCTGGAGAGGACCTTGATGGTCCTCTTCCTGGTCGCTTCAACCTGGATCGCGACGACGACGACAGTGGCAGCGCCGGTGATAGCGACGTAGATGACCTCCACCGGGACAGGCTCGCTGGTCGCCCCTTCGCGAACCTCCCGCCCCCAGTTTTGTCCTCGAACTACGACTCGGACTCTGACTCTGACTCTGAGCGCTCCCCGCACGGCCGAAGCCGCACGCCCACCTTGGCCCGCCGCAACGACGTTACCGCCGCCGACGACGACGACTTGGACCTCGACGAGGAGGAGGAGTACGAGTCGTCCTTCATCTCCGATGGTAGCGTGGAGATGCTCTCGGCTGACGAGGACTCTGAAGCCGAGGTGAACGGTGTGGTCGACGGCGATGACGACGCCCCCGCCATTGACGAGCTGCGTGCGCGCCGTGCCGCTCGCTTTGGCGCCGGCCCTGGTGCTCCAGCTGTGCCCGAGCCCGAGCCTCAGCCCGAGCCCGCCTCTGCGACTACTGCTTCGCGCCGCCGCCGCCGTATCGTCGAGTCTGACGATGAAGATTAAGCATAGCGTTCAATACCTCAATTTCCCGACCCAAACGTCACCTGTGTCATGTCCAACTCCCTCAAGACCCCCATAAGACCCCCATTCAACCACGGCTGTGCCCCTTCTGTACAATCACAAACAGCACAATGTCCACACCATATGCATACCTGTACTTATCATGAGATTGTCACTGCGCGTTAGCTAGCTGCACGTGCACCCAGCCGGGACAATTTAACGGCTGTACATTTCTGGTCGTCCGTAGTCGCTCCCTCTCTCCCAACTTCACTCTTGTCACCGCCCCAGCCCAGCCCCTCTGCGCCTCTGCTCCCTCAGCTTAGAGCTTGGTGTTCCTCTCCTCGACCTCGGGGAACTGCACCACGGTCTTGCCGACGTTGTTGCCCGCAAACAGGTCGATCAGGCTGGGCACACAGCCGTCCAGGCCGCCCTGGACAATGTGGTAGTCGTACTTGAGCAGACCGCGCTTGGCCAGGTCGGCGAGGTACACGCGGGCCTCGGGGTAGCGCTTCTCGTAGTCGAACGCGATAAAGCCCTCCATCTTGGCCTTCATGGTGATGAGCTGCGGGGTGAGGCGCACGCCGTAGGGCTTGGTGGTGTTCTGGACCCGTGTCAGCTGCGTTCTGCGCGTGTAATCGAAGGGCTGGGGGTTTTGATCGGCAGCGCGCGGACGGGGGGTACAGTGGCATAGTGGCAGCAACGGGCACGAAGCCCACTGCCACACCCAACTGCCACCCCCACCCGCATCTTGTTCTACTCACATACTGCGAGATGGCACCGCAGAGCGCGATACGGCCGTGTGGGCGGATCTGGGCGAGGAGGAGGTCGAGGATCTCGCCACCGACGTTCTCGAACACGACGTCGATGCCACCGGCGGCGCGCAGGCGGCCGGCAAAGCCGGGCACCTTGTAGTTGAGCGGGTAGTGGACGCCCATCTTGGCGAGGAGGTCGACCTTCTCCTGGCTGCCGACAATGGCGATGACCTTGCAGTTCTTGTGCGCGAGGGCAATCTGCGTGGCGATCTGGAGAGTGGTGTCAGCGAGGGACGGCAAGGTCGTCCGTCGATAGAAAGGAGGAAACAGAACGGTCGGTGCAGCTTCAGTGACAAACTCGCCGCAGCTGGTTTCCGTTTCTTTCCCTTCTCGTCTTTCTGCTGCACTCACCAAACCGACGGATCCAGCCGCACCAGTAATGCACACGGTCTCGCCGCCCTTGAGGCGGCCAACGTCGAACATGCCAAAGTACGCAGTCATGCCCGAGATACCCAGGAAGCCGAGGTGGTCAATCTCGCGTCCACCCTCAGGGGTCCTGCACCGTCAGCCAACGCCCACGTCCCACGGATAACAACAACTCGCACGCAGCTGCAGCTGCAGCTGGCCGCATCGTGCCACAGTTGCACTGCCGTTCCACACTCACTCGAGCTTCTCAAGCACACGCGCAGGGCCGACCCAGTACTCCTGCCATCCGAGGGTGCCGGACACGAGGTCGCCGACCTTGAGGCGGTCGGAGCGCGACTCGACGACGCGGCCGAGGCCCTGGGCGCGCATGCACTCGCCCACCTTGACGGGGGGGATGTACGAGGGGGTGTCGACGAGCCACATGCGCATGGCGGCGTCCTGGGGGTCAGTCTACGTCGCGAACGTGATTGCTACACAGGTGGCTGGGAGGCGACGACACAACCAGCTGTCACGCGCGCGTACACCACGTCTCCGGCCACGGCACGCGGACGCAACTCACAGTGCTAAGCAGCTCGATCTTGATCACGACCTCGCCATCGCCGGGCGTCTTGAGCGGGGTAGCGTCCTTCCTGAACGTGCCCTGGTTGATGGGGCCGCGCTCGGGACGCTTGGCGAGCAGGATGCGCTTGTTGTTGCTGGGGAGGGTCATTGCTGTTAGAGTGTGTGAGAAGAATGCGATGGGATCAGAGCATGTGGTTGCGTCACACACTTTCTATACAGAGAGGCTGGCAAAACGCGGTGCGCTCGTGGCTCGTCGTCGCCGGCCGGTCGATAGCCGGGTGCCCGACATTTGTGCATTTGTGGCGCGCGTCTCATGCGGCAATGGGAGGCTTTTGCATTTTAGGCCTGTAGAGGCCGGTAGAGGCCGGTAGGCCCTTGCTCCTCACGTGTAAAGAGAGGGTACGACGGACACATGTCTGGCATGTCCGGGACGATACCTCCCCCTTTCGCAGCCAGGCGGGTGCTTGTAGTAAGCGGTTCCACACTGCTACTGGCCGTGTTCGTCAATGCTTGTTCCGTGTTCGCTGGCGTTCCAAAAAGTTGGCCGGCCCGCATGTGCCGCACGCTGACAGGTGACACCGACGGCCTGTATATCGTGGCGGTGTCGGCCTTGGCCGACCGCCAGCCGGCCCACAACCTACCCGCGCCCCATATCTTTCTGCTTAATCAGGTTGAACACCGACCCTTGTGCTTGATGACAGCGCGGCCGCCATCCAGAACAAGCCGACAACCGGCGCCTGGAACTTGAACTGCTCTCGAAAAGAACAGGCGTATGGCTGGAGATTGCGGATCGCTGAGAGAAATCCCACACCGCGAGAAAGGCACTGGTGTGCCCAGCTGACCGTGGCGGGCGAACATGGTGACGTCAGGAGAGCGTGATTCCAGGCAGTCGGTGGTTTTGGGACGTGCCGCTTTGGTGAGCTGAGCAACGCATATTGAGCCACGTCGCAAAATTAACTGCCTCCGCCTGGGTGGCCTTAGTGAGGTGTGGCGGCGTCGATCCCATTGCCCCGCACGGGGGATCATTTCTGTGTACCGTGTCAGCCAAGACATTACTGCAGCCCGCACGTCACCACCCTCCGTTCAGCATACCGCGGGGTGGAGCTGAGACATGCTCCATCACTGATCACTACTGATCATTATTGATCGTACTGGTCAGATCATGGTCAATTGAACACGTCTTACCAAGTCTGCCGACCTGGGGAATGCTCACCGGTCCGATCGGCCGATTGGACCCGTTGGCCGCCGCACCCTTCCCTCAGCAAACTCCGGCTTACGGCCCACGCGGTGTTTTATTTTTCGTTTCTTTTTTTCTTTATTTTGCTTTTTGGGGTCGACTGCGTGCACAGACAGGGTTCTGGCGCGTGCTCACTCACGTGGGGTTCGGCGTTCACCCCGTTCACTGCAGGTTGCAGGTTGCGCAGCGGCTTAGAGGCCACATGCGCTTGGTGCGCTGTTCCTAGCATCAGGCAGGTTTCAGAACGGGGGTCCTTGCAACAACCCACTGCTCCGTCCCACCGTCAAACGTCCGACAAGAAGGGGGGGCGAGCTTAACCACAGTAGTGGTGGACATGTGATACATTGGAAATGTGACATGACTCCCCCTGCCCCCTCTCGTGCCACTCAACTAGGTCCATGCTCAGACATGTGGCGGAAGTACAAGACGAGTATCCGATGATTAGATCGCACGGCTGTCCAACGAGAAGTGGCTTAATGGAGTTGGAACGACAGAGCACTCGCAAGGCATACACACGTCTTTGAATGCAGTACCCCCAGCCACAAATGGAATGGCGAGCATCTACCGACGCCGCCTCATGTTCACGTTGTGATCAAAAGCCACCCCCACCTGGCCACCTGAACATTGTGCCAGACCAAGCGAGCGGGTATCCGTTCCTATCGTTGTCTTCACTTGTTCACACTGTGCCCAGGTCCCGTTCCTCCAGACGCTCGTGAAACACAGAGCGTGTAACACGTGTTGTTGTTCGCCGGTACTTGTCCATATGGCTATATCTCGCACTTTTTTTCCTGAACCATGCCAGCTGGATGTGCTTGACGACAACAACACCAGAGTGCCAAGCACAACGTGCCCTTCCCAGACATCCGCCGCAGCACATGCGCGTACCACGCTGGATATCTGGATGCCGCTCTGGTCACTTGTGCTTCTAATCGTCGGTGGTACTCGGACGTCCACAGGACGATAAACCGATGCGTGATAGAACGGCCCAGCGGCCCGGTCCGTGCCGGCGACGTGGACACTCAAGAGTCCCAGTTTGGCACACGACGGACTGCCGGCGCCGGTAGAATGCTAAACACAGAGTTCAACAAGCGCCAGATATGGGGTGTGGAGGTGTCCGGTAGCTCAGGAGACAAGGATACGGTGGCTTTGAGGGGTGGCGCTGGGACGGCGAGAGGGTCCGACTGAACACAGTGTGGCTGTGTGATGTCATGCTTCGCGCTCTGACATGCGTCTGCTCTACAACTCGTCCGAGGCCTATTCTTCCTTCATTCGGGGGGCGCGGGGAGGCAAGGATTACGGGGATGGACAGGTAGGGGTGGAGATGCGCAGGTTGTGCATTTCAGCACTTGTGTGTGGTACCCGCTAGCAGCAACATCAACAACAGACGGCATGGTCCTGGTCCTGACCCAAGCTTCTCGTCGTGTTTCCACAATCCGCAACGACGCAAGCCTCCCCCACATGCACACCACCATCACCTTGTGTTCCCACAGTCTTGGCACGGATCGCACGGATCCCGTCCGGTATACACGGAAAGCTTGGACGTGAGCCCTGGTAACACATGCCAGTTTCAGAAGGGGGTGGACAACAACAACAGCAGTGCAGGGTAGACTGAAAAAAAGGCCGGCGAGGTGGGAGGAATGAGGTGTCTGCCCGACGTGCACCTATCTGTTCAGCGAGCGGCAACTTTCCGGCACGGTTGCGAGCTCGAAAACTCTCGGTTGCTATGACGTGTCGGCGTTGTAGGGAACTTTTTAGGACCCCGAAGGTTAGGCCAGGGCTGGTTGACCGCGTGACGCAGTTGACGGTTGTACTGCGGGCTCGACGACGACCGGCGGGACGGGATGTTGATGCAGGTGTGTCGTCCGACTGCAAAATGTCTATTGAACATATGATTGAGCACATGTTATAATATTTCAGGGCCAACACATGCTCTCAATTACCGCCGGCTGGCAGTGCCAAAAAATTACTCCGCCACAAAGGACCTCTGCTGCCACGCCTGGTGGCAGCCATCACTCCGTCAACCCACCCCCCCACCCACCACGCCGACCTTTGCAGCGTTCCGCAACAACCCCGTCTCTATACGCTCCCTCCCCCCTCGATAGCAAATCCCCCCCGCCCTGATCGCGGTCAGGGGTGACCCAGCGAAAGTGGACACTCTACTAACCTCTCTTGGCATGCCTCATTCCTGACACCACCTGCGCTACGGGTGCGGGGATGGTCGTGTGTGTTCAAAAACTTCGATTTCTGGTTCGCTATCGGGGTGGCAGCGCTCTCCGTCCGGAGGGCCGCAGTACACACAAAGCGTGAGCCAGTGACGCAGACACCGCGCGCTCACCTGGGGGCGGGGGCGGGGCGAGTAGGGTCAGAGGGATGAGGGGTAACGAGGGGAAGTGGGGTGGACAGCAGCAGCGGGGGTTGGGGGAGAACGGTGTGCTGCTGGGCTCTTCTTCCATCGAGCGGGGTAGGCAGGATTCTGACAAGACGATGTATAAAAGAGGTCGCAGCCCCCCGCATCTTGTTGAACTTGTACACCTCCTCATCCATCGCGATGCCCGCCTTCATCAACCAAAATAACGATCGCTCAGTGGCCCTCCTCCAGCAGGGTGGCCCAGTCAAGTATGCTGGCCTTAATGGCCAGTCCCTCCTCGCCGCCGTTGTCGCTATCGGCACCTGTGGCTTTGCCCTCTTCGGTTATGGTGAGTTCCTCGACGCGTCTTCAAGATGCTGTTTTGAGAGAGAAGAGCGCCACTGACTCGTTACCAGACCAAGGTCTCATGTCGGGTATTATTGCCTCGCACCAGTTCAACACCGAGTTCCCCGCCACCAAGCAGTCGTCAGCATCCGACGTCCACACCGGTACCGTCCAGGGCTCCGTCACCTCGTGTTACGAGGTCGGCTGCTTCTTTGGTGCCCTGTTCGCCTACTTTGTCGGCGAGAAGTTTGGTCGTCGCCGCATGATGCTGCTTGGCGCCGTCGTCATGATTATCGGAACCATCATCACCGTCACTGCCTTTGGCCCCGGCGCCGTTGAGCGCAAGGGCTCTGTTGGCGGCTTTGTCCAGTTCATCATCGGGCGTGTTATCACTGGTCTTGGCAACGGTGCCAACACTGCCACCATCCCCTCGTGGATTGCCGAGACCTCCAAGGCCCACAACCGTGGTTTCCTTATCTGTATGGAGGCCTCGACCGTCGCGGTCGGCACTGTCATTGCCTACTGGATCGACTTTGGTCTCTCGTACATCGACAGCTCGGTCTCGTGGCGTTTCCCCATCGCCTTCCAGATTGTCTTCGCCGTCGTCCTCGTTTGCGGTGTTCTCGTCCTCCCCGAGTCGCCCCGTTGGCTCATCGTCCACGGTTACGACGCCGAGGCCCAGCGCGTCATTGCCGCCCTCCGTGGCGACGCCGCTACCGATGCCGGTGCCGTCGCCGAGAAGACCCGCATGGCCGAGGCTATCGAGGCCCAGGTCACCACCGGCAAGAAGTCCGAGATCCTCAAGCAGGGCAAGAACCAGCACTTTACCCGTGCCATGGTTGGCGCTTCCACCCAGCTGTTCCAGCAGCTCGGCGGATGCAACGCCGTCATCTACTACTCGACCATTCTTTTCGAGAACCAGATCAAGCTCCCCACTCGTCTCTCGCTCATTCTCGGTGGTGTCCTCTCGGTCATCTACATGATCTTCGCCCTCCTCTCGTTCTTCCTCGTCGAGCGTGTCGGTCGTCGTCGTCTCTTCTTCATCGGTACCTTTGGTCAGGCTATTGCCATGTTCATCACCTTCGGCTGTCTCATGGCCAAGGACGAGAACGGCGAGGTCCCCAAGGGCGTGGCCAAGGGTGCCGCTTTCGGTCTCTTCCTCTTCATCTCGTTCTTTGGTGCTACCTGGCTTCCGCTCCCCTGGCTCTACCCGGCCGAGCTCAACTCGATGCCCGTCCGTACCCAGGCCAACGCCGTCTCGACCATGACCAACTGGATCTCCAACTTCCTTGTCGTCCAGGTTCTCCCTACCATGACCGCCTCGATTGGCGCCTGGACCTTCTTCCTCTTCGCCATCGCCAACGTCATCTTCCTGCCCTTCATCTACTTCTTCTACCCCGAGACTACCGGCCGTACCCTTGAGGAGTTTGACGTTCTCTACGCCCACGCCCACTTCACCGGCGAGAACGTCACCAAGGTCGCCAAGACTATGCCCAGGCTCACCCAGAGCCAGATCCAGATCATGTCCGACCGCTATGACATCCACGGTGTCGGCGGCACCGGCATCGAGGCTGGACAGATGGACACCAGCATCCCTGAGTCTGACCGCTCGTCGTCTCCTTCCCCCACCCAGACCCGCACCGGGTCGATCGAGGAGGGCGAGAACAAGAAGCTCGAGCAGTAGATTCTGTCTTTTTAACGACCCTCATTTTGAAGAAAAAGTAATTTCGTCACCCATACATGGTGTCGCCTGCTGTATTGATACACTCTTAGACTAGAGTTCTGCCATGGATACATCTTATTATGCCTCAAGCAATCCTTGTTGCTCGTTCCACTGATGCGCCGTCCACATGTGAAAGCAATGAACAGTGATTGGACCTGAATGGCTTTGGCCTTAGTCGATCGAGCCTTGGTGATGGAGGATCACTGAGAAGCGCCGCATCAGTGCAACCAGCTCGGTACCTGGGGCAATAAACGTTCAGTATCCATGCACCTGGCATTTCGTATAAATATGCATTACCATGCAGGCTCGCTGCTCGCTGCTCTCTTCACCAAACCTACCCCACACCTGCACACCTGATCCGCGGCCTGCCACTCCGGCGACTTCCGCCGCGCCACAACGATCAACGAATCCTGCCGACCAAGCGGAACCAAATTCTCAGTCTCCCTCCGCTTCACTGACGTCTCCGAAAAGCCGAGCGACGTTTGACGACTGTCTTTCGCCATCTTCAACACCTATCCCTCCAACGAGACAATGGCGCCCGTTGCCCCCCTCGCATCCCTTCCGGCTGCTGCGGCCGCCCCCGTGATTGCGCCTGCCCCCGGCCTCCTCGACCGCGCCCAGCGCTTCATCGAGGACAACCAAAAGGTCATTCTCATCGGCGCGGGTGTTGCTGCCGCCGCTGGTGCCGGTTACTACCTGTACTCGCGCTCTGGATCGGCCGGCCCCGGCCCCTCAACGGGTGCGGCTGCCGGTGGTGCTGCCCCCGCCACTGGTAGCAGCAAGAACAAGAAGAAGAAGAAGTCCAAAAAGAACGACAAGTTCCTCAAGGGTGAGGGTGCCGAGGGTCCCCTCCTCGAGGAGATCAAGCCCAAGGCCACCGAGGGTGCTGAGGACTACCTCGAGGGTGTCCCCGATGCCGCCGGTCTTGCCTCGATGCCCGATGTTGCCCGTAACAGCCTCGGTGCAACCCTCAAGGACCGGGGCAACAAGCTGTACGCCAAGAAGGAGTTCAAGAAGGCCGTCGAGTGCTACACCAAGGCCATCGAGGTGTCGGTTAAGAAGGACGCCGTCTTCTACTCTAACCGTGCTGCCTGTACGTTACACCACATTGGAATGAGCTGACGGCCAAGGCTACACCAACTACGCTCCTCCCGAGTACGAGCTCTGTGTCAAGGACTGTGACGAGGCTCTCAAGCTTGACCGCACCTAGTAAGCTAAGCGTTCAAGACAGGTAGCTAACCCACAGCGTCAAGGCTCTCAAGAGGAGGGCAACGGCCCTCGAGCGCCTCGACCGCGATGAGGAGGCTGTGCGGGGTGAGTGCAGCTCATGAGGGCCGATTGCTAACGTAAATACAGACTTCACCGCGTGCACCATCATTGAGCGCTTCCAGGACGAGCAGGCCGCCGCTGCCGTCGAGAGGTGTCTGAAGAAGCTTGCCACCCGCCGCGCCAAGGACCTCCTTACCTCGCGCGAGACCAAGCTCCCCTCGCCCACCTTCATCTCGTCGTACCTCGCTGCTTTCCGTCCCCACAGCAAGCCCGAGCTTCCCGAGAACCCCACCCAGGGCGACCAGACCCTCATGCTCGCCTTTGACGCTCTCGAGGCCGCCGACTACGTCCACACCGTCTCGTTTGCCAACGAGGCTATTGAGCAGGGTATCTCGTGGAAGGTTGGCCAGGCTGAGGCCTACAACCTCCGTGGTACCTTCAAGTTCCTCATTGGTGACTCGCTTGGCGCCAAGGCCGACCTCGAGAAGTCGCTCGAGCTTGTCCCCAACTTTGTGCAGTCGTGGGTCAAGATTGCCTCGGTCCACATGGAGCTCGGCGACGCCGTTTCGGCCTTTGGCGACTTTGAGACCGCCATCCGTCACAACCCTGACGACGCCGACATCTACTACCACCGTGGCCAGGTCTTCTTCATCATGGGCGAGCACGACAAGGCTATTGCCGACTACCAGAAGTCGATCGAGCTCGACGACACCTTCATCTTCACCCACGTCCAGGCCGCTGTTGCGCAGTACAAGATGGGCGAGGTCGCCAAGTCGATGGCTGCCTTCCGCCGCATCCTCAAGCAGTTCCCCGACCGTGGCGAGCCCTCCAACTACTACGGCGAGATCCTCCTCGACCAGCAGAAGTTCCAGGAGTCGGTTGAGCGCTTTGAGCGTTCGATTGAGCTGGACAAGTCGCGCAAGCCCCGCAACGTTCTCCCTTACGTCAACAAGGCCCTCGCCCTCTTCCAGTGGAAGCAGGACATTGGCGCCGCCGAGTCGCTGTGCAAGGAGGCCCTTGCCATCGACCCCGACTGCGACGTTGCCGTTGCCACCCTCGCCCAGCTCTCGCTCCAGCAGGGCAAGATCGAGGCTGCCATCCAGTGGTTCGAGAAGTCGGGCACGCTGGCCCGTACCGAGGGCGAGCTCGTCAACGCCATCACCTACGAGCACGCTTCGCGTGCCCAGGCCGCGTTCCTCCAGAACTTCCCCGAGTACGCCGAGCGTCTCGGCCAGATTGCCCAGGCCGCCTAAGCGCCTGTGCAGACTTGGCGTACGTGACGCCTGCGCAGGGCGCATGCGAGCTGGACCCGCGGGCACGTCATACACCAGTTTTCCACCCCGCCCCAGCCTGCCTCCATCTGTTTATCGGATCGAGTCGGTCTCCACCCCGGCCCGCCATCAATGTCAACATCCCATACCTCTTTCCCACACACACTCCCCCTCCCATCACGCACGCGCGCCCGTAGAGCGACGTCGTTTAAAAAGCCTCCCCCTCCTTGAAACATGATGCAGCAGACCAGCAGACAGTGTAGCAGGTGTCCACGGCTAATGTCAAATGCAACCTCTCATATCTCTTGCACGAATGGTGGTTGCGCCATTGCAGTACAGACTCACTCACTCGCGGCTGGCTGCAGGCTGACGCGAGACCGCGCTTGCTTACCCTGGACCGAGGTGAGGGTGAGAGGGTGAGAGGGTGAGCAAGTGGCTCAGATTTTGGGTGCCCTTTTTGCGATGCAAGGCGATCGTCCGATGTCCCTTGTTTGCGTGTGGACCTTGAGTATGCAGGGAGCTGGCGACAGCACTGCAGGGTGGGAAAACACGGTGCGCAGGCAGCTGGCATCCACAAAGAACCGTGTGGAAAGAATCTGGGTGACGGCAGTAGTGTGTAGAGGCGGAAATAGCGTGTCCGTTTCGGCGGAGGCCACCGCAAAACAGTCGCGTGCCTGTGTCACCGCCCAGGCCGTGTGGGCGATCTCGAAATTTCACTGGATCACAAACAACGACCACCTGCTCTCGGTACTCGTTCACGACCGTGCAACTCGCTCCCCAATAGTCCAAACAGTCCAGAAATTGCATGTAGAGGTAGTAAAATGTCCGGTCTACCACCCCACGCTCGCGCCGCCTGGTCCGCCCACTAGGGGAGGAAGGCATCGACGTGTGCGTTGGGGACTGAGATGACCTTAACTCTGGCCTGATCTTGGTTGACGCTCGACACAGAGTGGATCCCAAGCGACCTGCCAATGCAGAATCGCTCGGGAACTCTGCAGAGCAGTCCGGGGAAGGAGCCAAAGGCGTGCCGCACGTGTTAAGGAAGAAGAAATGGATAGCGAGCGCGCAGGCTTAAGTATGCCGCGAGTGCGAGTGCGGCGGTGGTGCGAGCGAAGGTGCGAAGCGCCGGCGTTTTCGGCGTTTTTGGCGAGGCACATGCATTTTGGTCGCGCCCCAGGACTCACCGAGATTGCCAGGCATCGCCATGTGGCTGTTGCTGGCCTCCTGGGACAATGTTGCACAGGATACGGGCAGAAATTGCGCAGCCTGTGTCAGTTTGAGACAGGACGTCGAGTGATCTTGAAAATCGAGTGGTGTGGTGTGGACGCGCACACTGTCCGCGTCGCGGCTGGGGCACTGTTTGTGGCGGAATGTGTGCCCTGCGCGCCCGGCCGCGAGTTTACAGCGACAACGTGAATGCATGTCCGGCAGCATGCTATGAGATTCACAAGGGATGAGATCAAGCTATGTACACCTTTAGATGAGTCCGATAAGGGCGTCTCCGTCAACCACCTCCCTCTCGATCTGACTCGGCGACGATGGCGAAGCAGCCTGGTGAGAGTTGAGGCGGTTAGTGGGTGGTGGCGAGGGAGGGAGAGCTGGCTTAATGTCGTGAGGATTGGGGGGAGCAGGCATGATTGCGCTGAGCCTGCGTGTGTTACCCCGAGTCATGTGCACTCGCTGCCAGCCCGTGGGCGAGGCGGCGCGAGGGTAGTCTTCGGTCGTTTCATTGGGTTGTTCGACAACAGTGGGCAAGCTAGGTGGAGGAGAGGCATGCGCGGCGGTGCGTGTGTTGGGACGACTGGCCTTGCGGACGGGTGCGCCCTCGGGGCCTGGGGCCTTGCGCTTCTTGCTTTTCGGAGGAGCCGAGCTGGTGGAGCTGGTGGACTGAACAACGGCAGCGAGGGCGGAATCACTGGAAGCTTGGACTCGGAGCTCCTTGCTTGCCTTTTTGGTCTTGGAACGAGCCGCCTTGGTGGCGGTGGCTGTGGTTGGGGCTGCAGCAGCAGGATCGACGACTGGGCCAAAGACATCGTGGCCAGCTACTGCTGCCACGTCCTTGGCAACTGCCTTGGTCGCCTTTGCAGTCTGACCAGAGGCTTTGGCCTTGGAGCAAGATTTGACCTTGGTAGGCTGTGTTTCCTTCGGGGGAGCTGATGTTTCAAGTAGTTGAACAATGCTGCCTGTCGCGGAAGTGGCCAGTGGTGCGATTTGGATTGACTCCGCAGCGTCTGCTGCGCTGGCTGGGTTGGTGGCCCGAGTTGGGGCAGTATGAGGGTGTGGGTGATGAGTGTAGAGGGTTTCCACCACTGGCTCCTCTGGCTGTGGAGAGGGGGTAGTGGTCTTCCGAGAAGAATTAGTCGAAGGTTGAGGAGGGGGACCACCAAGCCTGTCGTGGGCGTATAACGTCTCAGTGGAGAAGCGCTCCGGTTGCGGGCCATGGATAACGGGAGGATGGACAATCGTGTACGGGCGGAGCATTTGGCCACCAGATCCCTCAGGCTGCAGTGGTAGAGAGCGCATAGGACCAGAAGGTGGAGGGGTCGGGTGGATGTAAGTTTGGGCTGGAGAAAACCCGTGGCGCTGTGAGAATGATGGAAAGTTGTTGGGCGTAACTGATGGCCCAGTAATGGGCATGGTGAAGCCGTTGTATGAAGGCTGGAACATGGAAATGCCACTGGAGAAAGCGTTGTTGAAAGCTCGAGAAGAATCTTCTCTCCTGGATTGCTCTAAACGTGCAGCTTCAGACCTTTGAGCATCTTGACGGAGGAGAATAGCCGAGTTGGCGAGCTGCGTGAAACGCGATTGTGTTGCGTCCATAACGGCACTGTCGCAGCGGAAAGTGACCATGTTGTCCGAAAGACCCTTCATTGTTTCCATCAACTCCGCAGGAGAGGGGGTTGCGTCCAGTCGCTTTTCCATGGCGGCCAAACGGGTCTCGATGCGGGACAGGACATCGGTCAAGTCGGGCTGTTGCGGTGTCGCAACTGACACGACTGGCTCTTGGACTTTGTCAAATTTATGGTGGAGGAGCTCCATGCTTCGGTGGAAGACTGCAACGGATTGAAGGGCCTCTGGGAGGTGCTGGATTCCTTGGATGGCGGTCTTAAGCTCATCGACCGGGCGGAGTGAAGCGACGAGGTGCTCAATGAGTGGTGTGGTCGCCTGTCGGTTAGCCTTTCTTGGGAACCCAATAACCAACCTTATCACCTGGAGGAAGCAGCGGTTGAGGTCTCGTTGCTAGTCCCAGCTCATTGATCTTCTCCGCAACGAGTTGGGCGGTGGCTTCAGGAATGGGAGTGACCATCTCGCGGACCGCGCCGGTGATGTTGACAAAGAAATCCTGTAGGGCGTGTGTGACTGGTGAATGAGTGCCCGAACATGAACTTGCTACCCACAGATGTCGCGGATTTCCTCTTTGGCTTCCTCTCTTGTTGGCAGAGCCTGAACACCCACGCGGACGCCGTGCAGTAAATCTCCATAGCCCCGGACGTCATCAGTCAGCTGGAGGACGCGAGACTCGAGCTCTGGTGGGTCAGACGTGGAGACGTGACGAATGCGAAGCGACCTACGGGACACGGCTGCCATGACCTTTTCAGAAACCGGAACCTTGACCGGCTGGCTTGTGTTGCGGTGGGCGCTCGTCGTGCTTGAGGCGCTTTGAGTAGCTGGGACGAGGACAGCGCCACTGTTGTTTGTAGTGCTTGGTGCGGCATTGCGGTCACCACTGCCGGACGGGGTGGGTGGCGGGCCACTCATGGCCTGAGGAAAGCCAGAAAGCTCCAGGCCGGGGCGGTACGACTCATTGAGGTACGGGCGTTCGTCCTGTGACTCTTGGGTGTAGTAACCCTGTGGATTGCCCTCGTAATAGGTAGCTTGTTGCTGAGACTGAGAGTCAGGGAAGGGAGAAGGCGAGTTTCTAAAGCCCAGCAGTTGCGAATGGTGCGGGTGGTGAGCGTGGTGGTGGGCGTGGGCTAGCTCAACGTCGCGCTGCGGGTGTGGCTGGTACAGCGGGTTGTTGTTGTTGGGGTGAAGCTGTGTGGATGGGATGCGCGGAGGAGGAGTTGGTGGATGATTACTCTGGTTGACCTGTGGGGCCACAGGAAACTTGTTTGACTGGGTTGGAGCAGGCGCAGGCGCAAGTGGACGATACGCCCGAGTACCCGGAGGACGGGCTGCGACGGCCGTTGCCGTGCGCGGCGGTGGGGGATTCATGTGTGGGTGGATGGATGCAAGTGAGTGGAAATGGATGAGGAAGTTGGTGGATGAGAGATGGGTCGGAGTGAAGAAGGAAGAGGCAGCAAGACCGCCTGTGTTTGAAGGGAAGGCATGAAGGGAAGGCGAGGAAGGAAGGCAAAGAGGGAAGGCAAGGAGGGAAGACAAGCGAGGTGGCACAACCACACGCCGACACTTATCCCATTCCGGAGCCCTTGTCAATGTATCCCTGGCAAAGCATGGTGGATATTAAGAGTGTAGAGTGAGTGTGTGTGTGTGTTGCGCTGAGAAGTTAGTCGACGATGCGCATCCATGTCGCTTGCGCCCTCAGCCCGGACAGATGGGTTACCACGGAAAGAAAAACAACGGCCAGCACCTCCACACTGCTAATCCTCCGCGCTGCAAGCAATAACGTCTAGTTAATCGTAGCAGATGCATGGTGTTCGTAGTCTCGTCACTTGTCATTCCCCATTGATACCATCCCTTCCATTGTGCGACACCGTGGCACTATTAGCCACCGAGGCGGTAGCCGCCAGAGCTGACGGTTTGGTTGGTGGTGGGCGGATCGTTGGTGGCGTGTCCTCGCCTCCATTACGCTCCTGTGCCGTTGGTGTCGAGGGTCCGCTGCTGGATCCTGCATACAACGCTGCCCACGGTCGATGTGGGGGGCTACCAAGCGGGCTCGAATCGCTAGGAGACAGGGGGTCGAGGGGATCCATCGGCACCGGTGCGGTGGGCACGCGAGACGGTGTCAAGTCATTGACAGTCAGGCCACGAGACCTGCGAAGACCTGACGTGCGCGACGGCTCGGGACCAGGCGACGAGCGGGCACGACGGCGCGTGTCGGCCTCGACGTCATTGTCGTCCTCGTCGGGTTCATCGTCCTTGCAATCCTCGTCGTTACAGGCTTCTCCTTTCTCCTTGAGAAAAGCGTACGCGTAGCTCCCCTTCTCAAGGTGAGTGAGACGTGGGAGGGTATGCGGTCCGAGCTCAACATCGAACAGATCGAGAATGAACCGCCTCACAGGAGCCTGGAAGTGGTTGGTCGAGACGGCTCGCATTGCGCGATGGAACAGGGTTGTACTCGAGAACATGCGTGGGTGGCGATTGCGCACACGTTTGAGATTGTTCATCGCTCCGGCCGCCAGGACGTAGTTGCTCAGGTTGGAGATCATGTGCATGACGTCGCCCTCGAGACCACTCAGAGCTGGCAGGGGCGGGACACCAGAGTCAACATTGTGTCGTGACCATGGCTCGATGTAGGCGAAGCGGCTAATGTCGTTGGGGAGACACAAGCCCGTGGTCTGTCCAAGCGGCGTACGAGTCGACACCCATCCATATTCCTCGAGGATCTCGGCGCCCATTTGAGTTGACGAGATGAGGCCAATGACAAAGAAACAGGTTCCTTTCATTGTGAGAATGGGCGACTGTTCGGCAATTTCAATAATAACCTCGATAATCTCCTCATCCTCGAGGAACGCGAGGCCACCTTCCGTGGAGCCAATGTGACCCTGTTTTGTCAGTTCACATCCTCAACAAAGAAACTAACCATGGTCCAAAGAGCGGCCTTGACAGAGGTCAAGACCTGTGGGTCTGACGCCTCCATACCGTGGAGCCTGATGATCTCGGCGAATTCGGGCACAAGACCCTTCTCACGGAGGTACTGGCAACCTTCATAGGTCTTGCACAGCTCGCCAAAGAAGTGCGTTGGGGCTGTACCCTCGTACGCCCAAAACTCCTCGTGATGCTCCTTTGCGAACGGACGGATGGTCTTGGACACAAATGTCTCGACTTCGATCACGTAGAGCATGTTCTGTTCCTGCCTGTCAGCTTTGCATTAAACAAGGTCAAGCTCACAGTCAACCAGCTCTCAAGCTCGTAGTCGATGTACTGAGCATTGAGGAGGTACATGAAACCGGCAGAGGTGGACATGAACCTGTAGGGTCAGCTCAGAGCTGTGCATAAACCCACCTCAGGTAGAGATTAGCACCAATGTCGCCCAAGTGCTCCAGCGTGGGGCGGAGGTAGACGACCTTTTCGAGGTTTGCAGGATCATGGCAAGCCTCCTCCAGGTACATGACGGCAATCTCGCACACGTCCATGGCGGGATCGTACAACTGGGTGATAAGGAGCTGGAGTGCCCAGTCCGTGAGGTCGGGTGCGTCATGCAGGAGACGGCCCAGGTGGTGTGTTGCGAAAAGGCGAGTCTCCATGTAGCTCGAGGTGAGCGCCTTGGAGAGCACGATGCGCTGGTGCGCATCGATCGAGTAGTCAAAGCACTCGATGATGAGCTTGATGATATCATCGCGGCTGCGCAGCTCGCACAAATGGTAGAAGCTGGTAAAGAACTTGAACTTTTCGAGTAGTCTGGTGTCAGCTCTGCATGTCTTATCAGCAGCTCACTGGATACCCTTCTGGTGTTTCGTAAGGGTACCAATCATCTCAAAGTAGCCATATGTGAGGGTGTTCTCGAGGCGGTCACGGGCGAGCACGGGCGACGCGCTGGGCTGGCCTGCATACTGATCCAGCTCGGATAAGCACTCGACCATTTGACGCAGCAGCTTGTCCTCAGCGAGGAACCGCTGGCCCTCGGGGTTGACAAGCATCGTGGTGAGTAGCGCACAAGCGAGGCGAACCCATTTATGGTTTGGCTGTTCTGGGTCAGCATCCGAATAAGACGCGGTTACCCACCCTTGTGCGGATCATGCTGCTGAAGCGGTTGTTATACGGGTGGAGGAAGGAGAAGATGCGGCGGATGAACTTGGTGGCCTTGATGACCTCGTCCAGACGCTTGGGGTTGAGTAAAGGGCCCTGCAGTAGTTCCATGATCACGTCGTAGTTCCACTTGGTGTGGTCGCGAGATACTAACACCTGCTGGGTCAGTCATTGCTTCGAGCGAAAGTACCAACCCCCGAGTCGTTAATCATCTGACCAAATGCCTTGTCGTCCATTTGCAGACCTAAACGCAGCTTCACCTGCTGGACTTGGCGCTGGCTACGCTGAAGCGACTCCTGCACCGCGTTACGAGTTCTACTACGTCAGCCGATGTCCAACGCAGAATCACGTACGCCATAGGCCCATGTGGTTGCCCAATCGCCTGACCGCGTTTGCGGTTGTTGCGGAACAAACTATCGATAGATGACAAGGCCGAGAGTGCGGAATTACGGTCGCCCGGCTTGGAGAAGTCGGTTACACCAGTGAAGAGCCGAGGGAGAGCTTGGATTTGGGCCGCATACTGCAGTGGCAGGGTGTGGTTTGCGAGCTGCAGAATCTCGCCCAGGAGAAGGGTCGCCTTGCGTCTAACGGTTTCAGTACACGCCTCGTCTTGGATGAGCATGACCAGAGCCTGATATTGGGTTAGCTCCATCCCAACCGATCCGAACCCACCTCGAGAAGACCCGCTTCAATAAAGACTGCGAGAAGGAACGCCACATAGTTGTCCACAATGCTCAGTCGAGACGGCATCTCGTCCTCGTCGGTGTTCTCCTGGAGCTGGGTGGTGGCGTCAAACGTTCGGTTGTAGACTGTCAGTCGACGGCCGTCGAGGAACGCGCTAGTCCAGGATGGTGCCTTGATGCGGAAGGCCGAGAAGAAGAGATCCAGCAAGGCGTTGCGCATCTCGCCCATGGGGACGTGGAGCGACGAGATGAGACTCTTGACGGCCCGGCATTCGTCCATACACATGTAGATCAACCCGGACCAAGAGCCGAGCAGCATACCGACATTGCGTACACACGTATCGAGCTTGTCCAGGTGCCGCTGCATCTGGCGAGAAGGGATCTTGCCATACTCTTCTGTCAAGCCGACAAGGACAGTCTCAAAGTCGGAACCTGGGATGAGGAGCTCGCGGGTATGTGGCTTGTTGACGAGGAAGGTCAGACAACCAGTCATGCCTAAACCGAGCTCGAAGGGGCCGTCCTTGAACGCATTGAGAACGACGCGAAAGGCATCGGCACGGAGGAGACACTCCAGATCGAGAAGCGCAACTTCCACCAGTGTCTCCAAGCAGACAGTGTGCATTGCGTCGTCGGGGTTCTCGGCTGCGCTCACTATCGCGCGCACCAGCCCCGGTCGGAGGGGCACGCGGTGAGTGAGAAGCTCAGCCACAGGGTCTGGGGGCGCGTCGGGGTTTGGATCACGAAGACACTCCATGTCTCTTGGGGTGGGTGGTGGAAGGACAATGACGTCGCGTAGCAGTCGCAATGCAGCCTCCCGCTCGTGAACGGCTTTAGCATCACGCGTGAACGTCCTGGTCGTTAGCCATGAAGCCGCTCAGGATCTTCCACTGCGCATCTCTCAGGTGCAGTCTCGCTCCACACTCACCGAATGATGACCCACTCCACCCCCGCGTTGATCATTCGTCCCCATGTCCTCCTCAGAACCATGTACCGGAGCAGTCGGTACCCTGCTGTACGCTGACGACTTGTCGCCGAGTCGGCGAGGAATGGAAGCGTGCACTGGAGCACTTCGTGTGTGTCAACGTGCTTGAGCAACGAGGGCGACTTTTTGAATGCGTCCGCAAGGCGGGTCATGGCATCCCACGCTTCTTCGTCGTCGTCGTCGCCGACCTCCGTTTCCCGCTCTTTCCCCTTGCCATTGCCATTGCTGGTCGTGGCTCGGCCTAGATCACGTAGACGCGACAATGTAGCTCCAACCGTACCACGGAGAGCGACCACGCTCTCGTCGTCGTCGCTGTCGCTTGCCTCCGGATCGAGGAAGCGCGCTCCTGCGTGAGTCCGGTCGGCGGGAGATGGGGACGGCGAGTCGCTCTGTTGTCCTGACAAGTGCGACGCATGCGACGTGCGCGATGGTGTGGAGTGCGGCGACCGGTCAGAGTCTGGGCCACGCCGCCTTCCAATGCCCAGACCAGTGGATAGGAGTGTGGACGTGGTGGACGTCGAGAGGCCAGAGCTGGCGCCGAAACCGTTCAGTCGCGCTGGCCTGCGCCGCCGTTGTGGATTCTGTGAGCCTGCCGGGGTCAGTGCACTGGAGATAACATGCCACTCACTTCCACCTCGCAATTTCTCCAGCTTGGCTTCCAACACCTTGATGTGCTCGTTGGCAGCTTCCAGCTGTGCTGTGATGCGCGCCTTGACTTGTGCACCATCTCCGCGCTTCTCGATGACCTGCGGTTGTCAGCTACAGCGGAGATGAGAGAGCTCACGTCAAGCATCTTCTCAGCTCCATAGTGTACACGTCGCTCGATAGCGAGTTTCTGCATGAGCGACTCGACCTGCAAAGTGTCAGCTCATCGTGAATCGCTGTTCGGTCGCACATCGCCGAGAGGCGATGACACCGCCCAACGTACAGTCTCCCCGCCATAGTCCGCGTTGTCGTCCTCTGCGAACCCTGTGCTGACACTAGAGCTGAGGTGCTCTATGCTCGGGCGCGCAGGGCTCCCCCGTGCGTTGAACGCCATTGCGTGTGGGTAGTTGTAGTTGTTGCAAGGTTGTGCGGGGTAGGTCGTCATTACAACGTCCGCATGATGCCCGCCCAGGTGAGGACGCGTGGGGTGATTACGTAAATAAATTCCGGGGCAACATAGTGGCGGCGGCCGGCACAAATAAACCGAGGGGGGCAGAAACAACAATGCAGAAAAAACAACTACGATATGCACATGCACTAAGGATACGAGTCTGGCGAATCGGGATGTAACCAGTGCTTGGACTGGTTTCTTGTAAGTCCCAAAGCGCGGTGAGGTTTGGGATGCTTGATGGAAGGGTCTGGGAGTGGTTTGTCGTAAGGTGACGTGATGGTCTGGGGCTGATGCTGTGGGGTTTGGCGTGTCTGAGGCTGCGGTGGGGGATCACGGAGGAGAGAAGGAGGGGGTTTCTTGCGCAGGACCTTCTTGCTGTTCCGTGCTGCTCGGTACGCAGCCACCTTGTTCGCTGTGCTGGCAGGACCACGGAAATTTGAGCCCGAGGACGTATCTTCTGATGGGGCCCGAGAGGCGAGTGGTCTCCACGACCCACCAGCGTAAACGCTCGCACCGGGGCCGGGGGAACGAAGCATATCGATGGAGTCTGCTGGAGCAACAACACTGTGGTCTCCAGAGCCGATAGTCTCGGTCGCAGCATGTCCCCAAGGGGCCGCGTCCGGCGGTAGTGGAGGGTCGATAGGAGACGACATTTCGGTGTGGGCGCCGCTAGTGTTCGGGGTTTTGAACCGAAACCATGGAACACGCTCTTGACTGACGCCTGCCTGCTCTGCGATTTTGCGCTTCAACGAAGCAAATCTTGACTCTTGCTGTTCCTTTGCTGTCTGCTGGCGCGGGAGAGCGGTGTCTACTGAATACTCGGTGGGTGGACGGGTTGGGAGAGGCTTGTCATATACGGGTTGCCGTTTGGGAGACTCAACCTGAGGGACAATGTTGTACACTGGTGAAGCTATCGGTCTCTCGAACGGCCCGGACCCCTTCCAGTATGGTTCCTTTTGTGGGACTTGTGGGACTTGTGGGACTTGTGCGTATACCTGACCAGCACCGACGTCGTACATTGGTGCAGCAGGTGCTCCGTACATGGGTCGGGGGCCGCGGACGTTTGGTATTGCCCCATAGAGGTGCTCTTGCCCGACAGGATACGCAGTGCCAGGATAGACATTGGGGTAGCTGTTGACTTGAGACATGAGCGGCATCATGCGCTGTCGTGCAGGCGTTAACATTTTGCTGCATGGTGGCTCGCGCAGTCCACGGAGTTGCCAAAAGTACCGGTTCCGCTGGCGGTACGGGTTGAGCGGGTGGTCGGGGTTCTCTTGAAGGAACTGTTGGCGTTCAAATGGTCTCATAAGGTCGTATGCAAGGACCTGATTGTTAGCTCATATGCACGAACCGTAAAGCTCACCTCTCGCTGCGCTCTGTGCCTGCTCCGCACCCAGAAGATTGTTAGAATGATGAGGATGACACCAAGGCCGGCTGCCATAAAGCCCAGGCCAATGGCAAGACCTTGGCGTTTGGTAGTCTTCTGGACGTCGAACGGTGGGTCTGAAGGCAGGGCGGTCGACACGGAGTTCCAGATTGTATTCAAAGCGGTCGGAGAGACGGGCTCAAGACCGGTTGAGTATGCCTTTACCGAGATGCTCTGTGTAGCAAAGAACGAAATGTCGGAAACGATGGGGTATCCGCACATGTTGTTTTCCTGGGCAAGCGTTAGCTTCCTCCACGTTGACGCACTTACGACTGTTGGTTGGACCCATGTTTCGTTAATGACGTACATGTACCATCCAGGCTTGTCAAACTTGAAACCATACGAATACGACCAGTTGTCGACCACCTGGGCCGCGCATAATGACGACGATAGCAAAGGGTATGCGCTCGAGTTGGTGGGGTCGGTCGTTCCGGTAACAGGGAACAGGTCGACCTGTGCACTAGTGTGAGCGCCACGCCAAAGGTCAAATGAATTCTAAGGGGTAAACAAACCCAAACGTACAGTGAGGTTTGGCATGATGAGCATGGGCTCAATGGTTCTTAACCAGCCTCCTGCGTAGGCTCCTGGGCGGGGACCGGGCTCAACCCACCCAAAGGTATAGTCGAGGCCTGAATGTGAGTTGGTACTTCTCAGAGCAGAGCGGAGAATGGTACTCACCGACATACACGTCCTTGTAGGGATTGGGCATGATGAGACCCATGGTTTTGGCGACAGGAATGGTAGACCATGCTGTTAGAACCGAGCCATCTGCGGTGGTTGTCACGGTGCTAGAGGAGGCGACAGTGGTGGACGTCGCAGCGGTGACGGCCAGTGTCCTCGTGGCCTTGTACTCTCCCAACGATTCCGATGTTGTTTCCCTGCGACGGTGCGAAGGGGCGAGTCGAGGCGGTAATGGTGTAGGAGTGGGTGTTGGGGAAGGCGTGTGAATTGGTGGTGGTGGATTCATGAGGACACCCGCGGCCACATGGCCAGCAAGGAGGAGGAGTGCGAGCATGTGCGATGGTTGAGAGTGAACAAGAGGTGATGTTGAGGAACAAACATTGCGCCGAAAGATGGCCGGTCATGTTCACGATCCCCCCGTCATCACCCAGGAGGCCGCACAGACCGCCTCACATGGCCGCCACAACGCCACATGAGTGCTCTGTCCCTTGACATCCTACATTACATAATGTGTTCTAATCACAACCTAATCTCGGAATTGATCCGGGTAAATTTCATAATCGGATTTGGAGTCCCGGGACACTGACGTCACGGCGGTGTGACCCCACATGTGTGGTGCGTGCGTTACCGACACGCACTACGCACTACTTGGGACCTCCCACCACCTCATCCCTCGCAACAGACGTCAGACAGACGGCGCGCGTCGCTGGAGTTCTCTTCTGTTCTCCCACATTCTCTTCCCTGCCTATCAACCCACAGGTCATCACCAACATGGCTTTCTTTGACGGAATCCACATCAAGGTAAAACCCCTTACTGTGACAGCGATGTTGACTGATTTCCGCAGCTCCTCAACATCTTCGTCTTCATTGTCACCCTCGGTGCCAATGTCTACGCGGTGGCGGGGCCCAAGGACACATACGGTTCTCCCAATGTGGGTAGATATATGTGTTTGCCACCTCCCCAAGCTCACCCACTGACCCGTCCACAGGAGACCTATGTGACTCCCTCGGCATACGCCTTTTGGATCTGGACGCTGATCCATTTCCTGCTCTTGCTCATGATGTTCTTCCAGTTCACGACGCCCGGCAAGGCCATCATCATCGACGCCATTGCTTACCGCTTTGCTATCCTCGGCTGCCTCAACTCCATCTACATCTTCCTTTGGGCTCGCGGCTGGTACATCTCGGCGTTCGTGTTCTCGCTCCTCGTCGCCGCTAGCGTGAGCCAGATCTACTACATCATCAACAACGAACACACCTCGTATGATGGCCTTGGCACGGAGCTCTTTGTTCACCTCCCCTTCTCGCTTTACCACGGCTGTGAGTGTTTTGGTTGTCATGGACTATGACATAATGGTCTGACGCGTCCTCATCCCACAGGGACTATCGTTCTCATTGTCATCTCCCTCTTCCAGGCCTTTGGCGTCAACGCCGACATTGAGAAGGCCGGTATCTGGACCAAGATCTTTGTGTTCCTCGCGTTTGTGTTCCTCGAGTCCACGGCTGCCGGATATGCCTTTGCCACCTCTCAGGGTGACCCCGCTGGTGCCGCCGTCATCGCCTGGGCCCTCTTCTCGATCTGTAAGCCGTCTTCCGCAGATCTCCCGTGTGTCACTAACACTGCCATAGTCATCCACCAGGAAGTTCCCTTCATCCGCTGGTCCGCGTTCGTCTTCTTTATCCTGTCGCTCTTCGCCGTCATCAAGGCCCTCTACTCGTCCTACCGTGGCGGTGGCGGTATCCTCCACGATGAGGAGCGTGCCCCCCTCATCCCGGGCACCGAGTAAAGAGCCAGGCGGTAGGCTACAAGACGTACATCACAAGCGTGCTTTGTTACTCTCGCAAGCATACGACTACTACAACCGCGACGTCCCTCGACGAGAATGTACCCTCAGGAGGAAGGAAAGAAGAAAGGGAGGGAGGTGTACCCGTGACGAAGCCGAGAGTAATATCGATCAACGACGCAGACGAGGCGATAATGACTATGAATCGAGTTCAGACTTTGAGTCGCGCTGGCGGGCACTGCGGCGCGAGCCCTGGCTGACGGGCTTGCTCTCCTTTGCAGTCTTCTTAGGCGCGGGTTCTTTCTCTGTCGCAGTTTTCTTCTCCGTCGCGGTCTTCTTCTCCTTGGTGGCAGCCTTGGCCTTCTTGGGCGGCGCAGGCTCGTCCTCGCTGTCATCGTCCTTTACGCGCTTGACTGAAGTCTTCTTCTTGGACGCCTTGGCGTCGGCCACGAAGCCTCCCTTGTCACCGAGAGCCACAATGGCGGCGTACGCGTCTTCCTCGACGGGTTGAACACCTGTTATGGGTCAGTGACGCTCTCGTTTGCCTTTCTACCCACTCAGTCTTCCCCGGTTCACCAGGGCCATGGACTGGATAGCCTTCAGTCCGTCATCGCCGATATACTCAATACCCTTGGGCGGGGCACTGGCCCCAATGAGGGACTTGACAAACGACAAGGTGACGGGGTTGGAGAGGCGACGGATGAACTTGACCGAGACCATGTACCATGTGGGGTTGTCTTGGGAGGACTTGGGGTCAAAGTACGGGTGGGACGGGTCCCAGGCGGTGTCTGAGAGTTAGAGGGTAGACGTGGTGAGATGGGGGCATACAATCGGGGTAGCCTTCCTTTGCGACTTCAGCAATGGCAAATACGCCTGATATGGTCAGCTCATCTCATCTTGGGTATAGCTTACCAGGGACCTTGGTGTTCGAGTGGTAGAAGAGCACCTGCTGGGTCAGAGGAGGTGGGGACTAATTGACCCACCTTGTCTCCAAGCTTCATCTTCTCCTTCATAATGTTCTTGGCCTCATGGCTACGAACACCTAAAAATCAGATTGTGCCCAAGACATAGTCATGTCGAGTTGCTCACCGTCCCATGGAGAGGTTCTGCCCTGTCAGCGGCTGTTTCAGAGGGGGTCGAGGACAGGACACTCACCCAAGCTCTTCAAAGTCGTCCACCGAGAACTGTCGTGAGCTACTAGCGTCTACAGCCTGGGTAACTCACCTTGACGTCCTTTCCCTTCACTATGCGACTGTCTGGCTCTGCTTTCATGAGCCACGGCATGTTGGGTAGAGAGAGGTTGGTGGTGTCAAGAAGACGTCATGCTTCAGTCATCCAGTCATGGTCTGTCACCAAAACACAAACAACCGGCCAACTTTCCCACGGTCGATGGACCTGAGGCCTCCACTCAAGATTTCCAGTCTGCACATCCACACTGTGCCGTTTCCTCATAACCCCCCAACCACATCCCTCCTCGACCAACCATGGAGGGCCTCAAGCGCAAGCACGTCGTATTCGAGGGACAGGTGGACGGCCCGCCATACGACGAGCAGCCTGCGGCCGAGCAGGCGGCGACCGCCATTCCCGGCCTGCATCCCAGTCGTGCTCAGGTCGTCGACTGGGTCCAACCTGCCAAGAAGCCCAAGGTAAGTGTAGTCTGGTGTCGATAAGAAGGGTCTAACCAGTCCAGCAAGCAAACAAGACCAAGTCGGACAAGAAGAAAAAGTACCTCGCCAAGAAGCAGCGCAACCAGCGTGCGAAGAAGGTCGCTGCCAAGGCTTCCAAGCCGAAGAACAGCACCTGGGACGGCGACGAGGATGGCGAGAGCGACAGCGACGACAGCGACGATGATGAGGAAGAGGGAGCAAAGGCCGGCCCATCAACTACCACAGAGGTGGCTACGGTGAAGAAGACGGCCGAGGAGGAGGAGCGTGAGCTTCGCCAGGCGGAGAAGGCCGCCATCCGTGATGCCCGTCGCGAGGAGCGCAAGGCCAAGAGGAAAGCGGAGCGGTTGGCACGTGCGGCCAAGGAGGCTGCTCAGGCCGAAAAGGCTGCCAAGGCTGCTGCAAGGGAGGCAAGGGAGGAGGCACGGGCCGCTGGCATGGATGTTGAGGACGAGGAGGAGGTGGAAGAGGCAGAGGAGCAGGCGGAGGACGCCGAGATGGACGAGTCTGCCGACGAGAATGAAGCAGACGCCGACGAGGTCGACGCCGAGGCCGTCCCCGACCTCCCCACTCGCCTCTCTCCCTCGCCACCCCCTCTCGAGCCCTTCCCTCTCCCGCGCATGGCGCCCGCCCCCTCGGATGCCGTCCTCTCGCGCCAGGGTATGCCGTCTGGTCTCGCCGATGCCGAGTTCATCGAGCAGGACACTCGCCTGTCCGTCGCGGCTCTTGCCTCGTCTCTCGGTGCTGGTTCGGCGGGTCTTTCGGAGCGCACACAAAAGCGCCTCACCGACCTTGGTGTCGAGGAGTTCTTCGCTGTCCAGGCGGCCATGCTCCCCCACCTTCTCTCGCTCCCTCTCGTCCCCCTCCCGCACGCTCCCCTCAGCGACTACCTCGTCTCCGCGCCCACTGGTAGCGGTAAGACGCTGGCTTACGCCATCCCTGTCGTTGAGGTGCTCGCCAAGCGTGTTGTGCCCAGGTTGAGGGCTCTCATTGTGCTCCCCACGCGTGACCTCGTCGTCCAGGTTCGCGAGACCCTCGAGGCTTTGGCAAAGGGTACTGGCTTGATGGTGGGTTATAGAACCGTGAGAGGATGTGCTAAACCGTCAGATTGGAAGCGTCACTGGTCAGCACTCGTTTGCCCAAGAGCAGACCATGCTCGTTGGCGACTCTGACCCTCTGGTCGGCGGCGTCTCCAAGCTCGACATTCTCATCGCTACCCCTGGAAGGCTAATGGACCACCTGGCTAGCACGCCCAACTTTACCCTCCAGCACCTTCGTTTCCTTGTCATTGACGAGGCCGACAGGCTGTTGACCCAGAGCTTCCAGAACTGGCTCACCCAGGTGCTCTCCCACGCCGCGCCACCAGCGCGCAAGGAGGCCGCTCCCAAGGGTGTGCAGCCTTACGATGCTGTCGCACCTGCATGGACCGAGCCGCTTGGACTCGCCAGCGGCGAGTTTGAGGGCAGCGAGGGCGTTTCCTCCACGGTGAGCTTCCTTGGTCCGATTTCCAGAGCTAACAGTACAGTGCCAAAAGCTCCTGTTCTCGGCCACGCTCACCCGCGACCCGGCCAAGGTTGCGGCGCTCGACCTGTCGTCGCCACGATACTACATTGTGCAGTCGTCTGCCAACCCGCTGACCGCGGCTGCGGTCGGCTCGTCGTTTGCCCTCCCGGCCGAGCTGGGCGAGAAGATGCTCATCCTCCCGCCCGCACTCAAGCCGCTCAACCTCATCCACCTCATCCACTCGCCCCAGTTCTCCGCCACCCCGGCCCTCGTGTTCGCCAAGTCGGTCGAGGCGGCCACGCGTCTCGTCAAGCTGCTCGAGTTCTTCGAGGACGCGTACGTGGGCGCCAAAAAGGTCGTTGTGCGTGGATACACCCGCGACATGCCGCCCGCCGAGCGTAAGCGCCTCCTCACAGACTTTGCCGCTGGCAAGGTGGACGTTGTGGTGGCGTCCGACCTCGTCGCGCGTGGTATCGACTTGCCCGCTGTTGCGCACGTCATCTCGTACGACGTGCCCCTCGACATGACCAAGTACGTTCACCGTGCCGGTCGTACGGCGCGTGCCGGCCGCGAAGGTACGGCCTGGACGCTTGTGGAGAAGCAGGAGGCTATCCACTTCAAGGCCATGCTCAAGGGTGCTGGCCACGAGCAGGCCGTCAAAAAGGTCAAGGTCAAGGAGGACGAGTTGGCGGGATACCGCGAGAGTTATGACATTTCCATGCGCCGTCTGCGTGACGCGTACTCGCGTGACTAGATGCGTACGTGGGTTTAGACAGAACGTGTATATAGAGGGAGAGAGATATGTACAATGCATATTTGGGTTTTTACAATGCGCGTGGGTGTCGTGAAAAGAAGGGGTTGTCGTGTCGTGGCAAATTGGAATGGGTGCTGCTGGAGTAACACAGCTCACGGGGTAGTCTAAGCAATTCTACAAACCCGCCAACTCGCGTCCTTCGCGAATGACGTCTGCAACACCCTCGACCTGCGCGCCTTCCAACCGCTTCTCCACCGCCTTCCACACCTCTTGCACCTTCTCCACGGGCTCTTCAGCGAGCACCATGAGCCGCACGCGCTCGAGGCCCTGGGCCGCGGTCGCGCCTGCGCGCTGCTCGCTGTTATTGCCGTCCTTGGCCGACTCGGGTAGTTCGGGCAGGGCAACGCTGTCGGCCAGCTGGGACATGTCGCTAAACCGCTCCTGCAACGAGGTGACGATGGAGAGGAGCTGCGGCGTGCGCGTGTTCAAGGCCGCGATGGTATCGCCGGCAGAGAAGAGCTGGTGGTGGTGGTTGTACACGAGCGTGTGCCGGGACGACTGGAGGCGGCCAACGTCTGCAGAAACGAACGTTAGTGACTATCTAGGGTGATCGTGATCCAACGTACCCGTCGCAAGCGTCGATGTGGTCTGGAGTAGCTCGGCCAGGCTCGCCTTGCCGATAACATCCTCATAGTACTCGGCGGGCACAAAGTGCGGACTGCTCAGGTCCCTTGCCGCAGCGGCACCGCCGGGCGTGCCCCGCCGGCTCTTCTTGCCCGGTGTCGGGCTCGGCGTCGTGCTCGCCGCATGCGCGGCCATGACGGCGTCCACGCTGAGCGCCGGGGACGCCATCCCGCCCAGCCCCGAGCTCGCGGGCTCGGGGGAGCCCGGAGTCGACGATGGGCCGCCGGCTGTGTTGGCGTTCTTGAGGCCGTAAAAGTCGCGCAGCTGCTCGCGGCGTGCGCGCCGCGCCTCGGGCGTCTCCTTGCGTGTGGGGGAGAGAACGCGGTCTGGCACCGAAGAGGCACGTGGAGGGAGCGCCGAGACGGGTGTTGGTGCTGCCATGGTTGCTGGTAATGAGTGGATGACGGCCGCGACGCGTATAGATATGTGGACGACCGAGTGGAGGGACGATGGGACTGCTGGCAGGCACACACCGATGTGGGCGGCGCGCCTATCATATTTGCATCTTGTTTGTGATTGTTAATAACTGGTTAATGCGCCTATATTGCCTAGGCCTGCTGCATGCTGTTTTATTGTCCAGGCCATGACCCTCGGATAGGAGCTTTGCAGGCGGAACAGATGCTTACCGACATGCTTATAGTTGCTCATCCCCTGAGCCAGAGCGTGCTCCTATGACCCTATGACGGGCACAGCACACCGTGTTATTGTTTCGGAGTGCGGCTTGCCCGTCGGGTTTGCTCTGTCCAAAACATGCCAAGAAAGGGCGTCTTAGTCAAGAGGGTACTTCATAACAAGTCACGCCGATATGTCTTGGACAGCGAGGACGCGGGGAGCAGAGGTGGTTGAGGCGCCTGAGGGGATTAATCATGTTAACGTTCGCGTCAACGGAGCGGGTGCACTGCCTCATACGCCACTTTGGTCACCGTCAGCGTACGTCAAGCATGCCAGTTCCGATCACCCTGACACATGGGCAGCACATCATCGCTCATCTGATCATCGGGTTGCTCCTGTACTCTGAGGCTGGGATCGCTGGATCACTGTACCGGTCACCGGCCACTGGCCACTGTGTCGATGACGGCGGTGCTGATGATGTGGCGACATTGACACAACTAGCCACAGGCTGCCCAACCTGCTATTTTAATCACTGACATGGACCACATGACCACCGCCTTGGGCACTCTCTTGACGCCGTCCACCGCCCCAACAGCCGCAGGTGTCTCACAGATAACAAGCGAACAACCGGCCAGCACCTCTTTGAGATCTTTGCCATTGGTGATTGGCCATTGACCATTGGGAAGGGTCGATTATTCGCGCAGCTCAGTTCTCCTCTAGGCCTCTAGATCCAGCAGCACCGCGCTGCTCCGCGTCTGGCCACCTTGCATTTGCCACCTTCCCACTGCGCGGACACTCCAGCCCTGCGACGCCTCTGCGCCTCTGCGCCTCCTCGTGCTCTGGTCCTCCAGTACGCATAACCACTGTAAACTAATGACGGAAGGCGCGGACGCCCCAAGCACTGCCATGGATGACATGGGCACGATGAAAGACACACATATGGTTCCTAATTCCTTGCGAAGCACGGTCCAGCCCCGGCAGGACGTTGCCCTGCTGGCCTGCTGCAATCTTGTTGTGCGTTCTAGACTCCCACCGCTCCGACATTGTGACTCGGTTCCTCACGTTAAACTACAACATACCGGTGCGACGAAGGTTTCGGAAAGGACGTCGTTTGAAAACACGACTGGCCGGTCTCCGAACACTTGCGGTACCGATATGAGAAGCGAGAGCATGAGAGGAGAGAGGCCAAGTTGTTTTGCCTTCATCAACAAACGTGTCGTGCTAGGGTCGTAGATCCTGAGAGTGCCGGTTCTTTCGGGTTACATACCCAGCTAGTGCTCTGCCGCTGCCGACACAAGAGGAAAACGGGTGGCAAGGGATGGGACAGAGTATAATCCATGGCTAACTCGCGGGTTTGCGACGCGCGAGGGTAGCTGTTTGGAGCCCTTCCCGGTTGCGCGGTCCTGCCCCTCGAGTGCTCTCAGCATCTTTCGCCTCGCCGTCTTGATTGGCGCAACACGAGGATGGGGTCTCGCTGCGCGCTGCCGCGCCCCATCTGCGTTGTTTCTCCTTGGTCCTTGCCTGTTGCGCGTTGTAGAGCGATCACTAATCACTGATGAGATGTGAGTGTCACAGTGGCGCAGTGGACGGCTTGGACCCGAAGAATACCGGTGGTGATAGCCTTTTGGGGGAAGAAGAAGACGCCAGGGTGCAGGGTGGACGCTGGGGGGTTATCGCTGCGTGCCACCAGGCCACCAGCGTGCCAGCGCCATGGAGCGCGCCACCAAAAACGTGATGAGGTGTTTTTGGATGAGCCCTGTTTCCGAGACCGCCCTGTTGTGGGGCCGTTCTGTTCTGGCTGTGCAACAAGAGAACCAAAGACGTCGGGGGCGGCGGTGGACAATTGTAGTACGTACATGGGATGCAGGGAAGAGGAATGCGACTAGAAACGTCTTGGCAGTGTTGGGAGTGTGTTCGGTGTGTTGGGTGGCAACAGGCCAACAGTGCAACAGGCCAACAGGGGGTGACGGAAAGCGCCGGAAGCGTGCCTTCCTCTTGTGTACGTTTCACAGCCTCCCCCCGCCGCCGGGAGACTGCCGCACCGCTGTGCAAAACCCTCTCCACCACCCCCTGGTGCGCGACATGTCTGTGCTCTGTGGTGCGACGGCAGCGGCTCGTGCGTCTTGCGCGTCTTGGCTGTGTATCTTGCTCTCCTATTCATTTTCTCAGACACAGCGCTCGCGTCCTGGGGTTTTGCTTCTCCCAGCACGGCCTCGCACACTTCTCCCTATAAGGAGACATATCTGCGCGTCGCTCGGCACCCTTCTCAGCCTCCCCCACTCACCCTTTTCCCTTCCTTTCATTTGATCGACCTCACAGCTTCCACCTGCTAGCGACCACAGCAACAACAATGGTCTCGCACAGCTCCATCCACACTATCCTCTACGCGGTCGGTATCGTCCTCGCCATCCTCACCTGGACTCTGTCCGCCGGCATTGTCGCAGACTACAACGATGCCTGTATGTGTCCCTTTCTGGCGCTCCCTCCGCGCCACCCTGCTGACACCCTCCAGTCTCGTACGTCTCCGGCACCTTCAACGCGGCCAACGCGACCCTTGCGTGGGGTCTGATCTCGATGCTGTACTACATCGCCGCGTGAGTACACATGCGCAAAGTCTGGAGAGAGCCGGAGAGCGGTTCTGGTGAGGAACGAATGGAAGGATGGCAACGGAGCGTGAGAGGATGGAGGAGCATGACCACTCCCTGTTGACCCTTCCACCATTCCTTCCCCTCCCTCTCTCCCTGTCCCCACGGAGCACCGCTGACAGCGACCGCAGCCTCGCCATCCTCTTCTTTGTCTCGTCCTACAACCCGGCCGTCTGCATCATTGCCGACACTTGCTGCATTGGCTTCCTCTGGATCTTCGGCATCGGCTCGGTCGGGTCCCTGTCGACCGTCATCAGCTGGTTCCGCGTCGCCAGCGATTACGGTCTCACCTTTGGCGGGTGAGTAGTGTCGCGATGGACGCGTTAGAAGTACAGACGACGCGTGTGGTGCCCGCCCGGTGCTGCTCCTCTGTATGACCGATTGCTGACGACTGCAGTGTTGGCCAGGCTGCTGTCGCCTTTGGCTGGCTCCTCGTCTTCCTTGTGAGTACCAGCCCGGCCGTACCCTACACCCAACCGCATCACTGACAACCTCCAGCAACTCGGCACCCTCCTCTACGAGGTCATCTTCACCCTCGTCCACTACGGTGGCTCGCTGGACGTCTGGCGCCAGTCGTTCCACGACATCACCACCACCGGCACCCGCGTGGTCCGTGGCGAGAAGGGTCCCCAGCCCGGCCTGAACATGGCCACCAATGACGTTCCCCTCCAGACTGCCCCCCAGGTTTGAAGGATATGGTCCTCTTCTGTTCCCGTTCCGTGAGCCGGCTCGCGTTTTATACCAACCAAATCTAAAGTAGCAGTAGTATTTGTTCCGCTTAATGGGGCTGTGCGTAGGGGCATCTCATACACGGGCGATGCGCCGAGTATATCATGTCGATGCACCAAGTATACCTGATCGCTGTGTGCACTGGAACTGAGCAGCTCACAAGGAACGTGTGTGGACAGTGTATACTTTCCAAGGTTGCAACGACGCTGCAGTCTGGCTCGAATGCCTCAAAGGCAATCCGTGGAGCGCCTTCACGCGTCAAGTGTGAGACATATACATATGCATGCTTACACACAGAGTGCAGTAATGTGCCTGAAGGCCTGGCACTGCGGCTCAGAGTCTGTCTGCAAAGAACATGCGCGCGTAGACGTGGATCGGCGGAGTGTCGGATGCGACGGGGACCGGTCCACTTGAGTTTGTTTTGGCACTGGGAGGCCGTTTGTGGTGACGGCTCGCCATGCCTGTCACGTCACTGCGATCCGGCCACACTTTGACGGCCAGCACTCGATAACACAAGTTCCTTTGTACTGAGCTTTGTGCCGACACAGAGGGCCCAGCTGTCAACTTTCCACAGCTGGGACAGCCTCGGATACGTCGCGGAAAGTACACAACGGCGAGCAGGCCGAGCAGGGAACGCTGTGATGCTGCTGGTTGCAGCATCTGCTCGCGCCCTGTGGTTCGCTGTGGAACTGGCCGAGACGTGCATGGTCATTTCTAGATGGAGAGCGCCGTGACCTGGGTATGGTGCCATGCCTCCATCGAAACACATAACGCGTCCAAAGTAACTGGGAATAACGGGGGAATAGATGCATAGTGTGTTTTGCCGCGCGGATCCGACCGACTTTTGCGAAACACACAACGTGTGCCAAGTGACGGGGTACAGGGGTACTACGCCAAAACCATTGGCATGTTGTGTTTTACGTGTCTTCACGGTTTCCACGTCGATGTTGGGGGATACTCGTGTCTCCCAGTTGACTCTGTGTGTTGCGTCTGCTACACAATCCAACCTCCATCTATCTTCTTCCCAGATCCACACCTCGCTCATTGTCGGAGCCCCACCGCGGCCGCGGCCGACGCCTATGGTATAGCCCACGGTATCCATCGGGCCGACTTTGCCCATTTAGCGTGTCCTGGGTCGAGTGTGTGCTGCGCTGCGTTTCTGGTAACGAGCAGCACGGTTCCCTGCATCAGCAGCCATTTTGAGGGGCGATATATCGATGACGAACGCCAAGCCTCAATGGTTCCCGACGTAGGCGAGCACATGCGACCATGCCGACCTACATCCTCTTCTCTCGCCAACCACCACCATGTCCACTTCTGTCGCCAGCGTCGGTTGAAGTCTGCGGCGAGCTGCTCGGTCATGTCGTTGCCAAGATGTGCCAAGCTTACGTTTGCTGGCACCTGCTCCCGCGCTTGTTTCGACTGCTGGGGAGCTCTGCAACTGTGACGTGGGCGACGCTAATGGCCGAGACATGGAAGTTCACGGCTCTGTACTTACTGGGTCATGTGCCTGCAGATCACCTGCTGCCAAGCGCGACCGGATGCTCTTGCTGCATCAATGCTATGCTGCACCATGCAGTAGTATCTGACCATGGGTGTCGCATGCTGCATGGCTCACAGCCTGGTTCTGCTTCTGCTGCTCTCAACGCCTCTCCATGCTGCCAAGTCCTGTTGGACCGTGCTCACCGTTCAGGACTTGCAACTCCAGGTTTCTTGGCATATCTACCTATGCCCGGTGGCGTGTGGCGTTGGTGGGCACCTCCAGGCCACAACTCTTGGAGCCGGCCTGTTCTTTCTTTAGGTCGTATGTTCAACGTCCAGCACAGTCTTGTTCACTTCGTTTCCACCTCCATCGGAATTGACCATCGCACATGACCATATCACATGTCACAGTATCGGCTGTCATGCAGTGCCCATGTTGATGTCCAGTGGCCAGTAGTGGCCCAGATCCAGCTCTAAATAGACGATACCGCCGGAGACGGTTGGTGATCAGCGAAGCGGTGCAGTCAAGGCACGGTCCTGGTGCGGGGCCTCTTGACGATATCTAAACCATTCGCAGACAAGCATCGAGAGCTCTCTGCTGGTTATGTACGCTTTGTCGCTGGATTGAAGTGCCGTTCCTCGGACCCTCTCCGACATTGTACGCCTCCTGGTTCCTGCATTTCCTGTGCCCATCACAACTCCTGGAGTGGTCGGCACCCTCGGCTTGACAGGGTGGCGGCGTCTTGGCATTTGCTGCCCATGCCTCGTATATAACACGAACGCCTCGCCACCTGTATGCTCCTCACTCGTCACGGCATCCTACCATGCTCAACTCAACACTTATCGCAACGTCTCTCGTCGCCGGAGCGCTCGCTGCCCCCAACCCAGTCGCTCCTCGCGCGGCTGGTGGTATTGCCCTTCCCTTCACGGGTCGTGCGCACGACTCGTTCAACGAATACCACTCCCTTGAGCGCCGTGATGCCATTGTTGCTGCCAAGTAGGTTGTTGAGGATAACACACATGGTTCAGCGGCGCTAACGGATATTGCAGTCTTACATATGGACGGGTTTGGAACTACCGTGTACCTATCCAGATCGGGTGAGTGAAAGAACCACGCTCATCAACGTGCTGATGGTAGAACACCCCCACAGGATGTCCTGGTTGGTATGACCGCAGCGAAATACAGCAACATGCAGATGTACGAAAGCGGAGGGGATGAACGGTACACGGTAGACAATGGGGCCGTGAGCTACTATTATCCGGGAAACTCTAGCACGTCGGCGTCTACTGGCAAGAACATCACGGGCACTGCCACTTGGAACATTTCAGGCGTTGTCAAGTCGGACACAGTGACCATTGGCGGGCTTACATTCCCCGACCTGCCTTTCTGTGAGTATCATCAGTGTACGACAGGGTTGCTGACAGTGAAGATGGCCAGAATACCAGCAATTGGGCTGGCACGTCCAGTTTTCTGAACCTGGTCGGCTATCTAGGTATTGGATTCGATGCCGACCCCACGGGCGACTTTGGTGACCCTCTCTGGAAGCGCGTCGTGGCCCAGGGAGGTGCTCCTGAAGCAGGTATCTACTTGGAGCGAACTGTATCCGAGGGTGGTCTCGTCGTTGGCGGCTGGCCTTTCCAAGAGAACGCGGGTGAACTGATGCTTGGGTATGTGGTGGTCAGTATGTGCCGTGGCTAACAGAACAGTGGCCTCAACGCTGCATACTACCAAGGTAGCATCAACTACATGGATCTCGACAACTCCACCACAGCAGAGGAAAGCGGGGGCAGTGCGTATCTCCAACTCGACGAGATCAAGGTCAACGGGCAAGCGCTCGCGTCAGTCAATGAAACCGCCACGTCATGGACTCCAAAGGCCACCGGGGAAGGTAATGTTACATACGACGTCAGTGTCCCTGGGCCCGTCATGCTGGCTCTATCTGGTATTGCAATCAATCTCGGAAACGAGACGTTCAACGCTTTGCACGCCAAGATTCCCGGTGCAACGCCAATGGGCCCTCTCATCAACTACCCCATCCCAGTGTACATGATGAATGTGCCCTGCAACACGACTGCTGAAGTGAGCCTCACTTTTGGCGGCGTCGACTACCCCCTGCGTCCAGAGGACTGGATTTGGCGCGACCGCGACACCCCCGGCGAAGGCTGCCAGAGCATGATTGTCAACTACCCCACCCAATCCGCCTACATCGGTACACCATTCCTCCAAAGCGTGTACACTGCGTTCCAGTTCGAGAAGCGCCAGATTGGCTTTGCCAAGGTCGCCGACGGCCTGCCGACTCGTAATGTTAGTGTGAATGGCACCGTCACCGTCGGTGTGGCAAGTGCCACTGGCACTGCCAGCGGCAGCAGCAGCGCCGCCGTGGCCCTCCACCCCTCTTCCGTTGTAGCCGCGCTTGCTGTCCTTGGCGTTGCCGCTGCGTCTCTTCTGTAGCCTTAGCAATGGTGGTACTCTTTGTATTCTGAATCAAGAATGAAAAGGCAGTTTTGTTATATTACTACGCGCTGGTGGTTACAAATCTACAAACTCAGCTTACAGTATACGCTATTGCCGGTGATGACTAACGGGCGGGTGACAGCCACCCCACGCCACCTGTGCTGTCCCCGCAGTGGTGGTAAACCTACAGCCTAAACTCGCCTCGAAGCGCCAGCTTCTCTCTCATCCAGCATATACCCTCAGCCACCCACTCACACCCTGCCTGCACACAAGGCACGTCGCAGCACGCTCACCGTCCAGGCCGAGGCGCACCTGCCCGCCCTCCTCCACAGTCGTGGTCAGCCCGGCAGGCCCCGTCCCCATGGTGCCCCCACCCTCCCCACCTCTGCTGCCCACGAGGTCGGCCCCGCGCAGCTCGCCGCCCTTGATTCCTTCGGCGGGCGCAACGTAGCCGCCCATGCTGAAGCGGCGTGATTTGGGGTGGTTGGCCACAGCCCGTGAGAGCGCGACGTTGAAGGGGACCCGGTCAGTCCTGGGCGGTGCGTCGGTGGGCTGGGCGTGGTCTGGGAATGCGGCGGCGCGGGCTTGCCGGTCCTTGTGCATGAGGAGCGGGGCACAGAGGTAGCACAGGTTCAGGTGACAGCCTGGTGCGATTGTCAGCTTGGAGCGTAGAGAAAGAAGGGAGCGACGTACATGGCAGTAACACGGCCGACGGTGCGCGAGAGAAGCACAGTAGACAGAGAGGGTACGGCTTCTCTTCGAGGGTATCGAGTGCGGATCCACCGAGAGGTGCGGCCTGGACGTCCGGAGACTGGTGGGTAGATACACAAGGTGAGGTTGACGCCGACACGCTCGACTCTGACGAGACCCCGGAGAGAGATGCGCGACGAGCGCGACGGACGCGCTCGAGTTCGAGGCCCAGGCTGTCGAGGTTGAGGCTCATCGTCGATGGTCGGGTACTGGACGTTAGGAGAGGAAGTGCAGTGTCAACATGTGAGGTCAGCAGTGCGCAGTGTGAGCTTGGCGAGGTTCATGGATTGTCACGGGACCAACGTCAGTCTTGTCTCGGGTCTGTGCTGTGCTTCTCGGCAATGCCCTCGCCCACAACGCCTCATGTGAGCTTCTATTGACGTCTCCATGTAGTTGCTCGATAGATACTACCCACTCCATCGTCATTGTCGATGCAAGCAGCGAGCAGCGCGACCTAGAAGTGCTGCAGGCCACCTCCGTTGTTTTGCGGGGCCCGGGCGCGCTCGGCTACATTCACGTCCCGCGTACCGGTTGTCGGCAACCAACACAGCCACTCATCGTCGCCGGAATCAACAGCACCCACCTTTTGCTGCTGTACTCTCCCACGATACTTCAAGAGGCACATTGCAAGTGAACAAGATTACCTCGACACGCGACCGTAGAGCTCGCAGCACGACACTCGAACTTGATTCCAAAGGTTGACCTGTCCTTAAGGGATCGACGGCGGTATCCGGCAACTCACCTGCTGGTGTCATACCGCTGCCCACTCTCCAAACACCCGTGTCCTCGCAGATGGTGTCGACATGAAGAAGAAGAGCACGGGCTGCGTCCTATATAGCCGGCCTTCCTGGTAAATCACAGGCTGGGTTCTCGACAAACACCGTCAGGACGGCATGCGGCGGCCCGGATCGCTTCAGTGGACGGACAAGTCATGAGCCTGCGTCGGCGCGATACACAATCGCAATGTTGTCGTTTTTGCGCCGTTATATTCGCAGTCGTGGCGATGCTGGGATGCGCAGAACTTGAGTTTGCTTTACGGCCTCCTACTCGGCTGACACGGTCTGATCTCTTACACGGATTGCTGACATGGTAGACTTGACCTGGGTACGCCAGGCTGGCCAATGACATTACGCTGGGTTGGCACTCACCGTCGGCCATCAACCACAGAGCCGAACGACATCGCCGCCACAAGCCTCTTGCGCACGCACGTCATGAGTTGATCTAATGATCTGATGTCCTACACAGTCGCTAGAGATCGGTCACCTCCGAGCGCACCGAGCGGATAAAAACCTCATGGTGGGTCATTGCGACATGAGTGGTCGATATGGTGGCCGTGCCTGAGCATTACGCCATTTCGACTGCCCATGGTCAGAGTTAATTCCCGAAGACTAGACACGCTTCTGCAAACAAAGGTATCGTCTTTGACACGTCGTGTGACGCGGTTTCTCGACAATATTGAGATATCGCCCATGCTTGGCGTCGACTGAACATGTTTGGCCGGAAATACAGTTTTCCACACCGCCCAGAACACACGCAACAGCAAGAGATCGGGCCGGCGTTGGCGCCGCTGCGCTATACTTCTCCGCGGTCTTGGCCGAGTTCCCCAGCTTCTGCTCAGATGCTGTGATATCATTATCACACTTGCTCGTCACCATTCATGGGGCAGTATGGCACCATGCCGCACTCTTCACGGGAGGGGAGTGCACGGCCGAAAACTCCTGTATATTTAATACACCTTTCGTTCTCGAAACAGAGTTCTTCATCACTGCCACGTACAGCTCCGCCTTCACCACCACCATGACCACTCCGGTCCTCCTCGACGCTCACGGCCACGCTAACCTGACCAACTCTGGTCAGGTCTCACTCACCGACTCTGAAAAGTCTATCCCTAAGGACGAAGAGGCCCAGGGCACCTATGTTGGCACTGCCACCGCAACCGAGCTCAGCTTCGGCAGCGACGATGAGACCCTGCGCACAAAGTAGGTTTAGGATTCATCGCTCACGTGCTAACTCCATTAATAGGTTTTACGAGCCTCCCGACAGCTACGAGTCCAAGCACCGCTGGGATCCCAAGGCCACGTGGACAGAGGAAGAGGAGAAGAAGCTCGATCGCAAGCTCGATTGGCGCATCATGTTCTTTGCATGTGTATGCTTTTTCAGTCTCTGCCTTGACCGCAGTAACGTGAGTTGTGTGCGCTGCGACTACTGCTTACTCCTTTAGATTGGCAGTGCACTTTCTGATGGCTTCTTGGCCGACATTGGGTGCACCACGGCAGACTACAACAACGGCCAGACAATCTTCCTCGTTGCCTTCCTTCTCTCGGAGCTTCCCTCGCAGCTCATCTCCAAGAAGATTGGCTCGGATCGTTGGATCCCGATCCAGATGATGGTTTGGTCGCTCGTGACCCTTGGAAACATGGGCATCAAGGACCGCGGCAGCTACTTTGCTCTGCGCGCCCTCCTCGGTATCTTTGAGGGCGGCTTCATTGCCGACACTGTCCTGTACCTCAGCTACTATTACAGTGAGTACCATGTGGACTTCACAACAGTTTTTCCATGCTAACAAATGTAGCCACCGTGCAGCTCACCACCCGTCTGGGCTACTTTTGGATTTCCTTGACCGTCGCCTCTATTGCTGGCTCTCTCCTCGCTGCGGGCATTCTCGAACTTCGTCACCATACCCATCTTGCCGGTTGGCGCTGGCTGTTCATGATTGAGGGCCTCCTTACCTTTTTGATCGGAGTCTTCGCATGGTTCTACTTGCCGCCTGGACCCACTCAGACCGCTGGTGGGCCGTTCAACGTCCGCGGCAAGGGCTGGTTCACCGAGCGCGAGGAGGTCATCATTGTCAACCGCGTCCTCCGCGACGACCCCACCAAGTCCGACATGCACAACCGTCAGGGTATCAGCTTGAGCCAGTTCAAGGACTCTATTATCGACTACGACCTCTGGCCGTGCTACGCCATTGGCATCGTCTTTTACCTGGCACAATCCACAGTCGGCGCGTACTTTACCCTCACGCTCAAATCGCTTGGTTACTCGACATTCCACACCAACCTGCTCGTCATTCCAAGCTCCATCGTGATGATTATCAACATCTTTTGGCTCACCGCTCTTTCGAAGAAGCTCAAGGAGCGTTTCCTCGTCAGCACCATCGGCGCATTCTGGGGTATCATTCTGTTTGCCGTTCTTGTGGCGATCCCGTCGTCGACCAACAAGTGGGGCAAGTGGGCGCTCCTGTCCCTCATCGTCTCTACTCCCTACTACCACCCCATTACTGTGTCGACAGTTAGCGGAAACTCGGGATCGGTCCGCATGCGCACCGTGTCTCTCGCAGTGTACAACATGATGGCCCAAGTCGGTGGCATCGCGGCCGCACACGTTTACAACCCAAGCGACGCGCCCTACTACCCTAAGGGTAACAAGGTCCTCCTTGGTGTTGTTATCCTCTCGCTTGCCGTCCTCCTGTTCTCCAAGGCCTACTACGTCCTCCGCAACCGCTACCGCGCCAAGATTTGGGATTCGTGGTCACCCGAGGAGAAGCACCACTACCTCCAGACCACCACGGACAAGGGCAACAAGCGCCTCGACTTCCGCTTTGTTCACTAGAGGGTACAACTCGGTCGTGGCTCTTGGATTCTTATAGTGTGAAACAGTTGTGCAAACATTCTCGATGCATACAGGTCTTTTTGTGATAAAGAAGCTCGGCGCAAGTTACGGGTGGTGCAGAACATGGCGAGCAGAATAAAATGGCCGGGCCGTATTAAGTCTTGTTCAACTGGGCAGCCAGAGCGGCAGCACGTTCCTCCCAGGGACCTACCGATGCGAGCACTGAGGCAGGGCAGGCGGTCTGGAGCTCAAACTGTTCATCCCCAACCCGCATGCGATACTCGTCCTTGGACAGAAACTCGATAGCGTGTGGGTTTCCCTTGGGGGCGCCCGGTATCATCTCCTCGGTAGCCAGTTGGAACGCTTCGTACAGGTCGCCGTCACACACGTCCTCGCAGACGTTCAGGAGGCGTCGCTCGATAGCCTCAAATCCGACAATCGCCAGGGGTACAGTTGGCAGGAACCGGATGATGGTAGGGAGGGAGGACAACATTCCCCATGCCGTTAGCGGTGTTGGCGTGTCACCAGTGGGATGAGGGATCGCATGCCGTGTCTCGGTGAAGATCATTACAATCTGGCGAAGATTGCCGTCTGGCCCCCAGCCATGCCGAATGATGCTTGAGTCGAGAATGAACGGGTAGGCCGGGTTGTACTGTACACTCAAGACGGCAATCTCTGTACCTCGCTGAAAGTCGGCCACCGTTGCCATTGGGGACGTCCCCCAGCCATATTCCGAAGGCGTCAGGAGAACAAAGTCGACGCTGCTGCGGCGAGATGCTTCAGAACAGTTGTATATTGTCGTAGGGATACGTGAGACGCTCGCCTCGGATAAGGTTGAGAGGAGGAGGACGGTGGGGTCCGGATCGTCGCGTTGGAACTCGTACACGTATTGAACGGGCCGGTGATAGTCCACCACTTTGCAGTAACGTCTCAGGCGCGTGCACCATTCACGACGCTGTGCGGGCGATGCGGACAGGTAAAGCTTGCCAGGAAGAGGCCCATTGAACCCACTCAATCGCACAGGTGCTCGGCACTGGTCACTTATTGAAAGGTGCTTGACTTCACTGTCCTGGAGAGGGAGGACCACGATGTGACGAAATATGAGTGAGTCGGCTTTGATGAGGAACGCGCGTGACGTGGGCCGGAAAGCGAGGAGCGAGCCGGCTGGGGCATATTCCAAGATGAGGTCTATGATATGAGGAAACGACTCATGGTCGATGTGTACCATGATGACGGAGAGACATGTTGTGGAAGGAGACGAGACGAGTAAAAGGGTGGCGATAAATACTGTACACGCCGCATTGCTCTCAATCTGGCAGCTGGCCAGGGGAGCCCCCCAGGTCGTATATACAATGTCGTCATCCCGCTGTTGGTTGCCGATTGATGTGGTGAAACCCTTTCATAGGCCCCGGTACAGATATACTACCCTTCCACAAGCAATCAGACATTCATGCCGACCGCTGTGGCCCTTTGGTACACGCAGGCAAGAGGCAAGCCGTTTGTAGCCAATCGGCACCTGGCTGCTGGCTGTCTTAGGCGGACTGGCACCAGGCCCAAGGTCATGTGCGTCCTTACTCCTGAATTCCTGGCAGTTGGGACGGCTGTGATGCCAGTGGCCAGTGGTGTGGGCTCGACTTCTCTGGACGTGTCCAGGTGGTTGACGGATGTGGTCTTCTCCAATCAGCAGGAATGCAATCACAATAGTACGGCCTTCGCTTCACAGCGTTTCCACAGCCACGGCCAAGGGAGCATGGAGCTGACTTGAAGTTCAGCGCGGCCTTGAAAATGCAGACTTGGACCTCTTGCAGCCGGCTAACCCCTCTCATGCACACATTGTTCGGATTCAATGGACCAGGCAGAATATGCAGTCTTTCGTTGTCAAACCCTGCTCACAGTCGAATGCGAGCTCGGCTTCGATGTTTTAGGCAAGTTCGAGACCAGAAGACGGCGCAAAGCTCCGCAGTCGTCCACATCGTCGGATCCCAGTGTCTACGACTCGCTCCATGTGACACAGGGTTTCCGCACAAGGTCAGGTCTAGCTTTGCATGCGTTCTATCTCGCCGTGGAGCGCAGAATCGCGAAGAGAGGCCGTCGCCCGCCATTATCAGCAAAGAACAGACATCGCCTTCTTGATCGTATAACGGTTAGTATGCTCGCTTGTCATGCAGCTCGCGGGAGATCGGAGTTCGATTCTCCGTCAGGAAGCTTCGTTTTTGGCTTCCACAGGTCTTCCGGGGTCGCATGGATGTGTGGATGATGTTTGGAGGCGAAAGGATGACATCGACGAGTGAATGGTGTGAGTGGTGGAAGTGATTCGGGGACTGAAGTTGGTTACCGAACTAAGATTGCCTAAATTCGAGCATTTGCCGTGGCCCGAGATTTGGGTCCGTCCCATGTTTCATGACGGAGCGTCGGCCACACTCTTGCACTCTTGCAAGCGTCTTGGTCCCACTGTTGCTTACAACCCACGCTACCTTCTCGACTCAGCCGGCGACCTGTGAAGACGCTGCTAATGAGACGGGGGCCAGCAGCGCAGCTGAGGGGAGAACCATTGGGGCTTCGGTCCCTCGAGCCGAATGACGGCACGTTCCTGGATCCACCAACAGCGGTACAGCGGAGCCCAGCTCAATGATCCTGCTTCTGCTGGCCAGCTTCGTGACGCTCAGCCCTTCTGACAACTGAATGCGCTTTGTTTGGCCGTTGACACCTCTTGTCGCGCCGGTTACCGGGCCATCCTGTATCCTTTGGCGGCTCGGCCTCCACCACGTCGTCATAAACCGGTTTATGTTTGCTCCGAAAGGCGTCAACATCGCCAACACCGCCGCCCGGCCGCCAACTCACGGTTATGGCCGGCAACTGCACCGCGCTAGTAGCCCACTTTCACATCGCTCCACTCCCAACTAAGTGTCAGTGGCCGCTGCCGTGTATACCAACAGGCACAGGTGGGCGAGAACACCGGCCTGGGGGGTTGTGGAGGCGTTCCTCCCACGATCCAACGTTTTGGGCAGGGCTGGAGCGCTGGAGCCACTTTGCCCAATTCCTATTCTATTTGATCTGTCTGGACTGCCCCTGTGATCCTGGTTACACCGAGCACCGAGAGTACCGAGAGATACCGGGTTCCGCCTACGGCCGCTGTTCACTTTGATGTGGAGGGACACCGTATCGCGCGCGGCCCCGGACGCCGCCCAACACTTCCCCGTGGGTTCCCCAGTCAGTCCGGTACGGACATAGCTCTCCACATAAGAGGACTGGGTGGGAACGGTGTTTCTTCCTCATTTGAGACCCCGTCACCTGAGTTTTCCCCAACCACCGCCCCTCCATCATGGGCGGCTTCAAGATTGTCGAAGACAGGCCTACGCCAAAGGCCGTCTACAATGCGCGTGTCTATGGTCTCGCTGTGGTCTGTGGAATGGGAGCTTTAACATTCGGATACGGTGAGCACGGTTTTATGGAGTGCTTATGAACACGACTGACAATGCAGACGGAGCATTTGTACGTAGCACCTGGGGCCCTTACAACAACAGCACTGATGCGCCACTTAGATTGGTACAACCATAGCTCGCGCGTCCTTCAAAGAAGCCATGGGCATTGACAAGATGACTGCCTCGCAAAAGACCAACATCACCACCAACGTCACGTCGGTTTTCACTGGCGCGGCATTCTTTGGTGCCGTCTCGGCCTGGCCCACTATGGAGCTGTTTGGTCGTAAACGACCGATGCAACTCGCGGCCGTCCTGTTCAACATTGGCGCCATCCTGATGACAGCCACTCAGCACAGTCTGGGCATGATCTACGCTGGTCGTGTCATCACTGGCTTCGCCGTGGGCATTCTCACGGCCGTCATCCCCACCTTCATATCAGAAATCGCCCCACCTCCAATCGTAAGTCCTGGCATGCGTGGCACAAGCTGACGTCAGCGCGGCGCGCTCACCGGTCTGTTCGAAGTTTCGTACCAATGCGGCACTCTCACGGGCTTCTGGGTCAACTACGGCATTTCGCAGCACATGGACGTGACCAAGAACAGTTCGTGGCGCTTGGCAATGGGTATCCAGTTAATCCCCGGTGGTCTCCTGGCGATCGGCTCTGTCATTCTCAAAGAATCTCCCGGCTGGCTTCTCCGCAAAGGCCGCGCCAACGACTGCCTCGACGTCCTCAGCTACATTCGCAAGCTACCCAGGGACCACGAATACATTCAGGAGGAAGTCGCCCGTCTCCAGCAGGTCATCGACGAGGAGCGGAAAATTGCCGGAGAAAAGTCGGGCGTTTGGGCGTACCTCCGCGCTTTCGTCCGTGAACTCAAAGTGCCCGACATTCGCCACAGAGTCATCATTCTCTTCTGGCTGTTCATCCTCATGAATTTCTCTGGAGCGGTCGTACTGAACTACTACTCCCCTTCTCTTTTTGGTGCTGTTGGCATTGCTGCGGCCGACATCAATCTCTACACTGGCTTCTACGGCCTGATCAAGGCATTTGGGGCAATCACCTTCTGCCTGTTCATCGTCGATCGCGCTGGCCGCCGAGTTCCTTGGCTCCTGTCTGCCGCCAGCTGTTGCGCATGCCTGTGCTACATTGGTATCTACGTCGCCATTGCCAAGCCCACAGAGGGTAACCTCTCCGCGTCGGACCACAAGGCAGGCCAGGCAGCGATCGCCGCCATCATGCTCTATTCGTGGTTCTGGTCCTGGGGTGGCAACTCGCTCGCCTGGATCGTCTCGGCTGAGATGTTCCCCATCTCCCTGCGCTCTATCACAGGCGCCATGGGAGCTTCGACCCAGTGGTTGTCCAGTTTTGCCGCCACGATGAGCGCGCCACACATGCAGGCCAAGATTGGCTGGGGTGTGTTCGTGTTCTATGGCGCGTGCTGTGCCCTCACTTTTGTCTTCACCTTCTTCTTCATTCCCGAAACAAAAGGTATCCCTATTGAGTGTATGGGTACTCTATTCGGCGGTCCGTCCAAGTACTGCCAGTGGCGCCAGAAGAAAGTCTTTCCACCAGACGGAATCCCACCCATCCCCCACGCAGCCAATGAGCGCGCCGCGCACGACCTGCAGGACAAGATGGACAGCGAGAAAGATCAGGTGGACCACATTGAGCACGTCTAGGTCCAATTTGGCGTTTGAAGTAGTTGTAGCAACAGCCTGTAGGGAAGCGGCCCAGAGCATAGGATCAGCAGCAAAGTATCTATGAAGGATGAATGAATGGATGAGTATTGTGTACATTCTCAAAGCCACCTCGAGGAGTGCTCGGAGCGTCCCTACATGTGGCAGTTCTCGCAGCTACACTGCATCACTCGCGATAGTACTGTAGGGAGCATGGGTATCAGCTAGCAATAGTTTCCGTTCACGAAGGGCTTAATTTTTTTTTTTTTTTTTATTATTTTACATATACTATTCGCCCACCGAGCCTCCCTCACCCACTCATAAGGTGGCTTTTATCACATGCAACCCTACCACAACCCACGCCATTAGCGACACGTTTATGTCGGCCCCCACCTCGGCCAACGTGTCAATCACCTATCGGCCCGGACGACGGTAGAACCCTCGGAGCATATTTCCCACCCTCCACAGCTCGAGCCTCCTGCGGGTGCCACTCTCAGTCTTTGCGTGACAACGATTTAGTTCCGTACGAGGGCGCATGCCCGTCGGTCTCGCTGCGCCCCTCGCTGTCATTGTGTGTGTGCTTGCCATCATACCACACTGTTGTCATGACGTGCATGACGATGGCAGCATTGTTCTCCTGTGCGGTGCATAGACGCAAGGGGCTTGTGTGTGGGCGCACGGGGCCGGCAACACCATGAACCGGAGGAGCCTTGCAGCCTTGATATAAAGCCCAATCCGCATCTCTGCTCTTTCTTCATCGTTCGTTCATTCGTGACAACATTTTGTCTCCATGAACGTGCACCAACGCTTAAATGGCGCATATCTGCTATCTATGACCTTCGACACCCGCCTCCGCATCTCAGCCACCCTCAAGTCTGACAACAGCACACACGACATGAGCAGCCTCACCTGGCGAGCTTACCTCATTCGCTCCGACATGGCGGCGGACGGCTGCGAGCTTGTGGCGTGTAACTTCAACAACCCGCTCCACTCCGCCTCTAGAGTCGCGTCATTGCCGCCTGTTAGCGCCCAGACCATCCGTCGCTCCGGCGCGGTGGCTGCGGATGTTGATGGCGTCGCCTACGAGGAAATCGGGGAGCTGCTGGATCACTCGACGGGTGAGACCCTCTTCCAGTACTACCTCAACGAGGTACAGTGAGTCTTGAGGAGCTGGCTCCGCCATTGCCTGATGCGTGTCTGACTTCTCTTCAGGAAGGTTGATCCGACTATTGTCATGAACGGCGAGGGCAGGATCGTCAAGACGCGAGCGAGGATGGCAGCGCATGTCAATGCGATCAAGGCTGTTAGGAACAACCTGGCGCATGGTAGCTCCCTCATTCGCGAGGAGGTGTGCTGTGACGAGACGCGTACGTAATTGCGCAGTGTCGCCGAGATTAGGCTGTTCTTGCTGACGGTTACAGTTCTCACGCTGGCGATTGACTGCGATGGCCTTCGACGTGAGCAGCTCACGTTCCACTCTGTAAGTCTACGTTCGTGAAACAAGGCTAACAGTTAACAGGAAGGGACGGTTGACGAGCTTCCACTCGCTTCAAGGAAGCGTGTGAAGAAGGCGTATCGGAAGGTCGCCGATCGCTACCATGAGCTCGTTGAGGAGCATACCATCTCGTCACACCCGGTTGCCACGTTCCCCGAGGGCGCAGAGACCCAATACTGGGCGGTCGCAACCATTGATGTAAGTCTATATCGACATGTGTCCGACCTCCGTCACTCGACGCGGCTGACACGTATTTCAGTTTCTGGCGAGCTGTTGGTTTGAGAGGACCCACGACTGGCTTTTGAGGCGGCACGCGACGGTGGTCTCATTACCGAGGCGCAATCTCTTGAGCTCCTCAACATCGTGGACGCCGAGCTCCTGCAGCCCTCGGCAGACAAAGACCTCCAGCATGGTGCCTACAAGGCTGCCCTTGCCTCTGGCAAGAATGTCAACGCGCCACACGACGAGTCTAGCGACGAGTCCACCGACGCGGAGAACCCCTCCGACAACAGGCCATCTGCTCTTGACAGTGTCGAGGTTAGTCCACTGGCAGCTGTCCGCGTTCTACTTGGAGAGCCATCGACTACATTTTTGGAAGCCTACGAGGCCCTCATTGCGCTGCCGACCGACGACCGTCTCCTCTGCGGCTATAGACCTGGTCATGTCCCAGACAACAACCGTTGCCCCGCCACGACATGGCACCTTGACCTGTCTACGATCAGCGGCAACAACGACCAAGGTACCCTGTTGCGAGTCAAAGCGCACATTGGAGCCTGTGTCCTGCAGCCAGGCGGTCGATGCGTTCGATTTCAACGCCCGGTTCCCTTCCCATCCACCAGACCTACTGGCCAACCTCACCAACCCCGCCAGCGGATTACCCCTCTGGGGAAAGAACGACAACGGCAGCCCCAATCCCGTCCCAGCCGCGCTGCAGAGCCCAAACTGGGTCGTTTCTCACGCCATCATGCCGAAGTGCAAGTTGGGCCAGGAGATGACCTGTTATTGGTGTCCTGTTTCGACGGCTGAAAATCCCAACATCGTCCGCAACCAAGGCGACACCATCACCTCAGTTGCGCACTGGCGGTGGCACGCCGCACTGCGCCATAGGACAGTGTTGCCCATCTGTACGATGGGGAAACTGGACCCCAGCAAAAGCAACTCGCCATGGACGCTTGTGTCATCAACATTCCTTGCCCTCCTCCCCCCCCGCTACTGGGTGACGTACTCGGACTACTGCATCTACCCTCACGAGCAGTACGACCGGGCTGTAGACGTTATTCGCCAACTCGAAACCGTCCAAGGCCCATTTGGCCTCAGGGATGACGTCAACTGGGAAGGCGTGGACACAAGCTCCTTACGGGTCACTGTTGGCGGCGACCCCGACCGCCGCTTCGCCGTCGTTTTTGGTCCGCGTGGCACTATTGTGCGAGGCTTCAAATGTCTCATGTGCCTCCCGAAGTCGACTGTCCCAATCTTCGAGACACTGGACCCCCACAGCACAGTGTCGGGTAGCCAGCAACCCTTTGCGCATACTCTCAAGTGCTGCCGCACGGACATGCGGGACCTGAAGAAGGCGATGGCAACGTCCGTTCCGCGTCCGCTGCCCGGCCCCAGGCTGCTCGGTGGTGTTTCGCAACCGGTGTGACCTCCTCAACCACATCACCGCCGGGCACTGCCAGCAGTACAAGAGGCTGCCTGTAGCCAAGGTGAACCTCATTCGGGATAGCAAGATTCTCTGGACCGACGAGGCGGGGAGGTGGACACATTGGCGGACGCAGGATCTAGGGCAACAAAACGGAAAACGAGCGCCGACGACGACGACGGAGTTTTGGTAGTACCTTGGCCACACGTCGCTTCTTTGCCTGCGGCTGCGGTGTCGCGTGTTCATCGCTGCCTTCCAAGACACCGCAGCCGCAGGCAAAGAAGCGACGTGTGGCCAAGGTACTACCAAAATCCCAAGGAAGGACAACAAGAAGAAGGACGAGAAGAGGAAGAGGCGTCCTTCCACAGCTGGCTCACCACTCCCTAGACTGTCGGCGGTCGACTGGGCTTCAGGCGAGCGGAGCTTCGCGTTGGACCGGTGGATGTGGAAGGACGCCTCCTTTTCTGCTCCGCCGGCCTGAAGCCCAGTCGGCCGCCGACAATCTAGGGAGTGGTGAGCCAGCTAAGGCCCCGCCACATCAATAAGCGTGGGCAGTCTACGGCCACAAGCTCAACTCGCCGCCTGACCCGCCAGTCCAGCAAGCGCTCTGCCAAATAGCAGTCAGAGACTGCTCTGTATTCACAATGGTCCGCTGTGTATCTGTAAGATGTGTTGTATGCATTGAACGCCACAATTGTCACGAGCGAAACCCGAGTCCCGTGTGGTGATGGGCTGCACACTCGCCTTGAAGAAGCCAACTGGCCACTGGCAGATTACACTTGCAACAGAGTGGACGCATCCTTTAATCAGTGATACTCCAGGGCCATGTTTCGAGAGGGCGATTCAGGGATTTCAAGGGGACTCAGGGACCAAAAGGGGGGCACAGACGGGACTTGAACCCGCATTCCCTGAGGAACTGGGAGGCTTAGGACCCTGAACTCAGGGCGCTTAAGACCAGCGCGTATACCACTTTCGCCACAGTGCCTTGCCATGCCCCTGTGATGTAAGTGGCGTCATCTTAGTCCCTGAGGTCTCGCCGAGGGGCCAAACCCAAAACCATGTGGACCAGAGGGCCTGGGCACCGGGAGCAATTTCAGCACGTGGTTCCAACCCTTTCCACGTTCCACGTTTCCTCGTTTTCACTGTGCACTGTGCACTGTGCGTACTGTGCACAGCGTACAGCTCAAACGATCAAAATTACGTTTCTACGTCGTGCGGTGATTGCGCCAAAGAGGCGGGGGTTTGAAGTAGTTGTAGCAACAGTTTTTGAGGAAGCGGCAGAGAGTGTAGGACGAGCAGCTAAGTATCTATGACGCATGAAGAACAGCCAGCTATTGCGCACATTGCCGACGCCGCCTTGGTGAGAATGTCCCTACACATCTGCTCTGCATCACTACAGTATTCTCTGCATTTCTACCATTAATCTACCCCTGTATCATTGTATGGGTAAGCCGTGGCCTGTGCCCAAATATCAACCCTGCAACGATTGCCGAGAGAGCTATGTAGTAACGGACGGCATGTGGCAAACGTTGCATTCAGCCGGGTTTAACGCATTTTGATCTGATTCGATTTGCATTCCATTATCAGCTCACCGGGCCCCACGAGGGAGATTTCCTCCACAACCTTCTATTGTACTACATTTCAGCACCACATGCAACCTTGCCACTACGCATGCATTCATCGACGCGTTTTACCGGCCCCGACATCGGCCAACTGCCAACCAGCCTATCGGCGGACAAGTCCGAAAAAGAGCGATCGCCAACGACGTCATTTGGGTGGCCGAGTTTAGCATCCTGCATTTGGCGCTCGGTTTAGTCGGTTCTACACCATCGCGCTCCTCGTCGTGACATTGCTATAAGTGCGAAACTGACAACTCATCCATCGCGGTCAACACACAATCTCAACACTCTGATACTTGAGCACCTCCACCACACCACACAATGGCCCAGTTTGCCAAAGCCTCGTTCGACGCCGCGGGGTATCTCGCTTCCAGACCGTGAGCTGCTGTGTTGGTTCACCGTTGCTGACACGCAGGACCTATCCAGCGCGCGTGTACGACATCATCTGTTCTTTCCATCGAGCGGGTGGTGGGAGATTTGAGCATGCGCTCGACCTTGGATGCGGACCTGGTGAGTGACGCCTCGCAGCCATGGCAAGGCAAACTAACAATGCCGCAGGCTTCATGGCCCTCGCGCTCGCCCCGCGTTTCAACCGTGTCACGGCTCTAGACCCCAGTGCCAAGATGGTTGATGTCGGAATGCAACCAAACGACGCCAAAGTGCCGCGCATCCACTACGCTGTCGGCAACGCAGAGGACCTCACTTCGCAACTGGGCGAGAGCTCGGTAGACCTCGTGGTCGCGGGCCAGGCGGCGCACTGGTTCGACCATGGCAGAGTGTGGCCCGAGCTGGGGAGGATTCTGAGACCGGGCGCGACGGTCGCATATGTGGGCTATGGCGAGATGGTCATACCCAAGTACCCAAAGCTCAACTCCCTCATCTCCGCTTATCAGGCGGGCGACGACGCCCTCGGCCCCCACTGGTCACAGCCTGGCCGGTCCATCGTCGAAGGTCTCCTCGATGCAGTGCCCTACCCCATCGCCCCAGAGCGCACCGCCATCACGGAAGCTCTCCTCGCGCAACTCCCGGACCTCGAGTCTCTCTCTCCGACCCCACCACCACACCCCATCGCCGACGCGATTGCCGAGCCTGCTCCAACCTCAGGTAGCTCGGGGTGGGACCCGACGACAGCCATCAGGCTCAAGAGCGGAAGTACCGGGGACAAGTGGTTCCTCCGTCGTAGATGGACCAGCGGACCGCTCGAGGGATATATGCGGAGCGCAAGCGCTCTACATGCGTACCACGAAAAGCATCCCGAGGACCTGGCCAAGAAGGGCGGCAAGGACGGAGGCGATATTGTCGATCGCCTCGTAAACCAGATTCGCGAAGGCCTCAAGAAGGAAGGCATTGACATCGACAAGGAAGAAGTCGAGTTTGCTTGGCCCTTGGTAATGATGATGATCAAGCGTGAGGCATAGTAACCTGGAAGAAACTCCTATTTTATATTGCAATGTGTCATGTCTGTACCAACCTGCTCCATGCCTCCACTTGGATAGCTTATGCCTCGTATTCGTTTCGCATACAACAGAGATATCACTACAGACGGCCGGAGCGTGTGGCGCCGTCTACGATTTGATTGATTCTAGGAAATTGGATTCTACTGAGTCGGCTCGGCGGTGGTGTTGGAGGGCCCAGCCCTGTTTACACTCTCGGGCTGCCAGCGCTCAAGGAGCTCACGCAGCTCGGGGCTGATTGTGCGCGGAGCGTGGCGTTCCTCGACGGCAGTAGTCGAGCCACTCGCCTCGGGTGTCGTGTCGGCTCCTGGGCGACGACGACGGAGTTCGCTGTCTGTAGCAGTCGCGTTCTCCTTGTCAATCTCTTCGACAACCTGCTGGAACTGGAGGAAGAGAACCTCGGCCTGGGCGAGAGTGGTGTCGAGGTCGATGGTGCCACTGAGGTCGTTGGCATACTTGAGGACCTCGTCAAACTCGGACAGGTAGCGGATGATGACGTCGCGGTGGGACTGGAGCACGCCGAGGGCGACAAAGAGGACAAAGTTGTTGGAATAGTAGTTTGTCCACAGCACTTCCCAGAGCTTGACCACTGTTTCAAACTTGAACTCGCGCTTGAAGGCGATCAGGATCCAACGGAAACAGAAAAAGAGGTTGAGCGAACCAGTCTTTTCGAGATGCGCATACAGCTCGGGGTCCATAAGACCGATGAGGTGTTGAAGCGTGCTGAGTTGCTTGCGCATACCGCTCTGGTCACGCAAAAAGTTGGACTCCATCATATTCATGACGCCGACGAGACCCCAGTATGCGTCGGCCTCGTTGGCGCCGAGGACGGAGTAGATTGGGCTGAGCAGGTCGGACATGCCTGATGGTTAGTTTGTCCAATGCGATTAACCCACCTTGGACGTAGCCGAGCTCGGGAGCGTTGACGTGGTAGCTCATGAGCGCTGTGCGGAGAGCAGCAATGTGCGCTGATGGGTTAGCGAGGTAAACTGTTACGTACCCACGGTTCAGACTAGCGTGGCCGCCCTCTTCCTCCTTGTCACCCTCTCCCCAAATGTCAGAGCCGGCACCACCGCCCTCCTTCTCCTCATTACCTTCTCCCTCGGGAGTAAAGGCATAGATCGGCTGGGTACGGTCGGTACGGCGACAGTCAACCTGGTTGGTCAGTATTTGAACGGACTCGCGGCTCCTGTGGTACCCACATCAATACGATGCCACTCCTCACGCCAGCCGTCCGGCGCCTCGCCGCTGTACGTCTTCTGACGCCACTCGGAAAGGAGAGCGACATAGACCATACGCTTGGCTTCCAGCATTTCCTGACGGGCCTTCTCGCGGTGGGCGCGTGCACTTTCGCCGCCGCCAATCCATCCAACGCTCCAGGGCACCAGGCCGAGGAGCACCTCCCAGCCTTGACGGCGGACCTCCATCTGGTCAGGTTCTGGGCTGTCGGTGAACCCGCGACGAAAGATCTCGCGGCGCACATAGTGCTCGGACCGGCCGTCGGTGATAAAGCCGTACCAGTCGGCGGCGGTGATGGGGTCCGCGGGCTTGCGAGTTGGGCGGGGCATGGGGCGCTTTGATGTGCTTGGAAGGATGGAAAAGACACCGAGAGCAGAGTAGTCTTCATCACCAGTGAGAAGGTCGGTGCGGCCGGCTTGGGCAGCAATTTCGTCGCGGCGCGAACGTTCGCCTTCCTCGGCTACCACACGCGCCCATCGAGCGAGGTATAGACGAGCAGCCTCAAACTCCGTCGCCACGTCGGGGTTACCGTTGCCAGCCTTGGGCCTGAGGGTGGTCTCACCGGGAACAGTGACAAGGCTGCGGAAAGCGGGCGGGAGGTGTGGGACAACGGGCTTGGCCAGAGGATGGTTGAGCACATTCTGAGCCGCGTGGCGCGCAATGTTGGTCACATTCGAGAGGCCAACAAGAAGAGACTCGCGAGGCGACGCATTCCCCACAGCTGACAGACTGGGATACTGGGCATGAGGCGGGTATTGCTGGGCGACCGAGGACGACGACTCGGTACGACTGGGACGCTCCTCATAGCCTGCCTCGTGGACCTCACGGTCACTCTTGCTCGGGTTCACGAGCCAAAGCTCACCGCCACGGTTGTTTGTGGCAGTGACGAGACGTGACCGCAGAAGAGTGGCGTGGTCGCGCAGCACCATGAGGAACGGGGGGAATCCCCATGGGGGAGTGGGCGGGTCTGCAGTGCGCGGTGTAGTGACAAGTGAGGTTTGATCGTCATGGAAGTAGAGCGTTGGAAGCGAGACACCACCGAGGAGGCTGCAGAGTTAGCCATGACGAACATGTCGTGGGAACTCACTTGAATGTGGCGGAGCCGTACCAGTGCGAGAGCGAGGGCTGTGGGGTGAGTTATGCCAGAACCAAACCACTTACTGGATACACGAGAATGCTGTAAATGTTCGACAATGGGAACGAAAAGGCATACTTTTCGCCCCGGGGCGGCGGCAGGGAAACGAACACGAAGCCTAAGGGAGTTAGCACAATGTATTGAGCACCGCCTCCGACGAATACGCGTCGTCTCGACTAACCGTCATCTTCTGCCGGAGAACCGGTAGCACGTTCCTCGACGCGCTGGTAGTTGCGCTTATCTTCCTCAGACATGCGCATGAACAGCTCGTCGGGGACCCAAACAATTAGCAACTCCTTGCCAGAGGGAGTCGCTGCGCGGTGGCCGTCCGTGTCGGGCACACGGGGCGCCTCACGGTCGACCTCGACGAGGCCGAGCAGGCCCGAAAGGTTGTCACGGCGAAGTTGGGTCGGGTGGATTGCGACGTGCGACTTGCAGTAAATGAGACGCGCCTTGCCCTCGCCGGCAGACGGGGCTGGAGCCGCCGCATTCGCATTCGGAGCCTGCTGTCGCTGTTCAGGTTGGCCGTTGCGCTGCGAGCGCGACGGGTGGCTGATATGCTCAAAGCTGTCGACAGAATCACGATTTCCGGAGACGCTGAGATCGTCCACGCCGTCGGATACATCCACGAGCTGAGAAAGTTGGATATCAGGAAACCGCAGGGAGTCGGGTGGCGAGAGTGGGGTGGGAGAACGTACGATGTTGCGGTCTGTCCGCGTCATGCTGGGTCGGGCGGAGGGGAGTTGAGATATCTAAGTGATGAGGTGGAGTCTAGTGTGTATACGTGCACATGGGAGTTGGGGAGAGAGATGTCCAATGCGATAAAATAGAAGGGAGCAACGACAGACGATGCACAGAGAGGCCGCGCGTCATGTATGCGAGCGCGCACATCGTGTGTTCCGACCATCCGAATGACGTACACATTATCCGGTCCCCTCATTTAAGGCCGACAATGAGCTTGCACGCGTTGGCTTCCTTTCGAACGACGTGTCTTGCTTGAATTCGACTTGCTGGACCATCCCTTCTCATACATCGACTCACCATGCCACCAAGGGCCAAACGCTACGCCGTAGACCCGTCTCTCACGGCGCCTGTTCAACAGCAGCAGGCGTGGCAGCAGGCAGGCCCACCCCAGGGGCCCACGTTCAGCCCAGCGGGTGCAGCGTTTGGACCTGGTCCCGTCAATCCAACTTTCCAGCAACAGCAGCAGCAGCCGCAACAGCAAGCGTATGGCGACCAACAACACCACCAGCAATACAATGCGCAGGCACCCCAAGCTCCTGCAGGCGAATATGCTCCTGTTGGTCAGGCTCCCCGGCGCCAGGACTATTCCTATGCTGGCACCGTCCCACAGCAGTACCAGCAGCAGCCTCAACAGCCTCAGCAGCAGCAGCAGCCGTACAACTATCCCCCGTCCAACCACATTGCCCCCCCTCCGCACTCTGCTGGTCCCCAGCTTACTGGCCCTCGCGTCCGCATCGACCCCTCGCAGATGCCAGATCCCATTGAGGCTCAGGAGCTCGACCAGAACCTGTACGACGACGAGGACTTCCACTCGTGCGATACCAAGGGCTTGATACCCCTGGCTATCACGGATTACCGGGGTGTGGACCAAGGTGCGAGAGCCACTTGACAAGTCTTAGCAGCATTAGCTGACGTCCTATAGGCAACTCGCTCCCGCGCCATCTCCGCGCCACTCTCCCAACCATCCCTTCGACGCACCAGCTGCTCGACACGACTGCCCTGCCCTTTGGTGTCGTGGTCCAACCCTTTGCTCCTCTCCGGTACGATGAAAACCCCATTCCCCTCGTCACCAACTGGGTCGCGGGTGAGAGTGCCTTTGACGCACCTCGCGCTCCCTCGGGCGAGGACGAGATTGGCCCACCCCGCTGTGACAAGTGTCGTGCATACATCAACCCCTGGGTCCGGTTCACCGACGGCGGTCGTCGGTGGGCATGCAACCTCTGTGGCGGCGAGACGCACACCCCGGCATCGTACTTTGCCAACCTGGCGCCCTCGGGTCAGCGTCTAGACCACCACGACCGTCCCGAGCTGCAGTTTGGTACCGTCGACTTTGCCGTGCCCCGTGAGTACTGGGCACCGCAGCCCAAGGGCGACATGGTCCTCGAGGCCGAGGACGAGAGCGCTGCCACCATTGCCGCCGCAGGTGATGCCCTCGCCACGACCGGCGCAGACCTCCTGGGCGCCCTCCAGTCCAGCCTGGGACAGACCCCGGTCCGCGGCTCCACTCCCCAGCCGGGCCACCGTGAAAAGCTCAAGGAGGAGCAACGCCGCCAGCGTCGCCCGCAACCACTTGGCCGTGTCTTTGTCATTGACGTGAGCGCAAATTCCTCACAGCGCTTTATTGTTCGTGAAGTGTGTGAGGCCATCCGCCGCGCACTCTATGGCGAGAAGAAGGAGAATGGCGAAGAGGACGAGGAGGTTATCGGCAAGGGTGAGCGCGTGGCGTTTATCACTGTTGGCCAGACTGTCGGATTCTGGAACCTCGCTCCTGCTCTGTCGCAGCCCCAGCTCCTTGTCGTCTCGGACCTCGATGACATGTACTGCCCCCTCATCGGCGGCTTCCTCGTCGACCCCACCACCAGCAAGTCGCAGGTCGACGCCCTCCTCACTCTTATTCCCAACATGTACGAGCCCCGGCCCGACGGCACAGCGTGTGCCATGGGTGCCGCTCTCAAGGGTGCGCTTGCTGGTCTGCGCGCCATCGGCGGTCAGGTCAACTACTTCCTGTCGGCTCTTCCTGTTCTCGGTCCTGGCAAGCTCAAGCCCCGTGACGACCCCGCAGTCATGGGCACGGACAAGGAAAAGACCCTCTACCAGCCTGGTGACTCGTTCTGGCGCGTCATCGCCGACGAGTATGCTGAGTGCGGTGTGGGTGTCAACACATTCGTCTTCCCGGACAAGGTCATCGACCTGGCATCCATCGGTGCTCCCTCAATGACCACTGGCGGCGAGATTATCTTCCACCCCCGGTTCGACCCGGTCCGCGACCGCGACGCGCTGCAGGAGGAGGTCAAGCGCGTGGTTGTGCGCGAGACGGCGTACAACGCCATGGTTCGCGTGCGCTGCTCGAACGGTCTTCGCGTCAACGAGCACACCGGCTGCTTCTACCAGCGTACGATGACCGACCTCGAGTTTGGTACCATTGACGAGTCGAAGGCGTTCACTGCCCAGTTCAAGCACGATGGCCACCGCCTCAACGACCGCGAAATGTCCTACGTCCAAGTGGCCATCTTGTACACGAGCTGCAACGGTGAGCGCCGAGTGCGCTGTCTCAACCTGTGCATGCCAGTGTCGAGTCTCATCGGCAACGTCTTCCGCTTTGCCGACTTTGACGCCACCGTCACGACGTTTTACAAGGACGCCGTCGCCCAGCTTCCTTACAAGAACCTGCGCGAGATTCGCAAGAACGCTATCGAGCGTGCCAACCGTGTCCTGTACATGTACCGCAAGCACTGTGCGCCTGCCGTCCAGTCGGGCCAGCTCATCCTGCCCGAGGGCTTCAAGCTCTTGCCCCTGTACACGCTGTGTATGGTCAAGAGCAAGCCCATCAAGGGCGGCAACGTCATTGCCGACGTGCGTGTGCACTACAAGCAAATGGCCAAGAGCATGTCCGCTGGCGCGATCATGAACATTCTCTACCCCAAGATGCTTGCTGTGCACGACTTGGCCGAGACATATGGCTTCCCTGGCCCTAACGGCCGTCTCCGTCTTCCTCGCAACATGAGGCTGTCGTACAACTACATGGTCCCCGAGGGCGCGTACTTGATGTCGGACGGCGAAGTGTCCTACATCTGGTTCGGACACTCGGTGTCCCCGCGTATCCTGGACGACCTGTACGGCGTGGAAAACCTCGACGAGCTGGACACGCGCATCACCCGTTTGCCCAAGCTGCCCACCACGCTCTCGACGCAGGTGCGGAACATCCTGACCCACTTTGAGCGTCTCGCAGGCCGTGCCCTCCCCCTCATGGTCATTCGCCAAGACCGTGACGGCCTCGAGCTCGACTTTGCCAACCACCTCATCGAGGACGCCAACAACGACGCCCTGTCTTACACCGATTACCTCATGACCGCGCACAAGGCGATCACGAATGATATTAGCGGCAAGAGCGACGGGTGGAAGGCGCCGTGGAGCTAAGCGAAGCGCGGAGCATGGAGCACGGGTGGAGCGGGCGTAACAGGCAGCCCGCGATCCGAGCTTGCACACGACTGTGGGCGCAGGCGAGCTGAGCTCGCTCGGCCCACGACTGTGCGCGGGCGCAAAGGTGTGCACATGGACATCATCAACTATACGAAATAGGCGGTGGGATGGGCCAGTATAACCTTGTTCTGCTGGAGTATATACCCGCCGGTCCCGAACATAATGACCGGGAGACGAACGCATGCATCAATTGGGCTCTTGCGCAAGGTGCAGTACGTGCAGTTGGGGTGGGTTGTAGCTGGTGGTGCGGTGTTTGTGTCGTTGGGGTTTGATCGGCCCACGGCTGTTGGGCGTGTGCGCGGTGTGGTGTGTGTTGGGTGCTGACCAGCGGCTCGGCATATCAATCGATGTGCGCATGGTACTATGCTGGGAACCAGGCAGTGCATGTGCAGCCTCATGGACACCCACCATGTTTAGCTGCTGTGCGTGAATGATGTGTGCGAGTACCGAGTGATGGGTCCAACCCATCGTGGGGGTTGCCACACACAGCCATCCATCAGAGCCCGGGCGGGCGGTGTGGTTGACGCGACTTGACTGATCCACCTCTGATCCTTCCGCCCCTCCTCGTTGTCTTTCACTCTCAAACCCCATCATCTCCTTGCACATTCCCGTCTTCGCATCACCTTTACACCTTCCATCACCATCTTGCAACCCCCCTACTTCCTGCATACCTCATCAGAGCCCCCCTTCCATCGCTCCCTCGCGCCACACCCAAGCCATATGCCCGCTTCTCGCCACCTTCCCCATCCCCCGGGAGACGTGCAGTCCTACAACCGCGCCCTCGTCCACTTCAACAGAGTGAGCAGCTGAAGGTATCCGCCATTTCTCAAGCTGACATTGCCAGGGCTGCCGCGCCGTCCTTCTCGACACCCTCAGGCGCGTCTACTACCGCTGGTCCAAGGCCGCCACCACCCCCGTCATCACGGTTCAAGACGAGCCCACGCCGCGCCCGCACCCTCAGCCTCACCCACTTCCACCTCGTCCTGCCCCACTCTTGACAAACAGCAAGAACAACCCCAACCTGATCCCACTGGGAAACAAGAACCGAAACTACAACGCGTCCGCTTCGCCACCCAGCACCTCGTCGACCTCCTCCTCGTCGGCACTCGGCAAGAACGCCAACAAGACCGGTGGTATCAGGGCGCCGCAACCTCGCAGAATCACCCCAAACGCCGTTCCCGTCGTCGCGCTCGTCCCGGCGCCTGACCTCGACCACCTCGTCTACATCCGCACAGTCGTGATTCGGACGCTTGCCCGCTGCCACAGGCACGCGCGCACCGTCGAGCTGTACGCGCACAAGGGCAACCAGCCAGTCAAGCCGCCGAGGTGGCGTAGGCTCCAGGCTAGGATGGGCCGCTTGTGAGTCGCCTGTCCGAGCTGGAGGTAAACCGCACGGTGCACAAGCTGACTGGGCTCCAGGGCCCGTACGACCGGTCTCCTCGCCCGTGAGCTTGACAACATGGGATGAAGGTAGAGGACCGGGAGTTACCTTTTGTGATTGAGAGAGAGAGAGGAGACATTGTAACATGGCCCGTGTAGATAGCAAGTCGTCTGTGTCGCATGCAAGCCACCATGTGTACTGTTACCCTCCTCACATGAGCGCGACGTCATGTTAGAGCAAATGTATGTATTCTGTTCCGGGCCTCGACAGGCGTGGAAGAAGGGGAGGGGGGGGGGTTTATGGACAGTTAGTGGAACACGAATGGTGGGCTCGAGTTGGCATCTCGCGTGAAGACAACAACACACTCGTACACTCACCTCGTTACGAGGCGTTTTCCGCACTGTAGTTGGCAGGCAGGGCAGTGACAACGGCCGTGAAATAGGTTCAACGGCTCAATGAAGCTGAGAACCAGGTACGGTGGAACGTGGCCTGCTCGGGTGGCGATTTATTTCTTTCCATTTCGCACCAGGTCACGTCAACACCATTTGTGTTGTTCTCCACACTTCAATCATTCAGCTATCCCCCCCTCCCCCCGCCTTCCCCCGGCTTGACCATCCATCTCTCTTCATCCATCATCGACCCAGGCCTTCTCCAGACCCGCGGATCGTGCAGCACACGCACAGGCCCAGACTACAGTACGCCCTCCGGGTGCTTCTAAACAGCCGGCCACAAAGCACAACACGAGCCTTTGGCCTGCGCTTCCCCGTTGAACAATCCCTTCCCAGCCAGCTCATCGGCAGCAACCCCAAGGATATCCTCTCAGTGGTGCTGAGTGCGGTCACGATTGCGTGGGCACAGGACATCATGAGTTCGGTGTTTGACGAGCGCGACGGTACAGCCACTCCCTGCCTTGAAGTCGACCTGTTCGCCGACCCGCGTACTTGGACCGGGGAGCAGCCTGAACGTGAGACAAGCTTTGAGGAGTTCACACTGACCATCTAGCTGACTTCCCAGTCAAGATCATTCCGTGGGACCCGGACGAGTTTTCCGACTTTGAAGCTGTCGACGACTCGGAAGACGACTTTGACACCATGTCGCACGACGGCCATGGCTCGGGAGGCCAATCCACACCCACCTCCATGTCACGCACTCCCAGGCTCCTGGGCAAGACCAAACCCAAGTCCAAGTCCAAGACGACCAAGACCAAGACCGAACCGCACGCTGTCGACTTTATCCCCATCCTGCACTCGGACGACTCGCACGACCACCTCTCCGTCGCCTCCGACACCACCACCCGCTACCTCACTGCCTCCCCGGCCTCGCTTTCCACGCTCCACGAAGACGAATACGTCCCCTGCACGGAATGTAAAGCGGACAAGTCGGTTCCCGACTACTTGAAGGGACAGATGTACCCCACGGAAGACCTGCAGTCCCACATCGACTACTTTCATTCCGACAAGGAACGCATGTTGCGCTGGGTCGACTCGTTCAGTGTCAACCGCGAAGAGGACGGTGGGTGGGGGAGCAGGGAGGCGTTCCCTTGTCCGAGCGTTGGATGCCATGCCGTGTAAGTGTCACAGACGGAATCCTTTTCCTCGCTGACTGTCCAAGATTTGTTGTCGCATCGGCGTTCGCACAGCACGTTGTCACCGCCCACATCCGCGACACCGGTCCTCCTCCCATGCTCGACCCGGAATTCATGCTGGCCCTCGCTACCGCCGCCGCGGGCGGTGCTGGCGACCTCGCGCGGCACGCCAAGAGTCACATGCGCCGTCTGGAGAAGGAGGCAGGAGTCGTTCGCGAGGAGAAGGTGGTTGTGGTGAGGAGGAAGAAGCGCAGTCCCAACTAGGCCAGCTCATATACATACGAGGGGAGAGATGAAGGGAGACGAAGCGAGACGACGTGAGACGAAGCGAAGTGAGATGAAGTCAGAGTAATGATGTCTGTCGGTCGAAATACATGCTGTCTGCTTGTACACGCGTGGGTCAATAAATGCATGCCACAATGTTTGAAGGGAACAACGTTGGCATAGCAACCGCGTTGAACGATGTGGACAGCCAAGCGGTCAAGCGGACACGGTACACGTTGTTTGTGGCTGGACAAAAATGGCGCGTCGCCAAACTGTTGGCCACAGCACCTGCTCCCCCGCAGTTTCCGGCTCTCAACAAGCATACGACACAGATAGTGCCTAGCCGGCAATCCCACATGAGACCCACTGCTGCGTCAATGTGTTGCGTGTTGGCATTCCTCGCTTGAGTGGGTGCGTGGGCGCGGAGCTAGAGGATGTCGGTGAGGGGGCCGGAAGAGGGAATTGACGTAAATAGCGCACCCAAATATACACCTCTGGCCTCTGCGATGCAGTGGGGAACGACGACAGTTTCTCTCTCACACAATGCCACCGCTCTTTTATTGCACCCTCTCTCCGTTGCTCTCACAGAATTATCACTCTCTTGCTCGTCATCGCCTCCATTCGCACTGTACACTCGCCATCCCAGACACTCGTTCCCAGTTCACACACGGCCGCCCGTCCTGACAGGCCTCGGACACGACCCCCCAAGTCCCACTCATGGACGACCCAGATCCAGCAGATCCAGGAGGCTGTATGGAAGACCTTCTCTCCGCCTCTCCTGCTCCTATCCTCAACTGGATCTCCCCTGCCTACGCCGCCACAGGCGGTATCCCAAGTTCAGCCGAGTTGGATCCTGGCATCCGTCTCCTCGCAAGGAGCGTTGCTGTCCTGAGCATGTGTTTTGGTCATTGGGATCTGGACTGGACATTATGCGAATCGGTGAGTCACCCTTTCAATTGTTGAAGGTGGTGTCACCTCGCCCTGGGTGTGGCCTGCGCACGCGCGATGCAGAACTGAGAATTGACGTTGTTGCCCAGTACCTCGCCATTCCAGGTCTCCGCAAGGACATGCTCTATGACGTGTACGCGCGCACCCTGGGCGCGTTGCATACCCGCATCGGCGCGCTCAAGAAGCTCGAGGCCGGCGGCCAAGATACGAGTGAGTTGAGGATGTTGCAGCTGCTGTGTGTGTGTGCGCTGTGCGCGGCGACCGCGCACCGCCGCTCAATCTGTCCTCTCCCACCCCACGCACGTTCCCACACTCCCCAACATGGTCGCAGACTGACACACGCACGATTAGCCTCCCTCGGTCTGCTGTTCAAAGAACGGCCCGTTCTCAAGTCCCACCTCGTTGCCGGCCTGGACCTTCCCGACATCCACCTCATGGAGTTTACAATAGCCGCTGCACACGATATATGGCAGCAAAAGCGCTCCACGACGCCGTCGGCTGCCGTCCTGGGCGACATACAGCCGTGGATCACCGACGTGCCGTGCTGGGTCAAAGTGAAGATTGAAGCAGAGGGTGAGTGTTGTTGTGTGACGGACCCGACCGGACCAGACTGCGCGGCGCCGCGGTCTGGGGGATCGGCGTCGTCGAGTGAGGAGGAACCACTGTGGTTGACGTCAGCGGCTGTGAGCGACTACAGCGGCGAGAAGTGGGCCTGACGACTACGGCCCATAACGCGAGGTGAGTGCTGTAGGCGGAGAGAGCGCGCATTGGAATTGAGAGCTGACCGTCAAGGGTGGCAGAGACGAAGAGGTTTTGGGTGGGCGGCCGTGGCTGAGACACCACCATACGGCGAGACGCACAAAGCTCGGACCAGGCAACGAGAGAGGCAGGGAGAGAATGTGGGTGGTACCTGAGCCCCCAATGGTGGAGATTTCCACCATTTCATCGTTTATCTGTTGTGCATTACTTGTGGATTAGGCCAACTGTATGAATAGACGCACACATGGCCACTGCATCGGCGGTGCTCGCTGCCTGTTGCTGCTGGCATGTTGGGGACGCAGCAAGCAACTGACAGTGTGGGATCCCACCTGGATCGGCTATTGCCGCTTTGGGTGTGGGTAGTCGGGACCAAATTACCACGCTGTCCTGACGCGCGCATGGATCCACCACCCACCTACGGCTGCTGCTCGTCAACGTCAACAGCGTCTTGCTCTCCATCCATCGACCGCTCCTCACACACACACATACACCAGTCTAGCATCTCCCTCACTCTGCCCTCCTTGTACTCAACGCACAACATCCCCATCGCATAACAGCACAGGGCCACCCCCACGCGGCGGCCAGGCGCTCACACCTCTCCGCGCCTTCCCCCCTTCTGCGCGCCCCCCCCCCACCATCCTCGATTCCCAACATCGCACCCGGCTCGCCAGGTCACTTTCCTCGGACGTCCTTGCCCACCCCCACTCTCCCTAACTCCCGCCAGTCCCAATAATCTACCCCCACCATGTCCACCGCCGACCCCTCCAACCCTATCACCTCGGTGAACCCAATCACCTCTGTCTCGCCGGGCTATGCGGCTCCGGGCATCTACACCAACCAGGCGCTGCTCACGCGCCTGAACCTCGACCTCCGCGGCCGCATCTTCCCCGTCGAGCGCGAGACGCTCATGCTCCTCCCCGAGAGCGTGCTTTTGGGACTTTTCCCCCAAGGCCTGATTCTCTCCAAGCCCGCGTCGTGGGAGGGTGGCGACGACGGAGTGTTCACTGTTGATGTGAGTGGCCGGGGGGGGGGCGGAACGAGCGGAGAAAATGGCGTTACCGAAACGGGACTCGAGAGCGCTGAGCTTTCTGGCTCCTCCCAAGTGGCACTGCTGGCTGCACATTTACTGACGGCCTCTCTCTCTACAGTTTAACAGCGAGTGTTTCGAGTTTATATTGGACTTTTGGGCGGACGCCCAGGCCGCCTTCTACGGCACTCCCACCTCGCCGGGCCTCTTCCACGCGCAGCAGTCGATCCCGCCCAGCCCTACCGATCCCAACAGCGACATCAACCAGAACCCGTTGCTCACCAAGCAGGCCATCATTGTCCTGCGCGAGGAGCTCGAGTACTTTTCCATCACCACGCCCGGCGCGCTCGCCCGCGTCGACGACCAAGGACTGGCCAACGACGAGCTCCGCGCCCTCAAGCGCGCGGCCGGCGAGGCCCTCGCCTCCAAGCGCCAGATCTTCACCGCCCTCCAGCGCAACGTCAACAAGGAGAACAACCAGGCCGAGCAGCACCTCATTGACATGCTGTGCATGTCCGGGTTCAACCGCGACGACGAGTGGGGATTCCGCGCATGCGAGCCCACGCGCAACCTGATCTCGTCCATGGCCCTCGTCCTCCTCAAGACGGGTATCGTGCACCCCGGATCGCCCGGCGCGCCCGCCGACCTCTCGGCGCCCATCATCGACGACAGGCAGATGGGTACCGCGCAAAAGCTCCTGCTCTTCTGGCGCAAGCCCGCGCGTAAATGCTGGTGGGACGGCGTCGAGGTCGAGGTGCCCAAGAGCACGACGTCGACCGAGAACATGTCCGTCAAGGTTTGGGCAAGGCGGGTGTGGACCTTGGAGTTGTCTCTAGTGAGTCGAGCGAATGGATGATGCGCAGTGTGCTAACACTCGTGCTCCAGATTTAGGTGTTGTACTGTGTATTCCCGTTTCTCTGCACTTCGCCTTTTATTCTGCGCATGCATCTTTGTCATTGAGCATTGGTTTGAAAGGAGGTTGCATCCATCTAGCTAGCTTCTGAGAGGGAGCGATACAGCCCCGCCTTGCACTCCACCCGAGCAGCTTACTTTGGCTTGGTGCCGTATACGTACATGGTCGGCACACCCTCCTTGTCCGTCCCAAAGACGGGGAGTGTGCCGTTCCTGTCTCCGCCGACATCTACAAATCCATAGCGGTTGAGCAGGGCGCCGAGGAGTTCCGGGGAGAAGGGAGCGTGATGGACACCGGGCGCGTTGACCGAGCCGCCAGCCTGGACAGAGCGTCAGTTCTCAGCTTCCTTCGGAGACAAGGACAGCTGTAAAACGCACCTTTGCAGCAGCCTCTGCCTTTTCCTTTGCCCGCTCCGCACTCAACTCCTGCAGCACGTCGCGGCCGTTGGCGTACGTCGTAAACTCGGTGATGACGACCTTGCCTCCGGGCTCGAGCACGCTGAACACGCCCTTGAAGAAGCTCTCCAGGTCGTCGACGTGGTGCACCACAAGGACTGCAACGGCCACGTCAAACCGCTCCCGGGGCGGCCTGACCTGCCTCCCGGCGTCCTGCGGCGTAGGGGACGGCATGGGCGTACCGCGCATGAACGCGTCGCCGCTCTTGCTGTCGAGCTGGTGCAGCGCCCACGACACTTTGCCCTCCGTCTCCTTGTCGGCGTACGTCTCGGCAAACTTGGTCAGCATCCGGGGACTCGTGTCGATCGAGTGCACCGAGCCAAACTTGTCCACGAGGTGGGCGGTGACCACACCCGGTCCGCAGCCGACCTCGAGGAGCGAGAGGGACGGCAAGGTGGCCGCGTCGACGCCGGCGCGCGCCAGTGCGAAAACGATGTTTTCAGCGTTGAGCGCGGCCGTCTCTTGCCTAGGCGGCGGGCAGTCAGCAGAAGGGTCTTGGAGAGCGACAGAGGAAGACTCACATGCCTGGCTTGGTGACGTATTCGTCGGCATCCCAGTGGTCCTCGTCGCCGTGTCCGTGGCCGTGGCCGTGGCCATGTCCAGCCGCCGCCGCAACGTGGTGGTGGTGGTCCCCGGCGTGGTGGTGGCCGTGGAAATGGTTGTGGGCCTGTCCAGCGCCAGGAGCCTGGGGCTGTGTACCGCCCCCGCCTTGAAGGTGGCTGAGGAACGAGCTGGCAGTGTTGTCGTCGGCCATTGTTAGTCGAATGAGTGTTGTTGGGAAGATGGGAGTGTCGCTGGCCAGTGGAATGCGGGGTAATATGGAGGGGATGGGGGAGGGGCATGACCGGTCGGGTACACTCGACTTGTGGGGAAGCAGGCGGGTGGACAACGAGGTGGCACGCAGCAACGTGCACCGCAACACTTGCAACTGACTCATCAGACTCGGGGATCGGGGACGAGAAGACTGGGCGGAGACGTGTAGCATGCTTGCTTTGTGGTCTGGAGCTGGGTATCGACAGTGCGCTGACAAAGAGGTGCTCAACGACATGCCAAGACATCTTCGCTCCGCCACCCTCGCTATGGCCTGTGGCCGATGGCCTTTTAACAAGGATCGAATGAACTGCTTATGCACATTATCTTAACCTATCCACGGCCGTACATTGGTCCAGTGACTCTTCCTTAGCCCCGGACTCTTCTTCAACCACGAAGCATTCCGTTGTGTTCGCCAGCTGCCACTGTCAGCTTTATTCGACCTTGCCTTGCGCAGCTCACCTTCGTCGCCCTCGCGAATGGCAGCTAGACCGTCATTGTACCTAGAAGGGCCCCCAAAGCTAGTCCGTGAAGCAGTACCGCCGCCATTGTTCCAGCGCGGCACGCCGTTTGTGGGCCGGGCAAGAGAGAAGGAGGGTCGCGAGCCCGGTGGTGGCTGCGGGAGGGAGGTGGGTGCAGACGTGCTGTTGGCACGAAAACGGTATTGTCTGTGAACTGTTCAGCCCACGGGGACCAGTCTCGCTTAACAGTCACTCACTCCAAGTTTGTTCGTGGGCCGGGAAGCGGACCCGATCCGTAGCTTGCTGCGCTGTGTGGTCGAGCGGCAGCGTTGGTTACGTTGCGGTTGCCGCTGGGAAGAGCTGTGGAGCTGCGCTGGGGGTATTCGGGGTTGTTTGGGCGTCCAAAGGGGAAGCTGGTGGGTTAGTCGTTGAATATCTAAGTCCACCCACCCTCCGTCATCTCTGGGACGCTTGAGAGGTTGATTGGAAGGGTCGTGGAATGGCTGCTCGTTCTGCCCGTGGTTCTTATAGTTGTTCATGCCAGAGGGAAAGGTTTGCTGAGGCTGGCCGAAGGGGTTCTGGTTCTGAGGGACCATACCGTTCTGAAGTGGTCCGATACCGGTCTCTTGCATCTGGGGGGCATGTGCCGGAAGGCCCATGGTGCGTGAGGCGGCAACCTCGGTGAGCTTCTGCTTCAGAGTGCCGTTTTGCTGCTGAAGAGCATCGTTCTGGGCTCGGGCTTCGCCGAGCTGGCGCGAGAGGTCGGACACTTGGCTGGTGGGTTAGCGAGCTTGTGCGGGTGGTGCATTACCCACCGCTTGAGATCCTCTTCACTGGCCTTGAAACTTTCGAGTGAAGTCTTCACCTCGTCAAAGAAGGACTGCAGGTCAGCTGCCAGCTACTGCCGTCAATACAGCTGTCGACGCACTTGATACTGTTCAAGCCTTTGCCTCTGCGAGCGGGTGAGGCGGACGAGTTGGCCATGTTGAAACTGCGAGGTGAGTCAATTGTGGGTGCACCTGAGCACCTCACCTTGAGAACCGAGAATGATTCACCGATGCCCTCAAAGCTCTGCGCGGCAGGCTGGAACCAGCGCAGGAGTGAGGGCGAGAGACCTTCCTCGAGGAGCGTGTAGGCGACACCTTGGCGCGAGCAGTACGTGCATGTGCCATTGCGGTCTGGTGGGTCAGCAGAGCAGGACGGGGAGGAAAACCCACGGTTGTGGCTCGTGTCGTCACACAGGACGTGGCCACAGGACGTCATGTAGAACCTGCGCTGCTGGTGCTGATCCGTGGCGTGGAACGGGGTGGCGCTGGGGGTGAGCTCACCGGACATGAACCAGCTCCACTTACCACAGAGAGCAGGTCACAAACTCGAGGAAGGCCAGTGGCTGGCTTCCTGCAGGGCGCTGAGCACCGTTCTGGACGCTAAAGTCGGTACCATTGTTGCTCCGTGGCGGAAGACGGTACACGACCGGCGCAGGCATGACGGGGCAAGACTGGGGCTCGGATATATGGAGAGGATGTGCGCGGAAAGAGATGTGGACGGTTGGCGTAGTGCGGGTGGCAAAATGGAGGTAGTGAGAGCCAAGGAGGCGTGTAGGACGGTGAGGGAGAAGGGGAGTGGTATCGCAGAGGCTGTGCCGAGGGCGTACAGGGGATGAGACACCGTCGTCAGTGCTGGTTGGGGTGGATGCACCAACCCGTGTCAGTGAGAGGGATGGAGAAAGTGAGAGAATTTGAGATGCAGTTGCAGCGGTGAGGGAAGGAGGGAAGGCAAAGAGGGAAGGCGAAGGAGGAAGGCGGGCTCGGTGGTACGGGGGGTGGGCTCCTGCTGGGTGCTGCTTTTGTAATCTAGTGCGGCGCGGATTGTACGCATCTGCAGTTGTCTCGCGGCTGGTCGTCTTTCATGCTGCATGTCACCTGCTATACCACATACTGGGCCCCACCTTGGCACAGTGCATCTAGTACGCGTCGCCCTCGTGACGGTCAGACACAAAGCCGAGGGATCCCAGGACCTTGTCCTTGACAATGTTATCCCTCTCTCTCCGCTTCTGCGAGGCGTCAGTTTTAATCATCGGCAGTCCATCTCGGCCATCTCTTACCTCTTGAGCGGCAAGCTTGTCGCGCATCTCGTCCAACGGGATCTCGACAAAGGGCAGGTTGTCCTCGGCGATCAGATCCTGGGGTGTCAGTTGACAACCGGTACACCGCAACTCACAATCTCGCCCAGTGCAACAACGTTCTCTCCACGGATAAGCAGCACACCTGCGCATTGGTCAGTCGCGGAAAGGGGAGCAGTAGATGTTGGGACCCACCAATGTCAACATCGCTGTACTCGAACTTGTAGTGTAACCGCTCGACAGTGCTCTCAAGGAGGAAGTTGGCTAGACGGGATCAGCGAGTGTAACTCGTGCAGCGGGGCGGACCCCGTAGCGGAGCTCACCAAACTGGTCGTAGCTACGGAGAACACCAGTGAGCTTGCGACCGTCTCGCAGGACGACAAGGACCTTCTCTGCGGATAGTCAGCCTCTGCACATGTCCCATGACACGCACTGTCCACAAGGTCGACGAGCGAACCCGAGGTGGTGAACGGGATGAGGGCGTCCATTGTAGGCGGCGCCGCAACGGAGAACGGTGGATGAAAGGGATGTGGGAAGGAGGATAGCGAACAACTGAGTGCTCTAGTTGTCGATCGTGAGCTCGACAAGTGCTGTAATGTGGGAGATGGGCGTTGGAGGGCGTGGATGGGATGGGAGATCGGGACAAGTGGAAGTGGAATGTGGACAACAGGGAAAACGATGGCAATGACGGGAGCATTTTGTTTTGTTGTTGAGCCATCAGTGGGCGGCGTCTTGGCAGATGGGTCGCCAGAATCGAGAGATGGAGCGAGAAGGGCACAAGAGACACCCAGCGGGGTCCATACATGACACAAACAATGTACACACAAAACTACTGCTGCTTCTCAGGGGACGCCGCGAGCAACTCGCCCTCAACCTCGAGTGCGTCCGACTTGTCCAGCGAAACCTGGTCCCGCTCTTCAATCTCGCCAGTTGACTCCCTGTGGGGTTCATGCTGGACAGGCTCCAGCTCAACATCTTCGTCCTGCTCCTCTTCCTGCTCCTCTTCCTGCTCCTCTTCCTGCTCCTCGTCCGGCTCCTCGTCGCGATCCTCGTCCGGCTCCTCGTCGCGCTCCTCGTCTCGCTGTGACTGTTGGCCCCTTGACCGACGCTTCCTTGGAGATTCGGACGAATCTTGGTCGCGGCTTCGTTTCTTGCCTGCTGCCCTCTCCTTCTCCGTGCGCAGGGTAAAATCCACGCTGCGGCGGACGTAACGGTCGATCATGTGGTCGAGAATCGTGCCGTCGGACCACTTCTTCTGGCGCGTACGGCGGTAGTGCTCGTGCCATGCTGCCGGGGTGTGCCGTGTTGCCCAGTGATAAATGGAGTCCTCACGACGGGTTTAGCGGTAAGTATAGAGCCAATGCCCGCAACTTACATTCAGTGTCTCATAGAGAGATCGAGCGGTTCGACCGCTGTCGGTCGGTCGGTGAAACGCGACGAACCGAGCCAGGTAGTCGCGGTCACTGGACGTGAATGGCACTCTGCCGCGGGATTGGTGAGGCAATTCCGCAGTCCGTTTGGCGAGAGAAGGCCTGCGAGGAAGTTCAACGTACACCCTATCGCGCGGCGTGTGTGGTGACGACTTGTGCGCCGTCCTTGGCGATGAATGCTGGTGTTGTTGCGTTGGCGACTTCTGGGCGGCACTGGGCATAGTTATGGCGCGCGGGCGGGCCTTGGGGATGGATTCAAACACCCACTGGGGGTTGTGGAACGTTACGCCGTCCCACTCGTCTGGTGGGTTGCGGAGAAAGGAGTGGCCATCGGGCACGATACAGGTGTTGCAGTTGGGCTCCGAGACGACAATAGCGCCGTGTTTCTGCTGGGTCAGCTTGCACCACGGTTTAACGCCTACCTCCAACGCAACCATGACGCGCTGCCGCAGACTGTCGTCTCCCAGGCCGGGCACGGCCACGAGGAGACTCTGTCCCTGCTTGTCCAAGAAGAGCGGCTTTGTGGAGTCTGGTCTCAACGCCTTGTCTGAGAAGTACACGCGGGCCAGCCAGTCCGGGTAGGCGATGAATGCATGGCCGCTTTTCACACGAGGTATTTGCTGCACCCCTTTGGAGTGAGATTCCCTCAAGCCGTAGTACGCGAGTACGACGTCTGCGTCCTTGCTACTCTGTGTGACCTTGCCGTTGCGTTTCTGGACGTCAGCTCTGGCGCGTGAATATCGAAGCTCACTGAGATGCGGTTGACGAGGTGCTCGCGAATTGGGCTTGGAACCCAAGATGGGATGAAGAAGATGATCTCTGTCCAAGGGAATGTAGTGGTACCGTTGAGCCAGGATGGTAAGGAGCCGAATGACCGAGGCCTTTGGGACGGAGAGGACGTCTCTGAATCGGAAGAGGGTGCCGGGGTTGAATCCTGCGCACGCTCGCTCTCGCCCTCGCTCTCGCTCTCAACCCTCTTATGGCTTGTTGTCCGACCTGATCCGTCAGTTATATCAGGATCATGATCGTACTTACCCATCTTGCCTGGCGGATGGGAAGTCAGTACGTCGCTTGGGTGGAGTAAGGTGTAGTTGTGCGATGTTCACCGTTGCGTTGTTCCGTTGTTTACATGTATCAGCCGTATAGACCTCCACCTGCTAATGGGCCAGGCACAATTAGATTGTCTGATTACAACGATGAATCACATCTTGGGGGCTTCTTTATCCTGCCGTACAGTCCATCATTTACAACGCTACTACAGACGAGCAGGCCAGCTTCGCCGGCCAAGCTTCTGCGACTCCCGCTACATCTTCATCCTGCGCACGTCCTTCTGCAGTTCCTCGTATTCGGCATTGAGGGACGACTGGCGGGCAGCCACAATCGCCTCGGCCTCGCCGCGTGCTGCATCTTTGTCAACAGATCGACGACGTGCTGGGGGAGGCACGGCAGGAAGCTCCTTCACGTTCTTGGACGAGCTGGACTGTTTGCGCAGCGAGCTGTACGTTGTATAGTCCACGGGGATTGAGTTGGTGCGGCGGGGAGGTAGGGTGGGTGGTTGCATGATCGTTGGCTGGTTGAAGATGGTCGGTGGGTTGAAGATGGTGGGTGGTGGTTTTGAAGAGGCCGGCGGAATGAACCGTGTCGTTCGCGCTGCAGGTGGTGGCTGTGGTGTTGTCGGTGCGAATGCAGACGCATATGCGGTAGCCTGCATAGCACGCTGGTGTGCACGCTCTGCCTTTGTTGTGGCACGGTCCCGCGCTCGCTCAGCACGTTCGGCAGCTTTCCGAACAGACTTTTCCGCCTTCCTCGTCGACGACTCTGCGGTGCGCTCCGCCTTACGCTGCGCCTTCTTGGCTCTACGGAGAGCCTTACGAGCCGTCTTTTCAGCCTTGCGTCGCGCTTGCGCGGCCTCCATCTCTGCCTTGATCTGTTGGTGCTCGGCGCTAATGCGAGCCCTCTCGGCTGGAGACAGCCCCGACTGGGTGAAAGGTCAGCGATCAGCGACCCGTGTCCGATACACAGGGCAGGGAACGCACATCAAGCGATGAGAGCGATGACAGAGAGGTAACCGACGTTGACGATGACGAGGAGCCCGAAGACACCGAGTAGCCTTTCCGGGCCGGAGACAGCCGCTGGTTGGGCGATACCGAACCGCGAGTTGACACGGCTAGCGAAGTCGTGGCTCCTGTCGCTTCGTCGTAACTCGGGGGTGCAGCTGGGAGCTATGCATTTGGTTGGCATATCATTCATGCTTACGGCGTTCCCGCCTGCCCTGGAAGAGTGGTACATACCTGATCCGCCGCACGCTGGGTGCTCTTAGCAGGTCGATCATTCTTGCGTTTGTCGTGGGAACGTGCGTGTGAGTGGCAGTGCTTGCTACTACAACCGTCGCTATGAGTATCTCCATAGACAGACCCAGACGAGTCTCGGGAGGGGGTGTTGCCCATCGTCGGAACAGATAACAGCGATGGGAGTGGTGTGAGAGGGAGTTAATACGTGGGAAGGAACGCGGCCGTTGGTAGAGTCGGTAAATATATTGGAAAGCGTCCACCTTTGTGCCATCGGACCACCTTTTGGGGCTATGAGGCGATGCAGACGTCCACCTGCAACCTGTGGTATTTGCCGGTGCACCGCCGACTCTAGGACCTCCGGACCTGAGGGCTTGAATGTTGCGATGAGCAACGCTGCGGCGCTGACGCGTCTTCCGCTATTGCTTTCAGTTTGTTCCTTGCTCCGGCCAAGCCACTTTGGTAGAAATAGTAGACCTAGACGACGGTACCGACCGGAGCCGCCGTGAACCGAGAGCCTGGTGACATGTGCACCCTTGATTGCCAGGCCTGCCCTTCTGCTGGAAGCCAGTTCGGTTCCAAAATACCGCAGCCCTATGCAGCACACAGTAGAGATTACCAGATACAAGTGCATGCCGCAGGCCTAGTTGATCTTGCCGGGAACCCAAACCAAATCCCTCCCATGTGCCAAGACAAACAAATACAATAATAAAAGACAAAGAAACAGTTGATTTCGATTTTAACCGCGTCCTACTTTCCTCGATCATCGTCTGGGTTGGTAAGACCCAGTGTCTTTCGTTGTTGAGGGCGGCGTGGATTGACCGGGGCATTCGGGTGGACTCCACCTCCCATCAGGAGTGCGTCGTCAGCATGATCGTGGTATGCTGGAGGTGCTTCTTTGACATCATTGCCAAAGGCCTGTTCCTGTCAGCAACGTGTTCCGATGCGGGATCACTCACACTTGTGGACGGCCCAGAAGTGTCAACAACTAGAGGAATAGGAGTGGACGCTCGTGATTGCGATTGTGGGACAGGAGGAAGGTCTGACATGACTGGCGGGGCTGTCGGTGCAAAAAGTGTAGGCGACTCAGTTGGAGCTTGAGCTACAGGTGGAGCAATTGGCTGTCCGATGATTTCGCTCAGAGCTGGAGCCCGGCGATGTGCTCCGGTTGTAGATGACGACCGCTGCACTCCATAATCGACATCGGACGAGCTGGAGCCCGCTGGGGATATGGGTGCGCCGTCTACGAACGGGGTCACACGCTTCCCCCTCGTCTTGGTCTCAAGATATGTGACCAGGTCGTACGCGGGGCCGTAAATGAGGCTTCGCTTGGGCTGGCGCATCTCACGCATGAGTGGGGTGGGAGGGCCGGAGTTGTTGAAGTCTCGGTGAGCCTCAATACCAGCCTTGACGGCTGAATAAAGGAACGACATGTGTGATGACAAGGAGTGGAGTGTGTAGCAGATCGGCCGACGACAAGATCAGAGATCAGACATGCCCTCAACTGTACGACTCGGCTCCCGGTCGTCTGCGGTGACTAAGACCGTGCCTTTTAGGCCCGTCTATTTCGAACCCTCGTGTTGGCAAGGTTGCTGCAAGACAAGACTCTGCAAGTGGTGTTCGTTGAGCCGCAAGGCTCATGTCTGTTGCATAACTTAGTCCAAAATACTTATATGGCTTTGAGACCCGAAGTTACCAGCACAAAGAGTACATATGCCCATGGGCAAGAGGCGATGAAGGCGGTCTTCAGACTTTGAACACCGACGTCGAAAGACGGGCCGATCTTGAAAGTGACGTTGGTCTACACCCTGTGCCCTGTCGTATCTCTGCTGGGTATGTCGGCTGTGCGTTCAAACGCCTTGCAGTTGCAACTTGTAGACACTGCATCATTATAGTACTCAGTGGAACGGTACACCAACTTTCAGCTGAGCATCATCGCAATCGTTGCGCACAAACGCTACTGATTACGGCTCATTATGGTTGAAGGCAATTGCGGTTTTGTAACGAGGGACCCAGGCCTACAAATGAATACAATTTCTGGACATCGTCGGATTTCAGCGCAACCTGTTTATTGGGGCGCAACATCCATACGTTAAATGAGTCTCCTTTGCCATAGATATATGGCCATATGGCCACATGGCCATATGGGCCGCAGGCCTTCGGTTGCGTACATGTTGCAAGCTCGGTGCAGCATGCAGATGGTGCAGATGGTGCAGACCACGCCGAAAACACACAACGGCTCGCCCCCGATTGGAACCACAGACGATACTGCGTTATGGATTGGTTCCGTATCACTACACGTGTCATTCCGCATATGGCCCTCGTCCCAAACGCTGGCGCCCCCGCCAGCGAGAGTGGACTCGCGCGCTCTCTTCCACCCGTTTCCACCGAGAAGCACCACCACCGACCCTCTACCCCACCTTCATCCCACCATGTCCATCGAAAACCTCACCCTCGAGGACAACCTTGAGTCCGGCGTCACCGTCGAGATCCACTCGCGCCCCGAGCGCAAGGCCAGGAAAGCCCGTGCGTGTCTCTTTTCACGACCACTCTCCGACGCCGGCGTGCCGCCGCATCCAGCAGTTCGCACACCGAGTCTGGAAGGACAACCCCCTTCGTTGCATTGATGAGGCATTGCTGACCCGCTTCTCAGTTGAGGGCCTTGGCCTCAAGAAGGTTCCCGGAATCCAGCGTGTTACCCTCCGCCGCCCCAAGAACGTCCTTCTCGTCGTTGCCCAGCCCGAGGTCTACAAGGCCCCCGGCTCGGACTGCTACATCGTCTTCGGCGAGGCCAAGATCGAGGACCCCGCCTCGGCCGCCCAGGTCGCTGCCCAGCAGCAGCTCCAGGCTTCGACCGCCGCCGCCCAGGCTGCCCACGCCCAGGGTGGCTTCAAGGACGGTGTCCCCCAGTCGCTTGAGGACCTGATGGGTGGTGACGAGTGAGTGGTGGTTGTTGCTCGGGTGGTGGTGCAACGGGGCTCCAGCACGGCTCGCACTTGTGCCAAGGCACTCGTATAGACATTATGTGTCTGCGTGTACACCACCACTCGCACCTTGCAACAGCACAAGCTATTGTGTCATGACACGCAAGTCGCTGACGAAAACAGCGCCCCCGAGCTCGAGGAGGGTGAGAAGCCCGCTGCCGCTGCCGGCAGCGGCAAGGTCGAGGACGAGGACGTCAAGCTCGTCGTCGCCCAGACCGGCTGCACCGAGGAGAAGGCCCGTGAGGCCCTCACCGCTGAGAACGGTGACCTCATCAATGCCAGTGAGTGCTGATACCGCTGGCAACTATGTTTCCGCGCCAGCTATTTGACTTTTTATTGTCCCTTGCTGACACTCCGTTAAAGTCATGCGCATCGGCGCCTAAGGGATTAGCAGAAGATATGTGGCAGCACGCAGCAGGGTAGTGTAATTACATTGGGCCCATGCACATGTGCGTGAGAGGACTGTCGTCGATGATGCTGCTGCAAGCTTCGGCACTGCCAGTGCGAGAGACTGATGTTCCATTTTCCACTGACTGTCATCGTTCACCTTGTGCCTGATCGTACCACGCGACAAATGATAGCGCACTCTTGCTCTCTTGCCTTTGTTTACATATTCAGAGACCGGAAAGCTACGCATCATCCGGCCTCTTGCGCTTGGCATTGCGCTCCTTCATCTCATGCTCCGCACCGATGACCTGGAGTCAACCAGGTCCATGACGCCGAGACTCACCCACTGTATCCTCTGTGTGCAGCAAAACAGGCGCTCGACGTACGGAAGCAGCTCGCGACCGTCGTGCCTGCCAGCCAGGACGGCAAGAGCCTCACCGATGAGAACAAGTTCGGCGAGGAGCGCGGACAGGTCGGACTCCATGTGCGGGTCGTAGATGCAGAGGGGATATGACTCTGTAGGGGTGCTGGCAGCGGATACCATTGTTACGTCTTCGTTGTTCATATTGGCGGAGCGGTGGTGATGGTGATGGTGATGGTTCGGCTTGGTCACCCAGTTGCCCATTGTTTGCGCGCAAGTGCGAGTGGCGATGTAGCAAGGAAGAGGGCCTTGATGGATCGCTACTGACAAGAGCTCTAGACTACATCATCCGTGCCCTCGTTGTGCAGCTTCCGTGCACGTCCACCGACAATAACAATTGCCGAGTGTGGGCGGCCTTCGAACTTTCGGGGAACGGCGCAGCAGCCGGGCGGGGCATAGGGCGTTGGGCTCAGCACGCGTTCCCAGTACGTCCTCTCATGCACCATGCCCATATTCTACTTTCTGCATGGCCACTGCCTCCCAAACTCGCTAGCGGTCGTGCACAGCAGCACCTGCCTGGCGGACGCCATGGGACGACGGTGTGTCCAGCGATCCAGCGACGACCACACGGCCCAAAGGCAGCTGTTCGCATTCAGGCACGCCACGTCCACCCCGCCCAGCCGACGGAAACCTCGGCAGCGTGTCTCGTCTCTCGACAACACTCCCAACACAACAACCAACACCCACCCACGTCGACACGCCAAAGTGCGGCTCACCCTCATGGAAGAGGTACGCTTACTGTTCCCTTCCGGGCGTTCCATGCTAACAGTCAAGCCGCGCTCCCCATCCTCCCCCGCAGCAGGCGATATCGGGGCGGCGACCTCTAACCCCATTGCTTCGCCCGTGCACGATGACCTGGACTTCGACGCAGGTGACATTGGCGCAGGCATGCAAGACCTGGTACTCGACTCGGACTCTGCCGGAGACATCGGCGAAACTGAGATGCACGAGGCCGGCGGGCACGAATCTCTTGACTTGTCGTCAGGAGCACGAGACCACGAGGGCTTCGCCGATGTCAACCTCGATGATGATGACGCAGGGGATATCGGCGGCGCTCGCTCGCCATCCCCTCCCCCTGTGCCCGTATCCAAGACAAATGGCCAGGACATTCCCTCTACAGCAGCAGCACCCGAACCAGCCCGCTCCCCTGTCGCCTCCTCCCCACGCCTATCCATATCCCCTGCGCCGGAGGAGTCGCTCCTGGCTCGCCGGTCACAAACCATGACGCCCCTGCGTGTAGTTCCACCCATCGTGACGACCACACCGGACGCTGTGAAAGAAGTTCTTTATTCGCCTGATGCCCCACTTTTCCGCTCCACCTCGCGAACGACAACGACGTCTGAGCGCCCGACAAGCGTCCACAGTATGCGTTCGGCGCTGTCTGGCGGAAGCCTCGCCTCGCCTCGTGTCGTCACCTCGCCCCTCTTCCGCACCGTCGAGATCCCACACGCTACAGCTACGGACGACGAGGAAGGGTCGCCGGATGAGTCGGCTCCGTTTGAGTCTATCCCTATCGACGAGCAGGACGCTCCGCCTCCTGTCCCCATCCTGCCGGCGCTGCATACGCGGTCCGACTCTCGACACTCGCTGAAGCTTGGGCACAGCAAGCGCGACTCGTGGGGTGGCTTTGGTATTGATGCCCACGGCCAACCGGTCGCACACGGTGTGCTGCCCGTCCACCCACCACCGACAAACGGCAGTGCCACCGCTCCGGCCGGCGGTGGGGTCACGAGCCCCGCGCGCGTCCCGTCGCCGGCTTCTGGTTCGTCTACGCCGAGGCGACATGCGCCACCAGCACACCCACACCCATTCCCTATCCCCACCACCTCTCCGTCCGCCCACACCATTGGCCTGCCATCAAGTGCGCCAGTTTCATCCTCGTCGACCCCGCACCCGACTCAAGCACTCGGAGTCAAGGGCACGTCAGCGTTTGAGAAGTTTATCTCGCGCACTCGTCCTTCCCACTTGCCACCAAAGGACAAGACTGAGGACGCGGAACACTTGCACGAATGGGAACATATGATGGCCAAGAGCCGCGAGCACGAGACTGAGCGCCGAAAACTGGCCGAGGCCAAGGCTCACGAGCGCGAGAGGCACGTCGTGGCTGTCACCCCAAAGTGGGAAGCGCTCCTCGATGAGTTTAACGCGGTCAAGATCCGCGAGACACCGGCTCTGAGGCATTTCTGGTTTGAGGGTGTGCCCCCGCAACTGCGCGGCAAGGCGTGGTCATTGGCTGTTGGCAATGCGCTGGCAATGCACAAGGGTAAGCTGTGTCGGTCAGAATGCAGCTGACATCAGACGCGTACAGGACATATCTGCGACGTGCGGAGCGTGCGCTGGAGCTGGGACGGTTCCCGCAAGATATTCTTGTGCAACTGGAAAAGGACCTCGACGAGACATTGGTCCCACTTCACGTCTTTCACCGTGGCAGCCCCATGCGCGACGACTTGAAACAACTCGTTTGCGCTTGGGTTGTCTACCGCTCTGACGAGGGACGAGGGTACGCGCCGTTCATTACGCGCGTGGCAGCAATGTTCATCCTCGTGGCCCCCCCGCCTGTGGCCTTTATCACACTGTGCAACTTCCTCGCCCGCTCGTGCCTGCACGCGTTCTACACGGACACGACCGACGAGATTGACGCCTACTACCGTGTCTTTGAAAACCTCCAGGCAGACATGTTCCCACGCATCTTCGCCAACTGCAAAAACTTGGGCTTGCGCTTACCCGAGTCGTACTTCCGCTCAGTCCTTGTTGAGCAGGTGCCCTTTGACGCCGCGTGCCGACTGTTTGACCAGATCATGCTTGATGGCGACGGATACATCTTCCGCGCAGCCTTGGCCATCTTTGGCTTCCTCGAGCCCCGTCTGTACTACCCAGACCACGAGGAGATTCTGTCCGTGCTCGAGGGCAGGAACAAGGCTACACAGGCGATCTCGGATCGCGAGCGAGAGCGTGCCCGTCTCCGTGGCGAGCAGTATGACATGGCCCTCGACGGCAAGCTGAGTGTCTTTGGCTTGCATGAGGAACCGCTGTTTGAGTGGCTCGAGCATGACGGATGGCGCGAGAGTGGGTTCCAGCGTCTTGTGACGCGTGAGCTCCCAGACTAGTCTGCCCCTTCCACCCTGCATAATTTAAACATAGGTCGCTCTGCCACTGGAGAGACACCTGGTAGCGAGATACAATGCATAGACACGACGATGCACACCCAGCCTAGCGTGCCACCCCTGTTTACTCCTGCACGATGAGCTCCTCCACCTTCCAGTCCTCAAACGAGTTGTCGGGGAGGTACCGCCTAATAACAAGAGGAATCTTCTTGGCCGCCAGCTCCTTGAGCGCAATCTCGAGGGGGTCAGTCTCGCCCTCGACGGGAACGAGCACGGGCGCGTTCATCCTAAAGCACAAGTGTTAACTGCTGAGAATACAGTGACTGCTTGACAGCGTCCAACTTACGAGATCTGCAGTGCGCGAGTACCGAGCACGCGCGCGCGCTCGTACTTTGTCATGTAAGGGGTGGTCACGCGGACCTCGTTGGGCTTGGCAGCCTTGCCGGTGCGCTGCTTGAGGTCGTCGGGGACGTCGCCAGAGTGAATAATCTGGTCCTCGTTCAGGCCCTCCTCCTCGTCATCGCGCGGCTCCAGCTCGGCGTCGTACCTATAAGTCGCATTGTCAGCAAATGTTATTGATGTTGTTGGCCGGCGGCCCGTGAATCCACGGGCCGCACGCAAACACCCACTCAATGTGGTCCGGGTCCTCGGCGTCAAAGTCGTAACCGGCACCGCCCTCGTAGTCGCCCATGCGCTCGTCGTCGGACATTGTGGATGAAGGGTGTGGATGTGGAGGGAGGGAGAGAGGAGCGGCCGGTTGGGCTGTTTGTGGCGTGTGCCAGACGAACGAGTTGGCGGTGCGCTAGGCGGGTGGATGTAGGCCTTAAAAGAGCAAGGGCAAGTCGGTCGCGCGCAGCGGGACGTGAGGGGGCGAGGAGGATGATTAGGAGGAGGTTGGATGTTGTTGAAGGTGAGTGCTCGAAGAAGTTGAGGATGAATGAATCTTCTGGGCGGAAGCAAATATTGACTGCCTGCGGCGCAAAAAGAGCTCCCAGTTAATTCACTCCCGAGATTCGAAACAGACGCAGCACGTGACCGAAGCGTCATCGCGGGCAACGCGTTGTGCTTCTCCCCGATCGCGATTAGGGAGGCCCTCTGCCCTCCCCTCTGCCCGTCTCACATCGAACTCATTCCTCCTCTCATTGACTTCCCTTCCCCCCACCTCATCTAGACGCGTACTGTGAGCCCCTGCCCGTCATGCAGCTTGGGCGGTTCCAAGTCTCGACGCTCCGCCCACCGCCAATCCTCGGTGTCACGTTCTCAGCAGACGCGCACATCTTCGCCGTCGCCACCGAGACAGGATACGAAGTATGGCGAACTTGGCCGCTGGGCCGGCTCAGGCGACGAGGTGAGTGGGGTTGATGGTTGGCGTGGTTGCCGTTGGTCCACCCTGTGCTTGAACAGCCCATTGGTTCTGTAACTCCCACTTACCACCCACTTCTACCTTGCTTCTGACGCTGACGCTTTGCCTCAGCCCTCCCCGGCACTCTTGCCCGTGCGGTACCGTTGCCTAACTCGCCGCTCATAGTGGTCCAAGGGGGCGGTTCCAACCCTCTCTTTCCGCCGAACAAGGCAGTCATCTTCCATGACGCGCGCGGTATACCTGTCGCGGAGCTCGAGTTTGGGTACGCCAATGGCCCTCCACAAGGTAGCTGACGCCGCACAGTGAACGTATACGTGGAATAGCAGTGCGACACCGTACTATTATCATCGTCCTCCTCCGCCGCGCGTTTGCGTACGAGTATGGCCAAGAGGCAGCTGCTCCCAAGGGGAAGGCCAAGGCTGCCGACGGACTCTGGCTCCGCAAGCTTGGCGAGTGGGAGACGGCAGAGAATGAGAATGGTGAGTCGCTAATCCACTGCTTGTGTAGCTGACGCATACAGGCTTGACAGCCATCTCGACCGCACCGGGATCGACCCTCTTGGCCCTCCCTGGCCGCCAACCGGGCCACGTTCAGCTTATCCACCTCCCTCCGTGCCCCGCACCTGCCTCGTGTGCCGCCACGAGTCCTGGGACAGGCACTTTCCGCTCGCCGATCCTGCTCGCGCACACCCACCCGTTGTCGGCGCTTGCATGCTCTGCCACGGGGTCACACCTCCTAACTGCCAGCGAGCGTGGTACTCTACTGCGCGTCTGGGACACTGCACGTGGTGCACTCGAGAACGAGCTGCGTCGCGGTGTGGACCCCGCAGAGATCTGGGGGCTCGTGTTTGAAGACGCCGTGTTTGCCGACTTTGGCGCACTCTCCGATCCTGACAGGAGGCGCGAGTACCAGAAGCGCAAAGGCGGGCGCGTCGTGGGGTGGAGCGACAAGGGGACGGTGCACGTGTGGGGCAGTGACGGCGGGTCGAGTAAGAGTTCCAAGAGCAGCAGGCCAGCCTCGAGTAAAGGAGCTGCAAAGGGCTCGCCTGCACCCAGCCTCGCCAACGTGCTCACCAAGGCCCTCAGCCTGCCAAACTACTTTTCCTCCACCGCCTCGTTTGCGCAATACTATCTCCCACGCAAAAACCCGCACGCGTTCGCCTCCAACATCGGAGCGGCAATGGAGACTGCAGGTGTCCCGTCGATGCGCATCAACGAGGACGCCGAGCGCGAGCCCGAGGAACGTGAATGGGCCGAACGCTACGTCGTGTCCTGGATCGAAGTCGAGGTTGAGGATGTGCCTCCTCCCGAAATCGACCTGGACAAGCCGCTCGATAAAGACAATCTCAAATTCCGCCCGCGTAGACCGACAGGCGGGATGACGATGGGTGCGCGCGAAGAACGTCATTCGTTTGGCAGCGACGCAACCTCGTCGCGCACTGCCACGCCTAACATTGGCGCCCGCGCCGATACACCCATGGCCCACCGACGGAGCAGTAGCGGGACGTCGGCCACGGCGCCGACCGCCACCGGCGGGACGGCCCGCAACTCGCCGCAGCCGAGGATCCGGCGAAAGGACACGCTTGGGTCCCAACCTGTCACGAAACGTAAAGAGCGACAGTTGGTCGTGGTGACATTTGCAGGCGACTGGTATCGTCTCCGCCTACCTCAGCAACGAGGCCCTGATGACGACCCCGATATGCCCATAAAGACCAAATGCGAGCTGGTAGAGTACCGCCGTCTCGGTGTAGGTGGCGGTGGATGGTAGAAACAACTGTTGTAAAGTACATATGCATGTAAACTACTCCAATGATATAACACCCTATCACAATCCTCGTTTCTACTCGAGGTACTCCTTGAGCGAACCGGTGACTCCCTCAATACGCGTAAGGACCTTGCGCGCCAGTCCCTCGACCTCGGCATTCTCGTCCTCGAGCAACTCGGCGAGGAACTCGGCGACGGTCTCGGGAACGAACTGGATGAGCTCGTCGGCATGCCTCTCCCATGCAGAGTCGAGGGCACGGAGGGCGCCCATGCGCGCCTTGGGCTCGTCGGCGCGGGTAGCGAGACAGATGGCCGTGTTGACCTTCTTCAGTGTCGTCTCCGAAGCTGTGGCCGCCGCCAGAGCAGCGAGGGTGGCAGCGGGGGGCGAGTCGGGCGCGGACGCGAGGTCGGGGAACACACCGAGCTGCGAGACGAGGGCAGGGAGGAGCTTGAGGAAGGCCGCGTCGGTCCAGTACGCGCCCTCGTCGACGTCGAAGCTCTTGGCCAGCAGGGAGAGGAGGATGGTCCACAGAGTCGAGTCCGTGACCTCGTTCGCCGAGTAGGCGGCCAACAGCTCGTCGACAAGAGGCAGGAGGGTGCCCATGTACGGCGTAAGGAGGTTGCGGAACTTGTCGAGGAGGCCGTCCATGACGCGGAGAAGAACGATACGGCGCGCGACAACGTGCGCGTCGTTGGCCGGGAGGGGGAGGTCGACAACGGCCCAGTCGTACAGACGACCGAAAAGGGGCTTGAACGCCGTGTCCGAGAGCTTGGTGACGAGCTCGAGGAACGAGTTGATGGCTGAGCGCTCGAGCACCTCGAGAGTGTCGGCAGCAAGCGTGCTTCCGTGGCGCACGTCGAAAACGTCCAGGAAGAAGGCGAACAGCTGCTTCGTAAGACCAGGAAGAGCCTTGCGGTCGGCGTGGCGGAGAGCGTGCTTGAGGAGCGCAAAGAATGCCTCGGTGGGAGCCTGGGCCGAACCCTTGATGTTCTTCCACAGGTCCATGACGACAGGAATAAGCGTCTTGGTGGGGATACGCTTGGCAATGGCGGCAATGAGGTTGGCCGATGCGCTCTGGTCGTCGGCGCGGTGGGCGGCGACGGCGCCCAGGAGAGCGACAAGCTGCTTGGCGCTGACAAAGGTGGGGACGGTCTCGACCAGGGCAGCAATGGTGCTGAATGCGGCAGTCGAGGCGGCGGCGGTGGGAGGCGCACGGGCGAGAGCAAGGCAAGTGTCGAGGACCATCTGGATGAAGGGGATACCACGGGGACCGAGACGACGGACAAGGGCAGCAACGAGCGCAAGGGTGGAGGCAGCGCTGTCGCCCTTGGTGGCAGCCACAACCGTGGGCATAATACCTGCCAGAGCCGAGTCCTCCGAGGGGAGGGCGGTAGCAACAACCTTTTCGAGAGCAGCAAGGGCGGGAACGGCAGCAGAGGTCGAGAGGAGGGCAGCAGTGCGCTTGATAATGGTAGCCATGGCGACCGACGACTTGGCACGGAGCTCGGGCTTGATGAGGGCCAGACGCGAAGTGAAAAGGTTGAGGGTACGTGCAACGTCGTCGCCGGCAGTTTCAAGAACATTGGCAGTGATCTCGAGGAAGCTTGCGACGGACAGCAGCTGCATGGCACCGGTGAGTGCGGACTCGAGGGGCTCGGCGACCTCCTCGTCGACAGTGGACGAGAGGCTGATGAGCTCGCGAACGAGGGCGAGGACAACAGGCTGGGGGCACACCTTGCCGACAAGCTGTTTGGCGAGGCCAGCACCAAGCAAAAGCAAGACGCTGGGACGGCCCTCGGGAAGGAGGGTGTCCTCGTCGCCGGCAATCTCGCGGGCAGCCTCGGAGACAACCTCGGCGAGGGTGTCGGTACGGGTAGCAGCCGAGAACGTAGCGGCCAGGCCAAGGGGCAACTCGAGGGTGGCGTTCTTGCCCTTGCTACGGTCGGCAAGGAGCATGCACACGGGAGCGAGGAAGTCGTCGGCGCCGAGCGACTTGACGAGGTGGACAAAGAAAGGCAACGTGCGGTGCTTGGGAAGGCGGGCGGCCATGTCGGTGAAGATGGACAGGAAGGTACGCGATTCGAGGTAGAGCTCGAGCTTGGTGGTAGCCTTGTCCTTGAGCGACTTGGTCATGACGGGCACAATACGAGCAATGGTCTTTTCGACAACACCAAACGAGAAGGCGTCGTCGCGCTGCAGGTCTGACGAACCCATAAACGTAAAGATGGGCATGACGTTGTGCAGAACCGCGTCAGGGACGAGACGGGCAAGCTCAGAGGCAGCCAAGAGAGCGCGCTGCGAGGTACGCGGGTTCATGCTGGCGCGAATGACCTTGACAATGACCTCGAGACCGACGTGGGCGCGCGAGATGGCGTCGGCGTCGGTAATCTGCTCGAGCTGGGCCAAGATGGCACCCAAAACCTCCTGCTCGAGGTAGTCGACGCCTTCCTTGATAGCCTGCCTCTTAGTGAGAACCGACGAGAGCACACCCATAAGCGTAGCCACGAGCGGAGCATCGCCACGGAGCGCCTTCCAGTCGCGCGACTCGACGAAGACGGTAAGGCTCGCAACAGCCTGCTCGGTCTTGTCGTCCTCTTCGTTGTCGCCGTGCTTGACCTTCTTGCGGTGCACGGGCGAGTCGAGGGGCTGGAGAAGAGTGCCGAGAACGACCATGATCTCAGCGGCGCTGAGGTTGAGCTTGGCGAGGACAGCCTTGGAGGAGAGGTTGTCGTCGGTAGTAGGGAGGTCCTTGAGGGAGTGAATGAGGGCAACGACATACTCGGCCTTTTGGGCGGCACGAAGGGCACCAAACAGACCGTCCGCCATGCGCTGAAGCGAGAGAGCACGGAGCTGGAGGCCAACACCGGCGCTCTGGTCGACGAGGCGAAGCAGAAGTGCCCACATCTCCGAATCCGTCTCAGTGACGACCGACGCGTGGCGAGCGGCAAAGGCGTCAAACACGAGGTCGAGGTACTCGTCACGGCCCGAAACCGAGAGACGACCCAGCCACGCGGCCTCGTCCTTGCTGGCGTCGAGAAGGGGAGTGAGCAGAGGGAGGGAGTCGTGAAGGCGGGACACGTTGGTGGCGCGGGTGAGCGACGACAGCAGCGAGCGGCGGGCCGACTCGGCGCGCCAACCCAAAACGTGGGACATGAGCCAGTCGACGACATCGCGGCGGTGGCTGGTGTCCTTGCCGCCCTTGTGCTGGACCTCGAGCGCCTTGCCGTGGACAAGAGCGAGACGGCCAGCATCGACAACCATGTCGTCGAGGCTGCTGGTAAGCACTTCGAGGTACTTGGTGAGGTCTGAGGGCTTGAGGAGCTGAACGAGGTCGGACCGCGAGCCGTAAATGTTCTCGAGGGCGTAAATGTCTGCGCTGGCCGAAAGGGGAGCGGCAGCGATAGCACTCAGAAGATCAGCGCCAGCCTGGCGAACGGGCTTGGCTGAGTCCTGGAGCGCAATGAGAGCCGCAGGGATGGCAAGCTGGAAATCGGTGGGCTTGGCACCGCCAGTGTATGCCTTGACGAAGGCGGTAGCGTGACGGAGGGCAGCAACGCGGAGCGCGCTGTCAGCAGCACCAGTCCAAACGGCAGCGAGAAAGAGAAGAACTTCCTCGCCCAGCTGGCCAAAGACGGCATGCAGCAGGTGCTTGGCGACAACACCAGAAAGGTTGATCGAGTTGGCCCAGGCGTACAGCGCATGAGTGACGTCACGAACCTGGCGCTCAGTGGCCGAGACGTCGCTCAGCCAAGTGATGCTGGTGTTGGGCGAGGGCTGGACACTGGCTGCCGAGGTCAGGAGCGCGAGGTATGCACGCTGGAGAGTCTTGGAGTTGGAGGGCTTGGACACAACGCTCTTGATAAGCTCGTCCGAAAGAGGAGACTCGATCTGGTCAACGTCGCGGAGGGGCTTGCCGGCAAGGTAAGTGTCCAAGGCGGCAAGGGAGCGCGCAGCCACCACATGCTGGTAACCACCGGCAGCCGAGACCAGCTGAGCGAGGGCCAGAGTAGCGAGGAGGCGGGCACCGGCCATGGGCGACGACAACGCGGCGACCAGGACATCGACACGGGCGCCAATATCGCCACAGGCCGAGATGGCACCGGCGAGGTTCTTGATGACGTCCTGGTTGAACTTGACAAGCTGGTCCTTGGTCGCGTTGAGGGGAATATCGCCGTTGACGCGAACCAAAAGGCGCGAGGCGCGGGTAACGAGGGGCCACTGCTCAGGGCCAAAGGCGCGACGCTCCTCGGTGGCAAGCAGGTTGGGAACAAGGAGCTTTCAAACACCTGACGCTTTGCCTCGACGTGGGCGGGCAGGTACGAGTTGGCAATAAAGCCAAGGTGGAGGCCGAGGGCGGTGCGCTCAGGCTTGGTGGCAACGAACGCGGCAGTAACGGCATCAACATAGTCGGCACCAGTGAGGAGCGCAAGGAGAAGCTCAGGCTTGGCGTAAATGGCCTTGAGAACGGGCTCATCGGTGTCGCGGAGACGGGCGAGAATGGCAGTCTGGGCCGAACGGAGCTTGTCATCCTCGGCGATGCGGGCAGCGGCGTTGGCCGCAGTCAAACCAGCCTCCTCTGCCACAGCGTACATCTCCTTGACACCGGAAGTGCGCGAAGCAACGTCGGCAGAATGAACATCGACAAACGCAGTCTCGGCGGACGACCACTGGACAAGGGCAGGGTCGAGAGTGGCCGAAGCGTCAAGAACAGCGCTGTCAATGACTGAGGGGTGGCGCTGGCGGAGAGTGCTGAGCAGAGCACGGGCGGTGGTGTGGCCCTCGGAAGGGGTGGTCAGGAGCTTGGCAGCCGCGAGCTGCACAACCGAGCTGGGCAACTCGGCGTAGTCGACAATGGTGGCGAGGGTGGCCTGCGAAACGTTGACATCCTCGATAAGAGCACCAACGACAGTCTGGAGGGCAGCTTCGAAGCCATACTTTTCCATCGCGGCGACGAGGAGCTCGCCAATCTGGGGAATCTTGGCAAGACGGGCGGGGGCGTCTTCGCCGAGACCTTGCCATCCCTTGCGCTGGTCGAGGAGAACAAGAAGAGTCAGGACACGCTGCGAAGGGTTGGCGCCGGTGGCGGGGGTGAGGAGAGCCTCAACCACGGCGGCAAAGGGGCCGTCGGCGAGTCGCACGGAGCGAGACAGCAGGACAAGGGGAGGGTAGACGGCGGCGTTGACCTCGGAACCAGTGTTGGTGCGCGAGAGAGTGGTAACAAACGCCTCGACGAGGACCTTGACCACACCCTCGGCAACGCGGGTGGTGCGCGAACGCTCAAGGAGGTCCACCAAGGTAGCAGTCCAGAAACCCAGGAGGGCGCGGTGGATGGTGTTCTCGTCGAGAGCGCGGACAAGCGAACCCGCGACGTCGGTCAACAGGTGGAGCGAGGGGTCACGAGCGCTCGAGAGGGCAGTGACAATGTACTCGCGTGGGACGGGCTGGGCCTTCTTGGTGAGAGCGGCAAAGGGGGCGGCGTAAGGGGAGGTAGAAGGGAGTGAGATGATCGCAAGGACGCGGGCAAAGTTCTGCGAGTCGTGGTATGGAAGAAACACTTGGAGGAGGGTGTCGGCGTTCATCTCGTGAACACTGCAAACGGTCAGCTCGAGCATCCATAACCCATGTACTGAGACTTACCGGAATCGGCGGACAAGCCACTCGATGCACTTGCCGCCAGCCATGATACCGATCCACTTGCCGAGTCGCCTCAGGCAGCGGGTGAGCTGGACATCCAGGGCCGTGTTCTCCTCTTCATTGAGCATCATGCGGTCGGTACGCTTGGCGGCTTCAGAAAAGAGAGCATCCTCAAACTCGCCCATGCCGGCGTCGAGCTGGACCAGCTCGTCGAAGCCCGACACACCCAGAGCGTGGACGGCATCGAGATCGTGTGTTGCGGCGACGTTGGCCGGGAAGAGGTAGGACTTGCCGCTCGGCTGGCCGTACCGGTTGGTGAGACGGTCGGCGTCGAGCGACGCAATGTTCTGCAGCTGGGCCGCAAGCGAGGAGACCATGGTGGCCAGTGGGGTATAGGGGGGTTGTTGAGATCAACTCAAAGGGCCTCTGCTAACCACACAGGATGAACCGCAACTTTTGCGAGGATCGACCACGTGGTGCGGAGATTGATCTCCGTTTTAAAACAGTGTGTGCGCGTCTATTTCGGTGGAGGTGTGACTCTTGTCGTCCACTGCATCACACATATACCCAACCATGGTGACCACCAACTCGCCATCCCCGTCGCCAGAGCCTCAACAGGTCGCAGAGCCTCGGACCACCGAGGTGGCGGCTAGCCCCAACTTTTTTGGCCAGCTCATCGGGTCCATCTTTGAGGTGCGCCACCTGCCTGGCACCGATAACGTCTCCCGTGACTAACTTTGTTGTGCAGCCTGGAGCCAACACGGCCGTCGTAAAGGGTAAGCTGTGCACATGAAGCATGACGCCTGACATACAGCCATGAACATTTCATTTGCCTTGCTGCTCCTCACTCTGTTCGGCCTCATGATTCTTTCCAGCTGGAACCTCCACGTCGTCGCTCTCTTTGTCATCAACGCAGCCCTCTGGGCCACGATGATGTGGTGAGCTTGTTTCAACCATGGTCAAGCTGACAACTCCAGGTTCGTCCAGGAGATTTCCAAGGTGCAGACCAACCCCGAAAACATGCCGACTGGCGACCCCCTGTTGGCGCAGCCCGAGACCAAGAAGGAAATATAATCGATGTGGATGGATGCTAGATATCATGCGGTCTAATTTTACCCAACGACCTCTGTCCACGAACCCCACTGTCCCTCCTGACCGCCAGTGACGTTACGGAGCTCGACGTTTTCGCAGTTGGGACCAAAGAACCCCGTCGACTTCCAGCCCACGAGCTGCAGCGAGCTGAACGGCCCTGCGCGCGTTAGCTCTGCCATGGTATCAGGAAACTCACCAAACACATCTCTCTCCACTGGGCGCTGCGCCTCGGGAAGGGTGCGCATGTACGCCATCGAGAAGCGGTATTGAAACTGGCGGGTGTCCTGGGGAAGGGCAGGCGCCGATGGGCGCTCAGGCTCCGGCTGACGTGGGAGCATGCGCTGGATGGCCTCGCGGGAGAGCGAGTAGACGTCAAGCTGCCCAATGGCGGTGAGCTGCGAGACGATCTCAGAGAGCTTCGTGAACGGGTTGGCGTGTGCGGGATCGCTGTTGTACCTGTCAGCCATAGTTGTGATGCCCTTGTGGTACACGTACGTAGAATCAGCAGCAAGCTGCGCCTTGCGCTCCTTTTGGCGCTCGGCCCACGATTTCTTCTTGCTGCCGGCCGACTCCTTCTTGGCCTTGTCCTCTGCCTCCTTTCCCAGGCGCTGGAGGGCTTCGAGTACCGTCTCGCCGCGTTCCATGAGCTCGGTGGCAGAGCGCATAAGTTCATGCTCGCGATCTTCGCTGCCAAGACCAGACGTCTCAGCTTCACGCGCCTCGCGCTCCTGCTCCAACCGCTCGCGCTCGCGGTGGGCGCGACGGGCCTTCTTAATCGCGTCCTTGTCCACCGCGTCCAGCCAGCCGTCGTGCTTGTCGTGTTCGTCCTTGTCGTTTTCAACGTATTGCTCGCCTCCTTCGGTAAAACGGCCTTCCTCCATTTCTGTCTTCATGTTGAACGGGGTGAGCTCGACACCCATGTCGCCGTCCAGTCCGGTGCCTTTATTCTTCGCCGCTTCATCCACCTCGCTGTCGGAATCATCGTCGTCGGCAGACGGACGCCGTGTAAACTCTTGACCCTCGATTTCGTCAATGTTCATAAACTCGTTCTTCTTGTCTTTTGCTTTGCCCTTGCCCTTGTCGTCGTCTGCAGGTTCGTCCTCGGCAAACATGTCCACATCGTCGTCGTCGTCCTTTGCGGCGTCGGCTCGGCGCGAAGGCACCACACCTTCCCCATCATCGTTGGACGAGTCCGAGCCATAACCATCCGTGTCCTTGAGTACGCGCTTCTCGCGTTTCTTGGCACCACGGCTGGACTCTGTGATGTCGGCATCAAGAAACTGGTCATCGCCATCGGCTGTGTCGGTGCGGTTGCCACCGGGCGGCGACCTAGAAGGTCCAGCGTTTGAATGGCTGTCTGAATGGCTCGCGGTCTCAAAGCGCGCGCGCTTGGGTGCGGCTGAGCTGTTGCCAGCGGCACGCTTGAGGGGCATGGTGTCGATAACGTGGAAATGGGAGTGGTCGATCGTTGAATCACAAAACCAAACATCTCAGCGCCTGCATAAGGAGTGTGTAGGAAGGGCTCTAGGCAAAGGAACGGAAGCAAAATACGTTCATGGGCTGAGGCCGTGGCTATGACGATGACGGTTATGAGCCTGTACAATACAAAAACGAGCGAAGCAGGTCTCCTGTCTCCCTCCCTCTAAATACGTCTCTCTCTCGCGCTCTTTCTACAGCTGCACCCCGCGAGGGTAGCGCTGGTGAACAGTGAGCTGCGAGGAATGTCAGTATTTGTGCACTTGCGGACTTGAAACGTGCGCGCGACGCCAAGAGATAGATAGGGTGGAAGCTTGGGGAACGGTGTTGATAGGTGCGGCTGGCAGCCGACAACATCTGCCTTCCAACCTCCCCTGGTTCTGAGTCCACCTCAGAACACCCCTCATACCCCTCTCTCACAGCTCTACTCACCTGCAGACCGCAGAACCCAATGAAACAGGCGTACACGAAGGCGGCAGTGTAGCAGATCTTGGAGGTATAGTCCGGGTCGTTGGTGTCGTGAATGGAACCGACGAGGGCCTCCGCTCGACGGGCGTAGAGAGCTCCAAAGGCTAAGGGTCAGTCTGTGCTGTTCGCCGTTGCCAAGGTGCGACACGAGGAGGGAAGGCGTGGTCGGGGGAGGAATGGGTGATAACTCACTGGCCAGGATAATAACACCGAAGATGGAGAGCACGGTGCAGCAAGCGGCTGTACACTGTCAGTTTTGTGTGCCTGCTTTCAAACGTACCCAGTGGGGCGGACACGACGGGCCTGATTGCGAGCGGCATGGTTGCTGTTGTTGTAAGACAGAGAGAGATGACGATCCTCACCACCTTGCGCCTGGTGACAGAGGGCACACGGGACGCTGTGGGCGGCGGCGACAGCGTGAAGGCCGGCAGGGACACCCGAAATGACACGTCAATATTTCCGTGATGTTTTCCCGCCGCCGCCCAGGATCATTGAAGATTGCAAGATTTCGGACAGTTCAAGGTCCACTTCCCAACACCCATACATACCCACCAACAACCATGGGCAAGGGAAACAAGGCTGCCCCCCAAAAGTCGGCCCCCAAGGCCGGCAAGCCCGCAAAGGCTTCCACCAGCAAAATCTCGGACGAGCTCCGCAAAGCCGTCAAGGACCTCGGCGGTGACGACAGCGATCTTGAACTTATTGCTGGCGTGGACAGCGACGATGAGAGTCCCCAGGAGGCCTCCAAGGGCAATGGCATGAGCGAGGTGGGTTACAGTACACTTGGATATAGCTAACCTTTACAGAAGGACCTCAAGGCTGCGCTTGGCGACTTTATGAAGGGCCTCAACTTTGAGAGCATTCCGGCTCCTGTTGCCAACGCCGCCGACGAGGAGGAGAATGAGGAGAGCGAGGAAGAGGAAGAGGACGAGGACGAGTCTGAAGAGGAGGAGGAGGCTCAGGTTGAGGCACCAGAGGAGGAGGAGTCGAGCGACGAGAGCGAGGAAGAGCCCGAGTCCAAGCCCGAGCCCAAGAAGAAGGCCGCTCCCGTCATTCTCTCGACAGAGGTTGTGGACCCCGAGCCCAAGAGCGCGACCGTGAGTTACCCGACCGCCTAACGCAGCTAACGATCAGAATGTTCCCCTCAACCCCAACTGGGCCGCCATGGTCCCCGAGCTTCCCGCCATGGATCTCCCGAAGCCCGAGACTTGGAAGGTCAACACCCAGCGCCAGCGTGCCGAGCGTTTCCTTGCCGAGCTCCCCAAGCCCCAGCGCGCCGGCAGCTCGTCAGATTCTACGTTCATCAACCAGATTCTTCAGAGCGGTACACACCAGGACAAGCTTTCGGCGCTTGTTCTGCTTGTCCGCGAAAGCCCCATTCACGCCGTCGCCGAGCTCGAGCGTCTGCGCGGCATGGCTGGCTGGCGTGACGGCGCCCCTTCGTCCGGTGGTGGTCGTGACCAGCGTATGGCTACCGTCCGCGCCCTTGCGGACTGGTGGGTCACTGGTGGTGGAAAGGAGGCTGGCAAGCTCAAGTACTTTGCCGACCAGCCTCTGCTCGCCCACCCCGACGTCACCGACCGCCATCTCCTGGTGTACGCTTTCGAGGACTTCTTGAAAAAGTTCTTCTTCAACGTCCTCCAGATTCTCGAGGTGCTCTCGCACGACACCCTCGCCTACGTCCGCACCAAGGCTCTCGATGTCACCTTCGAGCTTCTTTCCGGCAACGCCGAGCAGGAGCAAAACCTGCTCCGTCTTGGTGTCAACAAGCTCGGTGACACTGACCGCACGGTCGCATCCAAGGCGTCCCACCACATCCTGCTGCTTATGCAGGTACACCCTGCCATGAAGACTGTCGTTGCCCGTGAAGTTTCGGCCATTGTCCTCAAGACGACCCTCACTGGTGCTGCCGGCTCCGCCAACGCTGGCGCCCACATGCGTTTCGATAACGACGACAAGAAGAAGGACGGTGACAAGGCCGGTTCCGAGGTCAACCAGCACGGCCGCTACTACGGTCTCATTACCCTCAACCAGATGACCCTCACCTCCAAGGACAGGGACGCCGCTGGTCGCCTTGTCGAGGTCTACTTTGAGGTGTTCCGCGAGATCCTCGGCGAGGAGCAGAAGAAGGGAGAAGACGAGAAGACGAACGCCGCCGATGGTGTCGACGAGAACGTTACGGGCAAGGTCGAGAAGTGGCGTGGTCGCCGCAAGGGAGCCAAGCCCAAGGGCGGCCGCAAGGCGGCTCAGGAGAAGGAGGACCTCGTCGAGTCGCACGACGCCAAGCTGGTCGCTGCTGTTCTCACCGGTATCAACCGTGCCCTTCCCTTCGCCAAGATTGACGACAAGCTGTTCAACGATTACATGGACACTCTGTTCAAGATTTGCCACGCCGGCACCTTCAACACCTCGATCCAGGCCCTGCAGCTCATTTTCCAGGTGTGCCAGTCGCGCCAGTCCGTGTCCGAGCGCTTCTACCGCACCCTGTACGAGTCGCTCTTTGACCCCCGCCTCCTCACCTCGTCCAAGCAGGTCATGTACCTCAACCTGCTGTTCAAGGCGCTCAAGGTCGACGCATCCCTCCCCCGTGTCATGGCTTTCGTCAAGCGTCTGCTTCAGATGCTCAGCTTGCACCAGCCCCCCTTTATCTGTGGTGCCCTCTACCTCCTTGGCGAGCTGTTCGAGACCACGCCTGGTCTCCGCCGCATGCTCATCGAGCCCGAGGACGACGGAGAGGAGCACTTTGTCGATGCCGACGCCAAGCCCAAGGCTGCTGAGGCCGAGTCTTCCGCGAGCGCTGCCACTGCCTACGACGGCAAGAAGCGTGAGCCCATGTACGCCCACGCCGAGACTTCGTGTCTCTGGGAGCTGGTTCCCTTCCTGGACCACTTCCATCCCTCGGTCTCCCTCCAGGCCAGCCAGCTCTTGACAGGCCAGCCCATCACTGGCTCGCCCGACATTTCGTTCAACACCCTCATCTCGTTCTTGGACAAGTTTGTCTACCGTAACCCCAAGAAGACCGTCCAGCCCAAGGGTGCGTCGATCATGCAGCCTGCCGCTGTCAACGACCACACCGGCAACGTTATGCGCACCCGCGGCCCTAGGGTTGGCGAGGAGGGCAGCAGTGTCAACACCGAGGCGTTCTGGCGTAAGAAGGTCGAGGACGTGCCTGTCGACCAGCTCTTCTTCCACAAGTTCTTCTCGGCCAAGCTTGCCCAGAAGGACGCTGCCGCGGCCAAGAGGTCCAAGAAGGCCAAGGCCGACGACGACGAGGACTTTAACAGCGACGACATGCCCGAGCTCCCCTCTGACGTCGAGGACATGGAGGACAGCGACGCCGAGGCTGAGGCTGCTGAGGACGACGACGAGGCGGACGACAGCGACCCAGAAGAGGCCGAGATCTGGAACGCCATGAAGGCTTCGATGCCCGATGTCGGCGACGACATGGGTCTCAGCGAGGACGACAGCGACAGCGATGACGACATGGTCGACTACTCGGACGACGATGAGGAGGAGGACGATGATGAGGATGAGGAGTCCGAGGCCGAGGCCGTCCCCAAGTCCAAGAAGGGCAAGGGCAAGGCGCCGGCATCCGACGACGAGGACTCGGAGACCGACGGCGAGGACTTCCCAGACTTTGACGACGACGAGGACGACCTTATCCCTCTGGACGAGATGCCCGACGAGGTCCTGGGTGGCTCCGCATCAGAGGAAGAGGAGGAGGACGAGGCTGCGGGTGCCAAGCGCAGGAGGAAGGAGGAGCGCAAGGCCAACAAGAAGCAGAGGCGGGAAGCTGCCACGTTCGCGTCCTACGAGGATTACGCTGCTCTCATCGAGCAAGATTAGACTGTCACATGCATATACCAGTTATCCATCTCATTGTCAGGCTAGTTTTGTTGAGCACAAGAATGTTGAATCATGGAATCTTGGCGTGGACACCAGACATCAGCGCGCGGCACTGGCGTCCAGCGACATGCCCTATAGGCGCTTGACAAGCACATGATCGCTTCCGAAGCAATAATATAGTCGCCTTACACTGGCCAGTGCTTATTTGCTCCCATGTTGTATCCCCCCATGTTGTATCTCAGATCTACTTTGAACTCCGGCCAGCTTGGTAATATACGTAGTTCGTGTTTCGATCTCCTGGATTCGAACCCCGGCCGTTGTGGTAATATACGTGGTTCTTTATCCCAGGGCACTTTAACGGATATGCTAACGAGCGACTATATATGGGAGGATGTTTTAAATCCCTTGTACCGCTCAGATTTTGGGTTGCATTGCTTTGCTCCCAAGTTTCACCCACAAGACCAACGCCCTGCGCTAGAGATATCTGAATATTATTATAAGGAGTAAAACAACAAGAGAAGGTCTCATGGATGACCGACAGAGTGTTTGATACTGATCGTCACAGCTGGTAAACAAGCGGGTGCAGGCCTTTTGGCGAGCTCGGCACATTTAGGAACGTCGTCGCCGACTGCGCAATCTGAGCGTTGGACCTTCCAATGGCATCGATATGACACACCTGAACGACTGCCGCACCGTCTACCTGCACTTTGGAAAATCGTGACTATTTAAAACCCCCATCTCGGGATTTACGAGGCACACGGATACCGTCCAGGCTTGGGCAACGTGGGGGTATATTTGGACGCATTTGATCTCTAAAATCCCTCATTAGAATTTTGGACCGCTTTCCCCTTGGACAGGGGTACAACGGTTAGTCTCCAATCCTAAAAAACGGTCGTGGATCGTGTCAGCCCGCCAGTCGCCCTCGTACCAAAACAGCGCAGGTGAGACATCCAATCCCCAGCCAACGAGCCGCTGATGTGTGCGAGGGCGCCGCTGGGGTCGCTGAGGAGCCTGAATGAATCCCTTTACCGACATGTGCATGCACCCACTTTACGCTGGGAAGTTTCAAAAGCAGGGATGCGCTATTTCTCAGCCGGTTGACTGGCGATAGGTCAGTAACCGATTGGCGTCAACATGGGCTGGTCCGGGAAATGGCCGCTGATACCGCCACAGAAGGTGATGAGACGGGTTGGCAAGAACAGAGAGATCAAATTACTGACAGGGCACTGGCACAACTTTCTGTGCATGGGTCTCACACGTTCAATCTCAGAATTCCCTCACCTTCGTCCGCTGCCTCCCTTCCGCACCAGTGGATGAACCGCAGAGCCGTGTGGAGAGCGAGAACAGGGGCCCAGCGGGAAGCTCGAGCAAGGGGAGGTGTGCTGAGTTGGTGGTTACAGTCGGGCGCTACGGTCCCTCGCCGCATTGCTGTCGTAGCATAGTATTTTGAACTCCGTCCAACAGCGTCAGAGACCCCAATCTCGCGCACTTGACACCCTGCATCTCTGTTGTGTGTGCATGCGGCACAGTGGGTGGGGGGGCGGGCACATCCATGCGTGATGGGGATTGCCCACTTTAGCCTCGGACAGATCCACGAGCGACAACAAAGAGGCATCGCCCGCAACGGCATCTCTGGACAGGAGTGTGGTGACCTCTATGTGGGTATTTATTGTCTCTGAACTATGGCAACTCTTCCCACATACCTCTCGTTCATTGCAGTCGACTTCACGTTACTTTAAGCCTCGCTTACCCACTTCCGAGGCTCTCCTCGCCACCACTGAGCTTTCGCCTCCCGATCCACTTAGCCGCCATGGAGAAGCCCACACAACTCCACTTTGACGACATGGACGTCGAGAAGCGCGCTATCACTTCGCGCTCGTCGATCGACACAATCAACGACCTCCCGGAGACGTCCCACCAGGTTGCCATCCAGCTGCCTTTGACCCGTACCAATACTCGTGTTCCCATAGTGTATCGTACACTGTCAATTCGTAAGATCTACAAACAATTGTTTTCCCTGACTGACGGTATAAAGATGTGTACGACAGCCAACGCTTTGACCACAATGCACCTCCTCGTGGCGAGGACAAGAAATGGTCCTTTGGCAAAAGCAAGTCCGCCGATGGCGCGCCTGCTGAGGACGATGCCACCTTCTTCGGAAAACTCGACTTTCATACCATCACGCCACACCTCGTCTGCCAGCGTTTCAACGTATCGCCCGATCAAGGCCTTGACAAGGAGGCGGCGTCCAAGCGCCTGGCTCGTAATGGACCAAACGTTCTGGCTCAGCAAAAGCCGCAGTACTGGAAGAAGATCGTCCGCTATGTCTTTGGCGACTTTTGCTCGATTCTCTGGGTCGGTGTGATCATTTTCTTCATCTCTTGGAAGCCGCTTGGCAGCCCTCCCCAGGCCTACAACCTTGCCCTGGCGATCGTTGTCATCCTCGTCATCTTCCTTCAGGCCATCTTCTCTGGTTTCCAGGACTGGTCGGCCGGCCGTGTCATGGCTTCGATCCTCAACCTTGTCCCCGAAACGGCCGTTGTTATTCGCGATGGCCAGGTCTTGTCGGTTCCCTCCAGCGACCTCGTTGTTGGAGACATTGTCCAGCTATCCAATGGTCAAAAGGTCCCCGCCGACATGCGAATTATCAAGGCTTCCAATGACCTCAAGTTTGACAAGGCAGTGCTCACCGGCGAAGCCGAGGAGATTACCGGCACGGTCGACTCTGACGAACCAAACTTCCTCGAGGCCAAGAACATTGCTCTGCTGGGTACTCATGTCTGCAACGGTTCGGCCACAGGTGTGGTTGTTCTGACTGGTGCCCGCACCGTTATGGGTCGTATCAACAAGGTGAGTGTGGCACCTGTGTGCGGGGCAAGTAGAACAAAAGGTGCTCACACTCCCAGATCACCAATTCTGGGTCTGAGACGCGTACCAACCTCCAGAAGGAGATTACGCGCTTTGTGAAGATCATTATCGCCTTGACTGTCACTCTGGTGATCATCATGCTTATCACCTGGGTCGCCTGGCTTCGTGTTGGTAAGTGGCACACTTATTCTCAAGTCGGGTCGCTAATCTCTCCAGACCATTATGACTTCCTTAACACGGTCGGTATTCTTACCAACCTTATGTCGTTGGTCGTCGCCTTTATCCCTGAGGGCATGCCTATTGCTGTTGCCCTCACCCTATCATTGGTGGCTCGCCGTATGCGTGACGCCCGAATCCTTCCCAAGTCGCTTTCCGTGGTCGAGACCCTCGGCTGTGTCAACGTCGTCTGCTCCGATAAGACTGGAACCCTTACCGAGAACCGCATGTCCATTGTCTCCCTCGGCTTTGTCGACCGGGTGTTCACTCCCAAGGACGCGCCTGTGGACTCAATTGCTTTCCGGGAGCTCCGCAAGGGAATGACTCTTTGCAACGACTCGAAGTTTGACGACAACGATGTCAGTGCTCCGGTTGAGACCCGCAAGGTCATTGGTAACGCTACGGACGGCGCTCTGCTGCGCTATCAAGCCGCCCTGCCCTCGTCGGACATTTCCAGCGCCTACTCGCGTCTCTACGACCTTCCGTTCAACTCGAAGAACAAGTTTGCTGTTACCGTTATCGGCAACAAGGACGTGAGTACTTGCGTAGCAAAATGATCAGTGTCTGATACTGCAGTGTGAACGCGAGATTATCATCAAGGGTGCCCCTGACATTCTCATGGAGCGATGCTCGTCGTATCTCTCGGCCGACGGCCAGACTCACCCCCTCGACACGGCTGCCAAGGCCACCCTTGTTGCCACTCAGGAGGAATGGTCGCGCAAGGGCCAGCGGGTCATTCTGATTGCTCGCCGTCTGGCTCCCGACTTCCTCAAGATTGACTCTCCCCAGATCGAAGAGGACATTCTCACAGCCACCTCGTCTGACCTCGTAGTTGTCGGCTTAATTGGTATCCTGGATCCTCCGCGCCACGACACCAAGCACACTGTCGAGGAAATCCGCCGCTGTGGTGCCCGTGTTTTTATGGTTACTGGCGACTTTTCCCTCACGGCCTGCTCGATCGCTCAGCAGTGCGACATTTTCCGTGGCACGCACGACCCCGACCGCATTACCGACTTTGAGGCCAAGGGCCGCCAGTCCGACTACGAAAAGGTGGCCGACGACCGCATGGCATATATCATGGCTTCCCTTCTCGTCGAGGGCAAGGAAATCCCCATGATTACCGATGACCAGTGGAACATCATCTGCAAATACGAAGAGATTGTCTTTGCGCGCACCACGCCCGAGCAGAAGCTTCGCATTGTCACCGAGCTCATGAACCGTGACGCCGTCGTCGCGGTTACCGGTGATGGTGTGAACGATGCCCCAGCGCTCAAGGCGGCCTCGATCGGTATCGCCATGGTTTCCGGTTCCGAGGTCGCCATGGAGGCCTCCGACTTGGTTCTCATAGGCAACTTTAGCTCCATCATTGATGGTCTCCGCCTCGGCCGCCTCGTATTCCAGAACCTGCAAAAGGTCATCTCATATCTCCTTCCTGCCGGCTCTTGGTCCGAAGACTGGCCGGTCCTCCTCAACGTGTTCTTTGGCTGCCCTCTGCCCCTCTCCAGTTTCCTGATGATCATCATCTGCTGGTGGGTACCTCCGTTTACCTTTAAAAAATTGGCACTGACTTGCTTCAGCTTCACTGACCTCGCGTCCTGCACGACCCTCATTTGGGAAAAGGAAGAGTTCGACCTCTTGTCGCTGCCCCCTCGTAACCCCAAGAACTCGCACTTGATCAACCTCCCCATCTACTTCCAGAGCTACGGCTTCATCGGTATGATGGAGACGATCACCGCCCACTCCATGTTCTTCTACTACATCTACACGGCGGCCGGCATCCCAATCAACAAGATGTTCTTTGCGTTCGCCCACTTCTCCGACGGCTATTTCGGCCACACCCAGGCCGAGCTCAACAACTTCCTCAGCACCGGCCAGTGTGTCTACTTTGTCACTCTCGTCATCCTCCAGTGCTTCAACTTGATGTCCGTGCGCAACAAGCGCATGTCCATCTTCCAGCGTGGTCCTCAACACAACTGGTACCTGTTCCTCGGGCCTGTCGTTTCGATTGCAATTGCCATCTTCGTCACTGAGGTCAAGGGCATTCAGAACCTGTTCGGCACTGCTCACGTCCCCATCAAGTTCTGGATGCTCCCCATCCCCCTCGGCCTCGGTCTACTCATGATGGACGAGATCCGCAAGCTCTTGGTACGCACGTGGCCCAAGGGACCCATTGCCAAGATTGCTTGGTAAACGCTCATCGGCTTCCTTGTCTTAGTTTTAGATATGCCCCGTAAATATCTACAGTTGCCCCCACACTGCATCCATGCATTGCGTTTAGACCTCCCCGCGGAAAATGATCCAAACTATCCTTGGATACCATTACTGGAGCGCATGACTGATTTGGAAGGGAAGAACGGACACGGCATGGAGATCCGCCAGCACATTTTGGAAGTCATTCTTAGCCCTTTTCCGGAATTAACTGACCAATTATGCGACCCCCAATTCCCAAGCCCCGGGAGCTTCCACTCTGTCCTCACATTCCTATAACGTCATGCCTTCGAATCCAAAAAGGCAGTAACGGGGTCAAGACGAGCAGAGGCGAGGGACTGCACCGGCCAAATTCAGCATTCCAACACCGTCGGTGTGTGTTTGTTTTTCACAAGCGCTGCAAAAGTCTCCGTGAAAAGCTGAGGAACAGTGCATGTTGCATGTGGACAACTGTCACGCCTTAATCGTTGCGCTCCGTTAACGAGTATCCAGAACTTTTTGTTTTTCAGTGTACGCTGCAAAGGCAAAGGAGCATATGTACGTGACGCAATGTTCATAAAAAACTAATTTATTCATTTCTCCCATCTCATTTCTGCCACCCCACGGTACAAACTTCATACCATTACAAAGGTGTCTTTGCGACGTCACCGCAGACAAGCTATGTCGCCGTATTGGTTACTTGGAGCTTAGCAGCGAGGGCCATAGCAGCGAGTAGAGGTGGTGTGAGCGGCAGACGATGACGACTTGGCGGTCGTAGACGCGGCCTTGGTGGTGCTCGAGGCCTTGGTGGTCGAGGAGACGGTAGATGAGGCCACAGTGCTCGAGGCAACAGGAGACGACGAAGACGATGACGAAGCAGCAGACGATCCCGAGGGAGCCGAGTAGAGCTGGAAGTCCCACTTGGCGGTGGTACCCCAGAAGTTGGCGGGGCAGTTGAGGGTGACGCCGCTGCCAAGGTTGTGGACGTCGGCGTCGGTCGAGGTGGAGGTCCACTTGGCCCAAGTCGAGCTGGGAGCGCCAGACTTGATGAACGCGACCCAGTCAGACGCGATGGTGGACTCGAGAGCGGACTGGGCGGAGCTGGGGCAGGAGATGGTGTTGAACGTGGGGTAGATGTCGTCGCTGTGGCAGATCTTGCCGGTGCAGAAGGCGGGCTGGTTGGCGTAGGTGGCACCCTCGGTCCACTCGGCAAAGTAGACGGAACCACCGGCAGCAGCATACTTGCGGGCAGCCTCGCGGTTGGCACAGCGCCATCCACCGTCGGTGAGGACAAGCTCCATCTGCTCACGGAAGTAGTCGGCGCCGGTGTTGGAAGCGTCCCAGGCGTAGTAGCTAGAGGTGGTAACGGCGGCGGCGCGAGACTGGCCAAGGAAGGACACGAGGTAAAGGCTGTAGCCGAGAGCGGAGGTAGACATCTGGGGGAGGTTGTTGCCAATGGCAGTACCGGCCTCGTTCTTGACCTCGGTAAGGAGAAGGGGGACGTCGGCGGGCGAGATGGGGAGGCTCGAGGGGCTGTTGAAGAGGAGGTAGGTGGGGTCGTTGGGGAGGGTGTTGGAGCCGAACATAGGGAGGAAGGTGGATCCAACCGAGAGGCCAGTGACGGTGCCAGCAGCGGTGTTCTGAGCCTGGGCCGTCACGGACATGAGCGAGTCGACGCTGAGACCCTTGTAACAGTCGAGGGTGGTGCATCCAAGTCCACCGTAAATAATAGACTCGACGCCAGCCTGGACGGTTGACGACTGGGCACCAACGTTCTATTGTCAACTCCATTCTTACTGCAGAGGTGACTCACGAAGGGGTCAGACTGGAGGATCACACGGTTGAAGAGACCCTTGGCTGTGGGGGCACCGTAGAGCACTGCACGTCAGCTTATGTAGACCAGGACCACCAAGTTAGACTACATACTGCGGACAAGGGTACCACCCGAGCTCTGACCACCAAGGGTGACGCTGGAGGGCGAACCACCAACGGCGGCAATGTTGCTCTTGACGACGTTGAGGGCGAGGATGATGTCGCGGAGACCAAAGCTGGGGTCCGAGGCGAAGGGCGAGATCGAGGGGGGAAGGAAGCCCAGAGGACCGAGACGGTACTGGAGCAAGACGATGATCATGTTGCCCTCCGTTGCAAGGGCAGAGGCGTTGAGGCCGCTCATAGTCGAGGCACCAGCGATGAGGGAGCCACCGTGGACCCTGGAGTGTCAGCGTGGGAAAATCTCCGTAAATGGGCCAGTAAATCAGACTTACCAGACAAGGACGGGGAGGGCAGAGTCGCTGGTAGCCGAGGCGGGTGCGTAGACAGTGGCAAAGAGGCAGTCCTCAGAAGCCGAGAGAGAGGAGCTAACAAACGAGGGGAACTCGTAGCCAGTCGCCTGGGGGCAGTAGTTGGGGAAGGCGGCAGCGTCCACACCACTGAGGATGCCAGTCAGTATCTCATATGCCACTCGCCACTATGCCACAACACTTACGTCTGAGTACCGGCAACAGAGTCCTCCCAGCGGTTGGCTGAACCGTAGCGGACAGTGTAGCGACAGGCGCCACCGTTAGATGCACCGGTGATGGCCGTGCCGCCCCAAGTGACCGAACAGGTTCCGGTGGTGGCGGAGGAAAGGTCATTCGCACAGAGGGTGTTGCGCTGGGCGATCGGTGAGGCAAAGCCCACCGACGCCACAGCGAGGAGGAGGGAGATGGACTTCAGCATTGTAAGCTGCAGTGGGAGACGGTAGAGGGGGAGTAGGGTGGACAGGGGGATTGATTGAGAGGGGACGGATGCAGAGTGATTGGTTTTTGAAACTCAATCACTTTTTATATCATTCTGGACTGGCCAACATGCTGTCAACTTACCCCTTGTGCACGGAGCTGGTGATCTCGAGAAGTGTGCAGACAGGGGACCTGTTCCTGTCGTGTTCACAGTGAGACAATACGGACAATGAGGTGGAAAGGCTTGGGCTCACCTGCCACCCCGTGGCGCCCACAGATGGTTAGTCACCGACAATGTTCCGATCGGACTCGCCCGCTCGGCTCTGACGCTGCTCGTCTTGACGCGTGGACAAACATTGTGAGCATCACAATGAGGTTCTCCCGGTTTCTAGATGTCTTTGGTATGCAAGTCATGGGGTCGCGTAAACCCAAACAAGCGTAAACCCAAACAAGGCTGCAGCCGAACCCTCGCACAGACCAAGATCCCTCACCACATTTGCTTTTGTTACGGTTCCTTTCCATTGGTACCTTTGCGCTCAAGCTCCCTTCCCCAGGACCTCCGGATCCCTTCTCTAGGACCTTGGAGGTGAACGAGGAGGGGTGGTATGTTCTAGACGGGCCCCGTTTGTGTAAGAATGGACTTTTCGGCAGACGAAATGAGCACGGTACCAACGTGTGCACGGCCGTCGACCTCAACCCCCACACCCCGGCGGCGTCGGATGAGCCACACAATCAGAATTATCCGCCGCAGCCAAAAGGCACCGACAGCCTTTTGGTTGAGCTGGCTGGTGCGCGATCCTCGTTTACCTTCTTCCTCCTTGTTAGGGCCTGCAACCGGGCGCTGAGAGGCACATGCCCCCAAAAACCTTGTTGTCATTAACGTAGACGCCATGGCGACATGCTTGTCAAGCCGTCTTCTGAAGTCTCACCACAAAGGAGGTGTCGCCCCGCCACAAAGGGGGTTTGTTCGTTGCTAGCCGAGACCCGTCAGGCCCCAGTCATGGCATGTTCGTTGGTGGCTCACACAGCTCGGCTACAGCTCAATAACAAGAATCGAATGGTGTGCAATGGTATGGCTACGGGGACAGTGCTACAAGGCCACAATGAGTAGGAAAAAGATATCTTTGCGTGACAAGGTAGCCTGGTCGGGCGAGATCCTCGTCACGGGTGTTTATAGCGATTTATTCGGAACGGGGCTTCTTGCCACCTGTCACCGTCAGCACGATATTCTTCCTGAAAGGCTGGAGCCCAGGACCCACCGTTCTGCGTTTCAGACTCGGCTCTGCGCTTAACCACGGGGACCTCTTCGTATGGTGCGTCCTCCTCCTCATCAAAGTACTCGTCGTTGAGACCAAGCTCGTTGCCCTCCTTCTCACACTTGGGGCAGAACCACTGGCCTTCAGGGATGTCAGCCAGTGGGGGGTCGAGGCATCCGGGGTGGTACGGCTCGTCGCACTGAGGTGGTCAGTAAGGAACCACATTTCGCATGCTCACTCGTTCACACTCGAGAAGAGGGTCATCGGGGAGGTCCTTGTGGCAGACGAGACAGTCGGTGGCCGATTCGACCTGGACGGGGAAACGGTCCAGCTCGGAGAGCGCGTCATTCGGGCGGGCAAGGAAGAGAGTACAAAACAGGCCACCAGCGATGCTGTCATGTTAGCATGGTCGGATAAAACTGTACTCACTCGACGACGTCGATACCTTCCAGGGGTTGGATGGCTTGAGGCTTGGTGGAGCTCTTGCCAATGTTGGGGCCGAAGCCAAGTTCTGCCTGTCAGATGTGTGCCGGAAGCGCAATCTTACCTCCATAGAGAGCTCCCTGGCCCCAGCCGATGCTCTGGGTTTTGCCGCCGAACAGAGGGGTAGTGATAAAGTGAGTGCAGCCGCCGACGGCTGTCTTGGTCACCTTGCAGCCACCGACTGTAATGTGAGCCATGGCTCGGTTTGGAAGAACTCACGCTCGTCGAGCTGCTTGAATGTAGTGTATGGCGATCCGCTTGAACCTGCCGAGTAAGAAATGCCTTGTCGATATCGCAAAACCCACCATCACCAGTAATCTTCCACTTGCCGGCAATGTTGAACATGCCCTGATTATCAATCACAACAGAACCTGGCGTCAGCCTGTGCGATGCCCATCGCACTCACTGGTCGGGCCGCAGTAGATTTCACGGGCGCGCTTCCTCTCATTGTTGTCGCAGAATTGAGCGACAAGGGTTGGCACGAGCCTGTTGTCAGCGCCATGCGACGGAAAAAACACGCACTGGTCCTTCTGGTCACCAAGTCCTAGGCGAGCATAACCGGCGTAGCCCCATGCGTAGACATTTCCATAATCGTCGAGGGCCAGAGAATGCTGGCTTCCGGCTGCAATCTGGACAATCTTCTTGTCCTCCAGAGCAGCCTGGACTTGCCCTTTGACGTCAGCAACGTCACGTCCAGAAACTTACGAGGTGGCGTCTGCACATCCCAAGCCAGCTTGTTGCCCTTGACGATGCGCTCGCCTGGCGAGTTAGCTCTACACTGGTGTGACCGGCGCTTTAACTCACTGGTGCTGCCGTTTCCGAGTTGTCCGTGCTCACTAGAGCCTGCGGCATACACCTGTCCAGCATCGGTGAGAAAGAGGGTGAAAGTGTTTCCGGTGGCGACCTGCACGTCAGCTTGTTTGGCAGGCAGTTACCCACCTGAATGATCTTGGCACTCCGCGCCCAAGGGCCCTTGACCTTTGTCAACCTGGGCACGTCGGGAGACAGGGGCTAAAAAGTCAGTTCACAAATGCGCAACGCAACTGACCAGGCCAAGCTGTCCCACAACGTTGTTGCCGGCGGCCCAGACATCGCCCTTGCTGTCGATGAGGAAGATGCCCGCACGACCAAGTCCGCCGCCAACCCATGTGGTACCGGCGGGCAGGCCGACAGACTTTGTGGAGATGTGCACCGGCGTGTCATAGCTAACAATGCCCTTGTTGGCCGACGGTCCATAGGCAGGCATCTTGCCAATAAAGTGCGCAACGCCGTTGACTGTTGTCAGCCATGAACGGTAAAAGGTGGCAACCTACTGTCAATGGCTCCGACATAGTTGGCACCGCATCCGGCGAGGAGCTTGGTGACCTTGACATGAGAGAGGGAACGAAGGATGTGGGGCTGGGACAGGTCCAAGTCACTGAAGCATCGTTAGTGTCATGCACAATGTAGGTCGACGAACTCTTGGCGACGCCCCTTGGTGCCGTTGGTAGCCCTGTATTGTTAGGTTGTTTCGAGGATACATGAACTTTTGAGGTGGATACGTACCAATCCAAACCTCCCGCAATGAGGACTGTTTGCGTCAACATTCGTGCACCGCTCGCGGAGCGCACACCCATCCCCCAAGTCGATAGGGTCACCAAATGATCACTTACCACGGCCCCACACTGGTTCTGTGCTGTCTGTGGTGGTCATTGCACGCAACGTTTATCTGGTTGTGTCTGTAGATGTAGAGCAAAAGTACGCGTCGAATGTTTAGCGAGGAACGCAAGATGCCGTGGGCCGTGTGGGTGAGTCGCGTGAACGTCGCGTGAACTCATGTGTGATCGAGGGATGGGTGGGCGGAGCCAAATGACAGGCCTCATCAATCAAACAGTGACGTGTAATAACAGACTTTGTTATCAGTGACGTCATTCAAGTCGTCGGCAGTTGCATTATGTTTTTTCTAATTGAAAATTCATTATAACTGTATAAGTGGTATAACTCGGCCCGACTTGACTTCGGTCACGCCCGGTCATGCGAGGAAACGTGTGTCGTCCGTCCAGGCGTCGTGCCCAGGCGTCCACCGCATGCTAAGCCCTGGGCCCCATATGGGTGGCGAGCTGCCGAAGCTGCAGAACGGCTTTTGAGCTGCGTCGAGTCCTGAGAGATAGTGTGGGCCAAAAGCTTGGCGCGAGCCACGAGCCATTTCTGTTTCTGCACCGAGTCAACCGACACGGCCTGCGATGTGAGATATTTTGTGACGCCCCGTCAGCGTTTCCGTTCGTTACAACTCACACCATCCAACATGTCTGCAACGGCAACAATGACCCAGCCGGCCCCAGTCGACCCCATCGCTCCCGGGGTCGACGTCGAGCTCATGAGCATCCGGTCCGTCGTCTCGCGCGAGGCTGGCGAGCGTGACCCCCTCCTGCTGCGCACCAAGATCAAGTCGGACGACGAGATCAAGGGGCTTCGCTCGCGCGGCAAGGTTCATGGCAAGCTTGCCAAGTTCTACGACGCTCAGAACGGCCACATCGACAACCTTCTCAAGCCATTGGCTGTCCACACCGCCGAAGCGGCACAAGAGGAGGAGAACATGGCGCTGAAGGTCAAGATTGCCGTCAACGTGTCGTTTGCCGCCAACATTATCCTGGCCGGTGTTCAGCTCTACGCCGCTATTAGCTCCATGTCGCTTGCTCTGTTTGCGAGCACCATTGATGCTGGTGAGTTCTTTCCTACGTCATAGAGATTGGCCAAGCACTGACGCCTCGCAGTTTGTAAGTGGCGCCGCCGAGGCATGGGCCCTGGGTGATCACGAACGGTTACTAACGCGACCAAAGTCGACCCCTTTGCCAACCTGATCCTCTGGCTTGCGCACCGCGCTTCGAACAAGGCCGAGGAGAGCAAGTGGCCAGTCCGTGGCTCCCGTTTTGAGACCAGTGAGTGTTGGCGATAACAGTTTGATGACACCAATGCTGACTTTCCAGTGTGAGCTACGGCCTACATCTTCACATGTGACGTTGAGCTGACAGAATAGCGGCAATATTGTTTACGGAGGGATCATGGGCGGCGTGAACGTTATCCTTATTGTGAGCAGCTCATGGAAATTTCACTCTGGAGCTGACCATCATCCAAGGTCGAGGCGTTGCAGGAGATTGCCACACACAAGTCCGGCGAGGGCGACACGAAAACGTTCCACGTTGTCCCGCTCGTTTGCGTCTGCATCGCCTGGGGTAGGTACCTACTGTAGCCACTTGTGCTCACCTGTTAGGTGTCAAGTTCTCTCTCTTCCTCTACTGCTTTGCTATCCGCAAGGCGTCGTCCCAGGTTCAGGTTCTCTGGGAGGACCACCGCAACGACATCATTGCCAACGGCTTTGCCATTCTCACCAACGCCGGTGGTGCCAAGCTCCGCTGGTGGATTGACCCCGTCGGTGCTATGGTGATCGCCTGCATCATCATTACCGTCTGGTGTAGGACTGTTTATGGTTCGTGAATTGACCGTGAAGAGGCTAACCTGGATAGAGCAATTCACCTTCCTTGCCGGCATCACCGCGCCGCCCGAGTATGTCTCCCTCGTCACTTACAAGGCCATGACCTTTTCGCCCGACATCAAGCAGGTTGACACCGTCCGCGTGTACCACTCCGGTCCACAGTACATTGTCGAGGTCGACATTGTCCTGTGAGTAGGCTGTTTTTAACAATTGCCACAAGATCGCTAACGATTTACTAGGGACCCCGAGATGCCGCTCTGGAAGGCCCACGACATCTCCCAGGACCTTCAGGACCAGATCGAGGCGCTGCCTGATGTGGACCGCTGCTTCGTTCACGTCGACCACGAAGTCGAGCACAAGCCCGAGCACCGCAAAAAGGTGTAAGAATCGCTGGACAGCTGGCAGAATGGCGATGATATAGATTCGACGGTATAGAGCCCCTATGGAGATGCATTCAGACAAGTTCAGAGCTTGGCAATGCACTCAGGCATAGGAGTTTAAGGTAGACATTGTGTGGAATGGGCGATAGAGTGGAACCGTAGCCCAGCAGCAGCAAGACGGAACGGTGCTCGGGAACCAGCAGCTTACTGGCATCAGCGTCTACAGCGGTGTAGTGGCCGAGATAAGGACAGAATTAACCACGGAACGGATTGATCTGCACCAAGGGCGCCGATTAACATACCACATCACGCCATCATCGCGACCATCGCTGTGCCGACGTGCCATCCTCCAAAACCGAATTGACAGAGCCAACTGCCGATGGCAGATTGGCAGTTGTCAACACCACCGTGCAGTTCCGTGTCACCGTGCGCTCTGTTAACTGAGGTTGCAAAATAAGGCGCGAGATGCTGCGACGGAAGCTTTCTCATCCAGTAGGCAGAACGGAAAAACAGCGACGGGGTCGAATGACGCAGCGCGCCATCTCAGTCAGCAGGCCAACCTCCACACTCACGCCCACCCAGTTAATTGCAAGTCGCTACTTGAAATCCACGATGCGTGCATCTTTCATCCGTTCATTCTCCCAAACAGCTCGCACAGCCATGTCCGCCGTCACCAAGTCTGACCCGAAGACTTACATCTTCAACCACACCATGGTATGTGACAAGTGCCCGCCAGCATACGGCGGCCCCGAGCATTGCACGTTGGAGCAGTGGATTGACAGACACGCAGTTCCGCGTCAAGGACCCCAAGGCGTCCATCGCGTTTTACGAGAACGTTCTCGGCATGGAGGTGAGTTTATAGGGCTCCTGGTAGGACAAAACTGACCATCAGTGCTTCCGTCGCGCCGACGGCCCCGACTTCACCAACTACTTGTGAGCACCTGCGGTGCTATCGGCGTCACTAACCAAACACAGCCTGGGCTACCCCTCGGGCTTTGGCGCCAACGCCAATGCCTCCCTGGAGGAGAAGGCCGAACTCATGACCACCCGCGAGGCTGTCCTCGAGCTCTGCCACAACCACGGCACTGGTGCGTGACACGATAGGCTATAGGCTACGGGAGAACACCTCACTGACGTGTGCCCAGAGAACGACCCCGACTTCAAGTACCACTCGGGTAACGAGGAGCCCGGCCGTGGCTTTGGCCACATCTGCATCGCCGTCGACGACCTCGAGGCTGCGTGCAGGCGCTTCGACGAGCTCGGCGTCAAGTTCAAGAAGCGCCCCGAGGAGGGCCGCATGCGCGTGAGTGTTACCAGAGTGGAGGCCGCAGCGGTGTCTAAACCGCCGGTTGGAGGGGAGTTCCACGCCGGTCGGTGAATTCCGATCCCACCACTTCTCCATCGTCTCTACTCATGTTTTCCTTCGTTTCTTTCGCTAATTGGAGCAGCACATCGCTTTTATCTATGATCCAGACCATTATTTCGTGGAGATCCTTGCTAAGCGTGGCCTCACGAATGCTGCTTAAGGCGTGGGAGAAGGAGATGCAAGTGATTCAACGAGGAGGAGGTGCGCGGAGGATTGGAATCATCAAGTGGTGACGAGAAAGCCGTCTGCCGGGCGTTTCCCGCCTCCTGGCAGCTGACACTTACAGAGAGACTCTTCTGTTGATATATTGCGGGCTTTTCGCGCTGCCGTCACGGAGTCACGGGTGTGGTGAACGCAGGCATGAAAGGAACTCACCACTAACGCTACTGATGTCCTGTGGCCGCTCTGAAGCGACTCACACCCAAGGTAGGGGCGGCATATGAATACGTCAAGGCGACCATTGCTTGGTAAGAGTCGCCCGGCGTGAAGGCCAACCATGGAAGGCGCAGCCAGCAAGGTGTCGAGGCGGTCCAACCAACGACATTCCTTTATATCCATGGCTCGCCATTGGGGAGACACTGCCGGTAATGATAACGTGGCTACCAATTGGCCGGGTAGCTCGACAGCGTATCGATATGGTACAGACTGCATACGATCCAACCCCAACTAATATCTACAAGTTGCTGGCCTGACTAACTAACCATTTACTTCTGCTTCTTGCTCAGATGAGCCTCGAGAACGTCAATAATATCAGCCTTCTTGGAGGCGCTGCCGAGGCTGATGCCGTGGAACTTTGCATAGTTGCGCAGGTCCGCCACCTTGAGCTGCGACTGTCAGTAGGTGGGCGATGGGATTATCACCTACTTTGTTCATAGAACCGTTCCTGTAAGCGCCGTCGACGTCTTCAAGGTCGTCCGCGTCAAGCTGCAGAGGTTAGCGCTTCGCTACGAATGTGGGGGAACGTACTTGGACGGCAGTGCGCTTGGTTGCAGCAGTGGTGACCTCGATTGCGCGGCTGTCGGCCTCAATCAGACGGTTCCATTCCTCCATCAACTGTCCCGCGGCTCCGTGGATACCGCCATACTTGGGTAACGCCTTGTCATCGAACAACTCGGTGTCAAAGTCTTCGTCAAAGGCAAGAGCCTGAAGCTGTTGCTGGTGGTATGCGAGAGCTGATGTTAGTTGATGTGGCGTGGCTTGTAGCAACTCACCAGGGTTAGGCCATGGGTCAGGCTTATAGCGCTTTGACTTGAAACGGAGACGCCTGACAATACGTTCCATCACTTTGGTCTGCTCCTCCTCAGCTGTGGCGGCGTTAGGGCTGGGATCTGCAGTAATCGTAACGCACCTGGAATGTTATCGGTAATAGCCCTGGGCTGATCACGGATATCATCCACAAACGGAAGGACGACAACGTGGAATCCAGGAGGGTCGTCCTGCGAACCTCTGTCAAACGTCTCTTCCTGTGGAATGAGGACGCAAAACTCGGGAGTGGAACCCGCGCGGAGGCGGCACAGCGCTAGCGCGTGGCGGTCCTGCTTGATGCATGATTGGAGCAGCGCGCTGAACGTGCGAGTACTGCCAGTGTAGCCTTTTTCATCGGGATAGATGAAGAATGCGTGCTTCATGTTGTCGCGATATTCGAGAAACTTGGGCGACTGAAAGCCAAGAATCTTGATTTCTGATGCGTCAGACCAGCTTCGAATGGGATGTGTACGCACGAGGGTCGATATCCATAGAGCGGAAACTGGCAATCTCCTTGTCTGTGAATTGGACCTGGTGCGTTTAGCGATGCGCTTGAATGGACCAGCTTACCCTCGTCCTAGCCACGACCTTGGGGCTCGATGGCATCGCCTGGTTGACGCTGTTGCTGTGCTGAAAGAGGAGTCCCTGGAGCTGTCTCTCCTGTTCCTCCTGGTACTCCTCCGTCTCCCACCAGTTGCGCTCAAGAACGTTCTGGATCGCCGACTCTCTGCCAAACTGGAAGGCAGAAGTGATTTCAGACTCGGCGAGGTCTCCGCCGGTTTCCTGTGAGGTCAGACCCAAAGCTCTGCAAGCGTTCCCACTCACAGCTGATGTGTATGCCGTCTTGATGGCCACCTCTTCCACCGCTTGACCGCGCATGCGGACGTTCTTTGGCTGGCCCTTTTTCTGCTCCGAGATGAGCGCATAACTGGTTGTCAGTGGTGCGCTATCAGAGCCATGTTTAGCGCTCACCCGCTGACACCAATCTCAATGTCGCCGTCACGCCCTCCAAACTTGAGAGGCACAGTAAACTGCCTGCGCTTGGGAGTCTGACGGACGACCAATTCGAGAATCATGTCGGTCAGTTGTTCCAGTCCGTCCTCCGTCTCGGAGGCAAGGTCTCCACGGTCGAGAATGTCCTGCGCTGTCAGTTGGAGGTGCTGGCATCAACTCACGTTCCAGTAAACGCTAGGGTCAAACTTGTGGCCCGGGCGGTTGACAAAGCAAGTCTCGACGTGGACGCCATAGGTCGAAAGGTCCTAGACTATCAGCAAAAGGAAGTCCATTGTGGGGCACACTCACGCCAAAGATGGTGCGGGCGGGCGCGCGGTTAGAGCCTCCGGGGGGATCATCATTGTCGGTGACAAGGAACACGCGTTTGTTGCCAACAATCTTCGTGCCGCTGGAGAGGTTAGCAGGATCGTAGATTGTCGTAAGCTCACCCGTCGCGGAAGAGAAAGTTGCAGGTCACAAAGACGTCGGCAACATTCAGCTCGTCCTTGCTGTCAATGGGAGGGAAAGTTTCGCGGAGAATGGCGGGCTCGACCGTAGGTTCGTCAGAGTCGCTCTGCTCGTCATACTGCTGGTTGGCGGTTTCGAGCAGCTGGAAGAGCCGTTTAATGTCTTCGACGACAATTTGACGGAGAGCCTGCACGACGTAGGTTCCGGGTTTGTAGTTGCCCGCAGCGGACTTTTGGGTCTTGGTGGACTGGTGGGTTAGCTTGTTGTCGCACAAAAGGACACCCACGTCGACGTTGTAGAACATCAGCCCAACACTGTCCTGAGGACCGGTGACGACCTTGCGGCGCTCAATACCGACGACAGCGTCGAGAGCCTGGTGCAGAGGGCTTTTACCGCGGATAAGGCCACCGGGGTTCTCCTCGTCGGCCATGGGTTGGTGCATTGACTCGGACGCGTCGATCGCGAACAGAATGTGGTCGCGGTTGGCGTACTGGTACTGTCACAACATTAGCACAGGTGAGCGTTTTGGCACCTACTTCGGCCGTGTCAAGGACATCTTCGTCGTATCCATCGTCCAGGGAGTCCCATGTCGGCGCGTTTCCGGCGCCATCGCCGTAGTACGAGGACATGGTGGCGATGAGGGTGATGGAGAGAAGGAGCAACAACCCAACATGAACATGGATCCAGTCGCGTCACTATTCCTGGGGTCCCCGCGGCCACCGACCCTATTTTATCCAGTCCTCCCCCTTTACCTCGCTCCCGTCCCTCTCTCCGTCCTCATCATGGTTACTGCCGCCATCCCGCACCACTTATCATCCTCTCTCTCCCACACCAACCACAATGTCTATGCCCCCACCGCCTCCCCCGGCGAGGCCATCGACTGCGCCCGCGACAAGGTCCCCCCTCTCCAAGTCTCCCAACAAGTCGCCCAGCCTCAAGCCCCTGACAGCTGTCAACGCTGCCAACGTACCGGAATCGGGAGCGCTTGCCGATGCCATTTCCAAGATAGACAGTCTGCGCCTGTCCCAGCCGCCCAGCACGACAAACTCGCCTCCGTCCACGTCTGGAGCGTCTAGCCCAGCTAGCCGTGCCCGCACGTCAATCTCTGCTCTCAGCGCTACCTCTGGCGACGGCAAGTTCCAATCGCCGCCCCAGACACCCCACTTTGGTGCCCAGACCGACCTGTGAGTCGACATGGCTTGCTATTTGCACACACACACATACTCATACTGCACAGCTTGAAAACTCTTGATGAAAGCACAAAGGTCATCCGCCAGAGCGCAAAGGGGCTCGAGCGTGCCCCATCTGTATCTGGTATCGGCAACGTTGGTACGTAGCTAGGCCGTGCCTGGTCTGACCCGCCTTTCGCTAACGCTCGCCCTCCAGTCGAGAAGCCAGACTACTCCGAGGCCAAGATTGTCGTTGCCATGGTGCGTAGTGGTAGATGTTGAGACACGCTGAACAGGTCCAGGTCGGCCTCCCGGCCCGTGGCAAGTCTTACCTCGCGAACAAGCTCATGCGCTACATGAGGGCAAGTGTCGAAAAAACAATGTTTGTTGTTGTGCTGTTATCTGACATTCCGCAGTGGCTCGAGTTCAACGTCCAGGTCTTCAACGTCGGCCAGCTCCGTCGTTCCAAGGCCAGGACGCTGAAGGAGACTGAGGGCAAGAAGGCGGACCACTCGGCCCAGTTCTTCTCCGACTCGAACCCCGATGCCAAGGCATCCCGTGAGATGCTCGCCGAGGAGAGTCTGGAAGCTCTGATCTCGTGGCTCAAGGCCGAGGGCAACGTTGGAATCATGGGTAGGTGGTGAAGCAGAAAAGTTAGGTGGTCAGCTGACACGTCCGCAGACGCGACGAACAGCACTTATGAACGGAGGTGCGTTACTCTTGCACACGCGTGTGCTAACTTGCTCCCAGAGAGAAGATCCGCGAACGAATTGCGCGTGAGCCCGACCTCCAGCTGCTGTTCCTCGAGTCGTACTGCGACGACCCGTCCGTCATCGCCTCAAATGTCGCCCTCAAGGCGACGTCCGGTGACCCCGACTACAAGGGCATGTCGACGGCCGAGGCTGCCGCCGACTTCCGCAAGCGTATTGAGCAGTATGAGAAGGTGTACCAGACCATTACCGAGCCCGATATCTCGTTCTGCCGCATCATCAACGTCGGCAGGCGGGTGTCCATCAACCGTATCCAGGGTTACCTCCAGAGTCGCATTGCGTTCTACCTCATGAACCTGCACCTCAAGCCCCGCAGCATTTATCTCTCCAGGGTGGGTAATCCGGGCGTAGTGCTTTGCTAACCCATGCAGCACGGCGAGTCAATGTACAACGTCGAGGGCAAGATTGGCGGTGATGCCGAGCTGTCGCCTCGTGGTATGATCTACGCACAGTCGCTGCCTGGTCTGATCAAGAAACATATTGGCGATGGGCCACTCGAGGTGGGTGACGAAACGAAGCGAGGCTGACCCGGCAGGTTTGGACTTCCACTCTCACGCGTACCATCCAGACTGGCTCGTTCCTGCCCAAGGACTTTGAGCAGAAGCGCTGGAAGTCGCTGGATGAACTGGATGCTGGTGTTTGTGACGGCATGACCTACGAGGAGATCGAGGTGAGTACAATCTGTTCTCCCCAGCTGACGCCGTCCGCAGCAAAAGTACCCCGAAGACTATGATGCTCGTGACGAGGACAAGTTCAACTACCGCTACCGTGGTGGCGAGTCGTACCGCGACGTCGTGGTGCGCCTCGAGCCCGTCATCATGGAGCTTGAGCGCCAGGAGAACATTCTTATCATTGGTCACCAGGTGAGTTGGACGATACATGTCCATTGTGCTAACACCTCGTCAGGCCATTATCCGCTGCCTGTACGCCTACTTTATGGAGCTTCCCCAGGAGCAGCTGCCGTACATCAAGGTGCCGCTGCACACGCTCATCCGCATCTCGCCCAAGGCCTACGGGTGTGAGGAGGAGCGCTACCACCTCCCCATCGAGGCTGTGGACACGCACCGCCCCAAGCCGTCCAAGCACGGCCACAAGGTCATCGAGATGGCCGAGCACAGCAACACCAAGCGCGATTACTATGGCGAGTCGGGCGCCGCTACCCCGCAGCAGAAGCCCGTGGCGGATGCAGACGCGCCAGCGGCATAAACGTGGTCGTCGGGTAGGAGGGGCGCATGCCTTTGGGTGATTGAGTGAAGGAAGGCCTGCTTGAAGAAATGTCTGCGTTGTAGTTTTAGAATGAATCAGCTGTTTCCAGATGGATGCCAGGGCAGTGTGTGTGGAGGGCGGAGGGGACAGGAGGCGCTGGGCTTATCGCCAGAAGAAGGATAGTGCCATGATCTCCTCCGCCTGTGGGCATTCTGGCGGCGAAGAAGCCTGACCTGTTGGGGCAGGTACAGAGAGCCACACGGACATTGCAACCACCATCGGACAGCAACAACTGCCGCAAAAGTAACATTTACATGCCCAACTGCCCATGCCGTCCCCATGCAAACTACAACGCGTCTCATGTGTCGCGAAAATCCCCAAATGGTCGTTGCGCGGTGCATAACCCCCACGGAAACAAAATGCGCCAGGCATGCCGTGTTGACAGACAGGTCGATGGTAGTCGCCATCCAGGTGTACGTGGTGGCGGCTGGGTGTCGAGGATGCGTGCCAGGGGGCAGAGGCCACAGAACTGGGATTGACGGGGGTATTCTGGGGCTACCCCTCCTGCGGCCTGCTGCGACAGTGGACTACTACAATGCATGTTCGAGTGCCCAACGATAACAACGACTGAGAACCACATCGACGATGGCCTCGATAGCGACCCGTCGAGCCGAAGAAACCCGTCTTGCCGGAGTAACTTTGTCTCCGCCCTGGACGTCGATCCCCCCGCCCCCGCCAAACCCATGATCGACGGTGCGTTATTGCATGCCCCAGAGTGTGTGTCTGCACTGTGTGGGACGTGGCCCCTTGTCGCGGTCCAGACCCCCTCCGACGACGGCCAGAGCAACGCGCCCCGACATGGGCCCGCAACGAACCGGCCCCGGGAGCGGTCGGATGCTGGATGCAAAAAGCGGGGTGACGCACAGGGATTGTTTTGCGCGGCAGCGGGGAAGAGCATATCACGTCATGCGGCTTGGGTGCCTCTTGCGCGCGGGGGGGGCGGTGGGTGACGCAGGGGCGGCGGCAGCAACTTGGAACCTGTCGATCACAAACCCACCACCACCGTGGGGTTTGCGCGGGTTTCTTTGGTCCCAGCTTCTTCCATGCAGCGCACAACGGAATACATCTGCAGCTGCTATCGCCCACTCTTGTCAACAACCACCACACATACACCTGCCACCATGCCCTACATCTCACCCACAGCAACATTGCGGCCCCCTCCTGCTCCCCAGCCCCCTTCCTCCCCGCTCGCCACCGAGCCTGAGCCTGAGCCAGTAGCACAAAGCGAACCGGTGGCCCCCGAGCCTGCCCAGCCTGTGTCCGAGCCCACCACCTCCGTCGACTCGATCACAGCGGCACTGGAGGACACGGTGCTGGAGGACACGTTGCTGGAGGACACACCGCTGGACGCCACGTCTCCAGACGCAGCACCCGCGCTGAGCGACTGCGCAACGTCCTCGAGCAGCTTCTCGCTGCAGACCATCTCGAGTGTGAGGTCCAATTCGACGGCACCGTCTACCCCAGACGTCATGGACGACGATACCACCATGCTCAGTGCCGAGGCCGTGGCCGCGTACTCGCGCTCCGTCTACGAGTTTACGCTGGAGATGTACCAACTCGCGCAGGCGCGTGCATTGAGGAAGACCAAGCCGTATTCCTGTGAGTGGTGGACACACAACACACGCCCTTATCGGCCAATGGCGTAGACCAACCGCGTCATGGGCAGTACACACACAGTGACTGACGTCTTGTCTTAGTTGCTCTTCCCACTCCAACACAAGTCGCGCCGCCCTAGAGGCCCAAGCCTGCCCAGTTGTAGACATAGAGGCTCGCCTCGGGACACTCGTCCACACAATATCTCTGTACACCACCAAGCTCATGTATTCCGCCGCATTGCATTGTCACCGAAACCACCAAAGAGTGGACAAGTGGGTCAAGTGGTCTTGTGCCCAAAACTGTATTCGTCCAATCCGGACACCGCCAAGCTCCGGGACCTGGGTGGTGTGTTGCCCCCAGACCTGTTACGTGCCTCCCGGTCGTCATGATAGATGTTGGGCCCGCTGGCCACTCGCCAATTGCATTCTCGTCGAGGCGTCGCGGAGACGACCCCCGGAATGGTGGAGCGATGCTGGGGGCCCGTCTGCAGCCGCACAGCGGCGGCGCAGAGTCACCGCCAGGCCCGCGAGTGCTCGTGACGCTGTGGCTGTACCCACCGCATTCCTCTGACCAGAGCAGTGGATTCATCTAGGGCACTGCTTTGGCCTTTTGGTGCACTTGCATCAGAATGCGCGGGGTACAGCTACGGCACAGGACAAGTTGTGTGCGCGTCGCCTTTGTCTTGTTCTGGAGCGTTGTTTGTGTTCTCGTGTTCTGCGCCACACAAACAAAAATTGGAGAGTCTAACCTAGCAGAGTTTAAACCACTTTGATAGCGTTTCCCAGGACGACGGTGTGGAAAGTGCCCAGCGCGTTTGGGCGTGGTCTTTGGCGTCATCGCACCGGCTACATGCTGCGTCGTGGCCGCGGCGCCACGGGCACCAGCGACCAATGGGCCTTGGGTATTGAATTCGGTGATATCATCGTCTCCCACGGCCACCTGTTCACATGGACACCCTGCCAACTACGGCTCGTGCGTCATGGCGTCCGACGACCCTTTGGCCTGCAGGTCATCAGGTCATCAGGTGGCACGTTGTGCGGTCATCAGGTCATGCAGACAGGTCATGCAGGTCGTGGTAGGCGGTCACCGCCAGGATAATGACAAGGGGGGACGGCAATGGCCACAGTAACGCAGCGGCCGAGAAGCGAGAAGCCCCTACCGCAACCTGCCCGTGTTCCCGTGCGCCGGACATGGACATGTGGTGGGGCCGGGCCTGGGACGAGTTGGGGAAGTCAAACGAGGATTTATGGAAGACACGCTTCGTTTACCCCAGTGCAGTGGCCAGTGGCACTGGCCCGTCAGACGCTCGTCTATCGCAATCTGCCTGTCAAGTGTCGTCTCGTCGCCATGCGTGCATGCGCGTTTGCGCGTTTGCATGGCGTGCATGCATGCATGGCTTGTGGCTGCGTGCCTGCAGCCACGCGATCGACGGTACCAAAACAGCGGTACCAAACAGTGGCAGTGGGAACGCTGCGCTCATAGCTCTAGGCTCTCGGTGATCCGTGTTCACGCGTCCAGGTGATCAAGAAGGACGAGACAACGTATTTGGCGCAGATAAGCACCGAGCGACGCGCGGAGATGCGTTTGTCAGCCAGGCATCGCCCAGGCTGGTCGCATTCTTTCGGATGTGCCAGTCCAGCTGGGTCCGCCACAAGGAATGCAACAGCGGCACTGCCTTGGCTGGCACTCTTCGCCATGGACTGGACGATATGTGCACCCTTCGCCCAGACTTCAAGACGGCGGGATCCTACAAGGAGCGCCGCAGAACAAGACACAAGACCACTTTAGCAGCTCAACTGCAAGCTCTGGGAGCGATTGGCGCAAAAGGGTTCGAATCACATCAGCGGTTTCTTTCGACAAAAACAATAGTGTGTATTTCGTGGCCGCGAGAAACACACTATGCGTTGATGGTGTTTGGCCCTGGTGCGCCCCGAGTCCACTGCACGCCACTCGCTACGGTGCGGGCATTGAAAAAAACGGGTTCGAATCACATCGGCAGAGAACAAAAAAAAAAAACAATAGTGTGTATCTCGGTTGGAAACGCAGTATGCGTTTAGGGGTTTGGTGTTACGGCTGCACAGTGTGTTTTTCATCGGTCATGCGGCGCGCCAGGAGGGGGATGGGTATCACATAAGTCTGCCAGTGTAATACGTATCCCAGCAGCTGCATGCCGTATACCGGGGCAGACATGCTGCACCTCGGCGGCCTTTGGCAGCGCCGTGAAGAAGGGGCAATCCGGGCAGGGTACGAATAGAGGGGCTTTTGTTGGCTAGGGAGGAGCTGTTTGATGAGCGCCTTCACCGACGGCGACTTGTACAAATGGGTGTTGTCGTCTGGGTTGGGCAGCGGAGCGATGACCGGCGACTGATGTCTGCTGGCTGCAGCCGACGCCCTGATCCAGGCCAGCGAGTTGTGGTGGATGAGGACCTTGATCGAGGTCGCTGCAGCCGCCTGGATCGCGCGGAGCTGGGCGGTGATCGCGGTGAAGAGGGGTGGGAAAAACGTCGGCAAATGGACAAGGAGGTCCGTTGTGGTTGTCCACATGAGAGCAGCTGGCGTGTTGACCGAGGGGTCCAGTTGTCCGAGTTCCAGCGCGTGTTCGTAAGCCTGGTAAGAGTGCAAGATCCGTTTCTCGCAGAGGTCGTCCTTGGACAGTTTTTGGAACGGGGGTTCGGACTTCTGGCAACAGTGCTCTCCGTTGATGGTGGTGACCACCGCCGCGCCGTCACACTGAGGACAGGACAGCACCGTCGGATGTGCCTTGAGTCCGTGTCGAGTCTCGTTCCCTTCTTGTCGACGGCCGACCTCCACTCGAGCTCGCGCCGAGCTTGGTTGGATTCGGCAAAGCGGTACTTGGCATACTCCTTACGGCCATCAGTGTCCATCAGTCGTGTGACGTGGCTGTGGGACGCTTGAGCCGCGAGGGTGAAGTTGTATGTAGTGGCGGGGCTTGACAGGATCCATGCCTTCGCCTCGGCCCGGGTGTGGCGGGAGAACAGTGGCAGCGAATGGGGGACAAAGTCGGCGAGGCCCGTTTCTTCGATGCGATCGGCAAAATCCAAGATGTCTTCCGCTTGCACCTCGCGCTCTGACGAGTATGCGTCACCTTGTCCGATCACCAGTGACTCGTTGCCCACAGTTCGCGAGCGTGGGACATGCCCGCCGACAACTCGCGAGCGTCATCCTGCGCTGTCAGCGTCTGCAGCTAAACCCAGCACGAGGAGACTTACATCGCCCTTTGCCTGTGGCTCTTTGACAAGCCGGAGTTTCCCCAGGGCCGCCACGATAGCGTCATACGCCTCCACAGCATGGTCCAGCTCGCGCATCAAGCCCGACTCTTCGAGGCCTGCGAGAACCGCTTGGCGACAGTCGATCAGCCATCGATAATTGTCGCCGGTTGGAGGAGGTCCCTTGGTCTTGACAGTCTCGACGATGGCGGCCTCGGCCTTGACATTGATGCGCTCCACGATCTGCATCACGGGAAGCGTGGCCGTCTCCATGCGAGGATCGTATTTGAGGGTGCCAGGGTGGAAGTTGCAGATGGCAATGACCCAGAAGTCAGAGTCCCGGGGACCGACTCCAATCGCAACGGGACGACCCACTTTGCCGCTGACATTGTGCGTCGCTGAGGTGTGGAGCAACGACAAGTAGGCGTCCTTGACGAGCGGCCTGATGGTATCAAAGGTACTCGAGGAGTCGGCAGCAAGGACGTTGCCGGCCTACGGTTGACCACACGGGAGGGGACGGAACATGTCCGCCAGAGCATTGCCAAAGATGTACTTGGCCGCCTCGCCAGAGTACACCCAGACCCGGGGTAGCCGGACGGGCGAGAGATAGTGGCTCACAAGGAAGAGCTGTTTCCGGACCTCGTCTTCCGTCTTGAGGACGAGCTGCCAAAGGTCGATGCGAGGGCCAAACCATGAGCCCATGTCCTCGTGCTGCTCGTCGCCCTCGAATAACTGGGGCGGGAGACTCCAGTTGCTTCACCGACTTGAACTGCCAGAAGCGAAGGTACAATGTATGTCGTGCCGTGGTCAGATCCAGACTCGCTTGCCGCCCTCTTCCTCTTTCCGCGGGCGTCTGCGCTGCTGATTTGGGACGGCCGAATGTGGGTCCACTGCGAGCTGAGGTTGGCTGGATCAAATACAAGCCCTGTCGCTCCCAGTGCCAGGAGGTCGTCGGCGACGTTGGCAAGCTAGTTTGAGGTCAGAACTGTCGGGCGTGCAGTCGCTGTGACACGCACCAGTGTTGCGCCTTCACTCGAGATCGGTGCTTCACCATGAGTCTCGCGGTCCTTGTCGATAGCCTCCAGCAGGAGGGACTGCCGGTGCGGGCTGTCTGGGACCGCCGTTGCCATGGCGCACCGTTCGCGGATCTTGCAAAAGGTCAGAGAGGCATCCACCAGTCAATCCACATACCTGGGACGAAGAATCAGCAATGAGGCTGACCTGGTCTTGCAAGACGAAGGGCAGCTCAAACCTGTCAGCGGGGTCTGGGCCCAGAGTCAGCCAGCGTCACGCGATATTGGACTCACGAGGTGAGTCGCTGTGAAGGGGAAGGGGGCGTGACACGCCCGAGACGGTGTGGGGGAGTGTGGGCGACGATGCGTCGCCAGAGGGCGCTGAGGTCCCCGGGCTGTGAGGCGAGGGAGGCTCCATGTCGTTGGAGCGTGAGCGTGGTGTTGTGAGATGGGTATGGGGGAGGAAAGGAGGAAGCCATTCCAAGGAAGGCGATCTGGTTGACTGGAGACCCATCCACAGACTCCTCCACCAACGCTGATCAGGTCCACTGTCATGGGTGAAAGGGCAGCTGAGGTGCGGTGTGCCACCAACCAGCAAGTGCCACCAGCAAGTTTGCACTTTCATGGGCCACCGTGCTCCTCCTGCGCAACAGTGTCGTGGTTCTACTGCTGTGCCACTGAGCTGTACATGTATGCATCATTCTGATGGCCGTTCCGCTCCTGGGAGACTTGCGGCGTCAGGCATCTGGTCATGGCAGGCCAACGAGCATGCCACGATGGTACGAAACCGCCACAAAACCGTGTCTGTCGGCTACAGACATACCCAGGTCATACCCATCCGAGCTTTTGATACGACTGCCCGCCACCACCCCCCCATGCATTGCCAGGTCATGCTCTCTGTCTTCGCCATGCCAGCAGGCTCCTAACCATGACAGGTCAGTCGCGCGATCAGTCGCCCCATCCAAGGGCACACTGATCGGCGGATCGGCGGCCATCCACCTCCAATTTCGTCCAACCCACACCACTCCACCCACCTCCGCCACCAAAAAAAAACCTCCGACCCTCCGACATTCACCACCCCATTCCTCGCGTTCCACCAGGTCAACATGCGTCGTTCAAGGCATGAATCGGTAGCCACGATACAGGCGAACAGGATACAAACAAAAGGTGGCAATGTGGCGGAGTGGTTAACGCGATTGACTCGAAATCAATTTCCTTCGGGAGCACATGTTCGAATCATGTCATTGTCGAAAACGCGAGGATCCGGTTGGATTCCTCCTCTTTTGCTGCGTGTGGGGAGGGAGGGCTGCGGGCGTGGGCGTGGGGGATGAGGGAGGGCACGGGAATGAGGGGAGGGAGGTGAGCGGTAGGTCGGGTGGGTCCTCTTGTTCAATGTTCTTGCGCAAAGTAAGCGGTCCCCTCGCACAGTACGAAGGCCCTTCACAAAGCGGGGTATTCTCTCGCAATGCGAGCGAGGTATGTCCTCTGGCAAACGAACGCACTTCCCCAGACACCACAGCTGTATCCAACCGCAACGAGTCATCCAAGTCTCTTGTCTCTTTACGGCAACAAGTTGGTCACATATCCCCCCTACAACAACTGCCACGTCCCGTCCGCGCGCTGCTCGACCTGCCCCTCGCGCTTGGCCGCGGCGAGGAACACGGCCAGCTCGTCGACTGTCTGGTCATAGTCCTTGACGAGGGCAAGCATGCGCTGCATCGTCTCAATGTTCTGCGGGCCGAGGTTGCTGAGCATGCCCTTTATGTACTGCGCCCCGTCAGATCGGACAGTCCATGCCATCTTCGTTCTTCTTACCATCCAGTACATGCCGCCCTTTTGGGCACGCTGTTCGTCGACGCTCTCAAAGACGGGTGCGGCCGACTCCAGCACGTATGCTGCGGGTGCATGTCAGTTATAAGCGGTAGATAGAGACAACTCACACCTGTGCGCGTCGGTGCCTTCCTCCACCACCTCGAGCAGGCGCCACGCGCCGTCTTCCTCCTTGAGCACGCCGTGGCTTGCCCACACGGCCAGTGCGGTGCGGACGGGGATGTCGCCCACGACGAGCCTGTCCATGAGGTCGGCCTCGGTCCAGCGGTCCTGCGACTCGAACAGCTCGGCCACGGCAGCCTGCAGCGGCGTGACCTCGACTTCGACGACGCGGTCCTCGAGCTCGAGCCTGACGGACACGTTGCCCATCTCCTGGAGCCAGCGCAGCCGCTTGTCGGGCTTGAAGTGGTGGAACGCGGCCTCGTACTTGGTCTGGACTGTCTCGAGCTTTTTCGTGAGGTGGAAGGACGATGACTGGATCACTGGCCAGAACATGCGCGAGATGATGAGTGGGTGGATGACAGACTGGGGGGCGAGAGTTAGCAGCAGACTCGTCGCATTGCAACTCACGTCAATGTCGCCGTGGACGTGGTCGTCGATGCGCTTCGAGTCGGCCATGTCCTTGAGCATGACGTCGCAGACATGCAGCGCCTCTTCGCCAAAGCGAATCTTGAGCAGTTCAATGGTGCGGAGCTTGGCTGTCAGTAAATGTAAGAAAACATCACGGCTCACCTCCTTGACCGAGTCATAGTCGTTGATGGCGAGAAGACGCATGGCCAAGTATGCCTGGAGCTCGTCGACAATGACCTCGCGGGTCTCGTAGATGCTGACGAGGGTACCGACGACGTCTGCCGTCTTGCCCGTGCGGAATTCCGGTGCAGCGTCGTTGGGTTCTGGCTCCCACTTTGGATCCCAAAACTTTTCCACCGTGTTGTCGTTGGTCGACGCCAAGGGTTCCGCAGACGACGGGTCGTTTTCGTCTTGCAACTCTTCGCCCTCTACAAGGGTAGAGACAATACAGCGAATGGTGTCTGGACGGTCGCGAAGGTGGCGGCGAATTGGCTCGGCGACCTTGTGCAAGAGAACACCGATGGGGTCGAGGATGCGCAGGCAACGGATGGTGGAAATGTACTGCGTAATCACGTCCTTTGTCTCTGCTCCAGGGTGCAGCAGGCGCTTCAAGTTGCTGCTGGGTTAGTGTGTTGAGAAACTACAGACTATACCCACGCTGCTCTGAGCTTGTCCACGAGAACGCCACGTTGGTCGACCTTGGCCAGGCAGTCCTGTGGCCGTCAGTTAAGAAAATCCCACAGCAACTCACGCGGAGGTCCTCGAGGGCAGCCAACGAGTCCGGGTAGTCGACAATAATGTCAAACAGCTCATCTGTGCTGTGTGGGTTAGTCGCTGAGGATGGCAGTGTCGACCCACCGTATGTCAAAGAACGACTTGCACAGGTAGTAGTCGAAGCGCGAGTACATTGGCCGCAGGAGCGATGGCGGGTTGTCGCTGTCTGGTGGGTAAGCACTTCACCCGCAGTGTTGTGGCACCCACTTTCAAACACCCCAGACATCCAAGTGACGACACTGTCGGAAACACGCTGCCTCGCACGGCCCAACCTGCGTTCCGTCCACCCTGCTGCAGCCTCCTCCTGGGCAATGGCCTCAATGTCGTCATAGGCGACGCGCATCAGCGTGGTGGCGTACCGCGGCAGAGTTGACAAGCGATGCAGGTGAGGTGAAGGTGCAGGCACGCGACGCTTGCTCTTGGCCGGGGTGACGGTCTGGGGAGGGTTGTTGGTGGCGGCATACAGCAGCTCGGGGTCGTCCTCGTCCTCGTCGTTTGGCGGGAGAGACGCGAGCGACCCGGCGAGAAAGTTGCGCATGTACTCGGGGAAGGCGGCGGGGAGGGCGGCATAGAGGAGCTGCTGGAACTGGGTCGTAAAGGACGACATGGTCTTGTTGCTAACAGGTGTCAGTAACCTTGCAAGGTGGCGCTCAAACTTACTCTCCAAAGGAGCGCAGGGGGAGCCCCCACGCGCGCTGCCAGGTGGCCATGCGCTCTAGCATGTCCACCATCATGTGCTGTGTCTGCGGTGTGGCCGACAGCGTCTCAGTCTTTTGCAGGGCACTGAGGAAGCGCGACACGTCGTTTCTGACAAGATAGAACCTGGCCTCCACGGCGTCTGGTTGCGTCAACAAGAGTGTGGCCGGCGGGTCCCTCTTTGCTGGGTGCACACATACCTGTAAAGTCTTGATGCAGCTCGCCGAGGCGTCCGGCTGCGCGCAGGACGGCAAACGCGGACGACGTCTCGGCCTTTTCAGCTAATACATATTAGCCCATGCCATGCTACTGACAGTCTACTCACTGGCCCTTCTCGAGGCAGAGATGTCACGCGGGTAGATGTGTGACCGGGCAATGGCCATTGCCTGTTTGGTTTGGTTAGCTAGCTACCAACGACCCTCTCCACCACACAATGACACTCACCCTTGCGACATCATACCGGCGAGCACCTTCTGCAGAGGTCGTTGGGAGATCCCACCCGTCCAGCGCGGCGACGAGGGCCATGGTGTGGTGAATGTGTGTCTGATGGCTTGTGCAAGGACAATGACGCCTCTGGGTGACTGTTGACAACGATGGAGCGCAGGTGCAAATACCGTGGGAAAGCTGGGGCACGCAATTAGACTATTACGTAAGTATCTAAATATGGTTCCGTGGAGCGGCTCCCGCACTGCGCGTTCCAAACATGAGAGGGGGCGGGGCGGCTTCCGGCGGCAGATGGCGTTTCTCTGGCGGCGGGGCACGCAGCTTCACGCAGCACGCAGCGCAGTAACAAGCAGATTTAGAGGCAGTTGTCAAGGAGCGCGCACCCGCGCGTGTCATTCAACTAGAGATAGAGCTAACAGAGGGTGTGACGGAGACAAGAGGGAAAAAAAAAACACCCACAGACAGCAGCGTTTCCTGACTGCCGAGACTACGCGGTGGCTGCGGTCTGTGGCCGGTGGTGGCGCCGTCTGGCTGCTTAGCTGCTTCCACCCTTCTCTCGCACGCGCGTGACGGGGGTTCAGAATTCTAGCTGATGCAGCAATCGTGGCAGTCCTGTACGTCGTGTTATGCACATGCACACATCGGCTGCCTGCTGCATTCCAGGCTGCGCTGTGCCTTTTGGTTTAATTCTTCATCAGCCGAGATACAAACAACAGAGTCTCTACGGGCGGAGGGAAACACTTTTGCCCAGCCTTTTCTCGCACAAACTCTGTGTGTGCTCTAGTTTGTGGCCTGTGGCATGTCCCCCCGGTTGCTCTGTTACGGCTGCGCTTGTTCGCAACGCACCTGCTGCCCGGTTCCTCTACTTCGTATCCCTTCATGCTTGGCAGTAGTCATTTGCACGGGGGGGGCGGTTGTGATGTGTCGTGAGAGCCCGAAAAGTCTTGGAGACTCTTGTCGCTCTTGGCTCGACACGAGATATTGTCCGCTGCGTCTCCCTGATCCTGTGACGCATCACATCATCCATGATCCGTGCTTGTGGACGCTATCTGCAGACACATGCACGCCGCGAGGGGCTCGCGTCTACAGGGAGATGCATGTTACGACACTGATACTGTAAGCCTCTTTCTCTGTACACTGTCGCCCGGGCCCTTGTGCGGGTATTGCTCTCTCTCTGCCTGTATCGAAACGTCAGGACCACACACTTGGACACTTGGCAGACGTGCGCGTCTGGATGGGTGTGTGTGTGTGTGTGTGCGTGCGCAATAAAGGGGGGTCGACGGGAGGAAAAAAAAAAAGGAAGGCAGAGACAGAGGAGGAAACGGGGCCTTTTGGAACGACGCGTGTGGGCGTGTGGGCGGAGGGGAGAGAGGGGGAGAGGGACTGGGGGCTGCGCGCGCGCTTTGCTGTGCGCGCGTGCAATGGGACAGCCTGGGGCGTGTGGGCGGCGTGCGCGCGGGTGCCAGGGCGGTGGGAGGGGAGGGAAAGAGAGAAGGGGGGAGGAGCAAAAAAAAAAAAAAACCGCCGTCACTGCCCGGCCCCCTCTGCTGCCCCGCCCATTGCTGTTGCGTTTGGCCTGGCCTCCTCACACACGACACACACACACACACCACCGCTGGCCCCCCGTTTCCCTGTTTTTCTTCCCTGTGGTGGCCTCTCTCTGGCCCTCTGGTCTCTCTAGCGTCCTCCTCCCCCCGTCTTCCACCTGGCTCGTGCACAGCCCGCACCGCTCGCTCGTTCCTCTCCGTCTGTGGCCCGTCGTCGTCGACACCGGACGCTCCATTGCCATCTCCTCGTTGTCGTTCATCCTCAACCACTCCATACACACCCACACTCACACCCACACCTCCCCCTCCTCCCTCCTCCTCCCCCCCGCATCACCTTCGCCCTCCCCCCAGGCGTCACTCCCTCTCTCCACCACCGCCCCCAAGCAAGGCCTTGCGGGCCCGGCTGCCAACCCCCCCCCCCCCCCCCCCAACACCGGAAACGACACACACACACTCTCCACACCACTACTGCCGTCCACATACACATCGACCGTAGTTTATATCCTCACGTTTCCCCCCCTCCCACACCCACACCCCCTCACGCCCGCCTCTTGATTCGACCCGTGTGCAAGCATTGAACACATCTGCATTCGTGTAGCGTAGTGTCGTCACAGACCAGACACGCGTGTTTGTAGGTAAGTGGTGTCATTTCTGTGTCCTGCCCCCACCCACCCACCTACCTCATCATGTTTTCCACCACATGTTCCCTTCGCGACGCTGCGCTGCGCGTCTGCAATGGCGTTCCACCATGGGATGTCATCATTGTGCCCGGGCTGTGCAACGGGTTGGTTGCACAACCGTAGCCAACCAGTGCGCCAAGCGCCGCCCGCCTCCCGGCCAGATGCCCAGGCGATGCCTTGAATACCCACCCATGCGCTTCTCACACAAACCCATTCATCTTACTTGCTATATTACTCTCTGCCTGTACAGAATTACTGTCTAACACCGCTTCAGCAACAACCATGTCGTATCCCAACCCCCCCGAGGGGCCAAACCCTTCGAGTTACTCGCAGGCTTCCTCGACGGACCCCTTCAACCAGCCGCCGCTGAGCTACGAAGGTGCCCCGCCCGGAGGCCCCCCTCCTCCTGGTGGACCCGGCGGCCCCCAGTACCAGCAGTACTATGACAACGAGTCTGATATTGGTGCCCGCTACGAGGGTGGCGGTATGGGCCGTGAGACTTGGGCCAGCGAGAGCGCCTGGAGTGGCAATGGTGCGTGACAACGGCAGCGGCGTGTGCAGCCCTGGACGGACCCCGTCGTGTGGTGGTGGTTGTGCCTTGCCAGCAAAACATTGTACAGAAAACATATGCTCACAACCCCCCCTCTGCAGACCACAACCCTGGCTATGCAGGATCCGAAGCATCCCACCAGCAGCAAGGCTATCCATCGCGCTCATCGACCCCAACCTACACTGAGGGCAGCAGGGAGGGACACCGTCCCCGCGAGCCATACGTATGTCTAGTTTTCTTCATTTAGTAGCGCGCGCACCGCCACTGACACATGTACACAGCCAGCATGGACCCAGGAGGCCAACATTCCTCTCTCCAAGGAGGAGATTGAGGACGTCCTCATCGACTTGGCCAACAAGTTTGGTTTCCAAAAGGACTCGTGCCGTAACATTTACGACTTTTTGATGATCCAGCTGGACTCGCGTTCGTCGCGCATGACGCCCAACCAGGCGCTTCTCACTCTCCACGCCGACTACATTGGCGGCGAGCATGCCAACTACCGTAAATGGTACTTTGCTGCCCAGCTCGACCTCGACGATGCCGTCGGTCAGGTCAACAACCCTGGTCTCACCCGAGTGCGCTCGGTGGCCCGCAAGGGCAAGAAGGGCGCCAAGACCCCCGGTGGCACTTCGACCGCCCAGGAAAAGTCGCTCGACTCTGCCACGAACCGCTGGCGTACCGCCATGAACAACATGAGCCAGTATGACCGTCTCCGCCAGGTCGCCCTCTTCCTGCTGTGTTGGGGTGAAGCCGCCCAGGTCCGTTTCATTCCCGAGTGCTTGTGTTTCATCTTCAAGTGCGCCGACGACTACTACCGCTCGCCCGAGTGCCAGAACCGCATGGAGGCCGTCCCCGAGGGTCTCTACCTCCGTGGTGTGGTCAAGCCCCTCTACAACTTCCTCCGTGACCAGGGTTACGAGGTCGTCGACGGCAAGTTCCTGCGTCGCGAGCGTGACCACGACCAGATTATCGGTTACGACGATGTCAACCAGCTCTTCTGGTACCCCGAGGGTATTGCCCGCATCGTCCTCGCCGACAAGACCCGTCTTGTCGACCTCGCTCCTGCCCAGCGTTTCATGAAGTTTGACCGCATCGACTGGAACCGTGTCTTCTTCAAGACCTACCTTGAGAAGCGCTCCTTCTTCCACCTCCTCGTCAACTTTAACCGTATCTGGGTCTGCCACATTTCGGTCTTTTGGTACTACACGGCTTACAACTCTCCTGCCATCTATGCGGTTTCCGGCACGACAAAGGCAACAACGCCCATGGCGTGGTCCATGACCGCCCTTGGCGGTGCCGTCTCGACTATTATCATGATCATGGCCACTCTTGCCGAGTTTAGCTACATCCCCACTACCTGGAACAACACTTCGCACCTCCTGCGTCGACTGCTCTTCCTCGGCGTCATCCTGTTCTGTACCGTCGCCCCATCAATCTACATTGCCTTCTTCAACCAGACTGGCAACATCTCGCTCATCCTCGGCATTGTCCAGTTTGCAATTGCAGTCTGCGCGACATTGCTGTTCGGTATTGTCCCCTCGGGCCGCATGTTTGGTGACCGTGTCGCCGGCAAGAGCCGCAAGTACCTCGCCAACCAGACGTTCACTGCCTCGTACCCTGGTCTCTCGCGCGGTGGCCGTGGCGCGTCGGTTCTGCTCTGGGTCCTCATTTTCGGGTGCAAGTTTGCCGAGTCCTACTTCTTCCTCACGCTGTCGTTCAAGGACCCCATCGCGGTCATGACCGGCATGAAGATTCAGAACTGTTCGGACAAGTACTTTGGCCACAGCCTCTGTGTTCACCAGGCAACCTTTGCCTTTGCCGTCATGTTCCTCATGGACCTCACCCTGTTCTTCCTCGACACTTTCCTGTGGTACGTCATCTGGAACACCATCTTCTCGATTGCCCGCTCGTTTGCCATTGGCATGAGCATCTGGACCCCCTGGAAGGACATCTTCTCGCGTCTCCCCAAGCGTGTCTACGCCAAGATTCTCGCCACGGCAGAGATGGAGGTGAAATACAAGCCAAAGGTTCTGGTCTCGCAGGTGTGGAACGCCATCATCATCTCAATGTACCGTGAGCACCTGCTCTCGATCGACCACGTCCAGCGTCTCCTCTACCACCAGGTCGCCTCGGACCACCCGGGCAAGCGTACCCTGCGCGCCCCGGCCTTCTTCATCTCGCAAGGTGACAAGAAGTCCAAGGTCGAGTTCTTCCCCAAGGGTTCCGAGGCTGAGCGCCGTATCTCGTTCTTTGCCCAGTCCCTCACCACCACCCTCCCCGAGCCCGTCCCCGTCGAGGCCATGCCCACTTTCACCGTCCTTGTCCCCCACTACTCGGAGAAGATTCTGCTCTCGCTTCGTGAGATTATTCGCGAGGAGGACCAGAACACCCGTGTCACCCTTCTCGAGTATCTCAAGCAGCTCCACCCTGTCGAGTGGGACAACTTTGTCAAGGACACCAAGATCCTCGCCGAGGAGTCGCAGGTCTTCAACCCTACCAACCCCTTTGCGGGCGACGAAAAGGAGGAGAGCAAGCGCGCCGACGACATTCCGTTCTACACTGTTGGTTTCAAGTCGGCCGCTCCCGAGTACACGCTTCGTACGCGTATTTGGGCCTCGCTCCGTGCCCAGACCCTCTACCGTACCGTCTCTGGTTTCATGAACTACTCCAAGGCCATCAAGCTCCTCTACCGTGTCGAGAACCCCGAGGTCGTCCAGCTCTTTGGCGGTAACACCGACCAGCTCGAGCGTGAGCTCGAGCGCATGGCCCGCCGCAAGTTCAAGTTTGTCGTCTCGATGCAGCGCTACTCCAAGTTCAACAAGGAGGAGCACGAGAACGCCGAGTTCCTCCTCCGTGCCTACCCGGACCTCCAGATTGCCTACCTCGACGAGGAGCCTCCCCGCAAGGAAGGTGGCGAGAACCGCATCTTCTCGGCCCTTATTGATGGTCACTCGGAGATCCTGCCCAGCGGCCGTCGTCGCCCCAAGTTCCGCATCGAGCTGCCCGGTAACCCCATTCTCGGTGACGGCAAGTCGGACAACCAGAACCACGCCATCATCTTCTACCGTGGAGAGTACCTCCAGCTCATCGACGCCAACCAGGACAACTACCTCGAGGAGTGCCTCAAGATCCGCAACGTCCTCGGCGAGTTTGAAGAGTTCCAGATCTCGTCCCAGTCGCCCTACGCTGCCAACGGCCACAAGGACTTTAAGAGGTACCCCGTCGCCATTGTCGGTGCGCGCGAGTACATTTTCTCAGAGAACATTGGTATCCTCGGTGACATTGCCGCCGGCAAGGAGCAGACGTTCGGTACCCTCGCTGCCCGTTCGCTTTCGTTTATTGGTGGAAAGCTCCACTACGGTCACCCCGATTTCCTCAACGCCATCTACATGAACACTCGCGGCGGTGTCTCAAAGGCCCAGAAGGGTCTCCACCTCAACGAAGACATTTATGCGGGTATGAACGCGTTTGGCCGTGGCGGTCGCATCAAGCACTCGGAGTACTACCAGTGCGGCAAGGGCCGTGACCTGGGTTTCGGCACCATTCTCAACTTCCAGACCAAGATTGGTACCGGTATGGGCGAGCAGATGCTGTCGCGCGAGTACTACTACCTCGGCACCCAGCTCCCCATGGACCGCTTCCTGACGTTCTACTATGGCCACCCGGGTTTCCACATCAACAACATTCTTGTCATGATGTCGGTCCAGGTGTTCATGATCACCCTCGTCTTCCTCGGTACCCTCAACTCGTCGATCAAGGTCTGCCAGTACAACTCTGCCGGCACCATTTTGTCGGGCCAGAACGGTTGCTACAACCTCCAGCCCGTCTTCAAGTGGATCAAGCGCTGTATCATTTCGATCTTTATCGTGTTCTGGATCGCCTTTGTGCCCCTCTTCGTCCAGGAGCTCACTGAGCGTGGTACCGGCCGTGCCATTATCCGTCTCGCCAAGCACTTCATGTCGCTCTCACCCGTGTTCGAAGTGTTCTCGACGCAAATCTACATGCACTCGATCCTCAACAACTTGACGTTTGGCGGTGCCCGTTACATTGCCACCGGTCGTGGTTTCGCCACCACGCGTATCTCGTTTAGCATCCTGTACTCGCGTTTCGCCGGTCCTTCCATCTACGTCGGTATCCGCACGCTCGTCCTCTTGCTCTACATTACCCTGGCCGTTTGGATCCCCCACCTCATCTACTTCTGGATCACGGTCCTTGGTCTTTGCATTGCGCCCTTCCTCTTCAACCCCCACCAGTTCTCGTTCAGCGACTTTATCATCGACTACCGCGAGTTCCTCCGCTGGATGTCGCGTGGTAACTCGCGCACCCACGCCAACTCGTGGGTCGGATACTGCCGTCTCTCGCGTACCCGCATCACTGGTTTCAAGCGCAAGCGTCTTGGTCTCCCCTCGGAGAAGCTCTCGAGCGACGTGCCCCGTGCCCCCTGGCGTGCGATCCTGGTCGGTGAGATCATTGGCCCCATCTGCCTCGCCATCATCATGGTCATCTGTTACCTCTTCCAAAAGTCGTTTGCCGACGAGGGCGTCACCGTCCCCGCCCTCCTCCGTATCGCCGTCATTGCCCTTGGCCCCATTGTCTGGAACATGGCGCTCCTGCTCGTCCTCTTCCTGCTCTCGCTCTTCCTCGGTCCCTGCCTCAACTCGTGCACCAACCAGTTTGGTGCCACCATGGCCGCCATTGCCCACTTTGGTGGTGTCGTCGGCATGGTCGCCTTCTTCGAGTTCCTCTGGTACCTTGAGCGCTGGAACGCCACCCCGACCGTCATGGGTATCATTGCTGTCATTGCCGTCCAGCGTGCCATCTTCAAGATCCTCATCGCCGTCTTCCTGTCGCGTGAATTCAAGCACGACGAGACCAACCGCGCCTGGTGGACGGGTGTGTGGTTCAACCGCGGTCTCGGCTCGCACGTCCTCTCGCAGCCCGCGCGTGAATTCATCGTCAAGACCATCGAGATGGGTCTGTACGCCGCCGACTTCCTCGCGTGCCACATCCTCCTCTTCATCCTCTCCTTCCCCATGCTCATCCCCTTCTTTGACCGTCTGCACGCCACCATGCTCTTCTGGCTCTCGCCCAGCCAGCAGATCCGCCCCCCCATCTACTCGCTTCGTCAGCGCAAGCAGCGCAGGGCCATTGTCGCAAAGTACTCGATCGTCTACGTCCTGGTCCAGGCCATCCTCATCGCCCTGATTGTCGTCCCCATCATCTTCAAGGTCGTGCTCGGCTGGGCCCCCGCCACCCCGCCGTTCAACGGTAGCATCTAAGCAAACTTCATGCTTGGATGGCATAACGCCCGTCGGCAGAGCCGACAACGCCCTCCTCCCCCCCGCCCATTTCTCCTCCCGCCCTCCTTTTTCTTCTCTCACGACGATAACATCCAACAAAAAACGAGATTACGAGTCAAAACTTCCCTTTCATACGACTGCTTCATCACCCCACGAGCAAACCCGAGTGGACCAATCCCCTCCTTTGCCCCTGCATAGAGACGACAGCAAACCCTCTCCTCCCCCATCCCCCCTTCTCCCATGGACAATATAGCGTGTGTGTTGATCGACGATCCCCCCCAACCCCACCCGTTTTCTTTCCTCCCTCGCGCCGCGCGATTTCTCAAGAAAAATAACATATACCCCCCAACCACAACCTCCCCACCCCCACCCCTCCACCGTCCCCGCCCACGACATCTGCCTGTACCTTTTGCCTGCTCCTGCGCCAGACGCACACGGCCGGGTATGGCGTTAGCGTAGCGTTCGGGCAGTATATATATCCGGCTTCGTACAATCCCCCTCTGCTTGAGGGGTACAGAATGCATCACAGTTCTAGAGACGAGGCGGCGGGGCGCAAGCCTTGGGCCAGCAGGCGGAATGACGGCCCGCTTTGAGGATCCCATAAAGTATATACATAGCTGACGTGGGATCATGTGGCAAAGTGGAAAGTGGTTAAAATGGGGACACGCGAGGGAAGGAACGAAAGTATGTAAAAGTGGCGCGGCGTGTATGTTATGTCCGTGTCCACAGTACCACAGTCGATGTATGTCGTGCATGCTCACGCATCGTCGGCACCCTTTGGCGACTCGTCATCCTCTCAGGCTCGGCTTCTTCGTCGTCCGGACGTGGCAAAGGCTGCCAGCCCATGATGCGCGCCTGGCTACCCTGCTCATCGCGAGTGTGGCGGCCATGCAGTGCACAGTCGGTGGTGCTGCTGATGGTAGAAGCAGGAAATCTGCAGTACTCGAGGAGAGCACAGAGGACCTCGGTGGCGTCTTGTTGCGACCCGTTGGTCAGACCAAGCGTATTGCAGACGACCTCGCGCGCGCGGCCAGCCTCAAAAGCCGTTGGCGCCAAGTCCAAGCCGTGAGACGACAGCGCGCAAATTCGACACCACAGTACATACACAATCGTCTTGGCAAGGCACAGCTGCTTAGTGTGAGCGGATGGGACGGACGCTTTAGACTATCACTACCACATGACCTCATTACTCACTTAGGCAGTGGTGGGATCTGATGGCGGCTGCAGCCTCGGGTACACCGTAGAGAACCTAGATGACTGTGTTGAACCAGCAAGCGTTAGCGCCTGGTGGGTTCAAAAGACCAATGAGCGGCTGGCCCATGAGCGCGTCACCCATGGTATTGAGAGGCGACGTGGTGGAGAGAGGTGGGAGGAAGGGATGATGATGAGAAGAGGGAAAAGAGGTGGACGGTGGGTGTGGTGTGGGTACGAGGCGACCATCGCCAGGTAATGGTCCACCAATGTCGTCTCCAAGGCTCCCCCCCTCGGTTAGACTGTTGCTTCTTCTCGTGGTTCTTGGCCTTGCCCATCTTCTTCTTGTGCGGCTCATCGTGCTTGATGCAGTGCCCTTGAAGGTCTTTGCTTTGAGCGCGAGCCGACCAGAGCCTACGCCGTTGCCGGCCACCTTGCCTGTGAGAGCCTGGTGGAAATGAGTGGGCGCGTCGGACGCGTGGGACTTGTGCACGGTACGAATGTAATTGCTCAAGTGCTGTGCTGAAAGAAAGGCTTGGTTGCAGCCACGAGTGCAGACGTAGAGGTATAGGCCATGGTGGGGATGGTGGTGCTCGAAAAAGTGGCCAGAAATGACGTAGCGTGCGCCACAATTGTATTTGACAGTGAAATGGAGCCTCGGGGTGTGCCCTGTGGTCGGCAACGTGGTGGTCTAGGTCGACACGCGCCGTGAAGCGGCGGGGACACTCTTCCAGCTCCGTTCATTTCAAGAGCTGCACCTTTGTCGTGGAAACCGTGGGGGTATTGAGGGTGTTTTGTATGGTGCGGCCATGGATCTTAACATGCTGCACGTGTCGTTGGGCGTTGGAAGACACGTGGGGGCAGATGTCGTACTGGATGGTGTGGACTACGCCGGTCGAGCCGCCTCGGCCTCTCGAGACGACGAAGGGCTTGACAAGCGGAACGATCAAGGACTCTGGGCACCTGTTTTTGCCATCTTCGGGCAGAGGACGCTGCTTGAGCCATGCCTCCACGGCAATCACTGCACCTCATTCCATGGTGATTGTTGTGGTGATACCACAGCGCCCACTTGCTGCCAAACGACACGTCGTGGCAACCCAGACGACATCGACGGCTCTGCTGGCCGTTTCTGGCATGGGCGGTGAGGTGGTCGAAGAATACCCAAGAAGAGGTGAAAACCGGATTGCTTCGCAGCTCGGGGAGTAACACTGGAGCAGCCTGTCGCCATGCACTTGACTTTCATGGAACCGGCAACCTTGGACGTTTGTGAAGACTCGCTTGCAACTCTCGGTGCTGCAACGATACGAGCCGATGCCAGGGAGTGGGAGCGCCGCCGGACCGGCTGGACCGAGCCCGTCGTGGCTCGAGTTGATGCCGCTGTCGCCTCCACTGGTCGCGTCCCAGTCGTACTCGAGCTCGTTGGTGACGGCGGCCTCGTCCAAACTCGCCAGTACTCCTTCCTCCTCCAACATGTTCGCCCGCAAGACATATACGGCCGACACCCATTGAGTTGCTACGTCGTAGCTATCGTAGCTGGACTCGGTGAGCAGCTCGACATTGTCCTCATTGAGGATCAGGGGGTCGGTGGTCGTCTGGTCCACAACCCACCAGTGGCCACCATCGCGTGCGTGACCCTCGTGGACGAGACAAAATGCGAGCTCGTACCGCTCGCTTTGGCTCGATGCCTCCAGGGTCCTCGGACAGTGAATCGCCTGGGCAGTTCCAGTGGCGGCATGCGTCGAGTCCGGTGAGTACCAGCGCTCGCAGGCGACAACCATCACCTGAGGCCACGGCTGAGCGGTGATGGCGGGAGGTGTGCGGGCGCTGCAGTGGGGGGCGTTGCAGTGGGGGACGTTGCAGTGAGGTGGACGAGGGGAAAGCCTGCGGGATGTTGTGTACACCACCGTGCCAGCCCTCACTGCGGGATTGAAGACCCTCCTCGACGACGACTATTTCTCCGTGCTCCACGCATTGCGTGGTGTTGATGATGCTGGACTCGGAGACGCCGCAGATCCCCAGCACAGCGCACAGCACCTCGGTGGCGTCATGTTGAGCACCTTCTGCGAAGGCCAGCTTGTTGCCGAGAGCGTGACGCAGCGCGGCCGCTTCAAAGGCTGTCGGCTCGGTGTCGAGGCGGTTGAAGGTCAGCTGCAGGCATGCCATGACGCACTCTGGGGTGCAGGCTGTGGTAGCTGAGGATACGTGGCCAGCGTTGTCGACGATGATCCAGAAACAACTCACCACAGTCATGAGCTCGCACAGCCTCCGCGACCTCGGGAATACCGTACAGGATTTGGATGACAGAGTTCACCCAACATGAGTTTGTCCCTGGCGGATTGAGGAGGCCAATAAGTGATGCGTCGCTCATGGCGGTGAAACGACGGATGATAGGTGAAGTGGATGAAAGAAGGAGCGAGGGGGGTGGGTACATGAGCAGGTGCGTCAAGTTGACGGTGTGGGGTCTTCTCTGTGTGCTCTGTACACGTGCCCGCTGGCCGTCGGCCTGCATCCTGCGCCCTCCCTCACCTCACAGCGCTCACAGCTAATCCATACTGCTGATCTGCTGACCATGTGACCATGGTGCGTTTTCCCAATTACGTATGTATGCACGCATTGAAAAGCCTCGAAGCCGGAACGTAGTTGTTTGTTTCCTAGCCACACACGCAGTGAAAAGCCCGCCCGCCGCGCTGGCTTGCCATAGGCAGCTGTGTGGCACAAAACGACCGAACTGTAACGCGTTACAACAAATGGTCCATCGACAAAGAGATCGAAGAGACGCGCAACCCATTGCGGTTTATGCCGGTGGTCCGGTGTATTCCATACGCATGTGGCGCCTCGCGTGCTAGGTGCGGCAATGTGAATGGTGGCACAAATGAACAGTATCGGCTGATGCTACACAATGACACTAGACACAAAGATCGCCACTGACCGCGTTGATCGCTGCTCTTGGTGTAAATAACTGCCAAAAAAAAAAAAAAAAAAAAAAAGGAAAAAAAAAGGAAAAAAGTGCTCGTGTATAATGATTGCAAAACTGCATAAATTGCTGGAATGAACGTTGGTCTACTGCGTGAGATTGAGATTGATTGAGTATGAGTATGGGGAATGGAGAATGGTCGTTATGGATACACTAAGCGTCTACGCTTTTTGTCTGCGGTGGGGGCACTTAGTCCATCTCGAAGAGGAGGACCTCGGCGACCTTGCTGGAGACGTTCTCCAGGACGAGGTTCTCGCCGACAGTGGCGCCGTCGATGAAGACACCGTCACCCTCGCCGAGGGTCGCCTCCTGTCCGCCCAGGGAGACCTTGACGAGCGCCGCGACGGCGCCGTCCTTGACGGCCGCGTTGGGGTTGTACGCCGTGGTCTGGACGACCTGGAGGTAGACCTTCTTGACGTTGGTCGCGTCCGGGACGAGACGCGAGACGAGGGCGTGGTCGACTGTGGCGGCGGGCGAGAGGAGTGTGGCAAAAGTGTTCACGGCCGAGTGGATGGGGGTAGGGCCCGAGGCGTCGCGCTTGTCGATAACGCCAAACTCGGTGCTCTTGGCCGGCGCCACAATGTGCGCCCACTTGTCCTTCTTCTCCTCGTCGCTAAATTCGCGCGCGTAGTACTGCGGCTTGAGGTTGCGCTCGTAAGGAAGCGCCCAAATTTGCAGGAAGTGTGCGTCCTTGCCGTCGGGGTTCCTGTCGGCGTTGAACTCGGAATGGGCAATCCCGCTGCCCCCTGAGGTCATTTGGATTTGTCCACGCTGATTACAGTAAGCAATTGTATGATGGTGAGCAGAGCATGTTTGATGGCGAGCGGAGGCAGATTGGTAAGGAGGAATTTCCCCGAAGAATTTCCGCCATTTTCGAGCCCCGCTGCCGGCGCGCTGTTATGCGCCGGAGGCGGGACCAAAGTACCAACACCGCCCCTGACACGCCGCTGTCACGTGCTCTGAAACAGGAAATGAACTCACCTTCATGCTCTCGACGTTGCCCATGGTGTCCTTGTGGGCGAGCTCGCCCGAGACGATGTACGAGAAGATCTCAGCCTCGCGGTGAGGGTGGGTGGGGAAACCGGTTGCGGGCGCGACGCGGTCCTCGTTGATGACGCGCAGGGCGCCGTAGTTTTGGTACTTGGGGTCGTAGTAGTCGGCAAAGCTGAACGTGTGCCAGGAGCGCAGCCAGCCGTGGTTGGCGTTTCCGCGCTTCTCGCTGGGGCGGACGCTAAACTTGACAGCAGACATGGTAGTGTTGTTGGTTGCGGTGGTGGAAGAGAGACGGACTGCAGAGCCCAGAGTCTTGGTGAGGTGGGAACGGAGTATGATGGCCGAGAGCGCTATGAGCAGCGAGATGGCAAGTGCGCGGATGAGGGCGCGAATGGTGGGCGAGGTGGAGAGGGGAGGAGGAGAGTTGTGATTTGGATGGAGAGAAGAGATGGATGGCCGTCGAGGGGGCTGCTTTTATACCGTGGACGATGGATGCTTTGCAAGGGTGGACCTTTACAAGATGCGAGAGAACATGTTGGCAAGGCATGGGATCGATTGGTGTTGTCACCGCTGACGTCGAGGGCGGGCCGCACTTCCGGAGCAGGAATTGCCCGTTTGGGTGTACAGTTCCCAGCGCTGGGGCCAACCACTGCGACCGCTTTGTCACCATCTTATCCATCAAGCACACCACTGCGTGATCCATGCTCGCTGTACATGCGGAAACTGGAGGCTTCTGGAACTTGCTGCCGTTAGCCGTGCATCGCTAGTGCATACCAGATGACACGCGATGGGTGACCAGAGAGGTGTATGCGGTGGATTGCGGGGCGGCTGGTGGTGAGAACAGCAGCGACGACTGGAATTTCCCTGATTGCCGAACCTCGTTTACGTGCGCGCTGGACGGTAGCTTCCGTACGATCCGTACTCCACGTTCAGAACGGGGCCCGCGCAGGAGTGACAGCGAGGAGCGTGTGTGGCCGTGACCGTCGTGACTACAATGCAAAAGGCAGCCACCTGGCGTGCTGGCACTTCCGCTGGCTGCTGGCGCTGCCTAGCTTGTCATGTGCGGCCCACACGTCCCGGTTGTCGCTAGACGTGTCGGACTGTGGGACGTAAACGCTATAGAGCTCAGCTCTCCATCTATGCGTGTCCTGCGTCAGTGATCAGTGATATCACTCGCGAGTCTTCATGATTCGGGGGCTGTGCAGCTCGGTAGCTGGTCGGTAGGCAACCGCGCAGTTGAAGGCTTTGCTGCGTACAGTACAGAAACTTCTACCGCTCCTGATTGATCGCTCCTCATGGTATCAAAATCTCTGAGCTCTGCTGTCGACAACGCGCCATACGCATGAGCCTGCCGCTTTAAGCTTTCAAGGGCACCGCGCCGCGCGCCTTGGGAGCCAGACACGTTTTCCAATTGTCCACGCGCCGGTTTTATGCGCACCACAGTCCGTCAACAAGCTAACCGGGCAAGCTCGCTCTTGGCACACACACCTGTTAACCTGTTAACCTGTTTGGCCGTGCACGCACACAGTGCCTTGGCGGATCTGCAGGTGGAACGACCTACGACGAACATGCCGCACCAGTACGGTGGGGAACGAGCCCAGAACAGCGGGTAGCAAACACTCTATTTATCTCACCTTACGGCACACATCCCCGGGTCGCATTCACTTGGTGTCAAAGGTCCTGCCGCTGGCCGCTGGCCCCCGGGGCTAGATGAATGCATTAGCCAACTCGGTCGGCTTGGGCGCGGGGGCGATCTCGCGAGAGCCAAGCACGGCCGAACAGGCGTCGTGGCGAGGAAAAAAAGCCACCTGCTGTGCTCCCTTATCCCTTATCCCTTTTTCTCTCTCTGTTGGGACCCACGAACGGGTACAGCAACATGATGGGGGTGACCAAAAAGGGTAGCAAGACACAGCCGGCAGCCGGGCATACGCGTGTTGGATAAGAAGCCTGCAAGGCGCGCAGGCGTGCACAGGACATTCCCCAAGACCCGGCAGTGGCGCATAATGTGTCCTGTCCCAACTCTCTCCTGAAACCTGTTTGCTGGCAATAATACATCGTACGCGTCGGCGCCGGGTGGGAGAGGGGGGAGGCATGTGGGCCCAAGGCCACACGGCAGTGAACAAGCGTAATGTGCACGAGAGAGGGATGAAGCGCAGAGAGTGTTGTTCCTGTTTATGGGTGTGTGTTTGCATGTGAGATGGGCCGACGCGCGCAGGGAGTCTACCGTATAAACGCGGGTTATAACCAAGGAGGACAGAATTGAGACGACTGGATTGATTGGAATGGGTTTGTGCCCCCCCCCCCCCCCAATTGTTCCTCTCTCTTGTCTCCGCTTTCCCTGGGCGCGTACGGGTTTGTTGTTGTGTTTGGGCGGTTTGGGCTGTTTGGGCGCGGCGGGGCGGCAGTGCAGAGGCAGCAAAGACGGGCACGCGGACCCACGGGCAGAGACAGAGGGGGAGAGAGAGTGCCAATTTACACACAGACAGACACTACCACGGATACACGGACGGCTCTTTGCGGTGCTACTACTCTCTTGCAATCTCTCTCTCTCTCTCTCTCTCTCTCTCTCTCTCCCGACTCCTCCTCCTCCTCGCGTCCTAAACAACGCGTCTCCCATCCACCACCCGACACACAACACCAGGCCCCCCTTCAACGCTTAATTGCCGCAACTCAGGCACATTCGGGTCGCGTCTGGTTCCAACAGAGAGAGCCGTTTCTCTGTACTGCCTGGCCCCAACCCCCCCAAGCAAAGCAGATCGCACACCCCCATCCCGTATCTGCGCCAGCGGCCAGCGGACACCCACAGCTGCACATTAGTGTCCACGAGTAGTGATTCTTCTATCCCTCTCTTGCACTCTAGCAGCAACAATCTCCGTCCACCCCTCCCTGTCCAGCAATGATATCCCAACCAACACAACCAGGTCTCTCCAGGACAGCCACTTCATCCACCATGTCAACAATGTACTCGTCTGCGTCCAATGCATTCTCCACCCCGTCCACGGGCAGCTCAGCGACAACCGTGGCCGCGTCAAACCGCACCTCGCCCAAGCTTACGCCCCCAACTCGCTATACATCGCGCAAGGGCAGTGCTTCAAGCTCGGGCTCATCGCCTTCCGTCGACGACGACCTCGACAAGTGGGGCTACATGTACTCGCTGCGTGTCGCGTGAGTGTATACAGTAGTTTAATGTCACCAGCATACAGTGACTGACCTACCTAGTGCGCTCCACGAACGGCTCTGTGCACCATCGCCCATGCAGATGACATCTCCCCCGCCCCCATCCAACCCACGTTTGAGCCACAACCCACCGAACCCCCGGCTCAGCACCACCTCCACCATGTCTCGCTTCACCGTGGCCACCATGCGATCTCCCGAGATCCCAAGCCCCGAAGACGGGACCGTCCCGACCATCAAGCGCAAAAAGTCGGCTCTGAGCATTCGCCTCGGCAAGGACGACCTCAAGCTGCCCAAGGAGTTTGTGGTCGAGTTCTGGGACCGCCTTTCACAAGAGCCCGGAGACTCGGGATGGATGCAGGCCGTGCGTGGGTTCCTTGTGCTCGTGCAGAAGCGCGGGACCAAGACAGCCGCGGGTGCCAACATGAGAGATATCCACACTCTCCTGGACAGTAAGTGGTGACCCCCCACTGTAGCCCTATCACAACTAACCCTTACAGCGTTCACGACATGCCTGCCTCCGCCGGGTCCCAACTGCGAGTCTGTCAAGGAGCACCAGGCGCACCTGCTCGCCACCCTCTACCATGCCCTCCCCAACGCAGACTACTTTGTGAACTCCAAGACAGACAAGGGTGACCTGCTCTTCCGCCTCCGAGCCGAAATCCAGACTATCTCGCAGTCGTCGCCCACGCAATCGTCCCCAAAGGCAGCCGAATTCTCACCAGTGCTCATGGCAAACGCCATGGCTGCCAAAGCTGCCAATGGCGGCGGCGCCAACGGACCCAGCAGTATCGGACTAGGACGCGTTGCGCCACCATCAGCCAGTGAGCCGCGGATAGATTCGGTCAGGCGCAAGCCAAGCCCAGCGTGGACTGGCGACGGCAACCTCAGCGCCACAGGTACCGCTGCGTCTGCGTTTGGACCCACTGTGGAGGCAGTCTGCCTCGTGTGGAATGTGTCTCATGAGACCGTGGAGCGCGATTTGGCAGACACCAAGCGATACGGAGCGTTGGAAAAAGTGAGTACTGTAGGGAGAGAAACAGAGAGATACGCGTCCTGACGCGACCTAGCTCTACCTCAATGACATCAAGACCAACCTCACCGCGGTGGCACGAGCCAATGACCCGTCCATGCGTGCCAAGCAGGCGGCGCTCTCAAACTCTCTTGCCAGCCTCCTCGCCAGCTATCCCGAGTTGACACGACCGAGCTCGCCAACCTCATTCGCTCAAGCTTCGGAAACCGACTCTGCTGCCACGTTCTTCACGCCGCCTCGAAAGGGTGCCGTGTTTGTTCGGCTCAACCAGCGCGCAGCCGAGGGTGGCCACACTCGAGCCGCGTCCATCCTCCTGGAACGCTGCCAGCAGCTCTGGGACGTCGAGAGCCGCGTCGAAAAGGAGCGTCAAGTCTCAGCCCTTGTTCGTCGGTGGGACGAGAGCCTCGGTACCCCCAACGAGGTCGCCTACGGCCACCGCCTCGCTGATGCCGTGGCTGACTTTGCGGCCCTGCTCTCGCCGTCAGAGCCGATCCCCCAGGTTCTCGAGGACCTGCGCGAGCGCCTCGTGGCGCGCCTGTCTTCTGCGGCCAGGTCCATCTTCCCGACCACGAGCCTGCCGCCGCCCGCGCCACCCCCATCGATCATGCACATCATGAACGCCGCCCCGAGCATGTTAATCAACTCGCCCGTTGTCGTCAAGGCCCTCGATGATGTCGGTGACGAAATCCGTGGCGCGGCTGTTGGCGAGTACGTCATGGCGGCCAGCGACATGATGGGCGGCGTGCACTCGTACCAGGTGGGCGTCACGACCGGCAGCAGCGGCAAAGACGCCGTGGTCGAGGGCTTTGAAAAGGTGGCCTCGTGGATCGAGAGCGAAGTGTCCAACGTCATCAAGGTCTGGGGCACCGGCCTCGGCCCGACGCTCAACCCGGCTGCCATTGTCATCCAGAAGCAGCTGCCTCTGTTCCTTGCCGAGGTCCAGGTGCTCGAGACGGCCAACGGTGCTGGCGCAGACGTCTTCACCCTCTACGAGACCACCGCGCGTCTCCTTGCCCTTTGGGAACGGCTGTGCCCGGGCGTCGACCACGGTTTCGACATTGACACGTTCTTTGAACCGCACGTCGTTGCGTGGCTCCGCGAGACCGAGGTCAACGACACCCACCAGTGGGTCGCGAGGACCGTGGGCATGGACTCTTGGGTCCCCGAAGGCGGCGTGGGCCGTCACTCGCAGTCCGTCACCGACCTCTTTGAGTTTATCCGCAACTCGACACAGGTTGTGCGCGACCTCCCACTCGGCGAGTACAAGCGCGCCGTGTACCTCAGTGACCTGTCCAAGACGGCTTCCATCGCGGTCACCCAGTACGCCGCGTCGCTGCAGATGCTGTTCGAGAATGACATTGCGCCTCCCAAGCCTGCCGCACAGGCTCAGCAGATCTCCATGCCGTCTCTGTCCATGGGCGGCAAGGCCGGTGCGTGGCTCGCCAAGGGACGCCATGCCGTGGCCAAAGTCGAGCAGCGCATCGTCGAGAAGAAGGTCGAGGGCTTTGTCGTCCCGGCCGCAGCCTGCGTCAAGATGACCGACCTCAATGCGGCGCAAGAATACCTCGAGGAGCTCGGATACCAGATGGAAGCAGAGGAGACGGAGCGTATCATTCGCCAAAAGGGGCCAGGCGGCGCCAACGACCGCGCCGCTCGCCACGTCTTTGCCGTCACGGTCCTCCGTGGCCAGAACCTCCTCACAGGCTCGGCCAAGCCCGCCGACGCGTTTGTCACTGTCGTCGACAAGGAGTCTTCCGAGCGTCTCTTCAAGTCGCGTACGGTGCTCGAGACCGAGGACCCCAAGTGGGAGCAGACGTTTGAGGTGTCGGTCGGCATGACCAAGACCCTGGAGCTCATGGCATACGATCGCCAACTTGTTGGCAAGCACGGCTTGATTGGCAGCCGCACCTTCCACCTGGACCCTCAGCTCTTCGCCAGCTTGCCCATCCGCGACGTTGTCCTTCCCCTCTCGCCGCGCGGCGTTGTGCACATTCGCATCGCGACCGTCGGCGGTGAACGCAACGACGTCACGTACCACCTCACCAAGGCGTCACGCGTTCTGGACCGGGCGGTCGTTGACATGACGCGCGACCTGGTCGAGCGCATGGTCGAGTTTATCCGCAGCTACCTGTCGCCCACGACCTTGTCCAACCTCACCAAGCCCCTGCGCGACAAGAAGAAGGGCCGGGTGGCCCTCACCGAGGTCGAGATTGACAACTCGCTCGCGCCCGTGTTTGACTTTTTGGACGAAAACTTTGCCGTCTTCAACCAGACGTTTACCGTGGAGATGCGCAAGGCTGTCATGCTCGACATTTGGCGTCGTGTCGTCGACTCGATGATCTCCCTCCTCATCCCGCCACTGTCGGACAAGCCGGCCCCCGGCAACCTGTTGACGCCGCCCGAGGTCGACGTCGTGTTCAAGTGGCTGCAGCAGCTCAAGGGCTTCTTCAACGCCGAGGACGGCGGTATCGAGCACGGCGTCCCCATGGTCGAGCTCCAGGCAGGCGGATACAAGGATATTATTATGATCGGGCAGTACATCGACCTGCCGACCGCCGCGCTCAAGGACCGCGTCTCGTTGGCCGTTCGGGCCGCGTCCTCGGTCGTGAGCGTCGGGTCCGGTCCCAGGTCCCCCGCGGCGGCTCGTTCGCCCGCCTCCCCCTCCACGCGCTTTGCGACGCTGCAGACGTCGACGCGCAGTCGCGTCGACGAGGACAATGAGCGCATGGCAGAGGCCCTCCTGCGCATCATGCGCATGCGCCCCGACTCGCAAGAGTTCCTCCAGTTCCAGCTCGCCAGCCTCATCCGCGGTAAAGTCGACCGCCAGGGAAGTGTACTGTAGACAAGGAACGAGGAAGCAGACAGACAGACAGACAGAAACGTGAGACGTAAACCACATCACGTAATATACCCACGGATCCATGGCCATACACGGACAGTACATACATAATGGTAGCGTATAGGCAGTCAGAAGTTACATGTATACATCATTGGAGCGTAATCAGCATCAGTGCCCACAGAGCCCACTCGGGTACTCGGTACTCTGGGGCCGGATGTGCACCTCGTTTCGCATGTGACGTCTCTTGGGAACAATGACTGTGGATACTGGTGGTCCCAAGTATAGTAGCGTAAGTGGCGTGTGGCGCAGGCCCAAACGCGTGCTCAAGGTTGTACTTGACGCAACTTGTGCTGACTGGGTTTAGGAGTGGTGGTGGGGGGGGGTCGCCGGCCGGCCGGCCGGCAACGATGATGAAACAGCGCTCGGTGAGGAACCAGCAATGGGGGTCTGACATGGTACGTCGCACATGAACGTCTGGGACGTTTGGGTACGTTTGGGAACGTTTGGGCTGCGGTGGCGCTGTTTCCTCTATTCCTCTTTACACGTGTCGCGTGAGGGCGGCGCTAGCGCGCTGGCACGCGCTAGCAGAGCTCGCGACGGTGAGTGTCCGGCGACGGCGACGGCGACCGCGCACTGACATGCATGACATGGATAGTCGTATCGTCGTCCCGTCGCCCTGCTGCACCCCCTCGGCACCCGTCCGACGTCCCGACGTCCCGACGTCTGGCCTCTGGCGGTCCTGAACGCCGTTTCGGCCCCCCGCCGTCCCCACCCATGTACTCGTGCTAGTGCTAGTGCCAGTGCTCCAGACTCTAGACTCTGTCGCTTAACGACGCTGATCGCACGACGCGACGGCGCCGCTGGTAGCCGGTATGCACTGACCCCAGACAGGGCCGAGCGTGCCGGTGTGTGGCTGGCCCACGCCTCGGCGTTGCGCGGGGTGGATCGTGGATCGTGGAGACCCCGGTGGTCGCGACCAGCTCATGGCTCACCGTCCAGGCCATCCAGGCCCTCGTAGCCCTCGTAGCCGTCCTGACGGGCCGCGACGTGCCCCGTCTGTGCGGCTCGAAACACACCAACCGTAAAACCCAAACCCAACTCGGAACGTTTCCATGTTTCCATCGCTCTGGGCTGGTTAATGGGCCCCTGCGCCTTCGTACCCTCAAACACAGCCAGAGAGGGGTGGCTAACATCGGCCACAGACCGTGGACGCACAAGGGCCGCGAAGAGTGTGTCTGTGATGTGTGCAGTTCTGGGGTTGTGCTCTGGGCACACACACGGTGGCCTGTGGTATGCATTGTGGTACTGTGGCTGCCTATGGTAGCGCTGATTAACACGGGATTCTAAATCGGCGCGGAAAGTATTAGGCGCAACCACTTTTGGGTCCACCCCGGAAATCATTTTCGTCGATTTTACAGCCCTCTTTCTCTCTCAACCGCACCTTGTTCACACAAACCTCCAGCTCGCGCTCGTTCTGACACACCACTCATGCCACTCACATACTTACCGACTCAAAGGCCACAGATCTACAGACAGCCATGGGCACCTCTTTTAGTCTCGTTGCATGGCTGGCTAACCCAGGCCCCGTCCATTTAGCAAACCCCTTTCCCCTCTGCGCCTCGGCCCGAGCGCACGTTTGGCGCTCCTGGATGTGGGGATCCGTGAGCGACAAGTGCAGCGAGAACTGCGGCCTCCACCTGTCGATCAGACATGGTGTTGCCAGATGTGCGAGAAAGAAAGAGGGGTCACCGGTCGGCTTGACGATGGTGCTTTTGGTGCATGATGGCGACCATGGCCTCCGCAGTCATGGCCATGGTGTGTATTTAACAGACCTCAAGCGACACCATCGTCTCTTCCCCATCCTATCTAGCTCTTCACTTCCCCTCCCCCCCACCCGCCGTATCGTAGCTGGTCTACTCTACACCTTCCTGTCCCTTCGTTTGTTCACGACACTCTTTCCCCCCCCCACTACAGCTACCATGCTTCTCTTCCAAGTTCTCGCCATCCTTGCCGGTGCCAGCGTCGTTACGGCCGCGCCCACCGGCGTTCGCCGTGGTAGCCGCAACCACGTCTACCGCGACGAGACCATTGGCGCTACGGCTTCCGCCGCTGAGGCCACTGGTGCGCCGGCCGATGTCTCCACCGGTGGAGACTTCAACGCCTCTTCGATCCCCGACGAGATCGCGGCCGCCGGTAAAGAGTTCAACGCCACCTGGCCCACCACCGGTGCCGACTTTAACTCGTCCAAGATCCACGGCAAGCCGGGAAACAGCTCGCACCTGCGCCTCGGTTTCCCGCACTCGCAGAACCGCACCGGCGCCGCCGAGTTCAACGGTACTGCGATCATCCAGGGCCTGAGCAACAGCAGCGGCGGCGCGGCCGTGTCTTCGGCAGCCGCAGTTGTCACCTCGGCGCTTGCGGGCATCAACGAGCTCGATGCCGTTGAGCCCTCGGCCACGGCCACGGCCACCGCCACGGCAACTGACGCGGCCGCTGCCCAGTCCACCGGAGATGCCACCGCGTCTGCCGACTCGTCGTCGTCGACTGACGCAGCCTCGGGACTTCTGAGCTCGGGCTCGGACTCGGACTCTGCTTCGGGCCTCCTGAGCGGCCTGGAGAGCGGTCTCCCTACCGGCCTCAGCGGCCTTGGCTCTGGTACCGCGAACACTGCGTTCGCCATCCCCACCGACCTCAGCGCTCTCAGCGGCCTCAGCGGCCTTCTCGGTTCGGGCACTGAGAACACTGCGTTCGCCATCCCCACCGACCTCAGCGCTCTCAGCGGCCTTCTTGGTTCCGGCACCGAGAACTCTGCGTTCGCCATCCCCACCGACCTTAGCGCTCTCAGCGGCCTTCTTGGTTCCGGCACCGAGAACTCTGCGTTCGCCATCCCTACCGACCTCAGCGCTCTCAGCGGCCTCAGCGGTCTCGGCTCTGGTACTGAGAACACTGCGTTCGCCCTCCCCACCGGCCTCAGCGGCCTTAGCGGCCTCACCGGATCTACCGGTACCGGAGCCTCTGCCTCTGGTTTCAACCTCGGCTCGAACTTCGCCGCCGACGCTGTGGCCAGCGATGACACCACTGCCGACAGCAGCGCTTCCGCCACCCCCACCACTGTCAGCGGCCTTGAGTCTACCGGTACGGGAGCCTCTGCCTCTGAGTTTTCGGGTCTCAGCCTCGACTCGAGCCTCCTGAGCGGCTTGGACGGTAGCGGCTTGGCCGCGTTCCCCTCCATTTCCGGACTCTCTGGACTCACTGGCGACAACACGGCTTTCGCCCTCCCCACCGGTCTCAGCGGCCTCAGCGGTCTCTCCGGTCTCACCTCCGGTGACAACACTGCTTTCGCCCTCCCCACCGGTCTTAGCGGCCTCAGCGGTCTCAGCGGTCTCGGCTCTGGCGCCAACACCGCGTTTGCTCTCCCCACCGGACTCAGCGGCCTCAGCGGCCTCACCGGCTCTACCGACACCACCGGACTCAGCGGCCTCAGCGGCCTCACTGGCTCTACCGACACCACCGGTCTCAGCGGCCTCAGCGGTCTCAGCTCTACCACCGGCACCAGCGGTCTCAGCGGCCTCGGCTCCAACTTTGCCGCCGACGCTGTGAGCGACTCTACTTCGGACTCGACTGCCACTGCGTCGAGCGATGTCGCGTCGACCTCGGACTCTGCTATTCCCGACGACTCGATCATCGGTAACATCACCTCGTCGACCCAGGGATCCGACTCGTGCGGCTCGGGCTTCCAGAACACCCAGGCTACTGCCGCTACTGCCTCGGCCACTCTTTCGGACTCGTACGACTCGGCTGTGCCCACCGTGACCGCCACTGAGGCAGCCACTGAGGCCGCTTCGGAGACCGCCTACGTTGCCCAGACTGATGCTGCCACCGACGTTTCCGACGTGGCTTCGGAGGTCGTCACCTCGGCCCCGGCTGCCACTGCTACCTCGACCGACGACGATGGAGCCATCTTCGTTTCCGAGCTCACCGCGTCGTGGTCCTACTTCTGATGAGTGAGGCCGACCTACTTCTTCGCCCTCTCCCCCCCTTCTCATCACACTTTCCACCCACTTCATACCTTCATAGTGCCCGTGGCGCTATAAGCCATCTGTATCTTGTCAGGAACTTGGTACGATGCACTCCTTTTTACCTACATCTGAGGCAGCAGAGAGAGCGAAAAGAGTGAAACTGAGCAAACTCTTCAAATCGCCACATTGGAACTGGCCCTTTTGTTCCCTTGATCGGCCATCTCCGGCGTGCCTGGGGTCATACCATGTGCGTCACCGGCGGGCAACTGATAGCAACCGCGAAGCTTCTGATAGCGAGCACAGTAGCAATAGCAGACGACCTCATGGGCCGCTGGCCGCTGGGGTTAGCCAAGCTCTCCATTAGTATCCCGGCTGCCGCATTTAACTCGCTGAATTCGTTAACTCGTTCAAAACAACTCGCCAACGTCATTGCCAAAGAAGTTGCCGCGCGTCCTCGCAACCGAGGGGCTCGAGTCAACACACCCACTCCGCCACTCAATTGCTCAACCTCCCACTCCACCATGCCAGACAAGGACGACGTGAACCAGCCTCTCCTCAAGGATGAGGCATCTGCAGACCTCGACCGAGAGGCCCTCGTGCCCCCTCGTCAACCCCGAAGGTTACTGCGGTGGCTCGCCGCCGCCATCGTTGCGTTTGTGGTCATCGAGGCGGCTGTGGTGAACCATGTGCGTCCGGACAGTGCCAGCCTGGCGGGAAACCTCAATACATGTGCTCCACCCGATGCTGTGAGCATCAAGGCCCCGCGAACCAGTGAGTCGCAACACAGCTGTGGCATTGTTTGAATGTGACGTGATAGCTGACCTCGCAGACCTGTGGAAGAACCTCAGCGTCAAGGAAGCTGTCGACCTCAAGAAGTGGCTGTCGGATCCGGCTCGCAGCCTGAACCTGACCGACTCAGAACTAGCTCTCGACACGTAAGTGTCAAACGGCAAAGTGGCCGTCGTCCGCTCACGCGACGCCCACAGTGACAACTTTATTCATCTGGTCGAGAATTACCCTCCTCCCAAAGCATCTGCGCTGGCCCATCTCCACGACCCAAAGGAAGTGGTCGACCGCTATGCTCGTGCCATCATCAACCACGGTCCTGCCGAGAAGATTGTCGACTATCTCGTCGGCCCTCTCCCACCCTCCAACAAGACGACTATTCGGCCACTGACGGAAATCTACCACGCGCCCATCCCACACAATGCGCGCACAACGTTCAACTACGCCGTGCTGGCCGAGATGATCGTGGACATGCTCAGCCCCGTGGACGACATCACGCGCGACCTGTTCAACGTCTCTGCGCTGGACGGCACCGTCAGCGTCTCGGCGACCATGCCTCTTTCGTATGACGGCACTTGGCGCAGGACGTGGGTCCAGCTCAAGCGAAACGTCCCTGGTGGATGGCTGCATCCATTGGACTTCAACTTCCTCGTCAGTTTTTCGCTTTCCGAGCTTCGAACTGAACTGTCCAGGTTGACATGACGGGCACCGACGTGTCAAAGTACCACATCCTGGTATACGTCCACAACGGCAAGATGTACCGTGGTGTGGACGAGCTTCGGGCGGCATTTGAGCGCGGTGAGCTGCGCCGCATGGAGGACTGGGACGGCTCGGACTGGGCCACACGCGCCATCAAGGGCAAGCGGCGGGACCTGGACGACCGCGCGGGACCACGCACTGTTCAGTCGGACGGCGCCCGCTACCGCGCCGACGTGGATGAGGGCTACGTCACATGGATGGGCTGGTCAATGTACCTCAGCTTTGAGCGGGACATGGGTCTGCACCTATGGGACATCCGGTTCAAGGACGAGCGTATCATTTACGAGCTAGCGCCACAGGAGGCCATGGCGCAGTACTCGGGTTCCGACCCGCACCAGGCCTCGACGGTCTGGCTGGACCGCGCGTTTGGCATGGGGGGTAATGTCCGCGAAGTCATTCTCGGGTACGACTGTCCGCACCATGCCTTGCTCTTGAACGCTACCGTTCACGAAATGGGGTCGTCGAACCGCCGCAATGCCATTTGCGTCTTTGAGCGCGAGGCTGGCCGGCCGCTCTCCCGCCACACTGGCAAGGCCAAGAACGAGATGGGTGCCGTCAAGGGCTACGAGTTGGTTGTTCGCACAGTCTCGACAGTGGGCAACTATGACTATATCTTTGACCAGGTGTTCGGCCTGGACGGAACCATCGAGGTCCGCGTCAGTGCCTCTGGATACCTCCAAGGCGGTGTCTGGAACGACAAGCAAGCGCCATACGGCCACCAGCTTCGTCCAGGATCCATGGGAAGCCTCCACGACCATATAATCAACTACAAGATCGACTTTGACGTCTTGGGCACCAACAACTCGTTTATGAAGGTCAGCCTGGAGCAAGAGAAGCTCGCCGAGGAGTGGTTCGAGGTCGACGGCTGGGGCCCTGTCACGCAGACCAAGATTGTGCGAACCCACGTCGAGGAAGAGGCGCTCTTCCAGTACCCGGCCAACATGGAGGGAGCGTATGTCGTCGTCAATGAGGATGAGCACAACGCTTGGGGTAACCCGCGCGGATACGCTCTACACCCAGGACCACTGTGTCGCCTGACCAACCTCGACGCCAAGCGGACGGAAAACTCGGTCAACTGGGCCAAGCACCACCTCGCCGTGTCTCGGCGGCACGACAACGAGCCGTCGTCCTCGTCGATGTGGAACGGCAATCTCCCCGGCGCCCCGCCAGTCAACTTTTACAAGTTTTTCAACAACGAGTCGCTCGCACAGCAAGACCTCGTCGTGTGGGTCAACCTCGGCACACACCACCTTCCTCGCGCCGAGGACGCGCCGAATACGCTCACCAACGTGGCCACGAGCTACATTTTGCTCGTGCCGTGGAACTTTAACGACAATGACGCCAGTCTCGACTCGCGCAACTCTGTGCTTCTTAACAATGACGGCAAGGCGTGGAAGATTGAGGAAGCTGCTCGTCAGCCACACTGTGTGGTCCCACCAGAGCCGCGTCTGACGTATACTGGCCTCGAGGCCTGGAGGGACGATGGAACTCCGTATAGTCCGGTAGAGATCGGCGAGCTTCGGACCCATGGTGAGTCGGATGGGGTGCGACGAGTAACGAAGGCACACGCTTGGAACCGGGGAAGATGGCGAACTGAGGGTCGTGAAGGGTCGACGACCAACGGCGCTGGCGATGTGGCGCTGGACGATACCGATTCCAGTACCCAACACGGCCAGCGCCAAGCCAGAGTCGTTCGCAAGCGATTGGAAGCGAGAGGAAACGGTTACTGACGCTCGCAGCCGAAGCCATCCACGCGTTTGGCATGTGAGAGCGGCGTAGACTTGTGCATGCCAACGTTCTTCGTCGCATGAGCTCGGCAGCGGTTCCTGCAGAACTGAATTTTGAGGTCATTTTCCGGAATTTTCACGAGCCGACAATAGATGACCGCTACGCGTCCCAATACTGCCATCCCTATCCATCTACACTTCCTCCCCTATGCTATTGATCATCTACCTTCCTCTAATTACCCTGGGGACCATCCGCCATTGTGGCCGTCCAAACCCGCTGAACGTGTTTTTTCTTGTCGCCGACAATCTACGGCTTCACACCCTCAAAGATGATGAACTGCCACGAGTGCTTCCGGACAATGTGCTTGCGCGCGGCCCACTCGACAGCAGTGTACTCGGTGGTAGTGGGCGTGACCGACTCGGGGTGCGCAAAGGTGTTGGTGGCGGCAAGGTCGTCCGAGTAGACCTCGGTGACCTGGACCTTGTCGAGCTTGAAGGCGGCAAAGTCAATGTCGGCGGGCCAGTCAACCGTAGGGTGACGGTTGAGGACGCTGAGGCGGATGCTGGTCTTGCCCTCCTCCTCGGCGGCCATGCAGACCATGTCAACGTAGCGCGGGGCAAGGTTGGTCTGCTGGATGAAGACGGGGTACGAGGGGCCGTCGTACGCGTCGGGCATGGAGGGGAGCGTGATGAGGTGGCCGTTCTTCATGTACTTGCCGAACATCTTGAGACTGAGGGGTCAGCTGGCGACAAAACCATGGTAGCGGACACTTACGGCCAGAAGGTCGTCTGCCTGCAGATGCCATCGGGGGTCGTCATGAGAGGCGCAATAACGTTGACACTCTGGGCGAGGCACGCGACGGCGACGTCCTTGTGATGCCTGACGAGAATGTTGAGCCACGCCACGACGCCGAGCATGTCGGTGTAGTCGTAGATCTGCTCAAGACCAATCTCTCCGGGGGCCTTGTCTGTGTCCCAGACGTTCCACTCGTCAAAGGCAATCTTGACGTCGCGGGCCGGGATACCACGGAAGGTGTTGTCAATGTTGGCGAGGTCGATGAGCGACTTTGTGATCTCAATAGCGCGCTCGGCGGCAGCAGGACCAAACACATTCTTCTCGTATTCGTAGCCGGCAACGTCCGAGTCGGTCGAGTGGCCAAGCATCGAGTAGAAGTGGATGGAGTGGAGGTCGATGAAGGGCACAAGGGCCTGGAGGATCTCGCGGTCCCAGTCGGACCAACCGGTCTCACCACAGCTCACGAGCTTGATGGTAGGGTCGACCAGCTTGAGACCGTGGGCCCAACGACGAGCCTCAGTAGCGTACGCGGTAGCACCGAGGTTACCGACCTGCCAGGGACCCCACACTGTCTGTTAGCTGATATCACAAGAGCGTCATGTCTCCACTCACTCTCGTTACCGAGACCCCAGTACTTGACGTTGTGGGGCTCGTCGCGGCCAGTGTTCTTGCGACGGAGGTTGGCCCAGTGGGTGTTTCCGGTGCCGTTGCAGTACTCGACCCAAGCGAGAGCCTCCTCGTAGGTACCAGATCCCACTGTTCGGTCAGCTTATGAAGTCTCGTCAAAAAGCAAACAACGTACTGTTGAGACAGATGTAAGGCTCCCAGCCGTTGGCACGGCACATGTCGATAAACTCGTCGGTACCAAACTGGTTGGTCTCGGGGGTACCCAGCCATGCGAGCTCGATGCGGGCGGGGCGGAGAGCCTGGGGACCGACACCGTCCTGCCAGTGGTAGTTGCTCACATAGTTGCCGCCGGGCCAGCGCATCATGGGGATCTCGAGCTCGCCATCAGAGGCAAGAACCTTCTGAACATCCTTGCGCCAAGGAGCGCGGCCCTTGGTGCGCTCGGTGCCGTCCTCCTGCGAAATGAGGAGCTCGGCGGGCGAAGGGGCGGCGGGGTTGTCCACGAGGCCGCCGTAGATGCAGCGCCCGAGGTGCTCAATGAAGCCACCGTAGAGCTTGTCGCTGACGGGACCGGCGGTGGGGTCAACCTTGAAGCGCGGGTCAAGGATAACGGGAACAGGCGTGAAAGCCTCGGGGTGAGTGGGCTCCTTCTTGCACTTGGACTTGCCGCGCAGAACTCCCTGCTGAATAGTGGTGTAGAGCATCGTGGAAAGCTGGTAACTGGGGGATGGAAGAGACACGTCGTCTTAACGGCTGCACATAAGTATGCCAGGACAGCGCTGGGCATCGCCGTTGCTCGCGCATGCTCGCCGTGCTCCTTGGTACGGATGAAGCCTTCGGCAGAGCGGTTGTCACATCAGCCGGCACATTGTCGGCACGTTCACCCGGATCAGCGGCCCGGCATATCCCCCTGCCAAGTTTAACACCGATGTCGATGCCCCGCGTGCCCCGTGGCATTCTAATGCGGGGGCCGCGTTTGTCCACTTCCTCCATAGGCAGTCGGGGCAGACCTGCACGATGGGAACAACCGATCTGTGGCCCCCTGTGGCCACTGTCGGATGTGGGCAAAAGGGTGGCACGCCTCACCGAGATGGAAAAGGCGCGGAGCCGCAGTCGAGGCACATTTGTCCAGAGTGCCGCCGGCAGTCCTTGGAAGCTAGACAAGATAAGGCGCGCAAGAAGATGCTCCAACTACCGCTGGCGCAGCAGCTCTCGGTATTGTAACGGGACATCAATGCAATGACATGTATATCCGCCCAGAAATGGACGCGACTGTACCAAGCCTGGACCCGACGCCACCGTGCTAGACGATATACCAGATTCCGGTCCATTTCCCCCAAGCAACAGCCAGTTGTCTACCTGCGACGGTGGTCTTCTCCAGACCATGCACTTTTGGGACGGTGCAGGTGCAGGCCTCCTCGGTCGCGGTCCTCGCCCTCTCGCCTACGACGGTGATCGCGGTCGCGCTCTCGGTCACGGCTGTCACGGCTGTCTCTGCTATCCCTTCCCTCTCTGCCGTGGGTGCGCGACGACGTAAAGGAGATCTCCCGACGCTTACCCGACTCTTGCGACCGGCGAACAGCTTCTGCCATCGCGTTTTGTTGAGTCAAAAGAGCCTTGGGCCCGTAAGTTGGGATCTCCGCTTCGATTCCTCGACGTGTCAGCCAACCGCCACTGGGGAACGCGGTCGCACGTTCGTCGAGGTCCACAAATTCCACCTGGGAGCGTTAGATGTTTCATTTGCAAGTGGTAATCTAACTCACGAGTTTTGCGTAGATGTGTGGGTTTGCAAACGAAGATGACGACATGATTGACGAGTTGATGTGTTGTCCCTGTCGCTTGATTCGAAGGTACTGTGACACCTTGGCCTGGAGGTTAGGCGGTTGAATGGGTCACTTAACCTACCTTGAGTCGCAGGTCTGACTCTGCGGGGTCGACGGCGGCTGGGATGCCCCAGTCGGCAACACCATCAATCTCGGGAGGTCGTGTTGCGACACGGAAGATATCTTGTTCCGTCATACCTGCAAACCGGTCATCCTCAGGCTCCGGTACAGGGGAATCTCCTTGAGGTTCTTGGTCGAGGTTCACCTCAGCGGACGACCGATGACGCTTGGCTGGGCGCGGAGAGGCACCGTTCCGGTCAGAGTCATGGGCCGGTGACCCTCGGCGAGACGGGCGGGACGGAGGTTGCGGAGAGGCCACCGCCGGTGATGCCTGTTGCGACGCAGATGCTGGTGCTGGACGTGTGTCAACACCGATGTTACACAAAATGTCCATAGCTGCCAGACATACCTAAAGGACGACCATTGCCACCCAGACGCTAGATAGACATTGGAAGGATTGGCAAAACAAATCAAGAAGGTAAAGCGTGATCCAGTGTTGCTCGACTGTGGGGCGGTAAACTTACGGACGGGCCGGCCATGGGGTTGGGCGGGGACGAGTCAGAGTCGTCGGCGTAGTGGGAAAGGCCTAGCATATGGTGTGAGTGGACTGGCGGTGACGTTGTGTACGTTACTCACCTTGCATGTGGTGGAGTGTGTGGTGGAGAGAACAAGACGGCGCGAGGACGCGATTAACCGTGTCGCATTAAGACGATCTGAATACCTTTTGAAGTGTCGCCATCCTATTACAATTAGAATAATTTTCTAATCCCGGAAGTAGTCCCGGTGATCTCCGCGGTGTTTTCATGTTGGACCATTGCGTGCTTGACGCTCATGTACGCACCGTTGCGACCATCCTCTCTTTCTGCTGGCTCGTGTGCACCATCCTCATCACTCTACACCACCTCTGCCGACGACAAAAATGGACGAGTTTCCTCTTCCAGAGCCGCCCAGCAGGAACCGCAATGATCTCGCCATCGAGCTCATCTCGGGCTCGTTTGGTGGAGCTGCCCAGGTCATCTCGGGCCAGGTGAGTTCATGGGTTCGCTTCCAGTAACTGACATCCAGCCCCTCGACACACTGAAGACGGTAGGTACAGAAAGCCAAGTGGCTGTTGAGCGTCAACTGACGTCGTTAGCGTGCCCAGACTGCCCCTGCTGGAAAGTACAAGAACACCCTCGACATCCTCAAGCAGACTGTTCGCAAGGAAGGTGTCTTGGCTCTTTACAAGGGTATGTGGCTGCCAAGTTGTCGAGGGCCATCAGCTGACCACCGTAGGAATGGTATGCCTCTAGGTTTGTATCCATCATCACCGTGCTGACCTGGTACAGATGTCTCCTCTCATGGGTGTTGCGGCGGTCAACTCGCTCCTCTTCACGGCTTACGGCGCCTCGCGCCGCCTCATCTCTCCCTACCCCGACCTCTCCATCCCACAGGTCGCTGCGGCAGGTGCCATGGCTGGTGCAGCTAATGCCATCCTTGCCTCTCCCGTTGAGATGTTCAAGATCCGCATGCAGGGACAGTACGGTGGTGCGGGAGACAAGAAGCTCGGTACCGTCGTCCGGGACATGTGGAACGAGCACGGCTTCCGTCGCGGTATCATGAGGGGTTACATTGTAGGTTTGAGCAAGAGGCTGAGTTAGCGGACGTGATTGCTGACAACCCCGCAGATCACATTTGTCAAGGAGATGCCAGCCTATGCCGGCTTCTACGCTGGATACGAGACCACCAAGCGCTTCTTCCAGAAGCAGTTTGGCTCAAAGGACATTCCCGTGTGGGCCGTCCTCACTTCTGGCGGTCTTGGTGGTGTCTCGTACTGGCTTTGCTCGTACCCCTTGGACATTGCCAAGTCTCGTATCCAGCTTGCGCCCAACCCGCCTATGCGTGGTAACTGGCTCAAGGGCGGCTACATTGTGCATGAGCTCAAGAGCATTGTCGCCGAGGGTGGTGTGTGAGTACTCGTGACATCTCTCCAGCAACCACAACGGAGCAGCCAGCTCGCAAAAGCGAAAAAAGCGGGCCACGGCGAATGCCATGGTTGCCGTCGGACCTGGTTGTTGCAAAAACCTGCACACGTTTCTGACATCAACAGCAAGGCCCTCTTCCGTGGCCTCGGGCCATCCCTCATCCGTGCCCTCCCCGCGGCGTCCTCGACCTTTGTCACCTTCGAGCTGACTAGGGAATACATCATCAAACACGACCTCATTTAGAGACCTCTTAGACTTGTACCAATCCCAGCTGCGCCTGGGCAAGATGCCAGGTGTTCATAGGGTTGTCAGGAACATGCAACACTACTTGTCACAACAACTCCGTCGAACGATTCAAATGTGTACATAAATTTGCTTTTGAGCATCCTACAACCACCACCCCTAGTTACCCTTCGCCGCCTCGACCATGTAACTCATTAACTGCGAATAAATGGCCGCCTGTGCAGCCTGGTCTGAAGCCGTACCGCCACCGCTACCACCCATGAACGACGCGTTGTTCCATTCTCCTGTTCCGCCTTGAGTTCCGGGTATAGTGAAGGGAGGGCCATTGCCCATGTCGTTGCCGTTCGATCCACTGGGGCCCGCGTTCATCCCCTGCTGCGCTCCCATAGATCCGTTCCAATCGTTTTGCGGTAGAGTCACAGGTGTGGAGCCCAAGTCGCTCAAGTCCCATTCCCACGGCATGGTCGCGCCGGAGGGAGCATCACTTGGGCCAGCACCGCCCTCGCTCATGATGTTGTTCCAGTAGAACTGGGGCAGCTGGAACAACGACGGGCCACCCGGCGTAGCAGCTGGTCCTGGTGTAGCCGGTGGGCCCATCGAACGTTGCACCGGTGTTGGTGGTTGTGAACCGCCTGCCAGGTTGCGCCCCATTGTACGCAGTCCTTCCGGCAAGCTTGGCGAGTTGACAGCCGGAGAGACAGTCGAAACAGGAGACGGACCAGCGGGACCAGTGGTGTCGTCCAGGTCACCCGACGAGAGCTTGAGACCGCCGTGAATCAGGGCTTCAAAGAAGACCTTGTGTGCTGACGCCGCCGGCCACGAGGACGAAAAGTCACGCAACCAGATGCAGCACTGGGCAAAGTTGACCTTGGCGCGGTGGGCAAGCTCCTCATCCGGGTCCGACGCGTCAAACGCCACGAATAGTGTGATCATAGACAGCATGTGGATGGCGTCGGAGCTCACCTGGCCCAGCAACTTGTGCCGGTCCAGGAGAGCCAGTAGATCCACCACCGCTTCGCTTGCCGCTGTGCACGTCTTGTGAGCATTGGCCGACAGTTCTGGCGCGTTGGTGGCACGAGGATAGCGCTTGATGAATCGCGAGTGGAGCATGATTTTGGCAGTGTACCACCACTGAAGGGCTCGTTAGCGGCTGCAATTATCGAAGGCAGCAAAGCACTTACAGCAAGGCCAATGACATGGTGAGGCAACGGCGAAATTGACCCGTGATCGACATCGATCTGCGGTGGCATGTTGGCACGCCAATCGTCGAGCTGCTGGGCAATCACCTCGGCGCGACGAATTGTATCGTGACGCGCATTGAGTGCAGCTACAAAGTGCTGGTCCCAGGGTTCGACACAAGGCGGAGGCGTAACGTCCAGGTCGACGATATCCTCGACAATCATGGCAAGACGTGTGGTCCACACAAAGTAGGTCATGACGTAGCCTCGGCGTGGAACGATATGCCGAACCCCCCGCGGCAAAGGGGCGCTGCTGGCAGTCTGAGGGGGCCAGGTTTCAAACTCGTCTGCTTCTGAGACGGAAGGCAGTGGGGTGGACGAGCGACGGTAAGGGAGGAGGCAGGGTCGACCCGTCTCCTCTGCAAGAATCTTGTCCAAGACATATGCGTTCTATACATTAGCTTTGGGTGCGGCCGGTGACTCACCCAGTAGACTCGTGCACGTTGCTCAGTCTCGCCGGCGTCTAGGGTAGCCGTAGACGCCATGTGCAGTCCCAGATTGAGGGCCATACAGCTCGCACGTCCGGCGTAGGAGAATGCTGATCGCTTATCACCACAACCTGTCTGACGCAATGACAGGATCATGAGTGCCTGGAGCACGTCGAGACGCGATTCGTTGCGACAGTGGTGAAGCGCAGTCTCCGCCATGGCAAACAGCTTGTCGGCATCTAGTCCGTCTTTGCCACCAGCCACAGGATTCCTTTCCAAGCACGCAGCAATAGCAAGCATAGAGAGGAGGAGAGGGGCTGACGTGGCGTGTGGATTGAACATGGGCTTGTAGATGAGAGGCCACACATTCTGCAGCGGGCGGCGTGTGAACAAGATATGGGTGTCGGCATGAACCGTCGGTTGGGCATTCGGTACGATGGATCATCGGTGGCAAAATGAAAAGGGGACACGTCAGCTCAAGATAGCACACAATTAAGATCCAACTAACGTGTACGTGCACAAAGTACACGGCGAGGAGCTCATCGACTAGTGTCGGAGGCAGGCCCAGAAGTGGTGGGCGTCGGCGCTTGGCGGACAGGACCGGCCTTGGGGACGTTGAGCCAGAGTCGCCTGATCCGTTACCGGCACGGCTGTTCTCATGATGCGATGAACTGACAACATGGGACGAAACGTGATCGTTGCGTTCGTCGTCCTCGCTGTCCTGCTCATCCTTGCGCCCAGGGGAGCCAGAGTCACCGCCTGTGCGGCGTCGGAAGCCAGGTGCGGGGCCACTGCGCAGTATTAGGGCTGGGTGACTAAACCACGAAGGCTATTCCTTTTACGTACCGCTTCCTCACAGGTGTCTCAAACGTACACTCGACGCGGGCTTCGCGACAGAGCTTGCAGGTTGGTTCACCCGTGGTCGCTGATGGAGCAATGTCTTCGCATTTCATGCGGCGCCTGGGGTCAGTTGGTAGCCAAATAGACGCTGCTCACTGCTTGCATCCCTGTGACTGTTAGCAATGGGAAGGCGCATCCGAAACATCCAAACCACCTACGTCGCATGCGCGCGAGGAGCGCTTACGCGCGGAGGACACAGCAGACATTGCCGCTGGAGCACGTTGCGTCGATTCGGGGACTGTCTTGATACACTGGGTAACGTTGAGGTTGCCAGCCAGCTTGAAGGGCTTGTGCAGGCTATTTTAAGGGATGTTTGGTGAGCGATCCCTTGGCCTGTCGCCTGTTTACGACGAGGTGGGCGATGTGGATGTGGACGGATGGGCGGGTGGAACAAATGCGGATGTTGTTGAGTGGGATCCGAGAACGACCCCGTTGACTTATCGGGCGGCAGCGGGATCAAATGGCACGGCAGCACGGAACATCCGGAGACCCCACACGGAGCTGAGCGGCAACCGTCTCAGCCGTCATCATCCAATCCATCGCATCCGACTTGCGTCTCCAACAGCAACATGCTCTCCACTGCACGGATATCCAGAGCGAGGTCACTCCAAGGGGCTTTCAGCTCCAGGAGGTACACGTCCGGAACCCATTCCCAGCTGTCGGTGCCAAAGCTGGGCACTGTCGAACTCCCAACGGGCTTGTTCATGTACGTCTTCTCTCGAGCCGAACAGGAAGCGCGTTAACGTGCAAGCAACAATGAGTGGGTCACTGCCTCTGGCGGCGACACCGTCCCCACTGTCAACCCCGCCACTGGAGCTACCATCGCCAACGTTGCGCATGCCAGCCAAGCCGACGTCGACAAGGCCGTTGCTGCAGCGAGGTCGGCGTTCAAGACGACGTGGGGCACCAACGTTCCGGGCACAGAACGCGCCAAAGGTATCTAGCTGAGACGATGATGATTGACTTCCTTCCCACAGCTAATGGCCAGTGTTGAGCAACCTCGCCGATCTGATGGAGCGTGACGCCAATAAGATTGCCGCTATTGAGAGGCACGTCAGCACGAAACGTACTGAGAACTGACGTTTAGCCTCAACTCTGGCAAGGGTGTCCGTATCGCTCGGTGGGTATCGGCATCTCATTCGTCACCATTGACATACTGACGCGGCAGTGAATCAGATGTCGTGGACTCTATCGCGTGCTTGCGATACTATGCAGGTATGGCCGACAAGGTGCACGGCCAGACGATCGATACGCTTGGCAAGGACAGGTTCATCTACACTTTGCACCAGCCAATCGGTGTCTGTGGTCAGATGTGAGCTCGGCTGTTGAAACCGCACGAGCTGACGCCAGCATTCCATGGAACTATCCTCTCTCCATGTGGAGCTGGAAAGTCGGCCCAGCTATTGCTGCGGGCTGCACCATTGTCATGAAGCCTTCAGAGCTCACACCCTTGACGGCTCTCATGATGTGTGACCTTGCCAAGGAGGCAGGGTTCCCTGCCGGCGTCCTCAACACAGTTCCCGGTCTGGGTTCAACGACTGGAGATGCTATTGCTCGCCACATGGACATTGACAAGGTGAGCGTCGTACCAGCATCCTCTGCGGTGTGAGAGTGACCGGCTGTGCGGTTCCCCCACGCTTAGCCAGTGGCCATCCCCTTCTTCCACCCCAGGCCGTACGCTTACATCAGGTCGCATTCACGGGCTCGGTGCCCACAGGCCGACGCATCTCCGTCGCCGCCGCCGAATCCAACCTCAAGAAGGTCACTCTCGAGCTGGGCGGCAAGTCACCACTTATCGTGTTCCCCAGCGCCGACGTCGACGATGCGGCGACATGGACGGCCAACGGCATTTGGTACAACATGGGACAGGACTGCTGTGCGAGTTCACGAGTGGGTGACAAATGGCCGCAGAGCTGACCCACTCCACAGGTATACGTCCACGAGTCCAAATATGACGCCTACCTTTCCGCTCTCCAGAGCCGTGCCGCAGCTGCGGCCCTCGGCCCACCCTCGGACGAGGCTACGTCCTTTGGACCCCTCATCTCCGGCGCACAGCGCGACAAAGTCTTGGGTTACATTGCGTCTGGTGTCAGCGAAGGTGCTCGTGTCGTTGCGGGAGGCAAACCGTGGGGCACTGAGGGCTTTTGGGTCGAACCGACCATTCTAGCTGACACGACACCTGCCATGCGTGTCGTGAAGGAGGAGATCTTTGGCCCTGTTGTCTGTGTCCAAAAGTTTAGATCGGAGGAGGAAGTGCTCGAGGCCGCCAACGCGACAGAGTACGGCCTTGCCGCGGCAGTGTTCACCAACGACGCCAGGCAAGCGACGCGTGTGGCACACGCCCTCGACGCAGGGACAGTGTGGGTCAACCAGTACGGCCTCGTCCCGCCTCAAGCACCGTTTGGTGGGTTCAAGCAGTCGGGCATTGGACGCGAGCTTGGTTCGTATGGCCTCGACGCGTATACCCAGGTAAAAGCTGTACACATGAACATCGGCATGACTGCGAGCTGGCCAGCGTAATGCGTTGCCGAACTGCCGTATCCCATAGCACCATGTCACCCATCAGTGCAGAAACCCGCTTCAGAACTATGGTATCCATGCAAGGGAATGTACAGTGTCAAGTTGACTGTCTACGAAGCGGCGTGCCAACGCATGGGCGGCGCCTCCATTTTTCTCTCTTTTCCTTTCCTTCTTGTCTTTCCAGATGCCTTTATTTGTTTACGCCTTTCCGAAGCCACTCGTCTCAGTCACTGCGAACAGGAGACGTTCGCGGAGGTGCTCGTATGAGGTGTACTTTGGCAAGAGGAGGAGGTTGAAGCAGGTACTTGCTTGAGGCAGGATACCTTCCTTGCCGTAGAGCTGAGGTCATGTCAGCTTGATGCCCAGAATCAACAAAATCCTGCTAGCTCACCTTCTGGATCTGGAACGGCTGCGTTCCAGAGCTGCCTTGCAGCTGGCTAAAGCCGCCAAGGGGCACACGCGACGACGAGGTGACGAACATGAGGAAGCGCGAGCGTTCCTCCTGCGAGAAGCTGCGGAGAGCGCGCCAGAACCACGAAATCTCCGGGTCGCTAGACTTCCAGCCGCTCATCTGTGTCGAATTCTTGAGCTCGTCAACGTCAATGGTGGTAATACCCGAAATGAGGACTGGGGAGTCAGTGACTGTGCAAAACGTTCTAAACTTACGTTCAAGCTGGTCGGGCTCGAAGATCTGGATGAAGTGGCGGGGGATGATCCTGCGCGCGTTAGCTAATGGTTCCGCCTACGAAATCGTAGCTACTCACTCGTAGAATCCGGTAAGGAAGGCGTTCATCTGTTCCTTGATCGAGTTCTCCATGCGGTACGCGCAGACGAGGCGAACGTATTCGGCCTTGTTCTCCTCGGTGACGGGGATGGTGGTACCGCCGGGCTTGAGCTCGACAATCTTCTTCTCACCAAACGAGTCGTCCTCAATAGTGAACTCTTGCTGCATGGACGTCAGTTGGAGTAACTACCACCTATACAACCACAACTCACGTCAATAATGTCGGTAATGTCATTGTCGAGCATCCACTGGAGCGACTTGTGGAACTCCGGGTCCACACTCTCGAGGTCACGCATGTCGACCGAGCGGCCGAGGATCTGCTTGTAGAACGCGCGAGAAAAGTAGGCATCAAGCAGGCGACTGTCAAAGATGGCCTTGCCGATAACGCGGCCGACAAACTTGAAGAATGACAGGTGGTCGTCGACGACCGACGAGTGCTTGTTGGGCTGGTACGTCTGCTTGTCGGCGGCACATGGCTCAAACAGGGCAAAGTTGGGGTCAAAGATCTGCTGTGCGAGCACATGGAACCACTCGCGAGTGACACCACCAGCGTCGACACCGTCCTCGTTGATGAACTTGACGTTGATCTTGCCGTACTTGACCTCGTCACCGGGACGATGGAGGAGGGCCGAGAACGAGTCCTGGAAGACGTACTGCCTGCGGACGTTGAGGTGCAAGGTGGGGTAGGCAAGCTGGTCGCGCTTGCGCTTGAGCTTGAGGAAGAACCAGTTGCGCTTGTTGTCAAACTCGAGCACGCGAGGGTTGGCAATGAGCAGCGAGAACGAGCCGTTCATGAGCGACGGGTTGTTGCGGACAATGGCGTTCAGCACCTTGCGGTGTGTAGTCGTAAACGAGAAGAACAGGTCGGTCGGGGGCGGGGTTGTGGGCGACAGGAGCGGCGACATGGCGTCGGCCGCAGGGGTCGTTTGCGTGTGCTTTGACACGACCATGAGCGCCTCGACAAGTGGGAGGAGCACAGCGGCAATCTGCTCGGTGCTCTCACGCTCCTCGGCAAGGGTCAGGCAGTCTCCAAGCTGCCTCCACATGTTGGAGAAGTCAAACTTCTGGTAGATGTCAAGAGCCTGCTGTTCGCTCTCGGAGAGCTCGCCGCGGTTCTTGTTCGCCTCGGTGGCCTTGCGCGAGTAGAGATAGTCGAGCGTCTTGAGGAGACGAAGGAGCTGGGCCTGGCTCGAGCTAGCGGGCGAGAACTTGGCAAGCACCGTGGGGGACAGCTCGTGGTCCTTGTCAGCGAGGACCGTGGCGAGCTCCTTGAGCTCCTCCTGGATGGTGGCGCCGAGCTGCTGTGAACGAGTGCAAAGCTCCTCGACGAGAATCGCCTTGGCGTTGGGGATGCACGAGAGGTTCTGAAGCACAACAAGGGTCTGGCTGAAAGTACGGCTCGAGCAGTCGCCAATGGTGAGGCAGTTGACAACAAGGCGGAGAACCGAGTTGGGGATGACGGGCGCCTTGAGCTCGGGGACGGCCGGCTTGGTCGTGGCCACGGCAGTCGAGGGTGCACCGTCAGCGGCCGCTGCCTCTGGGCCAGTCGCGGTGGCGCTCGGGACAGCAGGAGGCGCAGATCCAGCGGCTGCCGGGGCGGTCACGGTCGAAGCAGGGGCGCCTTCAGCAGCATTATCGGCAGGAGGCTTTGCGGCCTCTGCTTCAGCAGCGTCAGTGATGGCCTTGGGGTCCTTGTCCTTGTTCGCGAGGGTAGCGAGGGGCTTGGTGATAGCCGCAAGTAGACCAGTGAGCGACTCCATCATGCCGGGCGTCTTGAGAAGGTTGGGGCGGTCAAGAAGGCCGATAAGGATGACGATCGGGAACTTGGTCTGCGGGAGGAACTTCTCCTTACCCTTGCCCTTCTTGGAGATGGGCTTGCGGAGACCCACGGGCTGCTCGTGCTCGGTGAGGAAGTACGTGACGGCCTGGTGGTTTGAGCCGACAATGTACGACAGCGCCTCGAAGCAGCGTTGGGCGATAAAGGTCGGGATGTGGTCGTTTTGCAGGTGCGTGAACAGGCCGCTGGTGAGGGCGGTTCCGGGGGTCTGGACCTCCTTGCCCTTGGGCGTCTGGGCGGCAGCCTTGGGGGTGGCAGCGAGGCCACGGAGCGACATCTGCTGGAAGCTGCGGTCGACAGCGGGCAGGTCGCCCGAGCCGTCCTGGACGATCGAGAGCAACAGGTTGAGCAGGTCGACGCGTGTCTTGGAGTTTTCACACAGGTGAACAAGCGTGCGCAGGAGGTAGCCCTTGCGGAGAGCCTCGGGGAAGAAGAGGAGGCGAACGAGGGATGCGATTCCGGGCTTGTCGAGCAGCTGGATGGCGTCGCGCTTGACACGCGGAGGTGCGGGCATGGCAATGGCAGCCGCAATTCCGGGTGGAGGCGGCAGACCAATGTCGCGGGCAAGCATGTTGAGCAGGTCGCTGGCAGGGCCAGAGATCATGTCGCGCAACTCGGCAGGCAGGTCGGCCGGGACGGGGTTGGCGGCGCTGAACATGTCGCGCTCGATGCGGGGCTGGCGACGCGAGTGGTCGATCGACTCTTGCATGATAACCTCGGCACGAATGTCGGGAGGCAACGCGTTGAGGAACTCGGCGTTGATCTGCGACGACGACGGCACGTTGGACGCAGCGGGCTGAGTGAGGCGGTTCTGCTCGCGGAGGTGCTGCTCGACAACGTCGGCGCGCATGTCCTCTGGAAGAGCTTGCAGGAACTCGAGGTCGATGCCAGTGTCGGTGATGTCCACCTCTTCGCCGTGGATCACAATGGTGACGCGGGGACCAGCAGGCTCCTCGGCCTCATCACCTTCCTCGTCGCCTTCCGACGACTCGTCGTCATCGTCTTCCGAGTCATCTTCATCGTCATCCTCGTCATCAAACGCCATCTCAATGTCCTCGTCGCCAATGTCGCTACTGCTTCCAGCAAGCGCAGAAGTGGGACGGGTGTCGGGCAGGGGGATGGTCGTCGGGAGAGCAGCCTCCTCCTCACGGCGCTTGGCCTCGGCGGCGGCGGCCTCCTCGTCCGCCTTGCGTTGACGCTCAGCCTCCTCCTCAGCGACCTTGCGGGCGGCGGGCATGAGGCGGTTGATGAGGTGAACGACAAGGAGAGCAATCTGCTCGGCGGACGAGTAGGGGAAGAAGTTGGCCTCCTCAAGCCAGCGCTGCAGAGTCGGGCGGGGCTTGTACTCCATCTGGAGCTCCTCGGGGGTCGAGGGGAGACGGGGGCTCGAGGGAGGCGCAACGTTGAACGAACGGCCGCCAATCGAAAGACCAAAGCCGCCGTCCTGACGGTGGGCCAGGTCGACGCGGATAGTCTCGGCGCCGGCGTGGCGGCTGTGGTGGACAATGTTCTCAAGGAACTGCACGGCCTGGGGACCACCAAGACCCTCAATGCTGGCGATGAGGTCGTTGAGGTTGGAGAGCGAGCCGAAAGGGTTGGTGGATGTACGACCAGGAATGGCCGAACCGCGCGAACCAGCAAGAAGCGGGTGCTGGGTGTTGTCGGCCGAGGTACGTGGAGGGAGGCCAAAGAGAGAAGCAGCGGCGATGTCGTCGCGAAGGCTGGGGCGGCCGCGGATCTCAGAGGAAAGCGTGGGCTCCTGCCAGCCCCAGTGGCCCATGGCGGCGCTGCGGCCGCTAGAGTGGTGGCGCATGCCGTTAGAGCCAGGAAGACCGTCCATAACGTCAATCTCGTCGTAGCTGAAACAGAAAGTTAGCACATGCTCCCATTTGCTTAACTTACCCCTCGCCATCCTCGTCGTAGTCGTCCATCTCATCCTCACCGTCCTCCATGTCGAGGCCAGCGACGAATTCTGCCAGTCAGAAACGATGTCACCACGAAACATGAACAACTCACCATTCTCCATGAAGCCGTCCTCCTCTTCCCCCTCAGAGTCAAACTCCTGGTCGTCTCCCTCCATCATTCCCTCCTCGTCCCATGGGACGCCGTCCTCCATGTCCTCGAGTTCGGCACCAATCTCGACGACAGGCTCGTCCTCGTCATGGTCCTCACCGTCGTCCTCAGTCGACTTGGTCTGTCAGCGCGTGTACCAAAAAAAAAAACAAAAAAAACACAAGTACTCACCCAGTCGCCCTCCATGTCGTCTTCGTCGCCATCATCATCATCATCGTCGTCATCGGAAGGCTCGGTGTCCTGCTCGTCGTCGTCCATGTCGTGGTCCATGTCGTCGACGAAGGCCTCCATGAGGTCCTCCTCGTCCTCCATGTCCTCCTCATCCATGTCCTCGTCGACATCATCATCCATGTCGCCGCCGAGGATCCCGAGAGCAGAGTTGCGGTAGAGGTCGGGCGTCTGGTCGCCGTCGTCGTCGCTCATGGTCACGTCGGATTCGTCGTCGGTCTCCGAGTCATCGTGGTGCTCCTCTTGGTCGTCGACGCCTTGTTCCTCGCCGTCCTTCTTCTTGTCGCTCTTGCCCCACTTGATGGAGATTTTGGTGAGGTGCTCAAGAGCCTTGAGCAGCGAGATGAGGACGTTGCGAATGTCGGGATAGTTGAGGTCAATCTCGGACACGGCCGAGGTCATGAGGCTGACAAAGTTCTTCTCGAGCATGGTCTTGGCGAGGTGCAGGCTCGAGTCGTCGGTGGGGCGCGGGATGACGGACGGGCGGGCAGTCAAGAGACGGAAAATGAGCTCGCCCAGCGCCCAGAGACGGCCGTAGCGCGAGTTCAGGTCAAGGTGCGAGTGCGTGCTGTCCTTGAGGGCCTTGGCGATGCCGTCCAGGACAGCCTTGCGGACCGCACTGAGGTCCTCGGGGACCTCCTTGAGGTCGGTCGTAGGGGTGAGGTGGGCGCAAAGGGCGACAACGAGGGACGACGCCCAGCTCGAAAGCGACAGGCGGCGAACCTCGTCAGCACCGTTGGAACCGCTGATCTTCTCCTGCACGTCTCCAAGAGTCACGCAGCAGATAAAGTCGGAAATGATGGCAGCGATGCCAACCTTGCCCTTGCCGGCACCGTAGAGGGCGCCGTGGCGGAGACCAGCGACGAAGGCCTTCTTGGCGGAAAAGTACGATCCAACAAGCTCGGTGATGAGCGAGATGATCAGGCCGGCGTAGGCGTAGGCCTCGGCGGCAGCCTGTGTGGCAGCCTGGGTGGCCTCGGCCGAGCGCTCAGTGCCGGCACGCTTGGCGGCCTCCTCTTGCTGGATGATACGCATAGACTTGCCAAGCTCGCCGAGGAGCACGTCCATGACGGGGTGGGTCTCAAACGTGTCCAGAGTGGAACTCTTGAAGGGGTCGTTGGCGGCGGGGCCAGTCTCCTTGTCCTTGGCGATGTCCTTGCCATCCTGGTCCTTGCCCTTGCCCTCCTTGCCCTTGCCCTTGCCCTCCTCAGTGGTGGCTTGGTCAATGGCGCGGACGTGGTAAACAGACTGGGGCGGGCTGGGTGACACGAGCGCGCACTCGTGCGAGACGGCGTCCATGAACGACTCGGGGTCACGGAACGCCATCTGGCGAAGCTGACGGACAAAGTGGTTGACGTCGGTCACCTTGTTGCGCTGAGGGGTCATCCACTCGCGAATCTCGCGGCGCATGACGTCGCGGAGCGTGTCCTTGGTGTCAAACGCGTGGCGCGCGATCATGGCAAGGAACGGCTGGCAGCCGGCGAGCTTGGAATCGGCCTTCTTGAACGCGGACAGGACGTGCGAGACGAGCTCGGGTCCACAACGCTTCGTGTCGTGGCGCGTGAGGATGGTGGTGAGGCGAAGCACCGACATCATTTCCTCGCGGCTGACGTTTTCGGCAGAAAGCGTGTTGTGGCAGATCTGGAGAAGGCGGTCGGGTGCATCGCCAAAGTCGGCGGCGCGGACCACGGGGATGGGCTCCTCGTCACCAAGCTTGGCGTCCTTGACGGTGTAGGCCATCAAGAAGATGGACTCGGCAGCAAGGAGGTATGTGGCGAGGTACGTCGGGTGCGGGGTCGCAGTGTCGACGTTGAGAGCCATGATAGTCTCCATGGCACGCTTGCTGTCGGCGACGGGGAGCTCGATGGGAGGGGGCTTGCGAGCAAAGACACAGAACAAGCGCAGACGAGCCGAGATGGCACCGTTGCGGCGGGGCTCCTCCTTGCTAGCCTCATCGATGCGGTCAATGACAAAGTTGGCACCCTCAACACCAGACGGGAAGGCTGGCAAGAGGTCGTTGACAAGGTCCTCGACGCGGTCAAGGAGCTGAAGCGCGCGCGGGGCAAGGTCGGGCCTGGCCTCGTGGCGGAGCTTCTTGAGCTCTTCGCGCTGAGACTCGTACACGGTCGAGGGACTGGGCACGGGGTCAACGTCCATGGCAGCCTCGCGGGCCTCTGCGCTGGATGACGCCTCGGCAGCAGAGGGGGCGCCAGTCTCCTCGTTTGGCGGGGTGGTGACAGTAGTCGTTGGTGCGTCGCCGGGAGCGGCCGCGGACGCTTCGGCGCCAGGAGCAGCAGCAGCTGCATCGCCGGCAGCAGCCTCAGGCTCAGCGGGAGTGGTGGGCTCTTCGGGGAACAAGTGGGGCATGCTCAGGAGCAGGTCCGTGGCGGTGGCAACGTTGTTACGGGCACGCAGGAGAGCGCGCTCGGCCGAGTTGCGGCCAAAGCCCATGTCGACAAGCTGCGCGACACGCGCCGGGTCGGCGGTGAGCTGGGGGCGGGTGTGGAAGGCAGGGCGGACGACAGCAGGCTGCTCCGGCTCGGGCATCGGGACGCGCGCCTCGACCTCCTCGTGCTGTCCTGCCATGATCTCGAGGAAGGTAGCGATGGCGAGGCGGAGCATGTTGTGAGGGAGCGTTGGCAGCCACTCGGCCATCCAGATGTGGCGCGAAATGGGCAGAATGTCGCGACGAATGCGCACAAACGTGTTCATGGACGAGAAGCGCTTGTTGGCAGGAAGCGACATTTCGCGCTGCTCAATGACGTGGGTTTGGGGGCTCTCGATGATGGAGCGGGGCGACGCAAACGCGTTGAGCACAGAAACAACGATGCGGATACCGGCGTGGCATTGGGCGATCTGGTCCCTCTGCTGGGTGGTACGCTCCTCGGTGGGGACGTCGGGCATCTTGTCTAGCTGAGCCACGATACGGCGAATGTTGCCGAGCATGACGCCCATGCCCCCCTTCTTATCGAACGGAATGAACAGAGTGGTAGAGATGTATCCCTCGGCTCCGCGTTCATCAAAGAGAAGAATGGTGGAGAGGCCAAGCGACACAGTGTCGATCCCGAATGCGTGCTCGGGGACTTGAGCGGAGCCTGGTGGGTTAGAACAATCCGTGAAGAAATTACCCACAAGTCAGATGGCCGATAATGATATCCGAAACAACCTCTGCAAGCGCTGCCGACTCCTGCTTGTAAGCAGCCTCGGGCATGCGTTTGTTGTAGATGAGACGGATAGAGGCTACACTGTCAGCTTGTCGTGCGTGGCGTGCAAAGCTCACCCTTGAAGAACTTGGTCAGAATGGCATGGATACGCGTCACAAGCGTCTTGACGGTGCCGGCACGGGTAGGTGGCACCTTCTTGGCCACGTCCGTGGGCGAGGTCTCTTCGGTGCTGGCCTCGACAACCTGGATGGTCGGGTTGACGGGGAGCTCAGCACCTGCCGCGGTGGACGCCTCGGCAGAGGCGCCCTCAGCAGGAGTCTCAGTGCTGGGAGCAGCAGCAGGAGCATCCGCAACGGGAGCGTCCTCGGCGGGCTTGTCCGCCTTGTAGCTCTTCATGATGACGTGCTCCTGGAGGGCAACACGGTGCAGGAGACCGAGGTTGGAGACCAGATCCGAGCCCGAAGTGACACCAAGGGTCTTGATGAGCGCAGTGCCGGTGCGCTGGCTGCCAAAGGGAAGGCTGAGGTACTCGCTGAGGAACGAGAGACGCATAGCAAGACCGGCGGCGCGGCGGAGACGCGCGTGGTCGTCTGTCGTACCGTCTTCGCTCAACATGGCCCACCAGTACGAGCGGGCATTGTCGTCCTTCCAGAGCTCAGGGAGCCTTTCGAGGTCCTCCTTGACGGCCTTGACCATGCGCTCGGTGAGCTGGATGTGGTCGTGTTCACCGATAGCACGGAGGACGGCGGGGATAGCCACGGCAGCCTCTGTGGGCGAGAAGCGCACGGGGATACAGGGCAGGTCGGCAATGCAAAGGACGAGGTCGAGACCGCCGTCCTTGATAAAGTCGCGGCACATGGTCGAGTTGCGGAGCAGACCAGTAAGGAGCTTGAGAATGTTGGTGAGCTTGGTCAGGGGCGCGTTCATGGTTGCGCCAGTCACGTCCTGGCTAGCGGACATGTCGACCTCCATCGAAGTGTCGACGGTGGCCGGGTCGACGGCGTACTCGTTGACCTCGGAGGGCGAGGGGCGGAACTGCTCTCCAGCCTCGATAGCCTCGCGGAGGATGCCCATGACCGACTCGAGGAGCTTGGGGCGGAGCTGGGGGTGGTGGCGAATGAGCTCGTCAAGAGCGGCGCCAATGGTAGCCACGTTGTCGCGCTCGTTCTCCTCAACCTTCCACGCGATGGCGACCTTGATAAGGTTGCTGACGACGTCAAAGTGGTCAAGGGTATCCTGAAGACCAGGACCGTTGAGACAAATGGCACCAATGGCCGTGGGGAGGGCGTAGGCGACCTCGAAAGTGTCGGGCATGTTGGCCTCGAGCTCCTTGTAAAGAGTCTGGGGCAGCTGCATCTCCTGTAGAATGCTGAGCGAGGTGGGCTCGTTGTGGACAATGGTCGACATGATGTTGATGGCGACACTGTAGTTGCGAGCGCCAAACGGCTCTCCGTTGGTGAAGATGCGCTTGAGAGACTTGGGGAGGTCAGAGTCGACGACGTTGCGGAACGCCTCTGTGCCGCCTGGGCTCTGGAGCATGCGGTAGATGGAGCGGAGCTCAGCCTTGAGGCCCTGGGTGTTGAAGGCAATGAGCGAGTCGCGGGACTCGAGTTCATTGTCCTCGGGGATGGGCTCGGCCTGGATCATCTGGATCTCGGCCCTAATCTTGCTGACGAACACGTTCAGGCCGTCGGCGGCAGTGAAAGCGTTCTGGGCGAGAGGGTGCTGGTACAGAGCCGAGTCGAGCAGACCGCACGCCCTGGGAATGTACAGGACACGGCGGTCGCCCTTAGTGTCGAGCATCTCGAGGAGGACGGGGATGAGACCGGCTCCAACGAGGAGGTTGCCGTTGAAGGGGATCTGGTTGATGTACGCGACAAAACCAATGAGAGCGTCGACAAGCTCGTGGTGAACCTCTTCGCCCTGCGAGAGCTTGTGCGCAACGCTACGGAGCAGGTTCATAATGATACCGTGGCTGACATGGGCGTTGATAGAGGTGAGAACCTCTTGGCGGTGCCTGCTTGCAGAGTCGAGGGCAAGGATGGCAGAGGCGGCGACACTGTCACCCACACCCCTCTCGAGGATCAGCAGCTCGGCCATCTGGTTGACGAGCTCGGGCTCGTACAGGAAGATGCTAGACTGCACAGCCTCTTCTGTTGAAAAGTTGGTAAAGCATGCGAGCGCCATGAGGCGGCAGCTGAGCAGCTGACGACGGACGTCGCGGTCCTTTGTGAGCACGATAACGCGGATCTTGTTCAGAGCCGAGAGCTGGTCGTCCGTCTCCATGCGGTACTCGTCTGCGAGCTTGTTGAGGCGGGCGAGGTAGTCGCTGGGCATGGTCTCTGCGACATTGCCCAAATCCACAGTGACCATGGTGCTGTCGACGGCAGGTGCGACCTTGGCAGGGAGGGGCGTAACCGCCACCCGCGACTCGGAACGGGCGGTGGCGAGAGTCGGCCTTGTGGGTGTTTCCAGAGCGCTGCCATGTGTCGAGAGGTGGTGCGTGGGCTTGACGGGGGACAAGTCCAGTGCTGGGGGAGCCGACACGGCGTCGATAGGCGGGTAGAACTGGAGCTGGAGCTGGGCGACATCGTCGCTGAGCTCGAGGGGCTGCTCGCTGGACGCGTACGCCACGAGGTCGGTGCCGCCGAGCGCAAGACGGTCCCAGCCGCGGCTGAGAGCGAGCAGGCGCGCACGGATACTGCTGCTGAGCTCGGAAGAGGTCGGCATGTTGTTCAAGTACTGCTGGAGGGGGCGCAGGAGCACGAAGAGGGCGGCCTCGAGGACGTCGAGGTCGTTGGTGAGTAGGAGATCGTTGATGACCTGGAGGGTGGGTTAGCCGACTGGCACCGTGCACCCTAACTCACATCGTAGCCCTCAAACAGCTTGCGGTTCGTGCAATTCTCCATAAGGAGACGGATGAAGCGCAGACACTCGAGCACGAGGTCCTTGTCCTCTGGTGTGAACTCGCCCAGCTGCAGCTTGCATGCCGTCTTGCTGCCTGCGCCGAAGGCGTAACGGTCACGCATGTTGGTAAGGATACGGACAAGCTGCTGGGTAACAGACACCCATGCGTGCATGTCACCACGAGCAAAACGCCATATCTGGACTGGACGAAGGACGCTGACGAGGTCTTCGTCTGTCGAGGCTGTGATCCGCTTGATGAGCCTGTCGACGTCGGGTGGCTACAGGTCGGCGAGCGCGCAGGGTAGAGCACGGGGGTGGACGGTGGAGGCAAAAGGTATGGGGAAGAGTGACACGTCGAGAAGGACGAGGAGACAAAGGAGCATACCACGTCAGCAAAACACTGCCCCATCACTGCACGTTGTTGTTGGGAACCCACCGGCGGCGCCACCTTGCGAGTGGACTTGCGGATCCTCATGATGTCGCTTGAGGGGTGTTGAAGCGAGAAGAGGTCGTGGCCCCGGTACACGCGCAAGCGTTGCTAGCAGGTGTTTGGGGGCAGAGAGAGAAAGTGGCCAGGTCTGTAGTACGAGTAGTCGACCCAGGCGCACAGGACGGAAAGGGGAGAGTTGACGACAGATGGTGGTGAGCCGCACACACATAAGACCTGAGAGAGAGAGAGCTCTGCCGTCAGTGGGGGACACATCCGTGGGAAATCTGCGACACGTGAGCGAGATGACGGTGGCGACGCGGGAGCAATTAGTAAGGCGTTTGACGTGAGAGCACCCGTGGGAGATGTGGGAGGTGGAGGTGGCCCTCTCTTGACAATGGTGTCCAGTTCCAGATGGTTCGCTCATTGTTCATCACACCTCGTTCCTCCCAACCCAAACCCCACCATGTACGACGACCAGGCGAACGAACGCAAGGTGCAGAACCTCGACCGTCTGGTGTACAGCTCGGACATTGGCGCCGCCACGTACCCCGAGAACGCGCGTGCCGCTGCCGTCCAGCTCGACGACATTGCCGCGGTGCTCCGAGACCGTGCGTCCATTCCCGGAGCACAATGGAGACGGAGTTGCATTGACTGACACCTCCCACAGCTAGCACCCGCGAGACGTTTGGCGGGACCGACCTGCCCAGTGTCCTCGTCAAGATTGTCAATACCCCACTGCCTGCTGTGGATGCCGCAAACTATGGCCCGCATCTCCAAGTCCTCGAGCAGGTCGGGCGCGTGGCTGCCAACCTCGTGGCTGACTGTGGTAGGTAGGCGCTGAACGATTCAGTATACCTGACCCACAGATGTGAACCGTGACCGTCTGGCCACGGCGGGCGAAGGCGGCTACCCACTCCCGACATTGCAGCTCATCACCAAGCGTCCCCTGCTCCCCCTCCAGGCCCTGCGGCCGCTCGTGGCAAGCCTGCTTAACCTCACGGTCGAGCGCCACGGTGAGTTCTTGCGCGCACGCCATGGCACGGTACTAACTTGGCAAGGCCCCTCTGTCGCTGCTCTCTCCTCGCACGACAACCTCGTCGCCGTGATGACCCTCGCTGGAGCGGTGCACACTCCTGGCGCGTGGGCAGAGGACGACGCCGACGCGCGTTCGGGCGTGGCGGCGTGGCTGTGGACCATTGCCGACAACCTCATCGACGAAAGCTCAGCACCAGAGTATTCCCTTTCGGCGGCGGACGTGCGCCTCTTCCTTCCTCCTCTGCAGTGTGCGGCGCCGCGCGAGGCGCCCGTGGACGACGATGGCGACTGCTTCTCGACGGACCTGACGCTCCTGACGCACGCCACGCGCGTGCTGGAGCGGTTCAACGCGGCGGACAAGCTCGACCACAAGGAGATCATGGGCGACACGGCTGCCATGGAGCAGATGCTCGATTTTGTGGAACTGGCACTGATCCCGTCCTGGGTTGAGGTGGACGACGACGAGCCCGGAGACAGCGAGAAGACGCTCGGCGTGGCCAAGGCCAGTATCGCGCGTACGGTCGTCTCGCTGCTCGCCGAGGCCGGCGACGTGGCGCCCACATGGGTGTGGGAGCGCGTCCAGGCCTGGCTGGACATGAATGACCGTGCAGACCTCGTGGCGTGCGCGCTGCTGAGCTACGGCAACCGCGCAAGAAGCGGTGAGCTAACGTACCAGGATGGCAAAAGCTGACCCCCGCCAGACGCCGCCGCCAAGACCCTCGTCTCTGAACCGGGCCTCGTCGCCCGCCTCGTCAAGCTCCTCGTCCCCGGCACCCCGGTGATCGTGCAGCACGCCCTCCTGGGTCTGCTGCGCAACCTCTCCATCCCAGCCGACAATAAGCGTATCCTCGGCGCCGCGGGAGTCGTCGAGGGCGTCGTCGCCCTGGACCCGTGGTGCAGCGCGCGCGACCCCGTCGGGAGCGTGCAGGGCGGCGCGATTGGCGTGATCAAGAACCTCGTCCGGGAACCGGTCGCAGCCAACGACGCGGACAAGGCCGCCAACAGCGTGCGCTTCTTGGCGCCAGTCGTCGACGCTGTCGCCGCCGCAGCGTCGATCACGGAGATCAACGACAACGACGACGGCATTCTCTCCGCTTCCGCGTCCGCGTCCGTGGCGACGCCCGCCCCGGGCCCCGAGGCACTGCACGCCATGATCGCACGCACAAACGACCCGGCGCTCGCGATGGAGGGCACGCGCGTGTGGGCCGCCGCCATCCGTGCGCTCGCCAGCGTGCCGCTCGCGACGGCCACGGCGGCGCAGCGGACAGCCTGGTCCCGCGTCAGCAGCGCGCGCGTGCTCGCCGACCTGGCGCGCATGCTCGTCGCGGGCGAGCAGCACATTGTGCTCGTCAACGAAGGCGTGGTTGCGCTGTCGCTGCTGGCGGCGTTTGGCAGCGGCAGCGGCAGCGACGGCGACGGCGACGGTGATAGCTCCAGTGCTGCGGCAATTGACGCAGCGCTCATGCAGCCGCAGGCGGTCACGACCAAGGCGCGCGTCGAGGACGCCGAGGTCGAGACGGGCAGCACGCGGCGGGGCGCCGACGTGCTCGCGCGCGTGCTCGCCCCGCGCGCCGACCGGCCGGTGGCGGCCGAGGTGCAGGCTGGCGCGGTCACGCTCGTGCGTCTCCTCAATGGCGGCGCCGTGCGGGGCGTGTGTGCGCGCGAGATTGCGCTGGCTGGCGACGAGGGCCGGTCCGTGGCTGCCGGCGCTGCCGAGCTGGCCGTGCTCGCCACGGCCAAGGACAAGACCACAGAGGCGCAACAGTGAAGAGCGAGCAAGAGAAAGACGCAAGACGCAAGAGCAAAGCATATTGGATATTCCAGTTTTTATAGTCACCACGACGATGTACAGATTTCTAGATCTCGGCAGTGGAAATACCGAACGCGCTACAGATTGGTTGACAACACACTTCCTTCCTTACTTGCTTCCTTCCTTCCTTCGTTTGTCCCCTCCCCCGTCAACACACCTCGCCGTCACACTACGACTCGTAGTCTTCGGTGTAGATGGCGACGTGGCCGCGCGAGTCGCCACGCAGGATGGTGCCCGGGTGGATGTGGCGCGAGACGAGGTTGCGCACGACCGTGTTGAGCTTTGTGGGGCCGCACACGGCCACCATCATGGATCCCTCTGCGGCGCGCAGCTCCTCTTCAAAGATGGCGCCGAGCTTGGGCCGCCCGCCGCGCGCCATCTCGGACAGCACCGACGTGGCCGCATAGTCGGCCTCGTCGATCCACAGGCTGCCGGCCTGCAAGCCGCCGTTGGCGGTGCCGGCACCGGGCCCGGCATCGTACATGCTCTTGCCGGCCTCGGCCCTGCTGCCCGTGTCCTCGAGGAGGATCATGGACTGGGTGCGCGACCGGACCGACATGGCGTTGCGCATGCTCTCGGCGTCGTCGCCAAAGACCATGGATGGCGAGCGCGAGGGCCCTGCGCTGCCGGTGGGAGACGCGCCGTTCATGTAGCTGGGCGCAAAGCTGACAGGGCGGCCAAGACCCAGGCCGTCACCGCCGTTGTAAGGGTCGTAACGGTCGTACACGCTCGAGGCGACTGAGCGGTGGCTTGCGCGCCTGTCACGGTAGTCGGCGTCAGGAGCGAGCAGGTGCGAGCTACGGTAGTCGGCGTTGGCATCGGGGCCGAGCATTGCCTGGTGCTCTTCGTCGTAGACCGAGAACGGGTTCGTGTCAACGGTACGAACCGAGGGAGCGATGCTGCTGGCGGCCATGCTGGTGACGCGCGAGTGGCCGCGGCCGTTGGGTGCAAGCCTGTCGCCAGAGGCCGGCATAGGCTGGCCGTCCTTGTTAAAGTAGCCCGATGGAGGGCGCGAAATAGGACGTGAACCAGGACGGCTGTCTGCGCCGGCAAGGGGAGCATACGGCATCGGGGGCGAAAGCGTCGACTGGGGCCTGGGGGGCGGGCTGGTGGCCGAGTCTACGTCGGACATGGCGGCACGCTTGGCGACCTTGCGGCTGCGAGCACGGCGCATCTTACCCTGCTTCTGCAGGTGGCGCGACAGCTCGTCCTCGGCGTCGTCCTTGACGTTGTCCTCGTCGGCAAAGTTGGTGAGGTCGGCCGCTCCGGCACCGGCATACTCCATCTCGACGTCAAAGTCGTCGTGGTAGCCGCGGTAAGGGTCTTCACTGACACCACTGATACCACTGATACCACTGATACCGGACATGTCCGAAGCCACCGAGTCTCGAGACGACGAGCGATCCATGTAGCGGGACGAGGGGGTTCCAGCGAGTTTTGGTTGTATTCCTGCGGCGGCGGGGCGACGTTGGAGACGTAAATGTCAATCTTGAGAGCCGTGTTGCCCACAAGCTTCCTGGCACGGCACAGAGCCGACGCACACCATGCCAGCTCGGCATATTCGCGCGCAACCCAGACAAAACGGATACGACGGGTCTTGTTCTTAAACTCGCCACGAGCCATCATCTGGGTGAGGAAGTCGCAAACGGCAATGCCAAAGCTGACACCAGTGCCACCGCAAATGATGAGAATGGACGAATAGTCGCGCCAGCGGACACGGCCGGCGGATCCCATGGGGCCGTCAATCTTGGCACGCACAAACACGGGAGCCGCCTTGGTGACCATGCCACCTTGCTTGGTGGCAGCCTGCATGCTCGCCTCGGAGCGCTCGCGGACGAGGTCGTACAGTTGGCGAGTGAGGCCCTTGCGCGCCTTGATGATGAGAACCATTTCCTCGGGGTCGTTGCCGCAGACCGTGAACGGGTGCGACTGGAAGCGCGAAAGCTCGGGAAGGGTGAGGAGGACACTCTGACCCGGAGCCCACGAAATGGGCCGCTTGACACGGACGGTGAGGCGGACCATGCGGGAAGGCAGCAGCTGCGCCTGGGCAAAGCCGGCGGGGACGACAGGTGGCGGAGCAATCAGGGGCACGTTAGGTGTCGTGCCAAAGGAAGTCATTGATTCACGGGACATGTCGTTCCGACGCGGGCTGTTGTAGCCAGAAGAGGCACCGTCCGTTGTTGTCGTAGGCTGCGTCAAACGTGCCCGCGGGTTGAATCTCGGCGTCGCCGTAACCAGCGTTGGGGTTTGAGGCCTTACGCTGCTGCTGCTGTTGGAATCCGCGGTTGTCATCGATACCCAGCATCTTGTCGTTGAACTCTTCGAGCACAATGTCGTCGGTCGCAAGGCCTTCGTAAGACTTGCCTCCCCGGGCAGTACGGCTGCCACCAGAGTTGATGCGGGCGTAACGCAGCATACGCCAGACGCGGTCGGCACCCCAGAGGGCAGCGGCGGCTGCGATCCAGTACCAAAGCACCGGGTGGTGCAGGACCGAGGCGACCATGGTGATGAGGACAATGGTGACGTGCGAAAAGTAGAAGAACTCGTAGCGGTTCTGGCGGATGGGACGGACACTGAGGACCATGAGGAGGCAGAGGAAAAAGTAGGCGACAATGCCGCAGACGAAGCGAACCGAGGTGAACAGCGTAAACCACACGGCCTTGCCGTTGTATTGGTCGCGGAAGAGCTGGACCGTCCACAGCGCAACGTGCGCGGTTGTCATGGCCCAGATGATCCAACCGGTCACACGGTGGAAGGTCATGAGCTTGTCCGAGTACAGGTGAGTAAACACCTTGACGGAGAAGATGGCAAACGGCGGGGCCTTGAGCGCGAGCAGGACCACGAGCGGGAAGAGGGCAAACGACATGATACCGAAGCGGCTGGCGGTCGACCACATCGACTTGCCAATCGAGTACGATGGGCCCGTGTTAGTGGCCATGCCGCGCTTTGCGGCGCTGAACAGACCGAGACCGGGGGCAATGTAGTCGGTGCCGACAAAGCAGAGGGCAATGGCCAAGCCGGTAACGAGGAGAGACACAAGGAGGACGCTGTTGCTGGGCAGTGCGGTGGACCTGCTGCCCTTTTTCGAACCGATGGTGACACGCCGCATGCCCCATTTGTTGAACCCTGCTCCAATGGAACCGCCTGCGATGCGCAAGTGGTGGGCGACGGCGTACGTGACTGCAATGCCGGCAAGCACCATCCAGAAGATGACCGCGTAGCGGTATGACGGTGTGCTGTGGAAGAGGGTCAGCGCGAGGTGGTCGCTTGGGAGAAACAAGGCCTGAGCACAAACCTCATCATATGTGCTGATAGGTATGCACTGGCATAGTCTGCCGTGCCCGAGCCTGTTGCCACGACTGATGGGTCGACCTGGAAGTGTCAGTGGTGGGTTCGTTGGGGCGCGTATGGGTTGTGCGTGTGTGTGCTCACGGCTCCGGTCGTTGCTGCTGCTGGGTATGTTGTCAGCTGGTGTTTCGAGGACGCGCGGGGGTGGTGGTGGTGGTTTGTGTGACTCACTGCCTGTTGCGACTGCCGCTGAAGTGACTGTGACGATGACTGGGACTTGTGCTTGAGTGTACTGCATTGGGGGCTTGTAGACCCCCGTCGCTGCGAGCGACGCTGTGGTCGCGCCGGTGACTGTCATCGTCACTGTGTGGTCGCGCGCGAGGTGTGTGGTGGAGAGAAAGAGAGAGAGAGAGACAGAGAGAGAGAGAGATGGCGGTGTTTGTGTACGAGCAGTGTATATTTCATCACACAGCTGCCTGGGGCCTCGAGCGCGCGCCGCCGTCGCCGCCCGCCCTGAGCCCATGGCCCATGGCCCCATGCATATACCGCGCGTGTGCAGCGTGCAGCGTGCAGCGTGCAGCAGCGTCCCCCTGTTCGCAGCAAGAAAAAGGTGCTGGCACCCACTCTGGCCGTTGCTGCCATGCGTGTACGTACATGCATGTGCACTGTCTCGCCCCCCCCCCTCCTTCATCGCCTCTCTGTGGGACGCGCTTGGCTGGGAGAACGGTCTCTGCAGATCTCACGCGGGGGTGGGGGCTCTGGGCCAGACGAGGGACGACAGTTCCGCGCAAAACCCCCCCCCTGAGAGCTCTGAGGGCGAGCGCTCTGATTCTCTCCCCGCTCCCTTCTTTTTCCCCTTTTTTTGCAAAATGCACAGCAGCAGTGAAATGCTCTTTTCCCGCGGAGAGGCAGCAGCATGCAGCGCAGCGCGGAGGGCCATCCGCGGTTCAGGCATGTTGCTTTGCTCTCTGACGCTTAATCGCTATAAGCAACCACGCCCGGGGGGGGGGGGGGGGTCACAACAAACACCACAAACACAATACCCAATACACATTCCAAAATAGTCCTGCTGTGCACTCTGTGTCTTCCCTCCGTACCATTTATGCGTGTGTGTCTTCCCTGCCCTGTTGCCACCCACATACCGTCACCTCGAGGCCATGGTTTACTAGCCTCGTGGCCAGCTCGTTCCCATACTCAGCCATCTCGCGCCATCATTGTCTCCCTTTGTGCTTTTCCTCACCCACGGCCATTTGAATTTCCCCCCCACCCCCCAGGTCCTGCCGCCTGCGGACTGCGGTATCTCACCCATTCCGTTGCATTCGTTGCCTCGCCGGGACCGGGGGACCTGACGCTGGCGCGGCTGGTGCCAAACAACACCAAGTTGCAAGTAACCAGGTATTTTCGTCTCCGGTACTTTCGGCCTGCTCATCCCACAGTCAGCCGTCAGTGCTAGACACGGACAGCTGTTCCGGACATGCAGGACCCCTGCCGAGCGGCTGAGCGGCCGAGAGTTGCTGAATTGCTGAGCTTGTGCACTTTGCTGCCCTCGTCGCCGTCAACAACAACAGCGAAACGCGCTCCGGCAAATGCCGAGATCCGCAGCACCCAAAAGAGCCGGGTCCTGGGGTCAACTGGCTTCCAGTCACGTGACCCACCACGTGTTCTCATCTCGACTGCTCGACTGCGATCCGACTCGGGCCACCACCACACGGGCGGCGGCCGCCCACCAACATCCACCAGCGAAGTCGGCGCCGTCTTTGCCTGCGAGTTAGACTCTGCTATGCTCGTCGTGCGTGCCACCCGCCAGCTCACACCAGTCCCCCTCCTCCGCCCTTCCCTTCACCTCACTGCCCGGTCCTACGCCGCCACAGCCACCAGCAAGCGTATCCCCCCCGCAATGGACACCGACCTCCAGTACACGCCCGAGCGCGGCGACGAGCTCCGCGCAAACGTCCAGGACGTCCTCGCCGAGCTCAAGGCAGCCGCTCCCGCTGGATCTGACGTGAGTGTGACGGCGTGTGTTCTGGACCGTGTGGCCACTCCTTATCCGTGAGATGGCGGCGATGTCGAGCAAAGAACGGAGGTGTCGAAACGGTTCAATCGCAGCTCCGTTCGGCCCTTTCGTCAGCCTCTCCCAGGACCCTCCCACTCCTGCCTCCAGCACCTGCCCTGCCCCACACACTAACGTTCCCAGCCCCGCCTCGTCGCCATCTCCAAGATCAAGCCCGCCTCGGACATCCAGGCGCTCTACGACGCCGGCCACCGTCACTTTGGCGAAAACTACATCCAGGAATTGGCCGACAAGGCCGTCATCGTGAGTTTCGAGTCGTTACGAGGAGCCGATAGACGTCACGACGTCACTGTAGTGGCACCGAGAGGAGCCAGACGAGCCAGAGCGAGCCAGAGTGGGAGGGGTGTGTCAGAGGCCTGCCCGGGTACCCGGGTCTGTCTTCTGCCTCCTGCCATCGCGCACTGCGCAACACGGCGAGAGGCTCGGCGCTCGGCGAGCACCGGGCAGCGCGGCTGTCGGGTTCCTCTGCCGCCCGCCACCCAGCCCGACGCGCGACGCGCGACGACACCCCTCTCTCTCTCTCCCCCTCCCCTCCTCCGCTTTCATTCATCCCTTGCTCCCTGCCATGGCGGTCTTCTGTGGCCGTGTTCTGCGGGTACAGAGCAGGATCCGGCGGGGCGGCGGCCGGGTATATACCAAAACCTCAAACGCGCCAAGACCCGCCCGCTTCTGCTGGACGCGGGCTGTGCAAGGCACGGAACAGAGGTGTTGGTGTTTGGTGTCGAGCGCGCTGCCCCGGCCGGATAATTGCCATTGCAATTGCAGTGCTGCTTTGTGGTTTTTGCTTCTGCAACAGCAATAAATCGGGCTAGGGTGTGGTGTGCGGCAAGGCATCGCCTTTGAGTGGGCGCCTCGCACTGGTGCGCGATCCCTTGGCACTTGGCATACAGGAGGGACCGTGTCTGGGTGTGGGTGTCGTGTTGGTGGCATGCGGGAACGTCGGGGGGGGCCAATTGTGCTGGTTTGTTAATTTCCTCGAATTTCACGGTCTTGGACGTGCGCACTTGCTGGATCGGGGTTGCGTCTGGCAAGACGCGTAGTGGGGGACCATTGAACGAGTCTGTGGCTGGAACAACCTCGCCGCCGGCATGAGCGCGCCATGGGATCATGGGAGCCGCTTTGGCGGAAACCACCCTCATGACGCGGTCCTGGTCCCTCCAGATCTGCTTACGAGACGGTGATCGCGACGCGAGACGCGTTGCCATACACAACGCTGGTGGCACAATGTCATCCTGCCTCGTGGCGCCACAACGTCGCTGCACCATGTTCCTCCCCCCCCCCCCCCCCCCCCCACCCCGGGAACCACCCCCGACTGACCTCCCCAGCTCCCCAAGGACATCCAGTGGCACTTTGTCGGCTCGCTGCAATCCAACAAGGCCAAGCTCGCGACCGGCATCGAGAACCTGTTCGTCCTCGAGACCCTCGCGACCACCAAGCTCGCCGACCTGCTGCAGAAACAGCTCGCGCCCACGGGCCGCACCCTGCGCGTCTACTTGCAGGTCAACACGTCCGGGGAAGACGCCAAGTCGGGCGTCGAGCCGCTGACGGCGGCTGACGCGTCGACACCGCTCGCGCTCCTCGCTGCGCATGTGCGCGACGCGTGCCCCAACCTGACCATTGCGGGCGTCATGACCATTGGGTCGTGGGACGCCAGCCACGCCGAGGGTGAGAACCCGGACTTTATCGCGCTCAAGGGCACGCGCGGCCACCTGGCGGCCCTGCTCGGCGTGCCCGAGACGAGCCTCGAGCTGAGTATGGGTATGAGCTCGGACTTCGTAGAGGCCGTAAAGGAGGGAAGCAGCAGCGTGCGTGTCGGCACGAGGATCTTTGGCGCGCGGCCCCGGAAGCAGTAGGGGAGAATAGAGAGACCGGGGAGACACACACAGACAGACACAGACACGCAGACACATGGATACATTATACATTTTCTTCTTCTTCAGACTCTGTATACAACCCACAGGCCAGGGCGCCGGGACATGGTGAGAAACCAAGGCCTGCCAATGGCAATTCAAACTGCAGTATCCTCCGCCACGCTCACACCAGCGCTCACGCTCACGCCCACGCTCACACCAACCTTCACGCCGTCTAGCGGAACGGGAACCCGCCCTGCGCCTCTCCGGGACCGACCTTCATCCAGAAATCGGCCAGGTCGAGGGCTTCGAACGGGTTGGCCCCGCCGGCCGGGTTGGTGAACCAGTCGTCGAGGGTCGCGAACCCAAGGTTGTTGGTCACGCTGATGCTCTCGCGCGGGTGGACGTTGCCCATTTCGCTGAGGGGCTGCGCGTGCGGCGGCGCCACACCCGTGCCGTATGGGAACGACAGGCCCGACGTGGGGTTGGACACGGGCGGGAGGGCCCAGTCGGGCGCCTCGGACCCGGGCACCCAGTTGGGCGGCGCCGGCGACGACGACGGCTGCTCGCGGTACGCCCCGCCGCCGCCTCCGCCGCTGTCGGTGCCGTCTGGCGGGCGGCTGTCGTTTTGCGCAGGCAGCGGGACAGTGTTGCCGCCCGTGGGCGAGTTGGCCGACGTCTGCATCCCCCGCGAGCTTTTGGCGCAGGGACTGCAGCTGCAGGCCGTACCGCACCGCCGGGTGGTCGCTGTCTGGCGACGCTTCCGCAAAGCACTCGCACAGGCGGTCAATGAGCTTGTGGACACTGATGTCAGTTCAGCGATCTCGCGTTGTCGAACTCACCCTTCATGGTCGGCACGGAGCATGGCGCCAGAGTACAGAGCCTTGAGGAGGACAATGGCCGCGTACGTGAACCACAAGAGGAAGCGGTTGGGGAGGTACGGCAGCGCGCCGCCCGGGTGCAGGCTGTCGACGCAGATGTGCAGGAGCTGGCGGGCGGCGTCGATAGACTGGAAGATGTATCGCGCATCGGGCGACGCGGCCGCGCCGCGAGGGAAGAGTGAGATGCTCTTGGGGGGCGCAACACCCTCCTGCAGCCTGTCCTCGGCCGACATGGCCGAACGCTCGACATGGGCCTGGAAGCTAAAGGCGCAAATGTACAGCTGGGTGTAGTAGAACATGGCCCACACGGCATCGGTGAGCGGGAAGAGCTTCCACTTCTTCTCGAGCCACAGGATCTTGAAGCCGTCGAGCGAGCGCGCCAGCTCGTCAATGTACTTGAAGTACTCGCCGTAGACGACGAGCGACCGCGTGCGTGCGGCGTTCGGGTACAGGACGTCGTGGGCGTTGGACATGAGCTGTGTGAGCTCGAGGTAGGTCTGGACGAGCGAGGCGAGGTCCTCTTGCTCTGGGTAGTCGGCCGGCGCCCCCTTGGGCGCCTTCATCTCGGTTAGGAATGGGAAGTTGCCCGGAGCCGCCGCTGGGCCTGTCTGTGCCGATGCCGAGAAACCTTGGAAGCAGAGCGCTGGGCCACGCGACCAGAAGGCCTTGCCGAGGCGCAGCGATACACTGTGAGGGTTAGCTATTCATCCACGCGAAGCATAGCTCGACCCACTGTCTGTCAAACAAGTAGCAGTACGTCCAAACAAGCCTCGCACGCTCGACCTCGTACGTCCTGTCGACCTCGGGGATGAGCTTGAGCGCAAGCTTGTCGATGCCCAGGCCATAGGCACAGCGAATAGCCATGCCAATGAGCATCCATGCCTGGCGGTTCTCGGCGCCGTGCACCTCCTCGCCAAAGCCCTGCGCGTGTACGGGGTCCGGGTTGGTGCGTGGGGGGTCGCGGGGCAGGTTCTCGGCGAGGAGGAGCAGCGCCTCGACGAGATCCACCGTGGGCGGTGCACCGAGACACATAATCTCACCGATCCAGCCGCGCATCACACCCCAGCTACGTTCGTGCACGTCGCGCATCCCGGGGACGTGGTTGTGGCGCGAGGCGATGATGATCATGGCAGTGACGAGGTAGCGCTCTGTATCGGCAAAGTCGGCAATCTGCTCTGGCGTGTGTGGGATCCGGTCGGCCGGGACCATGGGCTGCGGCCTTGTTAGCATAACACATACTCTGCAAAGGTAGACAGAACCGTTCCTACTCACGAAGAGATGGTGGTGGAACCTGAAGAATGCTCCGATGAGCGACGTCGCCTGCTCCTCGTCCACAATTCCCAGACGAATGAGCGCAAAGTCCTCGATGCGCGCAGGCTCGCTCCGGGAAACGGGGGGGAGGACACTGGGTCGACGTCTGTTCTGCGCGTCCAGCAGCGACCCGTCGTCTCCACCACCATTGCGGCCGCCGCGCGACCCCTCACCAGCGCTTGCCAGCGCGAGGATGTGCAGCGCGTCGCTCTCATTCTGCATGTCGGCCACAACGAGCGATGATGGGTCCGCCTTGGCGTGCGGGTCAAGCGGGTTGAGGTGCAGGCGCCGCCTCTTCTCGTGCAGCGGCGGCGGCGGGGGAGGTGCGCCGTGGGCTGGGGCATGATGCTGCGGTGGCGGGTTGAGGTGGGCGTGGGAGGAGATGGGCGACGGTCCGCTGCGGCCTGTGGAGGGGCTCATCCCCGAGCTGCTGTTGCTCGGGTGGTTGAAGAGGTAGTCGGTCTTGGGGGACGGGTTGAGCACATCGACGTGGGGCGGGTACTGGGGAGCCGAGGGTCCAGACACCGAGCCCGGCGCAGAAGGGTACCCGTTGTTCATACTCAGGCTGCCAGCACCACCACCCACACTCCCTCCGCCGCCAGAGCCCGAGAACGCACTGCCGTCGACCTCGTCCTCGCGCCGGCGCTTGTTGTTGCCGCCCCTTCGGCTCGGGGCGAAAACGCACTCGCGTGACTCGCGGCGGCATCGCGAACAAGGCGGTTTGGAAGGGGCATCAATGTCGCCCTGTGGGGTTTGTCAACAAAGCTCATTACGAGTTCCCGGGGGGGCGGATGGGGGGTGGGCATGCTCGACGCCCGCTAGTATCGTCGCAAAACTCGATGCCAGCGAGCAGCACGCAAAAGCGCCCCGGTAAACGGTGACCTTGCCCCGGCGACGCGGCGACGACCTAACCGGTCGTCGTGGGCGTAAGTCCTCCGTCCGCCCTCTTTGCACGCGAGCGACGCAACTCCCTCAGCATGCAAACAGTAGCGACCGAGGACGATGGGTCAAGGCCAGCCCTCCCAGGTTGCCAGCGGTACCCCATCGCTTGGCCCGGCGTCGGCGTCGGCGCCCGAGTCATCGGTGCTGGAGCCGCCGGCAACCCCGCAGTCCCCCGACAAAGACGCGTTCTATCCCCCCGAGATGACAAAGGCCACTCACAAGGTCACATTTGGCTTTGCGCGAGCGGCAGTGCAAGCTAGGCTGGTCAGCAGCGACTCTTCCCAGCGGTGGTAACTTGCCATGCGCGGTATCCTCTCTTAGCCTTGTCTTGCTTTTCCTTTTCGGCAGCGGCAGCAGCAGCGGCGGCGGCGGCGGCGGCAGAGGCAGAGACTGACCCAGACCCCGATGGTCCCGCGAGGCCTGCCGTGTCCTGTCTGTGTTGTTGTGGATGCATGTTGTTATGGTGTGGATGCGCGTGTTGCGCGTTCATGGCGGCGGCGGCGGGGCGGGGCGATGGATGGATGAGAGAGGAAGATGGGTGTGTTGTGGGCAATGGACACAAAGAGAGAGACAGAGCGTGTGTCAATGTTGCGCGACAGGTGAAAGGGCCTTGTCGTTCCCGGGGTCCCCCTTCCCCACCCAGTGCGGCCAGACGGCCAGCAGGTGGCTTGCGCCGCCAGAGCCAGAAGCGCACTCTGCCCCCCGGTGTGTGATGACGACACGCACGACCCGTACATCCTGCTCGGCTATGTTGTTTCTCTCTCCATGCCCATGCATTGAATGCTCGTCCTCTCCGTCTCTCTACATAATCGTGCAGTCCTCGCGCACACTGAGCGCATACATGGCCTTGTCGACCGTCTTTTCAATCTTCTTCCAGTCGCTGCGCCGTTGGATGAATTCGTAGATGCTGAGCAGAGCGCCGGTTAGCCCGGCTACCAGGACAAAAAAAGGAGAGAGGAAACGGAGAGGAAAAGGGCACGCAACCAGCAAGTGCGAGGTACAAACGCCATCTGTGCGATCTGTGCCGAGCGAGCAATGGACACGACAGCACGCAGCACGCATACCTCGGCCCCAAAAAGACGCACACTGCGCGGGCACGGGGTAGGTCAAATGAGGGCTGGCATAGACCGTCCCTGTGGTATTGTAGCCCGCAGCACCGATGGCGTTGGCTCACACACCAAATCCTTGCTCCGCGGCGGCGGACAGACACAACACAAACGTCCAAACACTGTCCGTCCTCATTCCTCTCCCCGCAGTGACTCACTCTTCAGGTGTAAACGTCCCGCCGTAGCGTGTCACGTCGCGCACAATCTGCGCCAAGTCCTTTGCATCCGACACGATAAACACGTGTCCGAGCATCTTGAGGTTTGCAAAGTCGTCCGTGATGCGCTGCTGCTTGAGCGACTGGACAAAGGCATGGTACGTGTTCAGGTCGGCGATGATCTGGAAACCACCCTCGAGCGAGATGATCTGGCGCTTCAAGTGGCGTTGCAGGATTCTGAAGGTTGTCAGTTGGCGGGGGCGGGGCTTGTGACCAATAGATCCAACTCACCCTTGCAAGCGGATGCCGACCTCCTGGTAGAAGACCTCGAGCACCTCCTTGGAAGTGCTGCCCTTGAGAAGGTTGCAGTGCATCTCGAGACATTTGATGGCCTCCTGGCATCCGACGGTCGCGCCCAGCTCCATGGGCGCTCCAGGTTCCGGGTAGTACTCGCGCGGGCCAGTCTTGACCACAATAATGTGCTCGACCTGCGGTGTTAGCTTCAAGGGATGAGCGGAGTAAGCTTACCTGGTGCATCAACACCTCGATGCCGGCATTGAGGCCGGCGGCGACGGCGTCGTCCAGAACACCTTCAAAGCGCTTCTTCTCGCGCATGACGGGGTTCAGAAAGTCGGTCTTGTCCACATACTGCGCAATCTCCTTGTCAAAGTAGACTTGTGTCATGCTCTGGATCGTGTCGCCGACGTGGACAAGCTCAAAGAACTGGAGGAGCGGGGCAACAGATGTACCGTCGCCTTGCTCCGCAGGCTTGTACGTGAGCATTTGCTCAGTCGCACTGGATCGTCAGCTTGGGAAATCATGGCATTCCGAGCTAGTTGACGCACATTTTGAAACCAGGAGCAATATGCCTGTCGCCAATAGCCTTGAGGGCAAGAATGAAAATCTCCTCGATACAGTCGACAACCTTGCTGCCACACTTGCCGGGATACTTTGCAAACGTCTCGGCACGCTTGAGCGCGTCGCGGTCACCGTGGATGAGCTCGAGCGCCGTGTCGAGCGACACGAGCAGCTGGAGGTTGGCAAAGCCGTCGGCCCCAGCGGCTGGGGTGGCGGCGCCCGAGCCAGCGGCCGTGGAAATGTCGGGCGTGGTAGCGCCAGACACCGAACCGGAAGCACCACCCCCATTGGCAGCGCCGGGCACCTGGAGCGTGTCCACCGCGTCGGTGAGCTCGTCCACCTCGTCCCTCTGTTCCTCCTTTTCATCCTCGGGCTCGGCGACGGGGACGTCAAAGACGACTTCGCCATTGACCATCTTGCCAGGTGTACCCTTATCCGTCGTCGTGCCCATGGCCCATTTCTGGGGGTTCAACATGGACAGGCCGGCCACTGCCTGTGTCGAACCAGAGACAATGGCCTTGCCTGCAAAGGTGACTGTGCGGGGCACAATGGTGACGGGCAGGAGAAGAACGTCGCGGAAACCAGCGAGCACATTGCGCTTCACCTGGTCGGGGTTTTGGGAACTGAGGAACTGGGGTCCCGTCGAGTGATGGCCTGCATGGTGGCGGCCAGCGCCCTTGGTGTCGGTTCCGAGCTCGGCGTCCCACGCGTTGCAGATGCCGTCGAGCACGCCCTTGACCCACTCGGTCTCGTCGTCGAGGTACTCGTCCATGTGGGGCTCGAACATGGTGTAGACGAGCTGCTCGATCCGGGCGTGCGGGATCTCGGTCTGCTTTTCGCCCAGAACCTCCATCGCCACATCGACCATTTTCCACGCTTGGACAAACGAGGCTGCCGACGCACGGAGCGACAGCTCAGGCGACATGATGCGGGTCTGGCCCAGAAGCGTGTTGATGTACTCGCCAATGACGTCCATTGTGACATGGTCGGCAAATGAGAGGACGACGCGAGCACCAGCAGGGAAGACGCGCACCGCAGTGGTAGCGTCCTGGCGGAACGATTCGAGGACGTGGGCCATGAACGCGTCCATCGGGGTAAAGTCGAGTTCGCGAACAATAGCCGTTCCCGATGGAGCCGGCACTTTCCTGTAATAATTGTGAGCTAGCTGATCATTGGGGGGCAGTCGGCCAGCTCCACTCACATAATGTTCTCTGTTGCGTCCCACTTGCCCGTCTCGTAAAACACCTCGCGCTTCTCAACCCACACCCTTCCGCACTCCCACTCATCTCGCCTGCCGCCTCCGGCCTCCCACACCTTCCAGCTCGCCTCGGCAGCCGAGCGCATGCCTGCTTCGTCCTTGCGCGAGTCGGCGCCCTCGAACGCGACGAGACATGTCGAGTCAAAGCGGTCGGCGGCGGACAGGAGGGCCTGGCGAAGAAATCCCCAGTCGTGGAGCGGCTGGAGAAAGGGGGAGAGGAAACGGATCAGAGCGAGCAGGAGGTCTCCTTGCTCGTCGAGGCTGGGTGGGAGGGCAGTCTGGGGGTTGGGTGGGAAGAGGAGAGACAGAGTCGACGAGGGACTGGGGCTGTTGCGCAAGTGCACGCAGTGAGGGACCAGCTCGCCGTGACGGCGCTGGTACGTCCGGTACCATGCGCCTGGGGGCGATGCTGCCGCCGCGGACGCGGCTGGCGTTGCGGAGGGCGGTGCGATGGCGAAGAAGCCCGTCGTCCGCCCCGCAGCTCCAGGCCGTGACGGAAGTGGCATGTCTCCAAAGTCCATGAGGTTCTTCTCGGCAGGTTTGGCGGGCACGGACGGCTTGGCAAAGTCGCCAAACTCGACGTCTTCAAAGACACCGTCACCGTTGCCAGCCTCACCAAAGTCTCCCCAGTCGTCGTCGACGGAGACGCGGCCAACGTTCATGCGTGGGCTGCTAACGCTCAGCCGCTTGTTGGATGCGCTGGGCTTTCGGGTAAGACTGCCAGCATGGCTTGGAGAAGCATTGTTGTTGTTATTTGTCGGCTGCGACGTGGGTGGTGGCGGTGCTGGTGCTTCCTTGTCTGTAGAGGGTGTTAGGGAACACTGCAGCGGTACGTCACTGCCCACCTGTTTCTGTAATGCCGAGTGCACGACACCTGGCCTCCCAAGCACCTTCGTCGCGGGCGATGCGTGCCAGAGCGCGGTTCGCACGCGCAAACGCCGGTACGTCGTGGACGGGGAGGAAGCCGACGATACGGACAACAATGTCCTCTGGCCACCGTCCGACGCGGGGCCCGGCACGACCGGCACGCGCGCGTGCTGCTGCCGAGGTGGATGGGCCAGCCTTGTGGGGCTTGAGGACTGAGCCGAATGATGAGAAGACACCGGGGGCCGATGGCCCACCGGGTTTTGATGGGGCCATGGGTGCCCACTTGTCCATGGCGGTGTGTTTGCTGGGTTGTTGGTGAAAGGCGATGATGATGAGGAGAGGACGCGGCATATGGGCCATCGCGGTGGAGGATGGACATGGCGGTTCGGGCACTTATTCGGGCCCCCCATATATAGATGCCGCATAAGAGCCTCTGTTCAGCGTGCACCCTCGACGAGGAGACCCCACGAGTGCATGTATAGCATCAGCAGTGACCAGTGAGGTGTGCGTTGCGTGATAGAGTAATGTGGCACATCAAAACAGCTTGTCGTGGGTGACTGTCATTGCTGGGTTGGTCGGAGGGTGGACCTTCATCTTGTGGCTGCTGGTGGTGGCCTAGGAGGCTGCTGTCCATCCACCGCTTTTAGGGGCACTTGGATACGGGGGAATCGATAAATGGAATGCAGAACCCAGCAGCGCATCCGTATAAGCAGAAGAGGGCACAGGTCCCCCACTAAAATCACGGTTGGGTACGGCCTGGGGGGTTGCATTCCGCCGTACCAGATCACCACCGTGTGTGTTCCTGAACGCCCAGGCGCCGCCGCCCGTTATCGTCGTCACCCGCTTCGGTCATGCGCGGACAACTGGCTCATGTTCATCATCATTTCTCCCTTCCACACCACCCATTTCTTCATCACCACTTGCCACCCAGCCCTCTCTTCCAGCATTGAGCGACTCCTCGCCCTCAAGAGCCTCGACACCAACAGTCTTGTCGACACTTCAGCGGCGATTTTTGCATCAACCAGAGACTTGTGCTCGCCATCGACTCGTCCACATGAACCAGACGAGTGTTTTTATATTTTCTCAACTTGTCTCTCTACACCTCGACTGCCAACCTGCAGGCTCCCAATTCCTCTTCTCCGCGTCCCTTTCGGCCCCTCCGACTTTTGCCGCCAGCGCACGAGGCACGGCGGCGCGCGTCGAGCACCCCCCGGTCGTCATGAACGCCGCGTCGCGCAACTCGAGCCCTGGCTTTGAAATACTCGAAGACTTCCCACTCCCAAACTCCCAAGTCCCTCCCTCCCAGCCGGTCCTGTCACAACCCACAGTCGAGGATGCACAGCTCACACTCGCTGACATGCGCCGCCTCGCGCGCGGGAGGGTTCGCCCACAGCCCTTGACATGCACCTTTGTGACCGACGGTGTCCCCTGCGTGGCCGTGTTGTTATGCGTTGATGGGCTGGAAAAGGTTAGCCAGCTGGACCTTGTTATTAGCCTGCAAGAGAGCTAACGGTATACAGCACCTGAACAGACACGCAGCACAGGCTCGTGCAGCTGACCAGGTTGGTGTGCGTCTTGCGGCTCCGCTAACCAGCACAGCGCGGCGAACAACACTGGTACGGGCTCAAGGATGACGCGGACCTCCGGGTGGCCGACTTGGATGGTAGCATCATGGCATATGTGGATCACGTCGCAGATTCAGTCTGCGCTTTTAAAGGCAAGTCAAGTCGAAACAGCATGCACACAGCGTTGCCCACTAACACTACTTTTAGACTGCCCGGGTCAGCGAGTGAACAAGCCCGAAGGTCACTACAGGAACTCTGAGCAGACTGGCAGACACCCCGCACCACCCTACCGCCTGGACCAGCTTCGCGATTTGCCCGGGCCGCAACGCTCACTGAAGATGCCACCACTGCGGCCGTTGCCGTCGCTGGTGCCCAACTACAACCTCATTGCGCTGCCCGTCCAGCCGTTCTCAGGCAACAACATCAACGGCACGACGGTCGCTGACCTCGAGTTCCCTATCCTCACGCAACGCGATCCAGACGCAGCCTTCCATGCCGCCGGCCACGGCCCGCCCAACATGTGGACCAGCTCCGATTTTGTCGCCCGTGCCGGCGGGCTGGAGAAGGACGACGACATCGAGGACGAGGCGCGGAGCATCTATGCGCCGTCGGTCTCGGTCGTCGGCTCGCAGATGATGAACCCGGCAGCGTTCAGGCATGCGCGCGCCCCGTCCGTCATGTCGGATATGAGCTTTGTGCCCGGGTCGCCGGTGGCAACTGTTGAGCGGATTGCGCGACGTCAGCGCGTCTTCGAGCCCGCGTCCACGCCCACGCCCAGCCAGCCGTTCGGATCCCAGCCCATGTCCCAGTCCCAGTCCCGCAACCAGATGCCCCCGCCCGCCACACCGAGTCGCTTTGGTGCCCTGCAGCAGCCGCCGCCAGCATTCGGTGGTGTCCAGGTGAGGGCGGTGCGTCGACAGCACGCTGGCCTCGACGACGAGTTGCCCAACCCAACGCGCACTGAGCGTGGTGCTGCGCCACTCACTGTGCGGCCCGTCCAGTACCGTCTGCAGCCCAGGCTCGTCCAGCACGTCCTCGACTATATCGGTGACAAGTTGAGCAAGAACCATGTGGTGAGTACAGTATACACGAACAACGGGGGCGAGTCTGACCCTCATAAGGTACCCGAGATGCAGCCCAAGAACGGCTCCGAGCCCCAACCACTCGCTGGCCCTGCTGGCCCGCAACCCATCGTCATCGACGACGCCGACGTCTTCGGTCCCCCCGTCCGCCTCGACAAGGGCAAGCGCAAGGCGTCTCCGCAGGACGAGTCCCAGCCGCCCTCCATCCTCGGCACGACCTCGCGCGGCGCCTCGACCTCGGCACCGGGCTCGCGCTCGCCCACGGCCAACCCCGGTCCGCCTCCGGCCAAGGTCCGTCGCCTCACCCGTATCCAGACCATCAGGGAGGAGCGGGCCGGCAAGGCGCAAGAGGAGGCAGAGGCCGACTTTGTCGCGGGCCTGTATGCATATCGCAAGACCGGCCGGTGGAATGGCTTCGAGAGCCTCGCTGTCCGCGCGGCGGCGCGGGAGGTTGTGGACAGTCTGAAGGGTGGGCAGTGAACGAGAAAGAAAAATAGGGGACGGCGCAATGTCCCGAGTCGGTGGCGGCCGTGTGAGGAAGAGGAAGAGAGCATGTGGAGAGGTCGCGAGAACAACGTCGGGCGAAAGACTGCCCGTCGTAGCATGTGCACCATTGACGTTTCTGTATAATAATATATGAGGTCCCATCCCATAGCATGACATGTATATACAACCAGCGCCTAACACAGGCGCTCTGCCTACTCGTCCTGGCGCTCGACCGCACGCCGCAGCTCACGCCTCTTCTCCCTCGTCTTGCGGTTACGCTCCTCCCTCGCGGCCTCCATCTTCTTGTGCCGCGCCTGGCGTCTCTCGTCTTTGAGTTTATCCACCTCGGCACGGGCTTGGAGGCGGGCCTTGGACTTGGCTGCTGTCGCAAGGCGCTGTTTGCGGCCTGGGGAACAAGAGTCAGCATGTCATCGTGATCAACCAATCAATCAAAGTGCTCACCTCTGGCGTTTTCGTGTACGCGGTTCTTGTATGGTGGCAGAGTGTACAGTTCCGATGCAAGTTGGGCACGGGTGAGGCGCGGTGCAGCTGTCGCTTCGGCGGCCGCGTCGAGACGCGCACGCAGTGTGTCGGCCGCAGCGTCAAGTGCTGCTGGTCCCTCGGACCCGAGCTGCAGGGCAAACACATCTGTGAGGCGGGCATTCATGCGCTCCACGACTCTGTCATTTCGTCAGCTCAATGGTGTGATGGCGCAGGCATATTCCCACAGCTGCACTCACTCGCGGTCCACGACCATGCTGGCGGCAGCGACGACCGAGGTCCAGCTCATCTGGTCCAGCTCGTCACGCTGCCAGGCGTATCCGGGCGGCCGGAACGCCGCGAGACCCGCGAGCGTGCGGTCGATGGCTGTGCCGACGCGCTCGGCAAGTGCCAAATGCGCCGGAATGGCAAAGTCGGCATCGACGTCGTCGTATTCGTCCAGCACCGTCTCCGACTTGGTGGACGGCGCCACGCTCGCCTGTTTATCGGCATCTCGGTTCCTCTTCCGGTCGGCCTCGCGCCCGGCCTCAGTACGGCGCGGAAAGCGGCGGCGTTCAAGCTTCCCCTCGCTCGCGGGCAACGCGAGTCTGTGCCGCCGAATCACTCGCGCAGTCGTCTCGGACACGGCACTGGGCAGCGGGGCACCGACGGCCAATGCGCCGTCACCGTTGGTCAACTCAATCGGGTGTAGTGGCCAGCGCGTGGCGATGTCCGTGTCGGTGACGGTACGCTGAGCGAGAGGGATACGCTGGACCTCTGGGGCCGGCGTGGGCGGCGCAGAGAGCTGCGGCTGTGTGCCGGCTCGTGTGCCAGCGTTGCTAGGACCGCCCGTGTCGCTGTTGAGCTCGTCCGAGTCCTCGCTCCCGCCTTGCCCAAACCCACCACGAGATGAGCTCGCTGCAGTGAACACGGATGTCGCAGTCGCGGTATCGGGGGCCGTCGCCCAGGTCGGTCCTGTTGCTGGTCCCGTGTTCGGATTCAGCGCGCCCCATAGGCCCTTGCCGGCCAGACGCGGGGCGAGTTCAGTCGCCTCGCGCGCCGCGAGCGATGTGAGGAGCTTCGAGTACGACTGGTACTGCGATCGCGTTGGTGGAGGTGGAGAGACGGATCCCGAGGGTGTGCGCGATCCAGCCTTTGAGCCGGCTGCACGGCGCTTGGAGCTGGCCAGGCGGCGAGCTGTGGTCGGAGAAGGTGAGGGAGCTGTGCGGGAGCTTGCGGCCGAGGGGGCAGGCGAGGGGGAGGGCAAGTACCGAGATGCCCCATCGGACGATACGTCGCTTCCTGGGCTGAGCAGCGACATTGCTGCAGCTGGGAGGAGAGGTGGTGGATGACGGAGAAGAAGCAAAGGTGTGTGTAGTGGCGACTGCTAATGTTGACAAGAATTGTGAAAGTGGAGGCAGAAGGGGAGATTACGTCAGCAACGATGAGTGACGTTACTAAAGCATCGGGACTCGAGGAGCCGAGGACAGCCCACGCCATGCAACACGACTTGCAAGACAGGTGCTCAGACGAGGAGAAGCAACATGGAGAGCCTGGGGTGATAACAATATGGCATGGGTATCGACAATGCTGGGAATCGTCCACTAGACACGAAACTTCTCACTCGCTCGCCACTTCTCTGTCTGTCTATCCACTCGCTCACGACGCCGGCGCTCCGGCAGGAGCAGCAGGGGCAGGTGAGCCCGGTGCAACAGGGTTGTCGACCCGGTCCGCCTTTTGCCTGTCGAGACGCTCCTTGTCCGCCTTGTCCGCCTTCTCCTTGTCCACGGCAGCCTTGCTGACGGCAACGTTCTTGAGCTTGGTGACCATGGCGTTGGTAGTCTATGGAATCGTCAGCTTTAGTCTCACAGGCGCCAACCAAAACTGACCCTCGAGTAGTCGGTGAGGAACACCTCGGCCACGTTAAAGTTGGACCGCAACTCGCGCTGCGAGCGGAGCAGGCCGTCACGCTCGGCGGTGAGTGTTGCAAGTTGCTCTTCGCGAGCCATGATGGCCGCCAGCTCGGCCTCGAGACGGGCAATGATCAGAGCATACTTGCGCGATTCGGGGTCGGTTGCTGAAGAGTCAGCTGAATGTTCAGAGCCAAGATAGCTGGACTCACGCAACGCTTCGAGCACCTCGGGGCTCGCAGAGGCCAGGAAGGCGTCCTCTTCGGGCATGTCCATCGACTCGTACATCGGCCTGTCACAAGGTTAGATCTCTTGAGATGACGTGGGTCAATTGATATCTCCCGGACTCACTCATACTCCATGCACAGCGCCATCTCATCCCGCACGCGCGCAAGCTCGTACTCGGCGGTACGCAGATCAACATCGACCTCGTCGAGCCGCCCACGGGCCTCGGCAGCACCGGACCGTGCTGCGTTCATGAGGACCTGGGCATTGCGGTTTGCTGAGCGCATGCCTGCCGAGAGGACTGGCAATGGCAAAGTCGACGAGCCAGCAGCAGCAGCGGCATCGGCTGGGCTGTCGATGGTGTCGATGTGGTTGCGGAGTTGGACGACGAGGGCATCGAGGTCGGCGCCTGGTGGGGGAGGGAGGGATTCTGGGAGTGGGAGGAGGAGCAATGGGTCGAGCGGGGAGGGCTCTGCGATGGTGGTAGGGAGCACCATGGCTGTTGTTGTCATGTATATATGAGTGGGAGGGGTTGAAGGTGATGGCCCCAGAGTGGGATATGGGATGGGATGGAGGAGCGGAAGTATTTTTGGGCCTGGCTGGGCAGATTTGGTTCCGTTCGATGTCTTCCTCGTGCTGCTCGATGTCCATGTCCGACTTTCTTTTCCAGCCAGCGTATAGCACAGTGACCTCTCCCATACACCACCGCCTCGTCAGCGACCACACCTAGACCTCTGATACCGACTCGTTCACCCTCGTGCGCGACAAAAAGAGACACAGGCAGGAAACCACACGTCGTTTCCCCGCTTTCTCAACCGTCCTCTTCCCTCACTTCCGACTTGCTCCTACACTTCCCAACTCTCCCCCATCTTTCACCATGCCCCGTCTCGCCCAGCTCGCCAACCTCACCCGCTCCGTGCCCGTCACCGGCTACAAGCACTTTGTCACCCCATTGCGCCGCCTTGTCATCGACTATGACGTTGACGCTCCTGGACAGAAGGGCGTGAGGTGAGTCTGCCGAGCACATCGTGTGCCGCGAGGTGTGACTGGAGGTGGACCAGACCAGACCACATGCAGGCTGCTGGGCGGTGGGAAGAGAGAGACCAGCGGTGGAAGTCTTTCCATGAGGATATGTGCTCTGCGTGCAGCTGGCGGTTTCGCGGTTTCAGCTGCACTTGCTGCTCAGCCTTCGCCCAGCATTGTCCGTCTGCCTCGTCCACGGTAGACACTATTTCCCTCTCTCTGAGCACATTCGCTAACCGCTACCCAGGACATACCTTGGCCACCCCCTCGTCGCGCTCGCCCGCGAGAACCCCGACGTCGAGGTCGTCGTGCGCAAGATGAAGCGCGGCACCGCCGCCGTCCTCCGCGGCCACTACACCAACGGCCGTGACAAGGTCATCTGCGTCAACAACCTCGAGGCCACCCAGGTCGCGGCCAAGGTCCAGATCCTGCTGAACGCGTCCGGCGCCAAGCTCAAGAGCCTCAAGAACCTCACTGTGGAGGCTGCGCCTGGTAACGAGGCGGCTCGTGGTGTCTGGTCGGCCATCCACGACCAGACCAACACTGGCGGTTACAGGATATAAATGGACAGACAAGAGGGGGAGGGTTGGAGATATATCATCATAGCATGCACCACTTGAGACACTGTGGTTGTGTGGGCTGCGTAGAGTTGAGGAACTGGGGCAAGGAAATGGGGGGAGGGCATGAGGCTCTGAATGTCGGACAGTTGACGACGGCACGACTGCCACAGCTATCACTTCAGCTCTCGCCAACTAGACAGACCATCGTCCTCATCTACATGTGCATAACTTGGGTACTAAGGAGTGTCTATAACAACCCGCGTTTTTAGAGCTTGGAGAAGATCTCGTCAATGATCCAGGCCTGGTCCCAGAGCTCGACGTCGACCTTGCAGCCGACCTTCTCGCCCTCCTTCTCGATCCTGGCCTGCAGCTCCATGTTCTTGCGCACGCACGCGACGTCGCCCTGGCGCATACGCAGCAGGGGGCAGAAGTCGTTACCGCCGTCGCCGACGTACAGGATCTTGGTGAACGAGTCCTTGCCGCCGTGGGCGGCCAGCCAGGCGTCGAGCTCGTCGCCCTTGCACATGTTGGGCAGGCAGCCGATGGTACAGGTGTGCTGGGGGCCGTCGGCGGGCAGGCGGCGGCCAATGTGCAGCCTGTCACCGTCCCAGTGCGAGGGGTTGGTGATGACCTGGTCGAAAAGGTTGGAGAGGCCGTGCTTCTGGACACAGAGTTAGTGATGCGTTTCTCCAGCTCCTTTCGCTTTGGAAGCTGGCCAGCGGCACAACCGCAGCAACACCATGACTCACCTCGAGGATGGTGGCAATGTAGACCTGGTTCGAGTTGGAAAGGCAGAGGAAGGTAGTCTCGCCCTTGGCCTTGAGGCTGGTGACGGCGCGCTTCATGGCAGGGTGCTGTTTATCTGTTAGCAACGCACATTCAAGAATGTGCAGATGGTGCAGCCATTGCTCATGGCCCCATTTTTGCAGCAGGTGATTGCGCAAGAGTACGAGGGTGCACATTGAGCAGCAAGCAATGACCATGCCCATTTTGTTCTTGTGTTTTCTGTCATCATGTGCAGCTCACTCACGACGGGGAGGATGCGGAGAGCGTCAAGAACCTGCTCCTTCTTGAAGCCGGCCTGGAAGAGGTCCTCCATGGTCTGGTCGCTGCATGGTCAGCGGCAGACTCATCATGCAGGGATATGAGTCGATGAGGTGGGACGGTGCAGCTCATGCTAGCATGCTAGCATGTGCTATAGACCTGCTGTACGCTCGGTCGCGTCCGAGAAGCGCACGTGTGATAGTAGATAGCACGGACATGCCCGTGGATGTCGAGCTCGACACCTTTGAGCCGCCGTCAATAGCGCCGACGATGCCGACTGACAAGACGCCAGCACGCCCACACTCGCGGCCCTCCCGCCGGTGTTCTGCACTCACACAACATCAGGCATGCACTGCGATCCGGCGCTCTTGCGGTCCTGGAGCGTGCGCCTGAGCTCGGTGGAGAGCACCTCGAAGACCCAGCGGTCGGTGTCCTGGTCCACGAAGGACCAGTCAAAGTCGAAGACGACGAGGTTCTTGACCATTGCGAGAGAGTGGTGGAGGGGGGAGGGGATGGGGTTGGTGACAAGGAGAGAGAGTTGAGGAGGAGGAGGAGAAGCAGATATCTTTGTGCAATCGCGGCTGAGTGACTCGGAAGACCGACTTTTCAGACGCGGGGGCAGGGATGGCCGTTCTGTGGCGCGCCAAGGCAAAGGGCCTTCAGTCTGTGTGCTCCCCGCACCCACGCCTCACCCACAAGCCACGCTGCTTTTGGCATGAACATATGGGTCTAAATCTAGCTCGTGCATGGTTTATCCTACTCCATATCCACATCGTCACCTTCCTCCTCGCCCTCCTCTTCGTCCTCTTCCTCCTCGTCATCCTCGTTCCCATCCATGTCCAGCACCTCGACCTCGGCTCCGCCCCGGGTGAGGATGCACGCTGTACGCCTGCCCGCGCGGCCGTTGAGGGACAAGAGCCACGGTTCAGTGGCTGGCGCATGGCGAGTGGGGCCCAAGGCGCGACAGCGAGCAATGGGGAGTGTGGACGGCGGCAGCGCGGCGGCCTGGACAGTGTCAGCTGGTGTTTTCCGCTCCTTCGCCTTAGCTAGACTTACAACGGCAGCGAGATCGAGGCCCGCGCGCGAGACCGACACCATGAGTGTGTCCTCGAGAGCAGATATGGTGGCAGTGGCCATGAACCGCTCGCCGGCAAGCTGGAAGACGACAGCGAGCTCTTCGTCGTCGAAGAAGGCTGCCTGGACAATCTCGGCGTCGGGAACAACGAGGCGCGCACCACGAAGGGAGTGGTCGTCGGCAACAAAGAGGTTCACTGATGGTCAGCTGCAGTCCAAAGCAATCGACACAGCAAACTCACATCCTTCACTAGACTGCATGGACACGATCCACCTGTCACCGTTGATGCTACGCTCGGACAGGAACGAGCCGGGAATCATGGCCACAAAGTCGTCCGGGCGAGTCGGCGGGGCAGCGTCACGCGGGTGTGCTGACAGGATGACGTTCTGGCAGATGGCCGAGAGCGAGTTGGCCCACGACCACGGTTCGAGCTGGGGTACGCGTTCGACAGGCGGCTCGGGACGGAATCCGTTGTCGGGCGAGCCCATGGTGTCGGGCGAGGACATGGGCTCGACGGATCCAGCACGTAGAGGTGATGCATGGGGCGAGTAGGACTGGTCCGCGAAGACGGGTGGTGAAGCGAGGAGCTCTGGTGCCGGTGGTGCGGTCAGGCGGGTCAAGGTGGCGCGCATGACGCTGTCAAGGTTGGTATCAGGCGACACACGTTTGGCGGGAACAGAGGCGGGCAAAACGTCGTCCTTGGCCTCGGGGACGTTGGGCAGGTTTTGGCGAAGCTTGGAGCACACGAAGCCATTCTTCATGAATGACCACACGAGCTTGAGGTCAAACATGGCAACAGGCAGTGTCTCATCCGACGCAGCGTTTATGCGTGTCAGCTCTGAATGGGTTAGCAACGACGTAGACGACGAACCCACCGTATCGGAGCCACCTGCACCACTCGTCGGCCGCAGCTTGCTCGGTCTCTGCGTCCTGCCTCATCGTCTCAACAAGCACGGCCATGCCACGGGCAACCTCGATGGCGCGGTTGAGGCCATCGCGGTCGAGAACGAGATCGCAGTCAACCAGGTCACCTGACCACCCGCGCAGCTCGTCGAGAATGAGGATGATCCGCTCGAGTGCAGGCGAGATGCTCTGCGAGACAACTTTCTGCAGGGTCGCGAATGCAGTGTCCAGTGTTGCTTCCCACTTGGCAATGGTACGGTTCGCCATGCGATTGCCGAGCCACTCGCCAACGGCTGGTCCGCTCCGGCTCGTCATGAGAAAGCGGAACAAGTCCGCATGCACGTCCGCAATGGTCACTGAGAGTTTCAGCTACACAGAAGCGCCAGGTAACACTCACTGCCTTGCTGCTCTCCACACTGCTCAAGCTCTTCCCTCCATATCATGCTCTGCTTCTCGCTTTCCTTGAACGCCGTCTCGGCAGCTGTCAGGCCGCGGAAAATGACGTCGACGAGGCGCTCGATACGGTCCGCGCGCTGAGCCAGGCCCAGCGTGGTAGAGGACGGTGTGCGTGGTGTTCCCTGGACAAGAGGAAACGTGCCTGTCAGAAGACGCAGGTCTGCACCCTTCACTTGGCCGTCTCGAGCTGGTGGTGAGAGGACGAGAACGTCTGGTGCCACTGCTGGTGTTGCCGGGAGAAGAGCCGGGAAGGTGGTCAGCTTTGGGTGGTTTCCTGGCTTGGCCTTGGCAGTAGGAGCTACCACAGCAAATGGGTTTATCCTGGGGCGTAAGTTCGTTTGAACGAACCACTGTGAGCTCACACTGCGGGTTTTGGAGGTTCGACAGGCGTCACGCGAGGAAGCGAGTCGATGACCATAAGAGACGACCCTGGCTGGTGGGTTAGGCTAGTTTCTACTCTGATTACCCACGTTCGGCTTATCCCAAGCGTCTCCGCCAGCTTCCCATGCCATCGGCCACCATTGAGCGCGCCGTGACCGCTCTGCAGCCATCCAGTCCACCGCCTCGAGTCCCATGATCAGCGACCGGGGCACGGGCACAATCTTTACGATGTCGCCAGTGTGGACATTGAGGTGCTCGATGGAGCTCTTGTTCACGGAGCTGGAAGCGTCTGTCTCGGGCCATGGGTCGAGTTTGAGTAACAAGAGGGAGAGGAAACTGCCTGCGTGGGTGTTAGCTGTGGGCAGCAGCGACAACACCTACCATCGCGGCTCCAGGCGAGACCGAGAACGCGACCCGCCACGTCCACCTCCCACACTTTACTCCCCGACATGCGCCAAAGTGCGACCTTGGTACGCACACCAGGCCCTGCCTTGCCCTTGCCCTTGCTGCCAAAGGCCGCCGCGGAACCACCGCCGCCCACGGCGTCACCTGCGTCCTCGAGGATGAGGACAACGAGGTCCATGGTGGGGTTGCACGCGTCTGGGTGGAGCACATGTGGGTGTGCCAGAGGAATCGTGGCGAGCGGGGTGAACGACCGCGTGGTCGGGAGGTCGTCCATGGCGCCGTGCTGGTTGCTGTTTGTGCAATGGTTGTTGATGTTGTTCTCTCGATGACACTTGTGTTGGCGCGCGTCCTGGAGGCGCGACTGGAGTGGAGGTCCCCTTGATTACCAGCGGGAGTAAATGTGTGTCTAATGTGGAGTAACCCTTTCCACGTGGCAAATTGTAATGCCTTAATGCCTGTTCCTTGTCCCATTGCAGCCCCCTGTCCACTCATTCCACCTTCCTTTCCTTCTTCTCTTCCACCCCACCTTTTTAGCTTCAACCAACCACTCTGCGAAATGGACTACGACGACGACAGACCTTCCGGGTCAGGCAGCAAGCGCCGCTACTCCTCCGGCAGCGACACATACCACCGCGCCCGTGACGAGTTCCCATACTATCGCAGGGGCGGCGCACCCCGCGGTGGGCGTGGACGCGCGCCCGCAAAGGTCAAGGACGACATGGCCGACAGCGCACCTGCATCCCCGCGCAGCGACGACCAGTCGGACGAAGGCGACGTCGAGGGCAACGACTCGGACCCCGACCGCGACCTGGACGATGAGATTGACGAGCTCCTCTCCGACGAAGGAGAAGGCGAAGGCGAGGGCGACAACGACGACAGCCACAAGCGGCGCGGTGGTAGCGGCCGTGCAGCTGGTCGTGGACGCCGTGACCATGATGATGGCGGTGACGGTGAGGGTGACGGCGACGGCGACGATGGAGATGATGGGGAGGGGGGTGGCGATGGTGATGGTGATGGTGACGGTGACGACGATGGAGAAGGCGGCAACAAGGACGAGGAAGCTGAGGAGAAGGAGTGCAAGTGGGCCGACTGCCCTCTTGTCCTTGAGAACCAGGAAGCCCTCGTTGCGCATGTCAACAACGGTACGTACAGTGGAGTGGTTCTCGGGTGCTGTTGGCTGACGTTCGCGCAGAACATGTTAGCCAGGGCCGGCAACCGTACCAGTGTCTCTGGCGGACGTGCCACCGCGCTGGCCAGAAGCAGGCGAGCCGGCACGCACTCCTCACCCACATCCGTTCGCACACTGGCGAGAAGCCCTACGTATGCACCGAGTCTGGTGAGTTTTTATGATTCCTGCACTGCTGGGTTGACGCTGACGTCTCTCTCAGGCTGTGGGCGCCAGTTTACCCGTTCGGACGCCATGAACAAGCACGTCCGGGCAATCCACGGTGCCGGCGCAGGCAAGAAGCGTCGCGGCGAGGACATTTTTGCGCGTACGGCCGACGACGAGCCCAGCACGGCCGACAAGGACCTCGCCAAGGACCACGACCTCGAGGAAGTGGTCATGCGCGTGCACGGCCCCGACCGCGTGCGCTACGTTGCCGAAACAGCCAACGAACAGTCTGCAATGCGCTACGTGCGCGAGAGGCGACCTGGTGCGGGCAAGAAGCGCCGTGTACGCCGCAACAAGGACGGCTCGGACTCTGACGAGTTTGACGAAGGTGCCAGCAAGCGGTTCCCCCTTGAACGCACCATCGAGGGCTGGATGATGGACGAGGCGCGCGAGACCGAGGTCCCCGTCATGGGCCGCAGCAGGTGGCAGGCAAAGTACATCATGGCCAAGGCCAAGCTCATGCTCGTCGACGAGGAGAACAAGATGCGCCGCGACGAGCTCACGTTCTGGCTCGCCGAGGAGGCACGTGTGTTTGGCCCCCGCGGGCCACGCCGTCCCTACGACTCCAAGACTAGCGAGGCCGGCGACCCCCACGATGACCTGTGAGGCGAAATTGGTGGTCAGAAGTAGGGAGTCGTACTGTTCATAGTACTTGCACGATGGACGATCAGAGACTTGTGTTGTACATAAAAAAGAAAAGCCCTCAAACCCGGACAAGCAGGATGCAGCCAACTGGTCGTAACTGATACACAACAATGCATGCAACCGGAACACCTGCAACTACGTGCTGCGTCTCTGCCTCGTGACCCAATATCGACCCCCCTGTCGTCGTCCGTCGTCTCTTTTGATTTTGTTTATAGTTCGCCTTGCTTCTCTTAGTTGATCTGGGGCATGGAAACGGAGGCGCGGGTGCCGGTAGCGTCGGCGTGGGGCCAGAGGGCGGTGGTGGTCTTGCGCTGGGTGTAGAACTCGAGACCAGTCTTGCCGTAGAAGGGGATGTCGCCCATGAACGAGCCCTTGGAGCCCGACCAGTTGAACATGGGGAGAGGGACGGGGACGGCAACGTTGATACCAATCTGTCCGGGCTCGGCCTGGATCTCAAACTTGCGGGCAGTGGCACCGCAGTTGGTGAAGATGGCAGCGCCGTTACCGTACTTGTTCTTGTTGATGATCTCAACGGCGTCGTCCATGGTCTCGGCCGAGATGATGTTGAGGACGGGGCCGAAGATCTCGTTCTTGTAAGCCGACATGGTGGTGTCAACCTCGACAACGGTGGGACCGACAAAGTTGCCGGCGGGGTACTCGGCGACCTTGGCGTCGCGACCGTCAAGGAGGATCTTGCCACCCTCGGTCTCGACCGACGAAATGAGGTTGATGATGCGCTCCTTGGCCTGGGGCGAGATGACGGGGCCGAGGTCGGTGCCCTTCTCGAAACCGCCCGAGAGCTTGAGGTGCTTGGCACGCTCGATGAGCTCGGGGATCCACTTGCGCGACTCGCCGACGAAGATGGCGACCGAGAGGGCCATGCAGCGCTGGCCAGCGGCGCCGAACGCAGCACCGGCAACGGCGTTGAGGGTGAGGTTCTTGTTGGCGTCGGGCATGATGACACAGTGGTTCTTGGCACCGAGGTTGGCCTGGACACGCTTGCCCTGGGCGGTGGCACGGTCAAAGATGTGCTTGCCGGCGTTGTCACCGCCAACGAACGAGATGGCCTTGATGTTCTTGTCGTCGCACACGCGGTTGACAGTGTCGGCCGAGCCGTGGACGACGTTGATGACTCCGGGAGGCATACCGGCACGGGCACAGAGCTCGGCAATGATCATGGTCGCACCGGGGTCGCGCTCCGAGGGCTTGACAATAAGGGTGTTGCCGGTAACGGTGGCGAGGGCCGCGGACCAGAGGACAATCATGGCGGGGAAGTTGAAGGGGGTGATGGCGGCAGTGACACCGAGGGGGTGGCGACGCGAGTAGGTGTCCATGTCGGTGGTGACCTCGAGCTTGTCACCGAGCAGAGTGGAGGTGATGGCAGTGGCAGTCTCAACAACCTGGAGACCACGGCCAACGTCGCCCTGGGCATCGGCAAAGGTCTTGCCCTGCTCCAGCACAATCGACTTGGCAATGTCGTCGGTGTGCTGGCGGATGAGGTGCTGCAGCTCAAACATGACACGCTGGCGGCGCATGATCGAGACCTGCGACCAGGTCTTGAACGCCTCAGCAGCAGCCTCCGAGGCCTGCGCAAACTCGTCGGCGGTGGTCTCGGGAACATAGTTGACAACGTACTGCGACGCCTGCGGGGGGTGTCAGCCTCTGATTTCCTTTTTAAAAGCTCTGTCTCCGTCGGTCGGACCGGCTACGCTGCAGGCCATCGTCGACGTGCCAGTCGGAATGTCCGAAGTGTCTCGCCAGCCTCATCCGGACCATGCCGGCGGCGACAGCTGCGCGTGGGTACAACGCGGGTGGATGGGGAGTTTACAGTCTCAGCAAGTGGAGCGTGCCTCCACTAAATGCTCCCCCGCCCCCGCAATTCGGGGACGACGCGCCCACCCTATTACCCGGCGACCGCCGCCAGGTCACAACCGACGATGAGAAACGGGTCCATGGTACTCACGGGGTCGCGGACCTCGAGCCACTTGGTGGCCTTGGACTCTGTGAACTCGCCGCCAATGTAGTTCTTGGTCTTGCCGCCAGTGGCCGAGGTGCCCTTCCACTTGGACGAGACCTCCTCGGCGGCAGCGGCAGCGAGCGGCGAGAGCTGGCCGGTGCCGACAGTGGTGGGGGCGGCAGCAGCAGAGGCAAAGCCACGAGCCAGGCGGATGGAGACGGGGGTGAGACGGGCGGTGCGGAGCATCGACATCGTGGAAGAGAGAGTGGGGAGTGGTGAGTGGGAGAGAAGACACGGACGGGTTGGGTTTATCAACTACCCATGCCAGCGCGGGGTGTCCTCGTGGGCAAAGGCCCATTCGGCTGCGGCTAACGCGCGCTCGGCGGAGGCTCCGTACCGAAGGGCCACTTCGGCTAAGAATCTGGCTGAATCTTTGGCCATGCTTGATGCATTGCTTGGGGAATCAATTGTCAGGCTGGCGGGATAAGAGGAACAGGCTGGACGGAGGGGCCGCTCTGACCCGCCATAAGGCCATCGTTGAGCTTTGATAGGCTTTTGAGAGCATTTGAAGTCTGGAAAAATGTGCTTGTCGATGTTTTCTGTGATCAGTGTCCTGTTGTGATCTCGGCTATCCGCGTGATAACAATTGTTTTCATGGAGATCAGTAAGTGCAGCCATTACCAAAACGTAGTGTAAAGACAACGGCAATACGTTTCTGCCACAACTGCTCCCCAATGGGGGGCTCTTCATGGGCCGTGCGACAAGCGCACAACAATACAACATGCAATGCGTAGAATCCACTTCTCTCGCAACACCACCGCGCATAACGACCACCACCACGTCGCCAAGCTGACCGCAAACCAGGTCAAGCCCCGCCCGGCCGCTCGGGGGAAAATGGCCGGAGCCCACCTTAATTCCACAGGGCATGTGCCTGCCCACCCCCGGCCAACTCCCCCATCGCTCAACGAACCACAGGTCCAACCGCGCTTGTCGCGCTCAGGCAGTCGCTCGCCTGCGCCTACATCTAGAGCTCGCCGACTCCCGAGATGCCCAGGTCCCTGTACAGTTTTGATGACTTGGCCGAATCGCCAAAGTATGCGGCCGCCGACGGTTGCGTGACGTCGTCGGCCCACGTGCAGCTTGCCGCCTGCTTTTCCAGCAGCACCTTGACAGTGGCCCACGAGAAGCGCACGATACCGCGATACCCGAACACTGGGTCGATGTGGTTGCGGAGGAAGGCCTGCGTCTTGGGATCTGGACATGTGTCAGCTAGATTGCGCGTGTGAATAGGGGGGGCAGACGGGGTGAGTCTCCATGATCCGTGGTCATCGCAAGAGGGAGGCCTACCGCCCAGAACACGCCCGCGCAACTCACCCGATGGATATCCACTGCCCCTCACCACCTCGTCGCCAAGTACAGGTCCCTCGGGGTCTGTCCATTGCTCAATGTATCGGTCACGGGTCACTTTTGCGATGATGGACGCAGCACCGACAATCTTGAAGATCGAGTCGGCCTTTGCGCGGACGTCAAAAGTGATGGTTGGGAACTCGTTGGACAGGCGGTCCTGCCACTGCTGAGCGGGACCGAGCGCGTCGACATAGCACTGGGGACATCAGCTTCGAATCGGCGGACGATAGCTAACAGTTAACCCACCTCGCGAATGTTAATGCCGCGGTTGAGAGCGGAGCGGATCAGGCTCATGGTCGCCTCCTCGGCCTGCCTGTTCAGGTTGATGGGCACGCGGCGGAGCATGTTGGCCGAGATGGCCTGTGGTGACAGTGTAGCAGACGAGTAGCACAGGTCGGCGTTGGCGTCAAAAGACTCCCAGAGCATCTGGCGGGTGTCGGCAGAGAGAGCCTTGGAGTCTGGTAGGTCAGACACCCGAAGAAGGCTCATTGCTACCTACCGTCAAAGCCGAGGGACTCGAGAGTGGGCTTGAATGCGAGGGGGCAGTATGCAGCCGCGTAAACCATGGGGCCCAGAACAGCTGTAATGGGTTAGCATGGTCACACCAACACAACCCACGTCCACGGCCAGCCTCGTCAATGCCCATGATCCATCCTTCCTTGTTTTCCTCCGAGCCCGGAGCTGCAGAGGCTGGGAGGGTGGAGTGGAAGGAGTACGAGTCGATGAGAGGGGGGATGGGGTCGAGGTTGACTGGGTCGATGCTTGCCATGGTGGAGTTGGGTGTTGTGGATAGGATACGTTGTGGACGTCGTTGTTGTGGCCGTTGTCGACTGCACGGTGCTCGACGCGTCCCGTCACAACAAACAGCGGCGAGGAAATGAAAGTCGCGCGCGTCGCCGTTATCAATTCCTCACTTTATGTCACGTGGTAGCAACGTGGTATATACCGGTATATGACACGCCATTATGTTCGGTTGCCGGCGGCCACCTGCCGTCATCGATGAGAGAGAGTGCACTGTTGAGCACCTTACCTGCATCCAGACCCATATCCATTCAACCACCCACTGCTCCCACCCCTCGACGCAATGGCTACATCCCCTCCAAGGTCCTCAGACGGCCATGAAGGAGCCACCGCCGAGCCAGAGGCTGGCCCGTCTCGCTCCCCCTCGCCATCACGCTCGCCGCGCTCGGTTCGCTCCAGAGCCACCTCACCAGCCTCTTCCCGAAAGGGGAAAGCCGTCGACGTGAACGACTCCGACACCGATCCCCAAGCAGACAATGCCCAAGGGAATGGCGGCGGTAACGGCGATGCGACACCGCTGGACAAGGAGGAGAGTGATAATGCCCACGAACAAGGCCATGCTTCGGATCCAGAAGTTGAGGGCGATGAGAGTGCGGAGGAAGCCGAAAGTGAGAGTGAGAGTGAGGAGGAGGAAGACGGGGAGGACGACGAGGAGGATGACGAGGAGGATGACGAAGGTGACGAGGACGATGCGACAGAAGTCAAGCAGGACGCTGCCGAAAATGGTCTAGCCGCTGTTGAGGACACGGCAGGCGAGAGCGAGGAGGAAGATGGCTCCGACGATGCCTCGGACGAGGAAGACGACGATGAACAAGACGACGACGCCGAGGAGGAGGAGCCGTGAGTTATTGTGCGGCATCTACAGCTTCTAACTTTACAGGGTCCTCAAGTACACTCGCATGAAGAACCGAATATCAGAGGTTCTTGGGAGAGACAGTGCGACAGCCATCGATGTCTCCCCTCGGGTGGTTGTAAGTGGTGCGGTACACCGACTGTGTTCGCTCACCCCTCAGGCTGTCGGTACCCAAATGGGCATGGTCCACGTCCTCACCTACGACGGTGCCAAGGTCAACTCGTTCCGTCCGCATGCTGCCAACGTCACTGCTCTCCGACTCGATGAGGAGAATGACTTTGTGGCGACGGCGAGCATGGAAGGTGGGTTGTCGGACTCCACAAACACAGCTAACCCCCCAGGCCGTGTTGTGATTCATTCTCTCACGAGCACCGAGTCGTACGCATTCGACTACAAGCGACCCATGAACGCTATTGCCCTCGAGCCTGGGTTCGCCAAGAAGAGCACCCGCGCCTTTGTCTGCGGCGGCATGACTGGAAACCTGGTGCTGCAGGAGAAGGGCTGGCTCGGGTACCGCGAGCAAGTGCTTCACTCTGGCGAGGGCCCCATCTGGGCTATTGAATGGCGTGGCGATCTCATTGCATGGGCCAACGACCTTGGTGTCAAGATCTATGACCGGCTGTCTGGACAGAGGATCGGTTACATTGACCGCGGTGCCAACGCACCACGCGCCGAGCTGTTCAAGTGCACGCTCATGTGGAAAGACGACCGCACGCTCGTCATCGGGTGGGCGGACCACGTCAAGATTGTGCGTGTGCGCAACCGCCCACAAGGCGCGGGCAGGCTACCTCCCTTCACCATCGAGGTCTTGTCCGTGTGGGAGGTCGACTGCATGGTTGCGGGTCTTGCGCCATACTCGTCGTCTGGCTATGTCGTCCTTGCGTACATTCCACCAGACACGTACGAGAACGAAGCAACACAAGACCGCGCCGAGCAGAGACGCAAAGCGGCCAATCGACCCGAGCTCCGCATCATCGACCGCGGCGACGAGATTGCCGCCGATGAGCTGGCCATTACGTCGTTTGAGCGCTACAGCTGCAACGACTACAGCATTATTCGGTCCATGAAGCAGGATGACACCGACGTCTTCCTTGTCCTGACGCCTGCCGATATTATCGTCGTCCGACCACGCGACGAGGCCGACCACATTGACTGGCTGGTCGAGCGCGAGCAGTACGAAGAGGCTCTCAGTGCCGCCGAGGCGTTGCGCGAAAAGCACGGCGGTGCCTTTGACGTCCAGGCCATTGGACTCAAGTACATGCAACACCTTGTTGATGCTGGTGGGTTGGACGGAATCGATTGATAGCTAACCCTCAGGCAACTTTGCGCACGCGGCGTCACTCGCGCCAAAGGTGCTCGATACGAATGCGGCGAGCTGGGAGAAGTGGATCTACACTTTTGTTCAGCACCACCAACTACAGGTAAGCTGAAGGGACTTCTTGAAGCTGACATTCAGGCTATCATTCCACGGATCCCGGTCCAAAAACCTCAGCTCAGCCGTGCAGTGTACGAGATGGTCCTGGGACATTTGCTAGTCAACGACAAGACCGTGAGTTGGAAATTGGTCGCGCCTGCTAACTCGCAGGCACTCCTCGAGACTGTTACAACGTGGCCGATAGAGATCTACGACTCGAACGCTGTCATTTCTGCCGTTCAAAGCGAGCTTGACGCGACAAAGAACGACCCCGTCTTGCTAGAGGTGATGGCTGAGCTGCATATTGGTCGTGGCCAGCCTGCACGAGCCCTCCCCTTCTATCTGCGCCTGCGCAAGCCCAACGTCTTTGACCTCATCCGCGACCACAACCTGTTCGATGCGGTCCAGGAGCAGGCGCTGCTGCTCGTCGAGTTTGACCGCGAGAGGGTCAAGGAGAACCCCGAGGCGGCCAAGGACGGCAAGTACGGTGCCGCCATTGAGCTTCTCGTGGACCACACCCTGGCCATTCCTGTGAGTTGCACGTGCGGTAGTTGACAACTGACAGACAAAGGTCGACCGTGTCGTGCAGCAGCTGGAAGCCAAGCCGCAGTTCCTGTACATGTACCTCGACGCGCTGTTTGACAAGGACTCTGCCTCGTGTCAGCCTTACAGCGATAGAATGGTGGGTAGCTCGTCCGGCAAATATCTAACCCAGCAGGTTGACCTCTACGCGACGTACGACCACGCACGGCTCATGCCCTTCCTCCGTGCCAGCAACTTTTACGACCTGGAGCGTGCTCTGCGCATCTGTGAAAAGCACGACTATGTCCACGAGACAGTGTTCCTGCTGGGCCGGATGGGCGACAACCTCAAGGCGCTCAAGCTCATCATTGAGCGACTGGGAGATGTGCAGCTTGCGATTGATTTCGCCGAGGAGCAGCGCGACGATGACCTGTGGGAGGCATTGCTCACGCATTCCGAGACTCGGCCGGACTTTATCCGCGCACTGCTCGAGCACGGCGGCACGGAGATCAACCCTGTGCGCTTGATTGAACGTATCAAGGAGGGCCTCGAGATTCCAGGTCTCAAGCCTGCCGTCGTCAAGGTGCTCCAGGCGTCCAACCTTCAGGTCTCGCTGCTGGAAGGGTGCAAGCGCATCCTGTATGGCGACTGCAGCATGCTCGCGAGCGAGCTGCACGTCTCCCAAACAGCAGGCACACACTACCAGCCGGCCACGGTGTGTCAGGTATGCGGCAAGCCCGCGTTCCCACACACCACCGTGGCCGCCGCACCCTTGGTCCTCGTCTATCTGTGCCGCCACCTCGTGCACGCGACGTGTGCCGTGCCCAACGAGGACGTCGAGCTGCCTGAACGCCCCGAAAACTCGGCCGTGACGGCCTTGCTGCTCGCCGACAAGCCGACGACGGCGGGATCCAAGCGCGCCCAAGAACGCGCGCTGGGCGTCAAGCTCAGCTACGAGGCCATGGTGCGCGCGCGCGTCGGCACGTGTCCCGTGTGCGCGCACCGGCGCGGCGACCACGCCGCGTGCCACGGCGACAAGGTCAAGGTCGTCGCCCCGGCGACTGTGGCGGCGACCGCAGCGGTCGCCGTGACCGTGGCGGTTGCGTGAGAGAGCCACCGGCGCCGTCTCCGAGTAGCCATTGTAACCCATATGCATACTAATCATCATTTTGAGCTCAACCTGGGAAAGTTGCTGGGAGAGTGGTTGGACAGGTGTGAACCGTGGCGCGACACGTTGGGTCGTTCCTTGCTCCGCGCCCAGGGCGAGTAAGCGTGAGATGTTGCAAGGGGATTCGGGGGTACGGAGGGGAACGGCTTAAACGAGGTCCACTGCGCGCGTTTGACGCTGGCAGGCAAAACGCTCGTGAAACGGTGTGGTGGTGGGAGGGTTGAAGGCTGCGGAAGTCTGGTCTTTGCAAGTGTAGACGACCACACCGTGTCGCCCTGTTCCAGCGATGTACCTGGCTGGCTCTGCGTTGGCTTGCTCTGCGACCAACACCTGTCTCGGCTTGCGGCTGCTCGATTGTGCTGGCTCGCATATGTTGGCTTCTCTCGAGCGCGGCCATGGCGACTGCCACCAAGCTCCCAATCTCCCATGTGCGACCACGGGAGGGAGAAGAACTAAAATATAGACCGTACAGTCCTCATGTCACTGATCGAACGTCTAGTCCCCCACGGCCGCGTTCCCAGTGTGCATTACGCTTCCCGTCATTGTCCCCAGACGTACAAGCGTTGGATCCAGTCGACACGATGGTAACGAACCCATGAAGATGAAGTACTGTCCACTGTCGCCAACGCCAATAGCCACAACAATGCCACACACCAAAACAGGACCCACAACGAGCCAGGGCCCGCGGCATGTAGCCTAGTGTCGTATTCAACAGCCAAAAGAAGCGAGCTAGCAAGTGGGAACGCCGCTAAGAGTACCAGAGAGGTTCGAGCCACGCCCTCGTGGTTGTACTTGTACTACTACGGCCGTCATCCAGCGAGGCACACGCGCTTTTTCTTCTCACTCTGGCTAGACCCAGGTTCGGTCGGGGCTGCTGAGGGGCTGCTGGAATTCAATCTTGTTCTGTTTTTTGTTTTTCCTGGATTAAATATACCTGAGGGGTTGGTGGCGAGCAAGTGCCGAGAGAGCGCCGAGAGCGCTCTGTGCCGCACATACTATTTTGTTGGTTTAGGCTTTTCAGGCTTTTCAGGCAGGCAGGCCGTTCAGGAGCGAGTGATGTGGCCAAGCCTAACTGCATGTAACAATCACTGATCACTGGCACGGAGGGGGAAAGAGGTGGCGGCAGAGGAACGGGGGTGGTGTGGGCCTCACCTCGGCCGTATCGTGATTTCTCACAATCGCCAGTGTCACACCCAAACCGTTTCTTTGCTTCTTGCGTTGCCATTGCTATCATCCTATCTCGCTGGCACGGCGACCTTTCCATCCCCCGTCTGAACGGCCTGGCCTCGGAAGCGCCTTGGCGCCTTTCCTAAGCTTTCTCTCACGCCCGCCCGCCATACCGCCGTTGGACCCGATTCCGGTTCCTGCCGGATATGGCGACTGACAGTGTAATGACGACAGACGCCGCAAATCTAGTGGCAAGCGCTACAGGCTACGGTGTGTAGTGTCTCATTTGCGTACAGGCTATCTCTCCATTACTGTTGCTGTGTCCTGCACTTTCGCATATGTAATGAACGACGGGGACTTTAGCCGCGGGGGTTCGGGGGCAGCTGAGAAGACGGAATGTATGATGCGTGATTGAAGAGCAAGTGGGAAAGAGAAGTGGGAGCAAGTGGGAGCAAGTGGGAGCAAGTGGGAGCAAGTGGGAGCAAGTGGGAGCAAGTGGGAGCAAGTGGCATGAGTCAGGCTGGCGTGGGCTTGGTGGGCTTGGTGGATTAGACATGGCCATGTCTGACAGCAGTTTCCACGCTTCGCCACAGCGGTTGCTTTCTCGTCGCCACAGTGCCGGTCCGCCCCCGACACATTTGCCCCGGTGGGAGGTTTCTGATACATGGGTCCATGGCCAGAACGAGCAAGACAATGGCCGACGACTGACACTGATCCACTGATCCACTGGCCACCGCGGCTGAACCACTGGGAACGAGCAACCGGGGCCACGGAATGCGAACCAGCCGTACCAGCGTCTCGAGCCTGGACGCCACGACGTCAGCGCAATGTTGGCGCTGTTGGCGGTGATTGCGACCTCCTGAAACCCTCTCATGTGTGGCCCATGCGCGCGTGTCCATTCCGAGCGCTCTTTGCGCTTTTTTGCACAGCTTGTAGCCCGTAGCTTGCTTAGGCGGCAATGCCACGCCATGGAAACGCCCATGCACGCCAACAGCAGCTGTTTGGCGCCCAGCTGTATCGCTGGTCGTGAGATTGCGTCCCACGGGTGCTCTCCTCCATCACTCGACGACGACATTCCCCCGCGCGCACGGGCCTCGATCGCTCTTTACGTACTACTCTCTGATTCCAAGACACACCGCCGGTGCTTCCGATCTGCGAAATGTACAACGTGCGGCATGCATATGATATTTGGGAACAAACCCCGCTACACCGCTGGATCCTAATGTCCAGAGAGCAATAATGTCAAAGGAAACACCCCTAGAAACACATGAGAGAGAGAGAGAGAGAGATGGAGAGAGAGATGGATGGAAAAAGACACAACGAAGGAAAAGAGAGCATGCTATGCACACACCCCTCAGCCAGCTAGTGGAAGTCCCACGCATCCAGGACGGCTGCCAGGCGACTGTCCGTGTGGCCGTTGTGGCCCGTGGGCGCCTGGTATCTTGGCGTCGGTGCCGTCTTGGGAGGGAGGGTGACGCCGACGTAGGCAGGGTTGTGGTGGGCGCGTGCAAAGGCTGCGGCGTACGCGTGCGGCGCGTGCGTGCCCTCATAGTCGCTGCTGCTGCTGCTGTGGATGGTCGTGATGGCAAACGAGAGCGCGAGTGCCGACCCGAGGAGGACGAGGAAGAGGGTGAGGGGCGTAATGTTCCTGCGGCGGCGGACGGCCTTGGCCGATGACAACGGTGACGACGGTGACAATGACAATGACAATGACGACAAGCTCGCGACGGTCTCGGCGTACCATGCCTTGAGGAAGACGAGGACGGGGACGAGGCCCAGGACCTCGGCGGCAGCGTCGACGAGCGACACGGGGGGTTCTGTCGCGTTCAGAGCCATGTCGTATGGAACGCCAGCGGGACGGCGCTTCCATCCCACGTCGAGGAGCGAGAGGGCCTGGGCGTTCGAGTACGAGTAGGCTGGATTTGAGCGGCTGGCCCGGCGTTGACGGCGGCGACGCGCCTGCTCGATGTAGTCGGTCTGGAAGGATGGCACGCCGGGGACAGGTGTGGGCGGGCTCACGACGATGGAGGGGACGATGGCGAGCGCGTGCCGGCGCGGTGTTGGGGTGTAAAGCGAGGCCATGGTTGGGTGACGTCGGTCGCTATCGCTGGAGCAAGGCAGCGACAGGGAGGAGGGGGAGGGGTGGAGTGGGTAGCGGGGAGAGGGGGAGGGAGGGGAGGTACGAGTGTGTGTCCTGTCCAAGAGTTATATATGTCCAGTCGGTAGATGCTGGATGACTGTGTGGGGGAGAGAGAGCACTAGTTGTATGTGACGCGCCTTTTGGGTTGAGAGGAGGTGTCCGTGTGTCCTCTCTGCCTGTCAACGTGCAACAAGAGGAGGCGAAACGGTGCCGAAGAACACGGGGGGGGGGGGGGGGGGGGCCAGAGTCACCAAAGATTGCGGAGCGAGGGCAAAGTGCAAAGGGATGCTGCAGGGCACAAAGAAGGACCAAGCGTTTCGCTCTCGCCGTGGTCGTCGTCGGTGGTGGTGGTGGCTGATGGTATGCCACTTGGTGAACCTGTTCGCTTGCTGCTTGACGTGTGGCTGCGGCAGGTGTTGCAGTTCGCGATACGAGCAGCGATGACGACTGGTCGTCTGTTGTGTGTGTGTGGTTTATGTGTGTGTGTCGACAGAACGAACACGAGAGGGTTGTTGCAAAGGACGAACGATACCGACCGGCGCGCCGTGTTGTCTGTGATGGATGATAATGAATGCTGCGTTTGCTTGCCTCCGGCATGGCCCACCACCACCACCCACGGCCAGCAGCCCAGCAGCAGCAGCTCACCAGCAGCAGCAGCAGCGCCGAACCTCCAAGGGGGGACCCTTACATGTCTGAAAAACATTTTGGACCGTGGCGCCGCCATTCAGGTGGGGGGGTTGTTCCGAGTCTCTCGCTTGCCTGCTCTGGCGCTGCCGCGTAGCAGATAAACGCAGCAAAGCAGAGACACCGGGGGCAGCGCGCAGCGAGCAAGAGGTATAATCCCCCCCGTGGACGCCCATGCACGCCCATGATGCACGCCAGAAAGCTTAGTTGTTACTCGGGCAAAGTTGGACTGCGCTGGACTGCACTGGGGTTGGCCCCCCCCCCGTAGTACGCAGTAGCATCGATGCAAACAACACATGTGGGTTATCGACCACCCCAGATACTAGAGCCCTTTGCTGCGAGGACGCAGTCTTTCACTCTCCCGCGCCTTCACCCATCTGCGCACGCTGCACGCTGCTCCAAGCGGCAAGCGGCAACACAAGCTTTTGCGTGATTCCGGTTAGCTCACGCGAATATGCTTTTTTCTTTTGGGCTGGCCCTGGCTCGCGCGCCGTTGTTTTGTTCGGGCCTGGTGCCGAGCTTTGCTCCTTTGCTCGTTCCCGTACACAATAAACCCAACTTAATGGTACGTGCCGCCCGGAACGATGCTACGGGATATTCTGCCCTCGCAGCCAGGCCCCGTGAGCCTTCTGGCCTTGTGACCCTCTGCCCAGCGGCGAGCGGCGACGTGGGTGGTGTTGCGGACACGGCGTCGGCGGTCTCGGGTGCAGCCAGGTTGGGCCAAGGGCCACCAGCTTGAATTGGCCTTTGATGGTATTTTTCCACCATTTCGGCTGCCGTCGCCCCTCCCATTGAGGCCATTGATCCAATCCACAGTTTCCTGCCGAGGTGCTTCTAGCGCACGCACATCACGTCTGCACGCCTGCACGCCTGCCCTGTGTACAGTACCTGCATTCTGCCTGTTTACTGCACACTTGCCTCCTGCAGCATTCACACCACGTACGCGCGCTCGTGTGGCGCCAAGAGACGCCGAGACCTGCATTCCTTTGCTCGGTCGATGGAGTCGACCGAAGATCAACCACCCCGGGCGACGGGTCGTAATTGCTTTTTGGCTCCTTCTAGGGCACGAGCTAACTTGCCCAAGGACCCATTCATTGCCCGTCCATAGACCTGAGTACGGCTTGAGCGTTTGCCTTGGGGAGGCAGTGACGACCGCAAAAAAAAGCGGTCAGTTGCGTTCCACAGACGGAGACTGGGGCCAAGCAGACTTGTCTCCCGTGATTGCCAGCCCACCCCGGACGGTCCATGCCACTATCGATGGGCTACATACAGGCTCATCGACGCACGCTCCGTTACGCGGGGATCTGGCTCTGGTGGTGCAGAGCGGAACGATGCAGGACTGATAATAGCAATTCGGGGCGCCCATACCTCATCACTGCCACCACCACCGCGTCACCGGCATTTTGCCCAGATTCAATACAATGTCGGCCAAGATCTCTCTCCGCCCTGATGATCCTAGCCATGGCTGGCTGGAGCTGGCTGGATTCAGAACATCATGATGTAAATGAGGCTCGCTCGGTATGGATCCATATGGATCCAAGGAGAAGGCGGGGGCTGGGTCTATACTGGGCCAAGACGGCGCCGAGAGCGCTAGAGACCGCGCGAGACCGCGGTTGAACCTCTGCGCTCACGTTCCCTGCACCAGAACACCGTACTAAGGAGCCGGGGCATGGCGATCGCATCGTCTGTGCCCACTTCCATCACACCTCTGTGATCTACGCACTAGTCTGTGACGCTACTGCTACTGAACAGTGTACACTGCTGCTGTTACCCACACTACACCGCTGTGGACCGGTACAAGCGCAGCTTGACCCTGGAGACCTCGTCAGCCAACAGTGCAAAGCGTGCGACGCGCTCGTGTCTTAATCTTTCTTAATCTTCCGACCTGTGTCTCTGATGTCGGGGTGTCTCGTCTCGGTGTCCCGGAACAAAATGCACCGCGGAAGCACAGTGCGTACAGTGGCCAGTGGCAAGCAGCGTGCGAGCAGCGAGAAGCGAGCAGCCAGAACCAGAGTGACGTGTACCAGTGCACGACCGTCACCTGTGGCCATCTATCGACGCCGCATGGCACGCTCGCTGTTCGCCCTGGTTCATATGTAACCCCCCGCTCGTAGTGCATGACACGACACCGACAAACAGCTTATCTGCAGTCCAGACCAGACATGGCACGTGGCTGAACAGGCGCAGGCGAGGTACACTCGCACCCCCCAGACCTGGCAGCGCCTACCCCCATTTGCAGCAGGGCCTCGCCCCACTGATCCACTGAATAGGTAGGGAGGTGCGGTTTAAAAGAAAATAAAAAAGAAGAATCCCCTCACGCCGCCAACGCCAATGCCGACGCCGCAGGTCCGGTCCACTAGTGCAGACAGGTACGCACGCACGCACGCATGCCTGTCTGTCTGCATTCGGCGCCGGACGTGTAGTCTAAACACGGGCGACGTCTCCCATCCCAACGCCGGGCAGAACACAGCGACGGAATTCGTGCCGGTCACATGGATCCCACCCAGCCCAACTGACACGATACGTCGGGCCAGCCACACCCACGAGTCACAGCCCAAGCCGCACCAACAACCCAAGCCGTGCCGACACCCCCGCCCTGGCGGACGCGATGAGACGCGAACACGGCACGACTGGCGCTGCATGTTTGCATGCACACCCACCCACCCCTCGTGCAGGTTTGAGCCACCCATTCCGTGTAAGTTTCGGAGGGCCGAATTCACAGCACGGCGCGGGCACCACTTGGTCCGACCAGGAACCCCAAGGAACCCACGACAGGAACTAGAATGACTCTAGAATCACACACAGACGCACCACTACACGCATCACACATCACACATCACACATCACACACACCACAAACACCCCAAACTCAAACTCAAAACTCTGACGCAGCCTCGGACACTCGGAAAGACTCACTTGTCCCTCACTATCTCGAGCTCGGTCTCGTCGTCTTCGTCCCGGTCGCGGTCCGGTTCGCGCTCGCGTTCTCGCCGTGCGGCGGTGCGCGGCGATAGCCTTGGCTGGGTGTTACTGCTCTTCCCGGCCGGCCGCCAGGCCGCCATGTCCCAGCGCGACCAGCCCCACGCCTCTTTGATCTGGGAGAGAGGAGAGGGTAGATAGAGGGGGGGCAGAGTCGCGGTTGTTTGGTGTGGCGTCGTGTTTGTGTTTGTGTTGTGTTGGGGAAGAGGTACCGAGAGTGCCACAAGAGGAAATGGCGTCAGCCCTGTGACCAGAACGGCAAGACGCGTCTTGGGCACGGTCAACACCGCCACTGCCACTGTCCGTCACCTTCCACGCCGCCAGAACACGCGTCTGCCGCCACCTCTGTGGGTCCCATAGTGGCCAGAACACGCCAATACGAGGCGAGCAGGCCAGAACACGGCACAAGCACTCTGGTATCGCGTATCAGGACCTAAACGCCCACCTGCCTGACTGCGCGAAGGGTTGTCTCGGAGTGAGAAGTGAGGACCTCGGAGTGAGGCCCGCGGAGTTGCGGGGCAGTCACAGTCAACTCCAACGCCTGGGCGGAACGACCGAGGGGGGCCGCTCCCCTTATCTGCGCGCACGCAGGCACAGACGCAGACGGCGTTGGGGCTGTCTTGGCCAAATATAGACGCGCATGTCTCGCAACGATGACAGTGTGTGACCGAACACGCCGAGTTGGACATTCATGTGGCCAGCCCGTGATCCCGCGATTGAGACAGGTGTTCGCCGCCAGGGAAAGCGTCGTCGATATCGGGTCCGACAAGGAGCGGAAGCGAGGACGCACCGACCCGTCCACCCCCACTGCCAGCCGTCCACCGCGATTGCACGTCGCACTCTGCGCGACCTTCCTTATCCGAGTTCCAACCAGACAGACCCCACGTCGCAGACCCCCCTTGACTCGTCTTCTCCGCCTTCCGTTTCCAAGAATCTCTCAACCACACCACCACTCACCTCTGGTTCCCGGTGTGGCGCGACGACGACGAGCCAAGTCGCGCGTCGACTCAGCTCGTCGAGCAGCGCAGCCAGCTCGCTCGCCTCGGTGAGCAGGTGCAGCGCAAAGGAGCACACGATCATGTCCCATTCGGGCCCGCTGTCGTCGACCTCCATTGCGTCGCGCGCCCGGGAGGGCGGGAGGCGGCCGGCCGCCAGGTCGGCGAACGACAGGGGGTGGCACACGCGGGACGTGCGTGCAAAGTAGGCCGGGGAGGTGTACTGTGGTCCATTGTCAGCAGCAGAGTCGCAGGTGATTTCCATCACGGGGACCGGCACCAGCACTGCTACTACTCACTGGGTCTGTGGCGATAATGTCCATGACCAGTGCGCGCGGTAATGGCGGCGGCGTGCCGGCCGAGAAGACGCGTGGGCGCGGGGTCGCCGTGCGCGCTGACCCGGCCGTGCCGCTGTGCGGTGGGGGTGCTGCGCGCGGAAAGGACGGCATGGCGGCATTGTCGGCGCCAGAAGCGGGACGCCGGCGTGTACTGGTGCCCGTGAACGCCGGTCGGACGGGCAGCGTGCTCTGCACAGAGAGGGGCAGGCGCGGAGGCGATTTTGTAGGTGAGGACGGGGTGCTGCTGAGCGAGGCGCGTTTGCCGGCCGCTTCCCACTCGAGGAGGCAGAGGGTTGCCTCGCCGCTGGTCTGTTAGTCGACGGTGCTGTGTCTACGATGACCCGAGAGGCAGCTGAGTGAAGGTGAAGACCCACAGCTGCCCACCGGGTGTGTCGAACTCGGCTTGCCCTCCCACCCAAGCACTCACCTCCCTGCTGCCATATCCAGCACGCGCAGCGTGTCGCCCACCCTCGACCCTCCTGGACCCCACACGCCGCCTTCCTCGTCCCACCACCGCGCCATAAGTGTCCACACGACCTGCCGTTAGTTGTGGGTCACACGGGTTGGACGCGGGGTCGGCTTGGAAGGGAAAGGAGGTCTGCTTCTCTGCGAACGTGCATGGTGGCAGTCTCTCCTGCTCGCCGCAGACCACAATGAGGACTTGGCTCGGCCCACATCGCACGACACCGCAGCTCACCTTCTTGATGCCTGCGAAGAACGGGTTTCGGTATGTTGCCGCTACCTTGCGGTAGTACTTTGTCGGCGTCAGCATGTCTATATGTCTATGATGATGCATGGTATGGTTCTCGGACCGATCTTATCTCATGACCGTGTGCCCTGTGTGCCCTGTGTGTGTGTGTTGTGCTCGTGTTCACAGGACACAAAGGCCCACACGCACGGCCACTGGGTCACTCACCTCGTCGACACCGTACGGCGCCGTGTCGCGCGAGCTGTGAGCGCGTACGCCCATCGTCGAAGGGGTCCGTCCCGATACCACTGGTGGGTGGTGTTGACCAGCGAGGTAGCGAGTATGGTGGCCCCGGTTGAATGGAGCCTGGTGTGCAGACGATTGATGGGGAGAACGGGATGGAACCAAGGACGGAGAGAGAGGTGAGGATGCTTCTGATGAGAATGGTAGAGGCACACACGGCTCCTTCCCCGCGTTTGGGCGTCATGACGTGCCGTGCCTGGGGATGCAATGTTGCCGCGCCATGATGTGGGGGGTGGGTGAGATGGTTCTTGTTGCCCGAACGATGTGGACGCAGCTGATGAAGCTGAGAGTCATGCATGCCGCTGCGGCTATGACAGTGATATATGCGCAGCATATGGAAGTAACAGGTCTGCTGGAAACTCGACAAGGTCTCGATGCGCTGAGAGCTCGGGGCGTCGTCGGGAATCAAACCGCCTCCACGTCCCTGTGATAAGCGGTTCGTGGCACCTTGCCATCCATCCACTCCCAACTGTCCTCTGCCCGTCTCGTTCCCTGCTAACCCCCTTACAATCAACCCTGTGGCCTGCATGCTCCTCTCCTCCATCTCTTCAATGCATGCACAATAAACAGGCAGCAATCGCTCTCGTGGTGTAGTGGCTATCATACTTTCTTAGGGTCCAGTGCTGGTCTCTAATCCTTCTCCGGGTTCGTCTCCGTGTTCTCTAGCTATGGAAGTGGTCCTGGGTTCAAATCCCGGCGAGGGCCTTGCTGTCTTGTCTCTGTCTCTCCAGACAGGCAGGCGTGACTCTTTTGCATCGATGTCGACCTGAGGGACGGTCCCGCAGAAGTGTGCGATGGCGACGGAGAAGGCGGAGGTGAGCTGAGAGGCACGATCGGTCCCGCTGTCCGTCGCGTGGGATCGACTCGTCTGCACTCCAGCTCGCATACTTCGTCTGAAGCTCTTCGCACCCCTTCAAACATGTCACCGCCTTCACCATCTTTCATAATGGTATCTCGCTAAAACCAAAACATAGGCGCTCTTGTGGTGTAGTCGCTATCATACCTTCTTTGGGTGTTGTCTTCGCTTGATCTCGATCAGCGTGGTATCTTCTGGAGGTGGTCCCGGGTTCAAATCCCGGCGGGGGCCTTATCTTTTGCCTGTCGCTGCATACATGCATCTGCTGGCATGTCTGCTGGACACAACGAACGCGCTGGAGGGAGGGAAGGTAAAGAGGGTTTGTTTGGTTTGCAGAGTGTTGCAGTGTTCCCGCGGAGTATTTCATGTTTTAGCGTGATTTTCAGCCGAAGTGCCGAGATATGTCTCACGGATATCACCAACACATATCGTCGTCTCCTCACTCGCGCGTTGCCATTCAGGAAGGGCAACGCAGAGCGCACATGGGAACCCCCCATCGCTCCTGGTTGCTTGAACCTTCTTATGAACCTTCTGCCAGCCTCCCCTCTAACACCGTGTCCGACGGTAGCGCAAGACGTGGCGATGGGGCACCTCGCCTTCCAAGCCTCAGGCAGGGCGAGGACGAGTGGTGACACCCACCACACCGCCTGGGATAATGCGGTGGTCGCGGTCCACCGCACTACCATCGAGCTGCAGCGGGGACAAAGGCATGGAACGTTCAACTGCGAATGGCAGGTACCGCTGGGAATTTACCTATGCCCCCACCAACATCTACATTTGGCCGGTGCCCAAGCGATGCGTCCGACACCACCACCGAGCGAACGTCTGGGGTCAACCACAGCCGCCAACCAGAGTGGCTCTTGCACGTAGATCCCACCAGTTGTTTTTAGTGGGCGCCCAGCGTACCTCTGAGCAACAGAAATCCGATGCTGGTGAATCAATGATGACAGCGATCAAGGGTTTATTCTCGGAAAACAGAAGAGGAAATCAACAAATGTCTATGTTTGAGAACTTGTCTGGCCAGCACCCTTTCCCCAGGGTGATGTGCCCTAGAACGGCTGTGGGGCATGTGCTCGGTCGTTATCTCCCCAGTGGCTGCTCTTGGTCCTTTGGTGACATTCACAGTCGAAGACATGAAGAGTGAGAGGAGGTCCATGTGCAGAGAAACGAATCGCAAAGCCTTTTGGATTTCTTGTCAACCATCGCTCAAAAGGGACGGACCTTCGACTTTGTTTGCTGTCTCAGACTCCCATGTCATGTCCCCTACTTATAACATCCTGGGAATGGTGTTGCATTCGCTGGTGTCTTTGATATGATGGGCAGCCCCCATGCGTCTCCACCAAACAGTGACAGTTTCTAGCTTGGTTTCTGACTTGTTATGTTAACTGAAGTGGACAAACTTGACTGTGGTTGTCGCCTGCCCATCCTCATCAGACTCCATGTACCTTCACATTCGCGACTGAACGACAACGATCACATCGACGGGTGTCCCAATAAAACATGTGCAAGTCGCGATAAGAGCACGCCCACCTCACCAGTCATCACTGGTCGTCCGAGCCTGTGAGTGGAATGAGGCGTACACTGCCACCAAAGTCCAACGAGAGAGTTATCACCAACAATATCAATGTACGCATGGGTACGATTGTACCACTCACAAGCGGCACCACTGAGCCATGCCTCGAGATGACCACAGAGGCGGCATCTGGCATCGTCTCACTTGCGTCGCAAATACGAGATCGTCCCTTCCCACAGCCGAACGTACACTGTCAGGACCTGGACCTGGACCTGGACCTGATGCTGGTGTACTGGATATATCTCTTATGCATCGCACATTGTCCTCCACAGTATGCCTGGGGTGACTTTCGAGCGCCATGTGTTATTCGTAGTGGCTCAGATGTGTGTTTGTTTTTAGAGGAAAAACACCAGGTGACGCATGCCACCACCACTTGGGTTGTTGACATTGGCTGCCCTACGTGTCTTCGTTTTTGCCGTTCCTTGGCTTTATAGGTTATCACTGCGACCGACTCGAAGGTATACACAGCGTCATGCCAATATGCCAATACGTCCTGGCCGTGCTGAACGGTGCAGCTGGTAGCGGGTGGTGGTGGTGGTGGTGGTGGTGGCGGTGATTGAACCAGGATGAAAATGCGACGACGAGTGAGTGCCACTTTTGGGGTGCAGGCACATGGTTTCCATATACCCAGTGCCTCTGACCTATCTGCACGGACGTTGGTGTCTCTCGGTATTCAGAGCAGGTGGTGTCTGTGCGTGTGCACACATGAATCTACAAGGCATGCGGCAGTGACCCGTCGTTCGTTCCGACATGTGATCGTTCGCCTTCGGACCCGCGCGGCTCGTTTGGCGGCGTCCCCCACGGTCAGTCTTTCGTCCTCCCTTCTCTCCCCACACCTTGCTACACCATTTCGACATTGGCCATGTCCTGCATAGGCTACATAGTATTATGGAACCCGTTTAGTTATGTAAGCGGGGGCTAAGTCTACTCCTGTGCTCGTGCTGCCCAACCACGACCAGGGGAAATATCCAAGTGGGGTGTGTCGAAGAGTCTTCGACTTGTCCGTATCTCTCTCGCGTGTGCGAGTGTGCGTGCGTGCATGGGTGGGTTTAAATACCCATACCCGAGCGCACGGCGGCGGTGTTGGGCCAGGCACTGGCGAGGTAGTCGCCGTCCATGGACCAGACGTTGCAGCCCTTGAGACCGGCCTGCTTGGCAAACTGGCCCTTGAGGTTCATCGACTCGGGGTCGTCGTAGGTGACGATCTGGCCCGAGGAGGTCGACTTGAGCCAAGGGGTCGAGGAGCACGAGTCCCAGTGGCGGGTAAAGCCGCCGGCACCAATGTACGAGCCGTCCGAGAGGACGAGGGCGCCCTGCGAGACGAGGCCGTCGAACATGATCTGGCCGTCGGTGGTGCCGCCGTCGGTGTTGGAAACGGTGACCGAGCTGCTGGCACGGGCCTTCTGCTTGTGGGGAGGAATGGGGATACCGCGCCACGAACGGTCGTAGAGCTGGGTAGCGGTCGACTTTTGGATGTAACCGTAGGCCGGGACGCCGAGTGTGATCTGGTTGGCGGGGAAGCCAGCAGCGGTCCACGAGGCGACGGCCGAGTAGGCGTTGGCAGTGGGCTGCGACGAGTTGCCACAGCCGTCCGAAAGAGGAGCGTTGGCGCCGGGGGTGGAGGACGATCCCCAGATGTCATAGTTCATGATGAGGATCCAGTCAAGAACGGCGGCAAAGGCGGAAACGTCCGACATGGGCTGGCCGTCGGAGCCGTAGAAGGGCCAAACCTGGGTAGCGGCGGTGATGAGCGAACCGGTAGGAAGGGCAGCCCTGAGCTCGGTGAGGAACGTGAGGAAGTTGGCAGAGTCGGAAGACGAAACGGCGTTGCCGTCGGCACCCTCCGCACCAGGGTACTCCCAGTCAATGTCGATACCGTCGAGGTCGTACTTGGTGACTGCGGCGACAATGTTGGCGATAAAGGTAGCGCGCTTGCTCGACGAGGCACAGAGGGTCGAGAAGTAGGCCGAGCCAGTCCAGCCACCGACAGAGAGCTTGACCTTTTTGCCGGCGGCGTGGGCGAGGGTAGCGAGACGGGTGAGGAGCGAGCCCTCGTCCGAGACGTCAAAGGTGAGGCCACCGCTCGAGGTAGGCTCGGCAAAGGCATAGTCGACAACGTCAAACTTGGTCCAGTCAATGTCCTCGGGGGTGAGCGAGTCGGACATCCAGTCGGCGTAGTAACCGGCCATGATCATGCCGTCAGTTGACGCAGACGACGAGGTCGCGGCTGCCGACGAGGATGTAGAGGTTGAGGTAGCCGAAACAGTAGCAGGAGTGGACGTGGGGAGAAGAGTCGCCGTCTCAGACGAAGACTCTGTCTCGGTGAGCGAGTTGGTAGTAGACTCGGTCGCAGAAGCAGTCGCAGAGCTGTGGCCAGTGTGCGAAGTCGTCTCCGACGCAGTCGGGAGCGATTCGGTAGCCGATTGAGTCTCATTGGGGAGGAGGGTCGAAGCCGAGTCTGTGGGGAGCTCAGACTCGGTCGAGGTACTCGACTGCTGGTGGTGGCGAGTCGACGTGGGGTCGCTCGAGACAGAGGTCTCAGTCACGTTGGGCGCGACTGAGGACTCTGTTGCGTTGGGGGACGCAGAGGAGGAGGTGGAGGGTTGTTCTTCAGACAGAGTACCAGACTCTGTCGGGCGAGTTGCATCAGACGTCACAGTGTCGGTGGGGTCGATGAGCCAGGTGGAGGACTGCGAGACTGCCGAGTCGGTGATCGAGGCGTTTGCTGCAGTGGTCGGCTCAACCGAACCAGTGAATAACGTCTCTGTGGGCAACACCGAGTCTGTGGACGACGAAGGCGCAATGGAAGGGGCAGACGACGAGGGGTCCGAGGAAGGCGAAACAGAGGTTGGCTCGGCGCTCGACGGGGACCCCGTGTCGGTGGCGGTAGGCACCGGGCTCACGGTCTCGGCGTCCACCCAGATGGTTTCGGTGATAGTCACAGGGACAACAACAGTCGTGGTGGCAGTGATTGGGAGACCGCGCTCATCAAGAGGGCCATCGTAGTGCGCCCAGGCGGCAGCCTCGGCCTCAGCTTCGCGGGCAGAAGGCTTACGCCAGAGGTTCCAGCCCCGGGACGTCTTGCGGTGGGGAGCGTAGTGGTCCCCGCCAGCGGGGTCTGCGTTGGGGTTGGCGTCGCGCTTGACGGGCGTCTTGGTGCCGGAAGTCTTGTGAGGGACGTAGTGGTCGCCGCCAGCGGCGTTGGTCACTCCCGCGAGGAGCGGGAGGACGAGGACGAGTGATGCGAGCATTTCGCGCGGGGTTGACGTGAAGAACGGGGAGAAGAAGGTGTAGAGGGGGGGGGGGATTCACAAGCGACTTGGGGGGGTTGGGTGGGTTAGGTGGAAGACCGGCTTCCGTACAGCGCAGCTGTTGACGATTGTGCCCTCCTGGGGTATAGAGAGGATGGGAGAGATGCGAGGCTGCTCAGCAAGCCAGGCGTGAGAAGGATGGATGGATGAGGATGGTGGGGTGGGAGGAGGAAAGATGCCTGTGCGCGACGTCGCTGGTTTTGAAGGACGGCGGGGGAAGACACACAATATTCGCGCTCCATCCATTTCCACCCAACACCCGCCAGACAGTGTCTGCGCGCGGGGGATCCACAGGACCCTCTCGCCCAGCCCGTGCAGGTGGCGAGCGCCCAGGGTACCGTCGCTGGCCGGTTGGGCAAGCGCGCGTGCGCTGGAACCTGGTCGACTGCAGAGTGAAGAGAGAGGGAGGGAGCCAGAGAGAGGGAGCCTGCCCCGGCCTGCGTGAGCACAAGGTCTGTGGGTGGCGAGTGGCGTACCAGGCGCGCCCCCGCGCGCTCCAGCACAGAGAGAGAGAGAGAGTCATGTTAGCGTGTGGGTGGCCATGGGTGGGTATGACTGCGCGGAGGGACGAGGCATAGGTGTGTGCCTGGGTGGTGCATGCACTGCCTGAGGAGAGCGAGCGAGCATGGAGAGGAGTTACATTGGTGGCTGGTATCCCCTTTCATGTCTGTTGACTCGTCGGATGGGCAGTTGGGTCCCGGAAGAGGCGTCATCCCTCTCCCTCTACGGTGGCCAAAGGCAAAATCAAAGCAAAAAGGAAAAGCAGGCGCGGGTCGTCCCCCCTGGAATTACACCCCACCCACTCTCTCTGCTCTCCACCCCCTGGCCCCTGGCTCGTTCATGACAAGCCATTCCATGGGTCCTGTCGCTGCCCTTGGGCCTGCAAGAGTACGCGTTCCAGCAAGCCTCGCTGCAACGTTACCTCTCCCAATGTAACCGAGTGTGGGATCCCAAGGTGTGCACAAACGCTCCAAAGGGACCGGGCAAAGGGCAAGGGTGACTACTCTCCTCACCAATCCAGCAGGCCAGTAGCGGATCCAGTAGCGTCGGCACCATGGTGCAAAATTACAGACCAAGGGAGCACTCACTTGATCACTTGTTGTCTCCTTGTCTCCTTGTTTCCATGCTCCATCCCCTTGTTTGTGCCAGTTGCCCAGTGGCCAGTGGCCAGTTTGCAACGGTCACGTCCATCATCCCTGCACCCGCGCGCGAGAGGCTGGTACCAGTCTCACATCGACGCTAGCTAAGCCCCTCAACGGCCTCCAAGGCGTCACCACCTCAACGGGCCACTGGCCACTGGCCGCTGGGGCCATTGACATCGTCATGTTGCCGCTGCCTTGCCGCAGTCATCCACGGCCCTTGATGAGCGGGCGCGCGCCCTCGACGCCTTCTGTAATGTTTGGCTGAAGCGAGCAGCACAGTACGCAGGTGCGCAGAAGAAGAAGAAGGGAGGGACGCAGAGGAAGAGGACAAGGAAGCGCAAGATTCCGCTCGCTCCTAGCGACACACACCGCGTGTACTAGCGCAGCTATTCAAGGGAAAGGGAAGAGCGGGTATTGGGATCTGGCAGCAACGACGACGACGACAGGTGTAAAGGCCGCCCTCTCTCCCCCGCTCGTCTTCCATGGCCCACCACAGTACCACAGCTGCAGAGCATGCAGAACACAGGTTTCCAGCCAAACAGTAAAATTGCAGGAGAACAGCACTCACCGATCGAGCACGGGCAAAAAGAAAGCAAACACGTCCGTCCAACAGCCCTCCCTTTCCCTCTTCACTTGGTGCTGGTCTTGCACCAGCTCCACAGGCTAGTGCTGTGCTGTGCATGTGTCCCAGGAGGTCGGCACTTCCACGCAGTAGAGTTACCACGTTACCACGTTACTCCATGCCTCGGCGCGATCGGCACAGCGGTCGCTGGAGACTGGACCACCACCCATCACATCACTCTGTGTCTATTGTCCAGCATCTCGTACTCAATTGTCATCCAGATTCAAGGGCCGACGACAACATTGCCTGTCGCCAACGACCGTCAAATACCATATACCAGACGCCATGCTTGGCCGCCGCTTTTAATATCACTGGCTGTTGCCCAACTTGCATTCCACAGGCCACACAAGAGTTCCTTCGATGTCTCGACAGACATGTCGTCCGGGATGCCCGGGACGTATGTCTCAGTCGGTAGGGCGGTAGGGCGGCGGCGGGGATGCCGGCGCCGCTGGCTGCTGGCCTGGGTGAGGATGTTTGGCATGTTTGGCATGTTTGGGCGTGTGTTTGCTTGCACTGTCTGGCTGGTGTTTGTCGGCCCCAAACTGTGTCCGAGGCCACGGCGGGTACGGCGCTGCGCAGGCGTTTACGGGCGTCTGACGCCGACACGCCGGCACGCCTCTACCAGGTGAGGCAGGTGAGGCATTCAGGCAGGTCAAGCGTCAGGCCTTGCAGGCGACGCAAAACTGAACGAGGCCAAGAGGCCAAGAGGCCTCCTCGCGTCTCCACCACCCATTCGCCCACCTGGGCCACCCAGAGCGCCACCATCGCGCGCCTGATTTTCGGGCCTGATTTTGGGCGTCAACAGACAAAGCCGCCCACATCCCCTGCGTCTTGTCCCTGTATGCATCTTTCCAGCAGGCCCGCAGCCCAGCACCAGTGCCCAGACGCGTCAACAGCGTCACGGCCTGCCGCATTCAGTCGTGCAGTCGCCGGATGCAACCATGCCATCCCAGCCGTGGGCGGTGGGGTGGGGGTGGCTGGTCGCTCGCTCGCTCGGCAGGAAGCAATCGGCCTCGAGAGCTCGAGAGCTGTGCGTCATGGCCAAGCGTACCAGCGTGCGTGGTGTTTACTCTCCTGATAAAATCGACCTGTTACCGCAGGGCTAAATGGTCTCGTTGTAAGAGCTATAGATTTGCGGTGCGGTAGCGAACGTTTCATCCGCGATCCAGTTTACGATCCGTAATCCGTAGTGATCGCAGTGATGGGGCCTGGGGTCTTGAGCCTGATGGACCTGACAGGCCTGGCAGCTGCCGGGCCTGTGTTCCTTCTGAGACTATTGATCAGCACCGCAGCAATGCAATGGCTGACGTGAAGTGCACACCCCATCCATGCACATGTCCTGTACTGCAAAGTGCACACAACTGTGGAAACGGAGCAATGCTGTTATACATGTTCTACTGACACACATGCTGTCTATTCTGCTTATATATCTTTAATCACAAAGTGCCCTTGTGTGCGTGCGTACAGTACAGTCTGTCTGTTCGGCTACACATTCGTGGCAACCACGGGAGGCACGATCGGCACGGTCGGCGCGGTCGGCGCACTGGCATTGGGCAGACTGTGCGCTCCCGGCGCACTCATCGAGCTGCTGCTGCGCTCGCGGGCCATGCCCATGGACACCAGGTCTGTGCCACTGCGCGCGCGCTCCATGACCTCACTGTCCGTGTATGTCGGCAGCGCCGGGTCGAGGGGCACGACGAAGGGGTCGCTGCCGTCTGTGTAGCTGGGCACGCGCGAGAGGGGGTTGTTGTCGTCCGAGCTCATCTCCTCGGGCTCGACGTGGAAGCGCGGGTTGGACGCGCGCGAGTTGCCGCGCTCGCGGTTGGCGCCGCTGAGGGCCGACGGGTGGAACGTGACGCTCGACTGGCGGTCCGTCGAGCTGCCCGGCAGCGTCGAGAACGACACCGAGTTGCGCGTGATCGGCGAGGGCGCAAGCACGGGCGACGACGACACACTCGAGCTGTTGTTCCGGAGGATGGGAGACTTGGCCGACGATGTCAATGCGGTCAGCGGCTTGGTGAACTGGAGCAAGTGGCTCAAGCCGCTGCTGCGGTGGTGGGGTTCCTCGCCGTCGCGGTGGCCACGCTCGGGTGACGATGCGCGGGATCCCGCACGAGACGCAGCGCGCGAGTTGGAGCGCGAGCTCAGGCGCGACTGGCGCGACGAGCTCTCGGGCGGAGTCATGTGGCCCGGCGAGTTGGAGCCAGAGGTGCCGCGGCTCGAGCCGACGGCAGCAAGCTGGCCGAGGCCGCGGAGGAGCGCCGACTCTGCGTGCTCCGTGAGCTGTCGGCGGGGCGGAACGTCCGGTGCTGCTTCCGTAAAGGAGGACCGCGACCATCCGTGCGGCGATCCGGGGCGGCTTCCGGGTCGGGACGCCGGCGGCGTGTGGGAGGGTGAATGGTGCGGAGTGGCGTTTACCGACCTGGCGGTGAACGCCGAAGACCCCGAATGCTCGGCCACGGCGATGCGGTCATAGACGTGGTTGCTGTAGCTGGGCAGGTCCATTTGCGCCGTCTCGTCGATGGTCGTGCCCATCATGAGGTTGCGAGTGGGCGCTCCGGCAGCGCGGGCCTCGTCCAGGAGCGAGTTGTCAAGGATGCAGATGGGCAGTGCACAGCGCAGCTCCGAGACGTGACCGTCAGGGTTGGAGATTGCACACGACCACTTGATCTTGTGCGTAACCTGCACAGGCTTGAGGGTGTGCGATGGAGTGGTCCAAGGAGGTAGAGGAATGGTCAGCGAGGTGCACACCTCGTCGTCGCCGACAATCGCCTCGGGGTCCACTGGCTCCTCGGTGGAAGCCTCGGTGGAGCCACGGGGACCCGTGTTGGCAGGGCTCGAGGTGGCGACGTCGCGCCACTGCGACTCGCGCACGCCCGCCCAGTGTGTAGGGGGACGCGAAGCATCTTGCTCGATGAGCACGGCGTGGCCTCCATGGAGCTCGTGCTTGGTAGTGATCACATTCCGGGTGTCGGCATGCGACGAGCCCTTGGTGAACACGAGCGAGTACTCCTTGATAACCGACGAGACGGACAGCACGCGCACACCCTTGGCGATGGGCATAAACTTGAGAATCACGGGGATCGAGTCGCCGGCCGCATACGCCTTGTATGGCACAGTGATCGAGTACATGACCTTGCCCGGCCAAGTGTTCTCAATCTCGAGGGTCTGGTTGAACTCGAGAGCCTCGGGCGTGAAAGTGCGCGAGAGCCTAAACCCCTTGGTAGCGGACAGGTTGCTAAAGCTCAGACCCGAGCGAACGACAGCTGCGCGCAGCCTGTACTGGATGGCACCGTCGCCCGTGGCAGTAGTGATACTGGACGGCAGGTTGCCGTCAAGGGTGAACGAGAAGGGAAAGTTGTGAAGGCCAGCCTTGAGTGTGTGTGTATGGCGCTTGTTGCCCTCGAGGAACGACCAGTCATGCTGAACAATGTTGTGTGTGTAGTTGTGACTGGGAACAGTCAGCAAACGAACAAGCTGGGCCCCAAAAGGGATGGATGGAGCGGAACGGGGAAATGATAACGTGGAGCCGCGGTAGTCAAAGCTCGCTTGTCCTAGAACACTCACTTTGACGCATCCTGGAAGTGCACCTTGGCCTTGCCGGTGAGCTGCATGGTAATGTCCTTGAGGTTGGTGCTCTCGGCGAGCCACAGCGAGACGTAGCCCGACAGATATGCGGGGTTCATGTCGCCACCTTGGCCACGGAGCATGAGGTCGTCCGAGTCGAGGAAGATCTCGAGTGGGGTGTGGGGGGACGCCGAATGTGCCGAGTCGGGCACATGGGGGAGGCCGCTCATCGACGGCACGGGTGTCGCTTCAGTGCTTGCGTTGGGGCTGAGGAGGGACGACGCGGTCGAAGCGGTGTACGAGTTGAGTTGCCTGCTGGAACCTGCTGTGGATCCGTCTGCAAAGTACTCTGACAGCGGGTCGTCGAGGGCCTGGCTGAGCGCTGCGACATTGTTAAACGACGACGATGCGACGCTAGGGCTGGTCGAGAAGGACGGCGATGGAGGCCGCGACACTGGACGCGAGCCGGGGCGCGAGCTCGAGCCCGAGCCACCCATGACATGAGCTCCTGCGTACCACGGCGACATGGTTAGGCTATTGAACCTGCCGGCTGGTGCGAGGCGGGGTAGGTGGGTGTGAGATGGTGTGGTAGAGACCACGAAAGCGGACGCCGCGAGGTGGTTCTCGACGGGTCAAGTCGGCCGCCGGGAGGGGGGGAATGAGACAAAGGAAGGATGGAGGTGGGCGATGGCGTTTCGGTCGGTGCGCGGCGCGATCGCTAAATCGCGTGCCCAGTCCAAGTTTGAGACGGAGCTCGGTAGCTAGCTAGCTGGCTGGCTGGCGTTTGGCGGCTGTCCGGCTGTTCCGATGGGTGTGATGTGTGCAGGTGTATATGAATGCGGTGTGGGGTGTATGTAGTGGATGGCAAAGAAAGAGATGGGGGAGATCGATGGAGGGGGGAGAGGGGATCGAGGCGGCGGCGGTAATAAAGGATGACCACTGTGGCGCACTTTGAGGTTGTGGAGCTAATGCAACTTTCGATAACACACACACCAAATGGTAGTGTCGACGTCGACGGTCCGAGTCGGATTACTGTGGTTGTGTCACAGTGACAAAGCAACGCGTGTGTGGGTGAGTGTGTGTATGTGTGAGACAGTGAGCGAGTGTAACAGAGACAGTGAGAGAGAGAGAGAGTGAGGGGGAGAGAGTGACGATGCAGAATTCTGGCCAGCGCGAGGGGGATTGCATGGCCAGGATGGGTTAGGGCGCGAGAGGGAGACGCTCTACAGGAATGGCCCAGGACGCCAGGATCATTCACCCCGTCCAGTCCAGCCAGCTCAGCCCAGCGCGCAGGCCACCAGGAGGAAAAAAAAGGTATCCATGGCCACCCATGCCATCCAGGGCACGGCCCGATACGCTGCCGGCGGGCGGCGGCACACCGGGGCGGGGCGGAGAGCATAAAGTGCGCGCGCACGCTGTTTGTTGTGACGGCGGCGGGTTTCGACGGCCGCGCAGCTTCGGGCGATAAAGAATGTCGGCTCAAATTCGACCAGAGACGGACAGCTTACAGCACAAGCGCGCGCATATTTCTCGCACTTAACACCGCTCTCACCCGTGTTCTCTGCTGCTGCTGCCTTGATTTTTGAACTCTGTTATAACCTCTCTCGGTCGTACCAACTGTCGATTGCCCGTGCAGTACAAGCCGATGTCGGAGCGGACAATTTTCTGTCAATTGGCCTCCCATGATTCATCATAATGAGCCATGTTGCACCGCCTGTCCGCGTAGCGTAAGCAACGCCGAGCGTACCGAGCAGTCTGTGTGAAGAGGTGGCATCGCACACCCCTTGATAGCGCGCGCTACGGGCAAGAGTGTATACCCTTTTCACCTCCTCCCCGTGGCCCGTGGATTGCACGAGGGCCGAGATTCCGGGGGTGCGAGCATGCAAGGTTATTGCTGTGTGTCTATGCGCGTCTATGCGCCGTCGTCTCGCCACCATCGCCCGCGATTGTGCACTCGCCCTGGCAATGGCACTGGCGCGCTCCTGCATATTGCATGCCGATCCTGGTATCCTGCCTGGGCCACAGCCAGTCCCGCCAGTCCCCGTTTTGGCCTCGTGCACCGGCCACACAGCATGCCACCTGGGTTTGCCCTGGTCGCCTGGCAGCAGTCGCGATAACGCGCAGTGAACCTCGAGGACACGAACGAGGACACTCTCTCACAACACCCCGAGACACGGCATCGTCATTGGAGAAACGCACCGCGGCAGTTTTTCCGCCGCCGTAAGTCCACTCGATCTCCCTCCCAGTGGGCCAGTAACGTCATGCTGCTGTCTCTCCCCTCGGACACTAAGCGCGGGCCAGGTCACTGGATCACTGGATCTCTGCTTGTTCTGGCGTTGCAAAGTCAGACAAGAGACATGTGCTCATGCGTGCTCAGGGGAGATTCAGGACGTCAACACGTTTGGTGGCAAGAAAAAAAAAACAAGTGTCCAAACGGGTCGTCCGTCTCCGATCTCCTATCCGCGTATCCGACCAACCAAAACAAAAATATCGCAGCAGATAGACACAGCAGCACACAGGGAGTTGGAGTAAAACGTGCGCGGCTCGAAAGCACCGCGCAACGAACGGGGACAGGACAGCACAGGGACATTGTTAATCGTCGCTCACATCAGGGTACAGACTACGTGCTTTACAGACATGTGGGAACGGGGTTCCGATGGCAGTTGTTTTAACCCATTGGCTGGCAGTCGCGCATTGGTTGCAAGCGAAACCAGGATCACGAGCGGCAACGGAGCGGCAATGGCAGCCACAACCGCAGGGCCCACCAAACACATCCATCCTTCGCCCTTCCCAGACGCCTCTCTCGCCTTCCTGGCCTGGGCCTGACCGCCCAGACCCCTCTCCCCTCTCTTCTTTCTCACACCCTCAGGAATAGCTGTTCACTGCCAGTACAGTGTCTGGCAGTCCTCCTTGGCAAACGCCAATCCACATGCCGGACACTTGCGCTGGCGCGATGCAATGCGCGAGTCGAGGCACCTGTCCTGAGTCAGCTGCGAACACTTGCCGCCGGCAGAGGAAAGCGATGAAAGCGAGGAACGCTCCATGGCTGTCCATGTGCCCTCCCGTGAAACGTTTACTCACGGCTTGCAGAACGTGTGCATGCACTTGGTGATGATTTGCTGCTTGAAGTTGAGGTCACAGCACGAGCAGCGAAGGAGTTTCTGAGAGGCCGCGTCAGCATCAGGCAACACGAGGACAACAAAAAAATGCGACACGCGAACGTGAGGTGCAAGTTGCCAGGTCAACGACATGTGTAGACCCGAGGATATGCCGGTGCCCAGGACACTCAAGGAATGTCGTCCACCGCAAACGCAGTCACACAGAGACCCTAGATGCCTACCACCCTGTACACACGGTCGGGCCGAAGGGATCGGCCACAAACGCGCGGATGCACAAGGTGGCAACACGTCGCTAGCACCATCTCATCGGTCTTGGCGTGTCCCTGTATCCCGCGTCTTATCGGCCGGTCCTCCATCTCCCATTCGCACTCACCAGCAGCTTTTCGCGCTCCTCTCGGATCTGCAATTCCTGTGCCGACACATTGCCCGCCGCGCTCGCCGACATGAGCGATTCGTGCTTCTGGCGCAGCTTGTCGAGCGAGCGCTTGGTGGCATCGGCCTCTTCTTGCAACTTGGTGAGTGCCTCCTTGTCGGCAGCAGCTTCTTGCACGCGCGTGCTCGCAAGCTGCTGAGCTTCGGCAAGCGCAGCCTGGCTTTGCTGCAGGCGGAGCTCGAGCTGGCGCTTCTCCGAGGTGGCAGTGGCGAGCTGCGTCTGCAATTCGAGCCCCGCGTTCTTGAGTGACGTCGTGCCCTTTTCCTGTTGCGCCTTGAGACTCCGTCAGCCCAAAAGCCCTCCCTCCCCTCATTGAAAACAACAACAAATCCACACTCACAATCTGCGCGGTCAAGGCACGCTCAACATCGCGGGCGCGCTCCAGCAGCTTGAGCTGCTTGTCGACGCTGCGCTGGGCAGTCTTGCACTCGGCCTCGATAGCCTCCTTGGCACGCATCGCCTGGAAGAACTTGTTGTCGGCCTTGGCCTTTTCGGTGCTGAGACGTGCCATGCGGAGCTCGCCGTCCTTGAGCTCAAACACTTTGGTGCGCAGGGTCTGCTCGAGCGTCTCCCATTGCTTGGAGAGGCCCTCCACCTCGGCATACAGGGCATCAGTCGACGCCTCGGATTCGGACAGCTTGAGCTCGAGTTGCGACTTGGAGGTGATGGCCTCCTGCAGGCGTTCGGCGAGCTGCTTGACGTCGTCGGCGACATCGGCAGAACCAAGGACACGCTGGTATTTGGACAGCGAGCGCTTGGCCTCGGCGAGCTCGGTGCGGACAGCCATCTCGGCAGCAGCAGCGTCGCCCGATGCCAGAGACTCGATTTGAGCTGTCAGAGCCCCCGTCTTGTCCTTGGCAGCCACCAGCTGCTCCTCGAGGCTTTTGACATAGTCGCCGTCGATGCCACCGTCGCCCTTCAGGAACGCCAGGAAGCCCTCGGCGCCGTCGTGCGAGGCGAGCTTGCCCTTGAGGCGGCGGACCTCGGACGTGAGGAACGATATCCGCTCCTGGCGGGCAGTGCACAGCGCCTCCACCTCCTCGGCAAAGCGCGACTTCTCAGACTCGCGTGTCCGACGCTCCAGGAGCTCGGCGTTCATCTCGTCACGCTGACCACGAAGACGTGCCAGGTCGGTGTCCTTCTTGCCCAGCTGCTGGCGCAGCGTCTCCACCTCAGTCCTGGCCTCAGCAACCACAGCGTCTCGGAACTCGAGGTTAGCGTCTCTCAACTGGTCGAGCTTTTGCTCGGCAGATTCGAACCGCGCTTGCAGAGTGTCCGCGCGCGCAGCCTGAGCGGACAGCTGAGTGAGGTACACCTGGAAGAATGGGGATTCTCGCAGCTGGCTCTCGGGAGGGTGGTGGGCTTGCAGTTTCAACCGATCCAACTCCTTGTTGGCCGCCACGTGCTGCTCGCGTAGTGTCTCGAGCTCTTGCAAACGGGAACCGGCAAGTTGTTCCAGCACTGCTATCCGTTCTGTTGTCTCGGCAGACGGCGGCGCGTTGGTAGCGTTGGAGGCAGCCGCCGGGGTTGCTGGTGAGGGCTCGGGTTCGCTCGTTCTTGCGTTCGGAGTCGAATGTCCAGATCCATTCGCCACTGGCTTGTTCGTAGCCCCCGATGCTTCCCGCTGGGTACGCCACTCGGCTCGCTCCTTGTCAAACTCCATCTTCTGCTTGTCGAGATGCTTCTCCGCGCGCTGCAGGTCGCGAAGATACGTGTCGCGGGATTGGCACAGGTGGTCAATCTGCGACTGGAGCTGGGCAGAGTTTGCGCGCAAGGTGCTCGATTCTGCTTGCAGTTGCGCAAGGCGTTGCTGCAGATCGGTGCCAAGGTCGGAGCGGCCCTTGCCAGCAGCCAAGTCTGCAAAGACGGACACTAGGCGGAGGGTCGACGAGAGGCGCAGTTGCAGGGCACTGTCTTGCTCTGACTGAGACGTGGAAGGGTCGGTGGTAACTGGACACAGTCAGCCATTGCTGGTCACAAAAGGGACGAGATGCCGCCTCCATGCCACGCCTCTTGACGCACAGTTTAGTAATTCAGCTTCTTGAAAGTCGTTGGGCTGCCCTGCCCTCTCGCGGACAGATGTAACAAGCTGTTTTTTTGCGTCAGAAGTGTGCACTGTACGCGCCTTGAAGCGCGCGCACGCGACACAACTCACCTGAGCCCAGCATGTCTCAACGCTTCGAAGGCTGTCCTCGAGTGCACGACGCTGGCGCTCCAAGGCGTTGGCACGGCCCTGCTCGCGCTCAAACGAGCGCCGGTAGTCGAGCATTTGGCGGTAGATGGCCTCTTTGCGCTTGGCCTCTACGACGCGAACCCAGTCCTCGACGCCATCTTCCTCTGCGTCGACAGGAGAAATGGGCGAGGACGCGCCGCCGGCAGCGGCGACGGCACGTCGTTTTGACGAGGAGGGGCCGCCATCTATTGAGCTGTCGCGGACCCGCTTGAGGTCGGCGTTCATGCTCGCGGGTGGTAGGAGGGTGGGGGGGAGGGATGAGTAAGAGAGCGTGTTGGTGAGATGCGCATGCGAGGTTGAGTGGGCTCGTTCGCTCTTGGGCTCTGCCTGCAAAGCCGCGCTCTGTCAACCACACGGCCAGGGCTCTCTCTGGCACAAGGCCACAGCGTGCCACCCAAGACGGGTTAATTCCGCGGCGTTATAAGCGCGTGGCACCGTCGACCCCACGCCACCCACCACCACCCACCACCACCCACGGCCCCAGGCGCTGGCACGAGAGTGGACGCGTCCCCGGGTTGTTGTTGACACCCATCACCGTACACCACCACCACCGTCAGTCCGTCAACCGTCCCTGCGTCGCCACCCTCTCTCCCTCCCACCTCTCCTCCATACCTCTCCACCCGCCGAGGGAGCTCAACAATGTCGGCGGGCCCAGCCCTGGAGGCGTCCTCATCCATCGACAACGGCCATGCGGGGCTGCACAAGGTGTCCAGCTCAATCACCATGGGCTCGCATGATGAGAACCAGGAGTCCGTACCCTTCTCAAGTGGCTTACAGCCTTCTATCTGCTAACTCGGGCTCAGGTTTGCGTCTCCCAGGGAGGAAGCAGACTACTATCGTGACAAGTACAACGAGGTCTTCAATGGCTTGACAGAACTGCAAGAGGAACTTGGTGAGCTCTGTATGGATCACTGGGCCGCAACCCGAACCGGGGGAGAAGGGCCTACGAGACACAATGCTGACCTGCCACCTAGATTCCTTTACGGCGTCGTCAAAGGAGCTGGAGAATGAACTGGAGGATGAGCTACAGCATACCGAAGCCCGGGAACAGGACCTCAAAGGCCGCCTCGCCGTTGCTGAAGGCGAAAGAGACGACTGGAAGGTGCGTCCAAAAGACTGATGACATGTTGGATTGGGCAACTGACGACACAACCTGCAGACCAAGTATCTCGATTTACAGAAGAGGCACAACCTCGAAATGGATAGACAGCAGGGCACGATAGACAACCTCACCGCCGAGGGGATTAAAGCGAGGGCCGCCTATCGCGACCTCGAAAATGGAAACGACCAGCTGGAGCGCAACGAACGGTTCGTCACTGATGCTCAATGATTGATGCTCATATGCCTCCCCTCAGCGTTGCAACTTCGTCTTTGCTTGATCTGGAGTCAAAGTACAACCGCGTCATTGAAGAGAAGACGGTCCTGGAGCAGGAAATTGTCCAAAAGCAAGAGGTGGAGGAGGAATGCCAGCGTCTCAAGGACGATGTGCGAGGTGGGTTCGTCACTCACAGCTTGTATGCTAACCCACCCAGACGCCAACAACGAGATTGCGATTCTTCGTGACCAGCTCGCTCGTATGGTTGTGCCGACGCCCCCGTCGTCCACTGCCCCGATGTCGCCTGTGCCAGAGCGAGTGTCGCACTCTCGAACCGGCTCTCGTTCCGATGCGGCCTCACCTACACCGACCGATAGGTCAGCGACAACTGAGCGCTCGGTGCGATCGGCAGCTGGAGAGCGCAGCGACCGGTCCACGACTGTCACTCCGTCCAATGTCCGCCCAAGAGGCCAAGTTCCTGGTTCCCCTCGGGTTCCCAGCCGCTCTGCGCTCCCCCCACTGTCCCCTTCGGCCAAACGGTCCAATGTGTCGTCTCCTTCTAGCATCCCCGCGCTCTCGCGGTCGACCACGACGCGTAACCTTACACAGCCGACAGTGTCGTCGGCACGCCGTGCTGCCGGCTACAACCCCTCGCCGACCACTCGTGCCAGCCAACATCAGATGACCAAGAACAAGGCTTCCAAGCTCCTTCACGATCTCCAGGCTCGTATCAAGACCACAGACGACAAGATCGGCAAGATGGTCAAGAAGGCACCCGCCCAGCTTGCACGCCGACAGCCCACGACATCAAACGCCTCCACCACTTCGGCTGCTGCCGCGTCGGCGACTGCTGCTTCTTCCTTGTCCGCCAGCACGATTGGGCGACCCCGCGCGGCCACCACGCTGGCCATGACTATGGCGACTCCCCGTCCAGCTTCTCACGCCGAAGACTCTGATGTTGGTTTCCTGTCCCCCACCTCTTGGGTTCTCCTTTCTGAGCCAGAGGACACTCCAATTGCTGCCCAACTCGCGCGTCCAGCACACAATCGCGAGGAGCCACCTTCGCCTTCCCGCACTGCCACACAACGTTCCCGTGGTCTCCCAACACGCCCGTCTATCCCGTCTCCCTTGGTCCGCGAGACCAAGGCCCGGGCCGGTCTGTCACAGTCGGTCCGCGGTGAGCGCCCTCCACCACTTTCCTCATCAATCGCTCGTCCCCCGTCGCGTACCCACACCCACGTCCGCACAGTGTCGCGGTCGGGCGCAATGTCGCCGTCCATCACGGCCCACGTCCGTCGCACCAGCGTCAGTACTAATGGCGACTTCTCCTCGCCACCTGCCTCCGCCTCGACTTTCCGCAGTAGCTCGTCGCGCCCTTCCTCACGTAACTCGTCCCGTGCTGACGAGCGCCCAACGGCTCGTGGTGCGTTCATTGGCGCCGTCGGCGCTGGACCTCTTCGAACCAACCGCCCCAGTCACAAGAGTCACGGTAGCCACAGCGGGACCATGATGGGCAACACCACTCCAAACAAGGCGTTGACCACTGCCGCAAGGCGACCTGCTCGTCGCAGCTCCATGGGAGTCGTCGAGACCGGCCAGCCGCCAACAGGTATCCCCGCACCCAGGACGAGCGTGAGCAGCTCTATCGCCCGACCAACCAGCTTGCACACGCCGCCACCACCCGTCCCGCGTATCCCGAGCCAGGTACTGCGTGAGAGCAAGAGCAGGCAGGAGAGTCAGCGCCCGAGGAGCCCTCCTTGTACCCTTCCTCTGTAAGGATGTCTGAAGATTAGACTAGGTAGTTTTATGTGGATACACCCCCCACCATATCGCACAGCCCCGGGTCAGTAGAACTAGAAGAGGAGCTTTCATCAGCTCCTCCGCGCGGAGATAGGGTCGCACGCATGCAAGGTGTCGAGGAGATGCCATGTACATGCATAGTGCCCATGAGGTGATGAATATATGTACAACAACTAGGCAATGTCCCCTCCATGCTGTCTTCTCTGTATTTGTGTCCGTGGGTGATGCTGTGCGGGTCAGCACTCGATGTCGGCGGAAGAAACCCACCTCTGCCACTCAGGCCTTTTTGCGCCACTTGCTATCGCGATGCCTTTCGTCAGCGACAGCTCCCAGCCGGTATCAACACGCACGCAGCCTCGCGCCTGACCTCTGCGTCGCGCCTCGCGTTCATCTCGTCCGCCTCGGCGTTTTCGCGGTCGGCCTCTTGCGTGCTGGGGAAGCCAATCCTCCAGAAACCAGGCGGCGTAGGTGGCTTTCGCCACGTCTCGCGGTGACGTGACACGCGGTTCTGGTGGTCTTCAAGGTCGCGGTGAGGGGTACGTGTGGTGCGTGCGTCTGCGTCTGCATCTGCGTCCTCGTCGCAGTCTCCGTTCTTGGACGGGCTGGTCGGACTCTTCCATGCGGGTCCTTGGTTGAACCGTGGAAGCGGGCCGACTGCTTCATAGTACTGTATTTGTCAGCTGCGGCTGTTGTGGACAAACCCGGTGGGGCCAACCCAGCTCACGTCTTTACAGCACTCGCAGTCGCCGCCGTGCATCTTCTTGCGCTCCTCACGGTTGCGCACCACGTCGTGATACTGGTGCGAAACGCCACCGTTCTTGGCCGGGTCAATCTCATACTCGTCCGTGGCAGTGCGCTGCAGATCCTCCGGGGCAAGGTACCGTCCGTTGCCCTTGTAGCTGGCGTACAGCTCGCGCTTTTCGGAAGTCGACAGACGGGCAAGCTTCTTCCGCTCAAGGGCACGCTCAGCGGGCGAGAGACCCTCGAGGTCGAGCGCACGTTTGCGCGACGTCGACCCTGGAGTCGACGGGTCGAGAAGACTTTCACTTGAAGTGGAGGGGTGGTTGATCGAGGTATCGCCTGCAGGCGAATCGACGTGCGTGACGGTGCGCTGAAGCATGGTCCGGCGGAGGTCCCCCGCTCCCGTGCGGTCACGCACGAGTGGCGTTTTGACAGCCGTGGCTCTGGCCGGGCTGGGCTCCGCCTCGACTTCTTCGTCAGAACCAAACGAGTCGCGGCGACGCAGGGGGGTCGTGCTGGGACGGCCTGTAGATGACTTGCCGCCCAACCAAGGTGTGACCCGCGTAGATTGACCAGCAAGACGCCTGGCCGTGTTTGTGACCAAAGGAGTTGAGGTTGAAGCGGCAGGTATGCGCATGGGCGTCGAGGTGGCTTTTGCTAGGCTGAGAGCCTTCCCCCTGGCGAGAGCCTCGGATGGGCGTTCTGGGGCTGAGACGCCTCGTGTCGGTCTTGGGGCAGGTCGAAGCTCCTCCATGACAACGTCCTCATCAACACGAGTCACCATGTGCGGCGAAGACTCTGGCCTAGGGGGTGGGAACGCGGGGGGTAAAGCAGACTTGGCTCTTGTAGGTGCATGCGGCGTTGGTGGCTCAGGAAGGACCGTCTCGGGAACAAGTGTGCCCAAGTTGGTTGTCGCCGCCACTTCGGTTTTCGGGGCTCTGGGGGTGGTATCCGGCTGCTTCTTGTTACCTGGCGTGTCGAGAGCTACGCTCGTGTTGCTGTGTTGTGATAACACGGGTGTGCTCGGCCTCGAGCTGCTGGCGTGTGACTGCGCTGCAGTATACGTTTTCCTCTCCTCCCTTCGACGCTGCTTGATCTCATCCCTTGCCTGCTGAACGGCTCGGTACTCCTTCCAGTGCTGTACATCCTGTCGATAACGGTTCTTCATGCGGTCGTACTCGGCCTTGAGTTTGCGGTGCTGCTCTTCAAGGTGTGCATACCGTTTGGCAAGCGATGTGGAGGACGGCGTAAACACCTCGGACTTGTGCGAAGTGAGCGAGTCGATGGCGGGAGTCTTGGTTGGCGTACGCGGTGTGGCGACGTTCGGGGACACTGGCATGAGAGCACGAGGGCTTCAAGAGTCAGTGTTGCTCCCAACAGCTGTGGACTTGCCTTCTGTCGCGACTCTCGCTCTTCAACTGGTCGCGCTCCGCAATCACAGCTTGCAACTGCGCATTGAGCTTCTCACGCTCGGCTGCGGCCTTGGCGTCGAGTTCAGATTTGATGCGCTCGAGCAGCTCATTATGACTGCTGCCTTGTTGAGCGGCTGCCAGCTTGAGGTCGAGAATCTCCTCTCGGGCTCGGTGTAGCTGCTCAGCAAGCGTATCGGCACGCGTGTCGGACGATAACCTTCGCTTGCTTTCCGCATCTAGAGAGTCGCGTGTGTCCTGGAACAGTGACGTGAAGCGATCCAGCTCGGCTTTGAGGACAGCGACCTCGTGGGCAAGAGCCTTCTCGCTGCTTTCCCTCTCACTGCGTCGGGCGTCTTTCTCCGGTGAACGGTCTCGCAAACTCCGCTCCAGTCGACCAATTCTCTCTCGTAGACTGGACGCAATAACGCGCTCTGCCTCGAGCTCGTCCTTGTGCACAGAGTCGATGTCGGTCAACTTGCGTTGGAGTTCGGCGACCTTCTCCGTCTGCACCCACAGTTGGCGGGTAACACGGCCGTTCTGCTCCAGCTCGGTGGTGGCCGCGGCATCTGCCGTACGCCAGAACCTTTCATCCTCGACGAGACCGGCGTATTCGAGTTGGAGGGCGTCGCGCTCGTTCTTGAGCTTGTTCACTTGGGCCGCGAGCGTTTCCTTGTCTCCATTGCGCGCGGCGCACTCTTGAATGAGGGAAGAACGCTCACGCTTCAAGTTGTCACACGCAGCCTTGAGGTTGGCCAGGTCATCTCCAAAGTCCGCCATCTGGACGTCAGCAAAGTGCAAGCCCGCAACCCTCGCACTTGTTGTTGAAAGTCTGCTCGTGTCAGTTGTCGGGTCATGGGAATGGTCAGTGGAGCAGGAGGGAGAAGACATACCTCCAAACTGCTTGATCCGGCGCTCAACGCCCGACCCGATGCTCTCCTGCTCGGGAGCGGCGGTGTGCTCGAGAGGGTCCGACATGGTGTTGGTGTTGGGCCCGAAGGCGCTCTTGTTTGTTGATGGTGAGAAGGGACGCGGTGGCCAACGGACAAAGAGATCAAACGCGTCCAGCTACAACTTACGTCAGGGAAGAACGCCCAACCAAACAACAATGCGACCGTGGGAAAGCTGAGTAGACTGGGATGTGGTCATGGCGTCCACCTACATTCAATGTTGTTGACTCTATTAACCACAAACCCAAGCATCTCAACTGACTGCCCCTCTGCACTCTCCCCCGTGTGCACGGGGCACACTAGTTTCAAGATGCGTATCCTAACATGGAACGTCGTGAGTCCACCAAGAACATGAGATACGAACTGACGCCAGAATGTGCTCCGCACCGTCCTCGATTACCATCCGTGAGTTGGAGGAAGGCAGAGGGGAAGCTAATAACAAGATGGTCGAGTATGAAGAACAAGAGCGTCGAGGGACTTTTGGAGGAGCTTGGTGCAGATGTTTGTTGTTTTCAAGGTGAGTTATCGCAGCATTTACAGTTCCTAATTCTTCAGAGCATAAAACGCGTCGACCCCAGGTGGACAAGGCCATGGCATGTCCCGGTCCTTACGACGCGTTCTGGACGTGGCCACGCAGCAAAACCGGTTACTCGGGTGTGTGTACCTATGTTGACTCGCGCGTGTGCGTTCCTCTACGTGCTGAGGAAGGTATCACTGGCCTCCTGCTTGAGGACAAGGGTGGAGCGATGAAGCCTCCTTGGACCGAGGAAGAGAAGATTGGTTGCTACCCCGACATATACACCATGGACCTCATGGACGAGGAAGACGGTACAGCGGTTGATCCCCGCAGGCTGGACATGGAGGGGCGCGCTGTGGTGTGCGACTTTGGGTGAGTGCCGACGACGTAGACAGTTCCCTAACCAACCAGCATGTTCGTCCTCTTCAACCTCTACTGCCCAAACGAGACCAACGAGACGAGGCGCCCGTACAAGATGAACTTTTTACACGTCCTGGAGGCCCGTGTCGCCAAGCTCATGGCCGCCGGTCGTGAGGTTATCGTTGCCGGCGACATGAACGTCATGAGCGCACCTATCGACTCCCGAGAAGGCGGAATACAGTCCACCGCAGAACAGCACTATGCCCACCCTGCTCGCCGATGGTTCCACGAGTGGCTGGCCCCCAATGGTCCCATGATCGATGTTGTGCGCGAGAGCTTCCCCGACCGAGAGGATATGTTCACGTGTTGGAATACGAAGATCGATGCCAGGTGAGTTGTCTGCTGTATTGGCCTTCTTCGTAGCTGTTTGACTTACACCCAGACCCTCCAACTATGGCTCGCGCATCGACTATATTCTCTGCAGTCCTGGTCTCCGCCAGTGGATTAAAGGTGGTGACATCCAAGCCAACCTGTTCGGCTCGGACCACTGCCCTGTCTACATTGACCTCCACGACAGCATTGAAACAGAGAAGGGTACTGTTTTCATCCGTGACCTGCTCAACCCCGCCGTCCGTCCACCCAGTACCGCGCCAGTGTACCCAACAGACGTCCCGCGCACTGCTCCTGAACCACCCCGCTTTGCCACCAAGTTCCTGGAAGAGTTTAGCGCCAAGCAGAGAACCCTCAAGAGCCTCTGGGCCAAGGCTCCAGCTTCGTCTGCGCCAAGTCCTTCGCCCGCGCCGTCTGAAGACAAGGACAAGGACGAGTCGCAGTCAACGCAGGGTGTGTCACAGGCCACCTCGGGACCTAGCACAACGAGTGGCTCTGACCGGCCACTTGGTATTGCTCGCGCAGCGTTCAATTCGTTGGATGCACCTTCGCTGCCATCTCGCTCCGCGACCACTGTCGAGACACCCGCTTCGGCTCCGTCCACTGTAATCTCGCCAGCCACTTCTGCTGCTGCTGCTGCTGGACCATCCAAGCGTCCTATAACTGTCGATTTGACTGGCGACGATGATGACGAGCCCAGATCGAAGAAGAAGACCGTTGAGCGGACCAGGTCGGCCCCCGCCGCGGACAAGGGGGGCAAGAGCAAATCCTCCAAGGCCGACACCAAGAAGACTGGTGGCCAGGCGAAACTTGCGGCTTTCTGGTCCACTCCAGCCAAAGTCGTCAAGGGCCCATCACTTCCCAAGAGGAAGACGCCATCACCCGAACCCATGCCCGATCCCGGCCCATCTCAGTTCGCTGATGTGGACAACCCTCAACCGGACGTCCACCAGGACGCGTTATTAGCTCAAGCCCTGGCCGACGAGGAATCTGAACGTGCCCGCTCACGCAAGGCGAAGAATGATGAGGCGGCACCCGTGTGGTCGACTCTGTTCGCCAAGAAGCTCCCGCCACTTTGTGCTGTGCACCAGCAGCCCTGCAAGGATTTCAGTAAGGGCTCAGTATCTTCAAACGCTAACAGCCTTCAGTTGTCAAGATTCCCGGACCCAACAAGGGGAAGCGGTTCTGGCTCTGCTCACTGTAAGCTTAGTTGACCTCGCTTCTGTAGCTGACAAGCAGGCCAGTTGGACCAGGCTATGACACGGGCCGCTCGTCGCGACCTCGGCAGGAAGTCAACCACGACTACCGCTGTGACTTGTGAGCCCCCCCTCCCCTTGCCCTGACCCCCCGTTGGCTTGTTCTGACCCCCTATAGTTTCTTGTGGGACTCTGCCAACTCGCGCAAGGAGCCGCCCAAGGTTGTGAAGAGCAGCTAGAGGACAGTCCGTTGGCATATGAGTGTAGCATAAGCATAGGAGGAAGTTGTATATACATTGGGGACCCACTGTGGATGGAGATATGACGTCAATGGCTGCATGATCCCAGGCACGAATTGCCACCTTCGGGCCCTGTCGGCTCTGCCATTCGTCATTGCGCTGTAATGGAGCACCCCCGGAGGCAGTCTAAGCAATGACCCGGGTGTCGCTTCTGCAGCTGCCTTCAATCTTCTGGCACCGTTTGTCCTTTGGCACAAACTACATCTCCCCCAGTTCTCTATAGACAGTACAAGAGAGCCCTATAGATTACACCACTCGTCGCGTATCCTCTGGCCAACACAACAGCGCTCCACACCCACATTTCCCGACGCTCGCTGTCGCCACCTTATCACCCACACACCCCCACAATCCCCGCCCACCATGTCCAAGGCTGGCGGCTACTTCCGCACGGGCATGTCCTTTGTCGACAAGCTTGCTGGCGAGAAGCCACACTCTTCCATCACCGACTGGGTGGAGGTCCTCTCGTCGGACAGGTACGAGGAGCTGTCGCTGGACGGCATCCCCGAGCTGGTCGAGAGCATCAACCTGCAGCGCGACGTGGGCACGACCGAGGCCGCGCGCGCGATTAGGAAGAAGCTCAAGTATGGAAACGTGCATCGCCAGCTCCGTGCCCTCGTCATCCTCCGCGCCCTTACCGAGAACGCCGGCAAGGGATTCCAGCACAACTGGGCCGACAGCCAGATCCTTGAGCGTCTCGAGACCATGGCCACGGACGTGAGTGGGCTGGGGGGGACACGGCGGCGGCGATCTATGCTAACAGACTGCAGTCGCTTCTCGACCCCAAGGTGAAAAAGCGCCTCATCCTCGTGTTCCATGCCTGGTCGCTGCACTATGCGGTAGGTTACTTCGATCCCATCAATGCGGTGCTAACCTGTCAGGATGACCCCCGCATGTCTACGGTTGCTGGCTTGTACAGGAAGTACCACGGCGGACCTGCTACGCGTCACGCAACCGTTGTGCCTGCTGCCAAGGACACATCGACAACATCTGCGGCTCCCGAGACTCCCTTCAGCGACCCGTTCTTTGACCACAGCTGGGAGCCCGCTGCTGGTCAGCGCGGCGCCGACACGTACACGGACCTGGCGTCGGCCAAGGCCGATGCCGAGGAACGCAAGCGTGAGCGTGAGGCGCGCATCGCTTTGGAGCACCGTGAGGCGGAGATTGAACGCCGTGAGCGTGATCTCAAGCGCAAGCAGGAGATGGCAACTGTCGAGGCTCGCCGCAAGCGTGAGGCAGAGGAGGAGGCCGAGCGTCGACGCGTCGCCAAGGAGACGCGCAAGAACCAGGCCAAGCAGCCCAAACGCCCCACGTTCAACTTTGACAAGGAAAAGCCCAAGATCATGGTCGTGGTCGCCGACGCGCTGCAGGCTGCCAACTCGCTCATCAACTCGTGCCGTCTCATCAACCGCGAGGTCGAGAATGTTACAGAGTCGCCTCGCGTGCAGGACAACCTCGACAAGGCCAAGGCTGCCCGTCGCCAGGTTATCCGCTTCATTCAGCTCGTCACTGACGAGGACACTCTTGGCACGCTCATCGACGCCAACGAGAGGATTGTCGTGGCCATCCAGCTGTACGACAAGCTGTCCAAGCCCGCGGCACTCGACTCGGACTCGGACCACGAGAAGGACCCCAGGGCCGCCGAGGACGCCCAGCAGGTCGAGCGTATCCGCCAGCGTCTCGCGGCGTCCAAGCTCGAGTCGCAGCGTACGGGCGAGCTTGAGGCTCTCCAGGTGGCCCAGAAGGCTCAGTCAGTCAAGGCTGCGGCTCGTCGCACAAACACGGCGGACACGTCCCGGAGCGGCAAGGCCCCTGCGTCAGGCGTCATGGCCGACCTGCAGGACCTCGACTTTGGCTCCATCTCCAACACCCGTGCCGGCAACTTGCCCCCGCCTATGCGTCCCGACTCGGATGCTGGCAGCTACGAGGGAGGGTGAGTTAACGTTCGTTCTTCTTATTGCCTGCTAACTCTACCCAGTTCGCTCTCCGACTTTAGCGAGTACGATTCGAGCGAGGACGAGTGGCAGCAAAAGCACAGTCGCCAAACCTCGCGCCAGTACGACTACGACTCGTATACGAACAAACACGCCTCGGGCTCGGGTGCTGCCTCGTCGTCGCGCCACCCCGACCCCGCGGCGTACGCTGCCCTCGACGACGATGGAGCCGGCTCCAAGGGTCTGCTCGACCCCAACGACCCCTTCGGCGACCCCTTCGCGGACGAGAACGATACGCCCAATGTCGAGAAGGTACGCATGGAGTGGGCTGCCATCTAGCCGTCTGGGTGCTCGAGAACTGGTAGTGTCTTCCATCCCTTTGTGGTTTAATGCCCAGGTGACCTAGTTAATTTTGGGGGGCTGTGGTGTAGAATGGAAGGGGTCCGTGATGCAGCTTAATGATGATGCGTGACGGGGGAGTTGCTGCTGTCTGCTCGGACAAGTACGAGTGTGTCCATCGGCTATCGTCGCAGACTACCTGTGGCAGCGTTGTTTATGGCAATGGGTTAAGCTCAGCTTCATGTGAGTTCTCGACGAGTAAGTACCTGCTGATCGTGCAATTGGAGTGACGGACAAATGTGGCTGTCTGGGACTGGGTGGGGGAATGGTTGCCGTCGGTTGAACCTTCATCGAGTTGTCTCCTCCGCTATGTTGTTGCAGTTGGTGGCAAGCGCCTGTGACAGTCCAATTTGTGGCGAGGTTCTTGCTTCTGATAGGTGGTGTGTGGCCTTGACGTTTGCTGCCAAGTAAGTCATTCGAGGGCATAAACAACCGTAAAAAAAGGAATACTTGTCCATCGTGCTGCTGTATTTTGGCAACCATCGCTACTCCTGCTTCACCGAGGCGGCTGGATTGCACCTGTAAATAACTTACACGTTACTTGCTCTGAGAGGGCGAGTGATTTGCACAACGATGCACATGAAGCGCTACGGTGGTGTCCGACGTGACCACTTAATAAATCTCACCGCCACTCGAATGGACCACGTCGTACTCGGCCCCAATTCCTTTATTTCCGTTCCTTGGCACAAAGGATCTGGCTGGACTCTGTAGCACGTCTCCCAAAGAATAGACAGTACGTAAAAGGAACCCTCAAGTTGAATGAGTTAGTCGTTGAAACTGAGGGGTACTGGGCATTGAGTGCGTAAACCACATCCGTGTGCCTACGAACAATGGCCCAACACCATTCCCCGCCCGGGTGTGCCTTCCACCCCATCTACCCCAATATCTCGCCGCATGGAGCCCAGTCCCGTGCCAGTTAGAATGAAGATGATACAAAGAGGCTCGTGCTGACCAGAAGAACGTTTAGTACGTACCAAAACGAGAGGATCCTGTGGCACACGCTCTATTTTCCTGGCGAGAATGCGGCAGTGGGCGGAGGATAATACAGGTAAGCAGTACCGCATGGATGTGCCCTGTGAGTAGACTACTACTGTCTCAAGGTGTCTCCTTAACGGTGTCTAGAGGAGTGGGAGCGCACACCACATACACAGCACGTTCTTTACAGACCACTGTGTTCAGGACCGTGCTAGCCATTACCCAGGTCCGAGACTGAGGTCCCGAGGAAGACGAAGCAAGGTACCACACACAACGAGCATTGTTCATTGTTCGGCACACTCCTGCACTCCAGCCCAGAACCACCCAACTAGGCTAAGGAACACACAAACCTAACATACTACGGAGGACATGTTGGTTCTAAAACCAAAATAAAATAAAATAAGTGCAGAGCTCACGCCGACGCTCCGGCCCTCCTTATCCACCGCCCGAGTGAGGCCGGAGCGGCTGCCCACAGCTTAGAGACACCATAGACACGTCCCAGTTGATGGAAGTCCAAGGGTGAACCAAAAAGGCCGTCACCAGCATGACTGGGAGTGCCACATCATGTCGCCCGCCGAGGTCACCCGTGGTGGTAGGACAAACCGGACAAACAGTTGCCGACTCGCGACTCGACATGGTTTGGTCCCCCAAGAGCCACCGTAGGCGCTGCGTAGAAGAGACTGCAAGGAGGCAACGTTGGTTTGTAGTGTCCACACTTGTGAGGAGTGCATGTCTTCCGATCTACCGCTCTCTTTGTTTATCTGGTCTACTGAAAAAAATATATACCCAACACACTGCTATACTGCTACTGCTCATTGTCCCCTTCCCCCCCGTTACTTCTTCTCCAGCGCGTCCGCCCCCCTACGAAGCGCATTCCGGAGTCCCTCGGCGAGCACGCCGCCGGCGGCGGTAGCCACCTGCCTTGCGACCTGGACGGCCTCGGCGGCGTCAGCGAGCGCGGCGGGGAGGCCCGCAGCGACGCCTGGCAGCGGGTCCGAGGCGTGAGCGCGGCCAAACTCGCGCGCGGCCCCCGTTCGGGGTGCGCGGGAGGCGCTGGAGCCGGCGTTGGCCATGAAGAAGGCCTTGAGCGGGCCGAGCTCGTTGATGACTTCCAGTCCTGTACCGCGTGCCCAGTTCATGAAGGGGTTGCGCGCGCCAAAGACCGTGTTGAGCTTGTCGACGGCCGCGAGCATGGCGTGGTTGGGCAGGTAGCGCTCGCGCGGGTACGGCGCGAGGGCAGTGATGCCGCCGACATCCGAGCCGACCGAGCGGGCCTTGTCGAGCGTGGAGGCGAGGACGCGGGCGTCGGCGAGACCGGCGTTCAGACCCTGGCCAGCGAGCGGGTGGGTGGTGTGTGCGGCGTCGCCGACGAGAGCCACACGGTGTGCCGTGTATGCGTCGGCGTGGGTGAGACGGAGCGGGAACGAGGCGACGGATGACGGCTGGACGCCGGTAATAACCGGAGGAAGGGGAGCGTCCGTCGGCTGGGCGTCCGGGAGAGCGGCGAGGATGCCCTTTAAGCCGTCGGCCGAAAGGGGAGCGTTCATGAGGTCGGCTGCAAGGAGTGCCTCCTGCATGATGGCCAGATCCTGCTCGGGAAGAGTAAAGCCGGCATTAATAGCCATGGTCAGAGCCGCCGGCTCGAGACGCTTGAGTGCAGCCGCGAGTGGAGGGGTGGTGGACCACACCATGGTGCTGGCATCCTCGGCGAGAGGCAGGAAGGCGATGGGTCCGGTGGGGAGGAAGCGCTGGAAAGCAGTGTGGTTTGGCCACACGGGGTCGGGACGGTGCTCGAGGGTCGCCACAAGACCGTGGGCGTTGTATGCGTGACCAAAGGTGTCAATCTTTGCAAACGTACGGACGGGTGAGTTTGGTCCGTCGGCACCAATGACGAGCGAGCCGCGCACCCACTCGTCGCCGATACGCAGACCGACCCAGCCGTTGCCCTCGCCGTAGCGCATCTCGGCCACACGGGCGCCCTCGCGCACTGTCACCACGCCCTCGGGTGCGCGCTCCAGTCGGCGGAGCAAGGCACGCTGGGTGTTAATGTTCTCGGTCATGCGGGCGAGTGGCCTGTCACTGCCGGGAAAGTGCAGCATGGGGGTCGCGTTCGTGTCCGGGTTGGCCCAGACAATAATGTCGTCGACGGCACGCGAGCGGTCAAGAGCAATGCCTTGCCATGCGTCAATGCCTACGTGTGTCAGTGTGTTCCCGGTCGCCACCGATACCCGGGAGAGTTCGAAACTCACTTTCCAACCACTCAATGTTTTCCGCGGTCAGCGACGACACGCGGTTCGACCATGGTCCTTGGTCGTCCCATTCGCGGACAGGCTTCAGCGAGCCGCCCTCGAGTAGCAGAATACGTGTCGTGTCACGGATCGTTTTATGTGAGACTGTGCCAGCGTCAGCAGGAGATCTTGGATTTTCATTGTCCGGGTATAGCACAGTTGCCCGGTGCCAGGCTGGCTTTGTCTTCACGTACCGAGGGCAGACGCGAGTGCAAGACCAGCGGGTCCGCCGCCGATAATGACAATGTCATAGGTGTTCTCTGCCGAGATACTTGGGATAGGCCCCAAGTCGGCGGGTGGTGCTGTCGAGTGAGTCGAGTACGCGCGGGCATACGAAGTTGCCCGACGAGCTGCGGCGGAGGGGACCGGGTTGAATGTTGGGAGCGCGGCAGCGACGCGTGGGATGCGCCTTGACGAGGAAGCGACGATGGGCTCAAATATGCGGGAGGTGCTTGCGATGCGTCTCATGGTGTGTGTGGGTGGGAGATAGGTTGTAAGAATGTGTACGGTGTTGGGGGGCGAGGGGAGTTATAATAGTGGAGGGAGATTAACATCGACCCATTCATGGCCCTTTCTCCAGACCGTGGGGTAAGCCACACTACTGATAGAATCCCCATTGCTCCACCCGCTGCACTGCGACAGGAACCGCGGCAGATAACGCGCGCCAGCGAATGCATGCTGATGCGCCAGCCTCGTGTCCCCAGGAGCCCCCTCGAATAGTGCAATTTGCATGGCTCCCCACACCCGCGAAAGCACCGCTTCATACGTGTTCGCTTGCTGCAGCGCGCTTACAAGACGAGAATGGCTCCCCCCCAAATAACTCGAAATCTCCATCCCGGAATTGTACAGAACCACACTTCGCGCCAACTTTCGACACGCGTGTGCGCGGCAGAGCGGCGCGGGGGAGGGACGGACGGGGGAGACGGGGGTCGGTGGAGGCAAACGCGGAAGCAAAATGCAACGCCGCACGATCACGATAGGCACACATCCAACACGCGGCAGGCGCCTAACGTTTGCTAACTGAAAGTGCAACCACACACTACACAGTTGGCACTTTACATCAACATTACTCTCGTTCCATCCACATCCACTCCTCAACAGCTCCTTTACAGCCCACCCTTTCCCGCCTGGTACAGATCTCGACCCTCGCGATCATGTCGGGTAACGAGCGCATCAAGGTAAGCTAAGGTTACACGTTGGCCAAGCTCACAATAACAGGGGGTTCAGGTCCACCGACCGATCATTTACGGCTCGCACGCCCGCCTCCTCACCGATGAAGAGAAGCTGAGCGCACCTGCTGGACGTGAGTGTCAAAGAGCCAGTGTAGTTTTGGGCCAGGATGGGGTGCACCTTGACACCAGACGAGGTGATGTCAGACAGCTGCCTGTCTGACATATGTCCGCCCCGGACACATGTCTGTTGTTGTCATGACGAGGTCACCTGTCTCGGCCCCATTGGCCGAACGGCTCCTTGGCTGTGTCAAGGATGAACCTCTGGTGGTATTTCACCTGCATCCTGGCTGCATTACCATGCTTTCCCTACGCATGGATCATTACTGACCATGCAGACACGCATCGCTGGACCGTCTTCTTCACTTCTGCCGCGACACCGCTGCCTGAGCCGCGCCCCGCGGGCTCTACGGGGCCCGTCCCCATTGACATGGACTACCTCCCTGGTGGCGCCGACGATCTGTCATACGTAGTCAAGCGCGTCGTCTTCCGCTTGCACGAGACGTACTCGAACCCCAACAGGAGTGAGTGGCAGTTGGTGGCCAGAGGCCAATATCACTTGGTCCGGACATCATGCTCTTGCTACGATGAGTCGTCGTCCCCAACCCTTGGCCTCTTCTATGGACCTTTGACTGACGGCAGTGTGCGAGCGACCTCCTTACCAGGTCACCGAGACTGGCTGGGGAGAGTTCACTGTCCAGATCAAGGTGACGTTCATCCCCGAGGCCGGCGAGAAGGCTCTGTCCCTCCAGCACCCCATCAAGCTGCACCACTGGGGAGAGCCCATCGACGTGCCTGTAGCACCCGCGCCTGGAGCCGAGGCCACCCCCGTGGGAACACCGGCCACCGACAAAGGAGACGGCGAGGGCGACGCTGCAGTCAAGGCCGAGGTTAACACCCCTGCTGCTGAGGCCACGCCTGCTGCCGAAGGCTCTGGTGCGACCACCACCGAGGCCGCAACTGGCACAGGCGCGGCGCCGACTCCTGCGGCCGACGGCGGCGCACCTGCAACAGCAGTTGGTACGCCAACTCCCGCACAAGCTGCTGTCCAGTCCATGGCAGCAATGTACCCCGTCCACGCCTGGCAGTACGACGAGCTCGTGTTCTCCGACCCGCCCGCCAACTTTATGTCCATCCTCGACGAAAACCCACCCACCCCGTTACCTGCGCGTCCCCGTCGTGCCCGTGACCAGCGTGAGGAGCACGACCTCAAGAACGCCGGCAGCACCAAGAAGAAGGCGCGTGGGTCTTCGACGGCCCGTGGCGGCGCAAGCCGCGCAGGGACCGACGCCCCAGAAGGTGGCAGCGGTACGCCGCGCGTTGTCGGTACGCCGCGGGCCGGCACCCCGGCCGTCATTGGAACCCCAGGCGGTACGGGAACGCCTGGAGCAGGGACACCTGGCATTGCCCCCGGCGTGCCCGGCGAGCTGGGCAGTGCGGATGTGCCGCTGGAGTTTGCGACCGACATGGAGAAGGGCGAGTTCAACCGCCTGACGGAGATCAGGATACGCATCGTGGAGCAGATGGACCGTTGGCGGTGAGTTTTTTTTGTTTTTGTTCTTGTGACTCCTAGGAAATGGGGCTGTGGTGTTTTACGGATACGGGAATCCGCTGGTTGTTGCTGGAGTCATCCCCGCGTTCCGGTCTTGCCTCGTCGGTTGCGCCGTTGAAAGAGCATATGCTTTTGCAACCCTGCGTCAATTTTCTTGATATTTCCTCCACCTTTACCGGATGTGGGTGGGTTTCGGGGACAAGCCAAAAGGAAATAAAAGTAAAAAGTCTACCACAGCCCCTCGCGTGACACCACGGGGTTGCGTGGCGAGGAACGAGGTCGCTTCCATGACGGGCCCGAGCAGCAATAGAGTTTGGCTTTTTATGTTTTTTATTTGCCCGTTCGTGTGCTGACGCCGAATTTCCCAGAGAGCGACTCATTGCGCAAGAAAAGGAGCTGGGTCGGCTCAAGGAGGAGATGAGGTGAAGCGGGTAGAGAAAGAGAGCGATCAAGGGGGATGCTTTCCTCTGCCTCCACGTACCCACACCCACCGCCACAAACCACTGTTCCGCAGGTCACGGCTCGCACAGGAATCCGTCCAGGCGGGCGTGACCCGCTAGGTTCGGAAACTGCACGCGGAGAACCAGTGACGCGGACAAGATTGGCGCGTGCTGCAGGCAGGCAGGCCAGCAAGTAAGCAAGCTCGAGCGACCGAGGTGTGGGCGACGGTGCTTTGGTAGATTAGACCGTTTGTTGTAAATTCCACCATCCAAAAATGTGACAAGATAAGACATCCAGAGCAAAGCGACGCACGCAACGTGGCCAAACGTGGTCGTCGTCATGCCTCGGGCCCGCAGATCCGCAGATTACACTTTGGGGTGTGGCCGTGTTCTCATGGAGGGTTCAGTTGAGCGCGGTGCCGTCAACGACTGAACACCGACATTTGGTATATGGCCATCGCGACACCCGCAACCGACGGCAACGTTATCGTGTCCCACCCACATGGCGAATAAGGCTGGACCGGCGGGACCCATGTGCCATATCGGCCATCCATAAGCGACTTGCGACCTGCGATCCTGCGATTCTGCGACCTGCGGCTGGCCTTTTCCCTAACGGGACCCGAGACCCGAGCGTTTAATGAAATGGCTACTCTCTCTGGTGCTGGTGTGGTCTCAGGCTGGAACACGACGACCGTTAATGAGAGGAGTGTGTCCTGCTATACCTGCTACACGCTAACGCCGGCCTTGGACTACTGTTTTTTTGTGGCTGCTTTTGCTGCTGGCATGGCATGTTACCCTGTGTAATCTTCATCCATCTCATCTCTTCCCGAGTGTTCCCCCGGGATGTCCTGGGTGGCTGGGGTGGGTGGCTGGCTGGTGGGCCGGTGTGGTGTACCGGACGTTGGGATCGGAGAAGAAAGGACGCGTTAAACGCTTTCCCATTCGGCGTGCTTGCCTCTTGTCGGCACACGTTTGCGTGCGTGCGTGCGTTCGATGTGTTCATGCGTGCGCGCGTGCATGCGTGCGTGCACACTGGTGTCAGGTATCGGGGGCAGTGGCGCATCCACTTTGGCTACGCAACTACGCACGCCATGGCCCCGCGCGCGACGGGCGACCTAGACTATGGCGATAGATTGGCCTGCGAACAAGAGTCCGAGCGTTCAGTGCGACCCGATGGCGCCTGGTGACCGGGCAACCTGGCGACCTGGCGACCTGGCGAGCCGAACGACCCGGGCCGTGTAGAACAGTCACAGAGAGCACTTAGAGGCCGAGGCCAGCCAAGGGGCCAAAGACGTTAAAGACACCTGAGGGCCGCCGTCGCGCGCGCCCGAGTTTCACAAAGGCCTAAGGGGAGGGAGAGGCCTCAGGAGGGACACATGGAAAGGGAAGCGCCGAGATGAGATGAGTGATGAGTGAGTGTGATCTCGTTGTGCATGGCCTCGATCAGAGGTCGCACGCGCGGAGGCGTCACTGCGTCGTCATTTGTGCGTCCACCTTCATCATCGTTATCCTGGAATGCCGGCGTGTGCCCCGGCTCCGCTCGCCAGCGCGCTAGCATGGGCAGGCGTGCGCAAGTCGAGGCCGAGATCGAGGCCGAGGTCACCGTCGGCAGGGATCGGATCGGAGCGCGCTCGCGAGCTCGCGCACTCCTGTGGCGCCGTGGTTGCGTCGAGACAACCGCGCCAGACAGAGCATGGAGAGCATCACAATTAATCACAAGCGGCCGAGCCGCGTTGTTCGTGGCGCATGGTGCGTGGTGCGTGGTGCGTGGTGCGTGGTGCGTTGCCAAAGCTACATGCGCGATTGCGATATACGTGCGGGAGAAACATACGAGCGTGTAGCATGTCAAACGTACAACTGCCAGAACGTGGCACGCGAGCAAGACAGCGAGAGGCAGAGACGCGGAGAGGCAGAGACGCGGAGAGGCAGAGACGCGGAGAGGCAGAGACGCGGAGAGGCAGAGACGCGGAGAGGCAGAGACGCGGAGAGGCAGAGACGCAGCAGCTGCGAAATGGCCCCAAACCGCCGCCGGATGCTATTGATTTTCGGCTTTCGGCTACTGACTGATCAGACTGACTGACTGACTGCATGACGGACTGAGCATGACCGACAATATGACTGCGCACGCGTCGTGTGGCATATGTGGCATGTGTGGCATGTGTGGCCGTGTGGCTAGTGGTGTCGTGGCCACGACGTCGGCAGGTCGTGTGGCGGCGCGGGACCATGTGCCATGCCATGGTGATCCGAGACGGGGGGGAGAGCAGGTATGTAATCTCCGCTGATCTACTGAGATGATATTCCTTCTCCACGCCCTCGGATACGCATGTCGTCGCACGACGCCAGACCGAGATCTCGTGGCACAAAAAGTAAGTATGCAGCCGAGCAAAGCGAAGGAGGTGGTGCACGACCACAAGTTCACAACACTACTGGCTTGTGGCCCCCTTGCCATGCGGGTGTGGGTAGCGGTGTGAGCCACACGCGTCACAGGCAGAAAGGACGTAGGACGCGGACGCGCTCGCGGACACGGGGAGCGGAGACGATCGCATTTTAGTGTCGGAACCCCCACCAACCGCCTCTCTCTCCCTCCCTCCCTCTCATTCACGCGCGGGGCGCGCGGCGGGCCGGCGAGAGGCTGCGTGGGATCGGATCGAATCTGTGGCATTCTCCCACTCACATTGTGGGTGTCTGCGTGGGGTGGGTCCCGTTCCCGGTCCGCGCGCGTGCTTGCCTCACATGTGGCTGCTGCGAGTTCTGGGTCTGGGAGCTGGGAGCTGGGAGCTGTGTGTGTCGGGACTGGGTCTTGTCACTCGTCTGAGCCTCGCGTTGTGGGCGGCGCTGTGAGCGGGTGTGAAACTGGAGGCAGCGTTGACGCAGCCATGGGAGAAAGGAGCAAAGAGGGTGCGTAAAACGAGCAATTTCCGTCGCCTCCCATTGCCATGTGCCACAGCCACAAGTTCATCAGACCATGAGATCCATTACGATGGAGTACGAGGAGGGGGTACGCGGATACGGATACGAACACGCCGAGGTTCCCGAGGTCGTCGCTGCAGTGTTTCACCCCGGTGGCCGGTGGCCGGCGAGCACGGAGGTACCGGACAAGGTCCTGGCCATGGCCCGGTGCCAATTCCAATGCACCGCAGAAAAGCAGAGGTGAGAGATGTCTCTCGCCAGACTGGCTCCGGTAGCCTGGGAGACGGCCTGCGGCAACCCGTGTTTGTGGAGTGGGGTCTCGTGTGTCTGTCTGTTTACTCGGGGTGGCCTGCCACAGCCGGGCACGTCGGACCAGACTTTTTTTTTTTGCCTCTTCTCAATAACACTGCGTGAGACAGGACGACGGCCGTCGGGGGCCTAGAAGGAACAAAGGACACGGCCGATCGGGTGGGTTGCGCCGTGTCCGTCTGTAGTAGGAAGGGAGGGGCAGTCTGTTGTTCAGGAGCCTGGCAAAGGCGGCATTGCTGGTGGTGAGTAACAAGCCGCGCGATAGGGTTGCGTTTGCCGAGAACAGACTACATCCGTTTATTGCAGCATACAGTGCGATGGGCGACTGACTACCCCCCCCCCCCCCCCCCCCCCCCCCCCCCCCATATTTGGATGGCGATTCCGTGTGGGACACGAACGGGTTGTTCCCAAGTCTAGACACGAACGGGTTGCCGGCATTGCCGTTTTGTCAGTGCAGTGGTTCCGTGGTGGTCGATGGTTGCAGACAAGGGGGCTCATTACGGCGTGGAGAGTCTGTCTCATGTGTGAGAGGCATATCAGAAGAGCCAAGAGGACGGCGGAGGGTCTGCCGAGACGCGTCCAGAACGCCAAACGCGCAAATGTGGAGAGACAGAGTACAGAGAGAGAGAGACCTTGGGTATCAAGCTTTGTGCGGTGCTGTCTGATTAATTTCTGTGACAGGAGCCGCTGTTATCTGAGACGAGTTTGCCCATCAGTCTTGTCGCGTCGGTTCATGCGGTGGGATGGGCAGAGGCCTCTTCCGGGGCATGTCGGCAAGTAGAGCCAGTAGACGGCCCCTGAGACCCAGCGGAGAGCGCGGGGGGGATGGTGGGGTCAGCAACGCAGAGGCGCAGAGGCGCAGAGGCGCAGAGGCTAGAGGATCGGTTGATCGGTTGCTTGCTTGCAGCTTGCCGTTTGGTAAATGCCGCTACTCCCCCCCGGGGGTACTGGGCGGACGCCAGAGGGCCAGAGAGGGCCAGCGTGGGGCAGACAAAGATGGCAGGATTAGGATTTCCTTGCCCCCTCGGCCCTCTCTCCGTACGGATTACCTACCGGAGTAATAAAAACGGCTGACTGACTGGGTGGAAAAGAGAGGGTTTGGCCCCAGAAATCACACACCCAAAAGTTACAGATCACAGAATGGGTGTGTGGTGCAGCACGGAGACAAGCAGGCGCGGGCCCGTGCGCACTGCACCCACGCGTGGGTTTTGTTGGAGGTCTGTGCATGTGCCGTCGAGTGCATTGCTGAACTTGCTGGCCTTGCCAGATGCGTCAGTGCGTCAGTGCGATCAGTGCGCTGCTGCTGAGCACACTGGGGTGTGTGCGCACTGCGCTCTCTCCCTTTGGCCGCTTGTGCTCAATCCATGAAATCCATGAAATCCATGAAATCCATGAAATCCATGAAATCCATGAAATCCATGAAATCCATGAGAGGCCAGAGGCATGGCCGGAGAAAAAGGACCCAACCGTCGATAGAGTAGAGTGTGTGTGTGCACCCAGGAACTACAAGCATCCACACATAGAGTTTGCCATTTGCGTAATGCAATGCTGAGTGGAGACAGAGGGGAAAGAGTGGGAGCGGAAGCTGTCCCGGGGGAGGAAGAGGGCAAAGAGAGACAAGCACAGATGGCACAGAGACGGACAGAGTACACAGACACAGACGTGTATGCATGAAATGGCATTGCAGGCATGGTTGTGTTGTCCTTGTGGTGTGCGTATTTTGATTAGATTTTGTCCACGGCGTCCGCCCCCCGTCTCAACGTCTCAGCACGGCAGCTGCAGCTGCAGCGGCGAAAGGGGTGTGTGGAATTTTGCGTGTGGTGTACAGGGCGGGCGGCGCGGGCGGGGCGGGTCCTTTTGGACCGTGACAGCCCAGAGAGACGCGGGTGGGACAGGCCTTTGGGTCTGCTGCCTCGTCGCCTGGGCCTCTCTCCTCCCCCGCAGCCTTCCCTTCTCCCGTGTCCCGTCAAAACCTGGCCTTACCCTCTGATGCCTCTGATGCCTCTGGTCTGATGCCTGTGCCTCCTCTCTGCCTCCTCTCCCCCCGTCCCCCCCCCCGCCCCCGCCCCCCCCCCCGCCGGCTGGCTGGCTGGTATTCATGTCGCCGCCCTTGTACAGACCATATGCCACCAGCGGCCACCAAACGGGGCCACCCACTGCAGCCGTTAATACGCAGAGTACACCTCACATACACACACAAACACAATCGTTGGTCATCCACAACACCACCACCCACCACCCACCACCACTTGCTGGACGCACGCCGCCACACGCACAGGCCTGCATACCCGTCGTCCTCTCGTCCTCGTCCTCGTCCCCCGTCTCTCCCCTCCCCCCTCTCCCTACCTCCCCCCCCACCCCGCTGAAACGTGCGACCCGTGGCGTATCTGCGCATAGACCGCCGCCGTTTTTCCTTTGCGCCGTAGTCTGCTTTTTCCCAACACGGGCCCACCCACCCACACGCCGACGCCGCCGCCGCCTCCGCCCGCCCGCCGCCGCCTCGTACAGAGACAGCTCCAGCCCCGCTTCCAGCCGTTGCCCGTGCGTGCGACCCTCAGGAAACGGGACAGCGGAGAGAGAGAGCCACTGGCCACTTTGTTGCGTGCGCACACACACACACACATTCTTCCATCTCGTCCACCACCACACCGGCACACAGGGACCGAGCGCTGGATTTCGTGTCTGCTGGCACACACACACACACACACACTACCACTGCTACACACACACACACACACACACACACACACACACACACACACTACCACCACGGCACCCTTCTCTATACCCCCCACCGTCCCCACCAGCATTATCGTGCGCCGCGCGTACAGGAAAGCCCCCCCCCTTCGTGTCTTTCTTCTCGAATCCCGTCTCCATCCCACAACCTAGCCGACAAACTACCCGGCGCCTCTTGCTGCTCTGCCCGCGCACACGACAGTCAACTTTAACATCGTTACCCCCCTCCCCCTCCCCCTCCCTCTCCCTCCTCCCCCCGCACGAAGCACCACTATCTGCTGGAGCTTCCACATCGACGCCGTTCGCTGGCCTCTCCTCACCGCTCACCTTCTCCCCCATCCCCCATTCCGTTCCGCCTAGAAGCGCGACGGACTGTACGGCCTCTCATCGCACCGAAAACAGGTCACGGGTGATACCAGCGCCTTCTGGTCTCAACCCCCCCCGCGCGTTCCTCGTCCACCCCCTGTCGCTCGCACATCTTTCCACTTGCACACCAGACTCGCCACCGCTTGCGTGTCTGTGACTTGGCTGCTTTGGTTGCACTGGCATCCTTTTTTGCGCTCAGACTCGAGGCCTGAGCGTCCGGACCAACGCGCCGCTTGACAACGACGACAGTCGTTAGAGCCCACACACACACACCCTCATACACACCGACACGCATCTGTTGTCGGTTGCGCCGCACTGGCCTGGCACTCGGCCTTGGTAAGTTTGAGACCCCTCCCCCCTCTCCTCCTCTTCTACACTTTCCGACCACACCTTCGCTGTCCGTTCATCACCACACGCGCCCTATCCGTCGGCCAGGCCCCGTACGCGTCGTGGCCGCCGTCTCCGTGTCCACTCGGGCCACCCCACTCCGTCTAGGTTCTTTTGCTGACTCTGCGTGTCTCTTGCACCACCTTGTCTTTGTGCCCCTGTCCGTGCGCCGCTCATCTTTCCCCTTTGCTCTCCTGGTTACCAACAACCTGGTCTCTCCTCTACCACCACCTTCTCGACTACCCCCCTTCTTCACCAATTAGCGCGTCTGTGTACGACCTTTGGACGTCTTCGCAACGAGGACTGCGCCGCCGCGTCAAAAGCATCACCGACGGGTACGTGTTGCTCTCTCCTCCTCGCTCCCCACCCATCTGCAACCTCACGCTGACCTTGGTTTCCTCCCTTCGCGCGCTCATTTACAACAACCCATTCTCGCATCCGTCTCGTCCTCTGCGAATCGGCCCTTGTGCTTCTCTGCTTCTCTCACCCCCTCATCCGTTCCATCATCGCTACAACCCCAACCCCTGATTCGACTCATTTCCATCACTGCCCAACTCGCCTTCTTGCGCGGTCGTGATCCTTTGTTCCGGCTCAACACAATAGACTCTGATCCCATCACTCCCTTGTCGGCGTGCCCCTCTTTGCGAGCTTCGCCAACTCGACATTACCCCACCCCCCACCCAACTCTGGTCTTGCATGCTCTTGCATTGATCAGCACACTCAACACTCTTTGCCATCATGTCCATCTCCCGCAAGCGCGTAGGCTCTGTTAGCCAGCGCAATGACTCCCCCCTGCCTCCCCTGGACATTCAGTCTATTCAGATGCCCTCCAACCCGTAAGTATGCGCCGCCGCCTCCCCGACTTTCCGATCGCACATTGTGGGTTGCCACTGACGCACTTCTCCCTTAGGCAAAATGCACTTGCCCTCAAGACGGCAGCTCTGTCATCAACAAAGTCTTTGTTCCAGATGGCCTCGAGCCTGAGGAAGCGGTTGCGCAACGTCGAGGACTTTAGTGTTTTCCTTGGTGGGTAAAATACATGACTGCGGGGGGGACGGTGGATGGATGGGTGGGCCCCGTTTCGTTAGGAAGCACGGCAACGCGGCTTCCGGCGCCCATGGCGCATCAGCCTGCCCCCCCCCCCCCACAACCCCCCGACGACTAAGGCGTGTGCTAACCCGGACTCGCAGAACAACCGCCAAGCGCGCCCCAGCTTGATGTGGTGTCTCACATGTGTCACGTCCTGCGCTTGGGTTCGCCGCTTTGCGTCCTCTACAACCAGCTCATCCCCGTCTTCATCACCCCATCCTCCCCCATCTATGCCGACATCCCGGCACCCAACCCCATCCCCTATGACCTGCCCAACTTTATGGACAACCCCGATGGTGTCCGCAACTGGGCCAAGCGATCCGGAGAGTCGAAGAGCTGCCAAAAGCTCATTGCCCAGTTCTGCATGGCCATGAAGCAGCGCCGCGAGGAAGGCCGCTGGCACAACGACGCGTCCTGGGCCTTGCACGAGCTGTGGGGCAAGAGTACCGGTGACGACAACGAGGTCGAGTCCTACGACTCGACGGGCTTGATGAAGGTCTTCCAGACCGTCGAGTACATGCTCGACTGCCTGCCCAACTCGGCCCTCTCACCACTGTCCCCCACTCCCACAAACTCGTTTGCTGCGAGCACCCACCCATTCGCAGCCATGACCCCGCTCGCCGCCTCGACCAACACGGCTCGTCAGTCGTACGAGGTTCCCTACTCAGCCAGCAGCAGCACGACGCTCGTCAACCCCATGCTCGCGCAGTCCAACGGCGTTGCCAACATGGACGACAGTGCCGGCCCAGGACCCTCGACTGTTGAGCAACTCAAGTCCAGCTCGGACCCGGCGCTCCAGGGCAACGCGTTCAAGACTGTCGAGGAGCTGGTCCGCTCTGAGCGCTCCTACGTCCAGGAAATGGAGATTCTCGAGCGGTGCTCGGCCGAGATTGTCGCCGCCGAACTCATCAACCCCGAAACCGTCTTCTCCATCTTCTCCAACCTCCGTTCGATCCTTGATTTCCAGCGCAAGTTCCTCATCAAGCTCGAGACAGAATACGAGCCCATCGAGGAGCAGGGCTGCCAGGCGTGGACCGAGGGCCGATGGGGTCGCCCATTCGTGGACATGGAGAAGGAGTTTGAGTGCTACGGCCCTTACTGTGCCAACTACCTGGACGCCATTGCCCTCATCAACAGCTACATGCCCTACCTCATGGCCGGACAGGACCTGCCCGATGGCCAGCGCCCGTGTCTCCACCCGGAGCGTGAGCTGCAGGCTTTCATGATCAAGCCTATCCAGCGTATCACCAAGTATGGTCTCTTGCTGGACGCCATTCTCCACGCCACGGCCAAGTTTGAATACCCCCACCGTGTCGAGCTCGAGGCCGGTCTCGCTGCTGTTCGCCGCATTGCCGCCGACATCAACGAGACGACCGCGTTCAAGGCCAAGCAGGCCACTGTCCGCGAGCTTGTGGACCGCGTCGACGATTGGAAGGGACACGACTATGAGCGCTTTGGTGACCTCCACCTCGACGACCAGTTCACCGTCTCCAAGGCCGACTCGCCTCGCGACTACCACGTCTTCCTCTTTGACAAGATGATGCTCTGCTGCAAGGAGATTACACCCGACAAAAAGTCCAAGGGCGGCAAGAACAGCAACATGCTCCGCAAGGACAAGACACAGAGCAAGTCCAACATGGGAGCCAAGCCGCGCCTCGCATTAAAGGGCCGAATCTTCGTGTCCAACATCACCCACGCCGTCCTCCTTCCCCCGTCAGCAGGAGACCAGTTTGCCGCGCCCCGCGTCAAGATTATCTGGTCTGTGCCCGCCAAGAACGGCGACTCGGAGCAAGATGTCGAAGACTCGTTTGTCATGTCGGGCCGTACCGAGGACCAGATGAAGAAGTGGGGAGACAAGGTCATGGAGCTGGCCGCTGCTGCCAAGAAGGAGCAGAACGACCGCCACGAGAGGGCCAGGCAAAACTCGCGCATGTCCGACCCCAACCGGGGACCGTACTGGGCCCAGTCGTCGTTTGCTCCCCCTACCCCGGCGCAGACCCATTCCGACTTTTTCAGCCCTACCACGCCTGCCCACAGCAACTACTACTTGCCAGACGGCGACGAGGACGACGAGCTGCGCGCTTCTTCTGGAAGCCTCAACGGCCTGGCCATCTATGGTGTTCCAGGTGTACCATTCCCTGCAGGCGGCAACCGTCGTGCTCAGAGCCAGCAGTCCCTGCCAGCGATTCACCAGACCGAGCTGCGTACTCGTGCGATGACCGAGGACCACAATGGCCCGAGCATTACCCAGTGGCGCCAGCAGGCGCCGCCACTGCCGCAGGCACCGCACCTGCCACGAATCACCTCTGGCGGTTCAGTCGCCGCGTCGGATGCTTCGTGGACTAGTGCCAACGGGTCTCGCCGTCCCAGCCAGTCTCGCCTGGGTCGCCCAGACGAAGACATTGAGGAGGAAGGACGTGGGTACGGCGTCAACCCGGGCGGCCCACCCCCTGGTGCGTTTGCCCGTTACGAGTCGCAGCGTGGCATGTCCCGCACCCCGTCCCAAGGTGTTACTGGCGTATCGACTGGCAGCGGCGGCATCCCACCACCACCACCACTTCGCAGCCGCAGCGCCTCGTCGCCCAACGTCTACCAGCAGGCCCAGGTCTCGCCCATTCCACCACTGCCCATGACTGCCGCTACCACAAATGGCGGCTCCAACTGGCCTACGCAGCACAGCAACAACGCGCCGTACCCTCCCTCTGGATCTGCCACTTCGTCCTCGACCGGTCTGGGCTCCACCCCCGGTGGCACTGCCTACTTTACTCGCCGCATGAGCACTGGCAAGCGCTCAAGCCAAGAGTCACAGACCACCGAGACTTCCGAGACGTCGAGCCAGTCCCCACGGACGCCTTACACGAACGCCACCCCAGGCGACCTTCGTGGAGCAACGCCCGTCTCGAGGCAAAACAGCCAGGAAGCACCGCCCTCGACCGTGTTCGTCAAGGTCCGCTCGGGCGACGCAAACTTTGTCATCCCCGTCCAGTCCGATGTGTCATATCGCACCCTGTACGAAAAAGTTGTCAAGAAGCTGCGGATCTGCAGCGCGCGCCACACGGCCGCCGGCCTCGACGTTGTGGTCAAGATCAAGTGGCTCGATTCAGACGGCGACGAGGTCGTCATCAAGACCGACTCGGACGTGCAGATCATGCTCCTCGAGGCCGCCTCGGAGCAGATCCAGCTCATCGCCACGTAAACACCCACCGTCCACAGCGGCCCCCTCGTCCCCTTCCTCACACTGGCATCATTTCCCCCTGCATCACCTCATTCGCTTCATCTGTCATTGCACCCTCCGAGACGAATCCGCCACGACCCCAACTTTGTCACCACCAAACCAACCCCAGCATTCTTGCTTTAACGCCTCCCTTTGCCGCCTAGACCTACCTCCCCCGCACCGTTCCTTTTCTCTCATGTTCGCCTCGATTTGGATTTGCTCGTTTCTCTCTCTCGCTCTCTCTCTCTCTCTCTCTCGCTCGCTCTCTCGCCCGCCGTTGTTGTTCGCTAGGATTCTAGATGCGCGCCCTCTCCTCCCCCCTCCAGTCGCCAAACCCGCCTCGGCACACAGACACCCACACGTCCAGCCCCCGCTCGCCGGCGCGCTTTTCCGTCGTGACCTGTCTCACCCCCGTTGGGGCTGCGTGGTTTAAAAGGATGTATAACGATATATATGCCCCCCCTCAGCTGAGATTGAGGAGTATGAATTCTGCTACAGAAGAAGACGATTGCGCGTGCAGAGAGCTTTTGTGGTTCTTCCTTTTCCGCTGGAAGAGATCAAAAAGAGACTAACCTCATGGATGTGCCACTGTGAGGGATATACGCGGGTCCGGCCTAGTGACGGCCAGAAACGAGACTGCGCTCCCTCTTCCCTCTCCATCCCGCGGCATCCATTCTCACACCCACTTTCGAGGAGCGGAAGTACGTGCTTTGGCCGCGGTGGCCCGGTAGGTGCGTCAGAGCGGCAGCCGGCAGAGGGGCAGCCAGGGTGTGGGGCCACGCGCACTGCACCACACTCACACACGCGTGTCCGGGACGGGAGGATTATTCGACTGATTGGAAGGTTGGGCAGGCACTCGTGGGACTGTGGTACTGTGGAGACAAATTGAGAGTGGCTAGAGCCCACCGCGCCCACAGCCGGATGACAGGTCCTGTCAGTTAAAAAGGTAGTACGCACATATCGATGTCCATAACAGCGTGCGCGGGTACGAGAGACTGCCGAAAGCTGGACAGTTACGGAGGCGTGCAGTGTTGGCGCATGGCGGGGCATTTGGTACATGTGGGTACACTGGCCAGACACTATATTCAACAGAGTTGACGCCCGGGGAGACCACAAAGGTGTACATTGGTTTGCTGACTTGTGCAGGTCGTACAGTCCCATAGACCGAGCAGCTCACGTATACCTGCATGCGATGGCCGTGATGTGTACGGTGGTACGGTGAAATGGTCCAAGTCAAGGACCCGCACGACGGGCTAATACGTCAAATAACGGGAACGAGGGGGGGGTATATTTATGCAGATTAATATATTGCAACGCCGGGCATTACCTCTAAGGCCTAATGGCCTAAAGCAGACCGGGGGAGGACATTAGTACTGTGATCTGTGAAAGCAAATGCAAGAGTCGCGCTAAAATATGGTGCAAAGGTGCGTGGCATTGCACAGAATTTTGAAACGTTGCACCCAAAAAAGGGGAACACGGGAGTATTTTGCCCAAAGAGGCAAAGTTGCCCGTCACAAAGGAGATGCGGGAGTATTTTGCACCAAATTATGAAACGTTGCACCCAAAAAAGGGGAAATGCGGGAGTATTTTGCACCAAATTCTGAAACGTTGCACCCAAAAAAGGGGCGGCACGACGGGATCACAGGACAATTACAAACCGCAACAAAGGAATAGCGGCCATCACAAAATGTGACGCGGGAGTATACACAATACACAATACACAAAGCTCATTACACACAGCCCTTCGTCGCTCGCACAATGTGGCTTATTAGGTAATCCACTTCTAGATGACGTAATCAGGAGCGGCCGCGGTTGACGGTGTTGGCTGTCACGTGTATATGCTCCCGCCGTTGCCCTCATTTTGCCACTCTCGCGTCGTGAGTGCAATATGCATCAATCAATGGTAACGTTCGCTTCGCGATTGTCACATCCTCCATCCACCTCTTGAGAACCACCAATAACCGCCATGTCAGCGTCCATCCGCCGCGCCCCGGCTCTCGTTCGTGCCATCTCCACCTCAGCCATTCGCAGCGCCGCGGCTGCTCCTGCATCGTCAACCCAGGCGAGTGGCAGCACCTACTACAAGTCGCGATACGCGCGTGCGCCGTCGTCATCAGCCGCAGCTGCCTCGTCTGCGACCCCGGCCGCTGTTGCTGGACAGGCTGCACCAGCGAGCTCGCCTGCTCGCCGTACGGCTTACACGCGGGCACCTGCTGCTGCCACCGCCAAGGCTGCACCTGCGCCTGCTCCTGCGGCAGCCCAGCCCGCTCCTGCCGCTGTGTCGTTTGCCGAGGCTGCCTTTGACGACTTTGACGACGCCGACTTCCGTCTCCCGGACCAGCAGATCGAGGACTATGCCCATCTCCAGCGCAAGCCCGCCCCCGCCCCCGCGCCCGCAGCCGCTGCTCCTGCTTCTTCGACTGCCGGCGCCACATCCTACGCTGCGCGCCGCAACCTCCCCGCCGCCAGCCCGCCACTCACCACGCTCCCGGACGCAAAGTACACCCCTCTCCCGTCGGCGCCGGGTCCATCCACGCCTCCCGCGGGCTCGGGCCAGCTGGGAAACACCGTCATCATGGATGGATACGTCTTCAACGGCGGCAACCCCAACCCTGTTCCCGAGTCGACTCGGATGCCCGGAGAGATGGTGACGGATGACTGGACGACGAGCTTCCGTGGTCTGAGTGAGAGGCCGTTCGACAGGGAGGTTGCCGAGGCGCTCTTGCGGCCTCTGCACCCGGACGATGTGGAGATTAAGCCTGGTAAGTTGCTGTAGTGACCATTGCTGTCAGCACGTTACATCCTGTGTCTCTTCCTAGTCCCTCCCACTCTTGCTAACTATTTGCCCAGATGGCCTGCTCTATCTCCCCGAGATCAAGTACCGCCGCACCCTCAACGCTGCCTTCGGCCCCGGCGGCTGGGGCATGGCTCCTCGTGGCGAGACCCACATTGGTCCCCGCATCGTGTCGCGCGAATGGGGTCTCGTGTGTCTTGGTCGGTGAGTCGAAGTCGCGTCAGCTTTTTTTTGCTGGCCGATGACGTCGGTGTACCCTTCCTTGCTGGTAAACTGACGGATCCAGTTTGGTCGCCATTGCCCGTGGAGAGCAGGAGTACTTTGACCCCTCGGGCGTGCCTACTGCCACCGAGGCGTGCAAGTCGAACGCGCTCATGCGTTGCTGCAAGGACCTCGGAATTGGATCGGAACTCTGGTGAGTGGCTGAAGGACGAGGGATTGACGAGGTGTAGGGCCCTTGCTGCATACCTCTGCTGTGCTCTGTCCGAACTTTGACTGACCTCCTCCCCAGGGACCCCCGCTTTATCCGCGAGTTCAAGGCCAAGAACTGCGTCGAGGCCATGGTCGAGCACGTCACCCAGAAGCGCAAGCGCAAGCTCTGGCGCAAGAAGGACCAGAAGTTTGAGTACCCTTACAAGGAGATCTCGGCTTTTAGCAAGTGAGCGGAGGCGGCGCTCCATTCCAATCGAGGCGCCGTGGAGAGTCTTGCAGTGGAGAGTTTTGGGTTTCGTGCAGAGACTAGATACTAGCTCTCAGGAGATGAGTAGAAGCTTGTAGCGGGCCCAGGAGGCCTGCGGGGCCGGCCGCGAGAGTGTGTACATTATGGAAATATCTCTACTCTGTGAATTGGCGACGTTGTGCCACTGTGACACCTTTGGGCATGTTGAATCAGGTGACCATGAAACCTACGACCTGAGGCAAAGGTTATCTGAAAATAGGCTGCTGTGGAGCGAGGACGAGGTCTAGGTGACGCTCGAAGCGTGTTGCCCGAGAACGCTCAATACGGTGTTGGGCGGATCACCGCACTCTAGCCGTTGCCGTCAGAGGATCAGAGCCCACAGGTGGGCGCTGGATGTTGGTGAAGGACAGGCTGTGGAGGCACAGTCGTTCTGTTCAACGGTGGGCACTCTCCTGGCGAAGAGTGGACGCTGAGGAATGCGGAATGGAGAAACCGCGAACCGAGACTGCGAGCGTAGACGCCGAGGCATGTGGGGAAATGCGCCCCCCAAGCGCAATTCACTCCCAACGTGTCAACAATGCAGTCGATCCAACGCATAAGCTATCCGCTCTCCGCGATCCCTCTCCAGTCTCTCACGACTCTGTTGGTATTCCACTCTTCACCATTCGGACCATGCCGTCATATCCCACCCAAAGACCGCCGCACAGACCCCCTCCGAGCTGGTCAGTCACCACTTGCGCGACATTTCCCGCGACCTCTACTCGTCTCTCGGCTGTGGGGACGGAAACGGCAACAAAAGGACAATAGCACAATAGCAAAAACAACAAAGAGAGCAGGGCCTGTTGCGTCAGATGTGCGGCGGAAAGAAGCCACGCAGGCATAGCTTGCACGCAGGAGACCTCCTCGTCCACTGTCCTACTTCAGACGTTGGTACTACCTCGTCGCACTTTATTTTATCGTCGCCTCGCTTCTTTTCATTAACCAACTCTGTTCGCCGCCAGGTCTACCTCCTCGCTCACGATCAACGACATGCCGATCGCTATTGGCCCTCCTCCGCTTCATGATCTCCGGATCCACATGTGAGTGTAGTGCGGCCGCAGGTGTCTGCGCGCCGAAGGCCATTCCGGCCCAATTCCGAAATTTCTGGCTGACAGCGCAGTGTTGGTGCTGGGTAGGTACTGCCGGTGGTCGTGGGTTTGTGGGGTTCGGTGCCAGCAGCTTTGCGAGCGGTGGGGTTGGGGCACTTGCCAACACCTTGCCCGTGTGGGCCTGGCCGTGTATCACTTGGTTCCACTGGGAATGTTGAGCGCTCGAACCGCGCCTGCTGGTGGTGGTGGCAACCCTTGACATTGGAAGCTGGTGCAAAGGTCTAGTACGACCTCTTCCCTGTCCATGCCGGTTAGCTCTTCGGCGTTGCGAACGGCTTCTGCCCCATCTCCACCTCCGTCTCGATCTTCACTCCTCCAATGGCCAGTTCCTGACAGACAGTATGGGCGGCATGGGCTCTGCCCTCTCGCTCGCCCGCCAAGGCTTCACCAACATTACAGTGTGGGAGCAAGCGCTTTACCTCGAGGAAGTTGGTGCGGGAATCAACGTGCCTCCCAACCTTGGCCGTATCCTCTCACGCTGGGGCGTCATGGATATTTGCAAGGCCGAGGGCGTGGCTATCGAGCGTGCCAACGTGCTTGGTGAGTGTAGCCATGTTTACGCAATGCTTACGCTCAGACTGCGAGACGGACGAAATCATCTCGTCGGCGGCGTACTCTGCACACATGGTTGCCGACTATGGCTACCCTTTCATCGTGAGTCGTCGAACAAGGTCGTGATTGTCCACACAGCGGTACAGCGAGTGGCCAGCTCGAGACAAGTCCAGTGGGGCATGTGACAAGTACCTCTCCTAACACCCAGACTGTCCACCGAGCCGCGCTCCAAAAGTCGCTCGTCCGCGGCGCCCTCGACACGGGCCACGTCAAGCTTATGACCGACCAGATTATTACCGAGTACGACTTCGACAAGACGCGCCTGCTCGTTCGCAACGAGGACACAGACGAGGACGAGTGGGTCCAGGCAGACCTTCTGATTTGTGCCGACGGCATCAAGTCGAGGGCTCGAGCGGCCATCTACAAACGGCTTGGTATTGCTGACAGTGGTGAGTAATGGAATACGTATGGCGCTCACCTCACTCCAGTCGAGGACACTGGCCAGGCCGCTTACCGCATCATGGTGCGCCGCAACCTTGCCAAGGACGACCCCGAGCTCCTCAAGCTGTTTTCCAGCAAACAGTCATGGCGCTGGATCGGCGAGAAGAGGCACGTCATGGTGAGTCGATGTCTGTGTGACCCGCAAACTGACGGGTAGGGCTACCCGATCAACGCGGGAGAGCTGTTCAACATTTCGACGTCGCAGCCCGACGAGCACTTTGGCGAAAAGGACTCGTGGACCGCCCTGGGCGACAAGAGTGCAATGGTGGCCACGTTCCACGATTTCCCAGAGCGCGTCAAGAAGCTGCTGAGTCTTGTGCCAGAGCATGAGGTTCTCGAGTGGCGGTTGAGGGCCCACAAGCCTCTGCCCGTGTGGGTTGACCACAACGTCGCGCTCGTCGGCGACGCGTGCCACCCTACGCTTCCGCACATTGCGCAGGGAGCAGCACAGGCGATTGAGGACGCCGCTGCACTCGGCATTGTCCTGTCGCGCATCAAGTCTCGTAATCAGATTCATTCGGCGTTGATGGTGTACCAAAACATTCGCAAGCCACGTACCGACTGGGCCGTGTCGATGGCAGCACACAACTCGATATCGCTCCACCAGGATAAGGCTACGCGTGAGGCGTCCCTTGCCATGGCGCGTCTGGCCCTTGCCAACGAAGGAGGCGCAGAGGACGGCAGCGACAAGGAGGACGACCAGGTGTGCGTCGACAAGCTCGCGTCAAAGGAGCTCAGAGATAAGCTCTTCCAGTACGACATTGCACTCGAGACAGAGCAGAGGTTTGACAAGCTCTTCGCCGAGGAGCTCATGAAGCAAAGGGATTAAGCTGCACCCGAGGCGACGGTGGGGTTTAAGACGGAGGCCAAGACCATGGCCAAGACCACAATCCACCTTCTGTGTCAGACAAGTAGATTAGCGGACCCGTGGATATGTACGAGTAGCATAGCAGGGAGTGCTCCGCGAGTCAAACGGGCATCACCCTCTTAAAGTGCAGTACGGCAACATTGCGATAGAACGTAAAGACTTGGAGATACGCTCTCGACCAGAGAGACCGTTCAGTGGACCTAGAGCTCATTGGGATGTTACACGGGCACCGCCAAACGCAGTGCTCTTCTGGGTCTGAGACATGCAACGGGGAACGTGCGTTGGTATCGTGAAATCTGACGGCGCAAGAATATACGGGGCTGCCACTCACGGGCTCTCCGGACGGAGAAACACTCGGCGACCATGTGGCCATCTTGCATCTGGGCTCATGGCTCAAAATATGAATTGCTCCGGCAATCGCGGCGACTGTGTTTCGGTTTTCACTCCCCACAGCGAAAGCATGAGCGTCTGCTCTCCGGAACACGTCTATTAGCTATTAGACATGTACGGCGAGGGAGGCATCGGGCGCGGCGGCTGAATGGCCGGCCGCTGGCCGTTACCTTTTATCGGCACGGGTTGCTCGGCAGTCATCGACCATCGACATTGATGTGCCTTGTGCTCCCTCCCGCGCGTGCCAACTCTTCGGTCATTTCATTTGGGGGGCAAAGGCAAGGGACACGGCAGTTAGACAACGTTGTGCAGCTTCAAACTGGCCAACTGGGCGGGCGGACATTCTGTAATTCTGTAAAGCTAATGCAAACATGGTGAGAGGGGAAGAGAGAGGCACGACGACAAGGCGGGGCGTTTTTGTGGCCGTTTGGATATTGTGTGTGATCCGGTAAAAGGCAGAGCGGCGCCAGCCAGCGACATTCATCAAAGCAGTCCCGCGTATGATGAGCACACGGTACTACGCGTCGCGTTGGCGGCCAATGTCAGAGTGCCAGGATGCGTGTGCTCTATGCTCTATGTATTGCGTGCAACACCATGGAGAGCAGCAGCAAGGGCGATAAGTGGTACGTATGCAAGCGACGTTGTGTTGGGTGGAGGAGAGATGGAATGACGGAAGCGACCTGATCCCCCCCCTTTGTTCCCCGCCCCGCCGCCGCCGCCGCCGCGTGCCGCGCCCCCCCCGTTGTGTGCTTGGCCCCCCCACACCTGGCGCTGGACGTCCATCCACCATCTCCAACGTTCATCACACTCTTGTCGTTCCACACGCACAGCACCCCATCCCCCCACAACCACTACACCGGCGCATCCCTCACCGTCGTCCCCCGCGTATCCCGCTGTACATACCCCAGTACACGGCACGCTCGGCACTGCGGACAGCGTCGTCGGTCGCCCTTCCCTTCCTCCCCCCCTCCCCTTCCCCCGCTCCAGCCGCCCGTCCCCCCAACCTCGGTCCGCGCGTGGTCGCCTTCCCTGCTACCACATTGCCCTCCTTGGTCTCGACACTGTACATCCCTCTACCCACCACAGTGTCGCACTGTAGCGGCACCACATCCCCCTCTTTCCACACTGCGCTTGCACGTGTAATTGCCGTCGCCGTGGTCGCCGCGTCCTCCTTGAACACGGCTAGCCCGGCTGCTGCCGCCAATCACACGTCTTAAGTGTCCGGCGACATTGACGACACATCGACACCGAGAGCCTACAAAGACACAAACCCCGGACCCTCGGGGCCATGTCCAGACCCTCGTCCTACCACGGTGCACCTCACCGTGACGACGACGACTTCTCGCTCCCGCTCTTTGTGCCAGCCCTCCAGCAGCCGCTTCAGTACGCGCCCCCGCAGACGTCGCAGCAACTGCAGCAGCCATCGCTCCAACCAGGCGGTGTCTCTCATCCTCCACCTCCGGCCGCTCCCCCGCGCTCGCCGAACCGTCTGCCCCCCCTCGCGGGCTCTCATCGGCACAGCCTCTCCATTGCGACGAGCCAACTGAACAGCGCCAACTCGACGCAGCACTCGGCCGGTTACCCTCCTCCATCGGCCTACTCCAACGGTACCAACACCGGTCCCCTGTCCGCCGCGCCTGCTCAGCGTCAGACAATGCACTTCCCCGCCCCTTTTGTAAACTCGGGGTACGGGGACGAGATGCAGCCGAGCCCTCCAGGTAGTGGAGTGGGGACGTTGGGATCGCTCGCCCGTTCCGCGTCTCTTGGTACTGCGCGCCGCAGGGATCCCTTCTCCTACGCCGCCGACGATGTCGAGAGCGGGATGGCTGGCGATCAGCAATGGGGAGGATATGGCTCTGGTAGCCTACACCCTACGCAGCAGCCGCCCCAGCCATACGTCAACACGAATCGTTCGTCGGACCGTGACGTTCTCATGAGTCCCGGTCGGTACAACCAGGCGCCATCCATGCCTCCGCCCCCTCTCCCGCCCGTGCGCACACAGCTCAACCAGCAGCAGACCATGTTTGTTGCCAGTCCCTCGACGGCCACGCCCCTCCAGCAGCAACTTCCGCCAACGAACCCATATATCCCTCGTAATGCGGACACTGGACCGGGCGTCGGTGGACCTGAAGCTAGTGGAGCGCCGCCATCAGATGCCTGGCTCAGCTATCGCCGCAACAGCGCTGCATCCGACTCTGTCTCTCCCCTCGGCGCCAGTCCACACTCGCCTGGCCTCTTGGCCCAGTACGACCCTTCTCCTCATCTCCTCACTCCGCAGGGCTCGTCCAACCACTTGCCTTCGTCATCGTCTCCGCGCCAGGCATACCCACTGCCCGCCTCCCCACAGCGCCGCCCATCGGGCCAGTACAACTCGGGCATTCGTTCCCAGTCATTTGCGGCCAGCCAGCCCGTCACTCCCTCTGGGAGGTACGAGCAGATGCCGAACAGCTCAGGTGCCAACCGCCGCGACACTGCCTCCCGCCACGGCTTCAGACCCATAAACGACTGGTCGGATCTCAAGCCCGTCGTCAACTCTCACGCGCAGGGCAGGCGTGCTGACCCCGACATTCCAGGAGGGTACATGAGCGTAAGTTGGATATCAGACTGTTCGACTGTCCATTTGCTGACATTTTGCCTAGCCTCTCAAGTGTCTCACACAAGCACTGCCGCAGACGTACACGCTCTGCAACCCCACGTTCAAATACGAGTCGACTGACAACCCTCGCCGTGTGCTCACCAAGCCGAGCAAGCCAGTGTACAATGACGGCGCGGACAACGAGGACTGGGATTACATCCTATTTGTCAATGACGTCCTCGGTGGTGACCACGGAGGCGACAGGTGAGCGATTATGACCCCGCAGAGGACGCTGCCGAAGCACTCCTGGCTAACGCCCCTCATCAGGTACCTCATTCTTGACGTGCTAGGACAGGGCACCTTTGGCCAGGTCGTCAAGTGTCAGAACATGAGGACGCACAGCATTTGCGCCGTAAAGGTCGTCAAGAACAAGCCGGCGTACTTGAACCAGAGCAAGATGGAGGTCGCCATTCTGAACCTGCTCAACCGGGATCACGACCCACGCGATGAGCACCACATACTGCGGATGTACGACTCGTTCACCCACAAGAGCCACCTGTGTCTCGTGTTCGAGTGTCTCTCGTCCAACCTGTACGAGCTCATCAAGCAGAACCAGTTCAAGGGTCTCAGTCTGCAGCTCGTCAGGGTGTTTACCCAGCAGCTGCTCGAGTGTCTTGCTGTCCTCAAGGAGGCCAGGCTCATCCACTGTGATCTCAAACCTGAAAACATCCTTCTCAAATCGTAGGTCCCTTGATTATGGCCTGGCCTTGCTGACCCAGCCAGTCTGCAGTCTCCCCAGATCAAGGTCATCGATTTTGGCTCGGCGTGCCACGAGCTCCAGACCGTGTACACATATATCCAGTCCCGCTTCTACCGCTCCCCCGAGGTGCTTCTTGGATTGCCGTACTCGTGCGCCATTGACATGTGGTCGCTCGGCTGCATCGTCGTCGAGCTCTTCCTTGGGCTGCCCATCTTCCCGGGTACCAGCGAGTACAACCAGGTCTCGCGTATCACCGACATGTTGAGTCTGCCACCAGCACATCTCCTGGAGATGGGCAAGCAGACAAACGAATTCTTCAACTTTGTCGGCGTCGACGCTCACGGTCGCAAGCAGTACAAGCTCAAGCCCATGGACCAGTACGCCAGCGAGCACCGTACCAAGGAGCAGCCCAGCAAACAGTACTTTAAGCAGACCAAGCTCGACGAGATTGTCATGGAGTATCCCTACAGCAAGAAGAACGTCAAGCAGTCGGACATTGACAAGGAAATGGGCCAGCGCCGCGCGTTCATCAACTTTGTGCAGGGTCTGCTCCACCTCGACCCCATGAAGCGTTGGACTCCCTTGCAGGCGGCCAAGCACCCGTTCATCACTGGCGAAAAGTACACGGGGCCATACGAGCCTCAATCGGTGCCAACGAAGAGGACGCCGGCGTCCTCATCGACTCCCTCTGCTGCCACGACACCGACGACGCCCTCGTCCAAAAAGTATGGCGGCCTCGTCCAGTCGCCATCCTCGAACCGCGGCCAGCGCGTGTACTCGGACGCTGCGGCTTACAACCACCAGCTCAACCAGCACCAGTACCAGACCGCACAGGCTGCGGCCGCCCAAAATGTGGTTCGCCCAGGCCCCTTCTCGCCTGGCTACGACTCCCAGCCTCAGTCGTCGTACACCAAGCCGCGTGTTTCGTCCCAACATGTCCCACCACCATCGTGGCACCAGCCCATGGCGCCTCCTGCACAGCAGCAGAGTTATCGCATTCCATCCGGCTCGCAACAGCAGGCTCAGCAGGCTGTGCGGCCGAACATTCCCATTATCAACGCCCCAACAAACCCCCCACCCAACTCATACTTCCCAGCGTCGAGGAACCGTGCCAACACGATCAACCAGATGGACTCGATTCCGCCGGCATTAGCTCGGCTCACCAACCTGGGCGCGCCAGACCCGTCTGGAAACAGGTCGTCGCTCACGCCCGTTCTGCACCGCGAGGACATGGCCGAGGCGTGGGAGAGGAGGCAGCAAGGCGGGACGCAAAAACACTCCAACTTGCAGACGACAACGTATCCGCAGCTCGAGTACTTGCAGGAGCAAGCAGAGCTCGTCAACCTCGGCCAACAAGGCTACGTTATGCCTGGGCAGTACCACGGCATGCACCTTCCCTCCAACCCCATGGCCCACCACCGCGGTACCCAGTCCTTCTCTGGGACCCAAGCGTACCAGATGCAGCCTGGGATCGGACACGTGCCACAAGACTACCGAGGACGTGCACCGCCCCACGCCCTGCAGCCGACAAGCGACTATGACCCGCCATCGTCATCTTCGCGCTCGTTCCTCCCTGCCTTCCCGCCTCCAGCCGCGACAACGACGCACGCGGGCCAAGCGGCCGGCGGATCGTTTGACGCCTTTGACGCACGCGAAGCCAACATGAACCTCATGTACACGCCGCTCCAGCCCACGCAGGCCGGCGGCTCGTACGGCTACTCGCCCGGCCACGCGTCCAGGTCGTCGTACTCGGGGCCCTACGGCCAGCCACCAGGCGGTCAGCGGGGTAACAACCCCTTCGCCCCCGGCCAGCCTCCACAGAACCCCAACTCGCCGAGGCGATATGGTGGCGGCGGCGGCGCCGGCTACGGTGCGGCGTAGGGATCGAGCGAGCGAGAGAAAGGCATTGAAAAAAAAAGCAAAAGAGAGAAAACCATTGAAAGAGTGCTTTGCTTCGAGCACTGCAAAAACCCCCCAACGGAGAGGTGTCGTGGCCCTTGCTGGGTGGGGTGTCTATCCTTCTCTGGCACAGCCATGAGAAGCGGGCCCGCCCCCACACTGAGCGAGGAGGAGACGACGCGCGGCGACAAATTGCACATCGAGTAGAGCGAGAGAGATCGAGAGAGGGAGGGAGTCATGAGAGATTGGCATTCGGGATGATGGAGGCAATGATACATATTCCGACAACAACGTGAGAGTCATGCATGCCACTGGTATCGTTTCGTGTAGCCGCTGTTGCACTCGCCTTGTGTTAGGGCAGATGGTCTGGGAGGCGCAGAGGGTGACACAGTCTTGGGGGCGTGATACTGTGTCACCATCGGAACCCTCGGCTGGCGTTCTTCCCTATGCGCATCACAAGTGCACGCCAGCAGGCGCACAAACTGTACTTCTTGTACTTGTAGCATGGATACACTAATGGTTCGTGTGTACCATTGGGCACAACAGACTATTGACAAGGGCCTCCTCGGCTTGCCTCCGCCAAATGTTCTCCCTGCAAAACTCTTCTCCCTCACACTGACCACAACACTGCACATGTCATTATATCAATGTTTGTCTAACATCGTGCGGGGTCGCGTCCCACCACTGGGCGGGTACGCACTGCGCTGCCGGTCCCCAACCCCGGGGCTGCCGGAGTACGTGAGACCGCCGAAGTAGCGGCGTTGAAGTTGCTCTTGAGCATGTTGGCGTGTAGGTTTGTGCCGCTACGCGAACGGGGGATCTTGCGCACCGAGCCACTGGCGGCACCGTTGGGAAGACCGCTGATGGCTCCGTTGGCAGTGCTGGTTGCTGGAGTAGGTCCACCTGCCGGTTGCGGGTTGATGCTGCCCAGGGGCGCACGGTCTGTTGAAGTGGCACTGGCACCGGTAAGGTTAGGGGCAGCTGGGACTGTGCGCCGGATGAAAGGAGACGGGAGATCGGGATCGTCGGCAGACCACTTTGCTGGTGTTGCTTCAGGGCGATACACATACGTTGGGGCTGGAATCTGGGTTGGTGGCAAGCAAGGGCTGTCATCCACTGTATCGCTAAACTTGCGTGGACGGGGGAGGAACGGCGTCGATAGCAACGAGTGAGCGGGGGAGATGGCAAAGGACGCCGTGGCCATGGTGATGTCCTCTGCGAAGACGCGGTCAAGCTCTCCAGGCGACCCGATAGATGTCCTTCCAGTGACATGACGATATGGCGTTCCCTGTGCACGAGCTTGCTTGGCGGGCGTGGACTGTAAGGGAGCAACAAACTCGTCGTCGGAACGAGCGCGAGCGGCAAGGTTGGTCATCGACTTGGACGCCAGGCGACGCTGGAGATTGCTCGAGCCCATCCCTGCCGAAGATCCACGACGCGCTGGCAAGCCGGAAATCTTGTTTGTTAGCCTCTGGTCGAGGGGAACTGGCGATGCGAATGCCGATGGGAACGGAATCTTGGATGGCGTTTCATCATAGGACGGGTGACGTTGGAAGCGCGAAGAAGTCGCAGGAACAGGAAAGGTTCTGGTGGTCAGTCAGAATACAAGCATCATGACTCACTTTCGCTCCTCAAGTGGTGGTCGATTAGGCGCAGCTTCAGGTACGATCTCCTCGGGAGACGCAACCGGCAGCTCCATGAGGTCCTTGGCTTGAGCGTCCTTCACTTCCCTAATATTTTCCCACTCCCGACGAATTGCGTCTCTGGCCTGGGAGATGCGGCGATTGTTTTCGCAAAGGACGTTCTCGCGGTCCTTGAGCTCAGCCTCGCGAGCATTGAGGGCTGCTTCCAGCTCCCTCACGGACGCTTCGCGCTGAGACATTTCGACGTATTCCTTCTGTAGTGCTGAGGTGCGTTCTTGCAAACGAGCTTCGCGTTGTTGTAAATCAGCCTGGAACTGTAGCAGGTCGTCCCGTCTCTTGGTAAGTTGCATGGTTCTGTTGGGTCAGCTCGGCAATAAATCTGGTACCCACTGCATCTGAACGTGGAACCCTTTGTGATGGACTTTCATCTCGTCCATTTCCAACAGGTCCCTGGTCGAGGGTCGACGCACAGGCTAGGCGTCAGCGTTGCTTAATCGTCCTTGAAGACTTACATTCAAGTTGAGCATAGCCCTGATGACGGCCTTGAGCGAAGGGGAAATGTGGGATGGCAGGGGCGGCAGTTTGCCCGACTTGACCATCGTGATGAGCTCCTCTTGAGTCTTGGCGGAGGCGAAAGGCGAGCTTGCAAGGTCAGCTAGCTACTATGGCACATCATGCTTGCTCACCTGAGTGCACACATCTCAAAGACCAGGCATCCGAGGCTCCAAATGTCAGACTTGGTGTCATAACGGTTCTCGGCCAGGATCTCGGGAGGCATGTACAGGGGAGTCTGGTTTTGTTAGCCAGAACGTCATTGTGTTGGTCATCGCAACTCACCCCCACGTATGTGCTGGTGAAGGCAAGGCCGGCCATGTCCTTGCTCAGGCCAAAGTCGCCCAACTTGACAACATCACCTGAGAGGAATACATTCTCAGGCTTGAGGTCGCGGTGCAGGACCTGCGTCCTGGCTGCCACACCGTCTGCCCGACCATTTGCGACACGGGGACGCTCGTTGGGCCAGTGACAATGATGCAGAGCCAAGGTGATTTGCAGGAAGATGCTCCAGATCTGATCGTCGGGCAGAGGAGTGTTGCTGCGCTTGGCCTTGCGGATGAGAGAGCCAAGGTCGCCCGAAGTACAGAACTGGAAATGCGGGTCAGCAACAGCGTCTCAACTGCGGCTGTCCGTATGTGTGTGTGTGTGTGTGTGTGTGCCCGAACAACCAGGCTCAAACTTACTTCCATGACAATGAAGATGCGTTCGTTCTTGGGGTCCTTTATCTTCTGCACAAGCTGTACAATGTTACGGTGCTTGAGAGATTCGAGAATCGCTCTGCGGCGCATATTAGTTGCTGGGCACTACTGCGGGTAAATATACAGCCTGCTCCGTACTCACACCTCAGCCAGGATCTGCTTACGGTCGCGCTCCGTCATCTTGCCATAGTCTAGCTGCTTGAGGGCAAAGTCCTTCACACGCCATGTAAGCTAGAAGGCCCCTAAGAAATGAGTTTGGAACTTACTTTGTTGTCATTGATGCGTTGAACTTTGGAGATGACACCAAAGCTGCCTTGGCCAATGTTGCTCACGAGCCGGTACTTGTCCATCTCTGAAGCCTCCGCATAGCCAGTGGCAGAGGCAACCGAGTTGGACGGCGTTGTTGTGCCCGCTCGCCTGGGAGCTGCCATGGTGGACGGCGATGGCGCTGTTTAGGAAAGGAGAGACCGAGGACGGGGGCCGGTGGGTCGACTGGTGAGATGTTTGTGTTGATCGGTTGGGGTAGGAGGCGATGGGATGCTGGAGGGGGAGGCTGGGGTGTTTGTGTTTATGGGTACTACAAGGTCGTGGACGGTGTGAGGACGGTGCAATGAGGGAATCACGAAGGAGTGTGACGGGGTAGAGAGAGAGTGTGTGTGCTGTCGGGAACGTCGATGTTATGATCCCCCTCGTAGCTGCTGCAATGGCCCAAACGGGTGTAATGTGAACGCTACACACCTCCGCACTCCGCGCACAATACGAGACAACCAGCCTCCCCGCCCCGTGCCGCGTTATCAAAGTTAGTCGCGGTCCGGAGGTATTTATTATTGAAAATGACACGTGTAAAAAGAGGAGGCAGACCTTTCCTGTGCCGGGCCTCCACCGGCGACTTTGGATTTTTGGCCACCATGCACGACAAGTTCAACAACATCCACACCACCATGTCGTCCGCTTCTTCCGACTCGGGCCCCTCCAGGTCTCCTTCCCCCGATGCTGAGGCTGGTCCCTCAGCCAAGACCTTTGCCGACCTCGGTGTCTCCCAGGAGCTCTGCGACGCGTGCGAGTCACTTGGCTTCAAGGCTCCTACGGACATCCAGGCCGAGGCCATCCCTCCTGCCCTCACTGGTCGTGATATTATCGGTATCGCCCAGACTGGTTCGGGTAAGACGGCTGCCTTTTCGCTTCCTATCCTCCAGACTCTTTGGGAGAACCCCCAGCCCTTCTTTGCTTTGATGCTGGCACCTACTCGGTGAGCTCTCCTAGTGTTATCTCCCAGAGCTAACTGGTCAGTGAACTTGCGGACCAGATCGCCAAGCAGGTCGCTGCCCTTGGTGCTCCCATTGGTGTCCGCACTGCTGTCATTGTTGGTGGTATGGACATGATGTCGCAGAGCATCGCTCTGTCCAAGCGCCCCCACATCATTGTCGCCACTCCTGGTCGTCTTATGGACCACCTCGAGAACACCAAGGGCTTCTCGCTCAAGGCTCTCAAGTACCTGGTTCTCGACGAGGCGGACCGTCTTCTTGACCTCGACTTTGGACCCATCATTGACAAGCTTCTCAAGATTATCCCCAAGGAGCGCAACACCTTCCTCTTCAGTGCCACCCTCTCGACCAAGGTTGAGAAGCTCAAGCGTGCTTCGTTGAACAAGCCTGTCCAAGTGAAGGTTGCTTCCAAGTGAGTTGTTGTGTTCATTGGCTGCAGCTAACCCTCCAGATACTCGACTGTCTCGACCCTCATGCAGTACTACGTCTTCTTCCCCGAGGTCCAGAAGGATGCCTACCTCTTCTACCTGGTCAACGAGCTCTCGTCGTCATCGATGATCATCTTCACCGGAACCGTCGACCGTGCTCAGCGTCTTTCCATCATGCTCAACCGTCTTGGCTTCCCTGCCATTCCCCTCCACGGCCAGCTCTCTCAGAGCGCTCGTCAGGGATCCTTGAACAAGTTCAAGAGCGGTGGCCGCAAGATCCTCGTGGCCACTGACGTTGCCTCGCGTGGTCTCGACATTCCCCTTGTCGACTTGGTCGTCAACTATGACATTCCTTCCAACTCGAAGGACTATGTCCACCGTGTCGGACGTACTGCCCGTGCTGGTCGCTCGGGTAAGTCGATCACTTTGACGACGCAGTACGACGTTGTCATGCTCAAGGGCATTGAGGCGGCCATTGGGCGCCAGCTGCCCGCCTTTGAGGTCGACAAGGAGGCTGTTGCCATTCTCTCTGACCGTGTGTCTGAGGCTGCCCGTGCGGCCCGGATTGAGATGCGTGAGCAGGGCACTGGTGGCGCCGGTGGCAAGCGTGGACGCGACAAGGGAAGCAAGGGACGGTTCGACGACAACCGTGACCGCGACGACGACGTTGTGCAGGGCGGCATGCCCAACAAGAAGTTCAAGAAGGGTGGCAGGAGGTAGAGAGGGATGCTTCTTTCTGTAGACTTTTATAGAGTACGCCTGTCATTAGGGAGACTGCGAGACATGTAACAATGCCACTAAAAACAACACTCCACAAAAAAAATGTTGCCACCCAGAGCGAGGCCCCGCGATTCCCTGTTCCGGAACATGCCCGGGAATGCCGCCCGTTCCTGCACCTTGTGCTCATGCGCGAGTGTTAGTCCTTTGATTGCCTTCTGCCCATCTCTATCACCATGGCCGCGCAGTCTTCCAACCCCTCCCACCTGCTCATATCGCGCAACCCGCGCTCTCCAGCGCACCCGCAGCTGGCATCGACAACCACGTCACTGTACTCGCCGCAGCCAGGTCCGCACCTGTTTTCCTTTGGGTCGAGTTCAGCGTCTGCGTCCGACTCGGCCGACCCAGCACACGGGATCGTTGCACACGTGCCCCTTCACACGCGGTCACACAGCACACCCGCGTTTTCGATGACCGCAGAGGACGACATGTATGAGGATGACGAAGACGAGGAGGAGGAGGACATCGTTGTGCACCCAACGTTCACGCAGGACGCGGCGTTGCCCGGACGCGTCAAGGTGATTGTCGGTCGGCACGAATTCTGGTGTCACAAAGAAGTGCTCTGGTTTGCCAGCCCATTCTTCAATGCGCTGCTACAAGGGAGGTGAGTTACCTGTCGTCTGGTTGGTGCTGACGTGGTTTACCAGCTGGGCGGAAACCTCGAGCGTTGTGGTCGCTGCTCAACCATCCTCACCGACCGATACCGATCCCGCACATGGTCCCGAGCGTTCCGTCACTTCTTCCACTGACGTACCAGAACCCAACACAGCAGAAAGCACTGTTGTACCTGGGCGCGTCTCTGAGCGGTCGTCCGCTGCCTTTGCAGCTCTCAAGGGAGTTGGTTCACCACGCGCTTCCAAGCGCTCATCCCGCCAGAGCCGCCGGAGCATAGGGCTCGAGTCCGAGTCTGATGCGGACCTCAACAAGACAAGTGTCTATCTTGACGCTCTGGACGACGGTCCCTCAGTGGCCCAGATTCTCAAGGAACTGCGCGAGCTGCCAGAACCGCCTGCGTCTGGAGCATTTGATACTATTGCCGGTACAGGCAACGCACCGCCGCCGCCGCAGACTGGCACAACGACGACGACGTCGACAGCCATGACGCCCGTGCCCGAGTCGCCAAAGGAACCAGAGACGCCAGCGGCGCCATCGCAAGCCCCAGTGCCCGTTGCGGCCGCATCCCAGGCCCCGACTGCAACGTCGTCCACGCCGCCCGAGCGGCCGCGTTCGGCACCGACAATCTCGTCCCCGTCCGCCACGCACGTTGCACCGCTCAGGCTGCAGCCAAGCGTGGGCCACACCTGCCCTCCAGCTGTGACAATGGCCACGACGTCTGACGCCCGGCACCCATGGCGGTTGAGTAATGGTTTTGACCCATCGGTCCCTGCGTTCCCAGTGCGAAAGGAGGACCGCACCGACGAGCGCATCGACGCTGTTGTCGAGCTGCACGAGGAGAGTCCCGCAGCGTTTCAGGACTTCTTATTTTGGGCATACCCTCACCTCGAGTGCAAGGTGACATGGACCAATGTGGAGTCGGTGGGTGGAAGATGTGCATCGTGATAGCAACGCTCACCTCGCAGCTCCTTGCCCTCTCCTCCAAGCTGGACGTCCCGGCCCTCCAGTCACTCTGCGAGCGGTTTCTCGTCACTCATGCAAGCGGCCGGCCGTTTGTAGCCCTCATGCTTGCCGAGCAGTACTACAATGCCGACCTGTATCGTGAGGCGTCGCGCTTCGTGCTGGACCAGTCCACATGGGACGAGCACGAAATGGCCACGTTGAGTGACCAGACGCAGCTCAAGCTGTCGATGCGGTGAGTTGCAGGCCGCTCTCTCTCTCTCTCGAACACTAGCTTATAGTTCAGACGTAACTGGTTCCTCGAGCGTCTGTTGAAGCTCGGCAGTATCGATTGCAAGAAGGAATACACCTGTGTGAGTCCAACAGGCTGGCTATACCGCCTTCTGCGTCGTTTGTGCTGCTCGCTCACAACACCGCCAGCGACACGACTGCCCAGACCCCTCCCGTTGCCAGGCACAGCTGGACGAGAAATGGCGGCAGGCGCACCAGGCCGTGTCGCGCTACGGTCCCCCTCAGCCTTCGGTCGCGTTCAGGTGTCTCCGCCAGCTCGAGACGTTCCCCACAAACCCCTCGCTCGTCATGCCGCACCCCTTGTGCCAAAGTGCCGCCAAGAGCTGGGTTACGACGTGTAAGTCAACCACAGCCCAAGGCTGCCAGAAAGCTGACTTTGGGCACAGTGTTCGACCGCATGTTCCAGCCCAAGCTGGTCTTTGGCGCCCTCAGTCCTGGTACCGAAAAGGTTAGTTGCGGTGACAGCGGACTCCAGCTGACAAAACAGTACTGGTTGTACATCACACTCCCACGCTAGACACGACATGCTTCCCGTCCTCCTGTGTCCTTTTAGTAATCTCCCCGGTCTCTTATTCCTTGGCCCCCTCTCCCCAGGTCTTCGATACAGGGGCATCATATGCATTGTTTTATAAACTTGTAACGCATCTCTACAGGGCTACTGCACCTGGACAACAGCAACGGCCTTGAACGGGTCGGGACTGCCGCTCTGCAGGGCGGCCATCGATGCCTCACGCACGCGGTCAAGGTACGCCACGAGGCGGTAGGGCTTGTCGTCAGAGCCAAGGAACTCTTCGTACACGTGATAGTCTTCAGCGGCGACGAGCTTGGTCATGTCCAGAGCGCGCTGGAGGAGGGCGGGGAAGAGTTCGCGGTTGTCCACGAGGCGGTTGTGCAGGCGCAGGACGAGGTCGGGGACGAAGATCTGGCGGATGCGGGCAAGTTCCTTGCGGCGCTGCGAGCCTGAAGTAACAGTCAGCGCCCCGTCGTGAAGCAAGCTGCACCCGTATGTATAACTCACTGTATGTCGTCCTTGACGAGATGTGGAATCGCAGCCAGCCCGAGGTGAGGAGAGCACGAGTCTGGTCATGTGTCTTCTCAATGGCAGACAGAAGACGCTTGCGCCAGTTGTGCTGGTCGACCTTGGTCGCGGTGGCCTTGGGCTTTTGCGAAAGAATCTCATCCACGGCCTCATGGCACGCAAACACGCCAAGCAGGCGTCGATAGCTGTCGTGCTCAAGGAGCTGGCTGTCATCGTCGTCACCGGCGTCCGTGGTGATCTCGGCCGGGAGCGTCCTGAGCAACGCTTCGGCGGCTGTGGCCTGGCCAAGAGCTATGGATGTCAGCTGGAACTGGACTTGCGGCTCGAAGCAGCTTACCGAGGAAGTACCGCGCCACATCGTTGGACCGCAGCAGGGCTTCGTCGTATGTCTCGGGGACCATGGTTAGCCACTCGATTGAGCGGATGAGGCGCACGTCGCGCTCGCTCAGACCAGTCGAGAACGTGGTCATGTCAGGCTGGCCAAGCGCAAGTGCAGGGATGTGCTGGGAAAGAGAGTTAGACGGGGGAATCTTTCCAACCGTATGGGTGAAGCTCACCTCAAACTCAGACTTCAGAATCTCGCTGACGGTAAGCTTGGCGATGATGGTGACGTTGAGGTTGTACTGTTTGGCGCGGAGGAGGGCTTCCTGCTTGACCTCGCGGGTGGCATTGGGATCCATTCCACGGAGGAAGCGAGCATAGCTCTCTTCGCCGTTGCCCTCGCGGAGGCACGCGGCGTACATGGCCACGAGTGAGTCCTTGCCCTCGCGCTTGAGAATGCTCAAGTAAGCCTCAAGAATGTAGTTGGCGGCAGACTCGGGAACAGGCTGGTTCAAGGACCGGAGGACGAGAACGAGGTGTGCGAAGAAACGCATGAGGGGACCAATGAGTTCGGGAGCCACCGACTCTTCGAGGCCGGAGATGCGGTCGGCAAAGGTGTTGAGGAGCGACTCGGCACGACCAAGGATCACCATCTTTTGTGCCACGTAGTACGGGTTCTGCGAAGCGTTCGCGACGTCTCCAGATTGCACAGAGGCAATGCTGGCAAACACCTGGTCAAGGCCACCGTGGGCGACGTCGACAGCCTCTTCGTCGTCACGGCCACGGAGCTGGTCCTCGGCCTGCCAGAAGCCGCCCAGCTCGCTGCACCGGCGATCGAGGCGCTTCTCGGTAAGGTGAGTGATGTGGGCCCAAAGATGGTCCTCCCACGACTGGCACGCGGGAAGAAGGGACTGCAGGTCCGAGATGAGTGCAGCGTAAAGGCTGCGCTCGGAAGAAGAGAGCGTAGGCTACTGGGTCAGCTGCGTGTGTAGTAATTAAGCTACCTACGTTCTTTGCAATCGCGCGACAGCTCTTCTTCCACAATGCGCGGGTGCGGTTGCCCTCCATTGCCGATCCCGTCAGACTGTCGTTCGCTGAAAGGTTAGCACATGGAGAAGTAGCGTACCTACTCAATCCGCTCATGTTCCACCTCCTGCCGCCCATAAGCGACGCAGCGCGCCAAGGCTCGCCGCCCTCTTCACAGACCTTGACGGCCTGGTCAAGCTCTCCATGACGAACGAGGTCCCAGAGGGTCTCAAGAAGAGGAGCCTGGTATGTCTGGTCCTCGCCAGCAAGGCTCTGTCCGTGGGGATCGCGCAGGGTAAAGTCGGGGTCAAGCGAGGTTGTGACTGCCGCTCCGTTGTTCAAACGAGCGGCCTTGGCGCGCCTCATGGTGGAAGGAAGGTAACCGGTACGGGACTCGATGGGTGGTGGAGAGGTGAAGAGTGGCCTGCTCTGCAGATGACCCACAAGCGTAGCCCACAGGGCAAGCTCAGAGTCCTCGTTGACAATGGTCTGGACAAGCTCCTCTGGCGGGGTGTATGGGGACTCGCGAATCTGTTCAGACGCCGACGGCGCAACGAAGGCTGGGTCGGCTCGGGGCAGTCGGTTGCTGTTGGGTTAGTGGAACTCATAGGAACACAACCTACTCGTAAACAGCCCGTATCAACGCCCAGGTGCGGTGCTCGAGCAGCATGGACTCGTACTCCTCCGAGGGCATGGGGGCGGACGAGTTGGCGCGGTGAGCTTGGAGGCTGAGGGTCAGATGAGAACGTTACACGTTACATTTCAGCTGCATACTTACTATCCCTCCAGGCTTCCCATGAGAGCCTCAATCATGCCATTGTCCTGATCCAAGACAACATCGTAAGGGATGGGTGTGTCGAGTTGAGCCGAGGAAGGACCAGCTTCTGTGTACTGGCTGTGGTACCGAGAGAGGATATCGGCAAAGGTGGAGTATGGGGACTGTGCCAATGTCCCTGCTGCGCCTGCCATGTTGCTGAAGAGGGCGATGTTGGAGGGGGGGCGATGGGGGGAGGATGCAAGAGCTGATGGCCGAAAGTAGAGGAGGCCTGAGGCAACAAAGCGAAACAAGAGCCAGAGCGCGAGGTGTGTGTGTGATAAACAACTGAAGAATTGACGTGTAAACACGTGTCACGGTTTGCGTCATCTTGCCCCGCAGGACCTCCCCCGGGCGGCGCGGGCGGCGGCGGCGACGGCGGCTTCCATGCGTCCGTTTGCAGACGTGCAGAGCTTGGTTCCGTTGTGTGTGTGTGTGTTGGGTGGGAGACACAACGGGTGGTCATCTTCGTTTCGTGTTCCTTCCATCGTCACCACTTCCTCATCTTGACATTTACCTTTTGCTATCCAACTCCCCCTCCCGTCTCCATCGCCCGTTACACCTCCTACCGCCCTCTCCACCTCCCCACGCCCCACATACACGTGACACCACTCTCCCCCCATTACATCAGCCACACCCACTCTCCCGACCTCTCGGTCTTGCGTCGCCACTCACCTCGTCAAAACGAGGTGTCTGCCCACCGTGCCGCCCCTCGTCACACCGTCCCCCACAATCTCCCCGCCGCCGGCCAACAAGCGACTTCGCGACTCTACCTCCCCTATACCACAGCAACCCGCTAACAAGCGCGCGCGGTCCTCTACCCCTTCAGACGACGCAGACTTGGGCACCCCGGCGCGCTCCAACATGTCTTCCGACGGCGAAGACTTTTACTACGATGACGCCGACGACGGCTTTGGGCAGGACGACGACATCATGGACGGTAAGTTGCACACAGTCCTATGCGCTCTCCTCGTCGTGGAGTTGCGCGGACGCAAATTGGCGCACACAGCGCATGGGTCGCTAGAGCACCCTCGAGCCGGCCTCAAGGACCACTCACCATCACTTTGGGAACACGAGCTGATACGTTTATGCAGACATCGACTCCGAGTCTGAGCCCGACGTCTTTGACGCTTTGAGCCCCACCATCGAGGGTGAGTCATTGTCCATCCTTCCTGCTTCCCTCCTGCCTGCCTAACCCCGCTCCCATCCGGACAACATTGACACTGCCGCGCAGAGGCCCCTTCCAAGAAGCCTTACGATGTGTCGTACAAGGTCCGCTCGCCTCAGGAGCTCCTTGACATGCAGAACAAGGAGATCAAGAAGATCCAGACGCTACTTGAGGTTCCTGTGAGTTGGCGCTACCATGCGGACCGTAAATAGTAACTGACCAACCTTTAGTCATCCGCAGCAGCCACTCTTCTCCGTCACTACGCTTGGAATGCCGAAAAGCTCCAGGAAGAGTTCTGGACCGACTCTGCAAAGTCCCTTGCGGACTCTGGGCTCTCCCCTCCTGGCTCTCCCAGTACCTCAATCGCGTCGCTTCCTCCCCGCTCCACTCGCCAGACTCGCAGTTCCCACCAGGAGCCCTTTGACTGTCCTATCTGCTGTGACGACTTCCCGGCGTCCCAGTTTGAGGAGAAGACGTTTGCCCTCGGCTGTGGACACCGTTTCTGCCGCGGCTGCTGGCAAGAGTACCTCACAGGCAAGGTCAAGGGCGAGGGCGAGAGTGCGCGAGTCCAGTGCATGGAGAGCGGCTGCAACCGCGTCGTGAGGGAGGAGGCTGTGAACGAGCTGGTCACGTCCGACGTTTCGGCAAGGTGAGAAAAGACAACGCTTGACTGTGTGTCCTGTACGGGCTAACCCTGTAGGTACCACGAGTTGCTGAATGCCGCCTTTGTCGCCGACTCGCCAAATCTTCGCTGGTGCCCTCACCCCAGCTGCGAGTATGCCATCGAGTGTTCGCAGGCGCCTCCCCGTATGCTCAACCAGCTCGTCCCTACTGTTGTCTGCCACTGCGGCAACGACATGTGTTTCGGGTGTGGCTACGCTGCCGACCACCGTCCTGTCCTCTGCAAGATTGTCAAGCTCTGGGAGAAGAAGTGTGCCGACGACTCGGAGACGGCCAACTGGCTCAACGCCCACACCAAGGAGTGCCCCAAGTGCCAGTCGACGATTGAAAAGAACGGTGGTTGCAACCACATGACCTGCAAGAAGTGCAAGGGCGAGTTTTGCTGGGTGTGCATGGGCCCTTGGTCCGAGCATGGTACCAGCTGGTACCAGTGCAACCGCTTTGACGAGAAATCTGGTATCAATGCCCGTGATGCCCAGGCCAAGAGCCGCGCGAGCCTGGAACGCTACCTCCACGTTAGTGCACAAGTCTTGGTTCCTTGCTGACTCCATTTAGTACTTCAACCGCTGGGCGAACCACGAGCAATCGGCCAAGCTCGACGCCGAGTTCTACAAGAAGACTGAGAAGAAGATGGAGCAGATGCAGAACAGCGGAAACCTGTCCTGGATCGAGGTCCAGTTTGCACGTGACGCTGTCAGCGTCGTCATCAAGTCGCGTATTCTCCTCAAGTGGTCCTACTGCATGGCCTTCTAGTGGGTTTGCCAGATCTGTGTGCGCTAACCTGTCAGTCTTACGCGCAACAACATGACGGAGCTGTTCGAGGACAACCAGCGTGACCTCGAGCGCGCTGTCGAGGACCTCAGTTTCATCCTCGAGTCGGACATGGCCGAGCAGCCCATTGCCAAGATTCGCTCCGAGGTCACCAACAAGGCGGTGAGTTGCTCGCTGGAGGGGCGATGGAACTTTTACTGACAAACCGCCAGGCATATGTGCAGAAGAGGCACGACATCCTCCTTGACGACACTCTCAAGGGCTACCTTGAGGTGAGTCTTCATCAGCGACGAACACGATGGCTAACTGTACAGCGCAGGTGGAGTTTCCAGGTGGATATCTAGACAATGGTGTCCTAGATTCAAGGCCACACAGGCCTTTTTAGCATGTCCGTAGACCCGTGTGTATGTAATATCAGTTTCCTTGTGTATCACGATGTGACGCGTTATGGCTGATCGGCCTTGTGCCGCGGTGGCAAAATTCCAGGCTGTAGGCTGTCCTCGAGTGGAGGTGGACAGTTAATTCCCGTTACACTGTTATTTCCCGTTCCACTGTTGTTCACCAACAGCTTTCCACTTTTCGTCTTTGTGCTCTTGTGGAGGCTGTTCGTCGTTACCATGCCCGACTATACGGCACAATTAAACGTGGCAAGGCAGCACATGGCTGAGCTTGTTGTCCATACACGCGCCTTTCAGTCCACCCGATTCTCCTTCGTCCCACCCATCCTCGACAAAGCGACCGATCTGACATGGGGCAGCTTCCTTCCACCTGGGATCGTGGGGTTTATGGCCGCTATCGAGAACCAAGCTGCAGCTTTAGACAAGGTGGGTGGTACTGTGGGGCTTGAACTGACAGACCAGATGGCCGCGTCGGACGTTCCACTCGCCGAGGACCCTCTTCCTCCCGTACTGGGCCTCGTGACCATTTGGAAGCAGGTCGTGCTCGCCCGCGCACCCGTCACCTTCGTCCGCTCCGCCTTCAAGGGTGCAGGCGGAAAGAAGGCTCGTGAGACGTTTGTCGACGTGATCGCACGCGGCGGCGCAGAATGGATCCGCCTGTACAACCGAAAGGCATCCGCCCTCCTCGCCGAGTTCAGGTTAGAAGATAGCTACCTCACCGAGGACGAGGACGAGGATGCTGGCCCTCCACCACCTATCAGCAATACCGTCACTCGACTTGTGGACGACCTCCTCGCTGCTGTGGCCGAGGCCGAGCGACCACCCGGAGCGGCTCGTCCGACCATCACCCTCCGCATCACTCGCATTGAAGAGCACCCAGCTGGCGGCCACCCCGACCCGCGCATCCCAGCAACCTTTGCTGCTGTGCGTGCTCGCGGTGTGAAACTCGTCTTTGGTGACCTCTCCGAGTTCTCCCTCTCGTCGCTACCGACGACTGTGCCGCCGCCACCCGTGGTCAGGCCCACTCGCCGTCTCAACCTCGACCCCACAGCGCTCATGGGTCTCTGTTCTGACCTCGTGCATTACCCATTACCAAAGGACGAGGACGAAGCTGCTGCGCGCTACTTCCGCCCCGAGCACGCTCTCGAATCGCATGTCCAGGGCAAGGACTCGCGCTGCTTCATCCCCAACGACAGGCTTGAATGGCGGGCTCAGAGCAAGAACTCGGTCGAGCTGGTGCATGGGCTCATCGACGAAATGGGCGCCCCTGTCATTGAGCAAATCCGGGACGCTCTCGATGCGCTCGTGACTGTTGACCAGGCCATCGAGTTTTGGGCCACCCGCAACGCTATCAAGTATGTTCAGGAGACCATCTCGTCCGAGACCATGATCGGCGAGGGCGGTGAGCAGCGTCGCATGCGCTGCCTGACCGGCTTGCAAGACGGCGACTTCTGGGAAGGGAGCCGTTACGAGGGCAAGGCTGGAGTTCTCACCGGGATCAAGCTGCACGTCTTTGGGGAGCCAGAGACGTACCCTGCCGACTATGACAGCTCGGAAGGCCGCCCGCCTCTCTGTCGCGAGGGCATGACGAGCTTCCACACCTCAACAGCCGCCATTGCCACCCAGCTGGTGGCCGAGTACCATGCCCGTGTCTCGGGCCGCATCGCCGCCCCGTCTACATCCATGGTTGTTCAGAAGCGGCTACCTGCCCCGCGTGTCGTCCACATCTCCGTCCCTCTCCCCGTTGTGAGCCTCGAGAGCCTCGCCCACGGCTCAGCGGAGGGCATGACGACACTGCTGTTAGGCCACGTCGTGTTTCGTGACCTCTTCAACCAGCCGCGCTGGCGCATCAATGGGTGGGCCCAGAGCAACTATGAGACCGAGGACGACGATAAACAGCGTCGCGAGAGCGAGAAAGTCAACGCCAACGGCAACGGTGAAGCCAACGGTAACGGTAACGACCACACTAGCCAGGTTCTCGACCCCGCCGCTGCCACGGGACCTGTCAACGCCGTCGCCTGGATCTTACCTTACCGCCTCCTCGGCGAAGGCAAGCGCATCAAGTTTGCAAAGGGCGACTACTCGTTCCCCAACTTCATCAACCGCGGACCGGCGGCCATGCGCGCTGCTCGGGAGGCAGCGTCGGGCACCCAGTCTCCTGCATCTCCTGCATCTTCCCGCCCCGTGTCCCCTGTACCCACATAGGGGCCATGCCCAGCATCTGTACACACCTTGCACATTACAATCCATGACATGCTCATATCCACGCTGCGCCGTATGTGAGCACAGGCGCTGAGAACAGTCGTCATTTTTGGCCAACTCGATCCGTATAATGTAAAAAACGTGACATGCTCTCTGCTACCCCTATCTCCTCTCTACTTGCCAGCATCCTCGTGCAGGAGCACATACTCTCGGGACGACGTTCCAAACTTGAGCACTGGAAGGGTGTCAGCTTCTCTACGGCCACAGAACAGCCAACTCACCGTCGCTGGCGCGCAGCTCATAGTAGCGCGACTTTGGAATCTCCTCGCCATTCACATAGGTGCCGTTTGTCGAGTCGAGGTCGATGACAAACGGCTTGACCTCGGACTTTTGGTCGCCAAACTCGTTGCGCTTGGTGATCTGGCGGAACTGGATGGCGGCATGCTGCTTCGAGCAGCTGGGGTGCGCGATGGGAATGTCGGTCACGACGGTGTCGCGGCCCACGAGGTAGCAGCTCTGGCGGTAGATGTGGATGAGGTCTGGCTTGTCAGCTTTGGGTCGTCTCAGTCTCAGGCATCGTTAGCTGTACTCACCGACCTGCTCGTCTCCCTTGAAGACGTACAGCCGCCAGTTCTGAACCGGCTTGCGCGCCTCGGGCGGCTCGTGGTACTTCATCGCCACGCCCTTGACCGTGTTGGCCTCCTTGGCGAGCAGGCCCGAGTTGCCAAAGTTGGGCTTGATGGGGGACGGCGCGCGGGCGACCTGCCATGCGTGTTAACAACAGCGAGCAAGCAGAAGAGAGCTGCACACGACACAACTCACCTCGCCACCGGTGTCCTCGTCAAACCGCTTCCTGTCTCCATCACGCTCCTTCTCGCGGTCTCTTGCCGAGTACCCTTCATCCCTCCCGCGCGAGCTGTAGGTGTCATCGCGACGCCTGTCTGTGCCATCGCGGCGGTCGCGATCACGGTCACCACGGTCACGGTCTCCTCGGTCACCACGTTCACCACGTTCACCACGGTCTCCGCGCTCGCGCTCACGATCCGGCGAGCGGCGCCGGGGTGAGCGCCTGTCGTATTCGCGTGGCCTGTCGCGATCTCTCCGTGGTGAGCGGGACCGCTGTCGTGAGTGTGGTGGGCTGTCTCTGGGCATGGCGGGTTGGATGCGAGAATGGGCAAGATGGAAGCGGAAACGCTCAGCTGTTTTCTGTTTTGGGCGGCGACGAGAACTCGGTGGGCCTCCCATATTGTTGGCACGCGCGCGCCGTGCCTGAACCCCCGCAACCAAAGCCGCAAATGAGCGCATTTGAGTCTCACTACGATCACTACGGGACGTCCTCTCTTCCTCGTCTTTTTCATCCCCGCATCTGGACGTCTCTTTGGATTCTTGCTCCCATCCTCCATCCTCAACGGGGCGTATCCCGCTTCCCACCCCAGGAGACCGGTCTGCCGCTTTTCGGGGCGCGCATCCACCTCGGCCACCACTGGTCCCCCGTCGTCTCTCGACCCATCAGCTCCACTTGCGCCTCGCCTTCTCTCCTCATCACCCCTTCCTTTCCTCCTTCAAAGATGGCGCCTCGCGCCACTCTGCAAGACCAAGTGACGACGCTCCGGAACGAGCTCGAGCTCTCGACGTTTCTCAACAAGGGCGTGCTGCAGAGCAACTCGGAGTACAAGCTGCGCATTGCTGAACTCGAGGCCGAAAACCAGGTCCTGCGTACCGCCGAGTCACGCCTGGCCGACACGGAGGACGCGCTCGAGGCGGCCGAGACACGCGCCCAGCGCGCCGAGGAGTCCCACAAGCGGTCCGAGGACCGGCGCGCCGCTGCCAACGCGCGCGAGCAGGACGCCCGGCGCTCGGCGGAGGAGGAGCGCGATCTCTGGCGAGCACGCTACGACGCGCTGTTCAAGGCTACGACACAGGTCCAGAGCCTGCTCAACGCGGCGACGGACACCGAGCGGTCACGTGCAGGACCGTCGATGGTGAGCTCTAGCATGCCCCACAAACCGAGCTTGCACGACTTATGCTAACGTGTGTACAGGCGAGGAAGGTCAAACCCCGCGTCTCGGCCCCGCCAGCACCAGCGTCGCGTGGGAACCCGACATCACAGGCCGTCGAGGTCAGCATCTCGTCCCGCGCGCCGCGACTCTCCAGCTCGCGCGCGTCCGCGTCCGCATCAGCAGCCGCATCTGGCCCAGCCGAGACGGACGTGTCGCCGCTCCTGCGCGGGCCCAGCGCTGCGGCGCGTAAACGCCGGCGCGTGGACTCTGTCAGCGACAGCAACGACGACGGAGACGCGTACGTCGACAACGAACATACCGGCCGCACACGACCGTCCTCGTCGCCTGCCCGCCGTCCGCCTCGACCACCAACACCCCGCATCCCATACCCGGCACCACGGAAGCGCGGGCGTCCCCCCAAGCAGCAGGAGAGCGACAGGACCAAGAGGGCCGCGCCGCGTGATGACGAGCTGGTCAAGAGCGAACCAGAGAGTGATATTGGTACGTGGTGCAACGCTACATTTCCCCGTTAGCCCGCTGACAGATGGCAGACCCGCTGGCGATGTAGCATGTATGTATTGCGTGTGTGAGTAATGGGTTAGGCGGCGATGTATGAGACAACATGCCCATGGAGGGCATAAAAGCAGCAGCTCGCGCAGGGCCACTGACAGCGCTCACTGCGAACAACAACAACAACAACATTGGCACTCGGTGACTACTTGGCTATGCGCTCCTGACGCTAATGCGGGCCGCAATGGTGGCTCCACTACCACTTGGGTACCAGTCGGTGTCGACGGCGACCAGTTTCACGGCACAAGCGTCTGGCCACACCATGGCGAGAAACACCACGCCTATTGTTGACGAAAACAGTAGCCCTAGTGCGTTTCTCCCAAATGCGCCCAAATACGCCTTCAGCTGGAAATACTCAACGCCGATGAACAACATTGGCGCGAGACAAGGTCGTCTGGCCGTGGTCTACAGTGTCGTGATGGGCTGAAAGTCTGCCATGTCACATGGATGGGACCAGCACAAGGCAACCTTGCTCAACACAAAACAAAGTCAGGTGGCCGCGGACTGCCTCTATATCCCTGGCTTCACCAGCACGCTGGTTAGGTGGGAGATGTCCCGCCAGTACCGATACTTCAAGCCGCGCGACACGCAAACATACCTGCCAACTATACCTGCCTAGCCACCGCCGACAACCTGTTCGCTGTGGCCACGGTGTGGCCGTCGAACGCCAGCCTGTTACGTCCGAACTACCCCCACTGAAAGGCGATATGCTCGAGGTACTGGACAGTACTCACCACACCACAGGCCACAGGTCAGCATCGGCGTCGAAATGTCTTGGTTCCGCAGACAGCACCTATAAAGCTGAATCTACCAAGACCGCCAAGGAACCTGGTCGCGATCGTCTGGTTCGTGCGATGCGACGACGGGGTTTGTCACTGAGATCACTGCACTGCGCCTGCGCAGCTGCCGTGCCAGATTGGCCGATCATACTGGACTGACCTTTTTTGGACGTGTCCTGCATTTACACTCTGACCCAACAGCTCGGCGCGCTCGGCGCAGTCCTGTACGGCCTCTGTACTGTACAGTACATTCCCGGATCCCTTCCCTGGGCAACCATTACTGTGCATGCTGCGTGCGTGTCTTTCCTAAAGGCTGCGTACCTGCGGCCTGCGGCGGCATAGAATGACTGACGGGGACCCTTCATTTGCGCTGTTTACACCGTACCCTGGGTGTTTTGCTCGCTCCCTCCCTGCGTCTCCAGCCATCGACAGATGAATAGGTTTAGCGGGTGCTGTCGCACTAGTGCTTAACGACAAGGACATTTGATGTAACTCTTGGCATGCTTGGTGACGAGCGACAAACCAGCCTGAGCTGGGACGATTTGTGCTTGTCAAATTGTTGCGTTACATATGCCAAACCGTGAAGACACAGGTTCCTACGTCCTCTCCCAGATGACATGTGTGTGTGCCTCACCCAGTCTTGTTCTTCTGCAGCGGCTGTGCGTTTGGGTTCGACGGACGTGCATGCAGGCGCGGGACAGGCATCGATTCCCGCAATGCCAAGAGGTGCATGCTGTCCATGACCCCTGCAATGTCCACAGCAACATGGTCGTCACCTCACCGTCGGAAATGTAAAACCTGCTGTCATGGGCCAGGTGTACCAAAGGACGGGAACCGAGGACACAACTGCACGACTCTGTGAGACGCTGCCTCCCGCTGTCCGCCTCGTCTCTCCGTTATTCTGTCGTTTCGGGTCGTCTGTGGATCTGTGGCCTGAGGCTCGTTTATGGGACGACGACCCACTGCGGGACTGGCTGGCTGGCAGGAGTACAGGAGCAGGCAGGGAGTGCTCGCGCAACGACGGCACGGGAACCCAGCGAACCCAGCTCTGCAGGTGTGTGCTTCTGCCAAGCCCAGCCCGCGGGAACAGTTCAAGTGGACGGTGTGGTGTGCAGTTGGTACCAAGAGATCAAGAGACCAGCCATCCCGCTCCATCATCCACCTTGTGTCGCGTAGCGTTAATCTATCTACGAGGCAGCTGCGCAGCCGGCGACCCCGAGACTCGGGTTGCATTTTGTCACTGTTGTTGGGACTGTTTTGACCCGTTTGACCGCTTGGATTCAGGCAACGTGATGGACCGTCGGACGCGACAAGATTTAGAGCTCGGCGTGTTCCCTGTGGTTGTTCCTGCAATGGAGGACCCTGGCGACTCACTTTGCAACCCGTGGGGTGGAACATGTCGGCGCGCTTGGCTGACGAGTGAGGCTGGCGGAGCCGCAGGCCGCAGGTCCATACGGGAACGTGCACACTGGTGTTGGTGTGAGCTGTGTATGGGTGTGCTGTGCGCTGTGCAACGGGTCCAACGGAACATGGCTCACTACATCTGTCCAGAAGTGTGGGATGGTGGGTGTGTCTGTGTGTCCCCCCCCCCCCCCCCCCTGCATGCATGTGCTTTAGAATGGCGCGCGCCTGGCCACGACGGTGAGACGCGGGTGCACGCCCAAGGATGCGCAAATATAGGACAGATCTCCCAAGTGTGCCATTCCCCGAGGAATGGCCGCCACACGCCAGCGAAATGAACGCGAGAGCCGGCTGTGATCGCTGTGGGTGCTCTGGGTGCGCGAAATATGCACGCAGCGACCCAAGAATGCACCACCCGCGCCAGGGGGGAGACGCGCTTGTCCTTTGTTGCTTGTGCGGGAACGCTGGCGCATTGGCTGATGGCGCAGGCGGCCAGAGATCCAGAGAGAGCCATCGGGAGCGCACTAAGGGAAAAAAAAGGGATCCACCGTGTCATGACCATTTCATCACCCGGTGCGCGCGAGGCACGGCGTCTACGCGCCTGCCTTCAATGTTCCCCTGCCTAGCCGGTCCGACCGGGGGGACGACGAGGAGGGGGCCACGCCACCCAAAGAGTACCACAGTCATGCCCAGCCAGCGCCAGTGAGCGCCAGTCAGCCAGCCTCCTCCCTCCCTTCCTTGGCCCCCTGGTGCACACACAGCCTGCGGCCAGCCAGTCGCACCCGCCTCCCCCCCCATGCACACCCACACACACAGTGTAATAGCTGGCCGCATCCCTCTCAATCCTTTCCTTTCCTCTCTACCCACCTCAATCCTCCTCACTCTACCTCCTCTCGTGAGTACCACCACCACAAGGCCACCATCCACCATCCTCATCCCTCCGGAGGATGGTCAACATTGATGGTGTGCCTCTCTAGCGTGTGCACGGTGTGTCAAAGAGAGCCTGGCGCTGACAATGATCCCCCCTTGCTTTTGCGTTTATCTCCACCTTCCTCCCGGGCAATCAATCCTTTGTTCTGCACACTCCATCCCTCTCTCCTCCGGAATGCACACACACACACACACACACGTCCATGGTTCCTGGCACGCACCCATCACGCGCGCAACATTACCCCCAACCCCCTCGCACTCTCTCTCCCATTCTCTCGCTCTCTCTCTCTCTCTCTATTTCTCTCTGTCTCTCATACACATCAACCTCCTCCTCGTCCGCCAAACCCTCTCCTCCCTGTCACCCTTGCCACCCCCTCTACCGCTGGCGGTATTACCCATCATCCCCTTGCACCACACCCGTTTCATTCACCTTCCTTTTCTCCATTGTTGGCATCAAACCCCCCACCCCCCCACCGTCCTTGACCGTCTCCCACAACCCCCCGGTCTCCTGTTCTCTCCACCCAACTACTCTCCCAAAAACAGTCTCTCCCCTCGACGCCGGACGTCACCTAGGACTCTCTTTCGCAGGTCGAATCAAGCGCTAGCCGCAACACCCCCAGTGTCCTCATTCTTTCAACCCTCCTAGACAACAATCAACCCCGACTACAACACTCACACCATGCACATGCGCACTCTCTGTCTCCTCCTCCCCATCCTCGCGGCGTCGGCCCAGGCGGCTCGCCTTCCCTTCCGTCGTGGCCAGGAGCCCGTCAACAAGGCCGAGATCGTCACCCCCGAGCAGCTCGCTGGAACCAAGTTCCTCGAGCAGAACGAGACGTTCCTTGGCCGCCGCCGTGTCGCCCCCGTTACCCAGCGTCGCCGGGTGCGTCGCCGTAAGGGCGAGTCGACCACGTCGTCAGGCTCTGCCGACTGTGGTGGCTCTTCCAACTCGACTTCGTCGTCGGCCTCTTCGGACGACTGGTCGCCCTCTGCCACTTCGACCGAGTCGGCTCCTAGTGAGACCGAGTCGTCGTCGTTTATCGGCTCGGGCGGCTGGGCCACTCCCAAGAACGAGACTACGACCACCACCGGCTACAACAGCCAGTCTACTGCTGCCAGCTGGGGCGAGTCGAGCTCTGCGACCGGCGAGTCCTCTTACTCGGCCACTTCGACCTCGAGCGCAAGTACCAGCCAGTCGACCTCTACCTGGCAGCTCGTCGACACCATTGCGGGCTCCAACTTCTTCGACTCGCAGTACTGGACCTTCTGGGACTACTCGGACCCCACCCACGGCGACGTCAACTACGTCGACTCGGCCACCGCCTGGAGCGATGGCCTTGTCTCCATTGACTCGAACAACCGCGCCATCATGAAGGTCGAGACCACGGCTACCGTCTCGAGCGTCCGCAAGTCGGTTCGTCTCCACAGCAATCGTGTCTGGACCGGTGGTATGGTCCTCATGGACGCCTACCACATGCCTACCGGTTGTGGCACCTGGCCCGCTTGGTGGCAGAACGGCCCCAACTGGCCCCAGGGTGGCGAGATTGACATTCTTGAGGGTGTCAACACCAACACTCAGAACCAGGTCTCGCTCCACACTGGTGTCGGCTGCACCATGCCCACCGACCTGTCCAGCGGCATGTCCGGTACCATCACCACCGGCAGCTGGGACTCGTACGACTGCTCGTCCACCAACACTGGCAACCAGGGCTGTGGTGTCATGGACACTACCAGCGACAACTCGTACGGCACCAGCTTCAACAACAACGGTGGTGGTGTCTACGCCCTCGTCTGGGTCACCACTGGTATCTCGGTCTGGTTCCACCCCCGCGGCTCGATCCCCTCGGACATTACCAACGGCTCTCCCGACACTTCCAACTGGGGCACTCCCATCGCTCACTTCCCGTCGACCAACTGCAACATGTACGAGTTCTTCTACGACCAGTTCAACATCTTCGACACGACCCTGTGCGGTGACTGGGCCGGCTCGTCGGGCTCGTGGGATTCGTGCGCCGCCTCGACCGGTTACTCTACGTGCTCGTCCTACGTCCAGAACGAGGGCGCCGCGTTCAGCGAGGCCTACTGGGCAATCAACTCGGTGACATACTACAACTCCACCAGCCTGGTGTAAGGTGCGAGGGACATAGTACTCCATAGGCTTTTGTGCAAGTTCTGGAAGCTTGCAAAGCAAAACACTCCTCGATGGAGCGCATGCAATACACTGGTGTATTATTGTAACATTGCGAGACGTGTGGGGCACAGGAAGGGGGGGGGCAAGGAACGAGCGGTAATGGGCCGCTGTGGCGCTGCACGCACGCGAGGTAAACATTGCTGAAGCTGGAACGCCAATGTGACGTGAATGGAACTGAACGGAGAACTGAATCCAAAGGCTGACTTTGTCAAAGCTGACCGCGCGAGGCACTACGGCGTGTCACTTCCACTCCCCGTGGGCACATGCATCAGGCATGCCAGGCACACAGTACAGCCAGCTATCATCGATACAGCCTTGAATTGTTGAATGCGCAAAGCGTGCTCACGAGAGTGGTCGATCACTGCACACATGCTGTGATCAAGTACCCATTAGGGGGCGACATCAAACGCAAAAACAATGTGGGCGGGTTCGAATCTTTGAAGATTCGAACCCTAAAGCACCTTCTCTCATCGCCAGTCGCCGCGGTCGCTACTCGTGTCGATAATGGTTTGTCGCATCCTCAGCTTGATCACACTGCCCGCATTCCCGGATAGCCAGTCGAATGGCCCTCGAATTGTCGGGCCTCGGATTCGTATAACGACAGGGCTCAGTGTGATTAGCATCATCGGATGGGGGTTTACTCGGAAACCACGCAAACCATTCGATTGTCGATATTTTCTGGGTTTTCGAGCGGTTATGAATTTTGCACCCGCATTTCTGGGACCGGGCCCGCCCGCGGTCGTTCTTTTGCCCCCCTGGTTATACATTTGCTCCCGCGGTTTGTTTTTGCTCCCGCGCAACAGCGTTTGATCCCGCCGTACACTTTTGATCCCGCGTTATGCCTTTGCTCCCGCGTTTTTTACTTTTGCTCCCGCCCCTCACGGTGACCAGGACGGTTAATGTTTACGCTGTTGATTAGGAAGTAGATTAGGAAGTGCTAATGTTTCCCCAGGATGGTGTTTACACGACAAATGCCACACTGCCAGTGTGCATTGTCACCCCATGCAGCCCTCATGAGCACGCACCGCGCCCACGATCCGCACATGACCATGGCGGCAGGCTCGTACTTTGGCGCTTGCCCCTTCATCCGCTGGTGAGTTGGCGAGGATGAGGGGCGGAGGCGGCGGAGGAGGCATGGGAACACCAAACACCGGACAAAAAGGTAGATTGGCTGGTTGACTGGTTCGCTCCTCCGGATTCGAACCCTGGGTGTCGGTCGCCCACTATCCTCCTTCTTGTAGTCCTCTTGTAATCCCCTGGTTGTTCCTTCATAATTCCCTTATACAGTTGATCTTGACCCCCGCCGTAGGTACGGAGTTGTTGGGATTTGATGCCGTTTAGCGCCCGAGACCGATGGTCTTAAGCTGGCAGTTTGTCTTTCAGAAGAGGATGGGGATGCATAGACGTCTACAGAGCTGCTTATATGCACACAGAAGGGAGGCCCGAGCACTACAGAGAAGCATGAGGACAATGAAGAAGCAGAAAGAGCAGCATTGGTGCGGTACCCTCGTTCTCCGGTCAGCTCGGTGCCACACTGCAGTGGCGCAAGTGGTTACGTAATCTCAACAGGAGCGAATGCTAGCTACTGAGCGCCGCTTACAATTAGTCCTACGGCATGTGGTTTCGTCGAGTCTTGAAGCATCGATAATCATAATCGGGCTAATCGTTGGGAGCACCATAGTGTCAACGCCATCAATACTTGTAACTGGGTGCAACCGCACAAACCAGTCCGGTAACGTAATTGCATAGTTTTGTTTTTTTCAGTGCAGCTATGAACGTGACAATCTCGCCTGATCATCTCGAAACCCGTTCATGTGGCTTCGTTCTATACACCTTCTTTGCAGCACGCCGGCTTCACAAAAATCATACACAATCTCCCATGTGTAGCCTGCACCTTGACGTGGGTCCTGTCCCAGTACGGGAAAGGTCAGTGCTAGTGGCGTGCGTTCGGCTTCGGCGGACAAACGTCATCCCAGACGCTGTACGCCAACAGCTCCGCGTAAACTCCCAAATTGTTGTATGACGCTCCACAGAACCCCCGCGCGACTTACAGGCTGCCGTGTACGAATGTCAGCCGACGGAGGACGTTGTCGCTGCAGACGAGTGATGCCACACCCAACACCCAAACTGCACCACTGCCTGCTCCATTCGCGGAAGCAAAAGCGGACAGGTACGGATGTCCGAAAAATGATGGCTTTGCTCGCGACGATCCGTTGCTTGCAGGTGATCAAGTGGTGCAAAGCAAGCTCGTCTAGATCCAACCCTCACCCGCGCGACGCACCATGTTCAAAAAGTACGCTCTCGACACACACACACACACACACACACACACACTTATGGGGTATACGCACTGACGCATCCCAGGTTCAGTCCCAAGGAGGACGTCTCGAGCTCGACGTCGCTCAAGTCGTCGGTCCAGCGCAACATCCGCAGCTCGCTTATCGCCCAGCTGCCCCTCCTCTCCGCGCCTGCGTTCCGGGAAGGCGCTGCCGGTGCCGACGCCGACGCTGCTGCGGCTGCCGACACGGCTACTGCTCCTCCTGCTGACGAGGAGGTCGAGGAGGAGACCAAGGGCGGCAAGGGCAACAAGAAGGAGAAGGGCGGTGGCAAGGGCGGCAAGGGCAAGGGCGGCAAGAAGGGTGGCAAGAAGGACAAGCATGAGGAGCCCGAGGAGGCCGAGGACGAGGGTGTTGTCACGGTCCTTGACGAGATTTGGCCCAAGAAGGAGCCTCTGGGTCTTACCAAGTGGTGAGTGGTTGGTTCGATGGTTGGTCCAGGTGGAGGCGGCGCGGTTTCATCTCGCCTGGCTATCCCTCATCTGGGGCCAGGATTTTGCGAAGCGGGCATCCCTGTTACGTTGTTGGGCTTGCCTGGTTAGCGACGGTCTTTCCCAAGCCGTGAGGCCTCTGATGGGGCTCTGAGGGAGATGGGTTTGCTCTACTCGCGATGCGCGATCGTCGCTGTTCTCCGGAGAACGAGCTGTCAAGGCCACCATCCGTCTGCAGCTCTTGCACCTCCTCCACCTCACGATTGCACGCCTGTCCCGACCCCAACTGACTCTCCTCAGCCACGACCGGATAAGCATCTACACTGTCAACCAGGTGCCTCTCTACTTCAACCACTTTGACGGCCCGTTCATCCCCACCCTCCGCCTGCTGCACAAGTACCCGGACATGCTCCCGCACGTCCAGGTCGACCGCGGAGCGATCAAGTTCCTCCTCGCCGGCGCCAACATGATGGCGCCTGGCTTCCTGTCCAAGGGTGGTGTCCTGCCAGAGGGTCTGGCAAAGGACGCCATCGTCGCCATCCACGCCGAGGGCAAGGTCCACGCGACGGGTATCGGCAAGATGGTGGCCAGCACTGAGGAGATTCGCAAGACGGGCAAGGGTGTTGCCGTCGAGGTCATTTGCTGGGTTGGGTGAGTACAGACAGACCTATCTTAGCCGCAGACACTGCCGCCACAACATTCTCTCCTTTTTGCTTTGTTGTGGGGGACGGGATGATGGGCCAACCAAGTGCTGCCCACTTGCCGCGGACGTGGGACCCCAGTTTTTGCTGACGCCACAGTGACGACCTCTGGAAGGTGCAGACGATCGGCCTGTAGAGGCGGGGGGCCACACTGCTAGACGACGACTCTGTATGCATGCAAATAGATCATGAGGAAACTGTGGGGGCCCAGGACCTGGACCCCAGCCATGGTTTAAACGGGCCGCTCCGGGCCAAGCCCAGCGCCGCGAACGGCGTTCAGCCCAGCGAGCCTCCCAGCGAGCCCGGTCCGGCGCCTGGCGTAGAATGGGGCCCGTTGGGCCCGCTGGGGCCGGCGCGGTCCCGTGAGATGCAGCGGGTCCGCAAGATGTGGGTGATTGAACTGACCTGAGCGGGCGAGCCCAATGGGGACGGACGGTGGGCAGCAAAGGCCTCTCATGTGAACAAACCCGCACGTCGCACACTTTTCCATGCCTCGCGCCATGCGGGATGTGTGTGGCACGATCGAAGGAAGATTGTGATCCCACCTAGAAAGTGCCCAGGACGTTCCGATGGTCCGAAGCCGTCTGCAGCCGGCCTACGGCACCGACGGAGGGCGGCAGAGGAACGACGAGATCTGGAAACTGCCTGGACCTTGTTCGGTGGTCTCAGCTGTCAGGTGTGTCCTCCTCTGACGCCGCCCCTCCCGGCCACACTCGGCGCATTTTTGGATATGCCAAGCCAGCCCTGGAGGCCTGGTCGTATGGTCGTATGGTCGTATGGTTTTCGTTCGCTTGGGCCCACACGCGGAGGACGCAGCGCTCGCAGTCAGAACCGCTCTTGAAGACGACTACCACAAGTACTAGCGACGACTCTTTTGCAGATTGGCCCATGCTTGCCAGCAAGTGAGGCCACCATGTGCATCTGGAACACATGTGAACGAGCGTCATCTGGAGGATCCGCTCGCCTGTGTGGGTATGACAATTTGGGTTTTCTGCTCGTCATCGTGACGGATCGAACGGACGCAACGTGCAACGTGGGGGATGTATGTGTGTATCACGACGCTGCACCGACGAATGACCATGGCCTTTCAGACCCGCAGGCACCGGCGGTGTCACAATATCGTTCCGTGAGTGCGAATGATTTTCTATCTTTGGGTGTCTTTCCGGTCCTATTGACTGACCCGTTTGCCTGTTTAACTGTTTTGGGCCGACATTGAGGGGTACGTCATGTTTAGCATTGTGAGTGCATGAGAGTGGCATTTCGGGTTTGGATGCAAATGGGTGTGTGGTATATATAAATGGGAGTGTGGCTGCTCGTCGGGAAAGCCGCTTTGTGTGTCGGGTGAGAGGAGGAGTGGCGGGGTGGGTGACAGGAGATATCAGGAGATCAGGAGATCGGGAGATGGACACACCCCACACACACAGAAAGCAGCTCCCACCAATTGATGGATATCGCGCAACACCTGGCTGGAATGAGCGCAGGATGAGTCCGGGATGGGTCCAGCAATGAGGGTCCAGAGGATGGAGGCCCCTCATTGCACCAGATAATCGTACGTCGTACGAGCTGCAGGCGGATGGATGCAGAGGGCCAAAGGGGTTGTTTTGCAGAGGCGTGTGACTCCCACTCCCCTCACTTTCCCCCCTCTCCGCCCAGTCACGCCTTGCGGGCACTTCTGCCTTCTAACCGCCTTTCGGACAAGCCCCAGGCACAACCCACCATCCAGGAAAAACAGCCCGATCTCAGGTCCCAGAAACCTACCTGAGCGTCGCTGCTGTGGTATGTGCATCGATGGGGGGGTGGGGAGAAGACGGGGGGCAGGTGCATCCATCTAAATACATCGCTCTGCTCTCTCTCAAACCACTTTCCTTCATAGACAGACCATGCTTTAAGATACACCAGCATCCCCCCCCCCCCCCTCTTCATCTCCTCCGCCAGCAACACCCGTCGACCGGCTCGACTCTCTTTTTGTCCATTACATTTTATCGCTCTCATTCATTCGCATATCGGCCGACAAACATTGACCACTATGGAAAAGAAGTGAGTTTTGGATCCCCCAGCCACCCAACCCCCCCGCCCACCCCCCAACCCATCAAACAGCACAGGCTAACCCACCACAGTTCTTTCAAGCCCGCTGCTCCCAGCATGCGCTCCTCCCATTCTCGCCGTCCTCGCTCTTCTCTTCCTTCGTGCTTTGGTAGCTGCTTCAGCAAGGCGTCCCAGTATGACGCTCTCGACGACGGTACACCGCCACCTACCGCGCCACCTGCCAACCTGCGCCCTGCACTGGTCCAGCAGGGCAAAGTGGCCACACGACCGCAAGCAACATGCACCTTTATCGAACCCGCCACTACCGTCAACCGTGTGAGCGCGCGTCCTCTGCCTCCCGTCGCCAGTCGCCGTATCATTGCACCCCCGTGCTCCGCAGTCGGCTCCAAGGTTGCGGCCCGCCGCGTGCCCCGCTCGTCCCTCCCCTCCGAAGTCCTTGCCGAAGAGGACGAGGACGTCTACACGGCCCGCTACACCGCTCCCAAGTCGGACGTGTGGCTGTGCTCTCGCCCAACTGGCAACGCGCGGCCTCGCAACGCACCCGTCTTCACCCGCAGCTGCAGCGACAGTTCAGACTCGAGCGTCGAGGAGAAGACCTACATCTCGTCCCACTGCGCCCGTAACCTCCGCAAGTCGCCTAGCACACAAGGCTTGACTACCAGCGAGTAACGCCTTGCTCCCCCCTTCTCGTCTCCTGCCCCTCGCTTCCTGATCTCCCTCGCATCTCCCTCGCCTCCTCCCTTTGTCCTCGGTCTCCAATTGGTGTTCCAGTTTTGTCCCACATCCATTGCACTCGCCATCAACACACGCTCGCTCCACACACCCATTGTCAACACATCCTCTTTTTACATAACCACCCATGGCTTTATTGAACAGTCCATAATGTTTTTACGTCCCAGGCCGCCCAAGTTGTCGCCCTGCTAGTCCTCATCTAGCCCCCATCTAGTCCATCTAGTCACTGTTATACGCACATTGATGCACAATTGTAACCCCCCACGCAACGAGCAGTCAGGCAGTCAGGTGGAGCACAGCAAGTGGCACAGGGAAGGCCAAGCGGGCTCGCATGGTGCCACGGTGGCTATTCAACCCTGGTGCGGAGCTGCCTTGGCAGGATAAGCAAACATTGCACATTGAAATGGTGGGCAATTGGGCAATGTCGGCGAACGTTCTTTCCCGCGGGCCGCTTGGCTGTTCATCCCGCAGGCTGGCTATTTATGGGTTTATGTGCGCGGCGGAAGGAAGACGGGGCTAATGCCAAGGGGTTCCTGTACGTCCACAGCACCTGGGGGGGTCGAAATTAAACGCCGCGTCAGCTGGAAGCGATGCCACTGTGACGTATGGGGTCGCCTTCACCCCTCCAAGAAGCAACCCCCGCTTGGGTTTAGAGTTGGTGTGTGGAATTTGACGAGCCAATTTGGTATGCCGCTGAAAGTAGCTGAATGTGCCCGCGTGGGAGGAAGAAGACGACCTTGCCGCTCAATGGAGGAAGGAGATGGCCCATGAGACATTTGTCCTGTTCTCTTCGCTTCAAAGAAGACAACAGTGAGTATGTCTCAATGACGTTGCTTGACACAATCGCTCTCTTGCACGTAGCAAAACAAGCCCACCAAACGGTGTATTGTGGCGATACAGTTACGGACAGTTGCGACAGAGCACTGTTTTGTGCTGGAGAGAAGGCACGCTTGTGGATTTATACACTCCCCCCTCCTTCCACACCGGGAGCATATTGCCCGGCGGGAGCATATTCACAGGGTGTGCTCGGAGCCCCACGCCGAGACACAAACTCAATGTCGCGACGCGTTGCCTTTCGCGAGCGCGTTTTGTGTCCTTTCCAGCCTCATCACAGTCAACTCATCCTACGACCCTCACATCTCTCATCCCCATCCCCCATCCTTCCTCCCCCCCTCCCTTCCCTCCCCCTCTCCCCCCCTCTTCCTTTCGCCTCTCACCATGTCCTTCCGTGGCCGAGGGCGCGGCCGCGGCGGCGGTTCAAAGGGCAACACGCGCTTCACGGGCAAGCGTGCTGCATTCCGTCCAGGCGGCGGCGGTAACCGACCAGCACCAAACCGCGACGACGACGGCACAGCACTGCAGGAGCGCTTTGAAGAGACCAAGGTCGCCGACGAGATTGACGACAAGCTCGGTTTCTGGCGCTTTGAGAGTAACCTTGCGAACGGTGACTCGCGCGACGGATGGCTGGTCAACATGCACCAGGCGCTGGTACAGTCCGATATCCATGCTAGCGGACTGGCAGCGGTCGACTACTACTTTATCCAGGATGACGGCGGCATGTTCAAGGCGACGATCCCGTACCAGCCGTACTTCTACGTTACCTGTCGAGTGAGCTTTCTTGCTGATTTCGTTAAAGCTGACAAACACAGGGAGGCACAGAGACAATTGTGGAAGAGTGGTTGATTAAGAGGTTTGAGGGAGTTGTCGTGCGAGTGCAACGAGAGAAGAAGTGGGACCTCAGTGTCGTGAGTTCTGGAGTCATCGTTGCACTGTGAGCTGACAGGCAGCCCAACCACCTGCTTTCAGCACCACCAGTCTTTCTCAAGATCTTCTTCCACAACACGCAGGACTTTCAGAACGTCAAGAGGGAACTCCTCCCCCTGGCAGTAGCCAACTCGGCCAAGTTTACTGCTGTCGATGCGTATGCCGACGTCGTTGGTGCCGAGAACGCAACAAACGCGGCCAACGGCGATGGCCAGGAGCGCGCCTGGGGAGAGGACGAAGATACCCAGAAGCGCAAGTCTGAGCGGGAGCCGGCAGACTGCATCATCGACATTCGCGAGCACGACATTGCATACTACTTGCGAGTCGCCATTGACCTCGACCTTCGTGTCGGTCTGTGGTACAATGTCAGCTCGACCATGGGCACCATCAAGATGGAGCGCCTCACAGACCGTGTCAAGCGTGCCGAGCCAGTCGTCATGGCCTACGATATCGAGACAACAAAGCAGCCCCTCAAGTTCCCCGACCAGCAGACCGACCAGATCATGATGATCTCGTACATGATCGATGGCCAAGGTTATCTCATCACCAACCGCGAGATTGTCGGCGAGGACATTGAAGACTTTGAGTACACACCAAAGCCCGAGTACGAGGGCGAGTTTACAATCTTCAACGAGCCAGACGAGGTAAGCTGCCGTGTTTACATCTCAGCTGACATCAGGCGGCATTGATACGACGCTGGTTTGAGCATATCCAGGATTCCAAGCCAACTGTCATGGCCACCTACAATGGTGACAGCTTCGACTTTCCGTTCGTCGACGCCCGTGCCAAGATCCACGGCATCAGCATGTACAACGAGATTGGATTCCGACCAGACAACGAGGGAGAGTACAAGTGCCGCGCGTGTATGCACATGGACTGCTTCAGGTGAGCTGATCGGTATGGTGCACAGCTAACAGTGCAGATGGGTGAAGCGTGACTCGTATTTGCCACAGGGCTCTCAAGGTCTCAAGGCCGTCACAAAGTACAAGCTCGGCTACAACCCCATCGACCTCGACCCCGAGCTCATGACGCCGTATGCCATTGAGCAGCCCCAGAAGCTTGCATCGTACTCGGTTTCCGACGCCGTCGCCACCTACTATCTCTACATGAAATACGTCAACCCCTTCATCTTCTCGCTCTGCAACATTATCCCTCTCAACCCGGATGAAGTCTTGCGAAAGGGCTCTGGAACGCTGTGCGAGACCCTGCTAATGGTGAGTCTCACGGTCACTCTGTTTTATGCTGACCTTTCAGGTCGAGGCCTATCAGGCGCACATTATCATGCCCAACCGTCACGAGGACCCACATGGTGTCACGTACGAGGGACACTTGCTTGCCTCGGAGACCTACGTTGGTGGTCACGTCGAGGCCCTCGAGGCTGGTGTCTTCCGTTCTGACATTCCGACCCACTTCAAGGTCGCCCCGTCGGCCATGCAGGAGCTCCTGGACGACCTGCACAACGCTCTAAAGTTCTCCTTGGTCGAAGAAGGCAACGTCAAGTTGGAAGACGTCGAAAACTATGACGAGGTCTACGACGAGATTGCCAAGGCTCTCATCCTCATGCGCGACGAGCCCAACCGCGTCGACCCTCCTCTCATCTATCACTTGGATGTGGCTGCCATGTACCCTAACATCATGTTGTCAAATCGTCTTCAACCCGATTCAGTAAAGGACGAGGCGGCGTGCGCAGTCTGCGACTACAACCGACCCGACAAGGTGTGCGACCGTCGTCTCGAGTGGGCCTGGCGTGGCGAATACTTCCCGGCCAAGCGTGACGAGGTCAACATGGTTCGCTACGCTCTCGACCAGGAGCTCTTCCCGCCCAAGTATCCCAACGACCCCAAGCGCCGTTTCACCGACCTGCCACAGGCTGAGCAGTCGGCCCTCATCCACAAGCGTCTCGGCGACTACTCGCGCAAGGTTTACAAGAAGACTCACGAGACAAAGGTCGTGACCAAGACGGCCATCATCTGCCAGCGCGAAAATTCCTTCTACATCGACACTGTGCGCGCCTTCCGTGACCGTCGTTACGAGTACAAGGGTCTGCACAAGACATGGAAGAAGAACCTCGACAAGGCGTTTGACGAAGGAGGCGCTCTCCCCCGCGGTCGACGAGGCCAAGAAGATGATTGTGCTGTACGACTCGCTTCAGCTTGCGCACAAGTGTATTCTCAATTCGTTCTACGGATACGTCATGCGTAAAGGTGCTCGCTGGTACTCGATGGAGATGGCCGGCATCACCTGTTTGACTGGCGCCACCATCATTCAGATGGCCCGCCAGCTGGTGGAGCAGATTGGCCGTCCTCTCGAACTCGACACGGACGGTATTTGGTGCATGCTTCCCGGTGTGTTCCCGGAAAACTTCACCTTCAAGCTCAAGGGCGGCAAAAAGTTTGGTATCTCGTACCCATGCTCCATGCTCAACCACCTCGTGCACGAAAAGTTCACCAACCACCAGTACCACGAGCTGGTCGACCCAGAGGCGGGCGTCTACAACGTTCGCAAGGAAAACTCCATCTTCTTCGAACTCGACGGTCCTTACAAGGCCATGATTCTTCCCTCGTCCAAGGAGGAGGACAAGCTCCTCAAGAAGCGCTATGCCGTATTCAACTTTGACGGTTCCCTTGCGGAACTGAAGGGTTTCGAGGTCAAGCGTCGAGGAGAACTGCAGCTTATCAAGATCTTCCAGTCTCAGATCTTTGACAAGTTCCTGCTGGGTTCTACTACCGAAGAGTGCTATGCTGCTGTTGCCGAGGTGGCCGACCAGTGGCTCGACATTCTGCAGAGCAAGGGCTCGAGTCTGGACGACAATGAGCTGGTCGAGCTTATCGCCGAGAACCGCTCCATGTCCAAGACCCTTGCCGAGTACGGCAGTCAAAAGTCGACTTCGATCAGCACGGCCCGTCGTCTCGCAGAGTTCCTGGGTGAGCAGATGGTCAAGGACAAGGGTCTCTCTTGTCGCTTTATCATCTCGGAGCGGCCACACGGTGCTCCCGTCACTGAGCGCGCCATCCCGGTCGCCATCTTTGACGCCGACCCGACAGTCAAGCGCCACTTCCTTCGCAAGTGGGTCAAGGACGCCAGTCTCATCGACTTTGACATTCGTACCATCCTCGACTGGAGCTACTATACCGAGCGCCTCGGCTCGGTTATTCAGAAGCTCATCACCATCCCTGCGGCTCTGCAAAAGGTTGCCAACCCAGTCCCTCGTATCCGCCACCCGGACTGGCTGTTCCGCCGTGTCGCCACTCGCGAGGACAAGTTCCAGCAGCACACCCTCACCGACATGTTTGCCAAGATGCGCACCAAGGCCGCAGACATGGAGGACTTTGGCACCAACAAGACGGCCAACAAGCCCAGGATGGCGGTTGTCAACAGGCGTAAAAAGGCCAAGAGCCCCGAGATTGAGGAAATCGCACCAGACCCAGAGGTCGACTACCCTGGTTACATTCGTGTCATGCGTAAAGTCTGGCGCAAGAACCGTCTCGAGAAGCAGCGTCTTCGCAAACAGGGTATCCGCCAGGACTTTTCGATCTCGTCCATGATCCGGACACAGACTGCCAACCTCGCTGCACGCCAGTGGGACATTATCCAGATTGCAGCCACTACTCGCCCCGGCGAGTTCCTCCTCTGGCTCGCGATCGACACCACTTTCCAAAGCGTTCGTCTCCGTGTTCCTCGCGAGTTTTACCTCAATTTCAAGTCGATGCCAGGTGACGACACGTTCTCCAGCCGCTACGACGTCGCGTCCGTTACGCGTGTTCTCCCTCGTGGCCAGGCCACGCGTCACCTGTATCGCGTTCAGGTCGAGGAGGGCCTGTTCGTCGACGGCGAGTCACACTTCTCGAGTCTGATCAACAATCCCAACATTGACGGCGCGTTCGAGTTGCAAGTGCCACTCATGGTGCGCGCTCTCCTCGCCCTCGGTACCGCTTGCGGTCTCAAGTCAACCTCGCTCAGTGGCCTGAACCGCGGTCTCGACAAGGGTTTCGACCTTGCTGAACTGGAACGTCCGGGCGCCAGTGTCCTCCGCCATCGTTACCTCAACGACGGCAAGAACCTCAAGTACCACTTCCTGTTCCACGCCACCGTCAACTCGCGCCACCTCATCGGTCTCTTTTCACCTACAGGTCCAGCCAAGGTTTACGTTGTCGACGGCGCTCGTAACCGCCAGCAGCTTCCTAACCCAGCACGCTGGTACGCCGAGCGCGTCGCCAAGGCTGCCCCCGGTATCTTCACCTACCCCGAGGAGCTCGAGTGCGCCACAAGCTACTACCCTACCGAGGCGGGGGCGATGCGTCAGCTCATCAAGGACCTGCAGGCGATTCGCACAGGCATGAATGTCATCGCCCTGTGCTCGCCCTTCGAACACGCGCACTACCAGGCCCGCCACGCCGTCTTCTCCGAATTCCCCTTTGTGACCATTCGCACGATCAAGGACGAGGAGCCTTCGCTCATGTGGCTCGTCACCATGGCGCGCCGAATGGTGGTGCAGTATCTTCGTCTCTCGGCTTGGATCGCCGGACAAATTGAGATTGCCGCGCACTACGACGTGCCTATGGGAGTGAGTCGACTCGGAATACAAAATGCGAGCCATCAACTAACATGAACAGAACCTCGGCCCTGACCCTCCCACTTTCCTTGCCGATCTCGAGTTTGCCCGCCGTCTCAAGGACCAAGACATGGTCCTGTGGTGGTCGCAGTCGCCCCGTCCCGATCTCGGAGGAGCAGAAGAGGACGCCAACGGCAGCGACGAGCCTGTCGCGCCACAGATTTCGACTCGTGGCTGCTACTCGTCGGTTGTGCTCGAGATGGAGCTCGCGGACATGGCGATCAACGCTGTCCTCCAGTCGGCCTTGGTCAACGAGATGGAAGGCAGTGGCACAGGTGCCCACGCCTTTGGCACGGCTTCCCACAACCTCGACGAGTATGCGCAGGGTACGGCCAACGCGAGCGTCATGCTCGGCGACGCTGTTCTCTCCATCCAGACCTTTACCGTTCTCAAGAGCATGGTGCGCAGCTGGTTCCTTGACAAGTCGCGTGCCCACGTTCGCGGCATTGAGGGGGGTCCCGCCGACCTTGTCATTGACCAGTTCTGGCGCTGGATCAGCTCCAACTCGAGCTGCATGTTTGAGCCGGCCCTGTATCGCTTCCTCCACGGTCTCATGCGCAAGACTCTCCTGCAGCTGCTTGCAGAGTTTAAGCGTCTTGGAACGCAGGTTGTGTACGCAGACCTCAACCGCGTCTTCCTACTCACGTCCAAGCCAGACGCTGGCAGCGCGTTTGCCTTTGCAAAGTATCTCGTCACTGCTGCAAACTCGCACGACCTGTTCCGCCACATCGTCATCGACGTCACCTTGTTCTGGAACTACCTCGCCTGGATGGACGTGGCCAACTTTGGCGGTGTCCGCATCTTCCCCGACGAGGCTGGTACCGGCCTCCCGGCTCCCAAGCAGTTTGAGATCAGCATGGACTGGAACATTCAGGCGTTCCTTCCTGCCGAGCTCCAGCCCATGTTTGAGCGTCGTGTCGCCGACTATATCTACGCCCTGTATACGGCCAAACGCAACGCCACCGACGGCCGTGGTCCGCTCAAGCCGGTTTACAACCTCAACATTGAAGCGCCGGGCGAGGCGGCTCCTGCACAGACCAACCCGGCAAAGGTGAAGGAGCAAGCTGCCGCCGCCAAGGCAGTGTCCACCACGCTTACCCGCAAGCTCCTGGACGACACGTCAAAGATCAAGCGCCGCCACGCGACTGCCCAGGCCAACGGTGACGACACTGCGCTCGCGTTCCCCAGGCTTCCGGGCGCGGTCGCGGCCAACCAGAAGACTGAGAACGCGGCCTTGGCGTTTGTCAAGGATGTGTGCGAGGTGTACTCACTGTCCACCGATCTCCTTATCGACGTCCAGGTCCTCCGCCGCAACTTGCTAGACCTCGTCGGTGTCCGCGAGTTTGCCCCCGAAGCCGCGTTCCGCAACCCAGGCGAAAGCCTTACCGTGCCCATGGTCTCGTGTGGACGCTGCAACGCCATTCGCGACGTCGACCTCGGCCGTGACCCCGACTGCTTGCCCAGCGTCAACCAGGCAGGCGAGGCCCAGGCCCCACCACGCGACATGTGGGCGTGCCACAAGTGTGATGCCGAGTACGACCGTTTCGCGATCGAGCACCCGCTCATTGACATGGTTTCCCGTATCGTCACCTCGTGGCAGACCCAGGACGTCATTTGCCAAAAGTGCAGCCAGAGCAAGAGCGATAACCTGGCCCCCACCTGCCACTGCGGTGGCGCTTTCCGTCCCTCCCTCAACCGCTCCGAGCTCACCAACAAGCTCAAGATGATCCAGAGTGGTGAGTTGGGCCGGAGTTGAGCTACCCCCCTCGCAGCAGCTGACAATTCAGTTTCCCAGTACCACAAGCTTACCATGACCGGCGAGTACGTCGCCGACGTCCTCACCCGCTGGTAAGCGCACACTTCAAGACCCGTTTGGTTAGATTGGGTCTTTCTTTTTCACTGTATAGACCTTGTATTTCGTATCATGATGCTGCATGTTCTTTCTACGGACAAGACGGAAACGGGGGTAACCAAGTGCTTTGATGCGGGGTATGTTGTAGGTGATTTTGGCAACTCTCTCTCTCTCTCTCTCCCCTTCTCTCTCTCGCCCAAGCTACCGTTACTCGTCCCAGTCGGGCGCGATGGGAACGAGTGCGGTCATGCCCGTCTTGGCGGGAAGCACGCGCACGCCCTGCGCGGCGTTGGCGACGTATGTCTCGCAGTGGACACGGTCGGGGCGCGGGGCCATCTGGGACGACGACAGGTCGCGCGTCTCGACCAACTGCACCGACACGGGTGGGAGGGAGAGCGTGCCGTGACGAACGGGGACGAGGACGACAGTCTGTTTTTCCGACTGGGACGCGTCGGCCGTGTAGACACCGCGCTTCTTGCCAACGACGATCCAGTCGTCACCTGAAGCCTGGACGTCGTACGTCACGCGGTAGGTCTTGGACTCTTGTCCCGCGGCCTCGTCCTCGCCGTTGGTATCTGTGGCGCCGAGCCACGACAGTGAAGTGGAAAACTCGACGTCAAAGGCAAGCGCGCGGCCCTCATGGATCGCGTCGGTCGTGGCGGGGGTGAGACGCACGGTAGTGAGCAGGCGACGTAGAGGCACCTCGACGGGGATACACAGTGTCCTCCATCGCGGCGCTGCTGGGCCCAGAGCTGCGAGGAACTTCTCCAACGCCGCCTTGGCCGAGGATGGGACCGTAGCGCTCCAGTTTGCGTCAAAGATGGTCGCCAACTCGCCGGAGAGGAGGTACCGCTGCAACCACAGAGCGCGCTCAGCAATGTGGGACCGAACTGCGCGGGAGAGTGGTGCTGAAGGAAGAGCAAGGGTGCTCAAAGCTGCCTGAGCGGCGAGTTCCACTTCTGCCACAGGTTAGAGCTCATCTTAATGAACCTACTCACCATCTTCGATGGTCTGGTACTGGATCGCCAGGCGCAGCACCTCGCTCGTAGGCGGACCCTTGGGTCGCACCTTGAAGAGGCATGACATGGGCTGGGAGGGTGAAACAAGGACCAACGAGTCCCACTTGCTGCGACACGCGTCGACAGCGTACGTATCGGAAGGCGAGACCAGGTTGACCGAGCTGATCCGGACGTACTCTCGTCCGTCGGAGGCAATGGCAAAGCTTGAGACCAGGCTTGGGGGTGAGCTTGACAGCATATCCAGAACTCACGCTTCCGGCCTGAAAAAGTCTTGTACGTTGACAGTGATGGGGAGGCCCATGAACACGGATTGCTCGTCAATGTAGTTTGATTCGACGCCTTCCGACGACGTATACTGAATGACAATCTGGATCTTTGCCAGCTCGCTTCGTGGCATGCCCGAGTAGGGGATCGAGATGAGAATGACCGTGTCCTCATCAAGGTCACCAAGACCGATGCTGTCCTCTGACGCCTCGACTTCTGAAGGGTTAGCGCTGCGGGATGTGCCTAACACACCTTTTCCGTCCGTCGTTGCGCGGGCAAGATCGTATGTGACCTCGTTTTGTAAAGGCGAAATCGCCAAACGAGCAGCCTTGACCGCCTGCTTGCCGCTGTGGACTTCGAGAACAATCTGTGACTCTTCATCGAGGGAAACTGCCAGTTAGACGAATATCACCAACGGGTGTGCACAACTCACTGATACTGGGCATGCGGAGGACTGCACGCAGTCCTTGAAGGTTGCGGTGGACCGGGACAATGACCTGGCCCTTAGGGTAGGAAGTCACAAAACCAACGGGCCCGAGGGCGACACACGCCTCGCGAAGAGTGACAGGACCGCCAATAGAGCTCTGGGATGTCAGCTTTATGAAGGAGAACATAGCTTACCGAACATGACACAGTTACGATCTGCGCGCCTGGTGCGATGGTGGTAGCACCCGACGAATAGACGATTGTGCCGTAGGTCTCCGAGTCCAGCTCGAGCCACACATCATCCACCTCTACCTCGACAGGCAGCGTGTTCGTCACTTGCAAAGTGAGTTGAGTAACGCTAACGTCGGAGCACAGCGACGCCGCATTGTCGATAAGACGTAGGTGGAAGACGGGGTTGTCTGAAACTGCTGGTTTAGCACACAACACTGACGGTCTACTCACCTTGCCTAGGTTGCGGCAGCTTTCTCAGGCCCGCAAGGGCTGTCTGCAACTCGGCCCGCTCGTTGTCGGTCAGGCCAGCAACGGAACACACGCGCAGGTATGCGAGTGCAAGGTTCGCCCAGTCGTCGTCACGGGGCTTTTGGAGCTCGGTGTGGGCGAAGAGCGCACCCTCGAGGGCATACTTGGCCACACGGTCCCAAACGCGGAGCTCGGCGCAGTCTCGAGACAGTGAGCGGAACAGGTCGTATGCGGTCGTCCAGTCCTCAGAGTGCATGGAAAGGGCTGCCAAGTCGGTCTTGAGACGAACAGCCGAATTGACCTTGCCGCATGCCTCGTATGCAGCGAGAGCTTGCTCGGTGAGGTTGGCAAACAGCTGAAGGAATGACTCCTGGGACTGCAGTGCCCCCACCAGCACCTCGTTGGACAAGGGTGGCTTTGGCAAAGGCGAGTCCTTGTTCTTGGGCGTCGACTGGGGCTGGGCCTCGTCCTCGTCCTTCAAGGAGATCTCGCTGAGCTTGCCATCGAGGGAGAGGATGGGCTGGAAGGGATACTTGTTGGGCAAGTTGCCAGTCATGACGCCGATGCGCTCAATCTGGACTCGCGCAATGTCTAGGAGTTCGGAGCGAGCCGACTCGTATGCGATCAAGCCGGAGTAGTCGTTGTTGGGGCGGTCAACGCGAGACCACTCGTCACAGTGCGCGACGAGGTCCATACATGCGTTGTACGTCCAACTCTCAACGAAGTATTCGGGGAGGGTCGCCTCGCTGTCTCGCAAGCGACGGGCCAGGCTGGCGATGAACCACTGGCCCCTCTTGGCAATCTCGGTGATGCGACCGATTTTGCCGAGGAGGATACACTGTCGAGCAAAGACGTAGATCCTAAAGTCGAAGACGGAGATGGTACTGCTGATAAGCAGCTCTCGATACGGCTTGGCAGCCGGGTCGAGGATGGATAGGCTGTCATCCAGTGGGTCGGTGGCTCCTAAGCGACCAAACCACTTCAGACTGTTCTCCTTTAGTGCCTGGACAAATGCCGCGTCCAGCTCCTCGTAGATGAGCAAGGCGTCCTCGAACAGGTTGACTCCTTCGAACGAGTGGGCAAGCGATTCCTGGGTAGGTTAGGCCTTTCCTGCCAACATCACCTACCTTGAGGAGGAACCACGAGAAAAAGTTCCAGTTTGGGGTGACACGCTGGGCCTCGCCGCGCTTGACTTCTTCCTCACGCTCAATAATGGCAGCATCGAACGCCTGCACAACGCTCTCCTTGAGCTTGTTGATGATATCAGGCCACGCCGCAGGGTCCGTCGTACCAGCTGGAGGGAGGAAGATCTGGGAGCAGCTACAAATGTCAGCAATATCCGAGGTGGTCGCACTTACATGTCGCGCTTCGTGGTGTTGAAGTCGGTCTTGAGCTTGGCGATGATGCCACGGTCGCGACCAAAGACGTTCTTGGAAGACTGAGGTGCTCCTGAAGCCGAGGGCGGGTTGACCAGCACAATGAGAGGAACTTGAGACCCACGCCTAGACGAGAGGAGCGCCAGCCAGTCCTTGATAAAAGTACGTGTGTTGTTCTTGTACAGGTCCGAGTCCTTGTAATCGTCAGGAGCCCGCTGGGGCGACGTCACAGAAGGCAACTCACATCGCACGCAACAAAGCAAATGTTGACAAGGGGCAGCTCGAGCACACTGCCAGCTACCGGGTCCATGGGTGGAGGGACATCGCCGAGCTCGACAAGGTGCACATCGGCTTCTTGGATCGTACGGAGCGCAGTACGCGTGCTCGACTTCCAGTGGAGGTTACGGAGTGGGAATTGGTCGGTGACGCCTGCGAGCGCTGTGCGGAGGTCGCCATTTCCAGAAGGGTAGAGCGTATAGGTCACCAGGACCTCACGCGGCGGCATGGCGGAGTATGTCCTGCTGCTGGGTATCGAGTGTTGCAAGTGGTGAAGAAGCGAGATGAGAGGGACGTCTGGCGACACGGACGCACGACACATGGCATCTCGCGCTCTCTGGCGGCGGCGACGGACGGCGCGTAACGCTTAACACGTCGAGCGTCTCAGGGCCAACCGGGGGAACCGGGGGACACGAGACCACGTGACTTGCACGCGATCGGACATGACCACCACCAGGCAACCACCAAAAAGTCAAAAGACACAGACTGTCGGTCCAGCATCACAACAACAGCGACAAACAACCATGCGCACGGCACTCAAAGTCCTGCCAAGGGCAGTGCCTCGCACCAAGATTCCCTCTTGCACACGGTGCTGCTCCACCTCGACGACGGCGACAACAGCCACTGAGACGTCTGCAGCAACTGACCAGTTGCCCAAGGACGCTCGCCTCCGTTTTGCCCCGTCTCCCACCGGTTCCCTCCACCTCGGTGGTCTGCGGACAGCGCTCTTCAACCACATCCTTGCGCGCAAGTGGGGCGGTAAGTGGCTTCTCCGCGTCGAGGATACGGATCAAGTAAGTAATGCTTTTCCGTTCACGACCTGACGTACCAGAGTCGACTTGTCCCGGGCTCTGTGGATTCGCTGAGGAGTGCCCTGGAATGGGCCGGCCTTGACTATGACGAAGGTTAGCGGCTGGCCATAAGTCTCTGTCAAATGGTACTGACCTGTTAGGCGTCGGAAGGACTGGAGGCAGCCACGGACCGTACACCCAGGTAAGCTTTCGCGGTTACATTCACTCTAAGCTAACCACCAGTCGGAACGCCTCGACATCTATCGCCATTACGCCCAGGAGCTCCTCGACGTGGGTGACAGAACTGAGAATGAGGCTGACCGTGCAGAAAGGAGAAGCGTACGAGTGCTTCTGTTCTGTTGACGACTTGGTGGCCATCAAGACAGCGCTGGTGAAGAGCGGCAACCACAACCAAGGTTACGACGGCCGCTGTCGTCATCTTTCTCGCGACGACGTGCAGCAGCGCAAGCGTGCTGGCCACAAGTACACTGTGCGACTGAAGGTAAGTTGGGCTCAGGACGATATTCAGCTGACAATCCAGTCCAGAGCCCAGAAGGAGGAGCTGCCTGCAGACCTCATTTATGGCAAGGCCGGGTCCAACTCGAACAGCTCCGGCGCCGACGACTTTATCCTAATGAAGGCTGATGGGTGGCCGACCTACCACCTTGCCAGCGTTGTCGACGACCATCTCATGGAGATTAGTCACGTTCTGCGCGGTGAGGAGTGGCTGCCATCCGTCTCGAGGCATCACCAGCTGTACAAGGCATTTGGCTGGGAGCCGCCAAAGTTTGCCCATTTGCCCCTCCTCATCAATGCCGATGGGTCAAAGCTGAGCAAGCGTACTGGGGATGTCAACGTTGAGCAGTACATTGTGAGTTTACATATCTGCCTTTGAGTTTGTCTGACATGGATAGGAGAAGGGCTATGAGCCAGAGGCGCTTGTCAACTTCTTGGCCCTTATGGGTTGGGACCACAACACGGCCCTGGAGGCAACACTGGAGGCCAAGGGCGAGGGCCTGCCTTATCACACCAGGAGAGACGGTCACTCGCTCTACGAGATCTTCACCATGAGCCAGCTTATCAAAGCGTTTGACATTAGCTTGATCAACCACCGCAGCTCCGCTGTTGACCTTAGCAAGCTCGTCTTTATCAACAAGATGACTCTGCGCCGCAAGGCCGGCCGTCTTGGAGATGACGGCAAGTTTGTGAACATCGGTCGTGAGGCCGATACTGCAGGCGATGGAGGTTACGACGCAGTGTTGAAGCGGTACCAGGACGAGCTCCGTGCCCGGGAAGAGTTGGCTGGAAGGTAGGTTTAACATGATTTCTCGGTACTGACGTTCCAGTACACTCGTTGAGAATGCCGCCTACGTCCGCAAAGTCTTCGAGGTCGAGCTGGTGAGAACTCCCTTTTGTTTGTCTTCCTTGCTGACACAGACAGCCACGTGGGGAATTGGTCAAGAGCATGGCCGCCAACTCATCGACCTTCTTCCTGGAGCCCAACTACAAGGGTGCCGAGGCTGAGAAGTTCCTGGATGAACTGCGCACGAAAATCTACGGTACGTTCCGTTTGGGTCTGGGAGATTGTGCTCACGATATCAGTCGACGTTCTCCAGCTGGTGATTTCCCAAATCGCGGCGCTCAATGAGACCCAAAAGTTCGATTCCGACGCGGTCTGGGATATCGTCCACGCTACATTGGCCGAGTTGAAAATCCGCAAGAAGAAGGATGCCTTGCTGCCCATGCGCCATGCACTGAGTGGCACCCACGTAAGTTGAACTGTAGAACGTCAGTTGGGATGGTGACTGACAGCCAGGCTGGTCCCGGTGTACCCCAGATGGCGGAGGTGCTAGGCAAGGCTCGCACCCTCGCCCGTCTGCGTGCTGGCTTGGCCTATGTAGTGGCCAGGGCCCGTTCCACTGGAGTAGTTTGATACATGTAGATGGTACACCGCTCTATCAATGCAAAATGCAGTATGCAAGACTCTCTCTCTCTCTCCCCTCATCAATTGTCGTTGTCCTCATGTTTACCGCTTGCCAGAACGCCCCCGTCCCGACGGGCGGCCCTTTGCCTTTCCAGACGGCCGACCTGACGACGACTTGCCGCCAAAGCTGCCGCCAGACTCGTACTTGGCCTTGCGCTTCGTGTCACGCACCTGAGACAGGGCCTCACGCTGGGCCTTTCGCACTTGGGTGGCCGACTTGTTCCGACCCGCGTCTGCTGCAGCGCGCTCCTCGGCAGCCTGTTCCAGGAAACGAGCAACAGTGAGGGACACACGGTCTTGGAGTGTCTCGGGAAGGGTGGGAGGCATGGGAATGTCCGCGGCAAGGAAGTCGTCGTCGTCTTCAGCAGCTTTGGCAGCAGCAGCGTTCGTGGCAGCGGTGGCCTCGGCGAACGCCGCCTCGGAGGTCGAACCCACGGCGCCCATGTCGCTCACCGTAATGGGGAGGCCGTTGTGGTCGAGGAGCTCGATACGAGCCCCGGGGGCGGGCTGGTCTGGTGTGATAGACGAGATGAATGCCGACTCGACGCCGTCGAGGTCATCGAGCGTCCAGCGTCCCAGCTTGCCCTCGCGGAACTGCTTGAGGAAGAAGGCCATCGACGCCTCGGTGTTGCGCTCTCCGCCCTTGAGGATGGCTCCGAGTCGCAAGGCGAGCTCGTCAAGGAACACTGACAGGTCATCTGTACGCTCAAAGGCACCCTTGAACGGGAGGTGGGAGGTGTAGCACTCGTCTAAAAGCATGAGCTTGGTTTTGGATTTAGCTACTCACGACGAGCCTTGTCTCCTTCGGCAAGCGTTGCCTCAGTAGCGAGTCGGAGGTTGAGTTTGTACAAGAGGTAGTCGGCAATGGCATCAGGCTCAAAGAGACCATCCTTGATACCAGCTACAAGAGTTAGCGCGTGTACGGTGCGATATGCAACCCACCAGTAATCGCCAGCTTGAGACCACGCTCAGAACCAGCCTCACTGTGACCGAGGAAGGGCATCATGACACCGGGTGTGTCAAAGACGTAGATCTTTGGGTCGTCATAGATCTTGACCGTGCCGGTAAGACGGCGGGTCACGCCTGGCATGGCTCCCGTGGTAAATGCCTTGCCCTTGCGAACACCGACGCGGCGGAGGCCGTTGAGGAGGGACGACTTGCCGACGTTGGGCATGCCGACGACGAGGACCTTGAGCTCGGTCAAGGTCTCGCCTGCCTCACGAGCCATGGTGGCAGCGACGCGAAGCACCTGCTTGACATCTGCGTCCACTCGGCTGTCCGCGAACAGCACACGCTGGCCAGTCTGATTCATGAACGCCTTCTTGAGCGGCTACATCTGATTAGCACGCTGCAAGGGAGAATTAAGACCACCGGGACTCACGGCTTCATACCTCTGCTCCGCCAAGTCTCGCTTGGTGTACACGACAAGTTTCCTCTTTGACATGCCTTTGCGATCCAGTCCAACGCCAGAGTGGCCCCAGACACGCTCCAGCATGGAGTCGAATGCGGGGTTGACGGAGGTGAGGGGCAGACGGGCATCGCGGGCCTCAACAACCATGTCGACCTCGTCGAGCAGCCCGGGCAGTTCGCGCAGTGAGCGCGCCATGTGGCCAGCAAACCATGATGGTGTGCGAGCCGGGAACGGGAATGCCGTCCGCACGAGAGCCATCTGGAGAAAGTGCGGGGTTGAGGATGTGGATGTTTGTGGTGGAGTGAGAGCACTGCAAGGGTAATTTCTTGGACGGGTCCGCAGTCATGTCCACATCCAGGCACGGGCTTGTTGGCTGTGGGATCTGTTGTGGCGGCCCGAAAACCCGGCCGTATATTCGGAGTGGTTGTCCATGGCCCCATGGGATGTTGGCTGGATGTTGGGAGCTCAGTACATGCCACACGCTGCCAAATGTCCCATACGCGCTGCATGCTGTGCAAGGGTCTTCCGTCTCCATGCCGGGTGGGCAGCCCGTCGTTTGGCATTTTTAGCGAATAGCGCCTTCAACCGTCTATTTAGAGCTGCCGCGCGTGGCGCCGAGACCCCGGAAATATGAGCCACCCTTTTGCGCGTCGTTTGTTGCGGCCGTACGCGCTCGTCATGAACCGCGCTCAGATGCCTTTGATGGTCGGGATGCTACGGGTGAAGGCAGTAGACGGTGTTCGAAAGTGGGCGGTGCTCGGACCCCCCTGAGGCAGAGACGCGTTGTGAGCTCGACGAGCTTGTTCATGCCTTTCCAGAGTACCAAAACGTTGGTGGATCCGCGGGTTGTTTTGCCACCATCTGCCATCGTCTGAGCGTTGTATTGTCGCTGCAGACATGCTTCAAACTGGAATTGTCACTGGGGCCTGGCCATGAGCGTCTTCTCGGCTTCTTTGCTTCTATAGCCCTGTCGAGACCTCCAGGAGCGGCTTGGCTCACGAGCTGTTGCGAACGTGGGTGGGCCCTGCATCTTGACATCCCCGTTCGTTATTTTCGCAACAAGCCACGTTCCAAAGAGTCCCTACGGCCTACACCCCATGCGCCTCGGAAAGGTGGAGATCTTCTGGCCACTGGCCTGGACGGTACCATAACATGACAAGTGCTCAAGGAGAGACCTTCTTCCTCGCAACTCTTCCTCGCTCTTCCCCTCCAATCCTCCGCCATTGCGAGCCCGCACGATGGCTGTTCACAAACGGAGCCTCGTTGAGAGCGTTCTCCAGCGTTTTCCCGCCATCAGCCATGCCGTTGTTTTCCTCCTCGCTGTCCTCGGGCCGACTTATGCCCCCATCGGTTTCGTCCTGTACAGCGTTCTGGTCAATTTTATCATCCTCGGAGTCAACTGCAGGTACGCGTTGCCACTCGGATCCTTCTCACGTTCTTTTAGGACTGCTTATGGCACTTTTCTGGCCTGGCGCGGGGTGAAGAAGCACGCCAGTACCGACTGGCGGGCCGTCTACGCTGAGGGCCACAACAGCCACAGCCTCCCGTATGATGATGTCGAGCACATTATTGTGATCCCCAAGTACGTCCCAGCGCAAACCTACCCCCTACTGACCGCGATTTAGTTACCAGGAGGACATTACCGTACTTCGTGGGTGTGCCACTTCCAGATGCCACAACACGCGCAGTTCCGGGCCATCCGCAGCTAACCAATATTAGGCGAGACACTATACCTGCTGTCTACGCAGCCCCTTGCTGGAAACTACCGTCCCGTGCTGGCCATGGAGGCACGTGAAATGGGTGCCCGCGCCAAAGCCGAGACCCTGCTGCACGAATTTGGTGGCGCATTCAAGGCCATCTCGTACACCTTGCATCCTTCCGATATTGACGGCGAGGCCGCGGGCAAGAGCTCAAACCTGTCGTGGGCAGTCCGCCAAGCATGGTTCAGCATTGCCGAAGACGCAAACCTGGAAGTGGGCAACATGGTCATCACGGTCCTGGATGCAGACAGTAGGTTGCATTTCGCCGGGTTTCGACTGACGGGTAGCCGCTCTTGCAGGCGACTTCTTTGCCGCTGTCAGCTGCAAATACGCGGTCCGCTCAGCTGAAGAACGGTACGTTGTGCCCCCTTCTGCCATCTTTTCTAACGGTGCAGCACCCGCATGTCCTTTGTTCCCCCCATCGTCTTTGATCGCAATGCCTCAGATGTTCCCATTGCCGTTCGCCTCGTCGACATGCTGTGGGCAATGTAAGTACCGCCATTTATTTTAGCCACAACTTGGGAGTCTGACAAACAAGGGGCGGGCTTTCCACAATCTACCCTTCCTCGTCTGCCAAGATCCCGACCAGCGCGTACAGTCTCTCGTTGACTCTTGCCTTGCGTGTTGGCTTCTGGGACGCTGGCGTAGGTTGAAAACGTGCCAATGGTGACTGACCTATTTCAGCCTACTGCAATTGGCGAGGACATGCACATGTTCATCAAGACTCTCTTCTGCACTGCGGGCAACCTCATTTCCGAGACCATCTATTCCCCTGCTTCGCAGCTGGACGTGTGTGGCGGCGAGCACTCGACCTTTTTCTCCCTCAGCGACCATACTGCGCGGTACAAGCAAGCCGTGCGCCACCTCTGGGGCAGCCGTGAGTGTGGTCTTGGCGAGGGAATTACATGTAGCTGATTTAAACCCAGTCGACACAGGATATATGCTCAACCGCTTTTGGAACCGCCACTTTACGCCTTGTGAGGACGACTTTGCCTCGGTTCACAGGCACGGTCCCCCCATCGGTCTCTACCACTTGCACAGCGAGGACGAGCCCGCGGCCATTACCATGGCGACGAACTGGGTCGACAAGGTCGGTGCACGTACGCCGAGCGATGTGCCCTCGCCGCTCGAGACCATTTCAGAGGTGTCGTCCGTCAGCTCGCTCGACCTGCTGAACGACGACAAGGTCAACACGCTCCTGGCGGAACGACGGGCCAAGAAGGTAAAAGTCGTGCCGTTCCTCACCCTCGCGCTGCGCCTGTACGAAGCCCACCTCCTCATTGGGCACATCACCATCCTGGCCATCGTCCGTTCGGTCAAGTGTTTCAGTGCCGGTGTGTGCGGCACGTCCCCCGTGGTGGTCGCCACGGCCGGTCTGGGCCCGCGTACAATCTTCTTTGTGGACTGGGCAAACATCCTCTTGTCCGTCAAGGGCAGCAGTATCTTTGTGCTCATCACCATCGCCATGATCGTGGTGTATGACCGATACCACCAGCAAGCGGCGCGGTACAGGTGGCAGAGCTCTGACAAGCTCGGTGCTCAGCCTAGTGCTAGGTCGTACCGCCCGTTCCCGCGGGCCACTTTTGAGTGAGTTTTGTACACCTCACAAATGCGGGGGCGAAAACTGACGGCGACAGCATCGTCGCCTTCCCTGCCATCTTCGCCTTTGGCGTCGTACCGTGCTTTCACGCGCAGATAATGCACATCTTCACGAACCGCCTCACGTACACCGTGTCCTTCAAGCCGGCTGTCGCGGCCCGGATCCCACCCACGCAAGAGCGTAAGCAGAGTCTCGCGTAGAGTGTGTGTCGTCGACGCTGCGTCTTGCCTTTTTTTTTGATTTTGGTCCTAGATAGTAATATCCGTTAATCTGCTTTGATAATGATGCACTTTGACAGTGCCCCGGGACACGCAACCAGAGCCTTGTATTCAACATTTGGACATGCAGGGGAGAGACTGTCTACACAGAATGTAATTCGCGCCACTTCTTTATTTTGATACCAGAATAAAACCACTCTCACAATTACGCCTGGTAGTCGCGGTACTCCTTCCATTGGTCCGACTTGAGGAGGCTGGCGACGAACGCGTGGAAGCCCGGAGCCTGGGCCGCCGTGCTAATGCGGTACAGGGGGACCGCGGTGCGGAGAGTCGAGCGCTGCATCTCCTCCTTGCGCTCGAGGTCCTGCTTGATCGTGTCCTCCTTGACCTCGAGGTCCTTCATGATGACCTTGAGGTGGGTGGCGACCTCGTCGAGGCGCGGGACGACATAGACAGGGGCAAGCTGGGCGAGACGGAGAAGAAGCATGAGACCGAGAATCTTGATCTCGTTGACGTCGGCGATAGCAGCAATGACACGGTCGGTGAATGCCGGCAGGTCGATGCGGCTAAAGCACGTCGCGAGGAGAGTGTACATGGTCTCGTATGCGGTCTTGCGGTTCTCCAGGCCGTCGTCCTCGAGTACTGTACTGTTAGTCACCGCATCCTGTTCCTTAACAGCCACTTACCCTTCCATGGACCCATCTGGACCTCGCGCTGGAGCTCCTTCTTGACCTCGGTCTCGCTGTAGAGCCAGGGCTGAATAGCCGAGAGCTTGTCGATGATGAGATGGGGACGGCTCTGAGCCGCAGCGTTGAGGGCGGCAACAGCCAGGCGACGGACGACGGCGTTGGGGTCCTGCATGAGCGAGAGGAACTCGCCGACGATGGGGGCAATCATCTCGTCCGTCTTGGTCGACGCAGCGTCGTTCTTGGACGAGTCGATGAACGTGTAGCGGATAGAAGCGGCAACGAGCGCACGCTCCTGGTCGTTGCCCTGGAGCATCTTCTGGAGCTGAGGGAGGAAGCGAGCAGGCGCAGCAATGGTGAGCTTGCCGATGCACGCGGCCTTGACGTTGCGCACACCGTCGTCGCTGGCAGCCTGCGAGTCGGCGTTGCTGAAGAGAGGGTGCCACAGAATGTCCGTCAGCTTGTCCAGCTGAGGGTCGGACGAGTGAAGGATGACCTCCTTGAGGGAGTAGAGAAGGAGGAGACGTTGAGGCTCCTCCTGCGTCGCCTCAATGTGCCTGATGAGGATGGGGAGAAGGTCGTCGGGCGAGCCAACAGCCATGTTTCCAGCAGCAAAGGCAGCGGCGCTGCGGACCTCTTCACTGGGGTGCGTGAAGAAGCGGAGAACGGTCTCGAGCAGGCCCTCGTTGACTGAAAGGTCGTCCAGGCGACCGATTTCGCCAATGCAGAGCAGGGCGAGGTACGTGTCGGGCTCCTTGGCCGTCTTGGACGTGATGGTGTGCTCAAACGTGGCAAGGATACCCGCGAGGTTGCGCTGGCTGTGCATGACGACGGCACCGATACACCTGGCGGTGCTCGTGTAGGCAAGAGTGCCGCCGAGAGTAGCATCGGGAAGAGCGTCGGCCTTGGCAATGTTAAGCACGAGCGAAGGAACAAGGCGAAGGGCACAGTCAACGTCGCCGTCAACGTAGGTGCCAAAGAAGTCGGTCAGCGCCTTGATCTGCGCGGTGTTGCTCGACGTCTTGACGGCCTTGAGAACCTCGGGAAGAATGTGCTTGTCAACAGCGCCGCGGCTTGCTGGCTGGTTCTCGAGGACAAGGGACACAGTGTTGAGCGCGGCAGGAGTGTCAACAAACGCCTTGAGCTCGACAATGATGCCGTTGGCGGTCTCGACCGGCAATGTCGAGCCAATGCGCTGGAGGATGCTGTCAAGAGTCTCAAACTCGTTGGCCTTGGACACTGAACGCTTGTTGCGGCGAATAGAAACGACGGCCTCGGGGAGGACCTTGAGGAGCCAGGCGTCAAAGGTGAGGCCAGTGCAGAGAGGCGAGTCGGCAACGCGGCCAATGACCTCGACGGCTGCCGACGCCGTGTTCTCGCTGGTAAGACGAGCGGTGATGAGGTCGAGGGCGACCGAGAGTTGGCTGGCAAGAGCATCACCCTCGTGGACGAGGACATCGCCGAGAGTGATCAGGGCCTTTTCACGGACATCGCTGTCGACTGACGAGTCGCCGAGGACGTTGGTGGTGGCCGTGAAAATGTCCTGCACGGGGCGGTCAAAGCTGGAACGCAGAGGCGAAGCCGAGCCCTTGTTTGGGCGCATGGCCTGTGCAAGCGCCGAAGCAGCGGCAAAGGCCTCAAAGCTGACGCGCTGGAGCTTATCACGCATGCAGCGGACAATGGCCTGCGCCAGGTCCTGGAGGTGCGAGGCGTAGCTGCGAGCAGTGTGGTGGGAGAAGAAGGCGGTGAGGAATGAAAGGACGGCAATGGTAAGCGAGGGACTGTCGGCGGTGCGGAGGGCGCCGTTGGCAGTGGAGCAGATGGTGTCGGCCTCGGCGTCCAGTCCGCCGTCGAGGGCCTCGACGACTTGGCGAAGAAGGACAAAGCTCTGCTGGCGAGTGGCGACGCTCTTGGACGAAGCCTGCTTGAGGATCGCCTTGACGAGCTGCGGGCTCAACTCGAGCAGCGACCCGACGGCGGTCTCCTCGGCACCCTCCTGGTCCATCTCCTCGCTCCTCTTGCGCTTGTTGCGGCCACCGGCTGCCAGCTCAGCACTCCTCGTGTTGGCAGTCTGCTTTAACAGGGCCTCAAACGCAGTGAGGATCTCAAGCCGCACACTCTCCTCACGCTCGCTAAAGCGAGTCATGAGACGAGGAGCAGCGGTCTTGTAAAAGTCAAGAAGCAAGTCGATACGGGTGCTGATGAAAGCCTGGAGAAGCTTGGCCGCGGAACGGCGGATCTTCCAAGAGTCGTCCTCATCGTCAGAGTACCTGCTCATGTCAGTTTGGCCACAGTTGGTGATGCCCATTCTTCAACTCACGCGTCGTTGTCAAAGTCGTCATCGTCGTCGTCATCCTCATCACCCATATCCACATCATCCTCCTCGTCGTCGTCATTGTCGACATAGTTGGGGTCATACTTGATGAGCTCCAGCGCACCAGTGGTAATGGACTCGACGTAGCGAGACATCTCAGAGGGGCAACGAAGAGCCAGCACCTCGAGGGCCTGTACTGGTCAGCTTTGGGGAGCGCAACGAGGCACGTACAGTCAGGGCACCCTCGGCAGCATCAGTGTCGGCGAGGTCGGACACCTGGCGCATAATCTCATCCACGAGGTCCCCCGACGCGATGAGGGCGCCGACCTGCGAGCTGGCCGACGTCTTGGCCATGCCCGCGACAGCCGTGACCCATGCCTTGGCCGAGTCGCCGCCCTTCTTGAAGCCCTGGGCCATGTCGCTGCTAATCGCGGAGAAGTGCTGGGGGCAGATCGAGATGAACGCGGCCAGCGCGGGCACGGCACGCCTGCGAACCGAGAGACGGGGTACAGTAAAGACCTCGTGGAAGAGAGTGAGCGATGCCGTCTGCAAGTCGGCCGACTCGGCAATGACGGCGGGGAAGCGCTGGTAGATGTCTGTGAGAATCTGGAGGAGCTCGGACGCGAGCTGCGGGTTGGCGTCGGCCTGAGAGGTTAGGTTGAGCCCATACGACAAAGACCTACATGGCTAACGTTCTGGCGAATGCGAGCAATAACGATCTTGAGGCAGTCGGGAAGGTTGGTCGCCTCGGGGTTCACCTCGGCAACAACAGACTTGAGAGCTGATGGAGTGTCAGTGAGTCCGGCCAGCGCTGTCGCATAAAACGCGTACCCAGGCAGGAAATGTCGCGGTTCTCCTCGTCGACCTTCTGGCCCGCCGCACCAATACCCTCGGTGATGGTGATAACAATCTGGCGGAGGTAACCCGGGCGCGCCTTCTTGGACATGTTGGCGACGCTGGCAATGTGCGTCAGCCACCGGCGTCACAACAACGATTCCCGTCTGCACACGCGTGCTTGCTTACCAGGCGACCGCGGCATTCTTGACTTCGGCATTGCTGTCTAGCAGGAGGGACAGGACGCGCTCAGTAAGGACCTTCTCGGACACCTCGTCGGCGTAGACGTCGGTGGTGGACGTGCGGGACGACGAGGACGGCCTGGCGGGCGACTGGGTGGCGAGGACGCGGTTGAGCTCCTTGTTCAAATCCAGAAGCGCCATGACACTTCACAGAATCGTCAGCTTAAGACTCCTGACGAACAGTCGTCTCAACTTACCGGAGGTCCGAGTCAGACGACTTGAACTGTATGGGAAGTGCGGATCAGCTTGGGACACGACATAGAGTCCGGCAGCTTTGCGACGTACCTTGTCCGAAAGGGACGGCACCAGGGCGCTGAGAGCCTGCCTCGACGAGGACATTGTGGTGCTCTTGTTCTCGAGGGTTGTTGTGGGAATAGTTGGGTGAGGAACAAAGGAAGGAAGACCAAGGGTGGCGGCACCGTACGTGCGGACCGTGAGCAGGTGAGTGAGTGATGGTGTCAGAGTGGAGGTCCGATGCCATGACGTGTAAATAGATATTGTTGGGGCATTGTGTTATCAACGGCGCCTGCGCCAGCCTCAGGACGTCAGCGTTAGTCGTGACCAGCCATGATGGAGGCCAAAGGAGCAAACCCACGACAGACGTGGGCGTCGGATGCAGCAAGGTCTTTTATCTTTTAACTCGCAGAGCGCAGAGCGCTGATCCGGCCATGTCTCGTACAGTCTATGTGAGATCTCTGATCTCTGAATGAAACCCGGTGTGCCTGTTCTACTATCTATCAAAATCGGCGTCTCTTTTCTGCTTGGAACAGACACAAAGGACGAACCAAACACGGCAGCGGACTGTGCAGGCTGTGGCGTCGCCGCGGCGTCCTCACACGCTCCTCCTCAAAGGATCAACGAATACAAAGCTGTAGCATGATAATGACTACAGGTGGCTAAAGTCGACAACGCGCGTGCCCACACGCTCAGACTGCTCGGGCGAGTGGGTGATCCAGATGAGAGCCTTGGGTCCGTTACCGCGACGAGGGATGTCCGAGCCCTGTTTGGGTTTTCGTGTCAGCCACGCTGTCCTTGTTCCTCGACCGCGCATGCACATTCCAAGCACTCACAGCGGATGCACCTCGGGGTGCGGGAGGAAGCATGGAGAGAAGGGTGCGCTCGACCTTCTTGGTGGATACCTCGTCGAGGGCGGAAGTGGGTTCTGGAACATTAGTTAGAGCTGCGTGTGGAGGTTGTAGCTCACCGTCAAGGAGGAGGACCTCGGCGCCGCCCATGCCGACCGCGACGGCCATGGCAATACGCTGGCTCTCGCCGCCCGAGAGGGTGCCCCAGTCGCGCGTCCAGAGTACGCGGTCGATATCCCACTCGTCGGCCAGCTCGAATGGCGTCGGGCCCTTGTTCACTTTCCCGTCCAGCTCAGCCGCGCGGACCTTGCGCGACGCAAAGCTCTGGAGACGCTCCAGGAACTGCAACGGCGTGCCGGGGAGCAGCGACGGGCGTTGAGGCACATACTGCACGAGCGTCCTGTAGTTGGGGATGCCGTAGGATGTCGACTTTCTGGGTGTCGGTCAGCCATCGCCCTGGTCTCGGCCAGCCCCGTGCCCTGGTGATGGTGAGGCTCAACACTCACTTGCCCTCGAGGAGGATCTCGCCTTGCTGGTACACGTTCAACTCAGCAATGCACTTGAGCAGAGTGGTCTTGCTGGGGGGCCTGTCAGATCGCTCTGGCAGCTGCGTTGGAGCTTACCCGCATCCACTCGGTCCCTTCAAAATCACAACCTCGCCGTCCTCCACCTGCAGGTTGAAGTCCTGAGAGGGGGTGTCAACAACCAGACTGATCTGCGCCGGCAGCGACGAGGGCGGTGTCTGGGTTACTTACGTTAAGAATCGCAGAGCCAGTGCCGTCGTCACGACGCAGAGTAAGGTCGTGGACCTCGAGAAGGGGACCCATTGTTGCTGACGGAGAGTAAGAGAACAAGGAAGAAACGAGGGCCGTAATTTAAATAACTTGCGGGCTATTTTGATGACGACACTGGCCCCGCCGTAGGTGTGGGGAGACAGGGACCAACGCGGGCTCCATTGCCCAACCACGACCGCTCTGTTGCAGCCACGTAAATCGCAGATACCGGGACATGTACAAGGAAGCCAAGTGCTACTGCAGCTGAAGGTGAAGAGCCATACTCCAAAAGTGCACATCGAACGGCATGCTGGATGCACAAAACGCCACTCTGACCGCGTCCCTTGCCCGACCATTTAGTTCGCGATGGCTCGGCAGCAGCTATGCCACACGAGTGCCATTGAGCGACCTCCCATCGCACACGGGTACACGGAAGCTCCAGACAGTGTTGTAATGACACATGTTAACAATGCATGATTCGGCAACTTCTTTACTCGACCTCCTCGACCTGGACGTCCTCGACGACCTCCTTGGCCGCAGGCGCGGCGTCGTCCACCTCGTCGAGGTCGTCACCATCGGGCATGCCACCGCCGAGGGCACCGGCACCGCCCATCTGCTCCATGAGCTTGGCCTGAGAGCGTCAGTAGAGCTCCTTAGGGTGGTCTCCATCGCAGAGAGTTGTGAAATCTCTCGTCTCAACTCACAAAGTCCATGCCGCCGGGCATGCCACCGCCGGCACCACCCATGCCGCCCATCATGCCGCCCATGCCGCCCATCTGGGCCATGAGGTCCTCCATGCCACCGCCGCCCATGCCGCCCATGCCACCCATGCCAGGCATACCGCCCATGCCGCCCATACCGGGCATACCGGGCATACCGCCGCCCATTCCGGCGTCGGGGGCCTCAAGCCTTGTGGCGTGTCAGTTGAAACTCGCGAACCGTTGAAAACAACTTACTCCTCGCCCTCCTGCTCGTCCTCGTCGACCCACTTAGCAAAGTCGGTGCGGATCCAATTGCGGTTGGGCTTCTCCTTCGTGAGGCGGGGCCAGTACTCGGCGCGGAGCTCCTTCTTCTGGAGGACAAGGACGACGGCACGGCCGTGGACGACCTTCTTGGTCTTGGTGGGGTCGATCTCTCCCCACAGGTCAAGGTCAAAGGCCCACTCCTTGGTGGGAATGCCCTTGTCGGGACTGGGACAGTCAGCATCGGAGAGGTTGGGAAGGAAGGGAATGGAAAGTGTGAGTTGACACTTACGTGCCCGACACGGCGCTGAAGGAGATCTGGTCCTTGGTGATGTCGAGGCGGGGCTCGCCGTTGATGTCCGCGACGTCTGGCTAGTTAGAATGGGTCTGCTCCAGGTTCGCGTGCTCGTGCTGTATACCCACTGATGGTCAAGTAGATGATGTTCTGTTCCAGGTCAGCGTCGTGGACATTTCTCGGCTCGTCGCAACCGAGAGCCGGCCAGCCAAAACACAAAACGCACCTTCTCGGGCTCAGTCTCCGAAGAGCGCTCAGCGTAGAGGATCTCGGGGTGGAGGGGCCTGGGGGGGATAGTAGCCATCTTGTCTGTTTGTTGTTTTTCGGTGGGTGAAGGAGATGGAAAGGTCGGAAGGTGCGAACGACGCCGCCTTGATGTCACTCTCTCTCGACCACCTCCACGTTCACGGAAGCAATATCGCTACAGAATACGCCGGAAACTTCTGATATTCTACACATCGTCTATCCAGCACCAACTAATGCATGCATATGCTGGCACCCATGCATATGTGACAGCAGTGGTCAGATCTAGGAGGATGCATACCATAGACCAAGCTCGCGCCGCTGGGGCAATGTTGAATGCAGAGATCCATGGTTGACTGCGTCAAAAGCACAGACAAAGGGGCCACGAGCACCCAAACAGCCGCGTCAACAGTCACATAACGACGTCATATTACATGTGGCCATGGTTATGGCCCGTTTACATACGCGAAACCGGCAGTCAGGCAATAGAGATGGTCTGCTGGCCGATAAACTGCTCTCCGGGCTTGATCGACTTGAACTCGCTCACGAATCCGGGCTCAATGCAGACGTAGCGGTTCTGAGAAGAAGAGAAGAAAGTGTCAGTTGTAGCCCCGCGACACGATCGAGCCAACTCACCCATCCGCCGTCCTCCATGTCGGCAATCTTGCTGCCGGTGACGTCGGCAGGGTTCCAGATCGTGCAGCTGAGAGGCGGTTAGTACGGACGTCAACTGTTTCACAGCGTTGTTACTCACTCCTCAAAGCCGCGGAAGCGGACCTTGTAGTGGTCGCCAGCACCGTCGTCAAGACCAATCTCCTTTGAGGGGACCTTGGCGTAGACGCTGTGGCTGTCAGTACATACCACTCTGGGGTTGTACTCACCGGTCAACCTGCTGGTCAATGACAAGAGGGCCGCCGGGGGCGGCGCCGACCGCGCCGCCGAGAACCTTGTCCTTGTAGCTGGTGCCGGCGTCGATACCCGTGAGGGCAATCTTGGAGACGTCGGGGACAGCCAGGTAGGTGTGGAGGAGGGCTTGGAACTTGAAGTCCTCGGTGCCCGTGTTGAGGACGTGGAGGTTGCAGACGAGCTCGTGGGCGGCGAGCGTCACGACGTAGTGGAGCTCGAACGAGTGGGGGAAGGTCGCGGGAGGGGGCGGCGCAACGAGACGGACCGAGACGCCCTCGCTGCGATCCAGGAGGATCTTCTCAAGCTTCCATGTCTGGGTACGGGCAAAGCCGTGCTGGGCGAGGGCGGCGTACTCGGGCGGCGATGAGGGAGGGGGGCCGAACACGGGCTGGGAGACGGGGGGTCAGTTCACTCGCAAGGTAGCTGTCGACACCGATTGGACCATGGACCACTCACAAAGACAACGGGAATGCCACCACGGATCTAGATGGGCTCGGGGTTAGTGGCTTGCAGGCGGACATCATCAACAGTTATCCCCGCTCACAGCAGCAGATCCGTCGAGGTGGGCCTTGTTGGAGAGGAAGATGCGCTCGCGACCGGCAGTCTTCCACGAGGTGACAGTCGCGCCGAAGAGGCTGGCCTTGTTAGCACTTTGGCTCGCAGACAGTAAGAAGGAAGCAGGCACACTAGATTTCGACGCTGGCACCCTGTGGTTGTTGTCAGTGTTCAGTCGCTCTCTGGGTTCAGGTGCCGGCCAGACTGACGGAAGGGTGGGTGAGCACGATGGTCTTGTCGTTCTGTTCAACGGGCATGGTGGGTTCTTTGTTGGTGCTGTCAAACGAGTGGGTTGAAAGGGCAGTGAGGGTATTGGATGCCAAGTGCTGGGAATCAAAAGTGATGTCGGTGGTGGGTTGCTGGCAGCTGACTTGCGGGGGGTGAGGGCCATGTGCGATGACGTTCGCCCGGTGCTTAGTATTGCGATCTCGGAATGTCTGTCCGCCGAGCCGCCCGTACGCCGCCTGCACGCCTCTCCTGCACAAACCCCTGCACGCCTGGACAACGGCGCACGCGCCATGGCCCGACGGGCCGGCGGCACGAGATGCAAACGGTCCCTTGATAACCCCAACAACCGTGGGTAAGCAATGAGCAAGCACGCAAGCCATCCAAATGGAAAACGTTCCGAAGAGATCAGAGACTGTTCCGAAGATGGAGAAACGTGGCTGCGGGGATGGACGGTCGGACTTCCGGTCCGAGATGCCATATCACTCTGTACTGCCGAGGACGGACCTGACCGCTGGCTGTAGCATCAGCCTGGGCAAGTGGTTAAGTTGGGTGAGGACGACAACAGAGGTACAGAGAGGAGAGAATGGCAAATGGGTGAAAAAGAGTGTGTTTCTAATGAGATGAGATGCGAGCGTGTGACAGAAAGAAAGAAAACAAGAAACTTGTAATAATGACCTTTGCTGCTGTCCACCTTCAGCTGATCAGCTGAGGGGTGGCAGGCATGGCTGAGGCGAGCCTGCGTGTTCGAACGTCACAAAACTCGCATGGCATCTGTACTTGTCCGCCTCGACCTCCTCCGCGTCTGCACATGGCCATCTACCATCTCTTACCGCCATCCGTTATACCTCGTGCGTACCCTTGCACACTGTATGTACACTCTCCCGATCCAACCGCTCCTCCTTGGCCTCCTCCTTGACCATCGCCAGCCAATCTTGTCCTCCTTTCCCTTTCCCTTCCTTGCCCTTAGACTTGTTCTTGCTGTGGGCCTTTCGCCTGGGGGCCCCTACTCGTCTTGGTCCTCGGTGTCGTCCTCGTCCTCGGTGTCGGCCTTGGCGTTCTTGGAAGCGACCGGGTCCTTGAGACACTTGAACGTAAACCCAAGAGTGCGTGCGACCTGGCGGATGCGCTCGGTCTCGTCGCGCAGTTGGCGGTCGTGCGACGCAAGCATGTCCTCCAAGTGGCTCTCGGCCCTCTCGAGACTCTGACGCGCCTCGTGGACCTGGGTTGTGGCCCTCTCCACGGTCTCGTTGGCATCGCGCAAGTCGTTTCCCGCCTCACCGACTGCCTGCTCGGCCAGTAGGGAGTGACGCTTGTCACGAGCCTCCTCCTTACGCAGCCTCGCTGCCGCCAACCTTGCGGTGCGCTCCTCCTGGAGCCGCCGGGCGTGGTCGAGGTCTCGGGCGGCGGTCGGCACCGCGTTCCTCGCCTCGTTCACGGCCACCCTCGCCTGGCGCTCCTCGGTGTCGAGGTCGTCCATTAGCATGGCCTCGGTGGCGAGGTCCTTGCGCAGGGTGATCTCGTCCGTCTCGAAGCGCTCCAGGTCGGTCTCAGCCTTGCGCTTGACGCTCTTCGTCTTGGCGTCCTTGACACGACGCCGGATGGAGCACTTGCCGTTCTTCAAGGCCACCGTAATGGCACGTCGAGCCGCACGCGACCTGACCTCGGCAGGCCTCGCGTCTTGGGCCGTGCGACGAGGGGGACGGCTGTTACCCTCCTGGCGCTCCTGCCTCTTCGCATTGCGCTTGTTCTCGACCTCGCGCGCGCGCTTCTTGACGTCTGGCTGTGCCTTGCGGAGAGCGTTGTAATTGTTGTCTCGCGCTCTCTTCTCCAACAGCTGGTCGGCATCGAGCTTGTCCACCTTTGCGGCGTCTCGCCTCGCCTGGATCTCGGCGTCGGTGAGCTTGCTCGCCTTCTCCGCGTGGTAGGCTTGATTGTAGGTCTTTCTCTCCTCACGCTTTGCTGTCGCCAGGTCGGGATCCTCGGCCATGGCCTGCTGCTGCTTCTGCCGGTGGCGAGCAGCGTAGACCAGACCCTGCTGGCGCACATGCTCTGCGTGCTCTGCGGCCGCGGGGTCGCCGAGGTCCGTCTCCAGGCGGATGGTGTTCGCCGGGCGCAGTTCGGGAATGTCTTGGGTCCACGGAGACCAGTTGTTCGTGCCGGCGAGCAGAGGAGGAGACTGGGACCAGATGGCGGCACCAGAGCCGATGACGAAGGTTGGGACCCAGTAGTGCAGGAGACCCTCGACGTACACAGCCAGGAAACGGCAAACGGTTCCCAGAGCGGAGCGGCGCGGCGGAAGGGCGCCAGCGTCGACTCGCCATGCGCTTCGGAGGCGGACGTCGTCGACAGTGACCTCTCCATTCTTGACAGCCTCGCGTGCGTTCTTGTTGAACGTCGAGTTGGCGCCGCGGGCAGTGCTGTTGGGGTTGAACGTCAAGCTCTCGTACTCCCATGCTCGACGCGCAAAGCCAGTCAGCCCCGCCTGGCTCTTCTTGACCTCGAAGCCGCTCGCCGAGCCGGCATAGATGTCTGCCAGATGACCCACGTGCCTCAGGTAGGCGCCCCAGAGGGGGTCGCTGTGGGCCTCGGGCAGGAGGTTGACAGCGGAGGGGGACGGAGGTTGGTCTTCTGGAGCGCTGAGCATCTGGAGAGCGTGGGTATTGAGACCGAGGAGGAGCATGTGCAAATGGTCGTCGAGCGAGAGGTGGTTGGCCGCCCACCTAAAGCGCGGCTTGATGTTCACGTCGCGCAAGCCAGTGTCCAGCACACTGACTATCCTGCCGCGGAGGACATCGGCCATCTTCTCGTTGCACATCGTGACGCTGCCGGCCCAGGTCTGGCGCAACAAGTTGAGGGCAGTGTAGAACTTCTGTCAGAAAGTTCAACTCATCCAATACTTACCTTGTTATCGTCCAAGATGTTCAATTCATTGTGCAGAGGGTCGTCCTCGAGGAGACGCCGTTCGACAAGCTGGTACAGTTCAAACGAGACGGACATTGCTGGAAGGTTCTCATACGCGGCAGTTGCGTCCTCGCTGATGGTGGTTGTCGTGTTTTCCTCGCCTCCTTCGTCTTTCTTCGTGAGCGTGACCTCTCTGACTCAAGACCTGCGCAAAACTCACCGGTCTGCTCGGCTACGTGGACGAAAGGATCTTGTGGGACGGCAAGCGGTCGGCACGAGTAGTAGTGCTGCGCAGACAGCGCGCACGCAATGGTGATCGTGGGAGCACTCCCGTCGTCTGGGCCCAGCTCAACGACGTCTTCCAGCGTAAGCACCTGAATGTGGATGCCTTCTGCCCAGGCAAGGCCGTGGAGGTCACCGATCTCTGCGAACGAGCGCGGGTTGCTCAGTCGGGCGAGGTACGCCGGGATGTTGTCCGGTCGACTCTGGTCGAACAGCGGGGAGTACATGGCGTGATGGTTGCTTCCCAGCCACTGCACCGTCGAGTGGCGGAGCTCGAGGTGGTGGCTCTCCTCGCCGTAGAGTTGGTCCGAAACGGCGCGAAACGCGCACGCGCCGTCGCCGACGACCTCCTGGAGCGATAGGCCTTGTTCGTGCGCGTGGCGGCGCAGACGCGCCAGCTCGTCTTCAAGAGTCAGCTATCTGTCGGCAGGTATGGAAGTGTGTGCTCACCGAGAACATGGGAATCCGTGTCACCCATCTTGATTGGTGATGTGGCTGTTGTTAGGTTGGGTTTGTGGGTGTGGCTTTTGTAGCGGTGAGTAGGCAGAGGCAAGCAGTGTGTGGTAGGAGTGGATGATGTGGTGTGCTGAGAGGTGATGAGACGCAAGTGTGAGAAGCCCGTTGTCTTGACATAAAACGGTACATACGTGTCCTCTGATGACCTCTGATGGCCTCTGGTGGCCTCTGGTGGCCTCTGATGTTGTCTCCCACGCCGAAGACTTGTCTGTGGCACTGATGGCGGCCGGTGATGGCAGTCGGTGAGTTGTTTGGTTCCAGGTAAAACAGACATTAGGCATTAGGAATGTACAATTACAAACTAGGATTTCAGTTGCAGACCCCAACAAATGTAGGCCACCCGCCCCCGTTATTTAAATACGCATGTTTTGTACTTACTGTACTGCTCTTCAAGCATGTTGCACATGTGGAGGGACTGGTACAGTGGGGGCTTTGAACCCTGGTGACTTGTAAGCAAGAATGTGTGTCATGAAGCAAGTCGACAGTCACCGTACACAGTGGTGGTGTGAGTGGTACTGAGTGTGTCGCCGAGTGCCTGCGGTGGCTACCGGCGGCGCGCGGGGCCGGCGGCACTGCTGTGTGCACGGTCCACCCTTTGATGACACCCGCGCGACAGACCCGACGACCGTGGGTAAGCAAGTGAGCACGCAAGCACTCACACTCTTCGGAAGATGGAACGTGGGCTGTGAGGGAGTGACTTGTCAGCCAACTGCCCCCCCCCTCCGGCTTTCCGGGCCGTGGGAGCTGGGCGCGCGGGAGGTTAATAGCGGGTCGGACTTCCGGTCCGAGATGCCCACGCAGGGTTTTGCACGTCTCCCATACTGCCGCGAAAACGGACCTGATTGCACAATCAGTCAGTGAGTGCCGCCAGAGATCATGGGCCACGGCGAGATATGGAATGCACAGGTGGAGTGAGGACAGAGAGAGAGAGAGAGCGGACAGAGGAACGAGATACAGCAGCGAGAAAAGTGCCACCGGGAGAAAGTGCGAAATATGTCCATTAGCGTCATGTGCGCGGGTGTGTGCGAAAGAACATGCTAACCAATGACGTTGACACGTTGCCTGCACACCCGCCCGCTGGGTGCGGCCCAGTCATTTAGTATCCTGCAAATGCAAAGGCATGCTGTCTCGCCGTGTCTCTCTGCTGTTCTCCGGTTGATCGGGAGCCACGACGAGAGGATGTGAGGGAGAGGTAGACCCATGAGCGGAACCTTGCTGTCCGCTCTTGCTCGTTGGCTGGCGGCAGAGGGGGGTGGTGGGGACACACGGTATGCGGCAGGGTGCGGCAATGGACGTCCTGGCAGCGCTGTGCCGCCCTGAGCCGGGTCTCTGAGCCTGGCATCGTGTGGGGAAAGGCCAGAGAGAGAGAGCAAGGAGCGCGGCTCTGAACGCTGGGGCGACCGCACACCGTACAGGCTGACAGGCTCCCCCCCCCCGTCGGCCGGGTTGACTGGCCCCCCCCCCGCCCCGCCCCCCCAGCGTCTCCCCCCCCCGTCTTTCTCAGCCAGCCAGCGCCGTTCCCCTCTTTAACTGCCATCGCTTTCATCCACTCCTCCATCCCCCCTCTCTTCTTCTTTCTTCTCACCTTTATCCACCTCCCCCAACCTCTATACAAAATGTCGTCCGAGCTGTGAGTGTCCTTGCTACTCTCCCCTCACTCCTCCCTCCCCCCTCCCCACCGGCTCGCCCCGTCGCTGCCCAAAACGTCATCGGTCTCAACCGAATCACACACCACCTACCACGGGATTCTTTCTGTCTCTTTCCACCGCCGCTGCACCCCGGCCAGAGCGCTCTATACTCTGCATACGCACACGCAAAGCATGCCTGTTCACGTAGAATGCAATACTGACAGCGTAACAGTGCCGACGTTGGTCTCATCGGCCTTGCCGTTATGGTATGTCACTCCCCCGGCTCCCAAACCTCCTGCTGACCACGACCTTTTTTCCGTCACTCCTTCCGATATTGTTACATTTTGTTTCTTCCAACAGGGGTATGTACTCACGAATGGAGCGTGTGCTGACCTGCAGTCAGAACCTCATTCTCAACATGAACGACCACAACATTAAGGTCTGCGCGTACAACCGGTGAGTACGAAAGAGCGATGAGAACAGATTATGAACTACTCGGGAGGCCATCTAGCAGACACCTCCGTCTGATGGTTTCTCGAGTTTTCATTTGGGCGTTCCCCTAGATCTTGCAGCTGACAGTCCAGCACCACCTCCAAGGTCGACCACTTCCTTGAGAACGAGGCCAAGGGTGAGTAAAGGCTGCTCAAACCCACAACTGCGTATCCGTCGACTGACCTTTTGTAGGCACCAACATCATTGGCGCCCACTCGATTGAGGAGCTCTGCTCCAAGCTCAAGAGCCCCCGCCGTGTCATCCTTCTTGTCAAGGCCGGCCAGGCCGTCGACGACTTCATTGCTCAGCTCCTCCCCCACATGGACAAGGGCGACATCATCATTGACGGTGGTAACTCGCACTACCCCGACTCGACCCGCCGCTGCCTCGAGCTCGAGTCCAAGGGCTTCCTTTTCGTCGGCTCGGGTGTCTCGGGTGGTGAGGAGGGTGCCCGTTACGGCCCCTCGCTCATGCCCGGTGGCTCGACCGCCGCTTGGCCCCACATCAAGGACATCTTCCAGAAGACCGCTGCCCAGGTCAAGGGCGAGCCCTGCTGTGACTGGGTTGGTGGCACCGGCTCGGGCCACTACGTCAAGATGGTCCACAACGGTATCGAGTACGGAGACATGCAGCTCATCTCGGAGGCCTACGACATCCTGAGGCGCGGCCTGAACCTCTCGGACGACGAGATCGCCGACATCTTCGCCAAGTGGAACACTGGTGTCCTCGACTCGTTCCTCATTGAGATCACCCGTGACATCCTCCGCTTCAAGGACACCGACGGCGAGCCCATCGTCGCCAAGATCCTCGATGCCGCTGGCCAGAAGGGAACCGGCAAGTGGACTGCCATTGACGCTCTCGACTACGGCATGCCCGTCACCCTCATCGGCGAGGCCGTCTTTGCCCGCTGCCTCTCGTCGCTCAAGGCTGAGCGTGTCCGCGCCTCGGAGCAGATCCCCGGCCCCACCGTCGAGGCCTTCAAGGGCGACAAGCAGCAGTTCATCGACGACCTTGAGCAGGCCCTTTACGCCTCCAAGATCATCTCGTACGCCCAGGGCTTCATGCTCATGCGCGAGGCTGCCACCGTCAACGGCTGGGACCTTAACAACGCCGGTATCGCTGCCATGTGGCGCGGTGGCTGCATTATCAAGTCGGTCTTCCTCGGTGACATCACCGACGCCTATCGCCAGAACAAGGACCTCGAGTCGCTCCTGTTCGCCCCCTTCTTCCAGCAGGCCCTCGCCAAGGCCCAGCCCGGCTGGCGCCGCGTCAACGCCCAGGCTACCCTCTGGGGTATCCCCATCCCCGCCCACGGCACCGCCCTCTCGTTCTTCGACGGCTACCGCACCGCCGTCGTCCCGGCCAACCTCATCCAGGCCCAGCGTGACTACTTCGGTGCCCACACCTTCAAGGTCATGCCCGGTAAGGAGAACGACCACATGAAGACCGGCCAGGACATCCACGTCAAGTGGACCGCCACCTCGGGCAACGTCTCGTCGTCCACCTACAACGCTTAAGTGTTTGCGTCCCGCTGTAAGGAGTGAGATGCTGTAGTCTTTGCAATGCAAGGGAGTTTCGTAGATACATTTTATTGAAAAACAAAAGGATGCTGCAAGGTAGCGATTCTGGTGCAGGTTGCGTGTGTTGCGTCGTGCAGATGCAGAGCAAGCGTGAGGGGGAGTGAGAGGGAGTGCAGCTTGTGGCATCGCACCGTGTACCGTCTGTACCGCGGAGACGGCGGTCAAAAATGGATTCCACCGTGGGAAAATTCATCTTTGGCCGGCCAAGATTTCCATACAACCCACACGATCATCGGCATCCACACCTTCCCTCCCAACACAACAACCCACACCCCACCCCCTCAACCATGTCGGCCGTCGCTGGACCCTCGTCCGCCAAGAAGTCGTCGTCGTCAAAGAAGACCAAGGCCGCCGCCGCCGCCGCGCCGCCCGCGCGCTCCGAGTCGGTGGTGGACTCGAGCTCCGAGGACGAGAGCGAGAACGAGAGCGTGAACAGCGACGACCTCGACCGCGTCGTCGTCCCCAGCACGCCGGCCGCGAGCGCGAGCACGCCCCGGGCGAGCAAGTCGAGGTCGGGCATGGCGTGAGTAGAGCTAGAGCCAGAGTGCTGGTGGTGCGAAGGAGCGTGGTACTGACACCAGGTGTGTAGTCGCTACCAGCCGCCGTCCGGCATGGAGCCCATCATTGCGTCTGTGTCGTTCAAGAACTCGCCGTTCGAGTTTGACGAGATGGCCAGCAAGCCCGGCGCCGAGGTGTGGGCCATTCGTATGCCCGTGGACGTGAGTTTAGGCTACTGTTGCTGGCCCGCTGAGTTGCGGGTTCCGCCTTGTGTCAGCCCGTACTAGTCTGCTGTCCACCTCTCTTGTACACAGCTGCTGACTCCCTCTCCCAGTTCAAGGCATCCCGCCTTTCGGGCCTGGCCGTCAAGGTGTCGTCGTCCGGCGTCAGCGGCGAGGTCAGCACCAAGAGCGGCAGCTACGCGCTGCAGGCGGCGAGCGCGGACGCCGACGGCGCCGGCGCAGAGATGGGCGGCCTCAGCCTGCTGGTTCCGCACATGGCGCGTGCCGGCAAGCTTGTTCGCGGTGAGTAAGAGCAAGGCCACTGCACGAGTTGCGTGCGACCCTTGAGCTGACACCATGGATCGCAGCACCCATCACCGTTTCGCGTAACCTCCTGCTCACGCCGGTCGAGGGCGTCGCCGCCGCCGCTGAGAGCGCGAGCACCGAGTGGGTCGCGCCGCCCAAGGTCAAGCGCGCGCAGCCCGAACACAAGTTCAAGTTCCGCAACTGCGTCGCGGGCTTTGACACTGCCGGTCCTGGCGCCACCGCCGAGGCCGTGGCTGCTGCTGCTGCTGCCTCTGTGGCCAAGCCCCAGCCCGCGGCAGCAGTCGAGTCGAGCCCCGAGAGCGCGGCCAAGAAGCCCAAGCTCGACAAGGAGAAGCGCACCAAGAAGCGTAAGAGTGATGTCGACGGCACGCCCTCCAAGAAGAAGAAGAAGGAGTAGGCTAGGCGCACCGCACCCACCCACGGCGCCGCTCGCTTGGATGTTGTTCACTTGTTCCGTTTTTAGAGGCTCGGGTTTATATATGCATGATACATGTACACAAAACGTACAACAGCAGCGGAAAGACATGACGAGACAGGGATGTTAGGTTAATGACAGAGGGTCGGTTCCGCGCATGAGGTTGTAGACCTTTTTGGAGAGCGCCTTAGGTAAGAGTTAGCACACGAACAGGGGACGGTCCAACTCACCTTGCCGACTTTGCGGTTGCTAGCGGTACCGTTCTTGAGACTGCGAATGTCGCAGTCGGCGAGCATGTTCTCTGCGACGGACGGGTCTGCGCGGTGCTCGGCCTGCTCGTACGCCCGCATGAGGCCGCGGAACGACGGATACGTCTCCACGACACCGTACGCGGCCGACGCGGTCAGGCCCTGCACTTCCTGGAGCATACACTCGAGCGTCTCGCCTGCCTCTTGGGTCTTCTTGGCCCGCTCGGGCGCCGAGAAGGGGAGGTGGCCCTTGGATAACAGCTTGTGCTGCAGAGGTCAGTCACAGGACCATGGCGGCGTTGGGCTTGTACTCACGGGTCGAACGGCAATGTCGCCGGCGAGGTTGAACAGCCAGTCCTCCAGGTCCTCTGTCTTTTCCACTGCCTAGGTCAGCACATGCCAACTGGCCCGTGAACCTACCATGAACGACAAACACGCGCTGAACAACCTGAGCGCGGAGAAGCTCTGCTTCCACTTGATCCTTGTCGACGCGAGCAGACAGCACAGAGGTGGGGACACCCGCGACACCCTCGCCAGCCAGGCCGGCGCGCGCAGTCTCGCGGAACGCGCGGTTGGCGATAGACTTGGTCTTGGAATGGTACTTTTCCAGGCCACGGACAACGAGCATGAGCTGCTCGTGGGTCTTCATGTCGAGCGTGAGCTGCACATCGCTCAGCCAGTCCGTGAGTGCGTCTCCGCCCTGGGCGACGCGGTCCACAATCGCCTCGCCCGACGCGACGAGGACCGTCGTGGGCTCCCACTCTTTGCGCTCCACCTCGATAGGCACGTAGATCTTGGCCACGGCGTCCCACTCGGCCGTCACGCGGCGCAGGAAGCGGATGGTGCCCTCGACGACCGTGTCTTCTTCTTGGGCAACGTGAATGGACGATAACGACTCTTCAATGCGCCGGCGGAGCTCGGGTATCGCGCCCGCAATGGGCGCCGATGGAAGGGACAGGTCGTGCGAAAGGTGCACCTCGAGGTCGCGAAGCGCGTCAATCTTGGAAGTGCGAAGCTGGAGAAATGTGTCAGTCATAGGTCAGGTGGGGAAAGCGAGGGAGACATACGCGGTTCACCTCGCTGACTTTCTTCTGGTACGACTTCTCGGCTTCCTTGGTCGCCTGGGTAGGTCAGCAGAGGCAAGATGTGCCGGAACACCTACCTTGGCAGTATCGCGAGCCAGCTGGCGCTCGGCCTTCTGCTTCTCCTTGGTAGCGGCGGCCGCCTTGTCCCGCTCCACCTTCTCGGCCGCTTTGGCAGCAGCCACGGGGTCGTCTCCGGGCGAGTTCTCCTGTTGAACAGTTAGCACCTGACCATCTAGAAAGCTACTCACCTTGTTGGTCTGAGTCTTGCGCTTCTTGACCTTGGGCCGAGCGGGGCTGGCATCGGGGGCGGGTGACGGCGACGGGCGCGCCCTCGCGGCAGGGGCGTCATACAGCGACGGGTCGTTGATAATGTCGAGGAGCGAACGCTGTGTGTGAGCTTTGTCTAGCACCTCGCAACTCACTGTCGCTTGTAACGATTGCATCGACCGCTCCTTGCTCTGGAGCGTACTCGTGTCGGCGAACGCAGTCGAGTGGCTCCAGCCTAATGCGCTCGCACGGCTGCTCGAGGCCACCGCGTTCGAGGACAGCGGCAAGCTGCGACACGCACCCAACGCGCTTCGGTTCACCGAGCCCAACATGGGAAACACCAAGTCGCCCAGCGCATCGTCACCCTCGTCTTCCTCCAAGAGGTCAATGACGTCCACGGCCCTCGCGCGCGACGTGCGCATGAACACGGGCGACGGGGAGGCCGGGTTTGTTGGCCACTGGGACTTTGAGCTGCCGACGAACGCAATGTCGTCGTCCGAGGCATCATCCGAGAGCACAATGACTTCTGCACCGGAGTGAGCGTGCTGTTTGTAGGAGAGTGGACATACCTTGGCTCGGCATGGTTGCAAGAAATGTGATGGACGGAGGTGTGAATGCAAGAGACTGGTTGAGTCAACCTCTCAAGTCAGGAACCACACAAGCGCGTCGCGTAGTGGAGTGTTTTTAAACCCACAAAAGCGGACTTCCATCTCCGTTTTTTGGAAGTGATGTTCTTGCACTGTTGACAAAGGACAGCGTACAGCGCAGCTTGCAGCTGGGTGCACACTGCCACCTGGCAAAATGTGGATGGATTCACAACGCAAGTTTCATGCAACAATAGCCTATTTGACACAATTTCTAAATTCCAGTTTCTTCGCCCCTTCCTTCCTTCCTTCCTTCCTTCCTTCCTTCCTTCACTCATCCCCGCCGTCTCCAAACCCCCACCCGTCATCCTCGCCTCCAAAGCCCCACCCGTCCTCTTCGCCTCCGAGACCCCACTCGTCGCCGTGCTGGCGCTTGCGCACCACCAGCGCCTCGACGCAGATCATCGACTCGCCGGGCGGGGGTGCATACGCGGGCGGGGCGCCCGTGGCAATGTGGTCTTCGGGCGACGCGGCGACGGTCGATGTGCCGCTCTCGTCCACGGGCTCCGTCTCCCTCCCGCCCCTCACGTCTGCAAACGATAACGAGAGACTGTCGAGCGGGAGGGATAGACCGTCGAGGAACGCGTCGTCGGGGCCGATCGGTGTGTCCGGAGAAGTAGGGTCGATGGACAGAGTCGCGAGGTCGGGCAGCGGCACGACAGGCGAGGATACCGTGGTGGGCGAGGAAATGGGGCCAGAGTGCGTGCGAGCGAGACGGAGCGTCGAGGGGCGTGTGGGCTGGTGTGGTAGCCTCGAAGCAGCAGCCGCCGCAGCGAGTGCAGTGGACGCCCGGGGTGCGTGGCCAATAAACTCTGCGACGGGCGATGAGGACCGGTCGGCTGCGTAGGGCATTGGCGACGTGCCGTCGCCGCGCAAGAGATCGAGGCGGCGTTGCTCGCGACGTGCAGCAGACTTGCGTCGCTTGTTCTCCTCGCGCGCGGCGCTGATGGCTGCGGCGGCCGCGGCCGAGTCGGAAGTAGGCGATGGGGTGGAGCGGTTGGTAGCCGGGGCCGAGTCGTCCATGTCGAGATGGAACGGTGTGGGGTCCGTCTCAGAGTCGTCCTCGTGCAACCGGAAAGACTCTGCGCTGCTTGTCCGCGTGTGTCCGTTCGCTCCCTTGAGAGGAGCAGCCTCCTCGCGGGTCCGCTGGCGGCGTGACTTGGTCTCGGGACCTTCACCGTTCACGCCCCGCGTCCCCTTTCGCGGCCGGCCGTTCTTGTCCAGGTCTGGGCGACGAGCCCACCACGAGTTGACCGACGCGGCTGACGACATGGACGGCGATAAGCTTGGGGAGTCGGGTAGAGCCGGAGCGAGGACAATCTCCTTGAGTACCATAACTGTCGCCCCGACCTCGGAGGCCATACGCTCGAGTGTACGCAAGGACGCGTCCATTTCGGCGCGCGTCAGACCGATCACCGTGCCGTCATCTGCGAGGCCCAGTTCGTAGATTGCCTCATTACGCCCTTGCTTGAGCCTCCACATCATTTGCGTTACGAGTCGTTCAAAGCGCTCGGGAGACGGCTCGATGAGCTTGAGCTTGTACTCGATGTGGCCCTCCTTGTCGCGCTCGGCGGCGAGCTTGGGTGCCGTGGCTGGGGAGCATGGCGCCAGGTGGGGGCTACCGCTACCGCTACCGTGAACGAGGGCATGGCGCGTCACATCCGAGTCGGGCTGCGCGAGCAGGCGGTCCCAGTCGCGTAGGGCTTGCGACTCGCTTTCGCTGTCAGGAGTGGCAGGGTAGAAGGCCGGCGGGGTCGACGCCATGCTCGGGATCGACCCACGCCGAGAACACGGGGGCAGGCTCGTCGTCGACAGCGAATGGGCAATATCATGCCATGGCGAGGGGCGGCGCGCCGTGAGGACGTCAACCGCCGACGAGATGATGGCAGCAGGTGGCGAGCCCGCCAGCGGCTGGGGTGCCGCCAAGGGGGGTGGCGACGTTGCGGCTATTCGAGCAGACATGCGCGGGGAGATGCGGTTGCGCGCAGCGAGCGGCAAGCCAATAGCGGCGGCAGACAGGACGGCGAGGCTGGCTCCTCCGGACAGGCCCGGAGGGGAGGTGGCAATCGCCGGAGGCGACACTGTGGTAGATATGACGAGCTGGGGGGGAGAGGGCGTCTAGCGGCGAGCGGCTATGCGCAAGCCAGTGTTGGGGAGTCGAGGAGGCAGGGGAGTCGCGAGTGGGTGGTGGGCCATCGGGTGTCTGGCGGGGATGTGGGTGTGTGTGGAAGTGCAGAGGCACTGAAAGTGTCTAGTACGCGGGGGCGTGTGTATGTCCAGCTGAAGATGGTAGTAGTAGTCACAGCACAGAATACAAGAAGTGGTGGTGGGTGAGCGATATCCGAGGAAGCGACGAACGTTTGTTGGATGTGTGGTGTCTTGACCAGAGACACATCGAGTCCATCTCCCAGTCCGACTCGGCGCGCCCATCATATCCGGCGCCATCTCTGGAACGGAGCCGTCGCCCGGTGCCCCGGAACCTATCTACGCCATTCCCCCCATTTAACCACCACGTGGACCGACTGGGGCGCGTTCATGATGAGCGAGAGCTTGTTGTCAGCATCCACAACACACCACATTCACCACCTTGGCATCATCGCACTTTCGGCCACCATGCTCTTTCCATGGGTGTGCCTCCTCCTGGGGCTGCTAGGACTCGCAGCAGCAACAGAGGACAGGCATACCAACAACTGGGCCGTCCTCGTCTGCGCCTCGAGGTACTGGTTCAACTACCGCGTAAGCAATAAGGCCGTTGTGTACATAGCTGACATCACAGCACATGGCCAACACGCTCGCCATGTACCGCACGATCAAGCGGCTGGGTATTCCCGACTCGAACATCATTCTCATGCTTGCGGACGATGTCGCGTGTAACGCACGCAACGTCTTCCCCGCCACAGTGTACGCCAACAAGGACCGTCACCTCGACCTGTACGGCGACAACGTCGAGGTAGACTACCGCGGGTACGAGGTGACTGTGGAGAACTTTTTGCGTCTCATGACAGGTTGGTTTAGCTGGAGGTTTTGGGCCATATACCATCAGCTGACACCATTAGGTCGCTTGAGTGACAATGTGCCCCCCAACAAGCGTCTGTTGTCGGACGCGTCATCCAACGTCTTCGTCTACCTCACCGGCCACGGAGGCAACGAGTTCCTCAAGTTCCAGGACAACGAGGAGATGAGCGCGTTTGACATTGCGGATGCCGTCGAGCAGATGTGGGAGAAGAAGAGGTGGGTGTCCGATTGTCCGTGTTTTAACCCACTAACAACGACAGGTACAACAAGCTGCTGTTCATGATCGACACGTGCCAGGCCAACACGATGTACTCGCAGTTCTACTCGCCCAACGTGATCGCGACTGGCTCTAGTGAGCTGGGTGAAAACTCGCTCAGCCACCACAACGACATGGACATTGGCGTCGCTGTCATTGACTCGTTCACCCACTTTGTCCTCGAGTACATTGAGCCCTTGAACAAGACGTCCCGCAACACGCTGCAGAACCTGTTCGACACGTACGACTACGACAAGATCCACAGCACCGCCGGCGTCTCGTCGCACCTGTCCACTACACCGCCCAGCGAGATCCTCATCACCGACTTCTTTGGCGGTGTCGCTGGTGTGGAGGTTGAGCAGCCCGCTACTGCTCCCGAGGGCGATGTCGCGATCGGAGCCGGATGGGAGTCGTCGGAAGGCGCATTCCATCGCCAAGACTCTGCGCGCACGTTTAGGAAGATTGCGACGACCGAGACGGCCGGCTTGCCATTCACGCCCACCTCGTCCACTCCCATCCGGGGTATCCTGGGCGCGGCCGTCCTCGTCGGCGCCGCCGCCCTCGCATTCTCACATAGCAGGTAGCATCATAGACCATGTACTTCATATCATATCCAGAGCCGCCGCCAAGCACTCCCCTCCGTTCTTGTCTAGATCTAGGCTTTACCGCTCTATGTTTAGAGCTTCTTGGCTGCGTCCGCCTGCGAGACGATGCTGACGAGGCGGCAGCCAAAGTCGACGGCCATGCCGAGTGGGAGGACAAGGAAGGGCACGTACGAGCCGAGGAGCATGCCGAGCTCGACGGTCGAGATGTCGGCAGCGAACAGGGCCTGCAGGACGGGAACGAGGGTCGTGGCGGTGGACGCGCCGTACGCGACGAGGAGGGCTGTGTGCGGGTCAGCAGGGATGGGGCGCGGCGCGACGTCGCGGCCACACGCGTCGACCGGGACAACAACGTACGATACACGCGGCGGTCGTCTGGGGGAGTGTCAGCGCAAGTGATAGTGCCAGAGCGGAGAGGGGAGGAGCTGGATCGGTCCGCGCGCGTGAGGTTACTTGGACATTACATCGGCTGTGTTGCTCCTCCTTCAAGACAGCCGCTGATGAACCACACGGCACAGACACAGACATCACCAAGGCACCTCGCCCCCTCCCGGCGCTCCTCTTGCAGACTCACTCTTCCAAAGCATATAAGCTCCAATAGCAAAACACGGCGCCTGGAAGAAGGCCTCGATGCAGATGAACGAGCGGAACCAGTCCCACTCGGGCCCGCCAGTGAAGCCTGCCGAGAGGACGGGGTCCTTGGTCATGTCCATGTACCACTGCACGAGGCGCTGCATGGGGGTGCCGTCCACCCAAGAGGCTGGGTAGAGGACCTGCAGGTCGACGAGGAGGGTCGTTGGCTGTGGCGGTCAGCGTCTGCGAGAAGAAGGAAGGAAGGAGGGGGGGAGGAAAGGATGGGAGGAACGTGGGTGCTGGTGGTAAGGGGGGCCGACGGAACGCACCAGGTGCATCTGCTGTCAGCGGTTTACATGCATGGCTGTGCTTACGACCAGGAAGGTAAACCACACGCGGTCAAGGGGACGACCGGCAAAGCGCGACATGGTGGAGACGATGGGGTGAGGAAGGGCAAGAAGAGCAGACTGCTGGGTTGACAACAACTGCGGAGATATTGGGCGTGACAAGGAACGGATGTAGCAAGCCGGGCATCGCGATATTACGTCCTCCAAGCCTTACCTACTCCGAAGCATCCAGACCTTGCACATCAGGCAAGGCTCACAGCGATAACGTGCAACTCCCATTAACGAACATGAAACTACTGAAACCCCGTGCTAAGCCGTAGCACCACGGGGGAGAAGCGTCCACGCTGATCTTAGGATCGTAACCGAGACAACGTTGGCCGTCACCAGGCCTGTGAAGGGGGCAAGCTGCACGGGTTGTTGATAGCATCTAAAATTACATGGATATGGCGCCTACTTTGCGTACCGGTCACTGCTGGGTCAGTCCTTCTCTTGGCTTGTCCCTACACCCACCTCTTCATCTTTGCGCGGCGGTCAAGCATGGCCTCGGCGACGCGTCCCTCCTTCTTGGCCTTCTTGAGCGCATGCCTGTCGTCAGACGAGACGTGATGGCGGCCCGCACCCCATGCCTGATACTCGCGGCTGGTGGGTTAGCGACATCGACCAAGACGACACCCACTTTCTGCTCATCTCGTCCTCGACACTGCCGAGCGCAGGTCCGCTGTCAAAGAGACGCCGCTTGCCCGTTCCAGCCTCCTTGGCCTCGAGCGCGGCCATGCGCGCCTTGAACACAAACTCGCGCTGGCACTTGATGCGCAGCTTTTCGCTGTCGCCAGTCGAGGTCTCGGCGTCACCGCGAATCTCGGCCTTCTTCGCCTTGATGTCCTCGGCGTCGGCGGGCGGGACCGACAGGTATGTCCCCGAGTTTGTCTTGAGTGCGACCGAGGGGAAGAGGGAGCCTTCCTCGAGGGTAGCGGTGAAGCCCTCGAGGGGGCCACGCGAGACAGAGGTGGCGGTCAAGGTGCCAGAAGGTGCTGCGGTGAGGAAGGTGCCGCTGGGAAGAGTCAGCTTGAGGCCACATGGCGCGGGACTGCCGGCTAACTGCGACGCGGATCATGTAGTCGGTACCGACATGCTTTTGGCACGCTGACTCAGGCAAGGCAACAAGTGACTCACGTGCTCGTCCTCAGGCTGACCTCCTCGCTACCTGCCAAGCGGGACACGACCCAGACCTGATCCACGGCAGTGGGCTCGACAACGTTCAGCGCTTCCGACAACGAAAGCTCGTTGGCACCCTCTGGAGCCTGAGGCATGTCCACAGGCGCGGCGTACACGCGCTGGCGCGTGGAGTCCCACTGGAGAGTCAGCTAAATTGCCAGGAGGCTGTGGACGTCGGAGCTGTTGTGCGGTCCTCAACCAGCAACAGAGCCGCATCACATCAGTCACAGCAGGAGACTTACTGCCAAACATGTCAAAGGCTCGGTAGGAAGAAGAATATACGAGGGACCAGTGACCTCGCCAACGGTCTCGGGGAACATCCAGCCTAAAGATGTCAGTGACGCTCAAAAGACAGACAACACAAACAACCTCGCCTGCGGCCTGCTCGGGACTCACCAGTTGGATCGGCTGTGGCGAGTGCCTCGAGAGTGTCACCTCCACCACCCGTCTCGCGGTGCGAGCGCTTCTTCTTCTTGGGCTTGTCGCCCTTGAACTTGAGTTTTGTGGACACGACGCCGGACATGGTGGGATGGGTGGATGGAAAGATGGCTCCTGGAGGTGGAGGGCCAATATGAAGCAGCGCGGGGCGGTGGCAAATCCCAGCGCACCACTGGCTCAAGGAACGCGGATTGAGTGTGGCGCGCCTCACCCATTATGGTCCACTGCTCTTGCTCACGGCCGGTCAGTCGATGCACCCCGTCCTGTATGGCATGCAGGACCAAGTAAGGCTGCCCCCAATGTTCTCCTCCAAATTGTATTCCGACACAGGAACGCCATCTTGCGGCTGCTTGGCTCCATAGAAGCTTTCGACACTGCTGCCATGGGCGCTTTCGGCGCTGCCCGCATCCGGGTCCAGGCGGTTCAACTGGTCACGCGTATGACGCCACCAGTGTGCGTCGGTGGGTGTATAACTCAAACCCTCCCCGACCTCGCTCGTCATGGCTTTGCCCTCAACTCACACATATACTCTCTCCTAGCTATCGTTCTCCTCTCGCCACTGCACCCACACCATGACAACATAGCCCATGTCCATCAACATTCGTCGTATGACGGACCCGTCAAGTACGTGGAGTTGCGTCTCTCCGCTGGTCTCAACCCGTTTCGCAAGCTGACCCGTCCTCCAGATGCAGAGCTGGAACGCATGAAGACTGTCCTCTTCACAGCATTGTGCACATGTACGCCGCCGCTGCTCTGCCCCGCTGGCACCGCTTTGCCACCGTGTTAACTCACACCTGACCGCTGTAGATGTCCCGAACATCGGCAACCCGGCCATGACAGCCGAGACACTCACGTCCTGGATCGAAATGGCGCTGGGTGGCGAGGAATTCGAAATGGAAGCGTGGGTGGCCGAAGTCGAAGTCGACGGCCAAGTCGACAGTGTGGGTATAGTCGGTGTCGCGCTGTGGAACCCGCCCACTGTACCGGACTCGTCGGGAGAGGAACCCATGGACGTCGACGAGGCATGGGACATGGATCTGGGCCGGCAAGTGCAGTTACCGCCGCACAGGAAGTATCCATCCTCCGAGGCTGGCGCTGGCCACAGCCCCGTCACCACCAGCCTGGCGCTCGACCGCGATGACAAGGTAAGGCGGCGGCCGCACCGACTGGCAAGTGTTGACAGCAAGTTCCGCGCGATCCAGGAATGGTGGTACCTCGCGCTCTTGGGAGTCGAGCCAGCATGGCAAGGTCGGGGTGTTGGGTCGGCGCTCCTCACGCACCACGCTCAGATGGTGGCACCCGAGGGTGTGCCGTTAGCGCTCAACACCCAGTGTGAGCAGTGTGTAAGTACACCCCCTGCTTGCCAAGTTCTAGACTGAGACTGAGCCGCTGACGGCGACAAGGTCGGCTTCTATCAGCGAAGAGGGTTTGCCATTAGGCACGAGGAGCTGTGGGCCCTCCCCAATGGTGGTGTTCACCACAACCGCTTCATGTCCTTCCCGGCAGATGCGCCAGTGCAGTAGACGGTAGATCAAGAAGAAAGTAAAGGTGAAAAGAGCGTGTGTGTTTCATGGTCATACTGTTCGGTCGTTAGGAGGGAAATGTATGTACAACTGTGGTTTGTGGCCGTCACTTGGCAGGGAACTTGGTCTGCGAGGTCAGCTTGCGCAACAGCCTTCGAGCTCACCGTAGGAGCTGCGGGGACCGCATGCGTCTTGTTGGCGATCTTTGGAGTCAGCTCGGATCGTCCAGACTCCAGGGGCTCACCTCAAGCTCGTGCGCGACAACGGCGCGAATCTGAGCGATGACCGTCTGGGAGAGCGGAGCAGCGTGGTCGTGGTCCCACCCTCCGTGCGCGGCGAGGAGGTCGTCTACCTTGTGGAGGACATTGTCGGCGTCTTCGTCGTTGAAGAGCATGAACATGTCGGTAATTTCCTCGACCTGGCGGAGGTACTCGTCGCAGTTGCCGCTGGTTGGGGTAGGCGTGTGGCCGTCGTGAGTCTCAGTGGAGTAGACCGGCATAGTGGAGTTCGCAGAGGCGGCAGTAGTCATCCTGGTCGTGACGGTCGTGAGAGGGCCGTGGGAGGCAACGTGCAGCAAGAGAGAGAGGGAGTGTTGCGCCTGAAGTGTGAGAGTTGAACGAGTGTGGAGAAGGAACGGTGAGGGATCGCAGTTGGAGGAGAGGAAGGCGATGCGAGGAGGAACAGGTAACCAGTGCCGAGTGGCAAGGAAGGAAGGCGATGTCAAGTTACGAGATGGGGTTTGTTGTCAAGAATACAGTGCAGATGCGCCGAACACATTCAGATCCATGGCAATGTACCCAGCGACGGCGCGTGAATCTTGTTACATCTCTCTTCACAGGCCCACAGGTAACGTGCGGCCACCAGTGGCCAGTGGCCGTGACGTTTTAAGTCTCCCCAAAGGCGGAGCGCTTCGCTGCCTGGGCAAAGTTCATGAAACCACCTGTAACGTATAGGTCAGCCGGCTAAGAGGTCCTATTGTCAGTGCCGGAGACCGTGTATTGGTATAGCACGGTGAACAAGCAATTGGCCACCCTGCGCCGGTTCCCCTCTGCTGCTACCATCCACCGCCTTGCGGCACAACCTCTTACACGATCGTCTCGAGCACCCACCCTCCCCCTATACTCCGATTCACACTCAGCGTCTGTGAGCACGCACGGAGGAGCTTCTAGGGGAAGCAACCTGTGGGCACCACACCTAAAACAAACCGCCAAAGTGGCATTTCCACGGGAACCCTTCCACCACAACCTACCCACCCTTCCAACATGTCCTCTACACCTCCCGGACAATCCAAAAAGGTTGGCTGGGAGTAGCTGAATACTCTTCTGACGAGAGTGGGATTCGAACCCACGTCCGAAGACTGCGGATGAGCTCTATTCCTCGGAGGAGGAGGAGGACACACCTTAACACAGCGCCTTAGACCGCTCGGCCATCTCGCCGATTACGTCTCTTTCTGCGGCCAGGAGGCCATGCATGGAGCCAGGAAAGTGAGAGGATGTACGCTACATTGATATGCATACGTCCAAGTAGCCAGTTGAATCAGAAAGTGATGCATGTTGGAGATTTGTGGAGAACGAAGGGAAAGAGTTGTCGAGGGTTGAGGGTTGTCGCCACCTGCCACAGCGACCATCCCTGGCTGTCGGAAGCTTCCGTCGCCACCTCCACACTCCCGGCCCCGACGTTCACCCTTCCGTCCCCACCTGTTGCCCATTGCTATCTCCCATTCACCCATCGCTTGCACACCATCGTTGACACTCACACTATAGCTCGTCCGCCATGCCCCAGCCACAGACGGGCATTCATGGGCCCCTCTTACTCGAGGAGCCTCTTATCAGGGTGCGTTGCCAGCAAGGAGCAGTCGTCGCCGCCCCAACACCCGCGCCACCCTGGCTGGTGGAGTCCCCGTCCCCGCGGTCGACTGGGCCTCGGACCATGACGCTGACCGTTGCAGACCCCATTCGAGCTGCTCCGCCGGTCCCATAGGAGCGCGCAGCGACAGGTGGAGAAAGACTTTGTTGCCGTGCAGGTGGGTGTTCGATAACCACTTGGACCCCCTGTGCCCCGGCTGACGGACCAGATGCAACTGAGCGGCCTGCTCAAGAGCTTCACTGGGGACGCAGTGGCCGACAAGGAACTGGCCGCCACCAAGCTCGACGGTATCACCGACCGTGTCCGCGGACTGAAGCGCAAGCTCGACGACCTCCAGCCTTCCCCCGAGAAGCCGAGCGTGCTGCGTGACCGGCTGGCGTATGTGGACGCGGCACTCCTTGCGCCGCCCAAGGAGAGCAGTCCCGAAGTGGAAGTCGCGGACGGCAAGGAGGATGGAAGTGGACCTGCAAAGCCGAAGAGCAAGGACGAAGTGATGGACGCGGAGGGTGCGGCTGTGGAAGCCGAGGTCGCGGCCGAGTTGACTGTCGAGGAGGTGCCCTCGCGCCCCTCCAGCGGTGGCTCTGGCTCCAGGACCCCCGGGGACCGCACTCTCGACCGATACATCGTGGACCACCTGCTGCGCACTGGCCGAATGAAGACTGCGCGTGCCCTTGCGGCGGTGCAGGATATCGAGAACCTCGTGGACGTCAAGCTGTTTGCCGAGCTGGTGCGCATCGAGAGTGCGCTTATCGAGAAGCGCTCTTGTGCCGAGGGACTGGCATGGTGCGGAGAGAACCGCGGCACACTCAAGAAGCAGGGTGTGAGTCTTGCTAAAGACATGATTCTTATGCAGCAAGCTAACGTCCTCCAGAGTGATCTCGAGTTTGCGCTCCGCATGCAAGAGTTTGTGGAGCTGTGTCGCAAGCGCGACACTGTGGCCGCCATCACCTATGCGCGCAAGAACCTTGCTCCATGGGGCAGCTCGCACATGGCCGAGGTGCAACAGGCCATGACGCTGCTTGCGTTCGGCGAGACGACCGGTGTGGCACTCTACCGCACACTGTACGACAGCAGTCGGTGGGCAGTGGTGCGCGACCAGTTCCGCGAGACCTTCCTCGGGATCTACGCCCTCCCATCTCAATCGCTCTTGGCCCTCTCCCTCTCGGCTGGTCTCAGTTCTCTCCGCCTGCCATCCTGTGTTGGCCCATCACCACCTGGCTCTGGCCTGGCCTCGCCACGGAGTGCCGAGAAGTCGCCTCGGTCGCTCGCGCAATCCTCCTTCCCACCCGCACCGCTGCTTCCTCCTGCACCAGACCTACACGCCATGCTGGGTCTCGACTCGCTCATTGTTCCCGAAGTCCCGCGCGTGTCCGAGCCCGGTTCGCACGCCGACGAGACCGCCCCGCTCCGCCTCGACCAGCCGACTGCCAACGTCGACTGTCCTACGTGCGCGCCAAACATGCGTGTCCTCGCACGCGAGGTGCCGATGGCACACCACGTCAACTCGACCCTCGTATGCCGCATTTCCGGCGCCGTGATGGACTCAAACAATGAGCCACTGGCCTTCCCTAATGGCTGTGTCTACTCGTCAAAGGTGAGCTGGCCTGACATTTGGATGTACGGTATAGCTGACAAACAGGCCCTTGCGGAAATGGCAAAGAACAACTTTGACGTCGTCACTTGCCCGCGCACGAATGAGACGTGTGCCTTTGCCCGTCTTCGCAAGGTGTACATCTCGTAGAAGCCAAGCTGCCGGTACTGTACAGCACGTTGTATATCACATTTCGAATGTACGCATCCTTTCCTGTCACCAGCCACTTTTGGCGTTTAGTCATCGGCCTCGCCGGCAAGGACGATCATGTTGAAGTTGATATCGCCCTCGGCACGGTCAATATACTTGTCCTTTACAATCTTGGCAACGTCCTGCCGTCAGCTTGGTGGTTCATCGTACTTGAAGCTCACGTGGAGAAGGTCGGTACACTGTCCACGGTCAAAGGGGCCGGAGCGGCTTCCGTCAAGCTCGACGACACGCTTCTCGCCCTTGGCGTTGGTGGCCTCGACAAAGGCAATAAAGTGCGTGTCGACGTCGAGGTCGGTGGGGACCGCAGACTGGCCCGACTGGGCAGCGGCAGTGTGGGCCTCCTCGAAGAAGTCGGCCTCGTCGAGGAGCTTGGCGCGGGCCAGGGCTGAGCGTGAGCAATCATGGTCTTTGGTGTGGATAAGGGGTCAAGGAGCGCGGGTGAGAAATGCAGGGGTGGACTCCCTCTGGCTATAGAAGCGATGACCACTTGGTAGCCATTGGCACTACTCACGGTCAAGAGGGAGCGTCTCGGCCTTGAACTTGACCAACGGCGAGTCGGGCTTGAGCGAGCCCTCGGGCAAGTTGAGGAGGGTGTGGAGCAGTCCGATAGAACCACACGCGTTCGAGATCTGCCGTGTAAGCTTGTCTTCCCCACCACCATCACATGTTCACTCTCCTCTCCCGCACTCACAGTCTGCTTGATCCACCACACATTGCCATCAAACTTGCCCTCGCCCGTCTTCTCCTCAGCCTCGCGAGCCTCGGCAAGCTTGCCGCGCGAGGGGAAGAGGAGGAGGACGGAGCGGACAGGCTGCGGGGTGAATGCAAGGAACTCGGGGTCAAGAGAGAAGAGGTCCTGGAAGCTCAAGGGAGCGTCCGGGAGGCCGAGAGGACGCGACCACTGATGGGTCAGCAACTCTAGTCAAACCAGCGGTCACCCACGTCGTTGAAGACCTGTGGTTGTCAGCTTGACACAATTAATGCTCGATAAAGCTTACCTCGGGAGACGCCTCGAGCGGAACCCACTTGCTGGCCATGGCGATTGTTGTACAGGTGAAAGCGACGGTGGGAGCTGAGAAGAAGGAAGGTGGATGCTATATCGGGTGGGCGGCGGTTACCAACAACAGGTAAGCGTCCAGGACGTCATCGCAACAAGTCTCCCACGGTGTCCTGTTCGCGTCGCCACTCGTCAACCTCGTCAACAAAGGGGCGCGCCTTTCCTGTATCGCTGTTTCCAAGCTGCATCCAACACCTTTTTTCTCAACAATCACATCTGCTTTGTGCACCCAAACATCAATTCAAGTAACACCCCATTCAACAGCTTTTAGAATTCCTTACCCACCTCCATCCATCCGGCGGCCTCCTCTCCCCCCGATGTCCGGCAAACAATCCACCAGTTCCACCAACACCGCGGCGCTCCCGCGTTCCCTGCAACTGCTCCTGCAAAAACAGCAAGAGTACGCCGCGCTCCAGGCGCTCAAGGAGGCGAGCGGCGACCTCGTCGGACGAGTGGAGAAGCTATCCGAAATGACGAATGTCATGGCCGACGGCGGAGAAGGTGGGTCTGGGCGCCGAGGCTCTGGTAGGGGCGCCTCGCCATGTACCAGAGTATGGCTGCTGCTTTCCGCGTGTTCGCGCCGGGCGAGCTGCCAGACGAACCCACCACTAACGTCCCAGCCGTTGCCAAGGTGCTCCAAAACTGGGCATATGTCTTTAGCGTCCTCGGAAGTCTGGACATGACCCGTGGCGAGGAGGGCGAGCCCGTGCCCCAGATGATTCGCCTGCCCCACCCCGAGGCCGAGGCCGCTGCGGCTGAGGAAGAGGCTGCTGCTGCTGCCGCCGCCGCTGCGCAGGGAAGACAATGAGCGATAGAGGTGACATGGTATTGGAGATTGAAGGGAGAGGTGAGCTTTCAGGGAATTGACGTCGAGCTCACCCCAGAGCCATGCTCGTTAGAGACGGACTATGGTCTTTGGCGTTGTCCAGATATACCTCCAGCTGGCAGCCCACAGGACATATATGGCTCTGTGGAACGACAGACATCGTGTACGGTGAGCTCGCTTTGCTCCGCAATCAGCTCATGCCCAGCGTCGACGATGTGCCGCCGAATCTACCCTCAGCCCAAGTCCATTACGCCTAGAGATTGAGAAGCGAAGTGCTAGACGATAATTAGACTGTACCACCACCATGTAATCACGACACCAGACGCAGCAAACAAGTGTAGCTAGAGATACATTCCCAAAGAGTCTATCGTCGTTTCTACCGCGTGTCAGTCTATCTAGAACGAGCCAAACCACGACCAGTCGGCCGGCAGACCCTCGCGGGTCTTCCAGCTCTTGCCACCGAGCCACTCGCCGACGGCCTGCTGCTCGTCCACACCGTCGAGAATGTCCACGCGGCCCTTGCCCTCGAGACACATGGCAGCCCAACCCACCAGGATCATGCCCGGAGGACGCTGGTCGACGGAGGCAATGGCGCCGACGATGCCGTCGAGCGTGGAGAGGATGACGCGCTGGTCGGGCGACGAGGCGCGCTCGACGACGGCGATGGGCAGGTGGCCTGGGTAGCGCGCGCCGTCACGGGCGGAACCGACATCCTCGCCGGTGAGGACGGCGAGGACAGCCTCGATGCGCGCCACGCCCATGAGGATGCACAGGGTGCGCGATTTCACGTAGCCCGGAAGCTGGACCGCCGAGCCGGCACGGCCGACACCGGTGCACATGACGAGCGAGTCGGCCACGCCACGCTGGGTGACGGGGATGCCGACCATGAGGGGGCCTGCGAGCGCAGACGACACGCCGGGCACGACTGTGGCCTCGAAACCGTTCTCGCGGAAGTGGAGGACCTCCTCGCCGCCGCGGCCGTACACGAAGGGGTCGCCCTGCTTGAGGCGGACAACAATCTCGCCGGAACGGGCGCCAGCGAGGGCGAGGTCCATGAGCTCGTTCTGCGCACCCTCGGCGTTACCGGGGAACTTGCGGGCAATGTGAAGCTTGGTCGTCTTGGGAATCAGAGCGATAATCTCGGCGGGGACAAGCTTGTCGGACAGGATAAGAGTGGCGTTCTCCAGAGCATGGCGAGCGGCGACGGTGAGGAGCGACGGGTGGCCTGGACCAGAGCCAACGAGAAGGATCCGGCCCTTTTTGCCGTCGTGGTGAGGGAGGACGGTCGAGATTTCGCCACCAGACTCGAGGGCGTGGTCCATTTCAGCAGACGACATCGAGGCAAGCTGGTCGTACGAGTAGTACTCGCTCATCTGGTGAACCCAGCGCATGCGACGCAGCCGGTCCTGAGAGTTCTGAGTGACGGGCTTGTTGAGCGGGGTGGTGAGGTCGTCCTCCGACAGGAGAGTCTTGGCACGCGAGCGGAGCTGGCCAATGTTATCCACAGCCGAGCCGACGCTCGGGGGGAGCTTGGCAGCAATGTCACGGCGGATACGGCCGGCAAGGCGGCAGCCCTGGCCGTTGGTGCTGACGGCAACCTGGAGGTTGGACGGGCCATCGACGCCGGCGAAGCGGTGGACAGAGGGGAAGGTAAAAGTCGAGAGGAGCGGGCGGTCCGAGACGTTGATAGGAATGGACAGGTCGGTGGCGGCGGCGTAGATGGCAACTTGCGATGCAGGAGCCGCCTGGTGGGAGCCAATGAGCGTGTCGGTGACACACACCAGCGCCACCTTGCGCTCGGCAAGGAACTTCTTCCAAGAAGCCTCGTTGCCGTCAAACGGCTCGTAGCGCACCTGGCCTTGCTGCACGCGCCACTGGATCTCCTCGGGCATGGCCGAAAGGTCCACGTTGCTGGTCACGAGGACATCCGCGTCCGCCTCCAGGAGCGTGAACACGCGGGTCGACGCAAGGTGGTTCGATCCAACAACAAGAGTCGTGCGACCGCGCGGGTGGAAGGTGATGGGGAGAGGCGCACCGGGGATGGGGGTAGGGAACATGGCCTTGGCATCGACGACGGGGTGGACCTTGGCCTCCTTCTTGTCCTGGACGTGGACTGAGAGGACCGACTTGGGTGGCGAAAGGGCCTTGATGAGGCCGGCGCCAAGGACCAGAACCGCAATGGTCGGCACGACAATCCAGGTGCCGTTGGTTGCGACCCAGACGGTCCAGAAGGTGAAACGATCGTTCTGGGCAGTGTTGCACCATCCACAGTAGTACTCCTGGAGGAAGTACAGGATGGTCTTGGACGAGGTGAGGAGCGTGACGGCAAACGCGATCACGGGGCCAGCGGGGTGGTCACCGAGAGAGACGCAGACAACGTTCAAGAACGCCTCAAAGACGTTGAGGAGAGCTGCTTCGTGAGCACAATATCCACAGTGCAGACACCCAGAGACGGCGAGGTGTCTCGGTGTATGTTGCTATCAACTCACATTGAGCGTTGGTGAAGCCATCGTTCTCGTTGAACGCCTTCCAGCCGTAGATGAGGTCAACGTTGGCGTAGGGAACCATGTTGTAAGGAGCCCAGATCCACGACAGGTCACCGCCGGGGAAGGACCGTGGGCGAGCAAAGCAGTAGCCAGCATCTAGAGGACGTCAGCCATGTTGTCGGGTTTTTGTGGACCAGGGAGCGGTTGGAGCAACAGCCATAATAAACTCACCCCACAGCACGACCACGGTGGAGAATGTGAGCCACAGACGGACCCAGCGGGGGGTAGTGTAGCCCATCTTGAGAATGGGGATGAGATGGATGTGACAAAGACGAAAAGGTGTTTGCTTTGTGTTGGATGTCAGATGGCGACTCTTTCTCCACTGCAGCTCGTCATCTCGCCATCTGGCCCGCTCTTCCGATTCTTTGCTATCTGCGTTCGTAAAATCGGGCGGCCTGGCCAGTGGTGGCGTGATTATTATGGGGTGCGTGGGGTCCCCGCATCTGGCGGAAACAAACACACGTGATGGTCACGTGGATGGAACAGGCGAGAGATGCAGTGACGATGACCATCATGGATCGAGGACCAGACACCGCCCATCGACCCTCCACCCCATCCACCATGCTTGCAGCGATAGCTCTGGCTCTCCTCGCCGTCCAGGCGAGCGCAGCAGAGTACACCCTTTACCACCGCTACGTCTCGTCTGGCGCAGAGTTTGTCCCTCGCGGAACTGTCTCGTTCGACAACGGCGCGGCCGTCTTCTCGCCTTCCTCCGAGTCGCCTTTGTCGTCGTCCTCCGACGACAGCGCGTGGTACCAGGTTGCCCTCGGTGTGGGCAGTGACCTTATTACGGCGTCCACTCGTTCCGTGAGCTTGCTGATCCTTATCTTTAGCTGACAACCAGTGCTTTGCGGACAGCGGCGTTCTCACTCTGCACCTCACCGACGACAGGCCGTCGGGTATAGAGTTCAAGCCGTCCGACTCGGCGGCGTGCGCTAGCTCGGCCGACGCTGTGCTTCCTTCGTCTGTTATCCAGGTCAACATCAAGACCGCTCAGAAGGTGGCAAGGTGAGTCACAGCTCACAGGCTGGAGCTTGGAGCAGCGTCACCATGGCCGGCTGCAGACCATTCCGGTCAATGTTCAGCAGCATACTAATTGCCTCAGCCCCTCCCTCGCTGCCCCGCGTGTTGTCGACACTACTGGCCAGACCGTTGTCCCGGAACCCGAGAAGACGTTCATGCAAAAGTACTGGATGTACATTGTCGCCGGCATGCTCTTCCTCGCCACCCAGATGAGCGATGAGCCGCGCGGCCAGGCCGAGGGAGGAGGCGACGCACCTGCCGCGGCAAAGTAGGTAGATATAACGGGATGTATAGACACTGGACGTAACAGGGGACGCGGTGTGACCATGGCTTTGCGAATAGCCAGCATGGGCGATGGCCACGGGCATGACTGGCGAAGTATGGAGCGTCTGGTGGGCTGACTATCGTGGGCTTTCCGCGCGTGCATTCTTGCACCCATTGCTCATATGAGCCCCAGCTCCCCCCCCCCCCCCCCCCCCCCTCCCCCCCCCGCGCTCGTTTTGCTCTGGCCGCTGGCCGCTGGGGTCGCAGCTGGCGCTGCTGGTGACCAGAACAAGTGTGTGGGTAAGACAAACAAAGGTATTGGCCTCAGAACCGATTACCGAGGCTATTAGGCCCCTTGTCTTGCCACCACACATCACTTCTTCCTCTTTGATGTCACCCACTCCATCACGTCCTTGGCACATATCGATGATCATCCCTCCTCCGTCCCCTCACCCGCGACATACGACCTCGTCGCTCGAGATGGTCCAAGTCCGCCTGCTTGCCTCGACCGAGCTCCCAACCAGCACGACCGACGAGGCGCTCGCTCGTCGTGCCGATGCGTGGTGCGAGTCTCACGGTGTCGAGCCTCATCCTGTCAAGACGCTCGTCTCGTCCGACGAGACGCCCACCAATAGATTTTATGCTGGAACAGAGCGTAGTGCTAAGGCTGTTGAAGCCGTGAGGGTACGTATCCATCCAGAGAACGGCGGTTAACCATTCGCAGCGTAGCGCCCAGACGGTAAGCACCGTCACCAAAGCACCGCTGACAATTAGGCGTCCCGGCTGGAGCAGAAGGTGGAGGCTTTGGAGGCCGAAATCAAGGAGATGAAGACGGTGCGTTCCTTAGCAGTGCAGTGCAGTGCTCACGAACAGCAAAGGATGTTAGAACAGAAGGTTGCAAAGGATCGTCGTAGCGCAATCGTTCTTGTCGCCGCCGTCCAGGACGCGAACACCGCTTTCAAGTGCGGTGGTCGCGTGGTTCCTGCGCAAATGGATGCCCTCTTTAGGTTCGCCATGTGAGGAGTCTCTCAGGCTAACAATCAGCGCCAGCAAGGATGTCAACACCAAGCTCGGCCAAGCTCTGGCAACTCTCGGCCCGGAAGTTCGATCCGCCTTCGCCACCAACCCCTCCTGGACAACGCAGGTCGACGTCCACAACGATGACGCTCATCCAGTGTGGGCCAAGCTCCTTCTCGAGCTGTTGGAGCTCGAAGACAAGGCCGTCCCCCTCACGCGTGAGGCCGTTACATTCGTTCTGCTCGCCACTCGTCAGCGCCAGATTGATGGCATCGAGGTCGTTGGCGTTGACGAGATTCTCGAGGACGTGGTGATTCTGAACAAGTTGTTCCCAACGAAGCGACAGATGGAATGGATGAAGCAGCTCAACCTTGGCGTGTGAGAGGGGATACGGGTGGGACGTAAAGGAAAGGACTCTGTTTCTGTACATTACAAGGAGAAGCGCAGCATGAGAAGGCAGGCAAGAGAAGTCAGGCAAGTGCATATGATAGTTCATGTACCGCATGGTTGTGTATCCTCGCAGTTTGCGGTGAGGGCATTCAAAGTCTAGGCTGGCATGCGCCAAACGTTGCATGTCAAGCCGGCCTCGATCAGGTGCAGCCGCCACCTGTTGTTGTTGCTGCCTTTGTTTGGTTCCACATTTTACGATCCTCACCCCTCCCTCCTGTTGCCACCCTTGTGGCCACACCTGTTCTGGTTTAGCTGGCCGCACTATGTGCTTCGGAATGAGGGGAAGTGATACCAGAGCCTGCGGGTCTCGTTTCCAGAACTTGGAGCCCGTGTCAATGGCATATGGGTACGTCCTGGGGAAGCGATCGGCTACCGCTGCTCGGGTTGCTCCGGTTATGACGTGATATGCCGTATGGGTGGTGGGCAACCGCACCGCAAAACGTTATTGTCCCTCCAACATTCGTATCTCTCTCGTCAACAACTGCACACACCACCACCATGGGCGACGACTTCCAGTCCCTCCCCGTGCTTGACCTCTCGCGCCTGGAGACCGACAAGGAAGCGCTCCTCGCCGAGCTCCGCCATGCGTTGATCCATGTTGGGTTCTTTTACATTGTCAACCACGGTGTGACAAAGGATCTCATGGACGCGACGACTTCAAAAGCAATCGATTTCTTTGACCAGGACCTCGACGCCAAGCTCACTGTGGACAAGATCTACTCACCCACCTTTCTCGGGTACAGCACACAGGGCAACGAGATTACAAAGAACAAGAAAGACAACCGGGAACAGTACGACTTTGCAAACGACCTGCCCGACCCTTGGTCACCTGGCAAGCCCGAGTTCCTGCGGCTTACGGGACCCAACCTGTGGCCTGCCGATGTGCCCGGCTTCAAGGACACGATCGGGTCGTTCTGGACGGCGGCGCACGGCCTTGCCGAACGTCTGGTGAGCCTCACCTCTGAAGCGCTCGGACTCGGCCCCAACGGACTGGACGACTATGTGGTCAAGGGCCAACAGCACCGCGCCAAACTCATCAAGTACCCAGCTGTCGACGCCCTGTCACCTGTGGACGGTACGCAAGGTGTGGGCGCACACCGGGACACGGCCAACCTCATTACGCTCCTGTACCAGGCCAACATGGGCGGCCTCGAGGTGCAGAACCACGCTGGCGAGTGGATAAACGCACCGCTCAAGGAGGGAGCCTTCATCGTCAACATTGGCACGGGACTCGAGTACCTCGTCCACGAGACGGCCATTGCCACCACACATCGGGTGACCAACCCACCGGCGGGCAAGGGCCCGCGCTACTCCATCGCCTACTTCCACGGCACCCGGCTCGACACGGTGCTGCGGCCGGCCAACGTGCCAGACGAGGTGCTCGCCCAGAAGCCGACGAATGTTGTGACGGACACGAAGGGATTCCAGTATGCCCAGCTGTATGCCGAGGACCCGGGGACGTATGCGCTTGTCAACCGCATGAGCTCGCATCGTGATGTGGCCGCCAAGTTTTACCCGGCTGTGGCCAAGGCGCACGGCATGGATCTCAACATTGGCAACAGCGGGTACTAGGAGGGTGGAGAATACTTTCACGATGTTGGCTAGCGGTTGTACACAGATATGCATGGGTCGTTAATGTTCAGGACTAGGTGCTTGCTGTACCCGACTGCGCTTGTCCACGCATGGCATCGAGTCGTGAGCAGAGGAGCCAGTGAATCGGCCCGATGTCGGAGTTCGGGAGCTATTTGTTGACATCCATGGTGCCGACTCGAGTCATGATGATAACCGAGCGACGAGACCAGACAATTCATGCCAGTCTCCCAATTTCAACAACGCTCACATCACCACAGCAGGCAGGTCGCAACCCCAGGGCTCACACTGACAGTGCAGATCGACACTGCAATGACCGCAGAGACCAATGGCAGCAGCAAGCCCGAAACTGTGATCCGGGCAGCAACAGCCGATGACGCAGACGCCGTCTCCGCAGTCGGCGGCGCGGCCTTCATCGTCGGCCATGCTTGCGCGTTGGACGACGCCCATGCCTACATCGACAAGCACTTCACTCCGGAAGCGATGCGTGTAGCCATTTCCGCGCCCAAGTCGGTCTGGCGCGTCGCCGAGTCGCCGCCAGGCAACGTCGTGGCCTTTGCCTGCCTGTCCCTCAAGGACGCCGATTCCGAGTCGTATCCAGGCCTGGCGCACCTCTCGTCCACCCAGCTTGTCGAGCTGCAGCGCGTGTATGCCCATCCGTCCTGCCACGGGACAGGGGTCGCGCGCGCGTTGGTGGAGGCCACGCTCGAGACCGCCCGCGGAATGGGATACACGTACGCGTGGCTCGGCGTCTGGGAGCGTAACCCCCGTGCAGCGGCGTTCTACAGCAAGCTCGGGTTCCGACATGTGGGCGAGAAGAAGGAGTGGGTGGGTACAGACCACCATACCGACCTCATCCTGCTTGCTGAGCTGTAATGCGGGGGAAGGAAGGCCTGGGGAAGGTGGACTGGATCGGTGATCGGTGAGCTTGTCAGCACCGAAGCCACTTTGGACTATGCCAAGACATACCACGCTACTCACGGTTGAACAAGTCAACTTGCCAGGAGACTCGCTTCACTGTTTAGCCTCTTCTGACCGGGGTGTACTTACAGCCGAGCAGCCGGCATGTACCTACCCCAAACTTCGCTTCGGCGGGCGTCAGTGACCTTCCGGGATATCCCCAGTGCACCGGTGCCTCTTACGTCCACACGTCTCGGGACAGAGCGAACACCAAGCAGTGTGTTGGTGTGTTGTCCCTCTCGGAGCTGGCAGTTTACACGCCAGCGGCCAGCAGGGAAAAGCCGGGCATGCCGAGAAGCCGAGGGAACGCGTCAAATCCGACATCGAAGCCGCAAAGCTGCGGTCACCGTGGCTTCCAAACACGAGTGCTGTGTAGCCGTGTGTGTGAGACGCCATAGCGATTAGACGTCGCGACGTCACAACGTCACGACATCACGACGCGCCTCGGAGGCCTCGGAGGTTCCGATTGAGGTGTGAAACATTGATGAAAGATGCGCAGAGGTTGCGCAATTGGCGACAACAGGGGGACAAGGTGCAGAGGACAGACCCCTTGTGCCGCGGGCTTGTGGAGGCTCGCTTGCGCTCTCCCACTCTTGCCTTCCTGGTAAGGCGGTGATCAGTGCGGGAAGAGGACACCACCGTCCGCAGCATCAGCAGCAACAGCAGGAGCGTGACATGACAAGGTTACTGTGTGCTGTAGAAGGGATTGTCGGCCGGTTACGGGTACGCCGAACACACACCGTCCACAAATGACGCCACTTTCCATCTGCCTTCTTGGCCTGTTGTTTAGGCTGAGTACCAATTTTTTGGGTAAGGGCGTGTATACACGTACAAGTGTACTCTGTTGTCGCTGCGCCATTTGCGTGACAGCAGGGGCGGTGCCGCATGCCGGGTGGGTAAGCCCACGCGCTGTGTGAAGTCTTTCATGAAACTCGCAGCTTGGAAGCTTCCAACGGGATGAAACTCGAAACGCAAGTGGAGCTCTGGATGGCGGAGCAGACGTCGTCGGGGTTTGTGTATCGTCCGATAGACTCTACACACCAACATGCTATACCTCCAGGCGTCACAACGGCACAGATCCAAGCCATGGTGCATTGAAACATGGTCCATGTCACACTGCGACGGCTTGGGCCTCCATGGCACCATGAAGCTGGTTTGAGCGGCCGACGGGGAGCGAATCGAATGGTCTGGCCAGCGTGGAAAGACGTGCGGGATCGGAGCAGGCGCCACATGTGCACCATGGGCAACGCATTGACCGTCACACAGACCACAAATACGATCAGAATTCAGAAGCCGTACGGTCCTGGGGCAGGGCAGTGACTCTGATTGTTTACAAATGGGGCTATGGAGGTCGAGAAGAGACAGAAGACCAACCCTACCCAGTGGGGTGTTTTGAGCGAAAGGCGCCACAGAGTGGCCAGTGGCCAGTGGAAATGACAAGACGACGCCTTTCAAGTGAACCGCAACCCAGCTGTGATGCAGTGGAGCACCTTGACCAACGCACAAAGACGACGCGCAGGCATGTTACATATTCTCCCAGCTTGTTCCAACATCCGGACTGGCCCGACTTTGGGAACGTGCGCGGACGATCGCTTGAATACAAATTCTAGACGCTACGGCCACGCCCTTTCAAAGCATGGCCCCAACGTGTTGCGCATGTAACGCGTGTTGCCGCCACCGCGACACGTACGTACCGACATTAATGACCCTCTCGTTCGGTGGATGAGCAGTGACACCAGTGTGCACTCGTAAGATATGTGTGACGAACCCTGTGCAGTTGTCTGCCACATCAAACGACTGGCAGTGGCTGCTTCCCCCCAGGCCACCCGAGGCCAAACACCGCATTGGCAGAAGCTGGTAGCGATCCCACCACACCAACAGATTGTCGCCCACTGAGAAGATTAGAAGTCAATGCGCTACACGAGGTCGCGGATCCTGAGGCTTGACCTGCGCCCTCAGTCAAAAGGAGGTGGGCATCTTGGTCGTCGCTCGCTCGCACCCACGCAGGCGGTCCTGTTTTCCCACCATCATTAACCATCTGTCGCCTCGCAACGACTGGCGACGAGGTGGGCCTCGGTGTTGATCTCGGGTGACAATGACACGCCGGCCCGCATTATTCACACGTATATGCATGCGTGGGACGTCTAGATGAGCCGGACATCAGAGTGTCCAGGAGGAGCAAGGACGAGAGATCTCACACTGACACAGTTAAACTCCCCGCGCGGGCTGCGGCGCCACCAGCCCACACCACCACCATTGAGGAGATCTGATCTGATCTGAGGACTCTCCCTGCCCCATGGGTCTTCACTGTCAGTTTCCTGGCAATTTTAAACAGTACAAATGTAGCTTGTGAAGGACACTGGCCATAGGGAAAGACGCAGGGATTGCCTTGGACCACGTGTAAAATCGATACAAATGACGAACTGATGGCCGCGGAGGCTCTGTTTTGTACAGGCTGACATCGGAGGTGTCTACGACAGGCCGCGCCAGGAAAATGGGAGAACAACAGAGGTGTCTACAGGACAGACTGCAATGGTTTCCCCAGGGACGCAGCTGCGTACAAGCATCCCGTCCTTGGGATGAACCCAAACACAGTTGTTTGCACGATCGTTTGCTCGGGACTCCCGCTTGGGGACAGAACAATCACCAATTCGAGACCATGCGTCGGCCTTTACAACAAACCCAGCAGCGGGCCTGTTCATGGGCATAGTCTCGTTTGAACGATGAGCAGAACCATGCATTGTCTACTGCCACATGCCAGAATGCACCAGATATTCTGATGATCCTTCCCTGTCCCTCTTTCAGCCAGTCGGGCACACCATCGTTTGCCACCTGCGCAGCAAGCCCAGTTGCCCCAAGTGCACGCTCAGGCCACCTCACCGATACCAGATCCCCTATCCAGAAATTTCCTTTCCATTCTGTTGCATGTGTCTCTCGCGCAAACAGTCCACAGGCCACGGGCCACGGGGCAACACGACCCCCAGTGTGCCCGCCTCTGTACACGCCCCCACCCGCCGCGCAAAGTCCGCCAGCGTGAGCATGCGCGGCCGTCTTCCGACCCACACCTGTGCGTGCGCCTTGGCTTCTGCGACACTCGTCGTGCGTATAACCGACGGGTACTACATGGTAACAACCCACCTGTGCACACACAGCACACACACACACACAGAACACAGAACAACACGCCCCTCCAGCTCGCCGTAAACGCGGGCAACCTACCGTGAGTACGTCTGTCCCTTTGCCCCCTCCCTGGCCTGCACGGAGCTGCTGGTGCCGGGGCCGTCGAGAGTGTGTGCCCAGTCCCCGATGGCTACAAGCGTTTACCCGGCTCTGCTCGGGTGTTGTGCGCTGTCACGGTGTCGACCAAGGAGCCGACAAGGAGAACAAGGGAGTGATGGGCTGTCGTGCGAACGGGTGAGGCGAGCGCCGATCCCTGCCAGCGGCGATCAACCGGGCGGTGTGTGAGGGCGACCATGACCTGCTGGGTTTTGCTGACGACCAGAACACCGTGAGAGCGTAGAGTAGTCGTTGTCTTTGCTGCACAAACCTGTGTAACGAGAAACCTTGCTTGTGGGCGCCAACGGCCAAAGTCACTCAAAGGGAACCCACCTACAATACCCACCTACGTGCCCCTTTTGCTCTTGCCAGCGGGCAGCGGGCAAGTGACACGGCCGTTCGCCGGACGCTTGCGGTGGGCGCATCGAGTGCGACAGCAAGAGGGGGAGAACACACTGTCCGCAGGGGGATCGGGTGGCGATCAGTGCAACGGGCCCGCCGAGCAGCGGGCATTGCGAGGGGGGACTTGATCAACAAGGGGGGGTGAGAGGGAAGGATCTGAACACAACCGTCCACGAGCGCGCGCTGTGGTGGCGAGCAGCACCAACAACGAAGCATCGAGGGCGTTTTCTTCGGTGAGCGGGGGCCTCTGTGATGATTCTGCCATTCTCTCCCTCTTTCTTCTCTCTCCCCAACCCGTCGCCCATACATTAAGTCTCACCTCGGTCCTTGTTTCTTCCTTCCCACTCTCCATTCCCCTCCCTTTCCCCATCCCCCATACCTCCCCTCCCTTCGTCCTCGTCCACACCCCCCCGTGCCCATCCTCTGCCCTCGATAGTGTTCGCCGCCCTCTCGGGCAACCCCGTCAGCGCCCAAACCTTCGGATATCACTCTTGTCGCCCCGCGCGCGCGCCGTGTTTACCCTCACATCCTCCTCCTCCTCCTCCTCCTCTTGCAACTGCCCGCACCCAAACAGTCACCGCACCGCCTCTTTATCTTTCTCTCTCTCTCTCTCTCCATTTGCATATAATCACACCGTCTCGTTCGCGTCACTCCCCCGGCATCTCTCGACTATCCCTCCCACCCTAGATCTGTAATCTCCCCTTCTCCCCACACCCCCGCTTCCTCAGCAAACGACCGCGACATTCCACAGTGACACACCCTGCCACGCCTTTTGCCTCCTTTCTCGCTTATAAGCCTCAAGCCCACCCTCCCCGTACTTTGTTCCTTTCTCCTCTCCATGCCCAACGGCAACAACACTCGCTGGCGTGGCGGGGACGTGTCCGACAGCGACAGTGATCAAGACTTTGTGCCACGGACCCGCGCGCAAGCCCGTGGACGCCGCTCACGCGCCGCAGCGACCACCGCCTCGACCCCGGCTCTGGCGCCATCCACCCCAAAGTCGCCAGGCGAGTCGTACCCAGTCAATGCCCAGGACACGGGTTCGGGTGCTGGTTCGGGTATCACGACGCGTCGACGCGGGAAAAAGCGCGCACACAGCCCAAACACCAACAACAACGCCAATGGGATGAGCGGCAACAATGGTCCGCGCCCAAGAGGGCGCGCACAGCGCGACAGGTCACGCTCGCGCGCACTCTCCACCATCCCCATGGCATCCATGCCCCCTCTCACTGTCCCCGCACCAGACGATGTGGCGGTGCGCGCGCTCGGTCTCGCCCAATCGGCTCGTCCAGGTGCCGGCGTTCTCTCCCTCGAGCACGAGCAACTCGTGCGCATGCGTGAAGGTCACATCTATCGTCCTCGCCCCGGACGTAAAGTCGACGCCGATCGTAACTGGCGCGTCCTCACCCTGTCCGAGGCGGCATGGACGCGTCTCGAGGAGGTCGGATGCGTCGGCAAGGGTCGCGCCTGGACGGCCCGTGAGGGCTATGACGACCACGGTGAACGTGAGTGCCCCAAGTGCTGTCCCACCCTACCCCACCTTCACTCTTGTCCATGGATGCTTCGCCTACCTGGAAAGACTGAAACAGTCGCTGCAGTCACCCCATGTGATTTTAGTTCTCTCGCTGACCCACTGCCCAGCTGTCAAGCCCGAGCTCCCATACGTCATGCTCACAAAGCTGGTCATCGCCTCCAGCCCACGCAAAATGCTCACTCTCAACCAGGTGCGTTACCCCAAAGCATGACTGTGAACGCTGGCCACTAACATCCTACAGATCTATCAGGGCATGGAAGAGCGGTGGCCATACTTTCGGTCGCAGGGCCAGACATTCCGCGTGAGTGGCACCAGCTCCCCCAGGTTAAATTCACGAAAAAGCGCCAATTTTCCTCATTTTTGCAGCGCTGACACTACCACAGAACTCCATCCGCCACAACCTGTCAATGAACCCGGCCTTTATCAACGTCGAGAGGCCCCTTGACGAAGGCGGTCTCGGTGCCATCGGCAAGGGTGGCTACTGGCGTGTATCCGAGGACGTGAGTGGGGAGTCTTCGCTTTTCTTTTCTTTTCTGACCTGTGCTGCAGAGCACCACTTCTCACCGCGGTCGCGCGAAAAAGCAACGGGTCAAGGGACCAGACGATCCCCCCAAGCCCCGCGGCAGGCCCAAGAATTCCAGCAAGCGCCAGCGTTCACCCACCCCTCCTTCCCCCGGAATCCCAATCGACCCGGCGCTCATGCAGTACCACCCCCGGCACGTGGTTCCTCTCCGGCCCGCTACTGTCTTCACCCCCCGCCGCTTTGGCGGACACGGCCTCAATGACATGGAAATGGACCAAGACGCTCCCGCCGTTGGCCAGCCGGGTTCACCATCGCGCTCAACCCCGGCCCCTAACGGCTACCACCACTTTCTGGACGGCCACGAGCAACCCCCCGGTCTGTATCCCTCCTACGGCCATGGCCCTCAACCGGGTACATACCCGCTGCCCCCACGCGACATGTACCGCTCCCACCCGTCGCAACCCGAGTCACTCGAGCGCGGCCAGCCCTCCAGCAGCGAAACGCAACTCCCAACGCCTCCCATCAGACACGCAGGCCAGGCCCCCGCTGCCACCCAGTGATCCCAGTGACGAGCAGGCCGGGTACCCGTCTCGCGCGGCCTCGTTTGTGCGCAGTGCCCCCGCGCCGCACGAGAGCCAGCTCCCGACCCCGCCATACGACAAGGAGCAGCGTCGCATGTCGCGCTCCAACCTCCCGCTCCCGGATCTTGTCGGCGGCGGCGGGCCAGCACCGCGCACTGTCTCCTCTCTCTTGAACCCTTCTGAGCGTTCCTAAAGCAAACCCAAGCTAAGCGTACCCACCCGTACACGTAACATACTTTTTTGCCGAATTCACATCAAAATCTTGAAAGAGGTGCGCTTGTCTGAAAGAGGTGGGCTTGTCTGTATGTATTGTAGATAATCGAGACTACTGTAGTACAAAGCAACAGCAAAACGACGAGGAGGATCAGAAAGACATCTTGTGTACATCGATACCAGTATAGTACACGCATGCATGTGGCTCTTGTAATGATTGTGGGGTTCCGTGGCTATGCGGTTGGGGGGGAACAAATGTACAACACAGGCAAGTGGCGGCCGGCGGAATCATCACCACCTCACACCCTCGTTCTCGTCCTCGGCCTTGGCGGCAGCGGCGGCAGCTCCCTCGGCCCCAGTGTCCTCGTTGACTTCCTGCTTGACGTCGACGACGTCGTCCACGTCCATGCCCGCGGGAGGCGACGACGCCGCGGGAGTCGCACCGGCATCGTACGCCGACGCAGTCTCGTAGCCCTCAAACGGCGTCGAGCGTGCGCGGAAGGGCGACGAGCCACCAGGTCCATTCTCATGCTCGTACTCGTGTTCAGCGGCCGGCGTGCCCGTCGCGTCGCGCTCGCGCGGCGTAGCGTCTCCCGGTGCTGGCGTGGCCTTCTTCTTCTTCTTGCTGGGCCGCTTGGACGTTGGCGGGGTGCCCGTGGCGCCGGGCGTCGCTGTCCCCGCACCGGATCCCGGAGCAGCGCCAGCGCCTACGCCTGTGGCCGATGGCGGCGGTGCTGCGGCGGAAGCCATGTCGCGGCGCATCTTCTCGGCGCTGGCCGCCTCGTCGCGCTCGTCGTACACCAGCTCTTCGGCGCGGAACGTGTCCCACCGTTCACACATGGGCCGGGCGCCCTCTGGCAGCGGCGACGCAAAGTCCGGGCCAAAGTTGAGGTGTACCTTGCCACGGCCAAAGCAGCTGACCATGGGGAAGTAGCCGAGCGTGCCGTCGTCGTGGTACTGGTACGCCTCGCGCTCGCGCTCGTACGCGTGTGTGTACTTTTTCCGCTGGCCGGGCAAGGGTGGGAGCGGGAGAAAGTCGTACAGGTCCTCGAACGCGGTTCCGAGCGGCTCGCCGTTGAGGAAGAACGAGACGTAGGAACCAGGCAGCTTGTGCAGTGTGCGCGCGACGGGTCGGGTTGGTGGCTCGGCTGCGCTGCTGCCTGCTCCCTTCTTCATCTTCTTCTTGGGCTCGCTCGGCTTGATGTCTTCCACGGCAGCTGGCGCGGGTGGCGGCTTGCCTTCACGGTTGACGAGCGCTTCCATCTCCTTGGTGACTGGGTACTCGTCCATCTCGAAGTACAGCTGGCCGCGGTATCGGAGGGGGATCCGCCAGCGGCGGACATAGGCGACGTCTTCTTCGTCGACAGGCTCGGTGCGCGGCGGGAGGGAGATGAGGCATCCAACAACGTCGCCAGTGGCAAACGTCCGGCCGTAGCTCTTCGCCCGCGAGATGTGGACCTTTTCACCACCCACGTCGCGGATCGCGTAGCCGTACGCGTCGGCGCCAACGGGCGCGTCCAGCCCTGCCTCGCGGCGGCCCCAGCCGATGCGGACGTGTGGGTTGCCAGCGTCACCTGCGCTGCCGCGGCCACCGCCGGACGCTCCGTCGCTGCGCACAATTGTGGCCTCGTAGTACCATGTTCCCTCGCGAACGGCGACGCTGCCGCGTCCAGAGCGATATCCGCGGTCGGTCGTACATGTCCGCCCGTCCTGCGCAACGCGGAGAAAGGCCGAGCGGTCGAGAAAGGAGAGGGCCACTGGCGCGGCAGGTGGTGGGCCAGGCAAGGTGCGGTGAAAGGGGAGCTGGGGGTTGGGAGAGACGTTTGGTGATGGTGCGCAAGGCACATACCGATAGCCTAATGTCAGCTCGCTTCAAATTGTGTTAGCTCACCTTGCCTGTTCATCGGCAGGTCGGTGTAGAGGAAACACTCGTCGCCCCAGTTTGTCCCGTCGCCCGAGCCAACGACGACAGTGCCCGGCTTCGCAACAGTGCGCTCTTCGCCTCTTGGCGCAGGTGTCGTGCCGGCACTGGCACTGGCGCCGGCCCGTCCTCGCTCGCCGCCGCCGTCGTCGCGCGCGTCGTGGTCGAGCTCGCTGCGGCGGGGAGCGCTGTCGTCGGGCGAAGCGCGGGCCGAGGGCTCTTCAGAGGGGAACCCTGGTCCTGGGGTCGATGTGGAGGATGCCGATCCTGATGCACGACGTTTCTTCACCATGGTGAGGGGGGTCGCAAATGGTGGAGATTGTGGGATGACGGCAATGGAGTTTCAGTAGATCAGGTAGAAGACGCGTTCGGCAGATGGGCGTGATTTCAGATATTACGTAATGGTAAATGATGTAAACAATCTCTCGGTGCTGGGCCGGTTAACACGACCTGCAGCACACTCTTCCCAAGCACACTCTTCCCACAACCACACTCAACATTGGCATCGGCTTACTCGGCACACGGCCCTTGTTGACTCGGGCTCCGCTCTGCTGAAGGACATGTTCTTCAAGGCAAGAGCACAAGTTGCCGCTGCGACCCGAGAGCTGGGATGAGCGGGAGGGAAGACACGTCGATTTCGCCTGGCATCTTGCCACCCGCCAACAACAATGACAAACTAACCATTCAGAGCAAAACGTACTTATTATACTTACGTCTAGGCGACTGCCGGCCCATCTTACTTGTAACCACTTTGGACAGCTTGCATGGGTAGGCTATATACAAGCGAGACAGTCCTAAACGAGCGTGGGAGATCTACGGTGGATAACCGGCGATTATGCGCGAGATCGCGCCGAGCGTCGGACCGGATGTGTCGCGGGTGTACTGCATCACCCGCCTGGCGCCTGTTGCCTTATATACAGCCCCCAACAGCCCATTTTTCTCTTCCCCACCCCCATTCCAGTCCCATCAGTTCACCATGTGCCCCTCTTGCCCCGCTCTCAAGGAGGACAACCCTTCGTTTGTCCTCCACGGCATCCACAACACCCAGTACGACGAGGTGAGCAACTGCCGGCGGCTATGAGCTGCCCGGGAATTCGGGCCCCGTCCCCCGAGTCCTACTCACACTACTGCGCCGCGCACCCGTGTCGACGATCAGTGCTCACACCCATGCAGCGTCCCGTTCCCGAGGTCCAGAACGATGAGGTCCTTGTTCAGATTGCCAAGACTGGTATCTGCGGCTCGGACGTCCACTACCTCGAGCACGGCCGCATCGGCTCGTTTGTCGTCGACCAGCCCATGTGCCTCGGCCACGAGTCTTCGGGCACCATTGTCAAGCTTGGCCCCGGCGTCCCCGCTTCGTCTGGTCTGACCATTGGTCAGAAGGTCGCCGTCGAGCCCGGATTCGGCTGCCGTACCTGCGTGCAGTGCAAGTCGGGCCTTTACGAGGTGAGTTGAATGGCGCCTGTCTCGCGCCGCCTCGTTGTGTGCCTATGAATCCCCGTGGCATGAACCCGCCGTTCGTTCGGCGGTACATAGCCTAAGCGAAACGCCTCGAGCCTCGAGAACAACCGCTGACAGGCCCAGCTCTGCCCCAACATGACCTTTGCTGCGACCCCTCCCTTCACCTACGGCACGCTGTGCCGCTACTACAAGCTTCCGTTTGACATGCTGCACCCCATCTCGGAGCAGGTGTCGTTTGAGGACGGTGCCATGATTGAGCCCCTGTCGGTTGCTGTCCACTCGCTGTCCAACCTGGCCAAGATGAAGTCGGGCGACAACGTCGTCATCTTTGGTGCTGGCCCCGTCGGCCTGCTCTGCATGGCCGTCGCCAAGGCGCTCGGCGCTGCCCGTGTCGTCGCCGTCGACATCCAGAAGGAGCGTCTCGACTTTGCCAAGGCCTACGCCGCCACTGACGTCTTCATCCCTCCCCCCAAGAACGAGGGTGAGGGCGCCGACGTCTACGCCGAGCGCAACGCCGCTGCCCTCCGTGAGGCCCTCAGCATCCCCGCTCTCGGCGCCGGCTCGCTCGACATCTGTATCGACGCCACCGGTGCCCCCGTCTGCATCTCGACCGGTCTCCACCTCCTCCGCCCCGCCGGCACCTTTGTGCAGGTCGGCATGGGCCCCTCGACCGTGCCCCTCCCCATGTTCGCCATTGTCGTCAAGCAGCTCACTGTCCTCGGCTCGTTCCGCTACGGCCAGGGCGACTACCCGCTTGCCATTTCGCTCGTCGACCGCGGCCTCGTCGACCTCAAGCCCCTCGTCACCCACCGCTACAAGTTTGCCGACGCCCTCGAGGCCTTTGAGCTCACTCGTGCCGGCAAGGACAAGGAGGGCAAGCCCGTCATCAAGGTCATCATCGACGCTCCCCTCTAAGAGACGGCTGCGACGGCCATGGTATGGCGTATAATGGACACTTTCCGCCTCAGGGGGGGAGCAGTAGAGGCAGTAGTAAATCAGAGGCAAAACGACGCAGTAGGGACGTGGCGTCTGTGATATTAGAGTTAGTAGTATTTGGGTACGACGTGCATGCACCAAGCTTTTGGGCACTGTAGCAAGTGAGCAAGGAGGTGTCCGTCAGTAGCGTGTCAGTTTCTCCAGTAACTTGCTTTTGTCGCCAACACCCAACCTAGCTCCAACCTGGCTCTGATCTCTCTGGGCAGCATTTGAGAGGGCTTCTTCGGCTTTCTTTCATACGGCTTTACTTGTACGTGTCCAAGTCGTCACCGCCCTTACGCTCGCGTTCGACCATGGCGTCAAACTCGGCCTGGGCCTTGGCCAGGTCTTGTTGCTCCTGGCGCTCCTCCTTGTCCAGCGCGTTTTGCCGCAACAGAGCCTCGGTCTGAGACGAACCGGCGGTGAAGTCGGGGGACGAAGACGAAGACGCAGAAGAAGGCGACGACGAAGCAGCAGACGAGGTGGACGCAGAGCCCGAGTCGGAACCTGCCCAGCCGTCCGGGAGCGTCTTGGACGACATGCCGCTGGGCACGCCGATCGCGCGCGGGTGGTACCATGTTGGCACGGTGCCGGTTTCGCGCACCTGGATGATGCCGTCGCGCGCCGTCTCGGCAATGTCCTGGAACGTACGGAGCTTCCTGTTGGGAGTGTGAGCTCAATTTAACCACAAGCTGGGGGCGCGGCTGTACATAGCTGTAGCGATGCCTCATTCGCAGCAGCGACTCACTGCCGCGACCAATCCCCGTTCACATGACACTCACTCGTGCGCGTCGTCCATGTTGTTGTTAATCGACATGGTCACACCCATTCCGCCGGCGATGAAGCCGAGGAAGGAGCCGCAGAAGCTCGCCATGGTGGAAGCCGCGAGCGACCAGAGCATCGGGCGCTTGCGGGGCCCGCTACGCAGCATGATGTAGAGGGGAACGCCGGAGAGACCGCCAATCGAGGAACAGAGCGGGATCCAAGTGGTCGCCTGCTTGAGAAGGTCGACGTCCTTTTGTGTCACTTCGCCTAAAGCGGGGAGTCAGCGCCAGTCTGTGGGTGAGGGGCATTGAGCGTGGGCCAGAGGCTTGATGCATGGCCTGCATGGTGGAGACGACGGACCATACCCCCGCGCGGTGAGAGGGAAGGCATAGTAGACACCATTGGGAGCTGGCGCTCAACGCTCGTATTCACCTTTATCCAGAGCCTCCTGCAGTGCCTGCTTGGCCACGTCCTGCTCAAAGGGGTTGAGAGGACCCCCCTGCAGTCGTCCGATGGGGAGGATGGAGATGTCGGCGTTGGACACGGGCATGGCGGGCCGAGATGCTGTGGGTGTGGTGGACTGTGGGGATAGGAGATGGATGCGAGTTCCGAACTGGGGGTCTCAACTGGCAACTGGGCAGACGTCAGAGAGATCATGATGGAAAACGGCGGGTAAATATCGGACTAAATAGCATTCGTTGGCCGTTTCTATATAACATTAGGAATTCAGGTTAATGAACCCACGGTGCTCCTTCGCACCCATGTTCTGCTGCGATATGCATGCCTCATTCTAGACCCACCTCCTGTCATTCTCCTTACCCACGGCCACGCTGTCAAGGATATCGTCATACCTGTCCTCCTTCTGCACAAACGCCCTTGCCTCGTCGGCTGCCTTCTCCGCGCGCGTCTCCTTTGTCTTCTTCGTGGCCGGAACAGTGCTCGACGAGCTGGGAGCTACACTGTTGCCTTGACGCAAGCGAGCCCATGCGTCGTCATGCGAGGCGCTGCCGTTTCCGTTCCCAGCAGCTGGGCCCGATGGCAGACCGGCCTGTTGGAGGCCGCGCTGGGTAGCAGTGGCAGGCTTGTCCGCCATGGCCGCGTCGGTCGCTTCGTCCTCGAGACTGAACGCGTCCGAGCTGAGACCGGCGCGGAGGCGGGATATCCTGCGCTCACTCTCCACAGCGGTCTCGTGAATGACCTGTAGCTTGCTGTGAGGAGGCGGGCACGTCAGCACACTAGACGCAGTGTTGTCGCCACGGCGGCTCTTATACCTACCGATGGTAGTCTGGGATACCGTTCCGAACGCCGTTTTCCACCATCTTCTCTTGGACCCTCGGCAAGGTCAAGACGAACACTGAGCCGCCCACACTCCATATGAACAAGTTGCCGATTACACGAACGGGACGCGGATAGCTGCGGCGAAAGTACGGGAACCACAAACTCAGCACTGTGGTCGTGACTGCCGCGGAGATGGACACGAGCGGGAACCTTGCCGCCTCGCTGAACGCCGCATCGACGACTTGCAGGTCACGGCGGCTCAGGTCACCTGTGTGACAGTGTCAGGTGGGCTTGATGTGTGCATTCATGCGACACAAAGGAACATACATACCTGCATCGATGCGTGTCTCGAATGTATCGTCTTGGATGGATCGCTCGGCCGCTGTGAGACCTGCGTGGGACAGGTCCCTCTGGAGCTGGCGGATCTGGGCGGGCGACGGGTCGACCGCGTGTGCCCCAAGCAAACGGGCGAGTTTGTTGGCGATGCCCTTGCTGTTGGTATCGTCCGACATGTTGTGTCTGGGCCAGTGTGAACAGTGAACAGAGCGTTGCCGTTGATCCAACCCTTCTACCACTTTCGACGCAGGCAACAGAACAAAGAGCGTGTAATGTGCGTCATTCTCTGGATGTACGGGGTGGGCCATCTGGTCCCGTAGCGCCAGGAACCACACAACAGCCACAGCGCGCACCGAATACAACCAATGCATCCCGCCTATACAGTTCCTCGTCCTCGTCCCCAGACGCTGTCCAGGTCCTACTTGCGCTCAGTGCGGCGGCCAGCTTCCATCTCTGCGCGCAGGTCGTTGGGGATGTGGTCGTCCAAGGTCTCACGACCAGCTCCTTGTGGCTTTGGATCCCAGTAGGAGCCCCAACTGGAAGTCGGGGGTTCAGGCGGCGAGTTGTCCGTGTTGAATGCCCCCCCGTTGGCGCTCGCGCCAGCGTCCGAGGACACACTGGAACTGCCAAATGGATCGCGGTGGGCTCTGCCCGTGTCGATGGCCGACGACGACGCTGGAGTACCAGTGACCGATTGCTTGTACAGCTCGAATGGGTTTGGCCCTGGCGGCTGCTTGGCAACCTCGCTTTCAGTGCTCGACTTGGGCTTCTGTGGGGTCGGTAACCATTGGCGAGCAACTATATCTTGGTCTTGAACTTCTTGAGATCGAGGTCGTCCTTCTGTTCGGCCGCGACACGCTGTTCGAGGCTCATGGCGGCCCTGGCGTCACCTCCCATTCCGGAATGGCCGACACATCCTTCGCCGCCATGGTGGGGGGTCGTTGAGTATCGCGCGCAGCAGAGGCTAATGGACGATAGGAGATGTGATGTGGACAATGGCATCAACAAAAAACGGGGGATGTCGATCGGCCATGTTCGGGCGCGGGATCTGGTCCTCACACGCGGATCAAAGGCGGCCCCCAGGTCTCACCCACACACTGAGGCAGAGCACAGTCAGTTGCCACCCCTCGCCCACTCCCCCGACTAGTTGTCTCGCCGAACATTGCTCCCTGGCTGAAATCTAGCAGATGCATTCTATAGCGGGCGGGGTATCTAATTGGTTACCACGCAGGCGGTTGTACAATCTAGGACAAAAAAGGGTACCCAATGGTACAGAGCGAAGCCACCTAAGTACACGTTTTCTACTCGTCATCGGTGTCGGGCTCGCGCTCGCCACCGTACGCAAGCCAGTTGACCTTGCGGATACGCCTGCGCTCCTCCTGGGCCTTGACCTCGTTACGGGTCATCTTCTTCTTCTTCTTGGGCTTGAGGGCGAGCTTGGCGAGCTTGGCAAGGTCGGCGTCCTCGTCGGCAGAGTTGACGGCCGAGTTGACGGCAGACGTGTACGCCGAGGTCATGGCAGAGGTGGTGCCCGAGGCAATCTCGGGAGTGGCAGTGCCAGTGACGGGGGTGGCGGCGCCGGTGCGCGGGGTACCGGCCTGCGAGGGGACGCGCGACGGGTTGTCAAACGCGTCCTCGGCGAGGTTCTGCTTGCCCTTGTGGGTAAGCAGACCGGCCTCGACGTTCCAGATCTCGGGGCACAGAGCCGAGACAAACTCGACCGAATGCGAGATGATGCACACGGCACCTCCCCACTCCTTGATGGCGACGGCAAGACCGCCGAGAGCCTCACGGTCCAAGAAGTTGGTAGGCTCGTCAAGGAACAGGCACTGAGGACGGTTGAACATCGAGGCGGCAATGACGACCTTGACCTTTTGACCACCGGAAAGACCCGACATCTCGTTGTACTGGGCAATGTCGCCGTCGAGACCGACGGCCTCGAGGACCTCACGGACGGCAGCGGCCGAGGTGTCGCGCATACCGGCACCCTCACGCGACGACTCCATGTCGTCAAACTGGCCGAGGAGCTTCTGGAAGCCCTTCTCGAGGAGGACGTCACGGGGGATCCAGGCGTTGAACTTGTGGTCAAAGCCCTTGAACTTGACCTCGTACTGGAACGACTTCTTGAGCTTCTGGCGACCGAGAATGTACTCGATCTTGCGGAGCTCGCCGTTCTTGCCCTCGATAGGGCGGTCCATCATGGCCTTGTCCTCGTCGGTGAGGACACGGGTGGCCTTCTCCAGCATCTCACGGTCGTGACCGTCCTGGTAACGCCACTGGATGTACTGGACAGCAGTCTTGTCGAGGTGAAGGTTGATGTGGTGGAAGGCGTGCTGGGCAACGTAACCGACACGGAGAGCCGGGTGCTTGTGGACCGAACCCTCCTGAGGAATGGTCTCACCAGTGAGGAGCTTGATGAGGGTCGACTTGCCCGCACCGTTGGGGCCGACGATACCGACACGCGACGAGAGCGAAAGCGAGCAGGTGGCGTTGGAGATCGAGGGCCGGGGAGCACCGGGGTAGGTGAAGGTGGCGTTCGAGAGCTTGAGGATGGCACGAGTGTTGGAGCGGACACCGACAAGGTTACCGGGGGGAGGGAAGGTAAACTTGATCGAGGTGGCAGCGAGGGTGTAGTACGACTTGGCCTCGGGGACACGCTCGACAAACTTGGAGAGGTTGCCGCGGTAATAGGCGAGCTTCTTGCTCTCGTAGTGGATAATGTCGGTACAGACGTTGTCAAGGAAACCAGAGTCGTGCGAGACGATCATGCAGGTCATGGTGGGGAGGTTGGTGAGGTAGTTTTCAAGCCAAGCGACGGTCTGGACGTCCAAGTGGTTGGTAGGCTCGTCGAGGAGGAGAATGTCGGCACCGATAAGCATGGCACGGGCAAGCTCGAGCTTCATCTTCCAACCACCCGAAAGCGAGGCGACGGGGGTCGCCCTGCTTCTCGTCAGAGAAGCCGACCTCGAGGAGCATGGCCGAGATCTCGGCGCGGGTACGCTTGGCGAGCTTGGGGTCCGACGCGATAAAGTCGGCAATGGACATCGAGGTGTCCTCGCCCTGGAGAGCGTGCTCGACCATGATGCAGCGGAGCTCGTCCTCGGCCGGGAAGCCCTCGACCTTGCCGTCGCGGATAGCCTTCATGAGGGTCGACTTGCCGGCACCGTTGGCGGCACAGATACCGTAACGGCGGCCACGGCGGAGCTTGAGGTTGGTGTGGTTGAGGAGGAGAAGACCACCGTAAGCGAGCGAGAACTGAATGTCGCACACAAGGGGTCCGTCCGACTCGTCGTCCTCCTCAGGAGGGGCAAACTTGGCCTTGTCAAGGTCAAGGAAGGCCTGACGAATGTCGGCGGCAGCCTGGACACCCGCGTCGGCACCGACAAGGAGCTTGCAGAACGAGGCGACGGCCTTGCCCTCCCAGATGTCCTTGTCGAAGCGGCGGAGCTCGACAATGTCGGCAATGACGTTGGCCTGGTGCTCGAGGCCAGTGGCAATGACGGGGGTAGCCGACATGCCCATGGTGAGGGGCACGGTAGGGTTGGTGGGCCACGAGGCGACCTCGAGGTGAGCCTTCATGACCTTGAGAGCCTCGTTGACGCCACCGATAATGTCACGGGGGGGAAGGGGAGTGGCGGTGGCCGAAGCACCGGCGGCAGTGAGAATGTCAAGCGCCTGCTGGGCGAAAGCACGGATCTCGGGGAAAGCGGCACCGATGGCGATCTGCTCGACACCGGTCACGAGGACACCGAGGTAGCGGGCGGCGACGGTGGGGTCACGGACAAGCTTGACGAGGTTGCCAACGACGACACAGGTCATGCGCTGGGTGTCGGTGGAACGCTCCTTGAGGGCACGCGAGAGGAGGGGGACCATGACGGCCAGGGTGGGGCCGGTGACCTCGGCGACAAAGGTGGTCGAGCTAAGACCCTTGATGGTCTTGGGGACGGCCGCGGGCGACGCCATGGCGTCGACAAGGAGCGACACGTGCTTGAGGACGTCGGGGTTGGGAAGAGTGCCACAGAGGGTGGTGGCGGCCTTTGTGGCAGCAGCCGAGACCTCGGCCTTGGTGTCGTGCATCGACTTTTCGATGACGGGGATAGTCTCACCAAGCTCCATGGCGACCCACTCCTCGGCACCGGGCTTGACGAGCTCCTCGAGGGCCTTGCAGGCGGCGACCTTGGAGCGCCAGCCCTTGCAGTCCTCGAGGGCACGGGCGAGGGCCTGGATCACGGGGCGCGTAGACTCGGGAGGGCAAATCTTGATGAGAGCCTTGATGGCGCTGTTCACGGCCGAACGGACGGGCTGGCCCTTGTCCATGGCGAGGTTGAGAAGGGCGGGGATGACGGGGATGAAGATACCCTCGACACCCGAGCCGAGCGAGCGACAGATACGCTCGACCAGGACGGGGGCGCTCTCGCGCTCAAAGCCCGACTTGGAGTTGGCCCAGATGTTGAAGACCTCGATGACACGACCCTCCTCGATAGCATCGAGAGTGCGGGGCGCCTTCTTGAGCTGGAGGGCGATAGCGTCGGCAGCGGCCTTGGCGTCAAGGTTGCTGGCGGCCGAGGCGAGCTTGGCAAAGTCCTCAGCGAGGGGGGTGGCCGGGAGGGCCGAAGCGGTAGCGGTAGGCATCGCGGTTGACGGGGTGTGGGTGTGACTACGACGCGAGAGAGAGATAGGCGAGAATCGTGCTGTTGCCGCTGATTTTTTGGGAATTAGATGGGGATCGTCGAGGTTTTTTTTTGTGATGGTTCGGACAGATGGGTGTGGTCTAAATTACAGGAAGAGTGGTGAGTGGGGAGGAGAGGAGGAGGCTAGAGTTGCGAGGGTGTCCCACACGCGTATCTATGAGGGGGGAGGGGGAGGATAGGGAGGGGAGAGAGAGATGAGAGGGGGATGAAGGAGTGATGGAGCAATGGGATGATGGGGATATGACCACCCGTGTACCGTGAGCGCGCGCTGGCCGGGCACAGGAAAATCTGGATTTCTGTTGCCACTCGGGGCGTGTCGCCCAGGGGCCAGGCGGCAGGCGGCAACTACCCACCCAGCCAGGGGGCTCCCGGGTGACACACGGAGGTTTATATCCAGCACCCCCACTTAACCACGCAGCAAACCTTTACTCCCGCCAGCGGCCTCAGAGTGGGAGAGTGGGTCCGTCCGATTACGCGTATTTCACTCCGGTTTGGCTCCGGGTCCGACCCCGACGACCACCGCCCCGCACACCGCACGTTTCAGCGTCGGTGGCCAACAAGCGGCGGGGGTGGTGTGTGCGTGGGGTGACAGTGGAAACCGCATTGTGTCGTATATGAGTGCCACAGAGCGCACGGCCGCGGACGTGAGGCACCACACAGCTGCGAATTGCTTTATATACCCGGCACGCTCTGCCGCTGCACCCACTGGCCACTGCGTCCACCACACCCAACAACCAAAGATAGAATGGGGATGTTCATACATTGCTTCTGCTGATGACATGTCTCTACGCCTAGACCGACTTTGCGGGAGGAACCTGGAGAAGGAGGTTGCCGCCCGAGGCGGGCACGTACGAGACGTTCCGGGACTGCGAGAGCGAGCCGGCTTAGAAAGAGGAAGAGGAACAGCGTCAGCAGCTGCAAACTGTTTTCTTCTGGCACACAAAACCCCCAACTCAAACTCACCAATCTCGCGCGCAGTCTCGATCTTGCGGAACTGGACAAAGGCGTCACCGGCCTTGGCGAGGGCGGCGGAGATGGTCGAGGCGGCCTCGGCCTCACCCTCGGCGCGGATGACGGCGGCCTGGCGCTCCTGCTCGGCCTTTTCGACCACAAACTTGGCGCGCTCGGCGTCCTGCTGGGCAATCTGCTTCTGCTCAACGGCGGTGGTGAACTCCTTGCCGAAGCTGCAATGTTAGTAGTAGGTAACAGTGAACACATCCGCACACCTACGTCATGTGGGTCTGGGCAAAGTCAGCTTACGGTATTTTCGTGGATTGCGGATTGCGTAGCTGTCTGCCTGCACTCACGATAGAAACGTCCTCGAGAACAAGGTTGAACTCCTTTGCACGGTTGAGGAGGTCGTCGCGGATACGTGCCGACACAATCTCACGGTTGGTAATGAGCTCCGAGGCGTCAAACTGGGCCACAGTGGCCTTGAGCACCTCGTTACCGATCGAGGGCAGGACACGCTCGTCGTAGCTGTACTGCGTGAGCTCTGGAACACGAGGTTACCACTTTCTTAGCTCACTCAAGGCCGAGGTTCTGGTAAATCTCGGACAGGTGGTTGACGTCCGGGCGCGACATGACACGGAGGGTCAGCGAGACCATCTGCATGTCTGGAGGGTTAGCTTCAAGTTCAGCACCCGTAACCCACCCTTCGAGCCGGTGGTGGTCGAGATGTTCTGCCGTAGTCAGTACACTGCGCAACATGTACACGCTGTGGCCAAAGAGGAAGACATGGAGGCCACAGAGCTGCAAAAGGAGGGGTACGCACGCGAGGCTTGATGCGGACATCGTACAGGATGGCCTTTTGCAGCCAGGGGACGAGGAAGTGGGTGCCCTCGCCAGAAGCCTAGCACGGCATGTCAGCTGGGAGCCCGCATATGGAATAGGACAGCTTTGAATGGGACATACGTTGGGCTGCACACCGGAGAAACGGTCGAACATGACCGCACGGTAGCCGCCGGGAACGTCATACATCGACGCATCGATGAGCGCGCCGGCAATGGCGACGGGGACTGGCGGGGAGCGTCAGCACAACATGTTGCGGGTTCTACCGGAAACGCCAAAGAACCCACCGATGAGACGAGACAGGTTCTGGGCAAAGGCCATGGTGTATGTTGTTGTTGGGTGGGTGGTGGGAGAGTCGACGAACGTCACCGAAGCTCAATGTGCTTGCGAGGGCGAAAGAGAAACCGGCCGGCTGCAGGCTGACGTTCGCTCGGCCTGGAAGAGCGGAAGTATAAATCGCGGACATTAAACTCCGTCATTTCGGTCACCCTTACAACTGCTGCAAACAAACGCAAACGATGCAATGCATGTGGGATGGGATTGTGTGCGAGGGCTACAGTCTACAAGAGCTGTCTGGAGGACAGGGAGCTGAGCTGTTGGACCGACTTGAGTCTCTGCACGAGGGCAACCACCTCGCCTGCCTGGCCACGAACCACTTCGTCCACATCCGTGGCCGCCACATAGCCCAGGACGTTGGCAGCGCGGTCGAGAACGGGCGTTTGCAGAGTGACAGTGCACCGGGCGTGAGACTGCCGAGTCTGAAGCTGGGAACTGCTGTTGGGGAGACGAAGCTTGAACTCGTCGCTCGCAGGAGGTTGCTCGGGGCTAGCAGCCTCGATGAGGGAGGCGGTCAAGAGGCCGAGGAACACGACGGCAGCGCGACGCAGTGCCGGGTGCTTGCTGTCCTGTGCGGTCGGCTCTTCGTCGACGATCCGAGGCGTCTGCTCCTTGGCAACTTCTTCTTCGGGCTCATCGTCGTCCACGAGCACAATCTTGGGCCTGGCGGGGGCCACAGGCTCTTCTTCCTTGACTGCCTCTGGGCGGAAGGGCGAGGACACCACGCTCTCGATTTGAACGAGGTCAATCGCCGCACTGGTAAGCTCGTTGGCCCACGGGAGAAGGGCGAGGTGGTCCACCTCGGCACAGGTGGACAGGAGTGACAGTGACGACGTCCTCAGGATCGTGGGGAGGCTGGTGTCGGGGAACATTGACAACAGTGCCGGCACGACGAACTCGGCTGGATACAGTCAGCTAAGCACGGCCATAATTAGCTCTCACCATTGGCAACAAATGCCTTGCCAGCGCTGCGGATAACCATGCCCAGAGCTTCGCCGATACGGAGCCGCTTGTCGAGGTTGTCAAGCTCGACGTTGCCCGTGCGGTACATGCGCACCAGTGTGCGGAAGATGTCCTTGCCCAGGGCGTCGGCCATGGCGGCAAGACCCTTAACGGCGTTGAGGTAGATGTAACTGTCCTTGTCTTGGATGCTACCCATGTACACCTCCATGATGCCCGGCGTGAGGGCAGGCTCGTACTCCTTTGAGAGGACCAAGTCGCGCAAGAGGACGAGACCGTGTGCGCGAACGGGCAGGATCGGGTCCTGCACCAGCGTGAGAGCCCGGCGATATGTGGCAACAGCGTGTGAGACCTGGCCATCCTCGGATGTGAGGGAGGCCGAGCGACGGACGAGAAGGACAAGGAGCGCCTCACGGGCCAGCTGGCGAACATTGGTCGGTCCAGCGCTGGAGAGCGTCTCCAGGTGGTCGTTAATAGGATGGAGAATCGCAGTGGTCGTGTGGTTGAGCTTGTCGTTGGCTATTTGTCAGCTGCGGTTACCTCCATATAGCTCACCTTCCAAAGACGCCAGTAGGAGCGAGATGGCCGTCTCCACCATGCCCATTTTCTCAATTCCCTCGGGAGTGAGCTCAGGAAGTGGCTCGTCGATGTTGATATCCTCGTCCACCTCTTCTACAAGCTTCATTGACGCAACGCCGTCCGCTAGCGAATGCTTCTTGGCGGCTATGGTCTGGACTTCGTCGTTGAGCACTCCCTCCACAAAGTTGAGCACATGGTCCGGGTTGGATAGTAACTTTTCGCCGAGAGTCTCCATCATGGCGAGCGTGAGGCGCAGAAAGAGGAGAGAGCTGGCTGTTAGCTGATGCTACAAGTTCCGTGCCAGAAAACTAACCTCAAAGGGTCCTGGTCTGCTGCATTGGCTCGCACACGCCACTCGTCAAGAACCTTGAGGAAGACCTCGCTTGAAATCTCTGGCTGATCAAAGTCCTTGAGGAGCTGCGAAAGAGTAGGCGGATCGGGGGAGAGGTCGAACTGGTCCAGCATCGCTTCATCGTCTTCCATCGTCGCGGAGATCTCCTGGTGCTCGACCATGGGACTGCTGTCAGCTGTTGCCACGACAGCACGACTCACTAGTCGTTGACAAGCTCGACGCCGTCGGCCCCCTTGCGCCACTGGACTTGCAGGCCCTCTGGGGAAGCAGGCCACCCCTTACCACCCGTAACGACCGACCAAATACCCTCCACCCCTTCGTCTTTTGGCACCACCTTGCCCCAGCTGGTAAGCAGAAGCCTGGCGTCGTCCACCAGGCCAGGGGCAGACTCGCTGCGTTTCTCAATGGACTTTGCCTGGATTTTTGGCGTCAAAGAAGCGTACAGCGCAAAGAGAGGCAGGATGATAGGGCGGACGACAAAGTCGACAAAGAGCGGGGAAGGCGGGGCGTGCAAGACAAGGAGGGCCATGGTGCGGGCGGCAGCCGACACGGCGCTTGCTGGGACAACGACGCCCTGGGCTGGGTTGACGGGAAGCCACAATGGGTGCAGCCTGCCATTTAGCCACTCGACAGCCAGACTCGATGTGGACCATAGGTGGTGGATGACATAAGCGGCGGCGTGGGTGTACACGATGGGGTGGTTTCCAGATTCTGGCGCTACAAGGTCCATGAGAGTGTTCAGGAGACCCGGGATGTACATCTGTAGGTGTGTCAGCAAACCGAACCAGTACGTTGCAGACACACCTGTTCTGGTACGTTCTTGGGCACTCGTGCAAGCAGCTCGGCAACCTGGTCAAGCTTCTGTCCCTCTACCGCTTCGGGGCCAGCCATGTTGCCAGCCTCACCAAAGACGTTCTCCATGACCGCCTTGACGCCACCGCTGCGCTGGACTTGCGCGCTCATGAGGGTGCTGACGGCACCGGCGACGTATCCTGGCCAGATAATCTGGCTTCGAGTAGGAGTTGTCTTGCCTGCCTTCTTGCTGGCTTGCACAATCTTGAGTGACGTACCCAGCGACGCCATTGCCTGAGTGGGCGACAGACTGTTGAGAGAGCTGATGAGCTGCTGTCGGAGAGCGGCGTACGTCTCTGGTCGAGCTGTCGGCGTCCATGCCAACGTCACAGCGGCGAGAATGAGCAGTGGAAGGTGAGCCGCAACGACCGTCTGGGTGATGGTAGTTGGTGGAATGGGATTGCGCTCGCTGCTTGTTGCGGCTGGGAGAGGGGTCTCAATGAGGCCGACGAGGGAAGACAGCGCCGACAGGAGAGAAGGGTCAACAGGAGCTCGTTGGCGGAGTCCACCAATGTACGCTGTGATCAATGGCAACACGCCAGATGCCATGGAGTGAGACAGCAGCAAACGAACAAGACGCAGGTCGGCAGTGCCGAGGAGAACTGAGAGCCGTCAGTGCCCGCAACAGCGAGACGCGACCTAGCACCACACATACAGTCCTTCTCGTTGAGGCCCTCCCTCAAGTTGACTGGCCAGAATTCCTTGGACAGCCACCATTGCAGCGCGACGACAAGGTCGATGCTGCGCTTGCCCACAACAAGTACGAGTTCGTCACGACGCTTCTTGACTCTGGCAGGGTTGCTGCTGTCGTCGTCGAGGGCGATGACGTCTAGCTCATCGTCTTCATTCCATGCGGGCTTGTCTCTCCAAGACACATGCTGTGCAGAGTGGCGGAGACGTTCTAGCAAGAGAGGCGGAGCTGATGGTAACGGGGCTGGCGGCTGCAGCAGCGTGTAGCCGGTGTCCAGAATGTCGCGGATGGAGGTGTCGGCCATCTGCGACATGGGAGAGAGGGTGAATACAAACGTCAAAGATAATCATGTCACGCCGATTAACCCAGTCAGACAGCCCTCAGCAGTTGGAATAGCCTAGAAACATTAGGCATCCTTAATAAGCCTGATTAATGGGCTTTCTTATTTAATTGAGTCCCCCCACTAAACCCCAATCCGCGGGCTTTCCGGTCCTCCGGCCGTTTTGTAGCCGAACGGCCCTCGCCGGCCTCTGGCCTCTGGCCTCTGTGTCACTTGCTCGTGTTCCCTATACCTATATTCCCTATCCCCATCGACCTCATAACCGCCCAGTTGCGCATCATTGTCGCTCCAAACGCTCTTCCAACGTGGGGGACACTGGCAATCTCACACCCAGCAATGTCGACAGGACACCGCAGCAACCGCCAAGGCGCACCAGCGTCCTCCTCACCAGCGCTGCCCGACCAGTATGAGGTCCTCTACAACTCGGCCGTCCAGTCGTTTGTCCGCCGCGACCATGTCAAGACCCAGGCCACGCTCGCAAGGCTTCTGGCGCTCACACGATCGCTCCCGCGCGACACCCAGCCGTGGTACGACCTGACCCCCAGCACCGATGCCAACGCCGCGGCCCACAAGACGAGCGATGAGTGGGTGACAAAGACGCTCAAGCTCGCCATGTCCGCCAACGCGTCCATGTACTCGGACCCGCCCCGCAAAAACGACCAGATGCAGCATCTCCTCCCACCGGCCCCGCCCACTGCCATGCTGGAGCACATTCGCGACCTCTGCGTGTCGACGTACGGTGCTCCTCTCCTCCCGCCCCAACTCGTCTCGACGTTCCTCCTCGCCGCACTGAAACTGCGTCCATCCGAGCCGGCACTCACGTTTGCCCACAACCTGGCCGAAAACTGGCTTGCCGATCTGCCTGACGAATTCATCCTCGGCATCGCAAGCGAATCTCGCGGCGCCAATCGCAAGCGCGTGGAAGTCGCGCGCGAGGGTTATCTCAAGGTGGTGGAGCTGTTTGTGGGCGAGGTCCTGGGTCGTGAGGGAGAGTGGGAGATGGCGCGTGGTCTCCTCGAGGGTGACATGGTCATGGGTTCAAAGAAGAAGGAGGTGAGCTATTAGGCCCGTGATGTCGTAGCTAACATACAGGCTCTTTATCGTCACCTCCGCCAGCTCCAGACGCGTCCTGTCTCGCAGCCCCAGTCTCCGGCCAACTCTGGCATCCTGCCCACTGCCGCGAGCGACGACAGCGTCCCTCCAACGCCTACTCACAAGGGCAAGCGGTCACGACTCAGTTCAACCTCTTCCTCGTCGAGCGAGGCCACCGCTCGTCCAGCCGGCGTGACGTTTGGCGACGACCGCCTCGGCGCCCTGCGCAGCGTCAGCGGCAACGCAAAGGGCAAAGCTAGGGAGGCCCAGTCCGAAGGCGGCGACTCGACCGTCCACGCCCCGCAGAGCGAGGCGTCCACTGCCATGCCTCTCCCGAGCAAGATCTACGTCCGTCCCTCGGGCTCCGGGTCCAACGGCGAGGGTGACGCCGGCCCCAGCCGCAACCGCCCGCGCAACTCTGTCCTGCGCTCGACTCTGGCCTTCCTCCCTGCTCCCCTCGCCGTCCGCCTCGAGGAGCTGTGGCGGTCTGGCTGGCTCTCGTCCGTCCTCGTCCCCCTGCCCATTATCGTCGTGCTCCTCCTGATCGCCCACCGCCGCCAGCAGGCGCGCAACAGGGGAGCGGTGACGACAGTCCGTGACCGTCTGCGCCGCGCGCGCATGCAAGGGCTGGGGCCGTGGATTATGCTCTGGGTCAAGTGGTGGATGGACAAGGTGGCAGGTATTTGGAAGTTGGGTACAACTATCACGTATATGTAAGGAGAGAAGCAGGAAGATGAACAGGTATCTATTGTCTAGGTTTTGTGGCTATGCAGACGCAAGGGTTTTGCATAAACTAGTGGTGGAGACGGCACGAGTCTGCAGCGATCCAGCGAGATGCTCCCCATCCCCGCTGTTGTGCGGCGAACCCAACAGGCCGAGGCTCTCGTCGGGGTCTTGCATCTCTGCGAACATGTAGACCAGGCCGTTAAGCTTCAAGGCAGGCACCCACGCATGGCCGTGCCGCACGGTCAAATGCGCCAAGATATGATCGCACTTGCGCACTGAGAGCTTGGATAAGCAGAGGGCGTGTTGTGGCACCACATCTGAACATGTGAACACCGCATCTGAACACGTGACTTAATGTAAATATTACGTAACATACAATACGTCCGTCTGAATTCAACCAACCAACCATGTCACTTTATAAACGCTCGAGTGCCTGATGTAAGAAAAGAGAGCCTCAGATGTCGATGCTAGCACTGCTGCAGACAGTACCAGCGAGGTAACGAGGGTATGAGGTATAGAGTGAAAGAAAAACGGAGATGCATGGCATACTAGCGGTAGATCATCTTATATAGGTAGCGCTTGGGGGACTGCTGACATCATACGGTGGAAGCAATCTGGTCACGTGTTTCTAACACCTGATGCTCTCGAGGATACTTAGTCGCCCTGGTGCGAGGGTAGGAGTCGCGGAAAACGCTGGCCCCCTCAAAAAGTGTTGGTCACGGCGCCCCGGGTTCGATTCCCCCGGTCCGCCAAAATTAGTGTCCGCCACTTTTTGTCACTTGCACGGTTTTGTAATAATCACCACGTCCAGCGGCCAAGGAGGTATTAATCGTATCAATGGTACGTGCCCCAGACGTCCCATGCACTTCGGCCACCAAGTGTGCAAGTGGCCAAGTGGCGGGGCCAGGAATCCGGTGGCATCCGGCCCACCGCCGACGAACGACGGAAGCGGCGGCACCCTCGGCCACCAACGCCCAGATCAATGTCTTCCATCGCAAAAGACCTCATGCCACACACTCCCAAAATGCCACACACTCCCAAAACGCCATGCCAGTCTTGATTCATGCCACTACAAACCATGCCCATCATGCACATGACTATGACCGATGCTCGCCTCAATCGTTGACTCAAATCTCTCACACACACTTGGCTGTGGGGGTCTCTTTTCGCGCTCTCACTTCTCGTCCCTTCTTTCTGGTCTCTCTCGTCGCCGGTGACAATCAAAGGGAATTCTAATTATGCCTAGGGGGATCAACGACGCGTCCTCGGCCCCCCGCCTCTGTCCGCTTCTCCTGCCTGCCTGCCTGCCTCTCTCTCTCTCTCGCTCGCTCTCTACTGCGGCCCACATTTCGGCCCTATCCCGCACCCCAAATCCTGACGACACCGTCGGCGCCGGCGCTGGCTACGATGGGCAGTTCTGGGTGCGATGCCACGCAAGTGACGCCCTCGTCGGACCGCTTGCGGTGGCCAGACAGGTCCTGGAGGGATGTCTTGCGCTGGAGGTCCCAGAGACGCACGGAGCAGTCGACGCTAGCGCTCAGGATGCACATGGGCGACAGGGGGGACAGGGCGAGGCTTGTGATCGGTGCCGGGTGGGCGAGGAGGGGCGGAGTGGTGGCCGCAGGGTTCGAGGTGTCAAAGAAGCGCAGCTTGCCCTCCTCGTCACCAGTGACGATGAGGGGCAGAGTAGGGTGCGAGAGGACCGCGTTGACCTGCGCACCGACCTGGCCGTACGACTGGACTTCAGAGCCGGCAGCGACGGAGAAGGCCTTGACGAGGCCGTTGGAGAGGCCGATGAGGACACGGCCAAAGTCGTGGTTGTCGACCGAAAGACAGGTGGGGACGACACCGTCGCCAAAGTCCGAGAAGCTTGCTTGCAGCGACCAGCGGCCGTCACGGTCTTCCCAGACCTTGGCAGTACCGTCCGCGGAAACAGAGACAAGCTGTGACTCTACGGCGTTGGCGCGCTTCGGGCTGTTGTTCGATGCCGGGCGCGTGGGCAACAGGACAAGGTCCCACACGACGTCGGTATGGCCCTCGAGGGTCTGGATGGCACTGGTGGGGTCAAAGGGGGCGTATGGGTCCTGGTCGCGAGCGGGTACGCGCCAGAGTCGAATGGTCGAGTCCATGGATGCCGAGAAGACAACACCTAGCGGGGCCGAGATGGTCACCGCGGTTACAGCTGCAGTGTGCCCGCGGAAAGTCGCCACGGGCTCGAGCTCAGTGGAGGCATGTGGCTTAGAAGACAAGACAGCGGGAGTGTCGAGTGCCCACACCTTGACGGTACAGTCGTCGCCGGCGGAGGCGAGCATGAGCTCGGGGGCGCTGGACACTGCCACCCCGCGGACAATGTCGAGGTGACTCTTGAGGGTGCGGCGCGTGGTCCATACACGGTCAGACGATCCGTCCGCTTCCTCCTGCTTCATATCATCCTCCACGAGTGTCAAGCCGGCAAGTTGCTCCTCGTCACCACCAGCGCCGCGAGGAGGCCATGGGACATTGACTGCTGCCTCGTGGGCTGCCCTCAACTCTTCACGCCATGCTGCCTTGCTCTCTGGTCGGTAGACTGCTGTCAAGGGCTGGCGCGGAGCAGCGCCGTCCAAGTCCTGCGCAGCCTCAACTGCATCGGCACTGTCGGCGCTGTCGGCACCTTCGGGCAAGTCAACAGTACGCTGTGCTGGAGAGGAGGGTGGGGCGTCCGCTGGCACAGGTGCTGCTGGGGTAGCGGGAGTAGGAGCTTCAATGGGAGCAGCAGCAGTCAGGTCTTCTCCGTTAGGAAAACTGCTAACAACGCTGCTCGTTTGCGAAGGTTGTGGGGGGTCGTTGGTAGGTTGGGTGCTGGCAGCAGGGGCCGCAGCCGCCGCTTCCTTGGCGGCCTCCTGTTCTTTCAAAGAAGGGACGGCCTGCTCGGGAAGGGACTTGAGGGGACGATCAGAGGATGGCTGTGGGTCACCACCGTTGGAGGACGCGTCGTCGACAGAAACGGGGGCTCGAGGGGGCAGTGGATTGAGGGCACCGGGGGAAGTAAGGTACGTGATTTCCTGCAGACATTGCTTGAGGTACTCGCGGCTACGAGCACGAGCCTTTGGATCACGAGGCAGGCCGCTCAGGTGCTTCCATGCTGTCGTGTCGGGGGCTGGGCGGTGCGCGATTGAGGATGTCTTGGTAACAGCGTGGGTACCATTGGGCTTTGACGCCCGGTCTGCAATGTCGTCCCCACCTTCGCTGCTGCCACTGCCCTCCTTATCCGTGTCGTGCCCCGACTTCTCCTCATCCTTGAGGGTCGCGAGACGCGAAGGAGGAACAGCGATAGCCGACGTCGAAGCTGAACGGCCTACTCCTGCAGAGGACGACTTTGTCCTAATATGGGAGTCAGCACGTGCAATGTATGACACAACCTCGGAGTCCAGGAACCTACCTCTCCTGGCGAAGCGCAAACTCGAGCATCTTGACACGACGCAGCAAGTCGACCTTGAGGTTCTCGGCCGACCGACGCTGCCCCTCGAGCAGTGCAATGCGCGCCTAAAACATCCGTCAGCACCCTCTTCCCATCTTTGACGTCGGCATTCTTCTGTGCGTACCCTCATCTCGGCGCGCTCAATCTCCCACTCGTTACGGTCGCGCTCCCACCGCCGCCATTCGCTTTGAAGGTAATGCAGGACGTTGGCGAGGTTCATCTCGGGTGCAGCGCCTGCCGAGTTGGACTGGCCATCGGAAGCAGTAGGAGGGCCACCGTTCCCGCCCATTTGCTGCTGCATGCCCATCTGTTGCTGCTGTCCTCCTTGCTGCTGCTGCTGCTGTTGTTGCTGCATGCCGCCCATCTGGCCGTTATGCAACGGTCCGCCGAGAGGCGAAGGGTTACCACCCCCGGGCCCTGCATAGAGGGGCGGAGGGTATCCCGATGTATAGTCGCGACGCTGGTTGAGAGACTGGCGCATCATGTTGACCGGGTGTGATGGGTCAGACCTTGGTCAGGTCAGGGGCAAACTCGAGTCTTCTCGAGAACGTGTCCAAGTGGTGTTTGGCACACTGCTAGTCGCGTCGCCCGCGCGCGTCGGAAGGCAGGGGAGCAAGAGTTGCTAACGTGTGATGGAAACCGTGTGGTACGGTCTAGAGACGCGCAACTGGTGTCGCGGACGTGGACAAGGGAGTGGGCCGAGAGTGGCCCAGGTGGGGAGGGTCGTGCGACCGACCGAGTTGCTGTTTCGTGTTCGTGCCGGCGCAAATGGTCGGGGATCGTGACGACAAAGGATGCGTGAATGCAACGGAAGCGATGGGGTGTGGGGAGTGGGATACGTTGCCCTGCTGGGGGTGGGTTGTGGAGGACAGGACGCGTGTGGTGTCGCCGTCCGTTGATGTGTCGATGCTGACGGGAGGAGAAAGGTGGTGTATGGATGGAGGGGAGAGGTTGTGCGCGCGCCGTATACTCTGAGCGTCATCGCCGCCCACAGCGTTTGGAAGCTTAGAGCCTGTGCGCCAGTGTCTCGTCCTCTGCGCCAGCGCCAGAGCCGGCCAGCCAGCCAGCGCTGCCCGCGCGCTGGACGGTGAACCCAGAAGCTGCCGCTCCCCGCCTCTCTCTCGGCGTTACCGTGTTACCCCGCCAGAGTGGCGAGGCACCAGACGCGTTGTGACCGTCTGGTCCCATATAAGGTTCCGCTCCTGCCACTCATATGACGAATTCAGTAATGAAGACCGACCATAGTGCATCAACACAGCGTACATTGTATTGATCCTAGCATGTACAGTAGATAGTGAGGATAAGGGACAGAGACCCAAGGAAGAATGTCACGACATGGTCCACAAGCATTTGCTTTGGTAACGCTTGGGACGCGACCATACGATGGGTGGGCCCAAACTGTGACGTCACGTGATCACGGAAATGGTAATCTACTCATTAGAAATTGCGGATTAGGAATGCGCTTCGTTGTCGCAGAGTCGTTGCAGGGCCAAACTGGGACTCACCACTGGCTGCAGGCTCCACATGCTTGTCGACAAACCGTAACATGTACACGTTGCTCTGCATAGTTCCTAGTTCACTGATCACTGGATCACGGACGGTCTGTATCTTGGTGACACTTGGCAGAAACAACGACGACCCCGGTACGGCGGCGCTAAAACACAAAAGGACCGTACAAGCCAATCGGCAGCATCGCCTAAAGACCTGCGGAAACGTATTAAGACGGCGAGGCCAACCCGCTGCATCACCCTGGTGTGTTTCTTACCAGATTCGACCAGACTTTAGTTTTGGGAACCGCCAGTGGCCAGTGAGCGCTGGTCGTCGTGGCATACTGCAGCGTATGAGAAGCCTATGCTGTCGATACCGTGCTCCCATGCACTCGAGTTCACCCAATATCCAGGACGCTGGATACGCGGTGGTGCTGCTTGTTACCCCAAGTTGACGGGCGTTCTTCAAACATTCTTTGACACGCCACGCAGTGCTCACTCAAACAGACTTTTGTTGTCTGTGCCAATACCCCAGATGTCCAGACCCATGTACATCACATGGACCCCCAAGACAGACCTCGGTCCATAGGCTACACTACATGCAATCGTCCACCACCCAAGCATTCAAGCTGGCGTTGCTCGCGAGGACGTGACGTCATGACGCTGCCGTAAAAAGTCGAATCTTGTCCACAAGTTCTGTCACATTGGTTGTGGACGACCACAACGACTTGTGAATGGTGTTGTCGCATGGTCGCTGCAGGTCTAGCTCTTACAGGAGAACGGAAATTGTAGGAAGGGGCGTGTCGAGATCCGGGCAATCTCGATATCTGATACGGCGCACCTCTTGCTAGATCTGCACGCGTGCATCCTGGCGTCTTGCTTGTGTCTCCCACTTCCAGAGATGAGCGCAGCCATACCTCTCTCACCGGTCCCCATAGAATGTAGCAGGAATGCATACTCCACACGAACACGACACGAATAACGCATACGGCGAGTTTACATCATCTCATGATAGTTATAGCCCCGAACATGCGTTGTCACTCTACTCGGCCTTCTTCTCCTCAGCCTCGGGCTTGGCCTCCTCCTCGGCGGGCTTACTGCGAGAGATGTCAGTTCTGCGTATGACGCTGTCCAGGTCTCGTACTCACGCCTCCTCCTTGGCCTCCTCCTTGGCCTCCTCCTTGGCCTCCTCCTCGTCGACGTCGGTCGAGGTGACGTCCTCAGCGGGCTTGTCACCCTTGAGCTTCTCGTTGGCCTCCTGGGCGTCCTCGAACGCCTTCTTGAAGAGACCGGCGTCTGTAAGGTTGTCAGTTTACCGTTCCACAGCGGCATTCGACACTCTGGGAGTGTTTGAACCCCTAATCGCCTGCACTCACTCTCCGAGTTGGCGAAGCGGATGGCGAGGGTCTCAGCCGAGGCGGTGCCCTCAGCAAAGTCGGCGGTGACGTTCCAGACCCACGAGCGGTCAGAGCCGACGTTGGGCGAGAGGGTCATGTCCTTGGAGACTGTGTGGGGTTAGTGTCTGTTTGTGCGGTTTGCGTGTATTTGTGGGGCACAACTCTTCGCCCCAACGGGTGGCGGCAGTCGCACCGGCTCGTGTTTTCCAAGAATAATTACAGCACCATTGACTGCTACCGCCACTGTCATCCACCGTAGACTCACCGATGTGGTTGGCGCAGACCTTGAGAGTCTTATCCCGGCGCATGACGAGACGGACCTTGCCGGTGTCCTTGGCGGCGAGGAGACGAACGTCACCGGTACCACGCTCCTTCCACTCGGTGTCCTCCTTGTGGAAACGGAAGAGCTTGGCGCGCCTGTCATGTCAGCAAGGAAAAGGGAAATGGGAGGAAAAGGTAGGAATCTACCCATCGCGTCCATCAGCATCTCCAACCTACATCTTGAAGAGGACGTCCTCGTTCTCCTCGTGGGTCGAAGCGGCGACGGTCTCGGTGAGGCGGATCACGGGCTCGAACTGGGGGTCGTGCGACTCCTCGGTGGCCTCCTGCACAAGCTCGTCAGTGTCTGCTCGCTACCTTGCGCAGTGTGCGCGCCACCCACGACGGGCTTGGGCTCGGTGTCAGCCATGGTGGTGATCTGTGCGGGGTCAGCTCGAAGATTCAGGTTGGGTCATTCCAGGAGGCACGCCCAAAGTTGGTCACTTTGGAAAGAGGCCCACAGGCGACACATGATTGATACGTACTGAGTGTGGGATTGGTGGGGGTGTAGGGGAGAGCGAGGGAATAGACAAGGTGGTCGTCTAGTGAGTGAGGATGGAGAGAAGAGGGTGTAGCTGCTGGTCGACGCACCGACTTCCATAGTTGGAACTCTCTGGCAGACTTGCGGCGAACACGCGTTTGATGGCGTTTAGCTTGCCTAATGTCTATTAGGCGCGGCACTAAAATGAAATGCCTTTTTAAAATAGGCCTGTCCGTCGCGTGCCACGTCTGTGCTTTGGCTGCTCCAATGCTTCCGGTGCGGGGCATATGCCTGCTCGTCATGAACAGACTGCGAGAGCTGGTGGACACGGCGAACAACGCGACACATTCTCATAAAACACACCAGCAAACCACCAGGAGCCGAGCACGACCACAACACCTCGCTCGTTCTCTTTCTTCCTCACGACCCCTTTACGACCCTTCTCTCCATCACCAGCCATGCGCTACTGGGCCGTTGTCGCGGCCGTGCTCGCGCTCTTTGCGCCAGTGTTCGCCCACAGGATAGACGTCGCGCCGCGCTCCAAGCAGTGCTTCTTTGAGAACCTCCAGACCGATGACAGGGTGAGTCTCATGCTGCTGAAGTGGCCGAGAGGAACATGACTGACCCCTTTCAGATGACTGTCTCGTACGAGGTCGGCGGCGCGTCGCACAATGGCCCCCTTGAGATTGACTTCTATGTGCGTACTCGCAACACACGCCCGGGTGGACCTTGTCACTGTACCGGACGCTGACCGACAGGTTCAATCGCCCAGCGGAAACCAGATTTACAGCTCAAACCGCGAGTCGCAGGGCTCGTTCTCAACGGCTGCCGCTTCGCCCGGCCGCTACACTTACTGCTTCAACAACCACGGTAGCCCGACCTCGGCCAAGACCGTCAGGTGAGCCTCATGCCGTAGGCGGAGCAGCTAGCTAGCATCTTGAACCGAGTTGCTGTCTCCTCCGTCCTGCCTTGGCGTGCATGTGTCCTAACGTACCCAGCTTCAACGTCCACGGCATCCTCTTCCTTGGCGACGACGAGCCCATTGCCCCCGTCGAGGTGGAGATCCGCGAGCTCTCTAACCGCATCCAGATGGTCAAGGATGAGCAGGCTTACCTTGTCGTTCGCGAGCGTGTGCATAGGAATACCTGCGAGTCGACCGTGAGTACAACTACACGTGTCACGGGCCTGTAGCTGACATAATATCTTAGAACTCGCGTGTCAAGTGGTGGGGTGTGGCTCAGATTATCATTCTCCTGTCCATCTGCGGGTGGAACGTCCACTACCTCAAGAGCTGGTTCGAGGTGAAGCGTGTGCTGTAGAACGTGCCCATATGTAGCATGCATGAGTAGCAAATGGCAGCAGGGAAGATCATCAGAAGCACCGCTAAGAGCCACCGACGAGATCCACCGACGGTCACGCGCCACGTACAGGTGGCGGTGGGGAGGTGGCCGCTGTCCAAACCATGACGCACTGCAACAACTCCTTAGCTCTTACTGCCCAATGCATGCTGTAGTCTCGTGGTACAAGAAAAGTCTATCACACCCGTCCGTCTGGCCGTTACTCGCTGAGTGCAAGTTCGCGCACCATCCTCTCGCCGTCAGCGGCCGCAAGAGGCACACCGGGGACGAGAGCCTGGTCACGGAGCCACTGGTATCCCTCGGCAATCAGAGTGTCTGCAAGGGGGACACCATGCGCTGCAAACGCCTTGATAACGTTGGCGACGTCGATGATCGCCTGGCGAGACTCGGGGTCAATCTCGTCGTTGTCATTGCGGTACACGCCCTCGGCGTCAAAGCCCTCTCCGCCTTCGCGATCGTCTTGGCGCGTGCCGAGCGAGACCCACACGTAACCGTTCAAGCCGAGGATAACGTCGACACCGACGGGACCGGCGGGGGGAGGAAGGTGGTAGAAGTGGCTCTTGAGGCGGCGGACGAGGCGGGGAGGCAGCTCGAGGAGCAGACCGTTACGCAGCTTGCCGTACTTGAGCGAACGGGTGTGCAGCGACATGGCTCCGTCCTGGAAGAATGCCTGGACCTCGGCAACAAGGAGCTGCAACACTGTCAGCTGGCATCCCAGAAAGCAAGAAGTCCGTCAAAACAAACTCACGTCGCCCTCGGCAAGGAACTCGCGCATCTTGAGCGCATCCGACTCAACCTTACGACGCTGCACGCCGCCGGGGAGGTTGACGGACGAGAGCATGAGGACAGCGTCCTGGCGCGCATTGGCTTCCACACGCCAGCGCTGAGCTCCAACCTCGACAATACGGCCAATCACCAAGTCGCCAACTTCGGGGGTGTATCGCGACTGCAAGGCCTTGACCGAGATGAGCTTGTTGACGCGCTCGAGCGTGCCCGCCACGGCCGACACGACGTTATCGTCCTCGACGTAGGTTCCGTGACCACTTTCATGTCAGCTCATTTCAAAAAGTATCAAGCTTACCGCATGTACTCCTTTGAGCTGGTGATGACCTCTCCAGGCGAAACGATTGTCCTGCGCGCACCAAGCGAGGTGCCCTCGCCGAGGTCGTCGCCGTCCACATCCATCGCGTCCATGCGGACAGGCGCCTCCGGGGAGCTGCCGCGCTCAAAGGTCGGTGCTGGGGGTATCCGCGCGATCGTGAACATGGTAGTGAAGAGTGGAGGTATGGTTGTTGGAGACGCTTTGAATCGGGTTCTGACACTGAAATCCATCCAAAAGAGTACACGGAATCAAATCGCCCCCACTTGCTGACGTTGGGTGGCAAATGCAGCGCCTTGACGACCCTCCACTCTTGTGCTCGTCTTGTCTCCATCTCCCACTCCCGACACCGACCATGACGGACGAAAAGCCCAAGGATCTCCTCGCCCTCGTATGGGTACACGGGTAAGTTCGATGTCGCTTTCTTCACGTACATGAGCTCATGCCACAGTTTCAAAGGCAACGACGTGACTTTTGAAGGCTTCCCAGACCGTACGCTGTCGTCTGCCTTGCCTGGTCGACCTTCGCAACTGACAGACACAGGCGTTGTCCGCATTTTGGAACAGACACACCCGAACCTCCGCGTAGAATCTCACGTGTTCCCTGCGTACGAGACCCGTGGCGAGCTTGTGCGTCCGATATAGCCCTGCTGGGGAACGCTGGGCAGCCAGACAACTAACAGCGATGTACAGAACCAGGCAACCGAGAACTTTGTCGAATGGCTCGCGACCAAGGTCGTGGTCATGGAGAACAATGCGGGGAACGGACGAGGCGCAGGTAGCGCCAAGGTCGTGCTCATGGGTCACTCGTGGGTTCAACGTATCCATGTGGTGCTGACCCGGCAGGATGGGCGGCTTGCTTATTGCCGACGCGACGCAACGGATCGCTGCTAGTACACGGGAAGGAGACCCGCTATGGCCCAAGGTGGTGGCTACTGTTGGTGAGTTCTTTTCCTTTCCTTCTCTTCTGTGTCGGGCGCGAAATCAACGTGGCGAGTGGACGCGTCCGGTTGTCCATCACAGGCACTGAGAGGAGGCCGTGAGGATATCCAGGGCGTACACCGCGCTGGTAGTTGATCTGCTCTGCTGCGTCTGTCTGTACTTCTTCACTCCGCTTGAAGGACCGGCAGATTAGTAAGGGCTGTACGTCACATACCTGTCAATTGCAGAACGAGCAGTGGGAGAGGGCGTACCTCAGCATATAGCACGCGCTGGGTCTCGCCTTGTCGCCGTGTTCCCAAGCCAGGCATGTTGAATCATTACTGACGCTCAGCTTTCGACACCCCGGTGAGCATACTGATATAGGTCCTGTACATCAACTGACACCGTGGCGTAGTATCTCGGGTTGCATCCTGTAAGCTTTCCGTTGCTTTCTTCTCCATTAAGCTAACGCCCAGCACGTCTTCGTAAGATAAGCAGACGCAGTGATGATCTAACGCCAGAAACACCAGCTGTCCGAAGCTGCGGGCTATGTTGACACGGCACGTGTTATTGGATCCAACCTGGCAATGCTGTCACCCTTGGCGATCGGCTTTGGTTTCGGCAAGGCCAAGCAGGCCGAAGCCGAGAAGGAGGAGCAGGGCAAACGCGCACCGGCGGCCCAGACCGCCGAGACGTCAACATCGTCGTGGTGGAAGACACCAAAGGCTGCCGCCGGCCTCGGTGCGCTGGCCCTTGGCGCTGCTGCTGCTGGAACAGCCTACTACCGTCGCGACGACCTGGCGACAGGCTGGAAATGGGGCTTTGACCACATGACGTTTGTCAAGAACCTGTGGGACACGGAAGGCATGAAGAGGCGAATGGAGGGCATTGAGACCATGAGGCAGAGCCACAACGTGACATTTGCAAAGTAAGCTGACAAATGGGAGTGCGGTAGCTAACACCACAGCTTCTTCACCCTCATCCCTCCGGCCGGCACGCAAACGAAGCGGACGTTCGCCATTCTGCCACCGAAATCGGACCCCTTGATTTCGCGGTGGCTCCCGGCCAAGAACACTGTCGCCAAGGACGAAATCTCGGCCCACATGGGCATGTTCAACCCCCGCGAAAACGATGGGTTCTACGACCTGGGACTTGCTGTGGTTGGCATGGTCGCCGACAGGATCGAGCAGGAAGGCGTAGAGCGTGGAGTAGCGCCGGAGGCCGACACAGAGGCACTGGTGCCCTATACCCCGGCGGCGGATGCGGCTGAGAAAGTCCCTGTTGTTAACGACTTGTTAGATTGATTAGAAGAGATGGCAGCTTGTAACTTGACCTCTTGACACAGTGAGCCGCGTGTTCGACTGGGTGAGTAAGTGCAACAGCACTGACAGCAATGTTTAAGAGGTAGCGTGTTGGCGTGACGCCAAAGGCCTATCCGACCGTCCACGCCGAGGTACACAGGTCCGCCCGCCGGCCGTCTAGCTCACTGACTGGGTCTGTGCTGTGACTGTGGCTGTTGGACCTTGGGCGGCGCCATTCGGGACCTGGTGCATCGTGTTGTTCTGGGCTTGAAGTACGCAGTCCTCCGCAACCGGAACAGAGCTCTGTTCAATCAAGTAGACTTGGGATCTCGTATTGCAGGACAAACAGCACGACAGCTGGAGCAAGCAATCGGCTGTCGCAGTGGTCGGGGAAACGGTTGTCTCGGCGGTGCCGACGGAGTGCGATAGGAGTATGAAGCCGGTCTCTGATCTCTGAAGCGGGGTTAAGTGGAGACGGACTTTGCAACGACCGCGCAGCAACCGCAGCGGGCGTGACTGACAGTGTGGCTTGCATTCAGACTGCACACTGGGGCCACTGTGAATGGTGGCGCCGCGGTGTGGCGAACAGAATAGAATATGAATCGTCAACGATCAACAGGGGTCAGCATATGTCAGGTCGCAGGTATGTCCTGGTGCCCCCAGGATGGCGGTATTGGAGCGGGACGCGCAGTTGCAGAAGGACTGTACTGTACACCGTGCAACATGGCGCCCAGGACAGAACAGACGTGGCGCTTGGACACACGTCACATTGTCTTTTCCGCTCACCACTCTCGGCCTGTCGCCACTCAGGCCACTCAGGACAAACAAGGGCACGCCGAACGGTGACACACTCTGAGACATGAGCAGCGTTGCGAGTCAGCCGCGGTCACAAACTCCACCATATGATGGCTTAGGAGGCATGCGGGCCCCGCATCTCTGCCAGAATCCGACACAGGCGTTTGGAGGTTGTTCACCGCCCGACATGCTCAGATTGTCGCACGGTACGCGTCGCGATTTAGGTTATTCCAGGCTATAGATTTGCGTTGTGCGCATGGCCGCATGGCCGGCAGACGTCGGGATGCGCTAGAGAGTGTTCTAGGGGGACCTGGTGAAGGCGGACGCCTGGAGAGGAACGTGTGGTTGTGGGTGGGGGGACGCCGCCCAGCCAAAGGCACTCATGGAGTAGCACCCTCGCCCTCGCAAAGCAATTGGGACTGCAACCTGGACATGGCCTGTCAAGGAGAGCAATCGTGGCAGTGATAATCATTCCGCTATAGCGTGAGATCTGTAACAGGAAGGTGATTCAATGTTACTCCACGCTATCGCATAGGTGGCTCTCACACGTGCAGGCCAGATCAAATGCCCACCTAACACCAGATTGAAGGAGCAACAACAAAAAAAAAAGACGGCATCGACTCCTGTGGTCATTGAAAGCGCCACCGATTCATTAGCACCAAAGCCACTCTCCAGAGATGACGGATACCCTGTTGCTCCGCACCACGAGCGATGGCATACCCCGCGATCCCGCAGATCGACAGAAACCTCGTGCAGGTGGACTGGAGGGACACGACGACAGGTCGCGACACATATGCTTACACAACCTCTGGCCTGTCCCGGAGGCCCGCGGAGCACAGGGCAGTAAAAGCCACCTGCTAGCTGCTGGCCTGCTGGCATGTGCCACCGGCAGGACACACTACGATCACATGAATGCCTCCGGTGTACGCTAGCCTGATCAGACAGAGGGTGACACTCAAGACACCCATGCACCCAAGAGACATGCCAAGGTCCAGGTCGCCTGTTATCGATCCCTTTGACGGCCTCACGGGGGGGCGCGCGGCGCCGCGGCAACTGTGGAACACACATTCAGCGTCCAAAGGAACAGAGGTGCAACCATCTTCCACGGCCAAGCCCGCGCGATACATAAGGCGCGGGTGTGTCGTGTGGCCCGTGGCCACAGACCACTTGCCACAACACCAAAACTTACACGCCTCCATATTGCCTCTGGCATTCAGAGCCCCATCTGCGACGCAAGACCACCAGCCGCCAACTGTCCCCATATGACGATGCCTGGACCGTACATTGACACTCGAGCAGACAGTTCTTTCGACGACTGCCCCGCCGCGTCGTCATCTCGTGGCTACTTCCCCGGCCCAGACGTCTGGGGTGCCCAGACGCCTCGCACCTCTGTGACCGACCTCGTCGCTACCGCCAGTGCTCGATCGATGGCACGCCGCCCCTCTGTGACCAGTACCACGTCGGTGTCGGCGTCAAGTCAAGCAGCGACCCAGTATGGTGCTACTCTCCACCCTTCGGCCGCTCTCGTCAACACCCGTCTCAACCTAAAAGCCTCGCCAGGATTTTCGCCCCTTCCCGAGTCACCGGCGATCCTCCCATCAGCAGAGCGCACCGAAGTGTTGCGTCCAACGTCGGAACGCTGCATGACAAACCTTACGGGTGATCTCTGGCCGGAGATGGTGCCACTGCGCCTAAGTGAACATCGAATGCAGCGCAAGCTCCCTCCGTCCATGACCGAAAGCCTTGAAGCGCTCATGGAGGTTTCGGTCAAGGCTCACAAGACCCTCAGCGCTGTGCCCGAGGATGGGCCTGAAGATGGGCCTCCTCGTCCCCTCCGCTCACCACTCCGCTCCGTACCCATGACCTCTATCGTCTTGGCTCCAGAGGTCGTGGCCCGCCTGCCGGCTCCCAAGCACCGCCGCTCAGCCTCGGGCCCCGCAAAGGACGAAGGTTGCCCACCACCGTCCCGCCCATTCGGTCTTCCTCGCTCAGTCTCCTCGCCGCTCGTCAGCACACCGACTACGCCCATGCGGCGCAAGAACTCGGATTCTTCAGAGTCGAACGCGAGCATCGAAATGCTCCTCACTCCGCCGTCGAGTCTGTGTGTGTTGCCCCAGTCGGTCGCAATGCAGCGCAGCGGGGCGGTCGAGTACGTCGTCTCCCCTCAGGAGGTCAAGCGTGAACGCAAAGCGAAGGTCATCAAGCAGGCTGAGAACTTTGAGCCCAACCGTCCCGTCGACGTTGGGATCCTCCTGAAGGCCTCCGAGCAGAATGTTATGGATCAGAATGGCAAGGCAATCCGCTTTGGCGACCTTGTCAGTGGAACCCGCCGGACCGTGGTTGTCTTTGTCCGCCACTGGCTCTCGTCATTCTGTGCGCAGTACATTCGTGCTCTCATGACCCACTTTGTCCCCGGCAAGGCTGGTGGCCACGCACGAGTGATCGTTATTGGACACGGATCCGTAGCAATGATCCCTGCGTACCGCAACCACTTCCACTGCCCCTTCGAGGTGTATACCGACCCCACTCGCAGGCTCCAAGACCTGCTCGGCCTCCTTCCCCACAGCCTGGGATCGACTTGTCGTGGCGACTACGTGATGAGCAATGCAGTCGTCCGCGCATGCGAGACCCTCCAGCTCGCTGCTCGCCTGCACGGCTTCCGCTCTGGCGACCGTGAGCAGCTCGGTGGCGAGTTTGTCTTCAATGGCAGACTGGAGCTCGTCTACGCCCACCGCATGCGCGGTGCCAGCGACCATGCGTCACTCGCCGACCTCGTCGCCGCCACAATCATTCCCATCTCTGGCCCCCTGTCCCCTTCTGCAAGCAGGTCTTGCATCAGCCTCAGCCTTGGGGCCCTCAGGTCGATGCCCAACGTCAACCACGTTTCCAAGACACTTCGCGAGGAAAACGAGGAAGAGCCGGAGGACGAGGACGAGGCATACCCGCAGCTCGACATGCAGGACGTTGACGAAGACGGCCTCCCATCCCCACTTTCCCGTCCCCGTCCCCGTGTCAAGGTTTCTGCGGCCGAACGTGCGCACTGGGACCTACAGCGCCAGTCGCTCCTGGCGCGCCGTCCCTCCAGGACCCGCGTACCACTCGACCACGACCACATCACCGTCCACATGACGCCAGTGGGCACCGTGCCACCCAAGGAGGACGACTACTTTGGTCTCGACGTCCCCACCACTCCCTCCTCCCCCAGCACTCCTACTCGCGAGCACATCAAACCCTGTGGCGAGCTCCTCCGTTGAAAAGCAGACCTACGGCCCTCCCCGACCCGCGGCGGGCCTTGGTTCTGTATCGCTGAGCGAGATCGCATTTTGACGCCCTTTGTGATCTCCTCCTCGTGCCTCCTCCATCTCTCTCATCTCTCTCATCCTCCTGTAACCTGCCTCTTTTCCGATCGAGTTGTCATTTTTAGTTGAATTCATCCCGCCAATTCTTGCTCTGTCTCCGTGAAATGCACGCTGTTGAAAACATTTTAGCCGCACCGTACAACACACACTAGTACATACACTAATAGCATTGAATTCTCACGACTCGAAATAGAGTCCCCTGAGACGCGTCGTCATGTCGTTCATCGCTAGTATCCACTAGCGTACCGCGGCGCGTGGGCCGGAGACGGAGTCTCGGAGTCTCGGCGCAGGTCTCGGCGCAAGTCTCCGCGAGGCCACGGACAAGAGGCAGCGCCACACTCGATCGTCCCCGGTTTGCTTCTGTCGCAGCTCACACAGCCGGTGTATAGTGCGTACAAGTGCACGTAGCGGACACGAGGTACGATGACAGCGGCCCTGATTGCCCGCTCATGCAGGTTGGTAGATCAGGAAGATAGCATGCCGCGATGCCGACCAGGGGGGCACGTTGACAGGCGAAGACGCGACTGATTTCCGGAGCTTTAGGTCGTCTGGGGGCGGATTTGGAGACCATCAGCAACAACCGACCATTCGTGTTCATGGAGGCCGACCTGAAGGAAACAAGACCTGGGTTTACAGGCTGCGGTAGATCTATGGGTGTGAACGACAGGGAGAGAGCCATTGGGCCAAGGTTAGTAACAACAGGAGTGGAACATGCTCGACAGGCGTGTGGCGGAAGGAGAGAAGTGCGGCAAAACGTGACGGTAGCGTCTTGGTGAGAGGCATCTGCTGGCCAGCTCCAGACTTCAACATAACAGGGCCAGAACAACATGTAACTCGTGTTTTGATATCAGGATGGCTGCAATAGGAGCCGCCGCATGGGGTGCTCCAGTGATCCCGTCAGTATCCTCTGTCGAAAGATCTCTCCCAACCCCGTCAACACTGACCGCCATCGACCAATACCGTCCCCCAATGGCAGGATACACCTAGGGAGGTGTTCAAAAGGTCTCAGACGCAAAAGATAACACCTATGTGGTGCTCTGCTTCTCCGCCAGGGAGTTGAACCCTGCTCTACCGCGATGTTGTCATGATCCAGAGGATCTAGACGCTCTCCAATGAGAGGCGGTTATACTAACCGATATACTAGCGAAGAGGCGATGAACACTGCCTGAGAGGTGGCGAGCAGAGCTGTTGGATGTCTGAGGACAATCTGGTTGTGCTGAGCGAGTGCTCTTAGCTTGGAGATGGCCGGTAAGTCAACAACGGTTATGTGGCGCCCCTCACCTTGTCACCGCTTTCCAGTCGCTTCCTTCTCACATTGCTAGCGGACTCCCGACTCGAATAGGCCTTCTAATACCTGTAGCCCAGCTGCCAGAGTCAAGACATGAGCCATGCAGTGGATAGGACTTGGGGTTGTTATGACCAACGATCGGTTGAACTGATGAGGGTCAGGGAGCAGACTGCTATTGTTGTCCGAGCGGCGGCGGCCGAGTCCCAAGTAGCGGCGCAGTATTGTGCTGTGTTTGGTGACTCACCGCCCAGTTGGCCAGTTCTCACGTCTTCCCTCCAGCAGCCCCCACTTTTGTAACTGTTCACCTTCGTTCTACGCCTCGTCTTGCTCACCGCATAGCCTCTGTCGCTTGTTTGCTACGTCCCGGCTTTACGGGCACCTCCACCGCGCTCGTAACATCCCTGTCCACTGCCCCTGCAGTGCAGCTGCGGATTCGCTGTCCCCAATCGACCACCGGCCCATGGCAGCAAGCAGGTGATGCTTGCAGGTATCCCCCACCTGATCGGTTCAGAACGCAATGGGAACGTGCACTCACCGTTGGATAAGAATGTGAGCTGGGTTTTCAACCAATGGAGCTGACGACCAGTTTCCACATCTTGCCCTTGCGGGGCCATCGCCGGCTTCCCTCCTGTACAACTCTCACCGTCCCACCACCATTGACTTTTCCGCCTGGCCACCCCTGACTGTATGTACAGTACCTGCACTACTTGACATGTACTGCAAACCAAGCTAACATGCAAGATTTTGAGCAGGACACAGCCGCTGAACCCAAGGAAACTCGATGGCGAGGTCACTGACCCCTTTGAGAGTCGCAGTTCCGACGGCGGGCTCGATGAGGGCGACAGTGAACGCACGCCCGCCAGGACATCTGTGCTCGCAAGTGTGGAAGCAGTGTCCGCCGAGAAGCTCCGTTCACTCGAGGTCGAGAAGCAACTCCACGACACCAAGGAGAAGCTCTACGAAATCGACAGTGAGCGCCAGAGCCTCATGCTCGCTGCCACCATACGCGAGCACGAGCTCCAGCAGGCCACGGCCCAGGTGTCCGAGCTCACGCTCGCCACGGCGCGCGCCATGGCGGAGAATGAGCGTCTGGAGAACGTGCTCAACATTGAGCGCGAGGCCACGGCGTCGTTTTACGCCAAGAGGATCGGGGACCACGTTGTCCAGCTGCACAACGCCAAGCAGGTCAACGACAGCCTCACAACATCCCTGGCCAACGAGCGTTCCCGTGCCGACTTGGCGGAAACACAACGCGATCAAGCTGTGATGGAGCTGAAGAAGGCGAAAGCACAGCTCGAGGCGGTTGAGGGAGTGCGACAAGATGTCGCGAGATCGCCCGGGAGTGCTGTGAAGAGTCAAGGTGTTCCCGAGGACCTCTTGGAAGTAGGGGACAACCCTACGTTTGTCGAAAGAGCAATGAAAAGGAGCGGCAGCTTTCAAAACCTCGACTTGGACCTCCAGGACAGCCATAGCCCACGCGATCGTCACCAGGAGGAACATAATCATATTCGTACAACACTTCTTGCTGCCTTGGAGAGCCGCCAACTCCAAAACAACATGTTCGGCCTGGCGCCAATGACGTCCCCCACTCCCAAGCGGCAGCCCCTTCAGTTGGCGCATTCCCGACGCAAAGACATGACCTACACCTATCTGGTCGAGAAACTGAGGTCAACGGAAGATGCCCTTGCCCAAGCCGAGCAAGACGTCGTGTCTGCAAGGGAGCAGGCCGAATTCTGGAAAGAGCACGCAGAATCCAAGCCCATGCGGTGTTCAGAATCAAGAGAGTGCCACCAACCAGGTTGCTCGTCGGGCCGACTGAATGACTGGCGTTGGAACGTCAGCGACGCGACTGCTGTGGCCGACGCTGCTGCCACCGACATGCGGCTTGAGCATAAGCATATCCCTGCCAGGGTCCAATGTGCGCTGGAGACTCTTGTCCTCGAGTTCCAGGCCGCGTTCAAGCCCATGGGGTCTGCAGAAGCCGCTCCTCGACCCCACCTCGCCGATACACTGGTCCTCGACGAGACACTTCAGAACAAGGACGGTCTTGTCGTTCAGATGGACGTTCTGCGAGGCCCAGCCGTTGACCAGGACACTGCTTGGCCAAACGTCGACTCTTCTGAGGGAGACGCGGGCTCTGGGGAGAGTGGTGCGCCTCACCCTTCCCATCACCAAGACGTGCCTATCACATCGACCTAGACCTGTATAGTTGCCACTTTAACTTTGCACAACACATGTAACATCGCATCGGCAACCAGACGGACGGTTGGCGCTCCGTCGCCCCCGCGGGACCGGGAGCCTGCGGGTCAATTTTAATCCATTAGGTTATTGCCCTTACACATGCTTATTTTGGTTTGGCTCGCTGGCAACAGTGTCGATGTAGGGGTCGTCTTGCACTTGATGTTTGTCTGCATCGTCCAGCACGGCCAGTACGCGACTGAAGCTGGGTACCTACCCGCTTTGCGGAATGCTGTAAATGGACACACGGCTGTCGGCCGATTGGCGGGGGGCGGGGACGGGCCCGGGAGCGCCAGAGCGTCCTTAACGCTCCAGACCGGCCAGACCCCCAAGGCCCGAAGCCCATGCCCGCGTTTCAGCGGTTTGGTGAGCCCCGTCGATACTGATCCTCTTCACACTCGTACAACTCGTTCAACACGATCAACACACACACACCATACACACCGACACCGAATCCGCAATGTCGGCCCTCCTGGCGCAGCTGCGGGGCTACAGCCGCCTAGGTGAGTGACGTCGACGCACGCGCCTGCCAAAAGGATGTAGGGGCGGTAACAATATATGGGGTTCTCAACTGCGGCTGGCGCGCTGCGCGATACTGCGCTAGACATTACAATTCATTTAGACGAACCATGATGCTGACGACACTTGCGCAGGCGGAAGTGGCAGTGAGCTGCCCACCACTGCTGAGAAGCAGCAGCAACAGCAGCAGCAGTCGTTGATCCGCCTCGGCGCCCACAAGCGGCTGGTTCGCGTTGTTGGTGAGTGTTCAAGCCTCGCTGTTGACCTGGCGCTGATCCAACGCAAACAGTTGGGCTTGGTGTCTTGTGTTTCCTCGCATACACTGTACGTCACCTGCGAGGCCCACCGCATGGCCGCCATACAGGTCCAGTGTACTCGCGTCAGTGTCCTCCCATCGACAAAGAGACGCGGCGACTCGGCGGCTCGCCCGGTTTCTACTATCTGGAGAACGTATGGTACAACAACCGAACGTTCCGTGAGTTGCTAGGCCAGGGATTGCCAATGTTCAGACCTCTCACACCAAACCACCAGACGCATACAGCTCCCTGCCAGACGCGCTGCCAAAGCAGGACGAGACCCTGAGCGCACTGGGATTTGTCGTCGCGGAACATGCGCGCGAACAGGCCCCAGACGTTTGCTTTGCGGGCACGACTCGTGAGTTGGGACTCCCATGTAGCTGTACTAACTCTACCCAGTCTTCCTGAACGAAGGTGCTGGCGACGCATGGAGTGGCATGTACCACTACTACCACTTTGCTGCCGAGAACGTCCTCGGCGGCCTGGCGGCCATGGCCACCTGGGCCGGGGCCAGGGACCTCGTCCTGGGCAAGGGTATGGGCAAGGGCAAGCACGGCGCGGCACGCGACCGCTACGTTCCAGACCAGATCATCGTCCCCTGGGATAACAGGTGGCACGACGTGTACGGCATGAACGACATGGTCGTCGAGGGTATCTGGAACGACCAGCACCTCGGCCCCGACCAGTGGGCGGTCCTCGAGGAGGATATGGAGGGCTCGGACGGGTGGATCTACTTTGAGCGCAGTGAGTTTTATCAAACGAGCATGGAGGCGGGGAGAGCGATGGAATGAAGCTGAGCTCTAGTCGTCATCGTGGATCGATGGGCAGCACACCGCCACTCGCCCCAAGTTGAGAAGTGGTACAAGATGGCAGCAGGCATCTTTGAGGAGCACCACCAGCCTCACTTCTTTAGCGGCGCACGCAACCGTCTCCTGCACCACTACGACATTCACCCACGGAAACCGTCCGACCCCCAGCAAATTGTCTACATTGATCGTCAGAACAGTGACCGCAAGCTGCCGGACGCGACACACACGGAGCTGTTGCGCCAGCTGGAAACGTTTTCCGAGACCGAGCGTGTCGATTTTCGGTATCTCAAACTAGAGGACATGTCGCCCAGAGACCAGATCGAGGCCGTGGCTCGTGCTAGTGTGCGTTACATACGCTCAGCTAAGCACAAGGTAGTCGGAGCTGACTGTTACACAGATCATGCTAGGCGTTCATGGTAATGGCCTCACACACGAACTGTGGCTGCCAGAAGACTCGACTGTCATTGAGGTACGTCGACCCGGCGGTGAAGCAAGCTGACAATGGAAGCTCTGGCCTCCTCACTCATTCCAACGCGACTATGAGTGTGTGGCTACCGTCTTGGGCCACGAGTATGTCGCCATTGTGAGTACCTGAACTCGTCGTCACCTGTCCGGCAGCACATTCACAGCTGACAACCTTGCAGCGCAACGACTCGATCTACACCAAGCAGCAGCAGACGAGCCACACCAAGGGCCCTGACGAGTTGCACAGCGGCACCCCAATTCTTGTAAGTGGTCACTCGCCTGGTAGAATGTCGCCGCTGACCACCCGCTCCAGCTCGATGTCCCCTTCTTCATGTCTGTTCTCAAGGGTCTTGTTCGTGGTTAATGGGTTCTTCTGGTTTCTGTATGTATTGTTCGTGGGGACTATCCGCAGGAAGGACAGTTGTATCTCGGGCGCGCGAATCTCGGCGCGAATCTCTTCTCGGGTCATTATTTGGAGTCAAATGGATTCATAACAATTGCAATCCCTACGGCCGCCGTTACATTACGCCTCTGCACATGGTCACCTCGCGTCACTACCTCCTGCCCGCGGGCCGTGGGCGGGAGAAGCCACCACCACCAGCGTTGACACGGGGGCCGAACGCATCAAAGGCCGAGCGGATACGCTCCTGGCTGTCGTCGGTGTCGTTGCCGCCAGCCGAGGCCGACACGGGCGTGGCGGGGGCAGAGTCGGGAGTAGCCGTCTGGGAACGCTGCACGGGCTTGGGACGACCAAAGCCAGCAGGAGCGGGGGCACCGAACACTGGCGCAGTGCCCGGGGTGGCAAAGCTGCGAGCGGCCGGGGGAGCGGCCGAGGAAGGGGCCGGAGCACCAAACGACGCGCCGGCAGGAGCGGGGGCGCCAAAGATACGGGCAGCCGGGGTAGGGAGGCTGGAGGCGTGTTTGGGACGCGAAGGGACAGCCTCACGGATGTGCGGGCCAGCGAGGTCCGACTTGTCGCTGGTCTCGAGCTTGCCAATGATCTCGCAGCCGGCCTTGTCCATCGCGTCTTGCTGGATACCACGGACGGTTGTCGAGTAGACCATGCGGAAACGAACGGGCGAACCGGAGGGGCACCAGTAGATGAACAGGACACGACCCTTGCTCTCCACGACTGGAGAAGGTGGCGACACGGGGGACTGCTCAGGCTCGGCGATCTCGAGCTTTTCGACAGCGGGCTCCTCCTTCTCCTCCTCGACGTCCTCCTTCACCTCCTCGTCCTTCTTCTCCTCCTCCTCGTCCGCCGCGTCACCGCTCTTCTTGTCATCGTTCCAGCGGGGAGCGTCGCTGGTGTCGACCTGACGAGCACCGCCCTGCGATGCCTGGAAAGTGTTGCGGGCCGAGGCAGGCGAGGCCTTGGGAGCAGGGGCAGCAACAGGAACAATGGGCTTGGGGGGAGGAGGGGTGGGGAACGAGTAGAAGACGTAGGCGGGCGACTTCTCGGGGACCTTGGACGCAACCTCGTCGGGTGTGCAAGCCTCTGAGCGGAGGAGGTTGACCGCTGAAGTGTTCTTGGAGTCGATTTCCTGGACGGCATGAGTACAGCTCAAACCGAGAGGATACACTCACAAGAGTCACAATCCAGCCGTCGTCAGAACGCTGCGCAGCCTTGAGGAGCGCATCGGCAACACCATCCTGCCACTGGGTCTTGCCGCCAAGGCCAATAACAGCCTTGCGACGAGCAGCAGCAGCCTCGCCGTCCATCGCAACGCGCTTGGCCTCCTCAGCCTCGGCGGCCTTGATCTCGATGAGGGCCGCCTCCGAGGCAGTCAGAGGAGGAGGAGACAGAATGTGGTTGAGGTGAGACTTGAGCGCAGCCGGGGTCAAGTCGTTCTGGCGGGTTAGACTGAATAAGCAAGTGAATGACCCACAATAGAAGTCGCAAACCAGTCATGCTTGAAGTTGTTGGCGCCGAGGGCCTTCATGAGGCCGGCACGCGATGAGGCCTGGAGCATCTTGGCGCGGACCTGGGACGTCAGCTCGCTCCGAGACAGAGGTATCCTCCATCGACTTGATAGAGGGGATGACAGAGGTCTGACGGAACCAACGCCGGCCTTCGGAGTCGCAGGTCGATGACGGGCATGGTTCAACAGTCATCGAGCCTGGCGCAGAAGGCTGCAACACCGGTCCCGGCGTCCAGTACACCCGTGGAGAAGCGCACAACTTACACCAGCATCGTCGGGCACAAAGGTGACCATCATCCACTCGTAAGAGCCGGCGAGCTTGCTGTCCAGACGGTACGCAAACGAAGCGGGAGTCTGCTTCGTAGGGAGGGTAGGGGGGAGGAGGGCAATGTCCTCGGTGTACGTTCCCGAGGGCGACACAGTGGTGACATGCTTGTACGCCTCTGCAGAGTGTGTCAGTAAGGTCCACTAAGCTGGAGGGACGGAGGGCACAGAGAGAAGGCGATGGTGTACACTGCTGGGGAAGAACGACAGTACCGCAGCAATAGAGGTTGGTTCAACACCCAGGAGCAAACGTTGTCCGGCAAGACTGTAGGAGAGCCTCACTAAGCTGCTATCATGAAGTCGACTTCGACAGCAGCGTGTGGTCCTACAAGGCCATATGCAGAGGAGAGGAATGAAGATGGGGCACCGGCACGAGGAAGTCCAGACTCACCACCCTCGATAGTAAACACGAGCGCGCGCGTGCTCTCGGCGTTCGAGGTCGCGGTCGCAAAGGCGGCCGCCAGCTCGGGGGGAACACGGATTCCCGACTGCGCAGACATGTCGAGCTGGGATTTGAGGAGCGGAAAGAGTTGGGTGGGAAGGGGAGAGGAAGAAACGGGCTGAGATGGAGGCCTATAGAGACGGGGTTGAGTGGGATGGGATGGGTGAGGTGGCCGATGGGTCCGTCAGGCACGGAACGGCAGTGTGTGGTGACGTCGGACGCGCACCGTGAACCAGTGTGGCAGAATCCGGATCTTAGCAGACATGGATGCTCTGCTGCCTCAAAAGGGAATGGGTAATAGTGCTGGGAACATGCATAGAGAGGTACTGTCTACTTGGACTTGACCTTCTTCTTCTTCTTCGCAGGTCCGTCCGCATCCGATGTACGCTTCACAGGCTTGGCTGTGACGGCATCCACCGTCGCCATCTCCACATCTCCATCGGCTCCCGTCTTCACCGCCTCGGCCTCGATCTCGACCTCGGCGCCAGGAGGAGGGACAATGCGTGGCGCAGAAAGAACAGCCTTGTAGGTGCGTCGTGCCTCTGGTGGGTTAGCTTACGAGAGCACTAGGTGAACTCACGAGCTCGGAGAAGAACCATCTTTGGTGTGTTGGACACGGCCTCCTTTGCAAAGTTGGCAGGCACACCAAGAATCGTCGCGCTGAGAGTTAGCCGACGTCTCACCCAACCAACCCACAGATTAACAATGTCCATAGGACCACGGAGACCCTCTGGGCTGCCACCGGGTCCCGACGAAAAGATGATGCCGCGGCCGTTGGTGACACGCACCAGCTCGCGAGCGTTGGACAGGAAGTTCTGGCGGTATTTGCGAGCGACGTCTGGGGGAACAGACCGCGAAGGGAAGAGACCAGCCGAGTAGAGAATTTCGAACACCACGCCGTTGCGCTGCGCCTGCCTGATCTGCTTGCGGTTCAGGCGGAAGTGGTATGGCCGCTCGTGGAGGGGAACGGTGATGATGGAGATCTGGCGGTGAGCACGATGCCGCAAGGTCGCACATTCCAGCAAAGCCACAATATGATGCGACTGAAGTTGGTTCACTCACTTGGTTGGGGCCAGGGTTGGACAGATCTGTGCACGCAAGCTGGAGAGCCTTGTCGCTGCCAACGTAGGCGGAGAGAATGTCATAATTGCGAAGGGCGGCAGTGTTGCCGGCGGTCTGAGGTGAGCAGGTGACATCTTTTGAATAAACTCACAATCGGGTGAGCCTTGCCGTCATCCAGACGCATATGGTAGCGCGCAATCTGGACTAGGGTGGGTTGAGTAGACGAGCTGGCAGAGCTCGTGTTGGCGAAGCGAGGGTCCAGGTCCGCATATGGGAGAAGGCGAGCCTCGGGGCTACCGAACGGGCAAGCAATGACGTTGGTGGACTGCGGCGAGGTGACAGTGTGCGCTACAACAGTGTATCCCACTGGCGGGTTAGCGACAGAACACGCTTTAGTACCCACAGTGGCCCTCGAGAGCAACGGTACGTGCGACTTCGGCACGCTCAGTCGAGGACAGACCGGCCCAGCAGTCGGTGGGAGCTGGTCCTGCCTCGACGGGGGCGGCCTTGGCTTTTCCCTTGCTCTTCTTTGTAGTGGCAGGTGCGTCTGGCACTGGGAAGGGCACGAAGAGGTCGTAGTACATGGCCCCGGGTTGTTGACGAGGAAGGGGAGAGGTTGGGATTTGTTGCAGAAAACGGGTCAACAGCCGGTCTACAACCACAGACAGCCAGAGAGTCTCCATGACCTAACTTTGAATCCTTATCACGGAATCACACTTTAATCTTCGGATAAAATTAATACACGTGTAACGCGATAATTCTCGCTGATCGATGCGATAATTCTGCTCTGAACCTGGCCATGGGAGGCACCTGGCAGTGGGGTGTGCGTCCGCCCCGCTGTTGTTCTTGTCCACAACACCATCGACAGTTGCCCTTCTATCTCATCTAGAATCCAGCAGCCCATCATGTCCACCACTCCCGCTGCCGCCCCCCCTACCAACGGCGAGACCGTCGCCCCCGAGTCGATGACCAGCCGCGACTAGTACGTCCTCCGTTGTTGATGACTGCGCCAGACATGTCCAAGCCCAGTAACTGACAATGTTTAGCTACGCCGACTCGTACGCGCACTTTGGTATCCACGAGGAGATGCTCAAGGACACTGTCCGCACCATGTCGTACCGCAACGCCATCATCCAGAACAAGCACCTCTTCAAGGACAAGGTTGTCCTCGATGTGAGTATTTTGTTGAGACTGCAACGTCAGCGGCGGCGTTCAGCACCTGGATAGCCCTGCAGTTGCGATGAAGTGAACATGGCTGACAATATTTCAGGTCGGCTGCGGTACTGGTATCCTCTCGATGTTCGCCGCCAACGCCGGTGCCAAGCAGGTCATCGGTATCGACATGTCCAACATTCTCGACCAGGCCCAGAAGATCATTGACGCCAACGGCTTCTCTGACAAGATCACCTTGATCAAGGGCAAGCTCGAGGACATTGAGCTCCCCGTCAAGGAGGTCGACATTATCATCTCGGAGTGGATGGGCTACTTCCTCCTCTACGAATCCATGCTCGACACTGTTCTCCTCGCCCGTGACAAGTACCTTGCCCCCGGCGGTCTCCTCTTCCCCGACACTGCCACCATCTTCCTCGCCGCCATTGAGGACCAGGACTACAAGGAGGAGAAGATCAACTTCTGGGACGACGTTTACGGCTTTGACTACTCGTGCATCAAGGACATTGCGCTCAAGGAGCCCCTTGTTGACTGCGTCGACCTCAAGTCGGTGGTGTCGCAGCCTTGCGCCATCAGGCACATTGACATCCGCACTGTCACCAAGGAGGACCTTACCTTCAAGGTCCCCTTCGAGCTCAAGGCTCAGCGCAACGACTACGTTCACGCTTTCCTCGGCTGGTTTGACATTTCGTTCTCGTGCTGCCACAAGCCCGTCCAGTTCTCCACTGGCCCCCACGCAAAGTACACCCACTGGAAGCAGACCGTCTTCTACACCCCGGAGACCCTGACCGTGTCGGTGAGTACCGCCAGCTGTGCAAGACGCGGCGGATATGTGTATGTGCGTAAATGCAATGGCTAACACCCTCCGCAGCAGGACGACACCATCAAGGGCACTCTTACCTGCGCTCCTAACGCGCGCAACAACCGTGACCTGGACATTGAGATCGAGTACGACGTGTCGGGCGCTGAGGCCACCAAGGGCAAGATGGTTTACAAGATGTACGTGACACACATGTTGGAGGACGCTCATATCTTACCAGGTCGTAAACGCCTTACCCTCCATACCCCCCCAAAAAACTGCCATCTCTCACTTACCTGTCTCATTCCACCTGCACCACCACCACCACATCCCCCTCCTTACGTTCCAACCCAAACGGCCATCACGCTCGCACATCAGGTACTGAGATGGCTGTCCTAGTAGAAGTGCATTGTACGATACCCTCATGCAACGCCCCAAGGTGTGATATACATGGGCAATCGGATCTCTACAATCTAGCCGCTTGAGCCAACTGGCTCTCCTTGACACTGACACACACTTTTGATTGACTTTTGGGCTTGGCGGGCAGGAACGATTTCTCAAGATATTTTAAAGCAATGTTGTGACGTGGTTTGACTCGCTGGGCACGGTGCCTAATTATTACGGCTGCACGGGTTGACCCCTTTTTGGGGGGGGATGGGAACCTATGCTCCTAAGCGCTTGCGGTCTCCCCAGGCATCGTCGATCCTGGTAAGGTCCCCCTGCACGCGCCTGACACCCATCTTGCGCTCCATACGGGCGTTGGACCACTCGGAGGGGATCTCGATGCCGTCGAGATCCAAGAGGCCACGGAGCAGGAACTCGTTGAGGCGTGCGTGCTCCTTTTGGAGGGTGTCAAAGGGCGGGATGTGGGCCGGGCGGTTGGTAGCGTCCTTTGACGTCTGCGAGACAAAGGTGGCAATGCTGGCCTCGAGCGGGTCGACGACACCCTTGACGAGGTTGCGGATCCAGTCCGTGAGGACCTGCTCGTCGTTGGTCTCGGGCTGCTTGTTCTTCTTCTTGACGACCTGCGGAGGAGGCGTAGGGGTGGGAGCCTGGGGGATGGGGTCCTTGTTGCCGACGACAGCGAGGAGAGAACCGTCCGTGATACCGTAGGCCGAGAGCGTGAGCGACTGGTCCTTGAGTACAGCGCCCTTGTAGACAATCTTGAGCTGGTCGACGGGGATGCCAGTGTGGTGTGCGAGGGTCCCGGCGAGCTGCGAGACCTGGGTGATCTCGGGGTTCTCGATGGGGATGTTAAACCTGCCAGTGTCAGTTGTCAGACAACAAGGTGGGGGTCTTCACTGCTCACTTGTGAGTGCCCCACTTGACCTGGATATGGATCAAGCCGGACGCATTCTCAGCCTTGGCGCGGCGGAATGGATTGCGCAACGACTGCATGGCGGCGCGACCAAGAAGGGGAGGAACTGGGGACGGGGTGTAAGCATGTGACACTCGCACGCACGGTGGGAGCTCACCAGATGCTTGAGACAGCTTGGGCGAGGTTGCCAGACGGGCCGAAGAGGGTGATGAAGGATGGACAAACGGACGGAACCACGGTTTGGGGTTGTCGTCACTCCAGCGCATGTGCGTGGTGTGGACGGGACGGAGACGGGAGCAGATGGGAGAGGCGACTGAGATTACGGCACTGGTGGTGGCAATCCGTCGCGACTGTCTTTTGGCGTGTCATGTGTCCCGCAATGTCTTAAGGTGAAGCGCATTGCGGGAGGAGACATGGGAATGAATCCAGGCAGTCTCGTACGGGAAGAATGGAAGCATGAAGAGGATGTTGTGGAAGGAAGCCACTCGAGCGTAAATGACGCACCGGCACGGTGGATTTGCCACCCACCCGGACGAACGCGGCGGCACCAGTGTTGATGCTGATCGCTGTCTTTTCCGTCGCCGTCTCGCACTCTGTTTGTCTCTCACACACATATCGATATTGTCTTCCTGCCTGAGCTGTCTCATCACTCCTATCTACACACTTGCATTCACCACCTCCCGTCCACCGTCGCGCCCCTCGCTGGCCGGTCCTGCTATGGGAGGGCTGCGCTTCCCGTGGATCAAGCTTGGCGACGAGACCGTGTCCAAGACATACACCAACGCCCTGCTCGACACCATTGCCTCGTACTGTGCTCGCACACAACAGTTTGAGACTCTTTCCACTCTGGCACTCTCGTCCAAGGCCACACACGCACTCGTCGTTCCACACCTGTACAGCTACTTTCGCCTGACTGCGGCGAATGCTGTCCCTCTCCTAGCTGGGCTCCGAATGCCCCCCTTTGACCGCACTGGCGCCCGCTACCACGATGTCCGTTGGGCCAACGCTCTAGCCCACTGGATTGTCATGGAGCGCCCCAAGGGCATCCCGTTGTGGGTTCGCGAGGTTGTCATGCATGGCTTGTCGCCTATAGACCATGACGTCGACGACAACGACGACGACGACGAGATGGAGGGGTACAGATCTGGGTCTTCTTCCGACCAGGCCAGCGGCCGTCCCGGGACCCGCAATCAACGCTCGTACCCGTCCCAGCGGTCTCACAGCCTCAAGATGGCCTACCTCAAGCAGATTGCTACCCTCCATGTTGATACCGTGCCGGACGAAAGCCTTTGCCACCATTTCAACATTATGATTGGCACCATCCTGAATAAGACAATGTACGACAAGATCTTTCCAAGAGTCAAAGAGGTCTCGCTGTCCTCTGGAGCAGTGTTTCAGCTGTCATCCTGGCAAGGCAACGACACGGCGCCCATGCACCCCTTTCTCCGAACTCTGGGTACGGCCTTCCGCCCCGACCATCTCTGCGTCCACCCGCTCCCCGATGACACAGTACACGAGTCGCTGTTCGAGTTCCTCACCCCTTTCTTCCACGGGCCCGGGCCCGCTCGACCATGGCAAGATGTCCTCGATTCGCAGCCGTTCGACCTCATCTGCCACCTCGTTCGCTCGTGGTTCCCCATGTCCATTACCATCCACGGCGCCGGGCGACAGCTGGTCCCAAGCCCGCCTCGGGTGACGATGCGAGTCTTCCTTGCCGATACGAGCAGCCGTCAAGGCACCGTCGTCGATACAATGTCTGGCGACATGGCGTTCCGCCGGAGTGCCGAGGACGCGCCCCGGTGGGAGTGGATCTACCCGACTTCACCGTCGTTTGACGAAAGAATGAGGCGCAACGACAGTCTGATCAAGCTCGGCGATACAGCAGGGTTGGAGCGCGTCAAATGGAGTGTGCAGAGTGAAGCGTCCGAGTGTAGGTGTTGTGGAGGCAAGTGAGAGAGGGAGAGGGAGGGAGGGAGAATGAAAAGGGGTCGGGCAGGAAGAGTCGTGGGCGGGAGAGTTATACATAGCGAACGAGATAGTCACCCCCGAATGATGTAGCCTGTATGTGAATCATGTATGTGTCTCCGTGATCCGTGACCTGCCTCAGTTCAGTGGCCAACAGGCAAACAGTAAACGCAGCGTCCTTGCAACCCCCAGGTGGTACCAGCGTGTAGCCTTGTCACTGTGTCCCAGTATGCCTCCCCAGTCTACCTCGTGCGGCTTTGGTGTCGTACTGCATGATGTCCGTGTAGGGGCCACACCGACCAGGAAATCAAACCCAACACTTGCTGGCGGATACTCGAAGAGCGTAGCAACTGATGACGGCCCACCGCACGGTTATCACCAGCGCAGTCTTGTGGGCAATTCGCTAACCCCTGCATCAACGGCGACAAGTGCGTTCGGATCTCCACCGCCATTGCAATGGAGGTCTTTGCGGCGGCAAGTGGTTAGTTACGGCGTCATTAGCCAGAGCATGCTGCCCTAAGTCACGGTCTCCCGACGTCGTCTTTGTTGCTAATGGTCACATGTTAGGTGCGGGAAGCGTCTATCTAGCGCCGCGGGGGATACTGCAACTGTCAGCTGTACTCAACATCGACCCCCAACTAACCATGCAGTGTCATCTGGGGTAGATGTAGAGACACGGGGGGGCAAGGCTCGGTGGGAAGAGCGGCGAGGCGGCAAGCTCCGCGCTCCGCGCGAGCGGGGACAGGCGAGGGAGGGCTACGGATGAACACGACAGGATGTCAAGTCACAGTCTATGCACGCGGGCCCTTGCCGCCGGGAATGAGCTGGAGATGAGTCAGTTTACGCCAAGCTCACGTCGAGCAGTGAGGGACACGCCAGCACGCACCATGGCAATGTTGTTGCCGTTCAGCAGGGTCTGGCCAAGACCAGTCTCGGTGATGCCCTCGGGGGTGACCTCGTACTCGGTCACGTCCTTGAGAACCATGTCTGCCATTAGCTCTCATCCACCGAGCTGGTGCCATCTTGTTTTGATCCAGCGAGGAAGGAGAAGCCCGTCTCGATGACCGGCTTGTTGTCACTCACTGACATAGTCGTCAAAGCCCATCAGGGTGCCGGTGAACTCGCGCTCGTTCTTCATGAGAACCCAGATGGGGCTGCCAATGCAGCGGTCGACGAGCTCGAGGGGCAGGATGGTGCTGGCCATGGTGGTGAGGTGGTGGATGTGGGTGGAGGTACGTTGCTTGTCGTTTGAGGTCGTTTCCAGGATCCAGTTCTCGATGATCGCGAGATGGGCGCGGATGCAAATCGGTGGTTGGGGTTATTGGTGCCCCCCTTTTAATTTGTTTACATATGTTTCCTCCTAATGAGACGTGTAAAAGACGGGACAGGGAGGTTCAATAGGAATGTTAGGGGGACAGCAGTGATAGAGCAGTGTTCTAAGCAGACTATGGGGTTATGGGGAAGGATGAAGCGGAAAAAGTTGAGCAGGAATGGCACTTTGGGCGGTCGTTTGTGAGCTGCTACGACGTTGTGTCGCGATATTCCTTTCCACAGTGCTTCGTTCCAAGTCTGCAGAGAGGCTGTACCGCGGTGATGCAGCAGACCAGCATAATATAGCTGTTCCAATGGTGATACCCCCCCGGCAAGGCGGCTGACGGTATGACACCTCGATGATTTGTGGCACAGTGTAGCCACGAGGAGGGCATGTTAACTTGCTTTTCTAGATTTTAACGGCTCTCTGGTATGCCCGGAGGCTGTACGGATCAGGTAGACAGTCGAAAACAATGAATTTAATATAAAGGTGGTGGTGAATGGTGATCACAAGTGTTGGTCATTGCGGGGAACAAAGCTCATCGGCGCCCTCCGGTTGGGGTTGGCCGAAAGTCAGTGCTCAGTGTGTGTGTTTCTCAACCACTCCTTAACCCAAAAGGGACTGAGCAAGTAGCATCCACCAGAAGTCGCTCACGGTACTGCCCAACTGGCGAGCCAAAGATTTCTCCCGTACCCTCTACGAGCTTCCTAGTGGTACTCTTGTAGTGCTTCGCTCTGCTCGCTGTTGAAATCTGCACCGGCCCGGCCCCCAGAGCCCTCAGTGCCCAGCGCCCAGCGCCCAGCGCCCAGCGCCCAGCGCCCAGCGCCCAGTATCCACCCTCCTTTGGGTCCCTTATAGGCCGCATCCAGCAGTGCAAGAGGTTTCCTTGAGACTGGGAGTGGCCTTTGACTCTGGGATGCCACTGACAGTGCTCTACAGGTATACCATCAACCACCGACCCCCACCATTGGTACAGGACAGACCATGCCCAAGATCTCCTAGCAGGACCTGTGGCGGGGCCTTCAGTGCCCAACGTGAGTGAACTCCTCCAATTCAGCAATGGGTACAGTGTCTGAATTGATATTGAGACAAAGACAAAGACAGACAGTGAGAGCGACGGCGGTGGTCGCGACAGCGACTGGGTGAGTACCTGGCGGAGTGGTTTCCACCCACGGACCACCCTCGCGCCCATCCGCCACCGATGGAAGTGACGACAGCAGCTGATACCATCCAGGATTGTGAGAGGGGCGACACCAGTGACAATGCCGACTTTGCCGCCTACCTGACCCAGACCGGCCAGATCAAGCAGTCCGAGGTCGGTGGGCTCTTTGAGGAAGAGGACCAGGATAAATGGAGAGGATGACGAGGATGGCGAGTGGAAAGAATTCTCGAGGCTATGTAGCAAGGGTGGTCAAGCCCACGACTACGGAAGCAGTGATCGGTACATAGTCGTATGTTTGTGCACAGTTGATGTAAGGCTCAACGAAGCTTTGGACTGTGCAGCCTCTCTCTCTCTCTCTCTCTCTCTCTCTCTCTCTCTCTCTCCAGGGTCATGAAGTTCTGGGCACGAATCAGACACCTGTTGACGCGCTCTGTTTTTCAGAGAGAGTGCTAGCGGTTGAGATGGTTAAGCGCAACCAGGCTTCAAGCCCACCGATCAAATAATCGGGCACTGCTGCTCAGTGTACCAGTGTGTGGTCTGTCGGCTCAAAGCTGGGAATGTGTGAGTGGTCGTGGTCGTGGTCGTAACTGAACCAGGGGACCCATTTATTTCCATTTTCCAAAAAGAAAAAAAAACAAATCCGTTCACCCACTGCCACACTCCACCAACAACAACAATCCGGTGTTTGGGTTCCGCCAACTCATCGGTAATAGAGCCTCCCAATGCAAGGGAGAAGGTGTGCAATGTACGGACTCGCATTTACTTGCTGTGGCTGATGAGTGCTTGCATGGGCCGCAGCGCTGCGGCAGCACTGTGAAAACCGTGTTGAAATCATTCGAGCCTTTTCTGTGATTGTGGCCATGGTGGCATCATGGGTACCATACCAACACTGACCTGTCACCTTTATCTGCTTTTTACCCTTTACAAAATTACTGGCATTGCCTCAGGCCCTCAGACAAAGCTCTGTGCGAGCAACCCAACACCGATGGCGTGGAACTCATGCGATTACGTGATGCAGCGTAGCAGCATGACCAACATGTTGTTGAGCAACACGGTTCTTTCTCCCGTCCATGTTCCCATGCAAGAAGGATCTCTAGAGACACAGAGTGACATAGCAGTGTAAAATAGTGTAATCTATGACGGGGTATTAAGTGCATATGAGGACCGGTGGGGCGCAGCGTGGCACGTTTGCTGGGGTGGCGGAAACTTCTTCCCCATGTGCTCCACTCTTCCTCGTCCTCGACCTCTTTCGCGTCCTACGAGCTCTAAAACGCTTTACTTGCGCGCCGTAAAGGTGACCAAACCCACTTCGGGCAGCACAATCATCGAGTTGTAGTTGGTCGCAGGGAATGCCTTGGTGCCCAAGGTGAGCTTGAAGTCGCGGACCATCAAGCCGACAATCTCGGAGAGCTGGAGGTAGGCAAACTGCTCGCCGACGCAGCGGTGGCGGCCGGCACCGAAGGGCTGGTAGGGCGACTCGGTACCCTTCGAGACGGCGCCGAAGCCATAGTCGACCTTTTCGCCGGCCATGTACTGCTCGTTGGCCGCCTTTGCGACGCCGCCGACCTCGAGCCAGCGCTCGGGACGCCACGTGGTGGCATTGTCCCAGATGCGGGGGTCCATCTGCGAGACGCCCGGTGCGGCGACGATAAAGTTGCCCTTGGGGATGATGTACTGGCCGCTCTCCGAGGGGGCCGAGAGGGACTGGGGCACGACAATGTCCTGCTTGACGGCGCGGTAGATCGAGTGGATGGGGGCGTGGAGGCGGAGGGTCTCGCGGATGCAGGCGTCCATGACGGGCATGTTCTTGGTGTCCTCGTACGACATGTCGCGGAAGGTGCCGTCGGCGTTGCCAAAGAGCTCGACCTGCTCGCGGTACAGCTTGTCCTGGACGTCCTGGTTGTTGGCGAGGTTGAGGAGGATCCACGACGAGGTGGCAGACGAAGTGTGCTGGCCGGCCATGAGAATGGCGATCATCATGTGGGCAATGTCACGGTCGGTGAGGGGGACGCCGTTGCGGTACTGCGAACCCTGGAGGGCGGCAATCATGTCGTGCTCGTGGTCGTGCTCGCCGGAACGGCGCTTCTCCATAATGCTGAGGTAAAAGTCGGACATTTCCTTCTGGGCACGGTCGCGGCGGCGGTACGAAGGGAGGGGCAGGTTGGGGAACATGAAGTTGATGGGGGTAAAGCCCTTGTCGAGGTCCTCGAGCAGGTGGGCAAAACGGGCAGACATACCGGCGCGGACCTCCTTGCCCTGGAGCGTACGCGACGCCGTGAGGACAATGAGCTCGGCCATGACCTTGATCACTTCGACCGTCTTGGGGCCCGACTCCTTGGTGACCTTGAGCGAGTCCTTGAACCAGGCGCGGGTCTCCTCAGTCATGAGCTCGGCGTACGACTCGAGAGCCTCGGTAGTGAGGCCGTGCTTGATAAACTTCTTTTGCTGCATGAGCATCTCGTTGGGGCAGTCGTACACGACGCCCTTGCCGAAGACGGGCGTGGTGAGGTGGGTGTAGGCGTCCTCGGCCGAAACGTGCGACGTCTTGCCACCGAGCGAGAGGTTGTTGCCCTTGGGGCCAAGAGCCACAGTCATGCGGCGACCAAGAAGGATAAAGGTGAAAACGTCTCCGTACTTGTCACGGCACTCGAACATGAACTTGTACGGGTCCATGCCATAGTAGGCCGCAGAGCCAAACCAGGGGATGTAGTGGAACACGACGGGGGGGAGCGACTTGTTCTTGGGGATCAACTGGGGATGATGTCAGCCAACGGCAAAAGAAGCTCCAGCTCGAGCTCGAGCTCGAGCGTCTAAACACACCAGCTGCTGGAGGACGTTGAGGACAATGGCGAGGAAGGGGACGCCGACGACGACCGCCGCGACCTTTGCGGCGGTGGGCAGCTCATGCACCCAAGCAGGGATCGCCTGGAGGATAGAGTCCATGGCGGGGGGGGGGGGGGGGAGGGATTAGGCGGAAGGAGTAACGAGAGTGAGGGGAACGGCGGACAAAACACAAGTGAGAAAGACAGACGGTGTGATTTGACGCGTCCTCTTTGTTGCTTGCGCTCTCCACATCCGCGCGCACACCGTAGTACGATCGCGCGTTTCAATCGTACCACCTCGGATCGCCCCAAATATTTGCTCCCGCTCCCGCCCGTTTTTGATTATCCCGGCGCCCGTGCCTCGCCGAGATCGCATCGTGGCACGACGAACAATGAGGCAGCGTACCCAACAGCTGGAAAAGGTCGCCGACATGCATGGTGGTGCCATGGTGGCCATGCAACCAATAATGTATGGTGCGATGCGATGCAATGCGAAACGATGCCACGATGCCACGATGCGACGATGCGACGCTGCACACAGACTGCCACACACAACCCCAACCGACTGCATCCCTTTCCCTCCTGCAAAGCCAGCTATACAGAGTGTCCAGGCTATACACTGTGCTCGTTGCACAGATATATATGCCTCCACAAAAACGACGCAACAAAACACAAAAAAAATGAGAATATGATACTACTTAAAACCTACTGTAAACTGGATGACTGACTGCTGCTCACACTAAAATCTACTCGTCGTCGTCAAGCTCATCCTCCTCGTCCTCGCTGACCCAGTCATCGCCGCCGAGGGGTCCCCCGGGTCGTCCCGCAGGATCGACATCGTGCGAGTGTCTGCGCTGGTGCGCGTGATAGTGGGCGGCCATGTGGTCGCCGTGCCCTGGTCGCATTCCTTGTGGCTGGAAGTGCGGGGGTGGGCCATGACCATCGAACCCGGGGTGGCCAGGCTGCGGTCCACCCATGTATCCTGGCGGTGGTGGGCCGTGGCCATAGCCCGGTGGCGGCGGGTGGTGCTGGGCCATGTGCATGTGCGGGTGCGGCGGTGGGGGGCCGGGCCGGGTCGCATAGTACACTGGAGGCTGCGGTCCGCCGTGGACGTTGGGTCCCATGTGCATGGGATGCCGTGGCTGCGCGGAGCGCTGGTTGATCTGTGCCGCCTGGGCTTGCTGTGCCTGCAGCTGATGCACCTTGGCATGGCGTTTGAGGTTGGACTGAACCGAGAACCTCCGGCGGCACGAAGGTTCCTTGCAGACGAACGGACGCTCGCCAGTGTCTAATTAAGGTATCAGCGTCAGGTCCCTGGAGAACAATGCCCAAAGGGCATGAGAGAGATTGTAACACTTACGGCTATAGGTATGAATGCGGAGCGAGGACGGGCGCGAAAAGGTCTTGGCGCAATAGTTGCACGAGTACTTTGGCCCAGAGCTCGGTCCGCTGTTCTTGGTGGGGCTTGTTTCGCGGTCGTCGTCTTTGCGTTCGTCCGCCAGGCGCCGTGCGCTCTCGGACGCCAGCACCTCCATCCCACGCATGCCCGGATCACTCTTCGGCTCCGCCAGTTCCTCTTCTTCGACACCACCCACAAACGACCGCCGACGGTCATGTGGGGGTGGAGGAACCAAGACGGCGTTCTGCCGCTCTCTGAGGACCGCAGAGCCTCCCAATTCAGAGTCGGAACTTGGGGGCATGCCCGGCACAGACGTGACCGAGTGGATGGATTCTGTCGATTCGCGTCGTACTGGCCACATGGGGGCCTCTGGCGGCGCGAGCCGGCTGTCACTAGGTGATGGACCTGGTGGTCCCGAGGTGAAGAAGCGTCCGCCCTTGGCCATGGCGACATCGTCGCCACTGCTTTCCATGATCAGCTCGGCGAGCGATTTACGCCTGTCACCCTTGGGTCCCAGGGGCTCGGGCGATGGCGGGCGCGTGCGTGACACTCGTTGTGGGTCGCCGCCTGGACCACCTGGGCTGGGCACTTCACGAAGAGAAGGGATCTGCGGGATCGACTCGTTCGAAAGCGACGGTCGGAACAGTGACGGTCGACGCTCGACTGGGGAGCGGTTGCGTGAAGGTGGGTGGCCTTCAGACTGCGGCGACCGCTCCGAGGCGGTGAGATCGGCAAACGAGCGCGTGAGGGGACCTGTCATGGGCGAGTTGCGCGATGAGTTCATGTCATACTGCGACTCCACAGGAGGTGTCAAGGGAGACGCAAGGGGCGTACCAGAGATTGACCCTCGCGACAACGTTGAAGATGACAGCGGAGGGTAGAGCATTGACCGGAGACCATGGCCCGAGGCCGAGGATATCGAGCCAGACGCTGGAAACGACGCGTTACGGCTTTGGGCTTGCCACTTGAGACGCGCAATCTCGTCGGCGTCTGGCAACGTGGGCGCCAGGTCGGACCTGCGACGCTTGAAGTCGGGTTCCTCGTCGAGCGGGCCTCGTGTACTGAACGAGCCTGCACGCGAAGGGTAGCTGGAAGTTGAACGCTCATCTGGCGCCCACCAGCCGCCAGACTGGCCGCCCTCGTTCACAGATGACGTCGAAGAAGAGAAGCGTGATGTTCGCGAGGTTGGCGAGTCAAGTGGCGAAACTCCAGAGTTGGTTACCGAGGTGACGCTGGGGGAGGCGTAGAATTGGCCAAAAGGGGAGACGAGGGGGGGCTGGTCTGCAGCGTTGAGGAGAGCCTTGATACCAGGCAGGCTAACAGACGAGCTGTCGCTGTCGCGGTGGTCGGGCATGGGTGGACGGTCCTCGCGTATCCTGCGCAGAGGGTGCCGCGGGCCGAGCTCGCCGTGCCCGTCGTCGTCCACACCAGTCTCCATCGGGTCGAGACGCGATACTCTGCGAATGATGGGCGGTCGCGCACCGGGGGGAGGTCCAGAGTTGGGGGAGAACGCAGATGGAGCGTTCAATACCAAGCGCGGTGATGGAGCGATCGAGTACTCGCGCTTGACGATACGGGTGGGGGAAGCTAGCGGCGAGTCGAGGTTCGAATGAGCCATTGGGTGCAGGTTTGGGGCACTCTGCGAGGCCACAGAGGGCATGTTCAAGTAGCCGGGGGAAGACCGAGCGAGGTGTTCTTTCGACAGACTGTAGCGAGTGTGGGCGCAAGGGGAAAGAGGGACAGAAGAAGGGAGAAGAAGGGGGGGATTGAAACGAATTTGGGAATAGAACCAGAAGCGTGTCGACGAGCAGGTTGTTGACGGTGAGAGGAGTGGGGGGGAGAGGTGACACGTTTTGTTGGAGGATGCGTGACAAGGTGGATGGAAAGTATGTGGGAGAGGTGAATAGGATGGACGGTGGTGGCGGTGTTTGGATCGATGGGATGAGGGACAGCGCACAGAGGCAGATCGGAGGCAGAGAGGATCGGCGTCGCGGAGGAAACGGAAGATAGAGAGAGACAAGGATGTGGAGTGGTCGTGAGATGAACAGAGTAGAGGTCAGCTCACTGCGACTCTCAACGGATAGGGAGCGATGATGGGAAGCGGTCATAACAGTGCTCGACCGCGAGCGCGACATGCGGGGCCGGGGGGCATGGTGGTGTCTTCTTTTGTGCGGCCATGGAGGGCATGGCCGCTGGCGGCGGGCACCTCGCACAGTGTTGGCTTGGACCGCGCCAGCGCCGTGTGGTATGAGATCTCTCATGTGAGGGGCCCGTGCCGAGCGACGTTGATGCGCCATGGACGCGCGCGCGAAACTGGCTAAACTGGGGAGACGATCTCTGTCCCATACCTGCACGCGGGGGTGGGTGCATGGGTGTGTGGAATGCGTCTGCGTCGTTCCTCTACTACGCAGCCACAGATCCACAGAAGGACACACACCGTCTCCGACACGGAGGTATGCAGACAGACAACGAGACACACACACACTCCACTCGCCCGTCACAAATGCCCAGAGACACGGGGAGAACAGACACAACACCCCCATTTGCTTATCAAACAATGGGGATGCGTGCGCGCGTGTTTGTGTTGCGCCGCCGCACATCCACACTGGCGATCCGTGGGCGCTGGGCGGCGGCGGGCACATGGAGAATGATGCACACGCTTGGAGCAACAACACCGTCGCCATACAGATGGCTACGCATCGTGATGCGTTTCGATGCGTACAGGCTGCAGGCGCGCTCACGGATCACGGACGTTGCACAGAGAACAGAAACTACACGCTCGGTCACTGGTCACTCACCGGTCAGGCGGGGGGCAATTGGACACACAAACGAAGCGAGGGCGGAGCCGACGTCAGACGGGGAGAGACTGGCGGAAGTGGGCACGCGCGAACGCGGGCGGCGGTGGTGACGGTGGTGGGGCGAGGAGAGATAGGGTGTATGTGTGTGTGTGTGTTGTTGTTGTTGCAGGTCTCGACCTGGATGCTAGGAAGAGAAGGAGTGGATGGGATGGGGTGAAGGTGGTGACTGCAGATCGCCGCTGCGGACGGACGCAAAGGAAATGTCACCCAAGAAAGCGATGCAAAGGTTGTACCCCGAGTCACTGTTTCCAGCAAAGCTGGGGACTACTCTGCAGGACGGGCAGGTCGGACGCAACAGACGTCAGACGGACGCTGGTCGATCACTTTCGCACGCTGGACGGGAGTGGGCGAGGACGCAGCAAAGGCTCTGTGCGTCGAGATGGTCGACGGGAGGGCGGGGAATTGGCAAGGGGTGTGGGCGGTTGGCAGAGTGGGGGAAAGGGGGGTGTGGGTCCGAGGTATGAGATGGTGTTCACGGCCGTGATGATGTGAGTGACGGAGAGAGAGAGCGAGCGAGGGGAGGCAGAGGTACAGAGAGGGAGAGAGGATGAACAGATGCGAGAGACGATGGGAGTGCCGGGGGAGGGATGGGTGGTGGTGGGTGGTGGTATAGAGGACGGGGGGGCGACGAGGATCCACACACAAGCGGTACCTTGGGATGGATCGGTGCGATCGCAATGTCGTGCCGTGGGATGAACCTTTGAGCTGGGACGTGTGGTCGCTCAACAAAGGCCTCCTTCTGTATTGCCGATGGGTGAAGCGGCGAGCAGCGAGTGGCGCACGGCGAGGATGCCGGCGGGGGTGGTGGGGAGGGGTAGGGGGTGGGGTGGTGGGGGTGGTTGTTGGGGCCGGCGAACAGAGAGACGATGAGCAAGAGGACGAGGCTCGAAAGGATGAATGAGGAAACCCAGGAGCTGCGGGCGGGCGGCCGGGGGGGAGAGAGAGAGGGGGGTGGGCGGCGGCGCGGTGTCTGGCTGTCTGGCTCTCTCAAGCAGCTCTCTCTGGCTACACACGTCTAATCGCAGGAGATTCTTTCACGCAGGAACACACGCACTCTGCCAGATGCAAATGCTCTTTCTCCCCCCACCCCCCCTTGTGCACGCTCCTCGTCGTGTCTCTGCTGGTGTCCCTCTTCTCTGGCTGACATGCTGCACTTCTGGTGGCGTGAGGCGGAGGCGCTGGCCGGGCTGTCGACTGACGATCCCGCCCGCAACAACCCATCCACACCACACTCTGCTGCGAGAGAACCCCCCCCCCACCGGACCCCCCCTCTCCCCCCTCCTCCCACCGCACCTGCAGGCTGTTCAGGTGGGTCAGGAATTGCCATCATGCAGGTGCTTATCCGCGCCCCGAAAGCTCCCCTCATGGGTGGGCCCTGACTGCTCGCCTGACTCTGACTCTCTCTCTCTGTGCAGGACCCTTTTGTGTCTCGCTCTCTGGCTCTCTGGCTCTCTGGCTCTCTCGCTGGCTGCAGGCTGCGCACGCGCACACGCGCAACATGTCATGCAAGACGTCGCACTCTTTTTTTTTTCTTTCTTTTTTCTGCAGACCCTTGCCGTCCGCCCAGTTTGCGCGGTGGGGGCAGATGGACGGGCGGACGCCAGCTCAAGCTGGCCAGCTGCGAGGCAGAGAGACCTGCACGGCCGTGCCATTGCGGCCGAGGTTAAACGCACCTTTTTTCGGTTTGTTTTTTTTTGGGCGTCCGCTCTGCCCATCGACACTAACGAGGCAAATGCTCAAATGCAGCGGCTGCGCAAATATGGCGGTTGGGCTGTCGCGTCTCGCTTGCAACCTCCGCACCCAAAACGACACCGACTCTGCGTGTGCAATAACAGCCGTACCGGGCCAAGCCCAACGGGCGTCATAGATCACCCAAGCAAGTCCCAACGTCGTTCACCCGCCCATAGCCGAAGCATGTGTTTGCAGAAGCTCCGAGAGTCTAGCGCGCGGGCGGGTAGAGAGCGTTTTGCTGCTCTTTTGTCACGGATAGGAGCCGAAGGGGGGGTCCAAGCGAGGTAGGGTATTACCCCCCGGGCAGAAAGCCTGGCGGGAGTGGCGAAGGTGGGTGGGGTTGAGGGCCAGATGGCTCATCTCGGGCCCAACTCTTGAGCAACAAGGTGCCGGCTCCTGGCTTGCGGGAGCAACCAACTGCTCGCGAGACGAAGGACAGGCAAGACATGCGTCAGGGCAGACATCATATACCCATCCAGGGACATGACTCACCAACCGTACGACGACATTTTTGACGGCACCACCCAATGCCCAGTTATGGATATGCCGACGCGCGCGTAATCCCAGCCCATGGACTGCCAGTGCCGACAAAGAAGGAACGCCTAAACTCTGTCAAACGACACACGCGGCCAAAGCCGAACTAATCAAAGAACATGGAGTGTGGAGAAACCCATCTTGACGTTTAACCACATGGACCACATGTAGTGGTTCTAATTACGCGCGTGGTCGCAGGCCTTTTGTCACCTGTAGCCTATTTTGTCGTCGTATGTCCTCCCTCTGCTGCTTTCAGATTGATGGGCAATAAAAGGCCAGCACTGAAAGCTGACAACTTCGGTGCGCTCCGTACTCTGCCAGGGTGCTTGATACATCATGGTCCATACCTGCAGGAATCGTTGTCCCTGTGTCAGCTAGCATCTTGCCTCCGGTGCCAGCGTGTGGATCGCTTTTTTTTTTCTTTGTCACTTGATCCCATGCGCAGGTCAGATCTTCCCCCTCCAGTACCTCATTGTGAACCCCGCCACGGCCGACCAGAAAACAGAACGGGCCAGGGCTCATGACGGCCGACTCCGAGCCGCGCAGCGACTCACCACGCAGATCATTCAACTTTCGTGGCGCGGACCAGGCGGCGCCGTCGCCGCTCGGGGCTGTTTTCGTCAGCTGCATCCACATACGACCCCCCGCAGTCGTGCGAACAGCAACGCTTTGGCTGGAAAACCTTATGGTTGCACGCGTCCTGTCTCAAAGCTCACCACGTCATCGAACACTGTCCTCTTTTTTTTCTTGCTAACGGGAAAACATAACAAGACCCGAAAACTGCGGCCATTGCCAGCCTCAAGAGTGCCTTGACGTTCGGTGACCTCTGCGCCTTTACAGAGTTTCCGTGTCAGAATACTCACAGATCCCCTCTCCTGCACCCCGCCGGACAGCACCGCAATGACCCTGCAGCTCCACTTTCGTCTCCCTCGTTCATCTCAACCGCGCTTCGGCCGGCCCCGCCGCCACTGCCAGCACCCATATTGTTTTGTTTACTGACACTCAAAACTCGGCGTCTGCAACTCACAGTTGCAGACGCCGAGTTTTGAATGCAAACTCTTCACTCGGCCTCAGCAGGCCGCGGGTGGGCGGTTTGCGGACGCCGGACGCCGGACGCCGGACGACGGGGCGGCAAGTGCCACCTGCCAGAGGTATGGTATTGCTTTGCTGGAGCGGGACGCAAATGCAAAGGCCCAAATCCGCACATCACGGCCGAAGATCTAATGATCCGCTGCGGCATACCTTGCAAAAGGCATGCCAAGCAAGCACTGTCTCAAACTGTGCGCGGTGAGCCAAGGACAAGGACCCGGGTCCTACCAGCGCCCGTTTGTCGCGCTCGACGCTGAACGGGGGGGCCAGGCCAGCACAGGAGCCAGGAAACGAATCCCCCGGGCTCCACTGGCCACGGGGTGGGTTGCAGTATGTGGCGTCGCGGGCCGGCAGCCTCACGCCGTCGCTCACCACATCTCCTCACACTGCGCGCAAATGTCTTGTC